ACAAGAGGTCCGAGACTGGCATCGTCTCGGTACCCCAGCCTGATGTGATCATACAGATCCGTCGTGACCCGACTAATATGAGCAAGCTCGTAGTCGGGTTGGCGCGACAGCGCGTCGGCAAGCACGTTCAACTTGTCTGGCTTGTACTCGACACGGAAGTTGTATTCCGCGAAGAATGACAGCCAACGCGCCATCCGCTGTGAGAGATGCGGCGTGTTGACGGCAGTCCGCAAGGACGCGTGGTCTGTATAAACGACAAAGGGCGTCGAGCCCAGGAGGTGCACTTGGAACTTGACAAGAGCGTACTTCATGGCAAGTAGCTCCTTGTCGTGGACTGGATAGTTCCGTTCGGCTGCCTTGAGCTGCCTGGACTGGAACGAGATGACCCGTTCGCGGCCTTCATCGTCGGCCTGCAATAGCGCACAGCCAATTGCGTAGTCAGACGCATCACAGACTACGCTGAAAGGCTTCGTCTCGTCCGGCAATGCCAGGACTGGCGCGCGCTGTAAGCTCGCTTTGATGTCGTTAAAAGCATCTTGATGGCGACGCTCCCAGCGCCAGTCGACATCCTTCTTCAGGAGATCCGACAAGGGCCGTGCCAGCTCGGCGTAGCCTGCACTATACTTGTGCAGGTAGTTGGCGAGGCGCAACCACTGTCGTAGGTCCTTCTGCGACCGAGGTGGCGGCCAAGCCGCGATGGTTTTCACCTTCTCCGGGTCCGCCCGGACCCCGGCGCTGCTGACGAAGCAGCCCAGGACCTTGATCTCCTCAGCTGCGAACACACACTTGTCGATGTTGGCGTACAGCTTGTTCGCCCGCATGACTTCGAACACACGTCGAAGGTGCTGGAGATGCACCTCCATGGCCGTCTGGCCTGCCTCGGCACGGCTGTGGACGAAGATGTCGTCAAAGTACGTCTGTGTGAACGCACGCAAAGGTCGGAACAGTTGTGTGACCAAGCGATTGAACGTTGCCGGGGCGTTAGAAAGCCCCTGAGGCATGACCAGCCACTCCCAGAGCATACCGCTCGGCGTGCTCACAGCCGTGAGTGGGATGTCGCTCTCGCGCATCAGGATCTGGTAGTATCCGTCCACCAGGCACGTCCTCAAACTCCCTCACCAAGGGGTACACCGGGTCCCGGGGGTTCTTAAGAATCTCAGAGCCCATGCGCGACGCGCGCTGTCTCTGGAACTCCTCCAGGACTGCCTGGTCCATGACCGAGGACGAGTTCAACTCGGCCGACGTGGACTCCGGTCGGAGGAGAACAAACTCTGCGATCTCCCCGGCCTTTAGCTCGGCCAAGAAGTCCTCCATGGCGAGCTCCTCAAGGTTCAGCAACTCTGAAACCTCGGGCAGAGCTGTAAGCTCGACAGCTCCTGTCTTGACCCGACGACCGGTCACGCCGTCGAAGATGTGATAACACTCTTCGGCGGCTGGAGCCTTGGCTGGAGGCTCGGAGTCGCTGGCGACTGGCGTCGTCGGCCACACGACTAGGCCCGGCTTACGACGTGACCCTCGGGTGTCTTCGTCTCGTGGCGCCGCCTTGACGGCACCACCGATCTTCTCGATCTCGTGCGGAACTACGTTACCCGCCTTGTTCTTGAGCGGAACTTGGTTACCCGCCATGCTGGGTGGAACTATGTTACCCACCTCGCCGTGTGGAACTTGGTTACCCACACCAGGAGCGCTTCCAGCGACTCCCGCATCAGTTATGGTCTGAGTGACCTCCTGTGGAACTATGTTACCCACATCGGAAGCGCCTGCAGTGCCTTCCTCATCAGTTACGGTCTGAGTGACCTCGCGTGGAACTTGGTTACCCACGCCAACGCCAGCGGCGCCTTCTCCAGCAGCCCTTGCTGCCTGTGGTACTTCGTTACCCGCGTGTGGACCTACGTTACCCACCTGGTAGGCGCTGTCCGGCACCTCCACTCTCAGGCCTTGTCCGGCCCGGTCGGAGTCGTCGTCAGTCTCGACGGGCCCCAAGAACTCATTAGACGCTGCTGCGCCCTGGCGATCCTCGCGGGCGTCCCAGCTGCTGCCAGAGGTGGGAACATGACTCACCAAAGCTCTGTCAGAGCGTGGGGGACGGCTGGCCCCGATGGCCTTGCCGCGCCAGTCGATCCTAGGCTCGTCTTTCTCCAACCACGGCATGCCAAGGATCAAGTCGTACTTGTCCATGTCTAGGACCAAGAAAGGCTCCGTGCTGTCGAAGTCCTCGAACTTGACAGTGAGGTCCATGTGGACCCGAGGTATTTCTACCACCGTACCGTCGGCCAGCCTTACCGAGACCAGCCCGTTGCCTTTGCTGCCTCGTAGCGCATCGGCGTACTTGTCGCGATTGCGTGCGACAGTCTGGCGGCGCGCAAAGTTCTTGGACGCCCCAGAGTCGATCAAGATCCTCAAGGGATGATCGTATCCCGGTACACTCGCGTGCACCACAAGCAGCCCACCGCTGCCCTTCTCCGCTTCGAGAGTACAGAGACTCTCAGGGGCTAAGTCCCCATGGCGTGCGCCACCCGCACGCCCCTCATGAAGACTTAGTGTTTCCCCAGTAGGGCGCCCCGCCCCTACCGGTGTCCGGCGTTCCCCTGGTTCCTGGGGCGCGGCTTCTGCCAGCGACCCCTAGAGCCAAAGGGCTTCGAAGAGAACTTCTTCTTCAGTCCTCCCGCGGGACAAGCACGTTTCATGTGCCCAAGCTTGCCACAGCCGTAGCAGCGAATGTCGCTCTGCTCGGTCATGCCCAGATCCATGGGAACCGGCCCGTTGATCGCTCCATTGCCGGAGTTACCATTAGGCGCACCGCCAGAGGCAGGGTTGCTCTGCCATTCCATGGCGGGGGTACGAGCCTGCTTGTGGCTGTACTCCTCCTGGAGGGCGATCTGAATCGCCTCCTCCATAGTGTTTGCTTGCACACGGAACAGTTGCGTGCGGGCAGGACCGACACGCAGACCGTCCATGAACACGGTCACCTTGATGTGTTCAGGCAGGGGGTTCCCCACCAAAGAGGCAGTGAGCACTCGCATCTCCTGGATGTACTCATGCAGCTCGCGCCTTCCTTGTTAGCAGGCGAGGAAGCGCGAACGCTGGCGGTACTCGTAGTTCGCCGGAAGAAACTCGGCCCGCAGCTGCTCGCACAGCTGGGACCATGATGCGAAGCATCCAGGCGTCGTCGCTTCGCGCGTATACGCCCAACTCTTAGCGCGACCACTAAGGTTGGAGAGCGCAAAGGCGACACGGAGTCGCTCGTCCGAGATGAGAGCCGCGTCCATCGCGAGCTCAACCCCTCGAACCCAGAAGTGAAGGTTTTCTCCTTCCTTCCCTTCGAAGGGGTGAGCCTTCAGCCGCAGGGGCTTCGGTTGCACCGGCTTCGGCGCGGCTGCCGTGGCCTGCAGCCCTTGAACGTGGGCGATGAGCCCTCGCTCGTAGTTGTCGAACGCGTTGATACGCTCAACCTGCTCAGCCGGCGTCGCCGCCGCTAAGCTACGCAGGGCATCTGTCCCAAAGATGCCTGCCATCTTACGAACGGACTCGTACTGCGAGTCGTTCAGATGGGGAAACTCCGTACGATCCATCTTGGCTCACTCGATGAGACCACAGAGGATTCAGGTAGTCCAATCTACCCGCGTAGGCGTAGGATTGACTACAAGTGCTACCAAGTGTGACGGGGCACACAGCACTTCTTAACAGAGGAAGCAGGAGTATACAAACTCCAACTGAACAGCCGTTCACGTGTCCCTGGTCTGAAGGGGACGACTTGACTTGAAAAGCGGTAGATCTAAGACTGAATGTATTTATAGGTTGGTACAGATTTGGCCTGCATACAGATCCTAAGTTCTCTATAGTTTGTGTCATACAAAATGTATCTGTTGGCTCTGAGGCCACTTGGATCACTATCCAGGGGAGTGACCGATGTAGCCATTCCGGCATAGTGACAGGGTCACTATTCCATGTAACCCCGTTACAGATGACCTGCACGGGTAAAACTGAGACTCTAAATTGCAACGGTCGCGAACACGCCCTTAGCCCTAAGTTTGCTTCACTGCTTGCTAATGGTGATTGATAAGATCAATTAGAGGGTGGGGACGTCGGCCTGAAGTGGAGACTCCACTGCAGGGTGTCGACCCCCTAAGCAACTCAACGGAGCAACGCGACTGAGATGCTCCATTACTAGTATAATATTAATACCGAGTATTATCAACATTATATTCGAAAAATATCACTGATACCAAGTTAGCATTAGTCCCTGGTATTATTGTGCCTTTCACTTATTCTGCCGTGATAATTCTGGCATAACTCTAATCCCTTATCGGCCTTAATTATGCCCCGAGTTAGCTAATTCCCATGTTAATTCCGGGTCGCCCATTCGTGGCCGAATTAGGAGCGGCGATGGTGAGGCCGAGTTAAGGCGAAATAAGCTAATCCAGCCTGCGTTAGGCGGAAACAGAGCGATTGGCGGTTTCCTACCCGCCAATCCATGCCATTCTGCTCGTATCTCCGTCGATTGGCTCTCAAATGCTGATCGCGGATGTTAGGGGAAGCGCTCACAATCTTAGGCAGAATTAGCACTAAATAAGCGTTGATAGTCCTTTTATGACTCTAATTCCGCCTGAATTAACAGCTCACCCGCCAAAATACGTGAAAGACACAATACATGAATCGTCATCACGGCGATTGCGTTGTTTGCGCGGCACTTCAACGGATTTGGAGTGTTTGCGCGCCCTCACATCAACCCGCAAAGATTGCGGCGCCGCGCGTCGATGGTGTCTGTCGGCACAGAGGCAGCATGCTGCCATGCTGGCCATCTCCATCGAGGTGCAACCTGAAGTTGAACGATACTAGTGTTGCCATCGGAGTCGGAACTTCCTCTATCACACAAGTGCACAGACACACCTGTGCCCACAGGCACGGCGAATACCTTACCACGCCGCCTAGTACCAGCTCCGGTAGCTAGATCACTCTTCAAAATCCATCGCCCAACGTAGTCCACTACCGAACGCACCATGGTTCTTTCAGAATCGATCGTTCGCGTCGCTGCCGTCCAAGCTGAACCCGAATGGCTCGACCTGCAAGCCGGTGTCAAGAAGACGTGTTCCTTGATCGCTAAAGCCGCAGAAGCCGGCGCTCAGCTCGTGTCCTTCTCGGAATGCTTCATCCCGGGCTACCCCGCGTGGATCTGGACTCGGCCAGTGGACCCGGAGCTCACCGTCAAGTACATCGAGAACTCGCTCAAGGTCGACTCCCCGGAGATGCAGACGATCTGCGCGGCTGCGGCCAAGCACAACATCAACGTCGTGCTAGGGTTCTCCGAGAACGACCACAACTCGTTGTACATGGCGCAAGCCACGATCTCCGGAGCCACCGGCGAGATCCTCATGAAGCGCCGCAAGTTCAAGCCTACGCACGTCGAGCGCACGGTCTTCGGAGAAGCGTCGGGGTCCTCGTTGATGAACGTCGTGGATCTTCCGATCGGCAAGGTCGGCGCTCTCAACTGCTGGGAGCACATCCAGCCACTGCTCAAGTACCACACGTTCCTGCAGCGCGAAGAGATCCACGTGAGCTCGTGGTCAGCTCTGGACCCGTTCGTGGATGGAGACGCTGGTCACTGGGGTATGAGCCGCGAGGGAAGTCACTGCGCTGGACAGCAGTACGCGGTGGAAGGTGGGTGCTTTGTCATACACACGACCGCTGTCACCTCGCAACGCGGCATTGACATCATGAAGACCCAGGGCGATCCCAACTACGGCACTCCGGGAGGAGGGTGCTCGGCCATTTACGGGCCTGACGGTCGTCGGCTGACTAAGTGGCTCTCGGAGACGGAAGAAGGCTTGGTGTTTGCTGATCTCGACAAGAAGCTGCTCATCGCTGCGCGCACGCTGGTGGACAGCTGCGGACACTACAGTCGCCCCGATATGCTGTGGCTGGGCGCCGAAGCCCGCGAACGCAGACACGTCGACTATCAGGGCGCGCCGGAACTGAAGATGGAGAAGCCTGAGAAGTCGGACACTTCGAGCGAATCGAGCGACGACAAAGCAGGACTGGTTGGTCGGGGGCAGTGACTGTCGGTTGTTTTTAGCTTGGTAATGTGAATCCTACTGCCTTGTCGTATTACTTGCCAGAGTCGTTCACTTACCGTATGAGTTCTGGTCCACATCTCAGGGTCTGTAGGACGAGCATTTGTTTATAAAATTAGGATTTTTAAAAAATCCTAATTGTTTAAAAAAAAGAAAACTAAGGACCAACATGTAATAGGTTATTATAGGACAGGTTCCTGTACTCTCATTGGCCCTCGAGTAAAAGAACATTTTTTCACCAACAAGTGAAGTTATGGTGGACTCAGCGCCTCAAAAGAAGCGGAAGCGGAAATACCGCAAGTCCACTCACGCCATTCTCAAGGTAAGCAGGGGGTGACCGTGTTTACTTCGAGCCCCTTCGTCTCACCGCTGCATGTACCACGTGGCAGGAGGAGAAGGAGGCTCTGCTGCTGGAGATCGACACGTTGACTGCACGTCTCGAGGACCTCAAGACCAAAACCTTTGGAAGCCCTGATGGAGAGGAGGAGAGGGACCGGCGATGCAAGGACAAAATGGTGGAGAACCGCTTATTACGGCGAGCTGTTCAGGACCAGCAAGACCAGTTCACCTCCGTCCACGCGCTCACAAATGAATACTCGCTCACTGTAAGGATTTGATCGTGGAAGACTCGTCGGTTGTGGCACTAACAGGCACTGTACTTGTACTATTGGTAGGACACGGAGGTGGGGAGCGCGCTGCATCGGTTCATCCACTTAGACAAGGGTGAGAGTTCTCGGCGGACTGCACTCAGGGCGATAAAAGACGGCGTGATCGCTCGCGGGCTCCACCTGCTACAGCGCCGGAAACCCCAAATCCACCAACCGTGGCGACCGATGCACGACGACCACGCGTTCGAAGCGTCGATCGGTGACTACTACGCGTCATCTTTCGCCATCATGCCCTTCAAGCGGTTCAACACCGTGCAACAAGCATTCGCTGCGCTCATCACGTACTTCAGCAACCTCGAGATCAGCCGCTCCGAGAATTTCGGCAGCGTGACCATCCGCGAGGACAACGACAGCTTCAATGCGGACGTCGCGCAGAACCGCCTAGTAACGACCACGCAGAGTGGGCACCAAATGGAGTCGAATACGGTCTTCTTCTCCAAGCTCGTGGGGGAAGGCAGCGAGATAGGCCAACAGCGCGGATACGGGATTGTTGTTTGCGACTTTGTGGATGAAGATGATCGGTACCCCTTCCACTCGGAGGCAAGAGTTCGGAGAGACTTGAGCTCAGTCCTGGAGATCAGCTCCTACGTTCGGCAAAACCCGACAGGGGCCAAGGGAGAGCAAGAAATTGTGGTGGTTCTGACACGATGGGTCCATACACGACTGCATTATCCTGGCTTCACGATACGTCCTGACGACTGGGACGAGATGTGCCAGAATACAGAGCGGTGGATGCAGCTACTGCGGCCGCCCTTATTGGAAACACTGGTGTAAGGTATGGCATGGTAATACCGTGAACGATGTGAAGGGCGATCACTGGCATCGTGTTAGCTGTTATGTGATGCTACGTGCTATCGGTAGTCGCAGTCTGAATTTTCGGAGAATGGAGAGCCACGAAGTCTTGACCAAGCTTGTCATGGTTCTGGCTCTGCTGCTGAGGCGAAGCAGCCTGGAATGGTTTAAGCAGTTGGCTGCCGTCGGAGCTTGAAGTACACACCTGCAGTTCCAAGTCTTCAACCTCGACTCCAACTGCTTGCTCCGCGCGAGACTTCTTGGGGTGATAGATGAAACACAACATCATCTGCATAATCCCCAGCGCGGCACCAGCGGCATTTAGGATCATCACGAATTTGTCCGGGGCGAGAAGGCACAGCACGACCCAGAGCAGGCAGTTGACTGCGTTGGCGAGACACATGTGAAGGGCAACGACGCAGCGGACTTGGTTTGCACGACCTTCCCGATAGTCGCCAGTGGTGATCCGAACATTGCGACGGACGTGACGATCGAGATCCACCCGACAGTCGTGTTGACTCCGTGACGAGATTGGTGCGTGGCAGACGTTGTCAAAGCGACGACGGTGTAAATGATCACCAGCACCACGATGAGTACGCTGACTGCGTACACTCGGCGGACGGACGCGCGATCTAAAGAGAACTTGTAGAAGACGCCGATGAATACGACGGACGTGATGACACCAAACACCGAGATCGCGAACAACGGGAAGAGATAGCTATATATCCCTTCCGGACATAATATGAAACACTTCTGGGGGGTCTTGCAAAAATGGCCTTGGAACCAAGTCAAAATGTTTTCGCGGCCGCTAGGGCACATCAGGGCTAGAGGAGATGGCGTTGATTTTATCCGTGGCAACCGCGAGGCCCCATACCAAAAATTGAATGCATTAACGCTACGGACAGGAGACCCATAGTAATCATGATACTGTTAGAAAAGGCAATCAGGACATTATGTGAAACACAAGGAAAAACGATATATTTGGTTTACCGGACGTCTATAGACTATCAGACGATGTACTAGTAGTTAGAAGCAGCCTACCAAAGTATATAAAAGCATTGGAGGCCACTTGCATATGGGTCACTTAGCTGTATAATATGGTAGAGTTAGCTCCCATCCAACTGAGGTCGTTGCCGGCTCGTTGCTTACCCCCTACGACTTCGCACTCTCTCTATCGATCATACTAGCCTTTGTTAGGACCGTAACATCCATCTAGAGTAGATTGAGTCCGTAGCAATGTTCGCTTGGCACCTTTAATCATCACTTGCTCACACCCTGTTGCAGGTCCCATACAACGTTGAGCCAATGGTCTCGACTAAGTACAAATTTACATTAACTGCTCCGTTTTGAACAAGAGGTAGCAATCGAAAGCTTAGAATGTGGAGAATACACCTGGTTAGCTCATTCTGCATAAAACCGCGCACTGAATTGACATTATGTGGGAACTTGTGTTTTCACCATATGATTTGCTAATACAAATCCCAAGTAATAAGTGTTTCAGAATAGTGGACTGTTTCACGTTTTGTCCGGAGGGGATACCTCGCATCACTGAACGAAAAAAAATATTTTCATTCTGTGAAGTAGGTAGCATGGTAGCATAGGCTAAGGGTTATAGGGCAGAAGCTCGCAAGTCATCAAATACGGACGTTGGTTTTCATTAGTGGCCACGACGTAAGCTCTCCACGGAGTCGTCCATGATTCATAGAGGCATGCTCAGAATAACTAGTATTAATAGCTTGGGCGAAGACTGCTCGAATATCCGGGAAGATTGGAAAACAATCTGGTGTGCTCTACCTTTGGCTTGCGTAAAACACTGACGCTCTTCCCGTAACTAATGGATAATTGATGGTCTCGTGCCGTATGAAATGAAATGAGATACATTTTCGCGTAGCCGAAGTTATACCTGCGCTAGACTCAATTTTGCTAGTCGGTGGCATAGAGTGGTGTACGCATATGTCGGGTCTCCCGCTGCAGACAGCGAGTCGAGGATTGATGTCATGAGTGCCTTCCATCTTGTCTTGTCCAGTGCTAGTTGTCAAAGTTCGTCAAGATCGCGCGCGCAGCGCAGTCGGTATCCGGAGCCACTTGAAACGGGGTCTGCGTCCAGTACTAGCGGCAACGTTGTGCGCGGTCGGCCGCGCCACTTAGCTGCATCGCTTGGAGCAAAGTAGGCCGCCATTTGAACGTACACCGGGATCTCAGGGCGCCGCAGGATGTGGCCAAAGAGGCCCCACCTAAACGCCGTGATCCGGTGTTGGAGCGGCCGCTCGTTGCAGATCTCGTAGAGGCCTTGATTGGAGACGTGGCGAGGGTGGCGGATATTGAGTACGTTGCGTAGCTGCCGGCGGTGAAAGCTCTCCAGGCTGTGGAGCTCTAACTGCGTCAGAGCCCAGGTCCCGCTGTTGTAGAGTAGAACCGGCAACACGTAGCAGTTGTAGAGGCGAATCCTGGTCTTGTCCGTCGTGACGTGCGGCCGCAGCCACACCGCCCAGAACCGATTGAGGGCCGCTGTTGCCAGTGTCTTCGTCTGTTGATATCTTCAGCATCGTCGAGTAGTGATCCGAGCTTTTTAGTTGATCGCCATGTCTCCTCCGCGGCTCGGGTGTGTCTGGTTTCGCCTGCTGACCGGACGTGCCGTTGAATCCTTGTAAGCTCGGTCTTGGAAACATTCATGTGGAGCGACCATCGCGCGAGGATCGCCGGTGCGCGCTCGAGGATGAGGTCGAACACTGCCGAGTCGCGGCAGATGAAGTCTGCGTCGTCTGCGTAAACCACCATTTGCTCCAGGAGCTGGAATGAGACATCTAGTTCTCTAGCTACATCTCTAAGAGCTGCCTCTAAGTAAACTACAAATAAGATCGGCGAGAGTGAGTCGCCCTGAGGGGTGCCCGTATTACTCTCGAATGGAGCGAGCGTTTTGGACCCTGCTCGAAGTGCCAGCGTGGTGTTAGTCAGGAGCGTCCGGATAAGTCGGACGTCATCACGGGTCAGGAAGGTCTCCAGAACCGAGAGAAGCCGCTGCCGGTCGATAGTGTCGAATGCCCTGGAGAGGTCGATGCCGAGGACGTGAATATTTTCTTGGTAGCGTTGGGCCCGGGCACAAAGCCATCGATGTGTCCATACCGGGTCAGCGGTGTTGCGGTTTATTCTGAAGCCGCTCTGGTTGGGCGACAGAAAGCGGTCTACGGCTGGGGAGATCCGCCGGAGTGCAACTAGCGAGACAGCTTTCCTGATGCTGTTTAGGAGGACGATTGGGCGGAGACTTGAGCATGCCCCGCGCGGTTTGTTCGGCTTAGGGAGGCACAGCAGCGTGCCTGCCCCGAGGTCGAGAGGTTCTCCACGTTCAAAACTTTTGTTCAGCAGAGTAGCAAGGCGCGGAGCCAGCTCATCAGCTCCATATTTGAGGAGCTCGGCTGGGATGTCATCGGGGCCAGACGCTCGGCGGTTATTTAGTTGACGTAGCGCTTGGCGGACCTCGTCGGCCGTGATGGGGCAGTCGAGTGCGCGGGCTTCATGGTCAGGTGCGATGGGTGATCGCGTAGGTATGCAAACCGGGACTGAAAGTGTGAGCGAACACGGGTGTTAGTCGTAGCCTGGCGAAGTATATACTTACCTGTAGAGTCTCGCAGCATTAGCGGATCGGCTTGTCTCGGTTTGATTGCGCGCACAGCTTCGTAAAACTCAGCTGTGTCGCTGAGGCTTTCGATCTGGCAGATTTTTTCGTCGAGTTCCTGGTTAGCGAGGTCACGACACCGATACTTGATCTGATGTAAGATTGCGTTACGTTCTCGGCGGAGAGCGCTTGTGTTGTGCTGCGATCATTGTAGATGCGTAGCTGGAGAGCTCGTTGGCGGGCCGAGAGCTCTCGGAGAACGGCATCGTCGTATCTGTGGTGTCGTTGGCGCGGGGAGCTGAAGTCGACTGTCGTTTCGGTTGTCTGCTTGACTAGGTCGAGGGTCGTTTTCCACTGCATGGGGATGGAGAGTGTGTCGGCGTCCTTGTTGTTGGCAAGGGCGTGCTGCAGCGCAGTGCTGTACTTGGCTCGGGTCTCTTCGTCGTGGATGAGCTGGTCACGTGCGAGTCGGAGGGGGCGTTCGGTGCGCTGATGGAGCTTGAATCGTAGTCTCTGAGAGTGTTGAAGCACGAAGTCCGCCGTAACGAGTTTCTGGTCGGACGGTGTGTTGGTTCCACCCCAGGATTAAGCGTCCATGCAAAAGCGCCTGCTGTTCTGTGGACAGAGGATATAATCGATCTGATTGTAGATGCAGACATCGGTCCTGCGTTGGCTCCAAGTGGTCTTGTGCTTCGCGCGTTTTTGGAATAGTGTGTTAGTGGCAAAGAGTCGAAACGAGTCACAAAAGTTAGCTAGAGCATGGCCGTTGCGGTTGCGCACTCCTCGTGCGTGTGGCCCCAGGAATGATTCGCCGCTTTGTCTCCGGCCTAGTTTGGTGTTGAAGTCTCCAGTAAGGATCGTGATATCGCGGCTTGGCATGGACGTTAGAGAGTCATGTAGGTCCATGTAGAAACGATCGACATCCTGGAGGGGCCGACCGCTGTGGGGCGCATATGTAGAGACGATGTTGCGCGGCCTGTATGGGGCAGTATCAGTTGGAGGACGCCGATGCGGTCACAGTGAGCCCTGTAGCGCCACAGGTATGGTCGCAGGCGTGCTGAGACGGCAAAGCCGACGCCGTGGTTTTCCTGTGTAGCGGGTAGAGTTAGTAGAGTGTAGTCACCGATGAGCTTCCGACCGAGTGTGGGTATCTTGGTCTCTTGGAGGCCAAGGACGTCGACTTTGTAGCGCTGGAGATCTCGTAGTAGTGTGTCATATTGCCTGCGGTGCGAGTTGAACGACTGGACATTAAACGTGCCTACACGGAGGCGGTTAGTCTGGTTAGGACGAGATGGAGGAGGGGGTTTGACAGCGGGGACTGCTGGTGAGCGGAGGCTAAGACCCGCAAAGGACTTGCAGATGCCCGAGAGCACCTGCCGGAAGCCCGAGACCAGCATCATGCTGGCCACGCGTTCCGGGGGAGGACTCTCGTGCCGTATATGAATGTAATCTATTGCACACGCTAAATATTTGCAGGGTGGCAAAACAGTACCAGCAATAGCCAGGATAGCACCAAACCACATATCGGATAGCTGTCTGGAGATGAAAGCGATGGGGGCATATATCCTCCCTCATGTTGGAGTCACGAGCCGTGTCAATGTATTATAGGAAGGAGTAACAAGGCTGCCGCTACGAAGCAGTTCAGTCACGAGGACTTACATTAAAAGACTTAGCCTGAGACATCTTGCACCTGGCAAACCATGAAGTGATCCGACTGATTGCGTTTTCATACAAATTCAAAGATGTGGGCCTTACGGTGCCTAGATTATCATTTCGTCCTACATTATGTGATCGAGGAGTTAAGCGGCTTTGCCCTATTAGCATGTAAGTTCCACCATAAGTTTCTCTGCAGTCCAAGCAGCGTCCTCACTTTGAAACTTGCGATCAACTGAAGCAATCACCTCGATCTAACCATGAGCACCACCAAGAAGACCGTCTTCATCACGGGAAGCACGCGCGGCATCCGCCTCGCCCTGGCGACTTACTACACCAAGGCTGGCTGGAACGTCGTTGGCACGGCCCGTGCCAACAGCAACACCGACAAGGTGCGCGCACCGAAAGCACACTCTTTATTCTGCCCATTGCTAACGCTAACTGCAATGTACATTCCTCTAGCTCGCCGCACTCTCGCCCTTCAAGATCGTCACGATCGACACGACTAACGAAGAGTCCGTGGCCGATGTGGCTCGTCAGCTGGAGGGCGTGGCCATCGACCTGCTCATCAACAACGCGGGCACTGGCTGGCTCACGGAGATCGTCGAGCCCACCAAGGCCATGTTTCTGAGTGTGTACGAGGTCAACGTTGTGGGTCCGTTCCTCGTCACGCGAGCGCTGCAGCCCAACCTGCAGCTGGCCTCCGTCGCGCAGATCTCGTCACTTCTGGGCAGCATCAGCAGCAGGGATGGGAAGTTTGAAATAAAGATGTAGATAGATGTGGATTTTGTAATTTAATTTATTTATTTTTTGATCCACAATTCAAAATCGAATTGGGGAGAAGTGGCTGGTTGGTGCTGCAATAGCCAGCGCCACTTACCCAGTCTCATTGCTCAATCTACCATGTCGATCACAAACAAGGGGATCGCCTCAGCATTCTTTAAGCCCTTGGGCGACCCCCGTCAAGGCGACACGCGTCACCAGTGCCAACACTGCCCCGAGATCATCAAGAAGTCTGGCTCAGGCTACACAAACCTGACATCGCACGTCAAAGTCAAGCACAGCAGAGACTACATCGACATAACGCTTGCTGCTGTTCGCAGCGGTACAGCGTTCATCCTCAAGCCTGTGAGTCCTCGGTAGCATGACCTTCACGACTGGTTGCGCTGGATCGCGGCGGAGAACTTGCCGCTTTCTTTCTGCGAGAAAAAACTGACTCGGCAGAACACTACACTTTCTTCTATCTCCGCCAAGACGCTCAAGCTCTACATCCATCTCGTAGCAAACAGCATTCGCATCAAGATACAGTCGCTTCTTCCCAAGATGTTCGGGCTCGTTATGGACGGGTGGACAGCTTCGTGCCGCCATTACGTTGCTCTGTTTGCGGTGTACTGGGATTCGACCTGTGGGGCTGATGCAGACGAGCGTCGCTGCAAAAGTCGTCGCTACATCCTGCATGCCTTTTGTCCACTCGACGACGAGTCTGACATGGGTTCACAGGCCCACTATGACTTCATTGCGGACCCTCTTTCCGTTTATGAATGTCCGTGGTCTCGAGTGTCATTCCTGGTGGGTGATAATTGCTCAACGAATCAATGTATCGGCCGGAAAGAAGGGGCCCTCCCGTTAATCGGCTGTGCAAGTCATAGATTTAATTTAGCGGTGAGGGCCTTCTTGGAGGCGCACGAGACGATGGTCGAGAAGGTGCACAAGTTCATGAAGAAGCTGGCAACCGTGAAGGGCAGGGCGGTTCTGAAGAAGATTAGCAAGTTGCACCCCAAGCTCAATAACGTTACGCGCTGGTCGAGCACGTATGAGATGCTGGAGCGCTTTGTAGCGCTGCACCCCCACGTGAAGATGCTGGAGTTCAAGGACCTGGAGAAGATTCGGATCGTGGACCTGCTCTTCATCCCGCACGAGTTCGCGCAGGCTGAAGAGCTGCTAGCCCAGCTTGCCAACTTGGAGGAGGCCACCCGAGAGCTGCAGAAGGAGGAGTTGACACTCGCAGCCGCGCGAGATCTCTTCGATCTCGCTATCAAGCGCTACCCGTGCATGAAGAAGGATCTGTCCACGACGTCGTCTCATGTTGTCACCCCGCAACTGGAAACAGGGCTTGTCAAGTTGCAGCGGGGAGAAGGGCTAGATGCGCGGGAACGGGCTGCGTGTGCTCCTTTCAAGAGAGCAAGCGTGGTGGCGGAGGAGGAGAAGGAGAAGCAGTGGTTTGTTAGCGCTGCGTACAAGAGGCGCAAGACTACGAAGAAGAATGCTTCGTACGTCGACGTCTCGTACATACCGCCAACGTCAAACGTTTGCGAGCGGTTTTTCTCCTCTGCAAAACTCGTGTACTCGGACTTGAGGAAGAAGATGGACTACGAAACGCTCGAGGACGTCATGATGCTCAAGTACAACGACGCGCTGTGGAATGCATACACAGTGCAGAGTATTTGTGCACGTCACCCTGCTACTTGCAGTACCGTAGATTAATTCTTGGTGTAAATGTGAATAATTCGAATGATTTTATTTTTCTGTTCCTGAGACAAACATGCATAATTAATTCGAATATTTCCCACCCCTGATCACGCGGACGAGCACGCCAGCACCTTCAACGGCCAGTACACGTACAGCTCGTCCAAGGCGGCGCTCAACATGATAAGCCGCTCGTTGGCGAGGGACCTGTGCGACAGCAAGGTGGCCGTCGTGGTGGTTCACCCCGGGAAAGGTTTTAAACAGGTCTTATGCAGGCCTGGTCCTGTTTTGGTCCTACGACATCTAAACGAGACCGAACGGGAAATAAGTATGATTTTCCCGGTGGTCTCGTTTGGATGCCGAGACCCAAATGGTATCACTACGAAACACGCTAATTTTAGACCCTCTTCACTTTGATATAAAATATCGTGATATTTAGTAGTAGTAGTAGTAGATGATATAGCTTAGTATTTTGGGGCTAGTTGACTTAGAGTACTGCTGGGGATTATAATTTGGTTCACAACATGTCTGAAATTCGGTACATGTCCGTGTGGTAGACGAATATTGCATAACAACAATGGAAACGGTGTACTAAAGGTAGAATTGGTCAATATAGGATAATTTCTAGATCAATTTATCTTCCTCGTACGTTTAGTATCGAGGACCTTTAAGTTTACGAAGCTATTACTATCGTTTGAATAGGCGGTTGAAAAAGGTTATGTAAAGGCAACGACGACAAATGGAGGGGCTAGCCACCCCTTTAGCTGCGCCCGGTAAAGCGGTAGTCGCCATTTGATCAGAGCTGGCCCCTTCATCCAATGTTTGTTATATTCAAATAACCGTTAGTTTGCTGAGAGTACTAAGTGTACCGGACTGAAGACTGGATCTCAACATCTCGATCTAAATCGTAGTTTGGGCCATTCCAAGTTTAATCTTACAGAGGTGGTCTATGTAACAGGGTGCTACCCTTAGAACATCCCAAGATTTTTAATATTATTGCATGGTGGAACTATTCCATCAAAACTCGGCCTTATTGTCTATTTCAAATCTTTAGACTATTTATTCCCAACATCATGAGATTGTCCAGGGTTGGGAAGTTGTATATCGATACTGAAAAGACAAAAACGGAAAACTTTCTATAGTGAAGGCTTCCTATAGACTGGATTTCTGAACATTCTCAAGCACTATGCGATTGAACAGGGAGCTCCAAATTCCGTTACGTGGGATTGTGCTGCTAAGAATACCAAAGTTCGAATACTGACGGACTCTTATTGGCTGAACCAATTCGATCTATTAGTAACATTATGCGATTGAACGGGGGTTTCCAAACATACCAGTAGTTACGTAGGTTTAGACTGGTAACAAAAACTTTTGCTGCTGTTGGGCTTTGCTCTAACGGTGTGAATTTGTGTTCATTCGGATTTTTTCTGACAACCCACCAGCTCTTCGCCTTCGCCGCCTCCACCCTGCAACCCCTGCTCTGCGACAAGTCGAGATGCCAACCACCACCGCATCAACTCCGACCTCTTCAAGCCACTGCAGCGACGGTGAATTCGACCAGCAGTGGGAATTTGGCTTCAATTCGGATCGTGGAGGAGCGTCGGCGAGCGACAGTGATGCTGACAGCGATGCTGGCTATCTCTCTCCTGTTTATGGGGATCAAAAACCCTGTTTCAGCAGTGATGACGACAGCGATGATGAAGACTCGCCGACTGGGACTCCCCCGCGAGATATTGAAGTTGACGATGACTCGGTCTCCAGCGGTGGCTCAAGCGTGTCCACTCAAGGGGATGTGACCAGGCTGCCCGGCGGACATGTTCTCGGTTCTTCCCGCTATGACATGGACGACAGCGAAGCCAGCAGCAGTTTGGACGACTCTGACGCATACGACCCTGAAATGGAGACTGTTAGCAGTGAGGACGAAGGCGACGAGCTCGCAGTTCAACCTTCTGCGTCAGGGCGTCAAGGGCATGCGGGAATCGACCTCGTCGCGACAGCGCATCGCACTGTCATCCAACTCAACGGCCATCAGTACACGAAAGCCTGAGAGTCCTCGCGCAAGATTTCCTTCCGGTGCAGCTTTTACCGACGTACTCCGGGGTGCAAAGGGAAAGTCGACTACAGTTTTGCGCGAGATGTGTTCTACAATTTTACGCCACACACTTGTGAAGGGACGGGCCAAGCTCCAAGCCAATACGTTGACGTCACCGAGGAAATGAAGGCCGAGGTTGATGGATTGTCGATTCTGCACCTTTCACACACGGCGTAACAGATTTGGTTGGCGGTCCGCGAGCAGGTTTTCGTCAGAGACGACAGCGCGGTTGTTCAAGGACTGACACGGCATCAAGTCCGGCAACGTGTGTACCGCACGAGACGTGTTCATTTCGGTGGAAACGTGCATGGAATGGTCGAGGTTGCACCGCAGAGCCTGGTTCAAGGGACTACATTGAATTTTTTCCAGTTCCACCACGTCTTTATGGAGGGCGAGCGGCTACAGCGTGTGCTGGGTTGGGCGGACCCTCGACTGCTGGAGTTACTTCGGTATCCGGGCTCGCAGATGCTCGTCGACGGAACTTTCCGGTGCGTCCCGAGGTCGTTCTACCAGTGTGTCGTGTTGATGGTGAGCGACGCAGCAAGTGGCGTGTTCGTGCATTGCGTTTACGCTCTTACAACTGGCAAAACCCATCAACTATACCTAAAGTTGATGCGGTTCATGAATGACTGCACGGGTAGTCGCCTTCAACCTGGGAGTGTCGTCTGCGACTTCGAGGCAGCGCTGATCGATTCAGTGACCGACCAGTTTCCGCACGCCAGGGTTATCGGATGCTTGTTTCACTTCAAGCAAGCGACCCGACGACGCATGATGAAGTTGCGTATCCGACCCCAGGAGATCTCGATTGCGATGGAAGTCGGCGTGTTGGACATGCTAACCGTGATCGTACCTGCTCATGCCGATCCCCACGGAATCAACTATGTCTCCGAGTTGATTATGTCTCGCTGCCGTACCGAAGAGATTGAGTACTCGGCGGTTGGGTGGGATCGTTTCTGGAAGTACTTTCGTCGCACATGGATCAACATTTTTCCAGTCGATGTGTGGAATGTTTATGGCATGGATTTGGGAGTGGTAAGCCGAACCAATAACCCCCTGGAGCGGTTCAACCGGGAACTCAACGCAGCCATCGCTGCGGCACACCCAAGCATCCCCGCTTTCGTATCGACAATCGACACATTATCGCGGCGGTACGTGCAACTGCTTGGCGATATCTCTAATCGCAGAGCTGTTGCCCCAGCTCACGGGGAGATCGAGTTGCCAGTTGCGGTCGGCTTGACATCGCGTGTTAACGCTGCGCGTCGTGAAGCCAGTAGGTCGTCGAACTCACGAACCAGTCGCGCTGGTCGCGCTGGTCGTGCTGCTTCAACTCGAGGTGGCAGGGCAACTTCAACTCGTGATGGCAGGGCAGCTTCAACTCGTGGTGGCAGGGCAACTTCAACTCGCGGTGGCAGGGGTGATCATGGAGGTCTAGCATCGATGCGTTCCCAGGAAGCCCAAGTGGATAGACCAAGTCGGACGGCCCGGGCAGCTAGAGTCGAGCGACGTACAAGCCGGGTTACTCGCAGCATGACTGACAATTAACGGTTGACAGCAGGTTGAAGGCCCTGACACGGTTTGCTTTTTATGCAATTTCCCCTCCAATACATAATACATCTAATTTCCGTTTACGTATACAATTATAGAGTTTTTTATAAACCCTGTTTTGTTAGGATCTTTTTTAGGTCCCATTTGGAGGCTAATTTTATTTCGGTCCTGTTTTGATCCTACGGACCAAAAAAGACCAGACCTGCATAAGACCTGTTTAAAAATCTCCGGATACGTCGACACGGAGCTCACGGGGAACCTTGGAACGCTCAAGCCTACAGGCGTTGCTGCATCCATCGCCACCGTCGTCAACAAGGTGACGATCAAGGACACGGGCAAGTTCCTGAACGCGGACCCCATGTACCCCAACCCAGAGCTGCCGTGGTAAGGTAAACTAGGACTGCGATGCGAACGTGGCAATGGACTACAGACACAATACATGCAGACCACTTGGAGGCTTAATGACATGCGCTTGTGAGTTACGAACCAAATTGAGGAATGAGGAGTTCTTGGCCAAACGGTGGAGCGGAGTACCAGCACTTGGGGTAAGGAGCAACGCTTCCTGAATCGAGCCATTTTTCAATCTCTTTCCAGCAAGATCTCTGAGAAGCTCGAATGACTACTTCGTGAGTCTTCCGGTCCGGAGCCAAATAGTTTGTCGAGCAGGTCCTCGCTTCCCGATCCAGCAGAGCTGTCGTCTTGGACGGTCCAGGAGGGCCGTCGTCAAACAGGGCGTCTTGTCTTGGGGATTGCTTCTGTTCCGGGGATTCGTCCATGGTACCCTCATCGCTAGGCTCCATTTGTTTGTACAAGTCGAAGATGTCCTCTATCGGCATCGCGATTTCGGCGTGAAGCCGCAGAGTGGTTCTTTTTGCTGTTGATCCAGTCCAAGAAACCAGGTTCCCTACTTCCTTCGTCGGCCGAGGAGGGGATATTGGCTGGGGACACGGTACCCGGGGAATCCTTACTGGTGAGCTCCGCGTTTTCGAAGTTTTTGCTGACTTCTTGGGGCAGGAAAATGCGGAATGGAGCTGCAAACTGCGTTTACAAGACGCAGCGGGTTCTAATCGTCTCATCCCTAGATTTGACGTTTTGGTAGAATAACATAAGAAATTCTGGTCGACGTTCCTTATTAAAAGATGAGATGAATAGGAATTGATACATGTACGCACGTGGAGGAGTACGTGTACTACCTAGTGTAGCTACAATAGGACGTGCAGACATCCACTCCGTGGTGCATGACTCCATTCAAACCTACCTCACTAACGCAAAACTGTTCAACAATGGCCGAGGCACAAAGTAATATGGAAGTAATAAGGTAAACTAACGTTAAAAAATTATAGCAAGCGATGGTAGTGGAGACAAACAAAAACTTGTGGTTGTGAGCTCGGAAATCGTCTTTTGCTTGAATCAATCAACGGCTGATTACGTGGGGTCGTGCTTAACGCAAGCATTGTTGCACCGAAGGTGACCAAGATGATGACGAGATCCAAATCGATCAAGCAACTCGCACAGGACAAGAATGCAGACTTGGAGGCCCTTCAACACTCGCTCATGGACAAGTTCACGCGCTACAACAAAGACCCTGACAAGCTGTTCAAGGCGATGAAGCTTAACCCCGAAGTTGCGGCGATTGAGAAACTCGGTGCAGAGCTTGCTGAAATCATTACCGCGTGCCGACACCCTGCGTATCGAGCTAGAGCACCCTTATTAGCGACCAAGGAGGATGGCAAGAAGAGAGACGCGAAGAAGCGCTGCCGTCGGACATGTACACGCAGGATGGGAGGACCGTGTGTGGACGTTGCCACTTGTTGCGCTGCAGCAGAAGCAATTACCGACGCTCGCTCGCGGACTGCCCTTACTGCAACCAGCGTGGACACATCGGTGTCGAGTGCGAAGCTCCCAAGTCGAGACGAAGGGACGGTGGAGGTTAGATCCCAACGAAGGCGCAATACCGCATACGTTGTATTACATGCAAGTAAAGTGCGTGTGTTAGGTGGTGGTAAACTTGTGACGCCAGCACTCACCTACAGGTCGGTGCTGCTGCTAGCTCTGGTTCACCCACGGTGGATGAACGACTCTGGCTGGGTGGATCCCCGAGTCGCCACTCGAGCGATAGCAGACGCCACGGTTCCGCACCTTTAAAAGGGTTAGCGCGAAAGTGAAAGGGTTTATGAGCTTCTCGGTGCGTCGAGTTCGGGCTTGACGACAAGATGTAGTTGGCTAGTCAAAAGTCGCACACCACTTCGATTAAGTACGATCGCAGGATAAATTCTTGCTACATATGAATCGACAACCGACACTGTTCGAGCGTCCAATATTTACTGACCATTCCACACTATGCAGAGCGACGTCTGCACCGTTTGAGACCATCATCGATTGGCGGTGGTTGCATCTCAACTCTTAGCTTCGTTTAACACGTTCTCGAATGCACTGGCGTTCCATTACGCGTGCTCAACGCGATCATGAGCGGGCGCCACGTGCAGCGCCGTCATCGCTGGCGCATGTATTGAATGGAACTGAACCATGCCTGCCACGTGCCATCTTGCCACCCCGACGCAGCATTTGATACAGCACCATCAGTAGATTTTCCTCTCCTATCCAACCTCTCACAACTCAGCCCCCCCCCAATCTGAAGCAACGCAGGACTGGGCCAAAAAGTATGAGAAAACTGCTTCGGGAATCTTCAAGGACGGCCGTCGAAATAGAAAATCCACATGACGCTTTGAACAGCTCTCATTCTGCAATTCGCCGCCCAGGAGAGAGACTCCCAAAGCCACCAGCCGGTGCTGCTCTTCCCCTCGTCTCCCTCTCGTCCTCCCCCCCCCCTCCAGCCTCCCCTTCAGTCCGTGACACGCCGCTCCGCCAGCGTATCCCGTCCGCCTACACAGAGAAAGAGAGAGGAGTCCTCCTTCGTCTTCCTCCTCTCGCCCCCCGTCGGTCCGTTCAGCAGCTCAAGGGGATGCTGAAGGACTGCCCGCAGCACCAGTGGATCAACCAGCGCTCGCACGAAACCCGCACGGCCTTTTGGCAATCGCTCTAAGCCCCGCGCCCCCCTTTCCATTGACCTCCACCCTTTAACTTTAACGTCCATAGGGGCCGGCATGGGCTTCGAGGCGCTGGCCAGCGAGAGTCTGCGCCAGGTGCTCGACTGCCTGAGCATCCGCGAGCAGTTCGCGCTGCTGAGCAGCTCTAAGTCGCTGCTGAGTCGCGAGCCGCTGGCGCCGAGCGTCGTGTCGTACTGCGGCGCGTGCGAGGCGTGTCGCGACAAGACGGAGCATCTGTGCGCCGCCAAGTTCCGGCACGAGTCGGCGGCCTTCTGGTCGGCGGTGCTGCGGCACTCGACGCCCACGGGGCTCACGGAGCTGCGCCTCGCCAGCTGCGACGGGTTCGACCTCTCGGTGCTCAAGAGCGCGGGCGCCAGGGCGGCGCTGGCGCCGCTCAAGGTGCTGGAGCTCAACAGGTGCTCGACCATGGACGCGGAGGCGCTGGACATCGTTGCGGACTGCTGTATGGGCTTGAGAGAGCTTCGCTTCAGGGACATGGCGGTGGACCGCGCGGCGCTCAAGAAGCTGCTGAGCAGGAACAAGGACTCGCTGCGCGTCGTGGACTTGCTGGGCTGCCACACGGTCAAGGGCGAGGACGTTCGCGCTATCGCCCAGTGCACGCAGCTGCGGGACTTGAGTCTCTGGGGCTGCCACAATGTGGACAATGCCGCTATTGTGCACGTGGTGCAGCACTGCGCGCAGCTCGAGCGGCTGAATCTTCGCTACGCGCACAAGGTGGACGACAAGGTGGTGGCGGCGGTGGCCACGCACCTGCCGCAGCTCAAGGACCTCAACCTGCGCTACTGCTACAAGGTCTCGGACAAGGGCGTGCAGACGCTGTGCGAGAAGCTGCCGGGGCTGCGCTCGCTGAACCTGTCGCAGTGTTCGAGACTCACTGACGCCGCTATTATGCAGGTGGCGGCGTCCATGAGCCGCCTCAAGGAGCTGCGTCTCTGGGGCTGCACCAAGCTCACGTCGGACTCGGTCTTCTTCATCTCGGAGGGGCTGCCCGAGCTCACGCTGCTGGATCTGCGCAGTCGTGACAAACTCGAGGCGGTCATCGGCGGCCCCACGGCGCTCAAGTTCCTCATCCAGACGTACCGCAGCAAGCTGGCGAGGTGGGAGCAAGCTCAGGGTGAACAGGCCGGCGTGTTCAAGCGTCACGCGGTGGTTGCCGCCGCCGCGTAGGCGGTCTGGCTGGTCTCATGAGTTGTCGCTCTGCTGTGACGGTGTCGTCTGCGGCCCCTCGCTTCTCCTTTTCTTGCTTGGATATCCCGGCCTGGGATCTGCCTTCAGCATTCCGTGCCTTCCTTCTTCATTTTCGGTCTCGCCGCGCCATGCATGTTCCTGACACTCGAGAGAGCGATAACAAAGGTTAATGCACATTGTGTATCTTCGAAGCTATGGAGCTCTATTGCGTTTACAGCCACCACCAACCACCCCCGACTGGCGCTGTAGTATTTTATTAACAAATCTCGTCCAGCAGCGAGCGCAGATGCAGCGGTAGCGAGTGGCGAAGCATTAGCAAAGTGTGCAGATCGTCTGCGTGCAGCGCACTGGAGGTGGCAGCCAGCGAGTCACGCAGGTACGCCGCGTTCTCTTCCTCCACCTACGAAGACAAGTAACAAATGTCAGCAAACAGCATGATCGACCGACACGACCGCCATTCGAGCAGCGGACTGTACCTTCTTGAGAAGAGCCTTGGTCACGCCGTTAGTCGACAGCACCGTTGAGTTCTCACTCTCCAAGCTGTCGGCGTCGCCCTTGGTTTCTTCCTCTAACTGCCGGTGTTGGTTGTGCTTCGCTGCGGACATGGACAGCGCCATGGCCTTGGCGAGCAGCATCGCCTCCTCATCATCGGAGCTCACCCCGTCTGCCGCCTGGTATCCGTCGCTGGGCGAAGGCGTCGGCTCGTACGAGAGCTTCTTGTACAGCAGCAGATACACCGTGTCCGACACGGTGCTGGACACCTGGCGGTTGATCTCCTTCCAGTTCGAGCGCTCGACCTTCGTGTCGTTGAACTTGATCCACGGGGATAATGTCGAGTCCTCCAGATGCAGCTGCCGCGTGCTCTCGTCACTCTCGCGACAGAAGCTGTAGTAGTGACCTGAATTGGCGGTCAATCCAGAGTGAACCAGGACACCATACAAACCGTATTGGCGTGATTGATGCTGCTGCTTCGCTTGTGTCGAATCTCCATTCGCTGAATCATACACAGCAGCCTCTTCCTCCTCCGTCAGGGATGGGAGCGTCAGGAACGCGGGGAAACGAACGTCGTGCAGGCACTTGCACGCCTTCTGCTGCGTCCAATCGTAAGACATGCGCTTCAGCGTGATGATCAAGTGCTCGGGTGGCTCAAAGATCACCGTGTGCGTCCGTGACTCCGTCTTACGCTGGCACACGCTGCAGGACAGAGCGTTGTCGCCTCCCAGCGTGCGCGTGGCAACGAAGCGCGACAGCATGGACTCGATGTCGTGACGCCACACACGCTCGGAAAACACCAGCTTGCCATCTTGCCACTCCGTGCTGTAATCCTTCTTGAACGCCACGTGCACGTACGAATCCTTAATAATCTTCCACTTGCCGCCGACAACAACAGGAGTGGAGGCAGACGCTGCCGTATTGTTCGTAGACCCGGTGGTTGGTGTAACGACAGAGACAGCGGGCTTGGACACACTGCCAGGGGCACCTTCGGCACCACTCCACCACCCATCCATTTCCGTAGCCGCTTCGTTTAGTGTCAACTCGAACGGATAGCTGGACGGCAAGAAATCGTTCATGGTCGCGCCTACACCGCCAGCCATCGGACTCTCAACTCTCCATGCTCCAATAATCGTGCGGTTCTTTTTGTCTCCTGACTGCTGGTGCTTTGACGTAACGAGTAACCCGTTCATAGATCCAATCAGCTGAGCATGCAACACGATACCGAAGTTACCCTCCACCGTCCGAACTTCTTCAAGCTCCTCCACGACCGAAAGGCTCAGGAAACGACCAAACGCGGGTAGCGGTGAGCTCGTGATTTCGTACTCACCGTTCAACGGGTTGTCCAGGGGCTTGACGATATCCTTCACGTCGCATTTCGAGTAGCAAATGTGAATCGCCACGCCACTTGTGCCCTGGTTCAGGTTTGCTTCCATGCCGAGAGGCGTGTGCTGGATTTTAGTGTACCCGTTGGGGAGTGTATCGGGCTGCGCACCCGACGTCCACATCAACGCCAGATCCATCAAGCTCTTGGAAACAGAAGTACTTCCACTATCCGCTGCTGCATCACTTCCACTGCGGCGGTAGCAAATGAAAACAGGTACGCCCGTTGTGCCGTCATTTAGGTTAGCCGAATGGCCTGCAGGTGTCGTCTGTATGCACGTGTAGTGCTCGGGAACAGCGTCGATCTCGCCGTAGATAACGCACACGTCAGTAATGTAGCCCTCGGCAGGTATCTCCTCTCGTTTCACCGCCAGATAAAGCGTGTGAGGGGAGACAGTCTGTGCCAGCAGGTTTCCAGAGCGGCCTGAACAAGTTTCACGGACAACCTGAACGCCTTCAGGCACGCGCTCGTCGCCACGAAGGACAACAATACCGGAGATAGGCCACTTGATCTTCACCTTTCGTGACGTTTGTACGCCCTGGATCGCAATCGGTTTCCCCCTTCCATCGCCAATAGTGCCGCTGATGGTGTACGATCGCGCCGGTTCTCCTTGCGACGACGTTACCATAGAGGCATCTTGAGCACCAGCGGGTGCAGGGCGCAGCTCAACATCGAAAAGCTGCGCACTCGGCACCTTCGCATTCTTCCAATAGCCGGATACACGGTACACTCTTGGGCTCGGGTTAGTACTTGCAGCCACAGAGGAAGAAGGATCGGCAGATTCGGCAGCTGGAGCTGCTGTGATCGAGTCTGACCATGTCGATACCCGTGTAGCAACGCAAGACAGTTCCCCCTTGTCATCCAGCGCTCCCTTCACCAGCAAAGCATCCGAAATTGGCTCTGAGACTGACCGTAGCCGCACCGCCTTCCGCCCACGATCCGTTTCCTCGCTACCCATCCAATCGCCCTTTACTTGTGCGACGATATCATCGGAAGAGGATTCAGCTGGTACCAGCTCAATCACCTCGTAGTCATTGTACTTAGGCACTTGACGGGGGGCGCGGAACACGTCAACCGCGAAAATAGGGTTACCATGGCCCCGACGGACCATCAGTTGCGCCGGCACGAACGGTTCATCAGTCGGAGAAGGATCAGCAAGAGGAGCCGACGAAAGCGGGCTTCCAATTGATTGCCATCCCTGCTCCTCGTACGTTGGAACGGAACTGCCCTCGACGAGTTTCAAATCTGTCAGACAAGGTTCGTTGCCACCAACCTTGAGCGCAAGATACTGCTTCACCGCGTCTTCGTGGCTTACGTTGAGTAGATGGTCCACCATTCGGTATCCAGGGATGCCGCTGTTCACGATTTTCAGGTCGGTGATCGGCATATCGCACCGGTAGCACAAGTACACCTTGGATCCATCTCCCTGGTTTAGGTCCACTTGGATTTGCTTGAAGCCATCAGGAATCGATTCGGTGCCGTAGATCACTTGGAGATCAGTGATAGGCGAGCCATTCGGTTCACGACGGAAGAACAAGTAGACTTGCTTCTTTCCGCCCGCAGTAACACCACCACCGACGTTCAGATCGAGATCCACGCGCTCGAAGCCCGGCAAAGAGGGCTTGGGATCGGTAGTCAATGCTACCTTCACCACCAGCTCCGTAATAGGCATTATCCGCCCGCTATCATCTTCAATCGAAATGTCAGTCGTAGTCGCACGCTCCGGGCATCTCTTCACGCACAAATACACGTATGGTGCACCTGTGCGATCCTTGTTCAAGTCGGAGTTCAGCCGCTCGTAACCCTCTGGGGTATGGATATCCATCGACGACCCGCTTACTGCGGAGATGCTGGTGATTGGCGTGTAGCGCAGGTCAATCATGTTCAGCAATAGCTCCCAGAAGTACTCGCGGTTCACAGACTTCTTGCCACAAGTTTTGCACGCCAAAATCGTCGCCTGGTGGCCACCAAAGATTGACGGGATGTCGTCCGTAGTGTCTTCGTGCTGGCTCAACTGTTGGCTAAGCGAGTCAATCAAGTAGTGCGCAAAGTCGGAGGTATCCTGCTGACGTCCATTCTTGAACTCCACTGGAAGGCATCGCTGCAGGGCATGGGTAGCGAGATAAGGTCTCTGTGAAGCAGTCATCTGCGCAAACAGATCCTGAATGGTGCCAACAACGTTTCCGCTGCCCACTGAGCCGTTGTCCGCGTACGGTGCGAAGTAGTTCTGACCGTTGCACGACAAGATCAAGCGCCGGAAGTCTTGCGTCATGTACAGCGTTTGGAGGAAGCTGTTCTGATAGCACACGTTTGTCAGGTTCTGCTTCATATTCACCATGCCGGCGTAGAATGGCTGCAACTCGTTTGGCTTCTTCACCGGGTCCGTCGGGGCCAGTCCACAGAAATCCGACGCATACGGCGACGCAAGGCACTTCCAGTCCCCAGATCCGTCACCCCGATACCACTTTCCGTCAAAGCGAGATGCTACCTTGTCCCAGTAGAGCGTGCAAGCATTAGACTGCGACTGGGACAACTTTTTGAATTTTCCATCCAGCTTCCATGCTCCGTCATCAGTCAGTCTTGCAAGTCCGCTCAACTTTCCATCCTTCTCCAGGTACGTTCCACGAATGTACTCGCCAACGAAGCTCTTGTCCAGGGCAATGTGCATTTTGCCACCGGTAGTTTCCCACACTGAGTCGTTCATGCTTCCGATCTCCAGCAAGTGGCTGAATGCCAGAGCCGCCGTTCGCTTATACTCGTCCAGGTACTTCACGTTATCCAGCTTCGAAGAGTGTGAGTCCACAGCAGATTCAGGAGTGGCAGATCCACCTCCATTATCCATGTCCATGCTCATCGGTGACGACGCAGGCGTAGCGTCAACTTTGGGAGCAGGTAAGGCCATCACCACTTCGGAGAGGTCAACTGCAGCGGCGATGGGGATCTCTCGAACGGTCGAGCACATGTGGCACGAAGTGTCCGTGGCCTGATTCTCCATTGTGCACGCAGAGCAAATCCACGGACCAGTAGGTTGTGTCGCCATGGGATGATCCTGCTTAGCAGCATCTTCCGCTGCGTAGTAAAGAGTGGTTAGTCCGCTGTCGGTTTTGCTCTCTTGGTTGGATCCAACAACCTCAGGTTCAGCTTGCGCTGCTCGCGGGGTATCACAGATAGAGCATTTCGCCGCAGTCGCGTTGTTGAGCATGGTACACGCTTCACACGACCAATCCACAGCCGGCTTAGGCTGCTCAACCAATGCCAACGCTGTGCAGGTGGATTGCGGAGTCGCAGACGTGGTCCCAGCAGCATTTACCTCAGGCGCATTGTTACCGCATACACTGCACTGCTTGAGATCAACACTGTTGATCACTGTGCACTTGTTACAGCCCCACAGAGATACGTTTACGGGACGGCCGAGCGCAGGGAATTCGGAAACACGGACAGCACTGCTGCAACGACAGAGACCATTGCCCCGAACGTGACAAGCGCAAGCAGTCGTGATCACACCCAACGCAACCAATTCGTGGCCCTCGTGACAGATAACAGCACACGCCCGGCAAATGCTGCTTCCATGCACTAAACTGCACGTCTGACACCCGTATGCTTCCTGTGAAATGGCACTTCCATCCGTGCTCACTCGGGTGCACATAATGGTATCATTGTCACCCCCATTTTCCTCGTCGCCACTACTAGAGCGTTCTGATTGAAGAGCGGAGTACACGTTACCCAGCACTGAGCCTGCAGGTTCCTCGAGTGAATTAGAAGTGAGCGACTCAAAAGTCCACTTCAGCAGCCAGGTCGGTGTTGAATCGTTAGCAGCCGGGAAAATTAGTCCAGTTCGCACTGGGTTGTCCGATTTCATCCGAAGAGCAAGCTCGAGATCCACTGCAACTTCAAACACAACGCCAACGCCACCAATAGCGACGGACAGAAGGCGTCTGGGCAGCTCGTACTTGATCTGAATATCCGACGGGGCTGTGGAGGGGCCCCCAGCTACGCGAAATACGCGAGAGAGAGGGCTGCCCTGCTTCTTCGACCAAATATACAATCCCAGTTCATACATTTGAATCCCGGGCGATACGACGTCCGAAGTAACCTTGATCAGCATAGCAGACCCATCGAAATGGCGAAGGGACGGGTCAACTCCATTATCACGAACCACGTTTGATATCTTCGCGGCTTCTGACAACAAAGGGACGAGGTCCCAGAAAGAGGCTTCGCAAAGCGCAAACACGACAGTATTACGAGAAGACGAAGCTTCTGCGACCGGGGACGCAATAGACAGCATCGACTGAAAGCCGACCGCAATCGAAACTGCATTCTGACGCCATAAAGCGGCACCTGAATCTCCGCTGTCAACGCGTAAGCCAGTTGATTCTTCGCTCGAGTCGCTGGGAAGAGAAAACTTGCCACTGCCGAAAAAATCACTTCCTAGGGAGACCGCGAACGCGTTCTTCACCGGGATAGCCTCCGCTGGGGTCGCGGGGGCAAAGCAACTGATCAATGAGATCGATGCGTCGTGAACGACATCTGGGGACTGGTATCCTTCGAAGACGCATGCATGGTTTTGCTGTTTTGACAGATCCAGCAACAGTCGCTCGGAGTCACCAGCTAGCGGGTAGTATCCAACGAGGTGTCCTTCTTGACCAGTTAAAGCATTCCAGATACTCCAGTTCTCGTCAAGGTTGGTCGAAAGCGTCGACCAAATGCGCAAGTCGAGCATCTGGCCATAAAAGCAGCTTGGCCCCTTTCCCTTTTCGCTCGGATCGCAACTTGCAAAGCTTCCACCAATAGTTAGCAAAGACGTGCCCGGTGCAGAGGGTCCAGCCTCATCCAGCACGCTCGATCTTGCCGTTTCAGCTGCAACAGAACCATCGATCAGCAACACCACCCTGTCTTGGCTAAACGTCATTGTCACGTGGCTGAACACGCCGAACTGCACAGGATCACGGGAAGTCACAGTATAACGGCCTCCCGCAATTTGCCACATTAAATGCCCGGCGCTCGTCAGCAACAACTCGAAGTCGTGGCCATTCGCGAGAACCACCTGAGCATCATTTCCTGAAGGTGATCGCTCTGGGCGAATCCAGATTTGAACAGTAAACTCCGTACGATCCGAAGTCGAGAGAATAGGGCGTTCCAACACCAGCGTGCTAGCCGGGTTGCCCTCAGGTGAAAACACGAAAGCTGGCAGGTTCGTTGAGTCCATCATCGCGTTGTTAGCAGCTGCCAGGGACACGGCAAGGTCGAATTCCTTCTCAACGATCTGCTTGCGAGCCAGCCAAACTCCTTGTTGCTCTCCGCGCGACCACTTCATGCGCATGAACGACAGATCCGAGCTAAACACCGCGGAAAATGGAGCCGGGTTGCTGCCTTTACTGGTGCTGGCGATCGTCGGCACGTTCACATCCGCGGGGCGCTCTGTCCCGCACGTCGTGCACTTTGTTGCGCTTCCTTCGTTGTTCATCGTACACGCGCGACAGTCCCACGTCGGCGGTGCAATCGGAGCCATAGGCACAGTAGTCGTCGCAGGTCCAGCTTCATCATGGAGCTGCCTCCAATGTCCCTCCAGCTCCCACTGCGAAGCCTCCATCGTCTCCGGGTGAGCCGCTAGCACCTGCATCTCCGGCATCTGCTGGAACAAATACCCCGTTAGCTCCAACGTCTGCTTGGCCTTGGGGTCCTCCACCGTCGCCTTCACTTCGTGAGCGAAGCAGTTGGTCGTCTTCTTCAGCAAGACCGAGCCTGCGTTCTGCGGACCTCCGTTCCCATGCTGGTCACTAATGAACTCGTCCACCACCCACTTGCCTTCAATGGACGGCAGCATCTCGTCCAGCTTCTCTGCAGGCAGCACCCACGCGCTTGATCTCAGCAGCCTCTCGGCCTCCGCCGCAGTGGGTCGGTCCACGTGGGAGCCGAAGCTCGCTCTCATCGCCCTGCGCAGCGTCATGGCCTCCGCCTCATATCCTCTATGACAGTGCTCCAGAGCGGCGCACGCCACCAGCAGCGGGTGCACGAGCTCCGTGTTCTCCTCGGCGTCTTCTCCGCTGAACAATTCCGCCAATTTGACGAGTTTCGGCACATTTCTTGCGTACAGCTCGGCTGAGTGCTGGAAGCCCACGAGCACCTCCACGTAGAAGCGCAGCGCGCGCTCGCGCGTGTCCTGCAGCAAAACTTTGGCGTAGATGGCGTCCAGCAGCTGCGTGGAGACTGCCTGCAGCGCGTCCCAGCGCTTGGCGCGCTTCAGGCCCTGGAACGTCAGCTGCGCCAGCCGCACGAGCCCCGCGCAGTGCAGCGACGGGTGCAGCAGCAGCACGCGCAGCAGGCTCAGGAGCTTGTCGTCGGCCACGTTGGTGCTGGCCAGCAGCAGCGCCAGGTCCGCGGCCAGCGCGAGGGTCTCGGAGGGCGCCGCGGGGCCGCAGAGCTCGTCCCAGAACGCCAGCTGCTCCGGCGCGAGGCCCAGCGCCGCGTCCGCGCTCTGCACACGCGCAGCGACGTCTTGCAAGGACGCGGAGGAAGCCGCGGCGGCGCTGACGGCCGCGCACGCGCCCAGCAGCGCGCGGAGCTGCTGCGACGCCGCCTCCATCTTGTGATCTAATTGTCTGCTGTACTCCCCCTTCTGAAGGATACGGCGCGCGGATTGGCGGAAAAGGCGACAGTGGCACTTGAATCAGATGGAGCGATGCGATTGGGCAGTTAAGTGCGCAAAAGTCAGTGTACGGTCTCAATTAGGGAAGAGTTTTGAGGAGATATGACTGCCAGTCAATTGGTGCAGGACGATGGCAGGCAAGAGCCGCGCTGCGCTACGTCGCGAGAAGAAGCGCAAGCAGAAGGGAGCGCCCGCTGCTTCGTCTTATAGTGCTGATGGAGGCGTCGCTCCCTCTAATAAGCCCCAGAAGCGCCAGCAGAAGACCGTCTACGACAGCGACTCGGACTCGGAGGACGGCGACGCGAACCGCGCGGCCGCCATCCCGCTGCCGTCGCTGGAGGACGGAGACAAGGTGCGCGACTTTGTGCAGGAGATGGATAACCAGAACAAGCCCACGGGCAAGCGCGCGCGCGCCGAAGCGGAGCAGCACGCCGTGGACCAGCGCAAGAAGCGGTACCGGGAGGAGAAGGCCGAGAAGATCGTGTGGCGCAAGTTCGACAGGGAGAACCGCGCCTTCGAGCAGTTCTACGAGCGCTGCCTGGGGCTGGAGAAGGACGAATTCGAGCGCTTCTTGGCGTGCTTGAAGGAGCCGCTGCCTGTGCACTTGCGCGTCAATGGCAACTACACGAGCTTGAGCGAGATCGTCGCCGGCACGTTGGAGCTCGACTTTAACCTGAGCGAGGTGACGGTGCCGACGCCGGTTGGAGGTGGCGAGATGCATGTCAAGTTCGGACCGGAGTCGTGGGTCCCCGAGAAGAGGCTCTGGAAGCTGTCGACGGACAGCAAGACGTTCCGCAAGGTGGAGGGGCTGCGCGCGCTCAGTACGTGCGTGCGCGCGCAAGGATCACTGGGCACGCTTCTGCGGCAGGACCCTGCTGCTACGGTGCTGCCGGCGTTCCTGGATGTCCAACCGGGGCAGCGCGTGCTGGATCTGTGCGGCGGTGGCGAGCACCGTGCGCCTATCGTGGAGGAGTATCTGTGCCCTGCGTCCCCTGCTAGTGCTGGAATTGAGACGAGCTCCAGCGCTTCGAGCTTGTTGGTGGTCAATGAACGTGACGCGACAGCAGCGGCGTCTGCTGTGCGTAACCTGACGCGCACGTTGCCGCTGTCACGCGAGCTTGTGGTGACCGCGCACAAGCCTGAGGAGTTCCCTGCCCCGGAGGATGCTGACGCTCTGTTTGACCGTGTTATTTGCTGCGCCCCGTGCTCGGGAGATGGTCTGGTGCGCAAGCTGCCCGAAAAGTGGCGTACGTGGAGTCCCGAGCAGGCTCTAGTGCACCACCCGAGCCAGCTTGGCCTGGCCGAACACGCGCTTACCCTGTTGCGGACTGGCGGCGTGCTGCTGTATAGCACGCGATCGATCAACCCGATCGAAGATGAGGCGGTGGTGGCTGAATTGCTCCGTCGCTCGGAGGGCGCGCTGGAGCTTGTCGAAACCGATGACGTGCTGGAAGGACTGGGGCGCTCGCACGGTTTGACTCAGTGGGACGTCCTTGATGTGCCATCGTGGGATGAAGCTCCGGAGGACCAGCGGCATCGCCTTCGTCCGTCGATGTGGCCTCCTACATCTGAGGAGCGTGATGAAATGCACCTCGAGCGCTGCGTTCGCGTGCTGCCGCATCAGAATGACACCCACGGACTGTTCCTGGCTGTCATTCGTAAGGTTCGCGAGGCGGACAATGTCGCTGTCGTCGCAGGACCTGCCCCGCTGCCTCAGCCCAAGGGTAAGGCCAAGTCGGCTGCTGCGAGCAAGAACAAGAAGCAGACGAAGGCTGAAAAACCGTTTGGAAGCTTCACGACTATTGACAAGACGCACTTGGCATCGATCCAGTCGTTCTTCGCTCTTCGCAGCAACTCGGCGTTCCTGGAGCGCGCAGGCATGGCCCGCCAGAAACGCGCGGTGCATCTTGTGACTCCGGCCGTTGCGCGGTTGGTGACCGAGGAGCTTCGTGGACGGCTGAGCATTTATCACGCTGGCGTGTTTGCACTTCGACCGGGTACTGGAATTGAGGCTGTCGCCGATGAGCTTACAGACGACGGAGCTCGTGCGTTGCTCCCTGAGATGAACGCTCGTGTGTTGAACTTACCTCAAGAGGAGTTCACATCCTTCTTGCAGTCGCGCGAGATGTGGCTCAAGAATGCTGGCGAGCACGCGCGCGACCAGTTAGCAAAAATGACAGAAGGAAGTCTGGCCGTGGCTCTCGACGACATGGAGCCGGCACAGACTGGAGACCGGGACATCGTGCTGGTGGCTGTTAAACGACACAACTCGTGCTCTATCGTATCGTCCCCTGCTGCGATTGCTCGTATCAAGGCGCTGCTAGAAGAGCTCAACGACGCCGGTGGAGATGACGAAGACGGCTACGACTCGTTCGAGTTTGAAGACGAGTAAGAACAGAAAGTGTCAACAAGAACAAACATTGAATGGATAGATTTCTCGCATTTTGTTTTACATTGAGAGACCTACTTGGCTTGAACGTTCTGTGAAATGTACTCCAGTACAGCATTCGCATCCTCAGCGACGCCAACGCCGTGCGACTGGAACGGCATCTCTGGATAGTCGGGGTTGACACGGACGAGTTGAACCCCATTGGTGTACGCAATGCGTTCGTTTGGCAGACGCAACACGCCGGGGGTGTTGAATCCTGCACCAACCTCGAGGATTGCGAGCTTCTTGCCATCGTTTCTCACGCGGTCGAGCACATTCGCGAGCCACTTGTCGTACACGGCGCGCCCCTCCTCCAGCGCGCTCTGCAGGAACGAGTCATCCACGCGCAACAGCAGAAACATCTTGCCTCCACACTTGGGGCATCTCGGGATTTCTGCTGGGTCCTCGATTCGGTACGTCTCCGGGTTGAAGCTCTCGAGCGCCTTCTCCATGTACGGACGAGCACTCCAGACGCTGTCCTCTGAGCAAGGCTTCGAGCACTGGATGCGACCGTACTCGCCTTGCATGAGGTAGATCGACTTCGTGTCGAATCCTTCTTGCTCGAACATGCCGTCGGCGTTGCTGGTCTTGATGAAAGCCGAGCCAGGATGGCGGTTTTCAAACGCGTTCACGATGTTCTTAACGTAGTCGTACGTCGGGGCTGTACGGTGCGGCACCCAGCCAAAGCGAACCAGGCTAATGTGCTTGAACAGCCATCCCCACATGAGCGGTTCGTCCCAGTTTGTGTAGCCGATTTGGTGATACATCGTGCGGAAGCTAGGGATGATCTTCCTGATGTTGGGGTGGAACTTCTTCATGACTGCTTCCGAGGTGTAGTCAAGTCCAGCCGCAGCGGAGAGTCCGGCACCTGCAGCCACCAGCAGATAGTCCGCATCTTGGATAGCTCGCGCTGCACTCTGCAACGCCGATGACACGGGGGCAGCAGGCAATTCCACACTACCCGGACACTTGCTCTCGATGTAGTCCTTGTACAGATCGTAGTCGCGCTTCAGGAACGTGTTGAAAATGACCTTCCACCCGCGCGTTTCATCGTGGTGAGCTGATAGCCACTCCAGCACGCTGTCCACTGCCAGGGGTACAGCAATGTCGCTAGGGAACGCGAACAGACCCGTAGAGATGCACGGGAATGCGATGGACACCTTCTCCTCCGTCTGATCACCCACCGTCTTCAGCAACAAGTCCAGAGACTTGGTGTAGCATGACCGAAGCTGCGCGCGCTCAGCGGCAGTGGGCTGTGCACCGCGATGCAGCTGCGGTCCGACCGTATGCAGCACATACGAAGCTGGCAGGGCAAAACCCGGCGTGATCTGGGCGTTACCCACGGGTTCTTCGCGCGCCTGGCGACTCATGATCTCGTGACACGCTGCTCGTAGGCGCGGTCCTGCCATGCTGTGGATCACGTTGTCGATACACTTGTGTGACGGCTGGAAGCAGCCGAGCAGCGCCGAGTTGGCGGCGTTCACAATGGCCGTGGCCTTGAGCGTGGTGATGTCGCCCTTCCACAGCGCGATCTGCTCGAAGCCGCGCGCGTCAGGCGACGACGGAGGCATGGCAGAAGGCAGCCTCTGCGCATCCACGATCGTCTTGCGGTGCGTGAGCTCGAGGTTGAGTAGTGAGTCCACCTGGCTACAGAGCTCCTCTTCCTGCTTGGCGTCCTCGTTGTCGTCCGGAGGTGGACGGATGACCAGCAAGTGGTGTATCATCTCTCTGATGTCGGAGCTGGAGGCATGGTACAGGTGGTGGTGCGAGTGTCCTCCCTCGGTGAGCAGTTTTAAGGCAGCCGCGCGGAGTAGTGTGTTGTAGGAGCCTGAAGGTGCTGACGGAGCCATGGCTGTGGTACTTGTGTGTGTTTGAGACTTGTGCTAGACGAAGCAAATTGCGGAATGCGTCAGTTGAGACTTGCTGGAAGTGCGTGGCGAAGACAGGTGGTTTGATCTATCCACGGTAGCTTTCGGTCGAGGGGTACCGTAAAAAGGATTTTGGCTTGGTAATGTGTGGGACCCGTAAGTAAATGCTGGCGTCCCGTAAGTGCGCAAGTGTAGACGAATTCCAAGATTGCGAAACATGGCTACATTTGACTTCAACTCCACCTCCTACCTGCGTCTGCTGTCCCGTGCGACGTACTCAAAGTAAGAGTAAGCAACTGCGATGAGACGGTATTCATCGCGACTTCCAATGCTGCGCACATGAAGTGGGTGTTGCTGCTAATACGAAGCGATCACTTCTGTAGTTTATAGCCTCCCTGTAGAATGCACAGATGTGTGCGGTTCGCAATGGGTATCGGAGCCACTACATGTAGTGGTAAATTAGAGTGTGCTGACGTACTACGTCTCCGTGAGTTTGCAATGTCTGCAGTGTCACGCGGGGCTGCTCTTACTATTAAATGGGGGTGTCATTTGCCATGAGTTCATCACTCCGCAACAGACTGGAGCGTATTTGGGAACGACGTTTTTGGGGGTCCGGGCGGAGCATGGCTAAGGGTTTGGAATCCAAACCATACATCTACGTCCAAATTGGATGTATCGTTTGGGTTATCGATACCGAGCTGTCGACGACAGCTCTGTTTCAGTGGACAGTGGATTGAGCCACCCCGTTGTCAGAACCGCAAACACTACCAATCCAGGCATTCAACACAGGAATTACATCGCCGTCTAGCCCAAACAACTCTGAGGTCTCAAACGACAAACTCGACGGATGCATTCTATGATAGCCGCCGTGACCAAGCAATTGACTTGAACAAAGTATGGGTGCATGCTCCAATCATGATTGATCGTTTTGCGTCCATTCATCAACGCACCATATCAAATGGCAGAACCCGTCAAGATGGAGCAACAGCCGACGCCGTCTACAGAGGCCCCGGAGGCCCCCGCGACCACCACGCCGGTCTCTACGGAAGCGCCAGTGCGTGAGCGTCGTGTTGGTGAAGCTCCCATCAAGAAAGAGTGCGTACAGCCCATAGGATCAGTAATCCTTTCCATCGACTAACCTTCTCTAATTCAATAGGTTCCTGAAGCCCAAGCCGGCACCAAAGCCCGCTACGCCTGCGAACACCGAGGGGGGTGACTCTAGGGATGCGACGGAGGTGAAGGACGGCCGTGACCGCGAAGGCGGCAAGAAGAAGCGTGGCGGAACCTTCAAGAAGCGCCCGGCGGATGTCGAGGAGGACCCCGCGGACTTGCTGTGCCGCCCTGTGGCCGCCGGAGAAGGCTGCCAGTTCGGCGACTCGTGCAAGTTCAGCCACGACGTGGACGACTACATGAAACGCAAGCCGAAGGACCTGGGCGAGCGCTGCCCGGTCTTCGATGTCGTGGGCTACTGCCGCTACGGCATGGCGTGCCGCTTCGCCAAGGCGCACATTGAGAAGGTTGACGGCATTTACCGCAACGTTAAGCGCGACGATTACGTGGAAGGAAACGACCAGGGCGATGAGGTGAACGACTTGACCCACGATCTGCGCCTGAAGCTGCGCAAGGACACGTATGACTTCCAGTCCAAGCAGCAGATGAAGAAGGACAAGAAGAACGGTAAAAAGTGGCAGAAGAAAAGCAACGAGAAGCAGGAATCCAAGCCGGACACTGAAGCTGCTTCTGCGCCTGCTGACGAGACTGCTAAAACGGAGACTGCTCCTGAAGCTGTGAAAGCGGAGGCTGAGATGGAACCTGCTGCTGAGAGCCCGCTGCTGGCTGAGCGCAAGCCTGTGGATTTCAAGCAGAAGATCTACGTTGCACCACTCACTACGGTCGGCAACCTGCCGTTCCGTCGGTTGCTGAAGCAGACTGGCGCCGACATCACGTGTGGTGAGATGGCTATGGCGACCAACCTGCTGAAGGCGCAGCAGTCAGAATGGGCACTGCTGCGTCGTCACAAGAGTGAAGACGTGTTTGGCGTTCAGATCGCAGGCTCGTTTAGCGACCAGATGGCGCGTGTGTGTGAGCTTCTCGCTCGCGAGACGGAGATCGACTTCGTCGACATTAACATGGGCTGCCCCATCGACGTTGTGTGCCGCGTTGGTGCTGGGTCTGCTCTGATGAACCGTCCTCCTCGGTTGCTTGAGGTCGTCTCCGGTGCGTTGACTGGTCTGGAGCTTGGCACGCGGATGCGTACCGGTGGAACCGTGAACACCCCAGGACTGACGGTGAAGCTTCGTACCGGCTGGAGCGAGAAGCAGCCGACTGCTCATAAATTGGTGCCCAAGCTGCAGGCAGTGCGAGCATCGCAGGCTTACGTGAACGCTGCGGTTGTTACCGCCGACTTTAAGCTGCGCGCTACCCAGTCTGTGGACGCTATTATGGTGCACGGCCGGTCACGCCTCCAGCGCTACACGAAGAACGCCGACTGGGACTACATATTCCAGTGCAGCGATGCCCAGATTGACCTTATTGACGAAAAGCCCTTGCCGCACGTGCCGTTCGTGGGTGGAGGCGACGTTCTGTCCCACGAGGAGTTCGACGAGCACCTGCAGAACGGCAAGCTGGAGACGTGCATGCTGGCCCGTGGTGCTCTTATCAAGCCGTGGCTTCCTACCGAGATCAAGGAGCGTCGTCACTGGGATATCTCGGCCTCGGAGCGGTTGGACCTGCTCAAGGACTTTTGTCGCTTCGGTTTGGAGCACTGGGGATCGGACCAGAAGGGCGTGAACCGGACGCGTCGCTATCTGCTCGAGTGGCAGTCGTTCCTGTGCCGCTACATCCCCGTGGGACTGCTTGAGGCCCTCCCTCAGCGTATCAACGACCGCCCGTCGCCTTACTACGGACGCAACGACCTAGAGACGTTGATGGCCAGCGACCAGGCGGTGGACTGGGTCAAGATCTCCGAGATGCTGCTGGGACCCGTGCAGGACGGCTTCCAGTTCGTGCCCAAGCACCGTGCCAACGCGTACAACACGTACTGAAAAGCCTAAGTAGGTGCCATGCAGGGGTCGCACTAATAGATACGCGTGTGAATTTGTTGCGTTGTTGAGGACACTTTTGAGTCGGAGATGAACTACAGCTCCAAAGTCTCTTTTATTCTTGCCTACCTTCCCGAACCGGGCATCCCGATAGTCCTCCAAGGCCCAACGGAGAGTGGGTTGGGGAGCAAAGTGAACGGAATGCAGCTTTCCTCTTGATCTGGGATCGCAAGCCACTTGAGACGAGTCAGCAGAACGCACCATCCTCGGAACTTACGTAAAGATACCGTGGTTGCATGCACTGCACTTGATGCATGTAACGTTAGTGTCGAGGTGATGACTGGAATGACTGGTATGCAGTCATAGCGGTGTCATCGCATGCCTGCTGCCTGCTGGAAGACTCGCTAAATTTGGCTGGTCGCGCTTCACTAGCACCGGGTACCATCTCAAATCCAAAGTATCTTTAGCGCCACGTTCGACTAGCATTTGTAGTCTATAGGATAGCAACCCCCAGGCAGGCCGTTAGTGGCGATGTCCTTCGCCGCAACGTTGTAGGATGTCAAACCGCGCAGGCCCATGGACTCTGTAGTAACTCCACCGTGCTTCTCCATCTTGTGTGGTATGAAGCCAACGGGCCCAAACATAGAGGACAGTTTGCGGAGCTTCAATTGCCAATCAAGTCTCTTTACTTCTATAGTGGTATCACCTGGCCACATATCAGTTCTGGCAGTTCATACAAACGCCGAGTGATTCCCGCTGTCTCTCAGTGGCCCCCTCTCACGCCGCCCAGCTCAGCTCACAACCCGAGCAGCTCAAGACCGCGCACACTTCGACCGCCGTCCATGCTAGAGAGAAGCAAGCCGGACCCGCTGGCGCCGGAGCCCGCGACGCGCAGCATGGGCAGCGGCAGCAGCGCCAGCCTCACGCGCCTGTCGAGCGGCGTGCTGCCCCCGCCGCGCCTGAACGTCGGCGTCTTCTCCAAACGCAAGGGCGTCCGTTATCATCGTGACGGACAAGTGCGCAGCTGCCGCTTCTGCGAGATCCTGCGCACCAAGGCCGAGCCCTTCCTGTACGAGGACGAGCACGTGGTGGTCTTCCGCCCGCTGCGGCCCATCGTGCCCAGCCACGTGCTCATCGTGCCGCGCGCGCACATCCGCAACGTGAACCGCCTGGCCGCGAGGCACCGCGGCCTGCTCGCGCGCATGCACCGCGTGGCCGAGGCCGTGATGGCCAAGGGGTCGCTGGAAGAGTGTGCCGAGCTGCAGCCCGAGGAGCTGGAGGCTGCACACGCCGCCGCCGCCCCGGTTGAAGACGACGAGAACCCCGTGCGCTACTCGTTCCACGTACCGCCATTCAACAGCATAGACCACGTGCACATGCACGCGTTCTACGACGACCCGCGTCGCCTGGGATATTACGGACGCATCAAGTACCGCACAGAGTCGTGGTGGTGTCGCTCGTACGACCAGGTCATGGCCAGACTCCAGGAGCTGGCTGACGACGCCCGGCAGCATGACGACGCCTGCCCCGTGGAAGAATCGTCGTCCAGCTCGTCGTCGGGACTGCTCTCCGAGGACCGACAGACTGCGTAGGGAGAGTCGCGAGGCACCTATTTATTAACAATGTAAGCCAAACCTGTGGTTCTCCTCCTATCCGTCCTTCAGTCGCTGCTCCCGTATTCTAATCTCACATGCGATGAGGTTGTGCGGCGTGGAGTCGCTGGCTGCCATCCGCAGAGGATGGCCTCTATATCCTGCAGACTACGGCGGCTAGTCTCGGGCACGTACCACCAGGACAGAACAACCCCAGCAATGTTGCACGCCATGACGGTGCCCACGCAGACGCCGAAGACGGACACTGGAGTCGGCATGAACTCCCGAAGCGAAGGCAATGCGTGCGCAAGTCCAATATTTACAATCGCCTCCCAGATGACCACGAGACTGACTGCGCCCATGCGCTGCTTCACTGCAAACAGCTCGCTGACCATGATCACAGGCACAATGCCGAATCCGAGGTGGTGACCAGCGTTGACCAGCAGCATGGCGGCCCAACCGGAATCGCTGAGAGCCACGCCGTCGTCGTCTGCTTGCTGCGTGTTCTTGTAGACGGAGACCAGCAGGAAAGCGCAAGCCAACGCTACCAAGTAGCACCCGCACTGAAGCGCTGCAGGTCGTCCTCTGGTGTCAACGAAGTAAAAGCAGGCTACTACGCCCATCGTAGCTGCCACGGCGACTGCCATCGTTACAGCAATCAAGCCGTCTTCGGCCCCTTCAACGGCGATACCGAAGATCGTGAGCACAAAGGATGCGTTGTTGTGGTTTCCACCGACACCTCTGCTGCTGGCTTCAACGAGCGTCGAAGTAATCGCAGGCTCGAGCAGGAAGGCACTGACAGCGCGTAAAGTGAACAGTGCAGCGCAAAGCAGAACGGGGCGGAAGAATGCGCCGTGGTGGCGCCACTCACTCGCGGCCAGCACCTTGGCGTGGATGATTGCGTTCGCTTCGTCCTCAGCAATCCTTTCGTCACGGCTGAACAGCTTGTACAGCACTTCAAACGCCGCCTCCCGGTCATCGTGGCGAGCGATAAGCCACGTGGGCGAGTCCGGGAGTTTCTGCGCGAACAGCAACAGCACCAAGGCAGGCACCACCCCGGACAGTGCCAGCACCTTCCACTCACTGAGGTTAAAGCCAAGATATTGGCGACTCAAGTACATGAAGAGCGCCCCCAGCGCTAAATACAGGATCCCTCCAAGCGACGAGATAAACATCTGCCCGCAGATAACCCGTCCGCGAGTGTGTGCAGCGCTCACTTCCGCCAAGTACACAGGCACGATGACGTAGATAATCCCCGCAGCTGCACCAAGCAGATATCGTCCGATCAGCACTGTGAGCTCTCCATAGGCGACGCCAACCAGCACCCAGCCCACAATGAACGGGATGGCAGCCAGCTCCAGGGTCCCGGCGCGTCCCAGTCGGTCTCCGCAGTATCCCGCCCCCGCTGCTCCGAGCACTGTGCCCAGATACAGACACGAGCGGAAGAAGAACTCGGCGTGCTCGTGTCTAGCTCGGAACACATCCACCTGCATGTTGTAGAGTCTGCCCGGAGCTATGGGGAACAGCGAGAGCCAGGCACAGGCCACACCCGCAGCCCCCATAGCCGCCACGTGCAGCCCGAAGAAGGCATTGCGCTGGCGCGCCAGCCGCTTCTGGCGGTGCTCAGGCCTGCGAAGATCAACACACTCAAGCGTTAGCCCATTTAAATGTGACAGGGGTATAGTGGGCTGGGACGGGGGAAGGGACGCACGCACCGGGAGTTGATGGGCGTGCTCTCGTCGCTCGGGGAGAGGTCGGACGCGTCCGAGAGCTCCAGCGGCGCCGAGATGTACTGGTGCGGCACGAACGCGAAGTCGCTGCGCGGAGGGTCCCGCAGACACTCCACCAGGTAGCGCCAACTGCGCGGGCGTCGACGAGCGACCATGGGACCCGAGAGTGATTGCCCCGCTGATTCGGACTGATCTTCGAGCAAAAGATGCGTACTTTGTGGCCCACACCAATGTTTGACTCATTACTTCTCGCAGGCCGTCGACTTTATCCAGTCTCACAGGTGAAAGCCTTGACCACCGAACACCAGCACCAGTCGACCTGCATCCGCGATGCTTCTGGGGCCCTCGCGCTCCGTCGCGCGCGCGGGCGTGCGCCGCCTGGGCGTGACGTCAGCCCTGCACGCTCCGGTCCGGCGGTCGTTCCTGCTCCCTGGCGAGTCGTTCAGTGCGCTGCAGCTTCCCGCGGTGGCCTGTATCCGCTTCAACTCGACGGAAGCTGCGGCGCCGGACGTGGCCAGCCCCAAACCCATCGCCGCCAAGCGCCGCAAGAGCAAGAAGGTCAAGAAGAAGGCGGCACCGTCCTCTGCCATTGCTGCTGAAGTGGTGGAGAGCGCGGAGGCTCCGCCGCCGACGCCGACGCCGGCCAAGAAGAAGGCCAAGAAGGCGCGCAAGCCCATGAGCCAGAAGGAGATCGAGGAGGCGATGCTGACCAGAGCCATGAGTGGAGACAGCAAGGCGGTTGCAGCTGCAGCACCGGACCAGAAGAAGGACAAGCAGGACGCCAAGAAGGACCAGAAGAAGGACAAGACGTCGCCTGAGACGGCTGTAGTCCCCGTGAAGGAGCCGCTGCCGTTGAAGGATCTCAAGACGGACAAGATCACCGGCACGCTGCAGGAGATCGCGGCGCTGCAGAAGACTCTGCCCAGTGAGAAGGAGATCGCGGAACTGATCGTCAAGCTCCGCCGGGTGTCGTTCGAGAACGCGCACACGTTGTTTGACCTGTACCGCAACTACGGAAACCCGTTCCTGGACGAGAACTTCTTGACGCCTGGTGTGATTGCGTGCTGTGAAGCCAAGAAGCCGGCGGAGGGTATCCACATTGTTCGGGACATGCTCAACCAAGGACGCAAGGTCGACGAGGCGACGCTGCGGACGCTGTTTGATGCCTGTGATGAAGCTTCCGCTGCGGTGGAAGTGATCGAGCTCTGGGACCTGATGGAGCAGGCTGGAGTGAAGCTGAAGCTGGCTGACTACAACCGTTTCTTGGACATTTGCTACCGCCAGGAGTATCTCGATGGTGCGGTCAAGGTGCTGAAGCAGCTTCGCTTGCTGCGCCCGATTTCAGTGCACACGTACATGCATTGGCTGCTGCGCGCTTCAATTGTTTGGCGGTCGGATGCATTCTTCGACATCCTGATGGAGATGCGGCTCTCGGAAGTTGAGCCGGAGATCAGTTCTCTCACGTCTCTCGAGTCGGGACGTAAGGATCGTGCTCTGACGGTGATGGAGGGGGTGCGTGCGGTGGGGCTTGACCCTTGCTTCGCCATGTCGTCTGTGTTTTCGTCCATGCAGTCATCTGTGTATCAAAATGGACCGAGCTATTTGGCACTGTCGAAGAAGGATATCAAGGATGCGCGAGCGAAGTTTGGTGACCTCACCCCGATCGACTTGGAGTGGCCAGTGACCCCAATCCCACAGGTTCTGGAGACCCAGGCGGCAGGATTGATTCTGCAGCAAGAAACGTTTCGCCGGCTGAAGAGAAAGCAAGTCAACCATATCGATGAATTGCTGCAAATGCTGCCTATCACGACCAACATGACCATCAACCTGCGCAAACAATTGCTGCGCATGTCGCTGCTGGTTAATACGCACCGAGTTCGCCGCGATAGAGATACTATCTGCAAGGAGTACGACAGTGGGCGTAGCCTTATCGAGCTCTCGACGGTTCACAACTACCCCCCGGTGTCGCTCATGCGAGTCATTCTTCGTGCGAAGGGCAAGAGCCAGGTCGAGATCAAGGTATGGCTCGTACTCTACCATGGAATTTTTTTGAAGGAGGCTTCTCATTTTTGTGATATGTACTCGTTTGCTTGCAGAACTCTCTGGCCAAACCCGCAGAAAAGCTATCAAAACGCGATCAGTATGAACTGCGGAAGGCCATCGAGTACGACAGTATTCACAAGAGTGACCCATTTATTGGTGCGCCCAAGTACAATGCTGACTCTCTGGAGAGAGCTATTGAGCACTTCCTCAAGGCCAAGGGCATTCGCTTGAAGTACGTTGGCACGCAGATAGCTTCCTTGCTAGTAGCATTCTTAACCGATCTGTTGTTTTCTTGTAACAATGCAGAACCCAGGCAGAGTTGTGTACAGAGCAGATAGAAACACACGGCCGTCGTGTGATCTCCCCCGACATTTTGTTGTTAGATCCTGTGGTCATTAACGGGGTTCCGATCCGATGGATTGACGCCAAGAACTACTATGGCGCCCACATCGTGAGCAAGAGACTGATCTCGACGCAGTTAGCGAACTACGTGAAGGAATGGGGTCCCGGCGCCATTGTGTTTGGCATGGGATACAGCGACATGTTTTCGCTGCCGGGAGTCGTTTGCCTGGACACGACACCCTTCCCCAAGACGCGAAAAGAAGCAGCCAAGGTTCGCATCAAGTCGTTCTTGCACTCGTGCGTAAACCTTTTCCGCTGGAAGAAGCACTTGGGCAGTCAGCTTACGCAGAAGTACCCTGGTCTTGACGATGAAGAATCAACAAAACCCACTACGACCACGTCAGCGTCGTAGTAGTTTGCAGCACTAACTTCAATCACGATTTCCGATACATGAGCTACCCAAGTTGTATTGTGGCTTTGCATGCAGAACAAGGGGGTGGCAGCAACTGTGCACTTCCTCTGGTTGGAAATGATCACCGGAAACAGACATTTTAACCAATAACTCCACCACTACGTGCTGTATAAAGCTGCGGATTGGACAAAAAGAAAGCTCTTGATCTCCGCTTTCCATAGCCACCGATTTCATCTCAAACGGGTTCTTGTAGCCCACGTAATTTTCATTTTACCGCTCCAAGTAGCAAGCCGATATCAAGAGGGCACTTCGCGAAAACATGACGAAGGCCAACCTGGTGGACATTGTAACGGGGTTACATGGAATAGTGACCCTGTCACTATGCCGGAATGGCTACATCGGTCACTCCCCTGGATAGTGACCCAAGTGGCCTCAGAGCCAACAGATACATTTTGTATGACACAAACTATAGAGAACTTAGGATTTGTATGCAGGCCAAATCTGTACCAACCTATAAATACATTCAGTCTTAGATCTACCGCTTTTCAAGTCAAGTCGTCCCCTTCAGACCAGGGACACGTGAACGGCTGTTCACTTGGAGTTTGTATACTCCTGCTTCCTCTGTTAAGAAGTGCTGTGTGCCCCGTCACACTTGGTAGCACTTGTAGTCAATCCTACGCCTACGCGGGTAGATTGGACTACCTGAATCCTCTGTGGTCTCATCGAGTGAGCCAAGATGGATCGTACGGAGTTTCCCCATCTGAACGACTCGCAGTACGAGTCCGTTCGTAAGATGGCAGGCATCTTTGGGACAGATGCCCTGCGTAGCTTAGCGGCGGCGACGCCGGCTGAGCAGGTTGAGCGTATCAACGCGTTCGACAACTACGAGCGAGGGCTCATCGCCCACGTTCAAGGGCTGCAGGCCACGGCAGCCGCGCCGAAGCCGGTGCAACCGAAGCCCCTGCGGCTGAAGGCTCACCCCTTCGAAGGGAAGGAAGGAGAAAACCTTCACTTCTGGGTTCGAGGGGTTGAGCTCGCGATGGACGCGGCTCTCATCTCGGACGAGCGACTCCGTGTCGCCTTTGCGCTCTCCAACCTTAGTGGTCGCGCTAAGAGTTGGGCGTATACGCGCGAAGCGACGACGCCTGGATGCTTCGCATCATGGTCCCAGCTGTGCGAGCAGCTGCGGGCCGAGTTTCTTCCGGCGAACTACGAGTACCGCCAGCGTTCGCGCTTCCTCGCCTGCTAACAAGGAAGGCGCGAGCTGCATGAGTACATCCAGGAGATGCGAGTGCTCACTGCCTCTTTGGTGGGGAACCCCCTGCCTGAACACATCAAGGTGACCGTGTTCATGGACGGTCTGCGTGTCGGTCCTGCCCGCACGCAACTGTTCCGTGTGCAAGCAAACACTATGGAGGAGGCGATTCAGATCGCCCTCCAGGAGGAGTACAGCCACAAGCAGGCTCGTACCCCCGCCATGGAATGGCAGAGCAACCCTGCCTCTGGCGGTGCGCCTAATGGTAACTCCGGCAATGGAGCGATCAACGGGCCGGTTCCCATGGATCTGGGCATGACCGAGCAGAGCGACATTCGCTGCTACGGCTGTGGCAAGCTTGGGCACATGAAACGTGCTTGTCCCGCGGGAGGACTGAAGAAGAAGTTCTCTTCGAAGCCCTTTGGCTCTAGGGGTCGCTGGCAGAAGCCGCGCCCCAGGAACCAGGGGAACGCCGGACACCAGTAGGGGCGGGGCGCCCTACTGGGGAAACACTAAGTCTTCATGAGGGGCGTGCGGGTGGCGCACGCCATGGGGACTTAGCCCCTGAGAGTCTCTGTACTCTCGAAGCGGAGAAGGGCAGCGGTGGGCTGCTTGTGGTGCACGCGAGTGTACCGGGATACGATCATCCCTTGAGGATCTTGATCGACTCTGGGGCGTCCAAGAACTTTGCGCGCCGCCAGACTGTCGCACGCAATCGCGACAAGTACGCCGATGCGCTACGAGGCAGCAAAGGCAACGGGCTGGTCTCGGTAAGGCTGGCCGACGGTACGGTAGTAGAAATACCTCGGGTCCACATGGACCTCACTGTCAAGTTCGAGGACTTCGACAGCACGGAGCCTTTCTTGGTCCTAGACATGGACAAGTACGACTTGATCCTTGGCATGCCGTGGTTGGAGAAAGACGAGCCTAGGATCGACTGGCGCGGCAAGGCCATCGGGGCCAGCCGTCCCCCACGCTCTGACAGAGCTTTGGTGAGTCATGTTCCCACCTCTGGCAGCAGCTGGGGCGCCCGCGAGGATCGCCAGGGCGCAGCAGCGTCTAATGAGTTCTTGGGGCCCGTCGAGACTGACGACGACTCCGACCGGGCCGGACAAGGCCTGAGAGTGGAGGTGCCGGACAGCGCCTACCAGGTGGGTAACGTAGGTCCACACGCGGGTAACGAAGTACCGCAGGCAGCAAGGGCTGCTGGAGAAGGCGCCGCTGGCGTTGGCGTGGGTAACCAAGTTCCACGCGAGGTCACTCAGACCGTAACTGATGAGGAAGGCACTGCAGGCGCTTCCGATGTGGGTAACATAGTTCCACAGGAGGTCACTCAGACCATAACTGATGCGGGAGTCGCTGGAAGCGCTCCTGGTGTGGGTAACCAAGTTCCACACGGCGAGGTGGGTAACATAGTTCCACCCAGCAAGGCGGGTAACCAAGTTCCGCTCAAGAACAAGGCGGGTAACCAAGTTCCGCTCAAGGACAAGGCGGGTAACGTAGTTCCGCACGAGATCGAGAAGATCGGTGGTGCCGTCAAGGCGGCGCCACGAGACGAAGACACCCGAGGGTCACGTCGTAAGCCGGGCCTAGTCGTGTGGCTGACGACGCCAGTCGCCAGCGACTCCGAGCCTCCAGCCAAGGCTCCAGCCGCCGAAGAGTGTTATCACATCTTCGACGGCGTGACCGGTCGTCGGGTCAAGACAGGAGCTGTCGAGCTTACAGCTCTGCCCGAGGTTTCAGAGTTGCTGAACCTTGAGGAGCTCTCAATGGAGGACTTCTTGGCCGAGCTAAAGGCCGGGGAGATCGCAGAGTTGGTTCTCCTCCGACCGGAGTCCACGTCGGCCGAGTTGAACTCGTCCTCCGTCATGGACCAGGCAGTCCTGGAGGAGTTCCAGAGACAGCGCGCGTCGCGCATGGGCTCTGAGATTCTTAAGAACCCCCGGGACCCGAGGACGTGCCTGGTGGACGGATACTACCAGATCCTGATGCGCGAGAGCGACATCCCACTCACGGCTGTGAGCACGCCGAGCGGTATGCTCTGGGAGTGGCTGGTCATGCCTCAGGGGCTTTCTAACGCCCCGGCAACGTTCAATCGCTTGGTCACACAACTGTTCCGACCTTTGCGTGCGTTCACACAGACGTACTTTGACGACATCTTCGTCCACAGCCGTGCCGAGGCAGGCCAGACGGCCATGGAGGTGCATCTCCAGCACCTTCGACGTGTGTTCGAAGTCATGCGGGCGAACAAGCTGTACGCCAACATCGACAAGTATGTGTTCGCAGCTGAGGAGATCAAGGTTCTGGGCGGCTTCGTCAGCAGCGCCGGGGTTCGGGCGGGCCCGGAGAAGGTGAAAACCATCGCGGCTTGGCCGCCACCTCGGTCGCAGAAGGACCTACAACAGTGGTTGGGCCTCGCCAACTACCTGCACTATAGTGGCGAGGCAACCACTGTTGTAGGCAGGCTACGCCGAGCTGGCACGGCCCTTGTCGGATCTCCTGAAGAAGGATGTCGACTGGCGCTGGGAGCGTCGCCATCAAGATGCTTTTAACGGCATCAAAGCGAGCTTACAGCGCGCGCCAGTTCTGGCATTGCCGGACGAGACGAAGCCTTTCAGCGTAGTCTGTGATGCGTCTGACTACGCAATTGGCTGTGCGCTATTGCAGGCCGACGATGAAGGCCGCGAACGGGCCATCTCGTTCCAGTCCAGGCAGCTCAAGGCAGCCGAACGGAACTATCCAGTCCACGACAAGGAGCTACTTGCCATGAAGTACGCTCTTGTCAAGTTCCAAGTGCACCTCCTGGGCTCGACGCCCTTTGTCGTTTATACAGACCACGCGTCCTTGTGGACTGCCGTCAACACGCCGCATCTCTCACAGCGGATGGCGCGTTGGCTGTCATTCTTCGCGGAATACAACTTCCGTGTCGAGTACAAGCCAGACAAGTTGAACGTGCTTGCCGACGCGCTGTCGCGCCAACCCGACTACGAGCTTGCTCATATTAGTCGGGTCACGACGGATCTGTATGATCGCATCAGGCTGGGGTACCGAGACGATGCCAGTCTCGGACCTCTTGTGCGGTTCTTGGCCGCTGGCTCGGAAGCTGGCTCACGCCCCGACAACGTGCCAGGCTGCACCGCTATGAGTGGGCTGACGGTTTGCTCCACTATAGGGCCGAGCCCGAGGATCCTCCCCGTATTGTCGTGCCCAACGACGAGGATCTCAAGTACGACATCCTGATGGAGGCGCACGACGCTCCTTCCAGTGGCCATCTCGGCCGTGAGAAGACGTACGCGTCTGTCTCGCAGATGTTTTGGTGGCGTCACATGTACAAGTGGGTCGCCACCTACGTCCGTACGTGCGAGACGTGCCAGCGCGTGAAGCCTGCCGGTCACGCCTCGGCACCATTGCAGAGCCTGCCGGTCCCAGCGGACTGCTGGAAGTCGATGAGTCTCGACTTTGTCTTCGGACTTCCGGCCGATGACCGTGGCAACACTGGTGTTGTTGCCTTCGTGTGCCGTCTGAGCAAGATGGTCCACTTTCCTCCAGTTCGTGACACCGTCACTGGCGACGAGGTCGCTCGCCTGTTCATGGACTGTGTCTTGTGACACCACGGTCTGCCCGAGACCATTGTCTCTGATCGAGACCCGCGGTTCACCGCTACGTTCTGGCAGACGCTGTTTCGCATTCTCGGCACACGACTGTCGATGTCGACGGCGGACCACCCGCAGACGGATGGCCAGACGGAGCGCGTCAATCGCGTGCTCGAAGACACGCTCCACAGTATCTGCGCGGAGATGCCCCGCTCTTGGGCTGATCGCTTGCCCATGGTTGAGTTCGCACTCAACAATGCGGTACATGCATCGACGGGCTTACGCCCTTTTACCTGAACGGGTTGCACCACCCTCAGGTGCCGCTCACATTACGAGGCAGTACCGGGGCTTCGGTCCTAAGTGGGGGAGAGGCTCGGAAAACCTTTTCCTCCCAAGTCTCGGACGTGAGTCCAGCCACTTTGCGGAAGCAACACTCCTCGTTTGCCGAAGACAGGCTGAACATAATCAGCAGGGTGCAAGACACCATGACGCAAGCCCAAGATAAACAGAAGGAGTACTCTGACCGAAATGGAAGAGGAAACATGAACGTGTTTAAGGTTGGGGATTTAGTTCTCCTAGATACTAGAAACCTACCGCTAAACACTGTTAGCTCGGTCGAGAGCAACAAGCTGAAGCACCGCTTCATTGGACCCTTCACGGTCCTCAGCCGGCATGGCGCGGCGTACACCATAGACTTGCCCAAGTCGATGACGACTCACCCGACGTTTTACGTGGGTCGTCTTAAGAGGTACCATGACCCTCTGGCTCTGGCTGCCCCGCAGGAAGCGGTGGGTGGCCCGGTGGAGAAGAGCGCAGCTCCTCGAAGCGCGGCGTCGGGTCACGGTAAGGCGCCTGATACGCGCGCTGGTCGTAAGACGGCGCGGCGTACATCGGAGCAGCATACGCAGGGAGCCCTGGCCAAACTGGGCCTGATACGAGTGGAGCTGCTGCTGCTCCGGATACGGTGCGTGGCCATGAAGCTCGGCCCGAAGGCCAGCGAGCTGGTTTCGCAGCGAGTCGTAAGACGACAGGTCGGCTCGACGATCCACACGGCCATGGAGACTGCGAGTTTCTTGATAGAGCGAGGTAACATCCTCACGGAGCCGCTCCACGGCACCAGGCTGACCAGCACGAGCGGCAGCCTCGCCACCAAGGCCGACGCCAAGCCCGATCTCGAGGACGTACACACGGTCCCGGAGAAGACGAATCTCCTCTTGCTGCAGGGCCACCACCTGACTCGGGGCCCCAGCATACGGCTGCGTCGCCTCAGGCTCGTAGCCATGGCCGTGCGAGGCCACCGCCGGCCCTCCTTGATCGTAATGGGCAGATCCACTACCACGTGGAACGAGTCGTCCGGGAGCGGCGGCTCCATGGCAAGCGCCAGCTGCTCGTGAAGTGGAGGGGTTACCCTGGGTCGGATAACTCGTGGGAGCCCGTTGAGCAGCTCCAGGCAGACTGCCCGAAGGCTGTTGCGATATGGGACGAGAAGCAGCGGCAGCTTCGTAAGTAGTCCTTGGCTTCTTGGCCGGTACCCGGGGCACGGTAGCAGACGTAGTCGCACCACGCCCACGCTCTTCACGAGCTTTGGCTCTCGCCTCTTGCTTCAGCTCGTCCATTTTCGAGTGGAGCTTGCGCTTGCTCACGAGTTGAGCAAACTCGATGCGGAGCTCGCGCACGTCCAGGATTGCGGACAGAGTGCGATCCTCACGGAGTTCTTTGAACTCTTGGTCGGAATACCCTTTGCGCTGGACGTAGCGCCAGAAGAGGTCTTCCACCTCGCTCCAGGTCATGTTATCATTCGGCTTGACCCAGTGGAAACCCCACACAGGATGGAGTCCACCTTGTCCTCCGGCTTCTTGCGAAGCGTGGTGAACTCCTTCAGTGTGAGCTTGTGTGGTGCTAGTAGCACACACCGGGCGACTTCAACGTCGCCAAGAAAGAGTGGCTCTTTCTCAACAAGAGCACGCTCATAGGAACCCCTCGAGGTGTACCCGCTGATAAGGCCACGAGGAGCCGAGAGCTTCTCCAACAGCGCTGGCGCACCAGTGCCAGGCTCGGGCGGGAAGTAGCCCTGCGGGTACGTGGCATCCTTGCCTGAAGAAGACTCGATGGCAGTCGTGGCAGTCGGCTGCCTGGCATACGCACCCGAGCTAGCAGCGTGGTATTGCTGCTGCTGCTCGTCGAGGTTGTTGGAGAGTTCCTTGGGCTCGTGGACGGCACCCTCCTCGTCCTCAGACTCCGAGTCGATGAACAGCTTGGAGCTGGAGCCGCGAGGCGACCTGGAAGCTGAACGCTTCTTCGCCTCGGTCTCGGCGGCCTTCGCAGCGGCAGCCGCTTTCGACGCTTGGGCACGCTCACGACCTTGTGCCAGCGTCAGATGCTTGGATGCCAGCACCTCCTTGGGCTTGGAGCCCGCGTCGCTCGGCGACTTCTCGGCCACGACCCGAGCGTCGGCCATGGCGCTTCGTCGTGCGACTGCTTGCTGTCGCCTGATCCGGACTCGGCGTCCTCCGCCTCCTTCTCTGACGAGGCCTTTGCGTCGGCCGAGGCGTTGATCATGTCGCCTGCCGCCAGCTCCGTGCCTTCGGCAGCGTGCGTGCTGCCCTCCGAGACGTTCTCGTCGTCGGGTGAACTCTCACCGGAGTACTGGACCATCGTGCAGTCAAAGACGGCGGCTTCCCAGTCGCGAGCCGGGCTTTTATGGCCTCGAGGACTCTCCTCCTTGCCTTGCGCGGCGTCAGAAGACTTGCTCCGAGCCCCAGCCTGACGGCCACTCTCCGGCGTGCTGCTACGAGAGCGCACCACCTCCTTGGCCTCCTTCGTGGCCTCCATCAGCGCGGACGACTCGTCCTTGGCCTTGGCCGCCCTGGTCTTCGGTCCTACGGCCCGCGGTTTCGGAGGTGCTTTCGCACTGCGCGCACTGCGCTTTGGAGGCATGCTTCCGGTCGACGTGGAGACCCTGCGGCCTGCTCGGCGATGCGCCAGTTGCTCTGTGAGGCCCGGGAGCCGAAGCGCCAGAACTCGCGCCGTTGTCGATGGATTTCGACTTTGCGAGTGAAATGTGAGTCGCCGGCGTAACCTCGCTCTGATTGGTCGATAAGATCGAATCTAAGTGGGGGAGGATGTAATGGGGTTACATGGAATAGTGACCCTGTCACTATGCCGGAATGGCTACATCGGTCACTCCCCTGGATAGTGACCCAAGTGGCCTCAGAGCCAACATATACATTTTGTATGACACAAACTATAGAGAACTTAGGATTTGTATGCAGGCCAAATCTGTACCAACCTATAAATACATTCAGTCTTAGATCTACCGCTTTTCAAGTCAAGTCGTCCCCTTCAGACCAGGGACACGTGAACGGCTGCTCACTTGGAGTTTGTATACTCCTGCTTCCTCTGTTAAGAAGTGCTGTGTGCCCCGTCACATCATCAAACCAATAAGCAATTTGCAACACTGGTGGAGCTGATGATGAAGTCTTCATTATCAGCAAATAACGTTACTATCTGTCGCGAGGTCAAGATAATCAACGTCAATTACACACCAGCAGCAAGAGAGCACTATTCCAATGATGCTGGACTATATCTCGCGAAACCCTAGATCACGGTTAATCGCAAGGTGTGGACGATTCCAGGTTTTCCTCGTCTCTGTCGCTTGCATATCCAAGCCGGAAAAGCTCATGCTAACACAAGAGCTTCTAGAATTGCTAGTAGCCGGATTAAGAACCGCTACGAATTCTCGTAGGCAAGAAAGCAGAATCTAGCAGCACTGTAGAGCTACGGTAACACAACACAATTCAATTTGCTCTTTGCTAAGTACTGGTGACCACAAAATTAACTTTCTGAAGAAACCAGAAGCCGCGGCAAGAACAAGAAGGACAGGCGACCGCTGCAGGACAAGTCGGCCTGTGAGGCACAAAGCCGACCAAGAAGCAAGATGACAACGGATGCTGAAGGCGACGTTGAAATGACTGTACCGCAACCGGTCTTCGAGGTAGTGCAGGCGCCGAGTCTCAACGCCTGGGACCAGGCGTCGCTAGTATCGTGGGTGCGTCAGCGGCGACAGTATGAAGCAAAACTTCGCAATCGCTGTGCAGTCACGGGCGAGGAGTATGATCACATCGTCACCTCCATTCGCAACTCGATCGAGCCCCGCATTCTCGATCATCTAGCCCGCTTTGTGTTGAAGAAGCAGCCTAGCGCCGTGACGGATGAAGACTTAGGCCTAGCAATTACACGCCGGTGCTCGTCGCTACAGAATAGCCATATTCCCGACATGGACCAGCTTTTCACCGAGCACCTACGCATGGACCTGCAGATTGAAGACACTGAGGCCCGCATTTTGAACTCTTTCGTGCTTTTCGATAGGATCATTGAGGAACATGATCTGAGTGGAATTCTCGGGAGCGGTCGTGAGGATGAGGCTACGTATGAAGCTGCGCTGTAAGGTGCTGTTGAAGCACATCACTCCGGAGATGTTGAAACTGGAGATGGAGCGCCTGGTCATCGCGCGTCCGGTGCTGAAGAAAGATGACATTGCGCTGTATGAGGCCCTGGTGGAACGTGCTCGTGAGCAGCAGCACTACCACATGCTGGCGAAAGAACTGAAGGTGGACAAGACGCGCGGCCAGAGCTTGCCCAGCCACAGCAACAAGAAGTCGCCTCATACAAAGCAACTGACATCTACTAAGACACGCATGCGTCAGCCTGAAGGACTCGCTAGCAGTAAAAGTCCGAGTACCAAGCAAGGATTGCCAATCAAGAAAGAAACCGTGCAGACTCGAGCGCCACCCCGAGATGGCTTCCTGGTGTGCAGCGGCGCGCATTGGGTTAAAGATTGCCCTACAGCAAGTGATGCAGACAAGGAAGCAGCACTTTAGCGCATGAACGACATGAAAAACCAGCGACTACGGGCCAAGGCGGTGCGGTCGCTCGGACCACTGGGAGAGAGGGTTGCTATTGTGAATGAAGTACTCGAAGTACCTTTTCGTCCTGACACCGACGCCGAGTGTAATGTCATTACGAAGAACATGATCCAAGAACTGGAAAAAGCGTCAGGTTTAGCGATGCCGATGGAGATGCTAGCAGTACCGGTGAAAGTGGAAGTAGCGGATGGGCGATTGGTGGAGTGCTTGGAGAAATGCGACCTTGACGTGCAGCTGCTGACTGCGGCAGGACCTGTGCGATTACGCCGTTTAGATTGGATAGTGATGGATGGCGAAGCAAATGAGCTCCTAGTCGGCGACGAGACGTTGAAGTCGCTAGGAATTAATGTTGACCAAATGCTAGAACAGCTCGCTGCTAAAGTTGAGCATGAAGGCGACAGTGATGACATTGTTGAGGATGATATTGTTGGCGTGACGAACCCGGAGGAGATCGAGGGCTGCATCGACGACATGATTAGGACGGCTGTCGAGAATGGCTTTCCGCAAAACTTTGTGAACAGCCTACACGATTTGGTCCGACGTGAGCTGGATTCGTGGAGAACCAAGTTGGGCGCGGATCCACCAGCGAAACTGGAGCCTTTGCGCGTGGTGCTAGTTGATGATGCGGTGCCGTATCGTACCAAACCACGACAGTATTCAGCGGCGAAGACCGAGTTTCTCCGCGATTATGGCAATCAGCTTGAAGGGTTTGAGCTCGTTTACAGGAACAACCAGAGCCGGTGGGCATGCGCAGCCATTCCAGTTGGTAAGAAGGGACCGAAAGAAGAATTTCGTTGCGCTAATGACTACCGCCCCGTGAACAAGCGAACAGTCCCTATTGCTGGAGCAATGCCGAACCTGCTAGTGGTGATCGCTAAGGTGAAAGGGGCCTGTTTCCTTGCCACTTTCGACCTTTTTAAAGGGTTCTGGTAGCTTTCACTCCATCCGGATTGCCAAGCGTTCTTCAGTTTCATCACGAACGATACAGTCTACACGCCTACACGAGTGCCTCAGGGCGCTGCCGACTCTCCGATCCATTTTCAGAACCAAATCCAAGTGTTTCGAGACATGCTGTATGAAAATGTACTGATCTGGGTGGATGATATCGTGGTCTTTGCGAGGACTGTTGAGGAGGTTTTGGAGGTGTTGACGAAGTTCTTTGAGCGCCTGCGCCAGTATGGCTTCAAGCTCAACGCAAAAAAGAGCTGCCTGTTTGCGCGTGAAATCTCCTGGTGTGGGCGTCTCATTGACGGTACTGGTGTCCGCCACGACCCCGAGCGGGTGGATGCTCTTTGCTCGTTGCCGCTTCCTTTAACTGCTGCAGACTTGCAGAAGCTTTTGTGTGCGGCGAATTGGCTTCGAGAGTCTATCGTGAATTTTGCGCAGCACGCAGCTCCCCTACAAGATAAACTGGAAGAGGCTTTCGCTGGACACAGTCGCAAGCAACGCTACGCAGAAGGACTTAGTCTGACTTGGTCCGACACTGAGCAAACGCAGTACCAGGAGTTTTTGCAATGCATTGCGCGATCGACTAAGCTGTCGTTCTCGAGTGAGGAAGCTGTAATTTGCGTCACGACCGACGCGTCAGACCGAGGTTGGTCTTTGATCGTTTCGCAAGTGGAGGAATGGGATAATGCTACGGGGTTCACGGACCAAGCTCATGAGCTCATTTTGTGCAAAGGAGGAACCTTCAAAGGTGCCCAGTTGCATTGGTCAATTGCAGAAAAGGAAGGATACCCTATCATTAAGGCGGCTAAGGATCTCGAATATCTCCTGCATCGCTCGCGCGGATTTAAGCTGTTTTGCGATCACGCAAATTTGATTCAGATCTTTTGTACCCACACGGAGATCCGCAAACACGTGCGGGGCAAATTGCAACGCTGGGCACTGATGCTAGTAGTGGGTACTGGAACAAAACCCAGTCAGTTTTTTTCTCCCCGTAATTTACCATAGAGAACAGACGTAGAACGTTCTCCGTGAAAGAGGTTATTTCAACGATGCACGCGATCAATACCCTCTGGTGAGTCTCTCCCCCTTTTCTTCCTCATTCCAGAATCTGGAAAGATGGTGAAGCTCTTCTGTGCGATCGTTGGGGTGGCGGGAGCCGCTTTTCCAGTGGACATCGACGCGGAGCAGTCGGTGGGGGACTTGAAGAAGGCGATCAAGGCGGAGAACCCGGCGACGATCACGGGCGACGCCAAGGACCTGCAGCTCTTCCTGGCGAAGAAGGACGGCGCGTGGCTGAAAGATGACGATCCTGCTGCGCTGGAGTTGGAAGAAGGAAAGACGCATCAAGACATTCAAACGGTGATCGATGGCGAGAAGATGAAGGCTACGTGGACAATTGAGGACGTGTTGACAGCTAACAATATGACCAAACGGAAAGGGCGCGCTCCAAAGTCGAGACAAATCCACGTGCTGGTGGTGGTTCCGGAGGGGGCAGTTGGTTCAGCGAGCGAGACTTCCAGGATGGATCAAGTGGTCCAAGAGGTGCACGAAATTCATGCGCAAACTGTGCTGACCAAGCGCAAGACATATGTCCACTCGAAGGTGGGTTCGACCGAGTACAAGGAACTTCTGGACGCCTTCAACATTAAGGTGCAACCTGTGCGTAAAGCTGCTGCTAAGTGGGGTGAAGTCAAGGGGTTCACATGGGACATGAAACTCAGCGAGGAGAAGCAGAAAGATGAATATCGCGAGTATGTTGACAGCAACATTGGCGAGCTTCTCCAGGAGGAGAAGCTTTGCGTGTTCGGTGTGGAAAATACGACAGATATTCTCCGAGTTGTTGTCAACGGCTCCAACATTGAGCTCCGGGGTCGCACCGATCTTCTCATACTCAGTGATATCGTCATGGAGAGCGCGGATTATGCGCTGGACTTGCCTGAAGTGAGGATGCTGATTGTAGTGAAGAAAAAGGTTGAAAGACAATCTGTCTTCCAGGCGATGTCAGAGCTAATTGCTCTGGCTCTGCTTGCCGACGACCCAGTGGTTGCACTGCTTACTGACTTCAACGGCGATTGGCGATTCTTCTGGGTCGCCGGGAAGGAAAACAATACCACTTGCGTCAACAAAGTGAACATTACGAATCCAGGTGAAGCTTTCGAGTTGATCAGGCAGCTACTGAAGCCTACGGATATCATGACCCCAGTGCTTCAAGACCCTGTGAAGCGCCAGAAGTTATCCCGGGTGTTGCCGTCCATCAGCGAGGCCAGTGAAAGTGGCGGGATTCGTGAGAGCATCGAACGATACTATGACATCGCCAGTTGTTTAGGCCCCGACTTGGACATGGCGCGTGCTGTGGCTAGACAGGTCACTCGATCTATTCCCACGTTGAGTTATTTCAGCTAATTCTTGCTTTGGCATGCTGCATTAATAATTTTTTTATTCTGATAAATATAAAGTTAATAATATACAAAGATGACTTACTCTCCTGAACAGTACCAAGCTAACAAAGAGCGCATTAAGGCAGCTCAAAAACGATACTACTTGAAGACGAGAGAAACTCGTATCGCTAAGCAGAAGGAGTACGACGAGAGGAATCGTGTGCATATTCGTGCCCAAAAGCGTAAATCCTATGCAGCGAAGAAGCAGTGCGAACCTAACAGTGAAACCGAACTTAGCTAATTAATTAATTATTTTTTTTGAATTTTGTATCAGGGTAGATATAAAGGCGATCTATTCTGACATAAGATCCATAAATTATAAAGTCGATCTATCCTGATATTATATAGTCGGATATATATAGCAAATATGTTTGCATACGAGTTAGAAGGACTAAAGCGATTAAATATTCACCCAATCAAATGGGGGAGTAGCTATCGAGTCAAGATCCGGGGTAAAACCGGTAGAATGACATATATTAGCAATCTATCGCGCCCCAGCAATCAGAATTTGATTGCGAAACAGTACAAAGTTTCCATTGAAGATCTTAAAAAGCATATGTCGCCTGAGTATAAGGCTGATCCTAAGTATCGCTTTTATAACGGTAAGCAGATGGAATCTCATCTATATGAAGGTATCCAACCAGCTGAGTTCTACGACAAGCTTGAGAACGTACTTACCAGTCAAAAGAATGCCTTCAAGGTTAATATCGCTCTCGGCTACGACCTTGTGAGCTTAACCGGTGATTTGACACAGTATTGGCATCCGAATATATCCAATACGAGTGTATTTAACACCCTTATTGCTATCAATAGCAAGGCTGACATCCGTAAGAAAGTAATCTCTGAGATCCGTTCAATGGAGTTGGCAAACAAGGTCAACTATCCAAGCTCAGGATACAAGCTCAAGTCTATCACTGGCTTTAGAATTTACATCTATCATCGCAACCATGCTCTTGGGGATAGTGATGCGGTCATCCCTAAGATTATTCGTGAAAACCATCACGTTATCAATTTCCCCAAGACTAATAACAAATGTGTCTTCCATTGTATTGCCTGGCAGTCAATTCAGGACCCTAAGAAGAATCCTCGAAGAATTCAGGCTCAGGTAAAGGAGGCATTCAAACGCTACTGCTCTTTCAAGGGGGTTAAATATTCGTTGAACCTGTTTCGAAGCTTCAAGCCCATTGACCTACTCCAGCTCGATGACGTTGAGGAATGCTTCAAACTCAGTATCAATGTCTATACAATGGATATTGAGTCTGGGAAGGTTGAATGCATTCGTCGCTCTGACAATGAGTATGAAACTATGAATATTCTATCGCATGAGAGTCATGCTCTATATATCAAGAATGTTGATATGCTCCAAAGCAAGTATCAATGCAAGAAGTGTGAAATGGTCTTTGTCAGCTCCACGAAGCTCAAGGATCACTCTAAGAACCAATGCGAACGAGTAAATATTGAAAGCTTCCCAGCCCAGCCAACGATCTACCGACCTGCTCAGAACACGATACAATCACTGCAAACAAAATACTCCATCAAGGATGCTGATCACTATATCGATCATTTCATGGTGTATGACTTTGAGGCCATTCTTAAGCCTACCGCTACTCAACACGGGGAGAATACTGTCTTTACTAACGAGCATATTCCTGTGTCAGTATCAATAGCCGATAGTTTAACTGATGAGGTACGTCGCTTTGTAAATGATGGTCCAAAAGCATTGCTTACTGATATGTTCAGATATATTGGCGATGTATCCTTAAAGATTCGACAGTACAATGTCTCCAAGTATGAGTCTCTGTTACGAAAGATCATTAACGCTCACGGTCTGACGGGTATGGAGATCCCCGACACCCCTCTTGGTAAGACATACAAGATGTCTGACGTGGAGAGTTGGATTGGAGAAGGAAAATATTCCAGTTTCTTCGATTTCCATAACAAAATTGGATTCGCTAAGCAGAGATCAGATTATGGTAAAATCAAGCAGCAGCTTGATCAGGTCCCAGTATTTGGCTTCAATTCTGGTCGATACGATATCAACTTGATTAAGAGCGACTTGTTCGCTGTGATTGGTACCAATAACATCAAATCTGACATCAAGAATCCATCTTACTTGTGCATAGCAACTTGGAACATGAAGATACTTGATATCAGCAACTATGTTCCGGCTGGCACCAGCTATGACAAGTATTTGACGACCTATCTCGGTGGATGCAAGTGTGAGGACAAGATTAGCTGTGTTTGTGGGCTTGGTAAGGGTATTTTCCCGTACGAGTACATTACCAGTTTCAACGTCCTAAATGAAACTCAAGTCCCACCGAAATCAGCTTTTGACAGCAAGCTTCGTGGTACAAGCATCTCCAATGATGAGTACGAGCGTGTGAAGTTTGTCTGGGGGCACTTTGAAATGAAGTCAATCAAGGATCTACTCATCTGGTACAACAATCTCGATGTAGTTCCATTCATCAAGGCTATCCAAGCTCAGCGTGAGTTGTTTAAACGTTTTGATCTGGATATGTTTGTCGATGGTGTGTCTCTACCTGGTCTATCGGACAAAGTAATGTACCAGACTTGCTTCAAAAATCTACAATACCCCAGCAAGAAGCCTGCTAAAGCGTTCAAATTCCCAGCCAAGCGTATGGTTGGCTACAAGAAACAGGATGATAAGGCAAAGCGAGAATTTGGTATGACACTTGATCACTTGAATAGATTGCTAAAGCATCAGAAGTACCTGTGTGCTTTTTGCTACAGTCAGCTGACTTGCGAAACTGCCTCTGCTGATAGAATCAACAACAAGCTTGGCCACCTCGATGGGAACATCTTGATCAGCTGCATTTCGTGTAATACCGCTCGTAAGGATATGTCTCTCGGGGGTTTTCGATACAAGAAACTGCTCGAGTTCAATTCGAACAGATTGGTCTATTCGATTGACAAGGAGGAATCTGAGATATACGGTAAGATGAAGGCCAACATCGCCGGTGGACCATCCATTATCTTCAACCGCTACGCCAAGCGGAACGAGACAAAGATTCGTGGTGGTAAGCTCTGTAAAAAGATTATCGGATATGATGCCAATGCCCTATATCTATGGGCCCTTGGTAATGAGATGCCGTGTGGTCGATTGACTACGATTGAGGCTTACCCTGGTATCATCGATGACATCAAGAACGACAAGATATTTGGCTTTCTCGAGTGTGATATTAGAACCCCAGAGCACCTGAAAGAGTATTTTAGTGAGATGACTCCCATTTTCAAGAATGCTCTGATAGACTGTACCGATGAGAGTGTCATTGGCAAGCATATGTTTGATTACAACCGGTCTCGCGAAGCAAATCGTTCTAAGCCTGCTCGCAAGTTGATTGGTAGCTACTTTGGTGAAAAGATCCTTATCTATGCACCGCTGCTCAAGTGGTACCTTTCTCATGGTATGGAGATCACCAAGACCTACAGCTTTATCAAAGCCAGCTCTCACACGGCATTCGCTCCTTTCATGGAAGCTGTGTCAAATGCTCGACGAGAGGGTGATGAGGGGACCTCAGGGGCGCAGTCCCTGGGGGTCTCCGACTCCAAGCAACAGCTTGACGCTGATAAGTCTAAATCTATGATTGCTGAGATGATGAAACTTGTAGGCAACAGCGCATTCGGTCGATCTGGCATGGATATGAGCAAGCATAAGGAGGTCAAGTATGAGTCGGATCAGAAGGCAATTGAGGCAAAGATCGAACATTTCACGTTCCATGGTCTGGAGGAGCTAAACGATGCTTGTGAAATCACCATGAAGAAGAGACGAATTAAGAACAAGAACCCGATTCATCTATCGATTGCTATCTACCAGCTCGCCAAGCTGCGCATGCTCCAGTTCTATTACGATTGCATTGACTACTACTTCGATCGAAGCGATTTCCAGTATCAGGAGATGGATACCGATTCAGCGTATATTGCTTTCAGCTGTGAGAATCCTTTCAAGGATTGCATCAAGCCTGATCTACGCGACCATTTCAAGCAGTACAAGTATGACTGGTTCCCGCGCGACTATAACTCTGAGGTAGCTAAGTTTGATCGTCGTACCCCTGGTTTGTTCAAGGATGAATGGTCAGGTGATGCCATGGTCTCTCTATCGTCCAAGAACTATATTTGCTATCTGCCAGATGAGTCCTACAAGGTCAAGGTTTCAGCCAAGGGTGTGCAGCAGGGGCGAGGTCGTAATGAGGATGTACTCAATCCAAATGGTTTCGAGACTGTTGTACGGGATCGAATCACACTCCAAGGTACGAACAAAGGATTCAGACTATCGAAGGAATCTAAGTCAATCATCACATATACTCAAACGAAAACAGCTCTCAACTACTATTACGACAAGCGACAAGTTCTCTCAGACGGTATTTCGACTATCCCTCTACAAATTTAAGTACTACAATATATAAGTATTCGTAGAATACTCTTTAGTACCTACGGTACAATATATCATGTCCGAACGAAGTTCGAAGGGGCTTTGCCCCGCGAACAAGTTCGCCTGGGCGTCAGCCCTGTCTAAGCTGCTAACAAAACTCTATTATGACCCAAAAACAGGATTCATAGGAGCTCAAGCACTTTATCAGAAGGCTCACGAGTTAGATCCTAACATAACACTAAAATATGTAAAGGATTGGTATGCTACCCAATCAGATATTCAACGATTTCAGGAGCAGAAGAAGCGATTTGATGGGTTCAAGATTGCTTCACATAGTCCCAACTCATGGCAGATAGATCTCGCGTTCTGGGACAAGAAACCAATATTGACTGCTATCAACATCAACTCTCGACTCGGTTATGCAAAAGCCTTGTCGAACAAGACTGCATCAACTGTGTTAGCAGCGCTTAAAGCGTTTGTCCGCCTCCATAAGGTGGATATCATTACAAGCGATAATGGCAGCGAGTTCATGAACTCACAGACTCAAGAATTCTTCAAAAGCAAAAAGATTGAGCACTTCAACATCGAGCCTGGTGATCATCGGACGATGGGTAAAATCGAGAGATTCAATCGAACTATAAAGCAGAGACTAACCAAAATGTCTCCGAAGAGGCTCACACAGAAAATTATAGCTGATGTTATCGATAACTACAACAGCACATTTCATCGCTCGATTGGTATGACCCCGAACGAGGCAAGAGGTAAAGTAATGATGGCGGATCTGAACCATAATCAAGCTGAAGCTGATAAGGTCGAGAACGCGTTTGATGTTGGGTCGAATGTACTGTATCGTCTCAAAAAGAAAACATTTGATAAGGAAGCTGCTCACTGGAGCAAGGGTATTTACTCGGTTATCGGCATTGATGGTTATCGGGTTGAGATTCGTTCCAGAAATGGGCATACGCTCTACAAAGCCCCGAACGATTTAAAGATTGTGAAAGCAGATACTACAGATGCTACTATCAACCGTGAAGCTGAGAAGATATTAGCCAATAAAAAAATGAATAATGGCAAATATAAATACCTAATCCGATGGGTAGTAGGCAGTGAGCCCGACTCATGGGAGCCTCAAGATAACCTACGCTTGATCAATAAAAATAGGAGAAGCAAGCTTGAAGAAGATTATTTATCTCACATAGCCAATATATAGGCTATATATATAGACACCATATTCAATATGGCTTGCCAAGCAACGCCCAAGTCCAACAAACCTTGCTCGAGAGATGCTCTACCTTGTGGTTATTGTACTCAGCACTCAAAGGACTACAAGATTGAAATGTATAAGAAAGAACTCAAAAAGATGCATCAGCGAATGAGATTCTACAGCGATAAGGTCAATCAAATCAATCAGATGCTCAACGATATCTACAGGCTCGACTATATCAAGTATCATCTTCACCAACTCGACCCCAATCGTCCATATCGTTATGTATGCTCTGATCCGAAATACAAGGATCAGGTCGAAGATCTATTTGGTTTGCCTATAGATGAATGTAAAAACGCGTACGTCAGATTGCTCCAAAGGCGTAATTCGATCGTTCATAAATTTACTATGAAACTTTGGGAGTCGCTGGAAGATATACCTAACATTGAATATAAGCCAAAATTTCGTAAATAATATCGAGTTTGATATATATACTAATCGATATGTTCCCTTCATTCACGAGTCTATCCGATCGCGAGCAGAAGCGGCTCGATCTACTCGAACGCACCAAGCTTCGGGTTAAACAGAAAGATGAAGCTCGCCGTATGTATGCTGAAGCTTCATGGGCCACAGACGCCGATAAAACCATCTCCTTCGAGAAGAAATCCGCACCGCAGGTGGAGTCGCAGTCGCAGACTGCCGGCTTCGCCTCACGCCTGAGCGACCGCTCAGCACAAGATTCTTCTAATCAAGCTGGAGATGGTGATTTAAAAAAAAACTCTGAAGTAGATGCTACAATCCCTGTAGTTAGCGATACCGCGACAGAAGATAGAACAAACTCTCAGGAAGTCCCTGAAGTTAAAACTGATGGTTGGTCGAAGACCGCCCGGGACGGGCTACACCCGCTCCCTGATAAAACTGAAGAATTCATTGCAAAAAAAATGGATCAAGAAACTCTATCAGTCTAACCCAAACTGGATCGCTGTTAAATTTAATCCAATCAAAACCAATAAAACCCAAGATATGAGGCGATATATTGGAAAAAATGGAAACCTGTTCAGTCTCAAGACAAATAAGAGGTCAGATTCTAAGTACATTGACTGGGTACTAACCGCAACTGAACTGATGAATATTAGATCCGATGGAGAATCGAACAGTATTGATGAAGTCAGCTTGGTGCGCATGGAAGATACCGATACTCCGAATCAATTATACGATATAACTGGTAGTAAGAGGCATAGATTTACTACTTCAACCAAAACGGCTAACAAAATTCATGTGCAACCAATATGGTTTCACGATGCTTCTTCATCGACTACAATAGATGAGGAACAAGCTAAATCAAAGCTCCTAGTCATGCTGAAGGCTTACAAGAAGAAACCGATTGGCTCTAACATCGTCATAAGGCCTGTTTTAAAAGATGGAGAAGTTCTAGACAAATACGAACTAATCATCGACTCTAAGGGGGATCTCAATGTTAGAAACCAAGAAACGAATAGGAATAAGCAATCTCGACTATCTGATATCGCTTGGGTATCAACTCTGTCATTGTTTATCGAGACGGTTAAATCACGAGGATTGACTTTTGACTTTGAACCATCACCAGACACTGTTTTAGATAGTGATCCTGACCGGTTCAAATCCACGCAAGGTATTTGGTATAAGGGGAAGCTGTCAGGACCAGATGTCGTGGAGGACCTATCTATCCCAGAGACTGAGGCGAAGGCAATTATTAGCGACTACTATATCGAAGCGGGTAAATCAGATAGCATCTTCCCAATTCATTTGCTTCCGATCGTAAGTGGGAATCCAAATAAAAAATACTATTTCGCCGTTATTGATGGCAACCTACGACTTAGAAAACTGGACTCTAAGTCAAATGCACCCCTATCTGGTAAAGCTCATACCAGCTTTTCAAGCGTATCCAATGGCCAGAAACATTGAATCTATTAATGGATTACCTTAGAGAGATGGGATCGTTTATCCACTCTGATCACGACGTTGATAATGCAACCAAAGAGCCAATAATGAATGCTCTCAAGCTGTATATGTACGTTTTGAAGGCACATGGGGTTAAGATTAAAGAGCCAACCGTTGGCGGTAAGCTCAAGGGTCGAGGCCTTCGCGGGGCTGGCATCCAGCCTCTCGAAGGTGTTTTACGGAAAACAAATCAAACTTACAACTGGAATGATATTCAAGGTAAAGCAACTCCTTCCGCTTACATATATTGGAAGCTTGGCAGTAAGTTTATCAGACTACCAGATCTCGACAAGAGAACTCTCACGATCGTTCAGCCAAATCGACGAAAAGTAGGCCCAATGCGTGAGATCAGTGATCCTCTACAAGCCGTGATCAAGGATCTTGTCTTCAGAAACGATGTCAGTCAGGAGAAGTATGATAAGCTATCTATTGATGATAAGAAATTGTTCAAGGAAATCCTTGAGATGACACATTTGCAATACAGCTTCGATCATAATTTAGAGGATCCTCTTGATTCCCTACGCATGGAGTACGATAAGCGCAAGGGCGAGCTGATGCTTGGGAATGATAATCCAACGATTCTAAAGCAGTTGAAGGTGGTCTGTGTCGACATGTATAGCAATCGATTGATTTCAGATTCTGAATTCAAGTCAATTATCACGAGACTATTATAAGATGCTGATTCTTGATCCAAGACTGATTTCCAAGAGCGCAGGTATCTATCAGCTCAATGCCGATAGGAACCTCACTGAGCTTAAGCACCTGATGAAGGATCTCATTATCAAGGAAGCTCCTCACCAAGATAGACCAACTGTTTGGGCGAGCGACTCAAAGCCATTCTCCACTAAGTCAGTAGCTACGCAAACCGAAGCAGATGGAGGTCGTATGTGGGCATACAAACCAAAGAAAAAAATGAGCAAGCAGCCAAAGACGTTTGCTCTGTAAGCCTCCTGAATATCTCAGCTCCAAGGGAGCGATTTGACCGAAGGCCAAGAGCTCTCACCTCGAGACCAAGGTCTCTTGCTTTCAAGCAATAGAATATCTGAGCTTTTTCAAAGCGATAGAATAAAGTTTTTTTGCCCGAAGGGAGCCGCTACGCGGGCTCATTGATGTCCCTTATCCTCTAGAGCGTCTAAACGATTTAGGACAGATTGGAGGCATTTATGGAGTAAGCAAGCGATCTTATCGTAATCGAGAGTTAATTGATACCCAGCCATGCCTCCTGCCTGCTCTATCTGCAAAGAATCATTTTGAATGAAAGAGATACACTCGACTGCATATTTGGCTACATCCTGAGCTATATAGCCGAGTTCTTGTCTCTCTGAATTTGATTTATACGCGAAGAGTTTCGGGCTAACGTTTCGAATGAATGCAGTGGTATCATCGATATCTTGGATATTGGTCTTTAATCGCCTATCACTGGTTGTAATAGGACCCACTACTTACAAGAATGCTGTTAGAGCTCTTGATTGAAACGGCGACGCTGCTCACTGGACCAACGGTAAATGTCGTACTGGTTTTAGACAATTGACCATAGCCTAAACCACCGCTATCGATAGTTTGGCTCACGGAGCCGGATACATCTAATTGCGCTGCTGGGGAAGTTGTACCGATACCGACCCTTCCAGCGTTCGTTCCTCCCAGAATAGTCATTCGTGTGCTATCGTTTGTCCCCAATCTCAAATCGTTATTGGTCATCGAGCCAAAGAATACAGAATTTGTAGAAGTAGCTGAAGTTGAGTTATGACATTGGATAGCTGCTCTAACGCCTGAGTTGCCATAGAAGTCGGCAAGGAGACTAAAGCTGCCATCGAGCCATGTAGTGTTATCACTCTGTATCGATAACCAACTACTTTGATTAGCCAGAGTCTGATTGATAGTGCCTCCGCTCACTAAATGAACACTATCGGCATTTAGAGTGCCTCCCAACCCCATATCTCCAGATACAACTAAAGTGCCATTGGTTTGTGTAGTTGATGAAATAACCGCATCAAATAAGACCTTTCCATTAGGAATCCAAAGTGAATAAGCATTGGTAATTGTCATATTAGTTCCTGCTGTAGGAGCATTAGCAATATATACTGTTGCCGCATTTGTAGTAGTTACTGTAGCATTAGAAGCTGCAATAGTTGGTTGAGCAAATGAAGTAATAGTAGCACTTGTCGCTGTCCCAGAAGACGCTGTGCTTGTGTTTGTATAGGTAGTAGCTAATGAGTTGTATTGAATACCTGAAGTAGTCCAAGATGCAGCTGATACACCTGTTCCTCCAATAGTAATATTTTTAGCTATACCCAGACCACCACTAAGCACTAAGCCACCAGTGCTTGCTGATGTAGATAATGTGTTATTAGTTAAAGAAACTATTCCAGAAGCATTAATAGTAGTACCATTAAGTGTTCCACCAATACCAATACCACCAGTTACTACTAATGCTCCTGTTGAAGTAGAACTCGAGGCAGTATTATTGGTAAAGGTAACTAACCCAGATGCACCAATAGTAGTAGCGCCAGAAATACCTCCTCCAAGAGCTAATGATGTAAGAGTGCCCACAGAAGTAATATTACCTTGAGCTGCAGTAGTCAATGTACCAGTAAGGTTTGTAGCTGTTAGATTTCTAATAGTAGCAATATCCTTGTTGGCATCCAGAACAACTACCTTGGAAGCAGCAGCAGTACCAGGAGTTACGCTATCCAATACTCCAATTTCAGACTCCGAAATAGTAGTGGATCCCATAGTTAGTGTACCACTTGTAGTAATTGAAGTAAGAGTGCCCCCAGAAGTAATATTACCTTGAGCTGCAGTAGTCAATGTACCAGTAATCGACGTAGCTGTTAATGAATTAATCGTAGCAATATTTTTACTTGAATCCAGAATAATTGCCTTGGAAGCCGTAGCAGTGCCAGCAGTTACTCCATCAAGCACTCCAATTTCAGATGAAGATATCGTTATTCCACTCATGGTTAAGGAACCACTTGTAGTGATTGAAGTAAGCGTACCTACTGAAGTGATATTGGCTTGAGCAGCAGTCTGTAGTGTACCAGTTAGGTTCGTAGCTGATAATGAATTTATGCCTGATATATTGCTCGAGGAATCGAGTACAAGCGCTTTAGATGAAGCAGCAGTGCCAGGAGTAATCGATAATACATATGTCGGAGGAGCTACTATTGATGATCCTCCTACGGTAAGTGATGAACAACTCAGTGCCCCTAACCCGCTAAGCGATCCATCAGAAGCGACGACAAGGGAGATACCAGGTGTTGCAATCCCTGGAGTGATTCCTGTGATATATGATAGGCGATAGTCGCTTCGTCCGAGATAGAGCGTTTGAGCATATGCATATGTTAAGTATCCACTCGGATCGAGCGAGATGTAGAATGCCGGATTGTAGCACGATGAAATGAATGTAGGTTGAGGATAACTAAATCCATTCATAGATAAGCTATTCGACTGAAGTCGAAGTTTAGTGGCGCGCTAATATTTCTTCAATCTTATATAAGGCACACGATTTTTCTTAGCCATGTCTGCAATTCCCGATTATGGAGGCAGTCTCCCTAAGAAGTATCGAGCTGATTCAGTTGGAAACATAGCGGAATTAGGTATCAAGAAGCTTTTTCGCATGGTTATTCTTGGACCATCGTTTTCCGGGAAGAACAACCTCTGTTATCATATTCTCAAGTCATCTCCGCATGTGTTTAGTCATCTTCATATCATTGCTCGAAACCCTCATCAGGATCTATATGACTATTTACGCGATAAGCTTGAGGGATTTATATCATTTTACGAACCTGATCAACCGCCTAAGGTAGATGCCATCCGACGGACTCCTGGCGATAAGCCAGAGCTTGTCATCATCGACGACTATAGCAACGATAAAAACCTTCAGAAGAATGTATTCAGTCATTACTTTACCAGAGGTCGGCATTTCAAATTGAGTACCATATTCCTAAGCCACAGCTGGTTTGCAACGGACAAGATGATTAGATTGAATACGGAATACGTCGCGATCCTCCGAGCAAACTCTCGTCGGGATTTGAAGCTACTTATCACCGACTTTAATATACCAGGTCTGACTGAGGAAGGCATCCTTCATTATTATAACCGGGCGATTTCTCGAGGAAAAGTCCAGATGCTCTTTATCGATAGTGTCAAGGGTCAAATACGATATAACTTTGATACACCAATTAAAATTGGTGAAAATTATTAAATTGATAATATAAGCGATGAGTTCATTCGTTAAGATAGACCAAACCTGTTTGGTTCAAGATGGGCTCAACAGTCGATGGGCCTATACGTTCCCCGGATCAGCGTGCAATTTTCAGGATGTTGAGGCTTCTATCCAGTCGATCAGTCTGTATAACTCGGAATTCAATGTCGATTCGATTCAGTTCGCCAATACATCGTTTCAGATAGAAGTACCTACCGCTGCAACGACAAGTGTCATTAGTGTCAATCTCGTTGATGGATACTATCTTTACACAGACATCAATAGAAATATACAAACGGCTCTCGTCAATGCTGGGGCCTATCTAATCGACTCTAATGGGAATAATGTTTTCTATTTACAAATCGAAGAGAACAGTACGTATTACGCATGTCAGCTCGATTGCTCGCCAACTCCAACGTCGCTGCCTACCGGTTATACGAGACCAACTACTGGTTTATACTCGAGTGGTGGTACTGGATTGCCTACTACGACTCGTGTTCCTCGCTTGATCATCAATAATGCTGCGTTTGGAAACCTGTTAGGCTTTACGTCGGGGACGTATCCAACTTCGCCTACAACGTCAGCTACGAGTCTGCTAAGCAATACTATTCCCCAGATCTCGCCAACGTCTTCATACGTTGTTAGGTGCGATCTTATCAAGAATGATTTCGTTGCATCAGGTGATATCATGAGTGTATTTGATAAAGTGAATTCAACGATTGGCAAGCAGATTCAATACTTCCCAAGTCATGAGACTTGGTGTCGTACCCACGATGGACCAAGGAGTACTGTAAGCATCAGCATCTGGAATCAAAATGATCAAATAGTCCATTTCCGCGATACGAGCGTTAATATTATGCTACTCCTACGCAAGCGTCGAGCATAAAAAAATGAAGTTTTTTTCAGCCTTTACATTGTGAAAGATCCCCCGTCCTTGTTCTTACGCATAGCACGAAGCTTAGCCATATGAGCCTTTGCTTCAGGAGAGCCCTTTGCGAATTTGGCCTTACGACGCTTGCCAGGTACACCTACACCGAAACGGGTTTTGATACCTCTACGGACACTATGAATCATTTCGTGATGCTCTGGTCGATCAGACTTGCTGACAAGATATTTCTCACCTTCGTCGATTAGATCAGTGATGATTCCTCTTTTCTTAGCATAGCGAAGAGCATTGCCTGCATGTCGTTTTACATCTGAGAAACTGATATGTCCTCCTTCTTCATCGCTCTCATAACCGTCCAATCCTACTCCAGTAAGCGATTTAAGACCAGCTCTGGCTGCAATCCCAGCTTCAGGAGCACCAAATGCAGTAGCAACAGCTGGAACAGCTACGTCAGCTGCCTTCGATAGCAACCCACTATCCTTAGCGAACTTAAATCCAGATTTAATTCCATGCCAAAGTTTTGACCAAATAGATCCACCCTGAGCTCGCTTGTAGCCCTTTTTGATTTCATGCTTAGTTATGTGGAGTCGAACTCCACGTCCGGCCTTCTTAGCTTTGAGAGCTTTCTCATGCGATTCAGGATGTATATGGATCTTAGCTCCTGACCCTTGTAGCTCTGCTGCTGTAAGGGATAGCTTACCAGTATTGGCAGCCTTTCGTAATTTATGGGCAGGAACACAGCTCGAGATGATAAGTTCGTTATACATAATTTGTTGATTGGGGACAACGTTTGCGTGGTAGTATATATTAACTCAGAACTAATCTGCAACAAAAATATTTAAATCTTTGAATTTATTGAATAGATCCATCCGATTGTTCTGCTTTGCATATAACCATAGCAGCGACCAAATACCACAATAAGAGCCGTGAGCTGATTGAGTTTGAATCTCATTGTATTTGCTGATGCCGTATTTCTTCGGTGGCCCTTCTCCCATTGAATCGAAATATTCATGGTTATATACACCTGTCCAATGACCTATGTCTTGGCTCGGCTTACGTAGTAGAATCAGGAACGATCCTTTCCTTGGAAGAGGCTTTTTGATCTCGCTTGACTCATAAATGTGGTCAATATGAACATTGAGCTTCTTAGTTAAAGCTATTAGATCGTGATCTGATGATATTGGTTTTACAAGATATAATTATTTTTCACCAAAGCTATATTGGAGTGTATATAACTGAATCAACTATGTCCGATACTCAGCTCGCTGATCAATTCCTATACCAATCTTCGCTTAAGAGCGATCCGGCCGTTAAGGTCAGCTCTCGAAAGCGTGTGCCGTACGTCATCGATCTAAACCAGGGTTCGTATGCGAATGGTATTATTACGATTGATGCTACAGCTCAGCTTAATGGGGCTGAGGGATTTGCCTGCCTCAGAGATGCCTACGTTGTCATTCCGTACAAGGTGAGTATGAAGAATACTCATGCTTCTACTGCGCTTGCTGCGGCTGCCAACCGACTGAGCGTTGGTCTCAAATGCGGTATATGGAATGTTATCGATGGTATGTCGCTGGAGCTTAATGGTAAGAGCTTGATTTCGATGAGTGAGTATAAGCTGTTTGCTAACAACCTTCGTGCTCAAGCAGAGACCTCTGTAAATAAGCATGGTGCTGAGGATTTCTTATTCCCCGATAGCTCTGGCTCGTTGTTATTCTCGTCTGCTACAAGCAGCCTGTATGGTGATGGTTATTCGAATACGGCTTCGGATATCACTCCTGCTTTGGGTACGGCTTCTACAGGTGCTGGAGTTCTTGCATCCAACGAAGGCTTCGTAAAGCGTCTTCTATCCAATCCACCTACAGCAGGCGGTCAGAACACTAACGGTTGGGTTAGTATCGCTTCTGGAGCTGCGAACACTATTGCGAACCAGTTTGGGCGAGGGGCCTTCGTCCCCGGTGGAACTGCTGCTGCTGCTATCGCAGGAACGTGGAATTGCATGCTCAAGATCAAGTTGGTTGATCTCCACCCGATCTTCAAGGAGCTTGATCTCATGGCTAATCCTCAGATCAAGCTTCGTTTCCGCGTAAATCAGGGATCGGCCGTAATCAACCTTAGCACTACTAAAGCTATGTCGCTTTCATCGACTACGCTTGTTTCTGGTCAATCATGCCCGATCATGGTAGCCTCTTCGGCTGGGTCTGCTCCTAATAGTGGCGTATTTAATGCTACGACCGCAGGTCAGATCTCGGTGGCATGGGGTGCTATTACCAATTCTCTTGAGCCAACCATTGATAGCACCTATTTCCCTTTTACTACTACTCGTCTGTACGTACCATTCCTTGATCTCGAAAATCCTCAAGCTCTGATCAGCAAGCCTAACAAGACTGTCCGATACATGGATTACTATGCGCAATGGTTCTACCAACGCGCAGGTACTGGCGTCAGCTCTACTCAGCTGAACACTGCATTCGATCTACAGCTGTCTGCCAGTCTTAAGAATGCCAAGGTAGTTGCTCTTCTACCGTTTGCTGAGACTTCGTCTGGAAATTTCAATAGCTCTACTATTCAGCAGTTCCAGTCGTGTTTCGATAGTGCCCCTTGGACTGTTCAGCCTGGTTCGTCGATTCGCAACTTTAATGTTCGTATTGGTTCGCAGCAAGTATTTGATATCTCGTATGACTATGATTTCCAGGACTTCATCAATGAGTTCGCTAAGCTTGGATCGATTAATGGTGATCTAACTAAGGAACTATCGAATGGTCTGATCGATTACCAAACCTGGCAGCAAACCAATCGTGTGCTTGTAGCAGACGTATCTTGCTTTTTACTATGAGGAGTGTTTTTCCTATCCCACGAGCGACTTGCTTAACTTTTAGATTTATCTCAACCTGGGACACAAGTAATTCTAACTCTCCTCTATCTGTTAAACTGTTCAGACTTAAGCCAACATTGATTCATTATTCCTTAGATCATAAATGGTCATCTTGTAGCTTGTATTCGAATTAATTAATTAAAATTCAAATATTTCCTGCTGGCTATGTATATAGATACAGTCGATAATAATCATGAATTTAGTTTTAAATTTTGGTAAGCATAAATCCAAGACGATTGAAGAAGTGTATGCTTCTGATCCAGGCTACTGTCGTTGGTTGTCGAATCAGAAGATTCTCATTGATTCCGAGCCTGGCGTTAGTGATTTTCTCAAAGCTAAATTCATCAACGATGATGGGTCATTCTTAATGACTTGGGGCAAATTCAAAGGTCGAACGATCAAACAAATCCAAGCAATCGATTCCAACTACATCGAATGGTTGAAGAAGAATGAATTCGTTAATCAGAAGATGTCTAAGCTGAAGGGTGCTCTTGCTAAGCTGATGGTATTTTTTTTGAAAAAAAATATTCTGGAATTCAGATTAGCTTGAACGAGCTTGTACCCAGGTCAATTCTTCTACGGTTTTCGATCTCCATGAATGACCATGCAAAGATTCAGGCATTGATGTTGTCCACGATTTATGTCTCTTAGTTTGACAATGATGGGCATAGTTCCACCGTTTGCCTGCGTAGCCACAAGGACACGAAATGTCGTGGTGAAGTCTCGCTTTAAAAATGTTCGTCATCATTGCCTCTGCCTTTTCCACGTTTGATACTACTATCGAATGCTTCATACAGCGAACTTTTGACGGAGCCTTACTACAAACATTTCCGTTTTTCAATACAAACATACACATTATCTTAGTTATGATGATATTATATACTTAGTAGTTTATTTGTCAGGATTAAACGTCATTTAAAGATTTGCCTCTGAACAGTTGAGCGGTTCCGAAACTATCCTCAAATCCTTTGAGTGCGTCCTTTCGTGCTAAGTTATCGAGAGGCCGTGCCGTTGAAATGATCATTTGATGTAAGTGTGAGGTTGCTGTTGCTTTATGCGGTGCTTGGAGGTGATAAGGGTGTTCCTTCTCACCAGAGGGAATTGATCGCGTGCATCGTTGAAATAACCTCTTTCACGGAGAACGTTCTACGACTGTTCTCTATGGTAAATTACGGGGAGAAAAAAACTGACTGGGTTTTGTTCCAGTACCCACTACTGATGCTCTCTGATTATCGCTACGAGATCAAGATGTGAAGGGGACCGACAATGTTTGGGTGGACTTGGTGTCCAGGTGGCTACACCTAGTGGACTGCGTGCAGTCGGTCAAAATCGTGCATGCTTATTATCTCGTCAATAATCTCGATTTTAATCCAGCCAGCTCTTATTTAAGACCTAGGTCTGATTTATATATATCGCCAGTACTGGTCTAACATGCAAGCTTGGGGCTCTGTTTTTCCGACCAAAACGCTTTTCTGCGGCTTGGAAAGGCAGAAATGCCATTCTAGACGGGCCAAACCGAGTTTCTGGGCCTAAAAGCGGCCTTCACCAAAGCACAAAGCTAAAACAGCCCTCGCCTATCTCGTGTCCACTCATAGTAAGAGACAGGCGTGGTCTATTTTAGAGGACAAAGTATTTGCAAGCGGCAATAATTTTTAGTCTTATCTTAGACTTGTCCTTGATTTTAGTGCTAAACTCAGCAAACAACCCCTGAGCTACAGAGTAATACATGTAGCCATTCGTAGCTTTAAATGTAATCGGTTTGGTTAACAAGTACTATATTTCGGTTAGAAAGGTACCCGGTTTCGGTAAGTTACAAAAAATTTCTGCCGGCCAAGCACAGCTGTTCGACCTGTGAATAGAAGCAAGCGGGAACTACATATATTTAGGGTCCATTGGCACTATTTGGCCTACCTCGCATTATCATTTAGAATGGAAGGTGAAGGTGCATATTCCTGCCCACTATGCGGGAGGACGTTCGCACACGCAGCGTCCGTGCGTCGGCACTTACGGCGGCAAGTCTGTTATACAAACCGCTTTCCGCAGGAGGTTGAAGCAGAGAGTTTTACTAGATGCTTCCATGTCAAAGCCTCTCATACGGAGAGCCAACCACTATACCAAACAGTAGACTTTAGAGAGGGTAGCGGGCCGAGACTCGAGCCAAGCCCATATCGTGACCACCACAGCCACCAACAATGGCAATCTTACTCAAAACCGCGCAAGTGACATCATAACTTCCCTGGACCGTCCCAAACAGGCTGAACCGTGCTGAACCGTCCCCGAACCGCCCCATTACTTCTCAAAATTGGCCAAACCTAGGCGAAACCGTGCTGAACCGTCCCCGTAACTGCTCAAAATTGCCTAAACGCATCTGTGACGTGATAGATATTAAAACCCGTCCTATTTATCCCACCCACCCTCTTGAAGTGTAACACCCTCCCAGCTTGGCTGAAAAACATGCTCGGTCCGTCCGTCCGTCCGCCGCGCGCCAACTTTCAAAATGCGGGATGTGGTAATCACACCCGTTAAAGTCCGATAGCTCCGCGTAAGTACGATTTTTTAGCGTGATTGTGTCTAGTTTTGTAATTTCGTAAATAGCATATGTTAGGTCCGCAATAACGTAGTCGAAATGACAGGTCTATGCTGTAGGTGCGTAAAGCGTGACGAACTCACCGACAGGACTCTCGGTTAGACGGAGAATAGCAAAGTCTTGCATCAAATAGCACTATTGAGGGCTAATGAACTACCGGGTTAAGTTGCGTTTTGAAATTCCGTGAAAAAGCCTAAACGGGCGGGTTGTTACAGGCACTGCGTGTTAATATTATTATCAATAATACTTTTCGCAACATAAAATATCTTGTGATATCTTACATATCATTTCCGAAGGTGTCAATACTATTATCAATATCAGTATTATCCATTATCGAGCTAACACCCTGATTAATACACGTATATTTAAATACATGTAAGTGGATGGGAGGCCTGGTCGACTCGAGGCGATCTCCGGCTCGACTGGAGGTCCTCGACTCGAGGACCGAGGACCTCGAGGCTTGATTTTAAGCCTGGTTATCGCGTCAATACGCTGCTGATGCTCACGTATTTGTAGCTGGAGCGCGTGCCGCGTCGAGAAATCCAGCCCAGTAAGCAGCTCATCTACTTGGTAGGCTCGCCATCTAGGCTATTCATATTCGCGCTACCGATATTTGTCGCCTTTCAACAATTTTAAAAGAAGACCTTGTTTGATTCCAAATGTACCAAATTGTCATGAGCCACGGTGAATCAAACTATCTTGGCTTTGTGTGGCTCGGACTGCACGTAACGGCGAATCAGGAGCGGACTCCTATTGTCGCGCAAACATTCAAAATTGACGAAGTGGCGCGCAAACAAATTTGGACCAGAAAAAACAAAAGCGAAATATGTATTGCGCGTTCTAGTCGAACTTTCCGAAGTCGATTGATTGAATCGACCGACAGCAAACCGCCCGAGTTTTTGATTTGACTTGAGTTTACTATGTACGCAATAAAGTACGAAATAAGAAGTCGCTCAGGCCGTCTCGGTCGATTCCAAAAGACTTGATATTTGTATTCAGTGATTTCAACCCATATGGTAAACCGACCCGAATCGGCAATATTGGCCAGAATTCACAATACACTCGACAATTTTCACAAAGCAAAGCACCGGCCCGGTATGAGTTACGCCACCTCACCAGCGCACACTGTGTTCGTGGTGCTCACGATCATCTCGTCGGTCTTCGTCCGATTATCGCCGTTCCCAGACTTCTACCGAATCTACAAACGCAAAGACACTGGCGAAGTCGCCGTACTGCCCGTCGTTCTTCTCGGGATGAACTGCTGCCTGCTCACGATCTACGGCTACCTGGTCAACAACATCTTCCCACTGTTCTTCGTCGCGGTTCTTGGGGTTGTCACGTCCAGTGTGTTCATCGGCATCTTCTACAAGTTCACTCCAGATCGCGCTTCCGTCCGCCGAGTGTGTGCAGCCAATTTGCTCATCGTGATACTGGTGGTCGTTTACACCCTTGTCGCTTCGACGTCCGTCACACACCAATCTCGACACGGAGTGAACCCGACCGTCGGGTGGGCCACAATTGCTGGCTCTATCGCGATGTTTGGGTCACCGCTCACAACTGTCAAGAAGGTCGTGCAAACCAAGTCCGCGGCGTCGTTGCCCTTCACCATGTGCGTTACCTACGCCGTCAACTGTCTACTGTGGGTCGTGCTGTGCCTCCTCGCCCCGGACAAGTTTGTGATGATCCCCAATGCCGCCGGCGCCGCGCTGGGTATTGTGCAGGTGATTTTATGCTTCATCTATCGCCCCAAGAAGTCTCACTCGGTGCAAGCAGTTAGCGCCGACGTTGGAGACCTGGAAATACAGGTGTGTACTTCAAGCTCCGACGGCAGCCAACTTAATCAGTTCTTGCGCGCGTCTCGCCTCAGCCGCAGAGTCAAAACCACCACAAGCTTGGTTCAGACTTCGTGGCTTTCCATTCTCCGACAATTTAGACTGCAGCTGAATGCAAGGTGCAAGGCGATACAGCAATTTTCAGCAATGAGAATTCATGTCTTCACTAAATATTGATTTTTTACTTCGAGAAGGATAGAAATCACCACAAGTGCTTACGTTGTAAGGGGCCACATCCTTGTTCTAACAGTAGCTTCGCCTATCACAATACAGTTTTTCAGCTTCACGTACTTACACTATAATAGTAGTAAATTCTTTAAATGAAATTGTACATCGAAGTAGTTTTTACTCTCATCCATCCAAATGTATATACAATATTTTTATTTCAACTAAGCTTACTATAGCAGGATCGTAAATACTCTACGCCCGCACCAGTGCTTGTTTGTGTTTGACATGAAAAAAAGGACCCGACTCTTTATACAGTATGTTTATTATTTTGACAACGTTTCGATAACTCATTGCTTGGTGTTCGGGAACCCTTCGCTCGATTGACAGCATGCTGGCGAGAGTATTCTGCACCGCGGCACATCATGTCGCCATACATGTAGCAGAAAGCCTAGTACAGTACTTGAATCGTTCCAGGAGAAATGTACGTATATGCGACGAAGCTTATCAAATTATCGGACCCGCGCAAACATCACGATGACCCTAGTATACAAAATAGCAATGGATATGGCACAACTAACGCCAGACATACTGATCCCAACAAAAGTATGTAGAGCCAGACTGCACGGATCAAATCAAATGTACATGTAGCTTCTTGAACGCTGTCACTTCTGAATTCACCACCAAAGCACAAGGGCTCGCCTTTCAGGCAACTTTAATTAACTGACTGTAAATGATACTTATCGTTTGGTCAATGCTGGCGCCACAGGCTGGATAAATATTGGGCGCAAACCAGACTGGAGGGTAATACAGTACTTACAAGTATCTCATTACTGTACGTATTGAGCTACATGGGCGCGAGAAGCACTTCTTACATTGTCGGTAGGTACACGAAACTTGTGCCCTGTTTGTTGGTTCTGCGAAGTACAAAACAGCAACCACGCATCATAATAACTATTACGTGTACTTCAAGTACAGGGTGACCGCTTGCCGCCTTTCCGCCTGCAATGCTATTGTAGTAGCAGGTATCTGTTCTCGAGTCCTTCTGCCTCAGCAAGTACTTGACAACGACCTCTTTATTCCAAGTCACTCCCCATTCTCCTTCGTCCAACCTACTGCACTACCGAACTCACCATGGTTCTTTCAGAATCGATCGTTCGCGTCGCTGCCGTCCAAGCTGAACCCGAATGGCTCAACCTGCAAGCCGGTGTCAAGAAGACGTGCTCCTTGATCGCTAAAGCCGCAGAAGCCGGCGCTCAGCTCGTGTCCTTCTCGGAATGCTTCATCCCGGGCTACCCCGCGTGGATCTGGACTCGGCCAGTGGACCCGGAGCTCACCGTCAAGTACATCGAGAACTCGCTCAAGGTCGACTCCCCGGAGATGCAGACGATCTGCGCGGCTGCGGCCAAGCACAACGTCAACGTCGTGCTAGGGTTCTCCGAGAACGACCACAACTCGTTGTACATGGCGCAAGCCACGATCTCCGGAGCCACCGGCGAGATCCTCATGAAGCGCCGCAAGTTCAAGCCCACGCACGTCGAGCGCACGGTCTTCGGAGAAGCGTCGGGGTCCTCGTTGATGAACGTCGTGGATCTTCCGATCGGCAAGGTCGGCGCTCTCAACTGCTGGGAGCACATCCAGCCACTGCTCAAGTACCACACGTTCCTGCAGCGCGAAGAGATCCACGTGAGCTCGTGGCCAGCTCTGGACCCGTTCGTGGAGGGAGACGCTGGTCACTGGGGTATGAGCCGCGAGGGAAGTCACTGCGCTGGACAGCAGTACGCGGTGGAAGGTGGGTGCTTTGTCATACACACGACCGCTGTCACCTCGCAACGCGGCATTGACATCATGAAGACCCAGGGCGATCCCAACTACGGCACTCCGGGAGGAGGGTGCTCGGCCATTTACGGGCCTGACGGTCGTCGGCTGACTAAGTGGCTCCCGGAGACGGAAGAAGGCTTGGTGTTTGCTGATCTCGACAAGAAGCTGCTCGTCGCTGCGCGCACGCTGGTGGACAGCTGCGGACACTACAGTCGCCCCGATATGCTGTGGCTGGGCGCCGATGCCCGCGAACGCAGACACGTCGACTATCAGGGCGCGCCGGAACTGAAGCTGGAGAAGCCCGAGAAGTCGGACGCATCGAGCGAATTGAGCTGGGACAACCACCCGTAGTTGTGTCTTGTGGAGACTGCACCGACATCCGTAGGCATTGCATGGCACCAGGTTTCAAACTTGCTACAGAGTCGTATTTTTCACGCTTAAATACACAACCACCACCCCATGCCATGCACTCACAACAACATCGCCCCTCTACTTACCCGCCAAAAGCCTACGGGATCAGCAGTTCGCGGCGGTGCAGGTTGATCTTGTACTCCCACGACTGCTGCTGCGCGTAGCTCGACACGTAGAGCACGTACATGGTGCTCTTGGCGTACAGCTTGACGGGGAACAGTCGGCTCGGGTCGCTCTTGGGTTGCGCGCTCGACTTGATGATCTGCAGCTTGGCCAGGTCCAGACTAATGAGCAGCTTGGCCGTCGTGTTGTCGAACAGGTGGAACGTCGTGTCCGTGAGCACGCCCCAGCGCGTGACCACCGTCTTCCTGGACGGCGAGGCGCTCGCCGGCGTCCGGGGCGTGAGCAGCGCTGCTGGGGAGGCCAACAACCCGTTGCTCGACACCTGCCTGGACCAGAAGGAGAAGGAGCGTCTCGGCCGCGTGGAAATGGGCGGCGCCATGAGGAACTGGCCGGATTTGCACGGCATGCGGGACGAAATGGGCGTGATCTCGAGCTCCACCGTGCCCTTGACGAAGCGGTGCAGGCCGACGATGGACTCCTCGACGGGGAACTTCCACTTGGCCAGAGGGGCGGTGAACGTCTTCTTGCTCTCCCACCCGGTCTCCATGGGGGCGACGGCCTGGCCCAGGAACCGCAGCCGGCCCGTGTTGGTGACGCCGATGAGCGTCGTGACGATGTCGCACTTGCTGGAGAGCATGGGCACGAAGAACTTGTCGCTCCACGCCGGCAGGTTCACGTTGGAGCTCTTGTCCGTGGAGAAGTGGAACATAAAGGGCCCGAACGGCTTCTTGAGCACGCGCACGTTGCAGAACACGGCCACGACGTTGCGGAAGTCGCAGAGCATCTCGAGACCCTGCACGGTCTTGATCTGCAGCTCCACGGGGCGCCCCACGGCGCTCAGGCGCGTGGCCAGGCGGCGGCGCGCCAGGAAGCAGCGCGCGAGGCGCTGCGCCACGACAGCGGCGCGATGCCGCGACGCGCGACTCTCCGCGTTCTGCAGCTTCTCCAGCTCCGCTAGGCGGCGCGCCTCGGCCACGCGCGGGTTTGTGGGCGGCGGCGTCAGCGTCGGCGTCTCGCCCCACACGCGGCGGCTCTGCGCGTCCATGGGCGGCGTGCCGGGCATCTCCATCTCGTGCTCGGGCTCGTCGCGGGGCGAGAGCTTCTTCTTCTTCTTGGAGGCCAGCGGCGGCGGCGTGCCCGGCTGGTTGGACAGGGGCTCGTCCTCGCTGGGGCGGCGCGGCGGGCGCACAACCGAAGGCATCGTTGGCTCTGTGTCTGTCTACTGTGGTCTGCGGAGGTGTGGGGCGAAGCTCCGTCTGGTCGGAACAGCGTTTGACGTTATGCTGGTGTACTGAAGCTGATGTGTGGGGAAAGCCGAAACATATTGACTTTTGTATGGGAGAGGGCGCATAACTCAGGCGGAGCGCGACTGATATGAAGATGGAGCCAAGAGGTGCTAGGTGGCGGTGGCGGTGGTTGCCGGCGCGCGCGCTCTCTATGAGCTGGGGATACATTTAATATACACGCAGAAGAACAGCTGTTCGGTCCTCATACATCCGAGAGCTCGGGGCTGCGGAGCTGCAGACTCGGAAGGGCCGAGGTGGCGTTGTTGGCCTTTGCTGTCGGACGGGCGTAACGTGCGCACGACGCCTCAAGACGAGGCGTCGATCGCCTCGAGTGGGGCTCGAGAAGCGGCGGCACTTCAGGCGGAGAGCGGAGGCGCTCTCCTCCGTCCAGGGAGGGGTTGAGGCACATGCACATGCACATGCACATACACATGCACATGAACTTGGCGCGCTAATTGCTCTTGACTCATTCGCCATGTGGCGCTGTCACCACCGAGATGTCCAGTCAAGAGGGAAAAACGGAAATGACAGCAGACGTATGAAATTGGCCGGTCGGAAATGTTGTGACAGTACCCGTACGCTGAAAACTGAAGCTGCTGGAGATCCGATGCTCAGTGTTGGTGAGCAGTCGAGCGATCGAGCGAGGGCTGGTCCAGCGCTCCACGACGTCTTTGTCGCTGGCAAGCTGTGGCCTTCATTCTGCAGCGAGGTGACGCTGCCGGCCGAGCAAGCCTTCCCAGCGACAGGATGAAGTGGTGACCAGCGAGGCCGGCTGAGCGACGTGCTCCCACCAAGAAACCAAGAACAAAAAACTACTTCACAAGTTGCAGTGATGAATTGCAGGTCCCGTACCTATCTCCGGCCTGTCAGTACTTCAGCGCCGCCGTCTCCCAGAGCAGAGAAACAACAACCAGATCACAACGGCCAGCGATACCAGCAAGCACCAGCAATTCAACTCAGCATGGGCTTTGGTTGGTGGGCCGCTCTCTCGTGGCCATCCTCCGATACCACGCAAGGAGGAAACCCCGCGCGAGACGAAGCAAGCAGAACACGGCTTGACGGGGGGGGGGGTACGCTGCTGCACGAAGATGAAGAAGGCGCGGATGCGCATCGAGTTGGCGAAGCAGAAGAAAAGAAGGAGGAAACAGAAGACGCCAAAACAGCAGGAAAGCGAGCCCCCTGCGCGTCCAATGCGCCAATGATGGAGAACAATCACCAGGCAAAGCGACGACGCACTGCAACTGGATCACTCGTCTGCATCCACCCTGGATGCACGAAGTACAGGCGATACGGACGCAAGTGGCAGAGGGAAGCCATGCGCATACCCAGGGTGTACGAAATATAGTAAATCTGGGGGCAAGTGCTCGGCGCATGGGGGAGGACAGCGCTGTGAGCATCTGGGGTGCACCAAGCTTCCACAGTCTGGGGCATGGTGGACGGCGGCGAAGTTTGCCTGGGGGAAAGTCTCAGCGGAGCAGAAGACACTGAGCCTGCTGAATCTGCTGGGCTGGCCATGGATTCGAACACAGAGGGCGCCCCCTAGAGTCGGGTGCCGATACTTTCTAAGATCAAGCACTACAGCTATCAGTCGTACGAACGAGAAGAGTATGCAGGACACCAAGGTCAAGACCTGCTACGCAGCAGTAAACGCGGAACATGCCGAGGGAGAAGAAGAAGACCACGTGGTATCTGCCTGTCGGCGGCGTGGAAAGGCACGCGAGCTATAGTGAAGTCGGAGGCTAAAGCCGACACTAGCAGCACGATCTAGGACTCGACGGTGCTCAAATCGCGCGAGAAGCCAGGAAAGTGGGGCTGGGCCATTCGCGCGGTGTGTTGCTGGGACCGAGCAAAAGGGAAACTGCTATATTTTGGAGCAAACTTTAATACTTAGTACTTTGAGCGGAGGAGAGGGTCACAGCATCATCAACTCGAATACTGCAAGGACAAACGCATTACCGCCCCGCGTGCCTAACGTGGACGTTGTTCGGTTCCCCGGCCCAAAACAAGTCGATGGAGTTGCTGATGATGTTGAGATTTTTGGGTTTTCGCAATGGGCTAAACTTGGGAGAGGAGCTCATGAACGAGTTGAATGGCCCCACCGAAGTGCAGGAAGAACGTATCAATACATTTGTTTTCCTGTTGTCGATGTGTGCATTAATCTAAGTAAAATGCCTTGGAAATCCACGCGACCTACCGCGAACAGAGCTGCAACCCTGTATAGGATACGGCGTGGGTCGGCAATAACTACTCCATACTATGGAGTCCATAGTCAAAAGCAAATTCTGCGTGTGCTTTTCAAAGATCTCATACTTCGCCAGTTAAAGTCGACCAGCCCTCATCGCCGCCTGAAACGCGCAACTTCTCAATCACAAGCGGTATTTACGTGGAAGGCAACGACGACCGTCGCCATCTTGTCCACATGAACTGCTTTTCGACGCTCAACATCCAGTGGTTTTCTCCAGTGCTGACTCAAGCACGACGGCGTCAGCGCAGCGAACACAGCGCCATACGTGACCGGCCACACCAACAAGAACCCCAACGCGATGGAACTGTTCGTGGGGCCGAACCGGGGCGATCTGAGCGCAGCTCGACGGCGGGTGCGGAGTTGCAAGATGAGAGGGCTCAGCTCACGCATGGGCGACGAGAGAGCGAAGAAGGGAAACAAAAAGAGGAAGGAGAGGAGGAGTGGGGCGTTGCTACACTAAATGATCGTGGTGGTGAATCTGACTCGCGTGACCAGCGCGAAACCCCACCCCACCAACGAACCAGAGAGGATGAATTTGTACCTGAAGCTAGTGCTGTAATGGCCTCGCCGGAAGCTGTTATGGTAGTCCAGCCGGAGCAGGGTAAGCACGGCCCGATGGTATGGAAGCAGAGAGGGTCCAGCGCACGCATGAACTATGGGCGAGTGAAGCGGAAGGAAAAGAAAACAAGGGCGAAGATGAAGATGAGGTGGAGAACGAAGAAGAGGTCGCTTCTTCGTCATCGAACGAGTCCACGGAGGAAGATGCTCGCCCATCAAAGAGACGGCGCACTGCTGGTGAGAAACCTGCCGCCCGTATCCATCCTGGAGGCAGGAAATGTGGCGGCAAGTGCACTGGGCGTGGAGGACGGCGATGCTCCCATCCAGGATCTACGAAATTTAGTCAATCTGAGGGCAAGTGCGCTGGGCATGGTGGAGGGCGTCGGTGCTCGCAGCCAGGGTGCACCAAGTTTGGACGATTGCGGGGAAAGTGGTGGAGGACGACGATACATACGTTAAGGCGAAGGACGCCTCGATCTCCGACACAGCGGAAGAAGAGCAGCAGCTGGCACCAGACAATAGCGCCTGTAACAAGACCCAGGACTCGACGGTGGCCTTGGACGAGTCCTCGCCGAAGTCGAGAGCGAATGACGCATTTGAGGATGAGTCGGAGGCATCCAGACCGAGGGCAGTGAAGAAACGGAAGACGAAGACGAGGGTAGCTACGTGGGACGACGGTGCTGACGCTGAAGGCTCGAATGAGGGTGATCCTGCCCCCACATCTGATTGAGTTCGCTGGCACTCCCTTGGCAAAGTCAAATTGCTGGAAATATTGATCGGCTTTTACGAAAGCAAGGATTGGTTGGAGTGGTGGTTGAAGGAATATGGGAGTGAAACGATTATTTTGCTGCTCAAAGTCGTTGGAGAACTTTACGAATTGACTGCGTCTTGCTGTTAGGTCGCGGTATGGTGGATAGCTGAGCTCACGAATTGCGTCGTATTTGCTTGTCTTTCAAAAGGCCACCTTCGTAATTGAAAACATAAAGAATTTGCTACCAACACTGAACAGTACTTGCATGAATTATCCAGTTTGGCTTACGCAGATTATCGTACTGCATGATTCGTGCACGGGCTTGCTCGAATCTGCAAAGAAAAATGAGGCCACAACGCCGATCGATGTCTGCGAAAAATTAATGATCTTCTTTCACCGAGCGGTGAACCTGTTTCAGCATGCGTCAACTCGTACGGTTGGTTGGTTCGTCTCCCAGAGCAATGTAAACCACTCGCCACTTCTCAAAAGCGAGCGATAACGGGGCGTCGTGGCGATGGCGAGTTCCTTCTCGGCGCTGAACTTGCTCTGGTTTTCTCCGGTGCTGGTTCGAGCGCGGAGCGACTGGCAGAACGCCTCACGTGAGCGGCCTCCAGCACCACAGCAGCGGGAATCCCCCGGTTGTGAAATTAGCCACGAGGAGGTTGCGGTAGTTGATTCGGAAGAAGTTGAGCCTGTGCGGAGAGTGGATTTACTGGAGCAAGCAGAGAGGGCCCAGCGACTGAGCGCGGAACGCGAAGAAGACAAGGCAGTGAAGGAGGAGAAGGATGAAGAAGCGACCGAGTCCGATGAGTCTACAGAGGAAGATGACCCCCAACGAAGCGACGGCGCACGACTACCAACCTTTGCTGCACGCATCCAGGATGCACGAAGCCTTGGCGAGCTAGGGGCAAGTGTGGCGCTCACGGTGGGAGACAGCGATGCTCGCAGCCAGAGTGCAATAATCAAGTTGCGAGTGGGGGCAAGTGTCGTGCGCACGGTGGAGGAAAGCGGTGCTCATAGGCAGGCTGCTCTAAGAGTGCTCAGTTGCGGGGTTTCTGTTGTGCGCATGGAGGCGCACCGAGATGCTCGTACCCAAGCTGCACGAAATACCCAAAAGTGAAGGGGAAATGCCATGAGCACATTCGTTAAGGGCATTTCTCTTAATACTTGCCATGTAAAAGGGAATCAATCTCCCCACACCAATCTACTCTCTTCTTACGCATCAGTCAGTCTGCTAGCCCCATTTCATTAGTCCATTTCAGCTCAATACTAACTTGCGTCGGCCTCTCTGGCACTCGTTTTACTTGACAATAGCCCAACCATCGCGACGGTTCGCGTCAAGTGCGGCATGCTGGGCTGATGGACGCCGAGACGGATCGAATAGCGCCGCCTCCTTCCGAGGAGCGATACGAAGTCCACAATGGTCTTTTCAAAGCCTCCACGAAGGCGTCAGTCGTCGCTCTCAAGCGCAAGATGGACGGCTTCGAGAACCAATTGGCGACGATCCGCGCCCGACTTGAAGCGAGACGAGAGCTAACAGCGCCAACTCAACGAGACTTCCACCTGTCAGCATTAAATTCTACCTCAGCCGTGTCAACAACGTCTTCATCCTCTATCCATCAACTAAAACTTCCCTTACTACGACGAATTGATGGAACACGAGTAGCGAACGCGCCGCCGAAAGACCCCTTCCTCGAGGTGGAGAACGTTATCCACCGCACCATGACCCGAGAGCTCTACGATCGTGACGCAAACATCGTGGCGACAAAGGAATTCGCGGCTGCATCCGCTACTAAAGACGCTGAGCAGTTAGGAGAAGAGGCTCGGAAGCGCATGGTCGCGTATACGCAGAACGAGAGCGGGTGGCGGTTCGAAGAGCGTACCTCGAGGTACCAGCAGGTGATGGAGGTGAAGCAGCGCGCTGACCAGGCCCAACGCGAAGCTGAGCTGCAGCGTGATACCGTTCGCCAGATGAAGACGCTGCTGCGAGATCCGTACAAGGAGCTGCGGTCATGTCCAATCCCGAGAAGTGAGCTCGCTCCTCTAGCGTCAATACAAGACCAGACTTTAGAGAGGAGGAAGGCGTTCGAGTGGATCTGGGTCCTCGCTTCTCCGTCTACAAAACTAGCGTTTACACCGCGAGAGGAAACGCCGAACAACGTGATCGACAGCGAGAAGGAGCTATCGATGTACGTCGTGTACTACATCGCTGCCTCAGATGCTAACGCCAAGCGTGTCGAGACTGCAGAGCAGTGGCGCGATGTATTGGGCAACGACTGTCCACCCACATCTGGCTGGATGGGCTGCTCGGTCCACGGTGTGCCCCCAGCTCCAGAGTTGATATCGATTAGATCAGGGATTCAGACTTGGACTGTTGCAGGCGCTGGAGCTGGTCATCTGAACGGTAAATACATGGCATGTGGGGTGCACGATAATGTGCGTAGGTTCAAGTCGCCTGCTGGGGTGGAGCTCTTCCGGAAATGTGTACCGGTAGATTCTCGGTTGGCTCAAATTCTCCATGGTGGGGAGTCTGCGCGTCCTGAATCCGCCAGCCCCAGTGTTACTGGTGACGATTTGGGTGGGAAGGAAGACACGGCAAAATTGACACAGAAAGCGAAGCCGGGTGTAGTTTTACCTAGTGGGTTAGCTGCGATCGAGAAGGATGAACTTGACTTCCGATCAATGCGGCGGGTTGGCTCGTGGCTTAGTACGAACGAGGCTATCGAACGGAACCGACGAATGCTAGCAAGTCGCAGTATTGGGGACGATTCTGCAGCGTTAAAGCTTGATGGGAGTAGTGTGATGAGCCAAGAGTCTCGAGAAGTGGAAGACGCCAGTGATTTCGTGGAATCCCGTCCTGAAATCAGTGCTCCTTTGTGTCGAGAGTGGGTACTATTTGCACGATGTTCGAGGCTTCGAGGGGATAAAGGGGTCTCTGGACCAAGCGAGCCTCCGATGAATGGCGTTGGTCTGGGTTGTTTGAAGCGACACTACTACATTTCGTTCGAGGAGAAGAGAGACATGACGGTTTGGGTGCAGACGAAGGAGTCGTGGCTGGAGAAAAATGTTCTGAACATCATCATCGAGCGCGAAGCGCAACTGGAGCGCGTGCACCACTTGAGCCGCAAATGTATGGTCAAATTCCAGCAGAACTTGCGGGAGGAGACCGAGAAGTCGAAGCTGAAGTTGTTCGCAGAGCTGAATCGCGTGCGCTTCTTAACAGTGAAAGTGCTAGAAACCATTGCTCGTTGGCGGGGACACGCTAGGAAGGTTGGCTTTGCGCGATACGATGACCCAGTGAAGCGGATGAAAGGGCTTAAAGAAGGCGCAGCCTGTAGCGAGAAAGTTTTACAACAGCCCGAAACGGAGGCGCCTCTGCTTGGATGGTCGTCATCGATAACGTTAGACACGGGGAAGCAGCTCTACAAAGGCTCCAAGGCTTTCGTGTCCAAAGTGAAACGCTTCCGTCGAAGTGAAGATGTTACCGGTAAAAAAGAGCAACACATCGTGTATTTGGGGTACTTCGAAACCCAAGAAGAGGCTGAGCGCGCGTATGACGAGCACGCAGCCTCCGAAGCACGGCGGTTGAACACCACGGTGGAGCATCTCCCTCGTCGACGAAATGTATTTCGCTCTTGTGGCAAACACTTTGCTGTGGAGAGTGAAAAAGATGGCCCCAGTTTCTGTATCGAGTGCAAAACCAAGCGACTAGCGTCGATATCGTCGACTTTGGCGGATGAATGGGTACCACCATTCTTTTATGGCACGGGGGTCAACTATATCATGAAAATGGCGAATGACTTGGACTTTCTGGATGAGGTGCTGCCCCTGAAGGCAGCTCTGAACATTGGTCGTGGCGTTCATGAAGACGAAGCGTTCCCACTGCGGGGTAATTTATTTCTTCTTCCCAGAACACCTATACAAGACCCTGACCTCGCTGTATTCACGACGTTTTCAACCCCTACAGCTCCGCGTCTGGGTGAGAGTCTCGACAGTCGTGGAGTCAATGATATTGATGACGAGGCTCTCGATCGCGAGCGAATCTTCAAAGCGCAGCAGATTTTTCTGCAGGAGCTGCAGATTTATCGACCCGAGGTGCTGTCTAAACCACAGAATGCAGCTCAAAATCCACTTCCCAAGCAGAAAATTCGCGAGGATTTATCACCGCAGTATCGCCTAGTAGAAGCGTTGTATTGGGACCATTGTGCGGCGCTCAAGGTCCAGCAAGAAAGATTGCCAATGGCTTTGCGACAGGATAATATATGGTGCCGACCTGATGCGGGCGAGTGGGCGAGCTTAGCGGTTCGAGGAGCACACCAGCTGCACTTTTTGTTCGAGCAGAAGCTGGAGAAGGCTGGGAAAGAGATGGTGCAGCGACGGCAACAGGTCCTCGCAGCTGTGCGTCAGCTGAACAAGGTGCCGCTGTATTTTGTGCCGTCACGGACCAACTTTACGGAGCTTATCGCGGCTGGCCAGCAGGTCCGCGGTGACGTGGTGCAACTCGAGGTGAATATTGCTACTAAGCGACTGCAACGATACGATTCGTGGTGCATCAAGTCACTGGTCGTGCAGCGATGGTTTCGCGGTGTTTTAGGGCGACAAAAGGCGCGAACAACACGGAAAGCGCTCCGTCTTGCTTACAAACTGCGAGTATTTTACACCAAGCAGGTCGCTGCTGTGGCGAGATCGTTTTATGAGTCTCAAGTGCTTGCAGTAGCGGTTCGTAAAGCTTACAAGGCTATTTGTACGCCGATCTACACGCGCTCAGTTATGATGAACGGAGAGCTTGTGGTCGTCACCTTCCATTCCCTCCAGCACTACCAGCTCTACCACAGAGATTTCGATACCACGGCAACGACCAAACGATCCGTAATTCCTTCTAATTGTTGCACAAGTTGTGCCCGCCGACATCACGTTAAAGTGCACTATCAATCGTTTGAGAGCAAGTTCTCGGTGCTTCAAGGAGTTTGTACGTGCTCAGTATGCGGAGGAAGCTCCCAAGACGACGATAAAGCGAGCGAGAGCTGGTTGATTCGTGCGTACAGTCCTTCACATAATGTCATCTATCGGCTACGAGTGGATTCACCGCAGCTCGAGCAGCTACTTCAATCGCAATTCTACCTACCGTCGTCTAGTGCCAACTACCGCCCGCTTGTCGTAGAATGGGAGACGGCAAAACTCGCAGCAGCCGTGACATCAAACTACACAAAATATTGCTGCCAGAAAGCAGATAAGGCAGTAACTACGCTGGAAAATTGGAGGCGGATTAGCAGTGGGGCGACGCAGACTCGGAAATCCTTGCTGGTAGCGCTAGATAAGAGCTTGGCGCTACTGACAAGTACCAAGTCTGCGCATGAAGTCTCAGTAATTAATGCGAAGAAGGCTCTAGACTTCACATCACGACCATTTTCGGAGGCCCAGGCGTGGGACCCGCTGGAGAACGCCAACGACTGGAGGTTCATCGTGGAGAAGCGGCAGTTGGTCAAGCGTCTGGAGGAGACACACCAGGAGGTGGAGCGCTTACGGGTAGCGCATTTCCAGGCTACATACAATGAGCAATACGCTCGAGCAGGGGCTACCCAAGCGCAGGAAGAGTACACTCGATACTGGATGCCGCTAATTGAACGAGAAAGCCAGGCAATGGAGGAGGCCATTCTGGGTGAAACTACAGCGAGGACGAAGATGGAGAACTTCATGGAGCAATTGTTCGCTCGCTTCTTGACGCTGCGTGATGGTTACCTGGTTCCTACTCGACGTAACCTTGTCGTCCAAAGCCCTCTTTGGCACGATATGGCTTCCTTTCGTCTTGATATTCCAGGACTTAGGCGACGGCTGAATTATTTGCGAAGCCGAACTTTAGTTCTATCAAATCTGGCCAAGCAGAACAAGCGGACTCGACGGATGGTTGTGACCGTCAGTATGTGGCCGCTTATCGCCCGCAGCGGCAATAACGCCCGCACAAACAGAGACCTGTGGGTGACTGCGTACGACCCGGTGGACTGCTCGATGCACAATATCTTCCTGGAATGGGAGCTCGTTCAGCTTCTAACCGGAGCACCAGGGAGGAAAATCTGGCAAGACGCTACGGAATCTAAGAGGACTGCGTGGAGATCTATTGCGGATATTTTGCTCTCGTTAACTATGCTGGACCGCTTTACCGGTGAATTTACGCTGCAAAAGCTGCAGTTCTACCACACATTGCGTCGTTTAACTCCGCAATTTTTATCCAGCAAGGTGATGAGGGACCTTCAAGCAGGTCGAAAATCCGGACAAGGAGACGAGGTATTGCGTCAAGCAGTGTCGGTCGATGGGAAGCTGTGCGTTGTTGTGGTGTACGAGAACTGGGGAGATCTGATCTTCGCTATTTATCACACAGCGAGTGGTGAATTTTATCGATTGGAAGTACCGTTACGAGTCGTGTTTGACCTTCTAAGCAGCAAACCGTTGATGCTTCGCCTCTGGATAAGTTGCGTCAAGTCCAATTCGTACGCACCGACACTTTTGGTGCATCTTTTGAAGCATGTGAGGTTTTGTAAATGCGAAGATGGAAGTGAACTTGCGCGGATAGATCATGACATTCCTGCTCAGAAACGCTCCAAGCGCTACCAATCTCTACTTCGCATTCAGAATCGACAGGTCCTTGTGAGCATTATCGAAGACAGTGGAGGCGACTTTCAGGTTTCTGGATATGATGTGCGAAGCGAATTGACCTACAAACTTCTGCTTGAGCGTGAAGCTCTTCACCGAATCCTCAAAACGGGTGTTGTCCACGATGGTGCGGATATTGGAGAACCTCTGGCAACTTCCGCTTCGTCGCTACTACTCCGTCGGAACAGAAAGCTGCTGTGTGAATGGATTTGTAGTCGTCTGCGCTTCCAAAGCATGCTAGAACACCCTGAGCTGGTTACGTCCGGAACTTCACCGTTAGTTTACGGACTTCATTTGCGAGAAAGTTTTCGGATTCTGAATCGGTGGATTGCTACAAGTCCGAGGAATCCGCTGAGTGCTGTGCCCGATACAGAAATTACGCGCCGCGCGTCTTCAATCGACGCTGCTGCCTTTGCAAGTCTGCAGTTCGACCAGCTAACACTAGTGGCGCACCGCCAACTCCCTTTTGAACTAGAGAAAGAATATGTTGGCACGATGGACTGGATAGCAGCTGTGGCTGGAACGTCGCCTTCATCATGGAAGAAGCAGCTTCCGTATATGAAGATGGATTTCTTTGTGAAATCTCATACTTTATTTGCTCGACTGCGTGGGGAACTGGAAACTGAAGCGAAGGAACGTCGCAAAAGAGAGAACTGGGCGGGGATGGAGCAGGAGGATCACAATGTGCTCTGCATTGATGATCCGAATATGATTCAGTCGCCTGCTATGAAGTATCTGTCCTCGACAACTGATACTGCCAAAGCGGCTGAGAACGAAGCCCCAAAGACTGATGCTGATTCAAACCTTCTAAAGGTGGTCGCAGCAGACGTATCAGCTATACCAGCCAATTCAGCGACTACCAGTGTCGTAAATACTGGGTTGCTGATCCCCAGCAACAGCAGTGAGCCGATCCAGGAGGTCTTCTTATCTGACGTACCCGCCTGGACGCCTTCAGCACAGCTCCCGTTCGTGATACACGCACAAGAAATGGTCAAACATTTCCGGTCATTTTTTCACCAACAATGGAGGCAGCAAAAGCAGCTCCCTGGCTCTCGTTTTGGGCGGCGCTCGTCAAACGCTAATGAATTGTTAACCTGCCAAAGAGTGGCTTACGGCGTGGTAGTGTACCAGGTTGTTCCACGGGAATCGTTCTCGAAAGCCCAGATATCTCAAATAAACGCCCGGGCTGCAGCACTTATGGGTGGAGCTTTCGTTTGTGGTCCAGTACTGTTTTGGCCCTCACAGAACCGCAGCGACTGGTACCAGCGCTTGCTTGATAGTGATGCGGTTCACAGAGAGTTAGCCATCCACTCAGAAGACACCGAGTTTGAAGATGTGCCACTTAAACGCCCGGCGGCTGTGCGTTCAGCCAAATATTTACCTTGGAAGCAGTTTGCAATTGAACGACTACGAATTGCTCGAGCTGTGAAGCGGGGCAGGACGGCGGAAGGACTAAGCGCTGATTTACTGGTGGAAGGTGTTGGCCAGATAGAAAAGGACTCGTGTACTATCGCCACGACCTCAATTGGATTCCGTCAGCTGGAGCTATCACTTGGTGTGCGAGATACCCGTGAAATTTGTGGTGATGGAAGTGTTAGCAAGGCTATGAAGCATCTTTTTGCTCTATACGAGGACACTGAGGACAGTGACGAATTGACGAAGTGGCGGGTTTCATTAAATAACCCTTGGATACTGCATAACGTTTTAGTCATCTACGACCAGGATGGGCACGATATTCAGATCCCTGCTACTGGGCGTGACGACAAGGACGTCTTCACGATGCAAGGGATTCAGGTGGAGGTTGACGACGTGGATAAACCACGCCGTATTCTTTTTTCTTGTCGTGAGCTGCAGACCCAGCGCAGATTCTTTGTCGACTGTGACTTTCATAGTCTTCAATGTCTCCTTTTACAACGCAGGCGGCACGTCGTGAGTTCTGACCCTCTTCTGCTCACGTTGTCGGTGCAAGCTGAAGCTGCATGGAGGCGTCGGTCGAGGGTTACGACAATTCAAGACTGGAGAAGAGTCGCAGCTCTAGCATCCCAGTTCCTGGTGTTTCGAAGGAAGAATGGCGCGCTCACGTTGTGCTTAGAGCAGCCCACCCCAGAAATACAGGTGCCGGAAGGTAGTGCAACAACCGAGCCTGTTCCTGCTGAAGTTGATGAAGCTGATAAAGTCAGAGTTAAACCGAGTGATAGCAGCACCGAGCACTCTGTGGTTGAAGAAGAACCGGTTGGTATTAGAGGACACGAGAACGAAGTTGCTCTGCCCCCAGTTTTGCCGCGTCGACACCAATTTCGTGTTGACATTTTGGAAGAGCAGAGAGCAGTAAAGCGGTCGATCGTGCAGCACTTTCAGAAGCACCAAGCGGCTATTCGGTCCGCTTCGTGTGGTAGAATACTCTCCAGGACTGCTTCTCTCGGTTCGCAAACTGCGTCAGAGTGGATGCAGATGACTCAAGAGGATTGGCGCTCGCACGAACTCCGTGGTATTCTGGTGTTGGATTCGAGTGTGCTGACTAAATTGGAGAAGGCGTACACTCCAGCGACAAGACGAGCTCGAGAGTACCTTAAATCTGCACCTAACGAAGACGGCAGTGGTGGTGCTGAGCTGCAACAACAAGCAATAGCCAAAGCCATGGGTCAGACCGCGTTGCCGTCGAGTGAAGTAGAAGTCCTGCAGTCAATTAGGATGTTGCGATGGCGACGTCGAGGCAAAGAGGCTACTGTCGCTGCGAAACGAGCGGAAGCCTACCTAGCGGATATTGCCGAATGGTGGCGTCGCCGGTTAACCACCATCGAATCGGAAATGAAATGATGCATTATTCAAGTACATGTATCGGCAATGATGATGTGGAGACTAAGTGAACGTTTCGTCTGGGCTATCAGCACTTCGTCGCTTCCTATCCCAGTGTAATCTCGAAACGTCAGCTTCGAACGTCAAACTACCGTAATCTGCATGTGCCAGCTTACTCTGTTCAACGCTAAATGTTTATTGATCGCTCTGGGCGTCATCGTCGATCTGCTGTGCGCGATGCTTTCGCCTTCAAGTTTTGATTCTTCAACTTGAGGAAGGCTTGTGCGGCCTCGAGTTCCTTCTTCGTGAACTTGGCGACGCCCTTGCGGCATTGTTTTGGACGCCGTCCAGCTTCTTGATGAGCTCACCGTCTTGCGAGCGGGAAGTCGTCATCTTCTGCAGGGATGGGAAGTTTGAAGTGGACTTTGTAATTTGGTTTCTTTAGCTTTGATCCGCAGTTCAAAAGCGAATTATGGAGATGACGGTCGTCGACACTGCCAGCGCCAGCGCCACTTGCCAGTGTCGTTGCGCATGTCAAGCACAAGCAAGGACACCGCTTCCGCATTCCCTAAGCCCTTCGGCGACCCTCGTCAAGGCGACATGCTTCACCAGCGCCAATACTGTCCCAGCTTCATTAAAAAGTCTGGTTCAGGCTGAATGACAAACGCAGCAAAGACTACGTCGGCGTAACACTTGCTGCTGCTCGCGGTACTACATGCATCTTCGAGCCTGCCAACACGCTTAAACATTACGTCGGTCTCGTAGCAAACAGCATTTGCATGCAAGACGAATGATTTATTTTTCTGTGTCTGAGGCCTAATTAATTCGAATATTTCTCATCCCTCCGAAGCCGGCCAATCATCATCACTACCGGTAACTCAGTGCAGGCAACTTCAACTTACGCTAATTTCTAATGGTTAGAAAACGCTTTAGGCCATTTCAAACTGAAATAAACGGCCATTAATCAGTTTGATTCGAATCAAATAGCAAACGGACCCAATAGGGGGTCCTTATTGATGCGCTATAACAAATTGTTCAACTCTTGGGGCCGAAAAATGATGTGCAGCGCAGGTTGCATCGCTCTTCACGACTTAGCAGCGACTCGTAGATGAATCCAAGGTATTAGTAGCAGCAGATCTACTGTGTTCGCTATCTTTTGCCTTAGCCTCGAGTGATACGAAGTGCACTACTTCGCGTTTTGTCCCAATTATTTGGAGTTGCCCCATAATCTCCCGGAGTAAGTGCTCCGGGTAGCCTCACATTATGCCTCAGCTAGGATGCGGTGGAGCACCTACTGTAGACAGCGAAGGAGGGAGAGACCGCCAGCACGGACGAGGCCAAATCCGTTAACGAGAAGAGGATTGACATGGAGGAGATTTTTTTTATTCAAAAAAATGATCACCGATCGGTCTGGGCATAATAGTATTGTGCTCGCCTTCTATTGGTTCTTCAACCTGAGGAGGGCTTGCGCGGCCTCGAGTTCCTTCTTCGTGAATTTCGTGGCGCTTTGTGCAGCCTTTTGGGGGGCCTTCTTGATGCTGTCCAGCTTCTTGCCGAGATCACTGAGGCTCGCCCACTAGGTACGTTCCTCATGGGTCGGCCTTGCGGTCGTCCTCGGCGGCGTCCTCGGCCTCGTCGTCTAGGTCCGTGCTCCGAAGGAATCTCTTCCAGGAGTCCGTGCTGAGCACATCATCGTTCGCGAAGTCGGGAGTGGTCTTCGACAAGAGCGCGGACTCGTCGGCAGCCGCGAACGCTGCGACGAAACTGCTGTGAGCGAAGACCGCAACTGCCAGTGCGACGTAGAATACACTGCGCATGACTGTAGCGGACGGGAGGGAGGGGTGTGTGGGTGGCCTTGTGGTCTTGTGGTCTTGAGCGCAAAAGACAAAGTGGCAGTCAGTGTTACGGCTGGCTAACCGTCACGGTTGCCGTGCCGTTGGTCAGCTGTAACCGTAAGCCATCCTGTACGAGAACTTTTTATAAATACAGCCATGAAATAATAGATTGAGAGGTCCTAATCCGAATCCGAATCCGATCCCAGTTGTATTTAGAGAATCTCTTTCGGATTGGGACTACATGTACGATCCCGTTTTCGTAATGCGCAGTAGGGGTAATACTGTACACCTTTGCCAATCCAAGTTGGCCAGCAGTGTAAGACAATGATTACATGATGATTACTCTGTGCTGAAACCTTAACCCTTTCCCGCTAAAAGGATACAGAAAGCGCCCTTTAGATGATTTTCCAACACTGGTAGAGTGTACCCCCCCCCTCCTGAAGGGCGCATCCTGTGCCCTTAATTAACCTTCTTTTAAAACAAATCATAGTCGGTACGCAGAGTAGCGTTGTTGGATGCACGCAGTTGGAGCTTTTTGAGGGATAATCCACAGCTTTGCGTCTCCAGTCCACAGCGATTGACGACGGAGCTGGCCGATGGGTACAATAACAGGCTGCCAAGGACAGGACCATCAATCTGCGGCGACGGCTGTACCATTCTTGAGGTACATGTATAGCGAGCTACCCTTCTTCAGGTACCCAGGTCGGAAGCACATGCAGCAGGTGCTGAGTGTGCAGGTTCGGGCGTCTAGCGCGGGGAGCAAGTGGGTACAGGCAACATCTATGGGTACGATACTTAGCTGGCTATTTGGGCAACAAAATGCAGTGTCGGCGTCGAGCTAACTCGCAATACTGACGTTACTGTGGATGAAAATGCAGACTCCAAGATCCTGCTTGCCGGGCACGGGTGGCTCTGGGGCCGTAGAGGACGGCGCGTGGCCATTTTCCGCAGGTGCGCGTGCAGCGGCATACTTGTGTGGTTATAATGATGCTATGCTTGTAGACTAACGTGCTATATTGGTGGTGCTGTGAACGAACAGGAGGTGAAGTGTGGATTGGCGCTCGAGGGGCCAATACGCCCATGCCATGGACCCCATGGTACGTGTTGGGCGTGCTGGTGCATCCGGTTTTTTTGACAGCAGCACCTGGGCGCGCTATACGTGGACGACCGTGAGCAGCAGCGCAAGAACTGCTGCATCGCGTGCAAGATCGGCGACTTCAGGCTCAGCGCGGACGAGGTGCTGCGCGGCCGCCTACGACGCGATGCCCAATGTGGCGAAGGTGGCGCGCCAGGAGGCGTACGACACGATCGCGGCCGGCAAGTAGTCGCGCGTCATCATGCTCGTGCGCTTGCCGCTCATATTTGACGCGTCGTGCGCGTTCGACACGTTCTGCGCGATGTTCGTGGCCAAGGACATCAACGCGTACCCCTACGGGTCGCAGCGGTTTGCTCCGTTCGCCTGCTTGTTGCAGGACAGGCTGCTCAGCGTGGCAGCGTGCGGACGGATGAACTGGTAGAGCTACAGCTAGATGCACAGTTAGGGTCGTTCATGTACAATAATTCCTTTAATGCTATTAGAATATTTGCTAGCCATGGTCATGTAATGCGCGTGGACAAATAATGCAACCATATCTAGATTGACAAGTTGTTGCGGGTCATGGCAATACCTACTACTGCTAGTAGATACTACGTAGTAGTATGTGTGTAGGATAAGTTTAATGCGTAAGAGAAAGCTTACATGTTCAACTTGTACTGCATTGTTTGTTATTCTAGTCCTAATATGCGTGGAGTGAAACAACATGTGCACCTAGTATCACTACCAACCATGCGTGCAGATGCACGACGACTGCCCTGAAGGGAGCTGCTCACGCGGAACAACAACAACCTATCGTAGCTTGCTGTTGTTCCGCGTTGAGCACTACGTAGTGGGCGGCGTCACTTGCTGTCCGCAAGTTTAATCCTCTCGCTGGCGGTGGCGTCGCCCTTGCGCTTGAACTTGTCCCGCGACGACAGCGAGTGGCGGCGAAACTCCGAGTGGACCAACGGCGACGCCTCGCTGTCGCTGAGCGCCCCCATGACGCTCCGCGTCGATGCTCTTGTGCTCGGCGAGCACCCCTGTGTGCTGCTTCCAGCTTCATAACCTCTATACAGCAGCGTAGACACGTCAGCATTTAGAGTTAGTACGTCAACCATGCCACAAAAGATGGGCCATAACAATTTAGAGAGTTAGTAGATCAAACAAGGCGTAAATGCTGCTGCTCACTACACCACAGTCACGTGAGGCGAATCACTGTATTGGTGGAGCTGAAGCTCGAAACCCGCAATAGTACAATGAGAAGACGTTGAATAAACGTAGCGAATTAGGTAGTAAATTAGAGTTCATTAGATGTGTGATGTCATGGCCTAATAGTTCTGCCTGAGGAACTTGGCTTCTGCTGCTATCCTTGCGCTCAATAACACCAACAGCATCATCGACTTCACATTGCACTTCAATCGCATTTAGTGGTCACGCAGATAGAGACTCGTGGGTTCCCGGCAAATCAACTTGTGGAACCAGTGCGTTTCACTGCGAAATTGGTGGATCCGGCCAGCTGTTGAACACACATTTTAAGAATTGACGGTTTTGCTAAAGACCTCTAATTAATCGATACTTTTGCGAGTACGCGTTACACGCACGGCTTCATGCGACACCGAATAGGCAACCCGGAGCGTTGCTCCGGGAGGGTACACAGGTCGGCGAATAGTTTCATGGACGATGATAACGGATAACAATTGAGTAAATCCCAAAGTTGTGTTGTTTTTAATCCTTTTAAGGATTTTAAAAGAGCACTACCAGCCGAACTCTCTAGTTGATTCTAACGTGGGCATCTACTGCGCCTGCTTCGCAGCCCGGGAATAACACCCTGGTCAGCGTCCAATGGCCAGCAACGAGAGAGCTATTTCATTCAGTTTGCAGGTAAGGTATACTGTGCAAATTTAGTACTATGTTGTGCTAACGATCAGACGAGAGAGCTAGTGGAACGAAGGAGAGATGCATGGTGCGCTGATCTTGCCTTTTAACTTGAGGGTAAAGTGCGGGATGAGAAATACGTTAATGTGCCAAGTCCTTGGAAGTGGGCGCTTCAACGCAGGTAAAGAAAGCCTAATTCAAACGAACGATGCTCGTGTCACTGTCGAGTTGAGCTGGTTGGTTTGGCGAGAGACACGAGGTTGGGCATCTTCGGCTAAGTGATTGAGTATTGAGCAAATTGACATGTAAAAAAATGCAGCCTGCAGCTAGACAAGTCATATTGGTCATCTTCAGCTAAGCTTGGTCGATTATGGCGCAAATTGATACGCCTTCAGCGAGGCCATGACGCTCTCATAGTGTACTGGAGCGTCCGTAAGTGTTTGGACGCAGGTTTTGGTAAAGAAAGAACGATTATTATCAACCTTTGGTAAATATTGTGCATAAATCTTAACATTTATCGACGGGTACCCGATTCCGGCAGATATTAGCTTAAACATTACAATTAAGAAAGAGAGACCCGGTTTGGTACCCGGTTTTGGAAAGTTACAAGTTTTTTGCCGGGGCCAAGCACAGGTCTTCGACCTGTGAAATCCCCTGCCGGCTGCGCAGCAGCATACCTTATGGTTCACTTGCTATCTCAGTAAAATTTGAAGCGTTTGGGCTTCGCCTACCGAATACTTAAGGCGGGCCCGCCCACGCGATTCGGCGCCAGTGATTCACCCTGGAGCCGCTGATACGGCGCGGGGGCGCAAGAATGCGATGCAGCGAGAGCAGCGAGCTCGTCAGCGCGAACGGCCTTGGGTAGAGTTGGCGCAGGAGCATGTTGCAGATTTGATCGCCATTAATGCAGCCCGGGTGATGAACAATACTCAACGCCAAAGCCGACGCATGGAGGAGACGGAGAGTGATAGGCAGCAACGCTTGCTGAGACAAAGGACAAGCCGTCAGGCAAAGGTTGCTAGCTGTCGAGAGGAGGATAGACGAGTTGGAGAGCAGTTGTCTGCGCGAGTAATCGTGGCTTGTGACCTGACGGAGGATGAAATTCCGTGGATGGCGAAAAAACAACATTTTTTGCAAGTTCTGCGCCTCGCGCTTGCATATTACTATTGCTGCGGAACAGATCCCCGCTCGTTTGTTTTTGGAGATGAACAGGTAGAGAGCGAGGAAGGAGCGATCGGATCTCTAAACTACTGGATGATTATCCGAGGGCAAGTGATATTGCGGATTGTCAGCGGTTAGTAAACGAACATGCTTCAGAGTCAACCTCCATTTGGGCATGCGCGGCTTGCGGGCGCATTCTACTGGAAAACAAGTCGGAGAAGGCGTTTTTTCGTCATTGGAGGACCTGCGACCTAGTGTCATGCTTTCCGCTCCCGAGTTAAAAAAGCTCTATATCGATTCCTCGGAGGCAATGGTCCGAAAGTACCGACAACTGTTTTTTTTATCGTGATGAAGTGTATTATTTGATTCCGGAGCTTGTTAGAGACCACGAAAAAATACCATTGTGCCAGAGGTGCCACGGCGATCCTCGCAAAAACAAATTTAGTGTAGCTGCGGGCCATGATTATGGTCGAATCGCAGAGCAACCTGTTCTCAATGATGTGGCGATGGCGTGTGTTTCTCCGGCCCGCTGTTTTGGATTGGAGTTGTCGCTGTCGGGGAAACATTCGTCCGGTCACGCGATATGTTTCCCAACGAACAGCCCTTGCGCGCTAGCTCGTGTTCTGCCGAATGTTGACGATGTAAGCACGCGCGTCACTTTTATCGGGCCGATGGAGACGTAAAGGAAAAAAGTTCTCAAGCTATTTGAAATTCCAGTTGATTGTGTGTACCAATGGCTCGAGGTTTTTGTGAATCCTCCACGAGCCTGCACTTGCCCGTGCTGACCAACTGCGCGAGTGGTACGGTGCCCTGTTGCCTGGCCATGTCTTCGCGCCCCTCGTCGTGCCTTAAGTCGAACTTTGAGATATTAAAGTCACACCAGTTTCTAGTTTTCTTTGGGACGAAGTCCCCTCTATAATAGCGCCTTACTCTAATTTAGCTGTTTTTACAACTCAGATTTACTTTTTACCAAGGGTCGATATCAATTACTAGAATGGGTTAGGGTCACAATTTATAATCGATTGCGGCCGAAAACGGCGAAAAAAACCGGGGTTTAGTACCGCAATGGCTATTAATAGAAGGTAGAATCAGTCAGTTTCATTTCTAAATGAACTGTTGTCACTAACTAATAATGCCATAAAACCCGAGGGTCGAAGTTACGAAACAGTGATTGCGACGGTTAGTATGGAGGATATCAGAAATACCTTAAAATGCGATGTTTTAACCCTTTCGCGAGTATCCTCAATAAATTATAGTATACAACTCATTGATATTTCCTTCTAAAAGGGCGCTCTAGGCGTCCTTTTACAAAGTTACGGAGCCTTTTTGGTGTGTCTCATCGGACATGCCATCTACGGTGATTTGCAGGATAAATAGAATGTATGCGTATAACTTAGAAATTGTATTGACAATGATTACATGATGATTGCTCTGCGTACCGATTATGATTTGTTTTAAAAAAGGTTGATTACTGCAAAAGGGCACAGGATGCGCCCTTTAAGAGGGGGTACACTCTACCGTGTTTTGGAAAATCATCTAAAGGGCGCTTTCTGTATCCTTTTACCGCGAAAGGGTTAACTCAACTTGGAGATCCTTAGGACCCCTTGTTAAGGCTATATTACCTGTCAAACCTTATGCCTGCGTAAAAAGGGTAGCCTGTAAAAAGTCTGGACCGACCCTCTACACAGCGAGCCGCCATCATATCGAAACGACGCATTCCTTCACCATGCAGACACAGCCGACAAGTTCGCCATAGCGTACCAGCAGCTGGCCGAGACGATCAAGGTGGGCGACACAGTGCTGCCTGACGGATGGACACATCCGCCAGGCGTGCACGGCCGTGGGTCAGGGCGAGATCACGTGCCACGGAGGAGATCGGCATCCGCAAGGGCGTGAACCTGCCCGGCCTCATCGTGGAGCTGCCGGCGCTGTCGGAGAAGGCCAAGCGCGACCTGGAATGGGGCGTGGAGCTCGACATCGACTTCATCGCGGCGTCCTTCATTTGCAAGGCCAGAGGCGTGCACGAGATCCGCGCGTTCGTGAACGAGTGCATTAAGAAGACTAAGTGCATCGCGCCCAATATCATCTCTAAGGCGGAGAGCTTCGAGGGTGTGTAGAACTTCGAGGAGATCCTCGAGGCCTCGGGCGGCATCATGTGCGTGGAGGTGACCACCCAGCACGTTCTGGCGTACCAGAAGATGGTGGCGAGCCGCTGCAACGCCGTGGGCAAGCCCATGAATGTAGCCACGCAGATGCTCGAGTACACGCAGAACAACCTGCGCCCGACGCGCACCAAGGTCTCGGAGGTGGGCAGCGCCGTGGTGGACGGCGCCGACTGCGTCATGCCTAGCGGCGAGTTGGTGGCCACCATGAGCATGGCCGTCAAGGAGACCAACGAGCTACTGCTGCAGCCCACGTACCGCGCCAAGTTCCGGTTCGACCTGCGCACGTCGACCGTCAAGACGGCCAATGAGATGCACGTGCAGCTCATTTTTTGTGCTAACCTCCACGGGCTACACGGCGCGCAAGGTGACCAAGTACAAGCGCGCTTAAATACGGTCGTGAGCTACGTGATCCTCGCGGGCGAGGTTTACTTCGAGGAACCAACGGCGGCGAGGTGATTTAACACCTGCGATCGCCGGCTCCGTCAAGCGTTTTGGTCCCGGCAGCAGTGTGGCGAACTTGTCAATGGCGTGATCCACATCACGCCATTGCGTGCGGCGGCATTTGCCATTAAGTAAGGATACTTTATGCCATGTACTTGTAAACATTACAGATAGCCTTCAATTTCATTTGCAATTTGTTCCGTGCTAGAGTTCCTATAGTTCTATTGCTCGGTCGCGATAGCTGTAGTATCGTGTTGAACGAGGCGTCGGCTGGAGCAGGGGAATCAATGAAATTGGCGCAATTAGTTGAAGTGTAGTAGCTCGGCTGAGTTTGGTGTGGCTCGCAGAGTGGCAACCGAGTGCTCTACTCTTCCGTCGTGATGGGGGCGCGAAGTTCGCTGGCTTTGGATGCGTGCGTTTTAGGCAACGAGTGTGTGCATGGTTGTTTGGGTGCCACATTTTTTATTGCCGACTAGCCACTTCTGAAATTAATTAACCGAATAAGCTTAGCCGCTTTTTGGGTAGCTTGGTGTCGTACTTAAATGAGAACGATACCGCTGCAGGCGGGTCCTGCCAACTACCGAGCGAAGCGAGGTGCTCCCCCTTCGGGGGAGGTAGAGGGGGGTCTAGGGTTTTGTGCCCCAAGGGTAAAGGGGGTTTAGGGATCAGGGTGTACATATAATGCCAAGGCGACTTAATGTTGAAGCTAGAACGCTACTTGTGGTTGTTTTGGCTCTGGCGCATTCGTCTCTGCCTGCCTGAGCGAGTTCGTGGAAAGATGGCATTCGTGTTCATTGCAGTCGCTGCAGCGACTAGCGTAGTGTGTGGATAGCTGTAAATGATCAATCTAAGTCTATTAGTTCGGCGCTCGTTCTGGGCTGTAAAGCGTGCGTCCGAAGGCGCTATACGAACGGCTGCGCAACAGCACAGAATGTTGCGCTGACAGTGCATTCAACACGCTCGGATCTTGCTCCTTGTCCATCAGAGGGAGGCTCATCAGGTTGAGCGCCGCTGCCACACTCGGAAGTTCCGACAGATTTTCGGTAAATGCGGCTGGGTGTTGGTCGTTACCTAGATAGGTAGGTTAAATGTATTTGTGACGAGGGCCGAGAGAAATTTTCTCCCGACCACGTCTGTCGTCTGCCTGAGTTCATCTCGCCCAAGCCCGGTAACAGGATTATCGTTGGAGTTTGGTGGTGCATCGGTGCTTACAGCCTTTGAGCATCCGAGAACATGGACCTGAGCTGATGTTGGTGTCATGCAGTCTCCGCTCAGACTCTGTGCTGGGTGGTCAAGTGTTTGGGGTCTGGGATGTTTGGCACTAAGCGTCTCCGGTCTGAGCTGATCCCTGATGTCTGACCGATGGCTTCTGCAGCAGCCGCAAGCATGAGTTCGGCATCCACCGTGACCATGTCGTCTTCGACCAGATCGTCGAGCTGAGCAGAGGCGCTGATGTCTGAGCGGAGCCGGGTGGAGTTCGAGCTCAACCTCCCCCAGTGATTATGGAGTGGTTGTCCAAGATGCCGAGCTGAGTCGAGGAGCAGGCGTCCGAGCGAGGTCGTGCCGAGCCCGATTCTAGCTTCTACTGTGGTCATGGAGTCTTCACCCAAGTCGACAAGTTGGGCGAGGATCGAAGGTCTGAGCGGAGCGACGTGGAGCCTGAGCACAGCCTCGATGTGATGCCGGAGTCTCCGCTCAAGTCGATAAACTGAGCGGAGCGTCGTGGACCTGAGCGGAGTGGCATGGGTCTGAGCGGAGTTTTCGGAGTCCAAGTTGAAGTGCCGGGTGGAGAGTCGCTGAACTTAAGTCCAGACAGTGGTACTGACGGCGAAGTTGGTGGCACCGGCGAGTACACTCATCCGGCGAATCAGCCATGAGCCAGCCTACATTGGGTGCGACTGCTCAAGATCGCGAACCCTTCCAGCATCTTCAACGGCACCAACGCTCCACGTGCCAACATGGAGCCTCGTATTGGTCAAGACAAAGATATAAGCGGACCTCAAGCGGATCTCAAGCGCGCTTTGGTAAGCATACAGCCGACGATCTTCGCGCAGCCAGTCAGTGTGTACCCAGGGGGATATCACGCCCCCACTTAGTGAGTCCTAGTTTGTGCATGTGTAAACATTAAAACAGAGTTCGTTTTGCCCCGAAGGACGCAAGTGGTGGAGGTCTTTGGCCAGAAGGTGTCTTGGCGATCATCCACACAAATTCAAGCTAACATATCAACGTTGTCAGAGTGCCTCGGAGCGACGGCAGTACGGTTATTTCATATTACTGTTACATCTTAGGGTGTATTTCGTATTTTCGGGTGGAAGGTGATCCATTCTGAGGTTTAGGCAGGGTAATTGTATTGTGTGCTTGGGGACATTGGCGTGTCCCGGTGCATTGTGTGATTATTAGTATCGGTTCATTGTGGACCTGGTGCGCGGGTAGTCCCAGGGTGTGTGTGAGTGCCTTGGATTCGGACTAGGCTCAAACCGAGTCACTAACTCCAGACCGGGTCGTTGCTTGACTCGAAGAGAAGAAAGGAGAAGCTGGTACGAGCCTCGCCCAGGGTCAGAGAAATAAAGGCGAACTCGGCCCAGACCCAGGCCGACCGGGAAAGAAGGGGTGTTGTGGTTCTGAGCCGGAACCAAAGAGAGGAAGTGGAGGCTGGTGTTGTGTTCATTAAGGAAAACCCGGGGCATTTCGGGCTGTTGACACGTGCGGACTGGGACTCGCCAAGTGGGGAGCGAGTTTCGTCTGGGAACACCTCCGGAGACCTTCAACATCGACAGCAGCTGGTGTGGCCGACGCGAGCAGTTTTACCGGCTTCAGTTACCGGAGTGCCGGCTAATTAATCTGTGTTGGGCTGCCCACAGCATACCCCAGAGTTACTGCTATCCCAGAAAAATTTCCTCTCTTGAACCAGACTGCTGAAAGCTTTGAGTAAATCTTTTTTCTAGCTTTTGAAATAACGGAGCTACATCATGAAGAATGCATATTTACCTTTCTAGCAAATGGTAACAAGAGAGCCAAACGCGCTACACCCAAAACAATCTTCCTGTGAAGTACAGTAAAATGCCCCGCGTAGTTTGCACATTCACTAAAATGCCTCGATGGGAACAAAGACAACTAGAGCTCCCTCCTTTTCGCAAGATAGCCGTAAATTTGATGGTGGGATAGGGTTTACCTTTTTGCATTACGCGAGAAAGATGAAAACCACCCATGAGCAGGTCTGCGATGCAATGAAACGTATGTATATACATGCGGTAAGATATTTGTGTCGAAAAATCTTATGATACACAGATATTAGGGGGTTTCAAAGTAGCGATTTTTTGGACAGATCTTTTGCAAAGGATTTGAAAAAGATCAGACCAAAAATCAGACAAACGATGAGCCTCCGGAGGCTCATCGTTCGTCTGATTTTTTGCCGAGCTTATTTTTTGGTGACAGCCAAAAGCCATCCATAGAGCGGCACCAAGACGCCGCTTGAAGCCGACGCAGAGCAGCACCTAGAAGGCGGCCGGGCGCCGCGCGCACACCAACATGACGCCAAAGACGCCGAGTTGGCGGGTGGTGCCTTGGTCAGCTGTTAGCTGCTGCTCGGGTCACGAGCGGAGGCTTCAAGCTGTTGCTCCGGTTGCGAGCGTTGGCCTCCAGCTTGGAGGACCAAGAGCAAATCCTTAGGTCATAGCAAAACCGAACAGCAACGTCGCGATACGACGCTGCGATGGTCAAAAGATGAATATTTATCACGAGGGTACCACAACGAAGGGTGAATTTATCACGAGGGACCATAATCGATATGATTGGCCAAAAACATTAGGTGCTTCAGTAGAGAATATTTGCAACTTACTAGAAAAAGAACTTGAGCGGGCGCGCGCCAGTGCTGCTGGGCCCCACTGCGGTGGGCCTCATCTCTGATCGTTCGTGGCCACGCCTTCGGCAAGACGCACGGAGCGATGGCTCCTGGACGTTCACGCACAGTGGCGCAACGTGCCCAACACAACGCTGCCCGTTTGCATGCCCACGGCCGACATCGCGCTGCTGCATTTTCATGCTCGGAACACAACCACTTCTTGTAATCTCCACATCCCTTGTTGCGCCAAACACTCTTGTTCATATTGAATGCGTAGCGTCTGACAAATGACCCTGCCGTTTCTAGCTTCGCAAAGTGTATGCCCACTGCCGGTGCTTCATGGCCAAAGCGAGACACGACATCGAGCTTGCTGACAAGAGTACCCGTCTTGGGCACCAACGTTTTCCTGAAAAGAACCAAATAATTTCGCGCAAAACACCAACTACTCGCGTGCGTTTCACCAACCAATGTATCCCGGAAGAACACCAACTCATTCCGTCAAATCACCCACCTAAGCCTAAACTAAGATCGAGGTTCGGCATCAAGACGCTGCCGGTGCGCACGAATACTGGCGGTTACGGCTACTGGCGCAGCTCCGACCGCTCCGCGGAGCCTCGTACCCGCGGCCGCATGGCGTGCTGGACGTGGCCAAGCTGCCCAAGAACTTCGACTGGCGCAACGTCGACAACACCAACAACATGACCATCTCGCGCAACCTGCTCATCCCGCACTATTACAGCTCATTCTGGTCCTTGCAAGCCACCGAATGGGTTAGTGCGATGGTAGTGGCGATCTGAGTACTGTACGACATAATTGGTGGTGCAAACGGTGTTCATTGGTGGAAGTCCGGTAACGCTTGGTGGGTATTTCGTCCGGAATTATTTGGTGGTTTTCCGTAAACGTTTGGTGCTACGTCCAATATCACTGGTGCCGTGCGCGGATCCTCTTCCTTGGGGGGCACTCATGATGGTGTTGTGAAGTGCTAGTAGCACTGTGGTTTTAGTTGTTGAGTCTATGACTATAGTTAGTGCGGCCAGACTAACGCTAAGAGCGTGAAGCACCTAATGTTTTTGGCCAATCATATCGATTATGGTCCCTCGTGATAAATTCACCCTTCGTTGTGGTACCCTCGTGATAAATATCCGTCAAAAGATCAGACCCATCCTTTGCAGAAGATCTGTCCAAAAAATCGCTACTTTGAAACCCCCTATTTGTGTCGAAAAATCTTATGATAATCGTTATCCTTTACTATCCAGCTTAAAAGCCCACGCGTGAGATCGGCGAATATCCCACGGGCGGGCTCAAGCTGATTAGTTGAATGCATGAGTAAATGTATTAGAAAGAGCGTTTAGAGGTTACTAGTTAGACCAATGTAGTGTTTAAATGGAGTGAGTGGCAGTCCCGACCTGTCTTCAGGCCGCAAACCTCAAAGAAATTGTTTTCCAGTGGATCAGAGCACCCGGAGCAGTAAAATGAGGCCTTCCGCCCGCAAATACTGCATTTGCGCTGCGTACGCAAGATTGTCCCGCTAAGACGCTTGTACCGGGGAAGCGTACTGAATGCATAGAGTGTGTGAGTTGGGGGCGCTACGTCGTCACGGAAATCAGCAGCAGTAGTGACCCTCGTCGAGCGGTGCATCACAAAGTCGTTGAATACCAGTTGATAGGCCAACTGAGAGATGAATGTGTTGAAGTCGACAATAGCCGATTCTAAGAACCCCGATTCGACTCCTTTATACTGATCCACCACCACCATGCCAAACACCGTAGCGAGCAAACGATGTTGCCACTGCATTGCGTGCCAAGTTCGTTCGATCTCGAGGCTACCCTGTCGAAGATGATCATGAACATATATCCCCGAGAACTTCGAGAAAAAGAGCTCCACCATTTGCGGGCGCTGGATACGTCGGTCATACTGTATTGTTTTCAGCTGGCCGTTGTCTAGGATGAGCTTGTGCCGTCGGCGAACGCTATCGTTGCCAGGAAGCGCCGTTCCGCGGTTTGAGATGAGGCACTTCGCTTTGCGGTCAGCCCAGCAGAGAGCATACATCGCGGTGCCTTTGGGAGTTTTGCTCTGTAGCATCTTAAATGACCCACGAGCGGGCTCAGAACCAAACCACTCTGTCATATACTTTTTTGGATACTCGCGAGACGCTGTTTTGACCATTCCCATAAAGTAAAGACCGCAAAGATTTTCAAGTTGCACAAGGGTATTAACCGAAGCAAAAGCGCTGTCTGCAACAACGGTGCGCCCGCTACCTTTATAAACTTCAGAAAACCGCAGAACAATCGCTGAACCCTCACCAAACAACGCGTGGTATGGCTTCTGGCGTTGACGCTCGGCTCCCTCCATCAAATCTAACCCCAACAGCACACCCGAATCACCATCAGCGATAGCTTTTAGTTCGGCACCCACGCCTTCTGGCTTCCTTGGGATTTTTGTCTTGTGAGGTATGCCATCGTGGCAGTATTAACCCTCTTTGCCCTGCTAGGCGCTCATGCACTCATCCACGCAAAGAATCTCCCCGGGTGATACTACATCGCGGCGGCGTGAATTATATCCATCTATTAGCGGTCTTATAGATTTCCATGGGTCATCTGACGGCACATCATCGGAAAAAGAGAGCGCAGCTGAAATATTTTCAAAGGCATGTCGTGTAATGCAGAAGCGCTCACCAAAGTTTGCGGCTGTGCCAACCATACCCTCACCAACTTCTCTTTCCCAGTAGGTCCGCAAGGGACCGCGTCTAGGCTCGACTGCCATCGCAAGCCGAACTCCCAGAAAGCGAAACAAATCTCCCTCAGCAATTGGACGTTGCTTACGCTCCACCAACTTGGCATTTGTGTGCTGTAGAGTAGTTTGTATGGTCGACCACGGGTACATCAGAAAAAAATATTTGGCGAAGGTCTTTTCTCCTAACTCCAGCGTCGCCGGCCAGGGAAATTTTTTTTGCGCTTGCGTTGCAAAGTTGCAGGGTCGACAAGGAGGTCGGAACAAAATTCCCAGATGCGGTTGTGGGCAAGTATTTTTCCGTCGTTAGAAATTCCAGAGACCATCGTAGACGTATCATCTGCGTTACCTTCTTCATCTTCCTCCTCGTCCGAAGAGGATTCCGACTCAGAAGAAGACGAGTCACCCGGACCAGGCCCCGCACCAACACCAGCTAACAGCAAAGCGGCCATCGACTCTAAAGGCTCCGTAGTCGGGTTCTGCATGGCTGAGTCGCTGCTGGGAGCCTGCAGTAGCTGTATTGAACGCGCCGACACTGACTGTACTGATCCATCGCCCCACTGAACGCTGTACCACGGCTGGCGTTTGCTGTTGTCGATCGACAGGACAACGCCCTCCTTGCCCAGTGTCCCCTTAGACTTTCCTTGAACACGATTTCCAACACCGAGTTTCACCGTGAAGACAGCTTCGTTTGTGACTGGAAAAAAAGCGCTGAACAGCTCAGACCTTCCTCTCTATTTATAAACGATATACGTACACTAGCCATTCCCAGTAGCTTCTAAAGAAATATTTATAGATGGGCCCACGCATGGGCTCTGTGGGGAGTAAAGGTTACCTCCCAGCCTGGGTACGGAGACAATAGCAGCTGACTAATAGTGAGGTGGGGTGGGATTTTTGTTCTTCTCCCGTCTCCACGGGCGCTTCTTGAATACAACGTCCTCCATAAAGTCGCGGCATGTGATCTGCTCGGCGACAGGAGCCTTCGGATTAAGGCAAGCTTCAGGCTTTGCGCGCAAGAAGTAGGGCATGGACATTCGGAGTTCAGCTTCCGCTTCCACACAGATCGGCGGTACACGATGCAACGGCGCTGAAATGACCCCGTGGGTCAGAAGGCCAAGTGTCTCTCCAGCAAACACAGAGAATTGCAGTGGTGTGGCGCTTTCCTCCACATCGGCCCATACCATTCGCTCCAAGTTCCACATTTGCAAGCCAGGGACCGTGGCTAAAGGCGACACTGTCACCAGTCCGAGATCGGCATGCACGCCACAGGAGTTATCGTTCGGATCCACCTCGGCTGGTCCCTTACCGTTTGCGGCATTGTTGCGGTAGCTGTAAATACGCAGCACCGATGCGCCATATTGATAGCTTGTATCTCGTGGTCCTTCGTACGTCTTCGACGCACGCATTCTGTCGTCCAGAAGTTCTTCAAACAGCCAGTTCTCGTCGATATTAAGCAGCTCACAGACGGCCTTCATGCAGCTTCTCGCCATATCATCGAGCAGTTCCAGGAGTATCAGCAGCTCGTTGGCAAATTCTTCGTTCTCTTCACTGTCTTGGAAGTAAACCGGAGGCCACAGCGTCCCACTTGCAGCGATAGGAAGGCGGAGCTGCAAGTATTCTCGATTCCGATCCGCGCTAAACCCCACACGCCGTCCACGTTACACCACCGGGTGCGAAGTGTACAAACTGTCACTCGGATTGTCCTCCACGTCCTCTTCTCCCTCCTTCTTCTCACTTGGCTTGCTCACGTTCACAAAGTCAATCCATCTCTTCTCCTTGGGCAGCTCCAACTGTTCCACCAGCCACTTCCTCACCCTCTCGAATGCAACCTGCGGGATCTTGGCCTGTTCCGGCGTCACCTCTAGCCTGGCGAACCCGTAACTCTGCATGTTCTGCACAAAGCGACGTCGGGCCAACGTCCTGGCGACTGAATTGGTCGAGTCTGGAAAAAGTCTGCCCTGTGAAGGAGTTGTTGATTGCTGGAGCTCGATGGAATACCTGGCCTACACATTACTACCGCGTTCATGCAGGGATACTGTGTCACACAGTCGTGCCGCAGTACAATGTCCACGCGATGTATATTCTGGAGAATTCTACGTACAACCGGACATCAGCAAGTTGTTCCGGTCAGACCATTGCCTTCCATGGAAACTTCTATCACGGTAGTTTTGGTTATTACGCAATCTATGCAGAGACACAAGGAGCATATTGTATGCAGGACGGCACAGCCTACCTTACCGTAAGCGGACTAGGCAAGTACGACATCAATGGACTGCGACTCGCTCAAGACAGAGGTGACGTGGAGTACAGGATGTCCTACTGGTACATCTTTACTGGAACGTCCTTCACCCTCGTCAGGATACCGACGCTACGGAGAAGCTTCGTCTCTTGTAGGCGATTCGCAAAACACTGCGATCAAATGGCCGAGCCAATTCGAATACAGGAAGCCATCGTTTACGTCCAAGAGAGCATGCGGCTGTCGGCCCACGGAGCCAAGAACGTCCACCGATTATTGCTGATGTTCCTCCTCGTGGACCAGGGAGTCATGAGCGACTTCTTCCTCCTCAGCACTCAGGAAGGAATCTTCGGACGCATCCAGTCCATCTCGCTCGGCTACAACTTGGCAGGTCTTATGTCCATGGTGTTTGAGATGATGGAGACGATGAACTGGATGAACGAGAAGCTGCGGTGTCAGGTAAAGCGACTGCTATTCAACTACGAGACGGTCCTGATTGGTGAGTTCATCACTGCAGCAGTTCTGCAGCAATACCTGATATCGCTGAGCCGATCTCAACTCAAGGACACACAGCCGGCGGCAGAAGTGGTGTCATACTATTTAATGGGGCCAGTCGGGCACATCGTGCTTGCCTTGGGTTGTCTTACGATCATTGTGTTCACCAGAGCAATTGGTGCTGTCGCATTCGCAAGGTGGAGGTTCGGTACGATTCAAGTGTTGGCGAAGACTTGCAGTGTGGACGCTGCATTGGGAGCGCGCAGTAAGTTGGTGCTTTTGCACGGATACGTCTGGGAGAATGGCGAGCTGTACTACAGCCCGCGCTCGTTGAAAGCGCTCGGGGTCTTAAAGGCAGTCGAAGCTGACGGGAGGGAGTTGTTCGTGCACACGACGCTGCACTGGGTATCGACTCCTCACAACAATCTTACCGTACTGGGGACTGGGGAAGACAGAAGAGTAAAACCGACTACGGAATGTCCATGTTCTAGTATCATCACTTTCTTTGATCGAGAGCTAGGCGGGAATGCTGTGGACGCCGAATGTTACATTGGAGGCACCTTGCTCCCCCAAACAAATGGCGATGGCCGCTGGTGTTGCGGTAAACGTCAAAGCGAGCGGGTTTGCTGCTCACCAGAAGCCACATCAGGACCAACACAAATAAAGATTCGAGTCCGTACTTTGTAGGAAGATAGCAAGTCTTGTCCGATTTCCCCTGCACGATAAGATACAAGAGATTGTCCTGTGCAATCGTTTGATGCTCCTCAACATCTCGTAGACGAAAAGATAGAGTTGAAATCACCATCCTCGTGATATTTTTTGCTGGAATGTTAACGCCCGTCGATACATGTCGTACAATTTTACGAATGTTTGCTAGTTTCTGTGAGTCAAGGGCTCCGATTCTTGCTCATTGAGAATATTCACTACTATGTACGCTAAGTACCGTGTACATACAGTATATCACTGAAAATAGCTCACTAACGTCAATAATCTTAGCTACGATGAATGCCAAGCACAGTGGCAACATCACATTCTTTGTCATCACTTAGCAGTGCGCAGCAGGGCCTCCGAATATGGCATTTTTATTTAGTAGGTTGGTCGTTGCAGAATAAATTATCCCCTGACGCTCCTACCAATACAACAGTACATTATGGCATTGCCCCCAACGTACCACAATAAATAATGCCATTATGAAAAGCATGAAGTCTATTAACAAGACACCAGTTAGCTTATCATCTAGCTCAAATTGTCCACAGTCGTTGCATCCCAGTACGACCGATTCTGGCGGAGAAACAAAATCGTCTCAAGCGTGCGTGGCAGCAGGCCGTGTCGTTGATGACCAAACGTCACCCGAGCAATGCTGAAGAAGCGTTCCACCACGTTCGACGTGGGTGGGATGCTCTTCACCTGCTCATACTTGACACGGTCCTGTGCAAGCCGCCGGCGCTTCCGAAGACGCTCCACGAACGACGCGGCTGGATCCTCCTCCTCTTCACTCGCGGCCGCGTCGTCCGGTCTGGCAGCTTGGGCTGCAAAGCGGCCTTTTCAGCACGCGTCAGCCGCTGCGCCTTCCCGCGGAGAACGCGTACACACCCAGCCTCAAAATCTGGGTTGTGCACAATGTTGGCCCGAGGCCCTGCAAAATAAAAACCATTATACAATTGTTAGTGAAAATATTGAACACAAATTCAACAGTTTTAAACTTACCAATGTAGCGCCCATATTGTGGCTTGACAGCGATCAGCTCGTCGAACCACTCGCGAACGTCCAGCAGGTCGACGTCGTGGCCTTGAAGGGCCTTCGAGACCGACTCGATGTCGCACAGCTCCTGGTACAATGCCTGCAGTCGCTTGTTCATCGCCGGCGGCGGGAGCAGGTCCATGAGGTCGTCGTCTTCGGCGTCAAGAAACTCGAGGAGCTGGAGGTAGCGCCGTACCATCTCGAACGTAGAGCTCCAGCGCGTGTCCTGGCGAAGGACAGGCCGAAGTGGCGTTTTCAACCTATTTTGTAAAAAAAATACAAAAGTACACAAATTGTGTTAGAGACATATTGACACACTACACATACACATTGGCGCTTACCGTAGTTTGGCAGATTGGGTGAGCGTACGCAATTTTACCATGAGCGCCTGCACAGCAGCCAGGTCCTCCTCATGCGACGCCATGTCCGCCTGAACAGCAAGGTTCAGGCGGTGGCTTGCGCAACCAACAAGCGGCACACTCATAAGAGTTGCCAGCCGCCGGTTTACGGCGCAGTTGTCAGCTACGAGGAAGCGACACTGCGCCAGCTGTACGCCGTAATCGCGCTGCAGCATGGTCGCTAGAAACTCGAGATGGCCCTGCGCGGAGAGATCGTCGTCCAGCGCGTCCAGCAGCGCGGCCATGCTGAGTAGCGTTGTCTTGGGACAGCCGTTCACCTCATAGCACGCGAACACGGCGATGTAGTGCTCAGATGCGTGTGCCAGCCGTCGAGCATGATGCCGAAGCGTGCTGGGAGCTCCGACGCAATCGAACGCTCGACGGCGACGACGACCCCGTCCATGCCAGCCCGCAGCGTTTCCTCCGAGATGGGGTCCAGGCTGGAGTAGCTGAATAACATCCATAAAGTAAAGTTGTTTGTTCCGTAGTAATGTAAACACAATGACATTATGCATACACGTACCGCCGAGCTTCTCGGCTCTCACAAAAAGAGAGTGGCAGGTTGCACATGACAATCCAAACCATCCAGCCGTGGAGGTTGAGCGCCGAGTGGCGGACGAAGTTTACGAGGGAGCCTGTCTCCGCCGTCGTAGCGTCGAGCATGACGGTCTCGTAGTCAGGGTGCTCCCGCCTGATATGTTGCATCAGGTTGGAGTACCCGTTCCTATGGGTTTGCTTCCGAACCGTGCCGCAACGGCAACGGAAATACTCGAGAATCACCTCGTCGTTCTGGTCGCGACACGGGCGGAAGTAAAACCCCGAGACTTGGGAGTTCGTGTAGGTAGGGCAAGGGGGGCGGATAGCGCGAACCATGCTGGATGAGGTCTTGGAGGCTTGAGAAGTGAAAATTGAAGAGTGAGCGCTGCCAAATGAGCTGCAACTAGCAACGCAGACAACCAGTAATTCCAGTTCTTCTGAACGACTGGAAGCGAGAAGATGGCTGGTAAAACGCTAACATTATTATATAAAGGTAACTGTCATAAATTATGTAATATCACAAAGCACATCAATAAATTATCACGGTAGATGGGCTGAACCCGCCGAAATGCGTAATTTATTGTTATTTTCTGAAATAATGTTATTGACAATGCTATTTTCGGAGGCCCTGGTGCGCAGTATGGGAACCGCTTCTGTCAGTCCCTCCTCTGTGGAACGCGCAGAATACGGAAGTGCACGCTTATCAATTTGGCATCGGCTGGAGCAGGGTTGGAGTGCTCTTCGAGTGGGGCGTCATGGCTCGTATTCAGTTGAACGACTCGAAAGTCTAGATCATTATTGCAAAACCACATCAAGAACTCGAGTCGCCTCGGTGTGCCTACTCACACCACTACCAGCGTTAACAACGGCAGCATTGTTGGAGTGCTTGTCATTGCGACCTCCATCTGAAGGTTGGCGAGCAAATTGGATGTTCTGGATTCGTCTGAGCTTGACAGTGTCTGTTATCCTGGTAGTGCTTCGGTTACGAAGTATGGACAGTCCAACCAGGATTAATTCGATGCACCTGATATGTGGCGCACATGAAGTAAAAGTATACTGAAATCAAGTAAAGTCAGTTAATAATTTCAGAAATCGCATGGTTTCTTGAAATTCACGGAAAAGTAGAGGTTTTTTCGGTGGATGCCAAACTAGTTGAGTAGGATATTCGTTTCCAGAGATTAAGGGTAAACGTTAAGTACGACGGTGCCCATCTGAAATGTTTGGATGAAGGAGGACTCCTCCGAGAGGGTCTTTGCCGATAGCAGAATGCTCGGTGTTCGTATGCAAGTGGCTTGTGCAGCGATATTTGATCTATCTACTAAAGCGCGGAGGGTGTTCGGCGCGCTGCTACCAAGATAGAATAATGCTAAAGTCTATGCAAATTCAGCACTGTGTGCCTACGATAGCATGAGCGATGGCGAGATGATGAAGCGAGGCTCGGTAGGTAGCGCGGCGATGTACAGGTGGTGATAGTTCCGATGCGGTGCGAGTCCAGCTAGTTCGGCGCAACAGCAGCGGTGTTTATCGTGAGCACGGGGGGGGGGGCTGCGGCGACCGAAAAAGCTAAACTGAGGACGAGCCCAGCTCTTTTGTATTGTGGTCGTTTTGCTTCTTTGTCTTCAAGGAAGGATCCGTAGTCTAGATCAATAACAGAAATTTTCTGCGGATCATCGTACCTAGTCCAAATCACTCAGTGCAAAATCCCAAAGGAAAGGCCCGTAGTCTTAATCGCTCACCATGTTCCGAAAATGTTTTGGAACCATCTATTGTAGTCACAATCACTCGATATGAACTGGCACAAAGTAAGTTTTCGGACTGTATGAGGAAATATATCGATTTTTTTATCTGAAAGGTTGTGCCGCTTCGTCCAAGTCAACAGAATCAACAACCCGTTCATCTGTTCAAGTACACGGCAAGTTTGACAGCTCGGTGGAGACCAACGACGGCGGTCTGGTGGTGAACAGGGAGGTGATCCACGTGTTCGCGGCGCCCAGCCCGTCGCCATGTATGTGTGCGAGTCGACGGGCGCGTTCGCGACGACGGACAAGGCCCACGCCCACTTCGAGGGCGGCTGCTAGAAGGCGGTGAACTCGGAGCCGCCCAACAACTCCACGCCCATGTACATGATGGGCGTGAACCACGAGGAGTACGATGGATCGGCGCCCGTGGTGTGGAACGCGTCGTGTACGAGGTGATCAACGACCAGTTAGGCTCGAAGCGGATGCTTCTCGTGGTGCTGTTGGCGCTGGTGCCACCGTTGGCGCTGGGGGCTTCGGAGGTGGCACTGGCGGTCTTGGCCGAGCGGGTGGTCTCAGTGGTGTCGACTTTCGAAGCCGGCCAGTCAAGAGTGCCAGCATCGTGAAAAACCACTGCGCCAGCCGCGCTTCTCGAAAGCGTCCCTGTGGTGCGCATCATGAACATGACGATCAGCATGGCTGGTGGTCGCTGCTGCCAGTCGCAGCAGATGCGTATAGTATCGATGGTGTTTCTATAATACGTAGTCGGCGTATTGTATTCTCAGTTTATTTAATTCACAAGTGCCTTAGTGCGCTGCATTGCAAAGTGCCAGTCACTACGGCAAGCTCTCAACCACGTTGAACGCGGATGCGTGCAAGTATACTCCAAATAATACTTTCAAATACTTTCAGCACTTTGAGTCGTCGTTGTGAGCGTGCCGACCTCTATTGAAGTGCATTCGCGGGCAAGCAGGACTGAAGTGCTTGAAATATGCACTACCAGTGTGACGGGTCACACAGCACTTCTTAACAGAGGAAGCAGGAGTATACAAACACCAAGTGAACAGCCGTTCACGTGTCCCTGGTCTGAAGGGGACGACTTGACTTGAAAAGCGGTAGATCTAAGACTGAATGTATTTATAGGTTGGTACAGATTTGGCCTGCATACAAATCCTAAGTTCCCTGTAGTTTGTGTCATACAAGATGTATCTGTTGGCTCTGAGGCCACTTGGGTCACTATCCAGGGGAGTGACCGATGTAGCCATCCCGGAATAATGACAGGGTCACTATTCCATGTAACTCCGTTACATCCTCCCCCACTTAGATTCGCTCTTATCGACCAATTAGAGCGAGGTTACGCCGGCGACTCACATTTCACTCGCAAAGTCGAAATCCATCCACAACGGTGCGAGCTCTGGCGCCTCGGCTCCCGGGCCTCACAGAGCAACTGGCGCATCGCCGAGCAGGCCGCAGGGTCTCCACGTCGACCGGAAGCATGCCTCCAAAGCGCAGTGCGCGCAGTGCGAAAGCACCTCCGAAACCGCGGGCCGTAGGGCCGAAGACCAGGGCGGCCAAGGCCATGGACGAGTCGTCCGCGCTGATGGAGGCCACGAAGGCGGCCGAGGAGGTGGTGCGCTCTCGTAGCAGCACGCCGGAGAGTGGTCGTCAGGCCGGGGCTCGGAGCAAGTCTCCTGACGCCGCGCAAGGCAAGGAGGAGAGTCCTCGGGGCCATAAAAGCCCGGCTCGCGACTGGGAAGCCGCCGTCTTTGACTGCACGATGGTCCAGTACTCCGGTGAGAGTTCACCCGACGACGAGAACGTCTCGGAGGGCAGCACGCACGCTGCCTAAGGCACGGAGCTGGCGGCAGGCGACATGACCAACGCCTCGGCCGACGCAAAGGCTTCGGCTGAGAGAAGGAGGCGGAGGACGCCGAGGGTCTCGCCCCATATCGTAACAGCCTTCGGGCAGTCTGCCTGGAGCTGCTCAACGGGCTCCCACGAGTTATCCGACTCAGGGTAACCCCTCCACTTCACGAACAGCTGGCGCTTGCCATGGAGCCGCCGCTCCCGGACGACTCGTTCCACGTGGTAGTGGATCTGCCCATTACGATCAAGGAGGGCCGGCGTTGGCCTCGCACGGCCATGGTTGCGAGCCTGAGGCGACGCAGCCGTATGCTGGGGCCCCGAGTCAGGTGGTGGCCCTGCAGCAAGAGGAGATTCGTCTTCTCCGGGACCGTGTGTACGTCCTCGAGATCGGGCTTGGCGTCGGCCTTGGTGGCGAGGCTGCCGCTCGTGCTGGTCAGCCTGGTGCCGTGGAGCGGCTCCGTGAGGATGTTACCTCGCTCTATCAAGAAACTCGCAGTCTCCATGGCCGTGTGGATCGTCGAGCCGACCTGTCGTCTTACGACTCGCTGCGAAACCAGCTCGCTGGCCTTCGGGCCGAGCTTCATGGCCACGCACCGTATCCGGAGCAGCAGCAGCTCCACTCGTATCAGGCCCAGTTTGGCCAGGGCTCGTACAGGGCCCCTGCGTATGCTGCTCCGATGTACGCCGCGCCGTCTTACGACCAGCGCGCGTATCAGGCGCCTTACCGTGACCCGACGCCGCGCTTCGAGGAGCTGCGCTCTTCTCCACCGGGCCACCCACCGCTTCCTGCGGGGCAGCCAGAGCCAGAGGGTCATGGTACCTCTTAAGACGACCCACGTAAAACGTCGGGTGAGTCGTCATCGACTTGGGCAAGTCTATGGTGTACGCCGCGCCATGCCGGCTGAGGACCGTGAAGGGTCCAATGAAGCGGTGCTTCAGCTTGTTGCTCTCGACCGAGCTAACAGTGTTTAGCGGTAGGTTTCTAGTATCTAGGAGAACTAAATCCCCAACCTTAAACACGTTCATGTTTCCTCTTCCATTTCGGTCAGAGTACTCCTTCTGTTTATCTTGGGCTTGCGTCATGGTGTCTTGCACCCTGCTGATTATGTTCAGCCTGTCTTCGGCAAACGAGGAGAGTTGCTTCCGCAAAGTGGCTGGACTCACGTCCGAGACTTGGGAGGAAAAGGTTTTCCGAGCCTCTCCCCCACTTAGGACCGAAGCCCCGGTACTGCCTCGTAATGTGAGCGGCACCTGAGGGTGGCGCAACCCGTTCAGGCAAAAGGGCGTAAGCCCGTCGATGCATGTACCGCATTGTTGAGTGCGAACTCAACCATGGGCAAGCGATCAGCCCAAGAGCGGGGCATCTCCGCGCAGATACTGTCGAGCGTGTCAGCACGCGATTGACGCGCTCCGTCTGGCCATCCGTCTGCGGGTGGTCCGCCGTCGACATCGACAGTCGTGTGCCGAGAAGGCGAAACAGCGTCTGCCAGAACGTAGCGGTGAACCGCGGGTCTCGATCAGAGACAATGGTCTCGGGCAGACCGTGGTGTCGCAAGACACAGTCCGTGAACAGGCGAGCGACCTCGTCGCCAGTGTCGGTGTCACGAACTGTAGCAAAGTGGACCATCTTGCTCAGACGGCACACGAAGGCAACAACACCAGTGTTGCCACGGTCATCGGCCGGAAGTCCGAAGACAAAGTCGAGACTCATCGACTTCCAGCAGTCCGCTGGGGCCGGCAGGCTCTGGAATGGTGCCGAGGCGTGACCGGCAGGCTTCACGCGCTAGCCCGTCTCGCACGTACGGACGTAGGTGGCGACCCACTTGTACATGTGACGCCACCAAAACATCTGCGAGACAGACGCGTACGTCTTCTCACGGCCGAGATGGCCACTGGATGGAGCGTCGTGCGCCTCCATCAGGATGTCGTACTTAAGATCCTCGTCGTTGGGCACGACAATACGGGGAGGATCCTCGGGCTCGGCCCTATAGTGGAGCAAACCGTCAGCCCACTCATAGCGGTGCAGCCTGGCACGTTGTCGGGGCGTGAGCCACTCGGCCTTGGCTTCCGAGCCAGCGGCCAAGAACCGCACAAGAGGTCCGAGACTGGCATCGTCTCGGTACCCCAGCCTGATGCGATCATACAGATCCGTCGTGACCCGACTAATATGAGCAAGCTCGTAGTCGGGTTGGCGCGACAGCGCGTCGGCAAGCACGTTCAACTTGTCTGGCTTGTACTCGACACGGAAGTTGTATTCCGCGAAGAATGACAGCCAACGCGCCATCCGCTGTGAGAGATGCGGCGTGTTGACGGCAGTCCGCAAGGACGCGTGGTCTGTATAAACGACAAAGGGCGTCGAGCCCAGGAGGTGCACTTGGAACTTGACAAGAGCGTACTTCATGGCAAGTAGCTCCTTGTCGTGGACTGGATAGTTCCGTTCGGCTGCCTTGAGCTGCCTGGACTGGAACGAGATGACCCGTTCGCGGCCTTCAACGTCGGCCTGCAATAGCGCACAGCCCATTGCGTAGTCAGACGCATCACAGACTACGCTGAAAGGCTTCGTCTCGTCCGGCAATGCCAGGACTGGCGCGCGCTGTAAGCGCGCTTTGATGCCGTTAAAAGCATCTTGATGGCGACGCTCCCAGCGCCAGTCGACATCCTTCTTCAGGAGATCCGACAAGGGCCGTGCCAGCTCGGCGTAGCCTGCCTACAACAGTGGTTGGGCCTCGCCAACGGCGAGGCCCAACCACTGTTGTAGGTCATTCTGCGACCGAGGTGGCGGCCAAGCCGCGATGGTTTTCACCTTCTCCGGGCCCGCCCGGACCCCGGCGCTGCTGACGAAGCAGCCCAGGACCTTGATCTCCTCAGCTGCGAACACACACTTGTCGATGTTGGCGTGCGTACAGCGTGTTCGCCCGCATGACTTCGAACACATGTCGAAGGTGCTGGAGATGCACCTCCATGGCCGTCTGGCCTGCCTCGGCACGGCTGTGGACGAAGATGTCGTCAAAGTACGTCTGTGTGAACGCACGCAAAGGTCGGAACAGTTGTGTGACCAAGCGATTGAACGTTGCCGGGGCGTTAGAAAGCCCCTGAGGCATGACCAGCCACTCCCAGAGCATACCGCTCGGCGTGCTCACAGCCGTGAGTGGGATGTCGCTCTCGCGCATCAGGATCTGGTAGTATCCGTCCACCAGGCACGTCCTCAAACTCCTTCACCAAGGGGTACACCGGGTCCCGGGGGTTCTTAAGAATCTCAGAGCCCATGCGCGACGCGCGCTGTCTCTGGAACTCCTCCAGGACTGCCTGGTCCATGACCGAGGACGAGTTCAACTCGGCCGACGTGGACCCCGGTCGGAGGAGAACCAACTCTGCGATCTCCCCGGCCTGTAGCTCGGCCAAGTAGTCCTCCATGGCGAGCTCCTCAAGGTTCAGCAACTCTGAAACCTCGGGCAGAGCTGTAAGCTCGACAGCTCCTGTCTTGACCCGACGACCGGTCACGCCGTCGAAGATGTGATAACACTCTTCGGCGGCTGGAGCCTTGGCTGGAGGCTCGGAGTCGCTGGCGACTGGCGTCGTCGGCCACACGACTAGGCCCGGCTTACGACGTGACCCTCGGGTGTCTTCGTCTCGTGGCGCCGCCTTGACGGCACCACCGATCTTCTCGATCTTGTGCGGAACTACGTTACCCGCCTTGTCCTTGAGCGGAACTTGGTTACCCGCCTTGTTCTTGAGCGGAACTTGGTTACCCGCCTTGCTGGGTGGAACTATGTTACCCACTTCGCCGTGTGGAACTTGGTTACCCACACCAGGAGCGCTTCCAGCGACTCCCGCATCAGTTATGGTCTGAGTGACCTCCTGTGGAACTATGTTACCCACATCGGAAGCGCCTGCAGTGCCTTCCTCATCAGTTACGGTCTGAGTGACCTCGCGTGGAACTTGGTTACCCACGCCAATGCCAGCGGCGCCTTCTCCAGCAGTCCTTGCTGCCTGCGGTACTTCGTTACTCGCGTGTGGACCTACGTTACCCACCTGGTAGGTGCTGTCCGGCACCTCCACTCTCAGGCCTTGTCCGGTCCGGTCGGAGTCGTCGTCAGTCTCGACGGACCCCAAGAACTCATTAGACGCTGCTGCGCCCTGGCGGCCCTCGCGGGCGCCCCAGCTGCTGCCAGAGGTGGGAACATGACTCACCAAAGCTCTGTCAGAGCGTGGGGGACGGCTGGCCCCGATGGCCTTGCCGCGCCAGTCGATCCAAGGCTCGTGTTTCTCCAGCCACGGCATGCCAAGGATCAAGTCGTACTTGTTCATGTCTAGGACCAAGAACGGCTCCGTGCTGTCGAAGTCCTCGAACTTGACAGTGAGGTCCATGTAGACCCGAGGTATTTCTACCACCGTACCGTCGGCCAGCCTTACCGAGACCAGTCCGTTGCCTTTGCTGCCTCGTAGCGCATCGGCGTACTTGTCGCGATTGCGTGCGACAGTCTGGCGGCGCGCAAAGTTCTTGGACGCCCCAGAGTCGATCAAGATTCTCAAGGGATGATCGTATCCCGGTACACTCGCGTGCAACACAAGCAGCCCACCGCTGCCCTTCTCCGCTTCGAGAGTACAGAGACTCTCAGGGGCTAAGTCCCCATGGCGTGCGCCACCCGCACGCCCCTCATGAAGACTTAGTGTTTCCCCAGTAGGGCGCCCCGCCCCTACTGGTGTCCGGCGTTCCCTTGGTTCCTGGGGCGCGGCTTCTGCCAGCGACCCCTAGAGCCAAAGGGCTTCGAAGCGAACTTCTTCTTCAGTCCTCCCGCGGGACAAGCACGTTTCATGTACCCAAGCTTGTCACAGCCGTAGCAGCGAATGTCGCTCGGCTCGGCCATGCCCAGATCCATGGGAACCGGCCCGTTGATCGCTCCATTGCCGGAGTTACCATTAGGCGCACCGCCAGAGGCAGGGTTGCTCTACCATACCGTGGCGGGGGTACGAGCCTGCTTGTGGCTGTACTCCTCCTGGAGGGCGATCTGAATCGCCTCCTCCATAGTGTTTGCTTGCACACGGAACAGTTGCGTGCGAGCAGGACCGACACGCAGACCGTCCATGAACACGGTCACCTTGATGTGTTCAGGCAGGGGGTTCCCCACCAAAGAGGCAGTGAGCACTCGCATCTCCTGGATGTACTCATGCAGCTCGCGCCTTCCTTGTTTGCAGGCGAGGAAGCGCGAACGCTGGCGGTACTCGTAGTTCGCCGGAAGAAACGCGGCGCGCAGCTGCTCGCACAGCTGGGACCATGATGTGAAGCATCCAGGCGTCGTCGCTTCGCGCGTGTACGCCCAACTCTTAGCGCGACCACTAAGGTTGGAGAGCGCAAAGGCGACACGGAGTCGCTCGTCCGAGACGAGAGCCGCGTCCATCGCGAGCTCAACCTCTCGAACCCAGAAGTGAAGGTTTTCTCCTTCCTTCCCTTCGAAGGGGTGAACCTTCAGCCGCAGGGGCTTCGGTTGCACCGGCATCGGCGCGGCCGCAGTGGCCTGCAGCCCTTGAACGTGGGCGATGGGCCCTCGCTCGTAGGTGTCGAACGCGTTGATACGCTCAACCTGCTCAGCCGGCGTCGCCACCGCTAAGCTACGCAGGGCATCTGTCCCAAAGATGCCTGCCATCTTACAAACGGACTCGTACTGCGAGTCGTTCAGATGGGGAAACTCCGTACGATCCATCTTGGCTCACTCCATGAGACCACAGAGGATTCAGGTAGTCCAATCTACCCGCGTAGGCGTAGGATTGACTACAAGTGCTACCAAGTGTGACGGGGCACACAGCACTTCTTAACAGAGGAAGCAGGAGTATACAAACACCAAGTGAACAGCCGTTCACGTGTCCCTGGTCTGAAGGGGACGACTTGACTTGAAAAGCGGTAGATCTAAGACTGAATGTATTTATAGGTTGGTACAGATTTGGCCTGCATACAAATCCTAAGTTCCCTGTAGTTTGTGTCATACAAGATGTATCTGTTGGCTCTGAGGCCACTTGGGTCACTATCCAGGGGAGTGACCGATGTAGCCATCCCGGAATAGTGACAGGGACACTATTCCATGTAACCCCGTTACAACCAGCCTAAACCTCTAGTTTGCTTTATGGGGACCTCCGAGCTTATCACGTTTCTTCCGGACCTCGAGTTTACGCTACGCTAAGAGACTCATTGTGTCAATGGGTGCAAGTACTGGGTTTATGGTGGTCTACTTTCTCGCCGCCAACACCGTCGGATTCCCGGTGCCATACCCATGGCAGACAGTAGGGCCCAGCCAGGGAGTACTCTTTCCAATAATGATCCTGCTTGTCTTTGGTCGAAAACCTTTTGAAAGGAACTCGCCGTGTCGACAACATTTAGGCCGATTTCTTCGCTTCCTGATCGCGTTCTTGGCACTAGCGGTGACGTCCCCATTCTGCAAAGTGGTTTACGATCTTGTACCCGTGCATTATTATGCATTTGCGGCGGTATTGTTGCCTGTGGTGGGATTGGCGGCAGAACAATTTCTCATCAAAGCGACAAAGGAGCTGGAGGTTTTTATACCGACGATCATTGCCTTCTCCGTGGATTTGTTGACTGCACTTTTCGTCTCTGTGTGTATATCAGCATCGCCACCGATCCACGTCTCCATCCTTTTCATCGGAGTGGACTTGGCTCAGTTATGGTTAGAGTATCGCGAGGTATCTGCACACGCTAATACGGTTTTAGAGTTCATTCGCAAACAGCAATCTTCCGAGGGAAAAAATACTGGCGACAATTCTGCTGTTAGAGGAAAACTCCTGGCACGGATGATCGCAGTGACTCGAAACCCGAAAACCTTCAAACTCGCGTGGAAGAACAGTGTTCGCTTGTGGGCTTGTCTTCCGCACCCCCTGGCACGAGACCAAAGGGATCAACTTCGTGTACTGGAAGCCTCTAGATTTGAGGAGTATCAAAAGATATTATCTCACAGACAAGAAAGTCAACGTCAACCTCAAATTGGAGTGACTGGAGTCCTACCGGCCCACACCAATGTCAAAAGACCCTCGAACGGATCAACACGATCGGTACTACAAGGGAAAACATTCATTGTTGAGGGTTTGCAGCTGCTCTTCCAATGTGAGTATCTGGTGCTGGTTGAGTCTTGTTCCTCTCGTGTTCGCGATCTACAAGTCAATCCTCCAGCAACTACCGAATGTCGTATACTACCCGGTTGGTGTTGCAAATGGCGGTACAAGTTCCGTGGGGAATACGCTAGCATTCGCAGCACTGGAGGCTGCGTCGCAGTGCTACTCCACTATTTTCTACAGCGCAAGTTTGCGTTTTCACCATTCTACCAGCTTGCATTCGTGCTCGAGACGCAGATGCGCATGATTCAATTGAGGCTATTCCTCGAATTTGTGGTTCTACTGCAGTTCGAGCTCGTGCATCTAGGTGAGTGCATTGTTGTTGAACACCTCCTATGGATAGGCTCTCACTTTGAGTTGGTTTGGGTCCTTCGTGCAGGAGTTGACTTTACTTTCCGCTTCGAGTGGCTGCGTGGCAACTAATAATTAGAAGTAGTGAGATTCTCATGCTATGGCGCGACACGATCACTGTTGTATCGGATGTGACAAGCTCCCAAACGACGTAAAAGTGTGTCGGCGATTAGTGCTGTCATGAATAGACTTGTCTCGTATGGTTGCCTGCCGAGCTCATGGCTACCAGTAAGGTGCTCACCAGCGCCAGGCCAGCCATGGTCGAAGGAAAGCATGCACCAAGACTACCAAGAAATCGGAGAACGCGCAGTACTCAAATGCCGGTTATGAGAACTGTGATGCTAGTTTGGGCTGCTGTCGGGCTCGGACCCCTTTTCCTTCAGCTGCGAAGCTTCGCCAAGTTCGTGACGCCGCACACACAAGATTACGGAAAGCTTGATCGCTCCTGCAGACGCAGAGATGGAGACTGCGGATGTGCTCAAGGTCTGTCCAGCCACATCCATGGTAATTGCCGGAGCTCGGTAGAACGCGTGCCCAACTCACTACTTCCGACTGGACGATCGAGTACTTTGCCATATCGTTGTCCCGCAGTACAACGCCCATGGAGGCTACTTCATCTCTAATCGCACGACAATTCCACACGAAACCTCACCGACAACCTGCGCTGCTGATAGTTTGTCATTTGTTGGTAATTTCTACCACGGCAGCATCGGATTCTACTCGATATATGCCGAGGCATCCGGGACATTCTGTACTTTGGACAACACTGCATACATATCCGTCAGCAGGGTGGGCACGTATGACATCAACGGTCTCCAACTTGCTGACGACAGGGGCAGTGGGGGATACAGGATGTCGTACTGGAACATCTTTACTGGAACATCCTTCACCCTCGTCAGGATCTTCACACAACGACGAAGCTTCGTCTCCTGTGGGAGATTTGTCAAACGCTGCGACCAAATGTCTGAGCCCCTTCGAGTACAAGAAGCCGTCGTCTACGTCCAAGAGAGCATGCGGCTGTCGGCTCACGGAGCCAAGAACGTCCACCGCTTATTGCTGATGTTCCTCCTCGTGGACCAGGGGGTCATGAGCGACTTCTTCCTCCTCAGCACTCAGGAAGGAATCTTCGGACGCATCCAGTCCATCTCGCTCGGCTACAACTTGGCAGGTCTTATGTCCATGGTGTTTGAGATGATGGAGACGATGAACTGGATGAACGAGAAGCTGCGGTGTCAGGTAAAGCGACTGCTATTCAACTACGAGACGGTCCTGATTGGTGAGTTCATCACTGCAGCAGTTCTGCAGCAATACCTGATATCGCTGAGCCGATCTCAACTCAAGGACACACAGCCGGCGGCAGAAGTGGTGTCATACTATTTAATGGGGCCAGTCGGGCACATCGTGCTTGCCTTGGGTTGTCTTACGATCATTGTGTTCACCAGAGCAATTGGTGCTGTCGCATTCGCAAGGTGGAGGTTCGGTACGATTCAAGTGTTGGCGAAGACGTGCATCGTGGACGCCGCACTGGGTGCACGCAGTAAATTGATTCTGCTGAGCGGACACATCTGGGAGGACGGTGAGCTGTACTACAGACCTGGCATCTTGAAAGAGCTCGGGGTCCTAAAGGCAGTTGAACCCGACGGAAGGGAGCCTTTCGTGCACACAACGCTACATTGGGTATCCATTCCGGATGACAATGTCGCCGTGCTGGGACTGTGGAAGATAGGAGAGTGGAGCCTACTCCAGAACGGCCGTGCTCGGGTATTGTGGCTTTCGTTGATCGAGAGCTTGGCGGAGGTGCTGGGGGTTATCAAAACGAGTTTGGGGACACTTTGCTCCCACGAACAAATAGCTCCGGTCGCCGAAGCTGCTTCAGTCGTCAAAGTGAGCGGGTTGGCTGCTCGGCAGACGTCCCAGGAGGACCAAAGACTAGAGTCCGTATTTTGCAGGAAGACAGCAACGTCTTACCCGTACAACAAGGTTCGAGGGGTTTGCCTGGGTCTATCCAAGTGTTTGGAGGTTCTCAGCACATTCTCACACTCGTAGAGAACAAAATAGAACTGAAGTCCACATCTTCGTGATATTTATTGTTGATGGAATTTCGTGTATTAGTTGCATAACTTACAAAACGTCAGATGTGTAGGTAAGCCGCCTCCTTTGCCGAAGTAAAATGTGAACAAACTGATCTTGCGTTGTCGGTGTCGTCCACTATCAATAACAGTTTGAATTAGTGGCGTGCTTCAGATAATGTGCCGCTGAAAATAGCGCCGTCACGGTGAGTACCCAACATCACTCTCTTTTACTCTACGTGTTGCACAGTATGGGAAAAGGCTCTGTCAGTCCCTAGACTCACGTCGTGGATATGTACGACCATCAATCTGGAATTGGCTGGAGCAGAAATGGAGCGACCTTCAAGTGGGGCACCAAGGTGCCTACTCCATCGAACGACTTGCAAGTCTGGAGCACTACTGCAAAACTACCTCAAGAACTCGAGTCGCGCTGGTGTGCATTCTTACGCCATTGCCTGCATTGACCACGGCAGTACTGTTGGAGTGCTTGCCGTTGAGACCTCCATCTGAAGGGTGGCAGGTGAATTGGATGTTCGGCATTCGTCTGAGCTTGGCCGTGTCAATAATTTGCTTTATGGGGACCTCCGAGCTTATCACGTTTCTCCCGGACGTCAACTTCACAATGGCGTTTGGTGCATGTGCTGGATTCATGCTAATCTACTTTTCGCCGCCAACACTGTCGGATTCCCGGTGCCGTACACTTGGCAGACAGTGGGGTCAGGGCAGGTCGTACTCATCCCGACAATGATTCTGCTTGTCTTTAGTCGAAAACCTTTTGCTAGGAGCTCGCCGTGTCGACAACATTTGAGCCGCTTTCTTCGATTCTTCGTTGTATTCCTGGCGCTAGCTGTGACGTTTCCTTTTTTCAAAGTGCTCCACGACTTAGTACCCACGCACTATAACGCGTGGGCAGCTCTACTGTTGCCTGTGGTGGGATTAGCGGCAAAACATATCATCATCAAAGCGGCAAGGGAGCTGGAGGATTTTATTCCAGCGATCATTGCCTTCTCCGTGGATTTGTTACACGCACTTTTCGCCTCCGTTTGTATATCATCATCGCCACCGATTCACGCTTCAGCTCTATACATCGCGGTGGGAGTAGATAGCCATCTAAACCGCAACAAATTCAAATTCAAATATACATCGCGGTGGACTTGGGTCGGTTGTGGCTCGAATTTCGCGAAGTGTCCGCGCACGCAAATACGGTTCTAGAGTTCATTCGGAAACAGCAATCTTACGAGGGAAAAGAAGACGGCGCTGCTGCTGTTAGTGGGAAACTCCTAGCACGGATGATCGCCGAGATTCAAAATCCCGAATTCTTGTACCTGGCATTGGTAAAACCTGTGCGCCTGTGGGCTTGCCTTCCACATCCCCTGACACAAGGCCAAAGAGACCAACTTCGTGTACTCGAAACCTCTCAAATTGAAGAGTGGCAGAAGAAAGTATCTTCCAGCGAGGAAAGTCACCGTGACTTTCAAGTTGGAGTGGCAGCAGTCGTACCGGCGCACACCATCGAGCGGTTCAACGCATTCGGCACCGCAAGGGAAACCATTCATTGTAGAGGGGTTGCAGCTGCTCTTCCAATGCGAGTATCTTGTGCTGGTTGAGTATGTTGAGTGCATCATACCTGTCGTATTTACGGTCTACAAGTCAATCCTGCAGCAACTACCGAATGTCGTGTTCTACCCGGTTGGAGCTGGAAAGTGGGGTGTACGCTCCATGGGGAATACGCTTGCATTAGCAGCACTGGAGGCTGCGTCGCTAGTGCTACTCCACCATCTTTTGCATCGCAAGTTTGGCTTTTCACCATTCTACCAGCTTGGATTCGTTCTCGAGACGCAGATCCACATGGTTCAAATGAGGCTATTCCTCGAATTTGTGGTTCTACTGCAGTTTGAGCTCGAGCATCTTGGTGAGTGCCTTGTGTTAATAAGTACCCTTCGTTGCACGGTTCTGACTCGCTTCTCTTTTCCCTGCAGGTGTTGATTTCACGTTTCGCTTCGAGTGGCTGCGTGGCAACAGTTAGCTTCCCACGATACGATCGTCACTGTATCATGCTCGTTATTGTCCGGTCCAGGGTATTTGTGCCGAGTAGCAATCAGAATGGTGCAAGGTTTCAACCAAATGATCGCAGCAAAAAAACAAGAAACGACGTAAACCACCTCAACAATACAATCAACTCGTTGTGCTCCTTGGAAGAAAACATTGTGTTCGAGTACTTACCATGAAAAAAATTGAGTCTGTACACTTTTATGAGGTCCTACAATTGGTGTGGACCAAAACTCATTTGTGTAATTTATGTAAACTTAAACGAAAATAGACACTTGCGTCTATTCCTCCATAAGTACCACTTTCGCAAACCCGTCCCAGGCACAATGAAAGTGGTAAGTCGAGCGCCTCCGGACGCCTCTCCCCGCTCTCCTAGATGCCCGCTCTCGACACTGCGATGTCCTCCAATTTGCCCTCGATCTCCTGCATCTCACCCGCGTTTTTTTTTCTCCGAACGATGCCCTGTAGATCCAACTGGGCGGCGCGAACGATGGATTGTGCCACTTTTTGAGCTTCGGCGGCTTCGAGATGCTCCTGGACTCCGGCGTCAAGATGCAGTCGCTCGTACGCGAGCCACAACAAGGCGGGGGTTCTGTCTACCGCCTACAGCTGCCAGCACTGAGCTCCGTGGAGGTGGGGGCGCTGGACGTGGTGTTGGTGTCTAACCACCTCACTCTACTGGCTCTGCCGTTGCTCACGGAGGTGCTGGGCTTCAAGGGGCAGATCTACGCAACGCAGCTCACTTTAGACTTCGGTCGGGTGTTTCTGGAGGAGCTGGCAGCTCTGACGCAAGGGGACGACTCCGCAGTCTTTGTGTTTGAAGGCGTGGCGGTCGGAATGGAGACAGAGCTGCCCATGCACTCGCTGAAAGAGATTGAGCAATGCTGCAAGAAAGTTCGATGTGTGGAGTACAGTGAGGTTGTGTCACTGGCCTACGGGGTTCAGGTCACGGCGCTGAGTTCGGGTCATAGCTTGGGTGCGAGTATTTGGCTCATTGAAGGCCCGAACGACCGATTGGCGTACGTGGCGGCTGCCTCGGGAGACTACAACCGCCACCCGAAGGAGCTGGACTTGATGCCGTTGGTAGACTGCGAAACACTGCTGCTGACGGATCTGAAGCCGGATCGGGACCCCCACTCGAACACGGAGCGCATGGTGGAGCACGTACTCAGTGGCGTCACTCGTGTGCTGGAGCGTGGCGGTGTTTGCATCGTACCGACGTCGCCTTGTGGCGTCGTGTTTGATCTCGTAGAGGCTGTGTATGCCGCGTGCCTCCACAACAAGCAGAACGTCCCGATGTACTTCATCTCGGATCACGCCTCTCGCGTTATGGAACTTACTCAGCTCGGAGCGGAGTGGCTCTGTGAAAAGAAGATTGAAAAGCTGTACGCGGGTGAGGACGCATTCCTGCACGAGTCGCTGCTCAAGAACGGTCTGTTCCACGCGGTTGCAGACGTCTCAGCTGCTACTGCTGCTACCTTTCAGGTACGTAATTTCGTTCAAGACGCCATGGGTTCTACCGCTGTCACTGAACATATTTTTGCTGTGTGCACAGAATGGTAGCATCATTTTTGCTGGCCATCCATCTCTCAAGTTTGGGCGTGCCCCAGAATTGATCCGCATGCTCGGAAACGAGAGCCGTAATGCTGTCCTGCTGATTGGTACGCCACAACATTGCCACAGGATGGTAATTCACGATTTAGGGTCTAATATCACGCTGTGCATCTTTTTTCAAAGACCCAGCAGTCGATGCCACCGAAGCCTTTGCCCCTTTCCAAGATCTCAACATCGAAAAGATCGCGTGCCCAATCGACCCAAGATTAAGCTGCGGCGACGCTAACCAGTTTATTGCTCGCTGCTGCCCGCACAACCTGATCGTTCCGTACGAGTACACCATCGCTCCGTCGGCAAGTGCAGCGGAGGGAGCTGAGATGTCGTCGCACTTTTCGCGAGTACTTCCGCTCCACGAGCTCACAGCGGCGAAAACCAAGACAGAGCTGCTCACCTTCCCAATGAAGCCGTTCGAGCCCATTGTGATTGAGAAAACATCGAAGTATCTGGATGGAAGACTTGACCCCAAGGTACCCAATGAACTGTCCGCTGATAATATGGATTGGGGTAGTCGATCTAACCATATTTCTGACTTTGCCCACTTGCTTTGATTGCCTACAGCTTGCTGCACAGGCCACAATCACGGAGGTGAACGGCAAGGCTGCAGCCTGCGTAAGTGGCGTACTCAACGTCAAGCGAACAGCATTTGTACTGGAGCCTTCTCCAGTTGCTCCTACCGTACCTACGTCCTCCGATATGACCGACGACTCCAAACTAAAGGGTTCTGGGAAACGCAAAGCGTCGGCGATATCGGATGCTGACACTAGCAGCACGCTCCAGAGCATCGACTACAAGGAAAAGAGCAACCTCCTTCTGGGCCAAGTTGACGAAGACAGACTGATGAAGCAAGTGAAAACGGTACGCAACCTGGTGTCTTCACCTATAGCGAATGGAAACATTCTGACACTGTGAACTTTTGGCGATGTTTAGCATGACCCACAAGCTCAGGTGTACATTTCGCAAGGCCAGGGAGATGCTGATGTGTTCATGAGTATTCCATCCCTCGATGCGCGGATCACATTGTGGAAAGAGACCGGGAAAACCCTCGTTGAGACGGAGAAAGAAGATGCGCGGGCATTGCTGACGTCATTCATCCTGGCGCAGCTTGTAGTGATCAGCCAGGGCTAAGCACAAGGAAGAATGCCTGTGCCTAATCTTGCTTCACAGAATACAGTAGATAGCATCCATATCCAGCACGGCCACGAGCGTTTTCGCTGCATCCTTGACGGACGAATCGTATTTTTGGCTGGCTGTTGGGTTAGCTCTGTTTGTTCCGGACCCGTCGACGGTGGCGGCCGGTGCAGGATGGAGCGCGTTGAAGATGGCTCCAGCATGAACGTGGTTCCGCCCATGTTCCATGCGGGTACGTAGTCTTGTGAGCTCTGCAGTTTGATGCTCTGCCATTTAACAGGGATTCTGCGATTCACGTTTGCAGGCATCTCAAACAAGTTCACGAAGCGCCATGTGGGGAATTTTCGTGATACAACGCTGACAGCAGCCTCAGCAGCGAAGCAGCGAGCAGAGCGGAAGCTGGAGCGACAGGCCGATGCGATCGAGAAGCAACAGCAGAAAATCGACAGCAAGGTGCGGGAGGACATGGGCTTCTGTATGCTACCGGAGCTGACTCGTTTGCTTGTTGCAATCTACTTATACTTACAGATGAGGAAAATCGCAGAGATCACGCAAAACCTGCACCGCCAGCAGCTTCGCGAGGCGAAGCGACTTCGGAATCGATTGACCTATGCTACATCAAAAATTCAAGCTGCGTATCGCCGGCATTTGGAGCGTATCAACCGAGAGAGGAGGGATGCGGCCGTGATCATCCAGACTTTGGTACGCGGTTTTATCGCTCGATGCTTGTGCTGGAGGATGCGAGTGGAGATCGAAGATTATCTTCAGAATTGCTCCTCAATGATCATCTCACGGTGTATCCGCAAAGTAGCAGCAAGACACGGTCGTGCCAGAGAGATCGAGCTCAGGTATTGGGCGGCTTGCACTATCCAAAGCTTGGCTCGAATGGCTGCCGCAAGATCGTACGTCCAAGAACAGCGGCGTGAGCGACTAGAGGCGGAGTTGCGACATCGAGCAGCGATCGTCATCCAGCGCAATGCACGCAGCTTTATGACGCGGCTGATCTATCTGGATGTGCTGTATCTAATCTGCCGGATCCAGGCCGCAATGCGCGGGTGTCTTGTCCGGAGGCATTTACGGTGGATTCGGGCTTCGGATGTGGAGGCGATCTCCAAGTTGCAGGCTCACGTTCGTGGCTTTTTGGTGCGACGGAGAATAGAGTTCATCCACGCGGCTTCAAGTACTCGCTCCGCAGCACCAAGCAGTCGATCGAGTCAGCGTTCCGTCGGAAAAGCGGATCAGGCTGTACAGGCAGACTTTGGCGGGTCAAATCGAAAGTTCAAAGGGGTTCGAGGTCATCTTGATCAAGGAGTTCGAACTGCGCGAGCAGCTTCGTTCTCACTCGCAGGTGACGATAAAGCTGGGTTTGCTTCTCTGGCCAGATCGTCGACGGGATTAGGATGGCAACCAACGGTTGAACCTGCAATCAAGCGATCGTACTGGTTACCGGCAGGGGCTAGCTTTGATCGACGATTGCCTGTGCTTCCAGTACCCAAGCGGATGATGGCCTTGGAACGTTCTGGTACTGATGGAGATCCGTTTGGTGGAGACGACTTGCGTCTTGTCAACCAAAGCTGGACCCCGAAGAAGCGTCCACTTCAGAAACCTTGCCCAGTTCGCTTAAGCCCCGTAGTTATCCCGTCGGTGAGAGCTGAAGTAAATGATACCTGCTCGAACGAGGTCGGACTGGAGGAAGATACCAGCGTGTTTGAGAAAGAGGAGCGTATTCGTCGTCAAGAAGAGCTCAAGCAAAAGCTGCAGGCTCGAAGAAACCAGGAAAAACGCCAGCAAGAGTACGAATTGAGGCTGAAACGCGAAGCTGAGGTAAGGATGGCGTTATAGCACTGGGTCATTCACGTTGTCCTAACTGGTGAGCCTATTGTGATAGGTTGAAGCAAGTGAACGGAAGCTGATGGAGCGCGAGGAGAAGGCAGTGCGTCTGCAGCTGAAGATCTTGCGTCGACGTTCTAAGGAAGGCAAGATTAGACAGGTGACGGCTGACCAGCGTCGCGAAGAACGGGAACGCTTGGCCATGGCACGCGAAGAGCGGCATATTCGACTTCATATCAAGTTCTGCGCTCGCCAACAGCACAAGAAACGGCAACAGCTTGCAGCAGCTTCGAGTGAGTCGGAATCGCAGCCTCCGTCCACATCTTCGAGCAGTCGTGAAGACCGACAACCTTCCGCAGCCAAGTCTCGCAAAACCAAGTCTGGGTCCAAGAAAGGAGACGTCAGCAGCGACGACGGCGGCGATATGTCGTTCCTGGACATCGATTTCAAAATACCAGCATCAATGAAGCAAGCTCCGAAATCAACGAAGCCCTTGAAGACTGCAAAGCTCATGACAAAGAAGAAGAAAAAGACAGTAGCTGGAGCCAAAAGCAAGATTAGCAGGTCAACAGGCAAGACGCTTGGGTGTGGAGTAGCATCGTTTCCATCCCAGGTACAACAAGCAGAGGACCACGAAGACGATTGTGGATACGGCGACGAGTTCGACGACGTAGTGGACGAAGCAGCACTGAGCCTCCTAATATGCTGAAAAGAGCTCGTAAATGGGAACGATGTGACTTACTCAAATGCGTGCCTCGCTCTTCATTCATCTGGTGCATCTACGCTTCGGAGTCTGTGCGACGGAACAGGTAAAGGTAGCCAGCACCAAGTGGGGGCTCCTCCGACACGGCCACCTTGTCATCGTTGAAGATGATCCAGCGGCCCTCCTTCTTCATGTGGCAGACGTAGTGCCCCGAGTTGGTGTTCTTGCCGACGTGGCTGACGAAGCCCACAAGAGAATAGTCGCCGACGGCATCGCTGTCAAGGCGCTTGGAAGACGATCCAGAGTCCCCGGAGGCTGCTGCTGAGGCCGCAGACTCGCTTTCACACTGAGCAACAGCGCCGTCAAGGTCGTCCATGTGACCGAACAACCACTCAGCAGCGCGGTCGGGGTTGTTGTCCGTTTGCTTGAGCGCACACTTCGCGTGAGCCTCCGCAAAGCCCATCGCCATTAGGTTCGACAAATGCTCCATGTTGACAGATTCACCGTCAGGCTTAGCTGCAGAACCTGCCGGAGCAGGCGGATCGTTAAAGTCCGGGTCTTCCATGTGGCTGAAGATCCACTCCATAGCAGCCTCAGCATTGGAATTGCCAGTCGCGATGGCTGCGCGCTTGCAACCGTTTTCAGAGAAACCCATAGACACTAGCTGAGCCACGAGCACTTCGTCCGCAGTATCAGACGCAGCGGTAGCAGCACTTTCACCCACCGAGCTCGCAGCAGGTGCCTCAGGCAGTTCCTCTTCACCATCGACCAGACCCTTGGATACGAACCTGCCGAGTGAAATCTTCTCGGGAACCTTCACCTCGACTTCGAGCTTCTTCGGCGTCCAGTCCTCGGCCACGTAGAAGCGTCTCATTTGAACAATCAGGTAGCGCGGGAACGAGCGGAAACGAACCGTCTTTTGAGCCTGACCCTTCTTGCCAGTAGCTGGAGACAAGAAGTCTTCAATAACTTCAGGCCCCAACGTTTTCTCAACGCACGCTTCGAACGGGATGTTCGGCACCACACGCACTTCTCCGTCCTTGCTCTCACTCTTGTCAGCCTTCTCGTTGTCTCCAAGACGCTGACGCTTTTGCTCCAGCACCTGGTACGCGCTAACCTGCGTAGCGTTGGTGGCCGCCTCCAGAGGAATCTGCAGCTGAAGCAGCATGTCATCGCGCGGCACATACTTGACCTTGTTGGACGCCATACACTGTACACGGTCCTCCAGCTTGAACTTAAACAAGCCAGCCGTCGGCAACTCCGCACTGGTAGCGCCATCCCCAGCTAGAAGCGGTCCCAAGCGGTCGGTGCCAACGCGCTCAGCACGCGTCATGAAGTTGAGCAAATACTGAAGGTATTCCACAGCGTCCTGTTGCTGGCCCGTCGAGAAATCCGGGTGGCCCTTGCCCACCAGACCACGGAACGTAATGGGACGCAGCTCGACATTGTGAATGTCATCTTCTTCCACCTCCTTGCTGCTATCCTTCGGTGCCAGGAACTGCTTCTTGTAGCGATCCGTCAGCGTCGCACACGCGAGTTTCGCGAACTGCGCGGCAAAATCATCCACCGGGAGGGTGGACGGGGTGTCCGCCGTCGCGAAAATCTTCTCTGAGGCCTTGAAGTAGCGCTCCTGGACCTCCGGCAGCGCCAGCAGCAACTGCAGCACCGAGTTCATGTAGCAACTGTTGCCCAAGTTCTTGAAGCCCATGTATCCCGCTCCAGAAACCGGCACCAGCTTCTTGCCAGCCTCCGTCACCGCGTCAAACTCGTACGACAAGTTGAGTCCCACCTGCAGTTCGTTCATCGACTTATCCGTCTTGCGCAGGTTGTCGATGTTGATGCCAAAGTGCTCCAAGTGTTTCTTCAGCAGCGGGTTCTTCACCATATCGTCCTCATCAGGCGCGTAGCTGTACACGTCTCCCCCTTCAGCCGTGATCGTGCCCAGCTTCACCGACAAGGGGTAAATGCCGCCCGTCTCAGTGAAATGGGTGAGCGCCGCTCCACACCCTCCGGAGCCGTCCCAGTTCTTGCGACCACAACCAATGTAGCCATCCGAGAGGTTCAGCCACAGGTTCTCCTGCTTGTCACAGTCCGGGGCCTGACACTTCCACGCCGCCGGGTTGGACGCGATGTGCGGCGGGTTCGGCACCTGTTCCAGGTGCTCCGCGTACTTGGTGGGCTTGAGCTCCTCCTGCCAGGAGGCCACCTCCTCGGTCACAGCGTTGCCCGCGTGGTTGAGCACAGCGTCCGCCGCCTCCTTGAGCTTAGAGGGGAGTGCCGCGTCGTCCAGAGGCACGCGCGCGAGCTCGCGCTGCTCGGGGCCCAGCAGAACGATGCTCAGCGTCTTCTCCAGCTCGAACTTGTCCTCCGCGTTGGCTGCGAAGCCGCCTGCGCCGCCAATCGCGAGCTTCGTGGGCGCTTCGCTTGGGTTTGAGCCGATGGACGCCTTGGGCTTGCGCGCGTGCTGCTGGTGCAGGTACACGGCGCCGTTCGCCTGCGCGTCGGCGAGTCCGGCGCGGTCGAAGCGGAGACTCGAGGCGCCGTACGACAGGAACGAGCGCAGGTTCGTGTACAGCCCCGACGCGCTCAGCGCCGAGTCGAAGCTCAGCACGCACTCGTCGCGGTACACGCGGTCCGAGGCGCGCGCCACGCGCGCGTGCTCCGTCGCGGACTGCAGAAGGAGAGAAACATCGGTCATGGTTTGATGGGGAATATTCCTCTTTAGTGAGCTTTTCGATCTAGGAAGATACAATTTAGTGTTTGGAACACAGGGAGGAAGGCATACAGACACCAAGTGAAACAGTTCAAGCTTCGATTGTTTTTTTTCTCTTAACCTGTTAGCTATTTTCTTGGGTTGTTGTGCGTTGGTGCCTCGGTGAGCTGGAATAAATGCCGATCGCTTTTTTTACTGCGTGATGGTCGGCGTGGTGGGGGTCATGCCACCTTCAGCGCTGAGCGCCGCCATCTCGTCTTGGGCGCGGCGCAGCACCTTTTGCGCGTTGGCCGTGATCACGGACTTGGCCGGGTCGCCGTTGAAAATGCGCGAGTTGTTCACGATCAGCTCCAGGTCCTTGACGAACTCGCGCATCGAGTCGTACTCCTTGGCCTCGATCTTGCGACGAATCGTGCTCAGGTCCATCGGCTGCTTCACGATGAGGTAGTAGTTCGGGACAGTGGTGGCGTCCACCGGCACGCGGAAGAGCTCACTCTCGGGCATCTCGAGCAGCCGCTGAACCACCACCTCCAGCGCGTTGTTGAGGTGCTCCACGGGCATCCGCGAGCGACTCTGCTTGATCGCACCCTTCGCGTACGGCCGCTTGTAGAGCTCCGCCTGCTCGCGCACCTCCAGCTCACGTTTGCGCTTCTTCTCATGCTGATGCTTGCGAGCGCCTTCACGCAGCTCGGACAGGTTGACAGTGATTTTGGTACTGGAATCTCCGCTGCTGATCACCGCCGGGGACTTCTTCACCTTCAGCTTCAACGGTTCCGCAAGCATCGCGTTTGCCTGTTTCTCCGACAGCGCGCCCGATTTCTTCGTGCGGGAGTCGTCCGCCATGTATAGCGGACAACTGCGGTTGGTGCGCATGTGACCAACCTGCAGACACTGCGTGCAGCGAATGACGCCCTTGCCACCCGCGTCGTCGCCATCGGCACCATCCGCAACTTCACCAGACTCGCCCTTCTTCAGCATTTCTTGGTAGCCTTTGTTCTGGGCCTCGGTCTTCTGGAGCTGCTTCAGTTCCTCTTGCAACTGTTTTCGCCGCTTAGCTTTGTCAAGCAAACTCTGGTTAGTAGAGTCGTCCTCCAAAGCAAGCATGCGTTTGCGCTTCCGCAGCTGGTTGCGTTCATCCGCCTTTTGTTGGCGCTCCTTGCGCTGCTGCATCGCACGGAAGCGAGCCACCTGCTTGTCATCCACGATAAATTGAATGCGGACGGTCTCACTGCCATCCTCTTCAATGGTTCGCACAACACGCTTCAGCACCTTTCGCCCCGGAATCTTCTTAGAGGCGCTGGGAGGCTCTGACGGGACCGGTGTGCGACTGCCGTGAGTCGGTGAAGACACCCGCGAAAGCTGGCCAGTGGGCGTAGCTAAAGCAGATGACACTGCCGACCCACCGCGAGACATCATGTTCGAGCGTGCTCCAAAGCCCGACACGGAGGAAATCCCACTAGCTCCAGTGCCACCTTCTCGAATTCCACTTGCGCGCAATTGGTTACGCAGCCGATTCGTATCGACATCAGGACGTCGTACAGCACTTGACGGGTTGGCACCGGATCCTTGATCCTCATTCATCTCCTCCATAAGACGACGGAGCTCGACAGCATCTTCGCGCTCAGCAAGGACTTCCTTCGAGCGGTTAAGACCTCCACCGCCACTACGGAACAGATTCTTCGGACCGCGTTTAGTATCTGTGCCTCCCAGGATATCGGCTTCGACATCGGCACCCAGCTCATCGAGTTCATCGTCACCATCCGACTCCTCATCCGACGAAAACGTAGTTTTGGTCGAGCTCAGAACGTCCATTTGGCGCTCATAGATCACATCACACTTCTTGCGATACTCTTGTTGCTGTGCTGAAAGCGACTTGCGCGCGCCACGGGCGAACTTGCTCAAACTACCGGCCACACCGTGGGCTGTTGCACGACTACTGAGCTCACGCACCATGTGAATTCGATCCCAACGGCGCAGTTTCTTGATATCTGCGTCGGCCAAACCCAGGTTTCGCAGCACATCACCAGCTTCCTTCATTTTCAGCTTACGCAAATCGGCAGTCGTACCAGTGACCGCTGCCACTGCCTTCTGCACAGCTGCAGTTTCAGCGCTTATCTTGCTCTCAGCAGTCGGCGCCACGTCATCCTCTCCGTCTTTCTTCTTGGCACGGGACTGCGGTACGCGCACGAAGCTGAAACCTTCACCACGACCAGTTGGGTCACCAATACCACCGAGCTGCAACATACCAGATCCTTTGCCCTGAAGGTGGCATTCGACGTAGTTGTTTGTCAAATTCCAAGGCGTGAGCTGCAGCTGCTCATTGATGTAACGAGCAACTTGAATATCAGTCTCGAGCTTGCGCACCACAGGGTCCTTCTTCCAAAGATCAGCCTGGGCCCTCTCTCGGGCACGTCGCTCAAGGTTGGCTGGCACAAGACGCGTGGACAACGTATTTTTGCGCAGCTCAAGGCGTCGAATCAAGTGATTGATGGCCCCATTCACACCAGAAGGTGTAAACAACTTGGTCAGTCCAATATCCAGTAGTCGTCTGTGGCCAGACATCATACTTTCGTAGAGGCACACACTCTCAGGAGGAATACTGGCCCTGATTTCTTCCTCGCTCTGCAATTGCGATGCAGGTTTCTTTTTCCACCAGCCCGAGTCATTACCACCGCGCTCAAAAGTAGCCACCTCCTTCATGCGTTTTCGGATAGCAGTGCCTGACTGATTCGGGAATGCACGCGCAATATCCTCAATCTTCAATCGCTCGCCATCGCTAGCTTTCTTGAATAGCCGTAGGATGTGGAACGACATGTATGGGCGAATAAACTCGTTGGCACTGCGAGAATTCGGTGCTGGCACCTCGATTTGAGGTTCGATTTGCCCTGCCACGAAAACTTCAGGCAGCTCCATGATGAACACCGTTGTCTTTGGGGTTCCAAGCCCGCCCGACTTATCACCAGCTGCGCCCTTCTTCCCCTTCGTCACAGACCGACACAAAAGGAAAATATCCGAGTTGTTGCGTTCACGTGAATCTGGACTTGCAGCAAACGGAACCGTTGGCTTGTGAGGGAAAATCGGCACCTTGTACAGCTTCGAGTTGAGTGATGTTACCACTCGCCCCGGAGGAATATCACCGACAAACGGAGACTCATCGTGGTCACCGAGCGTAATGACCTGCCCCATTTTCATGTCAGGTGGCTTTGGGCGCGTCTTGCGAGCTTTCTTCTTACCCAGTATGCCCAATCCTGCAGATGTATCCTCCGGTGGCCGCCAGTAGTGAAGGATACGGGCCGCCATACCAGGGTTTGACAGCATGGGCGGGTGCTGCTCTGTGTACTCGATGAGAATCAGCTTACCACCAGCGGTGGGATTCAAGTCGGAACTCTTCTTGATCTGAGTAACCATGGCGCTTTCCTCCTGCGGTGCCAACTTGGCGGCACCTGGGGGCGGCGGCAAGAATTGCAGCCGCTCATTGATTTTGAACTTGCCGCGTGGTCGGTGAAAGTCTCGGAGTTTTGCCTTAGGAAGTTCAGGCTTTGTGAGCGAGAGCTTCATGGCGGGCAGAGAGTGGTGTACGTAGCCAATGTTCTTCACCACACGCGTGTCCTTCGACTTCTTACCGCTGCCTTCCGTGCCCAATCGACCTTCAGCCGTCTCCTCACCAAACTCAAGGTTACCCATGACCTCATCAATACGCTGTTTCTTCTCGATACGCTGTTTGTCAAGCTGCGCCAGGCGCTGCTCAGCCGCTCCCAACTTGCGTTCCGGAATGCGAAGCGTAGGACGTACGTCCTCCATCTCAGGAACCGAGTAAATGAGCGACGCATCGTTGTCATCCAGCACCAGTTTGCTCTCCGCCATATCCTGTGTAGACTTCCAGCCAATCGCCGCCACCCACGAGTCATCCTGCAACTCCTTGTTCAGTGGACACGGCAGCGTCTCCTTCTCTCCCTTCTCCGCATTCCCCGATCCATTGGCAGTCTCCTCTCCACGTTTCTTCTCCTTCGCGTTATCCTCCAGCTCCCAGCGGTAATTCCGTGGCTTGGTCATATCAAAGCCACCACTAAAACCCGCCGTCGCCAACGACGAATTCTCAGTCTCCTGACCCGCTCTAGCAGCACGCAGCTCCTTGTACGACTGAACACTCGTCCCCGAACTCTCCTCACTCTTCTTTTCAGCAGGCTTCGCCCAACCACCAGCCTTACTCGCCGCCTTGCTCTTGGTCTCCTTCACCACAGTCACTGCACCCACCGAGTCCTCGACTTCCACTCCCTCGTCCTCCTCCTCCGTCTTCCCACCCTTGGCCGCAGCCGCAAAGTCGATGCCCCAAATGATGTTCTCCTCCCAGGGTAGCTGCTGCACCTTGTGGTACTGCGCGTCGCCCTCCTCCTCCGAGTCCGTGAGTGCGCTGGGCCTGCCACCCGTGGCCGCCATTGTGACGAACGGCGTGGCGGACCACGCCACGAAGCGTCTCATGGGCTTCCCCTTGGCCTCCGCAGCCCGGGGAGGGTGCGACTGCATCGTCTGCTCCTTGCCCGCCGCGTTCTCGGCGCCGACGGCCTCCTGCGTCGTCAGCAGCTGCTGCAGTTGGTCCGGCGCGAACCGCGCCGCTGCGTCCGCCTGCGTCTGCTGCTGCGCCTTGTGCTCGATCGTGACGTCCTCCAGCTCCTTCTCCAGCGCGCGCAGCGTCGCCACGAGCTCCGAGTCGCGCGAGGAGCGCTGGTACAGCGCGGCGAAGTTGACGGGCTCGGAGCGAGGACTCGTCGGCTTCTTTCCGGGCGAAGACGCGTCCGTCGGCGACGCGGCGGGCGTCAGCGGCTTCGCCGGGAAGGAAGCTTCCCTCCCGGCCGGGGCGGAGGGGGCGGCGGCGCCCGTGGGGCTGCACAGCGCCGTCTCCATGGGACTGGAGGCGACCATCACTCCGTCCACTTGCTGTGTGGGCGCCATAATGCGGACTGACCCAAAGAGACGTCAGAGAAAGGGGCGGGCTCCAGGTTCCAGGTTGATGTTCCAGTTAGTAGGAGCAGGCAGGTCCCATCAATTCTGGAACCTGGAATTGGAGATAGCTACATCTGCACATGAATCGGCTCAAGCTGGATGAGACGGCGCTGGACCTGTTCGCTCGGCGGCCGACGCGCAGCTTCTCGACGAGGCTGAGCTTCCTGGACGCGGCGACTGCTAACCGAGACGGAGTAGAAGCTGGCTACCGGCCGCGACAGGTTGTAGAGCTGTGTGGAGCGAGCGACACGCCCAAGACTCGAGTGCTGGAGCACGTCGTGTCCTCCTTCCTCACCAAAAGCTGCGGGGCGAGCGCCCAGCCGCCCAAAGAGCGCGTCTTCATCTTCGACCACGAGTGCGAGGTGTCGGCAGAGCGGTTGAAGGATCTGGTGGCCGACAGACTGGCGGGGAGCAAGAGGGAAGACGCTCTGGAGGAGGCGCTGGGACGCGTGCAGACGTACCACTGCCGAGACTCGTTCCAGTGGCTCGCGACGCTCAATGATATCCACTTCCAGTTGTTAGAGGCCCCTCCGGCGCGTGAGTATTGAGGTTGCAAGGGTGTTTTTCAGTGGTTGGGAGGTTGATGGTGTGGGTGCGTTTGATGTTGTCCAGCGTTGATGCTGGTGTTCAACTGTGTGGGGTCCTTCCACGTTATTGACAAGGTGAGGAGATGCGGTGGTGGGAAATCGAGCGGCGAAGCTAACGGTATGGTGTCCTTGTGGCTGCAGATGACGGCCAAAAGCGTCGGGGACGGCTTGGCCCTGTCCGAGCAAGTATTTATTTTCCTAAAGCAGTTCATTCGGCATCATTCGCCGATAATTTTTGCCACGAAGGAGACCGCAAGTACGTGCATTTTCTTCGCTTTGCATGCTATTTTTTTAAGTAGGCGATAGTAAAATGTTGTGTATTATTTGACACAGAAAGCGCACGGAACTCGTGGGAGCACCCGGAGTATTTGCCGTCGTCGTGGACGCATCAAGTTTCGAAGCGGGTTCTACTTCGGATACCACCTCCACATCGGAAGTCACTAGACAGGTACAGACTTCAATACTATGTGCTACTCTCGTTGTCTATCTCCTGATAAATTATTGAATGCAGTTTCAAGAAAGACGATCAGAGCTGTGCTGTTTTAGACGAAAGCGACAGAAGCACGCACTTTGAAGCGAAGTGTATAGTCGGCGGAGAGAGGTGAGTTATGAATACGTGGTGTGTATTATAACGATGCACTTAACCTTTTGTCTTTACTGTAGCCGCATATATACGTGTCATGAGGAAGGAACTACTATTATCTCCACCCAACTCGGCAGCAAGAAATCTCCCCATGCAAATGCATTAGGGCGGTGATGATTTCAATCCTGACACTCAACAACTCAAAAAAGGCCATCAACTCTTTGTCAACTTCAACTCTATCCTACTGTCTACGGGTTCCTGCGGAGGTGTCCCAGCCACTTGGATACACCCCGGCCGACTTTCCCAGCCTTTCTGTGGGGGCGATGTTTGGTGGGATATTCTATCGTCACGGACTTCGATTCTGGCGGGAGTTGGTCCTGGTGTAACCTCCGATGAGCAGCAAACCCTCTCACTCCAACGCTTGAAGCAACATCTGCGACTAGCGCTATTGGTTATCGGGAGAAGCGCATCTCCAGCACTATCAACATCTCCACCAAGTTCTCGATCAAAGAAACTGACGATACCCGAGCATGGGCGTTCCGAAGTCGGCTTCACCCTCCTATTCTCCACTGCTCCCAGCACAGTAAGATTGTTGTGTGGGGTGGATATCCAGTGCAGTGTCGTGTGCACTATCAGCTCCCTCCCGTCGGTCTCGACTGCATTTGAAACACCAAGCGCTTTCAGCGAGCGGGGTCTGTAGTACAGCTCGCCATTCTCCCAGACGTATCCGTGCAGGAGCACCAACTTACTGCGTGCTCCCAATGCAGCGTCCACACTGCAAGTCTCCGGATGGTACCAAACCTCCACCACACAAATCCGCTGCACCGATTGCTCTCGTGTCTCGCTCAAGGTCTGTCCACTGGACAGACCTTGAGCATATCCGTAGTCTCCATCTCTGCGTCTGCAGGAGCGATCAAGCTTTCCGTAATCTTGTGTGTGCGGCGTCACGAACTTGGCGAAGCTTCGCAGCTGAAGGAAAAGGGGTCCGAGCCCGACAGCAGCCCAAACTAGCATCACAGTTCTCATAACCGGCATTTGAGTACTGCGCGTTCTCCGATTTCTTGGTAGTCTTGGTGCATGCTTTCCTTCGACCATGGCTGGCCTGGCGCTGGTGAGCACCTTACTGGTAGCCATGAGCTCGGCAGGCAACCATACGAGACAAGTCTATTCATGACAGCACTAATCGCCGACACACTTTTACGTCGTTTGGGAGCTTGTCACATCCGATACAACAGTGATCGTGTCGCGCCATAGCATGAGATTCTCACTACTTCTAATTATTAGTTGCCACGCAGCCACTCGAAGCGGAAAGTAAAGTCAACTCCTGCACGAAGGACCCAAACCAACTCAAAGTGAGAGCCTATCCATAGGAGGTGTTCAACATCAATGCACTCACCTAGATGCACGAGCTCGAACTGCAGTAGAACCACAATTCGAGGAATAGCCTCAATTGAATCATGTGCATCTGCGTCTCGAGCACGAATGCAAGCTGGTAGAATGGTGAAAACGCAAACTTGCGCTGTAGAAAATAGTGGAGTAGCACTGCGACGCAGCCTCCAGTGCTGCGAATGCTAGCGTATTCCCCACGGAACTTGTACCGCCATTTGCAACACCAACCGGGTAGTATACGACATTCGGTAGTTGCTGGAGGATTGACTTGTAGATCGCGAACACGAGAGGAACAAGACACTCAACGTACTCAACCAGCACCAGATACTCACATTGGAAGAGCAGCTGCAAACCCTCAACAATGAATGTTTTCCCTTGTAGTACCGATCGTGTTGATCCGCTCGAGGGTCTTTTGACATTGGTGTGGGCCGGTAGGACTCCAGTCACTCCAATTTGAGGTTGACGTTGACTTTCTTGTCTGTGAGATAATATCTTTTGGCACTCCTCAATTCTACATAGAGGCTTCCAGTACACGAAGTTGATCCCTTTGGTCTCGTGCCAGGGGGTGCGGAAGACAAGCCCACAAGCGAACACTGTTCTTCCACGCGAGTTTGAAGGTTTTCGGGTTACGAGTCACTGCGATCATCCGTGCCAGGAGTTTTCCACTAACAGCAGAATTGTCGCCAGTATTTTTTCCCTCGGAAGATTGCTGTTTGCGAATGAACTCTAAAACCGTATTAGCGTGTGCAGATACCTCGCGAAACTCTAACCATAACTGAGCCAAGTCCACTCCGATGAAAAGGATGGAGACGTGGATCGGTGGCGATGCTGATATACACACAGAGACGAAAGGTGCACTCAATAAATCCACGGAGAAGGCAATGATCGTCGGAATAAAATCCTCCAGCTCCTTTGTCGCTTTGATGAGAAATTGTTCTGCCGCCAATCCCACCACAGGCAACAATACCGCCGCAAATGCATAATAATGCACGGGTACAAGATCGTAAACCACTTTGCAGAATGGGGACGTCACCGCTAGTGCCAAGAACGCGATCAGGAAGCGAAGAAATCGGCCTAAATGTTGTCGACACGGCGAGTTCCTTTCAAAAGGTTTTCGACCAAAGACAAGCAGGATCATTATTGGAAAGAGTACTCCCTGGCTGGGCCCTACTGTCTGCCATGGGTATGGCACCGGGAATCCGACGGTGTTGGCGGCGAGAAAGTAGACCACCATAAACCCAGTACTTGCACCCATTGACACAATGAGTCTCTTAGCGTAGCGTAAACTCGAGGTCCGGAAGAAACGTGATAAGCTCGGAGGTCCCCATAAAGCAAATTATTGACACGGCCAAGCTCAGACGAATGCCGAACATCCAATTCGCTCGCCACCCTTCAGACGGAGATCTCAACGGCAAGCACTCCAACAGTACTGCCGTGGTCAATGCAGGCAATGGCGTAAGAATGCACACCAGCGCGACTCGAGTTCTTGAGGTAGTTTTGCAGTAGTGCTCCAGACTTGCAAGCCGTTCGATGGAGTAGGAACCTTGGTGCCCCACTTGAAGGTCGCTCCATTTCTGCTCCAGCCGATGCCAGGTTGATGCCGGTACATTTCCGCGCCCTGAGGTTACCACCGCAGAGGGGCTGACAGAGGCTTTCCCATCGTGTAGCAGGCAGCGACAAAAATGAAAATAATGTTGCTTGCGAGGGTGTTGGTTCTAGTAAAATCGAGATGAATACTGTCCAAAGTTAGTGCCCTATTTTTGAGCAGATACTTCCCGGTAGCAGTTTTTGATTTTGATTTTTTGCAGTTAACTCCGATACCACCTAGCAGCATAATCGAAACAATGGTAAAACAGAGCCCATCCTCATTGCAAAACAAGTTTTGATATGGGCGATTGCTATCGTCGTGGTAGCGCTGCTTCCAGTGCTTGCTTAGTGTATATTGGAAAATAAATAATGACTTAAAAATCAATAGGTAGGGCATTCTCCCTGTAAACGAAATACATAATGTGGCCCTAGGCATTTGGCTGTCAGCATCGGTGACGTTGAGGTCTGCCCAGCCCCCCTTCGGCTCTTCCGCGGCAGTGACGGCCAGTAGCGCAAAACCAAACAGAGACGAGGTCAACATAGTTGAGCTCATAGTCGGCATTTGGATCACCTGTACTGGATGCTGTGCTGTTGCTTGAGCCTTTCAAAAGTGTGGACTCGCAATTGATAGCCAAGTCGAAAGTTAAAATGGCTACGTGAAAAATAAAATGCCCGGCCACCTTCAAGATGTCATTGCTGTCGTTTTGCTCCTTCCTGGAGATCCTCGGAGGCGACCTCCGATACTTCTCCACGACCTCTCAAGCTCTGGAATCAAGGCATTTTCGAGCCAGCGCGACGATATACTACTAGTAGTCGCACTTCCGTAGTGGGGATATTTTTATTCCTACGACGAAATGCTGAACAAGTACTACATAGTAAAAAATATGTTGGCGGTGATATGAATAGACTCCTGCCTCAATGTGCACTCGTCCGTTATTCTCCAAAAGACTGACGTGTCCATGATAGTGCTGCCGAATAACTCAGTCGTGACTGAAGCCAAGCATGGCCCCAGGTCGCCGAGAAATCCAAGGAACCGAAGAGCTCGCGGGATCCAAATGCCTGTCATGAGAACAGTAATCATTTTCTGGGCTGCGGTCGGGTTGGGTCCGTTTTTTCTGCAACTGCGAGGCTTCGCAAAGTTTTCGACGCCGCACAAGATTACAGAAAGCCTGATCACTCCGGTGGACGCGATGATGGAGACGTCAGATCTGTTCAAGGTTTGTCCAGTCACGTCCATGTTTTTCGCCGGAGCCCGGTGGAACGCTTGCCCAACTCACTACTTCCGGCTGGAGGATCGAATACTGTGTCATATCGTCGTCCCGCAGTACAACGCTCACGGGGGCTACTTTATCGTAAATCGCACTACTATTCCGCACGAAAACTCGCCGTCAAGCTGCGATGATAACAGATTCCCACTCAATGGCAATTTTTACCACGTCAGTATCGGATTCTACTCGATCTACGCCGAAATGTCGGGGACATTCTGTTCTTCCGACGACACGGCATACCTAACTGTGAGCGGAGTGGGTACGTACGACATTAACGGTCTCCAACTTGCTGACGACAGGGGCAGTGGGGGATACAGGATGTCGTACTGGAACATCTTTACTGGAACATCCTTCACCCTCGTCAGGATCTTCACACAACGACGAAGCTTCGTCTCCTGTAGGAGATTTGCCAAACGCTGCGACCAAATGTCTGAGCCTTCGAGTACAAGAAGTCGTCGTCTACGTCCAAGAGAGCATGCGGCTGTCAGCACACGGAGCCAAGAACTTCCACCGCTTATTACTGCTATTCCTAGTAGGAATTTCCTACTCGTTGACCAGGGCGTCATGAGCGACTTCTTTTTATTGAGTACGCAAGAAGGGCTATTCGGACGTATCCAATCCATCTCGCTAGGCTACAACTTGGCGGGTCTCATGCCCATGGTGTTCGAGATGGTGGAGACAATGAACTGGATGAGCGAGAAGCTGCGGTGCCAGGTCAAGCGATTGCTGTTCAACTACGAGACAGCCCTGATTGGCGAGTTCATCACTGCCGCCGTTCTGCAGCATTACCTGACGACATTGAGCCGGTCGCAACTCAAGGATACGCAGCCGGCGGCTGAAGTGGTGTCATACTATTTGATGGGGTTGGCTGGGCACATCGTGCTTGCCTTGGGCTGTCTAACCATCATTGTGTCAACAAGAGCTATCGGTGCGATGGGATTTGTGTGGTGGTGGTTCGGTACCATTCGAGTGCTGGCGAAGATTAGCAGCGTGGATGCTGTACTGGGGGCGCGTAGTAAGTGTTCTGGGCGGATACATCTGGGAGGACGGTGAGCTGTACTATCGACCCGGCGTCTTGAAGGTGTTGCGCCATATATACTACTGCATTGTATGCTATAGTGAAATGAAGTAAGAATCAAATGATATGTTTGAGGGCATCTGATTGGATAATACAAAGGGCATTAACCCCTCAACGCCCACTCGCTGTACATACACCAAGAAACATGTTGTACGTACAACATGTTAAAAGTTGGGCTAAATGCCGCATAAGTCGGACGCTCTTGAAAATGCAGTTAGGTAGATCATCCAATCGGATATAAACAGCGCGTCGCCCTCCCTGAATCAGTGGCTCTGCGCTCATTCCCCAAAAAGACAAAACGAATGAAGACGTGTCATCAGCATGCCCCCCCCCCCTCGAGAAACGCGGCGGGAGCATCAGCGCTTTATGGAGCGACTGAAAGGCCGGAGTGCAGAGGACAGAGCTCGCCTCCACCAGGAGCACGCGGCTTACCTGGCGGGAACGAGAGAGGCTGACGCTGACTTCGGCGACGTCCAGGATCCGGAACCAGTGCCTGCAGCCAAGCGCACGACCTCCCGCGTAGCGCTGCGACCCCCCGTCGGCAAGAATGTGTCGTACCTGAGGGCCCAACGGCAGCATGTGGTGCAGACGCAGCAGGCTATTGCAGCGAAAACGATTGCTGGATCTGGAAAGAAGCGCCTGGTCGCGCGCAAAATGACGGGCGACGAAGAAGATGACGACTACTACCCTGAAGAGGACGACGACGAGGACGAGGATGAAGAGGGTGACGACGCCCGAGAAGCCGCCATCGAGGTCGCTGTGTCTCCCCCGGTGAAGCGGAAAGCTGTACCAGCCAAGGTCCGAGCGACGAAGAAACCCAAGAAGCCACGGAAACCAAGTCCTGCGCGCCTTGCCAAGGAAAAGGAGAAGGAAGAACGAAGGGCTGCAGCTCTCCGACGCTGTACGACGTCTGCAGCCGCGGAGAAGCAAGGTGAAGCAGCACTAGCAGAGACGAGGGCGCGACTGGAGGTGATTGCTGCAGCCAAGAAAAAGAAGAAGAAGACGACGGGCGCCGCGCCCAAGAAAGCAAAGAAATCATCACCGAGGTACGACATGTTACATGCTGGATGATACTACATCTTCTAATCTATCATGTGGTACGTCACGCAGGTACATCCAGCATGTTTGGCCAAGCATGTGTACAGCATCTTGACGTGGTGTATTATACAACTTGCTGCGCCTCTAGCATGTGTACAACATCATTATCTCCAGCATGTCAGCAAATGCTAGTCTGTGCTTTGTTTTGGTCAGATCTTAGCCTGTAGCTACTGGAACACCGCAGCCACCAACACCTCGAGCTTCTCCGGCTTTGTTGACTCCACCCCTGACTCCAGCACCGAATGCTAATTCAACAGGACAAGACAGGTATGAAGCAAGCGTTAGCAATGATGATGGCGATTTTGTATTGATTGTTGTTATACCTGTTCTAGTTCTGCTTCCTCTGCTGTTGCAGTGCAATCGCTACCTACTACTTCTCCTACGACGGTGGAACCGCCTCATGTTGTTGCTGCTGCAGTCAAGCCACCCCGGGCAATCGGTGCTGAAGCGGAGTCGCCTCATGTTGCTGCTGCTGCGCCAGTAGCAACCGATGATGGATACGAAGTGCTGAGCTCGGACTGTGACGAGACAGAAACAGAGGTATGCTTTTACAATGATGATGACGAGTGGAGCAATGCGAGAAGTATCGACTACGAGCCAGGAGATGATGCTTCGAGCGGTGATGAAAGTGATGAAGAGTACTCTGGCGGCGAGGAGCCTTCTGGTGAAGTGAGCGAAGTTGGCGGCGACACGGAGGGTCGTCAGTGGGACATCCTGGAGCCTGCGGAAATGGCCGAGCTTGCGCGAAGCGACGAGAACATGGCAGAGATGCGCGCATCAGGTTGGACGTTCGGTACGAAATTGTTTTGTTGTACTATGATGATGTATGATACAACATATTCTAACTTGGTTTATGGTGTACTTACAACATGAAGATCCTGATCACTTTCCGTCTGATCAGCGCTATCCAGGGTTGTTTTCCGGAGAATACGGACCCACCGAAGAAGTTCTCGCCTTGGCCGATTCTCCCCTGAAGCTGTTTTTTTTCTTCATGCCGAAGAGTGTGTGGAGGAAAGTGGCCGAAGAAACAAACCGCTATTTTGTCCAGAACCTGACGTCGCGTGTTGAACGCATGCTCAACAACCAGAAGACCCCCGGAAAAAAGTCCAAGGAGTGGTTTATACAACGCGAGGTCCGAAAACCCGAGGTTGAAGCCCATCAAATCCTGCCAGTGGTCGGCCTTTTGATCGCGCGAATGTTGAACCCTCATCGGCGACGATTTCGTGACCATTGAGGTACCAACGCCGTGGGCGCGATTCCGCGCGGGACGTTCAGCGACTTCATGGCTCGCAACCGCTTTGAGCAGATTATGGCCAATTGTCACTTTACGAATAATGCAGATACAAAGGCTGCATCGGACCGAGCGTGGAAGATCAGATCCGTCGTCGAAGTGCTCCAGAAGACGTTTCCCTTGGGGTATAAGACGCCACCAGTGATTTCGTTCGACGAAGGCATGCTGCCTTCGAAGAATCGGGATAACCCGACCCGCCAGTACATGAAGACAAAGCCTCACAAGTGGGGTACTAAGCTGTTCCTGACGTGTTGTGCTGATACTACTATTTGGCTAAGTATTTCATGTTGTAGCTAACTAATGTTGTATGTGCTGATACTGTATCCTACAACATGTAGACTTGAAATATATTGTGGCAAGGCGCAGCAGCTCAATGAGGTGGGAAACGTCCCAGCAAGCCAGCAGTCAGCGGATCCAAACAGCGGACCCTCAGCGGTGATCCGCAACCTTGAGGCGGTGCTTCCACCCCCCGAGAGTGGGGTCTTCCACCTCGTGGTGACCGATCGGTTTTATACATCGGTGCAACTGGCACTCCAACTACTGCACCGGAACGTCTACAGTATCGGCACTATCACAGGCGACAAGGTTGGATACCCGCCACAACTTGTCGAGAAGAATCGTGACCGGCCCAAACGACTCCCGCACGGAACGACAAAAATGGCAGTAGCAAAAAGCTGTCCTATGATGACGGGCTTGGTATGGTGGGATCGAAAACCTGTGCAGTTCTTGGGAACAGGAGTAAGTCGAGCCATGGAGACGTGTGGTAAGTACTTGCGAGGAACCAAATTACTCTGTTTTGGAAAAACTAACGTGATGTTTTATCTTATCAGAGAGGCGAACACGCGGCACACAGAGAAGGCGGAGCGATGTTCCATGCCCAGCGATGATCCGCGACTACCACAGATGGATGGACGGAGTCGACATTCACGACCAGCTCCGCCTCCAGTACTACTCGCTACAAAAGCAGACTTGGTGCAAAAAAATACTACAAGTCCCTCTTTTTTGGGCTTGTAGATGTTGCCATCGTGAACGCCTACATTGTCTTCCGTGAGGCGCAAAAGGGAAGCACCGAGAAGCCTGTGTCGCACGCTGAGTTTCTGATGGAGCTGCATGCTGCGTTGCTGGACTTGTCAGAGAGCGACTTCGCCGAACAAGTAAGTTTTCCATGCTGTATATGGTACATGTTGTATGATGGCGGTTGCTGTACATGCTGTCGGACGCTCATGTTGGATGGTTAGAAAGCCAACAACATCATGCATGTTCCACATGTTGTATTCCTGTGAGGCATGCAATCATATACATGTCGGATTGATGTCATGTTGGAGGTGAGCTAACAAAGTGTTTGCTTGTAGACTTCCCCACGCGAGCCTGCAGCTGGTGATGTGCCTCCTCCGTTACCACCGGGCCACGAGCCCCAGGAATGCCCAGAGTACCAGTATGTCAATGGGGTACGCAAACGTCAGCAGCGTCAGTGCAAGGTCTGCTCCGTTCTGAAGCGCCGGGTTGGAGAGCGTCGCGCCACGAAGTACTACTGTGCTGCCTGCAGCAAGTCGGACAAAGGTCGGTACGTGGATGTGTGATTGTTTGCAATGGTAAAGCAACCCGCTGACTACTCTACTGTTATCTGCAGCATGTATCTATGTAATTGAATTTGGCCACAACACTATCCTGGAACGCCATGAGCTGTTACCAGATCTGGCATCACAAGTGGGAAAATGGAACGAAGCGCCCGAAGCCGCGGTGCGGACGAGACTTCCAAAGTCGAGAGGTAGGTGCTAACAAGTCCGCCGGAAAGCGCAAGCGTCAAAGCCAAAACAACGAGGAGGAAGATAGCGAGGAGGCAGCTAAACACATCAGCAGCAGCAACGTCGAAGGAGATGTACGTTCCGGCGAAGGTAGTGACAGTGAGTAGGAAAATATGTGTTTGGTAATGAATGTTTGGCTGGCGGGTGAGGTTACAATTTCGTGCGGTTGTTGTGTGTATTCATTTGATGCGTTGTAGATTTCGCGAAAGAGACATTGAATACTACCTTACTTTACGCACTCCAGGCTGCCCTCGTCCAGTCTCTGGATAAAAAGGACGCTAGACGCTCATCCGAGGAGCGCCATCATGCTGTATCTACACCATGTACATGCTGTAGGTACAACGTGGAGGAGCGATTTGCTGAAATGGTCATGTTGTTGTTGTACACAGCCGGGCTTCGAACTTATACGAGACTAGTAAAAGTAAGTGTTGCGCGACTTTAACATGCTGCATGAGTAACATGTTGGGCGCGTATCGTGAAATAAAAAACAGGTAAAAAAACAGCTTGGGCGCTGAGGGGTTAAGAGCCATTCATTGGGAAAGAAGCCAGCGCTGCTGGCAGCAATATGATAAGCCGAGGGATGTGAAGGAAGCAGGCTTTCATTGCCATCACTTTCGAAACTGACGGCAACTACACAACTACCTACAATTGCTGCACGCAACATTTCAAGTACGATGACGACTACCGATGCCAGACTGGCGGCGGCCTGGAGCGCTTCAACGGCAAGTCCTACACCATGTGGAAGGACAAGCTCCCGACGCACGTCAACTCGTTGGACCATGAGTACCAGACGACGCTGCTTGAGAAGAGGCAGCCTGAAGCGAAGGTGCTCATGGCCGACTTCCTGCGGAGTAATCCGGAGAAGCCAGCCCTAAACCTCCGAGCAAAAGGCGCTTGAGATGAGGTGGGGCGTGGCGCACTGGAAGACGCACTGAAAGAGAGGAAGGGGCGACCTGCAGAACCTGCTCAATCAGACTCTGCCCAATTTCTATCTGTCGACACTGCCGGACGTGGTGTCCTCCATGGACCCATGTGAGGTGATCCGGCTCCTCGAAAAAGATTTTGGCCAAGGTGACGCGGACGGTCTGATTGAGTTGCCACGGTCTCTGAATAAGTTGACACGCAGCCCCTGGCGCGACTTAAGGACCCTATTCGCGCAACTTAAGAAGGCAAGGAATGAGATCAATAGGAAGCTTCGGAAGCTATTTAACCAACACATGGTGTCCGAGTCCTGGCTTTGCGTCGAAGTCCTGTCGCAACTGCCAAGCGAGTACTGGGTGTCCTCCATCTCGATGACCAAGGAGGACTTCACGGTGGACAAGGCGGAGGGGGCTTTGCGCCGCGTCTTCGGCGACAAGTCAAAGAAGGACGTGGGCCTTATGGACAAAACTCAGGTGACCCACATCAACAACGTCCGAGTCAAGGTGGTTGGACAGAAAAGAAAGCCCGCCAGTACCGAGGGCGACAGAAGTTGTTTCTATTGTTTCGAAGCGGGACACTTCAAGTCGGACTGCCCCACGAAAGCGGCCGACAGGGACCCGAACCGCTAAGGGGGACCTCTTTTCCGGACGGACATAAAGACGGCCCCGGGCGCTAAGAAGGCCAAGAAGGCAGCAATCAACACTCTCATGGTGGTGGTGGCTGAAGGACAAAAGAAGCTCAGCAAGGGCGATAAGACGGCGCTTGAGAAGAGCCAGGAGGACCAATTGATGGACGACATCAACAGCCTGGACCCCGAGAAGCAGGACGAAGGCAAGTCGGCTGAGACACCGCCACCAAAAGACATGGAAGAATTCGAGGCCATGGTACGTAAATTTCATTCGCCATATTTAAGTTATTTACGGAACCTAAAGTTAACGGATGATATGTGGGTTGTTGACACTGGTGCAGGCCGAGGAATAACATCAGACCGAAGCTGGTTCACGGGAAGCCTGAAGCCTGACCTAAGTCACGTCTTCACTTACGGTAATGGCACCGTTTCGCATAGTGCACTTAAGGGATCAATAAATCTAAATGTGTTGAACCCTGAAGGATATTTGAGTGCGTTAAATTTAACGGAAATTTCATATAACCGGAAATGTGATAGTAATTCACTAAGTGCATACTATTTGGCTAAGCAAGGTAACAGGCACATCCAGTCAAAATCTGGAGATTTCCTCTTTTTCATAGGAGATAACTTTACGTTACTGTTTGCAGCAGTAGCTATAGGTGAAGTTTATTACTTTCCGAACGTTAAACACGTAAGGACGAGTGTGTTTAGTGTCCAAAGCCACAAATATGGCAATATCCTGAAAGAATGGCACTTGAGGCTCGGCCATGTTGGTAAAGAACGATTAATTCGAACACTAAATAACGAGAAAATTACTGGGCTGCCAAAAATACCTTACTCCGAACTGAAGAAGGTTCATTTCTTTTGTAAGACATGCGCCCAAATGAAAGATAGAAGGATGTCCTATAAGAACATGGTGGGAGCCAAGGCTACTGAGCCACTCCATACACTCCATATGGACTCAACTGGTAAATTACGGGTGAATGGCTTATATGGCTGTAGATGACGCTACCGCTTATAAGTGGTACTTTGTGGTAAAATCCCTGAAAGAAGTTCCCGGCAAAATTCGGGACTGAGAAGACGTGTCACTTAATTGCTAGCTAGGTACAGCAGGTTTTTTGTTTTCAAGGCATGCATAGCCTGGTATGTTGGGATGCAATCATAGGATACTTCCAGCATAAACCCACCCTTGTGTTTGATTTTTGTTCACCATCAATAAAAAGGACACTGCAAGTTGTAGTATATAAACCCTGTTGAAATTTTGCTACCCATCTTGATCTAACTATTGCCTTCCGTAAGTACGACACATTTCTATAACCTGCGGGAAACTGGTCGACACACGAGCTGCAGTTCCTGGTGCACTTCAACCGCAGACTGACGCGCATGTTGTCTAAGACGCCCTCGGATGGGTAGCAAATTTTCAACAGGGTTTATATACTACAACTTGCAGTGTCCTTTTTATTGATGGTGAACAAAAATCAAACACAAGGGCGGGTTTATGCTGGAAGTATCCTATGATTGCATCCCAACATACCAGGCTATGCATGCCTTGAAAACAAAAAACCTGCTGTACCTAGCTAGCAATTAAGTGACACGTCTTCTCAGTCCCGAATTTTTGGCGTCTTAGTATTATTATAGCGCACATCCTGTTCGGTTTTATTGGATTGGGCCACCTCACCAGGCTGCATTCTCTCTGAGGGGTGCATAATAGTACTTACACGCGCAAAATAACCCTTACATAGCAAAATATAGTGTCAACGGTGTTCATTCTTTCCAGCTTACCCCTTCTTTTACATACCCTGGTATATCGGACGAGATTCTTCTTGCATTTCGAGCCACAATGCACAATCATGTATCATATCCTGTCTAATCTGATCGGAGTACCCGGGGCATAGTAGGGGTAGAACTGTCTCATACGCATAGAGCGCACCAGACGATGATGGCTGGTGTTCGCTGTGCACTCAGAGGGGCCAATATGCCGGCTAAGTGGTGGCCTGAAGCCTTAAACTATATTGTAGATGTCACCAACCGCCTGCCAATGGCCCGGCTGGGGATGAAGACCCCGTATGAATTACTGCATCGTAAGAAGCCCAATGGCTTGGCACTCAGAATTTGGGGCACAACATGCTATGCACATGTACCCAAAACAAAGCGAACAGACCCAAAACTCGGTGATCGAGCAATCGAGTGTAAGCTTTTGGGGCTGACAACCAAATATAAAGGGTATCGGCTGCTAGACGTCAAGGCAAATAAGTACCTAATCTGTCGCGACGTTAAATTTAGCTCAACAAGTACAGAGACAATGATACAAAGGTCAATCCCTACTGAGGACAGTAGCGTGGATCTGGAAAAGGAAAAGATCATACAGAATTTAGGTAAGCGACCTAGAACAGAGGCTGATGTTAAAGCGACCACCAAAGTTGAAGCCTCAACGTCAGCATCTGTCACGCGACCACCGGCATCTCGAATAGTGGGAGCAGAAAATGGGGTCAGTGACAGACGGAGGTCTAAGAGAAAAAGAAAGCGTAACGTCAGACTGACAGATTATGTCACCCAGTTAAATAATGTTACAACTGGTAAGAAACGCATTCCCATTCCGCGATCTATTAAGGAGGCGCGGGCTAGCGAATATGCCGCGCAGTGGGAGTGCGCAATAAAGACAGAGTTTGAGGCCTTACTAAAGAACGGCACATGGAAGTTAGTGCCTCTACCAGAAGGGCGACGAGCACTCGGTTGTCACTGGGTGTTCGACGTAAAGTACCATTCTGATGGTACAGCTGACCGATTTAAAGCACGGTTGGTAGTCCAAGGGAACACCCAGCTGTACGGCACTGACTACCAGGAAGTCTTTGCCCCCGTAGCTCGGTATGAGTCTCTGCGGCTTTTGCTCGCACTATCGACAGTTCTAGATCTACACCTGCATCAAATGGACGTCTCTACTGCGTTCCTAAATGGTGTACTAAGCGAAAGTATTTACATGAGGCAGCCAATGGGATTCCATAATGGATCCGGGCTAGTCTGTAAGCTTGCGAAAAGTCTGTACGGCCTAAAACAGGCCCCACGAATTTGGTATGAAGTAATAAATGCCTTCCTAAAAGATTTCGGCTTTTTCAGATGCAAGAAAGAAGATTGCTTGTATCTGAAAAGGTGGGAGGTTCAAGGAGTCACACACACGCTAATTGTGTGCGTCTATGTGGACGACCTTACGATCGCTGGCTCACACTTGAGCTCGATCAATGATCTGAAAACTAAGTTGTCTGCTAAGTTTACTATGAAAGATTTAGGCGAATTGCACTATTTGCTAAAAATGGAGATCCAAAGAGATCTAAAAAGGAAAACACTGTGTCTGTCGCAACAAAAGTACATTCAGGACCTTTTGGAAAAGTTTCAGATGAGGGACTGTAATACAGAGCCGACACCACAAGCTAAAAGCGTGGTTTTAGAGAAGGAAATTAATATGACACCCGAACAGGAAGCGGCTCAGCCGTTTGATTACCGATGTTTGATTGGCTCATTAATGCATTTTGTAAGAGGCACTAGACCTGATATAGCTAACGCTGTAAGAAAGTTGAGCAAGTACTTATCTTGCTATAATAAGACCCATTGGAGAGCGGCTCAGCGAGTACTAAAGTACTTGAAAGGAACGTCGAAGTATGGCTTAGAGTACAATGGAAATAGTACTATTAAGGTAGAGCTATACACAGACGCGAGCTTCGCGAACGCAAATGAACAAAGGAAATCAATTACAGGATATGTATCAATACTTGCTGGTGCATGCATTACTTGGAAGAGTATTAAGCAAGACTGTATTAGTCTCAACACAGCGGAATCGGAATTAGTAGTCGTAAGTAAAGGTGTAAGAGAGGCAATGTGGTTACGACTACTATTGAATGAGTTGGGTTACGGCCAAGCACGCCCGACACAGTGTTGGTGCGATAACACCGCCGCAATAAGTATAATAAAGGGCCCATGCAGTCATTCGGCAACAAAACACATTGATATCAGGCATCTCTATCCCGCGATAAGCATGACGAGAAAAGTATCAGTATTACTTACTGCAATACCAACGATATGATAGCAGATGCACTCACAAAGCCACTGACTCAAAGTCAATTTGAAAAACTTCGCGCGATGATCGGCGTAAAGAATTTTGAGGTGTAAGCTTACCGATAAACTACGCCGCGAGAAATAAAATACTTTTCACCACAAATATTTGTTTTCAGGCACAAATAAGGTTGGACTTTGTGCCAAAGGCAATTTTTGATAAGCCACAAATAAAGAAATATTTTTCGGGAAGTTTTTCAACATAAGAACTGTAAAAGTACAAAAGGAGGATTAAAGTTAACAATAAAGGCTAAGATTAACAGAAAAGTTAAGATTAAAGGTCAATTTAAGGGCTAAACCCTCATTTTTAGGTGCAACCTAGCCAAAATGGTGGGTTTCTTGTCGGTCTGGGCTGCAAGCCCCGCACTCTTGAGTACATTTTACTCAATATTAAGTTAATTTTCAGTCTCTGACTCTCTCATCTGTCGCCGGCGGAAAAGCGCATTGATCATAAACTGGATGACCGCGAGTAGCTCAAAACAATGAGATTTTCCATCCACAGGATCCCCAGTTGGGCTGTTGGCTGCATGTTAACCTCCGGGGGTCTGTCGCCTAGGTCACACAACAATAGCCAGGAGAATTTGAATGGCTTGCGGCATCCCCCCTTGCGGAGTTTGCGTCGGACCAGCACTTGTGCGGCACAGAGGCAGAAGAGAGAGTGAGAAGCAAAGGCAAAAGGCGGAGGAAGCTTTATGGAAAGGTGCTCTCTTCAATATATAAGATAAAGTATGAATCTTAGTTTGGGCAGATCTGATTTATATTGGGTATCTGTACTGCTTATGATAAAAGTATCTTGGGCAACCTGATAATTTAATTTTGGGTATGCGTCACGAAATAATCTGAGAACGGCGTTGAAGTCGAATGGCCGAGAGCAACCTTTCGAGAGGCGCGCTGGCATCTTTAGTGGGAGTGTTGCGCCATATATACTACTGCATTGTATGCTATAGTGAAATGAAGTAAGAATCAAAGGATATGTTTTAGGGCATCTGATTGGATAATACAAAGGGCATTAAGAGGCATTCAAAGGGAAAGAAGCCAGCGCTGCTGGCAGCAATATGATAAGCCGAGGGATGTGAAGGAAGCACACTTCCGAAACTGACGGCAACTACACAATTACCTACAATTGCTGCACGCAACAGAAGGCTCTTGGGGTCTTGAAGGCAGTCGAACCTGATGGAAGAGAGCTCTTCATGCACACAACGCTGTACTGGATATCCACTCCGGACGACAATCTTGTCGTGCTGGGGATTGTGGAAGATAGGAGAGTGGGGCCGACTCTGGCACTGTCGTGCTCGGATATCGTGGGCTTCGTTGATCGAGAGCTTGGTGGAGAAATTTTGAGGTATGAAAACGAGCCTGGGGACACTTTGCTCCCACGACTTAATACATCCATACGCAGGTGCTGCTTTAGTCGTCAAAGTGAGCGGGTAAGCTACTCGAACGGCGAGATCAGAGTCAATGAAGATATCACGCCGCGTCAGGTTCCACTCGCACGAGGTGCACGAGATATGTCTGGGTGTATCCAAGTGTTTGAGGCTCCTCATCAAAATTTTGTAGGAGGCAGAATCGAACTGAAGTCGACATACTCTTGATCATTTTTTGCTGAGCTGTCGAGTTTTAGAGGAGTTCGAAAAGTCGTAAAGCTTACGGATAAATGAACGGATTGGTGTGGCTGAAGGCAGTAGCTTCCAGTAGCTTCCATATACGCATTTTTCATGGTGCTTTTATTTTATTTCCTTGGTTGCCCCCACCATTATTTATTTAACTACCTTTCGGAGTTATTTTTTTTACCCAAATCAGACTTGCACTGGAGCGAACTATTAGCCAATAATGCCACGAATACTAACGCTGCGCGGGGCAACTTAGTCCGCCTATTCCACTTACGGCTTTTGGCTACAGGATCACCGGTTTCCAAGAAGAAGGCGCTGATGCGTCGTCAGCAAGCTACCTATGATTTCGAGCTCCAGTTCACCACCGACTACCACTTCACTGTGGAGGGTTGCGAGTTGATGTCGTCAGAGGCGGAGTTCGTGGGTGAATCCTAAGAATCAATCAGATTACGTGAATTCCTATTGGCAGAAATTGCTGCCGAGCGCAGCGAAGTCGGCACCGTCGCCGAAGGCGACCCCCTCATACGATATTGCGGGGCCGCAGGACTCCCCCCCCCCCCGGCCTCTGTAATACTAACCTGGCATTGAGAGTAGTGCAGCGAGCCGACGAGGCGAGCGGAATGGGTCCACTACTGCCGTAGCGAAGCGTAGGCAGCCTGCTCTTATAGCGCAGCGAGCATTGCGAGCGAAGCGCCAACTAACAAAAAAATTCACCGCTGCGTAGCGGCGGCGCTCGGCTAGTGTCTTGCAATAGCGTCAACTTCGACGTGTATATCACACGTGATGTCGGTGCGAAGTCGCTTCACGTGACGGCAGTCAACAGCCAACTTGGCTGAGCCAAGATATTGATGTTTAGCCCGATGGGGTTTGAAGAAGCGAAGTGGACGAACATGTGGCAACGATGAACAACGCGTTGGGTGCAACTTCACAGGGGTCGAGAAAGTAATAAACAACTACTACGTAGAATCACATGAAAGGTTCATGAAAATTAATCTTTGTCAGGTGGGAGCTACAAAAGACAATGCAAGGCTGGTAAGAAAACCAGCTAAGAAAACCAGCCTTGCATTGACTCCACCTGACAAAGATTAATTTTCATGAACCTTTCATGTGATTCTGCCGATTTTTCAAAACCGGTTGGGGTTTTGGTTTTACCATAAAACGGCGACATTTTTTGCTGTCCACAATCCATTTACCGTAACACTCGATAGAAAAAATAGGTTACCCGGAGCACTGCTCCGGGAGAGTACACCGGTCGTAGGGCAACAGCAACAATAGTGACTTTTCGAAAATTAATGAGAAAAACGTGGGGGAGATGCAGGTACGGTATGGAGGGAGCATTCGGGAGTGGTTGGATTAAACAGCAATGTCCTTTCGTGTGCGCGCGGTGGGATATAAAGTACAACGGGAGACTCTGGATTCCCTGGTTGTCGTTTCCTGGTAGGACTGGTACGACGGGCTTAAGTATTAGTCTTACTTTAACTTTTATAGTAAAACCTGCCTACCTCCGAAAAGCATCGATAGGTTTTACTGGGAAGTTGTTGAAGTTTAGGTCCAACGTCTGCATATCGACGAAGGACAACATTGCTTGTCAAGTTTTCCTCTGAAAACTTGTAATGCTACCGCTCTTACCACCAAACCCTTAATAACAACGACGGAAAGAGAAGTTGATAGCGACGACGATTACACTAAGGAAAAAAAGGTTTTGCGGCACGATAATGACCGCTGAGCCATTCGTCCTGTAGAAATTCCGGCGAGAGAAGTATCCACTTTAACTATTGAAGACACCGACTAATGAGAATAAAAAAAGTTTCTATGTGATGAACCCTAAAAACATAATAATTCAACAACAAAAACAGAGATAATGATGCGATTATCCCGCATAAAGCTATCGTTTCTATCAAGCATACAGATGTATGGGGGTTAAACGTGGTTCATTTGGAGTAGCCCAAAGCCATTAAGGGATTCTTGCTTGATGAGCAAGATGCCGTATGGCAACCCCCCAAATTGGGCTGTGTCCAAATGAAGAACGTTTAAACCCGACATTAGTTGCAATTGCTTGACTGTATGGTCGAAGCGGGGCGTAAGCCCGGGTGGCTGTATGGCCGAGGTGCTTGACTGTATGGTCGAAGCGGGGCGTAAGCCCGGGTGGCTGTATGGCTGAAGTGCACGCCCGAACAGGGTGGACGTTCGACGTCGCTTCCCCCGGATCGTGAATGTCAGGGAGACTCGAGTTCACCAGCACGCATTGTTCTCACTGCGCTGCCGCCCTTCGCCGTCGCCGTTCGGGATGTACAGCAGCGTGACCAGCCGGTTGCCGTAGTTGGCGTACGTGTCCGTGCTGACGCTCCTCGGGAGACTGTCAGTACAGCTTCTTGTACAGCGCCTCCACGCACGGCGGCATTCAGTGGTAGCGGATCACCGCGACGCTCAGGACCTTCTTATCCGTATACGCACGCCCTTCATCATGCGCTTGAAGTGGTCGGAGTCCAACTGCATCATGCCCGTAGTTGAACATCGCGGGGCTGTAGCAGTGTTGCTCCAGCAGCCTATTCCGGTATGGATTGCGCTGGTCCGTCTTGTGTCCGTTGACGTACTCGATCATGTAGCTCTTCATCTTCTCCCCGTTCAGCAGTATCTCCGCATCGGTGGAGCACGAGCAATCGCACTGTGAACATCGCGTGCATTTCAGACCGACGCGAGATGCATCAATCTCGAACTTCTTCTCAAACAACTCCGGCTAGCCGTTCTGGAACCTCCCGGGGCAGTCTTCAGCTGAGATGTTCGGCGGCCGGTCGCCTCTTCATGGTCGCGACCTCAGCGTCCACAAGTTGTAGCATATTGAAGGGGAAGGTGGTCCCGCAGAGAAGCGAGACGCCCCCCTTGTAATAATCGAGGTTTTTGGAGGGAGCGGGTAACCCTGTAGCATACTGGTATCCCATCGAGCCCTCATGTCACCTTCTCGAACGGCTGACGGCTGAGGAAGGCGGCATCCTCGAGCGGGCTGTTGATGTCCTGGTCCTGCTCGTGCGTGGTGTAGGCCGCGTTCTTGCCCAGCACGGTCCCCCAGATGGCCGCGGTCGCGTCCTCTCCGTCGTCGTCGAGCATCAGGTGGTCGCTGCGCAGCTTGTCCCCAGGCGACTCCATGGGATGTCCTGGCGACCACGGCGGTACGCGGGCTCCTCGCCCGGCGCTTACTGCACGTCGTCGTCGTCGTGATCCTCGTCGTTCTATTGCTCAGCGAGTCCTACTCGTCCACCTGGTCGCAGCTCCTGGGACAGTGTCCCGACCGGCACAATGGCGGCAGCACCCGCGCCCTGTTTCAGCTACCGCGGGCGCATCTCTCCCAGCTCCTCGTCGCGTGCTGCTACGTGGCTGAAAGGTAGGCTTGAATGCTTGGGCAGCGTGCTCTGTGCTCAGTCTGAGGGGGGAACTCCAAAATGAACCCCAAATCTTGGCGATGTCACTAGCATGGTACAGTATACCAGTATCTTGTGTCGAAGATCTTACTTCTGCTAGAAAACACTTTTTCCTTCCTTCTTCCGCTTCACTCCATCCGCCTTGCTCCATACGTTACGCTCACGGCGTCCGGAAAACAACCATGAATACGAGAGCATATCAGAGCTCTTTCAAAAATGTTCTCCTCGTTTCGATAATCCATCCACAACAAATTGGGAATGTGCCTTGCATAGGAAACATGAACACAAAAGAAACGCGGATAATTACCAACGAAGCGTACTCGATCAATGAAAACTAGATTGTATTGGTTAAAACCAAGGTAAAACCAAAGACGTAAATGGTTTTTCAAGAAATCAACAGGTTTTACCAGCCCTGTTTCTTGAAGATCGAGTGTGTCAATCACAAGCAAACCGCAGCAAAACTATCGTTCTCACGTTACTTCTCGACATGCTCTTCTTGCACTCGAAAAGTTCACTGCAGATGTTCAAACCACCAAGACGCAGTTGATAAAGATAAACGTTTAGCAAACCTACTTCGCAGGAATGTTACGCGTAGTGAAATAAGCAACCCACAAGGGCAGAAGTAACATGTCTTGAATTTGCAATCATTTTTAAGCAAGTAGGTATTTGGTTTACTTGTACTGCATTTTTCTCGGGCATTCTTTCGACACGCACAGAGATTGGGGTAGTGAAATGCTTAAAACTACACGCAGCGGTGATAAGCACCACTTGATCCAGCAGCTGAGATAGATTAGAATAAAGTAAAAAACCATTTCCACAACTGCAGGAACATTTTGATTAGCTGCCATGCGATACACTATATGCAGAAAGCGTACGATAAAAGTCGAGTAATTAGCGCATGGGAGGTAAGTAACCTCGGCAAGGTGTAGCTGCCGATGCTGTAATAAACTGACAGATGTTCGCGATGAGCTAGTTTGGAGACGGCATTAGAGCCGACACATTTAGGGATCCCACTTACTGGCTTGCGATGGGTCAGAATGCTGGTAACATCTATTAAGCTTAGTCCGTGTAACTAGTGATCATGTGGTCAGTGGTCACAACTTCGCAAAAGGAGCGGCGTTTGCTGGTCTTACCGGTAGTTAGTCCACTCTCCGTTGCATGTACATGTACTGTGTACATGTACTAAGCTTTACAACATTCGAAGCGCAACCCATCATGCAATATGCAGATAATGGGTTAGCACGCACGAGATACTGACAAGCACCACCCAGCAGTAAAGTATGCTTCGGCGGATGCGTATCATACGAACTTCGTTAAATTGTGAAACATTGGAAAATACTTAATAAAGAGTAATAGCAACGTAGTTTTAGTGATAACCTTGGATTGTAGTACGAATCTAGCAAACAATCCCTGAACCGAGTTAACAATTTGTAGCTTTTAGTCGTATAGCAAACAACCCCTGGGTTGCAGAGTCATACATGTAACAATTCGTAGCTTTAAGAAGTACCTCCTTAAGTTAATGAATACCCGCTTTTGGAAATAAAAGTACCCGGTTTCAGTAAGTTACAGTAAAGCTACCTGTGAACTACTTCTAAGTAGTTTACAAAAAGTACGAGATTCCAGCAAAAAAAATATCATGAGGATGTTGACTTGAGTTCTATTCAACCCTCTGCGAGATTTTGCTGAGGGGCCCCAAATACTTGGATATTCCCAGACAATTCTCTTGTAGGTGAAATCTGACGGTCTTCCAGCAAAAATTGGACTGGTCTTCACTTGGATTGGTTCGTCCATCGAGCAGCTAACCCTTTCGCTTTGACGTCTGAAGCAGCACCTGTGAGCGGGTCCATTCGTTCGTGGGAGCAAAAAATCGCTTCCACAACCTCCAACATCACCACCAAGCTCACGATCAACGAACCCCACAACACCCACGCACGGACGTTCCAAAGTTGGCTCCACCTTCCTACCATCCACAGTCCAGAGCACAGTGAGATTGTCACAAGGAATAGAGATCCAGTGCAGCGTCATATGAACGAAGAGCTCCGTCCCGTCGGGCTCGACTACCTTCAGGACCCCAAGAGCCTTCAAGACGCCGGGTCGATAGTACAGCTCACCGTCCTCCCAGATGTATCCGCCCAGAACACTTACTACGCGCCCCCAGTACAGCATCCACGCTGCTAATCTTCGCCAGCACTCGAATGGTACCGAACCACCACCACACAAATCCCATCGCACCGATAGCTCTTGTTGACACAATGATGGTTAGACAGCCCAAGGCAAGCACGATGTGCCCAGCCAACCCCATCAAATAGTATGACACCACTTCAGCCGCCGGCTGCGTATCCTTGAGTTGCGACCGGCTCAATGTCGTCAGGTAATGCTGCAGAACGGCGGCAGTGATGAACTCGCCAATCAGGGCCGTCTCGTAGTTGAACAGCAATCGCTTGACCTGGCACCGCAGCTTCTCGCTCATCCAGTTCATTGTCTCCACCATCTCGAACACCATGGGCATGAGACCCGCCAAGTTGTAGCCTAGCGAGATGGATTGGATACGTCCGAATAGCCCTTCTTGCGTACTCAATAAAAAGAAGTCGCTCATGACGCCCTGGTCAACGAGTAGGAAATTCCTACTAGGAATAGCAGTAATAAGCGGTGGAAGTTCTTGGCTCCGTGTGCTGACAGCCGCATACTCTCTTGGACGTACACAACGGCTTCCTTTATTCGAATTGGTTCGGTCATTTGGTCGCAGCGTTTTGCGAATTGCCAGCAGGAGACGAAGCTTCTTCGTAGCGTGAAAACTCTGATGAGGATGAATGCCGTACCAGTGAGAATATACCAGTACGACTTCCTGTACCCGAAGCCGCCCCTGTCATCAGCAGGTGGACGCCCAGGGCTGTGGAAAAAATGATTGCGATTGTAATATTGCCGAGATTGTCAATCACAATAATTGATTGCTCCGTGATCTCAATCGGCAATCCCGTTCCCATATTGTTCCTATACTGATTTTGAGCCTTTGCCAGCGATCCGGTAGAGAAATATGCACCGTCAAGCCTATGGAACCGATCCTAGCTCCTAAAAAGCCATTATGTGTCTTCTGCTGCTTCGAAATGCGGATATGAGGGGTCATTGGATGCCTGGATGGGGTGCACGCTCAACATGATGAATATAAGACCCAACATTGCATTTGGCCAAGGTTTTTGAAGCTCAACACAAATGTAATCGCACAAGCAAAGGTTTTAAAGCGATAGCGCCGCCAAACCAGTAAAAATATGAACGTAGCAGAGGAAATACAAGCGAGAACTTAGATTGCAATCTTTTTGTTTGCGAGATTGTTGAGATTACAATAATTGATTGTTCCAGATCTGAGCCGTCAATCAATAAACAATCTATATTTCCACAGCCCTGGTGGACGCCGTTAATGTCATTCGTGCCTACCCCCTCCACAGTTTGGTATGCTGTGTTGTCGGAAGAACAGAATGTCCCTGACATTTCAGCATATACTGAGTAGAATCCGATACTGCCGTGGTAGAAATTACCACTAAACGGGAAACTGCTATCAATGCAGGTTGACGGAGAGGTATCGTGCGGAGTTGCTGTGCGATTTACGATGAAGTATCCTCCGTGGGCGTTGTACTGCGGAACAACGATATGGCAAGGTATTCGATCATCCAGTCGGAAGTAGTGAGTAGGGCAAGCGTTCCATCGACCTCCGGCGAAAAACAAGGATGTGGCTGGACAGATCGTAAGGAGATCCGTGGTCTCCATCACCGCGGCCGCAGGAGTGATCAAGCTTTCTGTAATCTTGTGCGGCGTCGCAAACTTTGCGAAACCTCTTAGCTGCAGGAAGAGCGGCCCCAGCCCGACAGTCGCCCAAACTAGCATCACCGCTCTCATGGCAGGCATTTGAATCCCGCGAGGATTTTTGTTCTTTGGATTTCTAATTGCTCTGGGGTGTGTGCTTGCCTTCCGTGTTGCTTGATAAGTTGTCCATGCATTGCGTTACTCTGTCATACGGAGGTTAGCGAATTACTTCGTGCGAAGTGCGGGAATCTATTCACGACGGGTTCAACCGCCCATTTTAGTTTTGTAATCATCATGCTCGCAAGCGATCCAGTGCGTGCCCGGGTTCAATAGAGCAAAAAGTGTAAGTACGGACGAGTATGCTCCCGACGTCATTAATCAGTTATTGAACTTGTCGATGTGGATGCAGGGTGAAACCAACAAACGGGAGCTAAAAGAAGACGGCGCAGGGGTGTGATGTACACGTACTAGTATAGTAGTTAGTACTTCTTCGAAATGGAGGTAATCTTGATAAATATTGAGCCGATTCCGGTAGACACATTCCTCATCCAGTGGAATCACTCCCCTCGTTAACAGCTTCGGCATTAAAGTGTTACGGGTGTGAAACGCTCACTTGGATGCAATCTGCTCCAAGCGCTTGACTTTTCCATCTAGATACAGCAACATGTCGTCTTTTGCGTCCAACGCGTCTTTCAGTTTCATCACGATTTTCCTGCAACATTTATCGTTAGTCAAGCTTAGGCTTTAAGACGGGGTAAGGTCAGCTCGTACCTTAATTGCGCAACTTCGTTGAGTGAGCTCGCCTTTTGAGCCTTTTCCGGATGCACTTCGGGGTGCTGCTTCAAAATTGTAGTCTCGGCGTCCTTGTCGTTGGAGCTTGGGCGTTCTGTCCATGGTTTAACTTGAGGCGAGGCCTCGCACACAACCAACAACTCGTTGGTTAGAGCACTCAGATCTGTCAGTGTCTTCAGCAGCGAAGACCGTTCAGCGTAGTCTTCGTCTTGAGCTTTCTGGGGATCCTTAGGATGCATTCCTGTCGTCGTTTGGTTACTGGATACCATTTCGTCAAACCATGCATCAAGGCTGCTCAATTGCCCCTTCACGGTCTCAGGTGTTGCAGGGTGGTGTTGGTCATTCGTGAGCCGAGAAGACTCCCCATCAGCCTGCTGCATGTTGCACAGTTCCTGCGCCACAACAAGACCGTGCTTTAAATGTTCACTGGAGATTCGTAGCAGCACGCATTGCGTTTCGGCTCGTATCCACCGCTGACTGCAAGCTTTGAGGTCGATTCGGCACTCTTGCAGTTGCTCCGCAAACTTGGATGCGAGTTGTTCAAGTGCTTTGTTCTGGCTCTGAGCTTCCCTGGTTCGATTAATTTCTTCTCTCAACTCGCTCGAAAGGGTCTCCATTTGTGCCTTGAGATCTTGGATTGTGCTGCAGTAGTTCATCTTGATCGAATGCTGCCGGTTCTGTGACTTGTTGAAAGTGTATGCTTGACGTTGCAAAGTCTCATGTGTGGCCATGCATGCCAGGCGTTCGACTTCCAGTTGCCTCTCCAACCTTGCCAATTGTTCAGCCAATATCTGGTGTGCAGTCTCTAGCTGTAACGCAGATTCTTCCATTGATCGGCATCGAAGCACTTCATCGTCGCGCTCAAGCTCCAACTGCTGGCATTTCCCCCAAATTTCCGCCAGCTCCAGCTTCAGGTGTTCGATGGTAGTGCTCTGCATCGATGAGTGGTCAAGTAGTTCAGCCAGTTCCTCACGCAAACACGCCACTTCTATCGTTGATTCGTGCAGCTCTGCTCGCACACAGTTGACTTCTTCCAGATCGCGTGCAGATGCGGCATCGAGTTGACTTCGTAACGCGTTTTCACGTTCCAGCGCGTTCGCGAGAGCTTCTTCGGTTTGGCTAAGTAACAAGACATATTCATCTCTCTCTTGCACTGCCGCTGCGAGCATCATTTCCAATTCCTGTTGAGACTGGTTGTCAAGGCTTATCCGTCTTTCCAATTGAGCTATTTGGTTTGCTTGGATCGATACGTAGTTCCTGGCCGTAAAATGTGCAGCGGCAGCATCCTCTGTACACATATTGGCTATTTCCTCTCGCATCCTCAAGCTTGCCTTCAGATCTTCAATTGCTGTGATGTGGATCATGCATTCACCTTTAAGTTGAGCTGCTCTCTCCAGCGCAGCCCGTAACTCCAACTTAGATTCGACCAGCTCAGCTGACAATTCAGCATTCATTGCCTGAACGTCGGTGAGGGAGGCATTCGTTGCTAGCCACCTTTGCTCGTGCTTAGCCGACTCAGCTGTAACCATTTCCTTGGCTTCCTTCTCGGCATCAGCAAGCTGATGCTTCAAATCTGCTAGCAAAACCCTCGACTGCTCCTCCAGCAGTTCCAAGTCCGAGTTCGTCTTTTTCCGTGCTACTTTCTCGTCTGAGAGCTCAGCCTGAATACTTTCTAGTTCAGAGATTTGCTCCGAATTGACATGTTGCAGCGTATTTAGTTGACTTTCAAGCTCGCGAGCGTTGCTATGGGCATAGTCAAGCTCCTTCTGCAACATGGATACACGGTCATTCAATACCTCCATCGCGGCTACACTGTTTTCTGAGCTGTTGGCATTATACGTTGACGAGAGGCCACAATTGAGACGACTGTTTTCTGCCTCGAGCGCGGTTACCCGTGCGGAAGCAGCGGCCAGCGCGCGGTTCAACATCGCAAATCGGCACAGCAACTCGTCATTCCGTGCCTGAACATCACGAGTTCGCGCGACTTCCACGGCTAACTTTGATCCAAGGTTGTCCCCACTCTTCAACACCGTCATTGCATCGCATTCCTTTTCGAGTTGTTTCAGCGTGATTGTCGAGTGATTTGGTATTCGATTCGGTACTTCCAGTCTACTACCGGTTGCCACGAGTGCCTTACACCTTGCGGACAACTCCGCATTGCGCTCTTCCAGCGCCGCAATCTTAGCCGAAAGTTTTCGGTCTTTGATCGCTGCCGCTTCTTGTGCGCGCATTTGTAGCAACCGCTCGCACTTCCGGTGTCCGGTAAAATTCCACACGAGTTTAATTCTCTCCGTCATCACGAGCAACTCCGTCGCCACATTAAAAGCAGCGTTATTCTCACTAAACTTTATCATACTATCTCCACCACGAGTCAATTCAGGCAAAAGCTGCCTGAGACGATCACTGAAATGCTCCAACTGCGTTTCAAGCTGAAGACGACCGGCTACACACGCGCTGGCGGCGCTAGGAAGCTGATCGCAGAGTTTGGCGATAATCTGCAAACAAAACTCACCCACCATTGGCTCCAGCAGTTCATAGCAAGATTGAGACGAGGTGGGTGAAAGTGACCCCATCGCATCTTCGAAACTCCGCGTCATTGCGATAAACTTTTTATCGAGATGTTGCAAAAGTTCACACTCGACTCCAGTCCCACCAGCGATTCCTTTGCAGTCACGCAAACTGTGAACACCAGGGCCTAACGCACGCCGGGCCATATCAATAGAATCCACACAAAGTGACAGTGTTGACTGCATATAACTCTCCCCACTGCGAGACTCTGGGGATAACAATGGTGAAGCACTGCTGTCATCTCTCAGGGTCGTATAGTCTTCGTCCACACCCGTAATCTCGGTAGGCAAATTAAATTCCTCTCCATCGCCACTACACCAACTTTGTGGCGAGGCCAATTCCTCCAGCTGATGGTAGTTTTCGCTGCAGTCTTCGCTACTATCGCAGCGAAATTCAGAGCGATCGAACTCGGAGCTTGACGCCAAAAGTTCCAAGAGGGACGCAGTGGATGCGACGGTCGAAGGTTGGAGCTTCGGAGAATCAGGGAGTTGGTCAGGGAACAAGAATTCCTGCACCACCGAGCAACAGATTGCGTCGGCAGCGACCACGGCCGCTACAACGTCCTGGGCGCGGTCGCCAACTCTTCGTTCAGCCGTTGGTGCACGGTTGTGCAGTGGAGGGCACCCTGCTTTTCTGCCGCGTGACTTTAGTGGTGAGAGTTTGCAGCAGCTTTGACCTTCCAGTCCACAGGGCACTGACTTGAGCTTAAGATCACCCGTAGTACTTCCATGTAAGGACGCATATTTCCTCCACCGATTCCAGGCACGATACTTGCACAGTGTTTGAATCCGGCGCCGAATAGCGACTAGATTCAGCAAGCAAACGCCCTTTTGCAGTTCGAGCTCAGTAATTTGTTTCTCTCGCGTAGAATTGACCTGCTTCTCGACCTCAGCGTGGCTTTCTTGCTCACAAACCACAGCTTTTTGTTCCAAGTCCTGCTCGATCGTACCCGCAAATTCGTCGTTACTCGTGCACTGCTCACCACAATTGCAATCCAGGCACTCTTCAAGATTCTCTGGAGCTCCACAGCATACAGACGAAACATGATTAGATGAATTCAACACGGTGAGGGTGGACTTGAGCTCGCTCGCATCATCCATCAGTTGCTGTGTCATATCTCCACAGATCTCAGGTATTCGAACTGTGCTGTACACACTCCTCGCGCGCTCAATGTATCGTAGTGTGGTCATTGACTCTTCATAGTGCGCGCAGCACGGACTAATGGTCCCGAGTATGATAGTCTTCGCGTGTCCACCGAGACAATCTTTCAGTAACCGCGTCAAGACCGAGTTCCGATAAGGCGCGAATACTTTCTGACGATGAGAGCCATCGACAGAGCGACCACTTCTCCGCTTCGCTAAAGCACCGACAACATCCGCGAGAGTGGCCAACGAACGGTTGACACTTGCAGCCTCTCGTGCACGCAAACCGCTAACATCAGACCGATCCACCCGCTCACTTGCTGCTAAATCCACCACGGCGAGCTTGCTCTTCCGAGGGGACGAGACCGCCGGACTGTTCTGTGATAGTGAAAGCAACAGCACCGTGTGAGAACGACTAGGGCGCGAGGATGATACCGAACGCGTGCGATTCCCCTCTTCGATCAGCTCTACGACTTGCGAGCTGCTCGTGACTTGCACACGTCTCGCTCGCTCAACAAAAGCTCCGTCATCTGGGTGTTCTCGAACTTTTAGAGATTTCTACAGCGTCAAACGACAACGTCAGTAAAATTGACGTGAAAATATTATCTGGAACAGACTCAACTTTACCTTCATGGTGCTTTGAGACAGCAAGTCATAGACGCGTTCGTCGTAAATTTCAACGTAGCTCATGATCACAGTGTATGAGTTCCCCGACCTCTTCCCTTCATCGATTTCAGCAAACAATCCCTGAAAAATTCGTGGAATCAAACCTCGTCGCTCTGACAGTGACAACGCACTAGGTGGAGCCCGTACACCATTAACGTTGCCGTTGGTCTTGACAGACGCAGGTAAAGAGGCTCGCTCGCCACTACTCCCCATGAGGGAATACGTCTTACCAGCGCTGGGTTGTCCATAGGCGAAGACGGAGCAGTTGTTACCTTGAAGTACTTGTTGCAGTGCCAGAACGCCCAGTTCATCGTAGATCGTGCTCTGCGTCGCTACGGGGTGTCCAGGAGAACGATCAAAGGACCAATACGTGTAGTCGAACCGAAATTCCTGCGTAAATTGGGCTGGGAAGGTTGGCGAGTCCGTAGTTGACGTGGACTCCTCCAGTGGAAGCTTACTTGACGTGTACCTTGCCGACGCGTGGCCTCGAGGTGGAGGCGGGAGTGCTGTCGGGTTCACAATTCTGGTCATCAGTCCGTCGGTAGTCACGGTCATGTCGATAATCGCTCGATAGCCATTCTTCTTCTCCGAAAGCAGCATTGGTCGCACGCACACTGCAGTAAAAGTGCGCTGGTCTTCACTGCATGCAAAGCTGCTACTGTCGCTAGATCCAAGACTCGAAGTTTCAGCGGCCAGTTCATTGAAATCTCCGTCGTCCTCGTCAGCGAGGAGGAGTTCGCTGTCGTCTTGGTTATCATCATCGCCGCCTTCACAGTCGTGCATTGGCTCTTCATTTAACGCGAAATCACGGGCTTCGTCGAGATTGCTGGCGGAAAGGCGATGCCTCTCCTTTGGTTCACGACGGCAGCTACTAGCATCGCAGTGTTCGTCCATGATGCAGCACGTACGAAGGTGTAGCGCGCGTCAAAATGGGCTCCACAGCTTCGCATGCCAAATACTTGTTACCGTGTGCATGTCTTCAACCAAAGAAACCGCTCAGCCTCCCCGACAGAAATACCACGATTGAGACCGCAAGCAGAAGAAATACACAGAGCATCCAGATAACCTGGATATTTTTTTACTCAACGCGAAAACTCAAGGTATGTATATGCCACAGCGAGCTCATACAGCTTCCGAGGGGCCACGCTGGTTCCCGAGCACCTTGTCACTCGAAGTCGTGGCAGATTCATCTCCGGATCTGCCATCGGCGCTGGCTGACGTCGTGCGGCTCGTTTCGGTCGACATGTGCTCGACGCGTGGTGTCAAGTAGAAAGAGGCACCGGGAGGCAAACTGGTGATCGTGGCGATAGCGTTGGCAGCCGCTTTGCCGAGCGCTTCACTCTGACCCGCTGCAGCTTGTTCAACAGAGAGTGAGGTGATGGGGGCGATGGCATGAGCTTGAGCGGCTTCCTCCGCAATTCGGTCTGAGAATGCATCAAAGGTACGAGTTAGCTCTGCATACATAATTACGTTTCCATCGGACAGTTCCATCGGACAGCACGCACCCTGGTGCCACTTGGCTTGCAAGTGCGCGACCATCTCCGAGACATCCTGGAGTCGCTTGTGAATCACGCGCGACGGCGTGTTCTTCAGCTCGTCAAGCAGCGGCTGCATCTCCGACGCTGCCATGTTCATCTTGTGATCGTTCGCCAGCGCCTCCTTCATCAGCAAGCCAGGAACGGGAACGCTCGCTGAAGACGCCGTCGTCGTGCCGACCGTCGTCTTGGCACTCACTTTCGACTCGGGCGAGGACCTCATCGTGAATCCTGTCACCACCGGCCAACGTTAGCATCAGCAATAAGAAACACCTCTATCCGCAACGCAAACACTCACCGGGGTCGCCATTCCCCATCGGGTCCAGCTCCGTGAGGATCCGCGTCGACGGCTCATAAGCTGCAAAACCCCAGTCAATCTGTCAGTAAACACCAACTCTACCTCACACACCCCTCCTCGTGTATCACCGTACCCGACTCCTCGACAGCGACTTGGTGCGTCTCCTGCTTGTGCTGCAATTCCGCAGCCTCCGACCCCAGCAGCAGCTCGTCCGGCACGGAGGTGTTGTTCGTGTAGCAGTGGTAGATCTCGTCGCTGATGCGGTGGTTGTGCACCGTAATCTACAATCGTACAGTACACCGTCAATCCCCTCCCACCTTTCTCCGCTCTACCTCCACTCTACGCCCGCCCTACCTGGTTGCGCACGCGGATGAGCCAGCGGATCTTGCCGGGCTCGCCGTCCACCGCCTCGTACACCACGTCCACCGTGAGGCGCGCCGAGCAGCCCGTGTAGCGGTTGTGCATGTGCGTGCGCACGCCCGTGCCGCGCGACGGCTGGATGCAGCCGTGCGTGCACCAGTACGACATGGTGGCGTACTTGAAGTCGTCGGGCACGGGGTACTTCTTGAACTTGTGCTTGCTGTTCCAGTACGGGGTCGTGGACGAGCTGCGTCTTCTGAACATGGTCTTGGTGCGCTCCGTGTAGCTCTTCCAGGCCGCCATGAAGGCGTCCCACGTGTCGAACGTCTGCGGCTCGAAGGGCGGCACCACGATGTTCATGGCGCCGCGCGTGCGCGCCAGGTCCTCGCGCAGCTGGAAGTTCTTGGTGCGGCGCTTCTTGACCAGCGGCTCCTCGGTCACGACGGCGGGGGTCCCGTCCTCGTTCTGGATGGCGCGCACGCTGCCGACGCCGGCGCTGGCGCCGGGACTGGGGCTGGCATCGGTGTCGGCGGCGGACTGCACCACTGCAGTTGAAGCAGTCTCGACGATGACGACGGTCTTGTTGCTGCTGGCCATGGCTTGCGTTGCTGGAGGAGAAGTTGTCGGAATGTTGTCGGAGAACGACTTAAAAGGGGGAGAGTCGATATTTAGAGATGTGGGTATAGTGGGTTCAAGTGAGATGCGCTTTTGGGAAATGTAGAGAATTTACTGAGAGGCGGAGAAAGTTGCTCCTCGTGCTACTCGCACCATGATAGCTTTTGCTGGAGTTCTTCTCATTAACGTTATTTCATCGAGGTGAAGCACCGGTGAGATCTCTCAAATGATGTATTGCTGTGTCTGTTGGCTTTACCGGTACCTTGCAGTCGACAGCGGCGAGTTTTTCACGAGCGCGGTTGCACCTGCCACTTACTTTCTCTTCCACTTGCCCCGATCAAAGTGGCCAGCAGTGCTCTATATTTCCTAACATTGGCGCTGCTGGTAGTTCCTGTCAAGGTTTACTCTTCCGCCAGACTCGGGGCATCTTGCGTGTCTTCCCTTTCACAGGGAGGACAGTCAAAGAGCAACACTCCCCAACAAGTTGAAGACGATCATGATGACGTGGTCCACACAACCAATGAAATTTCTTGTGGCAACACGTACCTCTATACAAGCGACTTTTCCCTCTCTAAACAAACCTTCACGCCACCTTGCTGCCATTCCGGTCGTCACCAGCACTTGGACTCGGGAGCTCAACACGTGCAAACCAAGGCGCCACCAACACCTCACACCTCACTCTACCCGCACACCACCCGCCATGTCCTTCCAGCCGCAACTGGAGCGCGTCGCGCAGCTGCAGCAGCTGCCCGAGAACAGCGACAAGAACCTCGTGCCCGTGTACCTGGACGCCGTGGCCGACCTGGACACGCCCGTGAGCGTGCTGCTCAAGCTGCGCGAGGGCCAGACGCACTCGTTCCTGCTCGAGTCCGTGGCGCCCGGCGAGAAGATCGCGCGCTACTCGTTCATCGGCGCCGGCCCGCTCAAGGTGGTGGCCACGGGCCCCGGTCAGAGCTTCGAGGGCGACCCGCTCGTGAACCTGGAGAAGGAGATGCAGCAGTTCCGCACCGTGACGCTGCCCGAGCTCAGCGTGCCCATGACGGGCGGCGCCGTGGGCTACTGCGGCTTCGACGCCATCCGCCACTTCGAGCCCAAGATCGCGCCCTACGTGGACGCCCAGAAGGACGTGCTCAAGGTGCCCGAGAGCATCTACATGTTCTTCGACACGGTCGTAATCTTCGACCACGTGTTCCACTCGCTCAAGATCGTGTCGCACTGCCGCCTGGACACGGGCGACCTGGCCGCGGCCTACAAGGAGGCCACGGACAAGATCCTGGCCGTGAACGCGGCGCTCGAGAGGCTCCTGGTGCGCACGTCCAACGTGGCGCACGCCAGCGCGCCCACCACGTCCAAGATCGACCTGGAGGCGGCCTCCAACGTCGGCCGGGCCGGCTACATGGGCTTCGTAGACAAGCTCAAGGAGCACATTGTGGACGGCGACATCTTCCAGGCCGTGCCGTCCCAGCGGCTGGCTGTGGACCTCCCGAAGGACGTCACCCCGCTGGATCTGTACCGCCAGATGCGCGCCATCAACCCGTCGCCGTACATGTTCTTCCTCGACATGGGCGAGGACTTCCAGATCGTCGGCGCTTCCCCCGAGATGCTCGTCAAGGTGGACCATGACCGTGTCGTCGAGACGCACCCGATTGCCGGTACACGCCACCGTGGCGCCAATGACGAGGAGGACGAGGCACTGGTGAAGGACCTGCTCGCGGACGAGAAGGAGCGCGCCGAGCACATCATGCTGGTGGACCTGGGCCGCAACGACGTCGGCCGCGTGGCCAAGCCGGGATCCGTCCGGGTGGAGCGCCTCATGCAGATTGAGAAGTACTCGCACGTGATGCACATCGTGTCCGTGGTCAAGGGCGACCTGCGCGAGGACCGGACCGTGTACGACGCCTACCGCGCCATGTTCCCTGCCGGCACGCTGTCCGGCGCCCCTAAGGTGCGTGCGATGGAGCTCATCTGCTCGCTGGAGACGGAGCGACGCGGCGTGTACTCGGGCTCCGTGGGCTACTTCAGTTTCTCCGGGTTCCTGGACACGGCCATCGCCATCCGCACCATGGTGGTCAAGGACGGCAAGGTCTACTCGCAGGCGGGCGGCGGCATCGTGTACGACTCGGACCCGCAGGCCGAGTACATGGAGACGGTCAACAAGCTGGGCTCGGCCGTCAAGACGCTCGAGAAGTGCGCCGCGCACATGACGCCGTCGGCGGAGTAGATCAGTTTGCCCAGACAGTCAGTCGCGCAACATTGCCAGTGCCTCGAGATAAAATACATTGTGCACTTCTTGCTCTTGTACAGACAGCCCCATGGAGCTCGTACCGTAAGGGGCATCCATGTTGGTGCTGCGGCCGTTGCCACGGGGTACGCTGCAAAGAAAGTGCGTGGGGCTACAATCGCTCGACCGCAATCACCGTAAAACGAGGTTCTCCCCCTCCATTTCTCTATCTTTCCAACTGCATGTTCTTATCGTCTATGTCACTATCCTCGCTGACAGCCCCTCGTTTATGTGTGACTGGTGTGCCCCACACAGTCCGCCCACGAATAAGGCGCCGTTTCGGCAGTTGTATTCAGTTCAGCGGCCGGGTCAAGTCGAGAGTCAAGGCAGGGCAGGGGCCAGAAGACCCGGGGCGAGTGTGTGTGACGTACTGAGCTGTTGCTGCAACACAACACAGAGGCAGCGGCTTCCCTCCCCTCCCCTCGCTCCCTGTTGCATGCCCCATTGGCGCCAGTTCGCGCCTCTCGGTGTCGTTACGCAGCCATGGAGGACGAGCCCCTGGCCACGGGCGTGATGCTCTCGCCCACGCGCAACGTGAGCCAGGACGGCGAGATCGTGCGCCGCTGGATGGAGATGGTGCTGGGCGACAAGTTCCTGGACGACCTGCCGGCCGCGCTGCGCTCGGGCGAGCTGCTGTGCGACCTGGTGAACAAGCTGTACAAGGCGCTGGGCATGAAGAGCCAGATCAGCCCGGTGCGCGCCGCAGCGACGAGCGAGCAGGACGCGCTCGGCAATGTGTGCGAGTATCTTAGGTGCGTCTAGTTTTCGGTGATGTGAGGCGTGTGGGTGGCGATGGCGGCGGCGATGGCGCTGAGGCCTTTCAGTCGTCGCGTCGTGAGATGGCCGCCTGTGGCTGAATTGAGGGCACTAACGAGGTGGTTGCTGCTTTGCTCTTGTGGCTTCATTCATTCTTCAAAATGCGCAGGGCTTGTGAAGTGCTGGGCGTTGCGCGGCAAGATCTGTTCCAGCCGGACGACCTGCTCAAGCGCAAGGACATGGAGAAAGGTGTCAGCTGATCTTTGAGCTGTTGGAGTATGTTATTCTATTGCTGACTTTTTTGTAATGCTTATTGGCAGTGTACAGCAATATTTTGGCGCTGCAGACGGTGGCGGTGTCCCTGTCGAACCGCCGCTCGATCGATGAGCGCAGCTCTATGATCAATGCTCCGGTAAGAGTTGGTGTTGCTGCTGACCTATGATCGTATCCCTATTGTTAACGGAGTAATTGCATGCAGGACTGGTCCCCGCTGTCGGAACACGGTATCTTCACGGAGGACGATGTTGATATTGATGCGGATGATCTGGATCTGGACTCGCCGGAAGCTGTGCACATGCTGCAGCAATCACGCTGGCAGCGGTTATTGTTCGAGTATGAGCACCAGCAGCAGCGGAAGGAAGAGAATGATCTTGCTGGCGATTCCTCAGCGTCTGACGGATTGGGTCCACTGGCGCACGGAATTTGGCGGACAGAGGAGCGGATACGAGCGATTCTGATGCGTGACGATCGTGATTTTGGAGCGGTGCCCGAGGAATTGCACGGAAAGCTGTGGATGCTTGCGTCAGGGGCCCAAATGGAAATGCGGAAGCACAAGGGCATGTATGAGCGATTATTGGCGTCTGAATTGGAGAGTACAGAAGCTACGCGACAGATCGATGTGGATCTGCATCGGACTGTTGCTGAGGAGGACAAGGAGCTCTGGACTGACGAGAAATCGAAAATAATGCGGCGGGTTCTAGTCGCGTATTCGTATTACAACCCTGGGCTGGGTTATTGTCAAGGCCTGAATTACATTGTTGCTCGCAGCCTGCAACATCTGAGCGAGGAAGAAGCGTTCTACTTGCTTATTGCTATTGTTCGGCTGGTTCCTGACGATTACTACACAACAATGGTGAGTGGGAAAGCATTTGACCCATGAGTTATGGCTGTTTAGATACTGACCTTGTGCGTTGATTGTTATTCGTAGTTGGGTCTTGCTGTAGATCAACACGTATTTGCCGATCTTGTGCGCCTACAGTATCCAGAGATATCGGAGCATTTGACGGAGCTTGGAGGATCTGGGATGGAGCTGTCGCTGGCTTGCACGGAATGGTTCTTGACACTCTTCGCAAGTCCGTGCGAACGAGGAGTCACGTTCCAGATTTGGGACGCAATTTTTCTTCAGGGTGAAGAGGTAAGGATGTTTTGCCTTTGTCGCTTGCTTGACATCGGGTTTGCATCAGTGGTCCCTAACCGAGTTGTTTTGTTGGCAGGTTCTCTTTAGAGTAGCCCTGGCGTTATTGCAGCAGGCAAAGGCAGAACTTCTCGCGTGTAACGCCTATGGCGACATGCTGAAGCACCTGAATGAGGTATGTTTCCCGAATCTGTATGGACTGTAGTGAGTTTAGTCTAATGTGGTATCCTTTGGTTGCAGCTTGGTCGAGGAAATGTTGACGCACTGGAGCTTATGAAGATCTCCAAGAAGCAGGACTGTGTAATTCGTGGCCGGATCGAAGATTTCCGAGCTCATCACCGTCTACAACTAGCATCAGGGATTGTCGCCTCCACGGTTGAAACCGAGGATGCTCGTAGCTCAACTACAGGACGAAGGAGCTCCGAGACGAGATCTGAGCCAAGACTGCGGATATTTGGCCGCAAGAACAAGCAGGGCATTTTTCGACACATGGACAAGATTCCTCCTCGCCTGGCTCGGTAGGTGAACACGACTGGAAGAAGAAGTACGAATTTACGCGTGTACTGAGTGTTTGTATTGTTTCCGTTTGTAGAACGTTTGATAGGCATCTTACCGATGAGTACACGGAGTCTATTCGAAGAGACCACCCACATTTTGCGGGGTACTACGAAGGAATCCAGCTGCAAGTAAGTGACTCTACTGCGTGTATTGAAGAACAAAGATCACTAATTTGTGCCAACTGTCAATGCAGGTTATGGAGGAGTATTGGGGCTCAGCTGATAGTTACCGTCAGTGGGGCGTGCGAAATGTCCGTCGCATCTCGAAGGATGGCTTTGCGGTTAGCAGTTCCAAGGACAAAGAAACCCATCGCATGAAGTCTGACCCAAATTTGGTGAGTCGCCGTGCAACAAGTCCACAAGGTTCGGACGGTGATGACAATGACTCTGGACTGACGCGTGATCGTCGAAGCAAGAGCTCTGCCTTGATGTATAAGAAGAACCAGAACCATAGCGCTAATAGCACCCCCGGTGGCCGACCGATGAAGGATAACGAGGAGATTGGACGCTCGCCCTTGGCTTGGATTCAGCGTTTCGAGGAGTGGCACAAGGATATGAAAACGCAAAAGGAGAAGAAGAAAGCGGAGAAGAAACGCTTTCGGCTCTATCAGCGCTCAGAAAGTATGTGTGGTCCGAGGAATGGTCAATCTGACTCTGGATCAGGCAACACGTGGTTGCGGGACGCGATTGATTCATCCCCGCCCCTACTTCGTGCTCCGTCGAAGAAGTCGCAAGGTCTTGGCGTGGACGGGTTCTCGTTGGGTCACCGAAGAAGATCGACTGAGCACCAACGATCACCCGACAACGTGCCGATGCTGGAAGAGCCCCCGCTCTCACGTTCCTTTTCGGATCCGTTCCGGTCCCCTGCCGGCATTGCTGGACATCAACGGCACACCACCATTGAGAAGTCACGCTCGGAGGTCGATCGAGGTCCAATGATACCGCAACACCCGTTCAAACGTGACTACGACGCACCGCCTCAGAAGTCGGATTTCGATGATGCACGCAAGCGTACTCGAAGCGGGAGTGTACGGGGTTCTCGTGGCTTTAGTGACCAAAGCACACTATCCAGAAGCACCAATTCGTATGCCAACACCGCCTCATTCACCCAGGACCACCAAGACGACACATGTTCGAACCATTCGAGTGACGACAAGGGGACAAAACAGAGTGCTGATGAGCTCAGCCCACCGCCGCTCCATCTCGATAGACCAGTGGCACATGATCCTTTGTACTCCCCAGTTCACGTTCGCTCCAACTCGGTGGACTTCATTGTGGATGAACCAAGCTCCCGTGTTCCACGTCAGGCTCACAGTCGATCTAACTCGGTGGACTACGTCGTGGATAAACCAGCTCGACCTCCAGTTCACTGTCGCTCTAGCTCGGTGGATTTCGCTGTGGACGAGTCAAGCGCGTGTGCCGTGCCAACCATCCGACGAATCGTGTCCGTACCAATTGAAGACCAGTTCGCCCAGCGTCTGCGCAACAAGGAGCGCGCCAATGTTCTGCAGTACATGCACCGGAAGGCGAGCGACGCCAGCAGTATCGCCGGGAGTATCCCACGCAGCCCTGCGCGTATGAGCGAAAGCTCAAGCGACTCGTCTCGATTCGGTGACCACGCCAGCAACCGAAGCGGGAAGTACCGGAAGAGCTCCTTTTCGTTCTTCGACAAGCTGTCGAGCGACCTGGAGGGCAGTCTGGTGGACGAGGCGGAGTTCAAGACCGAAAGCATCGGCCGAGGCTCCCTGTCCTCAGTTGCAACTGGTCGGTCAAGCACCGTCGATGAGCAGCGGCCCATGGGCGGACCAATCTCCATCTCGTCGTAAAGTGATGAGATGACCCCATATAACACCAAAAGACAAACGTGAGGAATTTGCAAGAAGGGAAGAAACAAACAAGTACCAAACGTCAACGCTGAGGTGAAAGTGAAGCGGGCGATTGGTTTGATGGTAGTCAAGTTGAGTGTCGAGTCCAAATAGAGCAAAACAAAATTGTTTTAGCACAAAATCCGTTTGGAAATTGATCTATCTTGGTTTTTGTATGTCCTCAAAGTTCCCACAAACTTTACTTCCCAAAAACCAAAACCAAAAATGGGGAAGGCGTATGACGGCAAGAAGCGCTGGAATGAGACCATCCTGGCGACGACGGCGCGCGCTTCCGCAGCTGGTGGGCGGCATGCGCCTGCGAAGAAGCGTCTCTCGGGTACACCGACGCTTCTAGTCTCGCCGCTCCGGGCTCCTGTAGCTCTCTAGAGGCCGCACAATAGAACTCGAAATATCTTCATTATTATCCTTAATAATGTTTTTTGTATGGGCTACGCAGGCCGAACGCACAAGCTGAGCGCTGCAATGAGGCGCGTGGATGACGACACTCGTAATGAAGTGCGCAATGCTCGACTGGACGCCCTGGAAGCAGATAATTTCGGTGAAGATGCGGACGAAGGTGACGGAACTCAAGATGGGGACGAAGCGTACGTGGACGAGGAGGAAGGAGGGGCCGGCACTGCAGCGTCAGGCAGGGAGCCTGTTAGGAAGAAGAGGAGGGTGGCTGCTTCGAGCAAGAAGAAGTGGAAGGTCAAGAGTCTGGCCCAGTTGGTCTTCGAGGAGCTGGGCAATGGCGACAACGCAGAAGGACCCAACTACTTGACGGCGGCAGTGGGCCCGCCCACGCACCCGCCACGCAGGTTTTGCTGTGTTTGTGGGTTTTTCGCCAACTACAACTGCAGACGATGCGGATCGAGGTATTGCAGTGTGGGGTGTGGCGACCAGCACAAGGAGAGTGGGTGCATGAAGTTTGGGCTTTAATAGTGGAATCTCCTTGACGGATTGGCTCGACGCATGGATTGGGAACTGTAATCTTTGGACGGGTGAGAGGTTTTGAACATGGATCCGATGCTGCTGCCATAGCGTAGAACTTTGGGCATTGCAGCAATCCAAGCAACATTCGACAGCGACCGTTCTTGCTTCAGTGCATGGAACCTGAACGGGCTACACTATCATTCTTCTTGGGTGCACAAAACCTATTATACTACGCATTAGGTAGTCGTGCAATGGTGGTCGCGTTACTGAAGCTAGCCTATTGCACAGCATTAAGCTACATTAGTGTGCAGCACAACGTGTGCTGTACCCTGGTACACTGTTCTCGGCTTCACATGCGAAGTTCCATGTTTGCGAGCGAAAAGGTAAATGGGAAAGATTTGGCGACGTGGACAACACAAAAACGGCACGGTGCTCGTCAACAATTTCTTGATCTTCATCATTGATTCAGCTGGTTAGTGGTTTTAACAAGTTGCAGTCCCACCGCAATCACAGAATCCGTAATGCATTTCACGTACGCCAGCTCAAGACGTTTTTCATGGAAACCACCGATCGTGAAATCAATCAACCGAATTGCGTCCGTCCAAGCAGAAGGAGTTCATTCTGCAATTTCCGTCGCACTAGCCAAGTCATCGATGAAAGTTCAAGCTGCACTTGCCTGTCTGGCCCCCTTGGAAGGCCTTGCCACCGCTTCGGCAGATCCATCCTGGCACGACCTTGCCATCTCCGCGCCGCAGTACGGACGGTATCTCTATCGCACGGCGACCGAGGAACCTTTCTTCTGGCAGGCCAACACGGCGTGGGAGCTGTTCCACCGACTCAACAAGACGTCCATCGACTTCTACCTGCGCACGCGGGCGGAACAAGGCTACAACGTGGTGCAGACCTCCGTCATCGGGTGTGTGAAAGGCGCTACGCGCACCAACTTCTACGGCGAGTTACCGCTCAACAACTTGGACCCTTACAGCCCGAACGAAGCGTACTTCGAGCTCGTGGACTGGACCGTGGATCTGGCTGCGAGCTACGGCATTCTACTTGCGATTGTGCCCGTGTGGGGCATGTACGTGAACGGTGGGTGGGATAATGCCACTCGGATCTTCAACGAGTCAAATGCTTATGATTGGGGTAAGTTCATCGGCTCGCGCTACCGTGGTCTACCGAAGATTCTTGGCGGCGACTCGAACGCAATTTGGTCGTGGAACATGTCGTTGGTTCAGGCCGCGTACAACGAGAACCCGGACCAGGACTTCCTCAGCATGATGGCGCCTCTGGAGGACACGTCGGCCGTTTGGGCCACTATGCGTCACGGTCTGAAGGACTCCGAGCGGGAGCAGGGCTACGACTCAATGACCATGTTCCATCCGACAAATAGCTGGGTCGTGAAGCCTGAGGTGACTGCCCTACGGCCACGCCATGCTGCCGAACGAGGAAGACAGGGTGACTGCCCTACGGCCACGCCATGCTGCCGAACGAGGAAGACAGAGTGTCGGTGGACGCGGTGCAGTATGGCCACGCCTTACTTGACCCAGCCTACAACTTCACGCCCATTTCGGGCTGGGACTCCACCAAGAACTACGAGAACATCGTCGAAATGCGTGACAAGTTCACGGGACCAGTTCTCGACTTGGAAAATCACTACGAAGGCGCGCACTTCAACTTTAACCCGGAGCGGCCGCGTCGCACATTCGCACGGGATTGTATCACGGCGTGTACAATGGAGCAATGGGTTTCACGTACGGAGCCAACAGCGTGTGGCAGCTGTACGAACCCAAGGCTGATCTGGTTAGTGGCGATCTCTACTACAATCCGGAGATCAACCAGAACGCTTCTGGCACGTGGCGTGAAGACATCTACTTCGAAGGCGCGACGCAGATCCAGTACGTCACCAAACCACTGCAAAACCTCTCCATTGCTACGCTGGAGCAGCTCTAGCCTGCTCGCGAACTCCTGGCCAGCCCCAGCAACCACACTGGCGTGTCGGTCAACACGTACGAGGGCACCAGGTACATTTCGGTGCTGGCGTCGAAGACTCGTGACAGCTACTTCGCGTACACTGGCCATGGCGACTCGTTCAGCCTCCAGCTCGACAACGGATCGGGTGCCCGATCGGGCAGCGCTGCGTGGTTCTCTCCTCGCGACGGTCAGTACTATGCGAGCTCCACGGTGAACGTTCCGGACGACAAGAACGACACGCGCGAGGACTTCACCCCTCCGTCGACCGGTGGCGTCGACAACGACTGGCTTCTGGTGCTGGAGTTTTAGCTGTGCTGGATATTAGGCCAGCGATTGACCTGAGTACGAACGATTTGATGTGAAGCAACCTCGAGAAGTGACGGTTTTCAGATAACTAACGAATTTGCTGGCATTTCCCTATAGCTAGTAGCCTCGTTTCGAAAGTGTTTGTTACAGTGCCAGTCATTTTCACCCAGGGCAAACTATTTGAACTGCGTATTCCATCCTCCTGTCCTGCAAAGTCCGGGGACTGAGCTCATTAGATATCAACTCGAATCTCTCCAGCATTTTGGTGCGGCTTCGATCAGCTTTTGGCGCTTTGGTAGAAGTAAAGGCAGGGAAGGAATTCGCATATGGAAGAATCCGGCTGAACCCTCACTCGAGTACTTGAGAACGTCTTTCATCATCTTGAACCCGTTGGCCGGACTCGTGAGCAGTATCCCCGCGATTTCCCTGTCGGACGTGGGCCACAGGAAATACCAGTAGTCGTCCAGGTTGGTGAGTAACCCTACCGGAGCACAACGCATCTCACTCTTCAAACCAGTTCGATAAGCACTTTAGCCAGCTCTTCGCCTCACAGCGACCTTTCTTGAGTTCGATAACAAAGTATATTACGGATTTGGTCTGCCACGTCGTCGATAATCATCATACTCGCTGTCCCTTTCAATACGAACGGCGACATATCGCAGTCGAGCAAGCCCGTCATCTGGGAAGTATCTTTGAGATAGAAGTCGGGCTTCTGTCCCCACGATCGAGCGGCTTTTTGGCCTTCGTCTTGAGCCACTACACCCCGAAGGTTGTCTTTAAGGTACTGCATGCAGGCCGCTCGTTGGTCTGGATGGTCTTCTGCTACGTTTTCTTGCCATAGATAGGGATCAATTGAGGTATCTTCGTCTTCCATGGCGACTATGGTCGAATACTTAAACCCAAGTTTGGCCATCAATTTCTCTTCTTCCGAGCGGGAGCATGATGACGTGGAGAACGTAGGTCTCTTTTCATTGTCACGCTCCCTTAGAACCTCCTCAACAATCATCTTCATTTGCTGGTTAGTCAACGACTGAGCCGTCGTAGCCCAGGTCATCGGGTTCTTAGGAAGGACCACCAGCACGTGCACTTCCCCCTCACTTGGTTGAAAGTTCGTTCCGAAGTGATAAGCGTTGTTGAGCCACTTATCGAGATTCATCTCAGTAAAACCTTGTGGGTGTCCGTCCTCGTCGAGCTGCACTGCGACTGCATCAACTAGTCGTAACCACGAGCCGTTCTCCTTTCTTGCCAGGAAGAGCTGCAGGTTTAAGGCCGGAAGCTCGTACACAGTCTTTTTGCAGATGACACTCTTCAAGCCATACACCGAGTCGTCTTCCTCAACTTCCACGGATAATACGCCGTCCCCGCCATCGGGAATAAAACAGAGCAGGTTCATCATCGTTTCTCCAGCCGGTAGCTCTGGCGAGAAAATTTTGCAATGAAAACGAATTTTAGAGCAGAGTGGCCAAGGATTGACAGTATCATCACAGTTTTGATATTTCTTGACCAGCAGTTGATGTCTCCGTTCCCTTCCCTCGCAAGAAGTATGGTGACGTTGGTGTGTGCCCTAGCCATTGACCTGGGTCACCCGTTCGTGATCGACCTGCTTGAGACCTGCATACTCGAAGACCTCAGGCTGGCAGTCGCTCAGCGCAATCCGGACGTGATCAAGTGCCCGCTGCGGAAGCTGGAGCTGTTCTGCGCCCAGCGCGATGGCAAGTGGCCGACGACCGCGGAGACGAGAGAGCTGGACCCTGAAGCGCTTGACTTGGAGCGCCTGGACTACCCTTTGTTTCGGCTCGATCACGCTGGGTTTGGTGACCGTGATGTATCGGCCAACACCCACGTTGTCCATGTAGTTCGAGTCTCTAAGAATCACGAGCTGCAGCACGCGTCGGAGCCTACAATGACGCTTGCAGATGTTGAAGAGCGCTTTGAAAGCGCTGTGAAGAATGTTACTAATTCCTATGCTGATAAACAAAGTGTCTACGGATTTTCAGAGTGCACCTATTCGAAGGAGGAGGAGTTTATCGAGAAGCTTGGGCTGTCAACAAAGATGCTGGAGGTCAAAGAGGAGCTGGAGTTCTCCGTGAAGGGTTGTAACTGGGAGGAAAGTGACCACTATTGTCAACGCGTGCGCTATCTGGCTTACATGGATGAGCACTTGAAAGATGCGCTATTCCCGAACGGTAAACCGCAGTATTTTATGCATCGTCCGAGGATCTGCTTTCCAGTAATGCTACAAGCGAGATGATGTTTCGTGTGAAGGGAAGTGCTGACTTAATGATTGTAGACCGGTGGGCGGAAGAGTATCGCATCGTGTTTGGTGAACTTCGCTTGGTTATCGAGGTTAAACAGGATCTCACTGGGACTGATGGCTTACTTCCATAGCACTGGATCGTTAGCAGGTATCAGCAGCAGCTGCTGATGGAGTTAATCGTGGCCGATTTCGAGAGTGGAGACGGACAGGCTCCTATGGGCCACTTGACGGACCTGAACAATGCCTAGTATTTCTTCTGGTTCACTGAAGACAAGAAGATCGCGATGCTTTTGCTGAAGTGCCCCGCCAACGCGTTCACGCTCATCAAGGATATCTTGTCCGAGAGCTTAGAATCTACCGACAGGATGTTGCCACTTATTTGGCAAAGAGCCGCTTTGTCCAAGAGGAATGGGCTACCAAACAGTAACGAGCGAGGCTTCGGGAAAGGTGCTTGCGTGAAGGATTGCTTCTGAGGCCAGCCACAGCAACAATGAGCTCAATGAGTGGACTCGCTGCGAAGTCTATTGAAGATCGATACTTAAGTAAGGTGGCTTTGGATGTCGAGTGGAAAGCTACTAACGCAATTCTAGGCAAAAAAAAAACTAGATTAGGTGGTTCTGCGTCACCTCATGGGTCTACATGTATTCGGGACTGGAGCTAAGATCACAACTTAGATCTGCATCTTAAGGACAAGTTAATTGTTGGGTATTGTAGTCCTTCAGAGTAGCAAAAGTAACATTCATCATTTTGAATGCTATCGCTAGCACTTTTTTCTCAAAATCACGAAACGTTTCCTCTTGAAGCCCTAACAACTCGCGTAATGCCTCTTCTGCGTTGGGTCTCGCTGCCGGGTCTTGCTGCATTAAATCGCTGCCGGGTCTTGCTGCATTAACCGCCTGTGAAACGCTCTTCTACTGGCCAAGGCGTCCCATCCAACTCGGCTACAATCGATGAAATAGCTTACTGCCCAGATATCGACAGCAGTTGTGTGGAAGCTGTTATCAACGAACATCTCGGGAGCGTGTTCTTCTACGCTCAGGCATTCGCGACTACGCGGACTGGTGGCCGAATCGACGAAATCGATCAAAAACCAAGAATCCCGATCTTTGTGCTTGAGCACGTTCGACCAGCCAATGTCACGGTGAATCCACCCTAAACGATGCAGAGCCACCAGCGTTTGCAGAACATCCCTTAAGGCTGCAAACAGTGGGAGCAAGTCACGTGGTGCGACCATTGCGCCACGAGGCTCAAAGGTGGCTGTATTCTTTCGCGAACTCGGCGCCGTAAGCCGATCGACGTTGGCCACATTGGCTTCCACCAAAACACCGTACACGCGTTTCAGATGAAGCAGAATGGCTCCATCGGGATAATACTTTGTAACGAATGCTGGGTAAAGTCGGACAACAACTCCACCTGGACGGCGAATACTCCCCGAAATCGAAGCGGCCTGAGTCTGGACAAGCTTCAGCGATGGCGGGAAATAGTAAAGATAAACTCAAAAAGGGCGAGTGTCATTCGGAAACGCTCCTCCAAACTCGCCAAGTTAAACGAACCGATACGATGGTTTGTCACCCCCGAGGATCCAGATCCTCAAGTTATAGCAAACAAATTCACCTTGTACCCCGACGCAGAATACCCAAACAAGTACGGTACGCTACCATAGTTCCATGCAAATTTGTCCGTGAGCTCGTTACTCGGCACACTGAGACTAACACCGGGTGCTTCTTCTTCACCGCGAAAAATACAAACGTCCCTCAAGATGAACAAAAAGTCATGAGAGCCGTCGTTCGAGTCCCGGTTAATGCTTCCTAGTGCGAACACGAAATCCAGCACCGCGTGAAACACAGTATCCCAGGCCCAATGGAAAGAATTCTCCGTGTCACCGCTTCGGAATAACTTGAGCAGGCCACTCAGCACCGTCAATTTAAGCTGTGTACGGAGCTACATCGTTGACCACGAACAGTTTGTCTTGAAGTTGAGGGCTGGGGATAAATTGCGAGTGAGACAATTTTGAAAGCCATTTTGAACGAACGCGGATCTTCTCAGGGAGAGCTTGAGCGATAAAGTCACTGAGCGACTGGCAACGCGTGGAACTCAACTCCCCTACTGTAGTCACAACCATTCGCTCGAGCTGTCGCGGCGTTGATATCCTGGGTGGGCAGTTTGTGCCGAGTCGGAACGGCTCGGACCGTTCCAACTCTGCGTGGGCGACGATGAGTGCCTGAGGTCGTCCACCTGCTGTGGCCGCGGGCGAGAAGCAGTGGGCCGTGGGCCGGGTTGTCTCGAAGGTGGAGACCCGTGGGCCGGTATCTTGGAGGGATGATGTGCCGTGGCGGGACTTCGGGGACGGATGGCATGTTGGGCGGCTTTGAGGGCCGACAAGGTGAACGGATCAAGTCTTTGGGAGGGATGAGCGGGAACGGAGTCACCCGAAGGCACTGAAACGCAAGGATCTGTAGAGGTAGAGAGGAAGAGTTAGGAGTAGAAGGAAGGTCAGTCGTGAATTTTGCTTAAAAGGACCACACAGGTCGTAAGGAACACTTATTGCATTTTGCTTAGTGATCTCCTTGCTATTTGTGCCCCATAAACCTATAAGCACAGGCAGCACTTACAACTCCAATACAGCGGCGGCCGGCCCCAAAACCGGTCCGACAAAGCGACTCGCGACGAGTTGCAGCCCAGTTTGGGACCTTCACCAGCAGGTGAATTTGCTCCGATTCGGGATCTGGCAAGTTTCTCTCTTCGAGCAATCGTTTGGATTGTCCATGAGGTGCCCAGCTCTGCCTCATTGACCAAGGTCTCGACCTGTGGATGGACCTCCCCCAATTCGAGTTTCTGTGCAGCTTCTGCGTTGGACGGCAGCCAGACATTGCCTCCTGCACCGTAGCCACTATGGCAAACCACAGCTTCAGTTTGCGCCTAGGGAACTGGAACGAATGCTTTTTCTTGATTGCCTTGGTTAAGCGCCCCACTCGTTTGCTTTTCTCGATACCTAGTTAATGCTCGCCACCCCAATCAACGCGTACTCGAAGGACACACACCTTGAAGCCTCCTGTCCTCGCGAATCCGACATGTCTTCTCCGTACAACGTGAAGTATCGATCCGCACTTGGTAGACCGACATCAAATTCAATACATCACCGTGGACAACTCGGAAGAAAGAAAGACAAATGTATTGGGAATGCCTTACCTACATGCGTTGACTTACTACACGTAGCAGCATCTCGAAGCAACTTCGACGGAAGTTGCGCATCACAATTTCAACACTTAGCTGTTCTCGACAGCCGAAGACTCGGCTAAACACAGTTTAGTCCAGACCGAGCACGTTCTCCAGCAGGAACACCAGGAAGATGGAGGCCGGGTACAGCAGCAGCACGATCAAACCATCAAGCAGACGCTGGGTCTTCTTCATCGCGATGTAGCCGATCACGAGCTCCACGAACAGGATCGAGAAGGTCTCGGCCGAGAACTCCCACACCAGACCGCCGCTCTTGAACGACATCAGCGCCGCGAAGATACCCAGGCAGAAGGTGTTGTTCATGCAGGCGGCGCCGAGCAGCGCAGAGATGGAGATGGAGATGGTCTTGGACGTCTTCTTCTGCGCGTAGTTGTAGGCGGCGATGAGCTCGCTGGCATTCGAAGCCAGCGGCGCCACCACGAACGACACGTAGAAGGCCGGGATGCCCGTGCGCGCGCCCACCTCCGACAGCACGTCCACCATCGGGTCCGAGAACAGCAGCACCAGCGCCGTGCCCAGGAACATCATGTAGGCCGAGCGGATCTTGATCTTCTTCTGCTGCTCGGCGATGGACAGGTGCGCGAGGTCTTCCGGGACTTCCTCCTCCTCTTCGTCATCTTCACCCTCCGCGGCGGGGATGGCCAGCGAGTACTGCTGCTCCACCACGACGCGCTGCATCGAGACGGACGAGCGGCCCTGGATCTCGTTCTCATACTTGGCCAGCAGGTAGCGCAGCGTGGCCTCCACGAGCTCGTTGAACTCGATGAAGCCGCTCTTGTCCTTGTCGGCCGCAGCCATCCACTTCTCGGCCTCGTCACGGGACACCGCCTCGCCCAGGTCCTTGAAGAACACCTGCAGCTCGTCCGCGTCCATCCGGCGGTCGCGGTTCTTGTCGTAGGCGTGGAAGAACGGGCGGATGATGTCCGCGACGCGGTCGAAGTGCTCACGCGAGGCGTTGAGCGGCGTAGCGTGGGTCGGGGACTCCTTCTTCAACTTAGCCACCTCTGCAGCCAGGATACCGGACAGACTGATCTCTCCGTCACGGATAGCAGCCACTCGGACTTCATCAATGACGTCCTCCTTGACTTCAGACGAGCGCTGCACGTTCCAGTAGAGGTACAGCACAAACGAGATCATGGACACCACAAAGGCCACGATGGCGAAGGGCTTCTCGGCCTTGGCCACTTGCGTGTTGTCGGCCTGGGCGTCCTCCTTGGCCGTGCCCGTGTAGAACAGCGCCGGGACCTGCAGAATCAGGTAGATGAGACTGGTAAAGATCATGGTTCTGGCCGTGGACGGGATCTCGTCGAACAGCACGACGCCCGTGCGCGTGAGGTCCTTGTTGCCGGGCGGCATGAGCTTGGCCCAGTGCTGGTCGCCCTTGGGGCGCACGTAGTTGCCGCGCCCGTTCTCGTCGATGTTGACGCGCCCGGCGAAGACGCTGAGCGCCCACGGGATGGTCAGCAGCATGATGGTGGAGCCCGCGAGCGCGCCCACGCCCACCGAGACCTGCTGCTGCGCGTCCGGGCCCATGCCCGAGAAGAGCACGATGGCGCCGTCGGGCACGGCGCCCAGCACGGGCAGCACGACGCTGCCCACGATGCCCGCCATGGACGGCACGAGCAGCAGCAGCTCGCTGCCGTCCGAGATGAGGTTGCTGGCGTTGAAGAGCACGAAGCCGTAGACGGCGCCCAGGAACAGCACCTGGATGAGCCCGTAGCCGTCGTCGGGCAGGTCCTTGGGGTCGATGAAGAAGCCCGACATGGCTGGCTGGCGTAGTCGAGATCTTCTGGCTTGTCACCGCGAGAGAGCTTTTTGCCGAGTGAGTTGGGGGATCAAGGGCGGATCGCAACTGGCCTGTTTTTGCCGATTGCTCGAACGAATTGTCTCCTTTGCTCGAACGATTAAGGCGGGGGCGGCTACGATTTAGGGGCGTATCCTTGAAGTGACCTGAGTTGCGGATTGCCATCTGCAGGCAGGCAGCTTAAACCTGCCGATGCAGCTCAATGCTTGCTTGCGGCTGGCAGTAGACTTACTATATGGGCATGCATACAAATGGGGTGGCAGCAGCTCGGGGGCGTGGATGCAAGTGCCAACGTCGATGCTTATGAGGGCCTCATTGCCAGACGACTGGAGGCCGAGAGCGCTCACCGTCTCTGGGCGGTATCAGCAGTGGGAGTGGATTTTTCGCGCATCCTTCAGCCGCCAATTGATGGGCGTGGCGTGCCCCATTTGCACGCGCGCCGAAGCCACGGTGGCGCCGCCGTACCAGGGCAGGACGAGCGCCGAGTATTTGAGTATGCCGTGGCTATCGTGCCCCCATCGGAAACGCGCACGCTCATTTGATGTCAGATGGTTTCGGAGCTGGCACCGAGGACAGATTCCTATCCTGGCCATATGGGAGCCACTTCAACGCGATCCACTTCAACATGAGGCGAGCTTTGCTCATGGCAGGGGCTCGAAATTATACGAATGTGGCAATCTTAGGGCAGTGACCACTTCCCATTTTGCTTTTACTTCCAGCCTGACGCTGCGGCCGGCCATTCAATGTTGATTGCTCTGTAAATTACTGTCTCGTTCCCGGCGCCATCAACTCAGTTGATTCAACTGCAGCTGCAGGACGCACCGTCCAAAGTTTCGCAGGGGAGGAGGCTGTTTCCACCGCGCAACGACGACTGTAGTATGAAGGAAATGGAGGACGGTAAGATATGATTTTTTGCGGTACCCCATGCATCAACGCCAGCGCTTCTCTATAGCTCTCGATTCCTATCGACTTCGATACTCCCGAAAAGCAATTATCCTAGATGTTTAGCCATGTCATGTTCTATCATTCGTTAGTCAGACTCGCTTGTCCTGGCAGCTCATTGCAAAATTTTCTCGCCAGAGCTACCGAACAGGAGGAAGGATGATGGATTTGCTCTGTGTGATTCCAGGCGACGCCCAAGGCGTGTTCTGCGTGGAGGTTCAGGAAGACGACTCCGTGTCTGGCTTGAAGAGTGTCATCTGCAAGGAGAACGCGTATGAGTTTCCGACCTTTGAACTTAAGCTCTTCCTAGCAAGGAAGGAGAACGGATCGTGGCTCAGTGTAGCTGATGCAGTCGCAGTGAAGCTCGACGAGGACGGACACCCCCGAGGATTTAGGTTCCAACAACTTCCTCGTGACCGGTGTCATGGCCTTCGTGGCGCGTGTGGGGCTGTGCGTCCCCGCCATCGGTGGCTTCGTGGGCTTGGAGTGCGCGGCCATCTTCGATCACGAGCACTGGATCACGGCAGGGTGGCGCTGGGCGACCACGGACAGCATGGACAAGTTCATTCGGCTTGATGCACAGGACCAGCGCTTCGCCTTGCTGCGCAACCACAAGAACGGTGTCTGCGTGCTGGGCCTGCTTGACGGAGAGCTGATCACGGGCTCTACAGGGAAGCCGCTGGACTGCGTCTGCTGGAGTCCATGTCGCGTAGCACGGTGCGGACTGAGCTGCAACGAAGTGGCGATGATGGAGCTGACTGGACGCCACCATCGCGTCCGTGGCCACTACGCTCTGCTTGGACCAGCAGAACCCACTCAAGAAGAAGGACGAGGCCGTCGGCGTGACCTCGACGGTAGTCAAATGGACGCACGATCCCGTCTCGACCTCTGTATGCGCCACGGCGCACACGACCATCAACGTCAAGGACTACATGACCGAGGAGGTGGTCTCGGCCACGTCGGCCATGTACGGCACCGTGGCCGACTACACCAAGACCCAGGTGGTGCACGCCTTGTCGTCGACGTACGGCACTGTTAAGGGTGTGACCTTCATGGCGCTGAGCTACGTGCTCGGCCTCAAGATCGTGGTGCTAGTCGACGGAGACAGCGGCTGGTGGTCGGCACAGACGGCGTCGCCTGGGGCGAATTCGGTGATGGCAGCCGTCAGCGAAGTTGTCAAAGGAGAGGAAGTTGTACTCTATGGACTATTACTCGTTGCCGGGGGGCGTGATCTTTGCTGATGGCGAAGTCGCTAGTGATGGAGTGGTGGTTTCGTTACTGCTGGCCCGACTGGTGCTGATGTAGCGTAAGGAATGCCATCTAGGAAAAATGAATCGAGGAATTGCTGACAACATTAAATGTATTGGTGAATTACTTGCTTTGGTTGACTTGTTCGTGACTCGGGTCGCTCGTTGCTTTTTCGTCCGTCTCCCACTCTGGAAACTCGAAGTTATCGTGGATGAAAAGTAAATCCCGGACAAGTGAAGGGTCCAGCTTGGTCCGCTTACAATTTACAATGTTGCCTGCAGATGAAAACGCTCGCTCCGACGGCACCGAGGTAGCGACACATGCCAGCCATTGTCTTGCCAGTGGAGCCAGATAAGGATACGAGCGACCATGCAGCCGCCACCACTCCAGGGGATCTGCATCAAACTCTGTATCAGCGACCTCGTCGAGATAGCGATAAACTTCAGCGCTGCAGCGCGTTTTGAGACGCTTTTCGCGAGCAGCTGCACTAGCTTGAGCGTCACGACGAACTCTCTTGCCAAAAACACCTTCAACGGCCGTCGTCCGTTGCTTCTTGGGAATCGAAGAGCCCTGAGAAGCGTTGCTGACTTTATCGGGTTGTGGGGACTGGGACTGATTCAAATTCTCCTGTTTTGCCAGTGCAATTGCAGCATCGATGAGGCCTGTGGTAGCTTCCTTGCACTGGTCATTGGTGAGTCCCTCCATATTGGTCAACCTTGGATCCAGATAAGATATCCAAAGCAAATCGGTTGGCAGATCTGCAAAACGCCTTTCAAAAAGGCCCACGAAAGCAAGTCGAACGGTTGTCATGAGGTCTAGGACAGTCTGTTTGAATGGTGCGTCCTCCACCAGTAATGCTTCTTCATCAAACAAGTCATCTCTGTTCACCGTCCTCTCAATCTGGCGAAGACAGGGAAATGCCAGTGCAAGTGTCGGATAGCCCTGCCCACCCAGCAGCTCGGATGTCGCTGCGATGGGGTCAAGCAGCGCGATCAGGCACTTAATCGTGAACCAGTCCTTGGCGTCTGGCCGGAAGAGCTTCGGCATCCGCTGAAATTCCTTCTTCCCCTTCGCCGTCTTGAGATGACGAAAACAACCTTTCAGTGGCTGCTTTAGCTCGATCATTCGCGCCAACATATCCCTCGCGCTATTCCAACGCGGTGGGCAGTCTGTCACCACTTTTAACGGCTGCCTTGCTCGGGCGTGCAATTCATCTTCGCCTGTCCGATATTCAGCAATTAGACGCTTCTGTATCGCATTGAGGCAGGAGGTTGCTTTTTGCGAAGAGTGGAAGTAAGTTGCCAGACTTCGAAATCGCTGCACGAGATCCCGGACTTCGTCTAGCGCGTAGAGCTGTTCCATAACGTGCCACTGACGCAGAAAATCAGCCAACTCTTGAATTGACCGGTCTTGTTCCCACGGCTCAGCATCCGTATCAGCACGCTTCGTATCGTCCTCGCAGGGCACTGCCACTTGCTCCGCAATTGCAGGAGGCGCTGGAAGGACTGGACCGACAGGTCCCCTGCAACTCCGGGGGGTGCTGGAAGGACTAGAACGGCAGGAACTACTGCAACGGCTGGAGATGTTGTTGCTGTTAGAGCTGCTGCAGCTCCACCCATGCGTTGTGGAGATTCCGGTGCACGCTCCGTCACCAGCCCTGAACTGTTTGCTACACCTGAAGCCTTTCGTGTACGCTTGATGAGCGCACCTCCGACGACAAGATGCAGTGAATGCGCGATGCACGACATGTGCGGAACGCCCATGAGATTGCCAGCCAACACCCCGTTTGAAGCACCGTCTCGAACTAGCTTTATGCAGAAAGATGGATCTAGTCCCCAGCGTTTAAAGAGCTTGGTCAATCCTTCCGCAATAGCCTCACCGCTATGAAGGCCTGGAAATCGCTCAATCTCGAGAGTCCAATTACAGGGTCGAAACTTTAGGTCGAGATAGTGAAGGGTCAGCGACACGTAGCCCTCCGTAGTCAGAGTCGTCCAAATATCCGTTGTCACCGCGTAATAGCGGCAGCCTTCCTTGATCATTCCCTTCAACTCGGCACGGAGCTCGACCGCTAACTGCACGATGTCCACGCAAACTTGAGTTCGCCCAGGAACTTTCAACGAGATCCCACCCAGTGTTTCAGTGATGTATCTGACGTAAAATGCGAGTCCTTCGTCCTCAACTATCACGAGTGGCCGCATATTTTTTGCGATCCATAACGCGAGATACTGGTTCGCCCGCCGCTGTTGTTCTGGAGTCACGGCCACAACCCGCTTTTTTCCGAAGGTGTCGAGTGAGGGGCGCCACTGGCAATGGTAACCTTGGTGTCTTTGGCGGCTTTTTTCTTCTTCTCACAGTCTCGAAAGTATGCAGGGTGATGAACCTGCAGATGCATTTTAACGTGGCTTCGTCCCTTTTCAAAGTGGACCTCAGCGCTGCACTTCGTACAGTAGGCGGCACGAGCATGTTTATTACCCGGCTTGTGTAGATGCTCGAACTCGGGGCGTGGCACCAACTTGATGAACTTGTACCAGTAGGGGTTGTGGGCTCCGGAGATGTCGTAGAGCTTTGATGGCACCGGACAGGTTTGTAGCTCAGGTTCAGCAGTCTCCTCCTCCTCCTCACTCTCGATAACCGTCTCCACAGGTGCTGTCGTTGGAGACGCCTCACCGCGAGGCCCCTTGGATGCTGTGCCCTGGTCCCTAGCCGAAGAATGATTCGGCAGTGGCGATAGCATGAATCGAAGCTGAACTGGTGGCCGCTTGGTTCCCTTAGCTTTCTTCCTCTTCTTTTTATTCTTGGCCGGAAAAAGACGACGGGATATATCGCTTGGCGACGAGGGCACCTCAGAGATGGCCACGGTGTCCGTGAGTCTTGTCCGAGTATGCGCTTGGGGCCTTGTTGCGCTACGGCCCGCGACCGCCTCATCGACCTCTGCTCCGCCCGCACTGGTCCATTTTGTCTTGTTTGAATTACTAGACCTTATGCTTCTGGTAGTATGGAAATTCCATTTGTTTTGGAACAAAGCAGCGGGAAAATCCAACAAGCTTGGAGGGAAAAATATACTGCTTTGAGTATCGAGAAAGATTTCGAAGAGTTGGGCAGAGTTGCGCCATACTCGAACTCCAACTTGCAACGTTCGAGTTGGAGCGAGTTGGAGGGACCCAAAGGTCCCAACGTTGACATCCCTAGTAGGTACAAAGCAGCCCCAATCCTCCAGCAGCTTTCCGCAACGTTAGTGATAGCAGCTGTGAGACTTACTTCCGCAAGCCCAGCTCTTGTAGGAAAAAGCGAATCAGCCACAGCCCAGACTCCCGCTGGTACCTGAGGCAGTTCCACGCTGAAACACGCCGCCTCAAGGCTGGCTTCTGATACTCCTGCTGTCCGCCAACACTGGACGAACACGCGCCGAAGGTCTCCCGGTGCGGGACAGCTCCAGAAGACATGATGTAAGTCCACTCTCGCGACTCCCGCGCAACCAGGGTGGGGACATCCAGGCGGGTCGAAAAGTGAGAAAGCATGCTGCTTGAGACGGAAAAGAAGCTGCTCCCCCCAAGGCCTCAGTCCGATGATACGTCGGAGTCGGCTCCACTCCAGTTGAGAAATTCCTTCCGCAGCGGCGGAGCTCAGCTGAGTCCACTTGTCCATCCGCCTGTTGAGACTTGTGCGGGCACGGCGCCGAGATGCCGCTGCAATGGCCTCCCTGTAGTGCCGGCGGGGCACGGACCACCTCCTATTCCCCATCCAAAGGCACACCAGGCGGCTCACACGTGGGTGCGGATGTACGTATACAACCGCAAAATGCGACCGGAGCGATGTTGACGCAAACCGGGTGAGTCTCACGTGACTCCGGATCGGTCCACTTCGCCGAGCCGGAGAGGTCCCAGTCGTCAATAGTGCTTCTGCCGGTTTTGAAGTTAGCATCTCCACGACAGCCGGATGGTCGGTAGGAGATGTAAGGACCCGAAGCTCGCTGCTGAATCTAGTGAAATAGAGTAGACGAGGGAAATTGGTGACGAGCACGACGCTAAGTAATTCCATCGTCGTCTTGACAGCGGTCGTAAGGTGTTTCGTTCTGCAGAGGGGTAATGTAATGTAATGTATTACGTTTTCGCGTAGCCACACTATGCTGTCGCTAGGCTCAGCTTTGCTAGTCGACGGCATAAGGTGGTGTCCGCATACGTCGGGTCCTTCTTCGCCGGCAGTGCGGCGACAATTGCCCTCTCGAGGGCTTTCCATTTAGGTTTCTCTTGTGCAAGCAGCCGAAGTTGGTCCAGGTCACGGCGGGTCTCGAGGCGATAGGCGTATCCCCTCGAGATAAGGTCCGCATCGAGCACAGTCGGTAGTGTCGTGCGTGGGCGTCCACGCCAGGTTCCCTTGGACGACGAGTCGAAGTAGGCGGCCATCTGGGTGTACGCCGGGATCTCGGGCCGGCGCAGGATGTGGCCGAACAGACGCCATCGTGCTGCTGTGATTCTGTGGCGGCGCGGGCGTTCCTGACAGATTTCGTAGAGCGTGGCGTTAGAGATTCGCTGAGGGTAGCGAATGTTTAGTACGCTACGTAGTTGTCGGCGGTGGAAGCTTTCGAGTCCGCTCAGCTCGGACGGCGTCAGTGCCCACGTTCCGCTGTTGTACAACAGAACAGGAAGCACATAGCAGTTATACAGCCGGACTCTGGTGGCGTCACTGACGTACTGGGGCCAGATCCATATTGTCCAGAGCCAACGTAGCGCGCCTGCTGCGAGTATTTTGCGTCGTGTCAGATCTTCTGAGTCGCCGAGTAGACTGCCAAGCTTCTGTGTGGAGCGCCACGCCTCTTCTGTCGCCCGAGCGTGTCGGGAGTAGCCCGATGAGCCTTTACATCGCTGAATCATGGTTAGTTCTGTCTTAGTTGCATTCATCTGGAGGGACCAGCGTGCGAACACTGCTGATGCTTCGGCTTGGATGCGCTGGACCAGCTCGGTATCGCGGCAGACAAAGTCTGCATCATCAGCATAGACGATCATTTGGTCGAGTAGGGTCCGATTCACTCCGAGGTGGGATGCGAGGTCGCGCAACGCAGCTTCCAGGTAGATGACGAACAGGACCGGTGAAAGAGCATCGCCCTGCGGCGTTGCGATGTTGCTATCGAAGCTGTGTTGTGCCTTGGACCCGGAGCGCAGAGAGAGCTTGGTGTCGGCGAGCAAAACCTTGATCAATCGGACCTCGTCGTCGTGTAAGAATGTCTGGAGTACTTCTACAAGCTTTACGCGGTCGATTGTGTCGAACGCGCGCGAGAGGCTGCAGAGGGGTGTAAACGTGATTTTACCACCACCGTAACACCTCCAGTGCACAATATCGCGAAGACGCGGACCGAACTGTGTCAGCTTCTGGAAGTCCGACTTGGACGAGTTGCGTCCTTCAAAGCCGTTGTACATGGAGAGATCGGCAAGGTTGGCGTATGGCAACCACTCCAGGCACTGCTGGCCCAGCTCTCGCGTTTCCTCGGCGAGAACCAGACGACAAGTCGCGGCGCGCAGTGCAGCACCCTCCATCTCCAGCCAGGTTCCCTTCCATGCCAGCTGAATACCCCCGAAATGAACCGCTAATTGGAATAGCGCTGACACCATTGGGGTCCTGTCCGTGAAGCATGGTGACCGCCCGATCGCCGTGATTAACATGCGTCCAATAGCCCACAGGGTTTTGCCACGACGAAATCCGGTAGCCGGGAGAACACCGGCATTCGGTGTCAGATACACCGCCGGTGCTCTGGCGATGCCCCCCGTTGGAGATGCCATCAGGATATCCCCGACAATATGACTGGCATGCGTTCCTGACACGGCCCAGGACGAAACGGTGATTGCAGCCATTGCCATCAGCTCAACTCTAAGGTCGGGCACGCCAGCCCTCCTTGCGTGCACGGCATGGCAGCAAGATCGGCGTCGAGCCAGGCTTTGACACCACTGAGCTCAGATATAAAACTACCATGCCAGACATGGTTCTTGATTTTCTTGAACAGTGCAGGTGGACGGCCACGCGTGATGGCCAATGTAGAGTAGCTTGGGGATGATCACTGCTGCCGCGATCATGCTCCGTTGATCTACCGTCGTTGTTTTGCGACTGGCCAGACTGAGTCTTGAGACCAGTTGCTGTTCTACTATCGCCCAGGTCTTTTCAGGATCTTGCTTGGTGCCCACATAAATTCCAAGATAACGACCGACTTGATCGGGATCCTGATACGTGAGACGACGGACTTGCTCGACTGCAACGTTCCGCCGTTCGTATTGAAAGGGACAGCGAGTATGATGATTATCGACGACGTGGCAGACGTGATGCGTAATGTTTTCGCGGGCCTTCACTTCGTGGTAGAGCTCACGAAAGACCGCTGCGAGGTTGAAGAGCGAGCTAAGATTCTTATCGAGCTGGTTGCCGCGGACCTGAAAAGCGAAGTGCGTTGTGCTCCGGTGGGGTTACTAACCAACCTGAACGACTACTGGTATTTCTTATGGCTCACGCCCGACAGGGAAATCGCGAGGATGATGCTCACGAGTCCGGCCAACGGATTCAAGATGATAAGAGAAGTTTTAACGCACTCGAGTGAGGGTTCAGACGGAGTCTTCCCCATGCAGATTTCTTTCCTGCCATCACCGCTACTAAAGCGTCAAAAGATGCTCAATGCTGCACTGGCAGGGGAAGATCCTGCAGCAGAAATGCTGGAGAGATACGAGTTGATGTCAGACGAGCTCAGTCCCGAGTTTTTGCAGGAGAGGAAGATGGAGTACGCTTCCCAAATGATTCGGAATATGCCGGTTTACTCTGGCATGTTCCTGGAGGAATTAGTTTGCGATCAACTATGCAATAGAAAAACGTCGTTTGCTAAGAGTTCGACGTAGGTCATGCCACATCAATTATCAGTTGAAATATCGAGGAAAATACCATGCCTTGTTCGTCCGATCTAACGTAGTTCACTTTCACTTCTGTCCGACACCATGGTGCAGACGCTGCTATTTATGAGTGCCGCACTGTCGAACAAGTTGCAGGCGATCCCGCACATTTGCCAGACGATCAGCGATTTTCTTCTACCCGAGACGATCGACAGTGCAGTCTACAATCATCTGCAATGAGTGGTTCACGTGTATGGGTCGACCCGACCTTGGACGAAGCGTGCGATGGATGGTGCAGCGGCAAAGGGAGACGTCGATCTTGTGCTGTGGCTGCTTGAGCATCGAAGTGAAGGTTGCTCGTATAAAGCTCTAATTGGAGCGGCGAAAAATGGGCACGTCGACGTGGTGAGGGTGTTGTTCGATAAGTGCAGCCAGCAATGCAGCTTCAGAGCGGCTATGGAATCGGCGGTAGCTTGCGGACAAGCCGGAGTCGTTGAGTTTTTATTAAAGCGCTTCAACGTACGAGGCCCGATGGATGATAGTTTCATTAACGCAGCAACCAACCGATTTGTGGATGTGGTGAGACTGCTGCCCTCCCAAAGCTGCGCTGTCGACGAGGCCCTGGGCCTAGTTGCTGCAAACGGACATCTCGCAGTGCTGGAATATCTTCTGTTCGAAAGACGCGAGTCATACAGCAGCGACGGTGACGACTCTCACTCGGCGATATTGCGCATACTTACGACACCGCTGGCTGTTCAGTCTCAATACGGATCAACCAAAGTGAGCACGGCTGCAGCTATGCGTGCGATGTGCGCTGCCGCTCGGAATGATCACTCGGATGTGATGGAGCTTCTGGTCCGGAACGGTAGTCAAGAGCAGCTTGGGTTCGCGCTGGCCGCCTCTGCCGCTGCAGATTCGACGAAGCTTGTCGAGATGCTGGTGGAGAAGTATGAGCCAGCTGGTGGCGTGTGCTCTCATCGCGAAATCCACTCCGACCGTCGAGGCAAATGCTACAGCGCTCCCTGCAGCGTTGAACGGACTCTGCTTGACGCTGTTGAGGCAAACAACATCGGCATGGTCAAGCTACTCGCTAAGAAAGCTCACGTGCGCGTCGTGAACGAGGCCAAGAGCATAGCCATGGCAAATGGATTTACCGACGTCGCGGAAGTTCTAGCTGCCGCGGCGCCATGAGCCTGTGCTATCGATTCCGCTCTCGAAATGCCGAGCTTCTTTCTTTCCTCTTTATTTGTTAGTTCAAGACAAAAGCAATGAATTGTTGAGATCTACGTATACGTGGAGATGATGCTCCGTCGTACTGACGGACCTGCTCATGGTTCTGTCAATCTTTGGTCACACTTTCTTTCGGCAGTTAGTTGCATAATTTCCCGTCTGAGTTACCGGACTGGAGGAACCTATTCATCGGGGTGGAACATGATCACCACTACGTAGCACAACTCATGCTCGTCTTTGAGACCGCGACGCATTGTGGGCCATACGGCCGAGGTTGCCTAGGAGAGGTTCTTCATACTTGTGAAGTATTGTGACCCGGCAGTGGGTTCGGCCGTGTTCCTGTTATCTCCTGTCGCAGTTGAAGCTTTGCTCTCAGGCATTATCGCCCAGTGTAGTTCACTTGAGTTAACCCCTCGTTCACCAGACCTGCGTGCTAAAATGTTTCTGCACATCACTGGTCGTAGGCTCCTACAACTTTCCTCTTGTTTTTAGTATGATCTCAAATAAATACGAATAATTTGCAGTTTTTATGTATTTGGTGTGTCGTTTTTGATATAAGACCTCCTACATGAAGCTCCATTTGTCATTAAGAAGTACCTCAAAACTCATTCGCATGTCGGAGGAGGCGACTACGTGGCCGGAGCATATCTGTTACAAAACCATGTGCATGCGTGTGCGATAGGCGGCCCCATCCCAAAAACTCCTCGCCTGTCAGTGCTCCACGCCGATCGTGGTTTAGCTCTCCTCACTTCGAAATCGGCTCGCAACAAACAGTCTGCACCCACTACAGTATCTGTATCATTAATCAATAGCGATAATTTTGTTTACTCAACGACGGTTTATCATTGCTGCTGCTGTGGCATCCGACATGTAAGAGAATCGCTGCCGCAACTCTGAGCACTTTGCCGGTGTGGATGAGTTGTGTCGAGTTACGCGAAGTAGTTGTGTGCGAAGGGCTAGTCGAGTACAGGAATGAAAGTGTGTACTTCAGTGTAAAATTGGTTGTGATTCTTGTTGTTTAAGTGTTGTTGTAGGGGAAAGCTTCTCAAGCGGTAAAACCCCCGTAGACTCTATCTGACTACTATGGCCGCAGCCATGAGAGCACAGCACGCATGCTGTCGCTCGTAACCCTCGAGTCACAAGCTAGTGTCTCTCGCAGTCAATGCCTTCAACCGTTACTCGCTACTCGTAGACATTCAACAAGTATTCTACCATACATCTTCATACATTGTTGTTGCAACCCAAGTGACACGGATTGACCTCAGTCGAATCTCTTAACATGTACATGTAGATATCGTATCTTAGAAATGACAGCCACATGTCTAAACTAACTTAGCCGATATGACGGCGACTCTGCTCGCTTGCTGCCCCGATACGGTCGATTCCTCACAGATTACATTGATTGACTGATCACCCTTCTTTATTGTCGCTGCTGCCTGGTTAGCTTATCGCCAAAAACTTGCTCTGAGCTCTAATGAATCGTTTGCGCTGCTATGCTGTAGTATAATTGCTGTACAACTGTCATTGCTGTTGTATTAAATGGCTCTTTAACCGATAATGCAACATAACAACTTATGTTGCATTATCTCAAACATCCGCAGGGGCAGTTCTTACGAACTGCGGATAAATAATTCCGCCGTGGTCCGGCCAATAGCTTCATATATCGATGGGTACACTGATCTTTTTTGTAAATGTTAAGTAAGAGCCTTCTCCTGAGTTTTGATTTTCGACGCTGAAGACGCAAGCGAGAGAGGAGGGAGGCAGGCGAGAATGGACACGCCTCAATCATTTTTCGATGCTGCTCGACGGGGGATCTTGAATACTTTCGCGGCATGGTAAAGAACGGCGCCAATGCCAGCGCCACTGACGGAGCCGGATACTCAGCGTTCGGCAGGGCCGTTGTTGAAGGGCATGTGGATGTCGTTCGATATCTAGCGGAAGAATGCAATGTGAACGCCAAAGCCAAATGCGGGGCGGATCTACTCGAACAAATCGCTGCTGGAGGGCATCTCGATTGTATCCAGTATCTTGTAGATGAATGGGGCGTCGACGTGAAGGACCGATCTACTAGTATGCGCATGCTGGAGGCCGCTGTCGGATCCATTGATGTCGTTCGGTATCTCGTTGGAGACTGCGGTATTAATGTGAGTGGCGACACTGCATATGCCGTACTAACAAAGGCCGGCGCCGAAGGACGTATCGATGTCACCCGCTATCTAGCTGGAGAGTGCGGGGCAGATGTGAACGCCCGAGACAGTCGTGGAATTACAGCTCTGATGGCGGCCGCGGGCCGAGGACAAATCAGTGTCGTTCGTCATCTGATGGGGAGTGCCGGGCTGATGTCCACGCAGCGACTGGGAACGGGTTCACAGCACTCATGGAAGCCGCAGCAGGAGGCCATATCGATGCCGTCCGCTATCTAGCTCAAGAATGCGAAATAAACGTAAACGTCAAAGATCTAGCTCCCTCATGATGGCCGCTGGGTAAGGACACCTCGATGTCGTCCGATTTCTAGCCGGAGAGTGTGGTGCGGATGTTCACACAGCGAATGCAAGCGGGACGACCGCGCTCATGAAAGCTGCTTCAGGGCAGCACATTGATGTCATTCGATATCTAGTAGCAGAACGCGGGGCGGACGTGAACGCCACGAACAACAGAGGCACCACGGCTCTGATGCAGGCCGCCACTAAAGGGCAGTTCGCACTCGTTCAGTTCCTTACTGAATATTGCGGAGCTGATGTCAACGCAATTGACGAGGATGGAGCCACCATACTAATGAAAGCCGTCGTTGAAGGACATACCGACGTCGTCTGGTATCTAGCTCGAGAACGCAAGGCGGATGTAAACGTAAGGGATGAAAGCGGGTCTTCAGCTCTATTAAAGGCCGCTACTGGAGGGCAGATCGACGTCATTCGGTGCCTAGCTGGAGAATGTGGGGCCGATGTAAATGAAACATCCGCATGTGGCCGTACATTACTGATGAAGGCCGCTGCCGAGAAGCTACTTGAAGTCTGTCGGTGTTTGGCTACAGAGTGTGGAGCTAACGTCGATGCCACTGATAAGTCCGGGTCTACGGCACTAATGCAAGCCGCTGGTAAAGGTGACACCACCCTTGTCCAATTCTTGGTCACTAAGTGTGGGGCTGATGTGAATGCTGCTGGTGAAAATGGAGAAACAGCTATTATACAGGCTGCAGTAGAGGGGATATTGTAAGGTTCTGGTTGTGCTTGTTGTGTTGCGAGTAAAATGGAAACTGAATTGATGTCTTTCTCTGTTTGCTGCTATCCATCTACCCGAGGGCACCCTCATGGCGCTCGGTCCTAAACATGAAGTGGTTGGCTGAGGCGTGCCGGAGCAGGAGCTTGCGCAACCGGTGAGTATGCAGACGACGACTTGGGCTCTGCGTGCGGACTCAACTGATGATGTGGTTGTGTTCTGCTCTTGCACGTGCAGATCATTACACTCCCCCCGACTTGAGCGAGTCCCGGCACCTTGAACGTTGAAGTCGCCGAAGTTGAAGTTGCTAGTACCGTAGACCCTCGATGTAAGGAACAGTACCGTGAAAATTCTGTTCAAGAGAATTCCACTAGGCCCGTGCCACTCTATTGCGTTGGCGAAGGGCTTTTAGCAGCGCTTGCCAGTGGCTGACGTGTTTGATGTCGCGCTCGCGTTCCCACGTGTTCTCATGGTGAGGGAGCCCGTGCCACTTGACCAAGTACTCAGGTTGGCGGTTGAAGATGCGCTTCTTGATCAGAGCTTCGACAACGCGTAGTGGCTCGACATCGTCGTCGAAAATCACGGGAGTCGACTTCGGGATCACACGGCCGACGAAGCGATCAGGGTTGCTGTTGTATACCTTGAGCTTGTCGATGTTGAAGCGTGGGCTGATGTGCTTCAAGTTGGCCGGTAGATCCAGCAGCGCGACGTTGCCGTGAAGTTCCAGGATCGGGTACGGGCCGATGAATCGCGGGATGAACTTCCGTGAGCGAAGCGTCGTTTCCGCGGTGGCGTGCGAGATGTTCAGGTCCTGCGTCGACAGCAAGGCTAGATCACCGACCTTGAATGGGTTTGCTGCACGACGCCGGTCGTAGAACTTCTTTTGAGCCTCTTGCGCATCCAACAGATTCTTCCGAGCACGTTCGATCACCTCTTGACGATGCTGAACAAATCGAGACGCGTACTCCACACGAGACCTCGCCACCGGCTGATCGCTCTCCACACTACCCAATGGGTTCTTAGGGTGACGACCGGTGTCGACGAAGAAGGGCGACAGCTTCGACGAGCTGGACACCAGTGTTGCGTGCGCATACTCAATCATGGGCAGGTGCTCATTCCAGTCGTTGCCATGGTACGAAACAGAGCATCGCAACGAGTCCTCGAGAGTCCGATTCTGACGCTCAATTTGGCCATCGGCCTGCGCTCGGTGGGCAGTCGTCATCGCTGTCTTGATCTTCATCAGCTGTGCCAGTGCTTTCCAGAACTTCGACGTGAACTTCGGGTCCCGGTCGGAGATGATGGTCGATGGGATACCATAGTACCGGATGACGTTGTTGAAGAACAGCTTGGCAATGTCTTCCGCAGTCGCCGTGGTGTGCGTCGGGATGTAGACTGGACGCTTTGACAACGTGTCCACCACGACCATGATCGCATCAAAGCCGTCGGACACAGGCAAATGCGTGATGAAGTCAGTCGAGACAACATCCCAACACGCAGCGGGCAACGGGATCGGCTGAAGCTTTCCTGCTCTTCGTCCGGTGCTTGACTTGTACCTCATGCATGACTCACAACTCTGAACGTAGGCTTTGATGTCCAGATCCATGCTCGGCCAGAAGTACCACTGTGCTGCAGCAAGCTGAGTGCGACGGATGCCTGGGTGCGCCATGATCGCCGCATCATGCGCGTTGTGAATGACATCGAGCCGAAGTTTCCGGTTGTTTGGCACACAGAGGCGGCGTAGGCTGTCGTTGCTCTTCAAATAGATCAACCCGTGAATGACTTCGTACTCTTCCGACGAGCGTCTGGACTTCCACAGTGGCTTGAAGACTGGATCTCTGCCGTATGCCTTCTGAAACGCCCGCTTCGTTTGGTTATCCAGCTGAAGTGAGCTGATCACCGTGCTGTCCTCCATTGACGCTGCGTTCAACCTCATGCGCCACTGTGTTGTGCCAACTCCGAGTGCGTTTGTGGCTGGCTGTTTGACGGCCAGCATCACAGCTTGATCTCGGGACGGTATGCTTTGGAGCTTCGCCGTAGCCATGGTACGTCGTGAGACCACGTCTCGAATGTTCGTGCATGTGGTAGACGTCAAACACGCCGTACACACTACAACCGGCTCGGGCTTGGACTCACAATCCTCCTGCCCCTCCCCCGGACTCGATGAAGCATCAGGGGGGGGCGACAACGCGTCCGCAACGACATTCAAAGCTCCTGGACGATGATGCAGAGTGAACTGGAAGGACGCAAAGAAGTCGAGCCAGCGGGCCAGGCGACCCGACAGGGGTGGATGCTGCAAAAACCACTTGCACGCCGAATTGTCCGTGTACACTTCAAACGAGAGTCCATGGAGGTAATGACGCCAACGTGTAAGCGCCTGCTTGATCGCAAAGAGCTCCTTCTCGTGAACAGGCCAGTTCAGCTCGTGAGGTCCCAGCTTCTTGCTGAAGAAAGCCACGGGGGGATCGTTGCCATCATGCATCTGAGAAAACACTCCACCAATGCACGCATGGCTGGCATCCGTTGTCACGATGAATGTTTTTTCAAAGTCCGGCAGACGAAGCACCGGAGCGTGCTGGAACGCGAGCTTAATGGCATTGAAAGCTTGGCGCTGGTGTTCGTTCCATACCCAAGCGACATCCTTCTTGACCAGAGAGCTCAGGGGCAGTACCAACGTCGCAAACTGGTGGATGAAGCGACGATAGTACCCGGCGAGGTCCAAGAAGCGTTGGAGGTCCTTGATGGTGCATGGCTCGGTCCACTCTGCGATGGCTCGAGTCTTGCGAGCGTCCACGTGCAACCCATCAGCAGAGATGGTGTGGCCAAGGAAGTCCACCGAGGCTTGTCCGAAGTCGCACTTGTCAGGACGGGCGTAAAGCTTGTTAGCGCGCAGGACTTCGCAGACTTGTCGTAAGTGCTCAACGTGGTCAGCCATCGATCGCGAGAAGATGCAGATGTCGTCAAGATAAACGACCACGAACAGTAGATGACTCAGCAGCTTGCGCATCAGGCGTGTCCACGTGCCTGGCATGCCGGCCAGACCCATGGGCTCCACGTTCCAATGATAGATCTCATGGTTCGTCCTGAATGCCGTGTACTGTTTTGACGTCGGAAACATGCGCATTTGGTGGTATCCACTCGCGAGGTCGAGAATAGAGAAGACCACATGCGATCGAAGAGTTGCTCGATGTGCGGTAGCGGGATCTTAGCCACATCCGAGGCGGCATTCACCAAGCGATAGCCGATGACCCATCGAATCGGCATGTGCCGGTTGTTCGAGTGCAACCACTCCAAGCGGGATGGGAACTTGCCTGTCGCGGGATCCTTTTTCGGCACGCCGAAGATGTTCGATACCCAGGGAGAGTCCGACACTTCGACCCAGTTCTTCTTCAAGCAGCTCTGCCACAAAGATGTCCAATGCTTCCTGCTCAACCTTCGAGAGGCGGAAGGGAGCTCGGTTGCTTGGCGTCGCCCCTGGTTTCAAGACCACTTCGTGCTCGATGGAGCGGCTTGGTGGTAATCCAGGTGGCAGCTCTACTGGAAAGACATCTGCGAACTCTTCAAGAACCGCTTGAAGCTGCAATGACACGGACTTCAGCTTGGGCGACGTCTTCACCGTGACATGATACAGTTCGACGTACTCGTCAGCCTTCACCTTCTTCTTGAACTCCGCAGCCGCAAGAACACAGCGGCGACGCGCCTGTACCATCGTCACCGTCGTCAAAGATGCGTGGTAAGGTCTGGTGTCCCAGCGCTGCTAGTGAGCTCGGTCCCAACGGCATACTGAAGTAGTCTGCCTGCACATGGTCATCGAGCTGCTGCCGCAGGTTCGGGGGAAGAGGGTGCTGAAGAAATTCCGGTTTCACTTCCACTGAAGCCACCGTCGGTCCCGCCACCTCAAGACTGCTGTTCACGCAACCGAAGTCATGTACTACACGCTGATTGGGAAGCTCATCACTCCGGTTTGCCAATTTACGATCGGGTTGAACTGTACTAACCACGGGTGACCGAGAATCACGTCTTACTTTGAAGATACCTCCCATTCAATGAGAGAAACATCGTTGAAGACTCTGCCATCAAAGCAGACAGTCTCCAAACATTGCTGTGCGGTACGCGCCGGGGTTGTCGTGCCATCAAAGCGCTCGGCCGCCTTGTTGGCCTCAACGTAGTGCTGCGCGAGGCCCGGACGCACAATGTTGCGCTCTGCACCACTGTCGATCAAGACTCGCACTGCTTGGCCGCTCATCGCTCCCTCGAACCTCAACAGTTCACGATTGGGCGACAACTTCGCGTCGAGAGACACCATGTTCAGCTGCAGACTGTCAATGACCTCGCAGTGGTCGTCGCGTTGTCTGCGTAGGCGTCGTCATCGTCGTCGGATGCGTCGTCGTCTTCAACAATGCGGCGAAACGAGCCCAGGTTTGCGCGGAAAGAACCGCGCCCTTGTGGAGGACGAGATGAGCCTCGGGGGTTGTTACGCGCTGGCCGCTTAGGACACGTAGCCAGGCGGTGTCCGGGCTCCTTGCAGTAGAAGCACAGATTACTTCGCAGACACTCTTCGCGAGAGACGAAGCGCGAACTCCCGATTTCCATTGGGGTCGGCTCCTCGACGTGATGTGACGACTGCTGAAGGCGTTGTGGACCTTGGCCTCCGCGGTTCACGTTGGTTTGACGCGATCCTACAGCGTGCGTGCGGTCGTACATGAGTGCAAACGAAATTGCGTCTGTCGTGTTCCTGAACTGGCGCAGCTTCACCTCTTGTTTGATCTCTACGACTAACCCCTGCTGGAAATGCATGACCTTGTCGATGTCGCTCATCTCCTCTACCTTGCCGATGATGTGCCGGAAGGCCGACACGTAATCTTTAAGACAGGTGAAGTTGTTCTGGCGCAGGCGTAGGAGCTGGTCACGCAGGTGCTCTTGCCGATCGGGTGTCGTGAACTCGCTGGTCAGCAGCTCCTCGAGTTTTTCGTCCTTGTCGTCCTGTGCTTCATTCATTCCTGCAGTAAGTACGACGAAGCGGTCAGAGCTGATGGCAGCATTTCTACGCGAAGTGGACATTTGGTTTGGATTTAGCCATCCTCACGTAGTTCGTCTCTTCGGTGCGTGCCATGTTGGGCGACCATTTTTTGTTTGTGAATACGCCACGAACGGGACGCTAGTCCGCTATCTGAGAAAACACCCCAATGATCTATGGCAAAAGTTGCATGAAACCGCGTTGGGTGTACAGTACCTGCATGCGCGTGGTGTTGTCCATGGTGATCTGAAAGGGAGTAATATCGTCATTGGGAGTGACAAGAAAGCGAAAGTGACCGATTTTGGTCTTAGCATCAACGCCGACGACGTCTCCGACCCGCGAATCTCCGGTGCGTCTCATTGGGTGGCGCCTGAGTGTTTTATCAGAAATGATTCACGGCCGACCTTCGCGTCAGACATCTATTCTTTGGGTATGTGTATTGTGGAAGCACTGCGTGTTGTGGAAGCTGGTGCCGACAGGGTGAAGGCGTGCCTACCTTGGGGCAGTCTGGGGAATACCGTGGTGAAGCAACACGTAAGGCAGGGCAAGTTGCCTTCTCCGTCGCCTCTGATCTGCCTGGGTAAGCAATGGGAACTAGTGCAACGAATGTGCGCCTTTGAACCGGAAAAGCGCCTGAAATTCTCAACGGTAGTTGATGAGCTGGAGAAGTTGGCGTATACTCGGACTAAAAGTCTCGCTAATACGGTTAGGCCCGTGGATATTAAAGCTATTCCAGCAGCGATTACAGCGATGCAGGCACTGTTGCAACAATTACAAGAGGGCACACGGAAGGGGGATTCGGTCATCCCGTTGTACGTTGCGATGTGGGATCAACTAGAGCAGGTGTACAATGAGATTGGCGGCCAAGTCAACTCTGAGGGTCGTACAACTTTCTGCTCACTGGTTGATGAGGCGGGCGAAAACACGAAGAGGCTGGAATATTTGACAGGCAGCTTAGTATCGTTTGCTGAGACGACACTGCGGTGCTACGCATTAAGAAGACGTCTGGACAAATTTTCCGAGGCGTATTTACTGATGCCACCTTGTCAGAAGCGAGCCTGCAGCAGTCCTGGAAGTAGCCCAGCCAAAAAATTGTGCCTGTAAAGCGTACTTAGTACAAACATAGGAATCCCTTCATTGACCGATGACTTTTTCAATGAGTAGTACGAGGTCCTCAGAAAAGTCGAGAATCTTGACCTCGAGACGAACGCAGGAGAGAATCGACTTCTCGTTGTGTCATACCGAGGCAAGCTACATCAAGAGCCATATGGCTACATTGAAGCTGCCCAGCCAATCAAAACGCCACAAGTTAGTGGTACACTGTACCTCTTTCGAGAGGGAGAGACTTTGTGTAAAGTTGGTGTCGCAGATCCCTTTCTCGCTCCTGGCAGCGGATTGTTGGGTTGTGTGACTGACTTCCTCTTTGTATCGGGCGAAGAGAGACTGGCACAAGGCGAGGGCGTAAGCAACGAGGCCAACACTGCCGAGGAGAAGCCGCTAAACTCCCTACTACAGCGCACACAGTACACAGCCCAGAGCCTAGCAGCGACCATGACGGAGGCCTTCATGGGATACAGCGAGGACTTCGAGCAGTGCCGCGACGACGCCATGTCTGACATCCGCGCCATCCCCAAGGCGCGCAGCCCCGGCGAGCGCAACGACCTCACGGAGCGCGCCCAGGGCAACATCTCGGAGGCCGAGCGCTACGTACGTGCACCATAATGTTGCCCGTATAACAATAATAATTATTATTATCTAATAATTAACTATTATATTGCAGATGCGCATTCTCGAGAGCGAGTCGCGCGCCGGCGACTCGCAGGACCGGCGGCGGATGCACCAGCAGCTGCGCACGTTCAAGTCGCAGCTGGACAAGCTCAAGGCCAACCTGGAGCGCTCCAAGCTCATGGACGGCAGCCAGCAGCGCCAGCAGGCCAGCGCGCCGCAGGACAACGTGGCGCGCTACCAGCAGCGCACGGACCGCATCGACGACCACCTGACGGACGCGCAGAACATCATCGCGCGCACGGAGGCCACGGCGCAGAACATCAACAACAACCTGGCCGACCAGCGCGAGCAGCTCATCAACGTGCGCACCAACGTGGACGCCACGCGCGAGGACACAGCAGAGGCCGGCATGCACCTAAAGAAGCTCAAGTGCAAGATGGCGTCGCAGATCGTCTTCCTCTACGTCGTCATCCTCGGCCTCATCGTCGTGATCATCTGGCAGGTCATCTCCAAGTTTACATAAGCCGAAGCTGCACATGGGGCGACGCCATGCTCTGCGTGGACGCTGGGACAATGGGGTTCAAATGGACGCGACTCGCTGCTGGGCTGGCGGAGATCACCCTGTACGACACATTTTTGCGTGTAACTAAGAACAAGGTGAATGCATTTATATCGAGAAGAAGCTGGGGTTTGTTCTGTTGCTTGGCATTGTTTAGGTTGTGGTGCTGCTTGGTAGTCATGCTCAGAGCGTGGTGATCGGCTTATCTTGAGGGTGCTTAATTTTAGGAGCTTGCAGGGAAACCGCCACGAAGTCCAAGTCGTCGTTTGCGCTTACCCTGGAGCTGAAGGAAAGCCTTCTAGTGCTTTTGTCATAATGGAGCACGAGACTCGACCCCCAATTCCAGTAGCCGCGGGTCGTCGGAAGATCGACAAAGTGCTGAAGAAGCCCACACCAAATCCGACGCTGATGCAGCTAGGACAGACAGTTGCAAGAGGCAGTATTCACTCACCTCCGTACCCGATGACCCCGACGGTCGTGGGCAGTAGCGGCAATCAGCACTCACGACGAGGAACGAGGAAGCGTGTGATATCGAACGACGCCCCACGGACGCTGGACGGCTTCCTTCTACTGGATTGGTGTCGAGGTTGGTAAACCACTCTTCCATTGGAGATATATGCCGATACTTATCGGCTGATGGTTTGCTTCGTGTTTGCTCTGAATAGTGGAATTCCCGGATGAAGTTGTTCAGGCAGTACTGAGCGACATGCACATTACGGACGTTGTGGCCGAAGATCTGCTCTTTTTCACAAACTTGACGCGACTAGACATGAGCGACAACGAGGTTCGAGCTGAACAGGTCGAGGAGTAAAGCTGAGCATGTTCTGATCATCGCTGCGTTTTCGGTATCTAGGCACCATTAGGACCGTTCGGTTGTTTACCAGCGCTGGTAGAGCTGGATTTTCAGTGCAACGCTTTGGAGGAAGTGTCCTTGAACAACGGGTTTCAGAACCTGGAGGTGAGGTGCATTCCTAGTTTGGTGGGCATTGGGCGATTAATTGTCCGCTAACATCGATGTGGGTTCTATCGCAGGTGCTGAATTTGGCTTTCAATTGTCTTGGGTCGAAAGACCTGGAGGAGCTGTCAAACTTACTGCGCATTCGTGAGCTTTATCTTGGCAGCAATCGCATTCGGTCGCTACCACCGATCATGGATCGCTTTTCACGGCTTGAGACACTATCTCTTGATAGCAATAATATCTCAGGGCAGGAAGTATTCTCGTTTCTCGCTATCATGCCGCGGCTACGAAACCTGAACCTGAGCTACAACAAGATTACCGGCTTTCCAGAGGTACGATTCGATCAAACCGAGCTGAATTTGCTGGGTTCTAACTCTACGATATTTTACAACAGAATGCATTGACGCTAGATGAAAAACGTGGTGCGGGATTTTACAATCTCATTTATCTCAATCTCGCGCACAACATGATTGCCGATGAAGAAGCTGTCGTCCACACGAGCGAGCTGCGCAACTTGCGGAAGCTTATTTTGTATGGCAATCCGCTGGCACATGCTGCTGTCACTTCATACGACCCCACCAAGTTGGCCTATGACCCGGTTCCGAGCCTCACGGCAATTTTAAACGAAAGACCAGCAGACCAAATCGCGATGACAATAGTCGTGGCGTATCCCGCAACAAAGAAGAAAAAGCTGCACTCCATGTCCTGTTACGAACATGTCGAAATTTACAAGATGATTCCAAACGAGGTGGTGCTCCAGTCGCCATTCCGCACTCGGACAACGGAATTTTTGCTGGGCTCTAATCCGGATGCCATTACGGATAAGGCATTGTTATCAAAACGACAGGTATGTGGAACAAGTTTCTAGCTGTCGATGGGGTGATGCCAAAGCTAACATTCGTTAAACACCCCTGTTTGCTGCTTGTGAAGGCCGACACTCCATCAACACCTACGAGGAGACGTACGCAGCAGTCTAAAGCTCACGGCTGCATACTGCAAACTCGATGTGTCTAATACCTTGTTTCGATTCAATGTAGAATTGAAGTACAACCCGAATGACTCCACTTTCCTGACGGGTGTAGGAATTGAAGACGTTTTGAATGGAGCTGGGTCATCAGCTGAGGTATTGCTTGTCGATTGACATATTCCTTTTAGGCGTTTAACCAACCGTCTTGTTGTGCTGTGTTAGCTTCCAGCAGTTCCAGCATGTATGATCACGCGATTGCTTGCAGCCGACTTACGAGTAAGTGGTGAAGTGTTGGCTACAGAAGTAAAATGCATTAGACTAACCTTGTTAACTTTTTTTTTCAAATTTTGTGCTGCAGGATCTTCCAACAATGAACACAAGGATGGCAGTCAACGCGCTGCGTTATCAGCTTGAACACCCACTCACATCCCACGATGACTCGGAGCTGTTCCCAGCCCATTCTCAGCAGCCAACGCAAACCTTCTTGGTAAGTTCTGGACAAATGTACTCTTGTAGTAAGGTTACTCATTGTATCAATGTAGCAACGGCAACGTCCTCGACGTCCACTGCCTTCCAGAAATGATCAACCAGCTTCTCCACCTCGGTATACCATGAGTATCCGTGGTGATCAGTACAAGCACAAAAGTATACTTTCCGACGGGGAGATGGGGTCTGGAGTGCTAGCACCACTAACGTTGCTCGCTTTACATTCATTGCAGGCTCCCAAGGAGTAGATGATGCACTGACCCAATTGAGCCACCAAGTCTCCAGCACGTGGGGAAATCGTCCGTGTACGTTCATGTACACCACAGCCTTGCAATTATTGTCAAGATCTGATAAACTTGATGTTGATATGTTTTCAGATGCTGCTGAGCAAGGGGTTGATAAAGCTCTGGACTCGCTCATTACTACGGCCAAAAAGCTCACCCTGACGTACAACCCGCTCCACCAAGGCTCTGGTCAGATAAGAAAAGCATAACGAAGTATGCAACGAGCAGTCGATCTCTATTATATACCAATGCCTCTGTCCTAGAAACGCCCCAGCAGCAGCCTCGAACAATTTTGGGAACCGCGGTGCGCTTGTGTGTTTGGCCGGATTCCCACTTATGTGGACTTGTAGTGGGTCAGTCGGTACAGCAACACACGCCCTCGGGCATTGCCGACCGCGAAGTAGCCGCTGTTCGGACTGAAGTCCATCGCCGACACGTAGTGCAGCGGCGTGTGTGCCGTCGGCCAGTTGGCGAAAACCGTGAGCGACGGCATGTGCACCATCTTCAGCGAGTCCTTGATATCCGACGAGGCCATCGCCAGAATCTCCGACGTGGAGTTGAACTTGAGGTGGTCAACCTGGGTGGTGAGGTGCATCAGCGCCTTGCGCGGCTTGGGCTTGGCAGTCATCCCATCGTTGTCGTAGATGTTGACAACACCGCTCTTGGATCCCGCAGCGTAGAACTTGCCGCCAGCAGCCAGGGCGTGGTTGCCCAAGCTGCCTTCATCATCGTGCACGAACACGCACCGCCGGGTGCGCATGTCCCACTTGTAAACCTGTCCGTCTGATCCTGTGCTGAGCAAGTAGCGGTCGTTCTCGCAGAACGCGGCCGACTGGGCGTGTCCGTTCATCTTGAGCGTTCCGATCGACTCGTACGACTTGGCCGACACCACATCCATGTAGCCGTTGCTTCCGATGAACACAATCGTCTCGCCGTCGTCCGACACCACAAACTTCTCGCGCTTCCGCTCCTTGCGTCCATAGAGTCCAGGGATCTTGGTGATCTTTCCAGCCTCGATGTCGTACGAGAAGAAGTACTGGCGAGGTCCCGTCAGCACCGCGCGCTGTCCACCCATCGTAAACTTGGCGTCCGTAATGGGCAGGTCCTTCACGAACACGTTCTCGATGTTGGCGTTGTTGCTGCCGTCCACCTGGAAGAGGTGCAGCGTCTTGTCCAGACCCGCCGTCAGCAGCAGCTGGCCGTTCTGGTGGAACTGCACCGACTGGATCACGGCATTGGACGGCGAGTGCTGGTTGGCGTCCTTCATGCGCACCATGTCCAGCGTCGTCTGCGGCAGCAGCTCGCCCGAGTCCTCGAGCATCTTGCCCGTGCTGCGGATGAGCTCGGCCTCCTCATTGTCGCTGTCGTCCGAGTCGGCCTGGCGGTCGCCCAAGAAGTTCTTCGGGTCAGCCCACGACACGGAACCGAGCGATCCATTGCGGCTATAGGAAAAATAATAAGTATTATTAAGTAAACAAATTGACACATCATTATAAACAAGTATTGCAGGCAACGTACAAGTTCTTGAGGCGGCGGTGCAGCTCCTTGCCGTCCACGACGTCGTCGTTCTCCGTCTTGCGGAGCTTGCGCAGGTGCGAGTGGTCCTCGAGACTCACTTCGACGTCGTCGTCGTCATCGTCCACCCACGCGGCCTTGAGCTTGGGGCCCTGCTGCTCCTGCTTGTTGGCCTTGGCTCTGGCCTTGCGCTTGTTCTTCTTGGACTGCTGCGGCTTGGTCTGGAAGACCTCCTCGGCCAGCAGCTTCTCCGTCTCGGAGACGGGGACGGCGGGAGCGCGCTTGCCCATGCTTGTCTAATGTACTGGAAGTGCCGCACCAAGAGTTTCTATGGTGGCGCTACGCACCAGTCAAAACGCTAATAGTGGGCTGAAGTAACATGGTGTGGCCCACACAGGTAACCATGTGGCCCACATCATGTTACTTCTCGCCATGGGAGGGGCGACATCTAAATTGCATACTGAAACCAAGTCACTTCATGCGATCTGGAACCCCCCCACAGGCAGGCGACTGGCCCCCTGTTTTTCTCATTATTGAAAACGACACACAGGAGAACGACGTCGTAACGTGCACGAGGCCCATCTCAGCGCGTGTCGCGACGAACAGACAGATCTCAGCCGAGCAAGCAGCCACAGACGCAGGTCTGTGTCTTGTCGAAGAACTCCCACAGAGAAACCCTCCCAGAGAGACGATGCCGTGCCCCGCAGAAGTCAGCGTCGAACCCGCCACCCTACACACCGAGAAGCGGTTGGACTCGCCTCGTGCCTTCTGCACGTCGCCGTCCTCCATCTCGGACGTGGACTTCAGCCGCAGCTGCAACACGGACAAGCAGACGTCTTCCTCCAGCGACAAGGTGGGTTATTTCAGCCATGTAGGGAGAGTGATGGTCATGGTCTAATGGGTATTATTGTGTTATTTACACAGACTCGTAGCGACGCGGAATCAGGTGATGAACAGGAGCAGGCTCAGGACGGTATGCGTGCCCTGCGTGCGGCCTCGGGTTCCGTTGATATTAATGAGGCTCTTGCGCATCCTGTGAGCAGCTCCCAGTCGCTCAAGCGCAAAGCCGACGAAGAGGCAGACGGGGAGCAGCACCACGTGATCAAGAAGAGCAAGACGGAGCTCACACCCGCCGAGGCCGACAGCGACTACCTCCCCACTGACATTGAGGAGGACGAGGAGCCGTACCAGCCTGAGGTGTCTCGTGATGGTGGCTATGCTGATGAGGCCTATGCCTCTGGGTGTGTTGCAATGGATTCCGCTGCTGATGTTGAATGTAGCAGCGAGTCGCCGCGCCGCCGCAGCCGCCGCACGCTCTACATTGAGTACTGGAGTCGGACCGACGAGTGCAAGGAGCGCAAGTGGGACCACCTTGACGAGATCACCGAGAAGTACGGCACTGCTGAGGAACATATCTTTGCCACCACTCTGAAGGGCAGGACTGCGTTCCTGGAGCCCAACATGTTTCCCTATGACACCCCTGCAGGCATCGAGCACTGGACGTTGTGGCACGTCAAGGACCTGAACCACGAGCAGGTGAAGCAGTACGTGGAGAACTGGATCGATGCCAACGCGCCCCATGTGGAGAGGTGGAACTACGATGACAACCCGGAGCGTTCCATCGATATTTTTCACGTGCACGTGTACTTTCAGGTGGCTGAGGGTCTCACGGTGCTGCAAGACCGCAAGGTGGAGGATCTGGTGCACGAACTGGACTGACTGCATCCGCTCTCATGTGCCTACAGGGTTTAGGTCGCTCGCGTCCGCGCGTCCCTACACCCTTCTCCTGCTCAAGTCCGTAAGTTATATCCAGGTGGTGTGGCGCTCCCTCGCAAGCCGAAGGTCATTATTTATGCTGGTGCGAACAGTTGATGCTGTTCAAGCCGAGCGAGGCAAGACGCGGTGGGAGTGCCACCACCTCATCCATGTGCGACAGAGGTCGTGTGTAGCCGCGAGCATTGCAGCTTCGAGTATGTCATCGCGAATACACGTTTGCTTTACCATAATAATCTTCCGTGTTACACTAATGCAAAATACATGCACTTGACACTAACTAAGGGTACGAACCAGTACGTGTTCCTCTTCATTTACACTGTATTGAGCTACTTGCGCTGTTCACGCCATCACCTGTCGAGTTGACAGACCGGTAGATATTTGAAAAAAAAAGCAAAGGTAGCCAACGTGCAAAGTGTACGTTACACCAGACTTAATCTTGCGGTTTGTTCTGAATGAAATGGGAGCGTTTGTGATCCGGCCGATGCTTTCCCAAGATACCCCAAACTTGACGAACTTGTTCACCACGGCCATGAGGTTTCCGTGATCATCTGGGTATAACCCACCGTCACGGTGGCCATACAGTCCCTCCTTCTTTGCGGTAGCTACCCACTCCTCGACCTCCTTGCGTATGAGGGGCCTGCGCGCCCGCTTGTTCATCTTGTCCATGTCTGCTGTCTCCATCTTTTCCAGAAATGGCGCTGCTCGAGGAGCCCGACTTGACGGCTACGAGCCATTCAAACGAGGAAAAGAGAATCAGCCCCGAAAGCCGTATTCCCATTTACTTTAAGTACACCGGTTGACTAACTAACATGCAAATTTCGTTTCGTTACACCCAAATTGATCGATCTTGCTGCTTGCGTAAAGTTCCAACCGAATTGGCCATCGCAGTAGACGTAGCAGCAGTTGCTGTGGCGGTCGCAACAGCAGTATTTGCAGCAATAGCAACTGAAGCCCGTTGGCTCGAAGTCAACGAGTCATCCAACGCCATGAGCACTTCCTGCATGGACGGACGCTCGGCGGGGGAGTCGTGAAAGCAGTTCTGCATCAGCGTCTGCAAGGAGGTTGGAAGCTCCTTCGGCACTGGGAGACGCTCACCACGCAGGACGTGCATCATGGCCTCGACAGGGGTCAGAGCTGCATACGGAGCAGAGCTCGTGTAGGTTTCCCACATCAATACACCAAACATGTACACGTCCGAGTCGTACGAGAATGCGTGCGGTGGCTGCAACGACTCCGGCGCCATGTACTTCACAGGGCCCACAGCGTCCTTCATGAGCATTCCAGCAGTTTCAGACTTCACGCGGCGACAAAGACCGAAGTCGCAGATTCGAACGTGCTTGCCTTGATCCACGAGGCAGTTGCGCGCAGCGAGGTCGCGGTGGATGAAGCCACCTTCGTGGATATTGAGCAGTCCAGCAGCAGCGTCCTTGAGCATCCCAGTACGTTCGTCAATGGTCAGCTTAGACTTGTCCGATCCACGCAGATTATCTTCCAGGCTGCCGTACGGAAGATACTTCGTCACTAATGCCAGCGGGAACTTCGTATCTGTTGATGCTCCCACAAAGGGAACAATGCACGGGTGATGACCAAACATATTCAGCATCGCGGCCTCGTGCTGGAATTCGCGCACGATCTGGGAGGTCGTCTCACCAAACTCGCTAGCTCGAATCGTTTTCACAACCACATCCTGACCATCCAGTGATGCGCGGTACGCGTCGCCAAAGTATCCTTGACCGACCAGCTCCTTCATCTCCAGAGACCGGAACGGGATTTCGCGATACGTCTGCTCCATCACATCCATCCAGCCCTCGAGAACATTAGCTTCCAACTCGCTCGGGTCCATTGCGCGGGAACCCACCAACACAAACGAGTTCAACACAGCGACGGAAGATCCGACCGTGATGCGAGCCTTGAACAACACGCGCCCAAAAGCTGCACCTTCCGTACACACGACGTCATAATCGACGTTGGAGATCTCTCCTTCCCATGCGAAACCTTGAGTGGCACCGTTCAATACCTGGAAACCATTCGGCACTTCCAAGGTCACGTGCACCAGTGCACCACGACGAACATCCAGCTTCGTTTCAAGCGAGAGCTTCCGGGATTCAGGGCGGTCACTCCGGGCTATCTCTTGCATTTCAGCGCGCTGGTTCAATAGAAATGCCCAAACCGTGAACTGGAACGGTTTTGGAGAAGGGCAGATGCTCGGTGGTGCAAAAGCACTGAAGTTTACGCGGTCTCGATGGCCAGGCACTCCTTTAAACTCGGACTTCGCATCCAAACCACCTTCTTCCGCTGCTAGTATCGAGGCAGAGCTGCGAGGCGGGGGAACAGCGGCCATCTGAATCGAACGGTACACGTGCTCGAACTTGTCCGTTGGGAATTCCGCATCATGGATGCTGTTTGTAGGGGATAAGACGTCGTAGTCGTGATCAATGTCCCCAAACGACTCGCGCCCAATGCCGCTTCTAGGCGAGCCAACCGGCGAAAAGCTGTCGTAGTCGGGCTGTTCCGATGGACCTCGATAAATTGGACTTGGATCCAGCGCGGTAATGTACTGCGGGGGGCTGCCTGTGTAGCTGAGCGGCGCGTATGCTCGCATGTTGGTCACGTCGTCTTCTTCATAGGAACGCGTAATATTTCCGTATCCTCGAATCTCCATATCGCTAATGTCGTGGGCAGAGGCGGCTTGGGACACCGGCGCAATACTCACGGGTCGTTTATCCTCTCGTTCATCGTCTGCGATCCTGTCTGGACGGTCAGAAACATCGCTTGTAGACCGAACTTGGTGGTCGGACAGAGTGCTTGGTCGGCCCCGAGCACGAGACGACAACGCCCGTTTCCGCGGATCTCCACTGGGTTGCGTCAGAGGCGCACGCCTTGCTTGAGCAGGTGCAGCAGGAGCCATTGTAGGAACCACAGGTACTGGAGAAGCCATTGGAGCTGGAGTCGGAGTTATCGTATGACGAGAAGCACTTCCTTCTGCGTCTTCCGATGAGGACAAGCGCCTCCGAGCCGAATCCTGCCTAGTCTCCGGCACATGAAATGCTTCGTCAGCCGCTTGCTCAATTTCTCGTGCGTATCTGTCACGTTCTTTAGCTTCAATATACCTTTCCATGAGATCATTGGTATCTTCTTGGCGTTCGCTCATCTTTTCGCGTGCAGCGCGGAGTTTCAGCTCATACTTTTGCATTTTCCTTTCATAGCGTCTCTGCTTCCACTCGGCATGCTTTTGACGGAACCCACCGGATTTTGGTCCCTTTACCTCTTTCTCGCCATCGCGATAAATGTGTTGTTGTGCTTCTTCTCTATCGCGCATTTCAGTTAAGCGGCGATGAGCATTCTGCCGATCACGTATCAAATCGCGGGTCGTATAGCCTTCACCTCCATTGTCCTCCAGCCACGGAGTTCTGTCTTCGTCGTCATCTTCACTGGAGTCTGAGTCGCTTCGAGTTAAACCTCCACGCCAAGAATCCTGTCGAGAATGCTGACCAGGCGGTTCGGACATGCTTTTCTGGAATGAATCATGACGGTGATGGCCATGACTTCCTTCGTCGAGCAAGGTTGATCGTTCCCATTGTCCATCGTCACTGCCCCAGCGCGGGCGTTGAGAAGGAAGAGGTGGTGCGGACGGAGTCAAATCGAGCGCCTCATACATACTTTTGTGCGCTGGCTCCTTCACGAGAGTATCATCTTCATCATCCCCGACTCTCGCTGCAACAGGGACGGCAACAGCGTACACATCATCAAAGCTGTTTCGACGACGCATTCCCCTTCTGCCTTTACCTCGAGACATTTTCCTCCTCAGGTCCATGCCAGGCCAGCGCCAATCTTGCCATCCAGGCCAATTCTGAAGCCAACGCTCGCGCCAATCAGCACCCCAAGGTGGGAACGCTCCATTGAACGACGGAAATGGTGGTGGTCCGCGCATATCGGGCCGCATTTGGTCGAGACGCGGGCCACCTCGTCCACCACCTCGACACCATCCAAATCCTCCTCGATCAGAACTGCTTCCCCTCCCTCCTCCACGTCCCCAACCCCCACGAAGCCCACTATTACTCTCATCACGGTCTTCTCCCCTGTCGGACTTGCCTTTAGAACCCCTGATAACAACCTTGCAGCAGCCCATCTCCACTTCCCGGCCTTGATCTCGAGTATCAACATCATTTCGAAACGCACGCTCCACATCAGGCATCGGAGGCATCGGAGGCGCCATCCTCGGCGGCACGTAGGGGTACTCCGCTCCATCAAAACTCGCTGGTTGCTTCTTCATCTCCCACCTCCCCACTCTGCTCCGCGCAACACTCGACTCACTATTACTCCGTCCATCGCGGTACAAATTCCGGGCCACCGCTTCCGCCGACGGCTTCTGCTGCTTCACCCCCATAGTTCCATAATCTTTTCCTCCCTTCGATATAATGTGTCTCTCCTGTCCTCGTCTTGCATCTCCTAATGGCTCACGATATGGTCCTTCCTGCTCTCTCGCCTCCTCCCTCTCACCACTTGAGAACAACACACCCGACACGATCTTCGACACGAACAGCAGTCCTCGAGCCGACGTGACTCCGATCTGATGGGCCAGGAAGGCGAACGCCAGCGCCGTCAGCACCTGAGTCGCTGTAGTGCCCGACACCACGAGACTCATGTCCGACAGCCCCGCGTCCTTGGGCAACACTTGGGCAACACTCACCACCCACGTGACCAGCGGCACGATACTGAACACGAGGTTGAGGATCCACTTGAACACGAGGAAGTAGAGCATAGACAGCAGCATGGCGGGCAGCGTCACCTCCCCCAACATTGGCTCGGGGCCTTGTTGACTGGCTACACGTCTCCTAATTGAGGGTGCGAGCTCCCCTTCCTCCGCTACAAGCGAGTTAATAGCCATCTCCGCCCTCCACAGGATGCGCGTGAGCTTGCGAGCAAACTGCGACGACCCCACGAGCAGGCAGCCGACGACCAGCAGCAGCGCGGAGCCCGTGACGACGAAGAAGCCGCTCAAGACGAGCGCGAAGGCCAGCGACGCCACGTGGAAGCTCAGAGTGCGCAGGACGGAGGCCGCGACGCCCCGGCGGTGCGGCATCTCCCGCGCCTTCGAGCGCGCCTCGGCGTGGACGCGGGAGGGCGTGGGGCAGGACACGGTAGAGCGAAGCGCTAGGCGGCGAGGTAGCTCCGCCGCTTCCTTTCGAAAATATGACGAGCGAAGTTTTTTGTTGAGTGTAAAACTTTGGTTGTGTCAGCAAGTATACAAATGATAGGATAAGAAGGCGGGAATGGATACCCTGTGGAAAGAGATGAGGTGGTTAGGCAGTCTTCGCTTGGGTTTTGTATTGAAGGGGCTGTGAGAGTTGGTAGAGGATGCCACTCCGTTTCAAAAAGAAAGCATGATTCACCGTGAAGGTTGTTTCAGAAAGATAGCACGAAAAAAGACTTGGTTTGAGTATGGGAACATCTTCAAATCACGGATGACTTGTACTTTCTTGTGCATTTCCGAAGAGAAAAGCCTACTAGCCATACGATATTCAAGTGTACAAAGGTCAATTCTAAACGGTTCGGGTAAACTAGCACATCAATTGAAAGAGGAGAATTCAGCAGTTCAAGTGGTGCAATTTTTACGCGAAAACGTTGAAAATTGATTTGGAGGGCGCATTTTGACGCCAATCGTGCTTTCATTTTGAAACGGAGTGGCACATTCATTCCTGCTGGACATCAAGATGAAATGAATAGTTTGTTACGTGGCAAAAGGGCAACTTGCACTGCACATACGGTATGCAGCGGTATGCAGCAGGCAAACGCACCAACTATTATACTTACTGCCCGCTATGCTACAAGCGTCGGCATCACAGTTTGTAAAGCCATTCGGTCGGCAGGCTCGTGTGGTTTATAGGACTAGACACGACAGTTAGGATGGCTGTCGTCTCCCAGACACCAGTTGCTGAGAACGCACGAGCATTAAAAGTATACACAAACCCAGGGCGCCGACCGCGACGATGCTGCATCTCGTGCGGCTCATACAGAGCTTGCAGCCGAGCGCCAACCGCTGCGCCCGCAGCAACGAACAGCAGCAGATTCAGGGGCCGCGCCAGCAACGGCAGCAACTACAAGAGGGAGCAAGTGCCGAACCCGCCAATGGCGATGCGTTCGTGGCTGGATCAAATGGCAACGGGGCGGCTTCATCAGATATTGCGATGCCGGTGGCGTCGGATCAGGGTCAACACGGCACAGAGTCGATGGTGGCGCTGCTGCTCGAAGGGGGTCCGGAAGGCGGTGGAACTTTGCGAGGTGAGGAGGAGGAAGAAGCTAAAGTAGCAGACACGCAGGTGAATTCTCCAGTCACCACACCAAGACACCGATTGAAGGGCATGTGCCAGAATCCTGGTTGCACGAAGATAGCCCAAAGCAAGGGGTTGTGCTGGAAGCATGGAGGCCACAGACCGTGCTCGGAATCAGGTTGTACGAAATGCGCGACGGCAAAGGGCAAGTGCGACAAGCACGGTGGAGTCAAGGAATGCTCACAGCCTGACTGTCTGGCAAATGCCTACAGAAGAGGGAAGTGCTGTAAACACGGTGGTAAAAGCCTTTGCACGGACCCCAATTGCACGAGCTACGCAAAGTCAAGCGGCAAGTGCCTCAGACATGGGGGTGGCAAGCGCTGCTCTTACTCTGGTTGCCTGAATTGGGCTATAGCAAAAGGCAAGTGTGGCAAACATGGTGGAGGCACTCGATGCTCGGAGCCTGGGTGTACCAAGCAGCAGCAAGGAAGCGGTGGCAAGTGTTTCAAGCATGGTGGAGGCACCCGATGCTCGGAGCCTGGATGTACCAAGCAGCAGCAAGGAAGCGGTGGCAAGTGCAAAGCGCACGGAGGTGGGGCGCAATGCTCCTACGCAGACAGTCTGAGGCGTGTCTTTATACGAGGGAAGTGCTCTAAGCACAGCCGCAGCGAGCTATGGTCTATTGGTGGATGTCGTAAAGCCGCTCGAGGGAATGGTGTATGCATCGCGCACCAGATGACGTGCGACGAAGGGCTCGATCAAGGGTAATGGCGTTATTTGCTGTTGCGCGTGGTAATTTTCATGTTGAAGCCTGGCTGCTCCAGCTACCGGTACTAATAGTACCGTACTATTGCTTTATGATGTCCCAAAGTTGGCGATAATTTTGGTGTTCGGTTCTTGAAGTTATTGGTTAGGAAATTGGATTTTGTTGCTTCCGAATGAGTAGTGCCGTTGCTTATATTTCTGCAAGGTTTGACATGAATCTTGCTTTGCTTCTTCAAACTACGTAGTACTTCCCACTTGGAAAACGGCTCAACACGATACTGTAGTAGGTGGAACATACCGTCCCTAGTAGACGTGCTGGAAAATGTGCACCGGCACGTCAGGCTCATACCGGTGCACATTTTCCTAGGCATCCCTCGATGACAGTGGAAATTAACTGATCTAACCGATGTTGGTTGGTGTTGGTACCATTCACTCCCAAGGCCTGGTGAGCTCGCTCTGTGAGTGGCGCGATGATTTCGCTATCGGATCTTCAAAATTGTGTACTAAGTAGTACTCAATGAGTAAAAGTGTTGTTGTTGTTGTCAATTTACTCATTTGATGGCCGTGGATCCGACAGTTAGAGCGCGTCTGCCATCACTTTGGATTTCGAGCTGGAACAACAATGACGACGCCGCAGTGGACAGATGAACTGGACGATCTATTACTGGTTGTTGCTGGCACCTACAACACCTGGCGCGACAGGATGCACCAGTTCAACAGCGCCTTGAAGACAAGAAGAAGCTTGTCCAACCAGGAGTTCACAGCGGCTGCGATGTATTCTCGCTTCCAGGAGCTGTGCAGAACGGTGCCCCCTGAGCCCGCAGATGGCTGCATTCTGCGCTGGTCCGCCAGTCAGATGCAACTTCTGACGACAAGAATACGAGGGGCGAGTCTATGGAGGCCAAGACGATACTCTTCAACCGAGCTGCGAAGCTCAACGGTTGGAAAGTGGCTACGCAAGACCAGGTCGAGTTAAAGCTCAAGCAGTTGGCGAGGAACGCAGCGAAGAGCAGCCCCCAGCAGGAGCCGACTACGCCGAACGGTGAGGTCGGTAACGAATCGCAACCTGGCGAGAAACGGACACTGAGAATGAGAAGCTCTGAGCTGGACGCCAAGCGCCGAAAATCTGGGGATGATGTCGCGACTGAGAAGATGGAATGTCATAGTGATGTCGCTAACGAGAATGATGCGGAGAGCATTGAGAGCGACCTGGAGAACGATGGCAAAACTGAAGTCGCGAGGTGCGAAGAAGAGACGAAGACTGGTGAGGTGGTGCCCCCCCCCCCCAACAAACAACATAGCAGCCCACGTGCGCTCGATGTTTAACAACCCCCAGTTGTATAGCGACGTTACCTTCCTTGGTACGTGTAGTTTTTTGCCGTTGGATGGGGTGAGTTTTAGTAATCTTGTGGATGTGCGTGCGTGCATGCTGCTGCAGTTGAGGGGACCCAGATATTCGCGCACAGGAGTATCTGTGCGCGCTACAGCAAGTTTCATGCATTATTTTCCGAGCAGAGAAAGGTTGGAATTTTGTTTTGGATGTATGCTTGAATGAAAAACTGGCAGGACTGACACCTGCCATGTGACAACATGTATATGTAGGACGTCAACTCGCAGGATATCGAGATCACGGACGTAAGTCGGAAGACTTTCCTCACCATGATGGATTATGTGTACACGGACTGCGTCGAGGTCTCGAAGGATGATGTACTGGAGCTATTTGTCGCTGCGAGCCGCGTAAGTAATACTTCCACGCTGACGGTGATTTTCACTGTTTGATCCATTGTTCTGTTGTGCGCGTACAGTATGGAATCGATAACCTTAAAGTCGTGTGCTCTCAAAGTTGATGGCGTCGATCGGCATCGAAGACGTTGCGGAAAAATTGCTGGTAGCTGCTGAGCACGACGATGAATCGCTACGAGACGAATGTTTGTCCTACATACTTCGCTATCCCACTACCGTCTCGAACACGCATGCGTTCATGGAAATGGCGCGCAGCAACCCTGAACTCATGGTGTGGGTTGCGCAGAAAATGGCGTCCCTCATTCACATTGTTTAGTTTTCTTCTTGCTATGGACGAGCTGTGCTGTGTGCGTTTGGGGTATTGAGAATATTCGCACGGTTTAGTAGTACGTCTTCTAATGATTCGTGAATATTGCATGGAATAAGATATGAGTTCGTGCTGCGATAATACTCAATTAATGGTACCCGCTTCAGTTGTTCAGCTTTCTAGAGCTCTTTCCGGTTAATATATTGAAGCCGACAGCCTACTACGCCTCAGGCACGAATCGACAGCTCCTGCATTATCTTCACCATCATGTTGGGGTTCCTGTGTGCCATCTCCTGGAAGGACTTTGTTTTCGACACAGCTTCCAGATTGCGGAGCGTGTAGGCGAAACACTCGTCTCGAAGCGATGCATGACCGAGTTCATCAGCTATCAGCAAAATATCCGCAACGTTGTGGACCCCCACCGACTTCATCAATCTCCTCGAGCAGTGCTGCTTGAGAGTTTCGATGCCAAACTGTGCAACACTCAAGAGCCATAACGTTATCAGTGCTGGTACTTCAGTTAGATACCTCACCTCACCACCGCCTCAAGAAACTTACACGGTCCGCGGCGGTGAACATTTCCATAACCATGTCTTCAGCGACGTTGAGGGAGTCTGTGTAGATGTACTCACAAAAAGGCCCTTTTGCTTACTCTCGAGATATCCACGCGCCCAACGTTATTGTTGACGATCTGCAATGGCAGTAGAGTTTTGTCAGAGTTTCCGTCGAATGAATACAGCGATAACCGTTTTTACCTCGTCGGCAAGTATGCCCTTGAAGTAACCGCAGCGCATACAAATGCACCTGTGAGCAAATACTTCGCTTTCTTCAACTGGAAAAAAAAATCGCAGGTCTATCAATTCCATGCTCGGGTCTCGAATAAGTAAAACAAAATAAGCAACTAAACGTACCAAGGAAAGTCACGTCGCTCATCAGCTTGTTGTTCACCAGCGAGCGCAGGTGATCAGCCATATTGCCCCATCCAGAAGCCCCCGGCTCCGCGACGCCACGCTTCTTTTCCATCGGAACATCGGTCCGAGCGCCATCTCCAGTTTTTGTTTGACTGGTACGCCCAGCCTTTTCAACTGAGGCTTCCTGCTCCTGGGTACCATCCGAAGTTTCATCACTTGGAAGCTCAGAGCCGCCTTGGTCGTCACGATACGAGGGCATGGCGGCAGTAGGAGCAGGCTTGGAACTGGTGGCAACAGAACGGCTCAAACTCGCCACAACGCTAGAAGCACCTGCAGCTCCAACCTTTCTCCCTAGTACAGCACTGTAGATATTGAAACCACCGTCGTTCCCTTCTCACTTTCAACGCCGCTGAATTCGTCCATGGAGAGACTGAAATCCTCCTCGTCGCTCTCATCCAACACATTACCACCACCAACTTCCGCTGCAGTAGTAGCAAGTCTGCTGCTTGCAGCAACACTTGACTTAGCAGCACGTGCAACAGCAACGCCGTCCCCACTTTCTGTTGCTTGGGGTTCCGGTCACGAATGTTGATCTGCCTCGTGCGCTTGGTACTGATCTGGCTAGCCTCCACGGTCTGCGCCACCCTAGGCTGCACCGGCAGTACCGACTGAACCGTAGCGTTCAACCCCTTCCTATTAGTAGCTGCCAGAAGCTTCTTCTTCACTTGTTCCAGTGACGCCGTGAACGTCCACCCCTTTTCCTTGATTGCGTGGTTGAACAGCACCGTCTTCACCTCGTACGACTCTCCGTGCGTGTTCCTGTCGACGGTGAGCAGCAGCTCAACCCACTTGGCGCTCCAGGACACGGAGCGGCTACTGGAAACGTCAACTGGAACCGATTCGCAGAGCTCCTTGAAGTGGCTCTGCATTTTCCTGCTCGGTGAAGGGCGGACTGGGCGCCCGCGTGAAGTCGCGACGCTCGAGAACATTGACGAACTCTTGCGCTCGCTCGGACCAAGTGGCGAAGCGGCCGGTCACGTCTAGCAGCAGCTCCTCCAGCTCCTCGGTCCATTGACGTAGCGTCATGTCGATTGTAACTTTTTGGAATTCTGGTAATGATTCATTACGGGTCCCACTTGGGTTCAGTATAGTGAAACCAAGTGTTGAAGGTAAGAAAAAAACGTTAGCACTTCAACTGCAACCAAGTTTTATTTCTTACCGGCGGGTAATTTATTCCGGTATTTCTTTAAAATGCTTTTTTCTCGCGAAATCGTGTCGTCATTCACCGACTTTGCAGCGATGGAGGAGCGGGAAGTGTGGTTCAATATCGGAAGAGGAACGGATCGGGTCCTCTTGGCAGATGGCGTTGATAGCCTGGACGACTTTGTGTTCTAACACCCTGGCAGGTATTTATTGGAGCCAAGTGCGGGTTTACGAGTCTCAAGCAAGGGATGTTCCTCTCGATCTGTCGACTAAAATTGACGGTCTTGGACTTGATGAAGACCACGCGCTTATTGTGAAGGTTGTTCCAAGGCAGACAAATCTCTTCCGGCCGATTCAGGTGGAACATTAGGATTTAAAACCGTGCAGCTTCGAACCCAGGTTCGTTGCGCGAACTCATCGTCAAGGTAATTGAAGGGATGAGCGCGTCTGCACTTCAAGAGTCAGCTCTCGGTAGTATTGGTTTTCCGGACGAAAAGATACATTACAGCAATTATGGAGGGACTGGCTGTGAATACGTTGTGGACCTGTTCGATTTGCCCAGAGTTGTCGCGCATTTTCCCTACACCAACAACAAACGAGAATCGCCACATGGGATTTTTCCTGTATGCGCCGGAACCTATTCCAGAAAAAATTGATCTTAATCCTACTGCCTGCGCTCCCCGTTTTCGATGGGGGCTGGAGATTGTAAGTGGTGCTCGCGCTGAAGATTCAGGATTCGCTCCAGAGGGACAGTACGCTGCACTTCAAGTCGACGACTATGCCGTTCTTGAGTTCCGAGGCAACAAGGACGGAGTTGTTACGAATGACGTGCGAAGAAAAAGGTCATGGTGGCTTTTAAGCTGGGCGATTTCTCGAAATGCCAATGCGTTTTTGGCAGGAACGCCACTCCACGTGCTATCACATTGAGCTGATATTTTTTCGGATAGCTAGTACGAAGGTTTTTTCCCGAGTGGTTAGGAAGGCTGCCGAAAACATTAACATGAAATAACTTCAGTTCCGTTTGTTTGACGGTGTTCTTCCAAAGCACAACATGCAAACATGAACTACTGCTGATAGTAACTCATCAGCTAATCGCGTTGCCATGCTATGTTATTAGTATCGCATGAGGCGTTGAGCTACACAAAGAGCTATTAACTACGCGTGAATGCGTACTGAAGGAAACTTTTCGATCGGCAAGGTCAGATAAGGTAATTGAAAATCACACTGCATTCACTTTTCGTAGTCAGCTGCCCGAGTCCAGGTTCAATCGGAACCTTTTCAGCACATGCAACGGCACGTCCGTCCGAGTTGCTGCATCTTGGTAGCTGGTAAATTCGCCGTCTTTCAGCGCTTCCGCTATAGCTGCACTACGTTTCACTCCCACTCCTTCATCCAATCGAAGATGCACCTCAGAGCTAGAATTCAAACATGGCGGCGGAGTTTTCATCGAAAACGACACTCTTGCCGCAAGAGGGCCGTAGTAGCTTTCCCAGCAACTCTGGTCAACGATTGCACAATTGCGCAGAACTGACCCAGCGATATCCGGCGACACATTTCCGGCGTAATGGAGCACAAGAAGGTCGTTAGGCCCAACACCTTTCGTCTTCTCAACCTCGAATTGTTCGCGGGATAGGTTCTGGGTTATATACCGGTGAACTTCATGAAAGTACTTTTTCGCAGTATTATTTTCCAAGCAAAGAAATGAGTCTCCCGATGATGATCCTGCCCCGCGCTGGTACAGGAGAACTGGGTTGTCAGAGTCAAAACCGCAGGGGGACTTGGTAGGATTACTCTGTGTATCCATTTGATCTGGAGCTAACACAAACGAGCGTAGCACCTCGTTCACAAGCCTCTCACATCCAGGGCCAAATCGAGCTCCGCGGTGGGTATCTTTCCATCTCATTGGCGAATCTGGGGCAAACGCCATCGATTTTACCATGCGAAGGAAACAATTAAGACTCTGCAAACGTCGCCACGGCTTTCGAGGCTCCCGTAAAAACACTGGAAATGATTCCATCTCGTCCCAGGGAACTTTGTACGAAGCAACCATCACGTACAGGACATAGGGGCACTCCAAAATGCGCTCGTCCTCCCGATATCTGACCAAACCAGCAGACACCACTGCATCCAGACTTGCTCCTCTGAAAGTTGAACGTCTATGGGTCACACGGTAAGCGACAGCAGTCAAAAATGCATCACGCATACTGGCCAGCTGCACGAGAACACCAGCATACGTGTTTTTGAGTGCATCCACCACGTTTTCCAGCACGGAGTCGAAATCAATCGCGTCCCCGCTGGTGACATCAGCCAACACCATATACAGCTTCTCCAGCGCTCGGCCGAATCCACCCATATCGTCAGCTAGAAGCTGCACCAAGTCATTACGCCCATAGCTGCCAAAAACATCCGCTATGTCTTTCGTTGGACGAGAGAGCCTTGGTGGCCATACCCGAATTATCCACTGGGGTGAGAGAGCTAGATAGTTCATCACTGGCTCGTAGATCGTTGTAAAAGCTATTGCAATGACCCAGCTGTCCGCAGCGTTGACAATGTTGATTAGCGAAACCAAAGCGCCGTAGAAATCCGAGGAATGGCTTCTTTCTTGATGGTCCAGTCTGTGAAGACCATCAACGCAGAGTATCACGCACATTTCACGCGGAGACTTCCCTTCCAGCTGGGATAGCGACAAAACAGCATCCGGGGTCACGTGGTTACCCAAGTTGCCTACAAAGGAATCCCAATCGAGCGTACGTAAGTATTCTGCAGCTGATACAACATTCGTGTTCCGATCGCCTGGGAAGGATAGGCAAAGTTATCGCCTGCTGACTCGGATCCATTCTCGAACATCACGTTGAATACGAAGGCGTTTTCCAGCATCTCCACCATCTCCTTGTTCTCGTCATTGTGAAATTTCTTTCTCAAAAATCCCGGAAATTCATTCAGAAGTCGCGACTTGCCCGTTCCTGGGCCATCTACACAGAGGAACAAAGGGTGACCCGTCTTGTCGTGCTTTTGGGATTTCCAATAGGAAAAATGCGTCTTGACGGCTTCTTCCATAAATTCACAGTTCATAGGTTCTTGGAAGTCCCAGTCTGCACCCAGGCCCTAGCAAAGGTTTCGGAGGACGAGCTGAGAATTCAATCGGGGGTGGCAATAATGTGTAAGGAAGGCGGCCAGAGATTGTATGGGAGTTCCAGGAGGTGGCTTCGGCAGCTCCACTAGCACGTGAGCGACTCGCTCGCCGAGGTCGACATCGAGCTCAAAGTAATCAGACAACTTCGCGAACGGATCCATAACCACGTAACCCTTGACAATAAGCCCGCTTTTCAGAAGTTCCAACGCGAGCTCACTCTTCAGCCATCCTTCGGGTTTCTTACGCGCCAAGCGAAGTTGTACTTAAGTATGTCGCTTGGGGGGAATGTGAACCGCTCGCGGTATCGTTGCAGGTCGAATATTGCTGTCTTCAGCGCGTCCACATCAGCAGTGCACTCGATCTCCACGTAGAATCGGGATGCTTCTTCATATACCCCGCAACCCAGCTTCAGCTTCTTGACCTGTGTATTCTCCATTTTCCCCAACAATGGTCAACCCTGAAGAATTTTACAGCAAGTAATACTTGCAAACAGATAATTTATTCGCTGCTATCAATATCTTGTGAAGTAGTAGATCACGATTACCTTCTTCGGATCACGACTGCAGTCAATGCACTAAGGACAACAGTACCAGCGATTGCAATCGTACCTAGCTGACCGGGCGTCAGCTCCTTACCGATGTTGTCCGAGACGAACGCGTTCACCTTGGACCAGACGCTGGGCGCAGGCAGTTCCTTCAAGTGCTTGATCATCAGCTCGCCCTCACCTTCCACTTCAAAGCCCAACCGCCGGTAGAAGTTGCGAACACCCACGCCAGCGATCACAGCCATCTTCTTGTACCCGTGCGCGCGAGCAATCTCCTCCGCCTTCATCATCAACTGCGTACCGAAGCCCGTGTGCTGAGCGTGCGAGCCCTCTGCGTCACTAGCAGCGGCATCTACTGCAGCCTTCTTCGACTTGGCAATCGCAGCGACCAACTGACCGTACACGTGCAGCTCGCGGATCAACGCGGCACCCTCCAGCTCGGGGAACACACCGCCACCAGCGGACTGAGAGAGACGAAGCCGAGTAAACCCGCAGATCTTGGAGCGGTCCGGGGTCTCAAAGCTAATGAAGTACTCGGCTCCTTCGTTGGCCTCGTACTCGCGAATCACGCACTCAGCCGATGCGATAGCTGCATCGTCCGTCTTCACCTCACGGCACCGGATGCACTTGCACGGCGTGCCACGCGCGATCATCTTGTTGCAGATCACTTGACGCAAGTTGGGTTCGTCCATGCCTCCCAGAATGTACTGGCTGGGGATATCGCGGATCACACGGTTGAGTCGGATCCAAGGGTGCACTTGAGCCTTCACGTCCATCAGCAGGTCGATGAGCTTGTCGTCCGAGTACGGCACGTAGCTCCCTTCGTCGTACCACTTCTTGATCACAGTCCAGGGCGTGATCTCGCACGGGTAGATCTTCCACTGGTCGGCCTGCAGGTCCGGCGAGTGCAGCACGTAGTCAAACATGGCGCGGTCCTTCTCCGGGTCGCTGCCAGGAAGATTGGGCATGAGGTGGATGTCGGTCTTGTAGCAGCAGTCACGCAGGAGCTTCAACGCGCGCACCGCGTCCGCAGAGGTGCAGCCGCGGTTGATCTTCTTCAAGATGGCGTCGTCCGTGTGCTGAATGCCCAGCTGAACTCGCGTGCATCCGTAGCGGCGGAAGCGACGCAGCTCCTCCGGCGTGATGCAATCCGGTCGGGTCTCCAACGTGATTCCAATGATCTTCACTGCTGCAGTCTCGTTCTCCAGCTTCTCCTCGTCCAGACTGCGTCGCTCGCGCTTCTCTCTGTCGAAGAACGTGTTCGCCGCGTAGAACAGGTCGCGGATGAAGTTCTCCTGGTACTCCACGGGGTAGGACGCCCACGTTCCTCCCAGCACCAGCAGCTCAATCTTGTCCACTGGGTGGCCGTTCATCGCCAGCGTCACGCAGCGATCGCAGAACTGCAGCACCGGATCAAAGTCGTTCCGGTTGGCGCGCAGCACACTGGGCTCGTCGTGCAGGTAGCTCCTGGGCTGGTCCGGCTCGTTGGGGCAGTAGTAGCAGTTCCACTGGCAGCTGAAGCGCTGCTTCTTGCCGCCCACCTCCGGGTACGGACTGGTGAGCACCGTGACGACCAGCACGCCCGACTGACTCTTCTGGGCCTTCTTGACCAGCAGCTTCTCGAGCGCCAGGCCCTTGGGGGCCTCGCCCTTCTGCACCAAAAGACCCAGAACGAACTTCATCTGGGACTTCTTGGGCAGGCACTTGAACTTGCGGCGCAGCAGCACGAACGCCTTCTCCAGCTCGCGCGCGGTTTGGGGGTCGTGCTCCACCAGGAAGAGACCCATTTCCTCGAATTTGGGCAGCTCCTCCACGGGCACCAGCTTGTCCCACGTGGCGTAGATGTCGTCCAGCCCCGTGTTCTTCCAGTCCGGGTCCTGGCTGCGCTTGTACGTGGCGGGGTCGTTCACGTCGCCCCTTGGGGCGGATTTGGGCACCTGGATGGACTCGATATCGGACGTTTGCGAGGCCCCCAGAGCGCTTGAAGACGTCGCAATTGCAGGAGACGTAGCAGACGCATTAGCAATGGAGGTCGAAGCAGTTGCATCGCTGGGCGTGGCGTCTGGCGCCGACGCGGGAGGCTGCACGTCCGCCATGGTGACAGTGAGTTGATACTGGTGGTCGCGGGGCGTTTAACACCTAAAATGGGTAATTTTTATTATTTTGTGTTTTATTACGACTTTCATGTTTAGAATAAAACACTGGAAGCTGTGAGGTGTTTTGGAAATTGTGTTCGTCACGTCGCAGATTCGAACAGAGAAAAGGAAACTATCGCATCGTTGTTGGGTTCGAGCAGAGAAGGTAACTTTTGATTTTGGGTATCGTGAGTCACTGGTAAGGAGATCAAGATGCTGCAGCAGTGCGTGATCTTGGCGCTCGCGTTGGCTTCTGCCTACGTTATCGCGTCCGTGACCATTGGCATTCGCTCTTCAGCGCTGCGCATGTTGCTGCTCAACCTGATAGGCTTCTTCCAAGGTGTCAACGTCAAGTGGGTGAGCGATCCAGACCTCGCAATTCGAGTGCTAAAAGCGAGTGGAGACAAGGGCGACTTAATCGAGTCCCTGCTGTCGCTACCGGCCTGGAAGCCCGTCGTCTCGCTCGAGTCGGTCAATGGAGAGCAGTGGCGACGGATGAAGTCCCAGTTCACGAAATTTACACAAGTTTTACAGCCGGTATCCGAGCTCACCACTATTTTTGAGACCCGCGGTCGAGAATTGCTCGAGTCTAACACGGTGATCGATGCGATCAAGTTGAACGAGCTGTCGGTCGCTTGTTTCTACGAGTGGGTCTTTGAGCGAGAGTTCGACCGCGAACATCTCGCGGTCGTGTGCCAAGCGACGTGGGAGTGGCGCAAGCAGCTCGCGATCAAAGGCGTCGGGGACTGTGAGGTGAAGCAACGCACGGTGGAGTGGTGTGTGGAGGAGGTTCGACGTACTCCGAGACTGTACGAGGTGTTTAGGGAGAAGTGGGCGGAGCCGGAGTTCTACTCGCTCATTTTGCAGCCATTTGTGGTCTCGCCGGCGATTAACTTGACGGACGTCGCTGTGGTAGTTGGCGAATGGGTCAAGTTGGCACCGCCCGAGCAGCAGATCACGCCCGAGATTATCCGACAATGCGTTTGCAGTGCGCACCCGTTCCCTGTGCTCGAGCGGTATTTCCCTGATGGGGACGCAGCGCTGGGCATCGCTCCGAACACGCACATTTTGATCCCGCTTGATGAAATGGCAGGCGACGCTTTTGCTGCGGGCGTCGACTTGACGTTCGGTGCTGGGTCTCGAGTGTGTGTGGGACGTCACATGGCAATGAAAGCAATGATGGGGCTATTTACGGACTCTTTCGTGCGCTCGGACTTGTTCCAACCGATGCTGGGCCACAAGTACTCGGGGCGCAATAACGATGGGGAGGAGACGGTCTCGGAAACTCTTTATCAAGTGAAGTTTGCGATTCGAATTGTCGGCGGTGCTGCTGTTAATAGGCTTTGGAGGATCTATCGCGCTTATGTGAAGGGATATTGAGCGATGTAGTTTGAGCAGTCATCAGTAAACTCACATAGTGCAGCAGCAGGTTGATGAACCACCATCAGGCCTCCATAAATATGGGAGGGCCGATTTTGCCCATATAGAAGCTGAACATGGGCACTATCAGAGTTAACCCTTTCGCGGCAAAAGGATACATTTCTCGCCCTTTTACAATGTTATTAAAACAAGGTGCCTTCGCATCATCTAAAAGGGCGCACACAGCGCCCTTTTAGCTTTATAGGCGATTGGAGCTACCGTGTTTTGCACTTGAATATTTTTTACCAATCAAAATGCAGCGATGGGTATGTGAAGAATAAATTACCTGCCACGCCGCTACGTACTGTCAGGTCTTTGGAGCCGGATACCTATCTTTCTTTTTATCTTGCTAGTCTGGATCTATCTCGCTGGGCCAATACGCGCCACTGATTTAACACCATACAAACTCGAATATTGACGCATATATAGCCGACGCGCTATAGTAATTGCAAGACACACGCACTTCTTCCTTCATGGTGCAAACCGCCTTCCAGGACTAGGAGGACAAACAACTCGTCCAAATTGCGCTTCAATTTGAGATCGAAGGATTACGAATAACATGGGACTATGTTGCACGACAAATGGAAAAGACGAAGAGAACTTCAAGGGAACTGCGTTTAAGACTTGCCAGCTTGAAACGAACCTACGGTAAATCGATACGCAACTTCCCCCGATGCTTCTTCGGTGGTTTGACCCACGTTCAACCTGTTTTGCCACAAGCACGACGCCCGCCTCGTCCTGGGGCCAGTGCTCCAAGAAAAGGTTTTCGCCGCTCTAACCTAATCACGACTTCTACAACGCCCCAGTTGGGCACCGTTGGCCCCCAAGTCCTGACACACAATTTCGGCTACTACGGCAGCTATTAGACAACCACCAGTCCCACGACAGTTGTCGGCACTATTTCCTGTCGAAGAATCGTCCGAACAGCAACTCATCAACCTATTGGCGGTGCTAGAGCCAGCTCTACCCCCACTGACTCACCGCTACTCCAGCCGTCAGCCTCGACCCTTGAGGGACTCGCCAACTCGCCGCTGTTCCGGCCCGCCGACTCGCTGTTTGTGCCCGCGGATGCGCTGCCGACGTCTGCAGTCTCGTACTCTCTGGCGGCCCCCGCTGAACTCCTGCAGGTGACGCCCGATGGCACACACCAGGTGCCTCTCGCTGAGTCGTCGCAGATGCCGCGCGCAAACTAGCTGCAAGTACTGCCCGATGAATCGTCACTAGCCCCCCATTGTGTGGCACCTACAGCTGCGTCGCCGGTGATGTCGTCGACACCGCCAACAACGCTAAGGTTCCGGCTGCTATCGCAGCAAGAAGCAATACGTGCGGTTTCATCGGTCTTTGGTGATGTGAGGGCTAGTGATATTCGTCAGCAAGCCGGACGGACGCAAGACAACGCAGGAGAACTACTAGTACTACCGTCAGGGGTGGCGGCTATGCTTGCTGCGATGGGACCACTAAATGAGTGCGACGTATTTCTGGATGTGGGTGCGGGAATCGGGAACGTGCTGTGTAACGGGGTTACACACCAAGAGCTACATACATTGCGACCACTGTGACGAGTGGTGCATAGAGACTCAGGATTCCTATTGGCTGAAAGCAGCATCTTTTAGCCAATGAGCGACATGCATAGCATTGGAATTCTGCCAACCAGCCGTTGGCAGAATTCCTATCTTAGAATATTACATTTAGAGGAAGTCAGAAACATAAAACAAAAATAGCAGTTCTCATTTTAACCCAAAAACATTATTTGGATCGTTTATTTAGATTAATCTATACTCGGAGGCCCGAGTATAATTAACTCTAGTTTAAACTAAGCTACGCTTCCTCATACACGTGCGCACACGTGTAAGCTGTTGTAGTGAGCCAAGGTAGGCCCATTACATGCTGGCTCAAGTTGCGCTTACTACGACTACTCGGAAGTGTATTGGAGTCGAGTTACGTGAGGAGCTATGTTCGCTCGCAAAGCAGCATATTCAGAACCACATTACGGCCTACCCTTTACTGCGCAAGGTGACCATGATACCGGCGGATGTGCGCGACGTAGTGCTGTCGGTCCAGGCTCCAGCGTCTGAAGCCACGGTGATTTTCGCAAATTACTTCCTTTTTGAAGAAGCTGCCAAGCTCGTTGTCGCTCGAGAACTAAGTGCAATGCCAAATGCACGCATCATTGCATCAACCTCTCGGTTTTGCCCCCGTCATAGAGCGAATTGCTCACAGCCATTTTGCTCTCGCTGGAAACTAGTCCGTGAACAACAGGTAGAATGTAGCTGGAAGTCAAGTCTTACCTCACTATATATTTACAAATAAATATGGTGGAGTTTGTCAAGCTGCTTCCATTTCTATTTGCCTTATCCTAGACAAAACGCCTAAAGCTACAACATAGTGGCTGATCACTGCGCGTCGATGTAGGTCGCATCACGAGCACTAGGCTCAGCTGACTGACTCAGCCGCTCCCGTTGACTAGTCCGTCGCTGTGCTTCGGATGTGACACCATATTGTCGCTTCACTCCAGCGATCACATCGCAATTACCCGTTCACACCAGCTTTGAAGTCGTTGCGCTTGTCTTCTATGGCCGATCTGTCCACACTGCGATACCACTCATGGCGCTGTAGCTCCCACATCCTCGCCATCTCGCCACCTCACTTGCAGCGCTTGGGCTGGCTGAAGTCCGCTCGTGAACTTGACTACAACAGTATTTGACGCACCACGTCAGGCTTTGCGGTGGGTTGCGATCGTTCAGCTGAAATGCCATCCGTTGGAGACACACCAGTAGCTGCCTTCATTAGTCGAGCAAGTTCGGAACCCCGGCGAATATTACCTTTTGTCGTGAACAATTGGCCGGGGAAATTAAATTTGTGAAATTTATCCCAGCACGTCCATGATTGCTGCGGGCATATCCAGGATGTTGGAGGTTGCTCATGCACTTCTCTACACAAGCACACACCATGCGTGAGGCAGTACGTCGTCACCTCCGTCGGGTACCTCTCTTCCCAGCGGCACACGATGCAACGTCGTCGTTTCCTGCTCTTCTTGTCGTGTATTTGCTTCGATGCAATGGCCGTACACATCGGCATAGCTTTACCGGCAGTGGGGCTTGGTCGATGTGCAGGAGAGACGCTGACAGCTCCGACGTCCTCCACTATATTGTTGCGCGCAGTTCGTGCTCCATAAATCATATGACCCTCACTTGGAGCTTCGGCCCACTTGCCATTCATCAACTCACTCGCCAGCTCAACCATAAATTGCCGATGGGGGTCGCGCTGTGTTGCATCTTGTTTTGCTAGACGACACGTTAGATACGCATTCGATCTCGCTACATCGATCAGCGCCAGAGCTAGCTTTTTATGCCACCGTTTGAACGAGTGGCCATCTGCGATAGAAAACCTGGCGCGTGTCTGGTCTAACCGGTCGACACCTTGCATATTCTTGTTATATTCGCCAATGCACATGGGGGCAGGAAATTCGCTTGAAGTATTTCCTACCATTCTCGAGACAGGTGTAACCGTTGAAGCATCAGCATTTGACAGCATGTTCACGACATCTCCATCGCACCAAGATGCTGCGATCATGCTGTAGTCACCAGCGATTGCCTGCCGATGATCCCCTCGAGAACACTTGGTTTCATCAAGAATAGTGTGGCGCGGGAAGTGCTTGCTGTTCGTTTTGATGGTAGCACGACCGTACAAGCCTTTAAGCTGAAGTTCTTGCAACAGTTGAACAGAAGTGTAGTAATTGTCCATGTTCACAATACGTCTGGTACCAAAAAATGGCCGCACGACCTCCAGCACATGCTGGCGAATTTTCGATACGCTATCAAACTCATCTCGCAGTTCTTGTGTCTCTGCAGCGCCGACGACGCCGTCAAGACGATCACCAATATCACATCTGTTGCTTCGAGTCGAGTAGCTACACCACGAATTCGACCTGGCATCGAGCTTTCTCCATCGGTTGATACCCCTACTAGTAGCTGCCTCCATGGGAGCCAACGCGTCGAGAAAGGTGGACATAGTCTCGAACATTCGTTCGCCCGTGTGCTCTTCGTACAATGGAACTGCCATCAAATGAAAATTATAGAGCACTCCTTTAATAGTAAATCGAGCACGGATGTCCAGATACGACTTTCCATGTAAAGTCGATGTGTCCAATGCAATTGAAAACCCCGTAACAGCATCGAGCGCCAAGCTAATGAACTGGAGGGAAGCTGCACACAACACTCGGACACTGTTTGACACCATTGTGTCAGTACTGCCTGTATACACCGAGAGACCCGTTTCATCTCGCACGAATTGGGCAATATCCGCAGCCATTCGAAATGAAGTTCCTCTCTCGACAAGGCCCGCCAAAAGGTAAAAGCGTTTCTGATTTGTGATCGTGGCTGTGTATTCAACCACTCCTCCATCACTACCCAATGTTCGATGAAATAGACTCAATGCTCGAGAATGGGTGACCTCTCCAATACTATCAGGGTGAAAAAAGTAGATCGCCGATAATGGTATCCACAATCGATGACTTCACGTGGACAACCAAAGCATCTTGCGAAATGTCGAAGTGGGCGTGAAGCGACTGGGAAACAGGCACAACCAGCGAAGATCCGAAAAAGGCTTCTTTTTCCTCGGTGGTTCTGAGAAGGTCGAAGGCAGCCCATTTGGCAGGATGCTCGAGCTCGAGATGCTGTTTGTAGCATGTGGGTCGAAATGTCTTGAAATACTTCACATTTTCCGTCTTCTTTCGGGGTTTGGCATTGGTGGAAGTTGGTTTCCGTTCTTCGCGCTTGAAGACGTCGCAGAATCGGCATTTTACTGACGTGATGACTCCATTAGCGCCCCAAGAGGTCGGCACCAGACCGTAACGCATGGCATGCTGAGGTTCGTACGGACGAACCGTTTTCTTTGATTTCTGCTTTGGAGGCTCAAGGTTGATCGGTGACTTGGGAGGGCGCTTCGGCGGCATTGAAGACAGACAGCGGTAGACAGGATGGTAGCGGGGCGAGCTGTGATGGCCAGGGGATAATGCTACTGTATTCTGCAAAACCGACCGAAAAGTCGCAAAATGACAAAGTCACTGTTCTTGGAAAACAACAAAAAATCACAAATGTGGTTTCTGTAGTTGCCCCCATATACTCAAATCATATGTACTTACAGTAGCTCTAGCGCTGCTGCAGAATCTGTAGAGCCAATTCGATGTTGGTGCGGGCCATTTCAAGGAATGACGGGGTTTTCGAGACCGTGTCGAAGTTGCGAAGCGTGAAGGCGAAGCACTCGTCTCGCAGCGACGGAGAACTATGTTGGTCGGCTGCCTGGAGGATGCTTGACACGTTGTCCACGCACACTGACTTCAGTAGTTTCTGGGCACAGCGTCGCTTAAGGCTTTCGATGCCGTACTATTTAGCAAGAAAGCAACATTAATATAAGTGACTTGTTTGAGCTTGAATCAGGGCGATAACCAGACGTACCCGGTCTGCAGCCACAAACAAATCCTTGACGTCTTTATCAGCAACAGCCAGTCGATCGGTGTAGACGTACTCCAGCAGAGAGAGAAATGTCGTCCAACTGACGTCAGAGATCTTAACTTCAGCTGCTGTACTCTCCAGCATCTAGACGTCCACCACAAAGCATAGTTATTTGATTAGCTCCACATTTCTTCAAGTAACAAGCAGCAAATGTGTGGGTGGTTAGTACTCACCTCTCCGGTGAACATGGCTTTGAAGTAGTTGCAGCGCACGCAAAGACTCTTGTGACCGAAAATCGGCGTTCCTTCGACTGCAATACAACAACAACAAACGCGTCAGACTTTCGTAAAATACTCAAAGGGAGATGTGCATCTTACCTATGAAAGTGACATCGCTCATGAGTTGGTTGTTGACGAGCGAGCGAAGGTGAGCCACGGCTGTGCCTTCTTCATCGGGCTCGAGGTCCTCTGGGGTCTTCGATTCGGTCTTCTTCTCTGGCAGCTTCATCTGCTTGAAGCTTACCGCATCGCTGTGGTTACTCAAGACTAACAAGTTGCCGTCATACACGCACCCTGCAGGCGCATTGCTCTTCGGACCGGGGCCTTCGTAAGCAACGGCCGTCCAAGTGTTGGATTCTGTCAGCACAAAATAGTGTTAAGTTAGCAATCCCTTTGTAAACAACACGGTAGCGAGCCATAGTCGTACCAAGATCGAGCTCATACAAGTTCGGGTCAGTCTTCCCACCAAACACAAACAGAGAGTTGTTGTGCAGAGTTACGAGCGGGTTCTGGCAGCCTGCTGGGGGCGTGCCCTTCGTCTCCAAACTCGACCAAACTCGGCTCTCTGTTGACATTACACCGCAAAAAGACCACGAGCAGTCAGATTCAGTCCTCTATGCAGAAGACAGAATAGAAAAGGGAAAAGGAAACTATGGTGATTCGCGTACCAAAGTTGAAGACGTGGACGTCGTTGAGGTAACCCAGGTCGTGGTCGTATCCTCCAAACAACAAGCAGTTTTGGTTGTGGGCAATCATCGAAGCCCCCTCTCTGATGAAAGACAAGCAAATTAATACAGATATTCCAGCAAGCCTGCGCATGAAGATTTTCCCTAACTTACCGAGGGTACGGCACTTCTCCGCTGGTACGAACCAACGACCACGAGTTGGTTTCTGTCGCAGCGACGATACTGGGGTCAGTAACTTCACGCAGTCAGATAAATACTCACGACCACGTACCCAAGTTAAACGAGTGCATGTCGTTGACATGTCGACCAGAGTCCAGTCTTCCATATTCACTGGAGCTGCGACTTGACATGGACTCGCGATCGTAGTGACTGTCACTTCCACCGAAAATGTACATGGCGTTGTCTAGTTAAACACCAAAGGTTAGACCAATAACCTTTATCTTCAAATGCGCCAGCGGTTCAACGCTTACCACAGACCACAGCGGCGTGGCCGTATCTGGGCGTCGGCTGCTGTCCGGCGTTCACAAACACGTTGGTCCAGTTCTGCGTCTCTGCATTCCCACAATTCCATCCGCGTCAAACAACAAGCCTCGATCGCCAATACACAGGGCGCGCAGCTTACGGAAGTTGTAGGAGAAGAAGTCGTTCAAGCGCCTGTCCCCATCGTATCCACCGAAGACGTAGAGCGAGTCCTTGTAGACGACGCCGGAGTGGCTCTTGCGCGGACTCGGACACACGCCGTTACCCGGGACAGTCGACCACTCATTGCGAGCGAAGTTGAACTCGAAGAAGTTGTTGTACTGGCGGATCACCGAGCTGCTGCGTGTCGGAGCCGCGGGAAGGTTGCGCTCTGCAAACGAATCACGCACGCGATCAGTTAGAAGATAGCCCACCCTCCTACAGAGATGCACTCGTCGTGGTCCGCCCTACGGAGGGGCACAGTCTCACCTCCGAAGATGTAAAGCGAATCCTTGCGCACGGCGCAGGTGTGGCCGGGGCCAAGCAGCGGCGCCTCTCTCGGGTTCACGCAGCGGACCGTGGTCCACGCCGGTCGGTCGACTTCTTCGGAGCTTGTCATTTTACTGAGTGGGTGGGTGGTTGTTGCTGTGTCCTCCCTCGGACTATCGGACGCGAATCAAAAGTGCACAAACTGCGAGGACACGTCAATACGTTAGAGAGCGTCGTCCGGTCGAAGGGCTCGGCCTGACCTCCGTCGGAAGCGCTTGCTTGTCAAGAATATCACCTGCACATCAGTTGTACACAAACTTCGTAAAAAGTTTTGAGTAATTACCCCCCCATCTAGACCCATTCTAGTGTACCAGATCTGGCAGGGCCTGCTGCCTGACTTGCTTCTTGCTCTCTCGCTAACCTGAATACATCTCACTTTCCAATCATCCCTACGTCTACGTCTTCCTTCTCTCCCGTCTTCGACCTGCGCAAGTGCTCAAGCTGATGGCTCGACAGGTTATAAGCCCAACGATAGGGAGAAGCGGGGAAGACTTCCCACGCCTCAACGGCTCCAACTTCCCAGTGTGGAACGCTCGCATCCGCGCAGCTCTCGACGGTCAAGACCTGCTAGGCTTCATCGACCAGGAGGACTACGACGGTGACTCGGACTCGTCCATCGTCGACTCCGACGACGACCAAGACCTCAAGCCTTCCCACCCACCTTCGCCCACCAAGTCGGATGACCTGCTCTCCGACACCGGAACCCTGTCTTCAGACGACGGTCTGGACGCCGATGACGCCAAGCGCGACGACAGCACGTCCCAACCAAAGCCTGGCTCCTCGTCCGGCGCGTCGTCGGACTCTTCGTCGGGCAACTCCTCTGAGGCGATGGCGACTGACCCTCAGTCGTCCCGCTCCGCCAAGCCCACCCCGCCGCCCCCGGTGATCAAGTCCTTCACCGAGACCAAGCGCGACAAGGAAAGACGCCGAGCACTGCTCCGCGCACAGGCCAAGAAGGCTCGAGCGAAGCTCCGAGCGGCCAAGAAGCGAGCGGCTCGCAAGCCGAGCCCGCACGAAAGACGCCGAATGGAGCTCAAAACTCGATCGTTCCTGATCTCAACAATCGATGATGCCCACGTGCTCCTCGTCGAGGGTTGTACTTCTGCCTACTCGATCTACCAAAAGCTGCGTGACCGCTATGAGGGCTCGACTGCCCACGGCGACCCGTACTACATCAACCACTACTTGATGACCATCAAGTACGAGGACGGTACGGATCTGATGGCGTTCTTCCTGACCTTCGAGCGCGCACTGAAGGCGGCTGCTGAAGTTACTGGAATTGTGATGACTGACGAACAGAAGTCACTCTATCTCTATCATGCGATGCCTAGTACCTGGAGGCCTGACCTTGCGATTTGGAAGGGCAGCAAGAAGTTTATCCCGTACACGGACCTCAAGACCAACATTGAGCGTAAAGTGCTGGATGACTACGCCAAGCGCAAGTACGTGATTGAGAAGGGCAGCCCCGAGACCCCCGCCACGGCCAGCGAGACGGCACTTCAGGTCATTGCGAACACACCTCATGGCCGAGACGACCCGCCTCGTCGTTCTCAAGGTTGCACCTACTGCCAACGGCCAAATCACGCCATCCGCGACTGCCGTGTGCTGCAGAAGCACCTGCGCACTGGTAATGTCAAGGAGGGCACAGTGCTGCCAGAGAACTTTGGCATTATCGACCGCAAGCCGAGGGATGCCCACAACCCCTTCCCGGCCAAGCAGCAGCGCACCCAACGCTCGGATGACCGGCAGCGCCCACCCTCTCGCAATGAGAATGGGTTCAAGGGTCCGGACATCTATGATCGCTTTGGCAACCCGGTCAACTTCCAGGACCTCCAGCACAAGTTCAGCTCGAGAGGACGCGAAGCGGGGCTCATCGCCTATGCGACTGTCATCATGCCGGACATCGGTCTGTCGGCTACGAGCTCTGACCCCCATGACCCTACGTGGACAGTTGACTCAGGATGCACTCGCCATGCTGCTTACCAAGAGGCCTGGTTCAAGGAGATCCTCCTCTACGCCGGCGCCATCATGGTCGGTGGCAAGCACCAACTAGCCATCCGCGGCATTGGTGATGTGGTCCTCGAGGTGGTTGACACTACCGGTACTACCCGCCTCATGGAATTCCGTGATGTGCTATACGTGCCGGACATGAAGTTCAACCTCCTGGCCATTGCCCAGGAGCTGAAAATGGGTATTCGCCTTGTCTTCAGCAGCACTCGCTGCACCTTCTTCGTGGGCAAGGACTACAAGGTCCACGTCGAACTCGCGTCGGACATGAACCTGTTCCAGTTCAAGCCGAAAATCCCACTCAAGACACCCAGCGCGCTCGTGGCCCCAGCTCCTGCGGACGATCAACCCGCCAATGCCCTTGTGGCTCAATCAGGTATGGACCCTGCTGTCTTATTGTGGCACAAGCGTCTCGGTCATCCTAACTTTCGTGTGATGCAGACCATGTCTAGGACCCAAGCGGCCCCTGAACTGGCGTTCTCTCAAGCATCAGCGATCCCCAAACACTTCTGCCCCTCGTGCATCTTTGCTAAAGCACACCGTGCTCCATTCAAATGCAATGTTGATCGCTCTAAATTCCCTCTTGGAAAAGTTCATTCTGACATCAATGGCCCCTTGCCTTACCCAAGCCTAAGTGGCGCTCACTACTTCATTACGTTCATTGATGACTACTCGCGCTTCATGCACCTATATGTCGTTGCGCGCAAGTCGGACTTGTACGATTGCTACGAGAAGTTCCGTAAGGCAGCTAAAAACCGCTTCAACACTGAGGTCGGTACCCTGGAAACCCAATTCAATCAGTATGACCCTGAGGTGCAACGACTTCGGAGCGACAATGGTAAGGAGTACGAAAAGCTCGGCCAGATCATATTTGATCGCTATGGCACGCATGCTCAGTTCACCAACGCGTATACACCTCAACAGAATGGCGTGGCTGAGCGCCGGATGCGCACTATCCTAGAACCTCTGCGTGCCCTACTCATCGATGGTGATCTTCCCCGCCCACTTTGGGGGAGTGCTGCCAGTACGTCACGCACCTTATCACTGTGACTACTAGTAGTGTGCTTCTTTAAAGGTGTCACTCCCTATGAGCTCTGGCATGGCAAGAAACCATCTCTCACGTACATCAAAGTGTTCGGATGTGCGGCATTCGCTCTTACACCAGAGCCGCATCGCAACAAACTAGAGGCGCGCGCTAAACTGTGCATGTTTGTGGGCCTTCCCCAAAACAAGAAAGGGTATCGCCTTCTCAGCACGACAGAAAACAGAATCATTTACACCCGAGATGTCACGTTCAAAGAGGACACATTTCCTAACCTCACCTATTTAGAACGGGTCACTCCAAACCCTCTCAGCACCTCCCTGCCTGTTCAAAAAGAACTCCTGTCTCCCCTAAGTGCGCTACTAAAACGCAACCAAGCCTCGCTGGTGGCCACTGATGCTGACGTGTGTACCCCTTCCGCTAAGAAGGTTAAGACAAAAGACGCCCTCGCCATCTACTCTAAGGCGCTACTGCTCAACGAGCCCATTGACCTGGAAGAGGAACATACCCTTCATCATACCATCATTACTCTCTTAGCTGCTCGCTATGACCCAGACCCTAAGACCTACAAGGAAGCCATGCGCTCCCCACATGCATCTGACTGGCACGCTGCTGCCCTCTCTGAATATCGGTCGCTCATGGAAAACCAAACGTGGGCACTGGTGCCGCGGCCGCACAACCGCAAGGTGCTCCAGTGCAGATGGGTTTTCGTGCGTAAGCGCGATGAAACTGGTCGCGTTGTGCGCTTTAAAGCTCGCCTGGTCATTAAAGGCTTTCAGCAAAAGTACGGTATCGACTCTACAGAAATCTTATCTCCTGTCGTCCGCATGGAAATCCTTCGACTGCTGCTCACGCTTGCAGCAATCCTTGACTATGAAATTGATCGGATGGACGTTAAAACGGCTTTCCTCAATGGTTCACTCGACGTAGAAATCTTCATGGAACCGCCTGAGGGATTCACCTCAAAGGATCGCCCTGGCCTCGTATGCAGCCTTGGTAAGAGCCTATACGGCCTCAAGCAAGCACCTCGTGTCTGGTATCACACCTTTGCTAAGTACCTCGAACGTCTCGGCTTCACTCGCCTAGTTAAGGACCGTTGCGTGTTCTTTAAGGTGGCAAGACACACGACGTTGCATCGGTGGTTATATCACTATGTTCTGCAACAGTCCCATTAGCTGGGTCTCACGGAGACACCACACAGTCGTGCTCTCCACAACGGAAGCAGAGTATATCGCACTCTGCTACTGCATGCAAGAGCTGATCTACTTAAAACTACTTGCTAAGAGAACTAGGCTACGAGAGCTCAAAGCCCACACTGATCATGGAAGACAACCAAAGTTGCATTAAGATATGCAACAACCCAGAGCTTCACGGCAGGAGCAAACACATTGACATTAAGTACTTCTTCGTACAGGAGAAGGTGGCGCGCAAGGAGTTCACTGTCAGCTATTGCACCAATGCAATGTGCGCTGACATCTTCACTAAACCTTTAGCGAAGCCACTATTTGAGAAAATGAGAGAGCTATTACGTGTGTCCCCACCACAATAATGAGGGAAAATTTATAGAAGACTTTGCACTTTGATGACAAATAAAAGAACAATTTAATGGTGAGAGCATTTTAGTTTATTGTCTGAAGATTTAAAACCCACCGTGAAATCCTCTCCCGACATGTAACGGGGTTACATGGAATAGTGACCCTGTCACTATTCCGGGATGGCTACATCGGTCACTTCCCTGGATAGTGACCCAAGTGGCCTCAGAGCCAACGGATACATTTTGTATGACACAAACTATAGAGAACTTAGGATTTGTATGCAGGCCAAATCTGTACCAACCTATAAATACAGTCAGTCTTAGATCTACCGCTTTTCAAGTCAAGTCGTCCCCTTCAGACCAGGGACACGTGAACGGCTGTTCACTTGGAGTTTGTATACTCCTGCTTCTTCTGTTAAGAAGTGCTGTGTGCCCCGTCACACTTGGTAGCACTTGTAGTCAATCCTACGCCTACGCGGGTAGATTGGACTACCTGAATCCTCTGTGGTCTCATCGAGTGAGCCAAGATGGATCGTACGGAGTTTCCCCATCTGAACGACTCGCAGTACGAGTCCGTTCGTAAGATGGCAGGCATCTTTGGGACAGATGCCCTGCGTAGCTTAGCGGCGGCGACGCCGGCTGAGCAGGTTGAGCGTATCAACGCGTTCGACACCTACGAGCGAGGGCTCATCGCCCACGTTCAAGGGCTGCAGGCCACTGCGGCCGCGCCGATGCCGGTGCAACCGAAGCCCTGTGGCTCTAGGGGTCGCTGGCAGAAGCCGCGCCCCAGGAACCAGGGGAACGCCGGACACCAGTAGGGGCGGGGCGCCCTACTGGGGAAACACTAAGTCTTCATGAGGGGCGTGCGGGTGGCGTACGCCATGGGGACTTAGCCCCTGAGAGTCTCTGAACTCTAGAAGCGGAGAAGGGCAGCGGTGGGCTGCTTGTGGTGCACGCGAGTGTACCGGGATACGATTATCCCTTGAGAATCTTGATCGACTCTGGGGCGTCCAAGAACTTTGCGCGCCGCCAGACTGTCGCACGCAATCGCGACAAGTACGCCGATGCGCTACGAGGCAGAAAAGGCAACGGGCTGGTCTCGGTAAGACTGGCCGACGGTACGGTGGTAGAAGTACCTCGGGTCCACATGGACCTCACTGTCAAGTTCGAGGACTTCGACAGCACGGAGCCGTTCTTGGTCCTAGACATGGACAAGTACGACTTGATCCTTGGCATGCCGTGGCTGGAGAAACACGAGCCTTGGATCGACTGGCGCGGCAAGGCCATCGGGGCCAGCCGTCCCCCACGCTCTGACAGAGCTTTGGTCAGTCATGTTCCCACCTCTGCCAGCAGCTGGGGCGCCCGCGAGGGCCGCCAGGGCGCAGCAGCATCTAATGAGTTCTTGGGGTCCGTCGAGACTGACGACGACTCCGACCGGGCCGGACAAGGCCTGAGAGTGGAGGTGCCGGACAGCACCTACCAGGTGGTAACGTAGGTCCACACGCGGGTAACGAAGTACCGCAGGCAGCAAGGGCTACTGGAGAAGGCGCCGCTGGTGTGGCGTGGGTAACCAAGTTCCACGCGAGGTCACTCAGACCGTAACTGATGAGGAAGGCACTGCAGGCGCTTCCGATGTGGGTAAAGGAGGTCACTCAGACCATCACTGATGCGGAAGTTGCTGGAAGCGCTCCTGATGTGGGTAACCAAGTTCCACACGGCGAGGTGGGTAACATAGTTCCACCCAGCAAGGCGGGTAACCAAGTTCCGCTCAAGAACAAGGCGGGTAACCAAGTTCCGCTCAAGGACAAGCCGGGTAACGTAGTTCCGCACGAGATCGAGAAGATCGGTGGTGCCGTCAAGGCGGCGCCACGAGACGAAGGCACCCGAGGGTCACGTCGTAACCCGGGCCTAGTCGTGTGGCCGACGACGCCAGTCGCCAGCGACTCCGAGCCTCCAGCCAAGGCTCCAGCCGCCGAAGAGTGTTATCACATCTTCGACGGCGTGACCGGTCGTCGGGTCAAGACAGGAGCTGTCGAGCTTACAGCTCTGCCCGAGGTTTCAGAGTTGCTGAACCTTGAGGAGCTCGCCATGGAGGACTTCTTGGCCGAGCTAAAGGCCGGGGAGATCGCAGAGTTGGTTCTCCTCCGACCGGAGTCCGCGTCGGCCGAGTTGAACTCGTCCTCGGTCATGGACCAGGCAGTCCTGGAGGAGTTCCAGAGACAGCGCGCGTCGCGCATGGGCTCTGAGATTCTTAAGAACCCCCGGGACCCGGTGTACCCCTTGGTGAAGGAGTTTGAGGACGTGCCTGGTGGACGGATACTACCAGATCCTGATGCGCGAGAGCGACATCCCACTCACGGCTGTGAGCACGCCGAGCGGTATGCTCTGGGAGTGGCTGGTCATGCCTCCGGGGCTTTCTAACGTTCCGGCAACGTTCAATCGCTTGGTCACACAACTGTTCCGACCTTTGCGTGCGTTCACACAGACGTACTTTGACGACATCTTCGTCCACAGCCGTGCCGAGGCAGGCCAGACGGCCATGGAGGTGCATCTCCAGCACCTTCGACGTGTGCTCGAAGTCATGCGGGCGAACAAGCTGTACGCCAACATCGACAAGTGTGTGTTCGCAGCTGAGGAGATCAAGGTCCTGGGCAGCTTCGTCAGCAGCGCCGGGGTCCGGGCGGGCCCGGAGAAGGTGAAAACCATCGCGGCTTGGCCGCCACCTCGGTCGCAGAAGGACCTACGACAGTGGTTGGGCCTCGCCAACTACCTGCACAAGTATAGTGCAGGCTACGCCGAGCTGGCACGGCCCTTGTCGGATCTCCTGAAGAAGGATGTCGACTGGCGCTGGGAGCGTCGCCATCAAGATGCTTTTAACGACATCAAAGCGAGCTTACAGTGCGCGCCAGTCCTGGCATTGCCGGACGAGACGAAGCCTTTCAGCGTAGTCTGACTACGCAATTGGCTGTGCGCTATTGCAGGCCGACGTTGAAGGCCGCGAACGGGTCATCTCGTTCCAGTCCAGGCAGCTCAAGGCAGCCGAACGGAACTATCCAGTCCACGACAAGGAGCTACTTGCCATGAAGTACGCTCTTGTCAAGTTTCGAGTGCACCTCCTGGGCTCGACGCCCTTTGTCGTTTATACAGACCATGCGTCCTTGCGGACTGCCGTCAACACGCCGCATCTCTCACAGCGGATGGCGCGTTGGCTGCCATTCTTCGCGGAATACAACTTCCGTGTCGAGTACAAGCCAGACAAGTTGAACGTGCTTGCCGACGCGCTGTCGCGCCGACCCGACTACGAGCTTGCTCATATTAGTCGGGTCACGACGGATCTGTATGATCGCATCAGGCTGGGGTACCGGGACGATGCCAGTCTCAGACCTCTTGTGCGGTTCTTGGCCGCTGGCTCGGAAGCCAAGGCCGAGTGGCTCACGCCCCGACAACGTGCAAGGCTGCACCGCTATGAGTGGGCTGACGGTTTGCTCCACTATAGGGTCGAGCCCGAGGATCCTCCCCGTATTGTCGTGCCCAACGACGAAGATCACAAGTACGACATCCTGATGGAGGCGCACGACGCTCCATCCAGTGGCCATCTCGGCCGTGAGAAGACGTACGCGTCTGTCTCGCAGATGTTTTGGTGGCGTCACATGTAAAAGTGGGTCGCCACCTACGTCCGTACGTGCGAGACGTGCCAGCGCGTGAAGCCTGCCGGTCACGCCTCGGCACCATTGCAGAGCCTGCCGGTCCCAGCGGACTGCTGGAAGTCGATGAGTCTCGACTTTGTCTTCGGACTTCCGGTCGATGACCGTGGCAACACTGGTGTTGTTGCCTTCGTGTGCCGTCTGAGCAAGATGGTCCACTTTGCTCCAGTTCGTGACACCGTCACTGGCGACGAGGTCGCTCGCCTGTTCATGGACTGTGTCTTCCGACACCACGGTCTGCCCGAGACCATTGTCTCTGATCGAGACCCGCGGTTCACCGCTACGTTCTGGCAGACGCTGTTTCGCCTTCTCGGCACACGACTGTCGATGTCGACGGCGGACCACCCGCAGACGGATGGCCAGACGGAGCGCGTCAATTGCGTGATCGAAGACACGCTCCGCAGTATCTGCGCGGAGATGCCCCGCTCTTGGGCTGATCGCTTGCCCATGGTTGAGTTCGCACTCAACAATGCGGTACATGCATCGACGGGCTTTACGTCCTTTTACCTGAACGGGTTGCGCCACCCTCAGGTGTCGCTCACATTACGAGGCAGTACCGGGGCTTCGGTCCTAAGTGGGGGAGAGGCTCGGAAAACCTTTTCCTCCAAGTCTCGGACGTGAGTCCAGCCACCTTGCGGAAGCAACTGTCCTCGTTTGCCGAAGACAGGCTGAACATAATCAGCAGGGTGCAAGACACCATGGCGCAAGCCCAAGATAAACAGAAGGAGTACTCTGACCGAAATGGAAGAGGAAACATGAACGTGTTTAAGGTTGGGGATTTAATTCTCCTAGATACTAGAAACCTACTGTTAGCTCGGTCGAAAGCAACAAGCTGAAGCACCGCTTCATTGGACCCTTCACGGTCCTCAGCCGGCATGGCGCGGCGTACACCATAGACTTGCCCAAGTCGATGACGACTCACCCGACGTTTTACGTGGGTCGTCTTAAGAGGTACCATGACCCTCTGGCTCTGGCTGCCCCGCAGGAAGCGGTGGGTGGCCCGGTGGAGAAGAGCGCAGCTCCCTGATAGAGCGAGGCAACATCCTCACGGAGCCGCTCCACGGCACCAGGCTGACCAGCACGAGCGGCAGCCTCGCCACCAAGGCCGACGCCAAGCGCGATCTCGAGGACGTACACATGGTCCCGGAGAAGCCGAATCTCCTCTTGCTGCAGGGCCACCACCTGACTCGAGGCTCCAGCATACGGCTGCGTCGCCTCAGGCTCGTAGCCATGGCCGTGCGAGGCCTCCTTGATCGTAATGGGCAGATCCACTACCACGTGGAACGAGTCGTCCGGGAGCGGTGGCTCCATGGCAAGCGCCAGCTGCTCGTGAAGTGGAGGGGTTACCCTGAGTCGGATAACTCGTGGGAGCCCGTTGAGCAGCTCCAGGCAGACTGCCCGAAGGCTGTTGCGATATGGGACGAGAAGCAGCGGCAGCTTCGTAAGTAGTCCTTGGCTTCTTGGCCGGTACCCGGGGCACGGTAGCAGACGTAGTCGCACCACGCCCACGCTCTTCACGAGCTTTGGCTCTCGCCTCTTGCTTCAGCTCGTCCATCTTCGAGTGGAGCTTGCGCTTGCTCACGAGTTGAGCGAACTCGATGCGGAGCTCGCGCACGTCCAGGATTGCGGACAGAGTGCGATCCTCACGGAGTTCTTTGAACTCTTGGTCGGAATACCCTTTGCGCTGGACGTAGCGTCAGAAGAGGTCTTCCACCACGCTCCAGGTCATGTTGTCATTCGGCTTGACCCAGTGGAAACCCCACACAGGATGGAGTCCACCCTTGTCCTCCGGCTTCTTGCGAAGCGTGGTGAACTCCTTCAGTGTGAGCTTGTGTGGTGCTAGTAGCACACACCGGGCGACTTCAACGTCGCCAAGAAAGAGTGGCTCTTTCTCAACAAGAGCACGCTCATAGGAACCCCTCGAGGTGTACCCGCCGATAAGGCCACGAGGAGCCGAGAGCTTCTCCAACAGCGCTGGCGCACCAGTGCCAGGCTCGGGCAGGAAGTAGCCCTGCGGGTACGTGGCATCCCCGCCTGAAGAAGACTCGATGGCAGTCGTGGCAGTCGGCTGCCTGGCATACGCACCCGAGCTAGCAGCGTGGTATTGCTGCTGCTACTCGTCGAGGTCGTTGGAGAGCTCCTTGGGCTCGTGGACGGCACCTCCTCGTCCTCAGACTCCGAGTCGATGAACAGCTTGGAGCTGGAGCCGCGAGGCGACCTGGAAGCTGAACGCTTCTTCGCCTTGGCCTCGGCGGCTTTCGCAGCGGCAGCCGCTTTCGACGCTTGGGCACGCTCACGACCTTGTGCCAGCGTCAGATGCTTGGATGCCAGCACCTCCTTGGGCTTGGAGCCCGCGTCGCTCGGCGACTTCTCTGCCACGACCCCAGCGTCGGCCATGGCGACTTCGTCGTGCGACTGCTTGCTGTCGCCTGAGCCGGACTCGGCGTCCTCCGCCTCCTTCTCTGACGAGGCCTTTGCGTCGGCCGAGGCGTTGGTCTTGTCGCCTGCCGCCAGCTCCGTGCCTTCGGCAGCGTGCGTGCTGCTCTCCGAGACGTTCTCGTCGTCGGGTGAACTCTCACCGGAGTACTGGACCATCGTGCAGTCAAAGACGGCGGCTTCCCAGTCGCGAGCCGGGCTTTTATGGCCCCGAGGACTCTCCTCCTTGCCTTGCGCGGCGTCAGGAGACTTGCTCCAAGCCCCGGCCTGACAGCCACTCTCCGGCGTGCTGCTACGAGAGCGCACCTCCTCCTCGGCCGCCTTCGTGGCCTCCATCGGCGCGGACGACTCGTCCTTGGCCTTGTCCGCTCTGGTCTTCGGCCCTACGGCCCGCGGTTTCGGAGGTGCTTTCGCACTGCGCGCACTGCGCTTTGGAGGCATGCTTTCAGTCGACGTGGAGACCCTGCGGCTTGCTCGGCGATGCGCCAGTTGCTCTGTGAGGCCCGGGTGCCCGCCCACAGCGAATGGTACGCTCTACCAACATCTTGTAATGGAGAATGCGAATCGCTGCTCTACTCTACCAACTTCTTATACCTACGTAACAGAGAAGGCTACGACAGCCGGCGAAGCGCTCAATCTGCTGCGACTAACTTACCTGTAATTTACAGGCTGTAAAGCTGTACTAAGCGTTGGTAAGAATTACGCATTGCGTTGCCAACGCGCTATTAATAGTGTGTTTCTTTCCTACATAGCAGTTGCAGATTCTAACGGCTGGGGGCATCTGCTGGTATCAAACTGCTGCACTCGCCCATACCTTGCTGCAGTGGCGTCTGCAGGCAGTACGGATGTGCAGGTCAGGCACTAGGAATCCTAACATGGCTACAGTCTCTTTAAGAGACTGTAGCCATGTTTCTCCTCACACGTCACATGTTTAACCACTAAATAGCCTAAAACAAACCTCTTGGTTTGCATAATTCCCTCCGATTCAAGTCACCTGTCTTAGCGAATCTCCCCTCGAGCAGGTCAGCAGCGCTCCATGATGCTCCCTGTCGCCGCGCCGGCGCCCCAGCGCACGCGCGTGCTGCGCGGGGGTCCCATTTGGCCGTCCGTGCGAGGCGCGCGTCTTCTCCGCGCGCTGACGTCCGGCGGGCTCCAGGAAGAGCAGGAGGGCCAAGAGTATCAAGAGCAGATTGCAGACAACCAGTTTAGTGCCGAATTCCCCTATGAACTGGAGCTTTGCGTTCCGACGGCCGGTCACTTGGCTTTAGTATTGGTGCGAAGACCCCCGGGGGTACAATTAAAGTCCCCGGCCCGGAGCAACACTACTCCCGTGACGCCCACAGCTTCCGCTTCAGCCCCCGCTGCGCCCCGAGTCGTCTACGTACTGGACGCTCTCCCGCCCTCACGTCGTGGGGGCTACGAAGACAAGAGCAAGAGCAGGAAAAATAAGACCCCGGGGGCACAATTACCTCCCCAGCAGGTGGACGAGCTGGAGCTGCTCGAGGAGCTCTTTGCCCCCCACACAAGAGCTGCTGGGGGTAAAGAAGGCAGCGTATTGATCAAGGCCCCTCTATTGTGTGCCAGGTTCGACTGCCGCGTGGTTTCCATCAGGTTTATTCGCAGTGGGGGGAGTCCACCGAAGCCTCAGAAACTCAATAAAAGCAGCAGCAGAGGCCTCAACGACTCGTTTAATTCGTCGTCGGGGGCTTCTAATTCGTCGTCGAGGGCCGTGGGGGCTGCAGCGCCGTTGAGATGCGTCGTGGCGAGGGAAGACGGCATGGCGTTCCTATGGGAGTGGCAGGCGGATCTGTTCCAGTGGGTCTTCCTGAACAGGTTGTGCTTCTTGGAGAACCCGAATTTGAAGTGGACGCGGCCTGTGGCGGCCTTTACGACGACGGACTTGCCTCTGGATAGTACGGTGCTGGGCTTGAGTGGAGAGACTGGAAGCAGTGGCGGTGGATCGGGGTCAAGCGGCGCGACGGAGCTCGTGTGGTGGTCGACGGCTACCAAGCAGGAGCCGAAACTGAAGCTCCGACGACTGCGCTTTGAACGCGCGACGGATGCACTGCGTGCGACGGATGTGGTTGTTGGGAGCGCCTTCACGCCAAAGCCGGTGTGTGATGGTGTTGTCAAGTTGCTGAGCTCCAAGCTCGGGTTGTTTGCTATCTCGAAGACACAAGGCGTATTCTTCCGGAGCTCGACGGCCTCCCTGCGTACTGTGGGGCTGAGTTGGCACAGTGTTTTCTCGCTCGAGGAGGGAAGCGTGACTCCGGAGATGACACAGCTCATGGTATGTGTTCATAGCGTGACTGGCGAGCTTGTTGTGTTGCACCGCGAGTCAGGAGATGTATACCTCGTGACACCGAAGTCCTCAGGCTCTACTTCCAGCGTTGATGGCAAGAACAGTACACGTGAGACGGAGTCGTGCACTGCGCTGTTTTCTCGTAAGCTAACCGTGCTGACGCCCTGGGGGCAGTCCAGAGGTGGTGCTGTTGACGGCACAGACCAAGACTTTGAAGTGCTTGATGTAGCAGCGCACCGTCACGTCCTCCTTGTGTTGACTCAGCGTGTTCTTCGGGTGTATACGTTGGTCGCTGGCGAGTTACTTGAAGATGTAACCTTGCCGGACACGATTGCTAACTCTTCCCAGCAACGCGACTGCGGGAAATGCAAGTTCTGGACCATTTCAGGTGGTGCTAGCTCTATTGGGCTGTGGTCTCCAAGTGGCTTCTGGACGATTCGCTTGCCACCTGCAAAGGCAATTGCAGGCGCGTTGCACCAGCCGCCATCTTTGAAGCAGGAAAGCAAATGTGACGGGCAGGATAAAGATCCCGAGTCAGCGTTCTTGGCAGTGAAAAATTACGGCACGGGTGACCTGCACTTAGAAGCGGTGCGGTACGCTCTGGCAGTGTTGGAGCAAGTTGCCCCCTCTGCGATGGACCCGACTCAAAGCCACCCTGAAGCCTGGGAAGCTGTTTGGAACACCGTCACTAGCCCAGCGTTGCTCTTGGCGCTGCTCGACAATCGAGCCACATCGGAGCACGTCGTCCACGAGCTCGCGCAGCATGTAGCCGCGATATACAAGACGGCGAGTGGAATTCGCTCCTATGGCCGTTTGGATGGTGCAGGTGCTGGCACAACACCTGATAACCATTTGCTTCGACTGACACCGGCCAACCTGGAGTCGCTCCACCATCTCGCCAATTGGATTGTCCTGGCAAAGCGTAAACTTGCTCGTCTGGAAGGAACCAGTAGTGAGTCATCTTCTGAAGGTCCTAGCTATCGACAGACTCGAGCAGTGAGCGAGCTTACAACCGTACTCGCCAACGAAGACGATTTAACAGCAGCACAAGATGAGCACAGCAACATTCGACGTAAGGATTCGAGTCTAGACCCGGAAGACGCGCGGAACTTTCGGTTGAGTCGCAAACTGCGTCCTATGAGCAGTTTGCGTTTCGCTGCTGGCTGCAGCACCAGCTCGGAGCGTCAAGGGCGGCAGTGGCTATTACAGCTCGAGTCTTTTCTTTTGGATGGCGTGGATTTCAAGGAGCAACAGGTGCAGGGTGCTCCGCGTCGTATGATTCGGGCCGAAGCAACGCCAAGCCATCGCCTGTTTCACAGTGAACGTGTGCTAGCAGATTTCCGCAACGTTGCCGCGTCGTCATTCTCCAAGCACATGTACCTGGAGTCTATGAGCCGCTTGTATCTGCTGTACGAGCCGTCTTCACTGCTCCCGTTTATCCGGTGCGTGGAGCGGTTTTGCCCACGGATCTTTTCGCTATCTGGACACCAGCCTTTGGCTCGATCACACGCTGAACGAGCTCTGACGCTGTTCCCTCCATTGGAGTTTTTCACGCGCAAAGTGCTTCGAGGAAAAGAGAGCAAGGACGGACAAGCCGCCAAGGCATCGCTGTTAGCGTACGTAGACCTTCTAAGCTACTGTGACCACCACTCTGAAGCGTGCAGGGCTCTACTGCAGTGTCATCTGTACGAAGAGAGCAAACAGAAGCTTCTACTGCTGCTGAAGAGCCCGCTGAACGAGCAAAGTCCAGGAGAAGATGAGCGAGAAGAGGAGGCACGAGCCCGTGCGACCGCTTCAACTGCTGTGTATTTCCTGTTGTTGGAGTATTGTATTAAGCATCGTGATGCCGAGGAGCTGAAGGTGTTGCTGATGCTCAAGCCAACGCACGTGGATATGCTTCACGTACTTCGGGCTCTCCGCACCACCATTTCATCCACCAGCCAACAACAACAAAAGGGAGACGGCGCATGCGCGGGCGTGACTGTGGGCGACTTGCGTTCTGTACTTGTTGCCCTGATGCAGCAACGACGTATTGGGGTGGCAAAGTGGTAATGGGGATCTAGCTATGTTGCTACTTGAAATGCTCGTGGTGGCCGAACTTGTAGAGCTTCTTGTTCTGGAAGAGGATGGATTGGTCGTTTGGGGTCTGGAGGCAATCGCCTACGCCGCCTTTGGCTCAGGAGTCGCCTTGTAAGTCGTGTTGGGCATTGGGAAGAACTCGAGAGCCGTACCGTTCATCGGAGGCTTGAGCTTGTGCGAATCCTTATCAGCCTCCTTTCCGATCGACTCGGTCGTCGAGCTGACGTTGCCCACGTGGTCGACCTTGACGATCTTCGGTTCTTCCAGTTTGTCGTGGTACTTGTCGTTCTTCGTCGGCTTCGGGGTCGGGTGGTGCTTGTCCTCGGTGGGCTTCGAAGTCGAGTAGTGCTTGTCCTCCGTGGGCTTGGGCGTCGGGTGGTACTTCTCCTCAATTGGCTTGGGCGTCTTGTAATGCTTCTCTTCCGTTGGCTTCGGAGTCGGGTAGTAGCGCTTGTCGTCGTGCTCAGTTGGCTTCGGACGGTGCTTGTCATCTGAAGGATTCGGTGTCGGCTTGTGCTTGCTCTTTGTGCTCCGTGTCACCTTCGCAAGCATCCCGGAAGCTACACGCCATCTTGTGCGCGTTCAACTTGGCTCCGGAGAGAGACAGGTAGCAGTCGGCAGGCTCGAGAGCGAGGACGTCTTTAACCAGCGCACGGCAAGCCTCAGCAGCGCACATGGCCTTGACTTGCGGCTCCGTCGGGTAGCCCATCGGCGGGACCAGGCCAAAGCCGGCCGAGACCTTCTGGCATGAATGCAGGTGTGGGTTAGCGTAGAGCTCAGCGAACTTGACCACCTCGCTCGGAGGACAGGCGTCTTCAGCTGCGGCTGCGGAGATGCTGAGCAGGAAGAGGAAGACGGCGGCGAACTGCATCTCCGACTGAGAGTCGACGCGGAGAAAGTCGCCCGAAGCATGAGTGCGGTTGTCGGTTGTCGGTTGTAGGTGTCTGGATCTGGTTGCCAACTTGGAAGCAAATTGGAGAATGAGCAAGAGGCGAGTGAGAGTCGAGAAGCTCTCGGAAGAACTTGGCCCTCCATTGGCAAAGTACGACACCGGCACCCTAGATTCTCTTGCAACGTAGAATGAAGACGAGGGACGAGAAGGGAAGCCAAGCAACTTATCGCAACCCACTTCCACTACAATCGAGGGCTCAGCACTTCATCGATAACCATTAGAAAGCGACAAGCATGCTTGAAGTAGATTGTATTGATCGATGATATAGGTAAACACTACACAAATGCAGAGCCCCTCGGGGCATTTCCCTTAGTAGCTGCAAGTAGCAGCGGTCATTCATGCATACTTTCGTGGCCTCATCTAGGCCTGCGATTCCCAGAGTCCACCCAACGATCAACAACATCGCATGCACCTCTGAAGTCGGATTGACTGGACTCGTACGTCTTCGACCAGCCAATTGGCACGTAGCGCAGTCGCTCGTGCACCAGCGCATGGAACCAAGCCAACAGCAAGTAAAGGCGTGCACGCTCGGCTGGTGAGCTATTCATGCGGTCAGCAGCCACCGTGTCTAGCGATCGCACCATGCTGAGTTTCATGCCGCTCGGTGGCTCGAACACGAAGATATCACACATGCGGACGAGATTCACCGGCAAGTTCGGGTTGATCTCGCTGGTCAGGAATAGGCGGAAGTTCGGGTGCACACTTTCGCGCGCGTTGTAAAGCTTCTTCTCCACGCTCACAAGCCACGACGGGCACAAGTGCACGTTGCGTAGCAGCAGCCAGGTGCCATGTTTCAACGCCGTGTTGAGCCCCTTCTCAGCCGCATCGAAACCTTCCGATGAACCCATGGACACCGAGTTGTATTTCTTCTGCAAAACTGCCGCGAGCTCATCGATCTGCGCGCTTGGGTCGAAACCAGTCGTAGAGCACAGAAGCACTCCACGCGTTGCCTGCGTGTCCTCTTACGCCACGGGAACGAGGACGTAAACACCAGTTCAATGTATCGCTCCGACGCGAATGTGATTCGATCAGGCCGTAAGAAATGAATCACAATCATGTTTCGGAATGCTGCACGGCGCGGACTTGCCGAGGCTGCCACATACGTCGCATCCCAGTCAGCTGGAAGTGCTTCCTCCGCTGAGGGAGTCTTCACAAAGGCATTCCATTCGCTAGCATGCTCGCGCACGTGCTCCTCCAGGTGCTTGAACGTCGACAGCTTCATCAACTTGATTAGCTGGTCCATTTCAGTCTTCGAGAAAGCCGTTAGCAATTGCTCAAGTTCAGTGCGCTGGGAGCCATTGTCAGCCTTAAAGAAGGTAGACGAGCTTCCAAGAAGTATATCCATATCCTCATCACTAGGTCCATCAAACGCGCTGCTATCATCCATAGTCGTCTTGGCGTCAGCAACAGCAGCACTCTGCTGCTCCAGTGCCAAGTAAATCTGCGATAGTCTTAGAGCAAACATAAGCTTGTCGTTCTCGGCAAGTCCTCGGCTGACTCGGCTGGCAAGCTGCACAAAGAGACCCTTCGAAATACTGGCAAGTCGCACCGAATCTCCTCCCTCAGTCGGCTGGGCCAAAACCTTAGACAGCAACGACAGGAAGAAATCAAGCGAATACTGGTAGAGGAAGTGAACCGATGACAGGTTCTCCAGCGCGAAGAACAGCTGAGAACTCGCCTTCGCAAGCGGGCGGTAGCGGCTTGTCGCTGTCTCCACAATCGCCATCGTCGATTCCGTTTCCGCCACTTGCTGCGAAATCTGGGCTGCTTCCGCCTTCATGCTTTCCAAAGCGTTGATTACCCGATCATCATCCAAAATGTTGCCTTGCACATTATTGATTTGCTGAAGCAACGAGTCCTCCAGCTCGCGCAATTTTGCTTGGTACTCGCCCTGCAACTTCAGAAGATTATTCCGTTTCTCCTCTGCTTCCGGCTGCTCGCTCTTGAGCAGAATGCTCAAGCCCTGACTTTCAAGGGAGCTGGGAGTGACCGTGAAATTCACGAACGTCACACGACTGCAAATGTCAGGCGAGAACCGGCAAGATGGGTCTCTTGTGATCAAGAAGAGTCGGAAATCTGGCGAGTAGTCGATTTCCTCTCCAGCCAAGCGAATCAGCACACGTCCACCCGTCTTGTAAAGCTCTCGGTTCAGCACTGGATTCAGGATCGGATCAATATTCTCCACTTCATGAACCAGAAGTGCAGTGCCAAAGCGAATGGCACTGGCCAACACCTTCATAAAGTAGCTGTCCAAGAACGACGTCTGCGCAATTTTCGTGCTTGTCTTGAGGCTGTAGTACTTCATAATGAAGTTGTTCGCCTGTCCGGAAGGATCGATAATCAGTGGGAAGCGGTGGAAGCGCTGCAGGATAATGGCATTCTCGTAGCACAGCTCGTCCGAGGGCAAGTCACTCATCTGCCACTCCAACTGTTCGTTAGGGCGGGACAGATAGTCCACAAAACTCAACTGGGGCTTCGTGCTGATGCCCATTGAGTCGAGGATGTCTCGCCAATCTTGCACAAGAATCTTGCGCTGCTGGAAATCAAGGAAGCCGATGTATGTGAGGAACGCAGAGGACAATAATGTGTCGCCCACGAGCGTCTTCATCTGGGTATCGAAATCATTGGAGCCAGCCTCCCATCGCTCGCTTTCTTGAAGCAGACTCTTCAGCAACGCCACTGAGCGTTCTACCTTCTTCGATACCGATGCCATGTCGTTCGTGATCACCTGCGCCTCATTGATCAACGCTGCATACTCGTGCTTAAAGTTTTCAATGCGGACCTCCAGAGCGTCAATAGTTTTCTTGGCTTGTTCGTATCTTTCACGTAGATCCGAAGACGTGTCAATCAGGGTCTGCACCTCTTCTCTCAATGGTTGAATCTTATGCAGGATGTTCGTGTAGTTGAGCTGCGATACAATCCACTTGTAAAGAGGGCCGCAAGCCTTCGAGGCACGGTTGACCTTTTCGTAGTCGAACTCATCCACCTTGTCGACGTAGTTCGTTTGAATTGTGTGTCGCTGACGCGCTGTAAGCTTTTCGGAGTCGAAGTTCACAACCTGGGAAATGAAGTCGTCTTTTCGGATAAAACGACGCAAGTCGGCCCATTCTAAGCTCGACTCGCCGAGCATAACCGCTACAGCCTCCATGGTCATGCGAACGGCAGCAGGAGGTCGAGCGAGGGCACGGATTTCATCAAGCTGCGCCTTGCGAATTGAATTCACAGATGCTTGGGCGTCCAACAGAGCAGGCTCGGCCTGGGCAAGGTCAGCTTCGACGACCTCTTTCCGCGAACGAATCTCCTCGTCCTTACTCGCAAGATCAGCAGCAAGCTCCTCCGTATCCTTCTTCTTCCTTTCAGCCTCATTTTGCTCCTGCACCATTTGCTGGAGCTTCTCGTTAGCCTCAACGTCCTTCTTCTTGAGCTCCTTCTCCTTAAGACTGAGTTGACCCTGCAGCTCTGCCACTTGTTCATGAGTAGCCTGTAGCTTTTGCACGCCTACGTTCAAGTGAAGCTGCTGGTCCTCCAGCTGCGCCCGCTTTTCGGAATACAGCGACACGAAGTGGCGGATAAACTCCAAGTAATCCCGAGGCGAAATGTGGTTGTACTTCATGTGACGCTTCTGAAGACGACGCATGTGTAGTAGAACAGCATGATGGAACTGAACGATACTTCCAACCAGCACGTCACGGAACGTTCCAGTAGCGATATGCGGAATCAGCTTCGCCAAAACATCTGCAGCATCATTTGGAATGACAAAGTCTGCGGATCCCGCAAGATCAAGCGTGTTCGTGAATTCATACGCCACCTGTGCCAATGCGTGATCATTCCATGTACCGAACCAATCAACCACGCATCGGTTGAAAAGAGCCGGCGAGGTGTTAGTACGATTCTGGAAGTCGCCCGAAGCGGGGTTCATCGTGAACACCACGTGCAAGTGTCGCTGTACTTGTTTTGTGAAGTACCGGAAGAGTTCATCTTCGGTATTTTCCACGATGACCCCGTCGCGCTGGACAGCTTCACGGCAAGCATGCATGAGTGACGTGTATTCATCGTCTTCGAACAGACCAGGCACTTCGCCGGACGCTAGCAGAGCGTTCATGCGCTCCAGGAAAGCCGAATCAAGAACGTTGGACTCATCGAAGATGAAGCAGATCTTCTCAGCCTCGCAACCGCATCGCTTGAGGACAACACGAAGGTCGTCATCAAAGTTATCCAGAGTATAGTTCGAGGTAAGCTTGATCTGGAAGACGGACATACCATTCATCCAACTAACGAAACGGGACAGAACGGTCTTACCGGCGCCGCTTTCTCCAACAAGCAGTAAGTGTCCAAGCGGTTGGCGAAGAACGCGGTCAATGCGAAGCACATGATCGATCACTGAATCGAATACGACCAGCTGAACGTTGAGTTCTTCTTCGTAGAAAACACGCAAGCGGGCTTCGATATGCTTGCGCAAATCTGTCGTTGTCACTTCAGTGTAGTTCTTCGAAAGCCACGTACTGAACAAAATTGGATGCTGGCCGCCATACTCCACCACCTCCAAAGCAGTAGCACTTTGCGGGAAGTGATTCCTCAGGGTCTCCTTCACCATGTGGAAGCACCACTTCTGCTCGTCGGATGTCACCAAACGGTCCATGAAAAGGCGTAGCGCTTCGTGGAAAACCAGTTTGACCAGCGTCTCGACGTCGATTTCATACTCCAACGGTTCGATCGCTTCATACAACGCGCGCATCCATCTCGACAGCTCTCGGGGACTGTAGATGTAGTGCGGCTGCATCTCAGCAGAGAATTTCTTTTGGTTGCTATCATATACATCAACCATCGCATCGGTAAGTGGCTGCACGTAAGAACGAAGGGATGGGGTCAACTTCAGCAGAGCGCGGTTGAATGTTCCGTAGATCTGCTTTAAAGACGGATACGACGGGAAATCAACCAGGAGAATAGGGGCGTGACGCAGTAGGCGAAGTGAAATAGGGACACGGCCTGGGTCAGTTGGCGGGTTACAAGCGCCAACGAACTGAATGCGCTCCAACCGAACCCAAGCGTTCTTGCCACCCAACCAGAAGCCACCTTGTTCAATAAGTTGCCGCAAGAATGTGATCACGCGTTGCGTTCCATAACGATCAGCCTCGGGAAGGTTAATTTCATCGCAGAACACGACCAGCCATTTCTCCGGTGCATTCGGCGACAGCATCATTCCATTCGGAGTACGTTTGTACTCACAATACTGAGAAAACGTTTTCAGAATGAGTTCGGGCGAAGTTCCAGACGAAAAGTTGAGGCTTGCAAATTCGAACTCAGGCAAGGAGTTGATCGTTGAGGTCAACGTCATCGTCTTACCACTACCAGGGGGACCACACAGAATAAGCGGCCGATGCTGCGAAAGCCACCCTCTCAGCACTTCAACGTGGCGAATTGTGTCTACCGTTGTCACTACGACATCCGTTGACAAGACTTGGTGGCTCTCAAGATCCAGTTGCGGGATCGATCGGAGCCACTGGCGCCACGCGCCGTCATCAATGTTCACTTCGTATTCAAGCAGAGTGTTATCCGGGCTCGACGACGCAGCAACAGGGAACATCAAGCGGTTTTCAAGGGTTTGCACCACGAAATCACATAGATCCATGCGATTCACTGAGTCCATCGAGCCTCCGAATCCCCAAAGAATCGAGAACACGAACCACTTCGGCACGAAACGTGACATCTGGTCAGCAGTCATCGGGAAATCGGAGTGGCCTTCGTTATACTCATTGATACGAGTCAGGCCCCTTCCAAGCAGAGTAAACATCGACATTAGCAAGCGCAGGGTCGTCACCTCCATAATGTGCGTTTGGCCCATCGCCTGCTCCAAGCAAATCTCAATCAACGAAGGCATGCCATCACCACGATCAATTAGGTCTCGCAGAAGAGCAACGTAGGTCTGTGCGGTCTTCTTGGCAAGTCCACTCTCCGTTGGCTGCAGAGAGAACGACGAAATGACAGATACGTCATCCCGCATTTTCAGCAGATAGTGCTCCACGATGTGGCATGTCTTAACCGTATCATGAGAAAACCAAACCATGCCGCAACGACTGACTGTAGCCAGCGTCGCGTAACGCAGCGTCTCCGTTTCCATCATGATCCACACATTAGGGGGAATCTCAAGGCGTTCTCCAGAAGGAAGCGTCAGCAGACGGTTATCATCCAGCACGGAATTCAGGTTTTCAGCCCACTCAGGATCCACATCGCCATCGAAAATAATCCAGTGCCGCTTCTCACTTTCACCTCTTACGCTGTTAAGAACCTGGCGAAGCAAGTGAGTAAATACACCGTCCGTCCATTCCAGCGTTGTGTTATCAAGAACACCATAGAGATGCTCCTTAGACAGTGCCTTGGGGTCAATCACGTGTGCTTCACCCTTTACGCCATCAACAAGTTCCATGGCGTCCATCAGCACTCGCCATGCGCTCGACTTTCCTGTTCCAGAGGCGCCAACAAGCATCACGCCGTGACGAAGCTGCATCACCTGATACAACTGCAAAGCCTTTTCGACCCATTGGTCGTTCGCGACATAATTATTCTTCTTCGCCAACTCCACGATCTTCGCACGTAGGTTGTCTTCCTCAATACGATGAGCTTCGGTGCCGGGAAACACACCCGTCAGCAGTGTCTCGAACACCGGTACATCGTGAGAAACGAGTTTCGGTAAAATCGTATCCGTAATGGAGCCAATCAGAGCCTTCGTCTCTAGTTCCTCGATGTTGGCTGGTGCCACACTATCCTGCGACTGAGTGATCTTTCGCTTAAGCTGACCAGCACTAACAAGCACGCTCTTCAATGCGCGAAGGCCAAAATCGTAGTGAGGTTGCTTCGAAAGTTGGTCTTCACAGAGGTTGAACAAAAGGACAACCTTGGCAGAGATTTGTTCGGCTGTGGTAATGCCCTGAGAGAAAAGCATCACCTGCGCGATCAGTTCACGGTCCGGAGCAACCATTGCAATACTTCGGAATAGTTGCTTCAAGTTGTCAGGTAAATTCGATCGTCCAGCGTAGCCCGGGTTCATAGTCACGAAGATACCCACATCAGGATTCAGCTTGACGCTCTTACCCAGCAGCTCAATCGTAGTGCTGGAGCTGCCACCGTTCATAACGACATCAGTGCTCTTTCCAACCTTCAATGACGACACTCCACTCTGGATCGCCAAAATTTGCTGGGATACAGCAGAAAGCACGCGCTCCTCGAGACGGTTAAACTCATCAAAACAACCCCAAGCACCAACCTGACAAAGACCCACAAAAATTCGTCCCATCGCTTGGAAATCAAAGTGCTCGTCACAGTTGAACACCAATACAAAACGACCTAGGTGGGAACCCAGGGCCTTAACGGACTCCGTCTTGCCAGTACCAGCCGGACCGAACGGGTTTCCACCCATTCCGAAGTCCAACGCCTGGGTCAGCGTGAGGTAGCAACGCTCAGTCAGAGGCGTCTGCACAAGCCTCTCTCCAACACCGAAATACTCAAAGCCATACGAAAAGCTCGCATTAGAAATCTGGATAGTGAGTTTCTTGAGCGGGTCCGATTCCTTAGCTTGGAAGTAGTGTCGCATGTGATACAACCAACGGAAGTCCTCAGCGCTATTAACCTTGGCTTGACTCAAACGTTTCGTTACGCTTTTCTGGTGCACAAGCTCGGTAATAAGCTGCTCGTATTTCTTCCGGACATCATTCTTCACATCTGTGAGAACGCGGTCGCTCAAAATGAATAGTAGCTTATCCAACTGCTCCAACACCAGTGACAGGTCACCACTACCAGCCTTCAGCACATTTTCGACTTCGTTTGTCCATTGCACTTCGGTGGCAAGAATCACCACTTGAGCCGGGTACTCCGAAACCCATTTCAAATACGTGTCAGCACTGTCATCGGTAGGGTAGGATCGCACAGCTTCTTCCAAAAGAAGCGACAGTGTTTTGCGCATCTGCTCCTCCACCTTACCCAGCCATACGTTGATGCGGGTATCTTCCGTGGTCTTAACGGGCTCCTTAAACTGCACAACCTCGCCTTCACGAGATGCCATTCCCAAAATCACACCCGTGTTGTTGTCCATTTCCAACGAGGATATTCCGGCAAACATCTTCGAAAGATGACGCTGGATCTGCATCGGTTCCTTGCTGTTACCAATCATCTCCAACAAATCTTCATCACCAACGAAATAGAAACGGGGGAAAGCTGCTCGTTGCCTCTCCAAGTATTCACCCAAGGCACGCTGAACATTGCCCATCATGTCTTGCTGACGCTCAAGCGAATGGTACAAGTTCGGTATGTTAGCAACGTCCACAATCATGGGCTTGTGCGCAACACGCTTCATTGTCGAAGTGAACTCGTTATCAACGCTTTGGAAACGCGCGAACTCATTCGGCAGCTGCTGCTTAATGTCCGCAGACCCGAAGAAGATACCTTCAAGGTACACCCAACGCCTTTGGACATCAATCCAAAAATCCAGGATGCTTCGGATTCTTGTAAGCTTGTCTTCCCAGCTGGTCGCCAGCTCTGCAAACACGCGGTAGTACGGTGACTGCTTCATACTGCTCAGACTATTCAGGTGTTCATCAAGCTTAGCAAACATCTCGTCCCACCCACGAATGACTCGGCAGCGATTCTGGTAATTAACCAGATCTAGCTGGTAGTTGGTCCAGTAGTCCGACACTTGGCGCAAAAATTCGTCAAGTGCCATTTCTCCCTGGGCCGTACGAATGATTGACTTCAACTCGTTATCATTGGCGGAGATCTTCGACTCCCAGAAACTGCGCAAGGTCAACTCCGTGAACGGAGATGAGATATTCAGCAGCCGCAAAATTTGCTTCCAATGACGATCACGAACGGCATCAGACTTCAGTTCTGACAGCAAAGAGTTCATCGCCTTCCGAGACTGAATCAACGATGTGTAATGCTCAAAAGCCTCATACTGCTGGATACGAGCAGGGAAACGCCGCATCTCGTCAACGATTTCATCCAGCTGCTTCCGGACCTTGCGGGGATGAACTGCAGACCACAGTGTGTCTTGCAGCTCGTCAACGTGAGCCCAGACCTTGGAAATACTCTTCCAAACTTCGTCCAACCCAGATAGTTCTTCCATTGCCCTTGAAAGATCACCGTACGAGCTGCGATCGTCATCAAGTGAAGACCCTCCCATTCCCGACACATAGGAAATGTTCAAAGCGTCTAGCGCAGCGTTAGTTTTGTCTTGTTCAGCACGCAACAACTTGAAGCGTGTGTCGTAGACGATCAGCAGTTCCGTGGCTGCCTTCGGTGACTGGCCACCTTGCAACGGTTTAGCGCTGTCCCATTCAGTCACAGCCTTGCTGATCTTGCTGTCCAATGCACTCTTTTCTTCCATGATTTTGGCCTGCAATTGGGGCAACTGACTCTCCATAGCAGCAGTCTTCCGCTCAAGGAGCTGGATGAACGCTTCCCACTCGCCCTCCACATTAGCCAATGACGGCCAGTCAGCAGAGAACCTGTATCGCTGCTTTTTCAGCAAACGCTCTCCCTGTTCAAACGACTCCACTGCTTCTTCCCACTGGACTCGCATCTGGCGCATTTCTTGGATAAGCGTGATCGCAGCAACCACTTGCGCCGTGGCAGCTTCAAGCGCATGCTGCTCCAGTAGCGTTCTCTTGGACGAAATCGTGGAGTAGAACGAGTTGATTTGGTCGCGGAGAAGATCGCCAAAGTAAGCAAGGAACTCGTTGTGCCACGCATCATACTTCACATTCACTTGAGCTTGCACTTGCTGGTAGTTAATCACCAACGGGCCGAAGCGTTTCGTGTTGAAGACGGCATCAAAGGCGTTGCGCTCGTTTTTAATTTCCACCAGAATTTGTTGCCACTTCCGAAGGTCCTCTCCAACACTGTTCAATGCAGTTTGAGCATCCATATCCCACAAAGCCTGATACTGCAGCCACGTCGACGCATACTTGTCCACATCACTCACAGTAACATCAAGCACGCTGTATGCCTTAAGCAGCAAGTCAAGAGGCACCTGATTAAGAGCTTCCTTGAACACAGCCTCACGCCGCCTCGAGCTGGCACTCTTACGAGGTGGCGATGACAAGGCAGACACAGTGGACTTCCCATAGACATTTTCATACGAGGAGGTCTGAATCTTTGGCAGGTCGCACACGGAGTTCAACAAATTCTGAAGCTGCGCCAACCAATCACGACGCGCATCACCAACTGAAGGTTCCAAATACAGGACCTGGTTCTTCAAAAGGATCTGGTGAGTTGTGATGCTAAGTCCAGCTTCGGCAACTGCAGCCTGGAAAGATTTTTCATCAGCCTGAGGCCCAAAGCAAGAGACCCAACGTTGCAGTAGAACTTCCAACTTCTTGCCCAGAATGCCACTGATCAAAGTGTTCAGGTTTTTGACAAACACATGCAAATTCGCGTAACCAGCCAAACTTAGTTCGTCCACGTGCGCTTGAATTTTCACCAAAACTGCTCGAACCTCTGCAGCTTGGAAGTCTGAGCTAGTTCGGACACTTTCCAGGAGGCTGTCAATCTCGCTAGTTTTCTGCAGCACTCATCCACCTTGTCGTGCAAGCGCTCCACCTTCGTTGCAAGATCAGTAACATACTCGCCCAACCCATCTGCATGCCATCGCATTTCGTTGCCCTTCGTAAACGTCTTGCCAATGGTAGCACGCACTTCTCGAACATACGCCGCCGTTAGTGCTTCAAAAATGGGTTGGATACGTCGGCACGAGCTTGTGTACGTCTTGAGACTCGCGTCCAGAGACATTGCAAACGGGTATTTCGACTTCGCATCTTCCGCAATCATCTTGAGAGTGAAAGGCACTCGGTAGCCCAACCACTCCAGGTTTCGCACTTCCTTGAACAGTGTCACGATTTGCTGGTTGAAAGCGACCACCAGTTTCTTCTTCTCACCCTGAGGCGTGTCCTCCGTCACAATGTTCAGAATAATATTCTTGATGTCAAAGATGGGCATTGATGCCAAATCGTTCACCCACTGGTCGAAGATTAGCTGCGGGTTGAGCTTGGCAATAAACGCCTCAGCGGCTGCTTTAAGCGCCTTTCCCTCCACGTGCTGCTCCCAGCCAACACCGAGAACACTTTCAACACGAGACAGGAGCATTTTCAGCTTGCGTTCAATTTGCTTGGCCCACATTACCGCACCAGCAATAGGCGGGATATCGCGAAGCTTGCTTGTACGTGACGCCTCCGAGTAAGCATAATGCGCACGGAACTTGGCTTGGAGGTTGCTCACGTCCTCCTTCACATTTTCGATCAACTGCATCTGAAATTGCTGCACGGCACTGCGGATACGAGGACGGAAAAACAGCGCGTTGTACTTGGAGAAAACGCGGAACATCTCGTCAGCATTTGACGTAGCGCTCAGTCTGCTGGTAAGACTGTTGATAATTCGCCCTTCCACACGGTCGATGCACAGGTCGTACGCTTTGCGCAGGTTCTTCCAAGCAGTCACGCCTTCACCCGATACATCCAGCGGATCCAGCGAATTCAACTGGGAATACGCCGAGTTAATTTCAGTGAGTGCGTCATTTGTCCCATCGCTGCCACGAGCCTCCTCCAGACCAATCCCATTGGAACCACCCAGCACTCTCTGAATCACTTCACGTAGCTTTTCGTGCTGCTCTCGGAATTCATAGAGCTCTAACAGTCGCTCCTCAATAGCCGCATGCTCCATCTGCAACTCGGAAAGCAACGGAAGCTTCTCCGTGTTGATTGATCCTCCTCGTCGCTTGAATAGTTCTTTCGTTAGATCATAAAGCGTTGCAACCTGGCGGTGCCAGTTCGCGAAAAGCTCCTTGCACGAAGAGATGAGCTGCTCGAACTGGTTGAAAGGGACCTGGATGAGACTGTAAACTCGCAACAGGCTGATGACCTGCTGGGTGAGGTCGCTCGACATGACCTCCACCAAGCGCAACAGGCGCGACAGGTTGTAAGAATCAGCCACGCGTATCTTCTTCAAGTGGGTGAAGACGAGCGTCAATCCCTGGTTCAGCTGGTTGATGTCCGTTGCGGACAAAATGGAGTTCATCGGGAACTCCTTCATCAGCGTCATAACACTAGACACGTGCTGAATCGCCGGGCCGAGGCCGTGGTCGGCACTAAAGGTCACCGTTGCCAGATATCTCTTGGCGCGCTGCAGCACGGCCAGCGTAATCTCCACCTCCGGCGACTTGAGCTTCTCCTGAACAGCAAGCAGCGCGCGATTCAGATCGCACCAAAAGTTGATTTCCTGCATGGCAGTTCCCGGCAGAGGCTCGTTGATGAGCCGCGTAACCTTTTGGATCTCCTTGATCCACTTGCTCACTCCTCCCTGGATAGTGTTCACGAACACGACGTCGTTCACCTTGTCCTCGAGTCCCAGCGCTTCCACATCGATCAGTACGCCCTTCTCGCGCACCAGGTCCGCAGCCTGCTGGATCACCGGGTGGAAGATCAGGTTCACCTCGGGGATCTCAATGTTCTGCTGGTACTGAAGCAAGGCGAGCTCGAGCTCCTTCATCCTGCGTCGAATGGCCGGCAGACCTCTTGTGCCCTCGCTCAGGTTGGTCATCTCGCTCTGCGGCATGTGCACCTTGGAGTACTCGTTCACGAGCGGCGTGAACGACTGGTGCACGTAGTTGTACACGACCGAGAGCAGGTTGCCCCTGTCTTCGTCCTCCTCCTCCGTGTTCTCGCCGCTGGTGGTGGTGGCCGTGTCCGAGTCCCCTTCCGCCGCAGCGGGGGAGGACGAGGACGATCCCAGGCCGAGCGTCATGACCTGCAGCTGGTGGTTGAGCGTCTGGTCCTTGGCCAGCGGCGCGCTGAAGCGCTTGATGAAGCACACGACGTCGTGGCCGCTCTTCTTGCCGGGCGCGTACTCGATGCCCAGGTTCACGCGCACGCGGAAGCCCGGCACGGAGCCGTCCATGGGGCTGTCCTCGTCTGCGCGCGCGGGGTAGCAGTGCACCTGCAGCACGCGCGTGGCGGAGTCGGACACGAACTGATCCAGAGTGATGGTCGCCTCGGACGCCTCCAGGTCGGCCTTGAAGCTGTCCACGCTGAGCGCCGCGCCCTCGCCGAACAGCGGCATGCACGTGGCCAGCAGGTAGCGCTGGAAGTCGCCCACGGGCAGCACATCGGCCGCCGTCACGTCCGCGCTGCTCGCCATGCGCCCGTCGTCGATCTTCCCGTCGATCCGGCAATTCTCTTCCAGGACCTCCTTAATTAACCACGTCGCCTACATCATCTCTCCATCGATCATCGTCTGGATGTCAGGTTGGACCCTCCCTTTCTTCAACTCGAGCACGCTAGGGTCGGCCACGTGCCACCCGTTGTCTTCGCCAGGAAGAGCTGCAGCTTGTGTGCGTCGATGTCCTTGAAGTTGTTCGGCTTCTCCGACGATGGCACAGATAAGCCCATCTTTCTACTGTAGTAGAAGTATTATTGTGAAAACCGCTTCTTTTGCCTATTTTGGTTGTAAATCGATTGATTAGCACCCTGATTTATTAATAGCTCGATCGATTTGTAAATCGATCGCGTCCTTGCGACGCATATGTGAGAGTGGGTACGATCGATTTATGTGAAACCAGTCGATATAGACGCGTTTGGAGCAGAATGCCCACCTTTTACTGGGCAATCGTGCAGCCTGGCGATGCATATGGATTACAATCGATTTATACCCTGATTTATACTCTGATTAATTAGGCAATTGAGATGTAATAAGCGGTTGCTACAGGTGGGCATTTTGGCCGGTTATTACAATAATAGTTCTAGACTAGAAGTAAGCAAGTCGTATTATTCGCCAATCACATCACTACCAGGTAGATTTGATACTGTCACCTGTGAAGCAACTTTGAGTTGAGCACTTTTACTAGCAGAGGACGTATTACCAATTCAATTTGCAGTCAATTCATTCGTAGCGTGGGCCACACTGGGCAAGGCTTTTCTTGTTTGCTTCTGCCAGGCAGTGCGAGAAAGAACAACATCGGCAACCATGACCACAGCAACCGGCAAGAAGAAAGACCACGAAGACGTGCTTGCGCGACTGGTGCGTGACCTAGAGTCGGAGAAGACTCTGTGCCGTGTCAAGGACTACGCTGGCGTGTCCCTCGAGCAGCTCAACCAGCACGCGAAGAAGCACGGCCCGTTGGTCCATCCAACACTTGGCGAGCAGCCCGGCTTCTTCGTCGACGAAGGCCGATTTGTTCCATTCCGGATAGTGGTGTTCGGACGCAGCGTGATCGGGCCATACATCTGCAAGGCGCTGCTGAATTGGGCTGCGTGGAGTGGCCATGGTGGAAGAGTGACAGATGCGCAAGGCGAATACGTGCTGGATGGCACAACGCTCCGGGTCCCCGATGTGGCGTATGTGCCTCGAAATGATGCAAGGCAGCTGACCGAAACTCAACGATGGACTCGTGGTGGAGAACCTTTTGCTCCGACGTTCGTGGTGGAGATCGACACTCTCACTGATCCACATTCCAAGCTTGATGCTCTCGATCACAAGATGCGGCGCGAGTACTTTCCTCACGGTGTGCAATTGGGATGGCTCATTGATCCAAAGAACAAAATCATGTACGAATACAAGCGATACGCCCAAGAAAATTGTATTGTTCGACGCATTGGCAATAGCGCGTGGAGAGATCTTGATGGCGGTACCGTTCTTCCTGGCTTCACTCTTCATTGCGAAGATTTGGACGGTGTGTTGGACCAGGAATCCGGATCGTCATCCGAAGAAGAAGTTGATCTCGTGTGCCCTGTTCCAGCGTGCGGGCTACGATTGCGATCGTATGGTGAATTTGCTGCTCATGCTGAATGGCACCGTGCTGAAAGTGCTAGAGCTCGACGTAGAGCAAACCGTGCGAACCAGTAATTCAAGTGAAGTTTTTCACGTTAGCAGACACAACGCTTTTTGATATATTGCATGTCATAAGAATAAAAACTGATAGCAGGCGGCTGCCGCTGCGGAACCACTAAACCATCTTCACGAAACCTTGCAGGTGGATCTGGAATTCAGAGAATAGAGCCAAGGTTGAGTCCAGCCATGACCACGGCAAGCCTGAGCTGATGTGGATACTACGTTACACCAGAGTTCTTCCTACGGATTCGATGGCTGGTAGCTCCCAACATCGAAGCTGGCAGAAAACCGCGATTCTACTCAATGGCACTAAGAACGATTGATGTCTTAGGATTGCAGTGTCTCCAGGCATCACTTTCTATTTAGTTTAAGTTAAAAATGCCAAAACCTCCTGAGCCAGAGAAAAATGGTGAAGGCTTCGCGGTTGTCGGTACAAAGCTCTGTTCATCCATCTCAATTGACCTGAGTCTGGGGGTACTTGTGCACAGCATGAAGAGCAGAATTGAAGAAAAAGGATCCGTGGATGATACAGGGTAGCTGCCTACGTCACCTTTGGTTCAGGAGTCGCCTTTGTACGTCGTGTTGGGCACTGGGAAGAACTCCAGAGCCGTACCGTTCATCGGGGGCTTGAGCTTGTGCGAATCCTTATCAGCCTCCTTCCGATCGACTCGGTCGTCGAGCTGACGTTGCCCACGTGGTCGACCTTGCTTGTCGTGGTACTTATCGTCCTTAGTAGGCTTCGGAGTCGAGTAGTGCTTGTCCTCCGTGGGCTTGGGCGTCGGGTGGTACTTCTCCTCAATTGGCTTGGGCGTCTTGTAATGCTTCTCTTCTGTTGGCTTCGGAGTCGGGTAGTAGCGCTTGTCGTCGTGCTCAGTTGGCTTCGGACGGTGCTTGTCATCTGAAGGATTCGGTGTCGGCTTGTGCTTGTCGTTCTCGTGCTCTTTGTGCTCCGTGTCACCTTCGCAAGCATCCCGGAAGCTACACGCCATCTTGTGCGCGTTCAACTTGGCTCCGGAGAGAGACAGGTAGCAGTCGGCAGGCTCGAGAGCGAGGACGTCTTTAACCAGCGCACGGCAAGCCTCAGCAGCGCACATGGCCTTGACTTGCGGCTCCGTATCGGCGGGACCAGGCCAAAGCCGGCCGAGACCTTCTGGCATGAATGCAGGTGTGGGTTAGCGTAGAGCTCAGCGAACTTGACCACCTCGCTCGGAGGACAGGCGTCTTCAGCTGCGGCTGCGGAGATGCTGAGCAGGAAGAGGAAGACGGCGGCGAACTGCATCTCCGACTGAGAGTCGACGCGGAGAAAGTCGCCCGAAGCATGAGTGCGGTTGTCGGTTGTCGGTTGTAGGTGTCTGGATCTGGTTGCCAACTTGGAAGCAAATTGGAGAATGAGCAAGAGGCGAGTGAGAGTCGAGAAGCTCTCGGAAGAACTTGGCCCTCCATTGGCAAAGTACGACACCGGCACCCTAGATTCTCTTGCAACGTAGAATGAAGACGAGGGACGAGAAGGGAAGCCAAGCAACTTATCGCAACCCACTTCCACTACAATCGAGGGCTCAGCACTTCATCGATAACCATTAGAAAGAGACAAGCATGCTTGAAGTAGATTGTATTGATCGATGATATAGGTAAACACTACACAAATGCAGAGCCCCTCGGGGCATTTCCCTTAGTAGCTGCGAGTAGCAGCGGTCATTCATGCATACTTTCGCGTCTCATCTAGGCCTGCGATTCCCAGAGCACAAGCGCCACAGAGCGCTGTACCCATTTCTTTTTCGGGAATGCGGCGTCCTCAACGTTGACGGCCACGGAGAAGAGGAGCGTGTCGCGCTTGCTGCTCGAATACACTGGAAGCAGTCGCAGGTTGTCCGCTTCCTCATTGCGTGGGGCCCAGCGAAGGTGCAACGCCGATAGACTGTTGCGAATTTCATTCGACGGTGAGAAGCCGGTAAAGTTCCAGGTGGCGCCTTCGAGCAGCAGGCCGCGAGCGGTAAATCCGCCAGCTGATGAGACCGAAGGGTCCTCCACATCGGCAAGCAGGTGCAGCTCATCCAGCGAGCAGCCGAGATCCGCTGCAGCACTCTGGCGGGCAGCAGTCACGAACGCCTCAGGCGAGAAGAATCCACCCAGCCAGATCCCTTCAGTCTGCTGCAGAAGCTCCGTTGGTGCAACTTGCGCCAACGCGTTCAGCTGGTGTACGCGTCGAGAGAAGTCCGAGAGCCACTCGTTCAGGTTGAGCTCGTCGGAAACACGGTACAACTGAGCCCATTGCGGGGGCACTTGGTCGCGGTAGAGCGTACGCAGAGCCTCCCGCGTTTCGTTCGACGGCTTGGCCTTATAAGCGCACACACGCTGCACAGTTTGGAGCAGACCAACCACATTGTTCAGGAATGACGCTCCAAGTTCGAGCTCACGGAACATGCAGCGGTAGACAGGGTTGCCGAAGTGGACGGGGTCGCGCACTGTAGGCACTGCGAGTCCTTCCGCCGGGAAGAGCTGAAGCCATGCACCAACACGGTGATCCAACTCCTGGACCCACTTCGGTCTCGCATCAGCACCATCCGCCGCCGCAGTACCCAGTACCATCTTGCTCTCGTCGTCTCCGCCAGCACTATCATCTCCACCTTCACTTCCGTAGAAGTCTTGCATCACTTGCAAGTTACGCAACATGCGCGCGCCCTGGCTGATAAGAACCATCATCTCTGCTGAGCGTGGCAGACCCATCCATGAAGGCGGATTCGTCGTTGGAAGAGAAAAGACCCACTCCATGAATTGTGCCTTGGTCTTACCCTCAGCAATCACCAAGCCGTTGCCATCGTCCGTCGCGACAAGCTCAAAGGTGTTCTCGTAACTAGCAGCCGTGAACACGTGCTCCAAAAGCGTATCCATCAACTCCTGGTCGAACGTGTTGTCAACGCGGCCACCGTACACTGACTCCTTCAGCGTGGTTCGGATAGCTGTCCAAGGAATGTTGTCAGGAGCAACGTGTGCACGGCCGCTGGCGACTGAGTCAACCCAACGATCAATAACATCGCATGCACCTCTGAAGTCGGATTGGCTGAACTCGTACGTTTTCGACCAGCCAATTGGCACGTAGCGCAGTCGCTCGTGCACCAGCGCATGGAACCAAGCCAACAGCAAGTAAAGGCGTGCACGCTCGGCTGGTGAGCTATTCATGCGGTCAGCAGCCACCGTGTCTAGCGATCGCACCATGCTGAGTTTCATGCCGCTCGGTGGCTCGAACACGAAGATATCACACATGCGGACGAGATTCACCGGCAAGTTCGGGTTGATCTCGCTGGTCAGGAATAGGCGGAAGTTCGGGTGCACACTTTCGCGCGCGTTGTAAAGCTTCTTCTCCACGCTCACAAGCCACGACGGGCACAAGTGCACGTTGCGTAGCAGCAGCCAGGTGCCATGTTTCAACGCCGTGTTGAGCCCCTTCTCAGCCGCATCGAAACCTTCCGATGAACCCATGGACACCGAGTTGTATTTCTTCTGCAAAACTGCCGCGAGCTCATCGATCTGCGCGCTTGGGTCGAAACCAGTCGTAGAGCACAGAAGCACTCCACGCGTTGCCTGCGTGTCCTCTTGGATATTCTTCGAGAGCTCGATCTCGCCACGCCACGGGAACGAGGACGTAAACACCAGTTCAATGTATCGCTCCGACGCGAATGTGATTCGATCAGGCCGTAAGAAATGAATCACAATCATGTTTCGGAATGCTGCACGGCGCGGACTTGCCGAGGCTGCCACATACGTCGCATCCCAGTCAGCTGGAAGTGCTTCCTCCGCTGAGGGAGTCTTCACAAAGGCATTCCATTCGCTAGCATGCTCGCGCACGTGCTCCTCCAGGTGCTTGAACGTCGACAGCTTCATCAACTTGATTAGCTGGTCCATTTCAGTCTTCGAGAAAGCCGTTAGCAATTGCTCAAGTTCAGTGCGCTGGGAGCCATTGTCAGCCTTAAAGAAGGTAGACGAGCTTCCAAGAAGTATATCCATATCCTCATCACTAGGTCCATCAAACGCGCTGCTATCATCCATAGTCGTCTTGGCGTCAGCAACAGCAGCACTCTGCTGCTCCAGTGCCAAGTAAATCTGCGATAGTCTTAGAGCAAACATAAGCTTGTCGTTCTCGGCAAGTCCTCGGCTGACTCGGCTGGCAAGCTGCACAAAGAGACCCTTCGAAATACTGGCAAGTCGCACCGAATCTCCTCCCTCAGTCGGCTGGGCCAAAACCTTAGACAGCAACGACAGGAAGAAATCAAGCGAATACTGGTAGAGGAAGTGAACCGATGACAGGTTCTCCAGCGCGAAGAACAGCTGAGAACTCGCCTTCGCAAGCGGGCGGTAGCGGCTTGTCGCTGTCTCCACAATCGCCATCGTCGATTCCGTTTCCGCCACTTGCTGCGAAATCTGGGCTGCTTCCGCCTTCATGCTTTCCAAAGCGTTGATTACCCGATCATCATCCAAAATGTTGCCTTGCACATTATTGATTTGCTGAAGCAACGAGTCCTCCAGCTCGCGCAATTTTGCTTGGTACTCGCCCTGCAACTTCAGAAGATTATTCCGTTTCTCCTCTGCTTCCGGCTGCTCGCTCTTGAGCAGAATGCTCAAGCCCTGACTTTCAAGGGAGCTGGGAGTGACCGTGAAATTCACGAACGTCACACGACTGCAAATGTCAGGCGAGAACCGGCAAGATGGGTCTCTTGTGATCAAGAAGAGTCGGAAATCTGGCGAGTAGTCGATTTCCTCTCCAGCCAAGCGAATCAGCACACGTCCACCCGTCTTGTAAAGCTCTCGGTTCAGCACTGGATTCAGGATCGGATCAATATTCTCCACTTCATGAACCAGAAGTGCAGTGCCAAAGCGAATGGCACTGGCCAACACCTTCATAAAGGAGCTGTCCAAGAACGACGTCTGCGCAATTTTCGTGCTTGTCTTGAGGCTGTAGTACTTCATAATGAAGTTGTTCGCCTGTCCGGAAGGATCGATAATCAGTGGGAAGCGGTGGAAGCGCTGCAGGATAATGGCATTCTCGTAGCACAGCTCGTCCGAGGGCAAGTCACTCATCTGCCACTCCAACTGTTCGTTAGGGCGGGACAGATAGTCCACAAAACTCAACTGGGGCTTCGTGCTGATGCCCATTGAGTCGAGGATGTCTCGCCAATCTTGCACAAGAATCTTGCGCTGCTGGAAATCAAGGAAGCCGATGTATGTGAGGAACGCAGAGGACAATAATGTGTCGCCCACGAGCGTCTTCATCTGGGTATCGAAATCATTGGAGCCAGCCTCCCATCGCTCGCTTTCTTGAAGCAGACTCTTCAGCAACGCCACTGAGCGTTCTACCTTCTTCGATACCGATGCCATGTCGTTCGTGATCACCTGCGCCTCATTGATCAACGCTGCATACTCGTGCTTAAAGTTTTCAATGCGGACCTCCAGAGCGTCAATAGTTTTCTTGGCTTGTTCGTATCTTTCACGTAGATCCGAAGACGTGTCAATCAGGGTCTGCACCTCTTCTCTCAATGGTTGAATCTTATGCAGGATGTTCGTGTAGTTGAGCTGCGATACAATCCACTTGTAAAGAGGGCCGCAAGCCTTCGAGGCACGGTTGACCTTTTCGTAGTCGAACTCATCCACCTTGTCGACGTAGTTCGTTTGAATTGTGTGTCGCTGACGCGCTGTAAGCTTTTCGGAGTCGAAGTTCACAACCTGGGAAATGAAGTCGTCTTTTCGGATAAAACGACGCAAGTCGGCCCATTCTAAGCTCGACTCGCCAAGCATAACCGCTACAGCCTCCATGGTCATGCGAACGGCAGCAGGAGGTCGAGCGAGGGCACGGATTTCATCAAGCTGCGCCTTGCGAATTGAATTCACAGATGCTTGGGCGTCCAACAGAGCAGGCTCGGCCTGGGCAAGGTCAGCTTCGACGACCTCTTTCCGCGAACGAATCTCCTCGTCCTTACTCGCAAGATCAGCAGCAAGCTCCTCCGTATCCTTCTTCTTCCTTTCAGCCTCATTTTGCTCCTGCACCATTTGCTGGAGCTTCTCGTTAGCCTCAACGTCCTTCTTCTTGAGCTCCTTCTCCTTAAGACTGAGTTGACCCTGCAGCTCTGCCACTTGTTCATGAGTAGCCTGTAGCTTTTGCACGCCTACGTTCAAGTGAAGCTGCTGGTCCTCCAGCTGCGCCCGCTTTTCGGAATACAGCGACACGAAGTGGCGGATAAACTCCAAGTAATCCCGAGGCGAAATGTGGTTGTACTTCATGTGACGCTTCTGAAGACGACGCATGTGTAGTAGAACAGCATGATGGAACTGAACGATACTTCCAACCAGCACGTCACGGAACGTTCCAGTAGCGATATGCGGAATCAGCTTCGCCAAAACATCTGCAGCATCATTTGGAATGACAAAGTCTGCGGATCCCGCAAGATCAAGCGTGTTCGTGAATTCATACGCCACCTGTGCCAATGCATGATCATTCCATGTACCGAACCAATCAACCACGCATCGGTTGAAAAGAGCCGGCGAGGTGTTAGTACGATTCTGGAAGTCGCCCGAAGCGGGGTTCATCGTGAACACCACGTGCAAGTGTCGCTGTACTTGTTTTGTGAAGTACCGGAAGAGTTCATCTTCGGTATTTTCCACGATGACCCCGTCGCGCTGGACAGCTTCACGGCAAGCATGCATGAGTGACGTGTATTCATCGTCTTCGAACAGACCAGGCACTTCGCCGGACGCTAGCAGAGCGTTCATGCGCTCCAGGAAAGCCGAATCAAGAACGTTGGACTCATCGAAGATGAAGCAGATCTTCTCAGCCTCGCAACCGCATCGCTTGAGGACAACACGAAGGTCGTCATCAAAGTTATCCAGAGTATAGTTCGAGGTAAGCTTGATCTGGAAGACGGACATACCATTCATCCAACTAACGAAACGGGACAGAACGGTCTTACCGGCGCCGCTTTCTCCAACAAGCAGTAAGTGTCCAAGCGGTTGGCGAAGAACGCGGTCAATGCGAAGCACATGATCGATCACTGAATCGAATACGACCAGCTGAACGTTGAGTTCTTCTTCGTAGAAAACACGCAAGCGGGCTTCGATATGCTTGCGCAAATCTGTCGTTGTCACTTCAGTGTAGTTCTTCGAAAGCCACGTACTGAACAAAATTGGATGCTGACCGCCATACTCCACCACCTCCAAAGCAGTAGCACTTTGCGGGAAGTGATTCCTCAGGGTCTCCTTCACCATGTGGAAGCACCACTTCTGCTCGTCGGATGTCACCAAACGGTCCATGAAAAGGCGTAGCGCTTCGTGGAAAACCAGTTTGACCAGCGTCTCGACGTCGATTTCATACTCCAACGGTTCGATCGCTTCATACAACGCGCGCATCCATCTCGACAGCTCTCGGGGACTGTAGATGTAGTGCGGCTGCATCTCAGCAGAGAATTTCTTTTGGTTGCTATCATATACATCAACCATCGCATCGGTAAGTGGCTGCACGTAAGAACGAAGGGATGGGGTCAACTTCAGCAGAGCGCGGTTGAATGTTCCGTAGATCTGCTTTAAAGACGGATACGACGGGAAATCAACCAGGAGAATAGGGGCGTGACGCAGTAGGCGAAGTGAAATAGGGACACGGCCTGGGTCAGTTGGCGGGTTACAAGCGCCAACGAACTGAATGCGCTCCAACCGAACCCAAGCGTTCTTGCCACCCAACCAGAAGCCACCTTGTTCAATAAGTTGCCGCAAGAATGTGATCACGCGTTGCGTTCCATAACGATCAGCCTCGGGAAGGTTAATTTCATCGCAGAACACGACCAGCCATTTCTCCGGTGCATTCGGCGACAGCATCATTCCATTCGGAGTACGTTTGTACTCACAATACTGAGAAAACGTTTTCAGAATGAGTTCGGGCGAAGTTCCAGACGAAAAGTTGAGGCTTGCAAATTCGAACTCAGGCAAGGAGTTGATCGTTGAGGTCAACGTCATCGTCTTACCACTACCAGGGGGACCACACAGAATAAGCGGCCGATGCTGCGAAAGCCACCCTCTCAGCACTTCAACGTGGCGAATTGTGTCTACCGTTGTCACTACGACATCCGTTGACAAGACTTGGTGGCTCTCAAGATCCAGTTGCGGGATCGATCGGAGCCACTGGCGCCACGCGCCGTCATCAATGTTCACTTCGTATTCAAGCAGAGTGTTATCCGGGCTCGACGACGCAGCAACAGGGAACATCAAGCGGTTTTCAAGGGTTTGCACCACGAAATCACATAGGTCCATGCGATTCACTGAGTCCATCGAGCCTCCGAATCCCCAAAGAATCGAGAACACGAACCACTTCGGCACGAAACGTGACATCTGGTCAGCAGTCATCGGGAAATCGGAGTGGCCTTCGTTATACTCATTGATACGAGTCAGGCCCCTTCCAAGCAGAGTAAACATCGACATTAGCAAGCGCAGGGTCGTCACCTCCATAATGTGCGTTTGGCCCATCGCCTGCTCCAAGCAAATCTCAATCAACGAAGGCATGCCATCACCACGATCAATTAGGTCTCGCAGAAGAGCAACGTAGGTCTGTGCGGTCTTCTTGGCAAGTCCACTCTCCGTTGGCTGCAGAGAGAACGACGAAATGACAGATACGTCATCCCGCATTTTCAGCAGATAGTGCTCCACGATGTGGCATGTCTTAACCGTATCATGAGAAAACCAAACCATGCCGCAACGACTGACTGTAGCCAGCGTCGCGTAACGCAGCGTCTCCGTTTCCATCATGATCCACACATTAGGGGGAATCTCAAGGCGTTCTCCAGAAGGAAGCGTCAGCAGACGGTTATCATCCAGCACGGAATTCAGGTTTTCAGCCCACTCAGGATCCACATCGCCATCGAAAATAATCCAGTGCCGCTTCTCACTTTCACCTCTTACGCTGTTAAGAACCTGGCGAAGCAAGTGAGTAAATACACCGTCCGTCCATTCCAGCGTTGTGTTATCAAGAACACCATAGAGATGCTCCTTAGACAGTGCCTTGGGGTCAATCACGTGTGCTTCACCCTTTACGCCATCAACAAGTTCCATGGCGTCCATCAGCACTCGCCATGCGCTCGACTTTCCTGTTCCAGAGGCGCCAACAAGCATCACGCCGTGACGAAGCTGCATCACCTGATACAACTGCAAAGCCTTTTCGACCCATTGGTCGTTCGCGACATAATTATTCTTCTTCGCCAACTCCACGATCTTCGCACGTAGGTTGTCTTCCTCAATACGATGAGCTTCGGTGCCGGGAAACACACCCGTCAGCAGTGTCTCGAACACCGGTACATCGTGAGAAACGAGTTTCGGTAAAATCGTATCCGTAATGGAGCCAATCAGAGCCTTCGTCTCTAGTTCCTCGATGTTGGCTGGTGCCACACTATCCTGCGACTGAGTGATCTTTCGCTTAAGCTGACCAGCACTAACAAGCACGCTCTTCAATGCGCGAAGGCCAAAATCGTAGTGAGGTTGCTTCGAAAGTTGGTCTTCACAGAGGTTGAACAAAAGGACAACCTTGGCAGAGATTTGTTCGGCTGTGGTAATGCCCTGAGAGAAAAGCATCACCTGCGCGATCAGTTCACGGTCCGGAGCAACCATTGCAATGCTTCGGAATAGTTGCTTCAAGTTGTCAGGTAAATTCGATCGTCCAGCGTAGCCCGGGTTCATAGTCACGAAGATACCCACATCAGGATTCAGCTTGACGCTCTTACCCAGCAGCTCAATCGTAGTGCTGGAGCTGCCACCGTTCATAACGACATCAGTGCTCTTTCCAACCTTCAATGACGACACTCCACTCTGGATCGCCAAAATTTGCTGGGATACAGCAGAAAGCACGCGCTCCTCGAGACGGTTAAACTCATCAAAACAACCCCAAGCACCAACCTGACAAAGACCCACAAAAATTCGTCCCATCGCTTGGAAATCAAAGTGCTCGTCACAGTTGAACACCAACACAAAACGACCTAGGTGGGAACCCAGGGCCTTAACGGACTCCGTCTTGCCAGTACCAGCCGGACCGAACGGGTTTCCACCCATTCCGAAGTCCAACGCCTGGGTCAGCGTGAGGTAGCAACGCTCAGTCAGAGGCGTCTGCACAAGCCTCTCTCCAACACCGAAATACTCAAAGCCATACGAAAAGCTCGCATTAGAAATCTGGATAGTGAGTTTCTTGAGCGGGTCCGATTCCTTAGCTTGGAAGTAGTGTCGCATGTGATACAACCAACGGAAGTCCTCAGCGCTATTAACCTTGGCTTGACTCAAACGTTTCGTTACGCTTTTCTGGTGCACAAGCTCGGTAATAAGCTGCTCGTATTTCTTCCGGACATCATTCTTCACATCTGTGAGAACGCGGTCGCTCAAAATGAATAGTAGCTTATCCAACTGCTCCAACACCAGTGACAGGTCACCACTACCAGCCTTCAGCACATTTTCGACTTCGTTTGTCCATTGCACTTCGGTGGCAAGAATCACCACTTGAGCCGGGTACTCCGAAACCCATTTCAAATACGTGTCAGCACTGTCATCGGTAGGGTAGGATCGCACAGCTTCTTCCAAAAGAAGCGACAGTGTTTTGCGCATCTGCTCCTCCACCTTACCCAGCCATACGTTGATGCGGGTATCTTCCGTGGTCTTAACGGGCTCCTTAAACTGCACAACCTCGCCTTCACGAGATGCCATTCCCAAAATCACACCCGTGTTGTTGTCCATTTCCAACGAGGATATTCCGGCAAACATCTTCGAAAGATGACGCTGGATCTGCATCGGTTCCTTGCTGTTACCAATCATCTCCAACAAATCTTCATCACCAACGAAATAGAAACGGGGGAAAGCTGCTCGTTGCCTCTCCAAGTATTCACCCAAGGCACGCTGAACATTGCCCATCATGTCTTGCTGACGCTCAAGCGAATGGTACAAGTTCGGTATGTTAGCAACGTCCACAATCATGGGCTTGTGCGCAACACGCTTCATTGTCGAAGTGAACTCGTTATCAACGCTTTGGAAACGCGCGAACTCATTCGGCAGCTGCTGCTTAATGTCCGCAGACCCGAAGAAGATACCTTCAAGGTACACCCAACGCCTTTGGACATCAATCCAAAAGTCCAGGATGCTTCGGATTCTTGTAAGCTTGTCTTCCCAGCTGGTCGCCAGCTCTGCAAACACGCGGTAGTACGGTGACTGCTTCATACTGCTCAGACTATTCAGGTGTTCATCAAGCTTAGCAAACATCTCGTCCCACCCACGAATGACTCGGCAGCGATTCTGGTAATTAACCAGATCTAGCTGGTAGTTGGTCCAGTAGTCCGACACTTGGCGCAAAAATTCGTCAAGTGCCATTTCTCCCTGGGCCGTACGAATGATTGACTTCAACTCGTTATCATTGGCGGAGATCTTCGACTCCCAGAAACTGCGCAAGGTCAACTCCGTGAACGGAGATGAGATATTCAGCAGCCGCAAAATTTGCTTCCAATGACGATCACGAACGGCATCAGACTTCAGTTCTGACAGCAAAGAGTTCATCGCCTTCCGAGACTGAATCAACGATGTGTAATGCTCAAAAGCCTCATACTGCTGGACACGAGCAGGGAAACGCCGCATCTCGTCAACGATTTCATCCAGCTGCTTCCGGACCTTGCGGGGATGAACTGCAGACCACAGTGTGTCTTGCAGCTCGTCAACGTGAGCCCAGACCTTGGAAATACTCTTCCAAACTTCGTCCAACCCAGATAGTTCTTCCATTGCCCTTGAAAGATCACCGTACGAGCTGCGATCGTCATCAAGTGAAGACCCTCCCATTCCCGACACATAGGAAATGTTCAAAGCGTCTAGCGCAGCGTTAGTTTTGTCTTGTTCAGCACGCAACAACTTGAAGCGTGTGTCGTAGACGATCAGCAGTTCCGTGGCTGCCTTCGGTGACTGGCCACCTTGCAACGGTTTAGCGCTGTCCCATTCAGTCACAGCCTTGCTGATCTTGCTGTCCAATGCACTCTTTTCTTCCATGATTTTGGCCTGCAATTGGGGCAACTGACTCTCCATAGCAGCAGTCTTCCGCTCAAGGAGCTGGATGAACGCTTCCCACTCGCCCTCCACATTAGCCAACGACGGCCAGTCAGCAGAGAACCTGTATCGCTGCTTTTTCAGCAAACGCTCTCCCTGTTCAAACGACTCCACTGCTTCTTCCCACTGGACTCGCATCTGGCGCATTTCTTGGATAAGCGTGATCGCAGCAACCACTTGCGCCGTGGCAGCTTCAAGCGCATGCTGCTCCAGTAGCGTTCTCTTGGACGAAATCGTGGAGTAGAACGAGTTGATTTGGTCGCGGAGAAGATCGCCAAAGTAAGCAAGGAACTCGTTGTGCCACGCATCATACTTCACATTCACTTGAGCTTGCACTTGCTGGTAGTTAATCACCAACGGGCCGAAGCGTTTCGTGTTGAAGACGGCATCAAAGGCGTTGCGCTCGTTTTTAATTTCCACCAGAATTTGTTGCCACTTCCGAAGGTCCTCTCCAACACTGTTCAATGCAGTTTGAGCATCCATATCCCACAAAGCCTGATACTGCAGCCACGTCGACGCATACTTGTCCACATCACTCACAGTAACATCAAGCACGCTGTATGCCTTAAGCAGCAAGTCAAGAGGCACCTGATTAAGAGCTTCCTTGAACACAGCCTCACGCCGCCTCGAGCTGGCACTCTTACGAGGTGGCGATGACAAGGCAGACACAGTGGACTTCCCATAGACATTTTCATACGAGGAGGTCTGAATCTTTGGCAGGTCGCACACGGAGTTCAACAAATTCTGAAGCTGCGCCAACCAATCACGACGCGCATCACCAACTGAAGGTTCCAAATACAGGACCTGGTTCTTCAAAAGGATCTGGTGAGTTGTGATGCTAAGTCCAGCTTCGGCAACTGCAGCCTGGAAAGATTTTTCATCAGCCTGAGGCCCAAAGCAAGAGACCCAACGTTGCAGTAGAGCTTCCAACTTCTTGCCCAGAATGCCACTGATCAAAGTGTTCAGGTTTTTGACAAACACATGCAAATTCGCGTAACCAGCCAAACTTAGTTCGTCCACGTGCGCTTGAATTTTCACCAAAACTGCTCGAACCTCTGCAGCTTGGAAGTCTGAGCTAGTTCGGACACTTTCCAGGAGGCTGTCAATCTCGCTAGTTTTCTGCAGCAACTCATCCACCTTGTCGTGCAAGCGCTCCACCTTCGTTGCAAGATCAGTAACATACTCGCCCAACCCATCTGCATGCCATCGCATTTCGTTGCCCTTCGTAAACGTCTTGCCAATGGTAGCACGCACTTCTCGAACATACGCCGCCGTTAGTGCTTCAAAAATGGGTTGGATACGTCGGCACGAGCTTGTGTACGTCTTGAGACTCGCGTCCAGAGACATTGCAAACGGGTATTTCGACTTCGCATCTTCCGCAATCATCTTGAGAGTGAAAGGCACTCGGTAGCCCAACCACTCCAGGTTTCGCACTTCCTTGAACAGTGTCACGATTTGCTGGTTGAAAGCGACCACCAGTTTCTTCTTCTCACCCTGAGGCGTGTCCTCCGTCACAATGTTCAGAATAATATTCTTGATGTCAAAGATGGGCATTGATGCCAAATCGTTCACCCACTGGTCGAAGATTAGCTGCGGGTTGAGCTTGGCAATAAACGCCTCGGCGGCTGCTTTAAGCGCCTTTCCCTCCACGTGCTGCTCCCAGCCAACACCGAGAACACTTTCAACACGAGACAGGAGCATTTTCAGCTTGCGTTCAATTTGCTTGGCCCACATTACCGCACCAGCAATAGGCGGGATATCGCGAAGCTTGCTTGTACGTGACGCCTCCGAGTAAGCATAATGCGCACGGAACTTGGCTTGGAGGTTGCTCACGTCCTCCTTCACATTTTCGATCAACTGCATCTGAAATTGCTGCACGGCACTGCGGATACGAGGACGGAAAAACAGCGCGTTGTACTTGGAGAAAACGCGGAACATCTCGTCAGCATTTGACGTAGCGCTCAGTCTGCTGGTAAGACTGTTGATAATTCGCCCTTCCACACGGTCGATGCACAGGTCGTACGCTTTGCGCAGGTTCTTCCAAGCAGTCACGCCTTCACCCGATACATCCAGCGGATCCAGCGAATTCAACTGGGAATACGCCGAGTTAATTTCAGTGAGTGCGTCATTTGTCCCATCGCTGCCACGAGCCTCCTCCAGACCAATCCCATTGGAACCACCCAGCACTCTCTGAATCACTTCACGTAGCTTTTCGTGCTGCTCTCGGAATTCATAGAGCTCTAACAGTCGCTCCTCAATAGCCGCATGCTCCATCTGCAACTCGGAAAGCAACGGAAGCTTCTCCGTGTTGATTGATCCTCCTCGTCGCTTGAATAGTTCTTTCGTTAGATCATAAAGCGTTGCAACCTGGCGGTGCCAGTTCGCGAAAAGCTCCTTGCACGAAGAGATGAGCTGCTCGAACTGGTTGAAAGGGACCTGGATGAGACTGTAAACTCGCAACAGGCTGATGACCTGCTGGGTGAGGTCGCTCGACATGACCTCCACCAAGCGCAACAGGCGCGACAGGTTGTAAGAATCAGCCACGCGTATCTTCTTCAAGTGGGTGAAGACGAGCGTCACTCCCTGGTTCAGCTGGTTGATGTCCGTTGCGGACAAAATGGAGTTCATCGGGAACTCCTTCATCAGCGTCATAACACTAGACACGTGCTGAATCGCCGGGCCGAGACCGTGGTCGGCACTAAAGGTCACCGTTGCCAGATATCTCTTGGCGCGCTGCAGCACGGCCAGCGTAATCTCCACCTCCGGCGACTTGAGCTTCTCCTGAACAGCAAGCAGCGCGCGATTCAGATCGCACCAAAAGTTGATTTCCTGCATGGCAGTTCCCGGCAGAGGCTCGTTGATGAGCCGCGTAACCTTTTGGATCTCCTTGATCCACTTGCTCACTCCTCCCTGGATAGTGTTCACGAACACGACGTCGTTCACCTTGTCCTCGAGTCCCAGCGCTTCCACATCGATCAGTACGCCCTTCTCGCGCACCAGGTCCGCAGCCTGCTGGATCACCGGGTGGAAGATCAGGTTCACCTCGGGGATCTCAATGTTCTGCTGGTACTGAAGCAAGGCGAGCTCGAGCTCCTTCATCCTGCGTCGAATGGCCGGCAGACCTCTTGTGCCCTCGCTCAGGTTGGTCATCTCGCTCTGCGGCATGTGCACCTTGGAGTACTCGTTCACGAGCGGCGTGAACGACTGGTGCACGTAGTTGTACACGACCGAGAGCAGGTTGCCCCTGTCTTCGTCCTCCTCCTCCGTGTTCTCGCCGCTGGTGGTGGTGGCCGTGTCCGAGTCCCCTTCCGCCGCAGCGGGGGAGGACGAGGACGATCCCAGGCCGAGCGTCATGACCTGCAGCTGGTGGTTGAGCGTCTGGTCCTTGGCCAGCGGCGCGCTGAAGCGCTTGATGAAGCACACGACGTCGTGGCCGCTCTTCTTGCCGGGCGCGTACTCGATGCCCAGGTTCACGCGCACGCGGAAGCCCGGCACGGAGCCGTCCATGGGGCTGTCCTCGTCTGCGCGCGCGGGGTAGCAGTGCACCTGCAGCACGCGCGTGGCGGAGTCGGACACGAACTGATCCAGAGTGATGGTCGCCTCGGACGCCTCCAGGTCGGCCTTGAAGCTGTCCACGCTGAGCGCCGCGCCCTCGCCGAACAGCGGCATGCACGTGGCCAGCAGGTAGCGCTGGAAGTCGCCCACGGGCAGCACATCGGCCGCCGTCACGTCCGCGCTGCTCGCCATGCGCCCGTCGTCGATCTTCCCGTCGATCTTCCCTTGTGCGAGGAAAGGGGGGAGGTGCCGCGATCCGCATCAGACGTACAGGATGTACTCTCACTTCGGACACCTGTCAAATCTAGTATCCTTTACAATTGGATATCATCGTTAGCAGGGTTCACATTAAATCGACGCCAAGCATTGAGCGGCTCTCAATCAACCGCAAGCCGCCGCCGTCGCGCGCGAAGCTTGCGAGGCTTACGAAGATTCTGAGTGCAGCACAAGGGACGCGGAAACGTGTCTCTTGGGTGCGGAGGTATAGGGGGATGGGGGTGCTGGCAGGTAGGCATCGTCTTCGCCGCAAGAACGGACAGAAGGGCTTTAGGTAGTAGACAGAGGAGCAGTTAGCCCGCGCCGTGGGCCCCTCGGCCTAGCGGCAAGTAGTGGGGTGAAGTGAGAACATAGGAGTAGAAACGACAGCGGAAGAACTGGTAGATGGAGCCGTGAGAAAGCGCTGGCGTAGATAGTAAACCAGCGTCTATAGCTTCCTATTAGTGCTGCAGCGCAGATAGCATTCAGCGAGTGTGGATGAGCTCAACCACAACAGCTCACTCACAACTTCGTCTCATAGTTAATTTATCGCTTGCGCTATCATTTTATTGGGGTGCTATGGCCGCTGGGGCTCACACCGATGAGCCGGTGATCAACGAACGGAGCGGCGACGTTGGTCGCCACGCCAACTTGGTGCTGGTGCGCTCATACATTAGAGAACTTTAGAGTTCTCTATTGTAATACCTGCTAACTATTTATGTGTGCATGAAAAATACACACCAGCTGGTGTCGGAAGTGGCAGTACTACCTGTACCCAGTATTCGGTACAGTGTAGGGATTGTACCACTATTCTGGTACGACTTGTGTCGGACTTCTTGGCGGGAAAATGGAGAAATGGCAACACGACTAACTTGCGGACGATGAGGGTGAAGGGGAGCGAACGAGACTCATATTTTAGTTATATACCTACGCGCCGCGTGTAGGCGCAGAGCGAAGCGATGAGGGGGAGGGAGGAAGGGGAGAGAGTGGAGATATATCTGCATAACGACTCGCGACGGGACGCGCGCCCTCGCCTTACAGCGGCATCCGCTTCTTGTTCTGCTTGGTGATAAGGTTCTTGTGGATGTGAGGGATGACACCGCCGCCGGCGATCGTGGCCTTGATCAGCGTGTCCAGCTCCTCGTCTCCGCGGATGGCCAGCTGCAGGTGGCGCGGCGTGATGCGCTTGACCTTCAAGTCCTTGGAGGCGTTGCCCGCCAGCTCCAGCACTTCGGCCGTCAGGTACTCCATGATGGCGGCGGCGTACACGGCCGCAGTGGCGCCCACGCGCTGGTTGTTGGCCACGCGCTTCTTCAGGAAGCGATGGATACGACCCACAGGGAACTAACAGCAGGCACAAGGGCGGGTTAGCACATTTGTCACAAGTCTGCACGCATGCCGATGATATTTTTGTTCCTACCTGAAGCCCAGCGCGCTGCGATCGCGACTGCGGCGCCCGCTTGGCGGTCACACCCTTGCCACCCTTGCCTCCTTTGCCGCCTTTGCCGCCGATGCCGGACTGCGCACGAGTGAGGAGAGACACGTTAGAGCCGCTGCAGGAGGAAAAGTTGCCGCTACCATCTCCGCCGACTCACCATTATTGCGACTCGCAGTACAATTTCGAAATGGCCCCAGGATTTGTGCCGCCCCAAAATCTAGAAAAAACCTCGCGAGGTTTTACGTTTCCAGCGCGTCGATTCGCTGAAAAGTCATAATTTCAGCCAATCACCGGCGCCGCCGTTTCGATGCAGCCGGCGCGCAATAGCGATCCAGCGAACTCAGTGTTCGTCGGCGGAGCACCACTTCCCGGCCTTCTCTCTCGTCTGCTGCCGTGGACCCCATGGCGCTGCAGCCCAGCTCGCGCTCGTGGGTGGACGTGCCCTGCGAGAACCCGTCGGCGGCGCCTTGCCACCGCTCGCTGCACGTGTGCGCCGTGCGCAAGGACTCGCTCTATATCTTTGGGGGTGCGTGTGTGGGAGTCAAACCCCTACGTCACCCTCTCTTTGCGCCTCAATACGCAACGAGCTGGCGTCTATTTGATCTCCAATTTGCTAACTTGTTGTGATGGTGGTATATTTCTGTGTCTGGCTGGGGCGCGACTGCTGCTGTTGCAGGCTACGACGGATCGAACCGCATCAACGACTTCTACGAGTTCAACTTCAAGCGCAAGCTCTGGTCGGTGGTGCTGGCCATCGGCTCGGCTCCAAGTCCGCGCGACCGCCACGTGGCGGTGGTCTACAAGGACTCGTTCTACGTGTTTGCCGGCTTCGATGGCAGCTCGCGCGTGAACGACTTCATCGAGTACAACTTCCGTACGTTGTGCAGGTTTTGATGGTGCTGCTGTGTTTGGGTGTTGATATCATCATGCTGCTGGGTACTGTGAGAAGTGACGCAGAGGTGGAGCAATGTGGTGGTCAGTGCTGGCTTGCCGCCGACTGCGAGGCACAGTCATGCTGCTGTGGTGTACGGTACGTTTCTGCAGCATTGAGACTATGGAGGTTTGGGTGTGATGATTGACGAATTATATCTTGATGTTGCGATTGTTAAACCAGACAAGTCGATGTACTGCTTCGGCGGGTATGATGGTAGCTACAGAAACGATTTCCACGAGTTCAATTTCGGTGCGTACGGTTTTGTATAATTGGGTAAGGCATCAATCCTGTAGTGCTAACGTTTTTGATATTTGCCTACGTTGCGGCGGATAGAAACCAACACTTGGTCACTGGTGGCAGCAACAGGACGCGTGCCTCGACCTCGGTAATCTTGGACGTGCATGTTTTGTGGCGAACTGAAGACTAATGATGACTATTTATGCGACGACTAGGTATCGATCGTCGCTGGTGGTGCATAACCACACATGTTTGCTATTTGGTGGTCATGACGGTTCTCGCCATCTCAATGACGTCCACGTCTTCACCTTCGGTACGATTTACGAATGCAACGAGTATCATTCCTGCATTATTTATCGTATTTTCGTGGTCGATGCTGTATGGTAGATACGCGTGTCTGGTCGCTCCTCGCAACGGAGGGACAAGCACCTATCGCTCGCGATAGCCACGTTGCTGTCATCAACTCAAATTCCATGTACATCTTTGGCGGCAGCACGGGCACTGCTGTGAACGACTTCTATGAGCTCAGTCTGGGTAAGCTTCCTGGCTGCACGCCTACTTACGGACTAGGTAAATGTTTCCTTGTTGTCGAATGCTAACACTTGCCTGCGGATTCGTTGACTGCAGAGACCAATACCTGGCAGCCCATGCAGTTCAACGGCCAACCACCTGGACAGCGATTCTGCCACGTTGGCACGGTGTACGACTCCAACCTGATCATCTTCGGAGGCTACGATGGAAGCAGCCGTTTGAACGATTTCAAGCAGTTCCGTTTTGGTGAAGATGAGTTCCAGCTAGAGATTCCTGAGAGCACGCTGATCAATGACCTGAGGATGTTGGTGAACAACGACATCATGAGCGATGTAACGTTTATCGGTACGTGCAGTGGATTCCTGAACTCTTGACCAGAATTTGTCGTTGTGTCTTACTAATCGGGCTCCTCGGTACCATTCTTGCGACTGAATAGTTGAGGGCATCCCCGTATACGGTCACAAAATCCTGTGCATTCGCTGCAGCTACTTCAATGCAATGCTTACTGGAGAGGTACTCTCATCTCAAGCCCAGCTTGAAACTCCTCGAAATGTTCACTAAACTGTGCTTGTGTTATCTTCCGCAGATGTTGGAAAGTCGTGCGCGAGAAATTCAGATTACCGACGTGCGTCGTCCGATCTTCATCTCTTTGATGGAGTACCTCTACACAGATCACCTGGACGTCGCTGTCGATGTTGCAATGGAACTATTTGTTACTGCGGATCGGGTACGCAAATTGTGCAATTGTGGCATCTTCAAAACCTCGGCTAACCTATTGTTTTCCATGCAACTGAAACAGTATGGAGTCGAGCGTTTGAAGCGAATCTGCGAAAGCAAGATGCTCGGATCTCTGTGCATTGAGAATGCCGCCAGCATTTTCCATGCCGCGGACCTGCACAACGCGACAGTCCTGCGAGACCAATGTGTCACTTTCATGCTCCACAACTTCGACGCGGTGACGAAGACCGACGCCTTTGAGGAGATGGGCCGCACCAACGTTGAATTGGTCTTTGAGCTACTGAAGCGCCGCTAGGCCACTTGACCGTCTGCACGAGTGCGTGCAACACAAAGTACATGGAGTAGTTGTGTCGACTGCCTTTTGAAATGGCAAGCTCTGGTCCGAATTTATAGAATGCAAGTATGCTTTGAAAAATCTTGAGCCACACGCACAAGTCAAAATCGAGTTGTATTTGCAGCTCTACTGTAGAGACCCCAAGTGTCCATCACCGACCAAGAGTGGTGACGCGAATGGTTCGGTAGTGACTCTCCGCAACACTGCCGTCGGGTTGCGCAGGCTCATTCGCCACACTTTCAACTCCCATCCCTAACTCGGCTAACGTTCGGCGTACCAATGGTTCCTGCTCCTTCCAGATAAGCAGCTCCTCCGATGCAGGAGCCTCAGGACCTGCATTCTTGATGGCTTCAGCCATGGCCCTCAACCGCTCAACAACCGGTCGCTCCCACACATCTAGCGCGTGGGCAAGGAAGCGATCGACTTGCAGACGCGGGAACGGGATGGCACCTGGAGCATGTTCAGTTGTGGGGTCAATGCCGTGGAAGTCGGAACCACCCATCTGCAAGAACGAATTGTACAAGCAAACATTAGTTGTTGATACTGCACCATGAATCGGACTTAACATAATCTACCTTGAGGAGACCGGATTCCTTCGCCAAGGCACCATACACATCTATCTTGTTTGTGTCGTGATAAACCTCGATTCCCTATTGACCAGTAATACGCCATTAGGTGATATATTCGGTCAGTGCTAGAAACGATCATTGTAATGGCGGTGTACCTGAATTCCAAGCTTTGCAAGCTCCGGGACAAGCGTAAGCGGGTTCTGGTACGAGGACATTGAGAAACATATTGAGATAAATCATACACGCATACTACCGGTAATAGCAGATCCGGCCCTACCTTGCAGCACCACGGGTGCGCGAGAACAGAGACTCCACCCGCGCTTGCAATGAGCTTAATAGCTTCTTCGGGTGGGAAATGTTCACCCTAGTGTAGGCAAAGTAGAGCATTAAATAAGGCAATGCACTCATATATACAGCACAGCTCGACTTACCTCCACATATGCAGGTCCGTCGTTATGCAGGTATCGCGCGAAGGCCTGCCTGAAATTGGCGACATGACCTGCTTCCACAAGCGCTTCTGCCACGTGGGGTCTGCCAGGCGCCGCTTCCCCGGCAATCTCCAGCACACGTTCCCAACTAAGCTTAATACCCATCGCTTCCTGCAAGATAAAGAAATCACCAACACCATTCTAAGCGACACTCTCCAATAGTGCCCAGCCCATTGTCGAACCTACCAACTTCTTGAGCATTCCCTTGCCGCGCTTGTGTCTACCCGTGCGGATCTTCAGCAGCTGCTTCTCCAGCTCAGCGCTGTTCGAGCCCGGGTAGAAGTAGCCCAGGATGTGCAGGTTTTCACCGCCCTTCACCTCGGCGCTGATCTCCACACCAGGGAAGACCAGCACGCCCAGCTTCTGCGCGGCGGCGATGGCTTCACTCACCCCGGCCATCGTGTCGTGGTCTGTGAGCGACATGTACGTGACGCCATTGGCCGCCGCCTTGGTGATCACCTCGCTGGGCTTTAGCTTGCCGTCGCTGCACACACTGGCGGGCCACAAATAAAATCCGTCGGTCAGTTCCAATAAACAAAATAGTTTTTTTTACCTAGCATGATATAATATATCTTATTTCATGTCGCACCTGTGCAGATGGAAGTCGCCGCATGCTGTGTCGCCTGCATCAGGAGAGTCACGGGCCACCGCCTCGTGAGCGGAATGGTGATCATTGGACGGGAACATAGCGTCGCTCAGAGCCTCGTAGGCCGCGTCGGGCGCCCCGCCTCGAGCCCCAGCCAGCGAGCACTTACGGTTGAAGTTGGCCTGCAGGTTCACGGGCTTGCGCTTGGCGCTCTTCTTGACCTTCTTCTTCTTGCGGTGGCCGCTCGACGACGCCGACACCATCTCGACCGCAGACGTTGGTCCTCGCAGGAATGCGCGTCAGTCAAACGGCGTACGTATGTGGCGCACACCAAAATGTCAAACGAACCGAGTGACCAACATTCCTGTAAATTCCGAACTCGAACTTAAGAGGGGAACTTACTGGGTGAGATACTTGCGAGCCACCGCATTTCGAGATCGGACGCCTGACGCACACAGCCCCATGCTGCGCTCAAGCCTGCGCAACGCCGCGCGGTCGCAGCACCTGCTGCGCTACACGGGGGCCGTGCCGCCTCACGCCCAGGCTCCGTCGCGTCTGGCGCCACTGGCGACTATGGGCCACGAGCTCTCCGTCTTCTCGGCGCCCCGCCAGCCGTCGACGCCGCTGACGCTGCCACTGCTGCCGCAGTACTCGCCGCTGCTGGCGCGCGCGCAGACGCGCAGGTTCGCCGCGCTGCCCACGAAGCCTTCCACGTCATCGACGGCGACTGCGTCGACCACGCCGGCCCCCACGCCCGCCGAGGCCGCGGCCATGAAGAAGAAGATCGCGGCCGCCAGACGCCGCCGCAGCAAGATCCGCGTGCAGGAGGAGAAGCTCGAGTCGGCTCTGGAGAAGGGCGGCGAGCGCCGCATGATCCGCGTTGAGGACGTGGAGAAGGAGCTGCCCAAGGTACCCGAGCACGCCGTCACGCTGCTCAAGCGCACGCCGCAGCTCGCCGTGAAGGGCGTCAAGGCCGTGGCCCACGCGCTGCAGGTGCTGGTCACGGACCCGGCCGCGGTCAAGGCCTGGCTCGTGGAGATGAAGGGCAAGGCCAAGCACGAGCTCGACCACTACTGGCTCGGCACCAAGCTGCTGTACGCGGACGTGTCCACGTCCACGCGCATCCTGCGCCGCCTGCTGAAGGGCAACGCGCTCTCGCGCCGTGAGCGCAAGCAGCTGCAGCGCACGGTGGCGGACCTGCTCCGTCTCGTGCCCTTCGCGTTCTTCGTGATCGTGCCGTTCATGGAGCTGCTGCTGCCCGTGGCGCTCAAGGTGTTCCCCAACATGCTGCCGAGCACGTACAAGGACTCGTTCCAGCGCGAGGAAGACATGAAGCGCCAGCTGCAGCTGCGTGTGGCGCTTGCTGAATTCCTGCAGGACACGGTGAAGGAAATCATGCAGGACACTCGCGACACGGAAGGTGTATCGGAGGAGCGCAAGGCTACGGCGAGCGAGGTCATGAACTTCGTGGAGCGTGCCCAGCGCGGCGAGCCTTTGACGTCGGAGGAGACGCTTCAGGTCGCGAAATTGTTCAACGATGAGCTGATGCTGGACAATATCTCTCGGCCGCAGCTTGTGGGCATGTGCCGATTCATGGGCGTGCAGCACTATGGCAACGACAACCTCCTTCGATTCCAGCTGCGCAACCGTATCCGTCAGCTGAAGAAGGACGACCAGGACATCATTTGGGAGGGCCTGGACTCGCTTGACAAGGAGGAGTTGCAGATGGCCTGTATGGAGCGTGGTATGCGTGCCACAGGTCTCACCAAGGCTGGTTACGTGCGTCAAATGCGCCAGTGGCTCGACCTGTCCATCAACAAGAACGTGCCGGCGTCGCTGCTCATCATGTCGCGGGCACTGAACATTACTGCTGCGGACAACTTGGAGGAGGCCCTGGCCACGTCGATGTCGTCTATGGACGAAGAGGTGGTGACCGAGGTGGCGCTGGCGGCGAAGACGACGGAGGAGACGCCTGAGATGCGCAAGCTGAAGCTCGACAGTATTCGTTACCAGAATGAAATGATTGCGGATGAGGAGAAGTTCCGTGACGAAGCTCAGAAGAGGGAGACGGAGGCCCAGAAGCAGGCCGAGAGCGATGCCGCTGCTGCCGCTGCTGAGACGAAGACTGAGGTGGAGCAGGTGATTGCTGATGTCATCATGGAGAAGGCACAGACGCAGCCGACCCCCGCATCGTCAACTTTGACTCCAGTGATTGAGACCAAGTTCGAAGAGGATGCGCCTCCAGTGCCCAAGACCATCGAAAACGTAGTTAGTTTGGAGGAGCTGAGCGCTCTCGAGTCTCTTGCGTTCAAGTCGTTGGTCGAGAAGGAGCGCCAGACGGTGAGTCAGCTGAAGCAAAACAAGTACGATATGGACGTGGAGGGTCTGCTGGCGGCAGGTCGTATTGGTGCCCAGGCTGCGGAGAATAAGACGGCTGGCCGTATGATGAAGAAGCTGGAGTCGATGCTGTCCAACCTGGAGGTGGAGATCGAGGAGGTTGACCGTCACGTTGGTGACCGCCTCAACATTCTTGACCGCGATAGCGATGGTGTGCTTTCGGCTGAGGAGCTGCGTGACGCTGTTATGACAATTCTGCGCAAGGCAAACACGCAGGAGGACGTGGAGTGGGTCATTTCGCTCATCGATGAAGACAACGATGGCAAAAGTACGTTCCTCTTCGGTATCATGTTTGGTGCAGTTTGCTCGTATTGATACTAACGTTTCGTGTATTACAGTCGCTCTGGAGGAGCTGGTGGCCTGGATTGCCAAGTGCCGCGAGAGCCTGGAGGCTACGGGGCGCATTGCTCTGCAGGAACCGGCGGACGCCACCGCGGAGGCTACTGCAGCAGCAGCAGAAGCCGAGAAGGCCAAGGTGGAGAAGGCAGAAAAGGCGAAGGTTAAGCGAGCAAACAGCCGTAAGAAGAAGGAGAAGGAGCAGTAGTCCTTCCCAGCAACCGGTGCTTGCCATTGTGATAGACGATAGAGAGAGGTTGCTCAGTGTACCATGCGCTGCACCCCTCGGTTATCGCTTACCTCACCTCAAATAGATATTTGCCAACGCTTTGGCTTGTTAGAGGAAATGCTGCTGATGTTGCATTGACAGGGCTGCAGAAACATCAATCGTGCACTTGCAATCAATCAACTGCGAGGCAACCAAGAAAGGCGTTCATTTGGCAAAAAAAAACTTACAACGGAGAAGTTCGAATGCCTAGCAGCGTGGCGACATCGTCGTGGGTTGAAGTTCCTTACAACGTTGATCATTGGGCGGCAACACGCTTCGGTTGTGGACCTCAAATGTGCGCCATTCGAAAAGGGTCATTATATGTCTTTGGAGGTATAATAATCCCTGGTTGATAAACGGATATTTCTTGCCGCATATTACTAAACCTATCAGAATTGTTGAACAACTAGCCGAGCGCCGCCGCTACGCGGCGGTAAGTTTAGGTTAGTCGTAGTAGTGAGGGCCACCCACCTCCACTTCGCTCCGGTAGGCTGTTTTCCAGTCAAATGTCATTAATTTGGATTGTATGCACGTAAGAAGGAGTTTGTGTGTTGGAAGTACTCTTAATATGGTTAAAAGTGGCTGGTATCAGCTTCACGTCAGTGTTACTATAAGTAGATGCACTTGCTAGATAATATATTTTCTATCGCACGGTACTGTGTTGTAAACCATGTCCAAATCGTCGCAGGTATTCAACCCAAACTACAAAAAATCTGCATTTAGAACAGCTCGTGTTTAGTGTGCTCTCATAAGTCTGTATACGTGTTATTTTACCAAGTGTATCACTCTGCCATGGTTTCTGTTAGTTGGTCCAAGAGTATAGCCTTTACATTCTGTATCAAGGCTTTAAGCCTAAATAACAATTCACGCTTCGCAATGCCTCTCCTTAGCATATCGTTAGTGCTTCGTTCTTATTAAAACATCATGTACATGTACATATCGGGATCGTTTCGGCATTTATATGATCCATAAATGTATTCAACTTCGGGCTGCGATAATGTGGCCTCATCAAAACTTATTTTTATTTAAGTATTAGTCTAAGCGGAGTACATAAGCACATTAGCGCACCACCTGCACCACAGCCGCTAAGACATTGAAAGTAACAACTTTGCATTTCGTATCTATGAAGTACACGTTGCACTATGCAAGTTCCGTTTCCAGCGTTTAGCATACAGGTAGAGCGCGTCCAAGGTTATCTATCATAGAACTCCAGCTCATTGAATGCCAGCGTCTACTATTCAGATCTCATTATACTAGATACCGACACATAACATAAGCTATCGATGCATGAACCACTTTTAGCCTTTAGCCTGTATCCCGATCTCCAATGCTATACAGAGAACGGAAGGGATTTCAGGTTCAGCATGGCGCGGTAGGAAGAATAAATACCAGCGTAGTGTAAGTAACCTAAATAGATACACACACATGGACCCCTTTTAGCAAAAGCAGATACTTCGAGGGATGTTTATCACGTTGAGAGCCAAGTACGCGGTAGTTGTAGTTAATTTGTCCCTGTAGTTTTACTATAGTGAAATAAGCTCGGCTCCTTGTTAATACTTAACCACCTTCAGCTCACCTTGCGCTACATGTACTCGCACTGCTACCACTTACAACGTTGCTGCTATCACTTACTACGTGCTCCTATCACTTTCTTAGTGCTGCTATCGCTAACTTTACGTGCATGCCGCTGACTGCGTGTTGCTATAAGTAACTATGCGCTGCTATGGCTTACAATGTGTTTATATGAACCAACCTCGCTACCTTACCATTATACCAGCTACCTATCGCTATGCTATAACGCGGTGATCCGAACGGGGTGATCTTATCGCCCCCGTTCCGCTCGCCTCTTCGGCTCGCTGCACTACTTGCAGTGTTATTAGTTAATAGTAACGGGCAGGCCCTGCGGTCCCGCTAGATCGCAAGGGGGGGGTCTGCCTTCGCTACGCTCGGCAGCAAAAGGTTGTTTGTGCCATTACTGGGGGCCGCCTTCGCAGCTACTCGTACTTAGTGTGATTCGTACTTAGTGAATAAGCGTGACGATTTTGATTCGGACGGACGGATTCTGATTGATGTTTAGGACTAGCCGAGCGCCGCCGCTACGCGGCGGTAGTTTTGTGGTTAGTCGCAGTAGTAAGGGCTGCCCACCTCCGCTTCGCTCCGGTGGGCTTTTTTAAAATTCAAATGGTATTCATTTCGATTGTGTACATGTAAAATTGTTTATAGGTTTGAAGTACTATCAGTAGAGTGACGTGGCTGGTAATAGCTATTCCAACGTCAGTGGACTATGAGTAGATGCATGTTGCAGGGTAAAGCATTCTCTATTGTACGGTCCGGTGCTCCCGTCGCAACTGGTTAACCCGAATTACAAAGTACCGCACAGTACATATATCACAATCTGCGTTTACATTACCATTTTAGTGTACCACCTGCATTACAGTAGGTAAGATATAGAGAGTTCGCACTCGTAACTATATAGTTATAAAGTCACGTTTGCCCTTTGTTAATTCGGTTTCCTGCGTGTATATCCGCCCCATAACACGGTTAGAAAAGGAATCCCAGCGTAAACTATAATAAAAGGCTTCCACTCAGTGAATATTATCTACTACCCCACTAACGCATTCTCCTAACGCTACACATTGTACCTTAAAGATATACGAAACGCGTTTAAGCAAGTATAGCTAAATATCCCCCCAAGATGAACGCAGAGCGCCGCTGTAGCTATAATGTATCCATCCCTTAAGTATAACAGTAAAAGTATGCTGCTCATGTTAGTAATAATCTCGTGCACGCCTTCCGCTACGTTTACTCGCACTGCTATCACTTACAACGTTGATGCTATCGCTTTCTACGTGCTGCTATCACGTTCATATCGCTTACTACGTGCTGCTATAACTATCTATACGCTTCTATAGCTTACTATGTGTTTGTATTGAGCCAACATTGCTATTGTACTACAGTAAGTAGCATGACAGGTCCACCTATCGCTACAGTAGCTAAGGGATTGAAAGTAAGAAGCTCTTACCCCGTAACTATGCGTTTGCGCTATGCTAATTCCGTTTCCTGCATGTATATCGGTCCAATAACATGGTTAGAGAAGGAATTTCTACTATAATAAAAAGCTCCAGCTCAGTGAATGTCAGAATATCTACTACCCCAATAACGCATTAACCTACAGCTACATACTGTGCCTTAAACAAGATGCGAAACATGTTCAAGCAAGTGTAGCTAAATTCCCCCAAGATGAACACAGAGCGCCGTTGTAGCTATAATACTTAAGTATGTACATTCCTAAATAATTACAGTAAAAATATGCTATGCGTGTCAGTGAACGCCTCCCACTATATGTACGCGCACTGCTGTCGCTTACTATGCGCTTCAATTCGTTACTATGCGCTTCTATCGCTTACTATCAGTAGCTATCGCTTAAATAAGCGCTCCTATCGCTGACTACATGCTGCTATAACTAACTATGCGCGGCTATCGCTTACTATCTTCATAGTATGCCAACCTCGCTACATTGCTATTGTACTCAGTAGCAGGGCAGGTCCAGCTATCGCTGCCACAACGTACTACGTACTCGCATTGTAATTAGCTATTATATCAGTTTGTTTCTCTATACGGTTGGTAGGCTATAGCCTTTACATTCTGTGATCAGGCGATAAGCCCAACGTGATGGCTTCGCTATTCATGTTCTCAGCGTTACGTTTCGGGCTAGTTCTCTTAAAAAAACGTGGATATATCGTGCTGCATCGTTTCAGCATTTTGTACGGCCCTAAGAATGTAATGAGCTGTGGACTGCGTTAATTTCGACGTATCCCGCTTTAAATCTCATTTTTAATGAGCTAAGACGTGCGTATCAGTAAATTATTCTACTACGTAATGCACATTAACCCTTTTGCGTACTACCTATAGTTGAGTAGCGCGTCGCGTTCAAAATTCATATAGCGTGCGATGCTAATTTGTTAATATACAGGTATTGTACGGCTCATCAGTAGTGTTAGAGTGTGGGGAAACGCGTCAATGGAATGCCAGTATGAACTACAATAAAACCTCCAGTCCAATGCATGTCTAGGCATCTACTATCCCCAGAACCCATTATCTTACCGCTAAATACTGTAAGTTACAGATACATGCCACACGTGTAAGCCAGTGTAGCTATATGCCTTTATAGATGAGCACTCAGCACCGCTGCAGCTATACTATATCCGTCCCTAAAGTATTACACAAAAACTAACCTGAAACTATTAATCAATCGTCTTCAGCTACTGTACCTCTCGCTACATGTACTCGCACTGCTATCGCTTATTACGTCGGTGCTGTCGCCTTCTATGCGCTTCTATCGCTTACTATACGCTGCTATCATTTACTTGCTATCATTTACTATGCGCTGCTATCGCTATGTATCCGTTGCAATCGTTTTCTACGTGCTGCTATCGCTAACTATACGTTCATATCGCTGGCTACGCGCTGCTATAGCTAACTATGCGCTGCTATGGCTTACAATGTGCTTATATTTAACCAATTCGCTGAATTAAAATTATACTATGTAGTAGGACAAGCCCAGCTATCGCTGCCACTATGCACTACCCGCAGTGCTATTATATGTTTAAGCGGACTCTGCTATCGCTGCTACTACTCGGTGGGCGCATTTTAAATAATAGCAGGTGTTCCGAAAAGTATTATATTAGGCCAAGCGTCACGGCGGGGGTGACGTAATCGCCCCCGTTCCGCTCGACTCGTCGGCTCGCTGCACTACTCGCCGTGTTATTAGTACATAGTTGTAGGGCGGGCCCTGCGGCTCGCTAGACCGCACGCGGGTGCCGCCTTCGCTGCGCGGGGTGGGACCGCCTTCGGCGTCCAAGGCTGTCTATGTACGATTATGTGGGCCACCCTAATTTTGTCGCCATGGGGCTTCACACGGACTTTCACACAGACTGGAAAGTCTCTCTACTAGATGGTTAGGACTAGCCGAGCGCCGCCGCTACGCGGCGGTAGTTATGTGGTTAGTTGCAGTAGTGAGGGCCACCCACCTCCGCTTTGCTCCGGTGGGCTTATCAGTCGGGTGTGTTGTGTAAAACTTGTAAAACAAAACCAACTGCAAGAGCAAAAGAACACGTATTATCCGATGTTATATGCAGGATGCCTTCCTTCACCGTGACTACGCCGTCTCAAAAATCTGCCTGTACACGATATTCGCTGTGTACACTCCGTCATTTTCTTCTAACTCGGGGTATTCAATCAACGCCTTGATCTTGGAACGCGCAGTAACCCGGGAGAGCGCGACATACAGCTGGCCGTGTGAGAAGCAGGGAGACGCCAGGTACAATCCGAGGTTAAACACCGTTTGTCTTTGGGCCTTGTTGATCGTCATCGCGAATGCGGGCTGTACCGGGAACTGCTTGCGCCTCAAACGAAACGGGAAGTCTCGAGCGTTGTCGTCACTTATGAATACAATCCTGGGAATCGACACGTCTTTTCCGCGATGCTCCCCCGTCATGATCGTGGCGTGGATGACATGAGGTTTTAGCGCCACCACCCGTAGTCGCATGCCGTTGCATAGGCCTAAGTCCGGGTTCAAGTTTCGCATGAGCATGATTGGTGCTCCCACCTTAAGCGTCAGTCGGTGTGGCGGGATACCGTTGATGTTCACAGAATTCAGGACTTCTTGGTCGAAGAAGTTGCTGTCTTGGTCGTTTTGTACCGAATCAATCGAGAGATAGTCTTGGGCATCACCTTCCAGGCGCGCAGGGCTTGGTTTGTTAGATTGCCCGCCTCCGCTTCGCTGCGGCGGGTGGTCTTTAGTTTTTGACTCATTTGGAGTTTACTTACTTATCTACTCAGTCAAACTTTATATACTTATTCGTGTACTCATTTGCTATTGCTCAGATTGGTAAAATGTATTTGAGTTAATTCTGTGTCTCAAATATCTCGCGATACACTATGTTTTTTGTGTGAACATTCCCTTCCTCGTCGATAGCCTCCGGGTCCACTGCAATCTTGATCGCCTTCCTTGATGTAACTCTCGACAGCGCCACGTAGAGTTGTCCGTGAGCAAAGACGGGTGACTCTAAGTAAATTCCCACGTGATGGATAGATTGTCCTTGGGCCTTGCTAATAGTCATAGCGAAAGCTGGTACAACTGGAAATTGCTTGCGCTTGAGCTTGAACGGGAACCCTCTATCGTCATCCTCTGTGTAGAAGATGATCCGCGGAATGAAGACCTTTTTCCCCTTGAAAGGTCCCGACATTATAATTGCTTCGATGCTTTTCTCGCGCAGAGACAACACGCGAAGCCGTGTCCCGTTGCACAGCCCAGCATCGCTGTTCAGGTTTCGAATCATGATGATGGGAGCACCAACCTTTAGAACTATCCTGTGCGGTGGAATGCCAGAAAAGTTCAGCGAGTTCAAAAATGCTTGCTCAAACATATTCGGGTCCGCCAGTCCCTCCAGCGAATCATTGGAGAGATACTCCCTTGTGTCTCCAGAAAGACGCACAGACACCATGTCATTGATACAGTCGAAGCTGGAAGTCATCGTTGTGAGGGATAAGAATTTGCAAACGCAATGCAAGATCATCGTCAGGCATCTCTTCTCCAGCGGCCTTTCGCCGTTCCTGTTCTACAACCGCTTCTTCGTAAGCAGGTTGGGCCCGCTGAACCAATATACTTCGCGCGTGAAGAAACTGTTGCGCGTAAGGGTTGTGTCTTTCCATAATTTCATCGATCTTTTCCAAAACCGCTTGATCCAAACCGTCTGTCATCTGCATCCGACTTGTCACACGCGCATTCATATCCGGATCGTTGATGTAGACCTGTGCGTACATTGACCTCCCGCTCTCTGACGGCAATAATGACCCAATTCGATGGCAAACCGAGCCCATAACGCGGAAGTTGTACACACCATCCCGACACACACTGTGATCTACAGTGAGAGAGCGCGACCGTGAAGCGCCCATCGACGTGAACGCGAAGACGTTGTTGTATGCACGAATCGAACGCATAAACGCCGCGTTGTCGAACAGTTGAAGAAGCACTGAGGGGGCTGCGTGAGACGGCGGAACGCGGATCAAGTCATTTCGACAGCAGCAAGCGGCAGTCTCATCAGGGAATTTCCACGCATTACAGTATCGACACACCCTCTCTGTCTCGCGACTGTCGTCTGTAAAGCGCGTAAAGTAATGACGCCCATTTGGAACCGTGGCGGGGTCGAAGTCTTCGTAGTAAGCGATACCCTTTTTGTACTGGAGCAATCGTCTGCGAAGTCGGTCCGCCTCTCTTCTGCGAGCGCACTCCTCCTCCGGCATGGTCCTCCGTCGTGCACGTTGCACAACTGCGTCTTGATTTCTGCGTTCTTGACGTTGCTCTGCCGGCATGTTGCTACGCCAGTTAGCCGTTGCAGTCACCGTATCTTCCCGTTGTTGCCGCACCTGCTGATCGTTAAGATTGCTACGTCTAGCTCTCGTGCGCGCGGCATCCGCTTCTCTGTCGCGGATAACTTGGGACGCTGATCGATTTACTCTGCTACGTTGCTTTCGAATTCTGTCTCTTTCGCGAACACGGGTCAACTGCGACGGTGTCATATCCACTCTTCTTCGGGACGGCGTACTCCGGGCGGGCGTCACAAAAAGGGCCCGATCGTCTGTCATTCCAACTGTAAATGCTACGGATGACGTCTCCCCAGTAGCCGACACTTCATTCGATATAAGTTGCGGATTCAGAAGTGTAGCTGGGGCCACATTACTCGCCGTAGTAGCCTCCAACGTCGATCTTGCCATACCCCGCCCTATCACAACACCCTGTAATGCTGTCACCACTCCAGGAATTTCAGATTCTGTATCCTGCGCCGCCGATTCTCTCTGCTGCTTTCGAAACCGTGACAACGCCGAGTTCAGGTTGTTTAGCCTTCTTTTCTTTTCCGCTGGGGTTTCGTATCCATCCGGTGCAGGATACGCTTCACTGACATCGTCTTCGCTCGTATACTTTCGTTTTCGAGACATGAATCCTGCAACAAAACAAACGAAGCTCTGTTAGTTCTCCGTAAAAGTAGCATGCCACTATGTAGGTTCTATGCTTTGTTAGTAGATGAGTAAGATCAGCATCGCCTATGCCGTTTGTCTTCCGCCGCACCGCCTTGAAGAGATTAGTACCGTGCGTTACCGTGAAGGGACTTCTGTGCTGTTTGCAACCCGCGTCCGCAGGAAAAGGCAAATGTGACCACATCACCTGCGGTATTCCTTGTGTTACTATACCAACTGCAATTTAAACGACGGTAAGACGCCTCATTAGCCAAGCTTTTGAACCGGTACTTTTGTTTTTGCTTTCCGTCCCTCACCTCCACTTTTACCGCCTTGAAGCACGACCCGCTTTGTTGCCGCCGTTTCTCAATACCTTTGGAGAAATTAGCTGCGGGTTATTTTCGGTGCTGAAGCGACAACTCCCCACTATTGGGTTGTGATCACTTCCTTTGGTGACCGTGGTAGAGTGTCTGCTTAATGCCACTGAGCTATTTCAGCCCAGGCAATTAGCCACTTTCGGTTATAAGGGGTAATGGGTCAGTTGTTGGGTATTGCTTTGTTTACCGGAACATCCACTGGCATCATAGGCATCGAAGGATCGTTTAGACCGCTATTGTCCCGGCCAGAATTGAAGAGCCCAATTTGAAGCCTCGATTTGAACATGATGTCTACGACTTTCCATATGCGATAGTTAGATATAGGGTAAATCACACGCGTTAGATTCCAAAAATGTGGTCAAAACGGTCGAATTCGCAGCCATTTTTTCGTTATAGGCGCACATAAAGGTCTGAATCGGCCAAGAAGCATGAGCTCAAGTGGGCTAGATCACGATAGGGCTACGAGAAATAGCATTCTGTAATTGGTTGATCTTCAGAAAACATATGACTTTTGGAGTAATCGACAGGACTAGGTTTCCTTGTCGGACACGATCATGTGCTTCTCACCGAGGCTCAAAACATGCCGCTCAATCGTCGTCTTTGGTGGGGCTTCCAGCGGCGGAGTCGGCGTCTGCATGCTTCCGCTCCCTTTGCTTTATGTGAGTATTTTGAGCCCCCACTTGCTTCAAACGGAGCAGGCGATCCCTTGCAATTGCTAAAAATATGGAGGTGTTACAATTTCCGGGCCCTTCAATTCTGGCCGGGACAATAATCGGTACATTACCCGAAAAAGCGTAGGCAAGGTAGCACACATCAAGTTTTCTTCTACTACGACACAGGTCGCAATAGGCTAGAAACCCCTTATGTAGCAATGAAAATACCGCTCTCTTTTGTCTTGTGTGTTGTTGGATTGTATGTTTGGGTGTGGGTGGGTCGGAAATGCGGTAAGCGGTTCCAGTTGCCGAAGCAAAAAGATTTCCGTCGCCCCCTGAAAGGAACTGACGGTCTCAGTTTGCCGCTAAACATAAGGTAAGCCATAAGCCCTCAAGTCACTGTCCCCAGTGGCTCGGCTTGGGTTCCCACCCAAGCCACGTGGCTGGCCGCATGCGCTCTGTCGCGGACACAGAAGCACGGAACCGAGGTTTCCCCCAATCCAACGTGCCGGTCCCATACACTAATAGTGTAACACGACCACTACTCCGAGTTTTAAACAGGCGGCCAGGCAAAGCCGGCTTTTATCGCCACATGGATCTGCCAAAACTCGGTTGGGTATGAGACTTCCCATGCCGCTGGCGGGCAATCATTGGCGCCTCAGGGTCGCGCGTAAAGCGTGACGAACTCACCGACTCTCGGTTAGAGGACGGAGAATTTAAAGGAGGTGTACGAGTTCAACATCGCTCAAAAGACTTGGTCGGCTGTACCGACAAGTGGAGACAAACCGGCATATTGCGAGTACTACTCGGGGGTTGTATATCAGGACAGTTACTACGTTTTGGGGGGAAATTGCGGAGAGTGTCATTACAGTTTCTAGAACCAAGTCATCAAGTACAATTTTCGTAAGTGTTTCGTGTTCAATGCGTAAATGCAGCATGAAGACCAGAATCTGAGATGCATTATATACTACAGCTACACAAGCATGGGACGTGGCAGCCGTTTTCGCTGGAGAGCCACCAGTCCCCCGACGCAGCCATGCAGCGGTCGTGTATGGTAAGTATTCTCGATCTATTCAACACTTTCAGAAGCACGTGTTTTTGGCAAAAACCCGTAGCGAAAAACACGTTGCGATCCGATCTATTTTTGGCACGGGCGACGCTACGTGTTTTTCGATCCCGCAAACCCGTGAGAGTGGGGTCCGCTACGGGGTAATCAAACCGAAATATATAGCATGCCTAAGCTTCTTCGTAAGGGTGGGTGGGGGGCCCTGGATGACAAATAGTTGGTCGTGGGCGCATGTACCGTCTGTTAGAGGCCGAGTGCTCCTCGTTGGCGACCTTAGCTTGTGTGTGTACTCCGTTATCTGCTGCTATCGGCCTGTCAAGACCCCATCTGGCCACTTGTCATCCAAAGACCAGCGTGGGCGGCCGGTAGGCTCCTCCGCCGCCCTAAATCAAGGCAAGGGGCGAGTAGCGCCTTCCAAACCTACCTGGAGTTCGAAGAGACCACAGCCGACGCGCCGTATTGAGACCACTAGAGCTACACCTGCCAGGAAACCATCGTGCAACCCCCAAGAAAGCATGCATCCATTTCTGGAACTTGGTGAGGCGTCGATTGCGTTGCTACCTATTCCTGTGCCAGCTCCAGGCATGCTGGAAGTATCGAGCATCATACGCCAGAAAGCGAGTAGACCGAACTATCATGGATCCACAAAAAAACTTTACAAATTGAAACTTACAACACCCAACGCAGGTAAATTAGATGAAGACGCTGCAGACAACCGAGACACGTGTTCATGGTGGATGCAATACGAACAGATTCATCCAAGGCATGGAATGAACATGGCTAACAGTTAGAAGGCATTAATTAAAAAAAACTGAACAATTTTTACTTTACTTCACTATACTGTACATCTACGTTGACCCAGCGATGGCGCGTGTGCGTAGGCGCTGCCGACGTGTTCGCCGAAAGTCGGCGCTCACAGCCAAAGTTTGTTGAGCCGAGGTTCCAGCTTAAAACGCTGCGCGCACTCGGAAGATTCCGCGCTACGTAGTTTTGCCACGGGTTTTTGATTTTCCGTATCGCTGAACAGCCGACCACTACGGAAAAGCAGTGCCTTGGGTGACGGCTCCGAAGTTGACTCAGCGCTACGTGTTTTTCACTACGTATTTTTAGAAATACCGTGCTTCTGAAAGCCTCTATTCAGAGAATTATGCACGTACAGTATGAACGGAAGTGCTTATACTCACACTCGACAGATGGGTCAATGTACTGTTTCGGAGGGAGCGAGCAACGATTTTTTCGCTTTTAATTTTGGTACGCTACAGAACGTCACGTGAGCTTTACTTGTACTTAGCGATGGGTTCGTGGGTGGAGTCTATGATAGCAGCTTAATAGTGTTTGAGCAGCGCGGCCAGAATGCGACTCCGTTCTACAAGCGGCTTCAACTAAGAGACAAGTGTACTCCAATGGAGGTGTCCGGCCCCACTGTTGTCGAAGAAATGACCCCTTCAGGATATCTACTGTCTTTGGTGAACACTTCGATGACGAGTGATGTTACATTCAAAGGCATAACATCGAGACGTTCCCGATGGCAATCCTGCTAACTCGACTGTTTCGTTTTGATGCAGTGGAAGGTACCCCGATATTCGCCCACAAAAATCTCTGCATGCGCTTCCAGTACTTTCGAGCGATGTTTTCAGGGGAGGTATGCTTTATCAAGGGTGAATGTTGCAGCACCGGCATAGGCAGGTTGGTGCATTGGTGTTGACTTTTACCATGCTGATATTGTAGATGCAGGAGGGCAACGCCAGTGAGATCGAAATCACGGGTATACGCCGAGAAAAGTTCCTGCTCATGCTGAAGTATGTGTACAGCGACCATTTCAGCGCTTCGGGTGAGGCTGCAGTCGAGTTGCTCGTTGCTGCCGATTGGTTCGGTATCGAAGGGTGTGCGAGAGCAAAGCGCGACAAATGTTGACGGTCGAGTCCGTGCTCGAATTGCTAAGACTTTGTGGTCGACACCACGCCGTGGAGCTCAAGAGCGAATGTGTCGACATGATTGCGGCCAACTTCGATACCGTGTCGAAAACCCAGGCGTTTCATGAAATGCTCAGCCACGACCCCGAGTTGGTGTCGGATCCGCTGATGTACCGCGCAATGGCGTAGCTAAGAACACGGGAATGCTTTAACGGAGAACTGCATGAATTCATATAATGCGTTCGCGTTCTCATCTTCGTAGTAATTCCCTCCTACCTGCTGACTCGCCAATTTACGGCGTCACGGCGTGCTTGTGGGCGTGGTGGCCGTCGTGCGTGGGGCTGCTCGACTTGTCGCCCTTGAGCTTGTCCTTGACCTCGTTCACCGCCTCCTTGGCGCGCTCCACGAAGGACGGCGAGGCCGACAGCGACTTCTCGGCGATGGTGATCTGGTGGCTCAGCGCGCTGAGGTTGAAGTTGTCGCGCAGCGTGGCCTTGACCAGGTCCTCGACCGTGTCGGAGCTGCCGAGGATGCCTCCTCCTCTGCCTTGGTGGTGGTGGTGGTGGTCGCCCTTGTTTCCGAGGATCCCTCCGCCGTGGTTGGCGTCCTTGTCCTTGTCCTTGTCCTTGCTTCCGAACAGCCCGGTGTGCTTTTCGTCCTTGTCCTTGTGCTTGTCGCTCTTCCCGAAGACGGCTGCGAGGCCCTTGGATTCCTTGTCCTTCTCCTTGTCGTCGCTCTTCCCGAAGAGAGCACCGACGCCCTTGGACTCCTTTTCCTGGTTCTTGGCCTTGTCGTCACTCTTGCCGAACAGTCCCGTGTGCTTGTCGTGGTCCTTGTCCTTACCGAAGAGACCTCCGTCCTTCTCCTTGTGGTCGTGGCCAGCGCCACCTCCGACGACGTTGTCGATCGCGCCCTTGACGCCCTTCGAGCGGCCGTTCTTCTGGTCGTAGTTGCGCGCCGTCGTGTTCAGGACGTCCATGGCCTTGGCGGCTGCGCCCATCATGTTGCGCGCGGAGGTGACCTCGGCCTCGGACGGCTGCGGGCTCTTGCTGATCTGGTGTGCGACGTGCTTGAGGTCGGCCGACGTGTCCTTGGCCGTGCGCATGTCGCTCCGCAGGTACGAGACGGCCGTGTTGACGAAGTGGTTGCCGTGACGACTGTCGTAGTCGGAGAGGTTCTTCTTGAGCAGCTTGAGGCACCTGGCGGCGTCGTCGGCGGTCTGGTTGAGCACCTTCTCGAGGGAGGCGAACTCCTGGTCGATGGTGGCGTTGCGGTCGCTGGACTTGCCCATGCTGGAGTGCTGAGTCGCTTGAAAGCGGTTGGGGTGGGGGTGGCGTTGGGGGTGGTTAGTGGGGGTGTCGACTCGTGTGCTTGAGGTCACGTTTCGAAATGAGCTGAGGTGTCGGAGCCGGCAAGGTTGGAGCGCATGAACGGGGAACCATGGTGGCGAGCGAAGAATCGGAGACACGGTTAGTACGCCTAGGATTTCGGCGTGCCGCATCGATTAAGAGTCGGCAAGTCGCTTTGGTGGCTGCAGTTGGCGCCCATGAAAAATCAACGTGTAGGATATTTGAGCGTTACCGTGTAGTTTCGCAAGAGTTGTTGAAATTGATGGGACGCAATAACGGACTCCTCATTCATAGTGGATGACAACCGTTTTGCCTTGTTTCCAGTTGGCAAGTTTGGTTTATACCCCCATTTTTCGAGTTCATAACTGAGTATGCGTTAAATTCAAAGAACTGAAAGTAGAGCAACCGCTGGTTGCCTTATACAAACACCCAAGCACTTCCTCCACTTCCACCTTTGACAGGTTTTCAACTTGTAGCAAGCCGTTTTCATTGCCGTTTGACCTCAACCTTGAGGCGAAACTCGCTGTCGCACGGGACAGCAGCCATTATTTCGTGGAAGATGGGTTTGTGCGGTGCTGCATGGCTACTCTTCGAGTCGAACGACTCATTCTGTAACGTGATCGCAAGAGCGAATAGCAAACTAAAAGTTGTGTCCAAGCATGGGCAAATCCGACACCAGTGTCGCCGCCGAGTTCTTCAAGCTTGAGCTGCTGCTGGTCCAGACAGCAGATGATGCAATCCACTGCGTCAAGACCCTCAAAGACAACCTGGCAGAATACGACATTCGCCACGGGCTGCACTTCACCAACACGTCCAAGTCCTTCATGAGGGGCTTCATCCGTGCCGCCAAGGACGCAGCGTCAGACCTCCGACTCGCGGCCGACCAGGTGGCCAAGAGCAAATATCTGTCCGACTGGGAGATCGCTGCGGCCCGCAACAAGATGAACGCAGCCTCGGACGCTATGAAGGGGCTGAAGAAGGCGGCTCGCCTCTACGACGAGATGAACGGCAAGCCCATGGGCATCACCCGCGTCATCGACAACATGCTGGTCGGGAAATACGACAAAATGAAAGGGGACGGCACTCTAGGAACTGCGGACACAGTGGAGATAGTGGTGGAGTCGACACTCCGTGGCGAGTTCGGCGGGTTTTCAGCCTTGAAGCGCCAGATCGCCGTAGCGGAGAAGTCTCTGTCGCCTTCACTAATTGAACGCGCCAGAGAAGCAGTCGCGGACGTCGTGATCAAGTTTAAGGAAAATTCCACCTCGAATCGAAGTGTCAGCATTTGAACTACGCGCAGCCAAGTACCAAGTAGTGCACTTCATTCATTCCATAGACACATTAACACTAACCAAACAATGCCTTTTGCATCAAACTGCTACGTAGTACGTTTTTGCTAGTTTTAGCTTAGTTCTTGGCGGGCCGCCAATGGCGGCACCCTTGCGACAGCGTAGACATTCCAAAAGTGTGTCTTCATTGCTGATGCTCTTCGATGGGAGACGTCCACAGCCACCAAAGCGACTTGCCGACTCTTAATCGATGCGGCACGCCGAAATCCTAGGCGTACTAACCGTGTCTCCGATTCTTCGCTCGCCACCATGGTTCCCCGTTCATGCGCTCCAACCTTGCCGGCTCCGACACCTCAGCTCATTTCGAAACGTGACCTCAAGCACACGAGTCGACACCCCCACTAACCACCCCCAACGCCACCCCCACCCCAACCGCTTTCAAGCGACTCAGCACTCCAGCATGGGCAAGTCCAGCGACCGCAACGCCACCATCGACCAGGAGTTCGCCTCCCTCGAGAAGGTGCTCAACCAGACCGCCGACGACGCCGCCAGGTGCCTCAAGCTGCTCAAGAAGAACCTCTCCGACTACGACAGTCGTCACGGCAACCACTTCGTCAACACGGCCGTCTCGTACCTGCGGAGCGACATGCGCACGGCCAAGGACACGTCGGCCGACCTCAAGCACGTCGCACACCAGATCAGCAAGAGCCCGCAGCCGTCCGAGGCCGAGGTCACCTCCGCGCGCAACATGATGGGCGCAGCCGCCAAGGCCATGGACGTCCTGAACACGACGGCGCGCAACTACGACCAGAAGAACGGCCGCTCGAAGGGCGTCAAGGGCGCGATCGACAACGTCGTCGGAGGTGGCGCTGGCCACGACCACAAGGAGAAGGACGGAGGTCTCTTCGGTAAGGACAAGGACCACGACAAGCACACGGGACTGTTCGGCAAGAGTGACGACAAGGCCAAGAACCAGGAAAAGGAGTCCAAGGGCGTCGGTGCTCTCTTCGGGAAGAGCGACGACAAGGAGAAGGACAAGGAATCCAAGGGCCTCGCAGCCGTCTTCGGGAAGAGCGACAAGCACAAGGACAAGGACGAAAAGCACACCGGGCTGTTCGGAAGCAAGGACAAGGACAAGGACAAGGACGCCAACCACGGCGGAGGGATCCTCCGAAACAAGGGCGACCACCACCACCACCACCAAGGCAGAGGAGGAGGCATCCTCGGCAGCTCTGACACGGTCGAGGACCTGGTCAAGGCCACGCTGCGCGACAACTTCAACCTCAGCGCGCTGAGCCACCAGATCACCATCGCCGAGAAGTCGCTGTCGGCCTCGCCGTCCTTCGTGGAGCTCGCCAAGGAGGCGGTGAACGAGGTCAAGGACAAGCTCAAGGGCGACAAGTCGAGCAGCCCCACGCACGACGGCTACCACGCCCGCAAGCAGACCATGACACCATGAAATTGGCGTCGAACGTCAACGAGAGTAGGAAAGAGTAGGTCAATATTGCACCGCTACTGCACTGAATGCAGATTTGCCTAATGACAATAATGGAGACGAGCTACTAAAACACCGTTTGATACCAGATTGGTATGAGTTGTATTCGAAGTGTTCAATGGTTATTATTTGCATGTATCGGAATGGCTGCTTGTTTCCCCCCCTCCCACCCTCTTCTTCACGGGAGATAGTGATCGGTGTAAATGCTTAGCGTTGCTTCATAATCTCCAGGACGAGGGACGCGTTGGTAAGTAGCAAGTCTTGAAACGCTTGCGACTTCGACACGACTTCGAAATTCGCAATAATCATCTCCGCGCACTCGTTCTGTAGCTCCACCGCGTGGTGCTTGTCAGCAAGCTTGAGAATCTCGGCGGCCGTCTCGACGGTCAACGACTGACGAACTTTGTTCGCGCAAAGTTGCTTGAGAGTTTCAATTTCGAACTGTACACGCAATACTGTTAGTAAAAGACCGATATGGAAAGAAGATAACATAATGAGTCAAACGTACCCGATCCGCAGCGACAAATAGCTCGATTGCAGCGTAACTCGATACGTCGACATGACCGCTATACACATACTCCAGTACCAGTAGGAAAGTCGCTCGGCTGATGTCCGTAATTTCAATTGTCGGCAGTGGATTCTCTTGTCCCTGCCACCAATACGTATCCCTTGTTAGGCACGGTCATAGTTCATGTTGGTTTGTCTTACAGTACCTCTGTTTGAATCAGAGTCTTGAAGGACTGGTAGCGCATACAAAGGTTCTTGTGACCAAAGATCTCGGTCCCTCCCACTACAACAACAAAATATCGTAAGTTTGTACGAGTTCTTAACGCGATTCGGCTGTCAACGCGTACCCTTGATCGTCACATCACTAAAGTCGGGTTTGTCCTCTAGTGACTTCAGGTAAGTTGCCGATGGCCGTTTTGAGCTAGACGTGCTAATTGTCTCCAGATTGGCGCCATTATTCAGCTGAAGCTGCTTGTAACAGAGACCAACACTCTTATAGGTCCGCGCTTGGAAGACGATCACGTTGTCGTTGTAAACTCCACCGACGAACCCGCGGGATAACGCTGGGCTATTGCTGCAGTAGACAGGAAACCAAGATTTCGCATCTACAAGCAATTTATGCTTAATCTGGGTTCTCAGTCTAACCCAGCGGGCTTTGCATCTTACCAACGTCCAGCTCATGAATCCAGTTATAAAACCCAGCGGGGTGCTCTGGATCTTCGCGCCCTCCGAACACGAGCACAGAGCTGGAGCGTGCAACCGTGAGGCGGATAGCATGAACATCTGGTTGCCCCCACTTCGCCATGATTGTGAAGCTTGACCACCTCAGTAGTTCTGTGCAATAGCAAGCGTTTAGTGATCTGTTGACGACGCTCGACACGCCAGCGATCGTACCCAAGTCCAATATGAACCCTTTATTGTATGTGTCATTTTGGCCTCCCACTAGCACCCACTTGCCATTCTGCACAACACCAGATACAACTGGTGGGCATTCCCAGATATGAAAGTAAATTATTAAATACATGCCAGTAAGTTGTTGAAGAGTATCTGATACTGCTGATAGCGGTGCGGTATCTTTTGCAATAAATAAAGATTACTGAGGGCTAGGAGGATTTCCAGTAGTTTGGGTGATGTCCAAGTGTTTGTGTCTGAATAAAAGCATACAATATTATGTGCATTGTGCAATCATAGGGTTGAAAGAATCGTAAGGAGAAACGTACCGAACTCGAATCTGTACAGTTCGACAGACGTCAGGCCTCGCTGGAGGAAATACACAGAGTTTGCTGCTCTCGCGGATACACATTAAAAGCTGGAACATGAGGATCAATTAGAGCTAGCAACGCCTACCATGCAATACTACCGCAGAGGGACAGTTCGCGGCTGGCTGTTTCCCAGAATTGACGACAACGACGTTCCACGTTCTCGTTCCTACGTAAAGAACAAAGTGAGACACCAAACTGTAGTTTCTGACAAATGATGGCTAACTTACCGAAATGGTACGAAAGGATGTCGGAGTTACTTGTCAATCCGCCAAACACGTAAAAGCGGTCATTGTATAGAAACCCTGCGTAGCTCTGGCGAGGTTTCAGTGCTTGTCCACAGCATGGCACGACACTCCTGGTCTTCCGTGGAAAGCTAAACTCGTACAGAGTTTCCAGATCTGAACATATTTTGTTAGCACTTGGATGGGTCTGCTACAGCAAAGCAATAAGCAAACTTAACCTCCGAACACATATAGAGAGTCGCCTCGAACCGCGCATGAATTGAAGCCGCCCCTAAAGTAGCACGCGGCTCGATGATCCACGGCATAGGGGACATCAACCCACGAAGCCGTGGCAACGCTGCTGCTCATTACTGCGCTCACAGCCTTTTGCAGAATGGAAGGTCGGTAGCGGCCGGGAAAAGATCTCAAAATCCTTTCGGTTCTCGACATAGCTGGACCGCAGGACGAGCACGCACCCAAACCGTGGCACAGTACGATTGGCGCGAGTAAACACACCAATGTCATTCAGTCCCATCCAAAACCACCGCAACCCCCATACAATTAAAACATCGCCAACACTCGATTTTTCTTAAGCTTCATTTCATTTCAGATATGATGTATCGTTAAGCTTGGGAAATAGCGACCTTTGTATTGTTGTAGTTCCTTAACCGCATTGGATTGCTCCAACACCAACTCGTATGATCGACATCCAATTAGATTTAAGTAAAACTTAAAAGTATAGACCTAGCACTGAGTTTAACGGACCCAAGCATAATTCGTGGTAGTAGCTTGCCGGCGACATAAGCGAGCGAAGGGAACTTTGTATTAGAAATCGTTAGCATCTCAAAGTGACTACATTACAAAAAAACTAGCTCTGAGAAAGATTGATGTCTTCGATGGCAGTGCCTCCATACATGTCTCGACGGAAGACTTACCAAATAATGGAGTCGAGTATGGAAACGAAATGACTCTGTATTGCGCTCTCATGGGCTACCTCAAAACTAGCCTCCCGCGCGACCCACTTGCTTACTTTCTGCAAAATCTGAGGCTACTGATCAAACTCGCCACCCTTCGAGAGCGATATTGCGGTACGGTCATTTCATCTTTTCTGGCTTGACGATAGGCGCGACCGCTTCCATCGGATACGCAGCCTCAATGTGCTCCGCCATGATCGCGTGCTCACGAACGATCGCGGCGACGCGTTCAGCGCGCATGACTCTCCCCGGGCCAATCCAATGCTCTCGCTGCTTGCGTTCGATTACAGCCCATGTCAGAGCATCACTGTCGATTGGCGTTCCGGCAGCAATAGCAGGAGCGGAACAAGTCTGCAGCTTTTTGCGGGCTACAGGGTCAGCGAGAGGCGCTAGCGCGGGATACGATCTGGAGAACATCCAGGCCTTGGCGTGTTTCTTGTGAAGTGCGAAGCAGGCGCAGTAGATGCCCACGTTAGAGTCAACTAAAGAGTTGGGCTGGTAGTGCCTTTTTAAAGGATTAAAAACGATACAACTTTGGGATTTACTCCATTATTAATCGTTATCATCGTCCATGAAACTATTCGTCGACCTGTGTACCCTCCCGGAGCAACGCTCCTGGAGAGTACCGAAAAGCTTGTGTCGGTGGTCGACATGAGATTGTTCTTGTCCTTCCATTAAATATACATCGACGTTGAAGTGCTCCCCGTTAAGTACACCAATATGTCTACATCATTATGTACCAAAACACAATTTCTGAGAAAATAAAGATCACTCACACAGCCTGATTCGGCCCCAGACTGCAAGCATGGCGCACTTCACGCCGTCGCCGCGCAGCTCCCAGGCCCCCTGCTGCCGCCCAATACGCTCCCGACGCTTCGTCGCCATCTTAACCTTCACCGCTGCAGCTCTCCTATCTCTCCTCTCCCCTGGTTTAGCGGCAGACTCGGACTATTTGGGGACTATTTCGCCGGACCAAATTGCGCAGGACCGCGCCCTATTCAAGGCCCGCGTGCTGGACAGCGTCCCCGATTTGGTCCCGGCCGACGTGAAATGTGAAAAGATCAAGCGCTGCGACCAAAAGGGCGTCTGCGCCTTCGTCTGCAAGCACGGGTCCGTGCAGGTGGACGAATGGCTGCAGAAGGCGCTCAAATTGCAGCGCAAGCTCGCGTATCGTCGCAATTTCTGCTCTGCTCAATTGCCGGGTACACACAATTCGGCCATCAATCACGCCGATGGGTACGGTGTGGAGGACCACGTGTTCGAGGGGTACTTGAAGTACTTCTCGTGGTTCAAGAAGGGCATGAAGGTGCACACGAACGACCAACTCTTCTCTCTGACTGACCAATTGCATCTAGGTGTGAGGTTCATTGAGCTGGACGTGCATTGGTTTGATGGTGATCTGCATATTGCTCATTGCGGGGGGTTCAAGTCCAAGCTGTTGGACGGGATGATCGATATTTTCAACGAAATCGCGAAGATGCTGGGGGCGGACATCGAGTGGGACTCGGGGACAATTGGGTGTAAGCCGAGTTTGAGTAGTATTCCGTCCAAGGAGCAACGGCCGCTGACGGAGGCGTTGAAGGAGCTCTCGATGTGGTTGCATGCTCCGGAGAACGCGGATGAGTTCTTGATGGTGTTCTTTGATGATGAGACGGACCTCATGAAGTGGAAGAAAGTGGGCAAGTTGTTGGAGTATTTGAAGGAGTATTTCCCCGAGAAGGAGATTCTTCATCCGATTGAGCTGGCAGTGAGTTTTGTGTGTGTGTGATATGCTGCTGATTTGGTGAAGGGGTTACTAATATTCTTGTTTGCGTCTGTATAGTACCATACCAAGTGGCCTACGTTCGAAGAACTGCTTCGTGTTGGCAAGCGCGTTGTGTTCATGAGTGGCGTGGACTATCTCACTTTCGGCGAAGAGATCTTGTTCGTCAAAGATACTGTTTGCAACTGGCAGGAGCCACCATTACCGCTTGCTCCGTTCCCAGAATGCCGGTTCAACGAATCGAAGACGCAGATCGGGGTCCCCGACGAGAACTTCACCATATTCCGCCCTGAAACCAGTGAAATCGAGTACGGCTTCTTGAATGCAGACGGCCAGATTGGGATCAACAAGAACTTGCTGAATGAGGAGTCTCTTCCGGGTGTGGCAAACTGTGGTGTAAACTTACCGTCGCCGGATAACATCACCCCGAAGCGCATGGAGGCCACAATCTGGACTGTGTCAAAGGGGCAAGAGCTTGATGCTAGCAAATGTGTGGCGCTTATGCGTGAGTCCAAGACTTGGAAGAGTTTGGACTGCAAAACGGCGAACTTGGTGCCAGCATGCGTTGATGCGAAGAACCCCCGCCACTGGCAGCTTGGAAATGCACCGGTCGTCGAAGCCGACTCAGCAGCCGCCTGTGCAGCAATAACCTCGACGACGGTTGAGTATTCAGTGCCAGCGTCTGGATATGAGAATGGTCTCGTGCACAAACTATTGACAGAGTCTTCATCAAGCTCTATTGCTGGCGTGTGGCTGAACGCAAAATCATTCGTGTCGGAAGTGTACTCTGCAGAGCAGCACAAGGTTCTTGCCCCAGAAGTCAAGGCAACGCCAATTGACGACATTATCTCGGTCGAGTGAGCTAACGTAGTATCGACGAAGGTGGTTTGCCAAGTAGTATTACCGGGGACTGAGTCTCGTAGCCAAGCTCATTCAGAAGAAACGACTTGGGGACGACAAAGCTTGGGACGTGCCGACATCGCCCGTCCCGTGATCTGGAAGCATCAAAGCGAGTAACATGGTGAGTGGCAGCAAGGTACAGCTCATATAAGACCTGTTTCACTTTCAGAAACTGTTCATGTTTTTATTTCACTTCACGAAGTGAAGTAAGGAGGAACTAATGGCCATGAGAGGGTTTGCTGCTTGCTACTTAGAGCTAACTACTAGTGCACAGCGTGAAGAGCAGGCTCTTGAAGAAAAAGGATCTGGATGATACAGAGTAGCTGCCTACGCCTTTGGCTCAGGAGTCGCCTTGTACGTCGTGTTGGGCATTGGGAAGAACTCGAGAGCCGTACCGTTCATCGGGGGCTTGAGCTTGTGCGAATCCTTGTCAGCCTCCTTTCCGATCGACTCGGTCGTCGAGCTGACGTTGCCCACGTGGTCGATCTTGACGATCTTCGGTTCTTCCAGCTTGTCGTGGTACTTGTCGTTCTTCGTTGGCTTCGGGGTCGGGTGGTGCTTGTCATCGTACTTTTCCTCGGTTGGCTTCGGGGTGTCGTAGTGCTTGTCCTCGGTGGGCTTCGGAGTCGAGTAGTGCTTGTCCTCCGTGGGCTTGGGCGTCGGGTGGTACTTCTCTTCGGTTGGCTTGGGCGTCTTGTAATGCTTGCCTTCCATTGGCTTCGGAGTCGGGTAGTAGTGCTTGTCGTCGTGCTCAGTTGGCTTCGGACGGTGCTTGTCATCTGAATGCTTCGGTGTCGGCTTGTGTTTGTCGTCCTCGTGCTCCTTGTGGTCCGTGTCATCTTCGCACGCCTCCCGGAAGCTACACGCCATCTTGTGCGCGTTCAACTTGGCTCCGGAGAGAGACAGGTAGCAGTCGGCAGGCTCGAGAGCGAGGACGTCCTTGACCAGCGCTCGGCAAGCCTCAGCAGCGCACATGGCCTTGACTTGCGGCTCCGTCGGGTAGCCCATCGGAGGGACCAGGGAAAAGCCGGCAGAGACCTTCTGGCACGGATGCAGGTGCGGGTTGGCGTAGAGCTCAGCGAACTTGACCACCTCGGTCGGAGGACAGGCGTCTTCAGCTGCGACTGCCGAGATGCTGAGCAGGAAGAGTAAGACGGCGGCGAACTGCATCTCGGACTGAGAGTCGATGCGGAGAAAGTCGAGCGAAGCTTGAGCGCGGTTGTCGGTGTCTGGATCTGGTTGCCAACTTGGAAGCAAATTGGAGAATGAGCAAGCTGAGCGAGAGTCGAGAAGCTCTCGGGAGAACTTGGCCCTCCATTGAGAAAGTACGACACTGGCACCCTAGATTCTCTTGCAACGTAGATAGAAGATGAGGGACTTCGAGTCTCTGCAGGCGTTCTTGTCCAACCTTACTTCAATTGAAAGCACCGATATCGTGGGACAGTCGATGTTTGGACGGTGAATGACCATGGCTGCCCGATATTTCACCTCATGCACCATAGTTTTCGTGAACAATCAGAGTCAACAAACACTACACCAGCAGGGCGGGATGAATTGATGTCAGTGACGAAGGATGTGGCTTGTTGACTACCGTAGAAATGATTGGCGGCAGGGAGGCCTGAAAAGACCCGATCAATCCTCGAGGCACTTCCCGTTCTACCAAGTACCGCCACGCGACCACGAGCCCCATGAGCTTTCCTTCTCGACCGCCCTACGACCCCGAATTGAAAGCCCTGCTCGACCAAGCGTTTGCCGAAGGCATGCCGCTCCATTTCAGCCTTGACGATGTTCCATCGATGCGTGCAGGGGCCTCCTCGGTCGTCTCAGCGGATCCCGTTCTCGATTTGTCAAGTGGCGGCACACATGAAGAGCGCACAATTCCGGGTCCAAACGGAGACATCCTGGTGTCGATCCTTCGACCGGCGACTTTCGATCCAGCCAAGCAACACCCCGCCATTCTGTTCTACCACCCGGGCGGCATGATCATGGGCAACCGCTTCACAGGCTTGGAAGTCCTCGTACCATACCTCGACTCGTTCAACGCCATCATCATTTCGCCTGAGTATCGCCTTGCACCGGAACATCCGTCTCCAATTCCGTTCGAGGAGGCCTACGCAACACTCAAGTGGACTGGAGACAACCTCAAGGACCTCTGCATTGACCCAGCTCGATTAATGCTCGCTGGAACCTCTGGAGGTGGCGCGATATGTGCTGGGGTAACCCTTCTAGCTCGTGAGCGTGGTGGACCGAAGGTGTGCGGTCAGCTACTCGTAGCTCCAATGTTGGACGACCGCAACGAGAGTGTGAGTGCCTGTCAGTTTGACGAAGGAGGTCGATGGAGCACTCGCAGCAACCGCTTCGCTTGGAGCTGCGTGCTTGGTCAAGGAGTGGAACGAACGATGTCAAAGACTTCGAGGCGTCCGGTCGAGCCACAGATCTATCGGGTCTGCCATCGACGTACCTCGAAGTGGGGTCGGCCGAGGTGTGTCGAGACGAAGTGGTTGCGTACGCGAGCAAGTTGTGGGCGAGCAGGGTGCAAGCAGAGCTCCACGTTTGGCCCGGTGGATACCACAACTTCGCTGCTCATGCCGAGTTGTCGAAGAAAGCTCTGCGTGCCAGACGCCAGTGGGTCGAGTCCCTGTTGAGCAAATCCAAGACTCGTCCCAAGACTGAGCAAGACATCTGATTGTAAGGGAGAGAGGGGGGGAAGCAGAAGGAGAAGAAGAATACAGTCAGCATGAGCACGCTGCAAGATGCGATACAGCTGTACTCGTCCTCAGACGAAGAAGGAGAAGAACAGGAGGAGAAGGAAGAGAGCAAGTACGATGACGGGGCTGTGGTGAGCCACGTGTCCAGGTATCAGCCTGCCCAAGACTCCTCGGTAGACGACGGTGAAGACGAAGACAGCGAAGACGAAGAGAAGGTTTCAGACCCGCCGCCACCTCGGAAGCGCTCGCAGAAGGAACGCGTCGTGACGGATCCGTCCTCGGTCCCTACGCGAGCCCAGCAACTGCAGAAGCAGCACTGCGCAAGGCCCAAGAACACGCCGTGGCCGACGCGACTGTCGCGGGCGAAGCGACATCGCGCAAAGCGAGCTCCGGTGCGCTACGGCGACAGGGTGTTGTACGCTCGGGGAGCTCCAGCTGCTGCAGTCGACCCACACCGTCAACTTGATGGTCGATCTCGCGATCGCCCGCAACGCCACGGCGGAGTGTAAACACCTCGAGCCTCTATCCTGCACACGTCACATGTTTCTTCTCGATTTTCGGCTGTTCAGGCGGCTCGTTTCATTGGCTAACAAAATTACAATTTTCCATTCGCCAAAATTAGCGTTAATCCGACCAATCCGCGCCCTGCTCATCATCTGAGCCCCACGTCAGCGGTTTACGTACGCCGTCACTCACCAACTTCCGACTTCGGGCGTAACAACGGACTCTCGCCGCTTCAAGTCGCCACTGCGTCGCCTCCAGACCTTCCCAGCGCTCGAATCCGCCACGACCACCATTGCCATCGTGTTGGCTATTTTCTGGTGCTTCTTTTGAGCCGTCATTCACTGCTGGACGATCGATATTCGACTGTATTCTGACCAAGTCACGTTAACGGAGCTCCTCGCTATTTCTTCGTCTCGAGCGCGTAATTCTTTGGATTTTTCCGCGCTTCAAGCTGCAAAACCATGACCACCAACGACAGCATGAAGGCCACCTTGCAGCGCTTCGACCTCTTCTTCGCCGGCGCCGATGCGGCCATGCAGAAGCGACTGCAGCAGGCGCTGGACGTGATGCGCAGCGCCATCGACATCTTCGGTCTGGAGGGCGTGTGCTTCAGCTTCAACGGGGGGAAAGACTCGACGGTGGTGCTGCACCTGCTCCGCATTGTGGTGGCCAAGCGCGTGCTGGAGGAGGCCGAGCAGGAGCACGCGAGGGCGCAGCACGAAGCCGAGGACGACCACAAGACGACTGTTACATCGCCGCGGAACAGTTTCGTCTCGGTTGACTTGCTCCAAGAGGACGAGCTCGAGGCGCGTGTGCAGGCGCAACTGCAGCGCGTGCCGGTTATGTATTTCGACTCGCACGACCAGTTCCCAGAGGTGCGCGACTTTACGGAGCTCTGCACCAAAAAGTTTGCGCTCAGCTGCCATGTGTACAAGTGCTCGTTCGTGGAGGGCGTCAAGGATATCCTCGAGAAGCTCAAGATCAAGGGCGTGTACATGGGCGTACGTGGCGGGGACCCGTACACGGAAGACATGGAGCACTTCTCGCCTAGCAGCCCCGGATGGCCCCCATTCCTCCGTGTGAATCCGATTCTGAAGTGGACGTACGCTGACGTGTGGAGCTTCCTGCGCGACTGCCAGCTCGAGTACTGCTCGCTGTACGACCACGGGTACACGTCGCTAGGAAACATTTACGACACGGTGCAGAACCCAGAGCTCTGGAGGAAGGGCGAGGACGGCAAAGAGGGATACTACTTGCCTGCTTACGACCTCAAGGACGGCAGCTCGGAGCGGTGCGGACGGCAGAAGAAGGCGCACACGACATCAAAGTCTGACTAAGCTAGACGTGTAAGACGGAAGAGCTCGCGCGGGTACGTGCAGGAGCTCTTTATGTATAACCCAAGCTAATAGAACCCAGAGAAAATCATCGATTGCTAGTAGCGGCGACGCGATCGTGAGCGAGACCGTGAGCGTCTTCTAAAAGCTGGAGACGGCAAAGACGAGCGATGGCGATGGTGACGGTATCGGCTCGAAGGGCTGCCCGGAGATCGCGAACGTCCACGCGATTCCTCTAGGTGTCGTGCTCGTGGAGGCGAGCCTTCATACCTACGACGGCTGGCTGGAGATCGTGAACGAGATTGGGATCGAACGCTGCGATGTTGTCGACTAGCTGAGCGCGAACGTCTAGCGCCATCTCGACTTCTTCCTGAACGACTTGGAGGCGACCGAGAGCGCGAACGGGAGCGGTGTCCCTCTTCCTCCTCCTTGTGATGGTGGCGACGGTGGCGGGGTTTCTCATCCTCTTCATCATCAGACTCACGGCCATGATGCCACTTCGCCTTCTTCTCCTTCTTGCGCTCCTTCTTCTCCTTTTTCTTGAGTTTCTTGGCCGCCTTCTCTGCCTTGCGCGCCTCCTTCCTGGCAGCCTTGGCCTCACTCTCCGTCATCTGAGCGTTCATAGTTCCCGGCAGCGCGTATGTGGTGTCCGCTTTGCCGCTCTCCAGCTGATCCTTGTACCTCTCAGCCAAAGTCCGCTTTGGCGCCGTCACGAACCCTGCAGCTTCCACCGGCGCCGCCCCGAGTCCTTCAACGCGCTCCACGTCCATGCCATCCCGCTCCGCCTCTCCGCGCTTCAGCAGCTCCTTCATCTCCGACGCGCTCAGTCCTTCGGCAGGCTCATGGCGTCTCTTCGGTGCAATGCCCCTACAGCGTAACAAAGCACAATAAGTATATACCTCAGCGCTCCTATCGTGAAGTGTCGAGTCAACGTACAGCGCTTCGTTCATGAGGTCCTCGTCCCGTTGCTTAGCCAGGGCCAACTCTGCCTGCAGCGCCTCAGCGCGCTGCGACTTGTTGGTCTTGGCGTACCATGTCAGGTCCTTGCCCTTCTGCCAGCGACCCACAGGCGCCTGCACCGAGTGGCCCAGGTAGTTCTCGCGGTACTTGTCGTTCTTGACGTCCTCCCACTTGAACTCTAGCGCACGAGCAACCACACAATTTGGCACACAGTTAGTATAATACACTAGCAAGGACATCATTGTAGCAGATAGCTCGGTGGCGACGTACGGTCGGCGCCGCCGCGCGTGCCGCCCACGCGGTAGTTGGTCTTCCCGAAGCTCATTAAGCCTTAGCGTAGCTCTCCACAAATGACGAGTGTGCCACACACCAAACTTATGTGCATATTGTGGCGCAACCATTTTATGTCACAGAACGTTGCGTGCGACTAGCCGCAGTATCTTCCATCGGCCTTCATTCGATAAATCTCAGCGGTCAAAGAGCTCTTCGAAGAGAGGGAAGAGACGCCTTGCAGTCGTCATGTCCGGCAACTACAATGCGCCCAACGGCGGTGGCGGCATCTTCGCCGACGGCACCAGCGGCGGCGTCACAGGCGGAGGCTCGGACCCGGCCAACCTCAACAACTACAGCACCTTCTTCGCTGCGGATCCGGTGCGTCAACTAACGGCCTGATGCAATGAATTTTATCTTCCAGACGACATAATAACTTACGTCGTTGTGTGTTTTATTTATGTAGAGTGTGCGGTCGCTGATGCGCACGTCGGACAACATCGAGCGCACGCGCCGCACCGTGGCCGAGTCGGAGGAGGTGGCCAAGAACGTGCTGGTGGACCTGGAGCTGCAGCGCTCGCAGCTGCACGACATGAAGGGGATGGTGTCCGAGACGTCGAGCATGACGGGCCAGGTGCGCCACCTCCTGCAGATCATCGCCGACCGCTCGTACCGGAAGAAAGTGTGTCTCTACATGATCATCGTGGCGCTGTCAATCACCGACACCCTGGTATTCTATCTATTGTTTGTCCGCTAAGAAAAAAGAAAAACTTCTGCCGAGGAAATAGTAAGCTGCTTTGCTGCAGCTCCTTGACTTACTGGTGTGTGGGTTTCTCGGTTTATTATGACTCAGTGGGTGGGTGAGTAGATGGATTGGTGTGGGGAAATAAACTACTTACGCATCCGCCTCCCTACTTACTGCTCGGGCATGCCGCCGCCGCCGCCCATCTGCTTGCCAGCACGCATAACCTCATCGACGAGCAGAAGCTGCGACGCCAGCGTCGTGGCGAGGTGGATGAACTGACGCTTCACCCGGTAGTTGTCCCAGATACCCTCCTGCTCCGGCAGCATGGGCTCGCCCGAGAAGAGGTCGATGCCCACAAACATACCCGAGTTCTGATGCTCCTCCTGAACCGCGATCAAAGTGTCCTGCACGTCCAGACCGGAGTTCTCGGCCAGCACCTTGGGGATCACCAGCAGAGCGTCCGCGAAAGCCTGCACGCCGAGCTTAGCGCGGCCCTTGACCGTACCCTTAAACTTGTTGAGCGCCTCGTGGGCAGTCAGCTCGAAGGCAGCGGCGCCGGGGACAACGCCCTTGTCTTCAACGGCGTTGTTAACCGCACGGACACCGTCGCGAATGGCGTCCTTAATCTGCGCGATCGTGTGCTCGTTCGGGCCCTTAATCAGGATCGTGCACGACTTGGGGTGCTGCACGTCCTCCACGAACGTGTAGCGCTCCTCGCCCAGAGTCTGCTCGTAGACCTTGCCGGCGTAACCAAGCATGGACTCGTCCATGTCGTCCGTCGAGTTGATGGGCATACCGCCGCAAGCCAGCGTTATCCGCTCCATGTTACGGCGCTTGGCGCGACGCAGCGCCAGGATGCCCTCCTTGGCGAGCATGTCCAGCGACAGAGGGTCGATGCCCTTCTGGTTGATGATCACGAAGCTCTTGCCGTTCTCCTCCGTGCACACCTCGCGCTTGAGCTCGATAATCTGGCGCACCTTGTCGTCCGTGAACTTGCGCTCGGCCTCCACCATCTTCTCGCGCTGCTCGGCGCTGTTGTAGAAGAAGCCCGAGTTCACCTCGCTCTTCTCGTACTCGAGCGACACGTTGCACGTCATAATGTAGCAGTTCTCCAGCGAAGTGGGCATGTCCGGGTGGCGCGAGCCGTGGTCCAGCACCAGACCCTTCACGAGGCGAGTGTCGCTGCTGCTCTGGTGCATCATCTGTACAAACCCAACCAACAACAAGCAAAACCCCCGTTAACCGCACGCCCAAAAACCAACACAATATCGTTCAATGCAGCGCCACGTACGTGCATGATCTCGATCATGTGCAGGTCGATGGGGCGCTCGGGCACGGCGATGGTCAGCACGGCGTCCGTGATGATCTCCGTGAGCTGGTCGGCCAGCTTCTGGTCCAGCTTGGTGCGCAGCGAGGTGCGCGCCACGCTGCACAGCAGCTCGCGGTCCTTCAGGATGTCCTCGGGTGTGGTCTTCATCGTGTCCAGCACGCGCAGCGCCTCATCCTTGGCGAGCTCGAAGCCCTCCGACAGGATGCGCGGGTGCAGGCCGTCGGCCAGGAAGCGCTCCGCCTGCTTCAGCAGCTCGCCGATGAACAGCACGGTGGACGTGGTGCCGTCGCCCGTCACGTCGTCCTGCGCAGTGGCCGCGCGCGCGATCAGCGCCGCCGTCGGGTGCTGGATCTGCATCTCGTGCAGCAGCACGTTGCCGTCCTTGGTGAGCTTGATCTGGCCGGCGCCGCCCACCAGCATCTTGAGCGTGCCGCGCGGGCCTGTGCACCGAGCGAGGAATTATTGTATTCATTAGAGAGCGGAGATCTTTGCAACTGTTTAGCTGGCTGGTTGTACGCACCGAGGTTGGACTTGAGCACGCCCTGCAGGCCCTTGGCGGCGCTGACGTTCACCATGAGCGCCTGCGACTTGCTCACGATCTCGGCGTTGGGGTTCATGCCGCGGTAGCTCATGCTGCTAAGGTGTCTATCGAGGCTTCGTCGCTGTGTTCGGGGCTGACGAGGGGCGGATTGCGATCTCGATGGTGGCGCCGAGCCTGAGCAGCGGTACCCCATATTTGGTACGGCTGTGTGGTACACCCAAACCTGTGTTGCGGAATACGGCTCGTCAACTGTGAGTTGCTTTTTGAGCGCGCAGCTCTTCAACCATGTGCTCTATAAACGTATGAAGTTGAAGTCCTTGCGTTGTCAAGGAAACGCGAGAAGAGTGCTGCTAGTCGACACATTGACGTCCACATTGTCGTCCACATTGGGAATTCAGTTTATACAGACCTCGTGCAACAGGCAGGGTGTAAGTGTACGAATTGAACCAGCTCGTTCATGTTCATGATAATTTATTGATCTTCCTTCTCCTTACTACTACTCGGCTCTATGCCACACTACTTCTAATTTACAATCGCTATTCGCAGACATCGTCGAGGACGCTTTAGTTGCTCGACGTCTCGTGGATGAACTCGTCCACGTCGCGGTCATCGATCTCGATACCGTCGTCGCTCGAGGCGACGTGGCGCTTCTCCATCTCCTCCTTCACGAAGCGGTCGGCCTCCTCCTCCAGCATGTTGTCTAGCTCGGCGTCCTCATCCACTGATGCAGGCTCGTGCACGCGCTGGCGCACGTCGCGCGGGCGGAACGTCTCCGTCGGGCGCTGGCGACGCACGCCCGTGACGTTCGTGGTGGTATCCTGCGAGGTCGGCTCGGGCTCCGGCTGGGCCGTAGTTGACGCCACTGCTGTCGCGGGTGCCGGAGTCGTCTGCGTGGCAGTCTGTGCCGTTGCCATAGTCGTCTCCGTCTGCTTGGGCAATTCGTATCTGCACGTGGGGCAGACGTTGTGCTCCACCAGCCACGTCATGCCGCAGTCCTTGTGGAACGTGTGTCCGCACGGGAGCGTGATGACCTTGTCGTCCTTCTCGTAGTCGCTCAGGCAGATGACGCACTCCGTGTGAGTCTCGGTCTTCTGCATGTCGGTGGTCCAGATCTTCACCGGCAGCTTGTCCAGGAACGGCTTGCTCGTCGGGGGCGGGCCGTGCTGCTGCGCCTGCGCGCGCTGGGACAGCTCGTTCAGCACGTTCAGGAACCCGTCGGTGCCGTTGCCATTGGCGGCGCCGGGCATCGATCCGAACAGCGGCGCTCCGTTCAAGACCGACTGCAGGTACTGAGCCGGAGCCGGGGTGAAGCCCACCTGCATGCCGTCGTTGAACTGCACCCAGACCGTGGGCGGCGGCGGGATGAAGAAGATGAAGTTGCCGTGCAGCTGCGGCTGCGGCTGGGCTGCCGTCGGGCCGCTTGGCGCGTTGCCGTTGCTTACGCTCATGTTGCTTGACTGCCTTTTCTCGCTTGGCTCTATGTGTTGCTTAAGTCGCTGCAAATTGTAGACTGGGGTCGGTGAGAGGAACAGCGTTTGATGATCACGGCACGGCAACACTGGGTATGCGAAAGGAACGGGCCAACTTTTTTGCTGCGAGGGCGCGGATTGGCGGAAAAAGTGCTCGAGAATGTCTCTGATTGGCTCAACTGGATTTTGAGCCGTCGAAAGTTCTATTCCTGGCTTCGAGAAGGTTGGGTAGCGTGTCAACGCGATGTTTGCTATGGAATCGAATGTTCGCTCTGAGGGGGCTGACTGAGGGTAGATGACCAGGAAGCGAAGCGCGTTGCCAGCGTCTGCCGCTCGCAGGACGGTGACGAGAGGCCGAGGCTTTCTCCAATCGCAGCGTGTCAAGTCGAGCCGAGCACTGTTACGCGCCAGTCTTAGTAACGTTAGAACGCGTTGATTAAACTCGACATAGGAGGACACCAGAGCACAAAAATAGCTCAACGGCAAGCCTAGCACTGATATCGGCGATGCCATCTCGCCATGTATGTTGCCTGATAGCAACACGTTGCCTTCTCGACTCGCACTTAGCAGAGGATGTTGAAGTTGAAAGGCAAAGAGATCATCAAAAGCTGGAATGGAGGTGATCGGCGTCGGGATCGCGATCCTCGATGTCGTGCACGAGGTGGCGGCGTACCCCGAAGGTCGGTTCTGCCTATGTGTGTACTGTACTGGGGGCGATGGTAAGAAGCTCACGTTGCGTTGCTTGTTGCCTGCCGCGAAGTGCAGAAGACTCGAAGGTTGCCGTCTGAGAGGACTCGCTCCAAAGACTTGGTGGATCAACAACCCCGGCATTCTCACAAAAGGTGACACAATGCAATTGCATTGTAGATCCGCTCGCTGGCGACTCGTAAGTGCAGGGGCGGGAACGTCGCGAACGCACTGGTAAGCGGATCCGTCCTTACTGGCTGGTGTCAAAGAAATATGCTTGCCAATCTCGCTGCCTTGTTAGGTGGTGTGTGCTCAGCTAGGAACTCGCTGTCGATGGCTGGGCGTGTCAACCGATCCAGCAACAGACAGTGAGGCGGCGTTTGTCCACTCTGATCTCTCAGCGCACGGTGTGGATTGCTCACTGGCGTCTATCGAGGCTGGTGGAAGTATGCCGGTGTCGGTACGTCCTTCCTACAAGACTCCACTCCAAGCACTTCATGCTATTAGCCTAATAGCCTTATGGTGACACTCTAATGTTGGTCAGTTTATCTTGTCCAGTCGCGCGACGGGGTCCCGCACGATCGTGCACTCGCGAGACCTCGCTGAGCTCAGCTACGAGGCGTTCGTCAAGCAGCTCGCACTGTATCGGAGAAACATTCAACAAGATCCGAACACACCCGTGTGGTTCCACTTCGAAGGTCGCAACCTAGAAGCGACCGAGCAAATGATGCTTCATGTCCGAGAAAGCATGCCTGGTGTTAGCATTTCAGTGGAGATTGAGGCACTGCGCAACGGCTGGGACTCAGCGATGAAGTAAGTTTGCTGCAAAATGGATTGAGGAGAGCTGTCGTCTGACGCGATTGCTTTGTTCGGAATAAATTTTGTTCAGGCTGATTGCATTAGCGGACTACGCGTTCATTTCCAAGGACTACATCCGCGAAAAGCTGGGCTTTCAGACGGCCGAACATTTCTTTGAGGCTGTTTTGGCGAAGCAATGGGGTGGCGCCTTGACTGAGAATGCGAAAGCATTACTTTGTCCTTGGGGGAAAGAGGGCGTGTACTACCTCGACACGACTGGGCCACAGCTGCACCATGTGCCTGCAGCCCGCCTGGAGAAGGTTGTTGAAACGCTTGGAGCGGGGGACTCGTTCATCGGTGCCAGTCTTGCCGGGTTCGCCCGTGGAAACGTGCCTTTGGACCAGATAATGAAGACAGCGTGTGACGTGGCGGGCGCCAAGTGCTTGAAGCGAGGGTTCACGCTTTCGCATGGGGAAAAGCAGGTCTGGAAGCAGCGGCTCCAGCGCGAAGGAGCGAGCGCAGACACCTACGCTGTTGACCAACTCTAAGATATGTCAAAATCTGATGAAGAAGGACGTGTGCTGTGTCTTGTGGTACCAATACATTTATGAGATCTTCATTAACATGCTACACTTGGACTGAAAAGCGCTCGCCGTTCGTGTCACTTGATGTTACAGATGAGCCCGAGGTCGGAGACGTCGTCCCCGAGCAGTGTGGGTCAGCGTCGCTATCAGCACCTCTGCTCAGTGGAGCCCCTCTCACACAGTTGGCATGGCAGCGGTTCGGACAACGCTTGAAGTGCACGCTACAGATAGATGAAGTATACGCATATTCGTTGCAACATACCTTGCAATTCAACATATCTTTATACCGATGTCGAGCAGCACCAGGACGTGGCGCGTGCCCTCAGCTAATGGTATTATACCGCGAGCGTGCATGGTCACCCAGCAAATGGGACCCATAGCCCTTCGACCTGGAGTCGACTTCAATTGAGCAGGTACCAGCCGAGCGCAACTCGAGCAGCTCAAAGCAGAGCTTCTTCGTGCCTTACGTCCTCGCTGGCGAAATCCCCGCGTACAACCCTTCACTTAATACGCTGCTGACGCTTTGGCCAAAGTTTCCCTCCCACTGAACTGACTGAGCTGCGTCGCTGGACTCTCGACTCTTGTCAAGTAAATGTGGTCACGGGGTCACCGCAGTCGAAGACTCGTCTCAATCCGCAAAGACACGCCAAGACAGCGGCAACAACTTGCTGCACACTACAACGCCAGCACGACAGGCGAATCCTCGGAAGGCCCCGAAATGCGATGTGTAGTCTCGTAATGGCTCATGATGCGTCGATTGACACCCTTCTCTTCATTGTCGACAACGATCCGTTGGTAGGCCTCGAGTCTTCGATCCTGTCAAATGATAACCAGCATACAGTCAGGTACAGTATCAGCTCATGGCGCCAGCGTCTCTGACGACTAGCCCACGCCAGGCGATATGCCCAGCAGCTCCGCTCATGGTGTATTGAGGACGAGCAGCTTCCTCTGAAGAGCACACGCGGCTTGCCGTGGTGGCGCGGGCGTGCACGGTGCTTCCCTTCCGGTGGTGATGACTCCCCAGTTCAGGAATGTTTGTGGCTTTTGTTAAAGGCGGTCGCAGTGATTGGCCAAACGCCCATCCATCACGGACCAATCAGGTCCCGCCGCGCGCGCTGATTCGTCCGAGGCACGCGCCCTCAGAGCGCTGCCATTGGCCAAAAGTCCGTTTGTGCGTGTGGCACACACGAGGCAGGACAGCCCTCGACTCGGAATGTCACTCACTCATTTCGCAACGGAATCCGTCGGTGGAAGAAGACCCCCGAAGCTCGAAGCATCATGATCGCTCGCTCGGCTTTGAAGCGCTCCCTGGGCGCGTTCTCGGCGGCCCGCAAGGCCGCCCCCGCCCCCGCGTTCGCGCAGCAGACGCGCATGTACCACGAGAACGTGATCGACCACTACGAGAACCCGCGCAACGTCGGCGCCATGGACAAGAACGCCAAGGACGTGGGCACGGGCCTCGTGGGCGCCCCCGCCTGCGGCGACGTGATGAAGCTGCAGATCCAGGTGGACGAGAACGGCACCATCGTGGACTCGAAGTTCAAGACGTTCGGCTGCGGCTCGGCCATCGCGTCCTCGTCGGTGGCCACCGAGTGGCTCAAGGGCAAGAGCGTGGAGGAGTGCCTCAAGATCAAGAACACGGACATCGCGTCGCACCTGAAGCTGCCGCCCGTCAAGCTGCACTGCAGCATGCTGGCGGAGGACGCCATCAAGGCCGCCATCTCGGACTACAAGCGCAAGCAGGCCGCGTCGGGCTAAGGTGGCACAGGATAGCAACGGTCTTGTCGTCGCCGCGCTCGCTCCTCGTCTTCGTTGAGGCAGAAGATTTCCAGGCAGGACGCGAGCAACGCCGGCGCTCGGTGCGGGCATGCTTGGCCCGCACTCGGGGGAAGACAGGTCAAAGAAAAGCATACAGTATTGGAGGAGAGAGAGGAGAAAAGCTGTGAAATAATCAGTTGCTAATTTATTGCCCGCCATCAACCACAGTCTTGCTTTGGCTTTGCATTATTTGGATCTGCCATGGTTGTCAAACGGATCTCGCTCGACAAGATCATCTCGGTGCGGCTGCTGCCTGTCTGTCTGGTGACCAGAGCTTGAAGCAGTTCACTGTCAAGCTGGACTGCACTGGTTTCTGGTGGTTATGCCGCACGCGCTCAGGCAGCACAAGACAGCAGCAGCAGCAGCAGCTGCAGCTCACAATGCATGGGATCCCGCAACGCATGCGGTCCAGATCTAGGGGTTTTGTGAGGCGACAATACACCTTACCTTCCACTCGAAAAAGATCAAACGGCTTAGGCGTGCATGGTTTCTTCGACGCGAGCAGACTGCAGCGATATCACTGCCGACATCGTAGCAGCGTTCGTATATTATCTCGCCACCAGCCGCGCCTTCAGGAATGTCCTGTGCGGTACTTTCAGCAGCCGCCAGCGCTTCGCCATCAAAATGTCTCCCGAGGCCCGCGGCGATGTGATCAAGATGCACTTCTACGGACGGCAGTAGAGGGTCCAGCTCCGTCGAAGCCGTTGGAAGCGATTGCTCTGCAGTGCCGTTCATGCACCCGAGCACCCGTCAGCCGCCAGCCTGCCTGCAACGCGAGAGCTGCTGTCGTCACGAGGGATGACCAGGCTGCGGGCTCAACTGGAGCCGCTCAAGTCAACTTGTTCTGAGACACGATCCGCATCAGCCAGCTTTTTTTGCCTGATAAAACCGAGTTAAATCGCAGTCTGCCCTCAGCAGATAGCGTAATCCCGAATACCCGTGGCGCAGCCAGGACAACATCGCCACGCCGCCCGCTTGCTCGAGGAGCTCTCTGCTCTGCTGCTTGACCAGTTCCAGATTTGTCGGCCGGGCGACGCAGGACTTCCGCCCGCGAGCCGCTGTAGCAGCCCTGGAGGTACGCGTACAGACACTCAGCGCCTTCCAACGCCAATTAACCCGCTGACCTTCTGCCTGCGTGCGTATTCTTAGAGCGACGGACTGTGCATGCCGAACCACCGCGTCAGCGGCGCCCAGAAACGCCCCAAAGCTCCGCCTGCGCGTCGAGCCAAGCCCCGAGGCTCCTCCCCCACGCAGACGCAGCTCGCCATGGCCGAATCGCTGCGCACGGGCGTGCGCTCCGTGTACCTGCCGCAGCACATTGTGGTGCTCGTGCACGGCAACAACGGCTCGGCCGCCGACTTCGACGCCGTGGAGGCCGCGCTCAAGGCCAAGTTCGGCGAGCGCCAGATGCTCATCATCAAGTCGCGCGCCAACGAGCCGGACACGTCGCTGGGCGTGGAGATCGGCGGCACGAGGCTCGCGAAAGAGGTCGTGGAGGCCGTGTTCGAGTACGACCTGAGCCCCGCGGTGAGCAGCTACAAGCTGTCGGTCATCGGCCACTCGCTCGGCGGACTCTACGCGAGATACGCCATCGTCCAGATCATGGACGCGCTCAGCTGCCTGCACATGGAGTACGTGGACTTCGTCACGATCTGCACGCCGCACCTCGGCTCGAGGCGCGCGAGAGGGCCCTCCACCGTGAAGGTTGGTAGCGTACACTTGCTGTTGCACGTTGTGGAAGTTGTGCAATTGACTAACCGCAAGGTGCTTGATGTTGGGCTGTACTACAGAACATTCTTCGGCTTGGAGTGCATAAGGTGTTGTCGTCGCGATCGATATACGGACAGACTGGCATTGATCTTCTCCTAGATGGTGAGTTGTCTTACTGTATCGTGTGGCGACTAGAGCTGTCGACAACTTGTCGTTGATATGGTGCTGACCTTTGTTTGTGGCGGGTTTATTGTGGCGTTGCAGCTCAAGTGCAGCAGCAAGAGGGGGTGACGGATGCGGATGCCGTTGAGCCTGCTCGCCCGTTGCTGGAGGTGATGAGCGACCCGGAATCGGAGTTTATCCGCTCGCTTAAGCGCTTCAACCACGGCACGCTGGTTGCCATGACAGACGGCGATGTGGTGGTACCGTACCCCTCGGCATCCATGCGCAGCCACAGTCCGTACGTCAGCACGTTCCTGACCGAGCGCTACATGGATTGGCGATGGCATGTCCGCCACTCCGGGTTCTGCCAATGCGATGATAGCGGCCGCACCCATCCTGCGTATGCGGCGTTCTTGGAGCGACTAAACGCCAAGATTGATACTTCTATCGAGATCGAGAAGCACGAGCTGGGGCTTGACGCAACGTGTGCCCCGAGATATCCCAGCATTGAGGGCTTCGACTGCGACAACAAGCAAGAGGTAGAGTTCCCTCACGAGATGCTGTGCAGTCTGCAACACTCGATCCCGTGGAGACGCATTGATGTGACGGTGGAGCCGTGTGGTATGAAAGGCAAGATGCGTCTGCATGACTGGCCGATCAACAAGATGCAGCCCCCTGACTGCCGTGCGGACGAGTTCATCGACCTGCTGTGCGATATGATCGGGGCCGACCACCAAATGCGGCCTCTTACTACACCGGATACAGTCGGTATGATTCACGAAAGTCCCGCGCTCGCGTTGGCGCGTAGGCTCCGAAAAGCTACCAAACGAACTGATGGCAATACTACGAGTGACAGTGGAGGTGCTGATAGCGACGCTGACCCACACTGCTCGGGGACGACGTCTCCGACCTCGGGCTCATCTGTAACATCAAGTGACACGAACGGCGAGCGCTTTTCAGTCCAAGTGTAGCATGTTAATGAAGATCTCATAAATGTATTGGTACCACAAGACACAGCACACGTCCTTCTTCATCAGATTTTGACATATCTTAGAGTTGGTCAACAGCGTAGGTGTCTGCGCTCGCTCCTTCGCGCTGGAGCCGCTGCTTCCAGACCTGCTTTTCCTCATGCGAAAGCGTGAACCCTCGCTTCAAGCACTTGGCGCCCGCCACGTCACACGCTGTCTTCATTATCTGGTCCAAAGGCACGTTTCCACGGGCGAACCCGGCAAGACTGGCACCGATGAACGAGTCCCCCGCTCCAAGCGTTTCAACAACCTTCTCCAGGCGGGCTGCAGGCACATGGTGCAGCTGTGGCCCAGTCGTGTCGAGGTAGTACACGCCCTCTTTCCCCCAAGGACAAAGTAATGCTTTCGCATTCTCAGTCAAGGCGCCACCCCATTGCTTCGCCAAAACAGCCTCAAAGAAATGTTCGGCCGTCTGAAAGCCCAGCTTTTCGCGGATGTAGTCCTTGGAAATGAACGCGTAGTCCGCTAATGCAATCAGCCTGAACAAAATTTATTCCGAACAAAGCAATCGCGTCAGACGACAGCTCTCCTCAATCCATTTTGCAGCAAACTTACTTCATCGCTGAGTCCCAGCCGTTGCGCAGTGCCTCAATCTCCACTGAAATGCTAACACCAGGCATGCTTTCTCGGACATGAAGCATCATTTGCTCGGTCGCTTCTAGGTTGCGACCTTCGAAGTGGAACCACACGGGTGTGTTCGGATCTTGTTGAATGTTTCTCCGATACAGTGCGAGCTGCTTGACGAACGCCTCGTAGCTGAGCTCAGCGAGGTCTCGCGAGTGCACGATCGTGCGGGACCCCGTCGCGCGACTGGACAAGATAAACTGACCAACATTAGAGTGTCACCATAAGGCTATTAGGCTAATAGCATGAAGTGCTTGGAGTGGAGTCTTGTAGGAAAGACGTACCGACACCGGCATACTTCCACCAGCCTCGATAGACGCCAGTGAGCAATCCACACCGTGCGCTGAGAGATCAGAGTGGACAAACGCCGCCTCACTGTCTGTTGCTGGATCGGTTGACACGCCCAGCCATCGACAGCGAGTTCCTAGCTGAGCACACACCACCTAACAAGGCAGCGAGATTGGCAAGCATATTTCTTTGACACCAGCCAGTAAGGACGGATCCGCTTACCAGTGCGTTCGCGACGTTCCCGCCCCTGCACTTACGAGTCGCCAGCGAGCGGATCTACAATGCAATTGCATTGTGTCACCTTTTGTGAGAATGCCGGGGTTGTTGATCCACCAAGTCTTTGGAGCGAGTCCTCTCAGACGGCAACCTTCGAGTCTTCTGCACTTCGCGGCAGGCAACAAGCAACGCAACGTGAGCTTCTTACCATCGCCCCCAGTACAGTACACACATAGGCAGAACCGACCTTCGGGGTACGCCGCCACCTCGTGCACGACATCGAGGATCGCGATCCCGACGCCGATCACCTCCATTCCAGCTTTTGATGATCTCTTTGCCTTTCAACTTCAACATCCTCTGCTAAGTGCGAGTCGAGAAGGCAACGTGTTGCTATTGCATTATCACGCCAGGCGCTGCATGGCATGCTGCCAGAATCTTGCCCCCCCCCCCCCCAGCAAGCGATTGGTACCTTACATTTTGTAGTGCCAGTACGTAGGTCGAGGAGTGTACGTGCAGCTTATGCCGCAGGAGCAGACTGCAGGATAAGATCAACTCAAAAAGGGTGTTGGCCCCAGTGTCAGCCTGACCGAGCCAAAATGACGTGCGTTCGGCACCACGGAGGCGCAGGTACTGCTGCGAATTCGCTACTGTACAGTGCTCGACACTTGATACCAGGCACAAGAACATGTATACGGTGCAGCCATTCCCGGTGTCGTGGAGAACGCGATCGTCGAGGGAACGCTCAACACGACAGATCCTTTGCTCGGAGGCCTGCTGGACGCCGTCAGGTCGCCCCGGGATCGCCACCTCGAGCTGCTTCTGTCCGAGCACGTGGTCAACACTGTGCAGTATCCTCCCGACTCGCATTGCGTTCCCAAGTCCTTAGCTGCGCTCAAGCTCGCCGCCAATATTGGCACACTTGCTGGTGGTCCTAATAGGTTCCAGGGTCGACACGGGACCACGAAGCTTGAGACGGGCACTGCACGTGTACATGTAGTATCTCCTCAGGCGACATCGGCCGCAACGCACGACGCGAAAATTCGCTCTTTGCTGCCCTCTTGGACTCACCACGTGCTACGTCGGCCAAGGAGATCCGCTAAACAAAACTACGCGTTGTACACTGCAACACGGCGTCGTCTCTCACAACGAGGCGACAAATCTTCAGGTTATTAATCGAACCCCGCATTCAGCGTCGGCCCACTAGTCTTGTCGCACCTCCGTGACGATCCACCCGCCCGCTTCACGCTTTCACTTCCTCTCCCCTCAATACGCCACGGCCGGCCGGTGCTTCCTCACTCCGCACTCCGCCGCTATCAAAGAGCCTCCCGCTTCCATTGGCTGAAAATTTTCCCCACTTCAAAAAATCGCTATCCAGCTCAATAACTCAGACGTCGCCGGCCCCTCGTTGTGTATCCCCTGCATCTTCATAGGTACACTCCACCCCCCTCTCGGCGGTGCGGCACCGCATTACTCAACCCGCCAGCAGGAGGAGGACGCTCGTGCTCTCTAGTCGACGGACGGACGGACGCAACGCAATGGGCGACTCGTCGTCGCTCGGGGGCGCGCTCATCGCGGCGGGCGCGTGCGTGCTGCTGCTCTTCTGCGTGATCGTGCTGTGCGCGAGCTACTGCCACCGACTGGACGACGAGGTGGCCATCGACTCGGTGGATCTGCGCGGGCTGCAGCTGCGCGAGGACCTGGTGGACACGGTGCTGGACGCGGACCGCAGCGAGTGGCAGTGTCTGGTGTGTGCGCACATGAACCACCCCAACCACGAGCTGTGTCTGCTGTGCGGCACGTCGGCCGAGTTCTCCACCATGGAGGAGACGGTGGAGGACCCGACCACGCACACGCGCACGCGCACGCGGCGCGTGGCCCGCACCACGTTCCTGGGCACGGACAACACGACTCTACTGAGCTCCACGCTGCTGGAGAGCCTGGCGGAGAGCTCGGCCGTGATCCTGGGCGAGACGGGCGACTCCAAGTCGTCCGCGGCCTTGCTGCACAAGGCCAAGACGCTGCCGATGCTGCGCAGCGAGTCGTCGTTCGGAGACGTCGCGCAGGAGCTGGAGGCCACCACCAGCATGCGACAGCGCGCGCTGCGCTACCGGAGGCTGAACGAGATGCAATTGAACCAGAAGCAGAGGGGCGCGAGCAGGAGACGACTCTGGCAGCGCGTTCCACTGCCTAATGGGGGCTTTGTGTGGGTCAGGACCATGGAGCCTGCAGCTGCAGGGTCGGTATTCGCACGCGCGGACTCTTTAGTGAGTAAACTGAGGAACAATTCGTTCCTGGCCAAGAACCCGCAGGCCAAGAACTTGCATGGAGATCTGGCAGAGCAGCTGCATCGGAAGAACGCGGCGTCCATGGGGTTCTTCTCGGAGCTCAACCCGTCAGGCACAGCGGTGGCGTGGAGGAAGACGGACTCGGTGGCGCTGGATATCGACCCGAAAGGAGGAGATGGAGAGCCCATGGTGGACTTTGAAGGCGTGCTGGCCATGACCTGGAGAGAGAAGAAGCGCTGGTTCTTGAAGCAGATCACCAACCTCGCCGTGCCCTACACCGAGTCCATGTTCAAGATCGACGTGCGGCGGTCGCATATCCTGGACGATTCCCTGCCGCAATTGGCCGGACCTGAAGTTGACAAGTCGAGGATGCAGGAGCACCTGAATATCGGGATTATCGGCGAGCCAGCTCTGGATGCAGGCGGCGTGTTGCGCGAGTGGTTCGGACTCGTGTGCAAGGAGCTCTTCAGTGCTGAGCGTGGACTGTTCGTGACGACTCATGCGGAGGATTCGAGCTACTGGATCAACTCAGAGTCGGCCAAGTGTGTGCCTGAAGGAGAAGATCATCTGCAGTACTTTACGTTCGCGGGAAGGCTCTTGGGCAAGGCAGTGTTGGACGGGCTTGTACTGGAAGTTAGCATGGCGTTACCACTGTTGAAGCATCTTTTGGGCGTCCCTATCACGTTCTCCGACCTCGAATTTCTGGACGAGGAGCTTTATAAGCATCTGAGCTGGGTGCGGGACAATGACCATGTGGACGCTCTGTGTGTGACCTTCACCATTCAGACGCCGTCGGGCGACACGGTGGAGCTCAAACCAGACGGAGAAAACATTGATGTGACTGATGAGAACAAGATGGAGTATTTATCGCTGGTGCTGCGCTATCGGATGCTGGACAGCGTGTCTGAGCAGCTGACAGCGCTGCTCAAGGGACTATACGAGGTCATCCCCAAACCTTTGCTCACGATCTTCGACTATCAGGAGCTGGACTTCTACCTCAGTGGGCTGCCCACACTAAATGTGACGGATTGGCAGAACAACTCGCGAGTTCGACATGCGACTACGGACGGTGACTCTGAAGCGATCGAACAGGAGCTCGAAGTGGTGCAATGGTTCTGGGATGTCGTGGGATCCTTCACAGACGACCAGCGTGCGCGATTATTGCAGTTTGCAACGGGCTGCTCACGTGTTCCTGTCGAGGGATTCAAGGCGCTCACAAGTGCTAGTGGCATCGTGCATCCGTTCACGCTGCAGCTGGTTCCTGTAGGAACACCGCCGCTGGGAATGTGTCCGCGGGCGCATACGTGCTTTAACCGGATCGACTTGCCAGTGTACGAGACCAAGGAGGATCTCAAGTCATATCTATCTCTGGTAAGCGTGGCAATGCTCTTGTTTATGATAGTCAGGGAAATGTCTTAACGCCTGGTGTTCTGTGTATTTTCACTTATGCGTTGCAGGTGATTCAAATGGAGATCACTGGCTTTGGCTTCGAGTAGTGTAACGCGCTACAGTGTCGAGAAGCAGAACTAAGTGGTGAAGTATGTAATGATGAAGAATTCTTGATAGAAAAGTGTTTGTGTGTGGTATGGTATCTGCTTGTGACTATGTAGAGCGCTGGTTGTCCTCCGATGGTTTCATCGTCGTAGCTGCTATTATTGTAGCGACTGCATGGCCGGTCGGTTGGCGTGGGCTGATGCTGACAGTGAGAGCAGCGGTCAATATTGGTTGTGGAGCTCGACGCTAGCGCCGCGTGAACTTGTGTGCAACTGCGTGGCGGAGATGACCAAGCGAGGCAAGAAGAAGAGTACGAAGAGACACAGCGACCCGTCGCCAAGCGAGGGCAGCGAAGCCCCCGAGACTATCGCAGAATGCCCTAATCAAACCCCGGAAGGTCGTCGTCAAACCCCCGGCGGACCAACAGTCGATCTGTCGTTCTTCCGGACGAGTGCGCAGCTGTATGGGGAGCTGCACCAACGACTGAGTCGTACAAGTGGAGAAAGCTTTACTGAAGCGAACGTATCACAAGTCGGTCGTCAAATTCTCCAAGCACTTGACGAGTTGGCAGAGGCTGTGGATCCACGCTCCAGTTCAAGAAGCGCGTGCCCATTTGTGATGCTCCTCTCGATGCTGCTGCCAACACTTCGGAAGTATCTGGCGTGGACACAAGCGACGCGTTCTGTATGGGGAAGTAACTTAGTCGCATTCCGGCACCAGAGCACCACCTCCGAAGGGGCCGTCTACAGAAGCGAGGCTGACCTAGTGTTGTGGGCAATGCTAGCCCAACATGACATCCTCACCAGATTTTCGCGAAGTACAGCGCTGATTTTACGACTCATTGAGAGTAACGAAGGCGTTGACCACGACAATATTCATCTGAAGCGAGCCAGCCACCAGCCAAAGGCAGCCAGACCAGCATCGCAGGCGTCCTCAGCGTCGTCGTCTTGCTCCTCGAAAACGTCAACGCCTCGAGATCCCATGAACACTGAACGAGCACGCACGCCACGACCTACTGCAGACAAGCCGTGCGCGGTCCCGCAAATCCATCACATTACGTTGGAACTCGCGCATGTCGACGCGGAATTCAAGGTTCATCTTGCGGCCTTAACGGAGAGCGTGGTTGAAGTCGTCGAGACGGTAAGAAGGGCAACTACTCGCAGCTTTGTTCGTGATGCTCATATTTGTGTGAAATTTATTCAGATTGCCAAGCACATGTGCACTCCTAAGGCAAGCAAGGACGCCGGCAGATCTCGAATTTCTGCGGTAAGCTATTCGGCTCACAGCAATCTAGTTTATTATGTGTCTAACTCATTCGGCGTCAACTTTGCAGAGAGAATTCATTGAGCGCCTTGTCCAGCAATTGCTGGAGCCAATGGGGCAGCGCATGCTGGCAGAGCCGTCACCATCTTACGTCGACTTGTTTCCAAGACTGCTTGAGCAGTGCATCACTGTCACAATCGAGTACGTTCCAACTTTTTGGATGTAGTTTTGGCGCCAAACTAATGCCGTGGGCTTGACCATAGCAATTTCGCACGGAGCAATGGGAAACGGAACGAGTTGCAAGCAGCTCCGTTCGAAGCGGGTGTCATGCATCTGCGCACTTGGAGTTTTAAGCTGGAAATCGAGTACAACACGCTCGTCCGATCCATGAGCAACAGCAGCAACAACACTGATTCGAGTACGGAATCAGACATGAGTGACAGCGCAGCTTCATCCACAGCGTACTCGCCGAACAAGCGCTTAGAGCTTATGGCATTGGGAGGCTTCAAGCGGCTGGAAAGCACGTTGAGCTCATGGTTGAATGCTGGATCGTCTACTACTGGGACGATGCCAGACCAAGGAAGCGGGACGTCGGCGCGGTCGTGGGGAGTCTCAAGTCTTGCTGGTGGCATTCGCAACACATTAGTGCGGACGTTCTCCGGTAGAACTACGCTCAATGGTCCTCCGGTGTAGATGCTATAAAACTTGTAATGAATGGTTCGATGACCTCTGTCTTCTCAGGTTTAAGGAATCACTACCGCGTTGATCTGCCAGAGCATTAACGAGGACAACCTATCATACTTGAAGCGCTGAGGGAAGCCGTTGACGTCAATTTCTTGCACAACAAAGCGGAGTAGCTCTTCCTTGCTTTCAGAGGCTTCTGCACTGCACACCCGGCACTGTATTTGATTTCCACAGACGCGAGTGTGGCAAATGCTCGGATCATGCGAGCAAATGTGGGCTTGATAGGCGTCATAGCCAAGCGAAACAACTCGCATAGCCACAGCAGAGAAGACTGTGCGTCGTTCCAACGATACGTACGCTTTTGCACGGTTGTACTGCACCATCAACCGACGAAGAGCACACAAGAACAGTATCGTGGTGGCATCGTCGTAGAAAACATCGCTGTCGAGACGAATTGAATCACGACAGCGCGTCAGTATCCAGGCAGCAACTATGGTGCAAGTTTCACAAACCTGGCGATGATGGTTGTCAGATTTTCCAGCTCGGCTAGATCGCAAGGAGTCCAGCCGTACAGAGATGGCGGGTTCTCGCCGGTGGTTGATGCCGAGTTACCATTGTCCCAATCGAGCAATCGAAAATGCAAATCTCCCTAGTAGCATGTCAAACTGTGTCAGATATGGCAACTACCTCAATTGATAGTGCAGATACTTCCGTACATGGCCATTACGCTCAGCATTCCTCGTTGCTAGATGGAGCGCGCTTTCGTCACAGTCGGTTGCATACACGCAGCGACTCATACGGGAAGCCACGATTGAAGTAAACCCTGCAAGCCACCAGCAATCTGAGTTCCTGGTTTATCGTTGACTACAGTAGTGCCTATTAGCCGTCTTACCAATCCCGCAACCGAGTTCAAGAACTGTTTGGCCCGCGAAAAGTTCCTGCAGAGAGCGATTGTTGTCACGAATGTTAGTATCTGCAAAAATCATATGCGATAATGGCACGCATCTCAAACTTACCGGCGAGCTGTAGATATATTCTGCGAGAAGGAATGCTGCTCTCCAAAGCTGGGTGCCTGCGGTATCCCATGTGGTACGGCTGCGTGCCTCCAAGACGAAGCTGGCGTCAGTGCCTTTAAGCTTCTCAGTCTGGACTGTAGTGGCTTCGTTCGCAGCTTCATCACCGCAATTAACACGCTGTTCGGCTGACTTCACTCGCTTCCGAGAACGCTTTCGAGGTACAACGATGTCTCCATCGTCGTCTTCCTCCAATACCGACAAAAGTGGCACAGCAAAGAGGTGCGCCGATGACTCACCTATTCCAGTAGAAGGCTGGACCATATCCAGCTCCATCTCAACTTCAGAAGTCACGCTATGAGATGTCTGCTCCGTATCGGGATCGGTGCCTTCATCTGTCCTCGTTAAACAATTAACCATATTCAACACACAGATTTGGGGTTAACTCTTTCCGATTTCTAGCACAATAGTCATCCCACAGCAAGTGTCTAGGCACCATCTATTTCACCGGAGCGTTCATGTTGCAAGTCCTGCTGCCACTTCAAGATCCTGTCCGCAGGAAGCTGAAAGCCATGCTGTGCGCATTTCACAGTAGCAACGTCGCACGCAGTCTTCAGCACAAGCTGGAGGGGTACATTGCCACGCGATAAGCCCGCAAGACTGGCCCCAATAAACGAGTCGCCCGCTCCATTGGACTCCACCACGCGATCGAGCTGAGCAGTAGGGATATGATGCCGCGTTGTCCCGATCATCTCCATATAGTAGACGCCTTCCGAGCCCCAAGGACAGATGAACGCCTTCACCCACTGGCTCCAGTATTCACCCCACTGCTGGCGTTGAATCCGATCGAAAAACTCCTGTGCGCTTCCAATGTTGATGTTGTCCCGAAGGTAATCCTTGGACATGAACACGTAGTCCGCAAGTGATGCCAGTCTGCCGATTCACACACCAACACAGGTACCAGTCAAATAAATCCTCAAACGCGCCGGTTAAATCACTGTTCTTACGTCTTTGCCAGAGTCCACGGGTATCTCGGGAACTCGATCTCGACCGAAATTTTGGCTTGCGGTGCCTTCTCTCGAACGTGCATCATCATCTGCCTCGCAGACTCCATGTTGCGTCCCTCAAAGTGGAACCACACAGGTGCGTCCGCATCCTGTCGAATCTCGGTAAAATACCGCTCCACCTGCTTCTTGAAAGCTTCCACGCCCAGCTCAGCGATTGTGCGCGAGTGCACAATTGTCCGCGAACCTGTCGCCCGACTTGACAAAATGTACTACAGTAAACACAAAAAGTAAAAGGTCAGAAGACTGCAAAAGTCGTCGGAGTTCTCGTCTTGGGGACTCACCGACAAGGGCATGCTGCCTTCCGTCTCAATGACGGCCAGTGAGCAGTCGACATTAAAGCTCGCTAGATCATCGTGGATGAAGGCGGCGGCGCTGTCTTTAGCCGGGTCAGTCGAAGTGCTCAACCATCGACAGCGACCCCCAAGTTGAGAACAAATAACCTGCACACAGAAATCAGTAAAACTAGGCACTTTACTACTATTCCTCACGGACTGAAAAACAATTATTGTACCAATGCGCTCGCAGCATTCCCGCCTCGGCACCTCCGCGACGCCAGCGATCGAGCCTTCGAGTCCTCTAGGAATACAAAAGCGCGTCAATAAGCTACAATTCATGGGGAATTCGATGCAGGGCAGCGGACCTTCAGGGTACGCGGCTACTTCGTGCACCACGTCGATGGCGGCGGTGCCTACGGCGATCACTTCCATTGGCTAAAATAAAACAAAATCACGTTGTGCCGGGTGTCGGGAATTGCTGAAAATTATTGTCAAAACCCGTATTCATCATGAAACCAGCTGTTTGAGTTGAAGTGCTCCTACAGGAACGGCATCCAGCCGATGTACATCTGCGCGAGGTTTTCCAGCGACGTGGCCTCGTGGATGAGCTTGTCGACTTGGCCCTGCACTGAGAGCGGCAACGAGTCGGTCTCCGGCAGAATGCTGCGGTGGTTCGCCGACACAAGCGGACGGATGGCGTCTCCCAAGTTGTAGATGCCGCGCAGTCGGTCGTCGATGGTGTTGAGCACGAGGCGCGTCTCCTGTTTGGTGCGCTCGGTTGACAGGTCAGGGATGGATTTACCGGCACTGTTCTGCGTGGCCTTGCCGCGACGACCCCACTCCACTAACGGGTCGTGGATAAAGGCCTCAAGTACGCTCCGTAGCGTCTCCTTGTTCTCTCGAAGCAGACGGATCGTCACCTCACTGACGCGACGGAAAACACCCTCGTAGCCCGTGATTCCGAAGGCGTCAATGATGTTTGGCGTCAAGCGGAACGGCACGATCTCGGGTTTTGCTAGCTTGAGACCCTTGTCGAAAAGACAGTCGAAGTCCACATGCACGCACTCGCCATTAGTGCAGTCGATCAGAATGTTCTCACCGTGACGATCGCCGAGGCCAATGATGTGTCCAACCATGGACCATACGGCTGCCGACCGCGAGAAGGTGAGTCGGGCCTCGAACCATGCCGTAGGATCGGCAAAGTTGTTGTAAAACCACTGGTGGAATCTTGGCGTGAAAACAGGCATCGAAAGCACCTTACGGCGGTAGTATCGCGCCATCGCGTGAGGGTCGTTCGCGTACTTCTTCTGCATGTTCAAATATCGATCCTTGACCTCATGCGTCATTCGAATAGGCTGAATGTACCCACGCTCCGTTTTGTGGATCTGCCCGATGAGCTGCCGCATGGCCTTCGTGTTCCTTACCCACTCCATCAGCCCGCTCTCTTCGTTCAGCACCACCACCGCGTACGTGCGCAAACGGAGTTTCCGCTTGCGGCCTTCTTGATCCTTCTGCAAGAGCTTGTTAATCATCGAGTTAAACTCCATCATGCGTGCATCCTTGCGTAAATCACCCGTCTTCTCACGCTTGCACAGGAACGGATATAAATTCCCATCGGTGCCCAAAATTTCAATGCGCTTGGGTTTCTCCTTGGTCATCATCACATCAGCCTTGTCACTGAAAGCCTTGATGTAAATTTCAGCATTCGCTGAGAAGGCAACGTGAAATTCGTCACGAGGGGCTTTCCCAGACACCGGCAGAATCGTAGTCAGAGCAGCCTGAATCGGCACGAGAATTCTAGTCCGAATCCGACTCAGTCGAATGTGAATCTTCCGTTGACTGTTGCCAGGGTCGTGGCCGGCGAGGCTGATCAGCTCGTCTGCCATCCTCGTTCCCTCGGAGAAGCTCTCTGCAATCTCTTTGAGGCCCTGAGAGATAAGCTCCTTCTGTGTAACGGAGATGATCTCACGCGCACGATTGCGTCGCTGCGTATTCAACGATCGCGAGAGGCCCAGCAGCGGCCACATAGCTTGAGTTGGATAAGCATGTAGCACCCGAATCATAATTTTCTTGACACCTTCAACCACAACAGGATTGGGATGACATATACGCGATGTCACTTGCGGAAAGCACATGAGCCATTCGTATGCTGGCAATGATTCGGCCGCCTCGTTGACAATGTTATCGATATCATCGAGGATTTTTTGTTCTGTGGTGGACTGGCTCAACCCGATCTCAATTTGCCGCAGAGCCTTGTTTGCTTTGTTGCTGGTACGTCCGCCGGTAGCACTCGCATATAACACTTCTCCATACTCGAACCATAGCGTAAGCAGTCGTGGAAGGGACTGAAAAACAAACTTTGTTCCATGCGATAATGCGTGCACGTAATTCTTCATCAAGTTGATCAGGTGCGCGTGAAATACCGAGTCTATCACAACTTCGGTCGAATCATTACTCATCGATCCATTGAGGGCATCCGGATGGCTTATGCTCAGCAAGTACTCATAGTACTTTGCTAGGAAAAAATATCCTTTCTCCCACGTTGGATCAAAGTGAATGACAGCTTGATAGCGCTCGATCACCTTTTTGCCCTGACGCTGGCCAGACGCCTGCATCCAGTTGGTCGCCAAAAGCAGGTTTTTAGCGCAGTAGTGAGGGTCTTCGACGTCATAATCCAACGTATTAGCATCGATGTCCATCGGCTCCAAGATCTGCAAAGCCTCACGCATTCGGTCTTGGCTGACCAGTAGCTTGGCCTTCTCTATCATCGCGTATTGGTTATCCAGTGCTTCAGCGTGCATTACAGCACTCGTAGCTGTACGGATGAACCCTTCTTTTCTGGCTAGTTTCGCGTACAGCAACCAGTTCTCAGATACTTCGCTGCGAAGCCCGGCCTCGTGAAGAAGCACCCGACGCAATGCTAGTATGGGATCACGGTACTTGAGGGATGTTGCAACTGCATCGTAGCGCATTTTCCAAGGGGTCTGCTTTTTCCACAGAAGACTGCGTCGATCCAGGTCTTCGCATTCTTTTGTTTTCTGTAAAAATATGAACCCCTGCTCTGCCTCGTGCAGAAAGTGGAGATCGTGCAGGAGCGGGTATGCACGCTGGTAGGATTCAGCAGATGCCGCTGCAAGAGGTCCCATTACTTCCAAGCGCGCTGCTTTCAGGTGACGCTGAAACTCTTCTTGCTCTCCACCATGTAAACTGTGCAGCACGCGAACCAGCATTAACTGCGAGACATCAAATCCCTTTAGCCGAGTGCTTGCCGGTCCTTCAGACGAGCCGTTTGACGAGTGAAGAAGGGGGTTCTGCTTTTCGGCACTTAGCAAGTCGGACAGAAGCTCCCACCGCGATAGTCGCCAAGAGCACTCGAGTGCGAAAGGATACATCGTAGCCATAAATTGCGGTTCTTGTGTCACAATGCCGTTTATATGCTGCAAAGCACTCTCGAGACGGCCAAGTTGGATCAAGCAGCTAATCATTCCAGAATACAACTCGGGTTTGATCACGTCAGGGTCCTTGTGAGCGTCCGCTTCCAAAATTTCGGCCGGAGGTTGCATCATTTGAAGTTGGCTGTAGTGTGGTCGGCTTGATGGCAATGATCTGGAAGATAGAGCCGACTGGATTTCTTGGATTGCTTGCTCGTAACAAGCCAAAGCGTCTTCCCATTGAGCAAGCTGCTCATGGTCAACAATTTGATGCATTAAATCGGAGAGGTCTAAGCCCTCCTCCTGAGCCTCATCTGGGAGGTCTGCTCCAGCGTCGTTGTGCCGATAGGTGTCATACAAACGTCGCACCGCTGCTAAGCCTATAAGCGCGTCAGGTTCGTCCACGCTTTTGTAAAGTTGCTGGAGATAAAATGCGTTTTTGAAGATCAGCGACGGATGAATCGGCCCCGCCATGGGAATATTAGCATCTCTTGCTTCAGTCGGAGTAAATTCTTGTTGCCGCAGATACACTTCAAAGTATTGAATTGCCCGGGCATACGCTCTGATTTGATATGCGGCGTTCGAGAGTGAGCGACTGGGGATTTCTTTCAGAAACTCTTCTAAATAATCCTTTTCGTGGTCATCAATCTCAGATGGAGCTTCGCTGCGTGCCGATGCAGACGTCTGGCGGCTGGCAGCACTAGCAGCACTGAGCTGGAGGCGCTTTTTCTCGCTGGTCCAAATCCATTCATTCAACTCATCGATCGTAGAGAAAATGGTCTGGGAGCATTGGTCATGGCGGCGGAAGAAATCGCCAACATTTTTCTCTGGCGAACTACTGGTGCTCTTGACGGAGTCATTAGTGTGCTCAGAATCGGGCGGTGCCATTAATACATCGTCCATCAAAACACCACAGTCCTGGCCGTCTAGCACTGCCATAACTTCTTTCTTGAGTTCCTCTCCAACTTCCGATCTTCCAGAGCGAAGCACATTCTGTATCAAATATGGTAGCAAAAACCGAGCGATTTGAGGACACGTCGCTAGCGCAGTTCTGCACGCCCAGAAAACTTTTCGCTCCGGAGGCTGGGAAAGACTGATTAATCGCCGGCACCACATCAAAAGCCATTCTTCGTATGACGTTCCGTACTTTTCATAATATAAAATGTCATCGCGTGCGATTTGAAGGGTTCGATCCGCGCTCGCAGATGACCGTCGGTCCGACCCGCTGCTACCATTGCGACGTGAAGAGCGGCCACCTGACACAGTGTAGTTTGTTGACCAGTATGGCTCCACAAACTGAAGGACCTCTTTCCGCTCGAATCTTCTTTTCATCCATTCAGGCATAGGAGCATTGGGATCCTGCCTTGCTTTGTACGCAGTTGTCGAAGCCATACTTTGGCCGCTCTGTTGTGGATCAGCTGTCAGCTCTGCCAGGATTCTTAACAGCTCCTGAATAGCAAATGCTAACGAGTCTGTGTTTTCGGGTGCTGCACGCAATTCCTTCACCAGCCACGTTTCAATCAGCGCACAGGCTAAATCCTTCATCGTATACTCCACTTTTTGCTTTTCCTTTGCAACTGCAGCACTTGCTTGGGACCCGCCGGACGTGTAAAACATATATAATGGCATGCGCGCACTATCAATTGCGCCCAGTGCCCCCAAGCATCTAGCACAGAGCAATTTAATCGGTTCGTGGCTCTCTGTGCGGGAAAGCTGCAGAATAGACTGGACCACACTCGCAAGTGCCTGATCAATAAATATGTCTCCTTCATTCTGCATGAGTGCCTCCAACTCAGCACCACGTACCGAGAGGCAACGCAGCAATTGCACCAGCGCCATTTCACGAACCGCTACATCCAGATGATTTACGTATGATGCCAGGTCCATCAAGTATTCGCGCAAAGGTCGATGCCTTGGATCGCCATCTTCCTCGTAAAGAACGGCAAATATCTCGTCAAGCTCCGGAATTGAAGGCAGCAACGGTATTTTCGGAAACGCTGCTTTTAGCTCTGCTCTTCTCTCGATAAATAAATACCGCAGTATACTCACCGCCCCTGTCATGCATCGAGCTTGAACCTCATCGCGTTCGCATGAACACTCGGCATCATATTTCAAAAGTTCGAGAGACTCCACATTCCAGCATTGACTGCCCGTTATCGCCCTGTCTTCGGTCAATATTGCAGAAGCTTCATGACCAAGACATGGAAGAAAGCTCACAATGATAGAGCTCAAATTCACCTCGAGGGCTTTAGTTGAGAGCATTCGCAGAAAATTACCCCAAGCTTGTATCGCGTGTTCTTGCAGTTCACGTTCCGTGAGGGCGACCTTCAATGTTGCCATCACTTTTGGCACAAAAATATCGACGACTCCGTTGCTCTGGGTGCTAGTACCCAAGTCCGATGATGAGTTACTGTAGAGTTCCAGCAATCTGTCGATACTCTTGATCGCCCGAATTTTAATGGAAAGTGGATTTTTACCGCTTATTCGATTGCCCAGGTCTGTCATGAGCGCCAGGAAATACTGGCGAGGCATACACCCCTCTCCAGGTTGCAGGCTTGCCACTTGTTCGATCGTTTCCGCCTCCCTTGAATCTTCACTCAAGCAATTTGCAACCTCTCGTATTGCCCTCTTCGCCATGCGCGACTGAGGACCGCCAAGCTCCCACGCTAATAAGTTCATTAGCCGAAGCGGAGAGTGCGTAACTACATCACGCACAGTGGAGTTCTCTGGTAGGAATTTAAGCAAAAACTCCCATTCTGCTAAGCGATTTTTGTTGGAGACTGCTTGCACCTGGTGAATAAGCAGGTCTTTCAACACGTAGTCAAGGTGATTCAAGAGAAGATTCGTGATAGTCATAGGTGGATCGCCTTCTGCACCGTCCTCCATCATGATCGCATCTCCGTCGCCGCCGTTATACTCGTCAACGTACGCATGTAACATCCGCTCGTTTTGATTCACAACATATTTCGGAAGAACGTATGGTGCGCTTGCTCGCAAGAAAACTTTGATGTCGACTTTCCCGCCCATGAATGTACGAAGGAACATCTGAAGCGTCTGAGTTTCCAACAGTTCGTCCACTAGAGAAAAGTAAAGCAACTCTGGAAAGTCAACACACAAACGTCTCCATGACACACAATGATGGGAGGTAATGCGGCAAATTTGGTCAAAGGCCATGGCTTCGTATCGTGAGCGTTTTGCAATGTGAAAACGGTTCCACATAGAGACCAGTCGCAAGAGGATCCAGATGCAATTATCTCCACGATCACCTTGCTGTGGGTCACATTCACAGCCAACAGTACCCGACGTCAACAGCATCGCCGTGATCAGACTCTCATCAGAGCATTCTTCGGCTGCTGTCATAAGGGCCTCCAACCGCTCCATTAATCCGGGGACTCCAGCCTTAGCCGGATCAATCATTGCATCGAGAAGGCGTGGATGGTGGACTATTGATTCTAACACCGCTTGGCGAACGAGCCCAGAGCGATGCTCAAAACAGGCCAAAAGATATTCCACAAATCGCATGGCAGTGTGATCATTTCCGTAGTCGACTTCACAATGCTCAAAAACGCTTGACAATGCGTTTATCGTGATGACTTGCATATCTTCGGAATTACTGCCAGCGTCATCGCAAATGATTGTTTCGAATAGAGCAAGTGGAATTGGTACCGCTTGGAAGCTGTTAGCAAGATCTCGACACTGACATCTGCTGGAGCGACAATGGGCAGCAGCTTCTTTTTTATCGACGGAGTTACTAATCCCGTCAGCTAGAGCTTGGCCGTACGCTGTTGCACAGAGCATTGCTCCACACACTTGGATAATTGCTGACGATATCGCCTTGGACCTCGTACGCTGCAGTTTTCCACTTAATGCCTCCATGACACACGTAGCCATCCTTTTCGGAGACGTTATAGATCCAGCCACGATAAAGAAGGCAAGAAGAGGGATCATCGCAAGATAGGAACAAACTGCTGCGTCGGCTGTGGTCTCGCGTAGAATGCTCTGGTAAGCGACTCTCCACGGCAGAGCATTACGCCAGGAATCCTCACCACCCAAATTGAGTATCACAGAGCGTGACCACACGAAGTAGACGAGGAAAGGTCCGCGCAAGGGCACCGATTTGCGGAAAACAACATCGAGCACAGCCTCTGAGGACCGGAGATAGTCGTACGAGACTTCGGTCAAGTTCTCGGAAGGAGACATATCGTGGCATTTCGGATGAACCTGGTATAGCTGTAAGAATTCCAAATACTCCCAGCAGTCGGGCACCAGAAATGACTTGTCTCGTTCGATACTCTGGGCGAAGATTTGCTGAGTCTCGACACTCTCAACGACCTTAGCAAGCAGGTCCCGATATTTTTCAAGCTCGTGGTCATCATAATAACGAAGCAAAACGATCCATAAATCCAGATAATCACTCGTGAGGGGCGTGAGCGAGGGCGCGTAGGTATTCACAACCAGATCCACACGCTGAAGAAGGGCTCTGAATACGGCAAAGCTTTCCAGACGCACAAATGCCACAATATAGCGACGGAGTGGCAAAATTACCCGCAAGCCTGTGGTAATTGCCACTACACTTTTTCGATCGCCCCCGCTACCGATCGAAATCAAATCAATAATCCATTGGCCCAACTTCTCGTGCAGCTCGACGCTGCTTTCGCGACGCAACACTCCAGGCGAACTCTGTTTACTCAGAAACATTTCATTCCGCTTGCGCTTCCTTGTTGTATTTGGGTATTCACTGGACTTCGTTCGATCAGCTCCATTGTTCACTAGTGCCTTTGATATGAAGCGGATAACTTTCATCAGTATTTCCTTGGACGACAATACGCGGTGAATACCATCAACGACGCTCGAAATGACCGTAGGGTTTGATACTCGCACGTCGACATTCCCCAACAGATCCACGAACAACGAAGCAGGGGTCGCGGTGCTGGACTGGCGAGTGTACTGGCTCAGAATCGAAAGCACAGCCATCCAAATCATTTCCACCGTGCTTTTGCTTTCACGGTTGGCTCCACAGGTAAGCTGCATATTCTCCGATACCCATGACTCAAAAGGTGGCCATAGTACATCGGTGGCAAACTTAGACAATCGCGGATATGCTGAGCCAACCAGTTCAAGAATGGCGGCACATGCTTTTAGTATTCGAGGGTTGCTTTCATGGACACCGGTTGACGTCAAGTACATCAGGGTCAAGCGCACAAAACGTCGCTCCATAGCCATGCTCACCTGGAGCATCGTGTGCAGTAGGCGAAGCGTGCTTCGAGTAACTTCATCCGCACCTTGAGTCGACACAGCGCCGAACGCTTCATCTGCACTCTTCACAAGTGCTTCATTCTTTACAATAAAAAGCTGCAGCAACTGGCACAGCCTGTCGAACGATTGATCTCCTTCCAGCATCGCATTATGTTCTCGGACGATCCGATCCGCCAGCACCGTCACCGATTCCCGAAGAGCCACCACCATTCCATAGGAAGTCACGTGAATCGACGGCAGCATCTGCTTCAGCTGCTCTCTGCGCTCGTAGAGCTGGTTCACATCAGTAATGGGCATGCAGCCACACAGCGTAACATTGCTCTTGGCGCCCAGCGGTCCGTCCGCGTCTTGGTACACGTGAATGGCCGTGTCCAAATAGCACGCAATGCTCGCCCCGCCTGGCAGCACGTCCGTGTCGTTCCTGTTCTTCAGCGACTCCTCCAGCAAGAAGCAGTCCTCTAGCAGCTGCACTGTGTCCCGGAAGAAGTGGATGAACCCATACACGTCGTTCCGCTGTAGGAACAGCACCATCTGCAGCGTCACGTTGCGCACATCTCGTTGTGCTTGCTTCAGCCTCTCATTCGTGTAGAAGGACACCATGTAGAACAGCATCGTGGCCATCGTCGGGTAGGACGGGAAGCCCGAGGCCGCCGGGTTGCCCTGCGCGCGGGTCGCACCTGCACTGCTGCTCTCCATGAAGAGCGTCATGGAGTGCGGACACGCGCCGCCTCCGAGCAGCAACGTCAGCAGCTGGCACAGGTCCTGCAGCACGGGCACGGCCTTGTCGGTCGGCAGCGTGGCCACAGGCCGCATGAGCTTAGGCAGCAGCCTGCGCAGCTTCGTCAGCATGGTCTTGCAGCGGCGGATGGCCGCCGGAGCGCTCGAGTCGTAGGCGCGGTCGTCGTGCTGCCGCTGGTGGGCGCGCACGAGGCGCAGCAGGCTGTCCACGTCGCTCTTCTCCGCCTCGTCGGGCGCTGCCGCGCGGGTCGCCATGAGTGCGGAAGTTGCTGGACGAGTGCGGACTTCAACGTACTTAATAGAGATGGTGTGGCGCACATAAGTTGCAGGTAAGTTCCCCCTTAAGTGCGGTCCCCCAAGCCAAGGGATTGGCCGCGCCACTCGGACCGCACGCTCAATAAGACGATAGACATGGCGACCAAGGGTGTGTGGCAGCTCAAGCAGGTGACGATCCGCTACTGCCAGCACGGCGGCAGCAGTCGCTACGTGCGCCAGCTGCTCAGCGACGAGCGCTTCGTCAAGTTCGTGGAGGAGAACCCGCAGGTGCAGTTCGAGACGGAGCTCAAGGGCGCGCGCCACCCCGTGCTCATTGGCGACTACGGTGCGTACTACTGCATAGGAGTTATTACATGCAGTTGGGAGGTCAAAAGGGTACTAATTGGTTGGGTTGGAATGGTGCATTGCAGTCACAAATGAGCGCAAGGTGTCGGACATCAAGAACCAGGACATTCCCTTCATCCTGAAGCAGGTGCGCATCGGATCCTTTCGTTCATCACGGAACTTTAGCAAATTGGCGTTTGCCTTTGTTTGGTTCTTGTTGCTAACTTGGTGCTGGCAATTGTACTGTTCTGCAATTAATTGTGCAGCTGGAGCGCCTTCGCAACTCGAGCGGCCGCAAAATGACGCGCATCAAGAAGCCGGTCTTCTCCAAGCGCCCGACCATCCAGGGCATCTGGCAGCCAGACCTCGACTTCCCGGAGTTCAAGATCAGCGACCGCACGTAGATGTCGATGCTGCTGGACGAGAGGCGTAACGTTTCAGGTGTCAAGCCGAAAGGAAGCTTCGGCGACAAGTGAAACTTGCAATAGCAGTCACTACACAGAACAAGTGAAGCATCAAATATATTCTTTCAACAGCCGCCGAGAGACGGGAAGAGAGGTCCACCACCTCGTCTCCCTCCTCTTCTTATCTAACTCTTTTGAAGCACTAACACCGGCGACGTTACTCGCACCGGCAGCGGCTGCGGCAGCACACAGCTACAGCTACAACGCCCTTGAGGCCAGGCTTAGAAACCGTGCAGCACCACCTGAGAGTCCGAGCAGATCTCCTGGTCCAGCAGGAACTCGCGGATGTTGGTTCGCTGGTCGCCCGACAGCTGAATAATCTCGCCCAGCTCGTCGTCCTTGACGATGGCGCCGTTGCAGCTGAAGTTCTTCTTGAAGGCCTTGAGGATGCGCTTCACGTCCAGGTCGTCGGCCAGGCCCTGCACCGTTGTCAGACACTTGCGGCCGTTGCGCTGCTGCACACGCACGTGCACCTTGCCGCCGCCGATGCTCGAGTCGTCCTTGGCGTCGGCGAACGCGTCTACAGAGCCAAAACCCAGCGCAAAAAAGTTGCAAACATATCAGCACATTGTTCCGCATCTACTGGACCACATCCTGTCTTCGCTATCTCTCTGCAGCGGCCGCAATAACGCACCGAAGGTCTGGAAGTTCTGGATGTCGGCCATGTTAGCTACCTGTCGTGTTTGGTATTGAGTGGCGCCCGAGCGCTACAGATTCTCCCGTTGCCCTCTTCCGCGATATGATTGGACGAAAAGGAGCCATCTCCGCCACACAACCCGTACACAATCCTGTCTCTGAACCCATTGGACGAAAGCCAAATTGAAGTGGAGCGCGAAAGGGTGCGATCATTGCCACTGTATCAATCATGGGCAACGCGCTGCTGCTCGCGGCCGTGAAGGACCGGCAGGCCGTGGCGCTGGCCGACGCCATCTTGCCGTTCGACAACCTGCGGCTGCACGAGGTGGAGGCGTTCTGGCGCGCGTTCTACGACTCGGCCACGAGCTTCGCGCTGTCCAAGAGCCAGCTGCGGTCCATCTGCTGTCGCGCAGTCGCCAGCGGCGTCTCCAGTCTGCAGGGCTCCAATGCGCGGGTTGCTGAGTACGCAGACGCTGCGTTTGAGCTGTTCACCGACCCTTTCATGCAGCGGAGGTGGTCGCAGCTGCAGCCAGGCGCTCGAGGGCTGCAGAGCCAGCAGTACTCGAGCGCGAGCGACAGTTTGGCTGCAATTGACGCTCTCGAGTTCCTCTCAGCCATTGCGTTTATTGCCGCAATTCCGCTGGACGAGAAGATTGACTTGTTGTTTGACTCGTGGGATATGTCGGAGGATGGCGCGCTGGACCTGGACGAGTTCACCATTTCGTTGAAGTCGACGCTGTCGGGACTGGCCAAGATCATCCAGCCGGTCGCGCCAAGCCTCGCCACGAGAACCACAAACGTGGATCCGGTTGTGGATGAAGACGAGATTATCCTCCTGGCGGAGTCTAACTTCCGAGAAATCGCCAACTGTGGAGTGGCCATGCCAAAAGAGAAGGTGACAGAGCAGGAATCGGTCACAATTACCTGTGAACAATTTCGGGAATTCTGCGTGAAGAATAAGCGAGCAAAGGAGCTCTTTGACGTATTTGACGTAGCTGATGCTAGCCCCGAGAATGGTGATATTGGAGGAGAAGCAGGAGGCCCGGTGGAGACTGCAGAAACTGTCGGGTTGGCGGCCAAGCTGGACAAGCAGTGTGATCCCTCTGAATCTACGACAGTTGAAGCTGGTGTGTTGGTGGACACAGCGCAAGATGATGTCGGTGACATGTTTCTAGCAGTGAAACCATGGGTCGGAGCTATTGTACCTCCGAGTAAAATCCCGCCACTTTCCAAAGGAGCCCCGTTGGTCTCAATTCAACTGGACTGGATATTTGGCTATAGCGCGCAGGATTGCAAGAACAATGTACGCTTCGCCTCAACGACGACTGGGGCCAAAGTGGGACGCTTTGAGGAGATAGTATACCCAGCCGCTGCAGCTTGTGTTGTCTTAAACAGCAAAACGATGAAGCAGCGCCACCATCTAGCTCACACTAATGACGTGCTCAGTTTGTGTCTGCACCCTCGTCTTCCTCTCGCTGCAAGTGGTGAAATTGGCAAACAGCCCAAGATTATCGTCTGGGACCTTGAGGCTATGGAGACACAATGTATTCTGCAAGGGTTTCACAAGCGCGGTATCTTGCAGCTAGCGTTTCTGACCTCTGAAATGCTGGTATCAATTGGTGGTGATGACGATCACAGTATCGCAGTGTACGAGTCGAGCAACAGTTGGAAATCAGCCGTGCTGAAAATTTCAGTGAAAGGCAACAAAGCGGCTTCGTTCCACATCACTACCAACCCTCGAATGTCAAGGGAGTTTGTCACGTGTGGTCAAAAGTACGTTGAGTTTTGGTCACTCGAAGGGAAAGAACTTGTCTCGAAAAAGGGTTTGCTAGGAAAGAAGGGATCCCTGCAGTCATTCCCTGTGGCCCAGTATCTCGAAACAGCGGATCAAGCTGTCGTGGTTGGAACAAGTGATGGTTGTTTGTACCTTTTCGTAGGACGACAACTGACGAATGTCGTTAAGGCTCATGAAGGCGCTATTACTGCGTTGTCTTACTCGTCGGGCATTTTGTTATCGGGAGGGCGAGATGGTCAAATCGCTCAATGGGATGACAAGCTGAAACAAATAGGACCTCCCATCCAGATCCAGAATGTCATTGAAGCGTCCTCACAACCTCAGCGCAAGGCGGTTCGAAGTTGTTGTTTCTCACCTGACAGGAGAACGATTCTTGTTGGCACCTTAGCGTCCGAAATTTACGAGTTGGATGCTAAGACGGGTCAAAATGTACACATGGATGCTCTGATGAAAGGCCACTTCCAGGGAGAATTGTGGGGATTGGATACCCACCCCACAAAACAACAGTGCTGCACAGTCGGAGATGACCAGACACTTCGGATCTGGGACTTGGTAGCGCAACATGAGTTGGGATTCGTAGAATTGCCAATCCCAGGGCGTGCTTGCGTTTACTCCGGAGACGGCAAATTGATCGCGGTTGGTCTTGGAACTGAGGACTCCGGGAAAGCTGGAAGCGGATCTCAATCGAAAGGAGGCAGTGGTAAGACACGACAGCCAAATGGAGGTTTCGTTGTTTACAGTGCTGTTGACCTAACCTGTGCAAAGGAGCCCTGCTTCGACGCGAAACGCTGGGTTAGCGATATTAAGTTCTCGCCCGACAATCGAACCCTAGCGGTTGCAAGTCACGACTCGAAAATCTATCTGTATAACGTTCTCAAGGGATTCTCGCGTACTCACGTATTTAACAAGCACTCGAGTTACATCACGCATATGGACTTCTCGCTGGACGGCAACTACTTGCAGAGCACTTCGGGTGGGTACGAGCTCTTGTTCGCTGAAGTGAAGACTGGAAAGCATATTACCAATGCCACATCGTTTCGGGATGAGTTGTGGCACACTATGACTAGCACGCTGGGGTGGTCCGTGCAAGGAATTTGGGAAGCAGAAAGTGATGGCACTGACGTGAACGCCGTGGACCGATCAAACAACGGAAAACTACTGGCAACTGGCGACGATTTCGGAAAAGTAAAAGTTTTCCAGTACCCTTGTGCCCTGGAAAAAGCGTCATCTCTCGAGCTACGTGGGCATGCTTCCCACGTCACCAACGTCAGATGGTCTGCCGATGATAACTACATTGCTTCAGTTGGTGGAAACGACCGATGTCTTTTTGTCTGGAAGCACGATAAGGAGCCCACGGGGAAAGATAATATTCAGCGACGCTATAGCGATACTGATAGCGACAGTGATGGAATCGATTTACTGGATAAGAGAGCTGATGACCCCTTGGAAATTGCGGCAACGAACGATGATATCGGTGATGAATTCATGGCGGTACGTCCATGGCTAGGAGCTGTAGTCGCTCCAACAAATGCTGCATCGATGAAAGTGGACAGCTCATCGCCGCATACCAGGCTAGAACTGGAACGAGTACACGGCTATCAAGCTCAAACTGCTTCAAATAACGCGCGATACGATTCGAACGGCAAAGTAGTGTACCATACTGCAGCTTTGGGCGTCGTATTTGACAGAAACTCTCAACGTCAGGCATTTTTCAAGAGTCACGATGATGATGTTGTGGCGCTGTGTGCTCATCCGAATGGCACAACGTTCGCCACTTCACAGATGGGTAAGAAACCTAAAATCTACGTCTGGGACTCTGTTACTGGAGAAGCTATAGTTCCCTGTCTAGAAGGATTTCACCAGCGGTTCGTTAACACGATTTGCTTTTCAAGTGATGGTACAAAACTCGGAAGCGTTGGGGGTGACGACGACCATTCCATTGCAATTTACTCATGGCACACTGGAGTATTATCCTGCCAATCTCGCGGTGAGCGCAACAATGTGCGTGGGATCTGCTACCATGCTGCTACGAAGGAATGGGTGACATGCGGCGACAAACACATTCGGTTCTGGACGGAGCAAGGGAAGAACCTCACGTCAAAGAAGGCCATCTTCGGAACGAAAGCGTATCAAAACGGAAAGGTGCCGTCTGTCTTCGACTGTGTCGTATCTTTCGGACAAATGGTTATTGCAGGTGGCTCGAGTGGACACTTACTCGTCTTTCAAAGCTCGGTAGACGTAACCAAAGCCATTCCGGCGCATGAAGGTGCTGTACTGGCACTGTATGCGACTGAAAGGGAGCTAATAAGTGGCGGGAAGGACGCGAAGATTGCCGTTTGGGACGCCCAACTGAACAAAGCGGCTTCTTTTGATATGAAAGAGTATACGCTCCAGGGAGCCAAACTATTGAACCCAGAAATCCGAAGTATCTGCTCCAGTCGGTCTTCGCCCAGGGTGTTTTTAGTTGGCACTGGAGGGAGTGATCTACTTGAGCTTGATGCTGGACGCGCTCAGCCAACGTTGTCAACAATTACTCGAGGGCATTTTAAAAGTGAAGTCTGGGGGCTTGCGTGCCACCCAACCAAGCAAGAGTACTGCACAGTTGGAGATGACCAAACTATTCGAGTATGGTGCCTGGCTATGAAGGTTCAACTGCGAGTCCAACGACTAGAATGTGTTGCTCGTGCTTGTGCACTGACCGACTCCACAGACATTGTAGCGATTGGCTTTGGAGGGAGAAACGCAGTCACTGGCTTAACCAAAGCCGCTCAAGCGAAGACAGGGGGCATCGTGTTACTGTGTTACACTGACTTGACGAAGAAGGTGTTCGAAGATCGACCGTCCAAACAAGCGATCAGTGAGATGAAGTTTTCCCCTAGTGGTTCTGTGCTTGCAGTTGGCTCGCATGATCACAAGATTTATCTGTATCGCTTGGACCGGAATGCCACAAAAGTGACAAAAGCAGGCGTCTTTGACAAACATCAGAGCTACATCACGCATCTCGATTTCTCTGCGGATGGCCAAGTATTACAGAGTAACTGCGGTGCCTACGAGCTCCTCTTCAGCAATGCTACTACCGGCAAGCACATCACATCTGCGAGCAGCACGAAAGACACGCAATGGCATTCATGGACATGTGTGCTCGGGTGGCCCGTACAAGGTATTTGGCCACCGTGTTCAGATGGAACGGATGTGAATGCAGTCGCTCGGAACTCACGCGAAGATTTATTGGTCACCTCGGACGACTTCGGACTCGTCAAGCTTTATCGCTACCCATGCGTGGCGAAAAATGCAAGTTCGTTGGATCATCGCGGGCATTCCTCTCATGTGACCAACGTCCGGTGGTCTCACGACGATAGCTATGTCATTAGCATTGGTGGAAATGACCGATCCGTGATGGAGTGGAAAGTTTTAGGTGAAAACGAGCGTATTCCAACAGGAACTGGAAAACAAATGAGTTTGGTAGAAGCTGAGGAAGCCACGGACTTGTCAGCAGAGTCAGAAGAAGAGGAGCTTGATGATCCTGCAGGTGATGAGTTCATGGCTGTGAAACCTTGGATAGGAGCAATCGTAGCCCCTACAAATGCTGCCACGCCCAACTCGCGCGAACCAGACGTCAAGCCTGAGCTTGAATGGGTGTACGGCTATCAGTCAGAGCTATCACAACAGAACTTGATATACAACGCACAGGATGAAATTGTTTACCACACCGCCGCAGTGGGGATTATCTACGACTCAACGAATCACTTGCAAAAGCACCATGTTGGCCACAACGACGACATCATCAGCTTTGCGGTGTGCGACGCTAAACGCAACCTTATCGCGACAGGAGAGCGCGGGAAGAAGCCTGCGTTGAGGGTGTGGGATGCCCACACGGGCGAGCTACGCTGCGAAATGAAGGAATTTCACTCTCGCGGTATTGTATCAGTTGGCTTCAGTAGTGATTCCACGAGGCTGGTTAGTGTCGGAGATGACGATGATCACTCACTAGCAGTTTGGAGTGACGCGAGCAATGGGTCGTGGACTTTGGCTAAGCTCCTGGCTACTGGCAAAGGTGATAAGGGGGTTAACCGCTTTGCTTCCTTTGGGACGAACGCTGACACCATTATCACTGGGGGAGTCAAGCACGTGCTGTTTTGGACTATCCAAGGAAAAGCCATCGCTTCGAAGAAGGGGGTAGTTGGCAAGCAAGGAACTCTTCAGACGTTCCCTTCCGGCTGCAACTTTGGAGGGGATTTCGTGACGGGGACGGCAGGTGGCGAGCTGTACGTCTGGCGAGGGAGTGATCTCTCTCGAACGGTGAAGGCTCACGATGGAGAAGTTCGTGTTGTGACAAGCACGACTCTATCCGATAACCCTGCTGGAAAAACTGCAGTGCTGCTATCAGGTGGGAAGGATGGCCGCGTTATCATGTGGAGCTCTGCGTATCAATCGCTAAAGTGCTTCGATCTGGACGCAATGCACGTCGGTAGCTTCGGTAGAGTCATCAACAGTGTCTTTCTCAACTCCACTGGCAGGAATCTCCTTGTCGGCACTTGTTCCAGTGACATCACCGAGATAGACGTGTCAAGCGGAAGTGTTCTGAATGGCGGCCAGCCACTTTTTTCCGGCCATTTCGCGTTGGAACTCTGGGGGTTAGCAGCACATCCGTCTCAAAGAGAGTTCGTGACGGTCGGCGATGATCGGACACTTCGAATTTGGGATATGGACGCGAAGCGCTTGATCCAGGCACGTGCTATCCCTGCAAAAGCTCGAGCATGCGCGTATTCGCCCGATTCGGAACTTGTAGCGGTTGGCTTTGGTGGCGACAACGGTGTACGGCAAAGAAGAAAGTCAGCAGCACCTAAGCAGGGCCAAGCGCAGTCGAGAGAGGGTGGCTTTGCTGTCTTGAGGACGCGCGATCTGGACACCGACAAGATCGTGTTTGAAGACAAACCCGCCAAGGAATGGATCAGTGACGTCAAGTTCTCACCCTGTGGGAACATTTTGGCTCTAGGATCTCATGACAACTCCATCCACCTCTACTCCGTTGGCTCCGGGGCGTCGGAATTCAAGAAGCGCAAGCCATTCAGCAAGCACAACAGCTACATCACGCACTTCGACTTTTCCGAGGACAGCAGCTACCTGCAGTCAAACTGCGGGGCCTACGAGTATCTGTTCTGCGATACAGCATCCAGTAGCCACGTGAGTCGAGCGTCATCGATGCGGGATGTCAAGTGGGCGACCTGGACGTGCACTTTGGGCTGGCCCGTGCAGGGAATCTGGCCGGAATGTGCCGACGGCACTGACATCAACGCAGTGTGTGCGTCCTCATCACGCACGATCCTCGCGTCCGGAGACGACTCCGGCAACGTCAAGTTCTTCCGCTATCCGTGCATTCCGAAGGGGGTAAGTGCCATCCTACAACACAATGGATTCACTCATCTAACCACGTCTGTTGCACCTGCAGTCCAAGTTCATTGCATGCCGAGGTCACTCTTCGCACGTTGCAAACGTGCGCTTCAGCTTCGACGACAAGTACCTCATCTCCGTCGGTGGCAACGACCGATCCATCTTCCAGTGGAAGCTGTCGTAGCCTCACCACTAACCTGCACCCTCTAACTAACACATACTGCGTTCTATTCCTCTCGATTGATATCGTCGAAATGGTCTGCATTCACTCTCTCTCTCTAACTGCATTTTTTTACTTGTTCTCCTCCACTTTCTTGCGCGAGAAGACGCGCTTGATGTACGGCAGCGTGGCCAGCGTGATGGGGAAGCGGATGACCTCGATGCACTCGTTGGCGACGAACGCGATGGCGATGTTGCCGTACATGGGGTCCAGCCGCGTCGGGTCGACGAACTTGTCGAGCCCCATCTGCATGATGACGTCGATGATGCCGGCGCCCGAGATGAGGTTCGCCTCCAGCGCCAGGAAGATGGAAAAGCCCGACGCCAGGTAGAGCGACGACCACCAGAAGACGAAGGGCAGGCCGTACTGCTGCGCCGTGGCCAGGATGCCGCTGGGCTTCTTGGCCACCTCGGCCTTGAGCGTCTCCACCTCCTTCTTGAGCGCGGCGTTCTCCTCCAGCAGCTCCTGGATCTGCTCCGTCTTGCTCTTGCTCTTGGGCAGCTGCTCGTCGTCGTTGTGGCCACTGCTGGGCAGCGACGCGAACGTCTGCGCCTGCAGACTCTTGGCGAACGAGCTCTGCGCGCCGAAGCGGACGCTGCGCGGCGCAATCAGCGAAGACGACGGGCGCACCAGGCGCGTCGCCAGCAGAGAGGAAGGGCGGCTGCGCAGCAGCGAGCGGAGGGCGGCACTGTGCAGCATGGTCAAGGCTTTGGTGTCCGTCCGAAGGTGTTGAAAGGATCAGTGAGGTGCGCCACACGTCCGACAATGGACAGCGCTGTATTTGAGTTGGGTCGGTACTGTAATTACCATCATTCGGGGTAGTGTAGCCATGTCGGGTAGATGGCTACATTACGGCAACTTCGATGTTGAACCAGATCTGCGTTCGTGAAGGAAGCGCCAGGCACTGACTGACCTCCCAGGATATAGCTGTCGTGCTTGGGTGCTCCACTGCTCGAGATATCGTATGCTGCTGGGTGGACCGTTGAGTCAGGATGAATTAATGATCGATCGCTGGCGGTCCGCCAGTTGCAGACGCTTCCGCGAAGGAGCCTCGATCCAAGCGGACGGCGTCGGGGCCGCCAGCGACAGCCAGCAACAGGAGAACGCAGCTTCGAGAAGGAGAGTGCAGTGCATTGATGGCCGGAACACTGAGTCGTAGCCAGCGGCCTTGGCCTGGGATCTTTGCTTGGTGTGCCTAAATGTAGAAGGCCGTGCTACGGCCCGCATAGTGGCAGCCAGTTGTTTGTCGCCGGCCGTTTCTGCCGAGCGGCATAGGGGCAGCAGCCTCCGCGCCCAAGATATCGCGGCGCCTAAGACGCTGATTTCCGAGGGACCGGAACGCACGCAGTTCACCATCGACCCAGGCGTACGCCATTCATCAACTTCGACAGCGAGCGACCAGCTCTTGTAGTCGCTCATGACGGGCGCCACCGAAGTCTGCCGACATGCCGGTGACGTGCCGGCCGCACCACCGGCACCGACACCGACACCTTCCTCCTCCTCTGCCGACGATGGCGCGTCGGGCGCCATGTCCGTGGTCGTGGCCGTGGAGAAGTCGCTGCTGCGCACCCTCGCCTTCGTGCTCTACCAGCTGGACCGGAGCTGCGCCAAGTACTGCGCGTCGTCCATCCTGCAATGGTACATGCAGCTCCAGACGCAGCTGCCGGTGGCTGCCGTAGACTCGCTGGACCGCGTGGCCGACTCGGTCATCTCGCTCTCGGACGCGCAGTTCACCGAGTTCTGGCGCTCGCTCGTGGCCAAGGAGATCGAGGAGGCCTCCTATAGGAGGCAGCAGATCCTGCGTCACCGACACCGGCACCGGCACCGACACCAGCACCGACACGGCAGCGATGACGGCACAGACGAGCAGAAACAGGAACAGCACGTGGTCAAGCGCTTCTACCAGCAGCTCTTCCTCGGCGTCCAGCGGTTCTTCGCTGCCGATTCGTCGGACCAAGGACGGACCCAGACGCCGTGCACGTCTCCGGTCGATCTGTCGGACTCGAGCCATCACAGCACGCGGCATCAGTACCACAGGATGCGACACCATGACGACGAGTCGGACAGCTCCGAAGACAGTGAAGCTGATGACGAGTTTGAACCGGGCTGGGCCGTGGAGTACTTGGAGCAGGACGCCAACATCCCGTCCGAGATGACGCGTCGCATGGCCAAGATGATGCACTCGAACGTGCCGGCCAACCTCTTCCGAGCTACTGTCACCCTTGGCGGGGGTGACGATGATGACCAGAGCATGAATTACTACATGGGGGCAGTCACTCCCGGGTCTTTTCCCCCGACTCCCATTACGAGGGACATTCAGACTCGACAGATGCATCACTACACTGTCACCGTGCTGGACCATGCCACCTTGACACTGAGGCTGCTGACGGAGGAAAACTACAGCAGCTGAAAAACAACAACAAACAAAGCAGGAGGCTGCTGGGACTCCGTAGTGGAAAGCTTATCTATTGAGGGCACAAGATATTTTCTCATCGAGGAAACAAAGCGCGGCAGGTATAAAAAAACGGTATATGTAAGGCAAAAACGCGTTTGTTTGAAGATGTCACCAAGCAGGTCTTGAGTCTACTGTAGCGAGTTACTCCGCTTTTCCTTTCCAGCTAGCTGTTGAGGGGCTCTGCGCGCGCTTCGCAACGCCAAGTGAAACCCAAACCAGCAGTGCTGCACCCATGCTTGCAAACACCAGAGTCACCGAGCTCACAAGCCCACCTGAGGGCAAATAGCCGACAGGTGTGAGCACCTCCGTGACTGGAAGAGGAGATGTTGTTGCTAGGCGAAGCCAGCGGCCATCCGTACTCGACTTCGCTTCATCTGGGTAGCCTAATAGCCCCCATGCCTGTTGATCATGATCACTATCAGTAACTATACCGTTGCTTTTGTTGCAAAAACTGTCGGCTTACCTGGAAGTGGTTTCTCAGAGCACTGTCAACCGTTTGCGCTATACCAGGTAGCGTTCCACTTCGGCAGAATAAAAACACATCAGGAGCGATGACAGAGGCTGGGCGATAGAGGTCGCTTTTTGATGGAGCTTGATATCTGAAGTGGATCGGATACTCCAGGTGCACTTGGTTGGTCGTAGGCCTGGTAAAAGATTAGCACAAAAAAATTTCATGAGAATCTAACCACCAGCACATCATAGCTGCATTCCGTACACGGCGAACTCGAGGCTGACGACATGTTGGGAAGAAACTGAGGACGGCCGCTCGATCTCAATGTGCTTCGTGAAGGACAACAGTTTCAACTCACCAAAGCGCTCCATTCTCTGCGTATCGGAGTGAGCATGTTATCTACCAGTAGTGCCGTGAATGTCCAATGGTTTGAACGTACCCGAATCTCATCCAAGTCAAGATAAGCAGTATTAGACACTGGGATGCGCACAAGAATTGCTTGGTCTTCAGAATCTTCTCCGCATGACTCGTGTTCCGTGATGTTCACGTCCATGACGTACCGCCGGTGAAAACCTTCACCAGCGATAGTTGCCTGCATTGACGCTGATGCTACCATTGATGGGGCTTGGATATCCACCGCAAATGGAGACTCGGGTAGCTTGCTTCCATGTTGAAGCTGAACATACTCGAGCTTGAAAAGGTCGGCGTCTTGTTTGATCGACGCCACCATCAACACATTGGCCTCAATCTCTCCAACCGGAACAGCAGCATCCCAAGATTCTTGTGTATCCAACTTCTTCGCGACCCAAGCCTCCAAATACTCCACCTCAATAGTTTGTGAAGAAGCCGAATTACGGCCAATTGACACCGCAGCAAATCGGTGTTCACGCTGAATCAAACTGATGCCTCGTTTCGCATGCACCAGAGCTTGTTCCGCCTTCGAGCTCAGGAAATCAAACGAACTATCTTCAAGTCCACGAGCAATGCTGTTGTAAAACGAAGCGCCTCCGGTTTTCGACGCAAAAAGGAAAGACGAGGAGTAGCAACGTCTTGGCGAGCCCGCAGAAGGTTCTCGTAGTACCTCCTGCAGCGGACTAGTTGTTTTCCACGCTGGGTAATCACACAAAGACCTGGCTAAGAAACCTGCAAGCATTCATGTAAGAATATGAGCCTCCACCAAATCCTTAGATACGGTCTCTCATTACAATTCGTAACTCCACCTTTTGACAGATCAGGAAGGACTTCAAGCGTAGGGAGCACACCCTGCAATACTTCACGGACGTTGGCTTCAATCCGTTGGTGGTGTGTCTCGTTTAAATCGCCCCAAGAGGCGTCATTTGTCAGCTTCGCTTGCAGATGAATACCCTCGGCGTGGACTCTGTCCAACCGAGGCGAGTTCGCCACAACCCGATCAAACACGGAGCTGTGCGCGTCCGAAGCTGGAGCCCACGTGATCTACAACCACAGCACGGAAGATTAGTGATAGTAAATAGCAACTGCCCTAGAAGCTTCGACTCCTACCTCGATTGCATCAAGTAGTGGGTCCAGCAGCACCTGCAACGCATAATCAGCACGAATATCTTAGTAATTTTATTTTTTGCGGTTACCGCCGATAGCGCTCGGGGCATATCTTAGTAAATGTCCAAGTAGCGCAACAAAATAAACGCGCAATTAATATACTTCTGAGTGTGCGTCGATCTTCACATTGAAGGTTCCCAATGCTCCGCCGTTGGAAGCCTCGACAATAGTCTGGCCATCTGTGAGGGAGACGTAGCTGTTAGGTATCTTGTCGCGGGGCTCCAAAGCATTACAGCGCGACTTTAGCGCACCTGCAGAGTGGGAGACCGAGAGCTCTGTGTCAAGATGTTGGGGCCACAGCGCGAGTGTCGCGGGGTCTGCAGCAGCCCCGCCACGGACTGCGAGGACGCCCAGCAGCGGTGTCGTCCAGCGTCGCATTGATGTCGTTTTGCGTTGTGTTACGAACACACATTTGGTGTGGTGCACCATAGTTGAAGTGCACTTCAACGTGATCGATAGAAGCGATCGTTGACGGCCAACTAACGCTACTTTGCACCGGAGTTTGATCGAGACTAAAGGACTTGTGTCAGCCCCTGCAGAGATATTGTGATAAGGAAATTGCTTTGAACGGCGATCCGGCTGCGTTCTTGCCCAATTGAGTTTAGCGTGGGGGCCTCATAATTCAAGACGCGAAACAAATGACCTCCGCGTGAGAGACTTTGCCTGTAGGTCGTACTACATGTACTGCTTTCGGCGCGTTGCTGTATCTGTGTTTTGTGCCTTGCATTATTGTCGATACATGAGGTCGTCTTCGACAGTTTCCGCACAATGAAAATAAGTACGTGCGAGTACAAATAGACCAACAAACAACGCGAAGTTGATTTAGCTGACCCCGACGCCGGGACTCGACCCCTTTGGTCCTCCACACTCTTCCCCGATCTGCTATTCAGCGACCTTGATGTCATGGGAGGCATGCTCTCGCGCGAGCCCGTGACGGTGTCGCCCCTGACGCACCATTTCCAGTCGACTACACAAGCCGGCACCCTCGTCTACGTTGCGCTGTCGAAGAAGAAGCATCGTGTGAATCCCATCACCGACTCTCGACGTATTGACAATTCGGTGTTCTTCGGACTAAAAGTCCCTTTTGACGAGATCGAGATCGAAAGTCAGGTTGGCACGGGCACGTTTGGTGTGGTGTACAAAGCGTTCTACAAGGGCAAACACATCGCACTCAAGCGACTTCTTGCTCAGCGCTACTCTGCCAAGACCGTACAAGATTTCAAGAACGAACTCTCCATTCTCTCTATTTTGCAGCACCCCAACATCGTCCAGTTCCTTGGAGCCGTGCTAGAGCCACCGACGCTCTGCCTTCTTACCGAACTTTGCGCTGGGTCACTGGCAGATCTTCTGCAACTCGCCCGCAGCAAGCAACTCAACATTACGTGGGGGCTCACGCTTGAGATCGCCATGGACTGTGCCAAAGCATGCGCTTACCTCCACTCACTCAACCCTTCCGTACTGCACCGCGATATCAAGGTATGGAACACTAACTGCAGGCGTGATTCAAGCGTCTGAACTCATCTTGGAGTATTTTATTTTTTCTTTGGCAGGGGGAGAATTTACTCATCTCTGAAGATTTTCGATGCAAGTTGAGTGACTTCGGTCTCTCACGGAGCCTCGACAAAAACACCAATGCACAAACCATGTGCGGGACTCCACGGTGGTTAGCGCCAGAAGTGTTCCGAGGCGAGGACTATTCGGAAAAGATCGATGTCTACTCCTACGGCATTGTACTATGGTGAGCAACTTCATCACTACAACAAACCAAATCTGGTAATGGTGAACATTCTAACATTTTATTGCGCCATTAGGGAGCTTTTTTGCTTCAAGAAGCCGTACCTGGACAAGGACGCCATCAACCTGGCCTACCTCGTGGCACACGAGGATCTTCGCCCCGAGCTGCTTCCTCACATCCCAGAGATCCTTCATCGGATCATGAAAGCGTGCTGGGACCCCGACCCAATGCAGCGACCGTCCTTTAGTACTGTCATTTTCCTGATAGAAGAAGCCAAGAACGTCGTGCCACTCGGGCTGGCTATCGATCTGTCGAAGAGCTTCTCTGAGGCCACTGCAGTACAGCGCCACATCTCGACAAGACCCAAGACTCCGTCGACCAAGAAAAACTACGGACTTACCTCGGGCATGATTTAAGTTTGCTTATTGCAACTAATATGAAACATGTTGAAGTTGTAAAGTAGAGTCTCGATGTACGTATCAAAAAACCAAACCTGCCTCAAAAGCCTCAAAAGCCCAGATGATATTTTTTACAGTGTTTGTTCATGTGAAAGGGGGCTGAAGGTTAGAAGGACAAAACCTCGGCAAATATATTTGCGTGGTGTGAATTCATGCCAATGAGTATAATACGGGTATAAAACTTGGGATGACAACACATAATAAGTTATCTAATCGACTTCGGTTTATTCGAATTCATTACCGCGCCTTAGCCAAGGAACGGGAGGAATTCAGCCTACACGATCACTCGCTTCTATCCACCTCCACGCGAGTCCTTCGGGCGCCCCTCAGAATCTCTTGCACGCAGCTGATCTGCTCTTGTCGCTCTTTAGTGATGACCCAAAGCTGGGTAATTCTGAGCTGTGCCGACTCCAGAACGCCGCTCAATCTGGCGCGCTCTTCGGTCGTCAGATCGGACTGCACCAACGCTGTCAGGTGAAGATGCTGCAGCTTGGCCTCCAGCAGCTCCACCTCCGCATTGGCGAACGCTGCTTGCTCGGCGTTCGTCCAAGCGATCAAGTGGTAGTACGTCTCTCGATCCATTCTACAGTACACTTCGTCGTCCTCGCCAGTCGTTGGTAGTGCCGCCTCATCTGCGCTCTTCAAGGGGCCGGTCACCTCGAGCAAGCGCTCTTTCTCCTCGAACCCAGCTTTGCATGCTTGTGCAGCCCGCACAAGTGCGGCCTTCAGTGCGTCCTCCGCCGAGTTGACTTGCTCTTGCAGCGCGGCCGATGGCGTGTGCTCCATTGCTGAGGGTTTAGTCGGCGTGTGAGGAGCTGGCGAATTCGATAATGAAGAGCCGATTCCTGGAACAACAACCAAACGGCACTCCCGTAATGTGTCATTACGCTTAGGCTGGTCGATAGAATATCTTGCCACGTAACATCAGCTGTAACGTTGTACATTGGTGAGCGCGATGCCTTCCGTTATATTCACATTCGCCCTTTTCACGTGCTTTTGATTTTTTTTAGCGTCTAACAGCTTTCAAGCGCTTTCTACGTTGTAGTTGTTATCATCGAGGTGTCTCCAAGACGCGTAATTTCTCCTCCATGGTCGACGAAAGCTTCCGGCTCGACAAAAACCTACGGCACCTCAACGTCACCCCGACTACTCTGTACCGAGCTTCCGCTACCATGTGGAACCAAACATCGATACGCTCCACCGTGATCATAACACTTGCCCTCAAATCCACTGCGCTTTGTGCATCCTGGGTACAAGCATTGTTTTTTTCCCACCATGCGTACAGCACTTGCCTCTGGATTGTCGGAGGTTTGTGCACCAGGGGTGCCTGCATCGATACCCGCCACCATGCTCACGACACTTCCCTCCAGTTAGGCAAAGTTTTGTGCATTCCGGGTGCGAGCAACGCTGATCCCGATGTACTTGGCACTTGCCCCCGATTGTTGTATTTCATAATGGAGCCATTATTGGCGAACACGAGGGAAATTATGTTTTCCACACAACGTTGGACAGGTTCGCCGGCGGTGGGCCACAAGCCAGTCATTCCTACTCTCGACGCGACTGAGAAACAAGACTGGGGGCTATCCTACCTACTATCTCCGTGCTTCGTGCTGCAATGACGACCAGTCCCACCGACGACACCTCCGCCTCAGCTGCCCCGCCTGCGTCCCATGCCACACAACCCGGTGCAGCATTTCGGACAGCGGAACACATCCACGCAGTGAAGACGTCGTAGACGTGACTGGGCCAGACGAGCCATGGACCGCCACGTCTGCTCGAAGTGTGTCGTCCCCTCCGCCGCTGCGCGCCAGCAAGCGCATAGCGAAGAAGCCTGCGAGGACCGTGTCCGGCGCTGCCCTGGCCGAGGCCCGTAAGGGTAAGAGGAAGCAAACCAAGAGGGGGCCTGCGGCATCTGCTGAGACAACCAGCCTGCCGCCGACTTCAGAGACTCCGACCTCGAAGAGAAGGCGCCAGCACCGCCGGGCTGCCAAGAAGCAACGTCGCCCGTCGCCCGCGTCAGCTCGGCCCCGGCCAACGGTGCTATCCCGGGATGGAGCCCCTGTCTCGCAGCAGCAGCAGCAGCAGCGCCATCCCGCACAGCCCGCAAGCGCTTACCGCGCGGAGACCATCAACCCGCTGCAGGCGCCGGAGCCCCGAACGCTCGATGGCGCAGCGCCCGACGCTGCTGCACGCTTCACCGCCGGACCCCCGCGTGTGCCTGGCAGCTCTGGTCAACGTGACGGCTTCAACCTTTCTGCTTTTATGGCCGCTTTTGAGCCGGGAGCCCCCGCCACGTCGGATGCCGGCGAGCATACTGTGTCGCGTGTCCGAGTTAATTCTCTACGCCACGACGGTGCTGATATTCTAGTCGAGCTTAGGCTACTGAGGGCGGAAAATGCACGTCTTAAGGAGCTTTTGCAATGCAGTGCACCTGTTATCCCCAGTGATATCGGAACCCGTGGTACGGCGCCCAACGCCAAGGGCGAGTTGCCTCCAGAGGCTCTGCAGTTCTTGTCGTATGCCAGTTTCCCTGAAGGACCGAAGAAAGCCAAGGGCGAGTACAACCCCCCACAGGCTCACCTCGTCGCGGCCGCTAGGATGTTCAAGCTCTTCACCTGGAACGAAGGTAAGCCCCTGTCTGCGATGACGTTAATCACACACGTTGACGTCTCGCCTCCGAGTTTTCGTCTCCAAAAACAAGTCGGCCGATCCCAGCAATACGCCTGCCCAGGTGCGGCTAACGCTCATGTATGCCAACAAGTTTCTCGGGAATGCCCTAGCCCACCTACAGTCAGACTCGGCGCAGTGGTGGCACGGATACTGCGAAGCGCTGCGAGCGATCGACTTCCAGTCCAGCGAGTGGACTATGGCGCTGGTAAACGCCTTGACTCAGCGCGAAGAGAGACGGGACGACCGGCATGACCACTACCGCCGCGAGGAAAGCCGTCCGCCCCGCCGCGAGCAAGCACGCGGCCCCGCAATCCCAGAGGACATCCGCCGTCTTCTACCAGTGAATCGGCGCGGCCAGGAACCCTGTCTCCGCAATGTGGCCGGGCTGCCTTGCTCCGGGGGGACCTGTGATCGCTGTGGAAACCCTGGGCGAGCCCATGACTGGCGCGAACCCCTGCAAGACTGGGTAGACAGGACGTACGGCCGTAACCGCGACCATGCCAGCCGCCGTTGAAGGGGCCGAGAGGATGCCAGCTCAAGATCCTTTCGGGGTATTGGTGATGTTAAGCAGATAAATAGATGTTTAGCTGCTTGTCACACGTCATCGAGCACACCTACGGGCGCCCGTCTCCCCACCGAGTCAAGGCAACCAAGCGGCCTGCAGGCAGGATGCCCACGCTGTCAACTGGCCGGGAAGAGATGTTCGGTCAGACAAAGCTACATCCTCGTCCCGGCCTGACTCTCCGGACCTACGCGCGCGCACCACCCACGCGCACCGTTCACAGGCCATACAGCCACCGCGGGCTATACAGCCATCCCCGGCCATACAGCCACTTCCGGCTATAAAGCCATCTCCGGCCATACAGCCCTTTTCGGCTATACAGCCACGGTCGGCCCTGCCTCCACCCTTGGAGCCTCGACGTCCGCAGGTTGCCCGGTACATGCACTTCGGCTCAAGCTCTCCTCAGCCGAGCGCCGCGCGGAGTTTAGGTATTCGACCACGGCCTGGTACACCTGCCTCGGCGCCCGCGCGCCGCGCAGCTCCTGGTCCCCGGTCCGGTCCTCCCGTCCAACACCTCACCGGTCCTAGTGCTGCCAAGCCGTCGCCACTCCTTCGGCCTGTTGTCACGGCCTGTGTTGCCGACCACATGCGGGCCAACGCCTCTAATCGTGCTCAGGCTATCCATCGCCTGCGCACCGCAGTTATGACTAAGGCGCTGCGGGGTGTTGGGCTGGAGTTTCCTCACGCGGTGTATCCAGTATCTCGTGCCTCTACGGAGGGTCCCGAATTCCTTCTTCACCACCCCATGAAGAGGGTGCTGTCCGAGTTTGTGCGACGTACCAAGATGCCTCTTGCCCAATTTGTCGAGCTAGTTCGCTGCCAAACTCTCGAGGATTACCGGCCGAACAAGCATTTAGTTCCCGCCGTTTTAGCCAACGTCTCCCTCATCTCCAGAAGCTTCAAGCAATTGCCGCAGAGGGTGTCCAAGTTCAGTTTCGAGAACCTCCGCCGTTGCAACCGGTCCGCCCCAAAAACCATGGCTCTGCTCGCGCACGGCTCAACGTCCTACGCAAGAACATCAGAGCAGAGCAGGATGCCTTGCGGTGCCTTGTTCTCGACAAGGACATTTGTCGATATGGCCAGAGGTATATTGCAGTCCATTTGGCGTCGTGGACAAGTCTGGTGGTGATCCCAACGTGTCGGGCCGGACGATACACGACTTATCTTTTCCTGACGGACTCTCTATTAACGACCTGACGGATCAAGCCAGCATTGAACGGCCCGAGTACGTCCACTGCGACGCCATCGCGTCGGAAATTCTCCGGGTGTCCGCCACCAACCCCGACACTGAGGTGGATATTATGGCCGGTGATGTGGCGGCGGCTTTTCGTCATATCAGTCTCCACAGCAACAGTGTCCGATGGTTTGCAGGACTGATTGACGAAGCGGATGCTCTGATTCTTGAACTTGCTGCACCGTTCGGCTGGCCTGGCTCACCAGGCACGTACGAGATCGTCGGTGGCGCTGTGTCTTACGTGCATGGCTCCCATTTCAACGCCGATAACCCAGACGGGTTCTTCCACTACCACTGGGTGGATGATCACATCAATGTGACTGCCACGGTCGGCTCCAACCGCGCGGACATGGATCGCTCTCTTCGCTTCGCCTTGCTGGCCGTCCTCGGTGAGGGCGCCATCAACGAAGACAAGTTTACACCTTGGGCGCCGGTCCAGACGGTGCTTGGCCTCCAGTTTGATACTCACTCCCGCACAGTTTCGATGCCTGAATCCAAGATTCTTAAGGCCCGCCGACTCGTTGTGGCAGCTTTCCACTCCACCGCTATGTCCAGGACAGCTTTACGCTCTCTGGTGGGTAGTGGCCACTTGTATCCGCCCGGCCCGACCGTTCCTTCAACGACTACGTCTGCGAGAGACCTCCGGTCGCCGTTTTGAAGCCGTATCGGTGTCGAACAGCATGAAGGCCGACTTGCGTTGGTGTTGGATGATTTTACACGCAAATCAACTGAACGGTGTGCCCCTGGAGTATTTCAACACACTCCCCGCTGCAACCGCCGTCATTGAAGTCGATGCCTCCGACTACGGCCTGTGTGCGCTAGATGTCACCTCCCGGACGGCGTTGACCTACAGCTTTGATTCACACGAGCAACGTCTAATTGCGGAATTCAAGTCCTCCCATGCGAACGGCTTCGACATTAACTTCCGTGAACTGCTTTCCTGTGCGTTTGCTGTTCACGCCTGGGGACCACGCTGGGGTCCCGCCCGGCCGCAGGACCACGAACGGCCTGCCCACATCCATTTTCGGATTGACAACACGTCCGCCGTGTCGTGGCAGAACAAGATGGCCTCGCGCAATCCAAGAGCACAAGTCCTCATTCGTCTGCTGGGTTGGTGGGAGTCCACGCATCGCCTCCGCTTCTCGGCGTCCCATATTGCAGGATCTGCTAACACCCGCGCCGATGCAGGGTCACGCCTTCGTGCGGGTCCCTCTTTTGCAGCTTTGTTTCAGTCTCTAACCTCAGGTTGGTCGCAGGTCTCCCCCCGTGTGAACATCAACGAGCTGACCACCCTCTGGCAACATATCTCCGCGAGCACTCCGTTGCCGACTCCACCTTCACAAAGTACCGAGGAGCTCTGAAGCACTGGATCGCTTGGCCGTCCCGTCAAGGGATCTCTCCGTGGTTTCAAGGCGTATCCACCACCGACCGCGTGCACTACATCTCGAATTTCGTCCTCCATGGGCTTCACTATGGTTACGGTTCCGGCGGCCCGATTCGGAGTGACTCGATCCTCAATACCCTCCAAGGCATCAAGCATTTCTTCGGCTCGAGTTCCCGATGGCTGACCCCCATATTAGTATGCTTCTCAAGGGCATCAAACGCCTTGACGCTCCCCGCCGCAGCAAGTCTCCCGTCAGTATTCAGCTCCTCGAGTCGTGCTTTCATCTCCTCGACCTCTCGGACCCGCACGCGCAAGCGCTCTGGGGGGTTCTGACTCTGGCTTTCTTCTTCCTCCTGCGGCGATCGGAAATTGTGGCTATCAGTAGTAGCTCCTACAAGTGGTTTGCCCTATGTTATGGTCGTGGCAGACGACGGATCGGTGACCAGGTCTCCGGCTATGGCGCACGCGGTCTACATCCGCCTACGAGGATCGAAGACGAACCAAGACGGTGCCCCAACAATGAGGAAACTGAGGCGGTCCGGTCACCGGTATCTGTGTCCCGTGTTCGGCGCACTCCTACTTCTACAAGCACGAGGGGCTCTTCCGCTCGACATCCCGGCATCCGTGTTCCTGAACAAGCATGGAAGACCAGCGTGCAGCTCAACCGCCGATCTATCCAAGATCGTCAAGAAAGCAGCGCTCCAGAACGGCAGCGACCCAAGGCAGTTCGGCACGCACTCGCTAAGGGCAGGCGGAGCAACCCACTTGTACCGGGCCGGAACGGATTCCCTCACCATTCAATTCCACGGGCGCTGGGTTTCCGACGCTTTCAAGTCCTACAACGCCTGTGCTCCGAATCGGTATCCCAGCTCGCCGCCAAGATGATCGAAGGTTCAAGGGGCGACTCTACTCTTCACCACTGAACCGCCCAGTACGGCTAGATTGGGGGGGGGGGCTTCCCAATTCGGATAGATAGCATAAGCGTTCACAATGAAGTAGCATGTTTGCCCCTCAAGTTGAAGTGGAAAATGCCGTATTTCGAGCACCCCGGATGTGAGCAGCGTCTTCGCCCACCATGGGCACAGCACTTGCTCCCAACGCGGCCGAGCTTCGTGCATCCTGGATACGAGCACCGTTGACCCCCACCGTGCCCACAACATTTGCCGCCATTTTGCTGAAACTCGGTACATCCGGGATGACTACAAAGACGCCGCCGCGTTACCGGGTGATGTTTATCCTTCGTAGATACGCCGGGTATAGTCGCCGTTGCTGCGTCGGTGCCGTCCTCTTCCTTAATTCGTATCGTATCGTATCTGTCGGTGTGTTCGAATCATTTTGAATAATTTTCGTATTTACCGATACAGCCATCGGACCGAGTAGAGTCAGCGGTGAAGCGATTGGCATCACAATGCCTTCCGTCGTCACGGTGTCTCCAAACACGAACACATCCCGCATCATTCTGGTTCCTGGTGCTGGATGCGGGAGGCGTAGTACAGACTTTCGCGCTTCGTGAGGTCGTCTTTTATACACCGGGACATCCGTGAAGCTGAAACTTCCCCACGCGCGGGTAAGTTTCAGCGTGGTGGTGACGTATTTTTAGATGAGCGCTGATCGGAAAGATTTATAACGTTGCTCCCGCATTCGCACGTTTGATAGAGAAGAAGATAAAAAAAATCCTTCCACGCAGAAGTACTTTTGATTGAGAAGAAGATGCTTTTTTCCATCTTCTGCTGGATCAAAAGTGTGTTTCAAAGCCCAAGCTCATGTATCTACTGACGTGTATTCTTTTTCCACTTCGTCCGGCAAGCTAGATATGCTGCGCTCTAACCTATCGAGTGGACTTCGACATACCAGGACAATAGTCGGTATTTTCACCCAAGCTTCGACAACGCTTGGGATTCACATCTGCCGCAAGAATGTAGTATAGTACAGCCTTACTGCCGTGAACGAAGTATTTTATCAAGAAAAGCACAGCGCGACTCCACATCTAGTGTTTCAGCGATGAAAGGAATTGTATTGTGCTGAAGTGAAAAAAAAGAAAATGGAACTCATTTCGTGGGTCTACATGTAGAGCAGAACTCGGATGAGCTAGAACGGGTTGGCGATATCGATGGCATGAACCTTTCCACCGAGACTCGCCAGAGCCTCCCAGTCTGTCAGCACACTCCGCACTTCCTTCATCATGTGCACTACGTTAGCCTGCCTTTGCTGGAGCCGATCCACCTCGCGTAGAACCACTTCCGGTTGCACGAGCACGTGTCCAGCGACCAGCCTTCTCGCCGGCGAGTACTCGTTGGTGAACAGCTCCCTCACCTGCACCAGGGATTCGTCCGTCCAGGCGAACAGCCGCTCCAGCAGAGCAATAGTCTCTCGCCAGCGCGGGGCCTCGAACTCCGAACTCCGCCCTCTCCCCCAAGAGCTCCTCCGCCCCGTTCGAGGCCACAGCGGCGGTTATTTGGTACATGCTTGCCTCCATCTCGTCCAAAGGGAGCGCTGCCTCGTTCAGTAACTTCAGCGCGAACACCGCGTCTGCACGGATTCGAGTTCGTCTTGGGAAAGCAGGCTCGACATCTCCATCTCCAGCTGCTGCAACATGCGCAGTGCCTCCACTAGCAAAGAGTCCATGTCAAAGTGGGAGGGCTTTGAATTTCCTGATATGACACACAAAAGAAAGACTGTTGTCACATCAACTTCAAGATTATACTACGGGAGTATTTTCAAGTACCGCAGAGGGATTTCTTACCTACTATGGACGCGGCTCAAGCTTCAGGTTGTAAGATTCAAGCATAGTGAAGCAATCACGTAGAATTTATTGTCAAAATCTACCCGTTTCAACGCGCCTGAATCGCGTCGAGTTTCCTGAAGCACTTTCAAGCACTGTGCTCAGAAGCCCAACAGGAAACAAATAATTGATTCGCTTCGCTTCCACAGTATTTGCGCAGTATCCTTAAGGTCCCGGGCTGCTAATAGCTTTGAAAAGAACACCAACTTCACGTACTAAGCCGACTTTTCTCTTTTCCCAAATCCTCTTGACGTACTGGTTGAGACTACACTGGACGCCTGCCAAAAGTGACGTTCAATCGACATAAAGTGTTTCTCTAAATTCGTCTAAAAACTGAAGTCAAAAACATAAATATGTTTGCTGGATCAATTAGTGTCCTCCCTGCTACACAATCTTTCACAAAGCAATTTTCCCTCCACGCCGTAGTAGTTTAGTGCACCGCATCAATGCCCACCACCATGAGCACAGTACTTGCCTCCTGCTTCTTGCATTCTGGATATAAGCATAGTATATGCGTACTATACGGTACACTTGTTGTCGGAGGTTCGTGCAGCCTGGGTGCCTACATTGATACCCGCCACCATGCCCACGACATTTCCCTCCTGATAGGTAAGGTTTTGCGCACTCCGGGTACGAGCAACGCTGTTTCCGATGCGCTTGGTTACCTTTGGTCGATGCGGTTAGAAACCCGTCCTAATGCTATCCTCCCCACGAGCAAGAACAGGTTGATATTCATGGTTTGAAAACGATCACCGGGACTCACGAGCCCCCCCCAAGTCTGCCAGCACACTCCGCACTTGCTACATCATCCGCTCGACGTTGGCTTGCTTTTGCTGGATCCGATCCACCCAGATGACAAAATGATGAGAAGTTTCTAGCAAAAATGCTTAAGAGCTTCAATTTCGCGATCAATTTCATAATGCGTCACTACAGTCATAATGCGTCACTGTAGTTGAATGGTTTGTTAATACTTCTACTTCAAATACCTTGGAGGCCGTCGACTCGTGCTAACTCGGGTCACCCGCTGTTATTCGGTCCCCGCTTAGTGCTTATGATCGCACTCAAAGCCAAACTGCCGTTTCAGCACGCCTCAGAATCGCCTGAATCGCGTTGACCTCCTCCTGCTGCGCTTTGGTCTGGTCCCACCTCTCTCTTATGATAAATCGTGCCGTCTCCATCAAGTTGTCGATCCTGGTGCGATCGTAAGCCGGTAAGCTGGACTGCGTCGACGTAGCCAGTAGAAGAAATTGTTGCTTCGCCTCCAGAAGCTCCGTCTCCGCCTTGTCCAGCCGTGCTTGCATGGCATCCGTCCAACTGGTCAAGTGGGCAAATGTAGCCGTATCGATCCAGTAGTTGAACTGATCGTGCCCCATAGTCGCCGATACCGCGTCTACACCTTTTGTTGCGTAGAGCGCAGAGAGATGACCACGAACGCAGCTCTCGCCCACTCAGCGAAATTTGGGATTGCGGGATCTCTGCGCCCAAGCACAGAGTCCGTTAGATATAGGCTACAGTATGCAATACAAAACTCAAGTAAGCTACAACGCAAAGCACGCCTACTTCAATCGGGGACAAGTAGAGCAGCCAACACGACAAACCCCACGTGTCGTTGCTCAATACTTCACACCTTTGCCAATCCAAGTTGGCAGTAGTGCAAGGCAAAGCCGCGAGTCCCGTAAATACGAAAAATATTTTTTTGAAAAATTTATTTTCGAGGATTAGTACAGACCAATGTGGATTTAGTCCACAGCAAACATCTAAGTTCCATACTCCATGGGCTCGCTACGAATAGCAGCGGCGACAGACAGCGCACAGTGTCGCGCCATCTTGTTAACAAGGCGCATGTCAATGCAAGGCATGCAGTGCTCCGCGGCTTTCTCGAGCAGTCGCATCCTACGCTCCGTCTTCTGGCCGTGCAGCACGTTGATCATCTCATCGTGGCTCAAGCCCAGATACGCCTTGATGCGAGCTTTTAAAACGCTAAATCAACCTCAATAATAATACATTGTATCGCCTCAGTACCTCTAAGTATATCGCACCAAAAGATAAGCTAACTGTACCTTCGATCGGGTTACACATAGGCGAGTACGGCCCTAGGCGTAGCAACTCCAGATCCGCCCGCTGTTGGACGAGATCCTCCGTCTGGCAGTGGGCAGGCGCGTTGTCCAGGACGATGACGATGGTCTTGCCGAGAAAGTGGTCGCGGTACACGTCGCGGGCCTTGACCGCGTCGTATTACTCGTCCACAAACTCGGCATTGACCTCCATCTTGATGCTGCCACGACGCGTGGCGTAGTGCACGAGGCCGACTTCGGGGGAAACTGCGCACTGCACCTGTAAGTTAGCCCCCTTAGAGGGAGGGAGCTTGGCGATAGCGCGTTGTCCGACAGGAGCGCGGCCTTGCGTCCGCTTACAGTACAGGTTGTAGTTGGTCTCGTCGTAATACACGATAAAAGCACCGTTCCGCTCATGCTTCAGCAACGCTTCACCAAACACCCTCCACTTCTCGATATTTACAGCATTATTGTAGGTATCGGGCTCTACGCGAACCTATCACAGGGAACATACTTAGTACAGTAGATTGTAAAACTGATAGCATAATAACTTGAAGGCGTACCTGCTTAACAGTGTAAAGCTTATCGCAAAGCTTCTTACTGATCAACGAAGTGCTGATGTGCACCCTGAAGTCGAACGCAAGCGTTTCCTGCATCTGCATGAGTGTGTACTGGCAGTTATCTTCCAGGTAGCCCACGAGAGCTTCCTCCATTTCTGGAGTACACTTCGTGCACGCCGCCCGCGCGCCGCCTCTCGTCTTGACATCAGCGGCTTGGCGCTGGACGATGTTGCGGGCAGTAGTGGGAGGGACGCCGTTGCAGTCGGCAACCAGCACCCAGTCACGCCCTTCTTGGTGTGCATCGAGCACACGCGTGCGGGCCGCAAGCCCATGCTTAGGGAGCTGCAGCGTGTAGGCGTTGCCGAGTACCTTCGTCACTTTAAAAGGTCCAATAAATCGGGGCGCGAACAAGCTCGCGCCCAAGTTCGTCACCAAACTTGGCGACATGCCCGTCGTAGAGAGCAGTACCCGATCGCCCACGGCGAACGTCTCCAGATGTCGTCGCCCTCGTCGATCGGCATATTCTTTTTGCCGGTCCACCGCCGCCGCGATGGTGTCGCGTACATAACGCACAACCGACTCACGTTTCTGCAGGAAGTCGCGGACAGCCGCAGTGTCTTGGGCTGCGGCGCTGGGAGCGGATCGAAGTTGGCAAGAACCGGCGCGGCAGGTGTCGCCGCGTCGTGCACGTCGTGATACTCGATGGCCCGACGCGGCATCGGGTCGATCAGCGTGTGCGAAGTCCAAGCAGCGATGTCCGAAGGTGCCGCCCTCCTAGCGGCACGTGTGCGCGAAGCTCGTTCGGGGTTGGCGCGTGGTCTCTCGTGTACCGCCCGCGTGGCGGCACGTGTGCGCACCCCGACTGCTGGAGCGTTAGAGCCTCGACGAGTGGTGACGCCATGTAACAACGCGGAAACAGCGTCGGGTACGGGGCCACGACGCTCAGCTTGGCCTGGGTCGGGATCTACAGCAACGTCTTCATCCGGAACGAGTGACGCGGGATCGCCCGCGTCTTCAGCAGCGCGACCAGCCGGAGTCTCAGAGCGCTCCACACCAAGGAGCGCTGGAACGCGAGGATGGCGACCGAAGTTGACGAAGAACGGGGACAGCCCGGTCGATGCGTGGACAGTGTTGTTGAGGGTGAATTCGACCAGGGGCAGGAAGGTGCTCCACGACTTGAACGACGTAGCGAAGCTGCGTAGTATGTCTTCAACAACACGGTTGGCGCGCTCAGTTTGGCCGTCTGTCTCCGGATGCGACGCGGTGGACATGCACAACCGCGTCCCCAGCAACTGGAAAAGCTCTCGCCAGAAAGCAGACGTAAAGCGAGGGTCGCGATCCGATACGATGGAGGACGGAAGCCCGTGGTGGCGGTACACCACGTCCACGAAGATTGCGGCGGTTTGCTTCGCCGTGATGCTGGCAGCAACAGGAGCAAGATGGAGCATCTTGCTGAACCGATCAACGAAGACAAGCACGCCAGTGCGCCCTTGAGTGTCTCGGGGCAGCCCGAAGACGAAGTCCATGCTGACAGACGCCCATGCGTCTGTGGCGACTGGGAGAGGTCGAAGCGGAGCCTGCTTGGACGGATTCGGCTTCACGCGGACCCACTTGTACATATGCGACCAGTAGAAGTCTCTGGACAGCGACGCAAACGTCTTCTCGCGTCCGAGGTGGCCGCCGCTCGGCGTGTCGTGGAACTCGTGGATCAGCCGAGCTCGGAGATCGTCGTCCAGAGGAACGACGATGCGCGGGGGGTCTTCACGGTCGACGCGGTACGTGAGCAACTCGCCGTCCAGCGAGTAGCGGTCGACGCGGGAGCGGCTGCGTGGAGAGAACTTGCGCTTCGCCACGGCGCCAGGGTCTCGCAGGAACTGGATCAGCTCCAAGCAGGACACGTCCTCCTTGTACGCGTCCACGATCAAGTCACGGAGCGGACTGGTCGCTGCAACCTCAACAGCAGCGACGTCTTCGGTAGTGCATACGACGCATTCGTCGTCGTCCTCGTCGCCAACTGCGTGGCGACCTGACTGCACGTAGTCAGGCCGACGCGATAACGCGTCGGCAAGGATGTTGGTCTTGCCCGGCTTGTAGTGCACGACGAAGTTGTACTCGGAGAACAGGGACAACCAGCGCGCCATGCGCTGGGACAAGTGGGGGCTCTTCGTCGCTGTCCTCAACGACGCGTGATCGGTGTAGATCGCGAAGGTCTGCTCGCCGAGGAGATACACGCGGAACTTGATGAGGGCGTAGCGCATGGCCAGCAGCTCCTTATCAAAGACCGGATAATTCCGTTCCGCCGGCCTCAGCTGACGCGACTGGTAGCTGATGACCCGCTCGCGCCCTTCGTCATCGAACTGCATCAAGGCGCATCCGATCGCGAAGTCGCTCGCGTCGCACACGACATGGAAGGGCTTCGAGTGGTCTGGAAGCATGAGCACGGGCGCGGTGGACAAGCTCGATTTCACCGCGTCGAAGACAGCTTGGTGATCGGGACGCCACGACCACATGGCGTCTGCCTTGAGTAGTTGAGATAGCGGGCGGATCGTCGAAGCGAAGTTCTTCGAGTAATGGTGAAGATACGTGGCGAGCCCCAGCCACTGCCGGAGCTGCTTCTGGTCCTGCGGCGTCGGCCACGCGCAGATGGCCTCGATCTTCTCGGGGTCGGCGCGGACACCGTCCTTGCTGACGTAGCTCTCGAGCACAGGGATCTCGGGAGCGCAGAAGATGCACTTCTTCAAGTTGGCGTACAGCTTGTTCTCCTTCATCACCTCGAACACCTTGCGCAGGTGTTGTAGGTGGACCTCAACGTCCGTCATGCCGTCCTCGGCACGACTGTGAATGAAGATGTCGTCGAAGTAGCTGGGCGCGAAGTCTCGGTACGGCCGAAGCAAGTTGGACACCATCCGGTTGAAGGTGGTGGGGGCGTTCTTGAGCCCCTGCGGCATTACGAGCCATTCCCACAACATCCCGCTGGGCGTGCTGACCGCTGTCAGCGGCACATCGTCTTCGCGCATCAGGATCTGATAGAAGCCATCCATCAGATCAATGGCACTGTACTTCGTGCTGCCAGACATGGTGTCCAGCACCATGGCCTTCCTCGGGATCGGCGTTTGCGCCGGTATGGTAGCCTCGTTGAGCTTGTTGAAGGCGTGGACGATTCTCCAGCCGCCGGTTGCTTTCTTCACGCAGAAGGTCGGACTAGAGTGCGGCGAGAGACTCTCGCGAACGTGGACGGCTTGCCAGCGACTCTCGAAGAAGGCGTCAATGGCTTCGACTTGGTCGCGAGGAAGCGGCCACTGCCGCGTCACGCAGTACTTCGCACCGGGCACGATGTCAATCTCGTGCCGAACCCCGTGGTCGGGTGGAAGAACGGCTGGAACCTTGTCCGGGAAAATCTCCATGAACTCGCGCACGAGCGGAGCGACTGGGTTGCCGGCCGCTTCGAGCGCCGGCAACGACTGAGCTGCGTAGCGGGCTTGACGGGCGTTCTTCGGCTCGGCTCCTTTTGGGCGCGTCCTGGCGTTGGAAGCTGGGTCCGACGCACTGGTTGCGACGACCGCAACTGACTCGGCGTCCTCGGCGACGATCATGCACACCTGCTCGATCTCGCCCTTCTTCAGGTCGCGGAGGAAGTGTTTCCACGAGAGCCCAGGCAGCCGAGTGGTCTCGGCGGCGTCGCGCGGTAGACGTGCGACTTCGACGTCGCGTACACGCGGAGCCGCCTCCGCGTCGTCCCCCACCAGGTCTGAGATCACTTCAGCCTCAGCCTCAACCGAGTCCGCCGAGGGCGTACGTGGACGGCGCGGGTTGCGACGTCCGCGACGTCGAACCGGACGTGGAGTGTTGTCCGAAGCTGCCGAGGAGAGCCCATGCTCGATCACGGCCGCTGAACGGGGGCGCCGGGACACAACATCGGCGCCTGGACGCGGGTCATTGGACACGACCGCGTCGACTTCTTCAGGGACCTCCCGCTCGACCACTCGCGGGAACCCATGCTCGACCGCGTGTGGGAGGCCACGCTCAACCACATCTTCTCGCTCTTCAACGTTGGAGAGCCGCTGCTCGTCCTGACGTGGCTCGACCACGTCATTGTCTGCTTCCGAGAACCGCGGCTCATCGGGACGTGGGAACCCATGCTCGACCACGTCAGACACGTCCTGAGGCTCCTGCTCAGGACCGGCGCAGGTTGCGAGTTCGCACACCGCACACGAAGGGCCATCGCTCGCTTCGTGGACAGCATGGGTCATGGAGTCGGGATCCATGACGGCAACATGCGGCCACTGGTTAGGCGTTCCGCACAGGAGCGCCAATACTGCATTCACATCAATGTCTCGGGGGCGGACTGTGCCAGTCAGCCAGTTGATCTCAGGCTGGTGGCGAGCGAGCCACGGGATGCCGAAGACACAGTCGAACGAGCCGCTCAGCTCGGTCACCAAAAACTCCTCGGAACTGCGGAACCCGTCGAACTCGTAAGCGAAGGTCGCCGAGCGCCGCGGCGTCCGCCACGGCTTCCCATCAGCGTACTTCACGATCATGTCGCCAGGCCCGTTGCGAATGTTCATGTCCGCTGGTAACACCGACAAGCTCTCGGCGCGAACGAAGTTGTTCGTCGCGCCCGAGTCGCGCGGCGCGCGAAGAGGGCGTGTCGCGCCGTCAACGTGGAGGCTGAGCACAATCAGCCTCGTGTCACTGCCGGAGGTGGTGGCAAAGAGTTGTGCGTGAAGCATGGGAGGGCTAGGAGGAGGTTCTGCCACCAGAGAACCATCGCTCCTTCCACGACCAGTAGGGCGCCCCGCACCTACTGGTTGTCGCCGTTTTTTGGAGCGGCGACGTCGTTCGCGACCGTGATGTTCGCCTGCATCGGCGCCGGAGCGCGGCAAATAGCCGCGCGATGTCCAGGTTTCCCACAGCGGTAGCAGCGCATCGGGCGGGGATTGCGCGTTGACGAGGCCGTTGGCGGCCTTGCTGATGACGTCGGCACCCGACGTCCACCGAAATGTTGAATCGCATCCACCTCCATCGGCTCCGGCTCGGGCACCGGAGCCCGAGAGACATCGAAAGCCTGCGACGCCGTCACACTGTAGTCTTCACGGAGCGCAACAGCGAAGGCCTCTTCGAGTGTAGGTGGGGTCTTCCGGGTCAGGTAGAAGCGCCGGTAGCCAGCGCTCATGCCGGAGATGATGACGTGGACTTGGGTCGCCATGTCTACGGGATGCGTCGTGATGCACGACACAAGGTGTCGTGCGCGCTGGATGTACTCGAGCATGGACATGCGTCCTTGCTTCAACGCCAGGAAGGCGGAGCGCTGAACGCTTTCATCTTGGGGCGGCTGGAACGCGAGCCGCAAGTCCGCCTTCATCGATGCCATGGTCGGGAAGCAGGAAGCGTCGGCCACGAGCTCGCCGAGCGCCCACACCTTCGCCTTCCCCGCCAGTTTGGACAGGAGAAAGCGCGTATGCGCTAGCTCGGTAGACAGCTGCCGAGCTTCGATCGCGATGTCCACCTCGCAGAACCAGCGGTTCAGGTGAAGGCGGCCCTCGCCTTCACCGCTGTACGTGGAGACATCGAGCTTCACGATGTTGGACTTGTTCTTGGTCTGCGTGGGAGTCGACACTCGCTGACGGAGGTCAGCGAGTTCACGCGCCATGAACTCCTGGACGGCCAGGCGTTGTTGTTCCTCGGTTCCCGCCGTCGGCAGTGTCTTGATCACAGCGTCAACAGACACTGCTTCGAGGCGGTGTAGCGCCTCCCACTCGATTGCCGACAGGTGAGGAAAGCTGGCGTGCTCCAGTGAAGTGGCAGTCGTCCGGGACGTGTCAGGCATCGACGTGTCGTTCATGTTCATCACGATCTTGGGCGTTTGACGGGTTAGCGAAGTGCTACCAGGTGTAGCAGGCTAACTGCAGCCCGTTACGTGCTTACACAAGCAGAGGAAGTAGTAGGCAAATTGAACTCTGGTATTAAGTGCCGAGACGGTCTCGGCACTCGAGACCGTCCCAGCCATTAATCTTATAGTGGGCTCTGATTGGCCACCGCGCACACGCGGTGGCGCCTGTGTGACAGTGGCCTGTCACAAGTGTGGCGATGGTCGCCTCCATCAGAGTCTCCTCCGAGTCCAGCGCAGAGCGCGGCCGAGAGCTTCTTCACCAGCGCTTGCTCGTCCTGCGAGAGCACGCGCCACGTCTCGAGGTACTTGACGGTCTTCAACAGCTGCGGATCCACCATGCGCTGCTCCATGTTGTCACTCGCTGTGCCCAAGGAAAACTATTGAGAAATGCTGGGTAGTTTCTGTCCAGCGGTCCATTTAGTGCGTCATTACCCACAGTTATTTACCGAAGTATCTGTAAATGTGTATTTAGCACTAAAATGATAACTTCATTGCTACGGGGATCTACCGGTACTTCGCATCTGCAAGTTGATGTGCTCAAGACCTGCTCGCATTAACTTTGCGCTGCTTACTTGGTTAAGTCCGCGTGCATGGGAGGTTGAAAGGGTGTCGCCTTCGAAATATTTTGCGTCGCGACCCCCCTGCTCGGAAGATACCATTCTTGATTGGCATCGATCTGCATGAAGTCGACGGAGCTGTTGCCGCTCAAGCGCAGCGAGCAGGAGTTCCTGCAGCAGACAGCGCGCCAACGTATCACCACGTACGATGGCAACACGTGGGAGTACTACGACTCGGGCCGGCTGAGCGACGCGAACGCTGGCCTGCCGCCATTGGTGTGTCTTCCCGGGACGAGCGGCGTCGCGCGCTGCTTTCATCTCCAACTGCAAGAACTGGCCGCGAAAGGCTATCGCGTCCTAGCGGTAAGAGCTTGAAGACAATGGGTGCTTTTGGTATTTTACGCTAGATGCTTGACGTGTTTCAATGGACTGCGTGTACAGATTCAGCACCCTATTGTTTGGACGCATGAGGAGTGGATCCACAGCTTCGACCGATTTCTCAACGCGATGAATCTGTCCGAGGTACTAAAAACTATGGTTGAGAGCGTAATGTGCTGGTCCAGCTGATAGATTCCGGTTGTCGTGTTAGATCCACGTGTACGCTGTGTCACTGGGCGCGTATTTGATCCAGGTAAGACTGCTAAGCACAATTTGCTACAGGTATCCTGCAATTCTTATCGATACCACGTACTCTTGTGCGCAGCGCTATATGTCGCTCTACCCTCAACGAGTAGCGTCCCTGGCAATGACGCAAGGATTTTGCGATACCCGAGTGTACGGCGCGAACGCCCCCTGCATCAAAATGCAAGTATCCACGAGTTGTTCACTCTATTTGACTTACGACAACGTTATGACTTACGCTTATGAGTTTGCTATTAACTGCAGGCTTCCATACATGCCAGACTTCTATGTGAGAAAGTAAGTGGGAAGTTACTATGTTTTGCTGGCCGTACGACGACACAACATGGACAAAAGCTAAAGTAAGTAATTGTTGTTTTGGTTTGTCGACGTTAGATACATCCTCGAGCGCTTTCCAAAACCGACTCCTCGCTTAGACGCCCAGAATGAAGCGATCGAATACATGATGGAGCAGGTGAGAAGCTTTCGCGTGCTTTGACTGCGATGGGTCATGAAAGAATGCACTTCATCGGACGTTTTGTATTCACAAATGCAGTTAGACTCTCTGTCTCAACAAGAAATCGCGTCGCGCTTGACCCTCAATTGTTTGTCCTGCGATCCTGAGAGCTGGAAAATCTTCCTGCCTGATGAAAAGATCACTTTCATTGACGTAAGTGCATCTTATACTCAAACAGTTATCCCGTGCTCTACTGAAATGTCACTAACTTGTTGTCAATGTAGAGCTACGAAGACACCAGTCTTCCAAATAGCCTCAAAGACCAGATCGGTTCTCGCTACCCTCGCGCCAAACAGGTACTGCAAAAAATTACATCATCTTCCACTCAAAGCAAAAACAAAAACAATTGATGCACTTTGACTAAAAAAAAATATTTCCAGGCGATGCTGAAGAATGGAGGTGACTTCCCATTCCTTTCGCATGACGAAGAGGTCACCATGCACCTTCAAGTCCACTTGCGCGCCAACGGGGTCTTCATTGCGTGAGCCAGCCAGTCAGCCACATAATACGTGTCCGCTATAACAAAACTACTACACACACAAAACTTACTGCCAATCAGAAAAGCTTATTCCCCATCGAAAATGGTGTGGACGAGCTTCGCAGCTCTTCGAGAGCAGGTGGCGCAATGGACCGATGACCAAGCCCGACACGCCGACATCAATGTGGAGGGTCAATTGATGCACCAGCGACGCATTAGTCGCAAATGCTCCTTCTTTGACTTGGCGTCGGTGGGGGGGTCCGATGGCGAGCGCGAGCGGCTCGAGGTGATCCTCAAGATCATTGACGGCCAGTTGTCGTGCGAGCAGGTGGACGCCATCCGATACAGAGTCAAGGTCGGCGACGTCGTTCGCGTCCATGGGTTCGTGGAGCGGCTTGACAGTGGCGCTGCGATTCTGGTGCACGCGCGCGATATTACTGTTGTTCGAGCGTGGAAGGATGAAAACCCGGGGGTGACTTTCCTCCCGCTGCCGACAGTTGTGACTACGACGAGTAAGCGCAAGCAGAGTGCAGATGGCAAGCAAGGTGAAAAGGGAGACGCAGAGACGGTGGAGAATGGTACCTCTACGACTATGGGGGAGCGCGTGCATTGCAAGTTCTGGATCAACTCGAAAACGTGTCAGCACGGCGACAAGTGCGAGTTTTACCATGTCAGTGATGCGGACCAAAAGATCGAGCGCGCCAAGTGGCTAAAGGAACGGCTTCATCTCAAGCGGGTTCGCGCTCACATCGACGAAGATCCGCTGGACCCGCACGGGAAAATTGGAAAGCAGCAGCGCGCTCAGGTGTTCGTCGAATGGCTGGTCGAGACGTTCGGTGCGGAGTTTCTCGCGTCGGGCAAAGGCATCGTGGACGTCGCTGGGGGTCGAGGCAGCGTGTCGTTCGAGCTGTGGAACAAGCGACGACTACCGTGCACCCTCATTGAACCAGTAAGTCCTGTGTTGCAGTTAGTATGTGTAACTTGAGGCTAACACTACGATTCATGCACGCAGCGCCCGATGAAGCTTTCAAAGATGCAGCACAAATACCTGAAGAAGCAGAAGAAGCAGCGCAAGCAGTCGGGTGAAGCAGAACCGCCTCTTACCGAATCGCTTGTGCCGCAAGTTATCACGCTCTTCAACATGGATACTTTCCTGGAGGACCCGAACAACGTCCAGCTCGTAGAACAAGCTTCGCTTCTGCTCGGAATGCACCCCGATGAGGCCACCGACTCCATCTTCGACGTCGCCATCAAATTTAACAAGCCGTTCGCAGTCGTGCCATGCTGTGTCTTCGGCCAGAAGTTTCCCGACCGCCGACTCGCTGATGGCAGCAAGGTCCTGTCGTACGAAAACTTGGTCGAGTACCTCACGGCCAAGCACCCGGACATCGAGAAGGCATTCCTCCCTTTCGATGGGAAAAACCTGGTCCTCTTTCGGCGTCCTAGTGCCGGAGAGCAGAAAAATATTGAGTCAATGTAGACTTGCAATATTGGAAGCTCGCAATGAATTCATGTTTGATAATAGGCGCGGTTGCTTACGGCGTGTTGATGTTGCCACTGCTACTGGCCTGTGAGCTCAATAGAGAGCACATGTATTCTGTCGGAGAACACGATGGCTGCCTGCGCGTCGGTATCTGCTCCCTTTATCATGGTCAGATCGACTGGGAATCCAAGCTCGACGTCTTGAGTACTGGCAAAGGATCCAACACCCCACTGCCTTACAAGCTCTTGGCCTCGGAAAAGAGCAACTTCGCCGTCCGTGCCCAAGCAGACCCACGCGAACTCCGATGCTTTCGCGTCTGTAGACTGTTTAACAGGCAGCAGCTTGGTAATGGGGAACGAGACTTGCGTCCACACCTCCAGCGTGAAGCGAACTGCTGGCATATCCTTTGGCGCCTTGTCTCGGTAGCGTACAAGGCGATAGATAACCCTGCCACGCAACGATCATCCATCAGCAAGTTCAAACTTACCATGTCAGTATAGACAATTAGTCGCTCACCCTTCTTCTCCAGCTGCCAGCACGACGTCGTCATCGCCGACTGAAAAGCTTGCGAGGGTTGCAATTGGCGTCCGGGAAGGAATAACTCCAAACTCCTTGCCGCGATGAGTCATCAGCAAGTGCTTCTGGCCTGTAGCAACCAGAATGTAGTTGGACAGCGTCTTCTCGATGTCCAATAGCTTAGCGCGCGCGATCGCGCGCACCAAAGGCTGGGCAACTGCCGGGTAGAAGCATTCCGCACCACCGTCGTCGTATCTCGGGGCAATAGCAGGAAGTCGCCTCTGATGATCAAAGCGTCAAACATTGCGGCAAAAATAAGGGTTAGCCCTGGACACGTTCACCCACCAGCAAGTCCACCCACCTTCCAGAGGATCTCGTACTGCGTCACCGCGTACAAATTGCCCAGCGCGTCCCCCACAATGAACTCTCCGTTCCGATCGTAGCAAATCTGCTGCACGGCGCTCTCCAACTGGAACCGCCGCACCTCCTGTCCACACCCAGCAACAACCAGCCAGCACAGCCGTCAGCTCGGCATCTTCAATCAACGTCTCCATCCTTCTCGTTGCCCGTACCAGCTCCTCGCGCAGCACCACGAGCTCTCCGCCGGCGCTGCCGACCAGCAGCAGCGCGTCCTCGCCAGCTTCAACGCCGCACACACTCTGCAAAGGCAAGTGCAACCACGCCATCACTCTTCGTCAGCTCTGACGACACCCGCGCGAACGCCGCTCGAACGCCGCCCGAAGGCCAGGAATCCATCTATCCACCCAACGCACCGTGACTGCACGCGCGCACACGCGGAGCCCCCATCGCGCGTGCGCCAGCGGCAGCTCGCCGGCCCCGTTCGCGGCGATCGCGAGCACGCTTCCGTCCGCGGCCCCCACATAAACGCGGCCGGCGCGGCAGCCCTGTGCGCACGTCAGCTCGGCGGCGATGTTGTCCATTTGCAGCGGCATGTGCGTCTCGCCCGAGTCAACCTGCTGCACCTTGCACCAGCAGCATGCAATTGGCTCAGGCCCAAGGGGTCCGTTTCGATATTGGATATTGGAGGTCTTATTCCCGCAGTGCGGCTATGCAAAGAGGGGTGACACGTGTATAAGATTATGGAGTGACTGGAAGGTTCGGCGCATGTTGATCTGGATCCCGTGAATCATGCTGGCGCGATGACGTCGCTTGGCGTTAGTGGCGCCAGCGCTTCCTCGGATCTTAGGAAAGATGGATGCAATGCAATGCAGGGCGTGGAAGACATGGGTGGAGGTGGTGAGGTGTCCCCGACCTGGTGGATTAAATAATGGTGTGTTCCTATCCTGACTAAACGCGCGCTGCTGGTGCCTAGGGCGAGGGCCGCTGGCTGATGCTGTCGGGCCCCCGCGACCAGAAGCGCAGCGAGAACTTCTTCTTGTTCTTGATGGCGTCGTTGGAGCTCATGGAGAACCCGCGCATCTTGCCCACGGGGCGGTGGGCGTCCCAGGACTCGGCGCGGGGTGACGGCTGCCAGCTGCCGGCTCCTGTGGGGGTGGTGGGCGTGATCGGAGCCACGTTGCTGCAGTCCCAGGAGGCCGGCGCGGCGGGTACTTGTAGCTGCTGCGGTTCTTCATTTCCGAACGCAGACCGGATCTGGGGGAAGCGCACGAGGAAGTTGGCCACGTACGGCTGGAAGGCATAAATGAAGCTGTTGCTGTCGTTGAAGGCGGGGTCGCTGTCCCCGACGGGCGTGCCGCTGAGCGTGTGCTGCAGGATCTTGGCGATCTGCACGCCCATGGGCAGCGACTGCGCTGTGTGTGCCGGGAAGTCGAACATCTCGGGCTTGATGAGCGCCGGACATAGTATCCGCAGGAAGAGCAGGCTGCCTACGACGATGCGCGCGTCGTGCTTGCACTCCGGGAAGGCCTTGCGGAACTCCGTGAGCATGTAGTGGCAGCCGGCGCGCAGCACGAGCGGCGCGAAGTGGATGGCCTTGGCCAGCCGCTGGATGACGCTCTTGGCGTACGCGCACACCTGCTTGGGCGCGGGCGGCCCGCGCGCCTCGTACAGTCGGGACTTCTCGCCGAACACGTCGCGCAGCACGTAGCGGAAGTAGGCGCGTCCCTGCGAGCGGCCGAGCTTCTTCATGAGCGCCGTGAGCTCCGACGTCGAGCGCAGGAACAGCTCCTCGCGGCCGCGCACGTCCGTGATCTCGGCCTGCACGGCGCGCTCCAGCTCGTGCAGGCGCGGCAGCTCGCTCTGCGACCGCCTGCGCTGCAGGGTCCACTTGCCCATGGTGCGGCGGTCGTCCTGTGCTGTAATGGTGATCGCGAAACGCCAGGCGGGAACGCGCTGGCGGCTAAGTTTGTTTGAGGTGAGTTGGTGCTGCTGTTGAGGCGCCTGCTTGCTTTGGCTTGCGGGGCAGCGCGGCGAGTTCTACAATGAGAAGCAGCGGCGAGGGTTGGCGTTTCCTGCGAGGCGAGGCGAGGGCCGACTGTCGATCTTTTTTGGCCGAGTGCAGGTGGCCAGCGGGCCTTGCTTTGCGGGCGCTCGAGGTTGCCAAGCGCGTGTGGGGGGAGGCTGGAAGGCGCGCGGCAGCTTGCGGTCTGAGGCGCCAATGCTCGAGTGCGGCGCTGCACGATTCGCGGAAGGCGACGGCAGACGGGCCCGGTCGGGAGGAGTCAGTTCGGACACCTGCAATCACGGATGTGTCGGGAAGTATTAAGTATTGCGTCTTAAAGGGAGTTCAAACACGTGGCATACAGGGATCTTACAATTATAGCGTATGCCGGCCATCGCAGTAAGAGGGATAGAGGGTGGCCGTTCTCTGTGCGAAAGTGAGTGTCGAGCAGATGCGCCAGCCGCTGCGGACGAACGTTCCGCGCAGGAGAGAAACGGCGCCGTGTCATAAGCTCAACCAGCGGAGCCAGAGGCAACTCCAGGGCAACAAATGGCTTGCTTGGTGGCTGGCCAGCAGGCGTGCTGCCGGCGTGGCATGCTGTAGCCCGGCGATGCAAGGCAGCTTGGCTCGTGGACGGCGACTTTGCTGCTGGCATTGATGACAACCCCGCGCCGCCCGCCGCGTGCACGGCGTGGGGTGGCTTCAGCGAAAATTCGCGGGTCGGATCACTGCAAGGTGCGAGGTGCAAGCTGAAGCAGCGACAGCCCGCGCCTGCGGCTGCGGGTTGCTGCTCTGAGTGTGCGTCGCAGACGGCCAAGGGCTGGCGTACGCTTGCCAGCGCCTTCGCTGAAGGCTGCGCGGCTGGTTATTTCGAGTGGCAGGCTTGCTCTCATGGCTTCCAATTGCTTGCCTCGGGCCCATTTTGACGGTCTGCGTTGACGAGACCCTCCCCCCGAAATACCTGCAGAGCTGAAAGACGGAGGCTGCGGCATGCGAACCGCGCTACGTCTTGACGGTCATGGGCTGGACGCTGGGATTGCTGCCTTGATGGGACGGCGAGCAGAGCGTATTACGCCTTCCAGTCGCAGCAGCCAGCTCCGATTTGGATCCCGGGATAAGTCAAAGCGCCGCCGTTATCCGCCCCCGAAATGGCTCTGCCCGATGGTCGGATGGTCCGATGGCCGAGCGCCAGCCATTCCTGGAACAGCGCACAGCCTGACAAACCTGCAAGAGGCAGATCCGTCCGTCAGCGATGAATGCTCCGGCCCCGCATGGGCCTCGCCGGTTTGTTACTGCTCTTCCGTGGTCGCCGCGACCTTCGTGACGTGACAGACTGCTGCGCTCCCAGCTGGGTCGCGCTCGTGGCCACGGGCGCAGACCAAATAATCTGGGTCTGCATCTGGTGGGGCAGGTACACATGCAAGCATGTCGATGGACGCATTGGTCGCGTGGGGTGGCTGGCACCTTCGTCCTCGCGCAACGATCTACATGTACGTTGGATCTGTACAGTACCGTATTCGTTGAGGCGGTCCGAAGCATACAGTACGCGTAGAGTGGATCCGAGGACCTGGTCAACAGGGAAATTTTTGGCATTACGAACGTTTACTGAGCGGTGAATAAGTTCGAGCGTCCTCTGGTCCGACGCGCCTCAACACTCGAGCACTGCAGTTCAGCCTTGCCCTCTGTTGCTACTGCGCTCGACTCAATTTACTGGCCCACCGTTTGCTCTGCGCACGAACGCGAGCGAACTATTATACATACCATAGTTTTGTCTACGCGTGGGGCACAGTGCCCAGGGATACTGCTCGGAGGGGTCCGTTGTGGCGCCCTATGCTGCTATGTGCTGCTACGAAAGCCGCGCACGCTGTCTGGCCTCTTATAACTCGACTCGGCGCATGAGCCTGGAGGCACAGTCAAGTCGGGAGGCATCTGACAGGTGAGCACGACGATAGCCATCAGCAGCTATCTGTATCTGTCGGCGCCCTCATCTCCGTCATCCGCGCCCTACCTTTTCGAGAATGGATGCATCACTTCCGCGACTGCTGACATTTTAGGCGTTCAGGATCTTCGGTTCTAAATTCTAGGTTTTGAAACGCAGATCGACGCGGCACCGAGCTTTTCCAGTGCTACGTGGCTGAGTCGTGTACTTGGGTGACGATAAATGGCGCCGCACGAATCTTGATATTCATGTATTCTCGGCGAGTGCTGTTATTTAGGATCTCTGGCAGGCAGACTTCAACGCAACTAATAACGGGTATGCTGAGTACATTATCCCTGCAACTTTCACAACAATGTACGCACGCAAACCATCGTGTGTATGTATTGGGTCTCTGCAATATAGAGAAAACTTCTTCAGCAAAACCGTTTAGCTGCATGTAGTAAACCTTGCCAGCCCCACGCTCCTGGTGTACCATCTCCAATCCATCACAACGACCCATGCTCCCGTAGCTTGTTCACCCCAGCCATCTTCTCGATGTTCTCGATCTGGCTCGCTAGACCATCGAGCGACTCCTTTCGCTCACCAGCCAGACGCTTGAGCTGCTGCAATTCAGCCATCGCTTCGCGTGCACTCTTGTTCAGTCGAGCGCGCTCTTGCGGCGACAGTTCGGCCTGCATCATAGCAGTGAGACGACTCATGCACTGCTCCCCTTCCAGACACGCCGCATCCACCTTCGCGAAGGCCGCTTTCATGTCCGCTGCCGTAGCGACCAATTGGCTGTAGACAGACATGTTCATCCCATACTCCAGCTTCTGTGAGGGACCCATCCCAGCCTCTGTTGGGTCATGATCCTGTACGTGCGTTGCGCCGACTCCGCTCCGCTGTTGAATGCCGCAATGGCCCGCTGCACCGCGAGTTGCATTTCGACTTCGGCCGCCTTGAGTTCCGCTTCACCTTTCTTCTGCGTGCTGATCGGCTTGGGCGCCATAGACTGGTGTTGTAGAAGTGTGCGTATCGAACCCGGCAAATTCGAAAGTGAAGCCGATGGAAGGCTTCCGCGTGGAAGCCTTCCACGCGGCAATTCGTCACACCAGGTTTTCTTATACTGAAGTAGATTTTTTTAAATGTAAATCAAGCATTATACGTTGTGAAGAATGAACTGTTCATTGTAATCTATCCGGTTTTTTATCCAGATTTTCCTTGTTCCACAACCGGATATATTCCAACAACTAAAGTTCTCAGGACGAGGGAGCCGACTATATGTTTACTGAGACCAGCACTCTTGACGGCGGCGGAATCGGGGGGGGGGGGGGGGGGCCATTTTTATGTGGAATTTTCCTGATTTTGGTAGATTTTTAAACGATTTTGTCCATTTTTGGCCGATTTTACCCCCTCCTGCCCCTTCACTGTTTTTGGAATGCCCCCTATTTTTTTCGGCCTCTGCCGTCCACTCCGTTGGATCCGAGCATCAAGGACCTGGACGACTACAGGATGTTGCCGTCGGGTGAAGAGCCGCAGTTGCTGTTGGCGATCACGGCACACTTCGAGCCCGGCGGAGCCACCGGTGCCGGCAACATAACGCTCATGGAAGGGGTCGAGGCAGAATATTCCAATATTTCACCGAGTCTTCGGCCAACCCACAGAACGGCGTGTCGCCGCTCGTTTGAAGCAGTAAAAGGCCGTCAACCAGCTCGAAGATGGAAATGCTGAGCTGGTGGATTGTACTCACCACCGTCCGACCCGTGCGACCGATCGACAGTACGCCACGCATGACGATCAATGCCGAATGCGCTTCAGACCCTGGATGCGCGTGTTTTGGATTCCGGCGAGAACACCAGCGCCTCGTAAATCGACGCCGCCTCCGAGTGGATATCCATCTGCCGTAACGTCAATTTCTACTCAGGGAGTACAAGATCAGTGAGTTGTGAAAGATCAGCTGTAAGCGAACACTGGAGCTCTCCGAAATGTCGGGCGATTACATGGGTAATTGCAACGCGGGATCTAGTCTAGCGTCAAAGCAGGTGAACAAAATGCATATAAAGCAACATGCAGTAGTGCCCATTTCAATTTTGACCCATTCTGCGTCCATTTTCCGACCTGGGTTTTACCCTTTCCCACCTGGGTTTTTCGGGGAGGCAAATCCGAAACCAGCAATACCGGTACATCTGCGTGTCTGTGGCAAACCGTTCGTGTCTTTGCAAAAAAGCCGCTTTCCCGACGGTGTTCGCTGCTCCGACTCGGAGCCTCCGAGTCAAGTCGAAGTTGCACTTGTCTCCAAGCAGATGAGTACTCGCAGACATACACCAGGAGGACTTTCCACCGTCTCCTTTGCAACCGCGGCGGGCCATTCCGGCCCCGCAGCTCGACGCATTCCACAACTTCCCCTCGACTGATCACTTCCACTGATCTGTCCTCACGCAACAGCCTCTCTCAGCTAGCAAGCTACCAGCTACCTACCTACCCACCCTCCCCCCTACCAATTTCACTTCTCCAGTCCGCCATGGTCCAAGTCGTCAAGCGCCAGGGCTACAAGCTGCTCAACCTCTGGACCACGGACAAGGCCACGTTCCCCGTCGTCTTCTGCGCGCTTCCTTCGCCGCCGTGGCTGCCACGGGCATGTCGCTGCGCTACCTCTTCATGAACCCCGACGTGTACGTGAACAAGGAGGAGCGCTTCGCCGAGCTGCACCACACGCTGGAGCCGCGCGAGGACCGCGGGTCGTCGTGGCGGCAGTTCCGCTTCCGCATGGCGAACCTCAAGCGCAACCCGATCAACCAGTCGCGCCAGTTCGACGACCTCTTCGCCAAGGAGGAAAATCAGAGCGTCAAGAGATAGGTGGTGGCTTCCATTTACGACTTCTGCGATGGAGATGGCTCATAGGCTTCCCTAGCGACAACATCTGCGGCGACGAAACATTGTAGGCTTAATGTGTACTTATATTCCATGCTCGAGGTGGAGAGCGACAACAACGTAAAACAACGAAAAGTGCTGATGCATGTCCCTAGCTGGTAGTGTTTGGATGCCTTCGATTCGAAAGACAAACTCTGGGTAGTTGACCAGGGGGGGTGAAGTCCCACCATATATGACGCGAGATTGTTGTTTAGTTGTCGTTCCAGGACGGTGATAGCTCCAGTTTCATTGCCGAATCCACCAGCTTCGCCACACTTTATCCCCACCCTCAACAATGGCACAGGGCACTTCGGCGCAGCAAATGGATACCATCAACTCAACGGAGTTCGCGCTGGTATATGCTTTTTACCGGGCGGCGGAGGCGTTCGACAGTGGAGCGCAGCGCATGCACGAGTACGAGGTGAACGTTGACCACTTGGACGGACACCATACAAGCAGCGTTTGCCAAGGCAGGGGCGGAGTTGGTGGAGGCGAAGCAACACCTTCGAAGTCTGAATGCTTTGGCGGAGTCGGGGTTGTCGAGCGACGAGCGCGACAGACTGAACGGCGTCATTGAGTCGGCGCAGAAATGTATAAACGAGCTATGGGACCGGATTAAATCGCGGCAGGAGCGCTTCACACTCGTGCAAGCAACTCTTGGTGGCGCGTCTGGTGGGAGTGACTTCTTCTGAAGTAATCACCAAGGCAGCAGCGCGACCATTGTGACACTCGGCAGTTCGGCTAAACCAGTTGAGTAGATCATATAAAATTAATTGAAGTTGGTCCGATATGTTTTTTGTGTTTTTGTTATTGAGTTTTTTTTACGGTAAGGTTGAAGTTGAGGTCTACTTGCTGCTTTCGATCCATTCGCCAATATATTTCGTCGAGAGCAAGCTCTACTCCATCAAGTCCCGCCCCGACAATGACCTGCTCCTTGGTGAGAACGCTAGAAGTGTTGAGGCAGCTGATGTTGTCGCCCGAGTTGACACCGCTCGAATATGAAGCGACCTGCAGTCGCGCGCAGCGTGAATTCGGTGCTTGCAAGAAGCTTGGCGAGCAAGCAGCAAAATGCCACTTGCGGAGGAATCGTTGTTTTGGCGAGTGAGCTCACAGCTCAAGTTACCGTCTCCTTTCTCACAGCTAGATATTTCCTAACTGTAGCACGTTTATCTGTAAGTTGCAGTAGACAACCTCCGTAGGACAATTCTACTGCGTGGGAAAACCTCCAGCACTTTTGTACCTTCTCGGGGTAAACGACCCACACGTGCTCTCGTGCATCTTCAGTCTGCCCTCAGCACCAGCTGATGGTGATCAGTACACTGGACTCCGCAACAGAGTATTCGTCGGTGCTCGGGCTGACAGTTGCGCTGGAATCGTTTGTGAGGATGGAGCACAAGTACCATGACTTGGACGCCGACTTAACGTCGATGATATTGTTTTTAGCATCGGGCGAGGCGGAGCATCTGTCAATGGAAGCCTTGATGACCGAGTTGCAAGACGTGGTGGCAGTGGAGCGGGTGATACCGGTGGCGGAGCAAGCACTGGCTGACCTATGGGAGGTGAGGCCATATATCCGATCATTGGTATCGATGATCTCGTCGCGGCTTCCCGTGCGCCAAGAGTTCCATCAGCCAGATGATATCTCGCGTGAGATGGCTCGCATTTGGTGGAGGCAATATGATGTCGTGCTGAAGGTGAAGGTGATGCGGAGGCTACTGGAGCGCCTGGAAGCGCTGGCGAATCTTGGCGGGGCGATTGGGGACATTAATCTCGAGTCGTGAGATGTGAGGGGGCGCATCGCCATGCTAAGTTTATGAGCGAAGCAGCTTGCTTGCGGTTTTGGAGCGAGACAACGGAGAGTGATGAAGCTTACTAAGGGTGTGTTCCTCAGACAGGAATTTCAGCGAATTTGGGCCATTTTGGCGGATATGTACTTGTACCAGGGGTTAGAAAAAATAATATCAATACAATAGTTACGGCATTTTTAGCACGGAATAATTTATTATTGCTTTAGGGTGCCCCCGTACAATAGAAAAGTGTCCCAATACAATATCAACACTTGCACCAATAAAAAAACTGAGCTTACTACAAAAATCCCGTATATATTTATTGCCAATAATTGTGAAAATACTGTATTATTGGCTGACCCTGTATTGCAATGATTATTACTGCGACTCCAAAACCAAAATACAATATGATATTTTATTTTCCGACCTCCGACTTGTACGTTTTGGCGCATTGCACAATCCGCTGTTGCGTTTGAGGAACACAAGAGGCATCTTTTTGGCGGATATTCAGCGGATTTAATCCACCCGAATTTGGGCGGGTAGCCCTCTCGTTTGGCGGATTGACGAGAAGCATCTGTAAAAGTCCAAGAACTTCAAGGAGTTGAAACGCCGTGTCGGGAACTCCAGTTGTGCACCTACATGTACCTGACTTCACACAGCAGATGCATCTGCGAACAGACGCGAGTCAATATGCTGTTGGCGGTGTGCTCTTTCAAGTCATCGATGGAGTCGAGCGACCCATCGCGTACACAAGCAGGAAGATGAAATCAGCTGAGCTCAAGTACCTAACGCAACAGCAGGTGTTACTCGCGATTGTCAACACATTAGCCGCATTCAGGATTTACGGTTTGGATAGACCGGTAATGGTGGAGACACATCACAAGTCACTCGAAGGTATTTTCCAGCAAAAGATGGCGAATCGGCGCCTCGCGCAATGGTACGATATTCTGGCTGAGTACCAACCCGTGTTTGCGTATCTTCCGGGCGCTAAGAACGGAATCGCTGACGCTCTGAACCGACGACCTGACCTCAAACCGGAGACGAAGGATTTCCATGATTTGCTCGTTCCGAGCGTCAACGAGACCAGCTACCATCTACGTGTGACGGAAACCAAGCCTAACGACGATCTGATCAAAGAGATAATCCCTGGATACCAAAAGGGCAAGGTTATCGGAGACATTCGGCGCGCGATTAAAAGACGTGGGACCGCGTCAGTAGTGCGTGGGGTATCAGAGAAGGAGTACAAACCTTACTTCGAGGAGAAGATTTGATCTGGTACCAAGGTTCAACTGACGAGCAACCTCGTATCGTGGTCCCAATCATCGTGGCACCCAAGCACCGTGTCATCGCTGAAGTGCACGATACCAACTACGGTGGACATTCCGGTGCAGATACCTGAAGCTTCACTCGGATTGGTATTGGCCCCGCATGGTGCGTACGATCACGAAGTACACTGTAGACTGTGAGGACTGTCGGCGGAACAAACTACGGTTGACGAAGACACCTGGACTTCTCGAACCATTACATATTCCGGACGAACGATGGCGATCCATTTCAATGGACGTCATTACAGACCTACCAGAAACCAAGCGAGGCAGTAACTCGATTTGGGTCGTTGTTGACCGGCTCACCAAACGAGCACACTTCATTGCGACGACAAAAAAAGTTTCAGCCCAAGAGCTCGCAACGCTGTTCATCGATAACATTTGGAAGTTTCACGGTATGCCTGAAGACATCGTGTCAGATCGCGATACCAAGTTTGTCTCGGGATTTTGGAGCCAAGTGTTCGAGAATGTTGGAACCAAGCTGAAGATGACCGTTGTGTACCGTGCACAAGGTGACGGGCAGACAGAGCGGACCAATCGCCCCCAGGAGGTCATTCTACACGATGGTAGTGTTGGCCAGATTGTTGAAGCAATTATTAGCAAGCGCAAGAAGCTTTGGAGCCGTACAATGCCACATTAAGTGGGTGAGTGAGGCGGATGCTACATGGGAGCCTCTGAAGAATTTACATCAAGTTTTGGGGCTGATTCAGGCGTATGAAGATAAACAGAAGCAACGACCGCGAAAGCGACGACGCAAGTAATGGCAGGATCAATGACAAGGAGATTGGCTACGATTCAGTACACGGGAACAACACTGGTGAGTTTTACTTTTCTATTTCTGGTATTTTTCATACTGCGTGTGGTGCACTCTATTATGTGTAATACAGATTAGACCTTACCCAAATCAAGGCAAAGCGGGTATACAATTATCAAGATAATCAAGAACCCAAATCTAGCGAATCAGCACTCGCGCGCACGAAGCGAGCCTCCGCCAACCTGGGCGCAGCATACTCAAGCAACGGGACTTGGACAATCTCATCATCCGACGCGAAGCGCCCGTCGGTCGTCACGATCATCGTAAATGCATAAGACGTGCGCTGCGGGCCTGGCGAAGAGCCCGCGCAGAGGTACACACCCGGGGCAAGAAGAAGGTTGTCCAAACCAAGGCACGACGAGACACCAGTAAGCCGCTCCTGCACTTGGTTAACTCGCAGTGTGTCCTCGCAGATTTCCGGCTTTTCAGCAGCACGCGCAGAGCGATTCTGTTGACGAACGAACGTCCACAATGTGGACCACACTACACCCGCGCCTGGAATGGGCTTACCCTTGGCAGCTTGGGCATCGTAGAATTAGTCGACGGCAGCCCCCGAAAACCAGCCAACCAGACCAACGGCATCCGTGGCACGCGACAGGGCGTGGAAAGCACAGCGACCATCGTTTGCGGCGCCAATGGCCTGTGCAAATTCATCGGGACGAGAGAGAGCGAACTCCGCGAAGGTCATGGGACCACCAAGCGCCTTGTACGCGTCGACAAGGTCCAGGTATTCTCCGAAGCCGTCTTCTTCCAGCATCCAGCGCGGCTCGTAGGAGCTCTGGGTTTTGCCTGGGGCCACTATGTATTGCACGGAGTATCGTGAGTCATCCGTGACATCCGTACCTAGTCGGTCCGTGATGAGCTAGATATGCCAGCGCTGTTCAGTGGCGGCACCCCGACTCGAAACGTTTCGGCAGGCAAGGCGAGCGAGAGACCAGCGAGGAGTACGCCCCCCCCCTCCGTGGAGCAAGCAGCACTCAGCTTTGTGTGAACCATGCTGGTCTCTCGATGGAGCGAGGTGTTGCGCGCAACAAGCCCACCCAAACACGCCAGGTCGTGGGAAGCTGGTGCAGATGGACTTGGGTCGCGACGAGCTGTTACTGTCGAGCTGGAGGCACCGAAAGCTGGAAACTTCTCAAGTGCTGAGCTGAGACGTTCGCTGCGGCTCCCCAGCTCTTTCTCATCACATATAGATCGAAACGGACGCGAGGACGAGGAATACTAAGACCGGAAGAGGAGAGCCAAACTTCAACACTCCGCCAAACGACCCTAAAGGGCTATCCAAATCCGGAGAGGTGAGTGTATCAAATATGGCTAATGTACCAGTTTAGTGGTACAACTACTTAGCAAGGGTACAGTATTCATAGATGAAGGGGCTGCCTCAGCCACGTGTTGGGCTGCAGGGCAGTTGGGGAATGACCAGCACTTCGCAATCTCCCCGCCAGCCCCAAGCACCTGTTCCTCTTCCTCTGTCTACCGCAAGGGCCAGCTTGTTATAATTGTGATAAGAATGTGTTCGGAGTTTTTGCTGTAAAAATGCACTGCTGATCTGGCACTTTGATTTCATAGCACCTTATAGTTTGCCGTACAGGGAAGACTGACTGCATTCAGTAAACGCGCGGGCAAAGGAAGCAAGGCGACTACTGCAGGGAGCCTAGTCACTCAGTCAGTACAACGAGGAGGAGAAGACGAAGGCAAGTTCCCCGGCAAACGAGGGTGAAGGGCAAAGACAGCACACAACACGCTGTGGATATGGTGCACACTGACCGTAAGTATGACAGTCCGGCAAGTATCCGAGTGCTCGAAGTCTTGTGGCAACCAAGGGCTTGGCTTGACGTACAGACAACGACTTACAAAGCCGGTACGCTGAATAGTATCCTCCTATATTAAGCTTCCGCTGACATTACAACCCGGCCGAGTTTTGGTTGGACGAAAAAAAAATCAGCAGTACAAAACCCAGAAAATTTCCATGTGTTTTGAAAAAAAGAAGATGCTATTATCAGATCAATATCTCAGGATACTTAGGAATTGCTTTCTCAAAGCTACGAATTACGGTGGTTTCCGCTAATTTTTCCCAGGCCGCAATTGTAGACTTAATTGCACGGAGGTGCTCCTTCTGTGCAGTGCCTCCTGCAACCCCCCGCAACTTTGACCTAATTTTATCTTTCAGTGGGCCAATCACGCCAACGTCGAGAGGTTGACAAACCGCCGTCATATTAGGCTGCAGCGTTCGTTTTCGAAAATGACCCGCTGCCCCTCCTCCGAAACATGTGAATCAAAATTATCAAGGAAGAGGACAGCGGGTCCATCGATTTCATGTTTTAACACATTACTCACATAAAATATTCATCCTACCGCGTCCATCCAGGCATGCTCCTGGACAGTGTAGTAGTGACCGGGTGGATAGTGTGGTAACTCGTCGCTGTCGATATCGCCGCCGAGCTTACCCCGGATGATGAATAGAATTGGCAGCATATGCCCTTAAATTTATAGTACCAAATGTGTTAGCATTTAAATACCCAGTTTCAGAATTGTTAGAGCAAGAAAAAACGTACTATCACCGCGAACAATAAGAACTGCTGTCATTCGGCCAGTGTGCTTCGTCATATTGGTAATTTGGGCAGGGTCGTTGCGGCCTTTGACAGCCCAAAAACGTGTCGGCGGCATATCAAAATTGATAGCCGTTTCATCCACGTTAAAAAGTGTCGTAGTGCGCCACGTCGAGTACTTGTTCCAAAGTTAAATTGAGAACTCAGCGCGTTTCTCGAGCAGCTCCACTCTCGGAAGCTTGGCTTCTTGGGGCTTTTGAGACGTGAAGTCGTAACTAAAAGAACATCAATTGAAAGAATGACTAATCGATTAAAATTTAACTTCACACCATGAAAACAATTTACCGTTTGCAAATGCGTTGGCACATTTTTTCTAGCGACTGCTCAGAGCTTTGTGGCTGTCCATGTAGCTTGCACACCACTCAGGCTCTAGTAGCCACATGTAGCCGATCGTTGCATGCCTACAAAAATAAAAGCACGCACAATATTCAGTATTAAGTCGTAAAAGCATGTACTAGAATGTTAAACCGGACTTTTCGTCTGGTTAGCAACGCCGGTGCCTTGTATCGGTCCGGTGGTTGTACGGGGCTTACCACCATTGGTGACGGCTCTCTGGGTTGTCTTGCTAATTTGCGTAGGCAAAGCAGAAGACGGGTGCCCTGAATTTTGGAGTCTGCTCGCCTGCATTCCCGCTTTGCGAGTGCCCGTAGCTGCCGTAGCCCTGGTTTCCAGAACTCGTGCACGCTGCCAGCTATGGTCACCACTTCATGCTGGTAGACTGCTGGGTTGCGTTGTATCCACAGGTGGGTGACCCAAATGCTGCTCAAGACGCGCCAGATGCGCTTCCACTCGTTGGTGAATGCGTCGACGTCGTCTGGATGTTCCTGTGCGAGCCATTGCTTCGTTTCCTTCGACAGGTTTGGAGCTTCTCGCTTAGCGCAGTACATCAGGAAAGCTGGAATATTATCCTGAGCCCAACGTACTCCTATCCAGTGACAAATTACCGGTAGCTTTTGCCAGCAAACCTGAGCACATGGACATTCCCAAAAAATGTGCTCCATCGTTTCCTTCTGATCTTGGCAAAACTAGCAGCTTGCGGCAACTATTGTCGCGAACATACGTCTGTCTTTTTTCTTCTAATGCCGGCTTTTTGAGTCTGCCGGCTGTGAGGAATTACTATGATCCAGTAGAAAAGTACTGGATCGCCCCCCAGGCCGACCGAAAAACAAACTACTGTCACAGTATTTGCTAAGTTCGTGATGCGTATTTATCAAGACGTATCTACCTACTTCTGCGAGACTGGATCCTTGCGCTGCGTCGTGTCGGTCGTCGATGGCGAGTCCGACGTCTCCCTCTTGTCGATTGGTAGACCCAGATGAAGTCGATCGATTCGCGTTCGAACCGTAGGTTCAGGCGCATCGGAACGTGGCTTCCCGGTTCCCATGTAAGCTCCCGGTACCCAACCCATTGAATGAGATAATATACTCTTACGTTAATCCACCTTTTCGCGTATATTCGCTCTACCTCATATAGCTGCCCATCCACGCCTCTCTGGGCCCTTCGATTGCTTGCGAAGAGGCCACCACCCCTACGTCGTTCTTCTCGGAGTCGATGATTCTTCCTCTTCCTGCTCGTCGGTGCCTTTGTCGCTGACGTCATGAGCGAAAATACCGGGATTCAGTCGGAGACGGTAAAACGAGCCGTCCAGGCGGCGCTGGATGTTCCGGGCGTGGCGCTGTCGTGGGTTAAGGCGTGGCATTGAGCACAAAGCAGAATGGGGCTTGCCGAAGCGCTGAAAATGTAGTTCGCAGTCTATTTCTATTCTAAGTGTTGCCTTAAAATAAATACAGTAGACTTCAGCCCGGAGGTCAGGTTGTAATTTGGCTAAATTTAACGTAGTTAAATTGCAAAATTCAGATTGCAGATCAACGTAGCATATTGCACCATTGCGGCTTAAATTATACAAAAAGAGTGTACCATGGAGTGGTACATTCGTAGAGTTCCTACTCCTTCTAGAGTTTAAGAGATTTTCACGAAATACTTTACTTGCGTGTTCTTAGGGCACAACACTAGAGATCTATCGGTTTAGATTTTTGATATACCTTACCCAAATATGACTCAGCAACACTTGCATATTTGGTTAGAATTGTCGGAAAGCACAATATCTATTAATTATGAAGTGTTGTTTGTCAAAAATACAGATCGATAAAGTATAAATTGGCTTTGCCCGACGAAGCTTATTCTTGTCCCTACAGCGCGTTTTTCACAATCTTTCGCTTGTGTTGTGGCCTCCTCCCCGGCTTCAACCCTCTTTTACCAATCCGTTCAGGAGTGGGTTCAAGTTGTGGAGGAAGAATTGTGTCGTCCCGCTGTAAGGTTGTTGTTGTCGGCCAAGGGAGAAATTTGAATGTGTACGTATCGCGGAAGTGCTCGATCGACATACGCTTGGCGTCATACAAGTCTTCGATTCGTCGGCCATCCTTTGAAGCAGCGCAAATTGCGTGGACACAAGGGAACATTTGGTCTTGCCAATTGCCGCACGTGCACTCCAGCGCTGGCAAATCCACTACCCGGTCTGGGTGCACATATCCTGGTATGGCAACAGGGCCCTTGAACAAGACGCTGTACGCACCCTCGAGAAGGGGTGTAAACTCGCACATATCAGCTGCAGCTTGGCGGTCTGTACGTCGCTCTAACAACTTGGGGACTAAATCCGAGAGTGCGCCAGATTTTGTCCACGTTACAATCAATTGTCGCCTTTTGGACATCAGTTGACTCAGCTTCAAGAAGTACAAGTGGAATCCGTCCAAGGGTTTGGCGGTCCGAAGCTCTTTACCCATCCAGTTGTTCGCTTGCTCTGACAAATTTGAGGTTATTTCGTCAAAAGTCGGGAGATTAAACTTTTCTTGGAAACTGTACTTCACCCAGTGAGCACGTTCGATTCCGTCCAGAAAATTCGCAGCGGCAGGGTTGTTCACGGCGAGTTCACTTCGATACAGCTTATAGTCATTTTCACAGTCGCTGCGTGCCATTCGGCATACCCACGCACGGTCTTCCTGGGACAACCTGGAACATTTCCTGTTAATGTTGTCCATGATATGCCGCAGGCAGTATCGATGGCCAGCGTTTGGGAAAATTGTCGCGACAGCTGGAAGCAGACCTTTTTGTCTATCCGACAATATCGTGAACTTTTCCCAGTCAACTGCCTCCTTGAATGCTCCCAGGAACCAAATCCAATTGGCCTTGTCCTCTTGTGAAACCAGCGCGAGTCCAACTGGAACGATGTGATTGTTGTAGTCTTTCACGGTAGCTACCAGATAAATACCCTGTTCGTGCATTTCCTCTTTAAGGTGGACCTCGTCAAAGCCGACCATCTTTTTGCAGTTCTGGGCAATGTGAATACCAGCGTTAGGGATGAAGCACGCTCGACCAAACGACGATCCGTCCGCGGCAGTTTCCACTCTCCAAACGGATCCGGGGTTCTTGTGCGCCATCAACTCAAAGTACGCCCGCAGTTTTTGGTAACTTTCTACCAAGTCGCCGTGAATTTTGTCGTCAATTTCCTGCTTCATTCTGGACACCGATGTAGCGCTTACGTCCGCTCCTTTCGATTTCAGAAAATTCCTGATAGCGGCGCCTGACATAGAAGCCGTAGATCCATCGTGGGCGGGAAGCATCTCGGTCTCGACAATCGCTGTCAGCTTACTTATCTGCTGCGTGGTATTCCGCATGGGCTTGGACGGCGACGGGATGGACCCTTCAACACAAGGGGCCTTGGCACTACCAACGAACTTGAGGTGATTGTGCGCAAAATTTGCCTGGGTTATCTTCCACTTCCCCGATTTCCCGTGAACATTCTCGAAAAACGGACACGTGAGTTGGGCAGCTGGTGTAGTCCGGTCGAAATATTGCGTTCCATTGAGCGCCTTGCATGCAAATTTCGCATTACCGGAGTTGTCGGCCTTCACACTGGTCTGCTTCACAAAAATCTGGAAGCCGCACCTCACAGCCAAATCTTTGCGCTTGCTGTGGACTGCTTTTTGTGAAGAAAAGACTGAATTGGCAATATTCTCTCGGAGCTGGTAGGCCAAGCCATACGTTGAGCTTGTCGGGTTCGTCGACTCGACTGCAACATCGTCCCTGAGTAGTCCCAACTCCTTGGCAGCTTCGAGATCAGACACGTCGAGGGAAAAGCGAGCAGAGCCGTAGTTTGGGGGGTTTCTTGCTCTTGACTTGGACATTTGCACAATGCAGCAGAATATAGCTGTGAATCACCCTTTAGATAATTATTTATTATTCAAGTCTACTTGGTTTTTATTTAGCACTAGCCTTCGAAATCTTACCTCCCACGTATCTATTTCAGGTGTCCCGCAAATAAACCGAGAGCTCGAAGTTAGCCCATAAATGGTTGATAGGTTCGCAAGTGGCGTGCCGGGCGTACTTAGAATTTTTTTACTGTAGGATAAGGAAGCTTTCTCCCAACTTGGCATTCCTTGCGCTTCTCTGTCATTGCATCTATCCAATCAGGACAAGTTCTTCAATGAATTTAGCCAATCACGATCGATTCGTGTGTATCCCAACATTTTCCCAATTATTTTGGGAATTTACAGTCTTGCTAGAATAATATCCAATACAAAAGTTTAGTGTAATTGTTGCATTACTCATATTTGACCGCAAATTCCCAATACAAATCATGATTGTATCGTTGGTGGCTGTGCTCGTCTGCTTTCTCTCCTCTCCCATTTGAAAAGATGCAGCGAGCGCCGAGAGGGCTTGACATCCCGCAAGGGACAGCAGGGCAGGAGGCAGCGGCGATGAAGTGCTTCAGCGAATTCTTAGCTCTTGCTAACATGAATGAGGAGTCAATTGCTAGTATTGCGAAGTCGCTGTCTATTCCTGATGCTCTACCAAGTCAAAACTTTTACTCTTTGCTAACCGCCTTCTCCATTTTCTTGCCAACTAAGCCAAGTGCTCGAGGAGGCCGTCTTGCTAAGGCTACTGCTGTGGGCTATATGTCCCAAGTTGTGAACCTGCTCCGAGAGCGGTACCCTCTGTACTTGTCAGACAGCAAGCGAATTGCGAAAATACGCGACAAAATGGGTTCAACTATTGAGGAGCGAAATTTGCTAGCTGGCGTGCAGACTGGTGAAGCTCCAGGCTGCACGCTCGGCGACTTGCGTGTTCTGGTGCAGGAAACTGCGATTAAGGGGGTTGGCTCAGGTTATAAGAGCTTACATGACGCTGCTGTACTAACGTTAATGTGGCACACGTTTGGTCGAGCGATCGATACCTGTTTTGCTAGGAAGAGCCAGCTATCTATGGCGGCATCGGGGGAGCTCTTTCTGCATCTAGCTCGAATCAAGACTTCGGTGGTTCAAGGCATCTCAATTTACAAGGCCGCGACTCACTGGAAGCAGTGTATGCTGCACGGCCTCGGAATGCTGTTCGTCGGAGCGTCGGAGCCTTCCAGCTATGTGTTCCCGCTAGTGCCGCACGCGGCGGCATCGGATTTGCCAGGGGAGAAGACCTACAGCCAAGACGAAGCTATACTCTACTGGGAGAACCTTGAAGAGAAAGCTGAACCAAGGAACGAGCCACCAACAAAGCGCGTGAGAGGAAGGCCCAACGTGTCCAAGTATATTAACGACGTCATCACCATGGTCTGCGAGCGCCAAGCCCAGGCCTCTGCCCCGCTGCCCCCGACGCTCACCGCAGGGCTGAGCAGCCACTCCTTGCGCCGCGGCTCCGCAGCGTATGCAAACGCCTCACCGCAGCTTGCGATCCAGTGGATCTCGACCCGGGGAGCTTGGCTGCTAGACTCGCTCACGAAGGCGTTCGCGTACGTGGGTACCACGACACGCGAGGACCAGAGTGTCGGCAAAGTCCTCGCTGGATACCGAGACCCGCACCTGCCATGCGTCACGCCCACGATTGCCACCTTGAGCGAGCTTCCTCCTGCGCTCGAGTACGCCCAGCTGCTAACCCTGCGCGGCCAGCTCTTCAAGAACGTCAGCGGCTTCACGGACACCACGCTCAACGTTGACGCCTTAGTCCTGGATGCGGCGCTCGCGTCCCTGCTCATCCATCTTGACGACGTCGCGACGGCAGTCCAGCAGGAGCAGGCTGCCACAGGCTTCACATCGCATTACCTGTACCGCTTCCACGAAGCTCTGGACGCAACCAACGTAGCGCTGGGAGCTCGGCTCTCGCTGGACACGTGCATTGGTTGGGGTCGGCAGCTTCGCACGGCTTGGCAAACGGAGAACTTCGGACAGCTGGGTGAACGCAGCAATGGAAACACCACCATACTTGCCGCAGCCGTCACCCAGATGCTATCGTCCATCGCAACAATGCAGCGCACACTTCAGAAGCTCGTCGCGGCCCACGAGAGCAAGGCCACCAGCGCTGACGGTCCTGCTCCTTGTCGCTGTGCTGGCCAGGCCCCGCAGGCGAGCACTGACACCGTCGTTGAAGCGCACTCTCTTGCTGGCTGCTTCTACAACTGGTACACACAGGAGCTGTGGCACACGGCAACCCAAAAGAAACAACAGTTTGTTCGCGCTGACCTCAAGGCAGGCGTCAACATCATGATCATAGCAGCAGGGCGAGAGGTAGACGTACCAACGGCGCCACTGGACCGGGACGGCGTCGCGTATCGGCTGTGGAAGCAGCGTGTCTGGACGCTAGCGGAAGACTTGGACAAGAAGGTCAACGCTGCGCTTGGGAGTATCGACGGTAAAGGCCGATCCAAAACCGCGGGGTCGCTACGGAAGCGCTGGAGAAAGCTGCGCGCTGACCACCGCTCTGCGTACGACGCGCTCTGCTCAGCATTTATCACCCGCAAAGCGAACGGTGGCATCGTCGACCGCTGCACACCAGCTAGTCACCAATGGAAGCAAAAAGACTTGGAGTCGTAGGATCACGCAGCTTGAATTAATACATTCCTATTCATACAACATGGATAATCGAATTCAAGGCGCAAATGCACACGTCATCGCCATCCCACAACTTAAGCACAGCGCATGGATTCCCGTCAGTCCCGATACAAAGTCATACACAATAGAAAAACGCTCACATACCGTCAGCGAGCGCGCACGACCTCGTGCTTGGCCGACAGCTACCAAAACCGGCAGCACAACACCCGCCCTGCCGGGTTTTGTAGCTGCTTTCGACGGGTCCTTGCGTGGGGCGCGTGGGGCGCGCCTGGGGGCACTCGGGTCTGGGGTGGTCGGCGGGGGAGGCGTGCGGCACGCTCGGAGCGCGCTGTCGTGTTGGAGATGCGGGGCGGAAAGTGTGAAGGCGGAGAAGGCTGCGCAGCCGGCCAAAAATAAAACCTTAAGGTTTTTTCTTGGCTTTGGAGCCGATAAACCAGTCCATACTTTGTTGAAGTCATTTGGAATCTCACTTATGATTGGCTCTCCTCATTGGGAGCGGCGTTTGGGACCTGGTCGATTAATGTATGAAGAAAATGGCTGTCGGCCTGGGGGACGATCCAGTACTTTTCTACTGGATCATGGTAATTCCTCGCCGGCTGTGTAAGTCGTTGTCTGTAACGCTCTTAGAGCGTGTTCGCTACGCAGCTGGAGATGGATATCTGCAGGGAGTTGGTGCATCTCCATCTCCAGCTTGTTCGCTACAACAGAGCGCATCTAGGTAAAATTAGCCAATCACAGTGCAACTGCAACGACTCGCTCTCCTTCTCCTTACTTTGCTGTTTCTTCGTCGGCCGGGAACACTGTGCCCGAGACACCGGACTCGTGGCAAGACCAAGCTGCCGATGACGCTCCGAGAGCTGCGCCTCCGTTTCCGTCAGCCAGTGGCGACCACCACACCAGGATAGCCATGACGCGCAGCGAAACCTGACTCGATCGTATCCCAGTCCTCTCTCCTCCGTGGAAACGAAATGACAGCCGCCGCCATTGCTCATAAGACGCGCACCACCTCGGTCGTAATCTCCATTACGTAGCTCCGTGACATACCCAATGCACCACCGACCTCTCGGTACCCACCAGTTGAGCCTAAAATGTAAAGCGCGGCTGCAACTTTCTTCTCAAAGCTATGCTGCCGTACTTTGGCAGCAGCAAACAGAACACCTTGATCTCGTAGTAAACCAGCAATCCGTAGAAAAGTCGGTGCAGCGAAGATTGTCTTCAAACCAACTTGCATACGCGGCTGACTGTAGCATGGGCTCAAAGTGCAGTGAGGTCACGGTACGAATCTGTTCCTTAGGGCCTCGTGGCGCATCGTCGGATTCTCAACCAGTGCAGCTTCCTCTTCGTCCATTGTCTGTGCGGCTGAACTGCCTCAATCTCCAGCTACTTTCTCCTTCTCCACCTCTGGGAGCTGGAGAAGGAGACGGGGTAATTCTCCAGTTGTCACTAAACTATTTTGACCAATCAAAAGACAAGAAATAGAGTTGATGAGAGGCCATCTCCATCTCCAGCTACCTGGCGAACACGCTCTAAGCTTAGGTCAAAGTAAAGGCTACCAGCTGAACCTCTAATTGCATACACTCTATCCCATACTACACGTGTTTGTATTTAATCTCAGAGTGCGGTTGGAGGGGCCGGTTGACGCTGAATGGTTCTCAATTGGCGGATTGCTCAATCCGACGGAAACAGCGGAACTGAGGAACACACCCTAAGTCCAAGTACTTCGCCCACATCTTTAGCCTTACCTTCGTTACTGTATCCAACGCAGCGGTTGCATCCCTCGCCAGTCATGTAAGCAACAACGCGCGTTATGACGTTTCCTTGATTACCGACATGCCACAATCAATTGAGGACGCAAGCAACACATCCAAAGCTCCTTGCTCTCTCAGCTGTTGCCATACAAAAGTTGCCTTCGACTTTACCAGGGTCCTCTATTCAGGTGGGTTTCTCCATCTCACCCCTATCTCAGCACAAGCTCACAACTCAAGTGCCGACCATCTACGCAACACTCGAGTAGCAATGGCTGCGGATCTCTGGTGGGTGGGCGTGCTCGTGGCTGGCGTCGTCGTGGGCGTCTCCGTCGTGGTAGGGTCCTCTCCCTCGTCCTCCCCCTCCCTTCTACCTTGTACTAACGTGCCCTCTCTTCTCCATCTCGCAGTCGTTCGTGGTGACCAAGCTGCGTGCCCCCGGCTTCAAAGTGGAGGGCAAGCACGTGTTCATCACTGGCGGCAGCTCCGGCCTGGGTCTGTCGCTGGCCAAGAAGTACGCGCAGCAGGGGGCCAAGGTGTCCATTGTGGCACGCGGCCTGGAGAAGCTCGAGGAGTCCAAGGCGGAGATCGAAGGCGTGCGCAAGAGCGCCGACGCCGGCGTCTTCATCCAGTCGTGCGATGTGGCCGACTTCGACAGCGTGCAGAAGGCGGTGGACGCGGCCAACAAGTTCCACGGACGCCCCACGGACCACGTGGTGTGCTCGGCGGGTTTCGCGGCGCCCGGCTACTTCCTGGAGCAGGACGTGAGTCTCTACAAGAAGATCATGGACGTCAACTACTTCGGCACGCTGCACACCATCAAGGCGGCGCTGCCGGTCATGGTGCAGCGCTCGGAGGAGGGAGGAGAAGGCGGCCAGATTGTGCTGGTGAGCTCTGGCCTCGGCCTCATCTCGTGGATCGGCTACGCGCAGTACGCGGCCCCCAAGTACGCGCTGCGTGGCCTGGCCGAGTCGTTGCGCAACGAGCTCAAGCTCTTCGGCATTCGAGTGAGCATCTTCTACCCGGGCAACATCGACTCGCCTGGATTCGTGGAGGAGAACCGCACCAAGCCCCCTGAGACCAAGACGATCGAAGGTGCGAGCGAGCCGCTGCACCCCGACAAAGTGGCGCAGTCACTGATCAACGGCATAAGCGCCGGCCAGTTCAGCATCACCAACGACCCTATGATCTTCATCCTGCGTGTCCTGGCCAACGGCGTCGCGCCGCGCTACAACACGCTGATGGAGGTGGTGATGCTTCCGCTGCTCATTCCCATCCAGGTGGGATTCGGCTTCTTCATGGACTTCATCGTGTGGCAGACCAAGCGTGCTCGCGAGAAGAAGCCCAAGGACCAGTAAAGGTAGCTCTCGGACGATGATGGGAGAGATAACCACGAAAAATGGAGATTTCTGAAGTACGCGTTCTGTTTGTTTCTACTCTGCTGGCTAGCAGCACGACCGTACCGACTTGATCTAATGCACTCGATAGGAATGTGTAAGGTTATCTACCCCCTACGCTTGCTGAGACGCCACGAGTCAGGCGGGTTGAAGCGGTCATACAGCGGCTCAATCTTCTCGTTGCGCTTGCGCTTCGAGAGCTTGGTAGGGTCGCCCTTCTTGAAGAAGGCTGGAGCCAGCTCCACAAGCCACTTGGGCTCGATCGTCATGATATTGCGCATGTACTCCTTCGTGGTGAGCACCAGCTCATGGTAGAGCACCCACTCCGGGCTCTTGTTGAAAAGCGCACTGGATGGGTGAATGTACACGGGCTGGCCTTCAACCATGGTACGGTAGCCCTCCTGCGGGTCCTTCTTCGCCGTATTAGCGAAGTACCCTGCCACAATTGCGCGCCGGACCTTGTTGAAGTTCTTGCCACAGGAAACCACGTCCATTTTGTACCGGTCCAGGATGGAAAGCAACTGCTTGCGCACGTCCTGAGCTCGGCGGATAGCACGCGCCTGGATAAAGTTCTCGTAGCACCACGGGTTCGAAAACTTCGAGTTCGCCCAAGCCTCATAAACTGCTAGCAACGTCAAGTGGTCACCTTCGGGCTGGTGGAACTTGGCCTTCTTCTGGTCGGCTTGAGCCTGTTTTTCCTTTGGCCGGAAAAAGACCGACTCGACTGACAGCATTGCCACGATAGTCAGCACCTCTTCTGCGCAACCGAGAACCACCGAGGTCAGGAGCACCTTGGCATTCTTCGGCTCAACTGGGAACTCAGCCATCTTCTTTCCTAATCGCGTCAGCAACCCTTCGTCATCTAACGCACCCAGCGCATACAGGTTTTCCAGAGCCATCACGAGAGCATCTTGTGGGGGTGGGTCCATGAAGTCGAAGCCCATGAGGTCGTTGATACCCATCGCTTTCAATTGCAGCACGACAGAGCCGAGGTTTGCTCGTTGAATTTCGGGGACAGTTGTCGGCAGCATTTCATTCTTGTACGCATTCTCGGTATAGAGTCGGTAGCATTTACCGGGACCTGTGCGTCCAGCACGTCCAGCACGTTGGCGAGCTGATGCCTGGGAGCATGGAACAACGACCAGAGAATCCATTCCAATCTTGGAGTTGAAGGCATTCTGCTTGCAAAAGCCAGGATCCACCACATAGTAAATGCCATCAATCGTCAAGGATGCCTCCGCAATATTCGTTGCCACCACACACTTTCGTGAACCCTTCGGTGCAGGCTCAAAGATACGTGACTGCATTTCGGAGGGAAGCGCACCATACACGGGAAGGATAATAAGCTCTGGGGCCAATGCACGCTCTTGCAAAGCCTTGATACGCTGATACAGCACTTCACAGGCCGTATCAATCTCTTCTTGACCAGTTAAAAACAGCAAAATATCTCCTTCAGGCTCAGATAAGTGAATCTGCATGACACAGAGCAGTGAAGCGTCCAAATAGTCCAGTTCCGGTTCCTTAGTGTACAAAATCTCCACGGGGAACGTACGTCCAGGGATTGTGAAAATCGGGCAATCAAAGAAATATCTCGAGAACTTTTCGGCATCCAACGTGGCCGACGTCACAATAATTTTGAGGTCTTTCCGCTTGCGAACGAGGTCTTTCAGCAGACCGAACAACACATCCGTGTTGATTGTTCGCTCGTGAGCTTCATCCAGCATAAGAGCACTGTACTTTGACAGCGTAGGGTCTGCCAGATATTCACGCAAGAGCATACCTTCAGTCATGTACTTAATCACAGTCTCCGGGCTTGTGACATCCTCGAAACGCATCGAGTAACCAACTTCTTGTCCCAGTTCACAACCAAACTCCTCAGCCACACGTTTCGCCACGGATGAAGCAGCCACACGACGCGGTTGCGTGCATCCAATAATTCCCGTAGACGTCAACCCCATTTCAGCCATGTACTGAGTCATTTGAGTGGTTTTGCCAGAACCTGTTTCGCCGATGACCACAAGAACCTGGTTATCAGCGATAGCCTTCATCAGCTGGCGTTTGAGCTTAAACACCGGAAGACTCTCGCGCTGCTCCAGGATGGACTTGTTTGACACGATACCGTACGACAGGTTCTTTCCCACAGATTTCTGCTTCCATTCAGGCAGCTCGAACGTCGAGCCCATGTTAATGCCGCGTAGTTCTTGAGCAAAATGCCGCTCACCAGCCTCAGGCATCGGGTCTTCCCAAGGGCGGTTGAGATCCTTCGGGATGGAATCGATTAGCTGGTTGGCCTGAGTCTGACGGAGCTCACGACGCTCCTTGGCCAGGTTAGACTGCGTCATGGCGGCACGCTGCATCGACCCATCCGGGTTTTTCACAATCTTCACGGGCGACATTTCGCGGCTCATTTGGGTTTGGCCACGAAGGAACACCGGCTCGTCTTCATTCAGCTCGACCTCGAAATCCTCTTCTGTGGCTTCTGTGTTTAGCAGTCCATGCTCTTCATCAAACGTCGGGTAGTCTTCAACCGAGAGCACACCCGAGTTAATAAGCTGCTGCACTTCCCACCGCTCAGGCGAGGACATGCGCTTAGCAGCACGCTGTGGCTTGCTGTCATCTTCATCTAGCTGCTGGGAGCTCTGCATACCAGGAGCAGACGGATTGATCCACGACCGCGCGTCCGACGATTTATTCTCCTGACGGGCACGCTCGGCGCCGCTGCTCGAGCGCTGGGGCATGAGATCTCTGCCAGTCGTCTGGTCCACATCCCGCATGGACATCGACAGCTTCGCACCGGAAATGGAAATCAGCTTCACCTTCACGCGATCCCCGCGCTTGGCGAACTCCTTAACATTGTGCACTCGGTTCGCCGACAGGTTCGACACGTGCACGAGTCCCTCCTTCTTCTCCCTCGAAAAGCCTTCCAGCTCCACAAATACACCAAAGTCCATGACCTTGGTCACACGGCCGTCATAGATGCCGTACAGCTCGATCTCCCTCGGCTGGTCGTCCCTTCCTCGCCTGCTATAGTCATCCCGATCTTTATCATCACGCCGAGACCGGGACGACCCATAGCGGTCGTCTCGATCGCGTCCACGACTGCGGCCTCTGTCTCTGTCACGGCGATCGCGTCTCCTTCCTTCCGACCGGGATCTGGACCGTGAGCGTCGGCTCCTCCGGCCTCGATCCTCCTCCCGGCCGCGACTCCGGTCTCGTCCGTAGCGGTCGCGCTCTCTGGATCGATCTCTGGCCCTAGAGTCACGCTCTGTGTCTCGACGCCCAGAAGACGGAGGCGACGGCTTGGCGTCTCCCTTCTTCCTAGCGTCGCCCTCGTCGTCCTGGACAGAAGCGCCCGCGATGTCGGCGGCCGTGAGCTGCTCGTCGTCCCGGATCTGGTGCTTCCTGCTGCTGGCCTTGCCTCCGCCTGCAGCCGCGTTCTTGCCCTGAGTCATCTTGCGCGGCGCCATGGTCTGCACGATGCGGTAGAGGTTCTCGGCCAGCGCGGGGGGCAGCGGCAGCTCGTCCTTCTTGATGGACGCCAGGAACGCGGCGCAGCTGGAGCTGCCGCGCACCAGGTCGATCACGAACTCGGCCAGCGTCTTGTCGCTCATGCCCAGGTGGTTCTCCAGCGCCTGGCACACCTTGGACACGAGGCTCAGCTCCTGCAGCTTCTCCATCTTGGCCTCCAGTAGTGCAGCGCAGCGCAGCGAGTCGAGTGCGCACTTTCACGCACTTTGGTGTGACGTACACTTCATCTACGTGCCATACCCGAATTCAGTGTACCGCTTGCGTAAAGGGGATGGGGTGACAATATCAGCCAACCGCAGACCGCCTCAAGATAGTCGCGCGCGCGGATTGGCCGCTGACCGGCTCACGATTCCAGCGGTCTCCGAAATTCAACTTGCCTTCGTGATCGCGGCGATTCACACCGAGAGCGCTCCTCCATATTCGGCACTGCTCCATAGCCACTTCCAGTATCGAGCCGGCATGGACGCCCACCACCACCACCAGCATCGACAGCAACAGCAGCAGCAGCTTCACCAGCAGCAATTGGCCATGGCGGGCGCGTACCTGCCCGCGGGCGTGGATCTGCACGCGATGGCGGCCGTGCAGCCGCTGCCGCCGCCCGTCGACACGAGCATGGCCATGGCCATGGCAGCAGCAGGCGAAGACCTGCTCCAGGACGTCAAGTTCGGCGCGGAGCCGGCGTCTCCAGCGCCGTCGTCCGTGTCGTCCAAGGAGAAATGGCAGCAGAAGCGCCATGTGTGCACCAATGCCGAGTGCGGCAAGAGCTTCGACTCCAAGTGGGCGCTCATCCGGTACGCCAGAGCTGACGTTATACTTGTGTCGGGGAGGACGAATAAACCTGATCCAATGTTTACTGTTGACACTGCAGACACATTCGTGTGCACACGGGCGAGAAGCCATTCCCGTGCACCTTTCCGTCCTGCGACAAATCGTTCGCGGAGAAGTCGGCCATGACGCGGTACGTTCACAAGATGTTAAACGGATCTTGAGAGGATGTTGAGTATGTTCTGACGTTTGTTGCTGTTGGATTTGTATAGTCACTTGCAGACGCATTCCCGTGACAAGCCCTACAAGTGCACGTACGCGGACTGCTCCAAGAGCTTCAAGGGCAAGGACTACTTGGAGTTCCACCTAAAGATCCACGCTGAAGGCAACCCGTACGCCTGCGATCACCCGACGTGCTCCAAGACATTTTGCAGCCCCAAGAGTCTAAAGAAGCACATTAGGTTGTGGCACAACCCGGGAGGCAAGAGCACCTCGATGGAGCAGCAGCTGAGAGAGCGCATCATCAAGATGGCCACGCGCAACAAAGAGAAGACGCGTAAGTTTGAGTCCACCATTCGAACGCTTATGGCGGAGAATGAGGCTCTCAAGAGGAGGATCCTTGAGCTTGAGAATCATCAGCAACATCAGCAACGATTGTAGCTTACGCAGCGATCGCACATCTTTCTCGGATCGTTTTAAGAACCTCGCGTGTGGAGCGAACTGTACGAATGATTTATTGAGACGGAGGAAACGCCAAAGATCTAGGGAAGGAGACACAAAGAATGAGTTTAGTTTGTGCATTTTGAATTATGGAGCTGAAAGGCTAATCGAAACACGATCCTGCTTTTCACCTTTGTGCCGCGTCACTCAAAGTAGGAAACCAGAACGTATTGTTTGTTCTACACGTGTGAGAGATGAAGGCTTCATTATTGAATAAACTACCTGGCCGAAGAAACGAACGAAGAGTCGAAAGACCACTCAAGCTGCAGATGCAGGAGACATCGTATCGTTCTTCCTTACATGCCTCGCGGCTTAGGTCCGCCAGCCGCCTTTGCCATGATGATCTGGTCGACGCGCAGCACCGTGATAGCGGCGTCGGAACCAAGACGAATAGCTGACATCTTAGTCTGAAGGTGGTCCCAGATGCCCTTGTCCAGCGCGTCCGGAATAACGTGCGACTCCTGCTCGTTCTGCAACAAAGCAATTCACACGTCAACAAAGTCAGCACACGATTCCTTCGATTGCACATCACAACCCAGCAAAGTACTTACGTCCACATCCACACCAGCGCTAACGTTGCCCGCCGCGTGGGCAGCGTACAGACTAGAGATGACCTCAGTGGCCATCTGGCCAGAGTTCTCGGCCAGAATCCGCGGCACAACCTCAATAGCATCACCGAACTTCTTAATAGCGTACTGGTCGAGACCAGGCGTGGCCTCGCCGAAGCTCTTGATCTGACGCGACAGCTCGATTTCCGTGGAGCCGGCACCCGACACGAACCGGCCGTCCCGGCACACAGACTTCACGCAGTTCACACCGTCATCGATAGCACGCTCGATGTCGTTCAGCACGTTGTCCGTGCTGGCACGCAGCACAATCGTCGAGATCTTGGCATCCTCCTGCTCCTGCTGGAAGACAGTGACCTTCTTGCCACCGATCTCCTTCACCGTCACACTGTCACAGAAACCCATCTCGTCAGGCGTGGGAGCGCCCAGACGCACCAGAGCGTTGGCGTTCACAGCGCGGCACAGACGACGGAGCTCCCACTTGGACTGGATTTTCAGAGCCATGAGGTTGTACTTCTCTAGAAAGTGCATCGCCATCTCGCTGATGCTACCGCCCGAGACGACCACCATAGCTCCAGACTCGCTGATAGCGCGGACGGCCTCCTCCAGGTGCTTCTCCTCGCCCTTGTTGTAGTTCATGAGCTCGTCGGCGTCCTTGATGAGCACCGTGCTCTTGGCCTCGGTGGAGGAAATCTCAATACCGCAGCCGAACACGGCGACCTTGGCCTTGAGCGCCTTCTTGACGTTGCCCTCGGTGTTGCGCTGGATGACCATACCACGGATCACCGACGAGTCGTGCAGGTTGCCGCCCATGATCTTGGCCACGCGGATGTTGTCCACGTTGATCGAGGGCTTCTTGGGGGCCGCGGGCATCACGTTCAGGCAGGCCTCGGCGACCAGCTTGGCCAGCAGGTCCTCGTAGCCGTACTGCTTGGAGGCCAGCGACGTCTTGATGGCCTTCTGCAGGTCCTCCTGGTCGCGCGGGTTCTTGACCTGCACGCTCTGCAGCTTCTGCAGGATCTCCTGGCACTTGTCGTGCGCCTTCTGGTAGCCCGTGACGATCTCGCTGGCGTGCAGCCCCATGCGCAGCAGGCTGGCGGCCTCCATGAGCAGCTCGCCGGCCAGCGCCACCACGAGGCACGTGCCGTCGCCGAAGTCGTTCTCCTGCATCTTGGCGGCCATGACGACCATGCGCGCGGCCGGGTGGATGACCTCCAGCTCCTTGACGATCGTGGCCGTGTCGCTCGTCACGAAGATGCGCTCCAGGTGGTTGATCACGAGCTTGTTCATGCCGTTCGGGCCCAGCGACGAGCGCGTGATGGCCGCCAGCTGCTTCACGGCGTCGATGTTCTTGGCCACGGCCTCATCCACGCCCTCGAAGTGCTTGTGGCCGTCCTTCAGCAGCGACGACAGGCCGCCGGCCACGTTCAACCCCATCGACTTGGACATCCTTATCTAAGTTGCCTACTTGCTTCACGCCTTGGCTGGTCGTTTGCTTGGTGTAAAAGATTCCCCTCCTTGGCGTGGCGCCACACAAGAGATACCTTTCCATGATTGGATGAAATTCACACCCGTTTTCAACCAATGGAAGTGCATCAAACTGCGAGCTGGTGACCAGCGATACAACTTGCAGTCGTCGACCAGCAGCTCCATACATACGCGACCATGGACGGCTTCTCGCTCAACATCTCGGCGTCCAGCGGCGGCGCGCGCAAGCCCGCCAAGAAGAAGAACACATTCCGCGCCAAGCAGCAGGCCAAGCGCAACAAGGCGAAGGCCAACAAGGCCGGAAAGGTTCCTCAAAAGCCGCAGCCGGCTGGTCTGAGCCACGGCCAGCGACCACAGGCGCCGCGTGCCGCCGGCAATGGGCAAACTCAGCGCAAACCGCTGACTACCAAGCAGCAGCCGAAGGTGGAAGCAGCCAAGGTCGAAGCTAAAGCTGAAGAGAAGGTGGAGGTTGTGTCGGCTAAGGACGAAGAGCCGGAGGAGGAATCGGACGAGGAGGAGCAGGAGCCCGAGCAGGAGAAACAGGAAGTGAAGCAGGACAAGAAGGACGAGGAGAGCGCAGACAGTGACGATGCTGTGGAGAAGGAGAAGACGGAGAAGCAGAAGACTTTCGGTACGCGTCGTAACCCGAACAAGGAGGGCTACAGCGTGGAAAAGTTCACCCAGTCGCGCGTCCAGATCGACAACGTGCTGTCTAAGCCGTTGACGTCGTCGTCGAGTGAAAAGATTTTCGCTGCGAACACGTTCGAGTCGATGAACATGGCGGAGAAGCTGGTGAATGTGTTGAAGAAGGATGCGAGCTGTGGAGGCTTTGGCTTTGCTCGGCCTACTAACGTGCAGGTGCAAACGATCCCGTCCGTGTTAAAGGGGAATGATATTCTGGTCAAGAGTGAGACGGGTTCTGGTAAGACCCTGTCGTACTTGCTGCCTATCGTTCAGAAGCTGCAGTCGGTGTCGCCGCGTATCCAGCGACAAGATGGCTGCATGGCGCTGGTGTTGGCGCCGACGCGTGAGCTCTGTACGCAGATCATGGAAACCGCGAACAAGCTGATCCAGCCGTTCGTGTTCCTTGTGCCGGGTGCTATCATCGGTGGTGAGAAGAAGAAGGCTGAGAAGGCTCGACTCCGCAAGGGTATCACTATTCTGATTGCTACTCCTGGACGTCTGGCGGATCACCTCGTGAACACCCAGTCGTTTAACTACACGCAACTGCAGTTTTTGGTGCTCGATGAGGCAGATCGTCTGCTGGATATGGGCTTTGAGAAGCAGATTACACAGATCTTGAGCATTCTCGACGGCCAAAAGTCGGCCAAGAAGCGACAGAACATTTTGGTGTCCGCAACGATCAACAGCGGCGTGCAACAGCTCGCCAAGATGAGTTTGTCGAACCCGGTGCTGATCGACGCTGACGCGGTTACAAGTGGTGAAGACGCAGCGACAGAGATCAAGGCCAGGAGTCAGGAGAAGTTCTCAACGCCGCACCAACTGATGCAGCACTTCATGCTCGTCCCTGCGAAGGCGCGTCTTTGCGCGCTGACTTGCTTCTTGCGTGAGGAACTCCGCCACGCTCCTCGTGATAACAAGAAGGATGGCGGCCCTGGCAAGTGCAAAATTGTGGTTTTCCTGTCCACATGTGACGCAGTGGACTTCCATTACGCCCTGTTCCGCAAGTGCGCATGGCCATCGGGTAAGGGATCTTCGGAGGAGGCAGACAGCAGTGGCGGCAACGGCGTGGCGTCACTCTTCGGCAGTCAAGGTCCCGTGTTCCGCCTGCACGGTAACATTCCTCAGCAGGAGCGTGTGACCACGTTCAAAAGCTTTTGCTCTTCGAGCTCCGGCGTGCTTCTCTGTACTGATGTGGCAGCCCGTGGTCTTAACTTGCCCACGGTCAAGTGGATCGTCCAATATGACCCGCCGACGGAGACACGCGACTACGTGCATCGTGTCGGACGTACTGCCCGAAGCGGTAACCAAGGTAGCAGTCTGCTGTTCCTGATGCCGTCGGAGTCTGAGTACCTGGACTATCTGACCAAGCAGGGACTGAAGTTGAACGCCCTGAGTCTCGAGAAGACCATTGCTCGCGTTGGCAAGCACGGCGGCTTCCTGACCACGTCTCGCAAGAAATTGCTGCACGAGGTTGTGCAGGGCGACCTTCAGTTTCTCTATGAGCAGACGCTTCTAGCCGACAAGGAACTGTTCGAGCTGGCCTGCCAAGCCTTCCACTCTTTTGTGCGTAGTTACGCCACGCACTCCTCTGACACACGACAGATTTTCCACGTTCGTAGCTTGCACTTCGGTCACGTGGCGAAGAGTTTTGCGCTGCGGGAGCCTCCGGCGTCTGCCAAGCTGCGAGACACTGGACGAAATGCCAAGAAGGGTACTCTCCAGAAGCGTAAGGAGCGCGACGACAAGCAGCAGGCTGTGATCGCCAAGAAGCAGAAGAAGGTGCGCGAGGAGAAGCGCCGGTACGCGCAGAACGTGTCCGAGTTCGCCGACTAATAGCGTTAGCAGCTTCTGTAGCTGTCAGCAATACCATCAACATAGAGCTCTGCATTTCTGTCGTTTTTTCCCGTATGAAATTTGTTTGCATTGAAGTGGATAAAGTTATCGAGCATCGACCATATTACGTGCTCTTCCTCTTCTTCGACTTCTGCTGCTTTGTCTTGCCCTTCTTGGTAGGTTCCTGCTTCTGAGCAGGGCTGGACTTGCTCTTGTTGGCCTTTTTGGTCTTCTTGGGAGCAAACAGTGGCGCAAACACTTCCGCTACATCCGAGTCCTCAGTGATCTCGACAACCTTGCCACCGACAGCAACCGGCAAGCGCGGGAACGCACTGAAATATGCATACAAGCATGGTAGCATCAAGTTAATTCGTCGTCTTCCACGTATTCACCCCCATAAACAATTCAAAATTGCAAGAACCAACTTACCGAAGCAGCGTCTGCAATGCAAAGGCAGAGCTGAAGCACTGCTGCGCCAGCGTGGCCTCCTCGGGCTTGTGGCCGTTAATCTCCAAGAAGTACTGCACGACCTGCTTGGCAGCGATCGGGTTCTCCAGCTGCAGCTCAATGAAGCGCGCGAACTCGTGCACCACGGCGTCGCGCTCGTGCATCCATTGCACTTTTTGCACGGCAAAGACCCTGCTCTCCACGTCGAAGGTGCCGACCACTTGCGGCTCCAAGTAGTCTTCGTCTTCCCCCTCCTCTTCGTCGTCCGTGCCTTCCTTTTCCTGCTGCGTCTTCGTCTTCGCCGCCTCGCCAGCGTTCGGTTTGCTGCTGCGCACAAGCGCCAACAGCGTTTGCCGCTGCTCCTCAGTCTTGCACAGCGACAGAATCAGGTCCAGACCATAGTCAACACCCTTCGGGAGCACTTGAGGACGCAACGACGGCGCCAGCGTCGTCACGACGCTCTGCAGCTGCTGCACGGCGGCCAGCGGATCACTTGCCATGATGTCTGTGCCGAATCGAATGAAATGGTTGGAAGCCAAGCAGGTTTTGTGCTTATCTCACATTATAGTCCACTCGATCACAAAAATGACTTAGAGAACGTATTGAGACCAAAAATTGGTCACATTGAAAAGACACAAATCGGCGATCATGATGGCTGCGGCGCTGCCCGTTGAAGGCGAGGAGGCGGTGGACGTGCAGCTCATTCGGCGGCGCATGCAGCAAGGCCTGCCGCCCCAAGACGTGCAGGAGTATCTATGGCGTGTCAGGCTGGAAGCAGAAGGGATCCCGGACGTGGTCGTGGCGCCAGACATCGACCCGCGGCAGTTTGATGCGCAACAGACCAGCAACATGCCGACGCTGCAGAGTTTCGGGCTCGAGGAGACGGATCCCAACCGCGTTCCTGACGACAAGTGGAGGAGGGAATTGCTGGCGGATTTTGCAGAGCTGAGGCAACTAATTGCGCGCTGGGAGGCCATCGGACCGCCCAAGGCGGAGACACTCACGGCAGGCAACGTCCCGACCGAGATCTTGCGCACCAAAGTGCCTCGAATGAGTGACGAGGATGGATGGATCGCCTTCTTCTTCGGCAAACCAGGAGCTGAAGCGTCCGCTACTCCGCCGCACTTGAGACTACTGCTGCAGTTCGACCAGGTGCTGACCAGGAGGCTGCTGGACTACCACGCGGCGTGGCTCAGTGAGGAGGAGGCGGCGCCGCTGTCGCGAGCACGAGCAGTCTGGATCTACGCGCTGCTTGCTAGGCTGGATAAACCTGTTCATGCGAATGTGGCAGCAACAATTCGACAGATTCTGCGACGCTGTTGGACCTTGAGAAGCGAGCTGGAAGCCCCGTCCGAGGTCCAGCTCAAGTCGCTGAACATCCTTATTGTTATCGCTGGAGATTTCTTCGGCCAGCTGCATGATCTGGAGTAAAACAGCCCCCCCCCCCTGTATAATGTAGCAACTTACTACCGGTAGTACTCTATAGTTGATGTTGCGTTGGATACAATGCGGTGCATATGAGTTTCACAATGTATTGGGCTTCTGCATGACAGAAGTTCGATCAGCTGAACTGCAGAGCTTACCGTTGCTGGCTACCAACTTCAACCGATCATGCTCTCCCAGACTGTTTTTTCAAAATGGACACTTTAGTGAAGTGCAGAGCATCTCGCGCGGTCATTCATTCTTCCACCACGGTAGTACCTGTTTTGAACTTACAATTTGCAGTTTTGAAGTTGAAAAGGTGTTATTATTATTACGGGAGCCTCAAGAAATGGAATTACGGATTATTTTTTCTTAGATTCCCAATTCAATTTTATATTTTATTTTCCGAGCCCTGCTGTTAACAGCTCACGGCCGTCAATTATATCTCCCGACTCCAGAACCCCCTTTGCTTGAATCAGTTTTATCGCAGCCGTTCCGCGCCATCGCTTTGCCAAGTCTGCCCGGTCCATTTTCTCGAAATATGCTCCGCTGCGCAGGCTCTCTGCAGTCAGCCAAGGATGCACACAGGCATCCAAGAACGCCCGATACAACATTTTCTCGGCGACAGAAGGGTTAATTCCAGTTGGCCACCCTCGCAACTTTGGGAAGTCGGTGAGTTTGGTCAGGGACGCGAAGGCATTTGATCCTGAATAGTCGGCTGGGATCCGGGGAGGGCATTCTGCATTAATAATTGTACACACTCGAGTCCGAAATGCCTCGGATCTCTCCTTGGAGCATGCTACTTCTGGTGGGCATCTTTTGTTCGCTCAAACTTATCTAACGCGGACAACGCATCCGTGGTGTACTTCGAGTGTTGCAGTCGGTGCTGGATTTCGGTACTGATAGCATGTGTAAACTCCTCCACGCGCGCGTTGCTCTCCTGAGGCATCAGAAAATGCTTGAGCGAGTTGCTTGCAAGTCCATAGTGCACTCGTTTACCGAAAACTCCAGCGATTCCAAGCACCGAACTCGGCGAATCTAGGCCTTGTAGTTTAGCGGATCAATGACCCCGGCACGGTGGAGTTGAAAAGCGCTATCTCCAAACTTCAGAAGTTTTTTCAGCAATGCCACCTGCCTCTCGGTGCCGTAGTAAGATCATCACAGCAGCGATGTTGTTCAGCACGCGAGACACATCCATACAACATGATTGAATTGCCACCAGTCCGTTCCGATAGCAACCCTCGGTAGCATTGAAATTCTTCTTGATAAAGTGGGCTGACCCTGCTGTCGCCATTCATCCGCAGATTTTGTAGCGCTTGGTAGACCTTTTACAGAAAGCACAAATCCTGGCGACGCCAGCCCCGCGCACCATTGCGACAATGAATGAAGCTGCAAGTCCTCAGTAGTTGTGCACAATGAGACATCTTTCTTAAGTGCGGTGTTCAGTAGGTCCTGCTCCTTGGGTGCCATACCCTGAGCGCTTGAGCAACCACGCGTGACGTCAGCGACTCGAACTTCAAATGATCGTCACCTTTCGCCGACTTTGTTTCAATTTCAGCAGAGCTTGATGCAAGGCGGAACCACCCTTTAAAGTAGGCTGGGTTGAGATGAACTGCTGAGCCCGAGAGCTGGACAGCCGTGGCGAAATCTTCCACTTTGAACCAACAAGTCGCGAGATTGTTCAGCAATATCGCGAGAGTATGAAGTTCAGGTTGCACAGTTTGTAAATCACGCTGGTAGCATTCTAGTACCCTCCCCGGCCTTCGTTTCGGGAACTCAGCGCACTGAAAAAGTGGTCACCAAGTTTTCTCCAGCTCGCCAGGTCAGTTGGAGCATCTTCCCATGGACCGATTGTGTCAGGCTGCTCAAAGCGAACGCTCTCCGACCCATCGACTTCCACCCTAAGATATGCTTCAACTATGAGAATCGGCCGGCCATTTGAGAATCGGCTCGTCAAGCTGCGCTGCTGCTCTTCCAGCGATAGTTCTGGATCATCCAACCCATAGACGGCAATCTTCACCAAATACCCCGTCGCATCTTCAAAACTGAACGCCAGAGAGGTGCTATTGAAGAACGCATCGTTGGCAGCTACCCACCCACACAGGTACCGCCCCGGGTGTCTTGTGTCACGTTCCAGCTCCTTACCGAGCAAGGGATGCAATTCGCTCACGGATCTGGTAACGCCAAGGAGATCAGCGCTGACTTTTTCGGCCAGCTTCCATCCACTAGTGCCCTCTTCAGGCTGGGCGAACTTGTCACGCATCATCCTGAACCCCTGAAATAAGCTTGCAGAACAAACCAAATTTGTCGGTGAAGACATCGAACAGCTACGCTAACAGTCATCGCGTAGATCAAATGCGTGATCGTAACAAACTACCTCCAACGCTGCAGTCATTTGAGCGGCAAACATTCGACAGATTCTTCAACGCTGTTGGACGATGAGGAAGTCCCGCCCGAGATCCAGATCGAGTATTTGTTATCGCTGGATTTCTTCGGTCAGCTGCATACCGAGAGTAAGACAGCCAGCAGCTTGTGAAATGTTTGCATGAAACGTTAGGTGTTGGAGAAATTGTGCATCACTATTGTGAGAGTTTGATGAAATCACGTAGTAGGTTACTTCATGGTAAACTCCCTTTCAGCTAAGCTTGGCTCAATGAACAAAAGTTTGCCTCAGCACTTGAAATTCTCCATCAGGATTTATGCTCACGAAGCTTGCCACCCTCCCAAATTCCTCAGTGCTGCCTCCAAGTCCCCGAGGTCCTCGTGTTGCTCATCCGACAAGCGCTTGAGTTGTTGTAGGTCCGCCATCGCTTCGTGTATACTCTTGTTTAGTCGGGCACGCTCTGGGGGCGACGATTTGGTCTGGATCATAGCGGGAAGTTGACCCAAAAATCGCTCCCCTTCCAGACGTGCCGCATCCATCGTTGCATAGGCTGCCGTCATGTCTACCGCTGCAGTGGCCAACTGACTGCAGACAAACGTACCCATCTTATTTTTTTGCTGCCGCTTTCCCCTTGGTTCATGACTCTCAGACTGCGTTGCCCCGCTGCCGCTCCACTGTTGAAGGCCGCTATAGCCCACTGCACCGCTAGTTGCATTTCGACTTCGGCCAACTTGAATGCGATGCTGCTGCTGCGTGCTCGGCACCTTGGACGCCATAGTCACGTAGTGCAGAGAGGGGTGTGCGCTTGAACCGGCAAAAGCGGAAGTGACGTTGATCGATTCCAGCAAACTTTACCCCGGCGGAACACCGTCATATACAACTTGTTATTATGTGCTTGTATCCGCTTTCAACCGGCTAGAGAAATCACGCCACAGATATGTACTTCTGCTATCGACACAGTTGGCATTGGAACTCCAATGCTCTCACCGGATGCCATCCCCACGGCGCTAGCCCGAAAAACTCATCGGAGCTAACCCTTTCGAAGCTCCCCAGGGTCGCCTGCACGATGTCGACGGCCTTCTGTCGCTCACTGGTCAGACGCTTGAGCTCTTCCAGGGTATCCATTGCAGCCGTGATACTCTCGTCCTGTCGGTCGCGCTCTTGTTGCGAGAGTTCGGGCTGCATCATAGCGGTGAGGCGCTGGACGCATTGTTCCCCCTCCAGACGCGCCGCATCCGCCTTGACGAAGGCTGCTTGCATGTCTGTCGCCGCAGTGGTCAGCTGGCTGTAGACGGACATGTCCATCGCATACTTGGGCTGCAGTGAAGGGTCCATCTGAGCCGTCATCACCTGCACCCTCGCCTGCCAAGCCATCACTTTCTCAATGACCTCCAGTCCGCGTTGCGCCGGTTCCGCTCCACCGTTGAACGCCTCGATCGCGCGCTGCACCGCCGTTTGCATCTCTCCCTCTGCCGTCTTGAGTGCCGCTTTATCCTGCTGAGCCTTGGATTCCATTCTCGTAGTAGTTGTGCTGTAGATGGGTGTGCGTCGAAGTCTGCAAATTCGAAAGTGAGTCGAAGTCAGCAGTGGGGTAGAGAACCTTTAGGTAAATGACTTGCGTACTGAAATGCAAGCTGTGACCATTGTGATAAGCACCAACGCTTCCTCAGCTGTAGCTTCCGTCTCGAGTCTCTTTATTGTGAGCATTTAACGACAAGGAGAATCTCTGATGATGCTGCTGCTACTGCAGGCATTTTTATTTTATTTTTTATTGCCGCAATTGCACTTATAAAAGCCGCGGCAAGTTTTCCCCGTGACTTCGCAGCCCCAGTCAGAACGCGCTGGATATTCATGTTTTGCACCATTCCACCGAGACTCTCCAGTGCATCCAGGTCTCGTAGCACCCTTTGCACCTTCTCAATCGTCTGCACAACGCTAGCCTTCTTCTGTTGAATCGTGGCCAGCTCGTCAAGGATGTCGTCCTGCTGGAGCAGCTCTTGGCCATCGAGGAGGTTGGTCGAGACCGTTTCCGCCAATGCGCACAGTGAAGAGCAGCGCTGCATCACACTCTCCAGAGACGCATCCGACGACGCGAAAGCTCGCTCGGACGCTGCCACCAGCCGTGGCCACCCCACAGACCGGAATGCCACCACTTTCATCAGCAACGCCTCGTCCGCCGTCGTCACCATCGTTTAAATCGCCCCCAGGTGGGTCTCCACCGCTGACAACATGAGTGAGGCGTCCTCCAGTACTTGCAGCGCGGCAATGAGCGTCTGCACGGATGCGGACTCGTCTTGGGAGAGCGCACCCGAGGGCGTAACACGTGCATCGCCCCCACCAGTGTGTGCGCCATCTCAACTGCCGTGTAGGATGAAAATCTTGTATTGGGGCAAGGCAAAAATGTAACAACTTCAACGTACAATAATTTGTCATTAACGGCACCTTTTTTTTAAGAACAAACCGATCCCAAGCTTCATCGCTGCATTCATTACGGTATCAGCCACTCAGCACTCTCACGTGCGCCCGCATAATTCTTTAAGAAAACTGAGTGCCCATTACAGACAACGACTTACAAAGCCGGCAGACACAAAAAGCCGGCAGACAAAGTCAAGCCAAGCTTAACATAAGCAAACCAGCCAATCAGATTCAATCAAATGACTTCATCTTTGTATACCATCTGGTTTTGTGTACTTTATATGCTTTCTTGTGTACTTTATGCAACACGACGTGTGTTTTATGACAGTTTTACAGATTTGACGGGAGGGAATTTATCGTTGTTTTTATATAGGAGGATGGCATTAAGCATGCCGGCTTTGTAAGTCGTTGTCTGTACTACATATAGTGCCCTTGTCACGAGAAATGCGAGTATCAATAAGTAGTTTTTATTATCCGAAAAGCCCAACGCTCGAGCGATAGGTATAAAAGTACACAGCAAGCTTGCAAAGTGCGTCGGCTACATGGGTGAGGCACCGATCTCTACACTAGCAAGCAGCATGGACCATTGCTTAGAGGAAGTGTGGTCATATCAAGCCACCGAAGCAGTTCTCAGCGCAGCCACCACCTGGTTCTCTTCCTTGGCGAAGAGGTCGTCGAACTGGCGCGACTGGTTGATCGGGTTGCGCTTGAGGTTCGCCATGCGGAAGCGGAACTGCCGCCACGATGACCCGCGGTCCTCGCGCGGCTCCAGCGTGTGGTGCAGCTCGGTGAAGCGCTCCTCCTTGTTCACGTACACGTCGGAGTTCATGAAGAGGTAGCGCAGCGACATGCCCGTGGCAGCCGGCCTTGTCCGTGGTCCAGAGGTTAAGCAGCTTGTAGCCCTGGCGCTTGACGACTTGGACCATGACGGACTCGAAGAGTTCGTAGGGGGGAGAGTAGGTAGGTAGCTGGTAGCTAGCTGAGCTTGGCCTAGAGAGGCTGTTGCGTGTGGACGAATCGGTGGAAGTGATCAGTCGAGGGGAAGCTGTGGAATGCGTCGAGCTGCGGGGCTGGAATGGGCCACCGCGGTTGCAAAGGAGACGGTGGAAAGTCTTTGTGGTGTATATGTCTGAGAGTACTCAATGAGCACTGTTTATGTGCTTGGATACAAGTACAACTTCGACTTGACTCGCAGCGGACACCGGCGCTTTTTTGCAAAGACACGAACGGTTTGCCACAGACACGCAAATGTACCGAATAAGTACCGGTATTGCTGGTTCCGGATTTGCCTCCCCGAAAAACCTGCGAGTGCTCATGTGCTTGGAGACAAGTGCAACTTCGACTTGACTCGCATCAGCGGACCGTCGGGAAAGCGGCTTTTTTGCAAAGACACGAACGGTTTGTCTTTGCCACCACAAAATATCATAAACACCATACGATCCCTGACAAACACAATAGACGTGCCAGGCAATTGCGTATCTACAGCGAAGTATGTGACTTTGCCGCCAATAAACCCGCCGATTTACAATATACGGATACACTGAAAAAATACTCTTAAATTTGATTTTGTCCCCTAAAATTGATTTTTCCTCGTAACATATTACTGACTGTGCCACAACCAAAAACAGCTAGGAATTCGAAAATGGTCTGAAACTGAACAAGAGACGGTAAAACATTGTATTCATGATCGAACTAATCAATGTGCGATACAACTACTTTTAGGTATAAAAACTGCGAAAGTCGTTATGTCTTGCAAATTTACAGCGTGTACCGAATCTGACACACATTACGGAGAAAGTAAGATTTAGAATAAGAACTCTCGAAACAATGCTTACAGCTGTAACTGCGTAAGTGGAGTAGGTGGTGGTAAGAGGTGCCATGACGATCTGTGCAATCAAGGCTTCCCGGCAGCTCTTATCCATCCAATCCGCCTAGTCTTCTGAGCACCATCCGTTCATCTGGCGCCGAAGTCACTGACCGTACGGAAAGACGTCGTCATTTTCAGAACAGCATGGCAAGCCAACAGCCGTCGGTCGCCGACACCTTAGCGCGGCTGTTAGCGCGGGAGGAAGAGCATACCAACTCCCTTGCGCTCTCCCACCATGAATTCAGCGAGTATCTGGACCACCAAGAACAGGAACCGACTGTCGAAGACGACGCTCCTGTCATGCTGTCTTTCGTCCACGACCTGGGCCCCAACGCTCTCAAGTCCATGACGAACTTTACCGAAGGCGAGTTCTCGCTGCTATGGGAGCAGGTGGAGAAGAAGCTTCTACCAGCCTGGAATCTTGGCCGTGGCAGACGGCACAAGGTCAGCGCTAAGGACGCGTTTTTCATGTCCCTGACAGTCCTCAAGCATCACGACAGCTGGCTCAAACCCGCGACGGACTTCCGGATGCTGCCGCCAACGTTCGAGAAGATGGTCAACAAGGCAAGAACACGTCATAGTGCAGACAAGAATGAGCGCATGATATTTGACTCACTGTCTGTGCATGTAGGTATGGTCTTTGGTGGAAGAAGTGCTGATGGAGCGCAACGTGACGAACGTCACGATGACAAGCCAAGAGCGCTGCAACCAGCAGTTCACCAACTATCCCTACGCGCTCTACGCACTGGACGTCAAGTTCCAACCCGCATAGCGACCATCCGGCCGCTTCACTGAGCAGAAACACTACTTCTCTGGAAAACACAAGTTGTACGGCTTCAAGATCGAGTGTGCGGTGGTACCACCAGGCTTGGCGGTGCATGTGTCGAAGCACTACCCTGGATCTGTGTCCGACATAACCATCTGTATGAAGAATCTGGAAGTGCACAAGCGGCTGCTGCACAAGACGACTGCTGAGGCTGGGCGACAGGATCGTACCAACTTTCACGCCAAGCTGCATCCTCTACGGGCCGATGACCAGGATCGGTACTCGCAAATTTTGACGCGTTACGTCTCGATGTCTGAGGCTCAGCGCAAAAAGCGCGAACGCGATCGCGTCGTTGCGGAAGCCAAGCGAGCCAGTGTCCGTTTGTCCGTCGAGTCCACGGCTTCCAACTCAAGCTCAAGCTCCCACTCAAGCATGCGCGCGCGCACACGATCCCAGGCCAGCCCAACCGGAGCCCGCAACTCTTTCAGTGCGACGACAAGCTCCTCGCCCGGATCAAGCCCATGCTCTGGTCTTAGCGCGATTATGGGCTCTCAGACCTCGACTGTTATGGGCTCCCAAGAACTCTCGCAGGAGATTTAAGCTCATGAGCCCACAGTAGTAAAACTTTACTACTAGTTTTCTGCATTCAATACATACATGCATATTGCTTGCAATCGTTAATATGTGTTCTAATTAGATCTAATCACTTATCAGGGTTTTAGACACTTAAACAATGTATGCACCATGGATCATCGAACTGACTTGACATTTGTATACAAAAAGTCATTAGAAGTATGTATGAACAATCGATCATTGAAAAGGCATTAGATTAACATTAAGTATTCGACTTAACTTCAGTAAGCACGTTCCATCACCGAAATTAGTCATTTCGATACACCTAAAGCTAACTCAGATAAAGTATGCACAGCCAGTCACGGTACTACTCGAATAAGATTTTTGGGTTGACGAAAACATAAGATTATCTTATAAACCTTTAAAATTGTATAAATTATAATTTCGTAGAGATATTTATCCAATGTAGTCACTGTCTGAGTCGTGCGCACTTTCCGGGGATGATGGCGAGGATGCGGTGATGTCAACGACATCAGGCACCGGATAAGATGCTGGCAAACGATAAGATGCTACCGGACGAGTTGGAACAGGTGCCTCGTTGACAGAATCCTCGATGTCGGCGCTGAACAGGTTGAGGAGAGCCCGACACATGGGACAAACAGCGCGACTCCCATGACGCTGGTACACTTCAAGCAGACAAGTTGTACAAAAAAAATGCTGGCACGATGTCCCCGAAATTGGGTCCTCTACATCTTCGCAGCATATAGCACACTCGAGGGTTGCTGCCGGCGGAGTCGCCGGAGGCGATGCAGCGAGGGCAGTATCGCTGATCATAGATTCCACTGTAGCCATTTCGATAGGGACGGTGGTTGACACGCCATCGGCAGTAGAAGCAACAACAGCGGCAGCAGCCTGTACCTGGATAGACGTAGATGCTCCGTGTTTTCGCTGGTGATATCGCTCCCGCGCTTGGGCGTTGATTTGCTCCTTCGCCAACGACGCACGGCGAGGCTTCTGGCAGACGCGGTGCTCGAGGTGTCGGCGAAGGCTGCTGATGCTGGAGAACACCTTCCTGCGGAGATGGCATCTGCGCGCCATTTTTGAAATGTGAGCATTCAAAGAATCATACACGGCCTTATCTATATTTGTACTTAAGTACCTCAGCGGGCTGAACCATCAAAATAAGCTCTCAGCTTTCTTCTTTTAGCCTTGTTTCGCTGTTGAGCTCGTAATTCGAAGCTGCACTGTTCAAAGGAAAGATTCTAGAAGCTGAATATATTCGGAGCGGCATATTATCATGGAATGCTGTAGTCTTTTTATCTCACAGTTGCGCAGTTAGAAAATATATCGACGGCGTGCAGATATAGCGCTCCTCTCTTCTAATTTCGACTTTTTGCTTGCTATTGGTATACACGGTATAAATTGTATAAATATCTGAATTGCGCAGTACATAGCCAACTAGTTAAGTCTTCTAATGGGATCCAGCTCAGCACCATGACAGAGACGGGCCGTCTCAGACGGCTCATCGGCGCATCCTGTCAGTCAGTTGCAACTTGTCGTTAGGTCTAGGTTTAAGTGTCTCACCTCCCGAAAGCTCCCTCCCTTCCCCGTTCCCCATTCAAGAACTCGGCTGGGTGGACGGCCTTCAGCGAGGCGTGGAGATCGTCGTCTGTGGCCCGCTTCCTGCGGAACCGGAGTGTCGTCGGTGGCTGCAGCGCGGGTGGCTGCAGCGCGGGTGGGGCGCGTCGTCGGTGAACTGCAGCGCGCGGCCTGTGAGGCGGGGGTGTCGTCGGTGGCTGCAGCGCGGGCGGAGCGCGTCGTCGGTGGACTGCTGCGCGTGGACAGCAGGGCAGAAGTATCGTCGGTGGCATGTTGCGCGGGGCTGGCGCGACTAGCGCCTGGAGTTGGACTGGAGTGCGGCGTCGGTTGCCTGCTGCTCGCAGACGACGCTGCGGCCTGCCTGGACGACTGCCTGCATCACGCGATGAGCGTCGTGTTGGTTGCTGCAGGATCGAGACACCATCTCGTAAGTGCAATAAGGTAATAGCTGTTGTGGACGCTTTACTCCGGGGTGTTATCTCTTCGTCGTTAACATGATGCGTTCTGTATGTGTGGTTTAGTCTGTTACTGTGTAGATAATGGCAAGCATAATGGATATGTGAGCGCTGCAAACGTGTGTTATTATCATTGCTACCTACAGACGCTGAAGCGCGTGGCCAATACTTTGCGGGCGCCCAGCGTTTTGAACTCGCTTCCTGTTTACAAGGATTTCCTCGCCAGACTCGTCCACAACGCTGCGGGACTGCTGGGCAAACAGTAAGTGACAGCAGTACCCCATTTTGAAGTGGTATTTGCAGGGACAGTATGCAGCCCGAAGATCGACCGGCCAGCCAGTGCGAGGCTGGCCCTCGACCTTCATGCGCGCGTAGTGGACGCCGAACTGGGCGGAAATCGCCATGTCCTCTCTCGCACGGTTGTGCTCCGGGACGAACGTTCTCACGGGAAGGCAGTGCACGCACGTGTACCAGTTCTGGGTCGGCGTCACCAAGGAAAAAGTCGATGCTGGATCTGGTGACTACGTTTTCGCTTAGCAGGCCACGGCGACGAAGCCCACGTGTGCGGGTCTGGAGCGTCGTTGCGCAGGCAGGCGCGAGCGCGAATCGAGGCAACGCCATGGAGCGGTGGCCGCAACATGCGAGTAGCTGCGCAAGCAGCAATCCCATTTTCAGCTGGCGGTGATGCGTGTAGTCACGCTTCAGCGCCCGGTTGAACTGCTCAACCGGGTTGTTGGTGGTGGCGTACCCAGGCGGGGTAAGAAAGCACTGCCAGTTCGCGAAGTTGCCGTCGAGCCACTGGGACTTCATGTACGTGGCGAAGGCGGCGAGGTCTGCGTGCCCAGCCCACTCCTTAAGTATGGTCGCCTTCTGGTCCACGTACTCGCTCTTGCTCTACGCGAAGTGCAAGTCGTAGACGCCCTTGTACACTAATGTAGAGAGCTCCGAGCTCAATCCTCGAGTCCTCTCGCGCAGCTTTGCCACTACGTGGTAGAAGCACATGAGGTACGTAAATGAGCAGTCGGCGAAGACACTGCGGAAGGCTTTGTGTTGTGCCTTGTCTGCGTCTCCAAGAACGAATTTCACCTGCCACTCGGCGCCGTTGACCCGAGCATACACGCGGCGCAACGCAACGAGCGCGGCTTCAAAGTGCTCGTACTGGAGCTGCGACGTGATGAAGAGCGCCACCAGGTGGAAGGCTCTGGTGGCGTCGGTGATGCCGCAGACAAGCACCGGGTAACCGACGCTGTTCAGTTTGAACGTAGCGTCGAGGTGCAGAATAAATTTGCTCGCGTCCCGCGCGGCGTTGCGCAGGAGTGCCTTGGTGGTCATGCCGACCAAGAACGGCCGATCATCTGAGCCGTTTCCAAACTCGGGGAGACCAGAGATATGGTACGCATTAGTGAACGTAAAGGCGTCGTGGTCGCCTTCACGTCCACTAAATGCGGAGGCCCGCACCGCCTCCACAATCACCTTACGTTTGTCGTTGCCGCCCAACCGCGTTCGACGAAAGTGGTGCACAATGTTTTGGACTGAGCGCAGGCTGGGTAGCGCGGCAGGACGGAAACCAAACTTGCGTCCCAAAGCGTGTCGGATGCGTAGCGGCATCAGGTTTTCACGGGCCATCTCCTTGATGAAGTCGCGCTGCTGCGGCGTGATGCACGACTTGGACGGCGTTCGAGCGCGTAAATGGTGCTCGCCCAGCTGGTGCATGTCGACGACGTCGGTCTCCTGGCAGACGTGCAGCTTCAGCAGCCACGGGCAGACCAGGTAGGGAACTGCGACCGTGCAGTGCTTGCAGGCGCAGCGCAGCACCTTGTAGCGCATAGAGTGCGGAGTGCCGCTGCTGCAAGCCGCGCACGACATTAGCTGGCTCTTGACAGTCTTCCGCGTTTTCATTCCTTGGAGAAGGAGAGCGGCGTCTACGGCCGAAACACCGCTGCAGAGCAGGTTCCAGGCGTACGGGCGGGGCATTGTCGAGAAGCGAGTGGGGGGGGGGGTCTAGGCGAGAAGGCACTTGTTTGAAAGTAGAGAGAGTTTGAAGCAGCAAGGTCTCGGACGAGCGCGACCAGTCAAGTTGTACTTTAGGCCACGGAGCGCGTGATGTGATTCGGTAAAATCATTAAAATAGAGGTATACGATTGGATGAATACTTTCGGTTGTGGTGAAAACACGTGGTATTGTGCTTGTCAGCGTGCATGGTGTTTTCAGGCATTTGTGGTGGTTTTGGAACCTTGTCGTTTGCCACAGACACGCAAATGCACCGAATAAGTACCGGTATTGCTGGTTCTGAATTTGCCTCCCCGAAAAACCAGTCGGAATGGGTAAAAGCCAGGACGTAAAAAATGGACGTCAAATTGAAATGGGAACTACTTGTTGCCGTTGGTGAAGGCCGAGATATTTATTGTTTGTTCTAAAAGTAGAGTCCACTTGGACACTGGGGCACAGTGCACAATATCAACTGACCTGTGCTGTCACCATGGCGGAGTGTCTGCAACGTAGCCGCCGTCAGCTGTGGGGAATATCCAGGTCGAGTTCCAAGGACACTACTCAGTGGATCGACTTCGACAGCTTGACAAGTTCATGAACAGCCTGAGTAGCGCCCATTTGCTGCTGATATGCCTGCTAACTCCACTCCCCTGCCTCATATCGGGATTGTTGGATGAGTTACCACCGCTGGCACCTCCCGAGGCCGGCGTGCACGAGAACTGGGTCTTTTTCGCTCGTTCCTGGGCCGTGATCTGCTTTGTGAGCGGATCCGTGCTGGTGCAAATGGGCCAGAGCGCGCCCTGATTGAAATTGAGCGCTCACCAGGTCGTCTTCATCTCAACACTAGCAGCCACTGCTGGAATTGGTGTCGTTTTCATTGTTGCTGAACGAACTGTCTTTCCGGTTTCTTTTGGGCTGCTGATTGCCGCACCACCCAACGTTATTGTCATTGCTGGGTGTTTTGCATACATCTGGGGCCCACGTTGTCGAGCTGATCCATCCTCGTGGGACGATATCAAGCGACAATTGGCGGTATACCATTGTCAGGTGGCTCTCACTTTCGTCTACCCGCTCTACACCTTCGGGTTCTTGTCTTTAAGTGGCATCAGACAAGCGCTGTTCGTCATCGTGTTGCCAATCATCAAGCTCACTGCCAAGAACTGGATCAGTCGAGCTCTCGCAAACCACAATGATCTGAAACACGAGGCGGTGATATTCAACATGGAGGTGTTCAATGCGCTTTACGTCTCGAACGCTCTTCAGAGCGCGTCATCGTGGACATCGACTGTCACGATCATGGCAGTCGACTTAGGGCACTTCTGGCTTTCTGGATATTTTAAACGACGTGAAAGCGCTCTTGAAAAAAATAATCCCTCCAAATCACCCTGCAGCAAAAGAAAACTTCACCGAGGTTGCACTGAAAATGATTGCGATGAAGCACGAAGAAGGCACCCGTCCAAATGAAAAAGGTGGGTGTACCGACACGCCGAATGAAACACCCGTTGATATGCTTACAAGTTCGTGGAATGAGAAGGCGTAGGACAAAGCGAGAGGCCCTGCTCCAGTTATAGGCTCTGCAAGTCAAATGCCCGCTAAACGAGTATCGTTTCACAGTACGCAAGTTGTACCTTTCAGGACGACTGACAACCTGGAACATTCGAAGGGGCCAGAAAACCCAACCGGCCTCGCTGATACTGCTGATCTTGGCAGCATTTTCTCTCTTGCCGAGCGTGAACTCTTTATTCAAAAGAGTACGCACGCACTGTTTATTACGGAGTATCTTGTCCTGGTGGAGTACGCTGAAGTGGTTTTACCTATCATCTACAGTAAGATTGAGTTTACGCTTTTAAAAACTTTACTTTTCCTGCTGAGCTTTGGGATTGACAAGTGGTCTGTTTTTGTGTGCAAAGGTTTACACCGACTGGTGTTATTTAACTTGCCCAACAGCGCGTACTACCCTTCATTGGCTGGACGGACTGTCAAGCGACGAGCTCCTGTCATCCGTCCAAAATGTGCTCGCTTACGGCTCGCTGGAGTTCGCTTCGATTATATTATCGATCTTATTAGGCCAATCGCGTGCGCTGTTTTATCGTAGGAATCGCTCGCTACAACACAACAAGTAAAACCAGGACGTTATCCCCACGAACTCGCCACGTCAGTAGATCCATTGCCAAACAAATGAACTCACGGTTTGAAGTTGTATAAGTGCGTCCAAACAACACGATCCAAAAGTTTACTCAAGTAATCGACTCGCACGTAAGTACTTCTAGATACCACCAGGGTGATGAAAGGGGCGCCTCCGTTGCTATCATTTTACTCGGAATGTCGATGTGAATAGCCGAATCATGATTGCATACACGTAGTTCAGCCCTAAAAATATGTACTTTATTGGAAAGGTAAAGGAAATTTCATTAAAATCATTGCTGCGATTTGTTCGAGCAGAATAGGTGAAGATGCTGTCGCCAATTATGACCGCGTCTACAAACAACCCCCCCCCCCCCCCCCCCCCCCGCTTGAAGCTCGAAGAAGCCATTGGACAACCCTCCAGCGCTTGTCAGTGTCGCTTGAATGATGCTGATGTTCGCCTGCCGTTCTTTCGTAAGGTCCCAAAGCGCATTAATGGTCGCCCGCGCCGTCACCACGATAGTGCCCATCCTGCTGCGCTCACAGTCACAGGCCCATGAACCGGACTGCGTCAAAGCCGTCAGTCGAAGAAGTCGTTCATTCGCCTCCCGTAGCGCCGCCTCCGTCTTGTCCAGCGCCGGTTGCAGCGCATCCACCAAAGTGGTTGACTGGCTGTAGGTCGCGATGTCCACCCTGTAGTTGAACTCGTAGTGCCCCATTCGCTCTGAAATCGCCTCGACTTCACGCAGCAGGGGGATAGTCGCCTCGTACACGCGTTGTGCTGCATCCGCGCCAACATCGAAAGCGTTTGAAGCTTGACAAAGCGCTCCTTCCAGAGCCAACTCCGCTGAGTTGATGACGGCCCTCTCCTGCTGAAGCGCGATGGATGGAGCTGCTGGCATTGCTGAGGGTGGGGAGGACGTGTGATGAAGCCGACGAATTCGACAATGAAGCCCGGCAAAGACATTCGCGAAAACCACATCAAAATCCTGGAACGACAACCAGACGACATGCTCGGTAATGCGTCATTACGCTTAGCCCACACTTTAGTGGTGAAATTCTGTCCTCTTGCTAGACTCGCCACGTATTTGTCCTGGCGAGATGATATACACACGAAGCTCATTAGCCTCTTTCAGTTTTGAAATATGATCTTTTGGCTGGACGCTCTCGTTTCTTCTCTCCTTTGCTGACTTGTTTATTCAAGCTTGAAGCCCAATGGTAGGCGAGCGACTTACAGCTAAACATTTAGGCTCTCAATCTACCTGATGCTGTAAAATGATAAGATGCGTAGATCTATCGGCAGCGTTGTAACGAGTGTCAAGTTTGCTAACGCTTTCTGCAATTCTACCATTCATGCTCATTTTTCAACGCTGCTCCATTTTGCAGCGACGACGTGGGTGCTCGATTGAAACCAGGCCAAGAGCAAACGCGGTCTAGATCAAGGCATGGGGTCAAAATGCTCTTGCGTAGATGTATTCCTACGAGCCTTAATAAGCGCAAAACATTTGTTTAATAATTTGTATTGTCGGAATGCTTGCCATCTTGCGCATTGAATTTAAGTACACACTGTTGCGTCGTCTGCATGGGCGAAGTCAGAGTCACCAAGACACAGACCGCCATAATTCGTCGCTATACAGGCCCGTGCCGTCACTAAGGAAAGGAGCTCTACCACCGCCGCAGTTGTCGCATCCACCACCTATCTCTTGACGCTCTGATTCTCCTCCTTGGCGAAGAGGTCGTCGAACTGGCGCGACTGGTTGATCGGGTTGCGCTTGAGGTTCGCCATGCGGAAGCGGAACTGCCGCCACGACGAACCGCGGTCCTCGCGCGGCTCCAGCGTGTGGTGCAGCTCGGCGAAGCGCTCCTCCTTGTTCACGTACACGTCGGGGTTCATGAAGAGGTAGCGCAGCGACATGCCCGTGGCAGCCACGGCGGCGAAGGAGGCGCAGAAGACGACGGGGAACGTGGCCTTGTCCGTGGTCCAGAGGTTGAGCAGCTTGTAGCCCTGGCGCTTGACGACTTGGACCATGGTGGACTGGAACAGTGGGGTTGATTGGTGGGAGGGTGGGTAGGTAGGTAGCTGGTAGCTTGGTAGCTGAGCTTGGCCTGGAGATGTTGCGTGAGGACAGATCAGTGGAAGTGATCAGTCGAGGGAAAGTTGTGGAATGCGTCGAGCTGCAGGGCTGGAACGGCCCACCGCGGTTGCAAAGGAGATGGAAAGTTCTCGTGGTGTATGTCTGCGAGTACTCATCTGCTTGGAGACAAGTGCAACTTCGACTTGACTCGGAGTCGGAGCAGCGGACACCGTCGGGAAAGCGGCTTGTTTTGCAAAGACACGAGCGGTTTGCCACAGACACGCAGATGCACCGAATAAGTACCGGTATTGCTGGTTCCGGATTTGCCTCCCCGAAAAAACCAGTCAGAATGGGTAAAAGCTAGGACGTAAAAAATGGACGTCAAATTGAAATGGGAACTACTTGTTGCCGTTGGTGAAGCCCGATATATTTTTTGTTTGTTCTAAAAGTAGAGTCCACTTGGACACTGGGGCACAGTGCACAATATCAACTGACCTGTGCTGTCAATATGGCGGAGTGTGTGCTGAACGGATCAAAACAGAAATGGGCAAAAGCTTGTTGCACTCGTTGAAGCTGACACTGAAAAGTGATCCGCTTGAAAGGAAGTACAACGCAGCGATTCCCAAGTGGGGCTACCGATTTTGGTGGTACGATGCCCCGAAGTAGCAACGACACAAAGAATCGACTGGCGCGTTTGCCTAAAAAGCTGCTGTCTTGGGATGAAAGTGTTTCCTGGGTGTCAGTGGCGTGACTGAATCGTGGGTTGCCCCATTCATTGATGATACCTACTGCTGAGTTGACTCAGCCTGACGTCTCTCTCGCTAGTTAAACGGAACGAGAATCCACATATCGGTAGCATGTACGGCAAGTCGCTAAACCGTTTGCCTAGGCAGCCATTGCTGAACAAGGCACTAAAAAAGTCCAATCATAAGTCCATGCAAGTTTGAACAGCAGCAGGGACTGTATAATCTTAGATTGGAGACTTATCGATGTGTTGCTGAGTAACAGCACCTCGAACCTCCCTCCCACAACTTACAAACTTGTGGTCCGTTGAAACACGATCCCCTCGCGCTCTGGAAACTCCAGTGTGCTGGTAGCCTTGTTGCAGTCTGCAGTGTACATGTATTGCAGTCCTGCGGCAGGGCCTAACAACCAAGTTGAAGTTATCCCAGCAGCCACGGCTTGGTGTGGTCCACTTTCCCTTTTCCCGGTGGTGTCCGTCGCTGATTGGCGAATATGCCGCGGTTCTCTTGCTTTCTGATAGGTCAAAACCGAAATCGCGCAAAAACACGCGGTACCGAACCGGTTTTCGACGGGAAAGCCTCTTCGAATCCGCCAATCACCGCGCAGTTGAAGTTTGTCTTTGAAGCCGCCCCGAGATACGCACGCAGCCTCTCCATTTACAATTTCACTTTGGGCAGCATCTCCAGAATGGATACGACCTTTCGTGGCGCGTGTCTGCACGCTCGTTCGTGTCTAAGCGCCACCAGCACGTGTGGCTCAGCTAACAGATACCCGGTGCCGCTCATTCTCCAAGTTCCTCTCGCGTGAACACCTTCCTTCCTGCCCCCACTGTTCCAGTCCACCATGGTCCAAGTCGTCAAGCGCCAGGGCTACAAGCTGCTCAACCTCTGGACCACGGACAAGGCCACGTTCCCCGTCGTCTTCTGCGCCTCCTTCGCCGCCGTGGCCGCCACGGGCATGTCGCTGCGCTACCTCTTCATGAACCCCGACGTGTACGTGAACAAGGAGGAGCGCTTCGCCGAGCTGCACCACACGCTGGAGCCGCGCGAGGACCGCGGGTCATCGTGGCGGCAGTTCCGCTTCCGCATGGCGAACCTCAAGCGCAACCCGATCAACCAGTCGCGCCAGTTCGACGACCTCTTCGCCAAGGAGGAGAATCAGAGCGTCAAGAGATAAGCGGGCGGAGCTTCCGAGAATGTCGACACGCGAGCTCGACGGCAGAAACAAGTCGGCACAGGGACTCCTCGTGCAGTCACCTCGTGCCGGTGGTTCTGTCAAATGTCATTTTTTGCGTTTGCTCTACGTCACACATCGTGTTCGTGGCATTCCGCCGCGTGCAACGTAGTCAGCCACGGAGCTAGTCGGTTGATCAGAAGAAAGTCTCAATGAAAAAATATATATTGAAAAGTCCTACGAGACGTCAAAACTACGTGTGTTGGTACTGCCTTTGCTTTAAGTGGGCGCTAGCTGAAGCTGTCCCAGTTCTTGTCGGAGCGCGGATACTCGAGCGTGATGCTCTGAGCTGGTCGACGTGCTGTCAGCTTGGAGTTGCCTACAATCGAGTCGAACATGCCGGAGATTAAGCCTCGATGATGATACGTGAGCTTGATCACCTTCGTGTAGAAGCCTCGCTGCCAGTATCGCCACGGTCAGTAGGGAACGTTACCACGCTTAGTTAAACCATCCACATAGCGCACCTTTGCCAGCAGCCGTCTCACCCACAGTTGGATATATCTACACGCTGCGAGAGCCTCTGCTTCGAGCAGTTTGGTCTTGCACTCCTCGACTGCCGACGCTAGTAGCTGCACAGACCGCTCGAAGAACCGAAGTCGACGCTCAAACGAGTCGATATTCGGCTCGTAGAACGGCGGATGGAGGAGCCCCCACCCTCTCACGAGTTCATCTCGACAAAACGTCATCTGCTGGTAGATCGGCTTCAAGTGCGTTAGGACTTGGCGCTGCCACTTCAACGGCACCACGCGCGCGTGCACCCAGAGCGCCATGTCCTCCATCGTCGAGTCGAGTTCCTTCGCTTCAAACAGCGCCTCCTGCGTCCCCTGCGCCATCGCCACACACTTCTCCGACACCAGTTTCCTATCCAGAGCCGGCTTTGGCGGGGGTCTAGCGATCAACGGGCTCGCCAGCGAGTACACGCGACTCGCCGTGCCGCCTTCCGAGTTTCCTCGACGACGCACATCCCCGCCTCGGACGACGACGGAGTCGGTCCCCAGTCCACGAAGCGCCCTCAACGCATAGCCTTTTCCTTCGAATACACTATTCCGACCACGATTGGGGCGGACGGAGATCCCGATGGGTTCCCAGCCAACTTCCTCCTCGCTTTCATGGGCCATTTTGCGCGAGGAGCTCCAATAATGGGACGGACGTTGAAGTGCGTTTCGAAGTCACTAAAGAAGAAACCCCGGCAGAGTGCCTTGTTGACAAAATGATGTTGTTGCGGTGGGGGCGACCTCTGTCCAGGGCGTGGCGGCGGGCTGACGGGCTGCGGACGTTCTGCACGGCTGACGAGGACAAGTATCTGGAGCTCAAGCAGCTGAAGGACATCAAGAGGTGCGACTATTACGGCGGAGAAGCTCAATCAAACGGAGTGCTAACTGTTTTGTGGAGTGCAGCGACGAGTTCTACGAGTTGCAAGGCCAGAAGCGAAGATACTTTTACTATGTGGACTTGCAGGTGGGAACGCAATAATTGAAGTGTATTATCGCTGCGTACAGAGTGAATTGAATGCATACTTTGTTGCTTTGACAGGGACGTTTGTTCCTGGAAGACACACGTCCGAAGAATATCGCGACGTCACTGAAGAGTGCCAAGTTCCTGCGGTTCTTCTTCTCGCAAGCGCAGCCGAACACCGTCGCAAAATGCAGATCAGAGGAGGAGCACGAGTTCTTGGAGTATCCGTTCCGGTCGCCGTGCGGCAAGGAGATGAACTTCATCAAGTGCGCAGACCGCCCGTTCGTGTTCGAGGATCTCCGACGGGATGACAGCGACAAGTGGACGCTCATGTTCGGAGGTGGGGAGCTCACGATGCCCTTCGTGCCGGAATCGCTGCGGATCTCCCTCTCGACGGGGAGACTGTATCACGACGTGAAAACCAAGCACGTTGTGCCTGGAACCCCCGAAGGAATCGCACTCGTGAGGTCGCAGCTCGCCGTGGAGCTGGGCAAACACATGGACGTGCACGACTTCCCAGACGACATCGAGGACATTAACGCGCTGGTCATCGGCGAGTTCAAGTGGGAAGATGAGCGCTACGCCATCCACGCCATCGAATAGCTCACAGGCACACTTCACTTCAACCACAGCCCAAAATTAAGCGTCAGCATGCGCCCAAACTCCGTTAATTTGGGTTCAGATGATGGCCTCGCGCCTAAAACAGTCAGTTGTCAACTTTTTCTCACGATGGCGTTAAGCGACGCCGGGAGCGCCAGCGCCGCGGTGTCGACGGGCAACCGCGTGGCCCAGTTCATCGTGATCACGGCGGTCATCAGCGTGCTGTACCAGCTCCTCACTCGGCCGGCGGTGGCGCCCTCTCCGTCTCCGTCGCCGGCTCCGTCGCCGCTGGGCTCGGGCTACCGCAAGGGCGAAGACTCGCGGCGCTTCACGTCGTCCGAGATCACGGGCTTCCTGCTGTTCCTGGGGCTCTTCGGCCTGCTGCAGCACAAGAAGAAGCAGGACAAGAAGGCCGACGTCGAGGCCGAGCAGCGGCAGGTTGCCAGGATGGTGCAGAGCCAGAGGAACAGCCTCAAGAGTGGGTCTCTGCTTCTGCGAACGGCTGGGAACTCGGTCACCAACTTGCCGCGCGACGTGCTGCACGAGCTGCTGCTGTTCCTGTCGCCCAGAGACCTGGCCACTTGCCCCATGGTCTGCAGAGCCTGGGACCACAACGTCGGAGACGTCGCCGAGACGCTCTGGCGCCGCGTCTTCCAGCGAGACTTCTGTGAACCGGGCGGCAGGTTTGCCCAAGTGTTCCCAATTGAGTGTTGGCGGCAGTTCTACTTCCGCCACCACTTGTCACGAGCTGTAGAGCTTGCCAGGTTGCTGGACATCACGGACGGCCGCAAGTGCGTGGCGATTGAGGGGCAAGTGTACGATGTCACGGACTTCTTGGACTTGCATCCGGGCGGTCAGCATGTTATCGGAGACGCCATTGGTACGGACGCGACAGTGATCTGGGACCAGTTCCGGCACTCAGAGGAGGCGAAAGAGAGCATGCAGCAGTTCTTGGTGCACGACCAGGTACTCGCGAGGCCGAAGAGCGAGCGGTTGCACGGAAACCTTGAAGCGGTGGTCTCCCGCTGGCGGAAGATTTCGTGGGGGCTGTCCCAGTCGCACTGCTTCGGAAGCATGGCCCCACAGTTTGCCAACGCAGTGTTCCGTTTCCACTCACGAGGTGTCACAGGCAAGAGGACAGCGTGGGAGCATGCTTGAGTTTTTGCATTCATCAATTAGTAAATATCGAATGAGTAACTATTTTCTTTAAAACAAACTCCTTAACGTTAGTGAAAGCAGCGCAAAGTGATGCTGATCCGAGGTTCACGACATCGCGCCATCTTCGGCACGGCATGCTTGTGCGTTCTCTGCGTGGTGCCGCCCATGATCATCAGGTCTCCGTCCCCAATTTGCAGCTCCAGTCGTGCCACAGCTTCGTCGCCCTGGGGCGCACTCTTCGAGGTTTTCTTGGTGAACACAAAGTGACGAGTAGCTCCCAGTGACAAGGCCACAATCGGTGAGCACGCCATCATGTCCCTCTCATCGTCTGCATGCGGTCCGATGTAGTGGTCTCCATTCTCGTACCAGTTCACAAGGCCTCCTGTGAGTCGCGTCCGATGAGTAGCTGGGTCCTCCACCATCCGCTGCATGTGAAGCACAGCGTGCTCCAAGCCCCGTGGATACTTCTTCTGCGCCTCGAATGTCTTCCCCGAGTAGCGATAGCTCCCCATTTCCCCACATAACTGCTGGAACCGTGGGAGCTTTGCCGGCTTGCCGAACATCATAATCGTATCGTGTTGCTTCGGATGCGCCTCCCAAGCCTGCTCGAACAGCGTCGCCCACGTCACTTGTGACTCAGTGTCGTCATCGTCTGCCATTGCTTCCCATAGTTCTTCAGGTGTAACGTGCTCGAATACGTGTTTGTACCATTGAGGAACATGGTAGACCCAGCTCTTGTGGTCCGTGGTTAGATACGAAATCGTCGCGTCCTCTTCGAAGAGCCTCGAAGCCACCTCCGCCGGCAGATGAGAGTGCTCGATTGCAGCCTTCTTGACGTTTGCGACCACGGTGGCGAGTGAGAACTCTTGTTCCGGAGGAGGAGACAGCTTCGCACGCTTGCTGGGGCCTCCGTCGGAGGATTGAGGACGCTTCGCTTGCTTGGCTGGCATGTTTTATAATAGTTGGGTAAAACTGGAAATGGTACTCGTTACTGGACCGTCCCGTAGTTACTTTAGTCACGTGCTCTTCACGCGATGCCCACTTTACGAATTCACAATGATCATTTCGACAGTGGTTATGATGTCTGCTGTTGCTAGGTAGCTTCTATTCCCCCACTAGACATTATCCACATACCTACAGGCGGTACCCATGCAGGAGGCTTGGTTGGTTGGCACCATCCCTTTGGGTATTTGAAGTCGGCAAACCCGTTCTCGTCACGATGGCACTCTTGCTCTTGCTTGTCCTCCCTCATCCTGCTAAATAAATACTCATTCCACCCAGCAACTGGCCTACTCGATGGTGAAACCTGTGATGTCCATCTGCACGATCAGCTTGACGTACTCCGACAGAACCTCCTTGGAATTGTATATCGGCAGGTCCAGGCGGTTGAAGCACGTGTGCGCCTTGGGGAATAGGAACGACTGGTTTGCTCCAGCGAACGCGACGTTAAAGCGGCGCACACGTCCGTCGCTGCTGATCAGTCCCTTGAAACCCTGCGCCGGCACGCGGCTCGTACCTGTGGCGAACTGCAGCAAACGAACGCGGTCCTCGTTCTTCATGTCTTCCACCACCTCCCAGAACCACTCGATATTATTGAGCTCAAGCTCCGTGGGGAAGTTGTGCGTGAAGAACTTGAAGTCCGTGTGCTTCTTCCAGTCCTCCACGTCGATAGATGGGACTCCACACATGAGCAGCTCCAGCTCCTGGTAATCGAACAGCTTGAGCAAACCCTCGGGCACGACATCATACAGCGCAGTCAGGAACGACAGCAGCTGCTCGCTCACGCTACCAAGCACATGGTACTTGAACAGTGCGTCCAGATATCGGGCGCGGTTCTCCCGCGTCACGTCGATGTTGGCGCCTCCCTCCACAAGCTCCACGATCTCTGGCTTACCATCGACAATGCGGGTGGCGGTAAAGTCCAGACACAGCGGTTCAATGTCGTCAATCTTCTTCACCATCAGCGCGCTGTTGTAGATCTCGTCGTCCAGGAATTGAAGGTCCGAGAACGAGATAGGAACGCCGAGGACATGCTTGAGGAATGGCAAGGCAAGGTGCACCGGCATCAAGTGCTCCTCCAGGATGGCCTTACCGACCAGTCGTCCAGCAAACTCGAAGTAGGCCAAGTGGTCCTCCTCTCCGATCAACAGGTCCGAGCTGGCGTTAATCCAGTAGCTCCGTTCGTCTCCCACCGTGCTTACGAATAGTCCGAACGCAGGGTCGAAAAGCTCAGCAAACAGGAGCGTGAACCACTCCCGCATGACACCGCCTGCATCCAGCGCCGGTTCTCCATCAAACACAACACGCCACCTCTGCCTCAACTGGTAGGGCTTCATGGCCGCCACCAATTCGAACGAATCCTGCAGTAAATGATCTCTCCTTACCACCAGCTCTGCGTGTCCTGACTCCCAGGGCAGCCACAACCGATGAATCTCCGTCGAGAACCAGCGGATCTTGTCCGGGAACGGCAAGTTGTGCACCCCCTCGAGGTTCATAATGAGCTCGGAACTACCTGTTCCGTCCAGAATGTTAATCCGGTAGTGGAAATCCGTGGCCACCACGTCGCTCTCGTTCAGCACCAATCGTCCCAGCGAGTCCCTAACGCGAATGTACCCGACCGACAAGTTGCTGTCTCTCTCTGTCGCGTCCAGATACCGGTTCAACGACATCCTCCCGCCCGGGTCGCTCTCGATCGAGTCCCGTTGAGTATTCCTCGCATTATAACCGCGCGCCGACTTGTCTTCCTGTCGCACCCACCGATGCAGTCCATCCGTCGTGGGCATGCGTTTCCACTGCTGTCTCCGACTCGCAGCCAATTGCAACTTGCTCAGTTTATTCTGCGGCTTCTGCTTCCTTGAAAACTCAAAGCTCGGGCGGCCAAAGGAGCCGCCGATAGCGTCATCCGCTTGGGACGACGAGAAGGCCTCCGTCTCGCCGATGCGCCCCATCCTCTGCGAACTGAGGCTGCCGCGCGAGAAGCTGCCGCCTCTTGAGCCCGAGCTCGTGTGCTTCTTGTTGCCGGCCACGTCCCGCTCTGCACCCTTCAAGGTTTGGCACAAGTCGCAGAGCTTGCGCTCCGGGTGGTTGAGGAACTTGCAGACGCCGCAGCGCCACAGCGCCTGCTCCATGAAGCTGTCGTTGAGCTCCTCGCGGTACACGTCGGCCGGCTCCTGGATGAACACGAGCGACTCGCGCTCGCGCTGCACCTGGATGCGCCGGCAGAAGAAGAGCAGCATGACGATGGCCCCCACGAAGAGCAGCACGCTCAGTGCCACGAGCACCGCCAGCCCTGCCGTCATGTCCGGCGGTTGCGTCGAGATGGAGGTCCCTCGCTCTGCTACTGCTGCTGAGTAGTAAACGGTCGGTCGGGACGGGGCCTTAGCTGTAGCCTTGGGCCCTGGACGGCGCGTCGGCTCCGCTGGTCCGTTCGGTTGTGTTGGCTGGGCGGAGAGGAGCGGGCGCCTAGCCCTGGAAGAGCCAGCCGAGTATGCAGGCTACATGTGCGAGTACTATTGACGTCTCGACGTGGATTGGCTGGATGAAGGAGAGCTAAACTATGTGATTGGCTGAGGGGATTAAAGGTGCGGGTAGATGTGTAATTTCGACCGCGCCCACAAGCGCGAGTCCCACTTTGTCGGTCTTTTTCGCACAGCAGAAAGCAAATGGCTGCCGTATGGCGGGAGCCAGGATCGTGGTGCTCTGCTCTGTTGGTGCGTCTAAGGATTGTTTAGACCGTCGACTGGGAAATTTTTGTGGTGGCATCTCGACAATGGTTTCGCCTCGCTGTGATTGGGTGGAAGTCCGACCCCTTACAAACGCCAACATAAAGTTCCGAACTCATCCGCGCGCTTTTGATTGGCGGCTGGCTGATCCCACTTCAAGTTTGCCGAAGCAGCCCATCCACCTGTAGGGTCACCCACACCTTCTACCAGCCCGAGCCCGTCAACTTCAAAAGTGGGCTCCCCCTAATACGAGAGCCAAAAGTCGCACAAAACAGGCTCCCTCATGGTAAGTACGAGATCAAGGAGCCCTGGTTCGGGCTCCCCATTGGCTCCCCTCCAGGGCTCCCCAAATTTAGCTTCAAAGCTATGACGGGCTCTTCATTGAAATATCTGATTGGCCAATTTTACCTAGACTTAAGGCGAGCAATCGATGCGCCACGCTAGAAGATCGAGCTCAAACAAAGATCGCCACACTAGAAGATCTCGCGCCGCTCATATGTGTACAGCCGCTCCGAGGCCACCCCAGCGTCGCCGATAGTCCTTCCTTCCCCTCAAGGAGAAGCCCTCTTTCCTATGCCTTTTCAGGTTAGAACCTGGAGATACTTCAATGACGGCCAATCATCAGCGAGATATTTAACACAGGTGAGGGGGAGCCCTTAACGAGGGCTCACAGTTCTGGAGGGCTCCTTTCACTTAACCTATTGAACTCAAGAGCCCAGGAGCCCGAGCTCGCGACTTTTTGGGTTCACCCAAGAGCCCAGGAGCCCAGGGCTCGTAGAAGGTGTGGGGTCACCAGTGTGAAGCCCCTTGAGCAGGAACTGTAAGCTTAAGCGAGCGATTATATGAGAACTCGATCAACTAGAAGGTTTCAGCCTAAAGACGCCGTGTACATGTACGGCGTTGATTTCCGGCGCGACTTCAGCTGGCTCCGATATCCCGCGGTGGTGGTCCCACCAGCTGGCTGCTTGGGTTGACGACGTGATCCTGCGACGTACGTGGCGTGTTGTCAAAGCGCGGAGATGCTTCGTCCTTCTTGTCAACTCGTTGTGCTCGACGAGCACAGCTCGTGCTGAGATCATCACGCATGCAAGAGCGTTCATCGCATACAATGCGCACGATACCAGTCACGAGGTGCCTGGAATGCAAGGATTGCTGCACTAGGACGACAAAGTTTGCGATCTACTAGATTGTAACCGTTGGTTAAGCGTTTAGTACTTGAAGTTACTCACGACAACGTGGTAAGCATGTTGCAGCATTACATGACGCAGTCCCGCTTGCCTGTGCTTGGAGTTGATGCTCCTGCACCGTTGACGACCACACTAGGCGTCGTTGGCGATGGCGTCGTGTCCGAAGCGTACGAGGCGTCTCCAGCAACGCTGTCGCTTTGAGCCAGACTTGGCGTCGTCGAGTAGTTTGAAGCATCCTCGACGGTGCTTGCGTCCGAAGTTACCGCTTCGTACAGCCTGGTCGAGCCCGAGGAAGCGCTCACCTGGTCCACCGTCTCGTTCTGGATCACCAAGTCCGAGCCCGACGCACTGCTGGCAACTGGCTCAGTGTGGTCTACCGTGTTCAGGGCGGTCTTTGTTGTGGAAGGAGTATTTGTGACCGTGGCAGCTTTTGTTACCGATGGCGAAGGCGTCGTAGCAGCATGCGTGGCAGACGGCGTACTTGTTGGCGTCGCAGTCGTGACAGAGGGAGCCGATGTCGTCACGGCCGGAGCTGGAGTAGTTACGGACGGAGCCGAGGTCGTCACGGATGGGGCTGGAGTCGTCACGGATGGAGCTGAGCTAGCCGAAACATCAAAAGTGGGCCAGGTCGCGTACATTTCGACGCCGCAGGCGCCCTCGCTGTCGCCGGAGTAGCGGCGCTGGACACGGACGTAGCCATCCTCGCCCCACGAAGTGCCCCACTGGTTCTTGATGCGCCAGTAGAGCATGTTGTTGTCCGTCTCGCCGAAGCCCACCGCAAGTGCCGAGTGCGACCCAGTCTTATCGCAGTTCTCGCCCGTCAGCACGCCGCCCGAGTAATACTGGAAGGCACTCGAGCCGCTATAGAGGAAGATCGACACGGGCTGCTTGCGCACAGCGTCCTCGATAGCGCCGGCATCTTCGCGGACCGAGTCGTAGCCGGTCACGCCCACGTCGAACTCTGTGCAGGAGCTCATCGAGCAGCTTGGCACGTTGCCATCGTCTGAAGTGAACGGATACGAGTCGAGCGTGCACATTTTGCCACTGCGCTCGTTGGCCACCCAGTCCATTGTGTAGGCAGCGTAGCCTCCACCACAGCCGCTGTTCCCGTCCTCGCCATCGCAGCTAATGAGCTGCTGGTCGGACAAGCTAGGCAACGAGCCCCCTGTGGCCACGCAGTACCCCGACTCCATCGCTGCAGTAGCTGAGAATGCCCAACAAGCTCCACATTCCCCTTGATTCTTCACAGCCGTGACGCACCCAGCCTCTTGCCAGTCGACGGTCTCACCTGACCCGGCCGAAGACGTCCTGATGTCGCCGCTTGAACTGGAAGTGATGGCGCTGCTGGAATTCCCCGCGTCTGCCGTGAACATTCCGGCAGTTGAGCTTGTTCCGGCCTTGACGGGGTTCGAGGCTGGGTCGACGGCATAGCGATTGACGTAGGCGAGGAACTCCTCCGACGTCAAGAGCGCGAACGGCGTGTTGATCGAGAAGTTGGCGTGGGGATGCAGCGACTGAAGCTCCGCGATGGCAGCCAGAGCCTGGTCAAATCGCTGCTGCTCCTCCGTCTCCGTGATGGTGGTGACGACCGACGAAGACGAGGATCCGGCCGAGCCTGTTGGTGGTGGAAACGTCATTGTTTCGTTGGATTCGAGCGAGCCCACGCTCACGTCGACGGCAGAACTGCCGCTGCCACTGATCGACGCGACGTTCTTGGCCGACGTGAAGGATCCAGCCGCCGTCCCGCCGACAGTGTTGACAACCTGAACGGCTTGGTTGTAGTAGCTGGACTGCTTCCACTCGGTGTAAATCTGCTGGGAACTTTCACTCACAACCACCACCGGAGCCGACAGCGCCAACACACCCAGCGACAACGCAGATACTGGCAACATATGAGCTTGGAGGGACTGGAGAACCGGGCTGATTTGGACTGGGAGCTGGTGGTCGCAGTCGAGGAAATTGAGATGTGAACAATGCGAAGGCGAGCTGCGGGTCGGCTTCTCCTTGACTTAGTCTCCACCGCGCTCATGGTTGGATACGCTCGCTCACCACGATGGACTTCTACATACCATTTTCGACGTCTCGACCAGGTAAAGAAGCCTCGTCGCCCGCATCTACTGCTTCACCTAGATAAACTTACGTGTCCTTGGTGACGTGCTCCGGTCCCTGAATGACTTGTACTTTACGATCCTTTGACGCTTTGTTGAAGCAGGATACGTGCTGCGTTGTGGCGTCTCGATCTAACTCGCATTCGTGAGTTATGGGCGGCATACTTGATAGCGCTCGGGCCGGTGCTTTGATGCGATCAGAGCTCACCAAGATGAATAATTGAGTCATGGCTACAGCTGGGTAGATACCTGTCATCGATCCTCTGCTTCGTCTCTCCGTCTCCAAGCCTTGGACCAAGGCACCGCCACTGTTGTCATGCCGTGATGGTAAAAGCTCAGTCAGTCTCCGTTCGACGTTGAAGCTGTCAGACACCCAACACGCATGCCAACTGATACGAAGATGTAAAGCCGACGCACCTAGTGATGCAGGCGTATCCTCGCCAGATGAAGGATACCAGTTGCAATTGCGACTCGCTCAATCGATACCAGTTGCAATTGCGACTCGCTCAATCGACTAATCCGCTCGGAAGTCACGCACAGATCTCATACAGGCAAGAGGGTGAGAGGGACCTGTCTGGCTTCAGTGGGCAGCCACCGATAACAACAACGGCGACACAACTGTACATCGTACGCAACAACACAAACCGAGTTTACACCGTCATGGCACTGCTTGCGTCGTTTCACGGCAAAGCAGACAGACTAGCTGCGCTCGCACTCTATTTGTCCTTCTTGCTCTCCTCGGCCTGCTCGGGCTCCAGGTCCTCATCCTCCTCCTCGCTATCACTCGAGTCCGCAGCGTTCATCACCTGCTCGAACAGCGTGGGCTCGTTATCTAACTCCAAATCCTCCGGGTGCGGCTGGTACACCGGCAGTGTGGATGCGGGGGCGACGTTAAACTGCAGCAATAAAAAGCAAGGTTACAAAACCTACAACATCGCAACATAACTACAACAAACAACTCTAAACCCACCTTGGCAACGGCGCGCAGGTCCATGCCGATGTATGAGTCGCTCTTGACGAAGATATCCAGCTGGTACGTGCCGGCCTTGGGCGGGGCCTGCAGCTGCAGCTTCTGTTCAATGACGCGCTCCTGCGACGTCATCTTGGCGAACGCGTGCAGGTGGTTCATCTTGACGTCACCCACGACGCAGTACCAGCGCTCCATCTTGGGGTACGGGAAGCGCGGGGCGTACACGAGGTCGCACGTGTCGCCCTCCTTGACGTTCTGGCGCGTGAGCTTGACGGTGACCGTCATGATGTCGCCCTCGGCGATGAACTCCTCGTCCTCGACGCCGATCGAGATGGAGAGCTCCATGTGGGGCATCATCTCGAGCACCTTGTTCACCTCGGCGCGGTCCTCCTCCGAGAGGCCGCTCAGTCCCTTGCGCTCCTCGGGCTTCATGGAAATGTACTGGTGCATGCTGCGCACGGCGTTCTTGCCCGTGACAATGTGCTTGACCTCGGCCTCGGTCAGGTGGGGCAGCTGCAGGAACGGCGGGTCCTTGAACCACAGGCCCTGCGTCAGGAACTGCTGAATCTCCATGAGGTTGAGCGTCGTCTGCAGCCACGACTTCATGACCGAGATCTCGAGCATGCCGTCCACGAGCTGGATGGCCTTCTTGAGCATGGCGTGCAGGTCGCCCTGCAGCGTCGGGCTCAGCTTCTCACGCAGGAAGTGCGCGTGCAGCAGAAGGTTGGCCTTGGCGATGGCCGGGTGGTTGAACTTGGGCTTGTTCATCATGTCCGCCTGCTTAAACTTCTTGAAGAGGCCGCCGAGCTCGGCGTCGTCCGAGGCGCGGCGCGGGATCTCGCGGAACTCGGCCGAGCCGGCCAGGATCTCGGGCAGCAGGCGCGGGTACGAGTGCTGCGACATGGCGAAGTTGTAGAAGCCGTACGTGTCGTACATGATCATGCTGTCGCCGTACTTCTTCGAGTGCGAGTACCAGAGCGCCACGCAGCTCGGTATGGCCACGACGAGGATGATCAGGTACAGGAACAGCACGATGTTGTGGTTGGCCGGGTCCAGCAGGAACGTGGGCAGGCCGATGGACAGCTGCAGCGCCTGTCGGCCGTCCGGGTTGCCGAACTTCTCGTAGTTGGCCTTGGCGACCTCGTCCGTGAGCGCCTCGTAGGCCTTGGCCACGAGCATAAACTTCTGCTCGGCCACGGCGTCGCCCTGGTTCTTGTCCGGGTGGTAGAGCAGACTCATCTTGCGGTACGCGCGCTTGATCTCGCGCTCCGTGGCGCCCGCGGCGATGCCGAGGATGGCGAATGGGTCGAACGACTTGATCTCCGAGTCGTCCTTGAGCAGCAGCGTCATGCGCACGAGCGCGTACCAGACGGCGGCCAGCACGAGCAGGTTGAGCACGAAGGGGATGGAGAACACATTGCGGAAGGCCGTCTTCTCGGCCTGCAGCTGCTTGAGCTTGCGCAGCTCGCGCTCGCAGCGCACGTGGCTCTTGTCGATGAGCCGGTCCTTGAGGAACACGCCGTACACGATGCGGCGCAGCGACAGGAACGTCACGGGCACTGCGTACAGCGCGCAGAGCGACACCGAGAAGTAGTAGAAGGCCGAGTTGTCGTACTCCAACATGGCTGGGGACCTGGCGAGACGATAGGCGAATGGCAACGGCGGGGGCCTTGTGCGCCTTGGAGAGGTGGCACGACACGTGGAGCCTCCGAACCCAAAACAAGAGAAACCAATGACACCCTGATGTGGCAACGCACGTATCAATCGGTTGCAGCTTGAGGGATGAGCCTGAAATAAGACAGTTTTGGGGAGGTGCGACGACGTGTTTTGGGCTCCGGGAGCTCTCCGACACGGCGACAGATGCATACTGTTCTCTCCCTCCACTATGGCAGTTCGGCTTGATTGATACCGGTATGTAGATCGATGGATGTAACCAGCATCCACCACCCTGCTGCATGTAGCTAGGAGTCAGCGAGGTGATGGAAGCTGACGATGTGAATAGCGGTAATATATCTGGCCGCCGTTCGTAAAGTATTATCATTTTCGACAGGATTTTGTCGCTCACTTGGCCTCACTATGCAGCGCTACATTGCCAATCATCATGGCGTCTGTGACGTGGCGCTGCTCATGGAGGGGTGCATCGGACGCCGCCGCCGAGGTCAAGGTGCAGGAGCTGCCGGACGCGCGCGGCGGCGTGGCGGCGCTCTCCGCTCTGCCGCTGCGCCTGACGCGGCCTGAGGCTGACGCCTCCGCCGCGTGCGAGCTGGAGCTGCAGTGGCCCGCGCAGCCGCTGCGCTGTGTGCAGCTCCAGCTGCAGGTCCAATGCTCGGCTCGCCACATCGAGCTGCACGCCGAGGGCACGCGCCGCAACATGCTGGGCGAGACGTATCTGGGCACGTTCCGGGGCGCCAAGCAGAGCGCGCACGGGCAGGAGCCGCAGCTCTTCGCCATGTCGCCGGCCTTCAAGCAGAGCGACCGCGACTGCGACGTGCTCAAGAGTCTGCGCGCACTGCGGGTCAAGTTTGTGTCGCTCGCGGGCGACAAGAGCGCGCTGGATTTGCAACACTTCCAATGCGTCTTCGTGCCCATGGAACCCGTTGCGACAGTTGATGCGAGGTAAAATATGATCACGAGAAGCTGTGACAGTAGATGGAGGTGGAGGTGGAATATTGACGGTGGTTTTTGTTTGGTGATTGCCACTGTAGTGCTGCGGGTTTGGCGGCGAAGATGGCTGCGATGGGGGTTGGAGCTGCAGGCGCTGCTCCGGACGTGCAGATGATCTTGAGGGGCTTCCAGCAGACGTTGGAGCGGGAGATGGAGACGAAGATTGCGCGTGCAATCGACGCAAAGTTATCCACGTTGTCGCAGCGCTTGGCGTTATCGGAGCAAGCTCTGTTTCAGCTGCACAAGAAGATGGATGCAAAGGATGCCAATGTGCAGGCGAGTCTCGCTCAGATTCAGCAGAAGTTCTCGCAGTTGGAAGACCAGTTGAGCCAGTTGAATGCTGCGAAAGCAGTGGAGGAGATGGAGGGGGAGGAGAAGAACAACGTGGATTCTGAAGAGGTGGAGTCAACAGCGACAGAGGAGACGAACAATACAGATCCGGGCGATATGAAGCGAGACGAAGTAGCTGAAGCTGAAGCAGACGTAGCGGTTGCAGGAAGCGAGTAACAAACAAGCGCGTATCTCCTCATTTCTTCCCAGTTGAAGGCAGTCTCCGCGCTCCGTCTTGGTTTGTGTGCTGCAGCCATCTCATACACAGCAGGTTGCGGTAGCGCAGCGTGTCGAAGAGCTCCGAATGCTTGTCAAACGACTGTGGAGTGGGAAAGATGCGTTTGAAGTGGCCGCAGCGGTGGAGTTCTTCCTCCATCTCTTTGACAAGCTGGAGGTCTTCGCCGTCGATCTGGTTAATCATCATACTGCTAGCCGTTCCCTGCAGTTCGTCCAGGGTACGTCGTCGTCTCTGGGCTTCCTTTTCTTTGCGGAGGATTGACGTAGTGACACCTGCACTCGACTGTCGAGGCTGCTTGATCCCGTGAAGACGCTCTTGCTTGGCCTTGTCCAGTTGCTGGACTTCTCTGCGTGAATCTACGAAAGGAATTCCTACGAGTTGGAACAAGTCACTCACCAGAACAGTCTTGATGCGCTTGTCCATCGGCGACGAGCTGCTGAGGGACGGAAAGACGTTCACCTCCAGCAACCGGGGCTTCATGCTTTCACCTTCAAGCAGCACATCGAACCCGTACAGCTCAAACCCATTGCGACGACTGTTGCTGACGCTAAAGGCGGACGCGAGCTTATCCTCCACAGCAATTAAAGTCTTGACGATCAAGTCTTCAAGCGCTTGCTGGAAGTTTGCAAGCTCACGAGCTTTCCCTTGGTCACACAGGTACTTGAAGAGCATTTGAAGACTCCACTTGCTGCTTGACAACGCGTGAGCCTCGTCCACCTGGGCGTCGTCTTGGTTCTTTTGGAATGCCGCCGCATTCTTCTTGTTGATGCTGTAGTTGGTTAGGTGGCCGAACGGGTTCTTCAGTGAACTCTTACTCATGGAGTACTTCTCCGTGCAAAAGCGTACCAGTCCGTCGTGGAAGAGGTAGATCCGCAGTGGGTCGTACGATGTCACCGCAACGTAAACGCGCAGGTCAAACTTGAGACCGTTGATGAGGAATGGGTCTGTCACGTAACGCTGTACGACGTACGCCTTCTTCTTGGAGAGTTTTGGAGCAGCGTGGGTGCTCGCAGACACGAGTTTAATGCCTCTTCCACACGACAAATTCGGCGGCTTGAGGATCCATACAACGCTCGGTTCCGCGTGAAATCGCGATAGGAATTGCTGCTTGTCGTAGTCGTTCGCAGTGAGATACGTCTCAGGGATGACATCAGCGTAAGCGGTCGGGTGTTTCTTCCTCATACGCAGCAGGTGGGTACACAATCGGTCCTTGCGACCGAGCTCGAAGCTACCTGGGAAGTGGTTCACACGCTGGAATGGGAGCAGCGCCGCGTACTCTTGCGTCTTCAGAGGCTCCCCCCAGAAAATGTTCCAGGTGCTGGTTGATGTTGTTTTGCGGACGTTGGTCGCTCGAAGAGAGTTGGTGATGACGTTGTACAAGAATCGCTTGGTGCCTGCAAAGGTTAGCCACAGATCCGACTCATCTGCGGAGAATTGGCGGACTACGTACAGGAAACACGAAAGTCAGCACAGTTCATAACGCAGTACGTGCTCATGCTCCTAGTTCTCACCTTCATATCCAGCAGGGCATTGCCGCTCGAGTTGAACGTAGGCGGGGTACGGGAAGAACAACACTGGCTGTGAGGACGGATCGAGCTTGGAGACAAGAACGAAGATTGCGGACTGTCGTTTGGCTTCAGGTTCTTGCTGCATTGAGGTCTCTCGTTTGACCTGATTATCTCTTCACCCAATATGCAGCGAAGAACAGTATACTTTAGTGATGAACTCGCAGTGTTTGGTTTTTATTTTGGATGTTCACTTCCCATGTTAGAGCATGATGACCCCCTATTTGCGGCGTCCTCCTCGTTTCAAAGCTTCGCGGGTGCAGTCCGTCACGACATTGAGCCATGACGCGAGAGCCATGGATGCAGCCCGCGGAGGAGCGAGGCTCGTTCAGGAGAACTTCGGTGGCTGATCGGAGACTGAGCATTGTGTCTGGAAGCTTCCCGATGCGAGCCGGCAGTAAGATTGAGCTGCAGGGATCAGGACGGGCCTTGCAGCAAATACAGGAGCAGAAACCTGAGCAGCAAGCGCCAGCGCCGCGACCACAGCCATGCGAAACCCCAGCGTCGAACCCCATTGCCCCAAAACTTTCGACGGCATCTCGCCGGGGTTCAATGCTGGGCTCCCTCAAGGCGTACTACCGCAAGCTACGCACATTTAAGGGCACTGTTCGAGCATTGATCCACCTGAAAAGAACCCCTTTATCGCTTCTGGGCAACATCAAAGCCGCTGTCCCTACGATCAGCGATGAACAGCGAAGGTAAGGCAGTGCTGGATTCGCACCAAATTATTGCTGACGATGGTGTGCTGTACAGTGTTGCACTGGAGGTGCCTCGAATCTCGGCCACTGCTGTTTCTACTGTTCAAACCAAAGTGCAGAAACTCGTAGAGGAAGGGTATGAACACTTATCAGTGCTTGGTATGCGCGAAATTCTATCACTCATTAGTATTATGCATGAGTTACAGACATGTTGTCGCCGAGATCGACTCGACGTCCGGAGCGGAGGTCACCTATCGCCAGCAAGGCAACCTGGACCACTACACCGAGGTATCTGAAAGTTTCTTAGCAATTACGTCAACATATTTCAGAGTTTTCACGTTGTTATTGATCGTTTTTTAGGATAACCTCGCGAAACGCGTCAGTCTTCAGCAGCACCCTCACATGATCGCGCTCACTCAACGCCTCTGGAACTGCGCGCTGAGGAACGGAGAGAAGAAACTCAAATTTTCGGATTACGAGACGTATATGCTGTGCTTGCACCGCTTGATCCTGCCTGAGTTTGATATCGCCGCCTCCAAGGAGCTGATTCTGGACGACTGGAAGCGAGACAGCGGCGACCAGGACTATCTCGACTATGCTTTTTTCCATTTGTCTATGTTCGAGTTGGTCGGTGCGTAAAGTCTTGCGTTTGCACTGTGTGAACTCTGACTTTTTGTCGTTGATTCTGTGAAATTTAGACCTGTGGACTGATACTGTAGACCAGGAAGATGTAAGCCTTCACGTACAAATTACATATTGAGATGTCTACCTACTGACAGACTCTTCGTTTGCACAGTATATCTCGCTACTTTATTGTATCACTCACTGTCTGACATACCTTCTCAATGACCGTCACATGCTGAAATCTCTCAAAGGTCCGTTTGGATTCTCTTTATGAGGATATACACCGATGTTTATCTAAATACTGCGTATCGTACAGATGTGTCCGCTGTTGATATGCTGGAGGAGTCGAAAGGAGTAACGATGGAGGGGATCAAACAAAACCTCCAGCGCGAGTTGAACAGTGGCGAGTTCGCTTACTATCGGGACCAGGTGAAGCTCGCTGCTGAAGCAAACCAATCACTTGAGCGAGGAAACAACCTCAACTCCACAGAAAATCAGAGGCAAACGACTAGCCAAGACAACAACAGGTCGAGGTCGCGTGATCGAAGACGCTCGTCCGCAAAGGGTAACGCGTAATTTGTCAAATCTCAAAGAACCTGGATAAAATGCTGTTCTCATGGCCGGCACGTTTGTATCTAGGATCAGAATCGCGCCGAAGTCGATCTGGTAGTGGTCAAGATTCTCCGAAGTTCTCGGTTCAAGCTAGCTCGAAGGCTCTCAATCTCACTACAGATACTTCTGGTACGCAGCCCCCATGATAACTGCAACGAGAGAACACGTAAGCTAATTGGATGCGCGTCATTTGAACAGGATCCGGCGGTAACAATGCTGGAATGTCTCCCTTGACTACACAAAACTATCCAGCCGAACCTGTACTAGTTTCTCCAAGACGAGAAACTACAGTTCAACGGGCGATTTCTCCAAATATCTTCACTCGCGGAGGTGGCGTTATTCTCAACATTGGCTTGATGGATGGCATGGTAGTCTCCAAATCAATAGCGGACAGCAGACCGGCATTTCCTCGACGAAGGTCCCGAAGTGCGTCCAACTCGAGTCAACCAGGACGGGATCAGATTTTACAGTCCGTCTCTGGAAAAGTTGATAGTACTCGGGAGGCAACCTACTCGCCAGGACTGCAGGTGAGCCACAGTGAAGCGTCGGGGTCGGCACTCCGCACCGGCGCTCATGACCCCAATGCACCAGGATACCTCTTGATCCCAAGCGGTGCCAACTCAGGCAAACCTCGAGAACCATTTACAGTTCGCGCTGCTGCTGTCGCGGAGGCAGCAGCCAGTATGGCCATAGCCGCTGCACCTGTGAACCCTCGACAGACATTTGCAGTCCAACGTGCGCAGAATCAACGAGTATCACAGTCCACTGCCGACGGAACCGCTTTGTCGGTAGGAGGTGGGGCTACGAAGAACATCCCGCCGAATTTCTTCATCAACAATAGCAGTCTGACTGCACCGTTGATGACGATCGTCAGTAGTAAGCCAGCAACGCCACGAGAGGCGAACTCTTCGATCAAAAAGATCCAACTACAGTTCCAAGGGAGCTCGGAGACGTCGGCAACACGACCCCAAACTCCGTACAGAGGCTTCATGGGGGCCTCGATATCGTCCCCACGAACCAGCAACGTTATCACTGCCGAAGCTGCCGGCATTTTTCTATCTGCCCAACAGAAACCTATCAAACCACCGTCATCTACTCGACACACTTTCGTTTCATCACCAAGAGCGGGGAGTGTGTTGACCAGCGACTACCAATCACCAGTCAGTCCGCGAAAGATGCAGCAGCGGCAACCCGATGAGAAACTGTCGTTGCTCGGAAGCAGTCCTGTATCCAATGTCTCGAACCCAGCGACTCTCACGATCAACGGTAGAGTGACAGCTCAGGACGCACTTCAACGACAATCGTCGACAACTACTGGTACCCCCACTCAGCTTGCGGGTAGCGTGGGATCACCGTTGCTATCCGTCCCTGCTAGTGATGTACCAGTGCCGACAGCACCCTCGCAACCGAAGGACGACCTGAAAGCGTTGATATCACCCCGCTACATCGTCACCAACCCCGTGGCTCCCAACCAACCCGCTCCAAACCTGAAACAGTCAAGTGTTCGACATCAAGGTTCTACTCGAGGGTTCGCCGGGGCCAAAGGTAGTCCACGAATGCGTTCCAGCTTAGCTACAGGGCCCCCATCAAACCACCTGCAGCAGCAACGCCAGCAACGGCAACCATCGGAGCTCCATCGGCTCAATATCACTCCTGGAAAAGGATAGTAATTCTGAAATGGTCAGTCTCCTCCTCCTCTTCTTCCTCATCTTTCTCCTCGCTCTCGTCCTTCTCCTCGCACTCCTGATAGCCCTCTGCGTCGCCCTCGCGGCGGATCACCGAAGTTTGGTGGTAGTAATCCAAAGTACTATTTTTTGAAGCGGATTACTACTCGTTCCCTCAGTTTTGAATTAGGTGTGACCGACCAATGGGACCCGAGAGCGAGGCGTCGGGGCTGCTCTGGTGGGACGAAGAGCTGGCCAAGCCGCTCGTCCCCTTCCGCGCCGTCTTCTTCCCGGCCTTGGTGCGCGCTTGCGACCCGCGTTCGCTGCCGTCCGAGCTCTCGCGCGAGGAATTGCGCGTCGTAACTCAGTTCTGCATCTCTCCCGATGCTTATCAAAGCGATCAAGTGGCCAAAGAAGACGTGAGCGCTTCATTCATGCAAGCAAACGTAGTGATGCAGCACGCTAATGGTGTTGTTATTGATGTTGCAATTGCCGCAGTTCCGCCGGTTCCTCGCACGGTTCGGACCGCTCGAGCTCAGTCTGTCCAAGTTGGTGGCGTGCTTCTGCGTGAACGGAGGCATGGCGCCTTGGTTCCACGGCGAGATAAGGCGGCAGGAGGCGGAGGCTGTGCTGTCGACAAGGGAACGCAGCGATGGGGCGTTCTTGGTGAGGTTTTCAGAGTCGCACCCCACGAAGTTTACGTTGACGTACCTCAAAGTGCACTCTACAAGCTCCAGCACACCGGGGCGACGGGAGCTGAAGAACTGCTTGGTGCGGAATTTGGGAGGATCGGGCTATGCACTCATGGAGGCAAGACGAGGTGGCTCGGCTGGCAATGTCAGACAGCGTACGTATCCGTCGATTGGGGCGTTCATCCAGTCCAGCTCTGGCAGGTTAAAATACGGGGTACGTTTGGTGAACGCTAAGCTTGTGAATCTCTTGCCTAATTGAGTGGTTGCTGGTGTAGGTGGCATCGGAGTTCTCTGTGAAATGTAACCAAGAACTAACTGCGGTAAGAGCCATGCAGGACCAACAGTGCGATTCCTACTCGGCCTTTAGTACGGAATCATTCGGAAAGCCGGAACCGCCGCCTGACGCAGCATCAATGCTCTTCTCGCGAACCCCTCCGTCGCAAACCTCGTTTCTCAATATGCCGTCGTTCAGCGCAATTACCAGCAACAAGCTCGGCGCAGCCTCCGACAGCTACGCAGGTTTCTCAGTAGAGTCCCTCTCGCCTCCTGTTGTCCACCGAGCAGAGTTACCTGGTGACGCACCTGCCAGCAATTACGAAGACAAAAGCCTTGCCCCAGGGAAGTGGACTGATGGCAAGGCTGGTTCTTCGCCTGGACCATTTACAAGTGACGATTATGGGAGTTTCGCATCAATTGCTCAGCATCAGCCCGAGGAAGAAGCAAACCCCACTACCACGAAGCAACCTGGTATGGGCAATACAAACTCGCCGTTGCACGACTTCCGCCGAACACCAACTACCACGATCTCGGAAGGGTATGCCACCTTCGCTACTTTGGCGTCCACATACGCGGAAGAATCGCAACAATTGGCAGCACGAAGTCAGCAAACCGTCTCATTGTCAAGGTCACCTCCGATTTCTACGCAACGGCCAAGCTTTGCTAATACTGGAGCTTACGGATCATTCGCGAGTGTATCAGTAACTAAGCCATCAACTGTGGCTCCGGCTGGTAATGGGTCACCCAACGGTGGCCATCTCGGTTCAAGCAAGCGCGAGATTCCTGCTGCCAGTGACTACGGAAGCTTCGCCTCGTTTGCCAACGAGCTAGAAGAGAAACGACCTCAATGGGAACAATCACTCGGTGCGCCACATCCGCCTGTGGCGTCAAGATGTGACTACCAGAACATTCCCCAGGATACTACTGGCATCTACGGCAACTTCGCTTCGTTATCACTTGGCGAAACCAACGCTCCAGCTCCAGCAAAACAGCCTGCGCCAAAATCGGCTCCTACTGGAGCTACTCCCGCAAACTCGGACGTGTACGGTTCGTTCGACGGGACAGCATCCCTCCCTCCTATCAAGACAACTCCAGTCACCTCGGCCCTGGATGAACTCAACGTTGGAATGGAATTTTACAAGCAAAAACGGCTGGACGACGCATTGCTCCGCTTCATGTTGGCACAAGAGATGGCTCGTGCAACGGGAGATCAGGTCGTGGAAGCGCGTGCGCTCGGCAACCTCGGAACTGTGTACCTCGACAAGAAAAACCCGCAGCAGGCTGTAAGTTGCTACCAGCAGTGCCTGGATATCACGCGAGCTATTGAGGACACCAAGCGTGAACGCACGATCCTCAACAACCTGGTGCTAGCCCTTGTGGCGAGTGAGGACTATGAACGAGCACTTGCGTGCTGCCGAGTGCAGTTGGAGACGACCACAAATGCCATTAACCGGCGCAAGATTATCTCTCGGATGAGCTTACTTCGCGAGAAGATGGCTCGCCAAGCTACCCCGTAACAACGTTAGTGCTACGAGCTGTCATGTTGGTGAATTGAGTTCTCTGGGTAATATATTATTTTACTGCTCTTCGACAAGGTCAATCTGTGAGTTACAATGCCACTGATGCCTGCGTCACTGCCCCCGATGGATCATGCGGCGACGGTGCCACAACAACAGCCGCAAGGAGCGGTGGGAGCGCCTCGAAGAAAAGCTGGTCCAGAGACAACCGCACTTCTCCCGAACTAGAAGGTTTATCTGCTTGAAGCTGTTGCAGTTGCTCCAGCTCATCCAATGCCAGTTCGTGGTCCAGATATGCTTTCCAGTCGCTAGCAAACGCCTCCCAATCGTCCTGACTGCAAAGTAATTCTTCCGGGCGACTCGCCTGAAGCAATTCCGGTAGGATGTTACTACCGTCAGATGCGGGTGCCGCGCTGCGTCTGGTTCTCTTCAAACCGGAAGCGAAGCCCACATGCAGTAGCAGTTCTACCCGCTCAGGACGCTCCGTAGTCTGTGCGACGGAAGGCAGAAACCCAATACCGCGAATTACACGTCGTAGATCGGCACACGCCAGTGCGACGGCATACACACGGCAGCACAGCGCACAGATCTCTGGGTGCGACTCGGACACGAACGAGTAAAATGACGATACATCTGTGTAGTCGCTTGTCGTCTCAGCATCGAACGGGAATTGGCGAAGCTGGTACGAGTTGAGGATCCCCTCGATCTTGTCGCTGGGAATCGATCCCAGTAACGTCGATCCATTCACTGTCTGTCCCTGACTATCGTCTGCTTGGCAAAACCAGCGGTCGAAGTATAGCTGGAAGTAGGAGGCCACGGACTTCCACTGCAGCGCGGTATTGCTCATATCGAGACGTCCGGTGTCCATGTGGAAGTCGAACACATAGGCAAGTACCATCGTCGGGAGATCATATCGCTGCCACATCACGTCCAACAGCTCGTGCAGTCGCTGAGCCACTACCGCCGTATTCTCACCGTTGCTAGTTGATGACGAAGACATATCGGCAGATTCCGCCAAGGCGGCATACTGTTGGCTCATGCGGCCGAGCTGGTACATGACATGAGCCAAAGTGAGCCCCGCATGCACTGTGGTCGCACACTCGTCATCGTTGTCGTAAGCACTACTGATCTCGCCCAGCTTCGGCTTTGCCTGGAACACGAGACTATACGCCTCTCGCAATGGGGCCAACAGCACCGCCAGTTCTCGTAAAGTTTTCCAGAGCCGGGCATCGCCACGAAGCACAAGTTCGCGAAGTGCCAACGGAGCCAAAGGGGAACCTCTCTCATCTTGACTTGAGCACAACGCGGTGATAGCGTCGCTGTAGTGAAGAGCCTTGGTGAGGCAAACCACGAACGAAAACCAGTGTTCTCTTGTCGGAAGAGGGATTCGAGCATCATCTTCCCCGGACATGGCGCGCAGTGATGCCTGCAACCGCGCATTGGAGAAATAGGCCGCCAGCTCCACAAGCTGTCCAACAGCATCGCAGTAAGCCTCGTGCGTAAGAACGCTGCCAACCAGCGACGTCAGCAGCGCAGACATACAGGGAACCACCAGGAGAGAGCGCCATTTTTCACTGCGACAGACCCTCTTCGCTGCACTGAGCGCCTCGGCCGAGTCGGCCACGATCCCCATGATGCAAATGTTCTTGTTGTTCAGCTCCTGTAAAACGTCTTCAATGGCGTCAGCTAGCGGAAGCAACTGCGCCATTAAAGACGGGCTGTCGTTCTCGTCGCCAGTCGGGTTAAGCTGTGGGATTTGTCCTCCTAGATCCTCTACGCGGACACACGCAGCGTCTCCGTTTGAATTAACGAGCGTGAACGCCACTAAATTCTGCAGGTCGAGAGTATGCCAGACCGTAATGCTCAGCGTGAGTCCACTCTTAATCGTCGAGTTCAGCATGCCTTCCTTCACGCGGTCCAGTTGACTCTGCGCCAGCTTCGCCGCCGTCTCCTCGAGAAACGCTTGGCCACCCACACTGCCGATCACCTCGTCACTGTCGACCCTTGCAGGGCTCAGAACCTGCAATAGCTCCTGGAACTCGCTCTTCTGGAACGCTGACAGCGGGATACCCGCAGCCACCGCAGTCTGCAACAAGCTCACCCTCCACCTCGCCACCGCGTCCTCCTGTTCAGCTGCGTGACCGCTGCCCATGCGTCCACGCTTCGTGGGCATTGCCAAGTACCCGCCTCCACTCTTGGACGTCGTCCTCTTGTCCACCTCTGAAGTGTCCACATGATTGAGACGAGACATGTCCACCGTTGCGTCCTCCAGCGCTTCACTCGCCGTCCTCTTGCCAACCACCGAAGTGTCCTCCGTCTCCGTCTCTGTCCCTGCAGCAGCCGCAAGGACCGCCGCAGCGTCGTCCGCTGTCGTGTGGTGCGGCTCGTGCATGGCCGCAGAGGCACTCGCCGAGACGGCCACCGCATCCAGTAGCAGCACCTGGTCGTCGTCCTCCTCCTCGTTCACGGCGTCCTCCAGTCGACGGCTGCTGCAGTCGCTGCCACTGTTGGCGTTCAGGTGCTTCTTGTTGTGGGCGTTGCGCTCGCGTCGTCCGCAGAGCTCTTTGACCGAGTCCACCACCTTCCGAGGGCAATTGGGACAGCTCTCCAGGTGTCGGAGCATGTCCGAGGACACGCCGCGGGTGGGCGGCACCTGGTCCGCGCCATGGCGAGCCACGCAGTACGAGCAGTACGCGTGGTAGTGGTACCGGTTACGCTTCTCTCCGCGGTGGAAGTGCGCCCACAGAGGGTGCACCGGCCGCCCCGTGCGCTTGAGCGTCCCCGGCGTGGCGTCCATTATTGCCCTGGTTACGCTTTGTCGGGTATGATATTGTAACCCAACACCCGCTTTAGTGACGGAATAGTGAAGCAAGGTGGCTTACTTTAGTGACCTTTTGACACATTTCTCCGACTCTTTCAGTTTCGCATCATCCTCGTCCTCGACCGGAGCCCCTCGTCCAGTCCGTCCGTCGCCATGGAGAACGCAGCGCCAGCTCCTTCGTGCTCGGTGTCGGGATCGCAGCGACGTAACCGCGCGGCGGATGCCGACGCCGACTCGGCCAACCAGCAGGCGGCAGGCGCGCAGCAGCAGCCCGAGCACGACATGTTCGGCGGTGCGTGCACAACCTCTCGTTGAGTTTTAGCAGGTTACACTTGTATCTAACCGGTTACGCCTTCTTGCATTGGCAGACTGGAACCTCAACACCGTCATGATGTTCATGCTGCTGCTGCACTTCATGCAGTACGCCATGCGCCAGCCCTGCGGCTGCTAGAGCTCTTCAAGTCTTCCAAGTGATGACACATCTGAGTCCGACTCATTGCTCAGCTTCTGCCAAGAGTTGAGACCTGTCAGCCTCGCGCACTCGCCCCCCTCCCTACAGTTGTCGTTCCATGTTTCTGTGTATTCTGCCCCTATTTTTTATGTTTGGGTGCGGCCTGTAACCTTGAAAACAAAATACACGCGCACCTGTTACAGTTGTTGTGCTTGTTTGTTGCTGTCTGTTAGAAGCATTTCCGGTCCAGGATGGCCTCGTGATACTCTTCCCACTCCTGCTTGGTGATGTGGATGTCGCGGAACGTGTCGAGCGATGCGAACATGGAGCCGCCGACCCATGCGGCGATCTTGCGCTGCGAGTTGTAGCCTCGCTCCCGAACGACTGGATCCGGGATGACGTTGACGTTGCTGCCTCCCCCAGAGCTCTGCAGAACGGACTGGAGTTCGTCCTGGAAGCGGCGAGAGAAACCAGGCAGCATTGTGGTGCCTCCTGCGAGCACGACAGCGTTGAGCAAATCAGTCTGAAGATCCTTGTCGCACATGGCAATGCTGGCCGCCGCACACTCGTGCAGTCCTTTGTCTGGCCGCAACGGGTGCTCGTCGCCTAGTTCCTGTGGTTTGAAGAGCACCTCGGCTGACATTGTCTGTGTGTGGCGATCTACTTGCAGTATGGTCCCGTCGGGCAGTTCAAAGGGCTTGCTCGTTTCATCCTGTTGGTTCTGCAGACCCCCTTGCTGGTTGGTGCTGTTCCCCATCGCGCAGGTCGATTCCTTGATCTCGTCGATCGTGTGAAGTGGAAACGAGTGGAAAGAAACTCCGCGCTTGGACAGCAGCAGATGAAGGCGGTGGCTGATGTCCATGCCCCCAGCATTGTAGTGCAGTGCAGCGTGAGGCAGTGCGTAGCCCTCGAAGATGGGGATGGCGTGGCTCGATCCATGACCCACCTCCACCACGAGTCCTCGGGTGCGTCCAGACGCGAAGAGTGACAAAACGCACTGCTGCATGAAGTAAAAGCCGCAGACCTTCTGGGACTCAAACATTAGCTGTGCCATGCGTTCCTGTTGTTTCTTCGGGCCCGACGGCGAACTGATGCACAGCACCGGCAGTGCTGCAGTCTCCGGGTCCACCCGCAACTCCTGCGAGAAGACGAACTCCCACATGCGCTCCAGTGCGTCCCAGTCCTCCACGATGCCGCGGTTGATCGGGTTAGATAACTCGAGGAAGTCTCGATACAGTTGGCACTCAGTTCCCACGAACATCTCGCGGTCGCGGAGCTCGGCCTTCCAGTTCGGCGCCTGGCTGGCAAACCACTCGGGGTTCTTCACTCGTCCTGTGCATGTCGTGAAGGTCGTACGTGGCGTATCTTCGCCCGAAAAGCCCACCTTGAAGCAGCCCGAGCCGTTGTCCAGCACAATCGCCTCCATATCTAGAGAACTGCAACTATGCTGGAAGATCGACGAGAAATGTATCATAAATGTAGCCATCTTCTCCACGACCTTTCGAGTTGAAGGTTTTCAGCCAATCAAAAAGATTGCGCCAGTAACGGTCGCTAATGACGCAGGTCTTCGAGAGCGAGGCGTGCCGCATCTGGACGGGGGCCCTGGGTGCGCCCCTGCACGCCATCGAGGACGCGGAGCAGCGCGAGCTTGATGTGCTCCCTTTCAGTCTCCAGATCTGGCTAAGTACGCAGCCGGACACTGCGTCTGTGGACGTCCAGAGCTCACGAAAGCAAGGTCTCCATTTGGTCAAAAGCCCAGGGATCAGTGCCAATTCAGCGCAATCCCAGCAGAACTCCGGTCTTTTGCTGCCAATTGCAGCCTTATCATGCTTCTCACTGTACAGGTGAGGGTTAGTTTGCATTGATTTGTGCAGATTTGAACGAGTGTTTGACGTTTTGTTGCTGCTGCCAGCCCTTCTCCCTTCGTGTCGAGTGTTCTAGTGGTGCTGGACGTGGATGATAGATGGCAACAAGGATATTTCTTCGGTCGAGTGCGGCGATCAGTGACAGGAAAAGAAGATGTACGAACGGGAGACGGAGGCAATGGGAGTGATGAATTTTACGACACCGAAGTTGCGGAAGAGCTCTTGGCTGCTCTGCACACGGCGTTCCCCAAAGTCCCGCTTTCCAGCTCGGCCAAAGAGTGTCTTTCAAAGCGAGAGATATGTCGACGTGCGGGTGGACCTAATAAGCTTGGTCAGATGGTGAAAAGAAGGAAAACGTTGTCTGCTGAAGCGTTTTACGGGGCGGGTACACCGAAGCCGGCACTTCCAGGACCTTCGGGGGGCAGTGCGTCGGATAACAGTTGGGGGTCGTTCTATGAGAAGCTCCAATTTAGAGTCTCACACTCACTGATGTGCCAACTAGAAGGCACGGCACCTATTTCCTCCTCATTTCCGCGCCAGCACGAAGCGTTCGAGTTTGCCGATCAGGTTGCTGCCCTTCGGAGACGAGTGAAAGCTTCTCGTGGTGTGTCAGGATATGTCGGGCCTGATGATGAGCGTGTGCCCCGAGTGTTTTCGTTTGAAAGCGCTGGTGACGGCAAGCGCCGTTTTCTCGTTGCGAGCTTTGCCGAGTTCTGGAAGAACTACAAGAAAACTCGAGTAGATCAACGCCACGTCTACGAAATTATTCGCGAGGGTACGCCCTGTCGACTTTACTTCGATCTGGAATTAAAGCGGGCTATCAATCCCCACGTGGATGGAGATTCGCTGGTTACTCGGCTTGTGTCCTTGCTTCAACTCCAGCTCTATGTAAGGACGTGATTGGGCGGGCAACTGATATATACTTGGAAATCTGACATTAATGATGCAGCGCAGGTATGGGATTCACACGCACCTTGGAAGTATTTATCAATTGGACTCGTCAACACCGGCCAAATTCAGTCGTCATCTCATTGTAAGCGACCATTGTCTGCTGCATGTGCCTGCTACATGTACATGTTTATTTATCCGGACCGCTAATTGTTTTGTTTGATAGTTTCACTTACCTGATGGTGCTCTCTTCGTGGACAACCTTCATGCCGGAGCAGTACGTTTACGTTCCATTTCCTTTCAACTATCGCTATAGATTCTGACGTGCTTGCCTACGAACAGTTTGTTCGCGAGTTTATTAGCGATCTCGTGGCATTCAGCGGTGATGATAGCGATGATCGGGAAGCACACGACCTATTCACGCCTTTTCTTATCAACACGGAGAGCCAAGATGACCCCGTTGACAAGAAACAGCTCTTCATTGACACGGGCGTGTACACTCGAAACCGCATGTTTCGCGTGCTAGGATCGTCGAAGTTCAAGAAGAACGCCATCTTACGCCCACTCAATGCATCATCTTCGACACCAGACGAGCTGAATCAAGATTTGTTTGTGAACACGCTGGTCTGCCCGTATCCGTCGCTAGAGGCCATGGAGATGAACCAGCCGACCATACGTCGCCGACTGCTTCGTTGCGAGCCATCTCCTACAGCGTTGGGGCGCAGCAAGCGTTTTACGACTTCCAGATCTACATCCAAGACCCTCCCAAGCTCATCAGTAGAATGTCGACGTTCAATCTATCCTGCGTTAGACACGTTCATACGCTCCATTTCTACCACCGGCGGCGTTCAGGGCGAGATTCGAGCAATTCAAATGCTGATGGCGAACAACTCCGCGATGTTAGCTGTTCTACCGGGTCAGCAACCCAACCAAGAAGAACAGACTGGAGACACAACAACAGCGGCGCAAGCGTACCCGTGGATGATCATCTATCACATGGCTCGTAATCGCTGGTGTGCGAATATTCGACGACCGCACAAAAGCAACAACGTCATGTTCATCGTGGACATCGACCAGCGGGTATTCTATCAGAAGTGCCATGATCCAGCCTGCCAAGCGATCGACTTCAGGTACGATGATAAATCTTTCAGTATTGTTGCAGCTTCGTGATATGTTTTATTTGTATTGTGCAGATCACCATCGCAACCACTTCCTTCATACATAGACCTCAGAGCGGAAGCTGCTGTTATCTCTGATTAGCTCAGTCGATGAAACTACAACGAGGTGTTTTAGTCCGGTTATGCCTGCTGCAGCGTACCAGCACTACGGAAACACTTGCACGGCGGCCACGATGGCGGAAGAGATGATACCAACAAGGCCGGCTGCAATGCTAAGCGTGGGGAAAAGTTTCATGAGCAGCCAGCCTCCTCGATCGTCGTCGTCGTCACCCACAGTCAGTCTCAAGTGGCACGCAGCAGGAAGGATGAACAAGAGGGAGAGTCCACCTATTGCACCAGTAGCGCACATTACCTTCGCAATCGTGTATCGCGTGAAGATCGCGATCTGTGCGAGTGTGAACACCAATAGAGTAGTGGCTAGGCTGCTCTTCCAGCCGAAACTGGTTTGGGTTATGGTGACTCCTTTACGAGCTCCAGACTTGCGTCGCCCCGCGTAACTTCTGGATCCAGTCTGCGACCAAAACAACACGTCGTCCTCCTCAGAGTGAAGCGAGTAATTATTTCGCGAGAAGAACAGGAACGTGTGCCGAGAGACGACGACCTGCAACATCATCACAACCGCAGAAGTCTATCAGCTCATACCAACCAATTCAGTCGCGGAAATTACGTGGAGTTACCTCAAGCGCAATGCATACGATGGAGCAGAACGGTATCATGATCCAGAACGCCCAGCTATTCTTCGATGGCAGATCGCCCCCAGTACTGATGTAGTTTTGCAGTACATCGGCTCGAGTGTCGGACAGGAAGGACAAATACCCGCCGACACCAAACCCAAGCGCCCAGAAGATCGATATGAGAGTAGAACCGATGGACAAACCCGCGAATCCACCGATTGAACGCTTGCGGAGGGCGTAGAACGAGTGGAAAACGTGATGCGGACTCGCAAACGCGGTTGCCAGAATCGCCATCGAGTGGCAAACGGCCACGTGCATCGCGAAGTAGTCGCTTGTGACTCCTCTGGAGAACAACGGGACGTCACGCTTGTGGAGCGCTGGCGTGTTTGCCAAGACGAAGATGCAGGCGACGAACAACGATAGAGCCACCACAATGCACGACCGCTTCAACTTTGGATGGGAAGACCACGCCAGACAGAATGGAATCACCACTCCGATCGTCTGTAAACAACAGTCAACGCATCAGTATGGCACCGAAAATGCCACCACTTCATCCAGCACCAGCTTACCAAGAGCTCTGCAAACCGCACGCGGTCTCTGTGGAGCCAAACCATCGACGGGTCCTTGGCGGCTGCATCGGGCGAGCCCATGTCTTCCAGGTTTAACCCCAGCGCCTGACTGAGCAACACCGGCAAGTCTTGGAAGAGAATGGCGAAGTACGTCGCGATGAGGCCACCTGATACCGTGAGCTGGAGGAACCCCGACGCGATTGCACCCTTAGCACCGAAGGCCATTGCAGCAAGTCCATGCAGCGAGTAGACCCCGTGGGAGATGCCAAGCTGGACGAGTCGCAGTCTCAAGGCGCACGCCACGAACGCGAAGATTGGCAACAGCACGAGTGTGAGCAGGAATCCGCCCAGCAAGAAGACGTAGGGCAGCACGAGCGCCGTCGGACCGACACACCCGGCTGCCTGAATGATTGCAACTTGGAGAGCGGAGCAGTCCCCCGGTGCCAGATCACTCAGCTCCACAAACGTGTCGGGTCCTCCAAGCAGATCCTCATCATCGCCGCCGTGCCGGATACCTCGACCATCGTGGATTGTGTAGGCCGACGCTTTGGACCCCGACTTGATGGTGGCGTAGGCGCGACTACCTGTAGACTTGGATGATCTCCCCATGCAGCTCTCACACAGCAGCAAACGTTAGAACCAGAGGCATCGAGTACTGTTGAAAGGCATGCGTCGGGCTCATTGATCGACGCCTTTTCGGTGCGCAGATCGCGATCTTAGACGCAGTGCATGGCGTCCGTCCATCAGCGTCCCTTTGTTTGGTGTTGGGCGGGACAGCGAACCAGATCGGTATAGATATCATGCGTCGGCAGCGACGAGGGCCATCGGTGGCGTTACTTGCGCTGTTGCTTGGTGCTGCAGCGTGTGCGTCTGCAGTGCCGGTTGATGTGGAGGCTGGAGACGCAGCCTTCCAGATCGCGGAAGCTTTCGAGAGCGTCCCGGGCGAGAACACGACGGAGCTTCTGGACGAGGTTGTGATGCCAGCATCATTGGAGAGCAAGGCAGCGGTGCCACCGCCACTACCAGTGGACCCGGAGCCGCGTGACTTGAGACCAGTTGAGGTATCCACAGGGAAGCATCACTACTCAAGTATCTTCCCGGTGCCCTATGGAGGGGCATTCGTTGCTGTGGAAGCTACGGCTCTTCTTGTCGGGGGAGCGACGATCGTCGTTCTACTCATCGCCAAGGCCAAAGCGCGCTCTGCTACGATTCAGTTCGAGTACGATGAAGGTGAAATGGCAGACTCATTTGCATGTAGTTTGGTTGGTTGAAGAGGCTCTGACTCGTTTTGCCCTCTGTCAACAGACTACATTGATCCGATGCTGCAATCCCTCCTGTACAGCGATATGGACTACGCGGCCATCTAGGTAGGCTGGGACAGAGCCCACAGCAGTCTTGTGCATGTTTCATTTCATGGCTCCACGCAAATTCCAGTTTCGTGTTTTCAGTTTGAATTGGAGTCATCAATGGGCAAACGCCTCCTTGCAGTTTTGGTATACTGCGACCGCCAGTTCCTCAACCGCTACTCCTCGAATCTCCGCCGCGCTATGAAGCGCAAGTTTTACCAGTGCTGGTTCGTTAGTATCGACCGAGTCTTCCTGCAGCAGCAATGGAGGGCCAGCAACTTGCTGTACCTCGCCACCAAACACCTTCTCAGTATGTTCGACGGAGGGAGCTTGGTCAGGGGCATCCGTCTCGAGCAGCAGTGCTTCGAGTGGCAGCTCCTTGCAACAAGTAGCAGCTTTCTTCATCCGCGGATCCGTCAACTGCTTGGCATTCAACGAGAAGAAGACTCTCGTGCCTCGAAGCGCTAAGAACGACCGCATCATATCCGCTGGGCCGCTGTACGAGTGAAACACCAGAACCGGTGGTAGTTGGCCTCCTCCGCGACCCACACCTAGTAGAATTTCCAGAAGTTTGCCATAGTACCCCACACAATGCAGAACGCAGGTACGGTTCAGCTCGGCCGCCAGCGCCAGTTGTGCTTGGAACACCGCCTCCTGTACCTCAATGGGAACCTGTCGCCCTCGAGCGCTCTTACACAACCCGATCTCTCCCAGCTGCATCACACACAACAAACATTATTCAGTAAGTTAAATGGATTCACTTCAGTGCAACAAGGTTCAAGTTGAAGTTGGATTAGCTAGTCGTACACTTGCTCCAGGATGTCTCGCCAATGTGTCCCTGAGTGGCCTTAGACCCTCTCCGGAACCCCCCAGCGATACCTCACCCGCCCACCACGGATGGAAACCGAACGCAGGGACGATCGCGAGCGAATTGTTCTGTTGCTGCTGCTGCTGCTGTATGAGTTGCTCCAGAGCGCGCCAGTCTTGTTCGTGCGTTGCGCAGGACACGACGTGAGTCACATCAGCATTGCGAGCCCTAGAGAGCACGCCGTCGAACTTGCGACGGCTCGATGGAGAGCTGGGAGACCACAGCCGCTCATCGTGCAAGTGGCAGTGCGCATCAAACAGTGGCAACGTCATGATGCAGCAGCGAAGTGTCGAGGCGGCGTGGTGGCGGAGCTGCTGGAGCATCCGAAATTCAACTTATGCGATTAGGGTTCCGGTTCCTGTGTAACAGCATATATTTTCCTGTCAAAACGCTTAAAATCCTTTTCCCGCCGGTTGAAGCCCATCAGGCAAAAATGAGTGGGAAAGCGAAGCAGGGGACCAAGCTCCGCGCCGTGTGGGGGCTCAACGAGGAGCAGGTGCTGCTGGAGCTGTTCGAGAAGGCGCGGCAGGACCCCGAGGCGCGCACGGGCCGCGGCGTGAAGACGCAGACATGGAATAAAATTGTGGAGGAACTCAACGAGCGCTGCAACAGCTCTTTCGTGATTGGTGAGTCATTTTTTTTTTATTTTCTTTGGGGGAAAATAAAATAGAGCCACACACCTATTCTTTTCTTGAGATGGTAAAAGAAAAAAGAACTAATCGTTGTTTTATTTCTCTTGTGTCTCCTAAAAACAGAGCAGATCCGGTCCAAGTTTTCGCGTCTCATGATCGACTACGACCTGTTCCACGAAGTGGGTGGGGAGGGGTCATTGAGTGACGAAGACTGGGAGAAAATTATTGCTAAGAGGTCCGAAAACTCGTCGAGACTCCGCCAATTCAAGGAGTTGGGCTGCCCCCACCTCGAACTTTGCCGCCGCATTGCTGAGAGCAAAGGGGGCGCAGGTTCGGCTGCCCCTCGGGCGAAGCGGGCGACTCGGTCGCACAAAGGTGCGCCGAAGGCCAAGAAGGCTTGCATTGAGGAGACCCACGAGACTGGGGGATGGGACGTCTACAAGGAGAAGTTGCTGCTGTTCCTGTGCTGGAGAGCCAAGGGCGAACCGGGCTTCTTCACGGACGGATGGGCTGAAATGACCTCGCGACTCAATGAGTACTGCACGACCAACTTCACTCTGAGTATGTGCAGGCTACTGGGTTGGTGGTTAAGCTCCGAATGCTGATGTTTTTGGTGTGGCGTTTGACTGGATGTACAGAGGAAACCAATGCCAAGTACGTCGAGCTGATGCAAAACTACAACCAGTTTAAGGCTGCGACAGGGTTCACGGGCGATCCGGCGACGATCCCCAAGAGTGACATGGACTGGGAATGCCTCATGCGCGAACGCCCGCAGCACTATGGCAGGCTTCAAAAGTTCAAGGAGGCGGGCGGGTTCCCGCATGCGGAGATCTGCAGCTTAATCAAAGGTAAGTAGAGCACTGGCAGTTTTAAAGGCGTCATAGGCGCGGGGCTGGCGAACTCACTAACCTAAGTTTGCGTGCCACGGAGCAGGGGACACACCGCCCAACGGCATGGGTGCAGCTAGCATCAGCGAGTATCTGTCGACTGGAGCTCTGCAACTCCCGGATCCGTCCAAGCCCTCGATCATCCCCAACCAGGCTCCGTCGTCGGCCCACGCGATCGCAAGTGCGCAGGCTTCACTGTCAGCGAAGGCTCTCTCGTACCTGCTGCCGGCAACCGCTAACATGGTGGCTGCGGTGACTGCGAACGGATCCGCGGCGGGAGCTGCCCCACCAGCGTCCGCGCCAGTTCCCATGACGCAGGAGCTGCACGACAACCTGAACATGTTCCTGAAGACCGCCACGGCGTATCTCGTGATGCTCATCAACGACCACAACCAGGACAGAGAGCTGTAGCGTAGCCGTCAGCTATCACCTGTCGTTTCCGTATCGTGGTTTAGGGTGCACTAGGAGCGTATTCGTTTTAGTTTTTTTCTTCTTTTTTCCGCTTGAGAACCGTCCACAAGGACATACTCTCCTTTTTTCCTCCTTGTCAACGACACTCCCTATCAAGTTTCATACAGTTGAAAACTATGAAACAGCTTAAAATATCTTTAACGTCTGGCGTGTCATTTTCGAAAAGCTAAACAAAATGAGCGTCAAGGTCAAGCAGGAGTGGGGCAAGCAGCGCGCCGTGTGGAGCGTCTCGGAGGAGCAGGTGCTCATGGACCTCGTAGACAAGGCGCGCCACGACCCGGAGATGCGCACCAAGAAGGGCCTCAAGCCGCGCGGCTGGGACGCCGTCGCTGAGGAGGTCAACCGCCGCTGCAACAGCACCTTTAACGTTGGTATGTTAAAGGGAGTTTTTCTCGAACTGTAGCAACAAAGCACTATTTTATTAAATATTTTTTGATAAAATAATGTGAGCAGACCAGCTCAAGTCCAAGTGCAACCGCCTGGTCATGGACTACGAGCTGTTCGAGTACGTGGGAGGCGAGCGCTCGTTGACCGATGCAGAATGGGACAAAGTCATCGAGGACATGCCCGAGAACGAGAAGCGGCTGACCCAGTTCAAGGAGCTAGGCTTCCCTCATGCCGACGTCTGCCGCCGCATCTCCAAGTCCAAGGAGGAGCTGCCGGAGCCCCGGCCTTGGGCCTCTTCGGTGTTGACCTCGAAACGGCCCAGTCCGCCGGACGAGGACGACCTGCCGGAAGCCAAGAAGACTCGCACTGATGTGGCTGATAAGATGGAGACTGGTGACTGGGGTCCGCGAGAGGAGAAGCTGCTGATGTTCCTGTGCTGGAGAGCTAAGACGGACAAGAAAAAGCTTGCTGAGGAAGGCACCGAGCCGTGGCTTGAAGTGACCAACGAGCTCAACAAGCACAGCAAGGCCAACTTCGACGAGGGTGCGTTGAACGGGAACGTGACAATGTGGGGGATGTTCACGGTTAGATCTAACTTTGTGATGTCATCGGTGATGCTGCAGAGCAAGTAAAGACCAAGTACTTGCAGGTGATGCAAGACTACGAGTATTTCAAATGCGCGACTGGATTCACTGGGGCTGCTGGAACCGCTCCGAAGTACAAGAAGGACTGGGACCTGCTTATGAAGGAGCGCCCGGAGCTTACGGAGGAGCTCGAGAAGCTGAAGAAAAAGGGCGGCTTCCCGTATGCCGAAGTGTGCAGCCTGATCAAAGGTTGTTAGAGATTCTGAGGCAGCTCGATGGCCCCGGTGAAACACGGTCGCCTCTGACGGTATATTGTTATGGTTGTCAATATTGCAGGAGACAAGGCTGCCGACGATATCGAGCCTGCCGGTGTTACCGAGTACTTGGCGACGGGCTCTCTTCAGCACGTTAACTCCAGAATTCTCCCGCATCTTCTGCCAGCAGCGCCGAGTACCACGACGGCGCTGGAGCTGTCTGCCCATGGGCCCAACCCAGCAGTCAACGCGGCGGCGGCAGCAGGTGCCACCCCTGCTGCGGCGCCGGCTGTCTTCACCCAGGAGCTCCACGACAATATGAACATGTTCCTGAAGACAGCCACGGCGTACCTCGTGATGCTCATCGACGACCACAACAAGGGAAGCGGAGTTTAAAACGCTCCGGTGTGCTCGCATTGCCCCGGATATGGTCACGGGATCGCGCGCTCAGCTTCAACTGCTGTATGTTTTTCAGTGCTGTGTTCACGTAGCGATCAACAACGGCTTTCGTCTGCAATTCAACGCCAAAAACGCTGTGAAGTGGAATTGATGCTCCAAAAGACACATCATCGATCAGCTTTCGCATATCACAGAATCCCGTCTATTCAAATATTGCGCAGTGCATTGCTCGATACTGATCCAAGTTAATACCTACCAACTCTCGTATAACGCGATATCCAATATTAATTTGGTCATTCTTTGATACAGGTACAGTAATTAGCCCGAGTAAGGAACGCCTGATATATATAAAGACGCAGAATATATAAATTGATGTTAAGTTGAGTATACTTTTCCAATGTACTGATTTAGTTATTTCAAAATGAACTGAAGAGCAGCTTTACCTACGAGTCCGGAATGATTCCAACAGTGGCGTATGGTCGAAGCACTAACCTTTGACCAGGCATCCTCGCACCACAACAGCGCTGTCAACTGGTCGACCTCGTAGGGATTATCTAGCCCTTCACCAAGCCGGTCTAGAGCCTGCATCATCTTGCGGGATAGAATGTGTCGCTTAATACAATGAATGATTCCTTGGTCCTTCTCCAGCGGCCGCCCCAGCAGGACTGCACTTGACTTGATTATGCGGCATATCGTTGTCTTGCCTGGGGCGGCCGGGAGGCTGAACTCCGTCACAGCCCACTCAGCCAGGCCCCTGTAGGAGAGAGCAGGTGTGCGGGCTGCCTTGTCGAGGATGCCCACTTTCTCAGACCAAGTGAGGCGGAGACGCTTGGACGGTGTGGACTTCATGGGTGGAGTGGGGGAGGAGGTGGGCTTGTGGGGCGAGGTGCAAAAGCAAAAGTGCGAGTCTACCACTACGGTACATGTAGTTTGAAGTCTAGTAAGATCGCTAAATGCGCGCCATTTTTCAAACGAGGGTGGAGAGCTGATGATTGGCACTGGATTTTTCACCTTAGTACTTTAGTACCTTGCAGTACCTTGCACATCCCCCTATCGCCACATCGACTGGAAAATAATATTAAATATGTGAGGCTATTAGTTGCACACCCGTTCCTTATTCGGGCAGAATTCTGTAATCAGCTTTTCCAAACGGCCGGTATTTTTTGGGTGCAGGCTACAGTGGGACAGCGTCGTTCCACCGCCGCACCCACCGCTCCGTAAAGTCCGCACTCAACCTTCACCCCCAATGTTTCTTTCCGTATCACCGAAGGCTCACAGTACTCCCGCTTCCCCCCACTGTGTCCGGCAAAAGTCCGTTACACACCAAATGTTTTGACCAGCTACATACTGTTTCAAAGTCTCTAAGACCTCCATAGTGCATGGCATGACGTCTCCGGGAGGACGCTACGGCGCGGCCGCGTCGCCGCGCTCGAGCTTCGTGCTGCTGGAGAGCGACGAGCAGCTGTCGCCGGGCCGCCCCGCGCCCGTGCGCGCGCCGCAGTCGCTGCACTCGTTGCGCCGGCTGTACCCTCCAGCGTCGTCCAACGACGGCGACGGCACGCGCAGCGAAGGCGGCGACGAGCGCTCCACCCGCCGCCGCCGCCTGGACTCCATCAGCGACCTGTTCCCCATGACGGGGGCCGGCGTGTTCACCAACCCAGCCAACATCATGCCCACGCGAGAGGCCTCGATCCTCATCGACACGGACGTGCAGCAGGCGGCGGCGGCGCAGGACGCGGCGCACCGACTCGGCATGCAGCCGGCGGGCTCCTCGATCCTGCACTCGGTCATGGAGCAGAAGGCGGAAGGCCGCGGCAGCCGAGTGACCAGCACGACCGACGTGTCGGGTCGCAACGGGTCGTCCGAAGGGGACCCGCTCGCGCAGAACACGCCGAGCGAGAACACGCGCTCGCGCAGCAGCTTCCTGGACGGCATCCAGCCCATGGAGCCGGCGGATCGCGGCGCGCGGTGGGCGCTGCGGCTGCGCAAGTGTTTCAAGTGTCAATGTCGCCATTTCCATCATTGGCGACCAAAGCAGAGACTCGTGTCGCTGTGGAGACGCATGGTGCCCAATTGGGACTCGCTGGTGCTTAAAGGAACGCTGGTTATGGCCGTGTTGAGTGTGCCCGTGGCGGTGGTTGTTGCTGCGGTGCTGTCACATGCAGCGCCTGATAAAGTACACATGGTTGCACGGTGTGCAGTGTCCGGGAGCATGGAGAGCTACTCGGCATCGACGGCCAATGTGGCGGCAGTGCTAATCCCAGCTATGAACAACTTTGTGTTCTTGATCGTCTCCTTCTGGCTCGGAATGCTCTGCAGTCAGAGTCGAAAGCGGGTGTTGCGAAGCGCACCGTGCAGCATCAGCTCGAATCTGAGTACGTCCCCGTATTTATCTTTCGCATAGATGGCTGCCATCTAACGCTCTACTTGCTTTCTGTCTTTGACAACAGAATCTGCGTTCATGCTTCCATGCTACGAAGCAATCTGGTACACCATTTCGGCGTTGTCGGCTACGGGGCTGATTCTGTACTTTGTCAGTTTTCAAGCGTACAAGAACGATAGTGGCAAAACTTACAGCGCGTTGAAGCTGAATGATGACCCCAGTTACCCGTGCAGTATCCCCACGGTGCCGTCTGTGTGGGTGCTGCAGTTACTGCCAATGCTCATGATCCAGCGCAGCGTATCCCAAGAAGCAGTGCGACGTGCAATCTTCTACTCCGGCGGGGTATGCATTATCTTTGTGATATGCAACATGACCCTGTACAAGGTTGGGCACGATATCGCCGACATCATCACGATGACCATCCACGTGCTACTGCTTGTATTCTACTTTTGGGCCAAGTTCGTTTTCCACGCTCGAGCTACTTTCGATTTCTTCTTCGTCGCCGCTGTGACTACCTCAATCACAAACATCACAAGCTCTGTCATGGGGCTCGCCCGCGTGGATACGACCTCCACGCTCCCTATTGTGCACTGTGTCGTCTTTGGATTGGACGCGCTCATCGTCGTAGCGGTTTTACTGTCACTTCGCGCCGACACCAGATACTGGTTGGCCATCGACGACAATGGATCGGGTGCGACGGCCTCGTCAAGTGCAATGCGTCGCTACATGAACTTGTTATCGGAGCGCGGCATGATCACCAACTTCTCCACCCGTACGTCAGTGTACGACGTGCACCACATGATCGAGGAGCATCGGCACAACGTTGTGGATTTTTCCGCGCTGAAGCTGGACTGTATTATCGCTCAAGGCGCTACGTCAATTGTCATGCGCGGAACACTGCGAAGGAGTACCCCCGTGCCTATCGCCCTCAAGATTTACACCGATGTGCAGGTGACGAACGAAGAAGTGCAGCGATTTTCGCGAGAAACTGCATTAAACGTGCAGTTGTCGCACCCTAATGTTGTTCGTTTCTACGGCTTGTGCGTGGTGCCGCCGTCTATCTCGCTCATTTTTGAATTCTGTGAGTACGGAGCTCTGGACGTGACGTTGCGCGAAAACCCCGAGATTTGGACAATGGCGGCTAAGCTGAAGGCGTGGCTGGATGCGTGTCGTGCTGTTGCCTACTTGCACAGCTTCTCGCCTCCGCTCCTTCACCGTGACATCAAGACGGACAACTTCCTAGTGGGTCAAGACTTCCTGATTAAGCTTGCGGACTTCGGGGAAGCTAACTTGCTGCGACCACGGACCGACGGAACGATGACTATCGCTGGCACTGTCGACTACATGGCCCCGGAGATGATCAAGGGCGGCAAGACAGCTCGCTACGGAACGGCAGTCGATGTGTATAGCCTGATGATCACACTGTGGCAGATCATGGTGCCTTCGCGTAGTCCGTGGGAGTCCAAGACTCACCTGGAAGTGTATCGGTCGGTGGCAAACGGCGAGCGACCCCCACTATTACCGAGCATCCCGAAAGCTTGCGCGGAGGTCCTCGAAGCCGGCTGGTCCGCCAACCCAGGCGACCGCGTTGCTGTCGAGGATATTATTCCCTCTGTCCATCGTCTCTGGCTGCTGGCAATGCACCAGAAGCCTCTGAAGCGCACGAAGCATTGAGGTGACTCGGGACTGTGCCTAACTTCCCACCCAGGCTATGTAGACTGGGGCGGAGGTTGTACGCTTTTATCTATATTGTGAATTCTGTTGAATAAGTACCCCCTAGCGGAAGGTTTAACGACTAGGATTCATTCCGCACATTTTGATCATAGTTCGGTTAATGAGCGCGGAGGCTCCGAGGGCGCCTCATCTTCCTTCTCGCGATGCCGGTGCTTCCGTGACGAGCCGCTCTTCTTGTGATGTGAGGACTGTGAGGCGTTGTCCTTCTCTTTCTCTTTCTTCTTCTTCTTGCCGCTCTTCGACTTGCTTTTGCTTGAACCGTGAGGCGTCAGCGCTTTCGATGAAGTGCCTTGCTTCCGAAGTACTTTGTCTCTCTGAGCTTGTCGTTGCTTGACTTGAAGTCGTTTCTTACGCTCCTTCTCCTTTGCCTGCATCTGATCCCAGTCTGCGTCGAAAGCTTGAGACTCAACCTTACCCAGAACCGACTCGTCATCCACCGACGCGTCTTCGGGGTCATCCACACTGCCATCTACCGACGGGGTCGTTGACGAAGGCACCGACGGCGACGCATATTTACCGAGCTCGACATTATCGTCCACTAAAGATGAAGGCGACGGTGGTGATGACTCGACCAGCTCGGAAACGGAGCTGCTGGTTTGAACAGTAGGTTCGGACGCTCGTTTCTTCGGGGCTTGGATCTCGAAGCTGAAGACCCCGTCCTCGCTTGTAAGCGATTCTCTGTCGCCATTCTCACTGCCAGCACTGTCGGCATCGTGGTCAACTGCCGTAGTAGCCATCGGTGTAGTCATCGACAGGAAATCCACGTCACCAGACTTGTCAAAAATGTCGAATGTAGAATCTGACGGTATAAGCGGCTCTGCCTTTGATACTCCAAGAAACACCTCCATGCTTGGCTCTGAATGCACTACATCTTCAGCTGGATCATTAGAACTTCCAGTCTCCTTCGCGTTTGCGCTCGGTTCGGCCGCTACAACTGGCTTGGTGAGATCAGTCGGGAAAATGACTGGAGTGACTGGTGTCAACCCGTCTTTATCGTCAGGACTTTCTCCTCGAGTTGGCGCGATTTGGAAAGACGATTCAACGGTTTCTCTTTCATCCACAGATTCTAACAAAGACGCCAAGTCTCCTTCGCCAGTCAGACTTAGATTCACGCTCTCACCCTCCAATGTGCTGACCGACATCCAGTTTGATGCTGCATCCGCAAGAAAAGCACTTGGAACTGGAGCAGACGTGTCTTTGAATTTTCCAAGAGCATCAGCTTTAGCCACCTCGACGTCCGACCCAGTGTCCAGCAAACGGGGCGCCAACAAGTCCGTCGAATTATCAGCAGCAACACTGTCGTCGGGATTTACAGATAAATCGGGAGGGTCTCGACGGGATTTACGCCGTCGCGACTTGGTTTTCCGCATCTTTGCCCAGTTAATTGCAAATTCCTCATCCTCGTCAACTTCGTCCAGACTTTGAGCACTTGAATCAGAGATGTGGCCACTGGGTTCTCTGCTGATAGATGTCACGGAGTTCTCGTTGTCCGCTGCAATGGACGCACTGCCACTTTCTTCCCCGTCTGTTAAGGATGTGGAAGACGCTTGAGAGAACAGTCCACTCCTAGGCTTTATAATCTGTGCAGGCTGAGGCTTCACCGCAGAACTGTCGGCGTCTTCAGCGTTGGCGTTATCTCCACCGTAGAGTTTAGCCACATCATGGTCATCAGATGTGTCGAACAGAGCATCAATCGGGTCTTCCTCCTCTGCTTGCCTTTTCATAGGTTTCAGAGCCGGAATAACGTCGACCTGTACTGGTGCAACCAGCTGATCATCCGACGTGACCCCAGCGTTCTCCACATCATCGCTGGTATCCCGTCTCGAGAAAGATTTCTTCCCACGCCGTCCTTTCAGTGACGCAAACTCTGGTTCACTGTCCGAGTCAACTTTAGTTGCCACGACATCATTGATTTTGCGACTTGACCGACGTCTTGACTTTTTGCTCTTGGCTTTTCCTGGCTTGGGGGCAAGCTCTTCCTCGTCGTCGCTAGCCTCTTCTTGACCAGCCCCGCTTCTCGTTGCCCCAGTCTGGAAAAGAGCTTCGTAGCTAGTTGCACCACCGAGAGTCTCTGCTTCGTTCGGACTGTCTTCGAATAGATCAGCAAACGAATCCTTGCGCTTCTTGACGTGCTTCTTCTTGCTACCAGGTCTCTTCCTGCCTTCCCGCTTTGGTGCTGGCTGAATCGATATAGCGTACGGATCACCTGGCTTGCTACTCTCCTCATCGCTGCTGTCGTTGTCAAAAATGCTCTCTTTTCGGGCACTCGGTCTTGTAGCACTGTGATGTTGCTTAGCCACGTGACTGGTACCCCCAACTCCTTTCCGAGTACGAATGAGCTGCTTCAGCGCCGCCAGCTCGCTCTCCAAAGAACTAATCTTGTCGACAATGATTTCCGCCACCTCATCATCAACTTCTTCAGCCCCACCATCCTGAGAGACGGCAGTGCGCGCGGTAGGACGCACAACTGGCTCAGAGGAAGCATAGTAATCGTGTCCACTACCTCTGGACGCTGGTTTCTCTAAGACCACCTGTGGCACTTCCAACTCCGTTGATTCTGATCGACTGACAGACCGAGCAGCTACCGCGCGTGGAGGAATTCGTGCTGCGATGTATCCACCCGTTGCAGGGTCAAACACATAGTCATTCGGCTCTTCAAACTCGGCGAAGAAATCATCAACAGACTCCTTGCCTTGAGCTTTTTTCACCGTTGAACTGCGCTTCAAGTCATCCATAATGTTTCCAACTGGTGCTGTTTGAGCGGAAGACGCGTCGTAATGAAATGACGATTTCCGGTTCTCATCATAGACTGCACGAGGTTGAAGACTCGTTGGCACAGCATATGTGGCGGTTCCAAAGCCAGGAGAGGATCGGACGTTGCTCCACGTAAATCCAGAACCTTCCGACTGGGATGCGTCTACCCGATCATCCAGTAGTGACGTCGCTGTAGATTGTCTACACGTCTCAGCAGGACCGTTGAGTGAGCGAGCAGCGGGCTGATCAGATGGTGGTCCAGCCCCTAGCAACATGCCATCACCTTCGTCAAAAGACCGTCGTTGATCGAAGCGAGCAACTCCAACTGCAGAAGCTCCGTACGACGCTCGACCTGCTGCAGCAGCTCCTGTCGTTGCCCACGCGCTTGCACCCGTCGAACTGTACCGGTCACTGGATACGTTGTTTTTGGGCGATTCGAAAAGATCGTCAAACGTACCTCGGCGCTTACGTTCAGACTTTAGCTGGGGTACATCGTAGCTCTGGTTTGCTCCAGTGACCTGAGGAGGAACTGAGGCCTCAAAGCGAGAGAAGGTTTCTTTCGAGTCGACGTATCCTGCCATGGTGAATCGAGTAGTTTCTGCGGGAGCTTCTTCTTTTTGAGTGCCTGCATAATAGTCCATCACAGTATGTCGCTCCAGTCTGCTCGTAACTTGCTCGTGCGTGCTGGTACTATCGAGCTGACTGGTGTTCATTACAGTCAGGTCCTGCTTCTCACTGTCATCCATTACTGGCGGGGGCACAACAGAAGTTCGAGGCACCGGAGCAGGTTTCGGTGGCGTGGTAGGCTTCTCTGTCGCCTTGGATCCCATACCGAAGAACCGCTTGAGTGCGCCTGTGAGCCCACCCTTTGCGCTTTTGTTCCCAGCACCATCACTTGCAGTCCGGCTACGTCGTTGAGCTTCAACCGGAGAGTTTGACGTATGTGACGGAGGATCCACGATACTGTACGAGTCTTGCTCGCTAGAGAACCGGTGCGATGGCACTGTCGGAGGCACCGCCGAACCATTTACCCACGCCATATCCTTCGCAAGCTGCTGTTGCTGCTCCTCTTTCTTCTTGCGCTGCGCCTCTCGCTCCGCTATGGTTGCTTCGAAGAACCCTGGAGAGTTCTCAACAACCAATTTGTCGGCATCGTCGTCGTAAAACGTAGGCTGAGCAGGAGTGAGCGTGGGGCGTGGCATGGCAGACGCGGGCAGGCGAGACTCATCTTCCGACGAATAGGACGGATTCAGCTCGTCCATCGTCATGCTTTGGTCTCCTCGAGCACGAGGCTTGCTAGCCTTGGCTTTCTTCTCTTTCTTCGCCTCTGTGGGCTCTTGGTGCTTGGTCCCGCTGAAAATGTCCTTCAGGTTGTCTTTGAACGTTAGTCGCGGCTGAAGTTCCTGCTCATAACTTGAATTAAAGTCGGCTTTGTCATTCTCTGGGCGTTTGCCACCGGGCTGCACGGCATCGTAGCTGTAGGGAGCATCAACTGCCTGTTGTTTTGGCCTAGGCATAGCAACTGAGCGAGCGTCTTCATGGCCAAGCCCGGGCCCACCCACATCATCATATTTAAATTGCTCGGAGAAGTACCCGTTGCCACTCAGCTGACTGGGCTTGGCACTGTGGTCCGCGTGGGTCATAGTAGCACGCTGCTGCTTCGGCCTCGGCATCTCGACGGTCGAGTCGTCGTCATGACCAAGACCTGGTCCCCCCACATCGTCATATCGAAATTGCTCAGAGATGTAGCCATTGCCCGTGATACCAGCAGTCAGTCTGCTGCCAGCAATCGGTGCAAGCACTGATGGTTGATCAGGCGTGACGGTATACGTATCCTTTACACGATCTCTCCACCCAGGTCCCTTCGATCCTTCCTCACTCTGGTCGTCAGCACTACCCCAAGATTGTGTCCGCTGACCCGGCACGTCAGTAAACCATTCGTCATCTGCACCATCGAACAGCGCCGCTGCATTTGCCGACGGCTTCTCTTCAACCTCCTCCATCTGTTGTCGTGAGATCCTCGCCGTCTGAACCGGCACAGCATTCCCCTTCTTCTCCAGCTTCTCTCTCTTCTTCCGTTCTTTCTTCTCCTTCTTCTCCTGCTTCTTCCTCGCCTTCTCCCCGTCTCCATTATGCTTGGGGGTGAACGCACTCACTAGCGACGAACGCAGATTGCTTTGCTTTACTTCACCCGCCATCGAAGACGCTGGCGTCACGTCCGCCTCATCACTCGAGTCGTCGAACAAATTCGACGCCGTATCCCGCCCATTGGCGAGCGTCTCCCGGTCGTACGCGTCCTGCTCCGCCAACAGCTGGTTGTTGCACGCGGAGCACACTCGGTGCTTCCTGTGCGAGAACTCGAAGAACAGAAACGACGAGCAGTCCGAGCACATGACGCGCCCGCAGTGGCGGCAGTGGTGTTTGCGCCGCATGAGCGAGAAGTCCGCCCTGCAGAGGCCGCACCTGCTCACCGCGACGTCCGACTGCCACTGCACGTCGAACAGCTCCTGGCTGTCCTTGCGGCGCGCCTTGCCGTGCTTCCGGCGGCGCTTGTCCTGCTTCCCAGAGACTGCCAAGTCCGTCGCATTGCTCGCGTACGACCTGGAGACGGCGCTGGAGGCTGCAGGGCTGCGAGCAAGCGATCGACTACCTGGGGTCAATGGCTGCGCTGCTGGAGACGGAGAGTTGCGCGGTTTCCGCTGCGTAGCAGGCGACGACGCGGCCGGAGGGGGGTTCCCGTACAAATCGTCGAATTCGCCGTCATCCTGGGGGAGTTCCCAGCAATAAAAACATGAGCGTGGAGGTGAGAACGAGAGGAAGGGGGTGAAATAGGAGAGAGTGTGGTAGGAGGCCTACCTCGTCGAAGAACGGGTCGTTCATGACGCCGCGGAGCTGCGGCGAGCAATGCAATGCTCGCTGCACTGCACAGCTTTTGTTCTCTTTTGAGACTGAAATGCTTGAGTTGATGGAGCAACGTAAACGCAACTTCTGCGCAACTTAAAGCTGACTTCAACGTCAACCTGTATCTGGGGGCTTGATGCTCGTTGTCGACATGTATTGCAGTAATACGAGTAGTTCTATAGCAAAGCGTACGTTGGTAAAGCTCTACTTTAGTTCTCTTCGATGTAGACGCGGCTTGGGAGCGAGAACCCGTTGAAGGTGGAGCCCGTGGCGAAGCTGTAGGCCCCCATCCGCGGGAACGTGATCCAGTCCCCGACTTCCAGCACGGGTAGCGCAGTCTCTCGGGTGATCGCGTCCTTGCCGTCCATCGTCGGACCCCACACGCTGCATGGAACCGGCGTCGACTCGTCCTTGTTTGCTCTCTTCAGCACTACAGGGTCCGGCACAACGCACAAGTGGGGCGTGCTGAAGGAGCCATGCTTGCCGTCGTTCACGACGTACATGTAGCGCGGCTCCTTGGCTTCACTCTCGGGATCGGTGAGCTCCGGGTCGACCTTGCGTCCGATCACGTTCACCGTGAGCGTGGCGCAAGCCGATACGAAGTACCGTCCAGGCTCGGAGATGATGTCAACGCCGCTGTCTTCGGGGAAGAGCTCGTCCAGCACTGCATTGATCGCTTTAGCCGCGTCCTCGAACTTGACCGGCCCAAGGTCATCGCCAGCAAAGCCACCTCCAAGATTGAGCAGTGTGAACTTGTACCCGGCATCCAAGCCCATAGTAAACGCCTGTTTGGCGCGCACGATCGCATCGACGAATGCACTCGCCTCCAGAACGCCGACGCCGACGTGGAAGCACACCCCGACAACATTGAGCTCCAGGTGCTTCGCCGTCTCCAGCAAAGCCGGAACATCTTCCATTGGCGTGCCGAACTTGGGGCCGAACTGGTGACGCGCCTTGGAGTCGTCCACTTGCAGACGCAGCACGAGCTTCGCCTCGGGGAACTCGCTCTGGATCTTGAGCAGCTCGTCGCGCGAGTCGAACACCATGAGCGGGACGTCGTGCTCGCGAGCGAAGAGCAGGTGCGAGCGCTGCTTCATGGTGTTGGCGAAGATGATGCGCCCGGGCGGCACGCAGTGCTCCAGCGATAGCGCCACCTCCGACTGGCTGGCGCAGTCCACGCCGGCGCCGAGCTTGGCCAGCAGCGACAGGACCCGCGCGTCCGGGTGGCACTTGACGGTGTAGAAGGGCAGCACGCGCGGGAGCTGCGCCACCATGCGCCTGTACTGGCTCGCGACGTGCCGCAGGTCGATGGTGTAGAAGGCGTCCTCCGCCGCGACGCCCAGCGCTTCAATGTGCGCTCGAGACGCCGCCAACACGCTCTCGTCCAGCATGGCAGCAAGGTTGCTTGAAGGGGTCCCTATGGTGCAGCTTCAATTGTGACAGCTTGGCACTGCTACGAGGAGGGCATCAGGATGCAGCAGCAGCGGCACGTGAGCATTGGCCGAAAACGAAGTGAGCGACCTGGTCTTGCACTTGCTGACGCGAATCAGGAAGTGCAGCGACCTTCACTCCGTTTCGTCACAAGAAGTACAGACCTTTTAACGGTGGTGGTAGAGGGGGATGGGCGGCATGGCTACACTTAACAGGCAAGTCGGGTCGTGATCATGGTGATCATGAAGTTCAGTCTCCAAGGGCTTCAACTTGCCCTCTCCTTCAGCTTGAGCTGCTTAATCTTATGCGAGCACCTGGCAGCAATGGCGAGATCAGCTGGTCCGCTGTTAAACGTGGAGATCCTGCTGTAGGGTCACGCGTGGTGCCACAAAGACAGTCGGTGGACTCGCTGCCGTCAGCTCGAGCGCTTTGAATCTACATATGCGGCATCGATCGTGCAAACGAGGCTGTCTTCTACAACGACGACAACCGTGCCAAGCCATGTCATTGTCCGAAGCATGCTGCCAGGAGGCATGCTCCGACGTGCTTGGAACGGAACGGAACCTTCTCACCATCTCGCACTAAAATCACGAGCCGAAAAAAACTAAGAGGCTCAGTTGTGCGATTGCCATATCCCAGCACCATGCCAATGAACCTCTGGATTCTGCCACCAGACGATCGCCATTCTTTTGTGTGGGCGGCAACGGCGAGCTGCCGCTTCAAACTGGCGCCGTGCGTCCAGCTGTCGACCGGCGTCATGGCGTTGAACGCGCAGAGAATAGGGGCAGACCCACGTGAAACGCGCTAGGCTTTCTTTGCTGATCGCTTGGCCTTCTGCTTGGCGAAGCGGTGTACTAATGTCGTCCGCCCAAATACCACCACCACTCTCGATTTGGACTCGCATCGCACACGCCACACCACGGCACTGGCGATCTTCCACTAATATAGCTTCGATATATAGCTCCCAGCACCTACGGATGACCATCGACGCTCTGTTCCACAGAGCCCGGCGGCGTCGAGCCCGTCCGACCGGCGCGCGGCTGCCCATCAAGTCCTCCGCGCTGCTCGCAGCGCTGCTCTTCGCCATGGACGGCCTCGACGGCAAGACACGCGTGGTTTCTGCTGCGTCACCGCTGCTCCGAGGACCTGACGCGCTGGACGGCAACTGGGAGCGGATGTTGGCTGGAGGAGGCGCCGAAGAGGGCAACCCGTACTGCCACAACTCGGCGTCGTTCCTGGGCGTGGGCAACACCCAGTGCCTGCACGAGAACCTGCGCACGGCCGTGTTCCTGCTGGCGGTGATCGTCGCCGTGTCCATCGGCGTGGACCGGCTTATCCACTACATCCGCACCGCCATCAAGTGTCCGCAGCTCCGCAAGATCGTGAACCGAATCTTCGAGGAGGTGATGATCCTCGGCTTCTTGTCCATGGTAATCTTCACGCTCAACACGAGCGGAGCATTGAAGTCGCTCGCGCTCAACAATCTCACAGCCTCGGAGCAGCTCCACTTCTACGAGTTCTTCCACTACGTCGTGTTTCTCACCATGATCTACTTCATCATCATCGTGCTGCTGCTGCTGTTCATCGGTACCGTGGTGCCCAAGCTCATCTGGGAGATCAAGAAGCACCCGAACGAGCGCCGAGAGAGCATCAGCGACATCCACGACGATACCTACGACCCTCAATACCCCAGCGTTGGTGGAAGCATGAGCGACCGTGACGACTGTGGAGGTAGTCGCCGTATGCGGCACTCCTTCATCCGAGACGCCTCCTCGTTGGCCCGCGACCTCAACCCGCACAGCTCGGGCAGCAGCTTCATCGACGATGGAGATCGCACTCTTGACACGCCGTCCGACGACTACTACGTCGCGATGCGCGCCCGCCAACGCTCTGAGGGGGACGGGGTGTACCGCACGATGGCCATGAGGACGAGAGCGCTGTCTGGCATGGACCTCGTCTTGGGATCGAGGGCGTACAGTTTGCTACTCCAGAGATACCAGCGCGAAGGCTGGGGCTTCCACTACAACATTCGCAAGCAGTGGAACCTCTGGAAGAGCTTTGAGATCCTCGCGTACAATATCTGCCAGAACAGGAGCGGATACATCTACAAGAACCCGTTCGAGATGGAGCGGCTATTTGGTGTCCGACCGTCAGCCCCTGCCCGTCCGTTGGGCGCGCGAGAAACTGGCGGCGCCCAAGAAGAGGACGGCTTCGAGAACGAAGATGACGAGAACCGGATGACGTACGCCAAGTACCATGTACTCTGCATGCGCAACCTGCTGTTCCACATGACCAACATCCATCCAAGCGGGTTCCTCATTCTCCTGGTAATCTGTCTGCTGCCTTCCATCTTCCCTGAGCAAGATCACTGGATCTTCATCGGCGTGGGAGCTTCGCTGCTGCTCGTGAACGTCGTCATCTTCTTCAAAGTGCTGAAGATATTGCGCGGCATCGTCGACGATCGCCTACGGGTCATTACGATGAGAGACATCCAGGCGCGACTTGACAAGGTTCTCAAAGCCTCAGAAAGCCGCAGTCGACGCAAACGGCGGCCCACCACCGCTTCCGCCTCTGACTCGGCGCCAGTATCAGTGAACGAGTCGGAAGAAGACTCGAGTACGCCCAGCGACGACCTTCAATGCATCGTGAAGGCTCGTCGCAAGAAAGGACCGATGAAGTTCAAGGTGGCTGCGCTCGCTGTTCGTGCTACGATCCGAATGCAGATGTCAGCGCTTTGCCACCGACAACTACACCACCACGATGATCGGTTCTGGTTCAACAGTCCGAAGCTGCTGCTGCGAATGTTTCAATTTGCCACCATCGGACAAGCCTTCTACCTGGTGTGGCTCTCGCTCGTGGAGATTAGCAGCCTCACGAATGCTTCGTCTTCAAATGGTGGTGGATCAGCTCTCCTGGCAGTTATGGTGATCTTCCCAGCGCTGTCACTCATCGTAATCACACCACTCACGATGCCAAGCCTTGTCTTGGTCATGAGTCTCACCGGCATTTTCGTGGATCTCAACGTGAGCAACGTCGAAGAGGGAGTGAAGCACCACAACGTAACTCAAGAAGAGGTGAAGACGCACATGCGAATCATGCGTCGTTCGTTCCTGAAGAGCCACTACTCGGAAGGAGCGGGATATCAACCACCACCTGCGACGCTGCCACTTGGTCCTGCTGCTCCAGACGATCTACCCGACCCAATTCCCGATCAGCGAGACTCCGTGGCGTCACCGACGAGTGTATTCCTTCGCATCTACGACTCCCCAGCAGCTGCCGTCAACGCTAGACGCAGTGGATCTCTGTTCTTTCCGCCAAACAATAACCACTCGATCGGCCGCAACAACTCGCTGGGTCGCAATAATTCGCTAGGTCGCAACAACCCTCTCAGTCGGTGGAGAGGCCACAGCAAATCTGTTGGAAACATTGGAAGTACGTCGGATTCTCAGGATGACGGTGGGTATGGCAGCTCTCGGCGTGCTTTCAATCTCGCGGCATTCCAATCCATGGGTGGAGTTCTTCCTGCGACTCCTTCGGGTGCCACGGCGAACAACATCGATAACCAAGCAGCTCAATCAGCGTCATCGTTCAGCAGCAGCGCTGGCAGTATGTGCAGAAGCCCTCGACCCTCTCGAATGGAGATCAATACTCCTGGACCCACAATGAACTGGAGCCAAGCCAACGTGGATCCAAATGTGGATATCGGCAACAACAACGCCGACGCGGACATTGAGCAGGAAAACGACCAGGAACAGATTCCAAGCCCTGTGTCTGCAACCTTCAAGAGCTACTGCTCTAAATATGGCGGTTACCCGGACTTGTAATTGCCATGACGCCTAAGTACGTGAATTTGCATGTTGCCTTTTGGATTAAGTGAGCAACAAATAAAAAGCATAAATAAGAGCCACGAATGAGAGATGATATCAACATACTAACAAAGCAAATCACTCACATAGCCAACGCTTCCGGACTCAAACACTTCGGTTGGTGCAGCAGCAGCAGCCAGAACCAACCACGAACAACCCGTAAGTGAGGAAAATCAATGTTTCTTTAACCCTTGATCAGGTGCCAACCAAAACCGAAAGCAGACCGTACCATACATTCGATCACACTCACTCGCACACAAGCCTTTTTCTCGAGCAATGTGCCTCATCCCAAACCCACGGTGGTGCTTGAACTGTTCTGGTGCGGAAGAACACCATGCCTCATGCTGCTCCTTCTACGCTGGCGGAGGCAGTCGCCCCTAATGGCTTGTATGCGTACTTCGGTCGGAGTGCGCGCTTCTCCTCCTGCACAATAAAACCACATTTGTCAGCTTCGTGCAGCAAGTATGCGCCCCAGACATCATCACGTACCATGGATGTCTTTTCGTCGGAATACACAAGCCCGAGGTCATTTTTCACTGCCTTCTGTGCTGCACCGTCGAACACGTTCGTATTGCTCACTGTCGTGCCCTGAGCTCCCACTCCGGGCGGCGGCACTCCCATGGGCACTGGTTGACCCGCGTATGGAAGACCGACTTGAGGAGGTGGCACCACGGCGCCCGGAGGCGGCGGACCTCTTGCCCACGGCTGCGGAACACCACCATATCCCGGGTAGCCCTGCGGTGCTACCATTCGAGGAGGCGGCATGACACCGCCAGGAGAACCTCTAGGCGGAGGTGGCGGAATAGCGCCTCCAATCCCAGGAGGAGGGGGCCGCATCGGCATCCCGACACCAGGGGCACCCGGATACTGCATCGGAGGAGGCGGTCGGCCGCCAATGAACGGTGGAGGCGGCATGCCTCGACCCGGATAACCTCCCATCATTGGTGGGCCATGTGCATCCAGCCTAGGCTTCTTGGTGACTCCTCCATCCGCGTCTGCAATAAAATAATAAATAAAAAATGATATAAACTTGCCAGACTTTGTATAGTGTCAATAAACCAGGAAGTGCAGGCTCACCTGGCACGCCTTCCATGCCGTAGACCTCGACCTCCACGCTCTCCTTGCCCGGCTTGGCGTTCGGGATGCTCTTGAGGCTCTCCTTGTGCACCTGCTGCGTGTGGATGAGCATGCCGCTGACGGTGCTGAGCTTCTTGTGGCAGGTGGGGCACTTGAAGTGGCGCGCCTTCTGGTGCAGGATCAGCACCTTCTCGTCGTCGAAGTTGCGGTCGCAGTAGTAGCAGAAGATGCGGCGCTGCTGCGAGGCCTCGCCGCCGTCGTCACGCCGCTTCTTCTTGCCCATGTTGCCTCCGACGTTCTAAAGAGCCACGGCGATCCGTTATTGCTGCTGAAATCGTGTGGCGCACACCAGATATGTGGGTGATGTGGTGCACACAATGTATCCATCTACATAATCGCGCACTTCCAGCAGCTCACTTCACTTGACTATGGTGTCCGTGCTGTTCGTGTGTCTGGGCAACATCTGCCGCAGCCCCGCTGGCGAGGCCGTGCTCAAGGGCATCGTGGCCAAGAAGGCGGGCGCCGACGCGTCCTCGTTCCACATCGACTCGTGCGGCACCGGCGGCGGCAACCCCAACTGGTACGGCGCCGGCGGCTGGTCGTACCACGAGGGCGACGCGGCCGACTCGCGCATGACCAAGGAGGCCAAGAAGCGCGGCTATGCCATGACATCGCGCTCGCGGCCGCTCAACAAGCAGGACATCGACGAGTTCGACTACATCATCTGCATGGAGGACAAGAACAAGACGGCGGTGCTCGAGGCCGCGGAGGCCTGGGGCGGCGCGCCGTGTCGCGACCTCGCCAAGCAGAAGATCTCCATGATGACCAACTACTGCAAGACCTTCAAGGACGCCACGCGCGTGCCCGATCCGTGGTACGAAGGCGGATTCGATCATGTGCTTGATCTATTGGAGGACGCCTGCGACGGACTCTACGACCACATTGTGGCCAACAAGAAGTAGATGCGGTCGGGCTGTTGGGGCCAATTGAGGAGACTTACACAATGTGGAACCTCAGCATGACAAAGAGCAGCAATGTCTTCAACACCAAAGACCGTTCTTGGAATTTGGGGCGGACTGCTGCGTGATGCCGTAAGTGGCAGGTTTGAGTTTAGTTTGGTGAGCAGGTTGGTCATAGAAAATGGAGAATTTTCAACTTTGAATCTCGTTAATTATGCTACATGTAGTGTGACAGCGCGTCATGCCTTGCAACTGGAATCCCTCCGATGTGCTTGTACTTGCAGTGAAAGTGTTGCTAAGCAGATTGTAGCTGGAGGTTGCCGTCGTCATCGAAAGCGTTGAAGTGAGGCGCTGCTGCTGTTGGCTGGTAGTCCTTGATCAAGCTGGCTGAGTCGGTTGCAAGCTGAAAGAATTGCTCTAGGAGAACATCCTCATCGTTGTCGATACGTCGCAGGTGCATTGCAGGATCGCTATCGGGGGTAACTAAAGCGACTGCGCTCTCAGCTGATTCCCACACTGGTAAGGGACAACGCTCACCATTATCCATCCAGTCTGGATCTTGAAGCTCCCGTCCTTCATCTTCCGCTATTTTCAACTCTCGGGCGCTTGCTACTGCGATCACGTCGCTGGGGCGAGTCAAGTCACCAAGTTGCCGAGCAAGATAGCGCATACTGCCTGCTACGTGCTAAGGATATTTGTCAGTTCGCTGCAACAACGGCCATATACGAGAAGAAGGAAAACAAGATACACATACACACCACCTACATCGGTCTCCTGAGGAGGGGATTTCTTTGCTTGCATCAAGCGCTGTGCATTTGCCTGGACAAAATAACAGAATAAAGTGAGTTTACCTCAACGATTGGGCGGTCAGAATGAAAAAATCGCACACTGACATGGAGAAATCGGGAATGTTCACGTTCCAAGCGTGTAGCTGCACGAACAAATCTCCCCACGCGAGCAATTGTCACCCACGCAGGCTTGCCATAAAGCACTTCATTTTCTGGCCTCCGTCTCTTCCCTTTCAGCTTTGATAGAAACAGTTGTGTCGCTGGTAGCGGGGTAACTGACGCTGCATCTTCGGCAAGAAGATCGCTGTACGTACGTCGGGGCGGTTCCTGGTAATGATACCTAGGCGACCCGCACATTTCCACGTCTTGATCTTCAGATACACCATAATTAAAGTTTGGTGTGTTTTCAGCTTTGAGGATGGCGCTTTCGTCGAAGGGCTTGCGGCCTGCTGTCCCTTTCGACTTGGTCTCAATTTGCCGCTTGCACCGCTTGGTTGAATTATCTTCTTGGCCATTGAGGCTCGATCGGGCACTTTTCCGCTCAATAGGTGACAATAATGACGCCGGTGGAGAAGCCTCTAGTCCATTGTGCAACCGTGACCGAGTCGTCGGCGTTATTGAAAATCCCGCGCCTTCATCAGATCTGTTTGTTTCGGCTGGGACAAAGCCAAAACCACGCGATTCTTCTCTCGGCGACGATGACTCTGTCGATGATGATGAGAGCAACACATCTTCTTCCTGAAGAAGCTGCCGCTTAGCATCCAACGCAAGCGTCTCCAACTCGCTAGGCGTGACATCAGGAAAGCGGTCGAACATCGATTGCAGGGTCGGGGGCTCGAATAGGGGAGAAACCTGTGCGTGAAGCGGTAGTGGGCTCTTGCCTGGCTCAAGCAACGTCTGCCAAACACGGAAATCCGGATCAAGCTCTGCGCCATCTTCTCGTGGCATTGCTGAAGCTGCCGGTAGGAATGCGGACGAGACTGGGCACAGAACGTCCCGCATCTCCCTGTAGTCTCGGATCTCAGTCAGCACGCTCCCATTGTAGTGTGCACATGCGATCTACAGTGTAACAAACAACACTGTAAGGGTTTTCGCACTGCAAAGGGTCCATCGAGAGGATCTAAAGGGTTTGCAAACCATATCGGGGAGCCCTTCAGGGACGCGTCCGTTATCGATACACGCGAGAAAATAACTGAAGCGTCCAAGTGGATACCGTTTAGTTCTGAAGCTCAAATTAATGACTAGCGAGCTTTACGCACCTGGATTCGGCGTCGTAAGGCTGGGCGAAGCCCTCGACTCCCTCGTTCTCCTTGTTGATGTGGCGGCAGACAAAACCATCCTGAAAGAGCGCCACCACGAGGCCAATGGGCGGATCAGAGTCCACCGAGTTTACAGTCCCAGCCATAGAAAGTATTTGATCCCCATCAGAGCTCGCTCTACGAGCTCTCTGTCGGGGAGTAGTAGGAGTAGCTTCTCCTCCACGTCGTCCCTCTGCCCTGTTGCTGCCTGCGCTCCGTTGCGGTCCCAGTCTCGATTTGCTCTCCACCGCTGCATCTGCTGCTGTTATCCTTGTCATTTCCTGGAATCGGATCGGTAGACCTGCCGCTTGCGTGTCAAACTTGGCAGAGGAATGGGGAGTGTTCAGCCGAGGCGACCGTTTGGAGTCGGGTTTGTTAGCAGCTCGAGGGCTTTTGCCGTCGCTGGAGACGCGCGAAGAGGACGAGTGCGAGCGCTCCAGAGTCAGAATACTGCTTCGATGTGTTCGCCCCGACATCGAGCTCGGCTTTGATTTGCGAGGTAACGCGGATCCTGTGCTTGGCAAGCACTGCTTGCTTGACTTTCTGTAATATCCAAGTATCCACGCCCTTTCAAGACCGCTTCAACGTGGATATGAGCGGTACAGCAGTACCGTGGAATGTGCTGCGGTTGTTATCGAAAGTATGGGAAGAGAAGCATGGAAATGGTAAATGTTGAAGAAAAAGCGTCATGGATGGATTGAGTCTAGTTAGGCGTCGGCCTTCTTTGATTTCTTCTTGGCCGGCATCGACACGTAGTCGCTGACCGAAGCAGCGGCCTTGGAGTCTGTTGTCGTCTTCGAACTCTGTAAGAACATCAGCAAATAAAAAGCAAGTTAGACGCGAATTCGTGAAGGAGCAACACACAAGTTTCGCGTACCTTCTGGCTGAGGAACTTCTGCTTGAGCGCCTCGACGGAAGTGGCGCGCTTGTTCTCCTCCTGAGCCTCGGCCTTCTGTTTCTTGCGCTTCTTGCTCGTCTCCTTCTCGCTGGGGGCGACGTACTCGGCCATCTTGTCGGCCTTACGCTTCTGCAGCACCCGAAGCTTCTCCTCGTGCTTCTTCTGCTTCTTCATGGCCTTGCGCTCGTGCTCCTTCATGAAGTACTCACCGCTCTCGATCTCCTTGTCCACCTTGCTGGCCGTCGGCGCCGGCGGGAACGGCGTGTACTCCTTCTTCTCACGCACCTTCTTGGGCTTCTTGGTCTGCACGTTCTGCTTCTTGAAGTTGGGCAGGAATCGCTCCCAGTTCTCATCTTTGAGCTTGGGGTCCTTGGCCAGCTCGCGCTTGATCATGAGGCGCTTGACGTTGTAGATCGGGTGGATGTTGGCGAAGCAGTCCTCCACAATCTTGCGCACGTTGCGCAGACCGTGGTAGCTGCCCATAGCCGACACGGTGTTACCCTGAACCAGCACGTAGCAGTTGGTGAGCAGCTCAATGGCCTTGAGCGTGGCTCCGTCGGGGCCCACAAGCCGCTGACGACGCTTGACGAAGCGCTCCTTGTTGCGCACGAGGCCGCCGATCTTGATGATGTCGCACTGCACGTCGTCGTCCAGGATCTTGACCGCCTGGTTCACGGGGATGCTGCGTGCCAGCAGCTTGATGAGGTCGCGCGCCTTGAGCACGATGTACGGGTCGGTGGTCTTGCGCGTGGTGCGCACCGTCATGCTGCCCTCCACGAGGTTGAGCTCGCACGAGATCTTGTGCGCGTCCAGCGCCTTGGTGACGATGGGCCAGACCTCCCGCAGGTACTTCTCACGGTACTTGGGGAAGAGCGTGGCGAACGAGCTCTCCTCCAGCAGGTTGGGCATCTTGATCTTCTTGCCGGCGTTCTTGTTGTCGTCAATCTCGTCCTGCCATGGGTCGATCTTCCAGTGGTCGATGTCCTCGCTGTCCCAGGGCTTGTCCTTGCGGTGGTTCTTCTTGGCGTCGCGGGCCTCCGCCTCCACGTGGTTGCGCGGCGCGTCGCCGTCGAACTGCTCCATCGTCGCTACAAGTTGCTGGTGTGATGGCTGCAATAGACTGACTGACACGCCCGCCAGCCAATTCGATGGCGCCGTAACTGATATGATTGCAGTTAATGGTAGATAGTGACAACAACAGATGGCTTGGCAAACATAACTTTTCACGAATGGTTCGGTAACTTTTACAGTTTCGGTGTTTTTTTACACTTTGAGCCCGACACTCCAAAAGGCTCGGGTGAGCTGCCACAAGCGTCTAGAGCTGTAAATTTCGCTTGATGAGTCTTATTGAAGTTGCGAGCATCCGTCAGTTTGCTGCAGTCCACGAGGCCAAGCACGTCGTTTCGCCTTGCTCGACTTAGCAAGCAATCCCGCACTTGCAGTTGTCAACAAAACCACTCTGCAATCCTGCGGGCCATACTTCGAGGGCTTGTATGGTTTTTGTGGGGCTGAACACAAGTCTTGCGTTGTTGGACTCCTCTCGCATGAAGTAGACCGTACGAGTATCCGGATAGACGGCAGCCAAAGCGATTGGTACCAGGATAAACTTATGAAAGCCAAATGTTAATAATCGCTCCTACCCCTACATTCTCTAGGTTTGTGGACGCTCTCAATCGTGTTGGGCAATGCGGTGCCGTCGCCGACGCTTTTGCCAGCTCGAGACATACAAATCATTCCGCCAGGAACGTGACATGGAGGCTGGAAGATTCCAGTCGAGTCGTGCCATCAAAGTCAATATGTAGGACTTAGCCACTGCTACGGTAGACGCGCCTATACTCCTTTCGGATACTTGCTGTCCCAGCAGAGCCCCCAGGCGATTCTTGGCTTGACTTTTGAAGCGAAGCACTTCAAGTGCGCCCGTGACCTGACCGCGGTGCCCGCGGTGCAAAGAAACCGCCCGTCGTGTGGCGCACACCGCGGCGCGGCGAGAAACGTCGTTGGGCGGAATCCATTCCACGGGCGCCAAACAGCCTTCAGTTGGTCGGCAGCCCCCTCACTCTCGAGATCCCTCGGCGATGGCAGACCTGCATGCGGCGCTCCCAGTGTGTGATCTCCGCCCCGACGACGACGAGCCAGAAGAGGAGGACCCGCGCCGGAACAGCCTCGCCAGCGGCGAAAGCAGCGCCCTGATCGTCAAGCCACCGCCGCTTCAACTGGCCGTGGCGGCCGAAACGTCCATGCAGAACCCAGCCAACGCCGAGCTCGTGTACCCGTGGGTGGCCTCGGACCCGGGCGCGGTGAGCATTATCACCGAGTCCTCCATGATGACGCCCACGACGCTGTACGCCACGGCGGTGCGCTCGGAGCCGGGTCCGCGTCGCGAGGGCGTCACGACGGCGCTCCTGGCCAACAGTCCGCATACCTTAAAGAACAACAGGAGCTGCAGCACGGAGAAGCCGCTGGGCTACGGCACCAACGTCTCGATGCAGCGCAGGCATTCGATCTTGCGCATGAGCGCCAGCAAGACTTCCAGCGGCCATGGGTTGAGGAAAAGCGCGTCCGTGGAGTTCGTTCTGGACCACGCGCATCAGCAGGCGGCCCAGAGCATCCACGCGAGCACTTCGTCTATCGGCCGAGAGCCGCGGTACGTAGCATCAACATTTATGTTGTGGAGAAGGAATCGAATAATCTGACTATGGTGTGCTGTGCTTTCCTGTGCCAACCCTGCAGCCGCCTGACTTTCGAGGAGAAAGCGGAGCTGTACCGAGTTCGTCCTGATCTCGAAATCGGCCCAGCTCCGTATTATAACGAAAAACTTGAAGAGCTCAACCGCAGGAATCAGCGCCGCATCATCTTTGCCATGTTCGGCGGCATGATCTCCATCGTCTTGTTGCTCGTCTTCTTCTCCATGTGGGAGCAGAACAAGTGAGTCGGCATAGATCCGTCTGACTCACGCTGCAGCGACTGGTGAAGAAGCGACGGCCCGATCGGTTTGTGGCCTGCATGATCTACAGCCAGCTCGACAGATGCGCCTTCATCGCAGACCGAGAGCAAGCATCGCGTGTGGATATCCTTATGTAAATTGTTTGTACTGCGCGCGTACTGCGCGCCGCTGAACACTACGAGCAGCCGAGCGTGGCGAGAAGACTTGGAGGAAGAGACGTCCGTGATGCCAGACACGACGCGCCAATGCCCCCAATGCCGCGCCGCCATAGTATACCTTTATCACCATATAACATACTTGTAGGTAGCTATTCTTCACAGCGTACCGAGCCAGCAGAAGCCAAAATACAGCGCCAATGTTCGTGCCATCCTTTTAATCGCCGTCATCTTGCCAGACGATCGCCGCCATGCAACTTCAATCCCGCCTAATCCGATATCGTATTCAACAGGACCATGCGATTATGTGCACCACACCACCCACCGCTTCCACCCGCTTCGACATGCATTTTCAACACCAAGTCTGCACTGCAGCTGCCCGACCTGCGTACTCGCCCAGAAGCCATGCGCCTCATCACCCACAACCTGCTCATGTGCAATAAGAAGGGCGTCGAGAACGGCTACCCGCTGGCCATCGAGGTCGCGGAGGTGGAGGTCGTGGCCTGCGCCTTCCAGGCCGCCTTTGTGCGCAAGATGCTGACCAAGCTGGACTGGAGCGCCTTCCTCGCTGGCGCCAAGGCGCTCAAGCTTGCGGACGGACTGCCCGAGACGCTGCCGAGCTCCGAGGAGGGCGCGACGAACGAAGAGACGCTGCGCAAGATCCACCACGCGCTGCTGGAGGTGCACGTGAAGCAGGGCAAGCTCGTGTGCCCGGAGTCCGGCCGCGCGTTCCCCATCATCGACGGCATCCCCAACATGCTCCTGAATGAGGACGAGGTCTAAGCCGAGCGAGGACAGAGGGCGTCACTGCTCTCCTGATAGATAGATATTCACAAACATGCTCGTTTTTGCCTTGTATCTGTGTGAGCTTGAACCGAGCTGAGCCTTGTGCGATGCCAAAACTAGGTTCATTATTTCCATGGAGCAATCTTGAAAACCCCATCTCTTTCGCCCTTCATCGTATCGACAGAGACGGAGACTTCACAGGTGCAAGCCGCGCTTTAAATGACTAAATCTGCAGGCTTCCGGAAGTAGTCCGTGGTGTTCTTGGAGTTGTCGTAGCTGGGATCGAGAAGAATAGACATGGGTTAGCAAGCATCCCAAAACGCAATTCGCCAGCACAAAGACGTACCGGTCATCATCATCGTCGTCATGGCGATCGTCCTTGTCCGACGGTCCTAGCTGCGCTACTGCCTTAATCCACTGGATACGCAGCTCAAAGTCACCCTCCTTTTGATCGGCGATGGCGAAGCCAACCTATTGGCATGAAAACAGGATTGTGGTGATTATGGTTAGAGATACTGCTTGAAAGGGCATGCTGCGCGTCGAATGGACCAAATCTTACGCTTTTTAGCTTCGAGGGATCGAGTTCCGTCTCGTCGTCAAGTTTGACGAAGCCCTTCGCTGTCAGCAAGAAGTCCCGGAATGGAAGCTAGCAGAAGGATTATTAGTCGACGCACAGTTCAAGGTTCGATAACAAACCAAACTACGCAAAGCCACAATGCATTCAAGAAGCAAGGTCACGTACAGTAACATCCACCCACTCGTTAGGAGGCGTCCGGAGGAAACCCTGAGCGAGCGAGCAAACAGAAAATTAGACAGAAGCTCACAGAAAGAAAGCGTATCGAGGTTTCAACTTACCATGTGCAAGTTGAAGGGGTTCCAGCTTTCCATTTGCACGTTCATACGGTACTCACGTCCGTCTGTCATAATTCGCATGCTAATGCCTTCGTAGCCATGCAAGAGAAGCTCTTGCGGCACCGACGCCCGCACAGCGCAGTAGCCGCTACGCACGACACCCACTTCGGTCGGCTGGCAATCCATGCTCAGTCGCCCAGTAAACACAGCTACCAAACACGCGTCAGCAACCTAAGCGCACTTCGGACCAACTCACTCGGAACTCACCAGAGGGGACATTGTCCTTGTTCTTGACTGCATGGATCAACCGCTTCGACTTAAACTCTTCCTCCTCCACCTCCTTCTCTGGTTCACCGTTGTAAAAGCCCCACTTGCACTCCGACAGTCCTAACGAGTTGTAACAATTGCATTAAGGTCAGATTTTTCGTCTGCACCACCAGAAGCAGCAGCCTCTGCACCGTTCGGCGCTGCCCAGCGCTATCCAGAGAACAACAGCCAGTTGATTCATACCTCCAATAGATCTGTCACTGGACGCCGTCCAGTTGGCCACCGATTCCTTGGCGTTGAACAGGAAAATGTCCTTCTCCGGCTGCAGCTTGAGCTGGAAACCGAGCGCTGCAGCACCAACACGCACGGCCGTCAGCACCGATAGATAACCCGGTAATGTAGTGCAGGACTCGTACACTGCTTGGAGCTGAGGATCGTGGCGTTCATAGACGTCAACGCCTTGCGCCACAAGCCCATGGTGACCGTCTGCTGCTCTTCCCGACGCCAAGCTGGGGCTTGTGCGGTTCGCCTGATAGTCGCACTTAGTGTGAAATATCCATGTGGGCCACACCGCGTACGTTTTAAGCCTCCTTTTTACCCCCACGTCATTTTACGCATCGATTTAACCACTTTTCGATTGGAATTGCTGCAGGCGCATTGGGTCGCTATGAGTCTCCACCTGCCCAAGCACCACTGGGGCACGCGGGGCATGGACGCCTACGAGAAGCTGGAGTGCATCGGCGCCGGCACGTACGGGTACGTGTCTGCAGTGTACAGCAGCGATCGCTCTCCCCTGGCCATCGGATGGCGGATTTTAGTCTAATAATTACGCGTGATGTGTCTATAGCCAAGTGTACATGGCTAAGGACAAGGCCACGGGCGAAGTGGTGGCGATCAAGAAGATCCGCAGTCTTAACGAAGTGCAGGGCGTGAGTTTGCAGCCAATTGAAGGCCAATTGGAGACTGTAGAGCTGCTTAAAGTGACCTTAATGCTGTGTTATTGGCTGTGTCTGTAGCTGCCGGTGACAACCATCCGCGAGATCAAAGTGCTCAAGTGTCTGAACCACCCGAACCTCGTCGAGCTCAAGGAAGTGGTGGTTTCATCTGAGAATGACGATGATGACGGTGAGGAAATCTTGCTGGACTTCGACTGAAGGTTGCGATGGACAGCAGAGCTGAAATGGTTTGTGGGTTGGTGTGTGTGATTGATGCACAGCGGAGTTCACGGACAAGGATGAGCCGCTGGACTACTGCCACGGATCCATCTACTTGGTGCTGGAGTATCTCGAGCACGACTTGACGGGTCTCATTGACCGGCAGCACCCGTGAGTAGCAGTCTTGTTGCGTATCGTTGACAAAGTGATGCTGATTTTTTGCCCTGGAACAATGACACAGCTTCGATGATACGGAGATCAAGTGCCTGATGAAGCAGTTGCTGGACGTCATGCAGTACATGCACTCCATTGACATCATCCACCGGTAAGTGATTGCTTGATGCACTAAACAATACTTGACGAGGAACGCTGACCACTCATGGGTGCGTGGACAGAGACATCAAGTGCTCCAATTTGCTGATGACGAGAGATCACCTGCTCAAAGTTGCAGACTTTGGATTGGCGCGCTCCTTGCGTGGTGACCAGCTTTTCACGAACAAGGTGGTCACGTTGTGGTACCGCCCACCCGAGCTGCTCCTTGGTGCCACGAGCTATGATGCGAGTATTGACATGTGGAGCATTGGCTGTGTGTTTGCCGAGCTGTACATTGGTCACCCTATCTTCCAGGGCAAGACGGAGCTGGAGCAAATTACGAAAATCTTCGACATTTGCGGCACACCGACTACGGAATCCTGGCCTGATTACAAGTTCTTGACGCACAGCAGTACCTTTGTTCCTGAAAAACCGAAGCCGAAGCGCCTGCGTGAGTATTTGATGCGCGAAACCACTGCGCGTAAGAGGATATTGCCCAAGGGCGCGCTCGAGCTGATGGAAGCCCTGCTCGTGTTGGACCCGGAGCAGCGGTTGACGGCTTCGGATTGCCTCAACTCGCACTACTTCAAGGCTCGGCCCTTGCCTCCGAGTGATCCGAAGAAGCTCCCTCCCATCACAAACCTTCCGCCGTCCCATGAATATCAGACCAAGAAGATCCGCCGCGAACAGGCGAAGCAGTTGAACGGTGGTGGTAACAATCACAGCAACAGTAATACGGGAGCTGGAGGTGCTGGAGGTCGTGCGTCACGCCCGACTAGCCCTCCGGGTGCGAGTAGTGGCGGTCGCTCGAAACAAAACGCTGCGAAGGATGGTGCCGAGGTGTCTGTGAAAACTGAGATCAAGAGAGAAGAGGATCCTGGTAAAAAGAGACGACGTGTGGCGTAAGGGCATCGTCCGAGCAGCAAAGCATGTGTTGAGCTCGTTCATGCGGTGCTTTGCTCTCGATCGTGACTCATCGAGCTGTTAGGTCTTTGAATATACGCGTAAAACGTCAGAACGGAGGTATAGCAAACGCAGATTTGATTGCGCCGTTAAAGGAGGCGATATCCTGGCTCGATGCTGTTAATGAGTGAGGTAGCGGTTCCGGGACGACGATGGCGATGGCACGGTCTTTTGAAGCTGAGGTGCAGCACCAAGTCAGCAACACGCAGCCGAGCGAGGAGGAAACAAAACAGAACGCGTTTACCTGCAGAAGTAGCGATGGATTCTTGGTCTTGACGATGCTGTTGACCTCCTGCAAACCAAGAAACGTCAACGTGTTAGCGGATGCCAGTTAAAACGGAGAGGATCGAAAAGCATAGTGGCGACATACGTGAAGACGCGTCTGCAGCACTTGAAGACGCGACTTCATGGAGGTGTAGCGGAAGGTTATGTGCTGGCGGATCGTGTCCTCCGAGGCGCGCATAAAGTCTACGGAGAGGAGCTCGATGAACTTGTACTCCATGTTCTGGATGAAGTCCAACCGCGCTCGGCCATCGGCCTGCATGAGGTACACTGCAAGATGATTGTGCGGCTCCTTGATGCAGTTGTTGAGCATACGAATCAACACGTTGGCGTAATCAGCGAAGTCCACCATGAGTTTCTGCTGCTCTTGCATGGCGTGGAAGCTCTCCAGGTCGCAGGTGTGTGTGTACAGGAAGAACAGGTCGCTCTCAGTGGAAAGCTCGAGGCGAACCACGTGGATGTCGGTATCACTTCCCTGGAGATGGAGCGTTAATCTTGAGCCTGGAAAGATTCGACCCGCAATTCGAAGGAAAACGCACCAGAATCAAGATCTTCACCTTGATCGCTTCAAGAGTTCCGATCTGTTGTGGAGTGTTGTCGGCATCCTGTTGATGGAGGCATCAGGGGTAATCCATCCGTGTTAGTTTTACGCTCTTATGGATTTCGAAGACCGGAGCGCAAGGTGCTTTACTTGGATTCGAAGCTCGAAGGGCGTTTCTCGGTCGTAGATCACTCGGAAGCCGCCGGCTGAAGAACTCGCCACCAAAAGTCATCAGCCATTTGATCCAGCTTCAGACAGTAAATCCACTTGGTCGTACCTAAACTCGGATCCAGCTCGTCTGTGGTGCTCACTGGAACGTGTGCTTCGCCGTCGGCACCACTCACATCAACATACCTCGACGAAGACCCGAGGGAAGACGAGCTCATAGCCATGGTTATCGCCGGTGCTGCGAAGACTTCCTACACTCTGCTGGGTGCCGAACAAGCTGACCGTTTTGGTTTTATTGCACGACAGACACCAAGAGTCGTTCGTTGGCCCACACATGTCATTATTGTTGCTAAAAATACGGGATCGAGGTGACCGAAATGACCTTGATGTGCTTCGCAAGACTGGCATCCCTGCATTGCCGACACGCTTGGACTTCAAGAAGGGGAAGGCAAGAAAATCTCGCTCTGGGCGAGACATTTCAGAGCTCGTGATGGTATCTCCGGGCAGTGGTAGCAGAAATGGAGAGGTTTCGTTGTCGACTAGCGACCCGGTAACATTGCGTGAAGAAGGAGAGGCTATCACGTTGGACAACTTCGATGAGACCGACGCGTTGGCCGATCCCATCCTGGATAGTCCCCGCTCCATCGAGGTGCGGAACCCATACCAGCGTAGAACTTTACTACGATAGTTTCAACTAAATTTCTTATTGATCTGACAAAATTCTAGGCATGTCGGATGCTTGGAGTCGAGCCGGAAGAGCTCATCCAGAGACCGCTCGAGTATTTTATCCGATCCGCGAAAAACGGGAGGGCTGAGGATCGAGAGTTCATCGCTAAACGTGCGGCTCGATACGAGAAGAATCGTCAAGTGCAGCTTCGTAATGTGCGAGCGCAGCGGCGCGAGCTTGTCGAAGCTCAGCTGGGAGGGGTTCATAGCAGTATGTCGCTGAGGACACGCAGCTTCTGTCGATCGCCCGTGGGTGCTGCTCGACTTGGCTTTGCAGGGTCAAATAGCTGCTCAAGTTCGCAACACGAATTCACTGTGATTGAGCAGGAGAAAAAGGAGCTCCGGCGGATTCAGCAGCGCCAAGCGCTCGAGATGCAGCAGATGCTAAACTTTGAGCTCAAAATGACCGAACTCCACCAGGAACGCGAGAAAAAGGAGCGCGAACAAAAGCGTCGAGAGGAACAGTTTGCAAAGGAGCAACGACGAAGGCAGCGAGAAGCTGATGAGCAGCGGCGTCGGAAGGAGATCGAAAGAGCGGAGCAGTGTCGACTAGAACTGGAGTTGGCACGAAAACAGGCTCAACAACAGCAAGTGGAGAATCTGCGTCGCGAACAGCGCGCCAAGCAAGAAGAGGCTCGCAGACAACGTGATGTTCAACTAAGTGAGAAAGAGCGACTGCGCCACCAGGAAGAAGCGCGGATGCAAAACGAGCTTTACCAGCTTGCTCAGGAGCGCGAAGCAACTCGCAAGTTACAGGAAATGCAGGAGCGGGAGGAAAAACTCCTGGAAGAACGTGAGCGCCAACGACAAGCTAAGTCACAGGAGATGGCGGACAAGCAGGCACGGAATACCGCACGCATCGCGAATGTATTGCACGAAAAGGATCTGCAACGCAAGGCTCAGCTTGAGGAGGCAGCTCGAAAGCAGCAGCACAGTGAAGAGCGTCGCCGTGCATTTGAGGAGGAACGAAGAGCAAAAGAGGAGGAGCTGCGCCTCCAGGCTCAGCGGAAGAAGGAAGAGATCGAGACTGTGCAGAGCCAACTGGCGTTAATAGAGGAACAGCGACGAGAGCGGCTACGACTGCAAGAGCGGGAGGCGGAAGCGCGTCTAATGCAGCGCGAGCGCGAGAAGCAGCAACAGCTCGAAGCCCAACAACGCGAGGAGAGACGCTTGGAACGAGAGCGACGCCGAGCGTATGAGCGCATGGAAGCCCAACTCCACCAGAAACGATCCGCAATCCTCCAGAAGACGGAGGAGAAGGCCAAGGTGGCGCAGATGATGCAGCGGCAAAAGCATGCGTCTGTGCGTGCTCGACTGCAAGAGGCCAAGCTGCGTGAAGAAGAGATCCAGACTGCACTGATGCGCAAGAACAAGCAGAACGAGTATCGCTCGAACCTGCTACTATCTCGCATCGAGAACGACAACCTGCGTACACAGCAACTGAAGGAGCAGCGCGCGAATCTCATCCGGCGTCGCCAGCAGATCAAGCAGACTGCAAGCCGTCAGAAACATGAAATCCTCGAGACCTTCTACAAGATGAAAGTCACGAAAAAGTTCGAGCTGCCCAAGCACATTGTTGCGAGTATCGAGCGGCCGCGGTCGGCGTCAGCGACAATGCTGCATTCCCAGTCGTTTACTACAGTAGAAGACTTATCGACGGCGAAGTCCCGAGATCGAGTACCGAGGACCAGCAGAAGACCCACGAGTGCTACGGCTAGGCGTCCACGCAGTGCTGCTTCAACCTCCAGTCGTCGACCTGTCACGAGCCGCGATCACCGCAGTCCGATAGACGACGGGCCTCCTCACAGCGCGGACGACATCAAGCAGCCACCTCAAAATGAAACAGACGAGGAGCGACGAGACGCAGCGATCAACGAACTCCGCCGACAGCAGAACGAAGAGCTGCTCAAGGTTCTGGAGGAGGAGCACCACGCTGAAGAGCAGCGGGAGCATCTTTTACGCCAAGCAAGCAGCGATCGTCGCGAGCGTGTGCGTATGGAGAAGCTCTTCGACAAAGAGCGGGCTCTCGCCAGCGAGCGCATCATGCAGCTCACCGACCGCCACGAGCGCGCCTTGGCCTCCAAGATGGACGAGCTGTAATATAGATTCCCACAGGTATCAAACCACTTCAACTTGGACCGACAATATAACGACACACAGGGATTCGACGTAACCCACATAAATAGCCCATCGTCTGGCATAGAACCTTCTCTTCTCATTTTCCAAAGTGTTCCGCCCATGCCAAGTTCCGACGTGGAGACCAGCAGTGACGAGACCGGCGGCGGCGGAGGCGCGCGCAGACGCAGCAGGAGCAGCATGTGGAGGCTGCTGGAGCAGGCGGCCAAGAACGCGTCGGCCAACGCGTCGGGCTACGTGAGCTCCGTGCAAGAGAAAGCGCAGAGTCTGGCGGCCGCCGTGCAGGACGAGGCCGCGATTTTGCTGCACAGCGCCATGGGCGCCGCGCGCGTGGGGCCCGTGGACGAGATTCTGTACGAGGAGCTGGCAGACTTCGAGGACTTCTCGAGCTTCTTCTCGGCCGAGGAGCACACGCACGAGATCGCGCGCGCCATGGACGAGGACGACGAGGTCCACGAGCTGCACGACGCGCTGGTGCCGCTGGAGCTGAGCTACGACGAGTTCTGGCGCCGCTACTTCTTCCGCCTGCAGCAGGCGGAGAGGATCGAGCAGCAGAGGCAGCAGCAGCGCGCGCTGGCGGAGAGCAAGCGGCCGCCCGAGGAGAACGACGAGGAGGACGTGGACACGGACTCGGTGGGCGAGCAGGAGGACGCGCTCGCGGGCGACTTGGAGCACAAGCAGCCGCCGCTGTCCCCTCCCGCTGGACAGAAGAGGGAGGAGACTGACGGTGAGGACCAGGAGGGCGTGTGGCTGCTGCGCGCGGCCAGGGACGCCGAGCGACGCGCCGCGACGCAGTGGCGCCAGAAGGCCAGGGACCTGCACCACCAGCTGCAGGAAGCCAAGCAGAGCTACGACGAGAAGGAGCAGAAGGCGCTCAAGGAGTGGGAGGAGCAGCTGCAGGCGCTGTGTGATACGTACGAGACCAAGATGGCTGCGGCCACGATGCAGATTGATGAAGCGCGCGCCGCCGGCTACGATGAAGGTGTGAGGGAGAGCCAGGCCATCGTGGAGAGCTTACAGCAGAAGGCGGAGGAGGATATGGTGCGCCTGAGGATGGAGATCGCGGAAGGGCGCGGAGCGGCGTCGGATCACGAGAGGGTGGCGGCGTTGACGAAGGAGAAGGAGGAGCTGCAGAAGGCCCTTCAAGCGGCCCGTGAACGTCTGGCTGAGCTGGAGAAGCGTGAAGCAGCGCGGCAGGAAGATAAGCCGGGAGCTGCGGCTCTGGCCGAGCTGACGAAGGAGAAGGACCTGTGGCGTATGCGGGCTCTGAAGATGAAGAAGCTCAAAGACCTGGTGCAGGCAGAACTCACTACGTTGCGACAACAGCGTGATGTCGCTGCTGCTGCCACGTCGAGCTCTGACAACGCCCAAGCCGCCGGATCTGACGACCACAGCAAACTTCAAGCGCGTATGAACGAACTGCAGACGCAACTGGCGAACGCTTTGGCCGGCGCAGAAGCGCGTGGACGTGAAGCCTACGAAAAGGGTGTAGAAGCGGGCAAGGCGGACGCTGACCAACGTGCAAAGCAAGAGCGTGACCAAGCTTTCCAAGATGGCTACAAGAAGGCCCAAGCTGAGGCCAAGAGTGAGATGGGCGTGCTCAAGGCCGAGCTTGGTATGTTCCGTGCATTCCACGAGAGTGCGGCCCACTGCGCTGATCACGTTGGTGGTGACACGGAAGGCCTGCTGGATGATTCGCTGGATGACATCTCGCTGGCAGACGGCCAGCCTCTCTGTTCACCAACCTCATCGGTCTCGATATTTACTGACAACGGCAAGAACGACTTCTCCTCTGAAGTCCCCAAGTCTACGGACGACTGGGGCGAGTGGTAGATGCGTTGTTGACCCGCGTGCTGCATGTAGAACGATCCACCAAGAGATCGCAACCTATTCTATATTCTTGAATGAACCCGTCGTTTGCGTACTCTTTAGTAGTATGCACTTTCACTTGGAAGCACGTGCTGATGTAGATTTCCTGTTGAAATACGCTCCGTTCTCCTGGACCCACTCACTGAAGATCGTCTCAATCTCTGGACGCGGGTGTTTCCATTGCGTGGATCTGTTAGAGAACACAGCGTACTCAGCACAGTGAATAATCCAGCTATAACCTTGATGAGATCGAACGTACCGGTTGGCATGATTGCAGAAGTAGGGTCTCCCCTTTTCCGTGAACCGCGTTTCCCAACCTTCCGGTAGGTTGAGCACAAGGAACTTTTTTATGTCTTGCCAGCTCATCTTTGATCGGGGACCTGAGGGTCGTATGGGGGACGCAATGGGAGATACCGGCCTCTGGACAGGAGGTGGAGACGGCTAGTAACAATTAACGGTATGGTTAGCAACGTTTGTAAGTGAGCCAGTAAAAGTGAGCTTTACCGTGAAGACAATCGGCTCTGGGTCAATTGGAATAGGCTCTGGTGCCGGGGACTGGGGTCGTGGCGTTCGGACCTGTTCGTACGCTTCAGCATCGCCACAGAGCTTAATGAAGAAGTCTACAAGAAATCGTTAGCACGTTGCTGTTCAAATGTACGCAAGATAAGCAAATCTACCTTCGATGCTGATGCGGCCGACCATTTCAGGGTCAAAGAGACTCGAGAGAGTCGATCGATGCTCCAACGAAAGGGCAAGTCCAAAGTCTCTGAGTACGTCGTTGAATACAGCAAACGTTACCTGGCAAGCAAACAGATAAGACACGTGAGTTTCAAGACACTGCATCAAAGTTGATACTTAAGTACAAACCTTCGTACCTTCCCAGGAACCTCAGCTTCAGCGGCTAAAGCCTTCTTCAAGCTATTGTACGGCCGCTCAGAGCATCGATTAGTCAGAATTCCCCTCATGGCTGAGAGGATATCATGCGCTGACGCCTCGGCTGACAGTCGACAATCCTTCAAATTTGTCGCTTCGCGAGGTGCATTTCTCTGCTTTTCATTTTCCTCGGCCAAGTGTCGAATTTCTTCTTGGAGAGCAGCTAGTCTGGATTATTATGCAACAAAATATGAGTTCCACCACATCATGACACTGTAAAAGCTCTTCACGTACCTAGCAGCATGTTGTTCCTCAGCTGCAAACTGCTCTTGCCTCGCCTGCTCGAGTCTTCGCTTCCATCTCTCTGCTGTGTCTTCTGACGATTTGTTTGATGCATACGAAAGTTGCTGTACTTGAGCCTTGAGCTGTCTAACTTGCTCTTGAGCTTCGAGTTTCGACTGCTCAATGGAAACAATGGAGGCTCGAAGCTGGTTCAACCTGTCGTCACTGTCCTCCTTGACATCCTTGACTGGTGGCTCGAGTCGTGGAGTTACTATCTCTCCTGCCAAATACTGCGCCCCGAGTTTTATTGGCACCGGCGACCCAGTCCCCTGCGAATATAAACTTTTCTCTCTAGTCGCCGAATCATCCACAAACGTTGGTGACTTTTTCACATCAAAGCGGAAGGTCAACGCAGTCACACCAGCAGTTGCAGGTGTTGTTGATGATGATGAGGCCGCCGTAGATTGCGGCGGACGAAGCGCGATGCGTTCCTCGAAGATATGGCCTTCCAGAATGATGGCAGACCCGACGGAGACTTCGCACTCTCCAATCAGTTTATCCGTCTTAGGCTTCTTGTTGAAAACCGTGATAGAAAGCTTAGGAGTGATCGTTGCCCCAAGCCGCATAGTCTGAAGCATTGCTCGCCACTTGTTTTCAAACGAAGGGTTTACAGTAACGTCGAAGAAGTCGACAGACCAATCTTGCGGATACCCTTCCACAGCATAATCGCAAGAAGTTAAGGGATCATACGCTGTACAATACAGCCTTGGCTTTGGGGACTCGGGTCCAGAGGGAAGTGCTCGACGCACACTAACCACCACAAAGTGCCCGGGGATTCCACCACTATCCGTGACAATAAAGTTGATACTCTCTGTCGTTGGAGTACTGTCCGGGATACGGGAAACTTTGACGGTATCAGTGAATACCACGGGGCGGTCGATACGCTGGTCGCAAAGCTTCGGTTCTTCGAGCTTGACTTGAGCTTTGAAGTTCCATTGCACTGCTCCAGAGCCACTTGCGCGAGCCACGCACGTTGTAAACAAAGACCCTTGGGGATGCAGCTCCATTACGGCATACGCGTTCTGATGTCCTGCAACAAACTCTTGGAATTCTTGCCAGCTTGTCTCCACATTGGTATGTCTACCAACAACTTCGTATCGCACCAATAGAGACGACGCGGTGTGGGATACAAACGTAGCTAGTGCCCGCAGTGGTGGAGGTAGTTGCGACCCATACAGAGATAGCGTATCTGCGACTAGCTGCTGGAAACTGGTCTTGCCTTGCTGGTCTAAGTATTCACTGTCAATAGAGAGCACCAAGCTGAGAGGTGATACCGACCAGAAGAACGGTAACTCGACCTGAGAGAGTAAACTACGCAGCGTGGCTACGAAAGAGTCACTCTCCACCAGCGAAAGGTTCAGTACATGCAGCCTTGAAGAATGTGAGGTAGTTGCAGTATTCCGACGTCGATAGTCCACTCGAATACGCCCAATAATTGTGAGAATTGAGTTGTTCAGGTCCGGGTAGAATTCACTTGTAATGAGACCATGAGGGGATTTGGCGAATGTCAACTCGCGGGAAATTTCATGAGTTTCTTCGACACGACGCGCGAAGTCGTTGAAGCCAAACTGAGCTACTAAGTTGTGGTAGTCGTACTCGTTTTCGTGGAATACAAAATCAGCGCAAAACTTGAAAACAGGATCTCGAGCTCGAATGATAAGGTCCCTTTTCGAGTCTACTGCCGCAGTCACGAGATGTTGCTGCTCACCGTGACAAAGCTGCAAGAAGTTGGCGAGAGCGTGATTAAATCGAAGCTCAATTTCTTGAATCTTCTGGAGTCTCATGATTAGCCTGAACAAGTTGAAGCCAACCACAGGATCGATTAATACAGAGCTGCCCTGTGGCACTTGGCAATCCACTCGCACTGCATCGACTGCAAGCGAAAGCAGTAGCTGCGTAAGAAGGCGATCATTGTGAGAAGTTCCACCAGTTGCGGGTCTGTTTATGAGAAACCCCGTCCTTAAGACACCGGAAATGAAGTCGCTTACGTGGATCACATTTGCGGTGTCAATGCCGAATGCGCTGCGCCAAATACTTTTGGTGCTGAGCGTCCCACTGCGTTTTTGTAAATGGGCTGAGAGCTCACCACAAAAAGAAGATACGTCGAAGTCTCTTAAATGCTTCATGAAGCCTCTTGATTCCTGAAGAAGCACTTTAGCCAGAAAGTCGCCACTTGACTTAATGTTGTCAACCTGGTCGGTGCCTTCACCGGCTTGCGGCGGTGTTTCATAATCAAAGGATAAATTCAAGGCCAAAGATCGCAAATCATCAACAGCGATAGCAATCGCAGCTTTGTCGTCAAGAGCTTTGCAAATCGTCAGTAGCTCCTTGTGGCTGATATTTTCATGAAGCTGCTGCAGTTCAGATTGAACAACTTCACGTGTGTTCGCTCCATTTCCAGTAAGTGCATCCAGGCGAATCACAATATCTTTGAGACTCGCTCGCCGTCCTCCCCCAGAGCCTTTAGCCGTCATTTGCTCGGCATACGACAAGAATACGGACCGCTCAATGGCAATTCTCCCTCCCGTTGATATCGCACCCAACCGGTTCATCAGTAGCGTTGCATCTTCAAAATTGAGGTGCATCCCCAGTGCAGATAGCAGCTCTATGAACTCAAACTGGTCGATGTATCCGCTTCTGTCACCGTCCACCTGTTCAAACACCTTTTCAACAGCAATTGTAGAGGCTCCGGTGGCAATGTTTAAACTCACAACTCGTTGGAATACGATATCCCCAGTTTCAGCAGCATTTGAGGACTGGAGTGTTTGAACGTCCGTTGTCGAATTGATCGAGCGTGACCAAGACCCGACCGTCTGGCTAAACATGTGAGCGTCGAACGCTCTGTCCACAAGTTCGTTGCATAATGGGACAATGACAGCATCAAACACTTCGGACGCGTTCTGGGCCTTAACTTCTCGGGCTGTTGATAGAACTTGGGGAGGTTCTTCCCATACGCGGTCTCGCAATATCCAGTGCCTAAACTCCTTCAGACTGATCTCGCCGTCTCCATTCGCATCGAACTGGTCAACAAGGAACGCTTTCTGTCCTTGGGTGAGCGCAGGCTCAATACGTAAACGCTCCAGCATTTTCTCAAACTCCAGCGGGTTTAATGACCCCGATCCATCCGCATCAAATGAGCTGAAAACTTCATCCAAATGCGCTCGTTGCTGGTCCGATCCACCGATTTTCTCGATCAGAACCACTCGCAACTGCTCGCCGGAGGCTTCTTCAGAAAATATTTCATGCTGGAAGCACTCCTCACATAGTTTGCTTTTGGTGGGAAGCAAGGAGTAGCAGGTAGAGCAAAATACGTTCACGCAGTTCGCACCATTGCATGGACAGCTGCCACTTTCAGCCAAAGCTGCAGATTGGTGGTCTCCGCGCCCCCCGACAAGGACCCGCACGCCACAGTCGATGCAGTCCACGTGACTCGAGCCACTCTTCCTCCCTCCAATCAACCGCGGTAACGCCGACGTTTTCTCCGCATCACCTAGTGCCTGTTGCTTGTGCTGAAGCAATAACGCTAACTTGGCTGATCGCTTGGCCTCGAGGTCTCGGATCCGGTTATTCTTGTGCAAGTCTACCGCATTTGAAGAGGGTAGACTCATTATCACACTAGGGGACCCCTTGGGTGATAATGCTGGGAAATACGAGGCCCCTTCTCTCCTGGAATACGTTGGCGTTCGGCTGACGTGAATATCAAACTCGACTTCGTCCGGTGTGTTTGTTCGAGAGAGAAGCCGAGCGGCGTACTCTTTTTCCAGCATATCGTAAAAGTTTGCCACAGAGGATGAGTTCAGTAGTGGTGGTGAGCGTGTAGATGCATCCCGAATCTTTTCCGGTTGGGCGTAACGAGTCCTTGCCAGCAGCGCAGACTGTCGGGCAAAATGACGAAGATGCCAAGCCATTGCGGGGTCCCGTTCAAAAATTTCAAGCGCTATCCTTCGTCGAAGGGCGTTATGGGACGATGAAAACTCAGGAGCTAGGATTTGAACCTTCCTCTGGACGATAGTTCGTCGCGCTTCGCAGACTGCGAGGCCACTGGCACCGTGGACTTCGATCTCAAGAATTCCCTCTCGATGGATGTTATCGGTGTCGTCTCCGTCTTCCTCCATATCCGGAAGCTCACAAGCCATCTTCTCTTCTTGAATATCAGGCGTGAATAACTTGAGGATTTTGTCTGTGTGAATCGCCCCGGTAGCCACCCCATCTTCTTCTCCAAAGAGTAACCCAATTTTCTCGTCGTCCCAACTTGCAATATTGAAGCCAAGCCTCTGTAATTTCTGTCGGCATTCTGCTTTCTGGACCCTCGGTGTCTTAGCAAATTCCGTTCGCAGCTCTCGCAGTCCGATTCCAAAGCGCTTCGCCTGCCTCAGCAACTCCTCCTTTTCATTCTCGAACTTGCGTCTCCTTTCAGCCGCAAGCGCATTTCCCGTAGCTGTAATCCTATCCGACTTTTTGCTTGAGCTTGCGGTGGATAACCCTTTGTCAAGAGGGGCAGGTACGACACTCGAGGTTTTGCGAGAGGCCTCACCATTGCTTTGAGACTCTTCGTCTCCTTCCTCTTCCTCGACAATTTTCTCTCCGCCTTCTAAACGAAAAGAAGGCTTGTCTGAGTACACCGAGAGCCAAAAGTTCCCAACATTGGTATTTCCGGTGGCTTTGTCCTGTTCAAGCTCCCGTTAGATTATATGCAGACTTCACAGCACAATTACTATGCGTACCGTTCTCATGTACATGCTGGGAATAATGCAGTATCTGCCTGGCTCCATAGTAGCTTCAACCTAGACATAAGAGCTCAGTGGTCACGAAGAAAGCACACAACGGTATGAATACAAACGAATAGACTCACCGATACGGCTTGCTTGAACGTATACTCTGCTTGGGGCACGCCATCGTCGTCAATACCCGGAATCACAGTTCCAGGTATAATCGCAGGTGGAAGGTGCTCCGGCCGCTTGCCGGTCTGAAAACTTTCTCGGTCTGCTGGCTTGTACAGTCGATAGTACGCATCCAGCTTCTTCGAGGGTTCTCTAATCTCGAACTTATTGGGGTCGTTCCCGGTGGGGCTGAGTGAGCAGATATGAAAGCCGACAGGAACAATCTTGAGGTTTTCACTACCACGAGGGTCCTCCTGGCTCAAGGAAGCAAAAATACGGGCGCGCTGATCAAGCACCAGTTCAAAATGTGGATTATTGATCCACGTGCTTTTTGTAGTGTTGCCACCACAGTTTGCTTCATTCCAACTCCCCTCTGAGCGCCGACCATGCCAAGCATCAGGAAAATCTGATGATTGCGTTGGTTAGCCACCGAATTACGGAGCAATGATGCTCTAAAAGTCAAGATAACTTACCTATGCCGGCAAAAAAGTGTGTAAACGACTGCATCCAAGCGTCGTAGGACATGAAGAAAGTCCCATCATTAGCGTTGATCTCAACGACTTCTTCTTGGGAAATTTCATCTGCGCCAACTTTTTGTTGGGCATTGATCGTCATAAACACCCGCTTCTCAGCGTTGGCACCAACTCTTCGCTTCAGAATTTTAAAGAACTTCTCAATTGCATCCTCATTTTGCGCCCGTTCCTCACTTGAATCCGACCATGGTCCAGTCTAGGGGAAAGCAAGCACGGTTATTACACTCGCTTAGGAATATAGAATATAGCCTCCCCAACTGGTGCATCTTACCCATTCTCCCATTCCCCACGGGTTTCGGAGTTTTACCAGCCGAACCGATTCACCTTTGGTAGTTTTAATCTCGGCTACATCCACAAGAGCGTACGCGTGCTTGAAGTACAGACCATTTCCTGCACTGGATTCCACAGCGACATCCTTCGCTGTTACAGGAGGCTGGATGGAGCACCCCATTAGTGTCCCGGACTGTTTGTATCGTGTAAGTTTCTCCCAGAATGGGTCCCCGTGCTTTTGCTGTGGCTTGGCGGGAATATATGGATTCTCACCAAAACCAGGGAATCCTTCTTTCAGAATGACCTGCTCCGAGCACATCCCAGTCAAGTCATTCAAAGCGCAGTCAACGAAGCCACCGATCAACGCCTCATAGCTTCCGTGAAGTTTCGCGTAAGCCTTCTCCAGCAGAGAGACCCTGTTAGCGCGAGAGAGCAAATATCGTGGGGTTAGAAGATTTTAGTAGCTGAAGCGACAGTTTAACGCGTGTGCTTACCAAAGCTCGTTCGGATTTCGACAGCGAGCGAAGTAAGGTTTTCCCGCTTTCTTGTCGGTGAACCCGAACACTGGGAGGCGGTCGTCAATTAGGACGTAGTTCCAGACAAAGTTCTGAGAAATTGGAGCGTGATCGCCGGAGTTAATGGAATTGTTTAAAGAACATAGCAAATTGAGAAGCATCACGAACCTTCATGAACTTGCACACAAACAACCCCTTAGACTTGTGCTGATCGCTGCGCCAGAAGGTTTGCTCCAGTAAATCTGATCTCGTAGCGACCACACTCAACGCACCTACACGCAGTAACACGAGTCGTATCAACTACAATTTCCCCCTGAATTAAAATTCCACCCACTTACTCAAAAACCAGCAGTCCCCCAGGTTTCCTTGGATTACATCTCCCGAAGACACCCCATCAGCAAACAGAGTTGCATTCGAAGCGAAGACGTGGTCAGTCGATGCCATCGGGTAAGAGTCCTCCCCCTCCTCTTCTTCCTGCGGACTGCAGATCATGGAATAACACTGAGCGTCAGTAATGTGCAGTATAACATAAAAAAACAACACTACAGCGATATCTTACCTGTTGTCATTTTCATCGTTCTCCAGCGCGTAAATGGGTCGTTCCCATCGAATCTTCCCACGCTGAAGCAAACCGAGAACCTTCGCCTGATGCTGCGAGCCGCCCTTGGCAGAAACCACAGCACCAGCTTTGCAGATCGCTGCAGCCCCGTCTGGGTCGCTATTACCCGGTCCGAAGGTCGGATCCGTGAAGAGCTTTGTGGCTGGATCTGTGCAGGTTCTTAGTGCCTGTTTGATCTTCTCTTGCAGCAGTTGGTCGGCTAGTCGAAGTCCGCGTAAAAGCGCTCGACCGGCCAGACCCTTGATCTTCACAGAGATGACGGTGTCTTGGCGACCCGAGACGACACTGATACCGAGCCTTTTCAGCTCCTCCTGCAGCGTATGGAGATCGTCCGCCCCGCTGTCCTTCATCGCGGCACGCATGCCGACCTTGGATTGCGACTGGAATTGACGAGCCACGCCGGATACGGCGATGTGACTCTTCGAAATGACTCCTTGAATAGAAATAGTAATCGTTCGAGCATGGGCTCAGCTTGAACCAAGTATGCTATGGTCTCCCCAAAGACGCCGGCCACATTGCTTGACCACAGGTTAAAAAATGCTTGGCTTTTATTTCCAGTATGGGGGAATTGGGCTTTCGGGGCGAGGTGCGGTGAGTAAGTTAGAAAGGATGTCTAGCAATGAGCTACGCTGCGCAGAACTGCGATGTGCCGGCACATCAGCTCGCGAGCCAGCCTCACACGGCTTCAACCTATGTTGCCAGTGACGGAATATATCTCTGCTATCAATGAGGTTTTGGACCTCATTGAACTAAATAAGGCAGTATTCTCAATCTTTAATTAGGCATTCTATAGAGATTGTATGGGATAGGATGGGAAACATCCTGAGAGAGTGCGTTGAAGGTAGCCAAGAATCCTGAGTTTCACTCAAGAACCAAGCACATAGATATCAGACATCACTTCATCCGTGAGAAGCAAGACAGTCACGAGATTGAAGTGCAGAAGGTTTCTAGCGCAGACAACGTGGCGGACGTGTTCACGAAGCCGCTACCGCGAGTTGCATTTGAGAAGCACAGAGACGCTTTGCGCGTCATGCCAGTGCAGTGCAATGTACCTGCCTCCGAGATGCATCAGGTGGGGCACTTGCGGAGAGCGTGATAGTCACGCTGTAGCAATGATGCTGCTCGGGGTACAACCGTTAGTACCCTCAGAAAGAAAACCGTAACCTGAGTAATATATCGTCTTTTGCCCCCTAGCTCGCAAGTGGTTCTGGGCCAAAGACTCGAAGGAGATTCTAGCTGCCGACCAGCCCTCCCAGCCAGCAAGATGGAGGAGAAGAGATCAAACGAGAGGAGCTATGCCGTCCCTGTGCTCGAAGACAAGAACAGCGACTTCAACGGTTGGTACAGCCGGCTTAAGCTCAAGCTGGACGCCAAGGGCTTGTGGGAGGACTTCTGCGAGAAGCAGGACGTGCCGTCGCAGACCGAGGAGCCAGACAAGTACAAGACGCACATGCAGTGGAGAGAGCAGGCGCGCTGGAAGATCGACAAGACGCTGTCGCCGGACCTCTCCAAGACAGTGGAGGAGGAAGCGACGCCGTTCGGTGTGCTCGAGCGTCTGCGCAAGATGTTTGTAGGTGCTACCAAGTTATCTTTCGTGCATCAACTCGGTGCAGTCATGGAGATGAAGTATGAGAAGGGTACGAACCTGCTAGTGTTCATCGAGGAGCTGAAACAGGGTTTCACGAAGCTCGAGAACATGGGTCTGCCGTTGCAAGATTCTCTTAAGCCCTACATCTTAGTGATGGTACTAAATGATACTTTTGAGAATATTTTGCGTACGTATTTGGTGCACTCTTTAGCAGAGAGCACGGAGCTGGAGTTTGACAAGCTTGTGGAGCTGCTGGATAGCTCATATTTGGAGGTTAAGAGGCAAGATCAACTACAAGGCCGTGGCTCAGAGGCCAAATCCCATAGTGACTCAGCTTTATTTTCGTGACAAGCGGACCGCTGATGATGATGATGGGAAGTGCCGTCACTGGCCACTTCATCCGTGATTGCCGCATATATCGCGAGAAGCAGGAGCACGGGTGGAGACATCCACTCCCATGCAGAACTAGGAAGGACTTCCACGATGATGACCGAGATCCTACTCGAAAGCGAGACTACCAGCGAGATGAAGACCGTAAGCGAGAAGGGGACCGAAAGCGAAGTCGTGATGATAAAGAAAGTGACGGTCGACACTCGCGTGGAGATAAATCTAAGTTTCGCAAGCGTAGTGATGGTGATCGAGCCATGGTATCGAAAGCAGACAATGACTCGAGGTCCAGCTCGGAGTCAGCCCTGATGTCTATTGACGCTAGATGCTACGGCGAAGACAGATCCCAATGAGTGGATTCTGGATTCAGCAGCCACACGTCACATGACATATTCAAAGGAGTCTCTAGTAAACTATTGCCCGATCTCTGCTGCTGTGGAGGTTGGTGGTAAGCATGAGCTCCATGTCATGGGCATTGGAGGTAAGAGAGTGACCTTGAAGACAGATCATGGCTCCGGAACGTGTATTATGTTCCGTCGATCCAGTTCAACCTGTTTTCAGTTCGCATGCAACGGGATGTTCAAAGGCTCGCAGCGAAATTGGTCCATAGCGGAGAAAGAGGCTTTCCCAATAGTGGATGCATGCTCAGACCTGGAGTATCTCCTCCTCCGACCTGGAGGCTTCAAGATCTACTGCGACCACGCAAACCTGATTTTCATTTTTGACCCATCGACCGAGCTCAAGCGGACAATCTGCAGCGCTGGGCCATGCGCATTTGTGGGCTGCCGTACAGTATCGAACACATCGCGGGCGAGGACAATGTGTGGGCGGACATCGTCTCGCACTGGGGACAGCAGCCTGCGCCCGAGGCTACGCTGGTGTCCGCTCGTGCCGTGCGGACATGAGGCACCCCGACTGTCTCCGAGCTGAGGCCGCTGCAGGATGACGGCTTTGTCTGGCCCACCAAGGACGAGGTGCGACGCCAGCAGGCGAAGTTCAAGAACTCGCTCAAGACCTCGGATTTCACCATGCACGACGGCTGTATTCTTATCGATGAGAGGCTGTGGATCCCGTCTCAGGCGACGGAGCTTGCCAAGAGACTGATGGTTATAGCTCACGGCGGGTCGCAGGGTCACCGGGGCGAGCGGCCAATGACGATACTGCTGCGCGATCGGTTCCACATCGAGAAGCTTGGCCAGAAGGTGCAGGAGTTTATCCAAAAGTGTCTGCTGTGTAAGCACTTTAAGGGCGGCATGCTTGTACAGCGCCCGTGGGGGCCAACGTACGAGGCGAAGGCACGCAATGAAGGTGTTCACTGGGATTTTCTCTTGATGGGTGATTCCTTCGGCGAAAACCGCTACATCCTGGTGGTCAAGGACGCGATTGACACATTACTGCGAGCTGTTCCCTACTCCGCACTGCGACAGCGGCACTGCTGCAGCAGGACTCCTGGACTGGTACAAACGCTACGGCAAGCCACAGGTGCTGGTCTCTGATCAAGGGGTCCATTTCCTCGACGAGACCCTCGCCTCGCTGTGCTCCAGATTATAGATCCCGCAGGACTTCACTCCGGTATACTCGCCGTGGGTGAACGGCACCGTCGAAAGAATCAATCGCGACATTCTGCAGGTCATCCGGGCTTTGCTGATGGAATTTCGCCTGAGTGACAAGGAATGGTCGTACCTGCTGCCTGTGGTACAAGCTAATCTCAGCCACACCCAGGTCGCATCGCTAGCCGGACGCGCGCCGATTGAGTTGTTCCTCGGCCTGCCACCTCTCAGCGCCCTGGATACGATCGTTGTCCCAGCACTGTGGAGCTCACGCTGGATGGAGACGTGGACGCGTTCATGAACGAGTTGAGGGCAAGTCTACCAGCGATGCACCGCGCTGTTGTTGACGTTAAAGAAGCCAAGCGGCTACAGGAGATGGCGGCAAAACGCGCTGTGATTTGCAATTTCGAGGTTGGTGACTTCGTGTTGTGGTCACGAATTGACGCTCGACTTCCTACTCGAAAGCTCTTGGGTCGTAGGTGGGCCCCTTTGCGGTCGCTGAAGCGAAGCGGAACTCGTTCATCATCCGCCACCTCATCACGGGCACGCAGCACGAGGTGCATGGGACCATGCCTATCATTGTGGTGAATCGGAACCACACCCCAGTACTATCACTAGGCAACTGTACCCCTATCGAGCTCTTTATAGGCCCATCAGCTACTTCTACGCTCGACACCGTGGCTGCACCCCCACCAAGAAGATGTTGCGGGGCCCGCCTATGGAGAAGGCTGAGCTACGCAATGCGGTCAACGGGCTTTGGCGTAACCTGCCCGGAATGCATCGCACCGTTCGCAACCGCCGCGAGCAGCAGTGTGTGGTGGAGATAGCGCGCTCCAAGGGCACCGTGTGCGAATTTCCCGAAGGCGACTACGGCCTCTGATCGCGTGTAGACACACGACGACAGGACAACTGCTTGGGCATTAGGTTGGGCCTTTTCAGGTAACCAAGGCCCTCTACATAGTAATCGTTTCGGATTCGCCATCTACTCACTGGGGGCTGCGTATGACGTGCCCGGCTCACGCCTGAAATTCTACCATGACGCAGACTTCGACGAGACCGCCGAAATATGCGAGCACCTGTCCTTACAGGACATTATATTCGAGGCTCGTGACATGGTTTCGCATCGGCGCCTGGTGGTAGCATGGCGTGGACTGCAGTCTATCGAGAACTCCTGGGAACCTACCCATTCAAACAAGCGTGCCGTTCCGGCACTAGTGACGAAGTATGCCAAGGCGCACAGTGTGGGCGAATTACTGTAGTAGTTTGGGGGTCCAAGACATGCCCGTTGCTGAAAAATTGCCAATCTTTTTGGAGTGTTACAAATTCAACTCGTTTGCATACGACGGGATATGGCTACATGATTGTAGAAAAGGAAGCTCTCTTAATGTGACACGAAGGTGTTCTGAGGGTGGTGGTGTTGTCTTGGGGGGTCAGTGTCGAGTATTGTACCAGACAACGGACACATCAGAGCAAGGACAATGCCGACGCCGCAGCCCGCCCGACACCGACAGTAGGACGTGCGGCGTCAACACTACATCTACATAATCGCTGCCGCGTCGGCACTGCATAATCAGCGCCAGTGGTTGGTGCTGCGGAGCAAAAGCGCTCGTAAGACAAGTAGCTAGGAGGTTTTGTCTAACTGCTAAATGAAGTCACTTCGCAACTTACTTTGAAGCGCGCAACGTCATAGTGAGCGAGCTAAAAAAATAATGATGTGCTTGCGAATCCCAAATTGTGCAAAGGTCCATCTCGACTTCTGGACCAACTAATATTCGCGGCGCACGACGCATAGCTCTCTTAAGCGCGGTAGCACGACTGCAGTGTGTCTTAATTAACCTGGTACATCCTTTATCTGTCCGCTAATCGCCTAGAGTTACACCCGGTTATGGGTGCCCAACCTCCTCTCCAGTAGCATGACACGCAGCACCTGCAGGATATCATTATTTACTGGCGTTAATCCAGGGTGAGTATGCGGAGGTAAACAGATGGCTTGCATCAAGCCGCTCCGCCAACAACTCCACCACTCCACTCTTAAAATGCGAACCGTTATCAGACAACCACGATGGTGGGGCTCCGAACTACTTGTTTCAATCGATGATGGCTGCAACAGCAGTTTCACTTTCTACTGTGCCTGCTGACGTGGGCTTGACCGGCATTCGTGGGCTTGGACCGGGACCCGAATACACAAACTTGACCAGATGGGACCATCTTAGACCACCTAGTCGGTCATGGGACATGTCCCGATTGGACCACGATGTCATAGGGTGGCACCCCCTTTTCAATAGTAATGCTTTACGAAACAGTTGTGTACCGTTGATGACTTCGACCCACCACCTGGTCGAAGAGTCGATGAAGACACAGCAGATAACACGAAGAAGCGGAAGGTTATCTACGCAAGTACGCACGTTCTCAGGCTCCTACAGGATACGACCGCTTCTAACAGATCGGTTATGTGTGTGCTTGTACAGGCTAACAGAAAGTAAGGCGCAAGTGCTGTGGATGGATTTACAGGCAGCCTACGAGCAGCCTCGGTCGGAGATAACGTGGTCGTTGAGCCTGCGAACAGCTTTGGTGTACTCGAGCGCCGCGGGTAACCAACGCCCGACCTGGTGTGGGTGACGCAGAAATAGCCCGACCAATGCTGACGTTGAAAATATCACCTGCAGAGCAGATGAACCCAGGATGCAACGGCACTCCAGTCACCTTAGGTGCGCTTAGACCATGTACTTCGTGCGTAATGATGCTCTGTTTGACTGTATGGTGAATCCGCGCTAACATTGTACCCTATAACCTACGATGCATGAAAAGTGTTTGTGAATCGGTTAACAATTAGCGCCTCGACTTCCAGCACGCTGCTCTCATACGCTTGGGATCTGCAAAGTTTGAACTAGCTGGTAAAAGGTATTTATTTTGCTACCCGAGTTTGTTGACTGCCGAAGACACTTAGATGATGCATGCGTACAAAGGGATCATACATGTTGTACGTACAACATGTCAAACATGGGCAGATTAGATGGATAAATCAGGAATTCTTTGCAAATGCACAGGGCCTGGACTTGTTCAATCACCGTACAACCCAAACGACCCACGCTCCTACGTCGAGCCGCCGTGGATCACAAGAGCGCAAACTTAACCCAGAACATTGCGCCCTTACAATTTCCCCATTTACCTTACGATCCATTCGCGCGACAATCTCACCCCACGGCATCATCCACAGCAGATTGGCAATTAACTCGTACCCAATAGGGGTAGTCAATGCCTGCAGCAGCAACTATTTTTTTCTCATTCACATACGACAAATGTTTTTTTACCAATCACGAGCTAAGTGCGTTGACCACCCCATTCACTGTCCGCAGCAACAGATCAAGATTTTCCGTCCTTCAAACGCCCCAGCCTACACGCTTGTCCTCTGGGATGCTGGGAAGCTGGAATGCCCGAAGCGCCAGCAAGAGGAAGGTGGCGGCCTCTAAATTTTACTTGGGTTAAGAGACATTAGTCTCTCTACACCAAGGGGTCCTAATTCTAAAATCAACAAGTTGCTAAATATTGTCCTACTCTAGTCAGTAAAGTGGAGGTACAAAATTCGACATCACTACTGTTTAAATACTGATTAGCTTGAAAAACACCGGTACGTCAAAGTAATGCCCAACTTACCGGTATACTAGGTACAGTCCACCCACATTTACAGTACTGGCTCACATCTTGCGACTTCGGTTATTTTTCTAGCTGGGATTTGAAGCTCAGAATCATCGTTGCTCAACATATTTGTATTGATCTTTGGTATGCTCATATGCTTATGTTAATAAAAATACTATTGTGCTTTTCACCAATTCTATCAGTGGATTAGGCACGCTAATTCAACGTCCACTACTAGAATAATCATTGGATAAGCGGCTTGCCCTACGATGCACAAGCAAAAAGCTCGATTTAAGCTTGATTTACACGAAAAATCGTGGATTGGTAGTAGCAACTGCGCCATTCCAACGATAATCGAAGCCTAAGCGACAGCCTGCTAAAGAATGGCTTCCAATAATATAGAAGTGAGGATCGTTGTGTTATGGTAAACAATGAAGTTAAAATACGAAACAACGATTTACGCCTTTGTTTAGACAGAATTGAAGAAAAGCACAATAATTGCAGCGGGTCTTATCCACGTGCACGAGTTCCAAATCACCAAGGTCAGAGTATATAAACGTTGATAATGTACATAGCAAATAGAACAATAGGGCTTCGTAACGTCATACCCATGCATGTTAATAGGATATAATTTGTGGCTTCCAGCCGCCAGAAGAGCGCGTCAAAGAACTCACCTTTATGCCATCTCCCGACGTCTGATAGGTTGCTAGGATGTGCAAAAAAAAATCAAAAACGGAACTATGGTTATCCGTGCGGATCTAGTATTGCTGCTAGAGTCAACCACAGTGTGTTAATTTGTACTACTGGCACCCTGGCATCAGAAGGTATGAGTGTTCAAAGAATTGCTACCATTATCTCTTGTTTCACCGAACGCTTCCTGGGGTGTCTCGACAGTATACGGTGTGGCCGATTCCCCTTTGAAAACATATACCCCTGTGAACTCGATATATTCTGTTATACCCCTTCAATCGTATAAATGAGTTAAGGCTAACTCTAATTTTGTATGGAGCCAGCATCGTACGCAAGTTTGAAACGCCCTCCGCGTTTATTTGGCGCTAGTTAGCAATCCACCCTTAGTACGATAGTCAGTAAAAATCAAACGATCAGTATCGAGGTAATGCTGAATACTCACCGCAGGTAAGTCCCAGATATCGCAGATCATAAAGAATATCCCTTTTTGCCCCTCAATGACACTGTCAACTTGACCACGCGGTTGTTCATGTACTAGTGAGCAAAGGAAACAAATTTTATTATGGTACAAGCATATCCGCCTACTTTACTACTGCAGTAGGCAATATACCTTGCAAGACGCAAAGATGAGGGAACTATTTGCACAGGCTTACTTAATAACTCGTATATGGTTCTGCGCAAATCATGTATCCTTGTAGATGTTTTGGACCCACCGGTTGCGATTAGGCAGGGATAGCTACTTTGTTGTTCCTATATACATTTTAGAGTGGCCTTTCAAACCGACGTCGTGGCGTAGCGCGTAGTCTTTACTGAGGTGCCCAAGCCGTCAGGGCCAAACAAACTTGGAGGCTCCAAGCTGGAGGTGTGATAGTCGCACCTACAGATCGACGCACTTTACTATGCGGCGATTGGCCCTGTCTCAACGATCGATACAAATATAAGGTGTATTCAGCATAGAAAGGAAAATACAAAATAATTACAGATGGTCGGAACACTGGATTGACCGCCACGTCACATTATCAGCTCCATGAAAAGCATTGCTACTATAGACATACAATAATATGACCCGCCCTGCAGCGCACGTTGGCTGCTGCAAAATTACATTTGGAGCTCACAATTCATTTTCCGCTCTACTCGCTCTATTACTTTAACTACTAAATACTTCCTCACTATGTCCAGGCTGACAGCTGAAGAGCTCATGGCGGAGATGGAAGCCGAGCTGAACGCTCAACGGGTTGAGGAAGAAGAAAACTTTTTTTTTACGACGTCGGAGAGCTTCGCAACTTCATCGACGACTCCGCCCCAGAACCAAGCGTCGGTGTCTTGGTTGAGCTCTGCGTACTTCGCATTGAGCGTCTGGCGAACAACAAGGGGACCTGTCTCGTGGGCCTCATCGCCTACGCTCGGGACCACTTTAAGCTATAGAGAAGCGTCTACTTCAGCTGGATGAGCCTCGCAAGAAACGCTTCATATTTCGTCTGACCGTGTGGGACTCTGCTAGAAGGACAACGGGCCTCGGACGGTTTCGTGTCGGCGCCAACTACAAGTTCAAGAAGATTCACCACGTGGTGATGTTCAAGGGGACGGCCCAAGGCAGCATGCAAGTCAGCGACGCGAGTGATGTTCAAGAAACGCCACCATTTTCACCTAGGAAGCTGAGCCGCGATGAGAGCAGCGCTATCGACACGACCGAAGCCGATGAAGAGCAGAAGGACGAAGGGGTTGAGATGACATGGAGTCCTACCAGGTAAGATCCTACAGTGGCTAATTTAGAGGACGCGAGCACATCACCTCAAATGGTCTCTGGTATTTTACTGATTTTGTAGTCAGGAACACCAGATACACTTATGTAGGTCGGGATGACTTAGATGTTCGATGTAGCAGTGACATCCTGTCATTGCCTTGCACATTTTTTTCATATAGCTTTCTTAAGGCGCTCGACTACCAATATCCAAGTTGGGTCTTTAATCCGGTGTTTAGAGGCCTTTAACGCATAGCGACACAGCGATATAGCGTTATGAATTGCTGGTGTTGGCCCAGCAGTAGCACAGGTATACATGGTATGCCCCTGAGATATGCAACTCAGCTCAAAACGCGCCGTCAAACTCGCGACTAGGTAGCAGTGCGACATCTAAATACCGCTTACCGTCAGAACCTCCCCTCTCCTACACAGTTCTCGATTTGCGTTTCGACCGCTACACGCTACAATGGCTCGTAAGCCGAACGTCAAGACTCGCAACAGGCTACGCACACACTTAGTGTGATTAACCGGCGAATTTCCCGCTTGGAGAAAGCCCGCGCAGGTGCCCCGACCCACGGTGGAGGACCTCAAGACGGTCTGGTTTGCCCTGAAGTAGCAGAAGGAAGGGAAGGCGAGAACCGTGAGCGCCGTATTGCTGAAACAAAGCGCTACACTAACCTCCGGCAGCGATGTTCATGCCCAGCCCGCAAACGACAGAAAACCAGAGCTACACCTGGTGAGATGGCCTTCCAAATTGATACTGACATTAAAGGTGGGTAACAAATTTCCTTGCTCAGAAATGCATCAAGAATTCTAACATTTACGGGTATGTTATGGCAGCGTTCTTTGCTACTTTAGCTGAACCCTTTCTCCGAGTTTGCGGGAGCTGTGGGGAACTAGCTAACTCGAAGCTAATGTGGTCAAGACTATTCAGCGTTGCAGATGCGTTTTATCAACTTCTTTGTAGCTCCGCCGGTGTGTACGAGGTCATTCCGGAAGGTACAGTAGACAATGCAGATGGGTTATCGCATATTTGGTTATGCTCGCGGTGTAATCTCTCTTTAACTAAGCGCATTGTGCCAGTGTTTAGTCGTGTTTCCGAATTTCGCTTGCGTGCCGTGCCGAATGAATTATCTGTACTCAATCGCACTGAGGTACGTTTGATCGGTCTTGGAGTTTGCTTTACTAATTGTATTTCGTTTCACAGATACGGTCAATAATTTACTAGGGGCAACGTCGTGAATTACTGAAACAACTCAGCTAAATTTGCTTGCGAACTTCTAGGCCGCTTACAGAAAGTGGAATTGTGTATTTACGAGTGCATTCAGATGCTCGTGACACATATTTTAGGGTTCGACCAAGTTAAGTAAGACGTGCGCTTGAGTGGCTTATTGGTCACAATCCACTCTATTGGGAGGTAACAATTTCCGAAGAAAATCTTCAAGCATTGAATGACGCAGCTATGTCAGTAGGTATTCCAACTATCGGATTAACAGACGAAGAAGCCTAAGAGTTGCAACCGGATGACGAAAAACCAAACGCGCCAAAAGATTCGATTCAAGTGTACTACAGCATATTACTTCCTCGCTTGATCACACTTTCATGTTCCATGGCGATCACTGGATACCTTACCGAAAAGTGATGACGACTGCATCCGTGCTTTTTCAATTGAAGTTGACAATCAAACTCAGTCAGAGTTTATAGTGGAAGCTAATTCAAGAATAATGAGGCAGCTAAGATTGGAAAAACTCAACGAAACCACAGGTAATACGCTATTTTCTCGTTTGCCCCCACCAGAATACGCTTTCGTAGAGGATGCCAAACCTAATTTCAGCCAGCTCCAGCTTGAAGTTCTACGAGATGATGATGCAGACAGAGAGTCATTTGCTAAGCAATGACACTCCAGGCAGCCATATTCTATTGATGACATCGCAAAGGCGCGTGCGTTCATAATAAGCCTAGTCCAGCCATGGCTACATGCAAAACATGACAAGTACAACTATAATGACATGTTTAGAGCTGCCAACAATCCGGCAAATCCTTACCGCTACCCAATTTCAGCGACAGCAAATAGAGAAACTGATGAGATAGAGATGGCGAAATCTCAATGGATTACATTCGCAATATGCATGAGTCAATCAAGAAAGAGGTTTAAATCTGTGATCGAAAATACTCGTTGCGATTCTCTACAGCTAATCACAAATGGCGAAGGGGGTTCCGGTAAGAGTTGGTTAATAAAGCATATTGTGAAATACATCCATACAGGTTTTGGAGAGCATTACGCTACCCGACGCACATCAAACCGTGTTTTGCTTTTAGAACACCAGAAACGGTAGCTTTTAATATCAAAGGCCAAACGATATATCCGCCTTTAGCTTTTCAACCTTTTCGAAAAGGGCATTTTCAGTGCCGTACGTGTCATTAATTATTCAGAAAGGAGGTCCAGCAAAGTCGAAGGCGATGCAAAAACGCTACCAAAAAGCTCAACTTGTAGTTATTGATGAATTTAGCGTTATCAGCTGTGGAATGTTGTTATGGTTTGATATGGCCAAGCTGCCTGAACTACCCTTTGGTGGACGTGATATTAATTTTACTGGTGATTCGGGGAAATTAGACCCAGTTATTCCACACTCACTTGCTACGCCACTGGACAAAATCGCAAACGATATCGAAAAGCACGGAAGGGTGCTATGGGAAAATATACCTTTAGTTTGCAACGTAACTAGTCAAAATCGTGGTAAGCAAAACTCACAGTGGTATGATGCTCTCAGTAGGCTACGCAGAAAAACGCCCACTGAAGATGATATTGAGCTATTCAATACTAGGTACAAGAAGCGAAAAGAATATCCCGATTGCTCGGCACATCGCTTACCTTAATGCCGATGTGAATGATGCTAATGATGAGCGCGCTGACTTTCAAAAAGAAAAGATTGTTCACGTTTTCGCACAACACTTTGTTCAGGAAAAGCGACTTGCAGCCCAGCGAGATATTACAGAATCTATAATAAAGAGCCTGCTTTCTGATGCTGAGCGACCCGATCCTACTCGCGATAGAGTATACGTCCCTATGCTAAAGTAGCTATTGCCGCACCAGTTGCTTTAACATTTATTATGTCCCAGCCAGCTGGAATATGCAATGGCACCAATGGGATCCTTTACGATTTTATTTTCACTGGAGGAAGTGAGCTTCCTATCTGCTTAATTCAGATTTCGGACAAGAACTTAGAGTCGTCGTTTCTGAGTAATATTCTCAACATTATCCCTGTTTGACCAAAAGACGTGTCATGGAGTAAACCGTCTAGCGATGTAAGAGTGGTTCGCAGGGGGTTGTCAATTCGAACTAGCTTATGACATGACAGTACACAAAATTTAAATCTTAACTTGTGAGAAGATTGTGTTTCATAGGGAGTCAGTTCCGTCCTGTGCGTTTGCATATGTTGCACTTTCACGAGTAAAATGTGGGGAAGATATCATATTAACCTCGTCATTATCTCTTCATAATCTGAAGACATCGCCAGAAAGTATTTGAGCATGAAGGAGAGCGTGTTCGAGAAGTCGTTAAATTGACAGACGCCCACGCCAAAGCGATTGTAAGAAAAATGAAGCAAGTTACCTCACAGCTTAATACTTCCGTAGATCCTCACGATTAAGTTACATGCACGCATATACATGTTCTTTCTTTAGGTAAACTAACTTTAGTTTGACCTAAAGCAATATATATGTGAACGGGGCCGGCAAAGGCGAGCAGCTGGGAGGCCACAAGAACAAGCACAACGGTGTGTCGGCAGAGCAAAGACTAGGATACGGCGATACAGGTACGGTGTGGACAGCAAGGCATTGGAATGACAAGGCACACAGCTACATTTGCGCAAAGAATGCATAGACAGTAGTGCCTCTATCAAGAAATTGGTTTTTCCGGACACCAATCTACAATTTTTATTACGATATTCACGTCAGTATCGTGGGGACGTCGTACCGTAGTGGTTTATCTAACCACTGTGGCGCGTCGCCCTTTTAGCAGCTGCAACACAGATGCTCAACTGGTATAAGATATAGTTCCAAATTTGAGATGCTTCAGCGCTACGAACGCGTTTTTTTCCTCTGATCAAGGCTGTGGACGCGGTGGTAGAGATGATACTGACGAAAGCGTCGCACACCCCAATCTACTGGAGCTGCTACAGCACCAGAAGATCGACCGCATGGCGAAGTAGCTACAGTGCAACGGTGTTGACTTGGCTGACGGCTGCCTGTTTTACATCTCCGTCATTACCGATTACTCTTACATTCTTGAGAAATGCAGTGAAAGCTGCTGTCAAGCGCTTCGTATAGCCAAAGCGTGGTGCCAAGTGGAAAGTGCGGGTAGGGGGCTATCCGGCTCTGGCCCTGTGTATGGGCCAAGTAAAAGAGCCAAGACGGGTAAACACTCCGACCACATAACCTATAGTTAGTTGTTGAAGCAACCGACGTCCAACGCGTGCAACAAACAGGTCAAACAATACAAGCTGCTACTAGTTATGAATTTACACTGTCATTTTTTTATTAAATTGGCCTAAAAACATTCCTTTCTTAAATGAGTTTAAGTTGTTCTTGCGCATATTTTGCCGGTTTGGTTCTCTGCGCTATAACTACCATGTCAGCAACAAATTTGTAGCATCGGTATTCGTCACTATAAATCGGAATTCGTTCTCTATGAGATTGTTGTGTGCTGCCCGTGGTGGTCGTCACCGTAGAGCATAGATTAGGTTTCCAGTCTTAAGCGAAATCAGGACACGTAACCCTTAGTTTCCGGACTATTGAAGAAGTTTATATTTTTCCTGCTGCATAAACAATTACAGACGAATTTGGATGGGGTGCACTGTTGTTACAGCGATATGACCGGGATAGTACAGGTTCCGTGACGGGCAGAGATTTGGGAGATCCAACATAATTAACTTTTATGTAGACTGCCTTTTAGCCTAAACGCCACGAATGATAATAAAGAATACATAATATCCATTCGTTTTATCGGCTTGCCCGATTTTAAAACGTTACCCATGATCAGTATCATGAATAAAATGCAACATCCAATGAAAACAAGCAAAATGCAGTTTCAATTAATTACTTCCTGCGCTGAAACGAAGGCCTAGCCTACGCCCTCATCATCCGCTATTCCCTCTTCTTCATTATCAGGACCAGCGTTCGGTATCGAGCCCTCACTTGCCTTGGTTAGCGCAGCGCAGCGTCTAGGTTTCTTGTAGGTGCAACGGAATGTGATTCCCGCTGTTTTATTCATCGTGCCAGAAATGATGGCATGTCTTCTCCTTCTCTTCTCTTGCTACAGGTATATACGTTTTACAGCGTCGACGTCAGAAACTGCCTGTCAGCAAACAGATACGTGGTTGGGTTGGTGTCATGCCCTCCAAGTTACGAGCCATAACTTGCTCATTGGCTCTTTAAGCAAGCTGTTCTTCGTCTCCGTCTCTTTGGTTAGCTTGACCTCCAATGCAACAAGGCTACACTCTGCGTTGAGCGTTGTCTTGGCTGTTTTTCCTTCCAATGGGGCGGGAAACCCCTGCGTTTCCACTACTTCCCTCATTAACGTCAACTTCCGAGTTCTCGCTGCTACAGCCTCGGCACTTTCGACCTTATTTCATGGCGGCAAGAGACTCAATCTATTTCAGCGAATTGCGCAAAATAGCCCACACAGCTTGATGTCTAAACGTTACACCCTTGCTGTCGCGAAAAACAATTGTACGTCCACAATTGTATCTTCCACAGTTCACGGATTTCCGCAAAGTGCTCTCCGTGAGCAAATTTGCTCAAAAGAATTAACGAAAATTGGAGCATATCTCGCGTAATTTACTCAAACCGGTGGAGCACACAAAAACGCTAACTCCCTTCATTAACTGAATCTGCCCCTACGCCGTTTCCGGGCAGCGCGTAAGTTCGGTTGTGCTACGCAGCACCGCGTGGCCTAGCACTTTGCAAGCACGCTTAACTGAATTTAGACAAGGTAATTAGTCACAACAACTCGGCATGCATGCATAGTGAGCGTCTCAATGTCGCGCCATACTTGAGGCCAGCCAAGCCGAGAATCGTCGCTTCCCAATATATATAACTTACGACGACCTTTCGATCGTTTTTCTTGTAATTTGTATGATATAAATAACTTGCATTAAAGAGGAAATATATTCGCAGTTCGAAGAACTGTCGATTGGGGAAGGTTTTTGGATGACATCGAACGACATTCGCGCTACATTCGTAGCTTCCCCTGCCGGCGGATGACATCGAACGACATTCATGCTACACGGGACCATCGGCACATCATAGATAAAAGATATTGAAGCCGACTAGAACAAATAATAAAGGTGCAATTGTGTATATTATAGCTATTTCTAAGTTGTGAGATTCCGAGCACTGAAGCTCGACAAGAATGCAATGATTCCTGTTTTACAACGACTGGGCTTCGACCCAAACCAGTGAGTTTGCCTAAAGAAAAGTAGTCGAATTTGGGTTCAACATCAAAATCCTAGATTCCCGAATTGGCCGCCTGCTGAACACATCGCCAGAGAAGGAGGGGAATCCCATGCCGCGAGGAAGGGCCTTGGAGCTGTTGGTGGTGCTCAGCAGGCGAGCTGGGCGCGTGGAGCGATGCCTGCGCATGGAGCCCTCGACCGGCCGACCCCGTCAACTCGACAGGCGACGTGACACCCGCCGCGCATCATGTCGAAGTCACTGGCAAGTGGGCCTGACATCCACGACGTATGCCTTAACGGAGCTTGCGGAGCGACGACGGCCGCAGATCAAGCAAGAAGTCGGTGCCTACGGGCACGCGTCCTCGTGGCGCACCTCGGGTGCGAGGACTTGATACCCCTCGCGCGACGCCCTCAACGAAGCTCGTGGAGAGAAGACGACCACGGATCAAGCAACAAGTCAATGGTGTGGGGAAGTGATGCCTCCATGTGAAGCCAACCACTCTACTTGCGGTTCGACACCCGCGGATCAAGTAATGCAGTCAGCGCGGCCTGTGCCGCGTGTGAACCAGACAGTAGCCTCTGCCACGCAGATGCTAGCTCGTAGGGCTCGCTACCAGAGTACCGCACAACACAGCAGAGGCATCAGTGGATGCCAGGGGACGATGACGCTGGAGGAGCGTCGGGTTTCGAGGCCGGCCGACGATGTAAACGAGCGTAGGACGATCAAAGTGTTATAGAATCCGTTAGTTTTTGTAAAAGCTAAATGAATACGTCTCTCCTTGCAGCCAAAAAAAAAAACATCAAAATCCTAGTTGCCCAAGTAGATATTACTACAGTTTACCATAGCTAGCGACACGGCTTGTCAAAAATAGTTAATCGACTTCGTCTTCATAGGAAAGCATCATGGCCGCGGTGTGATGATAGTGCAGCACACGAGAGATGACTTCGCCTTGCGATCGATTTTCTTCTGTATGGATAGTTAATCAGAGAGAATAACTGAAAATCTTGTGCAATTTTCGTGGCATACATTGTTGACAGGCTGGTATTGTGTGAATCCCCACACGTATTGAAATGCGTTTAGGTGTATTAGATTGAACATTCCACTGAGACTTCGCCAAAAACTACTTCAATTATTTTTAACGATATGTGATCCAAAATGGGAGGTATATCTTGAGTTTTCCGTTCAACGATTTTGTATCCAACGCAAACTCTATCTAGCAGAGAGCCAAAGAGCTACACCTGATGGTATGTCTTCTCCGGAGAAAAGGCTAGAAGCTAGCGCAAAAAGAATGACGACCGTGTATGAAACTGGAAGGAACCTAGTTCAAATTAATCGAGCTAGGAATGGCTCATGTGGGTCCATTAAAAACCTAGCTGCTGTCGCTCAGGCATTTCATCTACAAAGACTTAGGTTGGTATTATTCTTGCTCTGTGTGAGACTACATTGCGACCAGCAGGGATTCCCCGAGCTCATTTACTACTGGTGGTGTATTAATACAATTATGCACTACTTGATCCTGTTCTTGTAAAACAACTTCGAAGTACATCGTTACCGATGTTAGTTTAGAACATCCTAATGCTACATGAATACGGTACGGCCAGCTTAATATTTGATAAATGGCAATGGCATACTTGGACGAATTGAAGCAGACACGGGTTTTGTTGTTAGATATTCAGGCGACCCGGACGAAATATGTGTGTGGCTGCGCCATGTTGTATCAAACAGCGTTTGAATGCTTCTAAGTTACGTCGTCCCTGTACGCCCCGGATTCCTGCGCGAGAGGAAACCCGAGCGGACAGTATCAAAGCGAAGGGCAAATACCCGGTGTATCCTGCTCCTACACGCGATCGAGATTTGCTAGACCTCAGTTTTGACTCATCAAACTTGAAACAAATTGCTGGCTTCATCCGTTTTCCCAGCAGGTTCAGTTGAGCAGTTAGCCTGGTAGCGCTAAATCTTCAAATACACGGATTTTTCTTCTTTTGTCTCCTCCGGTAAGTTTCCGAGCAAAACACGGAAAAAGGCTCTGCCTAGGCATCAGCACACATTTCAGTGGCAGGAAGGAAGGAAGGAACGTACGTTGATTAGCTAGTTGCCGATGATCGTTTTGCTAAGTACAAAAGAACTAAAATTAAAACTAAATCCGTGAAATCTTGATCCGACGAGCAGGAGGAGCCTGAAGCGTTGAAGTACCAACTCAACTATACTCTGCGTTGTTCAATCCATCGGAGTGACGATATATACTGTAGACTGGCAATGCCTTTTGAAAAGAAGCGATCAAACTTGGTACACTTGGTTGTACAGTGGTAGATTAGGCAGATGCTGCGGCTGCGAAGCAGGCGCAGGAGATGCCCGAATTCATCGTTTCCCTCTACAAGTATCCGTGCAAGCTAGCTTCGAGCTGCGAAACCCCCCGGGTCCACCACCCGGGTCCCCAATATACTATATTACCGTCAGACACCAATAAACGCCCATGTTTGCAAGGTCATAATTTGGCAACTACTGCGTCAATTGTGTAGTGGAAGCTGTCAGCACATTCGTCAGATACTAGGGTATTGGGCGCTACTACGCGCTTCTCTCATGACTCAATTGCTCGTGCACAGCGACATTTAGGTACATTGGTAACGGCAGGCTTGGTTAAAAAGAACGAATTTTAGTGCTACCTAACAATCTGGAGTATTTAACTTTTTATATTTAGAACTGTTCATATTCTATTATAATAACTTTCGAGTCCCAAATCGGACACTTTTCCGATCAAAATTTATAAAATGCCGTTCCAAGCGCCCAAGTGGTGCGTCCTGCTTGCAGCTCCTGTAGCCCCCCCGAGCTGTCTAACTCTCACTTCTTTGCCATTTGCCATCTCCAGGGCTGCTCCTCCGGCGCGTCGCAACCGCCATGCACAGCTGCGCGTCGAGAAGGGAGGCGAATGCGTCGAGCAGATCTCACTGGGCCCGAGCTCCTGCTACGTCTTGGGCCGCAGCGAGGACCTTACCGACGTGTGGCTGCAGCACCCGTCCATCTCCAGGCAGCACGCGGCCATCGTGCACGACAAGCACGAGCAGGTCTGCCTCATGGACCTGGGCTCGGCCCAGGGAACGTTCGTGAACGGCCGCGAGATCGAGCCCAACGAGCCGCGCGAGCTGCGGGATGGAGACCGCATTAAGTTCGGCGCCAGCACGAGAACGTACGTGTTCCAGAACACGGTGGAGAATGAGACAAAGGGGCAGGAGCCGGCAAAACGCACAGCAGCAGCCAGCGCCGATCCGGAGCTCCAGCGTATGATGCGCGAGATGCAGAGCTTCGGGGACAAACAGCACCACAAGAGGGACGAGAAGAAGCAGTTGGATGAAGATGCAAAGGTTGAAGAGAGGAAAAAGGTGCGGTGATCTGATGTAGCCGCTGTTATTGCTGTGTACATGCTAACTTCTAGTTATCTGTGTGTTTGTTCAGCGTCAAGCGGAGATCGCTGCAATGACTGCTCAGATGATGCAGGCGCCTGTAGTGCAGGTCTCTTCTACGGAGGAGACTGCGGGTCAGAGCAGTGCGGATAAGGAGGAATCGGCCCCAGAGGCGGAATCTGAGAGCGACAATGATGACGACGACGAGGAGGACGATGCTTCACTCAGGTATCGCTTGCCGAAGTCTAATGAGGTTGTTCTCGAGGGCCACAACAAAGCTCTTGCATGCATCGCAGTGGATACGCCTGGTGCGCGAGTGGCCACTGGATCGATGGACTATCACGTCAAGTTGTGGGACTTTGCTGGTATGGCGCGCCATGTGCGTCCGTTCCGTGATATCGAAGTCGACGAGGGCCATCCACTTGTGGCAGTAAGCTACAGCCCGTCAGGTGACCGCTTGCTTGCTGTCTCTGGCTCCTGCCAGCCGAAGGTACTGACACGTGAGGGCGTGGAGGAGCTGCAGTTTGCTAAGGGAGATATGTACGTTGTCGATATGGCCAACACGAACGGGCATACGCACGCGACAACCAGCGGACAATGGCATCCGACAGTACGCGACCAAATGATTACAAGTTCGCTGGACGGTACGGTGCGTCTGTGGAGCCTTGGAGGCAAGAAGGCGTTCGACAAGCTCATCAATACGTCGGTGTTTAAGTTCAAGGATCGCCGCGGTCGGCGCTGTGGAGTGACGACTTGTCGTTTCAATCCAGACGGCTCGTTGGTGGCGGGGGCAACTATGGACGGCCAGATCCAGTGCATTGACCCACGCAAGGCGTACGCTGGTGCTGCGCTGACCATTCGTGACGCGCATGCTGACGGCGGAGGTGATGTGGGCGTTTCATCGATTAGATTTTCTACCGATGGCAAGTACATGGCGTCACGCTCCTGTGCCGACGATACTGTGAAGATCTGGGATGTGCGCAAGCCGAAGCAGAGTCTGAAAAAGTTCCGCGGCATCGAGGGCGTCTTTGGAACGTGTAACATCGCTTTCAACCACAACGGCACGGCGCTCGCCGCTGGAACTTGCGTCCGGAAGGGCAAGGGCCTTAAGGGCAAGGTTCTCTTCCTGGATGTTCACACGCCCGGACTTGTGGATCCAGTGGCTAGCATCGACATGAAGGAAGACGAGAGTGCTGTATGCGTGGAATGGCACTATGGTATCAACCAGGTGTTCGTGGGAAGCTCGACTGGAGCTTGTCGCGTTTTCTACGACCCCAGACTGAGCACAAAGGGCGTTCTCTTGAGCGCTACGAAAAAGCTAAAGGTGCAGAGCAATGATTCAGGAGTGCGCATTGACGGCGCCGGCAAGGTCTACAACCCCCACGCTCTGCCCATGTATCGTGATGATACATCGGGCTCGCGCAAGCGCAAGTACGAGAAGGTGCGCGCTGACCCCAAGAAGTCTCACGCGCCCGAGAAACCCATTACGGGCCCAGGCATGGGTGGTAAGATCAGCGGCAGCACGACTTTCACGCAATACTTCATGAGCAGCCACATTAAGTCCTCTTTCCGAGAGGAAGATCCGCGAGAGGCCATTCTGAAGTACGCCAAGAAGGCTGAAACGGACCCGCAGTTCCTCGGAGCTGCTTACGGCAAGACCAAACTGGATCCGCGGTATCAGTTGGCAAAGCAGACACTCGAGGAGGAGAAACTCGCGAAGGAAGAGGAGGAACGCCGGCTGCTACAACCTTAAAGAGCACGGTACGCAGCTTACCTCGGTAATTGCAGCGCGTTCTTCCTGATCTTGCTGTGGACGTGTTAGGAAAGCTGGTGCTAGCCCTGGGTAAGTTCGCTTTAATATCACGCAGAGTGCTGCCAGTCATGCAGTATCTACATAGACCAACCACCATTCGAGTGCTCATGAGTCAGATTTCTCTGTTTGTACTTCACTAGGAAATGGGCATTTTTCGTGGTAAGTTATGCCCTTTGTTCGTCGATTAAAGCTCAAGAACATTTTTGCACACTGTTGCGGGTTTCCAATGCTTGTGGACATCATGAACACACATGCTCCGGTGGTTTTCCGGGAGCTTGAAGCACATGATCGCCGTGCATGGTATGAACTGCAAAGACCGCACAGGCCTTGGGTGCCGAGCACCCGGTAAAAGCCAATTTTCACGACACATCACATCGGGGAATCTGGACTACTTCTTTTGTACACGAGCAAAATCTGAGCTGTCTTCCACCGCTCGATTTCGGTGTACTCAGTCATCCCGCGGACCAGAGTTCTTACTACAAAGAGAAAGTCTTGGATGCAACGTGGGAATTATTCCACGGGTCATTTATTACTGTTTGCGGTTGATATTGTCTCGTTATTTTTTGCATGCATGCATAGAAGTATTTTTTCTTACAGTACGATTGCGACGTGGTCAAGGCGTCGCTACTGCTAATACACACAGATCTCCAGACTCTGTGATGGTTGCAATGGTTCAAGTTCTCGCTTGAGATGTTTGTGGCGGCCGCAGAAGCCCCCACAACGCTCGACGCTGGAGCATCCGTCGATGGAACACTTGCGAGAGGAATGCATGGCACACTTTCCATGGCGTTGGGCGCCCTTCTTGCAGCCAGGGGCGATGCAAAGCTTGCCACCTCCGTGGGTTCGGCACAAGCCTCCACTTTGACTGCTTTTGCTGCAGTTGGGCACTCTGCAGCGCGCTCCGCCGCCGTGACGCTTGCACAAGCCTTTCGTCTGCGCTCCGTTGGTGCAGCCGAAGGCGATGCAGCGCCTGCCACCGCCGTGCCGCATGCACCTGCCGCGGCTTTGCTTTTTCGTGTTGCATCCGGGGACAGTGCACTTGTCGCTAGCTTTCGGGGACCGCTTCACGTCTTCGAGCAGCGGCTTCGGGGACCACTTCACGTCTTCAGTCACCGGCTTGAGTAGGACTTGAAAAAGCTCCAGGGGTGTCACTAGTGCGCAGGGTCTACCAAACGCCGGCTTCGTTGGTGAATTGGGGACATCGAATGCTGGTTCAGGGCTGCGAAACGATGTCAAGCTTGGACTGGAACCCCAACAGGGACTTGCGAGTGTCTGCGCAGGAAAATCTCCGAAATCGAATCCGCCAACCAGTTGCTGCGGTGGCAGTCTCGGTGGAACCGAGATGCGGCACGTGAAGCAGAGCAACGGGTCTTCATAACTCGAGATCTGTTCCATCTCCATCTCTAGTGAAGCCGGGGGTGCGTCATTGTTCGGGATCACCAAATCCAGCAATGCGAGAAACTCGTTGCTGCTCGGGACATTAGTCCGGCGCTTCTTCTGAACTGGAGTCACGGGTGCGTCTTCACCGGGTATCACCAGATCCAGCAAAGCCGAGAATTGTTCGCTGTTGCTTGGGGAATTGATCGGGCGCTTCTTCTGGATTGGAGTCACGGGAACGTCGTTACCAGGTATCACCAGATCCAGCAACGTGGAAAATTGTTCGCTGCTGCTCGGGGCAGTGGTCTGCTCCTTCGAGGTTGGGGTCAGCGGTAAGTCGTCGCCGGGTATCACCAGATCCAGTAGGGAGGAAAATTCGCTGTTGCTCAGGACAGGGTCGCTGTCCACGTCGATCGCTATCGTGCAGGGGTCGAATTGGAGCTGCTGACAGGTCGACATTGTGTAGAGTCCGTGTTGGGTCGTGAGCTGTAGATGGGAAAATGTGAAGTGAGCCCAGGATTGCATGGGCCGGCTGGGTTGTCCTTTTCTGATGAAACTTGCCCTGCCCGTGGTGGACTGCAGTACAGTGGTCGAGGAAGCTGGAGTTAGTTGATCGCTGCTAGCCACAAACCAGGACGGGTATCGACAATCTGCGAAATGCAGAAAAGTGGACCGAGTCCATGAATCAAACATTACTGAAAGGTGTCCTTCCTATGCTTAAAAATATTGGTGATGTGTACGTAATGCTCGCCGTAGAAAGTTTTTGAGCTTGTACTGTAGATCACCGAAGCTACAGAAACCTTAGTAATGATTAATGGTAAATATTTCCACCAACAAGCACAGTTTCTCGTGACATGTACATGTATGCACTACAGCAGCAAATGGAACAAAACAACTAGATCGAAGAAACCTCACGTGATAGGAGATGTTGTCATTAATCCCAGCAATAACCTCTATTCAGTCTCATGCGTGTAACCTCGCGCGATGCCAGTGCTACCCTCGACTGCGGCGTGTGCAGGCGTCTTGCCAATTCGCGGATCCAGTCCCTGGTACTCTCTCGTTGCCAGGTAATCGGCAGCTTCACTGTGGTATGTCGTGAGCTCCGTGCGCTCATTTTTGACCTGTAACGCAGTAGATGCGGCGGCCTCTCCCGATGCCGTGAGTGCGTAAGTCGTCGCCTCACGGTCAACGGCCGTTGTTCGAGACGAGGTCTTGTATGTTCCAGACACCAAGGAGAAGAAGGGTTTGTCCGCATCATCACCTTCGCTGTCACCAGCTGCTTGCTCCACGCTTTGCGCGGTCTTTTCGAGTGCCGGGATCACCTCGCCGAAGTCCGTCTTGTACTGACCGTCCCATTCCTCGTCGGGCGAGAGCGCAAGCTGGAGCTCGTACGGAGTTACGATAGGCTTGTAGTATTCCTTGCTGTCCATGAGAGTGTTTTGCTGACACGCCACAAGCACAAAGGCGTCGATCTCAGCGTAGTTGGCGAGTTTAGGCACGTTGACCTTGCCCACCACAAAGAGGTACGACTTGCGTCCACTCCTGCAAAGCACACGGTAATGTTAGCTCCAATATATATACTCCTACGAAGGAAAGTGAATATTTGACTTACTTCTTGATCAGCTTCTGGAGTCCATGCACAACATCGAGGTACTTATTGACACCCAGCGTGCCCATCAGGATGCCGTAGATCTGTGCCTCCTTGGCTTGCTGGACGAGGAAGAAGCTGCATTAAAATACCGGGAATGGGTGTTAGATCCAGAATCTTCACCACCAAAGTGATAACGATACTCAGCATACCGTCTCATCAAAGAACGATTGACCGTCGCGCCTTCCTTGCGGGTGGACATCATCTCGGGGTTGTACGAGAAGCAATCCACAGCGCTGTATCGCATCAGGATGCTGGTAAGGTGCGCCGACTCTGCGCCAATGTACAGCAGCGCAAACGTCTCCGGGGTGACCTCAGCATTGTCCGAATCCACCCAGATCTCCTGACCACCAATACGCAGCACCGACGTGGAAGGCTTTTCATCACCAGTAGACGCCTCCACCTCCTGCACCGGCTCCGTCGGATCGAAGAACGTCTTCATCGTTCCCAGTACCAACTTCCTCTCTCCAAACTTCTCCTTCAGCGCTTCAAACACGGCACTGCTAGCGTGGTGGTAGCGCGGCTCATACAGCAAAACCACCGACTTAATCGGGTCCACCGCGGCGATCCGCTCACTCAGCTGCTGCACACAGTCGTCCACTTCAGTCGGCGCGTTGCCGAACGCGTAAATCACCGGGATCTTGGTCGTCGCACTGCAATAAACACCGCCATTAGCTGCACTGCACCATTGCATTGCATTGCATGTCTATCTACCATATCCATCCGCCTACCTCAGACACGTGCGTCCGTAGTGCACGATGCAGTCGGCCACGAGGTGCTGCGCCGCCACCTCGTCCACGCAGCAGCTGCCGTACGACGTGTCGCCGAGCACGAACACGCGCTCCCATTGGCCCACCAGTTCGTCCTTGAGCTCCTGCTGCACCTGTGACGCGTCGGGCAGCAGCGAGTCTGGGAACTGCAGCGCGATTTTCTTGTAGCCGCCGCGGCGGATCTGCGCCACGGTGCGCGCAATGTCGTAGTACACGCGCAGGTCGCAGTCGGGCGCGCGCACGCCGTCGCTCTCCTGCACCTGCACCTGCATCTCGATGGCGCGCGAGCCATCGTCGCTCTCGAACGCCAGCGTCACCGTCATGAGCAATTGGTCTCACCAGCAGAATGGCTGGTCAGATGTTTCATCAATTTTCACAAGATCTGGTGTGGCCACACGAGAGTGAATTCACAGGGGTACTAGTTCCTACACGCTCGACGTCACCGTCTTGGTGGTCGTACGCTGACGTAGCGAGGTGGTCGTGGAGCTGCTGCTGACGTCGTCCATCGAGTCCACGAGCTTCTTGAGCTCCTTGTCCTTCATGTACTCGCGGTTGATGATCTTGCCCATGGTGTCGCCGGCCTTGATGCCCTCGCCAGCCTCCCTAAGCATGTCCTTGAGCACCTGGCGGCCGTAGCCCTCGCCCGTCACAGGGCCGCTGCTGCCGAAGCCCACGGCGAGCGTCAGCTTCAGCTTGGGCAGCGACAAGACCACCTCGTGCTCGTCGATGGACGACACCGTGGAGCCCTCCGCCAGCTCCTCCGTGACGCTTCCGTAGTACAGCGCGAGCTGGCGCGCGCCGTCGAAGCACTCCTCGTTCACAAAGGCGATGAGGTTGGTGCGCGCCTCGGCGTCCAGGTACGGCACGAACGAGTTCGACTTCTGGTTCAGGTACAGCGTGATGAGCAGGAAGACGTTGGTGAGCTGCAGCATGAGCGAGCTCATGGTGGTCGACGGGAACGTGTTGAAGGCGTACTCGTTGTTCAGCAGCGCCGCCATCTTGAGCAGCAGAGGCAGGTCCGAGCACCACAGCAAGTACGGCAGCGTCGGGTAGTACCACGAGTAGAACTGGTAGTGCAGCGTGCGGGAGAACACAATGCCCGCGAAGTTCATGACGAACAGCGACGTCACGACGATCTCGCTCTGGATCGGGAACGGTTCGTAGATGGCAAACGGCTTCATCATCACGGCGCGGATCGTGCCGATGATGTTGAAGTGCTTGTCCAGTAGAAGCACCATAAAGAACAGGTGGCTCAGTAGCAGCAAGATGGCGAACCCGCCCGACACGAACGTCTCTTCGTCAATGAACCTCCAGTTGACCGTCCACTTGTACGTGAACACGCGGCTGAGCTCGAACGCCTTGTTCATGTAGCTCCACCAGTTGTGCTTGAGGAACGGGTAGCCCAATGCGATCTGGATCGCAGCGCAGATGAACAGATACCACGCCGTGCGGAGAATGCCGCAGGACTGCAGCAGCAGGAAGAAGAGCGCGGGCGCGAACAGCAGCACGTTCATCTTGATGGACACGGCGAGACTGAAGAACACGCAGCCCCAGCGCCACCGCTGGCGCGCGAACAGGTACACGGCAATGAAGAGCAGCGTCATGGCAATGCCGTCGTTGAACATACGCAGCATGAAGATCGAGTGCAGGCGCTTGGACGCGCACAGGAACACGGTGGCCCACGGAGGCAGCACCCGCGCGCGGTAGTAGATGGCGAGCACCGTGGCGATCATGACGAGGTAGATGCCCAGGAAGATGTACTGCGCGCGTCGGATGTTCTGCCCCTCGTCGGTCACTGAGTGCAGGAAGGAGAAGACGTAGAGGAAGCCCGCCGGGTACACGAGCGGGCCCGTGTCGCCGCGGATGTTCATGTAGTCGCGCTCTCCGCCCTTGAAGAGCTCCACCTGCTGCATGTAAGTGGACCAGTCGATCTCCGTGTCTGCGTACAGTGGTCAGGCGTTAGTTGCAACACTTTGGTATGGGGCTGCAGGCAAGGCGAGGCAAGGCAACGTACAGGGCACTCGCTGGATGATGAGGTAGCCGATGGCCGCCTCCGCGAGCAGCAGGCAGCAGGCGAGCTGCGGGAAGTAGCGGTAGCTCCACATGAGGTCGTACAGGAAGGACAGCACGCGGCTGTGCATGAGCGTGGTCTTGACATCCTTGTCGATGCGCGTGGCGCGCTTGGTCGCGGACGCGGACGCCGACGTCTTGGTCTTGCGCGCCATGGCGATAGCCGAGGATGGATAATCCAAATTAGATAGAGACCACGTGGAGCGAGTGTGACGTTGCGTAGGATTGAACTATGATAGGGAATAACTTCAACTTGTTGACAGAGATTCGTAGGTTGGAGGTTTTCAGTTTGAGAAAAGCCGACTGCATGCCCCATTTGTGGCAAGCCTCAATCCCCTACAAGCTCCAGCAACACGGTGGTCGTGGTGGAGATCAAAAGCGGCGCAGGAGATGGAATTGCCAACCCGATGGTGGAGCACTTGTTTGAGTCGCTCGTGGAAGCCAAATCCTACATCCAGAAACGTTGGGGTATTCTCAATTAGAGGAGATGGAGGAATTGTACTGTGATGCCCGTCCTGACTGAGTTGATGAAGTTCTCCAGTGCTTCGTTGTATGTGGACCCGCGCTGCAACGTGTTTCGTGATGAACTCATCCGCCAAAGCTTGCGCCAGGAGTTCCCACGCCTCCAACTCCTACCTTTGGGATTCGAGGTGGAAAGCGGCAAATACTCTTGCTTTGGGCCCAATGGAGCTAGCGAGATGAATGCGATGATCATATTGTTCCGAATCCTACCATCCTCTGACATGTGATTGTGATTGACCGTTTTTACGATTTTTATTGGCGGAAACGCTGTAGGACAGTTGGGTCATTCATTTCTGGAAATCCCTTCAAGTGCACAAGCCGACCCCCGTACGCACGTACCATGGACCCAGCAAGCAAAGCTTCCTCGAGTCGACCGCTCCTCCCTCCTGTCCGATATGCGGCAAGTCCGAGTCGTTGAGACGCTGCGGTTCCTGCAAGCGCGTGGGCTACTGCTCTCGCGACCACCAACGACAGCACTGGAAGGTGCACCGCGCCGAGTGCACGTACCAATCCAAGCAAGCGCAGCCCGAGCAATCGTCTCCTAGTGCCAGCGACATGGTGGTCGTGGTGGAGATCAAGAGCGGAGAGGGCAGCGGCCTGACCAACAAAATGGTGAACCACGTATTCAGCTCCCGCGTTCAAGCTACGAGGTACACTCGACAGCGGTTGGGCTACGGCCAGACGGAGGAGATGAAGGAGCTGACGGAGATGCCCTTCTTGAAGGAGTTGATGGGCTTCTCCAGTGGGGTGCTCTACGTGGACCCTCGGCAGAATGCCTTCCCTCCTTTCGACGAGAATTTCATTCAACAATTCGGCTTTGGCTTCGGGCTGGACGAATTGGACGACATGCTCAACTGCAGAGGAGTCGCTGGAGAGCTGAACGCCATGGCGATCTACATTGGCAGCAAGCTCGATACGGGACTGTCGATGTCGGTGAACGCGAGCGGTGACGCGTTCTTTATTGAAACGACAGGCAAGGGCGAGCCTGTTACCAGCAACGTGCTCTGGGGAGCTGTGAATTTCGTGTACGAAGGCATGGACTACTACCCTGAGGATGACTACATGAAGAAGGAGAGGGAGGAGATATTCCGCAAGTGGAGTCGCAAGTATGCAAGCGGCAAGTGGCAGCCGATGGCAGGTAACGGGGGCTTTGACTTGTACCAGACGGATCCGTTCCGTTGTGCGCGTCTTTGGCCGACTGTGGATCAACGCACGCCGTAGACCGTCGATGGAAATGAGCATGGAAACTGAAGAGGCTGTGATCGTATGATTTACTATCTTACTTTACTCGTAATGGCAGTGCTATTTTGTTTTCGCTGCTTGCTTGTAAACTTAAATGTTCAACCGACACAGGAGTTGCCTAAACAAAGCCGGTATTAGGCAAGGCATGAACTGGTCACGGGGCACTCATTTAATCCACCATAGTCTCGTAGGGTGGAAGGCAAGTTTTCAACGCAATAGTTTCGTCGAAAGCTTGTTTCGCAAGCTCCACGTGCTGCAAAAAAATTGATCTACTGACTGCAATGTGCGAGTGACCACTTAACGGTTCTACAGTTGGCCGCACCGCCCCGTCGACTCCAAAGCTTTAAAACGCTGCGGGTCCTGCAAGGAAGTGCGCTACTGCTCGCGGGACCATCAGCGCCAGCACTGGGCGGTGCACCGTGGTGAGTGCCACGTCGAACAACACGACCGTCGTTGTGGAGATCAAGAGCGGCCAAGGTCGTGGGCTTACCAACGACATGGTGAATCACGTATTCGCTTCGCTTGAGGACGCCAAGAGCTATATCCGAAAGCGACTCGGTTATCCTGATAAGTATGAAATGAAGGATCTCACAGATATGCCGTTCCTGACAAGTGTCATGGGGTTCACCAGCGCCTCACTCTTTCTCAACCCTCGCCAGAACTTGTTCGCCCCGCACGTTCCTTGTATGCCGGAACACTTTTTTTCCTGGTCGGCCAGGGCATTTGAGTTGAACGCAATGACGATGTTTCTTGCCTGTGATCTGAACAGCGGTACCACGAAGCTTGTCGATGGAGTGGAGACACGTTCTTGATTGGAACGACGGCTCAAGGCAAGACGGTGACGAGCAATGTGCTGTGGGGGGCGATTAAATGCCGCTACGACGCTTCGGACTACTATGCCATAGAGATCCGAGATGCGGAGAAAGCGGGGATTTTCGGCAGTTGGGCCCAAGACTACCTGCGTGGGCAGTGGCAGCCGAAGACAGGCAACGACGGAGTAAACCTGTACGAAACGGACCCCTTCCATTGTGCCAGTCGTTGGCGTGTTGTTGACCATCGCACCTCCACAGCTCGTGGGTGAGCTGCACGGAGGCGCTTGGCACTGTTGCAGGGAGGTTCGTCAAGAACGGTGGAATCGTAAGCGATACACGAGCGCTTTGGAACTAAGTTTTCAGTGATGTAGTTGCTTGTTGTTTTCCAAGTTGAAGTGGCTTTTATCCGACATTTATCCAAAATCTATCCGCAGATTATCCAGGTTTTATCCATAATTCGCACTTTGTCGGGTCCCAGTTATCGCAATTCCTCCACCAAGATGAGCGACGGCATCACCGCGTCTCGCGCGGAGGTCATGGAGAGTACGCCACCCTAGCTCTCGCGTACAACACGCCACCGCATACTCTAACATTTTATCTTTCTACCCATCCAATTTGCAGCCGTGTACGAGCTGTCTCGGCTCCTGAACACTGGTCTGGACCGCGACACCCTGGCCATCCTCATGGCGCTCATCCAGAAGGGCGTGAACCCGGAGGCGCTGGCTGCAGTGGTGAAGGACCTTAGGAAGGACGCAGCAGAGCAGCAGCAGACGGAAGCTCCTCGTGAGCGGACATTCACCGGCGGCAAGCAGCCCCTGTCGACCCAGGAACTCCAGGTCAGTCAGGTGTGTCGAACGAAGCAGAAACGCCGAGCTCCCGTCTCTTCATCATTCGTTTGGCTCGCTGGACTGACAACCAGCTCTGCTGTGTGTATGTGCCTGTATATATGCCGCTTGTGTGTCTGCCTCTCAGAAGAAGCGCCGCTCGGACTAGTAGTATTCGCGGTTAAAAGTTCCCTTTTCTATTGGTATTTGTCGCTATTGAGCGTCGTACCGAACTGCTCTCTCTCGTCTCTGCTCGTCTAGCTGCTACTAGCTGATAATCGGCAGGTGGTTCCGTCCGTCTTGCCTGGCTGTGGCCCTATGTATATTCGGCGAGTTTTCTTCGCTCAAGCCCGTCGTCCTGCGTTAACTTCGTGTGATACGGTGCATCTCCACAACGAGAATGCGGCCTTCGACGATGGCGGCAATAAAGAAGATGACGCAGGTCATAACTGGACGCAGCACGGGGTTCTGGAACCAATCTGTGCGGCCGATCATGTAGAGGAACTGAAGCTGCGCCAGCACCAGCAGCGGTAGCTTCTTGAAACACCACCAGACCCCGCCCAACAGCAAGTCGGAAGTTGCAGGCACCTCGTCCTTCTTCCACTGTGCTGTACGCAGCGTATGCGCGACAGCAAAAACCAGTAGCAGTGTTGTCAGCATCAGATCGTGCACGACGATCCAGAGCTTGCCGGCGTAGCTGGGTTGCATCGTGATCGGGATCACCTGGATGCTGCACCACGTGAGCATAACGACGATGGAGACGCTCGAAAGCAGCGGCATGGACGCAATGGCATACAGCGCACTGCACGAGAACTGGCAGGCCCTGCGCACCACACGCGAGTTGAACACGTCGATAGACAGTGGCTGCGCGTTTCCAGGAGTGGGCAATCCCCAGCTCGATAGACGCCGCGGGCGTCCATTGGGCTCCGTGAACAGCTTCAAGCAGAGCGAGACGTAGGTGAACCAAATGAAGGCGAAAATGACGAAGAACGACACTACCTTGCCGAGGAAGTAGCCGAAGTGGTCTTCTCCCAGACGGCTACGCACATCCTGCCAGTACCAGAACACCTGGAAATACGCGTACGGCAGCCAGAACCACGGCTTCACTGTAGCGCCACTGTACTTGTAGCTCAGCAATGGACCGGGGATCTCCCCCCTGGCCAAATTCTTGTCCTTGCACTTGTACAAGTCCCAGTTCATGCGCTCGTAGAAGACCATGTGATTGATGCTGTAGTAGAACGGCAGGCGGTGGACGACGGAATTGTCCACCGGTTCCACCGCATCGTCCCCATCGTCCGCTCCCTCGCTCTCCTCTCCATTGTCGTCTCCATCCCAGCCAAGGAAGAACAGCGGGCTCTCCTCAAACGCCTCAAAGAGTCCCGGCATGAAGCCCTGGATGATGCCAATGTAGTTGTACTCGCGACCAGTGATCATGAAGCCGTCAATGGCATCCGAGTACAAGTTCCGCGCGGCAATGCTCTCGGGCGAGATGACCAGCAGACCGTTGGAGTAGACCACCGACTGGCCGTTGTCCACGGCGCAGAACTGGTGGCACGCGAAGATCTCGTCCAGATTGCGCAGCACCAGGTTCTCCGGGTCCAGGTAGACCACGCGCTTGAGCGACGAGATCTGCGGATCGTCCCAGATGACCAGCTTGTTGCGCATGTGCAGCAGCTGCGTGCGGTAGTCGGTGAGCGGCATGTGCGCGAACACGTTGGGGGTGTTGGTGCGCACGATCTCGAGCTCGGGGTCGTCCCCCTTGAGCGCGCGCTCGCTGCTCTCCTGCAGTCCGTCCTGCGGCACGATCACCATGCGGCGGTACTTGGTGTTGGAGTCCTTGATGCTGCGCATGAGCACGCGCGTGGCCAGCAGCAGCGCCTCGCTGTCCTCGCCGAAGTCGTACATGATGGTGGCGAACGCGCCCTCGTTCCCTTCTACGACGCTCTCGGGCGCCACCGTCGCGGGCGCGCGCGTCTTCGCCTTGGTGGAGGTCTGCGCGGAGCAGCAGCAGAGCATCAACGTCGAGGCCAAGAGCAGCGTAGCGAGCGCGCGAGGCCTCCGCGGGCGGCCATGTGCGCGCGACGGTCTGATCCCCATCCTGGAGAAAATGGCTGATCGCCCAGCAAGGAGCTCGATTGGGTGGAGTGGGCCACATGACAGACGACCTTGGCGCAACATGCCAACTTCAACTTGATGTTGCTCGAGCGACTTCAACTACTGTGTTGCAGGAAGCTCGCCCGACAGGCCAACGACGCACGATCACTGATGGTCGATCAGCGCGAGGATTTTGACGACAGCCGCGCCGCTCGGAGCACGACGAGGGGCACTGATGGTCGGTGAGTGATCAATTACAGGGTGTCAAGAGCACTGAACAAAATATACTCGAGCAGGCCTATCCGCGCGACGAGGCACAGTCTTCGCTTCAGCGTTTCGTGCTGCTGCACACATCAAACAAACTCTCCCAAGTTGGCATTCTCACTGTCGTCAAACCAGATACAAACGCACAGTCCTCTTTGTGTCTGGGCTATTCCTCCGGAGCAAGCAGTTTGAGGGGAGGCGCATCATTCTGAAGCTGCCGCCGTATTGGGACTAGGATCATGTATCGGTCGGCCACTTCGGTGGCGAGTCGCGTTCACGACGGTTTGACTACTACAGGCGCTAACACCGAACACGACGCGGTCTTCACGGCCTTTCCCGTCGCCTTCTGGGCGCGTTCGGGCACAGCTCGAGGCGCCACATCAAAGCGAGCTTTGAGACACAGGCATTAGGCGCTCCAGCGGCGCAGCAATGAGCTCCGCTCGCCGAGCGAGCCCCAGCACGACGCCTCGGCGATCCGCCCACAAGTCACACACACAAATAGGCCTCCCGGCCTTATCTTGCTTTCTTCTATAATTAAGGCGCGGCGGCGCTTGGCGGGCGCATGTTGGTTATATCCAGGTCCGCCCAGTAGGCTCGAGGTCCGCGGCGCCGTCTATTTGTGCCATTGCTATTCCAGTCGCAGCGAGTGCTGGAGAAAGCGAGCCAGCGAGCGAGGTGCGGGACAAAAATACCTGGTGGTGGCAGCATATAACCACCGCCTGCAGTGCTCAAGCTCCGATCTGATCCGCCAGGCGCCACCCTCGGCTTCAATACCCACCCGCGCGCACGGGCGCATAGCCCAAAAAAGCCACGAGTGACAAGGTCGCTGGGGTTTCGCACGGCAGCACGCCCCCACTCGCTCGCGGGATTGACGCATTCGACCACCGCTGGCCACGGCAGCAGTAGACGACAGCAGCACCGCAGACTCCGCGCGCACCCATGGCCACCCCGGACGCGACGGCGGCGCCGGCCGTCAAGAACTCGCACAAGTTCGCAGGGCCGCTCGATGGCTCGCAATTCGAGATGGGGGTCACGCTCGGCACCGGCTCCTTCGGCCGCGTGCGCTTCGCCACGCATAAAGTAAGTTGGCGGTCGCAATGATAGAGTTGATGGCCATACCATGATGCTAACTATTCGACGCTTTGGCAGGCGACCAACTCGTACTGGGCCATCAAGATCCTCAAGAAGGCCGAGATCATCCGGCTGCAGCAGGTCGAGCACATGCTGTCGGAAAAGTCCATCCTGCTGTGCTTGGACCACCCGTTCATCGTCAACCTCGCAGGCACGTACCAGGACACCAAGTACCTGTACATGGTGCTCGAGTACGTGATCGGAGGCGAGTTCTTCACGCACCTGCGGAAGGCCGGGCGCTTTGACAACAACACGGCAAAATTCTACGCAGCTCAGGTCGTGTCCATCTTCGACTACATGCACAGTCAGGACTTCATCTACCGCGACTTGAAGCCGGAGAACCTCTTGCTGGATAACGAGGGCTACATCAAGATCACGGACTTCGGCTTCGCCAAGCGCGTGGCGTTCAAGACGTACACGCTCTGTGGCACGCCCGAATACATCGCGCCGGAGGTCTTACTGAACAAGGGTCACGGCAAGGGCGTGGACTGGTGGACGCTCGGCATCTTGCTCTACGAAATGCTCGCAGGGCAGCCGCCCTTCTGCGACGACGACCCCATGGGCATCTACCAGCAGATTCTCTCAGGCAAGCTCAACTTCCCGCGTTTCTTCGACCGCAACGCCAAGGGACTTATCAAGCGAATGCTTACGGCCGACCTTACCAAGCGATACGGTTGCCTCAAGAACGGTGTAGAGGATATCAAGAAGCACAAGTTCTTCGCCGGCGTCAACTGGGAGGACCTCTTAGCGCGCAAGGGTGCAGCACCAATTATCCCACGTGTCGGGACGGCCAACGACACGTCCAATTTCGACCCGTACCCTGACTCGATGGAGGATGCTATCGTCCCCGTTTACAACGGCAAGGATCCCTTCGCCGAGTTTTAGACGATACCGCCGTCATCACTACTCAATGGAGGACGGTGGATGAGGAACATGGTTCGAGTGCTGTTGGTGCCGGGCAGCAAAGAGCGACACGAGAAGTATAAGCAAGAAATTCGGGCCAACAAGGTCATGCATTTCTATTTATCACGAAGATGCGGCGATGGAGGTCAAGGCTCGTAGTGCGCGCGTGTCAAGGTCATCGACATCGAGTCACGCGCGAATGGTGTCGCCTCCACGTCGTCTTTAGTTTAGTACACATTCAGCTTGCACTGGTTTGTGGTGCTCGGTCTGGCTGCTCGATTCATCGTCGGCTCCGTCCACTTTCTCTTTCTGCTTCTTTCATGCTAAGTAATATATGCATCGCATACTTCCATCGCTCCAAAGCTCAGCACCACATATCGGAGCACAAACACAGCCATTTCATTCAAGCTCAACCAACATCTCATCTCAACTTCACTGCTCTCTCTCGGTTCTTACAGCTTCGAGTCGGGGAAGAGCGCCTTGTCGCCCGGGAAGCGGTAGTACGTGGTGTTCTTCTTCATGATGCGCTGCACGCGGCCGGCGTTGTCGGGCTCGCGCATGCCAGCGGCGAAGGCGTCCACGACCACCTTGACGGGCAAGAGGCCGCCCATCATGTTGGTGTACTCGGGGATCTCGACGTCCGCCTGGCGGCCCATGTTGGTCTCGGCGAAGCCCGGGCACATGCAGAAGCAGCGGATGTTGTCCTTCTTCTTGAGCTGGTACAGCGAGCGCGTGAAGCCCACGACGCCGGCCTTGGCCGCAGCGTACTCGGGGCCGAAGGGCGTGGTGGTGAGTCCGGCCATGCTGCCGAGGTTCACGATCACGCCCTCCTTGCCGTTCAGCGTGCGCTTGAACTCGGTGATGGCGAACTTGGTGCCGCGGATGAGCGCGACCAGGTCGATGTCCACGACGGCCTCCCAGTTGGTGCTGTCCGGCTCGTAGAAGGTCATGTCGCCGGCGATGCCAGCGTTGTTGACCAGCACGTTCACGGGCTGCTTGAAGTACTTGGCGGCGTACGCGAAGGCGCGCGGGAAGCTGTCCTTCTCCGTGACGTTCTGGCGGTCCCAGCACACGTTACGCTCGCCGTACTTGCGCTGCAGCTCCTTGCCCGCGGCCTGCAGCTCGTGCACGTTCACGTCCGTGATCATGGCCTTGCCCCCGTTCGCCAGGATCTCCTCGGCGAACGCGCGCCCGAAGCCGCGGCCGCCGCCGGTCACGATCGCAACAGCCTGGTTGAGCTCCATGGTCGTGAGTGTGGAGGAGGTGGAAAGGGGTAGCGAGCGACTCGACTTGAGCTCGACAGTCGCGATTGGGAAGTGAGCTTTGGTCGGGATCGAATTTGCTGCTGCGATTCCTGTTGACGTGAACGGGCTGCTGTATGAAATAGACCTGTGATTTAGCATGGTAAGGATTGGCCGATGATAAGATGATTGTATTAGAGTTGAACCTCTTCTGATAGATGCACCATCCTGGTTGAAGTGGAGCGCGCGCTGCCGGCGTTGAAGCTGGCGTTGCGCGAATGCTGCATCATCAGTTTTCTGCGTGGAGGAGGAGTGAATGGCGTGGACGGTTGTCATCTGATGGTATCGATCGACGGCGATGCGCTCATCGCTTAGTCACGGATTGAGCTCAAGCAGACAAATGCCTCGGTCGGCGCCAGCTGAGAGATAGCACAAAACGTTGAGAGCAGTATCGTGGCAGAAGAGTGAATGCAGCTGAATTAACTAGTGTGATGGCCAGCAGCATCGGTAATTGTGTGCTTCAGGCTGAAGTCCAGCCGCCATGCTGCCAAGTTGAACGATTTTGATACTCTTGGCCCATTCCATTCGGTAGGTACTTCGTGTTCTACCCACCAATATGGTGTGTGCGACTAAATTGCCACGTATCTTTTCATTTTGGTGCTCGCAGATCGACGTCCGCCATGGAGCTCGCGTGGGTGTTGGCGCTGCTGCTGGTGCTGGCAGGCGCCGGCTACATGTACATGCAGCAGCAAGAAGAGGCCAAGAAGCAGGCGCAGAAGCTCCAGAAGGAGAAAGAGGAGCTGGCTCGCCAGCAGTTCCACGCGCTCAACAGCAAGAAGCCCAAGAGCAAGGCCAAGGGCAAGAAGGTGGACATGACGGCCGAGCTCAAGAAGAAGAGTCAGGCGGCGGCCGCGCAGGACGCGAACGACGAACACTCGAGCATCCTGCACGTGCTCAAAGGCCACAAGTACGGCATCACGGCGGCGGCTTACAGCCCCAACGGCCGCTTCCTGGCCACGGCCAGCTCGGATCGCTCCATCCGCTTCTACTTCCGCGAAATGCTCAAGGACAAGAACCCCAAGGTGCACCAGATCAACATGGAGTACGATCACGTCACGGCCATGAGCTTCAGCTCGGATGGACGCAGTCTGGTGAGTGGTGTTACTTCAAGCGGATACACGTGGATGGGAGTACTAACGCCTGCTTTGCGGTTGGAGCAATAGGTGGTTGCCACTGAGAACGGCACGGTCAAGGTTTACCGTACGTTGCAGCAAGCTTGTGACATACGATATCGCGTTGCAGTTGGTTTTAACGAGTGTTTATGTTGTGACGGCAACAGAGAAACTTCGGGCCAAACCCGAGATTGTCGCGGACTTCCCAGTTTCGCACAAGACGGATGTGCACTCGGTGCTTATGAATGACATTGGCAACGTACGCAGCATCAACTTGTAGGTCTACTCTAGAGCTATACTAACTCTTTTGATGTTTATCATTCAGTGGGCAACGATTATCACATGTTCGGGTGATTCGGACACGGACGTCAAGTTCTGGAACTTGAGTGGCGAGCTGCTGCAAACGGTGAACACGAACCAGGTTGCCAACTACCACTGCGTTGGGTCGAAGGACAACCGATACATTGCTGTGGCAGCGTACACGCCGGAGGTCAAGATCTATGAAATTGCGCGTGAGAAGAACGGCGCCTTCAAGAAGGTTAACAAGGTCATGACCCTGCAAGGACACCGGGTGAGTCTTTGTGCAAGACATGCTATGCTTGAAACAAGGTAGTCGCGACTCGAATGCTAACGCACTGCTTGTTTGTTTTTTGTATCAAGACTGGCGTGATGGACCTAGCGTTCGACGGCTCGGACAAGCTTCCGGTCAACCGCGTTGTGACTATTTCCAAGGACGCTTCGATTCGTCTCTGGGATATCAACGGTAAACATGCGAGTGGTAGCTAAGACTTATGCTGTTGTGCGAACTCACTGACTGAACTTCCTGGTGTCGTATATCCATGCATAGTCCGGTACACTGTGCAAGAGGACCCGAAGGTTATGTCGTCTTTCAATGCGAGCGGAGAGCAGCCGTTCCAGGCTGTCGACTTTGCACCCAACGGAAAGGTAAGCGCGCCAAGCCCGATCGATGCTGATGTAGCGCTGTAGCTGACCGAGGTGTCTTGGATTGCTTTCGTAGATGCTGGCGATGGTGCGTGGCAACGATCTCGTGTTTGTTCGGACCAGCGACAACAACGAGTTCTTCACAATCACCGACGCGCTCGAAGATCCCGTCAAGCGCGCCGTGTTTTCGCCTGACGGCTCGGAGGTGCTTGTGCTGGGGAAGAGCGCCAAGCAAGTCAAGATTTACAAAACACCAGAACTGTAGAAGAAGCTTGCCCTGTCCAGGCAATAAGAGCAGGGAATCAAGCACGCTCATAGAGGGGATGACGTAGATGATGACTGTATTTTGGTGCTCGATTCTCTTGTGTACTCGCTCCGGGCGCATTTAGTTCTTTGGAAGGATGTCCAGAAGCTTCCACTTGAGCATGTTGATGTTTTCGGAGAGAATGTACTTATCTGACCGCCGCACGGCAACAGCCATCCGCTCATGGTTGAGGTTGTCGGTCTTCTTGTCATCTTGCTCCAGCAATATGTCGTCTTCCTCGATCGAGGTTGGGAATGACTCCAGCATCTTCTCCAGCGTGTAAATCAGCCGCGTCAGTGCTTCCTGTTCATTCTCAAGACTAATCATCTCACCCTCCAGCGCCTTGTTGGCCAGCTCCTCGAACTCCTCCACGGTTTCGCAGTCGATCTCCTGTATCCGCGCAGCCATGAGCAGCAGGTCGTTGCTCTCATCCGCAACAAGCTCGAACGGGTTCGTGGCGTGGTCCAGCCCGTTCGTGAGCAGTAGCTGCTCCTTCTCCTGGAAGAACTTGGTCGACGCCTCGTCCATAGGCAGCCACATTTCCACGGCGTCGAACGGGTTCCCAATGATCACGAAGCCGTACAACGCCAGCAGCTTGTGGTTCGACAATGGACCGTAGTTGATGAACATCTGCGCGCCTGCGTTCCAGTGCTGGTGGCTCACGAGCTTGAACCTCTGCGTAGACATGTCAAAGAAGTGGGACATCTCAGCTTCCGGGTCGTGGTTGAGCATGTCGAACACCGGAACCATGGCCTTGAACGACTGCTTGGCCACTGGCACGTCGCCCTTCCTAGCAAGTGCCGTGTTCTCGTCAATCGGTTCGTCCTTCTCCAGCACTGACGGCGCCTCGTCGAGCCGCAGCGACACGAATCGGCTCCAGATGGTTGAGAGCGCCCACTTGTAGTTCTCGAGCGAGAAGAACTCGTCGAAGAGGTCGACGTTGATGCCCTCCGGGACGTTCTCAAAGAGCTCCAGCAGCACCGACTCCTTGAGCCGGGCGTAGTCGTGCGCGACCTTCTCCTCCATCTGCTGCGCGATGAAGTAGACGTTGCTGCCCTCGAGCGCCCGGAGCTCCTCCGGGCCAAAGTACAGCGCGTTGTGGTACGTCCGGGGCAGCAGCTCGATGTGCTTGGCCCACTTGGACTTGCTGCCGCGCACGAACTTCTCGTAGAGCAGCGCGATGGCCAGCTGGTCGTCCTCGCGCTCGGGCGTGAGCTGCTGGAAGAAGGCGATGCTCTGCAGCACGGCGTTCTCCTGCAGGCTCTTGACGGACAGCACCGAGTCCAGCGGGATGCTGAAGACCTCCGCGTGCGGCGTCACGTCCTCGGCGATGAACACGCCGCGCTCCGCCTCGCACGCGCCCTCCTGGTGCTCGTACACGAAGTCCGTGGCGATCTGCACCTTGAGCGTCTCGGCCGCCCACTCGTTGTAGCCCACGAACGCGTCGGCCGCGAGCTTCTCGTCGCCTGGCGCCATGATTTCTGCTCTCTGCTGCTGCTGCTGCTCTGGGGTCCGTCACGGCCGGGGGCTTTTTCTCTTCTGGCCAGCGACGGCGTCGGCTGCGGCGCGGCGGAGCTGCATGTGGTCAGCAAGTGGAGTCGACTCGAGGTTTGACTGTGCGTGGATCAGATGTGCGGCGCGTCTTTTGAACAAAGTATGGCAGGAGTCTGGTGTGTGCCACACACCAGACACACTGGCAGAAACAGACCCACCTGAAGTCAAGTACGTGGCGAACTCCGTCAAGTGCAAAGTGTCCGTCCCAGGGCTCGCTCTCTCCGCAACTCTCCCACGCTCAGGCCAATTAAGAATGAGCATTGCAGTGCAACCCGCATTGATCCTGCAGGCATATTCATCGTTGATGCATCAATCCCCCCCCTCTCGGCCGTACGGAGCACAGCACGCTTCACAGGGCTGCCGTCCGCATCGATCAGATCTTGGGCTCCGGCTTTTTTTGCAGGAAGCGCGCCATGGCTTCGGCGAATTTTGCCATTCGCGCAAGAAAAAAATGGCTGAAGCGGCAAGCAACAAGGCCGCGAGTGCGCGAAGCTTGCCTGCCTGCCCGCTTGAAGGCGTCGCCTCCCTCCAAAGGCGCATCCTGACTGCCATCCTGGCGAGCAGCCCAGCTCGTCTTTGTGTTGCGCCGCTCGTACTATCGACTTTCGGATGCAGCAGATGGCGGCGCTTGCAGTAACAGCAACTTTCTTCCGCTCTCGCCGTGAACATGTGCGCTGTCAACGCGATGACTGCCTTGAAGATGCCGCGTCCAAGACGCCGCGGCATCAATTTGTTGCCAGCAATTGTGTCACCACAATGCAACTTTGTTGAGCCTCTTCCTCCTTTTCGATCATCCGAGCATCGCCCAGTCCAGCACAACGCCCCCCGATGTGCCCGAAACTTTGCTCGTCGGCATATTAATGAGTCGATAGTGCACTGCTTGCCTGTCTGCCGGAACGCAACCCTCGCTGCTTGAGCCGAAGCGCACACGCAACCTCGTCCGATGTCTCACCCCGAGCCTTGGCTGCGGCTCGTCGGGGCCCGTTTTCTGCGGGTTGGCGTGCGTCATGACCTAACGCCGCGCGGGGGCAATGGACATCTCTTGAGGGCGTGGGGCAGCTCTAATCCAGCGAGATTTTCACCGAAACGCCGACCCCCAAAGGCAAATTTCCGCTTTGCGATTGTCATTTTCCTTTCGTCATTCACAAGTCGCGCCTCTGCGTCGTCATGTCCCTGGACCTGGCGGTGACCCCGACCCCGGCGGCAGCGCGCGGCGCCTCCTGCTCCGTGAAGACGGAGGCCGTGCGCATCCAGGAGCTGTCGCTGGGCGGTGGCGAGCGTGAGCGCGAGCGCGACGTGGGCAGCCGCACTTCGCCCAAGCGCAAGCAGCGCCCGCCCAGCGGAACGGTGCCGACGGACCTCACGTCGCTGGCGCCGGAGCTGCCGACGGACAAGCGGCGCGGCAACAAGCGCGCGCTGCTGCAGAGCCCCGCGCCCATCGACAGGCGGCGCGACGGCGAGGTGGTGGAGGTCGAGGGGCTGCTCGTCGTGGCAGAGCAGGTGGACAGGGCCCAGATGCAGCAGAAGCAGAACCCGCCGGTGTTCCGGACGTTGGGATCGGTAAGGAGCATGCGGACTGTAGTGAGGGATGGCTACAACATTGGAAGCTGACGAGGTTGCTGCTGTGTGTAGATCTACTGCGTGCTGGTGCGGAAGCAATGCGGACTGTTCCTGGAGACGGTGTCCAAAGACAGCCACCACACTATTGTGCTGGATGTAGACGCCATGGACTTGATCCACGAGCCGTTTAAGCAAGACAGGAAGTTCCAGCTGCGGTACCGATCTCCGGGGCTGGGAGACAGTGACAATGGACAGCGAGCGCCGTCCTATGCGTTCATGCCGTCAACGAAGGTGGAGCGTGTCGAGTGGGTCAATGCCATTCTCAGGTGCCAAGCTTCTGCCGACGGCAAAGACCAAGATAATAGCTCGCCAAGTAAGCCGGATACAGGTGCTCGCTCGACGTCGTCGTTGCAGCAACGGGCTGCAGAGTCAGGGTGTGGCGAGAACGAGCAGCAGGACCAGGCACGGCGAGACGAGGTTTATCTGCAGCAGGCGCAGCCGTCTCTTGGAGAGTTTGTGTACTCCACGCCGCCCATCAAGCACTTCATTCTGATACGCCACGGCCACTACATCAACGCCCACGTGCCGCAAGCGTCCGACTCGGAGCAAGTGCTCTCGCAAATGGGCAGGCAGCAGGCTGAGCTCACTGGCAAGTGTCTGGGGATGGCGCACAACCGGATCCCCACGCGGCACGACGTCACTATCTACCACAGCGACATGACGCGCGCTGTTGAGACGGCCGGCATCATTGCCAACAACTTCGGAGAGGTCTCGGTGAACGCTAGCCCCATGCTGCGCGAGGGCTGGCCTGGTACGCCGTACTCGACCGACTTCCCTGTGGGTGGAGCTGTTGCAGCGCGCAACAACAGCGCGTTTGACGCCATGCAGGAGCGTAGTCGTGTGGATGTCGAGCGTATGGGGAAGGCCTTCAACTGGTTCTTTACGGACTCGGGCGAGGCCCAGGAGAAGAGCGACGAGGAGTCGTACTGTGTACTTGTGTGTCATGCCAACCTGATCCGGTTCTTCTTGTGTCGTGCACTTGGTGTGAACCCTGCGAACACGTGGGGTCACTTCGAGATCAACCACTGCGGCGTCACGCGCATCGACGTGTGCGCCAACCGACCGCTCAAGGTCATTGCAGTGAACGAGACCGGCCACTTGCCGCAGTCCCTCATCACGTCCAGCGAAGATCATCTATAAGCAGACAAAGTATATGTCGTCGACGTGTTAGACAAAACCGCAGTGCGTACTACGCCTTCAGTTATTCAGTCCTCAACCTCAGGTGAACGAACGGAAGGCTCCAGTGCACTCACTGCTAAACAACAATTCAATGTGAACCCATCGCTGCCTTAGACAGCGGAGTTGCTGACGTGATCCGTGCCCGAGAAGAAGTCTTCGTTGAACGCGTCCAGCCTTGCAACCTGTTCAGGCGTCAGCTTGACGTTGACCGCTTCCAGGTTCTCCTTCTGCCTCGCTTCGTGCACAGACTTGGGCAGCGTCGTGTAGCCCTTGGCGAGGTCCCAGGCGATCAGCACCTGCGCAGGCGTAGCCTGCACCTCCTCAGCGATCTTCACCAGTCTCGGGTCGTCGATCTTCTTCACGCGCGCCAGCGGGGAGAAGGCTTGCAGCAGGATGCCGTTCTCCTGGCAGTACTTTACCAGCGGCCCCCTCGTGAGCCACGGATGCAGCTCGATCTGGTTCACACAGGGCTTGACTCGCCACGTCTCGGCCAGCTTGACCAGATGCGGCTCCCCGAAGTTGGACACGCCGATGTCCCGCAGCACGCCCTCCTTCTGCAGGTCCTCGAGCGCGCGCCAAGTGTCGGCGCGCAGCGTGGGGTCGAACGGCTGGTGCAGCAGGAACAGGTCGATGTAGCCGCAGCCGATGAGCTCGTTGCTGGAGCGCGCGCCCTCGACGGCCTTGTCGTAGCCCCAGTGGAACTCGCGCAGCTTGCTCGTGATGAAGATCTGCTCGCGCGGGATGCCCGAGTCCCGGACGGCGCGCCCCACGTCCGCCTCGTTCTCGTACAGCCGCGCCGTGTCGATGTGGCGGTAGCCCAGGCGCAGCGCCGATAGCACCGCCTCGTACGCCTCCTCGCCAGCCGCAGCCTTGTACACGCCCAGCCCCACGAGCGGCATGCGCGCGCCGCTGGGCAGCGCGACGGAGGGCGCCATGTTGTTGACACTCATCACCTTCGTCAAATGATCTGATTCAAGATCAGCTGACTAAGCCTGTCATAACCTATATATCTGAAGCCATATCTGTTTATACGTTTTGGGCCATTAACCCTCCCATATTCGATGGAGAAGATCGGTCGCGCCCCCCCCTCGTTGAAGTAAGCGGCACTCTTCATCCGGACGCCAAGAGCTCAAGTCAAGCCCAAGTACCGAGTCCAAAAGGCCATGCGGGCGTCCCTGGTCCTCGCCTTTGCCGCCGCCGCAGTCGCGTCGGCCGCGCCGTTCTCGCTGCCGGAGCTCACGAGCGCCGGCGGCTACGGCTACGTGCGCAGCCCCGACCGCTCCGTGGAGCTCACGTCCCCGCGGCCGCACGACGTGCTGGACGTGGCCAAGCTGCCCAAGAACTTCGACTGGCGCAACGTCAACGGCACCAACTACGTGACCATCTCGCGCAACCAGCACATCCCGCACTACTGCGGCTCCTGCTGGTCCTTCGGTAGGTCCACACGTTGAAGCTGATTGTATCGTTTCTCTCATTTAATTAATGTATTATTATTATTATTATTATTATTATTTATTGCACTGCAGCGGCGACGTCGGCGCTGGCGGACCGCATCATGATCGCCAAGGAGCGCAGCCCAAGCAACAAGCCGTCGGTGGAGGTGCACCGCGAGGTGGTGCTGTCTCCGCAGGTCATCTTGAACTGCGACAAGAAGGACAACGGCTGCCACGGCGGCGACCAACTGGAGGCCTACCGCTACATCAAGAAGAACGGCGTGCCCGAGGAGGGATGCCAGAGGTACGCGGCCACGGGCCACGACACGGGCAACACGTGCACGGACATGGACATCTGCGAGAACTGCCTGCCCTCCAAGGGCTGCTTCCCGCAGAAGACGTACGACAAGTACTATGTGTCCGAGTACGGCACCACGCTGGGCGAGCAGCAGATGATGGCGGAGATCTACGCGCGCGGACCCATCGCGTGCAGCGTCGCGGTGACTGACGGGTTCCTCAAGTACTCGGGAGGGATCTTTGACGACAAGACCAACGCCACGGAGACGGACCACGCGATCTCCATTGTGGGCTGGGGCGAGGAGGACGGTGTGCCCTTCTGGGTCCTGCGCAACAGTTGGGGAAGCTTCTGGGGCGAAGATGGCTGGATGCGCCTGGTACGTGGAGTGAACAACGTCGGCGTGGAGGGCGAGTGCGCCTTTGGGGTCCCCAAGGACGACGGTTGGCCGACTCCTACCAAGATTGAGGAGGAGGAACCAGTGCAAGAAGAGGAAGAGAAGAAGGATGTCGTGGAAAATACCGAGGAGGACACGTCGGTGGAATCGAAGCTTGGTGGCTGTCGCCAAAAGCTGCATTTCGCTGGTGGTGAGCGCGTTATCTCGCCGCTGCCTCACGAGACCATTGATGTCAAGGACCTGCCCAAGGCTTGGGACTGGCGCGATGTGAATGGCAGGAACTTTGTCACTTGGGACAAGAACCAGCACATTCCGCAGTACTGTGGAAGCTGCTGGGCTCAGGGCACGACCAGCGCCCTATCGGATCGGATCTCCATCCTGAGAAACGGTAAGCTGAGTGGGAATTGTGGTGAAGGTGTAATCTTGTAGTGACTTCTAACTTGATATTTCGATGTGACTGCAGCTTCGTGGCCTGAAATTGCGCTGTCGCCGCAGGTCCTCATCAACTGCCACGCTGGTGGCACCTGCAATGGTGGCAACCCTGGTTTAGTGTACGAGTATGCGCACCGCCACGGCATCCCCGACCAGACGTGCCAAGCTTATCAGGCGAAGAACCTCCAGTGCGACCAGTTCGCCATTTGCGAGACGTAAGTCGTTGTTGTTGTATCACCTCGTATGCCACATTTGAGCTGACTGTTGCTCATGTATCACTTCAAATGCAGGTGCTGGCCGTCGAAGGAGTCGTTTACCCCTGGTGTGTGCGAACCCATCAAGAAGTTCGCCAAGTACTACGTCTCTGAGTACGGTTCGGTGAGCGGTGCTGACCGCATGAAGGCCGAGATCTACAAGCGCGGTCCCATCGGCTGCGGCGTGCACGCCACGGAGAAGTTCGAGGCGTACACGGGCGGCATCTACTCGGAGCACGTCATGTTCCCACTGATCAACCACGAGATCTCTGTGGCTGGCTGGGGCTACGACGAGGAGACGGACACGGAATACTGTAAGTACCGACTGCTGTCGCTTTGGCTAAGATTTATGCTGGTGCTGACAGTGCTCGACTTGCAGGGATTGGACGCAACTCGTGGGGGACGTACTGGGGCGAGAACGGCTGGTTCCGCATCCAAATGCACCACAACAACCTCGGCATCGAGCAGGACTGCGACTGGGGTGTACCGCTCCCGGACGGCTCCAAGCCCGACGACTTCGTCATCACTGTCGACTACGAAGGCAACGAGGAGGGACAGGCGACGGCGAGAAACTTCCTCCACGTGAGCGGCGGCGCCAACTGATCAAGACAAGACAAGACAAGACAAGACAAGACAAGACAAGAGAGACTTTGGGCGTGTGCATACATGTACATACCATATCCTGCCAGGTTGAAGTCGTTTTATCATCGATACTAATTGGCGAAAAAATAACGTAAAAATACGAAACCAGTATCAGCAACGGACAATCTTGAAAGGGCGTTGATGATACTTTTCCATTAGATCCAACGGACGGCATTTGTCACTTTGAGGAGCGACCATGGAGGCCGACGCCGATGGAGGGGTCGATCACTGTCACCTGTTCACGGACTTGTTCGGCCGCCTGCTGCAGCTGTCGTTGGCCTTCATCGCCGTGTTCATGCTCTACATCAAGCGCAAGCTCGAGTTCCCCATCCGCCCCATCAAGGTTCGTCGAACGAAGCTCTTGGTAAAAACAAAAGCAATATTAATACTGCGTGCTTCTTGTGTTTATAGGTGTGGGCGCTGGACGTGAGCAAACTAGGTCTGGGTTCGCTGTATATCCATTGTCTTAGTGTTATCTTGTCCATTTTGATGGTCGCAACGTCTCCCGAAGACTATGACGAGGTGTGAATTAATCCTATGGCATTTGTCTGTCAAGAGTGTGAGTCCGCTTTGAATTGTGAATGTATTTGTGAGTCTTAGCATCATCAAGCTCGCTTATTTTCATACTGTCGGGTATCGGTCTCGCTGCTGCTGCAGTTGTGCTCTCCTTTGCTCTATCAGCTCGTCCACCGACAAAGAGGGCGTCTGAGCTGGTGGTGAAGCCATCATCGCTGGTTTCTCACTCGAGGCACGAGTGCTGCTCATTCCAGCGGGTACCGTCGTAGGTGTAGGTTGACTGCTGCTCGACTCCTTTTGGGCAGGTTTTGTGGCCGGTGCACCTCCAGCCCCACCATTCCCCGCATCAGCGTTGCGAAGAGCGACAATTGACGCATTGACGAGCCTTTGAAGTGCGTTCACCTCGCGAGAAAGCCATTTCGCAGGCTCGCCCAGTTTCTCAGCCCCACCGGCAGTCTGAAGGGTAGCATCGGATGCTTCACCTATGGCTGTCACCAGTGCCTTGATCTTGTGCTCCATGATGGTCTGAACCGCCCTCCTCTCTTTCACCAAAGTCTCACATCGCGCTTGCAGCTGCGATTGCTGATCGTCCGATGTAGCTCGGGCCTGGAGTTGCTGGTTCTCGGACATCAAAGCCTCTAGCTGCCGCTGCAAGTTTGCGAGCTGCTGCTTGTCCTTGCTACTGTCTGAACGCTCGAGGTCTTTGGTACGCGCCTCAAGCTCGACTTGCACCAGTTTGTCCAGCTTCTCACGCATCATAAACTCCACAGAAACCTTCTCAGACTTCACATCCTCCAGCTCTCGAGCCATGCGCTGGTGCTCGGCTGTTTGTGCGTCCACCAGCGCACGCAGTTCCTGAATTTTCTCCTCGGCTGAGAGCAAACTTGACCCGCCATTTCCTGCATGGAGTGAATTGTTGTTGCCACTACAGTAGTTGTTGTCGTTGATGATGACTGGGTCCACCGGGTGAGGTCGGAACTGCTTATGTGTGATGAGTAATTCAGCAGGGGTCTCAGCCACTCGACTAGAGCCAGCAGCAGGAAGCATTGCTGCTTGCGATGCACCACCGCCCCAGTCACCAAGCGCTTTCAGCAGCTCAGCATCAATTTTACCCGGCGAGCTCGCGTTATGCTCCATCGCGACACGTTGCAAGTGGATGAGATGCGCCGTCTTCTCGTCAAGCTTCTCCTCCAGCTCCTTCTGATGACGGTCGTAGGCGTCGAGCTCGTCCTGCAGAGCTGTGATCTGCTCGTCACGCTCGTTCAGTCGTTGAGTCAAGGCGATCATGATATCGCGCTGTTTGAGGAGAAGCTGCTTGTACCGGTCGACCTGAGCCTTCTCCTCTTCGATAGTCTCGCGCTCCTTCTCAAGATCAGCAAGACGACACTCGTACTCCTGGCGGATGCGATCCTGATGCTCCTTGATAGCATCTCGGATCAATGGGTCCTCGACGTTTAAAGCCTCGCCCTCGCCAAGCCCACCAGTAGGAGTCAGTCGACGCTGGTTACTCATCAGCATCTGCGACGTAAGAGCTGAAATCCGTTGTTCGAGACGCTTCTTCTCTTCCTTCTCCCTCATGAACTCGCGTGAACGCTCTTCGAGTGCACGAATTGCTGCCATTTTGTCCTCCTCCGCTCGACGGCGCTGCTCGTCGAGTTCAAGTAATCGACGCTTGTCCACCACATTTCGAGAGCGTTCTTCCAGTTCCGCTCGAAGCCGCTTCAGCTCACGCTCATACTTACGCAGCAACGACTTCTGGTCCAGATCTTCATTCACTCGAGCTTCATTTTTGATGTGTTTAGCTCGGTTCGCGAACTTTAGCGTTGAAAGTGACTCCGTCATGGCCTCCAGCGCAGGGGAAATCATAGCCATCATTGTGGTTTTGCAGTTGCCACCGAGAGAGTCCTCTAGTATTCGTGTGAGCTTACTATCACGATACGGAATGTGCTGACGGCCGCGTGCATCGGTGAGAGCCGAGATAACGTTTCCAAGTGCCGAAAGCGATTGATTGATCTTCTTGCTCTCCTCCAGTCGCTGCCCCGTAGCACCAGAGAGCCTCACTCGCTCAGATCCGGCAAGATCCACGAGGTTTAGTTTGCCAACTTTGAAGCTTTGCCGAACCATCGCCTCCAGCTTCGGGTGCAATGCAGCTGTACCATTAGCGTTTGCACCGTTAGCACCACCAGAGGCCTTTCCATTGCCGCCGTTCGCTTGTGCGTTGCCCCCACCGTGACGTGCCTGGTACGCGTTGACAAGGGCCATGAACTCCTCCGGTGCTACATCGTTCCCCTTGGAGTCTACGTATGAGGTCTTGCTCTGCTCAGCAATGATGATGAACACGGCATGACTACGCGACGATAACTCGTTCATCTTCGTGCTACCGGTAGCCCGCATAGCTCCGCCACGCTCCATCAGTCCGTAAATCTCCTCCGGAGAACGCACCACCCACTCAGAGAGACCCTCCACAAAGACCCCTCGACGTCGGTCCTCTCGGATGGTCAAGTTGGTTCGCTCTGGCTTGAGCAGATCCGAGATGGACTCGTTGTAAATCTGCAAGTATGAAGCGCGTACCAGGAATCGACACCGCGCGGAGACATTGGCCTGGATATGGCAAAAGATCTGTTCGATAGCACGCGGGATGATACCGCGCTCCTCCACGCTGCCAGAGCCGCTGTTGAAGCCCTCCATCGTGTACGTCTTGCCTGTTCCCGTTTGTCCGTAAGCAAAGATAGTAGCGTTGTATCCTTCCAGCGACGACTCCACCACCGCTTTCGCCGTGTTCTCGTACACAGTGCTTTGAGTGCACTGCTGGTCGTACACGTGATCGAAAGAGAACACGTGACTCCCATACGCGCCCGGAGTGCTTGATTCGCTGTCGCCATTCCCGCTACTGCCTCCGCCGAATGCCAAAGCACCCAGGTTTTCCGATACCGTGAGGACATGACCTTGCTGGTCTACATTGATCACGTTCTGGAACGGGCGGTCACCATGAAGCTCACGCGGCAAAGGAGGTCGCACACGAATCACCACCTTGAAGTTGCTCCCGCGCTCCGCAGAGTATCGACTTGAACTGCTGGAGATACTGTGAGCCGGTGATGATGGCCGATCCCCCATGAAGCCATCGGAGGAAGTGGACGCCGTCTCTGTATCTTCGCTGCTTCGCGAGCCGCCGTTGTACGCGTTCGATATCGCCGTTCGTTGCAAGTATGCAGCCGCCGCAGCGGATGGGGCTGGAGGTGCGTAGTATTGCTGCTGCTGTTGTTGCTGCTGCAGTGGCTGGGCGCGACGCACCGTATTGCCAGGGGAACTGGTGCCGCCGTGAGGTGACGACCGCGCGCTGTGTGATGGAGAGCTCGAAGCCGAGACGTTGATGCTCATGCCCTGCGCATAGGGATGGCCTCCGCGGCTGTTGTAGCCACTTGCAGCGCGCGGCGTGGTTCCACTTGGACTTCTCGACTGACGCAGCGACGCGTTGAAGTCGCTGCTGCTCCTCATCTTGGTCGGCTCTCGTCGAAGCTCTCTTGCCGGGTGAAGGCGGCAATCCAGGGAACGTTGAGCTGTCCGGTCGCGCCCCTTGAACTCCGAAACAGTCTTGGCTTTGAAAAAAGGATAAGCTCACAAAATGTCAGGACTAGGTTCCGATACGTCAAATAAATCTATTTGTTTTGGGGCTAACCGCATGCCGGAAGGTGCACGCACCCATTAGCATCCCTTCAAGGTGAGCGACATCTTGATGTTCATCGCGGCCAGCTCGTTGGCCAGGTAGCGGAAGACGTAGGGCATGGCGACGGCCTCGCAGCCCTCGCCCGTTTGGCAAACTGTACAGTACCACTGCGTCTTGGCCTTCATGGCGATGGCGATCTCTCCCTGGCCCGCGGTCTCCACGGTCGAGCGCTGGGTCGCGTTGGACAGCAGACTGCCACAGTTTGTGCACACCGTGGCGATGTGCTTGTCGGAACAGTTCATGAGACGATCCTGCACCAGGAACGCACAACCGTGGGCAAGCAGCGAATCGCGCTCCATCTCACCAAGACGAATACCTCCACCCTTCTTACGACCCTTCACGGGCTGGCGGGTAAGCGAGTTCATCGGGCCCGTAGCACGCACTTGGCTCTTGTCGCTAACCATATGACGCAGACGCTGGTAGTACACAACGCCAATGTAGATGTCGGCCTGCATGACCGTACCCGAGATACCAGAGTACAGAGGCTCACTGCCCATGTAGTTGTAGCCGTGCTCCTTCAGCTGCGAGCCGAAGTAGTCGATCACGCGGTCCTTCTCGCTGAACTTGAACGGGGTAGCGTCCATGTACTTGCCCTTCAGCGCACCCGTCTTGGCAGCCATCGACTCGATAAGCATACCGATGGTCATACGCGACGGGAAGGCGTGTGGGTTAATGATAACATCCGGGGAGATACCAGACTCCGAGAACGGCATGTCAGCCTGAGGCCACAAAATACTCATGACACCTTTCTGTCCGTGACGCGACGAGAACTTGTCTCCGATCGTTGGGTTACGGCAGAAACGCAGCTTAATGCTAGCCTTGGTGAACTCGGAAGCCTGAGACGCGCTGCCAATCATGTTGACCTGCTCGATAATAGCAGGCTCCGACTCCTTGTGCTTCTGGAACGAGGGCTGTCCAGTCGTCTCATCAATCCAGCTTGCAATGGGGTCACCGTAGTTGACAACCTGTCCAATGTGCGGAAAACCATCGCGGTCCAGTTTCGTTGAGCACTGCTCACCGCTGCCGTCCGTCTTAATGTTGGAGAAGTACTTCTTCGACGTTGTGCTCCCCTGCTTACCGTTGGAGCTGATGTCGACGGTCAGCTGCTTGTACACGGACGCGTGCGCAAAACCACGCTCGTAAGATGACTTGTTCAGAATCATAGCATCCTCCATATCGAAACCCGTGTACGAAATCACGGCCACCACAGCGTTGGTTCCCAGCGGGTACTCGTCAAGCTGGTACTCGCGCAGGCGCTCGTTCTGAACGATAGGGATCTGGGGCGACTGGATACGGTACATCTTGTTGTCCGTGCGGTGCACGATCGAGTGAGCAGGCGTACCCATTGTCTGCTTGGCCATCTGACACTGGTACATATTACGCGGCGACTGGTTGTAGTCGGAGAACGGAGTCAACGAGGCCACAAGCGAAAGCATGTTCGTGGGCTTGATCTCCATGTGAGTCGTGGCCGGACGAATGTCATCCTTCGTACAAGCGATGTCCATGAACACCTGCTCCATGGGTCCAATATACTCAATGCGCTTGGTGTCCATCTGCATCACGGGGCGCGACATACGAGCAGCGTCGGCCGACAAGAACAGTCCGGGGAAGGGGCCACCACGCGTGGGCAGGATCAGGCACACCTCGAGGTTCTTCACAATACCGTTCGCGTCACGCTCTTCCGAGCTATCCGCCGACTTGACCTTGCGCAGAACACTGGCGATACGCTTGCACACTTCCGCAGGGGCACCACCAAGGACCTTACCGTTCATCATCACTGGCAGGTACGAGTACGGAACAACGAGGGCACCATCAGCATAGCCCGACGTCGGGATCATACCAAGACTGGTCAGGAAGCGCGCCAGCTTGACTTCCTGCTGGAGGTAGTCATCCGCCTTGTGTGCCGGGTAGCACACAAGTTCACACTCCACAGCCAAGTGGTTCAGCAGACCACAAGGGGATCCATCAGGCGTGTGCACGGGGCACAAGAAACCCCACGAGTCCGGCAGCAGCTTACGAACTGCAGTAGTCTTCATTTCGGTAAAGAACTGACCACGGTGAACGGACCGGAAGTGCGAGAAGTAACGGTAGTAGTTCAGCTTCTCGGCGACGATAGTGTAACCAGCAATCTGCAGCAGATCCAGACCACTTGACGAGCGAAGGTTACCCGTGTTCAGGAAGTACGTCATGGCGTTACCGATGTTGGGGGTACGATCCCACATCTTGCGGAGGAATACCTGGTCCATCACGACGCTCTTCTCCTTGTTCTGCGTCTCCTTCAAAATGTTCATGCGCATCGCAACGAGAGAGTCCTGCAGCTTTTCCTTCAGGAGCATCAGGTACAGGTGGCCCGGCAGCAACAGCTCGTGGTTCATCACTGAATCGGAGTTGTCCTCCGGGACGTCGCCCTTCGCGAATCCGTACAGCTTACGCAGCATCAAGCACAGCAGCTCCACCTTCTGCGTACGTCCCTTTTCGCCCTTGGGGATGTGGACGAACAGGTAGTCGTCCAGCAGCTTGCTGCCAACCTCCACGTTGCTCATGTTCTCGTACACGTACGGCATCGCAAAGCGGAAGTGCTTACCAAGATACGCCAGCGCCTCATCGCGCGTGTACAGCGAGAACTTCTTGGCTTCGCGCAGAATCAGCTCCACACGAGCGGACAGGTACGTGTTCTCGTGGTCTCCACGCAGCACGCGTTCGTAAATTTCACGGTCCGTCAGAGGGTACAGCGCCTTGAGCACCAGACCCGCGGGGATCATAAACTCCTGCTTCTTCACACCGAAACGCACGGTAGCGTTACCATCCTGCAAGTAGTGCAGCGTGACCGTGACAGCAGACTGGTCGCGCTTGACGCACTTCATGGTCACAGCCAGCTCCGTGTACAGGTCGCCACGGTTGGCGAAGGCACCACGACGCACAGCCATGATGTGGTGGCGACGCGGCATCTGCAGCAGACGCACGCAGCGCTCGTTACCGTTACAGATGAAGTATCCACCCATCTCGTTGGCCTCTTCGCGAGCCTTGACAAGCTCCGTAGGAGACATGCCATTGAGGTGGCAGCGCTTGGAGCGCACCATGATGGGGATGTCGCCCACCACGCGCTGGATACGTTCCACGTTCTGCGAGCCGCCGAAGGAGCGCGCGAGCGTCACGACCAGCGGCGCCGTGTACGAGATGCCGCGCTGACGGCACTCGCTGGGCAGCAGCTTCTGCTCGCCCGTGATCTGGTTCTCCGTGGTGGGGTAGCCGATCTGTGCGTTCTCGATCCACAGGTCCATGCGGTGCTGGTTGGGCAGCTCCACGGGCACCTTGCACATGTCGGCGACGGCCAGGTCCAGGCCCTCGGTCAGGAAGAAGTTGAACGAGTCCAGGTGCGGCGACACGAGCTTCTGCAGCTTGTCATTGCTGTAACGTTGGGTATACAAACATCAAGTATAGTATAGATTAGTATTGTGCAGAGTGATGGTCAGCGCATTATTGTTGCTGCTGATCTGATGCGTACGTCTTGGCGGGGATGGAGCGCGAGCTGGACGACGGGTTGGTGGACGGCCACTCGCTGACGCAGGCCTTGGACGCTTTGGACTTCTTCTTCGTGCTCTTGTCGCCCGCCATGGCTGCGGAGTCGGTCAGTCGCTGCTGCAGTCAAAGAGGAAGAGCCCGGGGCAGCGCGCTGGAATGCGGAAGTGCACGAGCACGAATGGAGCTCAGTCGGCGCCGTTTGGAGAGACCAGCTCAGCCAGCCAACGCGAAAAACCTCGAAAAACCTCGGCAGAAATAGCCCTACCCTCGGGACGGGATTCTCAATATATTACAAAGCAATCGAATATAACAGGTACATTGCCTTACAAATGCAACATTACGTCGAACTGTATGAGTTTACCTATCACTAAAAGCCGGTATATCATGGTACAAAGTATCATCTACCAGAAACACAGAGTGATGGTCTTATAGTTGAAGTGCGCACTCTCCGAGCTCTCGGGTTCTCGTTGTAAGGGGCGAAGGCGCCGAGCGTCGGTGGCTTTGCGCTGAGTGTTCGGAGCTGTGGTGACGAAGGTATAGGTCTCGTAGGTGTGGTGAGGAGCTATTTACGCTTTGAGGCGGGAGCAGCAATACGGGTGTAAAAATACTCCAGTGGGTCGGTGCGTTACGGAGGCCTAGGAAGGACACTTGCCCACGCAGAAGCACCCCACGACGACGTCTTGGCCAGTGCCTGCGCGGTTGTACTCGGCAGCTTCATGAGCGGAGGTGGTTTACCTGGGCCTGAAGATCTACTACCGTAAGTTTCGTGTATCGATCGACGTCAGCTCGCTGACTGCCTCGACAAGGACAAATACACACTCTCTCGGACAGCGGATCAGCCCGCTCCGGCCTGGTCGGCAAGGTGAAGCACTCGTACTCCAAAAGCGGGGCTCTGCCTCCTCTTCGTCAGATGTCTGATGGCCAGCTCCAGACTTCTGCCCGCGATGAAAGGCCGACCGTCGCCCAGTCAGGGTTGCTGCCGGGGGGACTACAGACCTCCGATCACCTCGCATTTTCCGACAAAAGCGTGCTTCACTCGTATGACTCAATCAATGAGGGAACGGCTCGCATGCCGCGCTCCAACTCTGGAGTTTCACGAGTCGGCAGCTTCACGCCTCGAACTGGGTCCAGGAAAGGTGAATCGCCAGCGAGTATGCCGGGTGTTCTAAACGCGGGCTTTCAGACTCAAGGAGAGGAAGGCTCCGACTTCGATGCGCAATTGGGACCGCTGGTGAGGAGGTCGTCGCATGGCAAGGCTGGCACAAGCGACGTATTCCGGAACTTCAGAGTTCACCCCGTTTTCTCCAATGCCGTCGTGAACAGCAGAAAAGGGAGCTCGGAACTGGATGATACGCTCATTACTACCCTCGCCGACGGACCTTCCACCGACATTAACCACACTCTTCTGGCCAAAAGGTTATCCCTGCACAAAGTGCATGTCATATCGCGCGGTAATTTTATCGCGAAGCTGCCGGTATCCATAGGGGGTGCACCTGAACAACCGCACGACCCATCCGTTCACCGAATGATCTACTTCCGCACGAAAAAGGAGCTCGGTGATTTATTTCTATTGCCGCCAGTGTCGCTATGGGGACGTCGATTCAACCGCGCTGCATTTGTTTTTATCATGCTCGGAATCGGAGATCTGGCTATTGAAACATGCGACGGACCGAACTACGCGGGTACGGATCCTGGATATCCTTATCTTCCAACGGGAGAGCAGAACAAAATTTACGATGGAGTATTGGCGGGGCTTTTCACCTTGGAATTTATTCTCCGCGGTATCCAAGCCAAGAGCATTCGAGCTGTTGTCCGTGATCCGTACATGTGGTTAGATTTAATCGGAATCTCGCCGTGGTATATCCTGCAGGTTTTGGAGGCAGCAGGGAATTCTTTGGGTCCGAATCACTTTATCAGCATGCTTCGGCTGATTCGGTTAGTGCGGTTGGCGTTTATCCTGAGGCACTACGAGCAGACAAAAATTATGTATTTGGCGATCAAGGCCAGCTTGCGGCCGTTGGGTATTACCTTGTTTTTCCTCTTTACGCTGGTGATGATCGTTGCTACGGCGATTTTCTACGCAGAGCCATGCTATAATGTGGAGACTTGCACCTTTACGGACATTTTCAACTCGGCGTATTTTGTAATGGTGACGTAAGTATTGAAGTACTTACGCACTGTGTATCTCTTGCTCTTCAAAACTGACAGTGTTCGCCGTTGTGTGCCTTAGGGTCGCAACCGTGGGTTATGGAAATCAAGTACCCTCTTTGAAGAACCCTGGATCCCTATTTTTGACGATGGTAGCAATGATTCTTGGGCAAATCTACTTTTCCATGCCCGTGGCGATTATCGGAAATAATTTCCAGTTGACCTACGAGAAGTTCCAGCTAGACAAGAAGAAGAAGTCCCGGTACCTCGATGCATCGCTTTCGCCATTCGACTGCCAGCTACTGCATAGCCATGCCAAGCGACTGTGTGATATCCAGTATCATCTCTTAAAGTCGTGGTCAGTTCTGCACCACCACATTCGTGGCATCGCGCGCTCAATCACCAGAGGTTCTCAATCGTTCACCATGGATATGCTCGAGCTTGAGGCTGACCGTCAGACCAAGATCAAGGAAGGAATCAGCCGTCTGCTCGATATCCACACCGAAGCTACGATGTTATTGCAGGTTTTTATTCCTCACCGACGAAGATCGCTTCATATGAGTCTGGAGTACCACGCACAAGGAGTGCTAAGCAACATGTATGCAAAAGCTAAGAAGGCAATGGCAAAGGCGAAAATAAAGTCAGGCCATCCTTCAGCAATCGTAGACCCTCGCACAGCCTCGCAAACATTTAGGGGGCGACTTTGGCTGCTGCTGGAAGTTCCGGATTCGTCGCGCCTTGCCACGATTGTAAACCAAGCTATGGTGGGAGTTGCGTTAGTCAGCATCATGCTGTTTTTCACGGAGTCGCTACAGGAGCTAGCAGCGAGCGGTGTCGAAACCAGTGGCTGCAGATCAGTTGTCAAGAGCTATTGCAGGACAACCGGGTTTGAAGAGATGGACGCCGCGTGTTTTTTGCGATATCAAAATGGCACGAGCGAATTTACTGAGCAGCTAGATTTCACCTGTGAGACTGTAGCGGAGTCGCTGACATGTTATGGAAATGGACTTAACTTCGGATCTCTAGATCCATCCGCGTTGGCATGTGAAAATGCCTTTTCAAAGACTGGAGTCGACTACGTGTGCTATCGCCAACAATGCCGAGCATCGTTCAGCATGATTTTTGATATGGGTCCGTATTGGATTTACTTCGAATGGCTTTTCGGTCTTGTGTTCACGCTGGAACTTGCGCTTCGATTTTATATCGCGCAGGACCGCACGGAGTTTTGGAAGAATTTTTACGTCTTTTTCGACGTGGTTGCCATTGTGCCATTCTTCGTGGAGGTGTCTGGCTACATGTTCTCAAATATCCAACCAGATTACGCGATTGTTGCGACGTCACCATCATTTCTTTCTGTGATCCGGGTGCTCAAAATTATGCGCATTCTCAAACTCACTCGGGTCAGATGTACGTGCGCAACTTCCGTCGTGACAAAAAAAATCTGACATTAGTTTGGTATGGTATATTCCAGCATGTCCGAGGAACGAAGATCCTAGCTTCTACTGCGATAAAAGTTTGGAAACCTCTTGTTATCCCGGTAAGGTTTCAGGATTGATGCATATTGTGCGTTGGGGTATATTCTCACACGTGGGTTTGAGGCAGCTATTCTTCCTGTTTACAGGATGTATCATTGCTGGAGCTATTTTCTATGAGATAGAGCGTGGAACAGAGTGCTTTGTTGGGCAGCCATGTTGGTGGTGGCACAAAAATGTTCTCACATCAGAGCTTGCTGAAGGCCTTCCAGTTGGAAAGCGTGTTCTGATTCAAGACAAAGTGAAAACGACAATCACGGATATGATCCACTCGACGTGGTTATCGTATACAACGTAAGAATTTCGATGATCAACTAAGCTATCTATAATGTTGGGTCTCACCTGACATTTTCTTTTGTGTGTGACTAGGCTGACGTCTGTTGGCTATGGTGACTTAGTGCCAAGAACATCGATCGGAAAGTTCCTCGACGTGTTTGTGATCATCGTTGCTACAATTTACTCTGCGATGCCACTATCACTGGTTGGAACACAGTTCTACTCGCTGTACGAGAAGCACCTGGAAAAGATGGTCGTCAAGCAGGTAAGGCATTTAAGAAAAAAAAAACTGCATTGCGCTGTCGAGGACTACGTTATTCATGTCGTTTTGCTGTGTTCTTTCCTCGTAGGGCGGATCATCCGTTTCTTGGCGAACGAAGACTACGATGAGCCTCGTAACGCAGTACAAGAAAGTGCCAAAGAATCAGCCGGCAAGAAAACCGGAGCCCTTCATGCTTTCAGAAGAGCAGCTGCTGGTAGCGCACGAGTTTGAGAGCATGAGGCGCACGATTCTGAATTTACAGCGCACTTTGGACGCTGCAACAGTCACTACGCTTGAAAGCGTTCAGCGCAAGACCTCTATCTCAATCCGAGGTTCCAGGACTTCAGGAGGTTCCAAGGCATCAGGAGCTTCCAAGGCTTCAGCGAATTCCAGACGCTCTATGACCATGCCCCAGCGAGCCGCTAGCACTATCGACTTGGCAATCGAGCAAAAGAGCTACGCCATCATGGTACGAAGGCTCAAGTACTCTAGTTGATATGAGCATTTTGCATTATCTAACAGTTTTTTGTTCATGTATTACAGGACACGCTGTTGCAGTTCTCGCAGGTCGTCGAGAAGCTGCAGGAGGCGCCAGTCAACTTCGAGGCGTTCGACGGCATCGAGGACGACTTGCACACCAATATTTTCCCCAACGGCATTTCTCCCCGTCCGACGTCCGATGAACAAGAGCTCGACACGTTCCGCGAAATGGAATAATTTACTTTCCCACGCACCCTCACTCACGGCCACACAAAAAAATCGTGCTGCTTGGATTCTTCTGGTGCTAAATTGGAACAAAAGTCTCAGTTGACCCGTCGTAACTTTGCCACGAATGGCGTTACAGCAACCATATGACGACAACACGACAGAAATTAAAGCAACCACAAGGCCTAAAGCAACCCTAAAACCAGCTGGCACCCGGTAATTTATTTTAAATGACTCGTAAATGACAGTGACACGTCGCCCTCGTCATGGTCTTGCTACATATATCTCTAAATCTAGACACGTCGTGGTGGCGTCTAACTGATGTTCTCTACACAGCAATACGTGAAACACATGACAATATGTGTCCCACATTTTCAACACTTAGCAGATTTTGAGCGACAGCAAAAATGGAGAAGAAATCGCTGGCACATGGCGCGAAAATCGCCGAGATTGCACTCCTCAAGAAGAAGCTGGATGAGCTTACCGAGCATCTGGAAAAGCTTCTGGCAGCGCAGCTACAAATCCAAGCCCTCGTCAAAGATCGCGAAGAGAACAGCTATGCGTTAGCAGCCGTCTTGGGCGATGAAGGGGCCGACCAAGGTGGTCTCACCGCAGAGGTCGACGCTGTTTCCCTCGATGTTCTACTGGAGTGGCGGTGCAAAAAATGAAAGACTAACGCAGCATATACTCTGTATTTAAAGGTAAATACAGACTGTGGTGTTTCTCAGAGCTGGTTCTGTAGCTGCTGATGAATCTGGCTAGCTTTAGCGACGTCGCGTTCAGAGAGACGACGTTCTTGGGAGTAACACATGATGACCCACAGCATTTTCAATCGCATCACCTTGACGTCATTCTTGAAAATTCTAGAAAGTTGCATCTGCAAGTTCCCCGTAAGATAGCTGTGGGCTTGGGCTACTACCATTACACCACAGCTAGCAAAATCAGGTTGTAGAGGGGCACAGATCCACTCAATCGGATCGAAGAAAAGATGGCCACGGGGGTCAGAAGCAGTGTGCCACCTCTCCACATAACCATGAAGCCCCTCCTTTCCTTCATTTTCTTTGTCTTTCGGAATTCCAGTCCACACGATTTCCATTTCATGGTGATAGTCATCATCAATGAGCGGCTCGTACATGTAAACATGCACCGGAAGTTTGCTTGTTTTTGCCGTGTAGCGTAGGCGAAGGATAATTACCCTCCAGTGGTCTGCGTGCAGATTAACGGGGTGGATAATAAAATTCGTTGCTGCAAGTGCTGTCTTTGGGAGACTTGGCCATCCGATAGCCCATGTCAGTGATGACAGCACATGGCACTTCCCCACCGATCTCGCAAGGGTCTCCAAGCAAAAGTCCACAGGGCTATCATTTAGCCATCCACGACAGATCCCTCCCACGATGTTGTCAAAGCTGATCAGGACTTTGTTGGAGAGCGTCACAAATTCAGTGCGTAGCCGACTTGAAGTAAACTTTGAGATAATTTCGTTCGCTAGACCTTGGTGCCGCTCGGGAACAGCATCACGCGGTAGTCCTGCAGTTGCTGTCTCCGCAGCGAAAAGATCCACGATGGAGTCAACTTTACGCCAATCTTGCTCCAGCCACTTTCGGTCCTTCAACCATGAGGTACACTTCGCCATGATCGCGTAGAATCCTGTTAGAGCACCTACATATTGTCTAGAAACATAAGCATGTTAAAGCAACCCTATTAAAGCAACCATATCGCTAAAGCAACCATATCGCTAAAGCAACCATACCCGCTAAATTTCCACAGTTTTGGATCAATCGCCAAGACGATGTCGAGAACAAGTCCTTGCTTCTTGGCCTTTTCATCCAGTACAATTGGCTGTTTCTCCTTCCGGGTAGTAGTCGTTGCTGCCTGCATTGATAGGGCGAGGTCTTGTGGAATTACAAATGTGTGCATGTAGTCCGCAGGTCGTACAATTTCCCAATGACAATCAATCTTCCGAGCTCTTAGATAGGCATCCTCCAGCTGAACAGGATACTTCGACAGCATCTCCATCACGCGCTTCAGATTTGAGGTGTTTCTGGCCCAAATCAGGAACTGATCCAAAGTCACGGCAAGTTCAGTGAGGTACTTGTGAACAGCAAGACGGTCGGCTTTGAGACTGATCGTAGTTTGCCTCAGCTGTTTCGGAGTTGACCTTGACTTTCCTTGGCTTGGTGGCTTAGGAACTCTAACGACATTGACCTGGCGCACGCGCGACTCTGTGTCAGGCTTCGTAGAGCTTGAAACCTTGTCACAGCTACTCATTCCGCAGCTGTCATGAGATTTCTCGTCGATGGGGGGTCGAATTGGAGATGACTGCGAAAGGTGAGTGCGTTGTGTCGGTAACATACTTTCGTCGGACTCGTAATCGCCATAATTCATGGTCATGGGGCTGCTTTCCAATGCGTCCATGAGCGTCATAGTCCCCATTGCCTCCACGGGGTCCAGAATGGAGTCTGAGACAGGTTCAGATACATCTTCTTCTTGCTTGCTATCTTCAGCAGATTCTGTAGAACTCGGTTGGGGGGCAGGGTTGACACGGTTGAGCCCTATGTCGATCGTTCCTTCCAGGCACTTAGCTCTTGGTAGAAGTCGGCACTAGCCAAATCTGACAGGTGTTCCAATAGTGGTTCCAGCATCGCTTTTGCGTATGCGTATTTTTCAGCTGAAGACAATACAACCTGGTTTGTCCGTTCACCTCGCCGTAGCCGTACGTACGCAACTTGCTTCCTAGCTTTGGTTGGCGAAGCGTTACCCCCCGCAGCATAAAGGGGTTGTTCTGGTTCAGCCCCAGTGTCGTTCGGCAACTTTACTTTCGGCAACCTTAACTTGGACATCTGCACAATTGGCTGTAACATTTCCGCTGCAGCCGTCAATTCGTTTTTCACTTCCAAGGTCTGGTACGTACTCCACCGATCATGAATTGCCATAGCTGGAAGCAGTTTGAAGCCATGCCCCTCGCGTGCTAAGTGCATAAGATGACGACATGGTAAATGGTGACTGCTATAAAATAGACAAGTACACGTCCACTCCACATCGTGACAGCGAAAGGTTTGATTCCCGCAATAAAATTTTCCATTGTGAAGGACCCGACGCTGTACGCTCACAAGTCGCATCTGCCATGAAGTTCACAAATCGTTCCCACTCTTTTCTCACTTTCTCGAAGATGTCAGGGTACAGTCGAGTTGCTACCGTCCGGAGAAACATCGGTATGGTTTTAGGAACGGGCGAAGTCGAATGGTGCTGCGCGATGACGAACCCGATCTGCTGAGTTATCATGATTTGATGCTGCACCAAGCCCGCAATAGTCTTGTCAATTCGTTCTTGGGCCCCAACAGTATTTTCACATGATTCCAGTTTGACTCGATCCTGTTCGTTGTAGTATTCCCAGCCGTGAAAAATTTGCTGCGAGCAAAGTTCGCCCACATGTCTCGACACGAATCCCAGTTCTTTTCAAAGTACGAGAATAAAGCTTGTTTCTTGTTGTCTTCGCAGTATTGCTTCAATGTTTTCAGCACCCTCCACTCAACTAAATCTTTGTCGATCACGATGGAGGATATCATCCGCCAACTTGGGTTTTTCTCTTAGAAATACTCCAGGATTGTTGTCATCATCGGAGCTCGTTGGTTGAGGCATATGAAGTCTACAACTGGGAACCCTCTACCAGTAGCGGTTGTGACGACCAGACTCCCTGAAATATCCAACACACAACAGTAGAAAATCACTTTGTTAATAAGGTTGCTATATCATCGATATGGTTGCTATAACTACGCAAGGTTGCCGTAACAAAGATAAAGTTGCTATACCGAACAACTCATACGCACCCAAGTGATAGCCCAAATTGTTCGTGCCGTGAGTGAAATCCATCGTAAGAGTGTCGCCCCAGCGCTCGAACATCAACTTCTGCACCTTTGTTTGCATCATGATACCGCATGTCACGTCCATTTGGTCTTGAATAACAAGGACGTCACTACCGTGTAACTGGCGGATAGCTTGCAGCATGTCTTTCAAACGGGCCTCCGCTGCGTCGTGCCCCATAATAGTGCGGATCAGATTACGGGTCTGTTGAGGTGTTATTTTGCAGCCTAGCAAACACACAAAGCGCGAACAGTTACGTAAGTATCACTTCAGCATATCATATATAAAACTACGCACCGATTTTCTCATTCAGGAAGTTCGTGATGTGCTTGGAAGAAACACTAGCATCCGTTAAAGTCTTAACATCTTCGAGATCTTGCTCGTCCAACGGAAGTGTCTTTGTTGTCAGGTACAACGATGCTTGCGTTCGGGTGGTCGGGTGCGTGTGGGTAAAGTTCTGATTATTAACAGCGACATGTGAGAAATACTAACAAAGCAAACAAATACACGAAAAGGCAGATACCTCGTTTCTTATGACAATTCGAAATTTGCCATTTTCCATCCGCTGAACGGTTGGTGTCATGCGTGCAGGACGCCCGCAATAGTTGCCTTTTCTATTGCGATGTCCCTTGGAGCGCGACGCTTGCGAAACACCGTGTGTACAGCGGAGGACCTTGTGACTCCAATTAAACGTGAAGGGATTTGGTCCCGATGATTGCTGCATATGAAAGGGGGTTTCGTTAATAACTTAAATTTCTCATCAAACAGAGGTCACACATACCTGTTGTACTGATTTCGTGTCTCCGAGCTTCGTACTCGAAACTTGAGGTGGTGCTTCTGCTTGTATATTTTCAAGTGTGCGTTGAACTTGCTCCAACTCTTGATAATCGCCGGGGTAAAGGGCGGAAACGGGGCTGATAATTTCTTCGCGCTCCTCGTTGATCTCCCGCAACTCGTCAAGGTGCTTGCTTGATCGCTTCCACGGTATGTACTGCTTGTTCCGCTTGGATAAACGTGGGGCCGAATCAGCGTCGACAGACTCGTGAAGCTGCAACTCCGCCTTACGCTCTTTCGCGAAAGATTGGGCTTCATCCCCAGCAGAAAGCTTGCATTTGGCCAGACCGGTATCTATCGATTCCAAAGTGAATGTCGTCAATATTAATGATAGCGCAACCTTTTTGCTTAAAGCAACTTTAACGAGAATATCTGGTGTTTTCTTGCGTGCTGTGGCTTTCTTTCTCGGCTCGGGGCTCTGTTTGCGTGTCCTGCGTTCTAAACAAACTAAAAAAATACACAATACATTATCAGTTCAACTCAATAAGTATCAACAATAATCCAAACGAGTCTTACCCGCTTCTGCTTCGTCTTCTGTGCTGGATTCTCCGTCGTCGTGCCTCCTGTTCATCGTCACTCGCCTCCTCTTCATCGTCGTCACCCTCCTCTTCATCGCTATCGCTCTCCTCGTCATCATCGACCTCTTCTTCGTCTTCCTCCTCTTGGTAGCAATCCTCCGCCTCTTCGTCGCCGTTGTCTCCCTCATCCTCCTCATCCAAAACAAAGTCTTCGTCTTCGTCGTCGTCTTTTTCAATCCCGAGAGCGGCGTACATGTAGTTTAGCTCCTCGTTTACGTTCCGCAGCTTTCGGCCTAAACAATACATACCGACAGAATTCAAACAAAATGTGAGGCACGTAGATACTCTCGTTGCCACCAACATGGAGCATACTGATTACCGTTTATAATGGCTCCCCCCGCAGGAGCCATCGGTCCCCCCTCGCTGTTTGGTGCTTGACTCATTCGCGAGAGGTGCGTGCCCCATGTGTGGCGCACTTAATGGCATCGTACCTAATCAGAAGCGCACTTTAGCGTGATTTGCGTACCTAAGGGCTTAACGCTCGTAATTTTTGAAATCCCTAAATGCAACCATACATGTCTCAGAATGGCTAAAAGCAACCATACTTATGGTTGCTCTAACCACTCCCCTTTGCCGCAGTGCCCCTTTTTGTTATATCGCACATAACCAAACCCCGATATCAATCGCATTCTACACCGCAGTTGACTCACAGCGGAAAAAGAGCAGCAACTCCGTGATAGAGTTCCGTACACGTTCCTTCGGCTGGAGGCCTCGTTCCCGTCCATTCCGACCTCGTTCAAAACCAAGATAAAAGATCACACGCGCTCGCCTGTGCGTCCTCTTGTATCCAGCTCCGTCCAGTAGCCCCAGCGCCTTCGCCTCCTCCTCCGCAGCCATCTGCTTGGCCGTGCTGGGTCGTCATTTCTTAATTCAACAGCGACAATGGAGTACGGACGGCTCGTGGTGCTCGGCTACAGCAGCTACCGCGTGGACACGGTGGAGCTTCGCCCTCGCAGCGGCAGCGTGGAGAGCGCGCCGTCGTCCTTCGGACTGTCAGAGGAGGGCGACCGGTCGGTGGCCAGCATCTCGTCGTCGTCCTCCTCCGCGAGCTCCAAGCGCGCTTTGGGGCAAACGTGGAAGCCGCTGGGCGACCAGAACGCCGAGTTCGTGCTGGAGAAGCGCTCGCGACCCAACGGTGTGCAGCTGCGTCGATTCCACCACGTCCGATCCATTGAAGAGCTCAAGGAATCCAAGCACCAGGCGGGGACCAGTAACCTCAAGCAGTCCAAGCACCGAGCCAACGAAACGATGACCAAAGACCTCAAAGGTATCACCACGCGCATCATGCAGCGTATCGAGAGGACACGAAGCCGCCTGAGTGTTGTCGACAATCAGAGAGAGGACTCTCCTCCAGTTGTCGCGCCGTACCAAATGTGCGTCCCCATGAACGACAAGGATCCATTCGCCTGCGTCACGGAGTTTCACTCGGACGACAGCACCGACATGTTCCAGATCGGGCGCATGCCGTGTCGCCAGAACGATTTCGTGATCCCAGGACCGCGCGTTGGCTCGTCCGGGACCATTTCGCGCTATGCTGCGAGGATTTTGTGCTCGCGAGAGCCACCGTACGAGTGCCGCATTTATGCTGGAGGCTTTGATGTGGCAAGACGTATGAGCACGGCGGGGCATGCGTTGAAGCATTGCTCACACTGTGGAATGTGGGCGAAACGTTTCGCGACGAATCATGCGTGCGTGATGCGGACGATGTTGGAGCAATCCAGGGACGGTAGTGCTAACAGGGGGGGCTTTAGTCGCGTCAAACAGAGCAGCAATAATCTGGCGAGTGGAGAAGTCAAGCATTACATCGACGAAACAAAGGAGGACGGACTGCTGGAGCACTTCGAGGTGGATCTGCAGGATGCGAACGAGCTGCCGCTGGACGGATTGACCAAGAATGGCGTTCGTGTGTGGCTTCCTGAGTGCAAGCAGTGGTTCGAGGTATCGGTGAATGGCAAATTGTTCGCGATTGAGTCACGCACTGTGGACGAAAAGTCATCAAGCTCGAGGTTGAAAGCGATGCGTAGTAGTGCATTCAACCGTCCAGCCGGGAAGGCTGAAGGTTTTGCGCCGATACTGGCGGACGGAGCGATCATTGATCTGGGCGGAGTTCAACTACAATTCCAGACAAACCACCGCACTGGGCTCGAAGCTGAAGCTGAAGACAACGAACTGCTGGAGGCCCCTGTAGTGTACGGTCGAGCAACGCTGTCCTCGGTGAGCACGCAGCTCGAGCGTCTTAATGTCCAGTGCCCCGTTCAGCTGCACTCGCTACGATTTACGCGTGCTGCTCCGGGTGAAGACGTTCCACTGGACCAAATACCTCACGTCTTCACGGCGTGCGGACATGTGTTTGGCTATGAGGAGCGTATTGCCAAGTCGCACACGTGTCCGCTCTGCAGAACGCCAGGGTCCCTGGTGCGGCTCCTGCTCAAAGAAAACTCGCAGCTGCAGTCGGCGGAAGAACAGCACGCGATCCCCGAGTGCGTGTTCAACCCCTGCGGACACGCCATCAGCACCAAGCTCGCACAGCACTATTCAGCGTTGCGCATGCCCAACGGCCGTGCGATTTGCCCGTTCTGCGCGGTGCACCTCGACCTGCGCGTGCCATTCTCGAGACTCTACCTCTATTGTGACTCTGACTAGAGCGGAGTATGAGCAGCGTTTAAGACCACATCAACGCAAAAGTAAACACGTACAAGTAACGAACTCAAGTCGACAAGGAGCATGTAAATGCTGGTAAGGCTTGCATAGCACAAGATAGATAAAGTGGTAAACATGCATGGAAGTCAAATAAAAGTAATGCCTAAGATCTCACAGATTTTTAATGCAATAACAACGCACAGAGATGCTTGAGAGCTACTGCTTCCGGTACTTTGGGGAGCTCGGGAAGGACACGTTGGTGACAACGCGCTTACCGTCTTTGATGTTCGTGCTGCTGATCGTTCCTGACGGGGAGCCATTCACATGATTGAGTCGCCGCATGCCCTTGAGCGTGCGTACCTTGAGCTCGTCGCGCGTGAGAGGATGCATGGTGTCTTCGTTGTCGCCGCTGTCTTCATCCTCTGACGAGTAATCGTCCAGGTTGGGCGGATTGATCTGCAGGGGCTCCTGGCCCATAGGAGTAATCGGCCCTACGCCAAGAATTGAGTGCAACGTCGCCACAGCTCCGTTTGTGCCGCCTGCCGCCCCAACTGCCGCCGAATTGTTGGACATCGCATTAGCGGCGAACTGTGACTCGCGATCGTAGGCGTCGGTGGTTGTTTTGTTCTTCTGTGCGTCCGCCTGTTGCTTCGCGAGAACGGCGGCGTACTGGTGCAAGATTTCGTTTGTCTTCTGCTCAATGACACCGAGGTAAGCCATCATGTTGGCTTCGGTGACCGCCGAGTCGCCCAGCATCTCCACCATGGCCTGAGCGTTGCATCCAGTCTTCGTAAACAAACTTTGAATGGCGCGCTTGACAGCGTTGACGGTCTTCTGGGCCTCCGCGCAGCGCGCCTCGCACTTCTCAGCTGCCTGTTCCGTAAGTGCAAGCCTCGCCTCGAGCTCTCGCAGAAGCTGCTTGTGTTGACCGACGCCATCGTCGTCACCCCCTGCGGCTCCATTAGCGCCATCGCCATTTCCCGTGTACCGACGCTCTTCGTCTCGCAAAGCTGCTATCCACTCCTCGAGCTTCTCGATCTCATTGCTTTGCTCGTTGACATAGTTGAACAGTGAGAAGTTCTGGTCTTCCTTCTTGATGAAAGACGTCACGAGCTGCTCCAGATCGTCGATTCGCGTGGCTGCCTTGATCTTCAGGAAAGCCTCCTCGAAGTTCTGCACACGCTCGATGGAGACCTGGACGTGCACCTTCTCCTTGGCCACACCCCACGTGCCCTTCTGCACTTTACTCTTCATCTCGCTCTCCTCATCCGCCGACATGTTGCCTGCATAAATCCCTCCCGATGCGCCGCCACTTGGAGCTCCTGCACCTGCAGATCCACCCCGTCTATAGCTCGTCGTGTCTCCTCCAGCGAGGATCTTGCTCTCTTCAAGTCTCTCCATCAACTCGGACAGAGCTCGTCGATGAGCTTCAAGCTCCGCCCGATTTTCATCTTGAAGGCTTCGTAGCTCGAGTTGCGCCGCGTCACGCTGCTCATAAGCCTGGTTGCTCAGCTCAATGGTCTGTGCCATCTGCCTCTTCTTCTCGGCGTGCTCGCGCTCGAGCTTGCGGTAAATGGTGTCGAAGACGACGCGTTCTCGACGTAAGTTGTCAATCTCCTCACGCAGCACCTTGTTCTGCGCCAGCGCCTCGTTGAACTTGACGAGGGACTTGTCCAGTCGGTTCTCGAGGATGCGGATCTGCTTGCTGACCATCTGCTGGTTCTCCCTCGCGGCGTTCACGCCGCCCATGTGCTTCTTCTGGTGCAGCACCTTGTGCCGCATGACCTGGATCTGCTGCGTGAGCGTCTCGAGGCGCTTGCTCTCGCCCACGTTCTTGCGGTTGTAGCCGTCGATCTGCTCCTGCAGGCGCGCGATCTGCTCCTGCTGCTGCGCCACGGCGCCTTCGTTGATGTGGCGCTCCGCCAGCGTCAGCTCGGCCTTCATCTCCTCGTTGTCCTTGCGCAGCTTCTCGATCACAGCCTGCTGGCGCCGCATCACCTGGTGGCTCTCGTCCGCGTACACCTTGCGGTTCAGCTCCATGTTGCGGTACTCGCGCTGCAGCTGGGTGAGGTCCGCGCCATTGTTTCCCCCCGTCGGATGCATCTTGTCAATGCGAGTCCCACCCAATGCTCCAGTGCACCCGCTCCAAAAAGGCAACACACAAAGTGTAACGGACACTTCAACTTGATGCGCTCTCAAAGGTCCAAGCATCAAATTCCAGAGTATCGGTTCACTGTACCATTTAATATTGTCCAATCGGGACCCATCGGTCTCCTCGAGCCACACGCCCCACATCAAGAAGCTCCAAGCTCCGACGTGCTCAAGGTCCAGCCAGAATCATGCTTCGCTGCCAGGTCGCCAAGGTCGCCAAGTCCCGGGGTCTCGTGCGCCGCTTCGCCTCGGAGGCCAAGGAGGCCAAGGAGGAGGCCGCCAAGGCCGCGCCCACGCCCGCGCCCGTCGTGGTCAAGAAGGGCGGCAGCTCCTTCTTGCAGCGCGTCGTGTCGTTCGCCGTGGGCGTGTCGGTGGGCGCCGGCTACGGCCTCTACGTGCTGTCGGAGGACGTGGAGCACTCGACAAAGCAGATCCAGAGCTCCGTGGGGAGCCTCAAGGACGAGATGATCGCGCAGAACGCGGCGCTGTCCAAGCGGATCGAGGCGCTCGAGAAGAGTCAGTAGAGCGAGAGAGAAGGAGGGGGAGGGCGAAGGAAGGATACGCAATAATGGAGGAGACCCCGACGACGACGCATCGATATGCGCGGGGGTGGTTTAATGCTTCTCTATCGTTGCAGTTACTAGTAGTATGGTGGTGGTGGTGGTGTTGCGGGTGCTGCAGGTGGTGGTGTGAGTGATCGATCAGGTGGAACACGAGCATCTTCCAGACACGATACATTTTGGGTTGTTGACTTGGATTAGCTCTCTAATACACTCGAGCTGTTGGTGGGGATTTTACTTGGGCTTTGGAGATCAGAACGACACGTTGGGTACTGCCGGGGCGGCTTCCGCGGGTGTAGCCGCTCGCTTCACGAGCTGCTGCAGGTCTGTGGATACGAGGTCGTACACTTTGTCAGCGAGTTGCATGGACGTGAGTGCGCTACGCAGCGACTCGATGTCCTTGCGGAAGCTCGAGTTGAGCTCCTGCTTCTCCTCGAGCTGCTTGGATAACGTCACCACGCGCTGCTTGTACGTGTGCAGCTCGCGCTGCAGCGAGCAGAAGATCGCAACGTAGCGTTGCCGTAATGCTGCCACGTCCACATTCTCTTTTCGGAGACTGCCGTCTGCCATGAACTCCTCTATCGCTTTGTCGATGCAGCTGGCATCCAGCAGCTCCGGCATTCCGGTTCCAACACTTCCATCGACGTTGTTACCATTGCCACCTTGACCAAGGTGGACCTCCGGGGTGGTGTCATCTGTGCTGCCACTGCTTCCTCTGCGCCGCTTCTGGTCTCGTTGCTGTTGCCGCATTCTTTCTTCTTCCTGCTGCGCACTTGCAGTTGTGTTTCCCGTAACACCGTTATCACTCAAGGCTTCCATCGCCTCGATGATCTGTAGGTCCGGGATATCCAAAATCGAGATGCGCTTCGGAGCGCGCGGCAAAATCTGGTACTGAATGCCCATCTTCTGGGCGTTGCCGATCAACGCCTCAGCGTCCATCAGCAGCGAATCGTCCAAGTCGTCGCTGTGCTGCCACCCGTCACCTCCCATTCCAGCACCAAGGCTGCTTGCAAGACTCGGTCGTCTGCTGCCTGCGTCAAGTGATTCATCCACTTCGTCGAGCACGGTACTTGTACCTGTCGACTCAGGCGGTTCCAGACTGAACGAGTTACTCGCCGATCGATTCCACGGGAGATCGTACACTGGAGCTGGCGGCGGTGGAGGCGGAGGGGCTTCCTGGGTCTGCTGGTCGAAATCAAGAGACGGCGTGTACAACCTCAGCATGCAACTTAATCCCAGCAATCCGCCAAAGTTTGCACTGGCACCTACTGGTGGCTGCTTCTTGGCATCTTCCTCTTGGGCGATCTTGCGTAATGTCAGCATCGGGGATAGTCCCTTTGCAACGGCGCTGTGGGTGGTCTCATCCGAGACAGCCATCTTGCAGAAGGCGCGCAGCGTGAGCACGATGATATCCCGCACCGTGTTGGATTCAGCGCGGAGTCGAACGTAACATCCTTGTGCCAGGTGCAGGTAGAACTCGTTCGGTGTGCCTCGCACCATTTCCAGCTGCAGTCACACAAGTCCAAGAGATAGCCAGTTGATACATTTGGTACAGTTGGTGTAGAGCAGTCGAGTCATCGCGCGGTGAGCCGATCGATCCGTCGACGGAAAGGCAACAAACAATCCACGAAATGCAAATGAGCCCCCAACACCCGATGGAACTGCACCACGACGCGCTCTTACCTTGATGTCAGGGGTGTAGAGGCTCTCGAACGGCGGGATCAGCGACGACTCGCACGTCAAGCGCACCCTGCGGTCGTCAATCAGCAGCGTCCAGCTCTCCTACAGTTCCCAAAAACACCACAAAGATCAGCCCTCTCCTCCTTCCTCTCCTCTCTCAGCATCTTCCTCCTCCTCCGTACCGTGAGCTCTTCCTCGTGCAGATACTCGCTGCCGTCTTGCACCGCGATGCTGCGGAGGCCCATGAACAGCACGGACTTGCGCTCGAGATACATCTCCACCTTGCTGCGCACCTCCGGGTCCTCCTTGATGGGTCCGTACTCAAGCATCTTGGTCTTGAGCACGTCCTCGTCCTCGATCATGACCTTGGCCAGGATGCGCGCGCCGATGTCGTCCGCCGTGGGCGTGTACCACTCGTCGCAGGCGCCCGGGATGACCTGGAAGTCGTCCTGCTCCCCCACAGCGCGGAACCACTGCACGGCTACCGGGTAGCAGCAGCACTCGGAGCGCAGCGGCCGCCCCAGGTACGTCAGCACGTGCATGTGCGTGTGGTGCACACCACCTTGCAGCACGCAGTTCTCCAGCACGCGCGCGACGCTACAGGCGCCCACGCAGTCGCAGCGCTCGGCGTCATGCACGAAGGCCGGGTTCTCGGCGCCGCTGAGGCTGGGCGCGGAAACGGACGAGAGCGTGGAGCTCGGCGTGGGCGTGGGCGTGGCCCCCGAGGGCTGCGGCGAGCGCTCGTCGCGCGGGGACGCCGAGATGCCGCGCTTGAGCGAGTCGACCCAGCGGCTGCGCATGGCGTGGGTGAGAGGAGGAATGCTGCGCACAGTTCACTTGCGTTCAGTATGCAGGAAGGTGCGACCGGTCGGAAGAGCTACGGAACCAGATGCCGAAACGACGGACGACGGCGGTTGGACGAAATGGAGAGAGGGTTTCGACGAATGAAAATGTGAGAAGAGAAGTAGTAGGGCAAAGCATCTCGCTGAGAGGCAACCTGAGCTTTATTTCGCGTTGATTTTTTTTGCGTGTACACTGCACAGGTGTACTTGAGTCCGCCACTTTCGCGTTGGAATCTAAAGTACGGCGGGATTTTATGAGAGTTTTGTGCTGTCTCTTCAAGAAGCGTAGGCACAGTACTAGTAGACTGATCAACGCATTGAGATTCCACATTTACAGTACTAGAGTATGCCGTTACTTCTGTTGATTTTCATCATTGCACACGAACATTGGGCGGTGCAACAGGCAATATAATTTGAAAAGTTCATAGCCCCATGATGCGGTGCAAATATCTTCAGTTCACGCATCATTGGAGCTCCACCGAAATGAGAGGATTCAACCTCTATTAAGATATATTGAAACGACGCGATTAGTTCTAAAAGTATCTGACTCCTGTACGTTAAGCAGTCCCTGCTCATGCCCATTAACACCTAGTACACTGTGATAGAGGCGTCGGTATTGCCGGGGCTTGCCTAGACTACGCCAAGCAAGAAACGCGTACTGCCTGAGTACTCTGTAACCCCTGGTTCCTGAGCCACAGGTGAGATTATCGGATAGAAACATAGCCTAGCGTACTATGAATCATAGCCTATGAAAGCCCCAGCAGGTGCAGGCCATACCACAGGCAACGCAGTCCTGCTGGCGAGTCTGCAAATTCTACACTGCAGACTTCTACTGCTGATCCAATATGCTGTATAAACGATCCCGCAGCGTTGGGCGCGGAAGGGTCTCGCATGCTCATGTGTACACTCCCCACGTCAGCCAAATCGACCCTAATAGCACCCGCCAATTACAGCCGCTGTCTGCAGTGTGTCATGGGCTCTTATCCAAAACTATCCTTAGTCATTGACAGTGTCGATGTCAATTTGACACAGCATCAAGACCAGAATCGGCCAAACGCTGGCTGGCGGCAGTCGCAGACAATACCAGCGGAAATTTACTATCAACAACAACTCAAGGAGGTCCCGAATAGACCGCGAAGGGTGTGGCTGCAACCCTCAACTACGTGCACGATGTGAGCATTGTGCTGCGTCAAGAAGATTGAAGGTGAAGACAACGGGATCAGTTATGCAGACCTTCATGTCGTCTACGCGGTCACCAATCACCACAAAGACGAAGCAGGTTCCGACCAACGCGACGTGGAGCTTCCTGTACAAGCGATTCGTCGGTGCGGGCGCGCGGTGTCCTTTTCGCGCCTGTCACAGGAATTCCGGAGTTGCAGGAGCTGATAATCAGCGTGATTGGCACATAGAGAATGTGCTTAGGCTGGCTGTGCTCAGCAGATCGCTCTGATGCGTGTTCATCTAGCCGATACCAGTGAAGGCACTCATTCCTGGGCTACTATTGGCGGTGCGGCATGCGCCCTTCGCGCTGCTGATGGACTTCCGAGTTGATCCCCTGCAGTCGTTGAGCCTTTCAATCATTCCTCATTTTGCGTTGACGGACTCAAGCCCCCCGAAGCTCTACATTGGAACGGCCTGAGAGCCTCACCATGGCTCCGACACCGAGTGGCAGGAATGTCCACGACCTCGAACGTCTGTCCGCGGTGAGCATCACCAAAGACTCCGACCAAAGCGGGTACACTGGTATGAAGACTCCTGATGCTGTCCCAGAACTCCTTGAAGACGGCGCGCTGCGCCCAGGTGGCATGCCCGTGCTGACCAGCAAGAAGCACATCGGCCTGCTGTTCCAGTATGCGGCAGTTGGCATCGTCTACGGCATGCTTCCGGAGACCATCTACCCGTTCATGCAGGAGTACCTCAACTGCAGCGGTGCGCAGGTTGCTGCCGCCAAGGAACTGGTGGTGCTGCCCTGGAGTTTCAAGGTTTTCTTCGGTATCCTGTCCGACTGCTTGCCCATCCGTGGCTACCGCCGTCGCCCATACATGATGATCGGATGGACAGTTTGCATATTGATGCTGCTGATCATGGCTATTATGCCTATTGGCAAGCCGTACTACACCGTTGCATCGGACCGCGACGTCGATACGTCGGACTACACCCCGGAGATCGAAGCTCGCATCAACTACGACGCTCCAAGCGAGGGTGCCAAGTACATCGTCATCATGTTCTTCGCCGCGGTGGGTTACGTGCTCTCCGACGTGTGCTCCGACAGTATCGTGTGCGAGTTGGCTCAGCAGGAACCACTGGCGAAGCGTGGCAAGACCCAGTCGGCTATTTACACTGTGCGAACGGTGCTTGTCATTTTTGGCGAGCTTTTGGTTGGTTTCTGCTTCAACGGTGAAGACTACGGCGGCGACTTCGACTTCTCGCTAAGCTTCCCGCAGCTCATGATCATCATGACAGTGCTCACAGGGGAGTTAGCCGTGTACGAGATACCAGAGAAAATTCAGCGAAGAAATGGTACGCGATGATCTGGTTCACGACGCGCTTGCACAGCAGGTCCCAGAATTTCTTGATGTACTTGCGGAAGTCACGACGTTCGGCCTTCTCCTCCTTGATGAAGAGCCACGCAATCGGAAGAATGGGCGCATTTGTGCAGTCGTACATGGTGGATGTTACTCCGATCAACAGCACACTGAATGATGTCCTGGGTCACGTCTGCTTTATGATCGGTATCATGGTCACCTCCAAGTACGGACTGCACTGGAACTGGCGCGGCATGATTGTCTTCACTGGTATCGTTGTCATCATCGTTGACTGTGCAGTGGCTCTCATTACAGTCTGGGATGTCTTCCGTCACCAGTGGTTCTGGCTCGGCCCCCCTATCGCTGTGCAAATTCCAAGCGGCGTCGCTTGGATCATCGCACTGTTTGTGACTGTCGAGATTGCTGGAGTCGGTAACGAAGGCGCTGTGTACGGGTTGGTCACCACGGTCGGCAACTTGGCCACGCCGTTCGCTACGACCATCACACTTCTCATTGACGGCCCGTTCAACATCACGAATGCTCGCGTGCAGACCGACGACCACTCCGTTCGCGTGCATCACGTACACGATCATCATTTCGTACGCGATGACCATCTTCTCGTGGGTGTTTCTGTTCCTGTTGCCGCGTCAGAAGGAGGAGACACAGGAGCTTGCTCGCACTGGCGGCTCCAACAAGATTTTGGGCGGCATTACGATATTCTACCTGGCCTTTTCGCTCGTCTGGTCCATTACGGTGAACACACTCGCCGTTTTTGATAGCACTTCGTGTCTGGTGATCGAACTGGCTGCTAAACTGCCGGTAGCTAAGTTTTTTTACGTTAAAATGCAGTGTAAGTAAAGCAATGACAAAAAACCTAAAATATTGTACGAGGCTCATGATTTCTCTTAATAGATCTGACCAACAGGTAGTGAAACGTTGCCAACGCTACATTGGTATCTTGAATGCCGACTCGCGGAGGCTTCGAAACTTGAAAAAAATGTACGTCTTCATGAATCTTTGACCACCAATGGTGGTCAAAGATTCACCATAAACTTCTACAGTAGCAATGACAGGTGACTCGTCTTAGATAAGCGACCATCAGGTCACAACATTTGATTAATCCTAGTGTACTCCCTAACGCTGACATGTTAGTTGCTATACATGTTAGCTAACTGTTAGTTAGTGTCTACAGTAGTATTTTGAGCTAGCATGTTAGTAGCGTTAGAGCAAAAGTATGGAGAAGGGTATATACTTGCACCGAGGGCAGCCGAGAAGGGCGATGTATCAAACTGAACACAAATCACCCTCAAAACTAAGAATTCACCGTCCAATATATAATACTTCAAAGTATCTGCTAAAATAGGGAAATATTGGCTGGGTGAACACCAGCGCAGATCAGACCACTTTAAAGTGGCAATTGTCAATTTCTCCACTTTTTGCTTTAAAGTGACACATTTTCAACTAACTTTTAGTTAGTGTCCAGTAAAATCAGCTAACATGTTAGTGGAGCACACTAATTAATCTACCATTGTAGGATCGGTAGCCATGAATAAACTTGTACTTTTAAGTACAAGTTTTTTCACTTAAACGTGGGAAATGTAGCGCAGATTAGCAGGAAATATACACGATTTGTGATAGATTTCCATATTTGGGGTGAATTGTATTTTGCGTGTGTAGATGAAAAACTACTGACCCAATACTGCAAACTTGGACTATCTAACTTTATAGCACTTGGAAGCCGCTTGACCGGTCATTTCGGTCTTAACGAACGCTGTGCTGTTGCGGCTAGTAGAAGTGAATGAGAGCTCTCTGCTAGCCTTTATTGCAGCACCAATTGAAACTTATTTGCCCGCTAGATTTTCTTTTAAAACATATGCGGTCAAACTATTTTGAAACACTGGATAGTACTATAGTAATGTGGCCGAAAACCCGCAATCCATGCTGCAATCAATCTCTTGGGAATTGAGTTACTTAAAACTTGGGCCCAAAGTGAAGGTTTTGCGGGACACGGAATCTTTGGTAAACTTATCAAGTTCAAGTTGGATGACGCAGGCATCCAGCATGCTGGCATCATTCAGCATCATCCCCACTCGAACGTATCAAGTTTACTAAATGATACCAGCACGCTGGTATCATCTAGCATCATCCTATCAAGTTTACCAGTTGATGCCAGCATCAATAGGCAACCCGGAGCAACGCTCCGGGAGGGTACACAGGTCGACGAATAGTTTCATGGACGATGATAACGGATAATAATTGAGTAAATCCCAAAGTTGTTTTGTTTTTAATCCTTAAAAGCACTACCAGCCCAACTCTCTAGTTGATTCTAACGTGGGCATCTACTGCCCGAGAATGCGTAATTGAACAAATAGTTGCGCACATCGAAGTGTATCGATACGGAAATGATGTTTCAGCCAAACCTTTGTGAGGCTGGTAACCAGCAAGCCCCGCTCTTCTTTATTGTGGTGGGTTCTCAGGAACCGAAAGTCACCAATTGAGGTTGCCTGGTCTGATGAGGCCATCGGTGACATAACACCCTGGTCAGCGTCCAATGGCTGCGTTGGCGCCAGCAACGAGAGAGCTATTTCAATCATTAGTGGGTCTCAGTTCAGGCAGCAGCAAGATAGCGCTCTTACAAATCTTGAAGGATACGAGCTGTGATTGGTTAAAACTCGGTTGTTATCTTGCTGCCGACCCCTTTCCATACTGCCACGATTTTCGTGCAGTATAGCGCCGGCAGCAGCAAGATGAATTCCACCTATTGCCGGACCGCCCCAGGAGCGACGGCAGCGGGAGCCGACGTTCCCCCGACGTATATGATTCCTCCACAGGTGCTTTCGCTAGATCAGATAGCATTGGGCTGCTGGGGCTGAGCGGATCGACCGCCGCGGGGTCAATCTGACCTCCACTGACCCCGTAGCAGTGCGTCCTCGCATCGAAAGCATGTGACAACTTGCCGCAGCACGCTGCTGGTGTGGTGGAGTAGATCCGCTGGAATTAGCAGGGATCCCACACTCACACACTGCGCCCAGACACCGACTAACGGAGGGGGTACTCCGATAACCGTAGGTTGTTGAGTGGCTCACCTTGTGTACCCTTCGGCGGGCTGGATCTGCTCTCTCGTGGACACGAGATGCGCAGCGGGTGAACTTGAATGTCCTTGGCGGGGACTTGGGGAGATTTTGGGGTAGATCCGCTGTGGGGGTTCCTTCACGCGGGTCTGGGTAGGTTGATCCTTGGTCTTGGCCGTAGACCTTGTGGGTCCGATATGTAATATACCGGATCCGGAGTTGTTGCCTTGTTGGGGGTGTTGTATCCATTTCCTTTACGTCGCTTGCCGCCAACTATTAGCGGGGAAGTTGGGGGGGGCGAGGGCCGAAGGGCGCGAGCTGCTGGTCAAGCTATCCAGCAGTCTGCCACGTGTGCGGGGGGGGGGAAATCACTTGAATAAAGTATGGGCCAATTCTAATCCCAATACAAAGGACCAAGTGTGTGGTTCCCAAGCAAATTCGACTCTGATTTATGTTAGTCTATGCCCTGCCTTCCCATCCCGTTTGAAGCCTACCCTCTACTGACTCTCTACTCTGTTCCATATCAACCGGTATCCAGATTTAGAATCTGTACCAAGATCTGAGTACCCATCTCTACCAGATTTAGCCATACAGATATAGGATCCGATGATACACATTACCTGACCGAATGCCGCTGGCGATGTCCCTGAAAATCTCCGATCCACTTTACCACACTGGGCACCTATAAGATGTATATATGTATGAGAGCACTATGTAGTTGAGCAATAGGCTAAATGAGCAAGAAGACCACGCATGAGGCATCTTGCTGCTGCCGAACTGCAAAGGGGCTCTCAGTTCGTTCCGTCTCTGATTGGGAGAAATTTGGAGGGTTTTTGGAGAGCGCTATCTTGCTGCTGCCAGAACTGAGACCCACTATTTTGCAGGTAAGGTATACTGTGCTCATTTTTGTACTATGTTGTGTGCTAACGATCAGACGAGAGAGCTACAGTAGCGGAACGAAGGAGAGACGCATGATGTGCTGACCTTGACCTTTTAACTTGAGGATGTTAGCTAAGTGGCAATAATGATCCTCAATTCAAAACCAAAACAAACAAACAAACTTTTAACTTGAGGGTTTGGGGGGTAAATTGCGGAATGAGGAATACGCTTATGGGCCAATTCCTTGGAAGTGGGTGCTTCAACGCGGAAAAAAGTCTTATTCAAACGAACGATGCTCATGTCACTGTCGAGTTGAGCTGATTGGTTTGGCGACAGACACGAGGTTGGGCATCTTCGGCTAAGAGTGATTGGGTATTGAGCAAATTGACATGTAAAAAATGCAGCCTGCACCTAGACAAGTCATGTTGGTCATCTTCAGCTAAGCTTGGTCGATTATGGCGCAAATTGATACGCCTTCAGCGAAGCCATGACGCTCTCATAGTGTGCTGGAGCGTCCGTAAGTGTTTGAATGCAGGTTTTGGTAAATAATAAACGATTAGTATCAACCTTTGGTAAATAATGTGCATAAATTTTAGCATTTATCAACGGGTACCCGATTCCGGCAGATATTAGCTTAAACGTCACAATCAGGGTTTGGTAGCAGTGGGAATATTGGCTAATAGTCATACTACTACTACTATCCAAATTCTGGCAATAGTAGAATGATATGTCTATTAGTAGTGAGGCATCGGTGGTACTAATATGACTACTAATACGACTGCTAGTTATGACTATTTGACCATCATTCCGAATTCCGACCGCAATGGTGCTAACTGGCCTCCATATGTGAAGTATGAACTACAACTGTAGGTGCGCGCTGTCCGTTGTCATCCTAAGAGGGTCCCTCACGAAAGACTCGGTTTAGACGCGCGTGGCGACGAGCAGCGTTCAAGCACGAGTAAGTTTTCGCGATCATCCGCGAACCAACAGCACACGTAAATGCTTCCTAAAGCACTAAAGTCCGCAATGACATAAATCATAATGTTCACGAGGCTCATGAGTTTTATCCCAACAAACAACACGTGATCTTTACTACACCTAACTTGACAAATGTACTACAGACACCGAATGAAGATAGAAGAGCAGAGTACCTGAACAGAGGACCTACTACTGTACAGGGTACCGCGGTACGGAATTACTTGGACCGACGGACACTCACCTCTGATGATATCACCAGTCATTTACGTCTTAAACGGTTGCACTCCGAGCATCGCCTTGGACGTGATGAGCAGGTGACGTGCTCCACCATATAACTTATATGATATAAGCTCTCCACTGCACGTGTGTACCGCCAGGGGTTGTTAAAAGAAGCAGGCGTCCATTTGACAGCGGCAACACAACCTACAATGATTTATACTGAAACGACGTAATGATTATTGGAGGTTCATTAGGCGATGAGTTAAAAAGCTTACACTGTGCAAGTCATGTGTCCACTCGTGTGCAAGCTCACTCACATTGGGCTACGCAGCTGACGGCGACCAACCATTCGGTTTTGCTGCCGGCAAGATCCGTTTGCCTTCATAACTTGCGTGGCAGCACGAATTGAACGAATTGAAGGAAATCCGCACCGGATCGCTTTCGTCTGGCCTGGCGACGATGATAAGAATGAGTAACGGGAAAATTTTGGCGTGGGCTTCAGCTAGATCTTGCACTCCGTGCATTAACCAATTGGGAGCCCTTGGCGAACTCCGTCACCGCCACCGTCACGCATTCGTCTACCCGTGCCGCCAGTCGCTCACCGCCACCCGAGACGAGGCGGGTTGCGGACTTCAGTCTGCGCGACCGTCTCTCCAATTGTTCCCGCGCTCTATGATACATGTAAATCCAATGCCAATTGTGTTGGTCTCCCTGGTCGGCTACTCTTCAAAGCAGAAGGAATGGGTCCCTCCCCGAGGTATCCCCTGCGAGAACCGGATTGTTCCAGCGTAGCATGCATCTCACGACTGAGCCCGTACAGCTCACCGGTGTGCCGGCTCAAACTAGCCGGGCGCAGTGCATGAAAGCTTGGCAAAAAGCTCCGAATAGTATCGGAAATGGCCGCCGTGGTGCGCTGAGCGTCCTCCATTTGCGCGCGAGCTTCGACGTCGGCGACTTACGGGGGCTGATTGGGTGATACACGGCGTGATAAGGCGGACACCTGAGCCCGAGCTTCTGTCTCCGCGCTGCCATACCGTCAAAATTCCAACGGGGTTGGACTGCTTCCAACCAAAACCGGTCTAGCAACGGTATTAGGTTTTTTGTTCAGCTGATATTTAACCTCACGACGGCCGATTGGATTCTCAGCCAACAGTCCAGAAGCTTCCAGGTTAGTGCAGGCAGCGAGTCGTGCAACGCTGCTTGTGCTACCTGTGCTGACTGTGCTGCTGTTGTCACTGCGTGTACACAGGCGCTGCTGGCCGCTGGGCCGTGTGTGCTGCTGGGCCCTATGTGCTGCTGGGCCGTCTGTGCTGCTGGGCCGTGTGTGCTGCTGGGACGTGTGTGCTGCTGGGCCGTGTGTGATGCTGGGCCGTGTGTGCTGCTGGGCCCTGTGTGCTGCTGGGCCGTGTGTGCTGCTGGGCCGTGTGTGCTGCTGGGCCGTGTGTGTGCTGCTGGGCCGTGTGTGCTACTGACGCCGGGCCACTTGCTGTTGGATTATGTGCGCTGCTGGGACGTGTATTGGGTTGCGCCTGTGCGCTCTCGTGGCGTGTGGCTCAAGTGGCCGAGGGTTTGGACGAGTATGGTGCTGTTGATGGATGCGACTTACCCGCGCCGATGGAGCTCGTGAGGTTGAGCGCCAGGCCTTCGGGCCTGGAGGATCGGGTTCAAACCCCGACATGGGCATCAAGTACTATGTGTTTTTGCTTTCTTTTTGGACAAGTCGGCTAAGAGAGTGCGTGCTACTCCTGTTGTACGTATTGTGTATCTTATTGACTGTTTAGTGTGCTGCGTGTGCATTTAGGTGAAGCGCAGGAATGGCGGAAGGGCGGAATTGGGTGTCGGGTCGACGACTTCGCCTTCGTAGTAGCGCTCGCGAAACTGGTCAAGGAGGACGGAAAGGTGGCCTGCTTTGTGAAGCGCACGCATGGCTTTGACGACCGAGCCAACGACTACAGCCTGTGAGCCTTGTGCGGCCAAGTATTCAAGCGTCTTTATCTAGGCTTCGACTCCAACAGCGTGGACCTCCGCCTTGTACGCTGGCGAGGCCGGGTCCAGCTTGAACCCAGAAGGTAAGCAGAGCATCATGAATGCAACTGCGTGTCGTGACTCGTGAAGGATGGCTTTGCTAACTGTTGTTGATTCGTACATGCGTGGTACAGCAGTGAACCACTCGAACCACACTGTCGATAGCGCTTTGGAGGCACGTTTGCGCGCGCGCTTTGGCTGCGACTGCTCAACGTATTCGTGCTGCTGCTCGGTAGTGTTTGCTTTCTTGTCAATAGATTCTGCGTTCGCCCCCAAAACAGCCAGCCTTTCCTCTACGCGTGTTTGGCGGAGCAATAGCTCGTCGAGCTGCTGCGACAGCATTTCGAGAACACGGATCATGTTTTGAGAGGACTCGACCACTGTTTCTTGTTTCTCTTCTGCAGGTGGATTGAATGCAGCTCGGAGGGTGATCGACCATGCCAACAGCTCGGAGGCCTGTATGTTGAGGACACCAAGGGCTTCATGAATGCGACGGACGGACGGGCTATCCAAGCGATGGCGTTCCATCTCGGGGAAGTGAAGGATCAAGGTCGCCATCAACACTTCGAGCACCTGAGGATCCAAGTTCCAAAATACTGTCGGGAAACCAGTGACAGCAGCGAAGAGGAGATCCTGCAGCTTCTCCACGCGCGCTCCGACGACTCCGTCCAGGGCGGTAAGGTCTGGAAGTCGGGCGCCCGCTTGCGGGTTCCACCCGCTCAATTGGCGCGCAACTTGTTGATCTTCGTGTGTTGTGTTCAGCATGTAGGAAAACGCCTTGCTCACGCGAGACATATTCCAGCCCCCGCGTTCAACAACCCAGTTCGGGCTAATGCGACTGTCGGCGTTGGCGTGCATGGCCCCACCTCTTCTGAAGGAGTGCGAGGTAAGTCCCTTCGTGAGTCCACTCTCCTTTGCTGCTGGCAGTCCACTAACCGTGACTAATAGTCTATTGATATAAGCTTGGGCACCAGGGGCCGAGTTGGCTCGACATGGCTGTGGAGTCTTGCATGTAGGCGCTTCCGCAAGCTCGCGGTCTAGCTGCGCAATCAGCCCCAGCTCGCCATCGTCGTCTTGGTCGTCGGACGCGGACAGTGCAGGTACGGCAGCAAATTGCGGGAAGATGCGAGTTCCTGGAGCGGGTTGAAGGGCGAGAACGACAGCTAGCACGTGTAACGGGCACGTGAAGGGGTCGTTAGGATCCTTAATCAGGGAGGTTCCCTGTTGCGAAGCAGTCTTCACACGCTTAAAGCGGAGAAATATCATACCGCCTAGCATATACGCACAGAATTGTCAGCATAATTCATGGGTTAATTAATACAAAAATTTAAAATCCTGCACGATTCGTATCAGGGTATACACCCAGCTGGGCTTTCTCCAATTGCTCAGCCTCAGAACCACGACCGTAGAGGTACCACATCAACGCCACTAGCGCCGCATCCAGGTAGTCGGAGTTGGCGGAAGCGTGCATGTAGAGAGCCGAGATGATAGTCTTTATATCTTTCTTAGTACATGGTGGCGCTGGTTTCGTGACACCTTGCTCCGGTTGCTCCGGCCTCTTTTCACAGTACCGATCTAGAGTTGATAGCATCCTTTGCAGCTTCTTAGCTACACATTGGCTCTGTTGCGGGTACAGATCCGCCAGCCAGTTCTTAACATTGCCAAAATAAGATAACACAGTGTTCTTGGACAGAGCTACTCCTTGTCTTCCAACTTTTGTCACTAAGAACCACCCATACTTATCCAGAATGACAAACAAACTCTTACCTGTGCTGTCCTTAGAAATACGATTATGCACTTCAGTGAGTGTCACCTCCTTCTTCGCAAGGAAGTCTTCGAAGTACTTCACAGCCGTCGCTCTGCTTCTCTGGCTGTTCGTAGGAACTAGTGATGCCACCGACATGCCTGTGTGCGTCGGAACGCAGAATGGAGTCGGAGATGAGCTGGCAGGGGTTGGAAACCCATGAATATTTATTCTATTTGTAGTTCACTTGATATTTGTATGGCATGCTCGATATCAAATCGCGTTTCCAACCAGATATCGTTGGAATGTTCAGATCAGCGGTTGGCAGTCATTCCCTCGATTTAATTGGTCGAAATTTTAAGCAACGGTAGTGTCTATTGGTTGTAAATGCTAAGAATCGCAGACGACACACTTCTATTGGCCGGAAGCACCATACAAACTTTAAGGTATTTTTCAGGGGTTAGAATCGATAGCACCACTCGTTGAGGCCCTGGTTCAAGTGCTGGCACATGTGCTAAGCTCCAATTGCTGAGGCATTTGATTGGCTAACAAAAACCGGTACAATGTACTCTTTTGTTCCCAGAACACCACTTTTCAGAACACCAAAATCGGGTGTTCCATGGCTGGCACATTTGTGCTAGGAATCAATGAGCAAGGACGAGGCGATTTCCTTCTGCCCTGGCCAATCAATGCTTGGCAGGATACGTGTGCTGCGGGAGCGGTGGATTACTGTAAGGCGCCCGAATCTCGCTATTGCGGCGTTGGTCCAGGAGACGACAGGTATCTAGAATAGCGCTTTGAACTAATAATGTCATTGAGGTCATCGCGCACTTGTTCGCACGCTACCATCTCGTCAATAGCATAGGGAAATTATGTGGCATTGCGGCGACGTTGTGCCTTCATCTCGTGCGAAAACAAAATGAACGGGTGGCTAGCACACTAAACACCACAGAACCCACTTGGACAAGCCGTAGCACACGTCCTGAAAATGCTTGGTCCAAACTAGAAACCCTAGCCCGGAAAACACTAAGAACGTGTACTGGCACCTGAGACGTGAGCCAGGGGCGTGACAATTAGATTCCGGAGTTACAACGACCTCCTGCAACTGCGGAAAACTGAGCCGAGTGGCGAATTTGCACATCGCCACGAAGACTCTGTATCGGGTCTGGCAGGCGCTCCAGCCGGTCAAGCCGGAGCACTGCGCTGGCTGTGCTCAGTGCACGAGATTGGCGATGGTGCACAGGTTGTGCTTGCACGCCTTCCTTGTCTGCCGAGGCGGGTGGGTTGCTGGAGCTGGAGCGTGGTTGTCCCGACGATCAGAGATCTCTTGTGCATTAATCGGTTAATCCGCCCAGACGCTGGAGTTCATTCTGCTTTTCACCTCGGACTGCGCAAGTGCCACCCTCCCCACCAAGCTCGGATCACTTCGCAATGGCTTCGACTCCCAGTGGCCAGAATGTGCACGACCTGCAGCGTCTCTCAATCGTGAGCATCACCAAGGAGGGCGCGGCCGACAAGGGCAGCTACGCGGGCATGAAGACGCCCGACGGCACCCCGGAGATGCTCGAGGACGGCGCTCTGCGTCCCGGTGGTATGCCCAACCTGATGAGCCCAGACCACATCGGTCTGGTGTTCCAGTACGCCGCCGTCGGTGTCGTCTACGGCATGCTCCCGGAGACGGTGTACCCGTTCATGCAGCAGTACCTCAACTGTAGCGGTGCTCAGGTCGCCGCCGCCAAGGAACTCGTGATTCTGCCGTGGACTTTCAAGGTGTTCTACGGTATCATCTCCGACTGCTTCCCGATCATGGGCTACCGTCGTCGTCCGTACATGGTCATCGGCTGGGTTATCTGCATTGCGATGCTCCTGCTCATGGCCATCATGCCAATCGGCGACCCGTACTACACCGTTGCGTCCGACCGCGACGTCCTCGCGTCGGACTACACCGCGGAAATTAAGGCTCGCATCAACTACGATGCTCCGGGTGAAGGTGCCAAGTACGTCGTCATCATGTTCCTGGCTGCGTTCGGCTACGTGCTCTCGGACGTTTGCTCCGACAGTATCGTGTGCGAGCTCGCCCAGCGTGAGCCTACTGCGAAGCGTGGCAAGACCCAGTCGGCCATTTACACGGTCCGCACTACGCTGGTGATCCTCGGTGAGCTGCTGGTCGGCTTCTGCTTTAACGGCGAGGATTACGGCGGCGACTTCAACTTCTCGCTGAGCTTCCCGGAGCTCATGATCATCATGGTCGTGCTCACGGCGCCTGCGCTCCCCATTACCTGGTACTTCATCAAGGAGGAGAAGGCCGAGCGCGCTGACTTCCGCAAGTACATCAAGGAGTTGTGGGAGCTGCTGTGCAAGCGCGTGGTGTACCAGGTCATCGCCCACCACTTCTTCGCCGGCATCTTCTCCAGCATCTCGTACACGGCCAGTTCTCCGCTGCAGTCGTACCTGGTCGGCGTTACCCCCATTAACAACACGCTCAACGACGTGCTGGGCCACCTCTGCTTCATGACTGGTATCATGGTCACCTCCAAGTACGGTCTGCACTGGGACTGGCGATGGATGATTGTGGCTACGGGTATTGTCGTGATCGTCGTCGACTCTGCTGTCGCCCTCATTACTGTATGGGATGTTTTCCGCAACCAGTGGTTCTGGCTTGGCCCCCCTATCGCCGTCCAGGTCCCGAGCGGTGTCGCCTGGATCATTGCTCTGTTCGTCACGGTCGAGATCGCTGGTGTCGGTAACGAGGGTGCCGTGTACGGCCTCATGACGACGGTCGGCAACCTGGCCTCGCCGTTCGGCACGACGCTGACGCTGCTCATCAACGGTCCGTTCAACATCACGAACGAGCGTGTGCAGGCGGACGACCACTCGATCCGCACTGACATCACATGGACGATCATCATCTCGTACGTCATGAAGGTCGTCTCGTGGGGGTTCCTGGTGTGGCTGCCGCGCCAGAAGAAGGAGACGCAGGAGCTGGCCCGCAACGGCGGCTCCAGCAAGCTGCTGGGTGGCATCACCATCGGCTACCTGTCGTTCGCGCTCGTGTGGTCGCTGATGGCCAACACCCTCGCCATCTTCGACAGCACCTCGTGCCTCGTCATTGCCGGCGGCAAGGGCTGCTAAGAAAACTTCACTCCACAGAGCCTCGACATCTGTCCCTGTAGCGTTATGGAACGGAAGGACCTTAGAAGAAAAAGCTCCCGATGGTCTAATACAAAAGTACATAAGTTGTTGATTTGTTATCCGCACACAAAAACTTCCATTTCATTTGCCATTTTCAATGACAAGCACCTGGAACTCGGCTGTCTTATCGTAGCACCGACGCGTCCGCCGCCTCAATCGCCCCACAACGCAGGGTAAAGATACTTTGAAGCACTGTACTACCATCAATACGTGATACCAACATGTAACAAAGTGCCACCACCCGTGCTCAAAGGCTGAAGCAACCGTTGAGCACCACAACGGCGACTACAACGGCGACTACGGTATCGAGCTTGTCAGGTGTGTGGCAACACCACGCAGGGCATTCGAGAACCTCCGACACGTTGAAGATCCTCTCCGTCGTGGGTGCACCACCAGTAGAACCCGCTCATCATTCCCCGCAAACTGACAAGCGCCGTTAGCCACGTCAACTCCTCCTCCCTGCTCGAGCTAAAGCAGCAGCCAAGCTTCCCCGCACTCGCTTCAACCCAGCGGCAAACAGGAAGTTGCACATACATTCTCACTTTCGTTAACGTGCGCCACACCACTTCATTCAAACCGGTACATTGTACCACTCCACTCAATGAATCATCCTCCCTTCACTTTGCCGTTTGCTACGCCGAGATTGAGCAGCTACGCTTAAGTTGCCGCCGCCGCCGCCGCCATGGAGCTGGAGGCGCTGCAGCTCGTGGAGTTCGCCTACAACCGGCAGCGCGGAGAGCCGCGCTACGCCCCCTTCCGACATCGCGGCGTGCCGCCCCGCTACCCGGCGTTCGAGCTGCAGCTGCCGGTGCTGCTGCTGCCCTGGGACGACGAGCGCGGCGGCGTCATGTGCTTCGCGCACCCCGTGCACCAGGCACCGCTCACGTCCGAGGCGGCCAATCAGGACGAGGCGGCGCTGCTGGGCGTGTGCCGCTGCGGCGTCGTGCGCTTCGCCAAGTACTTCCAGCGCGGCCGCCTGGGCGCCGCCCCCACGTACGACGTGGCCCTCAAGGTCATGGACAAGACGCAGCTCAAGCTGCAGCACGACGACGTGCTGAACGAGGTGCGCGTCATGGCGCAGCTGCAGCCACCGGGCTTCGCGGGCGTCTACAACTCGCCGCACTTCTCGCAGTGGGAGTGTCTGGCGGACGAGCACAACGAGTACATCGCCATGGACTGGGCGGCCAATGGCAGCCTCATCATGTACGCCAAGCGGCGGCTCACGGACTACAAGCGCTTCGCCGTGGAGCGGCTGGTGAACCGGATGACGTCGCTGCCCGAGCTCGAGCAGGCGGTCAACACGTTCGTGGCCAGGGCCTGGATGCTCGAGGCGCTGCATATCTTCGAAGGCGTGCTCAAGGGACTCGCCTACATGCACGCGCAGAACGTGTGCCATCTGGACGTGGACCCGTGCAACGTGGTGATCGACGCCGAGTCCAACCCGAGAGTCATCGACTTCGGTAGCTCTGAGATCATGACCAACAACGGACGCGCCGGAGCGGACGACCGACTGATCAAGTTCAAGCCGCTCTATGTGGCGGACGAGGTCAGGGCGCATAACCAGCACCCGTCACCAAGACCCGGGTTCTTGGGAGCTCCAGCAGATATGTGGTCAGCTGGCGTGTTGGTACGTGGATGTCAAATTGAGTGGATCTTTGGAGCTGAACGCTGACTGGTTGTGCTGTGTAATTCTGTGCTTTGCAGCTGTACCAGTTGCTGTGTTTTGGATACCCCAAGGGCCACTTGGCGCTCGTGTGTGACACGAACTGGGCCACGAACCTGCTCGCTCACGCGAACCAGCCTGGCTACAACTCGTGTCTCGGCCAGGAAGGCTGCCTCATTTGCTTCCGCCACATCGAGTTCCGGCCCCTAATTTATGAAATCTTCCGCGGCTTGCTGCTCGCGGACCACCCGACCGAGCGGCTGACGGCTGTGGCGACTGCTAACCTGCTTCAGCCGCTGCTCGTCGACTACGACGTCGACTTTAATCGCCGCTCACAAGCTGTACTAAACTCGCTCGGATGATCGACCGAAAGAAACAACACAATATCAGGCCCCGTGAGCTGCTATGGTCAAGCACTATTTTCCCGAGATAACTGGACCATCTCGAGGAAGCTCCAATTGAACTGCCAGTCAAAGAGCTCTACATCCACATTGGGACCAAGCATTTAACCAGATTCCAAAGTACTGGAAATCCGCGGGCGGCTGTTTAGAAGCAGCAACGCGTTGATAGATGACGAAGTGCTTCCATGCACGGAGACCAGGTAGACAGATAGATACTGCATTGTCGAAGATAAATTACCATAAGCAAAGTCTCCAAATTCGATCAAAATTTGTTCTTCATTCTCAAACCAAAGGAAGGAAAAAAGCTCATGTCGATTACCTATCTTTTCATCGGTGAACCGAGTGCGCTAAAGACCCTGTTGGTCCAGTGTATTCGTGAGGTGAAGCAGCAAGAACCGGGTGGTATTACCGCCATGTAGTACGTCGCTGCGCCAGGTCTCACAATGGACTCAAAGTCGCAGAACGAAGCAGCGCAAGCCATCTACAACATGCTGAAGTAATCTGAAGCCCAAAAGCTCATCTTCTTGGTTCGACTGAAGAACGGATCCGTGCTGAGTGAAGATATTGCAACTATTGCAGTTGCCATGGACTCAATCGACCACAAGGACACCCCGTTTTCCGTCATCGTTTACGAGACTGAGAAGCATCAGCGCGCAGACTTGATGCTGAGCGGCGAGGTGTGCAGACGCGTGCGGGCGACACTGTCATTCGCAAGATACGCTACTCCACACGTTCATTTCGCGTCTGAATTGTCGGCACTGGGTGGAAACCGGAGCCTCGTCAGCACCGTGGATTTCATTGAAAAACATTCGCCGATCGCCCAAGTTCCGGTAGCTCGAGTCAAAGCGATCGACGTCGAGAATTTCGAAGACACTCGACTTGCGGGCCAAGAGCAGCGACTGCTTGCCCCGACTGAAGAACTTGTGGAGCTTTATGAACCAGGTCTGTTTTGGACCACATTTGAGGCGTGTGTGCCTGCCGAAGAAGTACACCTTACTCTACAGAAGGCTCTGCGAGATGAAGTCATCGAGTACACGTGCTGCCCCAAATGGGTTGTAAGTATTGGAAGCACGTTGAGGCAAACAGGCACACAGCCGCACTGATCCATATTCCATGCTGCTTGCCATTACAGATCATCGCGTTCACTTTGTTCGAGGATGAGGAAGTATATTTCAGCATTCAGGTGTACCGTTGGGAGATCACGAAAGCGGTTCAAGTGGGGTCCAAGTACAACTATTTGCCGGTGCGCTGTACTCCTCGTACTGTGACTGGGGAAAACTGGGTTTTGACACGGACGCTTTTGCTTTTACCATACGCAGCAAGAGAGTCACTTCAAGTTTCGTGTGCTGATGCACCGAATCCACAAGTACTGCTTCTCGATCGACAAAACAATGGTTGGGGCCCCTGAAAGCCCGGCACATTCAGTTTATAGTCTGCCGTTTAGTGATTAAGGAGACCTAACGTCGTCTGCGAATCTTGTATTGCAGAAAACAACGAGTTGTCGACTGGCAGTTTGGGCAGGAGTATCCGGCGTCGTGCTCGGAGAAGGCAGACAAGCTCGAAATTTTGGTGGCCAATCTGGCACAACCCTCCTGTCCACGCACCATGTTGATGATGATGCTCAAGAACTTGTGCCAGTACGAGGCAAACCGCCGCACACTGCTGAAGCAGTTCAAGGACGAATTCGTAGCAATTTTGCAGTCGATGCTGAACGATCCGGATCAACACATCGTGCGGTTCGCCGTCTACATGATCCAGAACTTCGCAAAGAACCCCGCAGATCTCAAAGCGTGAGTATAGGTTCAGTCCATTTGGGGGCCACTGCCGTCTAACACGTTTGTTTCTCTTGCTGTGCAGGCTGGAGCTTCCCGAGTCGACCGAAACACTGGAGAAATCGTGGTGCATTCGACGAGACCATCGACCCAAAAGGTTGCTTACCTCGCTGGAGAATCCTGAACACTGAAAAAAAAAAAACTAAGCCGCCATTTCAGTTTTACATATAAATCTCAGCATTGATAGACAGCAACGCATTATTATTGAGGGAACAGCTTTCCTGGCCCTCCATTGCTGTCCATCAATGCGTCGATGCGGCATTGAAGGACAGCGAGCTTCAAAACCAAGATGTCATATTATATCATAGTCTCCTCTGATTCGCCGAAAACTCCTATGGCCATCGTGGGGTTGTGGATCGTATGGTCCGACATGACGTACGTACACTGACTGTAGCATTCCCCAAAGTCTCCTCCACACCAGCTCAGCATGGCCATCTCGGACGAGACGTCCCCTCTACTGCTGCCGTCCCCGGAGCCCCTTACATCCAGTCAACGGCGCCGTCACTCGTCGTTCGAGACGGGGTTCCCTCTGGTGGTCGCCGAGGGGATCGATGTCCAGACTGCCAACGAGCTGGAAGTGTCCGAGGCGAAATCCCGGCCTGATGTAGCTCGTGTGTCGCCCTGCCAATGGCTGGGACGCAACTGCGCCGTGCCGTTCACGCTGCTCATGTCGGCGATCGGTGCCGGCACATTGGCGGTGCCTTACACTTTCGTCTTGTTGTCGCCTGTCCAGGCGGTGCTGGTGTTGTGCTGCGTGGGGCTGGCGATGGCCTTCACGGCCGATACACTCGTGGATGTCCACGTGGCGGTGGCGACGGAGAGCGCAGGAAGTTTGCAGGAGAGTCGAGAGACGTACCAGCATCTGGCGTGGAGAGCTGGCGGTAAGCCGCTGGCTCGACTCACGGGGGTGCTGACGGCGTTCGCAGTGTTTGGAGCCTGTGTGGGCTGCGTGCGTGTGGTGAAGGACATGGCGCCGGTGCTGCTGTCAGCGTTGATTACCGGGTTTGAGCAGCGGACGATGGAGGAGCAGCAGCACGCAGTGGTGGTCGCAGTTTGGGTCGTGGTGCTGGTGATAGTGCTGCCTCTGGGCTGTTTGACGAAGATCTCTGCGCTACGCTTCTCGTCGTACTTTGGTGTGGCATTCTCGGTTTATCTCGTCGGAGCTGTGGCGTACCGTGCTGCTGTTGGAGGCTACGAAGATGATGACAGCGTTGCGTTACCAGCGCAGTCACCGGAGACTGAAGCTTCGTTGTTCTGGCGCGTCTCTGAGGTCGTGGGCATTTACAACTTTACCTTCATGCTTCACCTGAACGTGATCCCGTTGTTGGCTCAGCTTGTGACAGCTGAGACTGTGAAAAGACAAGAACAACATGACAAAGATATCGAGGCACTAGGCAGCACACAGGCTCCGGTTGCTGTGCATCTTCTACAAGGTGCTGGACAAACTATGCGTCGTCATTTGGCTTTGGCTGTCGGTGCTTGTGTGCTGCTCTACGCGACGTTCGGCGTTTGTGCTGCGCGGATCTACGGGAGCAAGACGCAGGGGAATATTCTGCTGAACCTGTCGAACGACCCGATCATGGCGGTGCCTCGAGTGGCAGTTTTGCTGACGATTCTGCTTTCGTTCCCTTTGCTGTTCCACCCGCTGCGCTCGCTGGTGCTTGAGATGTACGTGGCCTGCACCTCCCGTGGCAACGATAGTGAAGACGAGGAGGAAACTCAAGACCAGAATGCTCCATCACAAGCTGCCCAAGCTGCGGTAACTGTGCTGCTGCTGGTTGCGCAGATTCTGTGCGCATTGCGGGTGCCTGGGCTTCAAGTGGTGTTCTCTTTTGTGGGGGCGAGTATCCTATTGATGCTTTGCTACCTATTCCCACTGGTGTTTTACGTGCGACTTGCCCCGTGGCGGTCTACTCACAAGGGTTTGACGAGGCTTGCTCTTTTGTCGGCACTAGCCATGATCGCTATCGTATTCTGCGTCGCTGCCACTCTTCAACTCGTGCTGCCCGCTTGATAGATCGGACAGACGTCAACATTTAATCGAATTGAAACATGAAAGATCTTCAATCTACGTTCTTCATTCTAGCAACAAGCCCGTTAGTGATACCTTAGACTATCTTCACTATCCCCACTATCTCCTACACTGTAGTCTAGAAGAAAACAGCTCGACGGTGGCCATTCGAGTCCTGCCTTACTGCTGGAGTCGCGCTTTCCTGCTCGTGTAGCCTGTGACTAGCTAGAGAAATGTCTCCGCCTGCGATCAGCTGAGTAAACGCCAGTGGGTCGTGGTCCATCGCATCGATGAGTGTCGGGAATTTGGTCAACACAAGCTCCGTCAACAATTGCTCGGCTTCGCCCAGACGCTTCTGCACCATGTACTGGTGAAGCTGGCGACTCAGCGTACCGGGAGGCGAGTCCTTGAGCCCGTACGCAGCAGATAGCGCTGGATCCGGATCGGGATCAGGATCGCTCCCGGTGCGAGTGCTGGCACCGCGTGTCTCGCGCATGTACTTCTGCAACTGCGCGGCTTCCAGGAGCTCGTCTGCCGAGTAGATGTAAATCCCTGCCTCGAATCCGTTGACTTCTTGCAGCAGCGATTCCTGCTCTCGCGCTGAGAGAGTATTCGCCAAATCAGCCACAGGCTCTGCTGGCACGCATTGGGGCAGCGCAGAAGCTGAAGTGGACGACAAGCGGTCGCCCTCCTGTTCGTCGTAATCCGTGAACGACAGCGACCGCATCTCAAGCGCACGCTGCGCAGCTCCTGTAAAGTCACTCGGCATACTTTCACGTCTCCCGGAGCTATTGGAGTTTGCTCCACCTCCTTCTGACGGCTCTGGCCGTATGCTATCTTCACTGGGAAGATGGAACGCAAGCTCTGTGGCGTTAAATTGCGCCGACGCGCGTACGTCGTGCAAAGTATTAAACGCGGACGCCGGTGCAGACGAAACCATCGACGGCATCGAAGCCCTCGTGTCGTTCGAGTGGTAACTTCTGCTGCCATCGCTGCTTGGACGAATGCGATCCACAGCACGACTTCGGGGCTGATGCTCCTGCTGGTACGACGATCTTGTAGCGAACGTATTGTTACGAGGCATAGAGGGTCGTCGCGTCAAGACACCATTAACGATACCATAGGCGGACTGAGCCCCAAGGACGTGTATCCAACCCACTAAATCAGCCTCGGTCTCGGCCCCGAAAAAGTATGTACGCTGACCGGCACTAGGAGGGACCACCTTGAAGAAGTGCAAGCACTTATTCCGCGCGTTCACTTCATGGGCTTCGCAGATTTCCACAGTCACACGCCGCAAGTTCACGACACCTAGAGGCGTAGCATCCGACATGCCGTGGTAATACATCATCTTGCCCTCACGAGCCACGAACCATCGCTTCTTCCAGTTCTTGACAAAACCACCCTGCTTGTAGAGCCAGCCTTGCATAGTTGGGGTTGATTCCTCTGGGCGAAAAGAAGCCTGGGTTTGGAGTTGCTTATCGTAGCAGGGCTGGTGCGACGGCACCGTCATTCGACGCTGTTGCGGCGCCGACTGCGGTCGAATCGTCCTCACTTGCTCCACCTCATCGTCACGGATGCTGCTGCTGCTTCCTGACTGCAAAATGGACGACGACGACGCGGACTTCGGGGGGAACGGATTTCCATCCCTATCCAGCATTTCCACGTGACACACCACCTGAAAGTTGTCCGGGTACCGCTGGTTGCCCGTAGCTTCATCCACTTCCACCTTCGGCAGTCGATACAAGTTGCTCTATTGAATAAAAACAAACAAAAGATGAACGTTAGTTTGCCGACTCATCCACCGTTGCAACAGTTAAGCAACACTTACGTAATTGTGGAAGAAGTCGGTGTTGAACGTGAAGTGGAACATCTTGACCATGTGCTTGCCCAAAATGTTGGTGGTGTTAGCATGGAAGCACCTCACCAGCACGTCGCCCTGCACCTCCGCATTCACCTGCACCAAATACCAAAATCAAAATTCCACCCAGCCGTCAGTGAATAACGCCCACTAAATCACCCACATATAAAATAAAACCCACCCACCTCGAAGATAATGGACCCATTCGGGTCCGCCATGTACGTCTCGAACTTGGGTCTTTGCCACGAGCTGTTGTACAGCAAATGGGGCTGTTTGTGCTGCGAAGGCGCCGGCAAAACCTGCAGGAAGGGCGTGCACCCTCCTCTTGGAGGAGCCTCGAAGTCCGGCACCCCATTGAGCACGATGCTGCGCAGGAACATCTTCTTGGCCGGCCGCAGCGGCGGGATCTGCGTGGGCATGCGCCCCAGCCTTCTCAGCACCTTGATGAAGTAATAAATATACAGCGCCTGGCTGGGGAAGCGCACGCCCTGGCCCCTGGCGTTCCAGAAGTCGCGAATGCTCGAGTTGGCGAGCTCGCGCAGCTCGCGCTCCTTGCGCAGCTTGAAGACGCTGCCGTAGTAGCCCGTGAGCAGCAAGTAGCACGAGCACACGACGCCCGTGCGGCCCTTGCCGGCCAGGCAGTGCACCACGATGACGTGCTTGGGGCTCTTGGCCACCCACTCGATCATGTCGTTCATGATGTCCAGCAGCAGCTGCAGCGGCGGCGGGTGGTGGTCCGGGAAGCCGCACTCGCTCACGCGGCCCTCGAACTTGCTGTAGTCGTAGCTGCGCTCGCTCAGGTTGTACACGCGGTAGGCGTTCGGGTGCCGCGAGTTGAGCAGGCTGGCCACCTCGTTGATGTCGTTGCGGTACGTCTTCTCGACGCCCGAGGCCGGGTAGCCCATGGCGATGAGCTTGGGCGTGATGTACGTCAGGTCCAGGTCGAAGCCGTCCTGCATGAAGCGCACGCGCGAGCCGGACACGGCCGCCCGCAGCGCCTTCATGGCTATGGCTCTAGGGGTACTTAGTACTGCTGGTACGACGGGTATATCGCTGGAAGGTGGCGGCGACTCGCCGAATTGAGCAGTGAACCTATGGGCGGGCCGCCAGAACCCCCGCCCCCATACAATTCGGCGAGTGCCAGAAACACTTGAAATTTGTATGGATCCATATGCAATTGCATGCGATTGCTCGCGTGATTTTTGTGCAATTGAGCCGAAATTTGTGCTCGGTTGTGTCACATGGCACGGAATTTGAGCAGGGGGTGGACTTGATTTTGTGTGTGCTTGAGTGCAACGCTGAGCAGGACAATCAAGCAGAGCGCCCATCGAGCGCTTTGCCAAACTCGGTGACGAGATGTACTCTTTAGACGCTGGTTATAGGAAGACCGATGCAGGAAATAAAAATCCACTGTACGTGGTGGACAGCGGGGCGTCATACACGTGTCAACCGTAGACATCAAACGTGCTCAATTGCGCGGTGATACACGTGTAGTACAACAATTGAGATCACCGCTCCGAACACCATGCAAGTGTAGGTTCACGTGTAGGTTCACTTCTTGCATGTACACTTCGACTAACGCAAGCGATCGTCACGCCGGTGGTAAGATTTTCCATGTACTGAGTGCGATGTTAACTATTTACCCAAACGACTGATATAGCCCGCTCATCCATCATACCTTCATCCGATTCGTCAAAAATCGCCGCGCGCCAGCTACCATCATTCCTCTCGCAAAGCTCAATCAGCCATGCCGGTGATGGCGACGTCCTCGTCGGGCAGCGCGGACGCGTCTCTGCGGCGCCACACAGGCCTCCTGCGCGTCTTACCGCACCATCTACACGACGAGCCCCATCATGCCACTCTGAACGCAGCAATCGCGCCGTCTGTAGCCTCTCTACAGCCAGAGAGATGCCACCGACCGTGTTCAACTATGATACAGTCGCTCTGGGACGCAATTCCGCCGTTCACAGCCCCCTTCCAGCGCTTCCCAGCCTCCAGATATGCGTGCATACGTGCCTATGAGTCTCCTATGCGCTCAAGGGCGCTGCAGCGGCAACATTCAGTGGTTGCACTCGACCTGGCAGCCTCGAGACACAAGCAGCAGGTTCTACTCACAAATTTGTCCAAAGCGGCGGTGACGGAGTGGTGGGGATGTCTATTTGCAATGTATTTAGAGGGTTTGAAACAAATTTTGCTGATACGGTGGTGAGAGCAGGCAATTGGAGCATTTGGGGCGTGTAGTGGGCATTCTGGAGAGACAACCGGGGGTGTTCCAGAGACTGCTGCAGATCTACGATGCCGGCAACAGTTGGGTGTTGGTGCAGGAGCTCCGGCCCGAGTGGACAGGGTTGAGAGAGAGCTTCGCTGACCCGGCAGAGTTTTCGGAGGAGAGGCTGCGTCGAGTGGTGTTCCAGGTCGCGGCGATGGTGTACTTCTTGCACAGACACGGGCTGAGCTTGGCGGGCGAGTTGGTGCACTACGACTTGGTGGTTAGTATAATGAGATGAGAGATGCGGGGATAGAAAAGAGGAAAGCGGTTATCGACGGATATGCGCGTACCTGCGATTCGGTGTAGATGGTGAACGAGCAATTGACGCTCTTGCTGCACCTTGACTTGATCTTGGGTGGGTGCCTACTCGTGCCTGCTACGAAGAGGAATCGAGATGCAGATGTGTAGGTATTGCTCGTAGTGTTTCGCTTTGGGTTCGGGCGGAATTGACGATGTTTGTTGCTTGGTGGAGCTTAGTGCGGCGATCGGCATGCTTATATTTCAGATTGCGATGATGCCTCTCTCCGCAAAGAGCGAGGTTGACGTCCGCTATGTGGAAGGAACGATCGAAGAGCAGTTGAGCCACCTGTCGTCTGCGTGCCGCGACTTGCTGCTTGGCTGCCTGAGTAAGTTGTGTTGTGCTCAGTACTTGATATTGACTGTGATAACTTACGCGAAGTTGTATGTGTGTGTCTTTTTATTTAGCTATGAAACTCAGTGTGCAAGATCTTCTGGGTCGCAGATGGCTACGCCAAGTTGACTTCCTCCACACCACTAACAAGCTGGACGGCGCATTGATCTCCCCAGAAGCGCGTCACGCGCTGTTCAATTCATTGCTGTGGAAGTTAGCCCCGCTTTGTATGATGGATTGGCTACGGCGTGCACACGAAGCTCCTAAGGTGAAGCACACAGAGGAGGAGGAAGAGACAGAGAGTTGTCGTCAACGCAGTCGGGTACGAACCATTAGCTATGTTTTTTACTTTATGGGGTCCCCAGTTTCTAACGTCTGTTTGGGCCATACTAGCAGAGACCAACGCGCCGTATTTACTCAAGATCACGGCTGTATGTCCCGAGTGGTGTGCTTCGACGAGGGCCTCTACCGGTTCCTGTACCAGGGGGCCATTCACTTCTTCCTCAAGACGGAATGGACAACAACCAAGAGCAGCGACGACATGTGTACACTTTCTCACCAGAGCACAGCATGCAAGAGGGTATCGACTCGAAGAGTTGGAGAACTTACGATGACTTCGACTACGACTTCCCTAAGTTTTATCCCAGCCCCAAGTCAGTACTGTACGACAACTTCGAAGCTGACGACGATGCTGAATCGGTACGCGAAGAAGACAGTGAAGGAGAATTCATGGCACTCCCAGCGGATGGAAGACGGTCGTCAGTGTCGAGCTTTCATGACATCGATGATGTCCGAACTCTCCAAAGAGACGTCGTGCGCTCGCTTCAACATGGACCTCCACACATACACGACGAAAGCACAAGTGGAACACGCGCTACGGTTGATGATTTATTCAACCTCCGAGAAAGCTCAGCAGCAGCTAGCACGGAAAACGAGCAGGGGCCGGTTGGATATGACAGAAATGCGTCGCACGACGCGGTGCACTTCAGCGCGTTCGGTCCAGCACAAGTGGCGCTGCGTGAATTCTTCCGCATCGACATTTGGGCTTACTTGAAGCAGCAGCGCGAGACCATGCTGGAGGTAGCGCTTGAACGCAACGATTTAGAGAGTGGACACCGCGTTCAACCGCTTCATATCCAAAGAGGTACGCTGGTTACAGTCTCAATTGAACCCAGCGCACGATTTGGCGTCAAGGGCGAGGACTGCAAGTCGTTTCGGTGGCACGGAGGCATCACAAGTGTCTCTTTTGACTTGTTCCGCGTAGCTACACGAACCGGGTATGAAGACGACGAAGAAGTAGACGAGCTCTGTATTGCCAAAATCGTCGCAGGGACCAAGGTTTCATTGCTATACATTCGGCTTCAAGCAATGGCTACTCAGACTTACAGTACTGCTGCGGCAGGAACGACAAGTTCGTCCGACCTGACCCTCTTGGACGCACACATGGAGCATGTCGCCCCAAACGTCCTTGACATTCCAGGGGATGATCTGGAACTCATCCGCCCAATTGGCCACGGCGCGTTCGGCGACGCTGTGCTGGCACGATGGAAGAGCACCTCGCAAGACGTCGTTGTCAAGATGAAGAACCAAGACGTGTACCGCAGCTCGGACGCCTTAGCTGAATTCCGACACGAAGCGGCAGTGATGAATCTGCTGGGTAAGCACCCCCACGTGGTCGAACTGCTAGGCGTAAGCAGCTCCGGATCCAGCGTTGACGAGACTGAGTCTCAAGGTATCTCTCTGGTGACGGAGTATCTCCCCAATGGCAGCGTGGAGGACGTTCTGGGCATCAACGCCAAGGGCGATTCCAGCTCTATAAGCTTGTTTTCTCGAACTGTCATGGCTCGAGACGCCGCCCATGGATTGACCAACATCCACCAGGGGAACTTCTTGCACCGCGACATCGCAGCTCGGAACTGTTTGGTGGACGCCGAGTTCCGCGTGAAAGTGTGCGATTTCGGGCTCTCTCGTCGACTGCGCGGAACTTCTCAAGGACCATTGGATGGCTTCCTGTTCGACGACGATCGCCATGGTTTCGGCCCGCTCAAGTGGATGGCGCCCGAGTCCATTACGCCGCCGCACCTGTTCTCGACGTACTCGGACTCGTACATGTTCGGTGTGCTGCTCTACGAAATCTTCAGCGGCCAGCCTCCGTTCCCGAACTTGTCGTCTCGAGACGCAGCGGCGCTGATCCTGGAAGGCCACCACGTGCCCATCCCGTCGTCAATGCCCAGCGCGCACCAGCAATTGATGGAGAAGTGCTTCGAAGTGCATCCGCTGCGTCGCCCCTCAATGGACCAGATCTACACCACGCTGGATCAGTGGGTAGTGCACGACACCAAGTCGCACGTTGCTAATCAGCTATTCTACCATGTTGGCGCACTCTACCATGTTGCACCAGCGCGGCTTGCGCCATGAGCACTCTACCATGTTACACTGTGAGCTACCTACCATTCTGCCTACCATATTACACTGCGCTCACTCTACCACTTTGCGCTAGGAGCTATCCACCATATTACACTGTAGTTGCCTACCATGTTGCAATGCGAATACTCTACCATGTTACATTGCGGGCTGTACGTTACACCGTGAAAATCTACCATGTTGCAACGTGAGCGCTCCACCATGTTGCAACACAAGCACTCTACCGTGGTGCACTGTGAGCTGCTGCCTACCATATTACACTGCGAGTGCCTACCATGTTATACTGGAGCTACCTACTGTGTTACATTGCACTTAAGGCTGATTCCGCAGTGTAACTAAACTTAACCGGTGACCTTATGGCTGCTGCTCCTGCTCGTCCGCTCAGCAAGCTCCGGCAGCAGTGGTTATCAATCATTACGCATGGTGATACTCGTATATGAGTGCACGTCGCAAGGCTCCGTCGCCCACCGCCCACTCAGGCACCAGCTCTGTGCTCATGCACTTTGGCGCGGGTCTTTTCATAACGAGGCGAGTTTTGTACACGAACTCGGGCTCTTTGTAGCCGTTGTAACCTGCTTGCAGACACAGTGGAGTCAGCTATAAACAAGGAGGCGAGCGTTAATGGCCTTCGGCTACCCGCCCAGGCAAAAAGCCCAATATATATCAAGTGAGGCTCATTCTCGTTGATCAGGGCTGGAGTCTTGGTCAAGGCTAGAGATAACTGACGCTTGATGCCACAGGCCTAACATGGTGTGCAATGTAAACGGTAGCTCGAACTGTAATATGGTAGGCGGATCATAGTATAACATGGTAGGCAACTTGCAGTGTAAGATGCTAGACAGCTCACAGCGCAACACAGTAGAGCACTCATGTTGCAACATGGTAGTGCAACATGGTAGGGAGCTCACATGCATCCTGGTAGGCAACTTGTAGTGTAACTTGGTAGCAACTCACGGTGCAGCATGGTAGGTATACACTTTCGATTTTGCGACAGAAGCCCCAGCAACCCGGCACGCGTTGATCCTGGGATTGGAAGTGCACAGTGCCCCTGATTTGGTATACTTAAACCAAGTCAAAGTGTTCATCACCATGTCCTCTGCGGCTTCGGCCACGGACTCGGACGACCGACGGCCCTCTGGGCAGGTCCCGGCGGCGGACGACGATCCCGGCACATCACCCGTGGACACGGAGGTGAGACCACCGGACGAGATCGTCCACCGCTCGTTCAAACCACATTGATAAACCAATAGAACATTACGCCGGCAGATTTTACTAGTAGTTCGGACCAGCGCGACGTGGCGTCTCATCATTGGTTGAAAATCTATGTCACACACCTTCATGTTCGCTTAAGTACGCCAGAAATTCTACATCCTTCTTCCTCATTCCGGCTCGAGGAAAGATGGTGAAGCTCTTCTGTGCGATCGTTGGTGCGGCGGGCAGTGCGTTTCCTGTGGACATTGACGCGGGTCAGTCGGTGGGAGACTTGAAGGACGCGATCAAGGCGAAGAACCCGGCGACTATCACGTGCGACGCCAAGGACCTGCAGCTCTTCCTGGCGAAGGAGGACGAGGGCCGCGGCCCGTGGCTGACGCATCTTGACGTGCTGGAAGGTGTGAGTGACACTAGTGGCTACAAACATCTACAGTTTACAGACGCGGAGTTACGAGATGTTGGACTGGATGGTGGAGATCTGGGCGAAGTGAGTCGTGCAGAAAAAGCTGCTGGAAAAGGTCACGTCCACGTGCTGGTGGTGGTTCCGGAGCAAGAACACGCACAAACTGAATTGTGGCTTGTCACTGGATCCGTTGGCAACGCGCTGAACACGAAAGGGATTCGCTGCAGGCTGTACCGACTGGCGGGGTCATGCCTTGGATACTACGATCCCAACCTTCGTGCTGGCGAAACCGACAAGGCGCTGTGGTATGATGAGGTGATGTTGCGGATCCATGTTCTTTTCAAAGAAGGTATGCATTTTGGTTATTGTAGAACTGTGCTGGTTGATGTCTCACAGATGTTGTACAGAGAGGGATGCTTTGCTATTTGAAAACGAACTGCAGACCGAAGGTATCAAGCAAACTTCCCCACTCGATGGCCACACGATCTCGACGACTGTGGCCCCAGTTTCTCGGGAGTTAAGCGAACTGCGACGCATCTTTGCCATGCATTATGTTCCAGATGATACCGAGTCCCCTCAAGTCTCAATGACGACTTTCTCGTCCAACACCTCGATCGTTGACGTAGCGACTGACGAATTTAAGTACCAGCGTATCGAGAGTGAAGAGTGGTTCGGGTCGGTGGGGAAGGCACAGAGCTGCCATGTGATGTCCAGAGAGCATTGCCTGAAATATCCAAGCTACAAGAAATATGACAACGACCCAAGCAATCGTCTTGCTCTTTCTGCAGAAATGCACGAGTGGTTTGATGCTCGGTCCTATGCGGTGCCGACGATGAAAATTTCCGTCGAGTCCACATCTGAAGGATTTGTAATCGGCAACAGATACAAGGTACGAGTAGTTTGAGTACGTGCTGAATACTACTTGTTCTAACATTATTTACGATGCCATAGGTCGATTTGGTTGTGCGCGCGTGGAATGCTGGATTCGCAAGACTTCTCTCGCTGCGTTTGAAAGAAGGCTTTGCTGTGTCGGATGATGGCTTGGAGATGCGAACATCCATCTACGTACAGAACAAGAAGGTGTTTTGCGACTGCATGGAGTGGAAGCGCAAAGAGATAGAGAAGAAGTGGAGAGAGCACGAGGATATGGCACCTGCTGTGGACTGACTGCACCACGCGTAAGATCCTATTGACTTCAATTTCAATTTGCTTTTCATCCTAATAAATATAAAGTTACTAATATACAACGATGGCGGACCAACTAGCCGAGCGCCGCCGCTACGCGTTACGTTAATGTTTTCGACCAATCGCAGGTGTTGGCGCCACCATTTTTGGACCATTTCGAACGAAAATGTGGCCGCGCCGGCAGCCGGCGCAGGCAGCTCCTGGTGGGGCTTCAAGCGCTGCAACCTCAGCTCCAGCAGATCGTCCATTGTCCTCTCGAGCACCACCATCTTCTGCGTCTTCAGGCACATCTGCACCTCTTTTTGCGCCTCGTAGGAGCGCCGGGAAGGCCCCAAACCCCACTGTCAAAGCTCAAAAGACCTCTAGTTCAGGCACAGACGACGCTGCGTGGCTGCTACGGGCTCTAGACAAGAAGAAAAAGAAGAAAGTCTAACCTGATGCAAGCAAGAAGGTCACTAAGCCCTCAGAGCCCGAAAAAGCGGCGAAAAAGACGCAGCCGAAGCCGAAAAATGAGCGAAAAGGAGGTCCACTAGGCCTCTCCATGTATGTACAGGAGCGCCAGCAATTGTGGCGCAGTGGAGCAGCTAAGAAGCCTGAAGATGAAGCAGCGGAACGGGCCAAGCAGCAGGAGAGAGAACGTCAAGAGACGGGCTTTGATCGTGTCTTCCAGGAGGTCTTCGGGGAGCAGCAGAAGGACAAGAAAGGAGGCGACGAGGAGGAGCTCAACAGTGTTTTATCCAGTGGAGATACAGGCGCCAATGCGTCGTCTTTAGGGCTGTCGGTGGTTGATGCAGAGACAGATAAAGACAAGGAGGTGACGAAGGTGTCGGGCAAACGTAAGGCTGCTCTGAGTGATGACGAGAAAGAAGAGGAGGCGTGGGGCTTCGCGACGGCTGGGAACAGTGGGTTCACTCTCGATGACTTCGACGCTCCATCTGACAGCAACGACGCGGGTTCCGGTGATGTGGGTGATGCTCGGAAGGCTGCGGAGTTTGAGCGCTGGAAGGCCGAGGACGCCCAAAGTGCGGTGAGCGACAACTTCGTCAAGCTGAACATGCGTAAGAGATTCAAGGGCAGCTCTGGGCGCGCCAAGAAGCGACCGGCGTATCTGCGCGCACGTAATCAGAACCTGCTGGACGAAGCTACAGGTGAGAAATCTTCAGGCCTCGCTCCGGTGGTCAATGCGAACGGTACTCAACAGAGTAAGAAGGAGAAGTCGATGCTGGCTGACGACGGCGTGGACTTCACCGAGGAGTGTCTGGAAGTGCTGGCCAAAGCCGAGAAAGCGCGTGGTCTCTCTAGTCAAGAAAAATCGAAACCGAAGAAGGAGGCCGAGTCATTGACACCGCCGAGGTGTCATCATGCGTTGGTCTGTCAGAGCTTGGAGGTCAAGAAGAAGAACAAGAACCACGGCCGCAAGTTCTTCGCCTGCCCGCTGGGATTCGATGAAGGTCGCTGCGACTTCTTCCTCTGGGAAGACGACCACGTCCCGCTTGCACTGCAGACACTCTTCACGGCTTCTTCTTCCTCTGACGGTGTTGCTGAGTCCGCAGCTGAAGCAGAAGCCATTGAGTGCGTTCCTCTGGATATTGAAGCTACTGAAGAGGAGCAACGTGAGGCGATGCTCACCAATCTGCTTCTGGTGTTTGGGCACGCCGACTTTCGTCCTGGCCAGCAGTGGGCGATCTCAAGGGTGCTGCGTCGTAAGGACACTCTCCTTGTGTTGCCCACGGGTGCAGGCAAGTCGCTGTGCTATCAATTCCCAGCGCTCTTCTTGCCTGGAATTACGCTCGTGATCTCGCCGCTTATCTCGCTGATGAACGACCAGTACGAGAGTCTCCCCGCCCCATTGAAGGCTCGCTCCTTGTGTCTTTCCGGCTCCGGCTCGGATTCAGGCTCGTCCAAGGCGAAGCATGCGGCTTTTGTGCGTGATCTGCTGGCGGACAAACTCTCTCTGATCTTCCTGTCGCCGGAGAAGGCGCTGGATGCTGGAATGCAAGCGCTGCTCGCGTTACCGCGGGTCCGTGCGCGCTTGGCACTAGTGTGTGTCGACGAAGCGCATTGCGTCTCAGAGTGGTCCCACCACTTCCGTCCAAGCTACTTGCGGCTGGCAGAGGTCTTCCGCCACACCCAGTGCGTTTTGTGTGTGACTGCCACAGCCTCGCGACGTGTTGTCCACGATGTATTGCATCAATTGCGCTCACGTCGGCAGCTTCAGAATCAAGGTGGCGAGAGCGAGAGCGACATGGTGCTGCAGATGCCATGGCAAAGGAAGAATCTGGCGCTGGAAGTTCGTTCCGTCCGGTCGAATGATGAGCGACTGCGGCATCTCGTCCACATCCTCCCCGAGTTGAGCAAAGGATCAACACAGTCCTCCAAGGCTGGCGGTGGAGGTGTTATCGTGTACGTTCACCAGCAACGGCAGACGGAGGAACTTGCAGCTCTGCTGCGTGAACAATTGCCCAACGCTTGGCGCACTGCTGGAAAGGTGGTGGCGTTTCATGCTGGCATGGCGCCTGAGGCGAAGGAAAAGGTCCGCACAGGTTTTGCGCGAGGCAGAGTGCGCGTTGTGGTGGCTACTATCGCATTTGGTATGGGCATTGACAAGAAGAATGTGCGGGCTGTTGTGCACTTCCACATGCCGTCGTCTGTCGAGGGATACGTGCAGCAGATTGGACGAGCAGGTCGTGACGGCAAGTCTGCGCGAGCGTTGCTGTATCTGCTGAATGAAGACGCGGTGCACTTCCGCTCGTTACTGTTTTCAACCGCATTACATCGCGACCAGCTTCGGAGGCTTATGGCTCTTGTCTTCCAGAGTCGGGAGAGCTTATCCCCAGCGAGCAAGAAGCATGTAGTGGCTGTGAAGTGCTCGGGAAGAGGTCAGAGAGCTGGCAGTGACCTGACGCTGGAGTCTCTCGAGCGAGATTGGCTGGAGCGCCACCTTGACCTGAAGGCGGCTTCGATCGAGACGTTCCTCACGTTGCTGGCCCTCGAGACGCAGCGTCAGAAGGACGACGAGCTGGGTTTACGCGTGGCACTCCAACCTCTGAGCATGAGTCAATGTACACTGCAGCTGCTGGACACTCAAGCGAAGAAACTGGGACCGCAATCTACAGTAAGTCACTGCTCGGAGCGGTGCAGCGCAAGGAATTGCCTAATGCACGCGTGACACATCGTAAGGACGGGTATCTGAGCTCTTGGGTTATCGACTGCCACCTGCACGAAGTAGCTCAATGGTACGGACGGACGACTGGTGCCAACAGCAATGGAGACCAAGCTGCAGCCCTGTTAGCAGCTTCCGACGCTCAGCAGGCGGGTGAAACCAATGCTGCTGCGGTCGCTGCCGCCACGAATGAGCGTCGGCTGCTACAAGAATTGCGAGCGGCTCAACAGACTGGTCAGATCCAGCGCTTTTCGCTGTCACAGCCCGCATTCCAGCTGCAGTTGAGCTGGAGGGCTGAACTGACCGACGAGATGAAGAGTGAAGTCGTGGACCGATGGACGAAGCTGTTGTATGCGAAGCACGGGCATCTCGAGTCGCGCCAGCTTGCTCGTCTCGCTCATTTGTATGGAGCGCTGTACGCGGCAGCTCTACCGGCGCCTTCTCCGACGTCAACCGCGCGTGATGGCGAAGATGAAGAAGACGAAGAAGATCTGGATGATAAGGCCCATGCTCTCGAGACCAAACCGGTACGTTACTTCGAAGACGACGACGATAAGGATGATGCTGCCGCCGGTGGAGACGACGTCGAAGGTGACGAGGATGAGCGTTTGCTGCAGAAAATGCTGCGGCCGCTGACCGAGTCTCTGATCGAGGCTATCGAGCGAGGTACACGCTCACTCATTCAACTCCGTCTTGGCGGTGGAGGTCCGCTTGAGGGCAGTGATACTGAAGAGAGCACGAGCAACGATGAAGGACGAGTTACGCTGTGGCCAAGGTATTTCACGGATTGACGACGCCGCAGCTTCCAACTCGGCAGTGGCGCGACCACGTCTGCTGGCGACGGTACTCTGACCTGGCATTCGAGCGCATCGTGCAGATTGCACACAAGGTGATCCTGGAGGAGGAGGCTTTGGAATCGACTGTAAAGTCGGCGAGTGTGGGCATGTCGACAACTTAATGGTACTATGGCCTGTTAGATTACTTCTCTTCTACTTCATAGTTTCGCCAAGCTGGGGAACGATGGCGGCCACTTCCTTCGATGGCCTGGAACTCCAGCCGTTCCCAACCGTGGCGCTGTGCGTGGTAATTCACACAAACTCACTTCCTAATTCACTGACTAGCTTACGAGTATTTTGCACGCAGAGTCTTGCAGACGCGACTCAAGCGCAGGTCGGGAAGTGCTGGACTGGAAGTTGCTGGTGTGATCGGTGGCGACTTAGGAGCTGCTCTGCTCTGTGAGTCGCTGGCTCGGGCGCCTTCTGTGTGCTAACTGGGCAGGTGGCGCTCAAGGTTGCATTAGATTTGACTGCGTTGTGGATGCCTGCGATCTCGATGCGTCTCGCCCACGTCTCAGTCGGTGAGTGCCGTGCGCTTTCCAGCATGGCGAAGTGACTGCCGCTGTGGTACAGTTTGCGCTCGTGTGTTTCGCTTTCGAGCATAGCGCTCCATGTCTTCTTGAGCATCTGCATCTCCTCGTCGTCGTCCGAGTCGTCCGCGTAAATCTCCGCGCGCTCTTCCTGGCGGCCGAACTCGCGGTAGAATCGCCGCGTGAAGTCGAAGTTGTTGAAGCGCTGAGTCTCGTCGTCACTGCCGCCTGCGTCCTCCTCGCTGCTGGAGCTGAGGTGATATCTGCTGGTGCAGGACTGATACTTGTGGTCCGTCACCGTCATCGCGAAGGCTGGAGTTGGTACCAACGGGTAGTGGTGGAATCCCGGAGTCAGCGAAGCAGCAGCCGACGTCCTAACTCGCACCGCGGAAGGCATCGCCAGACGCCGACGTCCGACCGCTTCGCCTTCGTGTTCAAGCAGTTCCCGCCGCGAAAACTGCTTGGCTCACGCTCCAAGCGCGTGATTGAGGCGCGATCTCTGGCGCTCAACCGCTTCTTGCAGCATGCTCTGGAGGTCGTCGAAGTCGTTCGCCAGCGCCAACTCATCGCCATTTGCTTTCAACATGATGACCCACATCGAGACGTTCCTCGAGTTTGGAAGCCACCGCGTTGCAGCCCCGCGCGTCGCTCCGTCACGAAGTGTGGACTGCAACAACGTCAAACCTGCTCGACGAGGAGCGATGTCACCCGGCGCAGCTAGGGATACTGGTACAAGTGCTGACACTGGAGCTAGCGCTGGCACTCAAGCTGACGTTGGACCTGGTGTTGAAGCTGCTCTCGATGTTGTCCATGTCCGGGCTGGTGAGGTACGTGGCCATCTCGTCGTCGATGAGTGCGAGGAGCTTCTCGCGCAGCTCGCAGAACTCGGAGAAGCAGCGACGGATGTGCCGGCTCCTCTGCGTCTTGGTGTCTTCAACCCGCTAGATGTAGACCGTGAACGCCTTGAGCGCCAAGGCCGACGTGATGGTCGCTGTCAATGAGCTCATCGAGCCATTCATGGTGGTCCTGCCTGTGTGGAACGAGGCGATTGCAAGAGTGCCGACTGGTGATCGCTTGATCCCCCCGTTTCAGCCCCCAACTAGACGAAGGCGTTGGCGCTGCGGTTTCGTGTGGTCCGTGTCTCGCTCGCCTTTCAGCTCTACCCGAAACCAGTTACGCGCGTTTGCTCGCTTGATTCGCAGTCTCAGAACCTGATGCTTCTTCACACGAGCCTCGGGATGGGGGTCAAATTGTCTGCCGGGTAGCGACGAGGCACGCAGAATGGAAAGTGGTGACCGCGAGTTGAACACTTTCGGCGACGGCAGGTGGATAGATAGACTTCGAGGGCTCAGGTGGGGCCCTCTCACGGGCCGGACGCCGACTGCACTGGAAGGAGCACGCCGGCATCCCTGGAAACAAACCGAGTGGCCCACGGCTCGTATCTCTAGCGCCGCCGCCGCATTTGACAGCACCAAGATGTTAGCTAACTGCGGGCGTCTGTGGATCACCGAGCTCACGGTCGTCGGGGATCAAGATGCAAAGTTTACTGCGCCGCAACAATGGTAAACTTTGAAAGGGCGCCCTCTTGAGCATTGCACAACCGGCGCGCATTTGAGCCTTTCACTCGTGCGCATGATCACAAGTCCAGCGTAACGGCAGCAATTATTGAGCAGAGTGAGCTGTGACCAGTGCTGCTCGCCCGAAGGCAATGTTTTGACATCGAGAGCACATGGTACTCTTCCAAGCAGGAAAAGGTGGTGCGGGTCAGGCCAGGCGTTCGTCGTTAGCGAGGTGGGGCCGAATTGAAGTGCGACTATGATCCAACCACTGTCACTGCGAGCGAGAGGAGCAACTAACGTTAGGACAGGCCCGAGCTTCCGTTGGGTTTTGGCGGTGCAGAGAGCAATTGTTCCTCGACGCGAAAATTGACCCCGGGAGGGATTGAATCTCGCATTGTTCTCGCTAGCCACGCGCGTCTCGGTCCAGTCGTCGTGGTCGATTGCAAGGCTCGCCTCGGTGGAGGTGAAGCTTCGGTGAACGCGCTTCCTTCTGTCGATTCAACAAGGATTTGGCACGAAATCCACGCTCGTGGTTTGATCCACTCCTTCTGCGAGCCCGAGCCCGTCAACTTCAAAAGTGGGCTCCCCCTAATACGAGAGCCAAAAGTCGCACAAAATGGGCTCCCTCATGGTAAGTACGAGATCAAGGAATTGGCTCCCCCCGAGACTCAGCCGGAGGAGGAAGACGACTTTCCGGCGGAAAAGAACGAGTTCAGCAAGTTGATGACGAACGACAGAACTCGCCAGCATGAAGGGTTGGACCCGGCCTTAAACGAAGGGAGGGCGAGTGAGGTGGCATCTGACGGGCCTCCACCGCTTCGAACCGAGGGGGCGCCCCCCGAGACGACCGAGACCTCCGACCGCCGCGAGCAAGTCGCCGAGATGAGCAGTCACCAGCAGGCTGAAACGAGCAGGAAGGCCGAGGTGGAGGAAGAGAGCAAGTAGCCGGCGACAGCGGAGCTGCTGGCTGCAGCGCTTCAGCACTCGCTGCAAACCGCCACCTATCGCAAACCCCGACCCCAGGCATGGCTGGACTTAGTGCAGCAGCTCTTTGAAACTGTTTTTCCTAAGAGCCCAAGCAAGAAGAAGAACCTGTCTGCAGCAGCTCAACGGCTCCCGCGCCTCACCAAACCGGAGATGGAGCGGCTGGTCGACGTTTTCGAAGACATCGTGGTAAACCAGCATCAAGACTGGACTTCATGGTCTCGACTCGTGGTGGCGTCATGTCACACGGTCTACATCTCCAGGCAGTCGTTGGAATATGTTCTTAGCAAGGAGTTGGGAAAGGTCTCGATGCAAACTGCAGAGCTCCAAGCTCCAGTGCTCACCCAATGGGCTCAAAAGGTGGCGGGGCAACAGGAAGGAGGAGGTGAAGTTGGAGTTACAACGAAAGATTTCCTGTTCAACCAAAGTGTGTATTCCGCCGAGGAAACCACCCGGCCCGGCAGGTATGCAAGAAAACGTACGGTAAGCACTCCAAGGGGGCATTCAGGGAAGGAACGGAAGACGAGTGGAGAATTGTTCAAGGATTAGTTGAGGGCACGGTTATCTGCCGTCGATTGCCGCAGTTCTTCAACCGCCTCATGCGAACAGAAGACAAGTTGAGAATTATGGGTACAGTGCGAGCGCAGGTGGAGGGGCTTCTGATTATGGACCTTGATGGTGAGCTGCCAGTCAAGGAAGCATTTCAGAGCACCAAAAGTCTACAGGAGAGTATTTCGATCGCGGCGATGAACCATAGCACTAACAACCAACAACTCTGGGGACTCCTGGCAGCCGTCAAGACGATCAGCTACAACGCAGCGAAGCACGAGATTCATTTCTACTTCTTTACCAGAGAGGCAGCCTGTAGGTTTGACGGGCTGGAGGTACCTTTCCCTCGAACGAAGCACAAACTAGTCAATGCGCATCCTGTGGGAAGACGAACACCTGGGGCAAATGTTTGGGACCTGCAATACGAAGAAGATGGTGCCCTGATCTCGACGGCGTCAGAGTACGTCGTCATTCTACGTAACGTGACGCGGAACATGGATCTCGGCCGTCTACACGCGTTTTTGAAGCACGTTCTCCGTGCGCCGTTTGTCTTCGAGGACCTGGACCGGAGTGGCCCTCAATCGAGTACGTCAACGGCATGGGAAATGAGTTTTGCAATGGATGGCTGCCCACGGGAACTAGAAGGGATCACGCGGATTGTGTGGTTCACCTCTGTCATTGTTGTTCAGCATCCGAGTATGCGAGGTCGACAGCAGTGTCTTCGCTGCGGCCGTCTCGGGCACCCAATGAGAGCGTGCCACATGTCGATGGACGAGCTCCGAGGCCCAGGCTGTCTTGTAGCCACGGAGGACACGGTCGCTAGCTTACGGGCGCAGCCGCCGACATTCACTAGCCTTGAGGAGCTCCGAGCTACGGTGACCGCAGGTTGTCAGTCGGAGGAGCCACAGCTGTCTGGCACCGATCGCGCCAACGGGGCAGATCCACTGCCGGAAAAGGTGGCGACGTCGGACCCAGTACAGCAGCGCCACAGAGGGGCGCGAGGTACCACGGCTGCGGAACCAAAGGAGGGCTGGTTCGATGGTAGGTCAACGAAGAAACCCAGTAGCGGTGTCACGATGAATCACCCACAAGCAAACTTCCCAGTCCAGCAAGGACCTGTGCCGGCTAAGAGTGCTGGCAAGACCCCGAATCCTGACAAGAAGAAAGGGCCCGTGAGTGGCGTGCACCAAAACGCTAAAGCTGGGTCGCGATTCAATCCGCTGACTGTGGAGTCGGCTGACGAGGAGGCGCCCCAAGAAGACGAGAAGAAGCCAGAACAACCGAACAAGCCGAAACCCACAGCCAAAGCAATCCGTAAAGCCCACGCCGAACTACTGGTAGTGGAAGATGCTGTCTTAGCAGAGCTAGCCGCTGCTCTTGCTCCGGTTCCTATGACGCAAGAGCGAGACCACGTACCGCCAGCAACAAGTGCAAAAACCCACCGCGAGGAAGCACTAGAGAAGTCTCTGTCGCGAGCTCTTGTTTCTATGGGCCTCCGACCAGTATCCACTCCGAGATCCGGAAACTGCCAGGTCTACTCGGTGGCCCAAGCGTTAGCGAGCTGCAGCTTCTCCGACACCCCGGATCGCCTTGCTCAAGCGGCCACGGCTTTGAAAAAAGGATGCGCGGCGAGGGCCTTCATCGATTTCCCGCTGAAATACCCACATGCCCAGCGGAAGCAGACGCTAATAAAGCTCGGACGTGGCTACGAGAAAATTACACAACCAGTCTCCGAGGAAGAGTTCCGACGCTACCTCACAGAGAATAGATCCAGCTCGTCGGACCCCGCTGTCTTCCTGCCCGAGTAGTTTTGGGGCAGCAATGACACTCTCGCTACCTATGGAACCATGCTGCAACGAGACATCTTCGTCATCAGCTTTGTGCCTGGCAAAACGATCTGGAGTGCACTTCATTATGAACCGGAAACACGCCATGCCATCAAAAAGGATTTCTCGACTTGCGGAGAGTTTCCACTCCCTGCTGAAGGCTGTGTGAAGAAAGTCATTGAGCTCAAACGGAAAGCGAGGTCAAACGACGACAAAGTGCCGCTTGTTCTTCACTACCATAATCAACACTATAGTGCTTATGTTCACAGTACTCCGGCTCAAGATATCGCAGCTGAAGAGGGAGCCAGCGAGGAGGACGTGGAGATGGCAGGAAGTGACGATGGGGACCTGGAAACTAGGCGGCCAAGTGCGACGGAGACGACGGACCCAGCCACGGAAGCACAAGCGGCTGAAAAGGGTGATCTCCCTCAGGAGACTGAAGCAGGGAGAGGGTGGAATGAGGAGATGAAGACGGAAGAGGACGCAGAGCCGAACGCTGAGTCACAGTACGGGTCCCAGTCACCATGGGACCCAGAAGCTTGGAGCGGCAACCTAGAGGAGGTAGAAGAAAGGCTGAGCGGCCCGACAATTCATCATACGCTCAAGCTAGAGATTGACCAGATTCTCCGAGTTGGCGGCGAGCGCACCCAAGAGTTACTATATTTTCTCGTTGCCACGGTGTCGCAGCTGTCGCTTCACCAGCAAAAACGGCTTCTAGCAGCGGACTTAAGCGATCCAGAGCAGTGCAAGAAATACATGGTCGAATTTCAAATCCCAGAGCCAGTGGTTCGGCAGTGGCGCCAACGTCTCGAGGAGGAGAAGAGCGGAGACACTCCAGTGACGGAGCTTGAGTCACCGGGGCAGGACTAAGCTGATCCAGATTACTACCCCTCGTCGACTCAGAGCTCCGACGCTTTATCTACTTCCCGAGTGACTACACCCCGGCGAATACTCAGGCGTAATTCCTCACCAGCAACCCCTGGTAAGCGGGCGCACGTAACTACTCCGGTTGAGCGTCGTGTGGAAGATGGAATAGTGGTGAATGTTAACAACCGGGCTGTGCCGCTGAAAAAGCGAAATAGTGACGATCCAACCAAGAATCTGCTCACCATGTTCAAAGAAGTTGACAGTCCCAGCCGATTGCCACAGCCGAGTACTTCGGAAGGTATGCCAAGTTGGCCAAATTTTTGGAGTACTTACGCGGGCGAATGGGCACAGCGTTCTGACGTACCATTTCCAGCGGTGGACGCCTCGGTTGAGACCTGGTTAGCGGCAGCCAAGCAAGAACGAGACTCTATCCTTCACCTGCTCCGCACCTTCGGTCACAGCCACGAAATAGTGCAGCTTCTAGCCCCGCAAGTGCTGGACGAGCTAACTTCACCTTGGCGAGACGAATGCTGGCAGACGGCGATTGAAGCAGGACAGCAGGATGAGAAAACAGATCCGACCCGAGTCCGCCGTCTCGCGCAGTGGGGGCTTCGAGCAGAGCGCGCAGTTGATAACAAGCGGAGGAAGGCGATTGTGACCAGTACCGACGAATGGGACGTAGAAAAAGCGGAAAACTATGGGCGGGACGTAGTCATGTGGCTATGTGCTCCATCGCGGACATCTCGCTTAAGCCACTACTTATTGTTTGCGCACATTTACGCAGAGAAGGTGGCCGCAATGATTGGCGAGGACAGCCACCCTGATGACTCAGCCCAGACGAAGCTTCAACGACACTTGACCGCTCTTCGCAAGCTCCCGACCTTCAAAGCTGCATTCCTCACAAATGACAAAGCCATGACCGTAAAATGGGGAACAATAGGACGGTACATGGCCCACGTGGTTGACGATGGAGATGGTTCGCATCAGAATCAGCTGACGACCATGACACCACAGCTCCAGTACTAAAGGCATCGCCATGTCGAAATTGGCGGTGTCAGGGGGGCCTCTGTGAGATGCCTATGGCCGGAGTGCTTTCTCCGACCTGATGACGTTCCACACGGAGACGGAGAGAGACGTGAGGCCTCTCTCGAAAGCGACCGATATTAAGATCATCACTCAGAACGTCCAAGGATTTAGTTCTACCAACCGATGGGAGTGGCTGTCAGCGTGGCGAACCATTCCTCGAGCTCAACGGCCCGCGCTGATTCTTCTTAAGGAGACGCATGTCAGCTCTAAGAAAGAGCAAGCTGAGCTCGAGGAGAGATGGAATCGGATGTGGAGTCTTCCGCCTGGACAGCCTTCGCTGTCATATTGGAGTGTAGCGCCGCAGAAAACGGCAGGGGTGGGCATCTTAGTTTTTCCAGAGTTCCAATCCGCGATTCAACCTTGGAACCAGCAGCTTTGGAACGAGCGGGCAATTGGAGTAACTTTCCAAAATATGCACATTCTGAATGTGTATGCGCCGGCGTCGAACCAAGGGGCTAGAGAATCTTTCTTCATGGGCCTACAACGATGGAAGCCCCGTCATACCGCCAGCCTCATCTTGGCGGGTGATTTTAACTGCGTGGAGTCTCCGGTACTCGATCGACGAGGCGGGACAAGAATCGACAAAACGGAAAGCGCAACTCTTTCCCGGATCGTCCAACAATCGAGACTAGTTGATGCTCGCGTCCAACTTGGGTCGGCCCTGGAAGAGTTGGAGCTAGCACCTCACGAGCATTTTACGTTTTGGCGTGGCGAAGTGGCTAGTCGAATTGACAGATTCTACATCCAGCAGAGCGTGGTTACAGTGGCTACACGGTCAACTTCCACCAGTGCCCTCAGACCATAACGAGGTCACGCTTCATCTGCGCAATCCAGCATCGCATCACGACAAACCCGTCGAGCGACGGGTCAATTACCCCATTCATGGGGCGCACTCGGAACGTCTAATTGAAGAACTGCTACGGGAGCTCAATGGGAAGGCGCCGCAACGGGGTCCTGGTTATCTCAGCTGGGACGCCTGGATCAAGCAATGTCGAAATGCCATAAAGCACATCGCTCGGCGAGAGAAAAAGCGCAGAAGGCGCAAGTCGAATAAGCTGCAGAGGCAGTTGCGTGAGAACGCCACCAGCCGCACGCAACTCCTGACCGCATTGGTCCAAGACGGGCGGGACCGCAGTGCTGCTCGCTTTGGAAGACATCTCGAACGAACTCAGGCGGACATTCGCTGGCTGTTTAAGCGAACGGCAGTCTGGGAACGCGATCAAACTGTTTCGACTATCCAAGCTCCGTCAGGGAAAACCTTTGACGAATCTCTCGCTATACCAGAACGATTTTCACGTGTGTGGGCAACAATAATGGGCCAACGTTATAGCTGTCTAACCCCGCAACAAATGGAAGCAGCTCTGAAGGCGTTTGCTACCGTTCCCCTCGAGAGACGAGTACAACTAGAGGACAATAAGCGGCTTCTGGTTCCTATCACCGAAGACGACCTGCTCGCCGCAGTGGCGGATCTCCAACGGAACAAAGCTGGAGGTGAAGATGGGCTCAACAACGATTTCTACCTAGATCTGGCGGTATCGATGATCCCTCGGCTTGTGACTGTCTGTAACGATCTCCTACAAGGAAGCCCCCCACCAGACTCCTTCCTGAAAGCCGTGGTAGTGCCTCTCCGGAAGAAGGGAGACTCGCCGAACGCCTTAGATTATCGTCCAATCTCGCTCCTTCAAACAAGCTACAAACTGTTCGCAACAGTATTGGCAACGCGGCTTCAAAGATTTCTCGGCCGTCTGATTGGAGAGACTCAACAAGGTTTCGTTCACGGCCGGCAAATGGACCGGTCCGTGGTGATGATGCTAGCTCAACTGGAGAATGCAATTTATGACGCCTTTATCAATGCGTCGGACAGTGCAGGGATCCTACTTCTTCATTTCGCCAAAGCCTATGATACTGTGGACCGCGTCTTTCTCCTGGAAGTGTTACGTCAATTTGGTTTTGCACCGGAATTCGTTGATCTCATGGCTCGACTGCATGAAGGAACGACAGCACAATTTTTCGTGAACGGCCAGTATTCTTAGCCGCTAGAGGTTAAATCGGGCATCAGGCAAGGATGTCCGCTAGCTCCTCTACTTTTCATCTTAGCGGCGGAATTTTTAGCGCTGGCGCTTCAACAGGATGAGCAACTGCGCGGTCTGAAGGTCTCGAAGAGCCCGCGTCATGGGGAGCACAAATTCTCAGCATTTGTAGATGACTCCACGGTGTTCTTAGCGAAGAGCGGCCAGTTACCAAGGATTATGAAAATCGTCGAACACTTTGGTCAAATCTCGGGGCTCAAGGTACAACCAGCCAAGAGTAAGTATATTTTCTTGAATAAAGCGATATTAGCGGAGAACTGGTGCGGAATTCCAGTACTACCTGTGGGAGACACAGTTCGCTATCTCGGGTACGACGTGGGTTTCAGCGATCTCAGCAAAGTCAATTGGGCCAAACGGATTCGCAGCATTCACCGAAGAATGGCAACCGCGGAGCAAGCAGCAACGACAGTGCGCGACAGGGTAGATCTTTTCAACGCAATCGTGCTGCCTGCGGTGCTGTTTACTGCAAAACTGTTTCCTCATACCAAGGAGGTTTTGACGAGCTTAGTCAACATGCAGAAGCAGTTCTTGTGACGGCGGCAACTCAAAGATGATCCCAGTCGACACAAGTTAACACCGAGTCTGATCTTCACACCCAAGCAAGCCGGTGGGCTGGGTCTAATATCAGTGCCCGTGGCGATCCAAGCACAACGGGTGAAAATGTCAATGCTGTGGCTACTGAGTCGGCACGATGTCTACCGAGAGGCATGGCTTGCATGGATGGGTTTTCACGGAGACGAACCAGCAGTGACACCGCGAAAGGACAGTAAAAGCCGTTGTCAATCAACTGGGGGCAGTCGCCGCCACCTCTTTCGGACAGAAGTCTGCGCCGCTCTAGCTCCTACAGAAGCTGAACAGCATGAACGCCAGGAATTATCGGCAGTGTATGTTCCACGACTGGCAGCTGCAGCCGGACAGCTTGCGAGGAGCGCGACCTACCAGCCCCGATCGCTTGGAAAAATCACCGTCGAAGTGGATTTGGGAGGTCTACCGTCAAACCGACTGGAAATACCGGAGCTCACGGCGTTCTGGGGCACATTCGCATGGGCAGATAACCCGTGGATCCCAGATAGTAATAAGCCAGTGTTATCGCGAGCCAAATACGACAGAATCGCGGTAGCCTCGATCGCGAGCCTTGAAATCGTCAGGACTCACAGAACGACCTACACGGTACGAGTACCAACAGCACCGGGATGTCAGGCGGGACACACCATCGCCAAACTGGAGCGATGGTTGATCGCTATTCTGCTCCACCCGCCCCGAATTGAAGTGGGAGAACAACTCGGTCGAGCCCCACAGCTTCAATTACAGAAACCACCGCGCCTCACGCAAAGTTACGTCTGGTCAGTGGAGGCTGGTGGGAGTCTCCAATGCAGGAAAATCTACAATCACGCTGCAGCAACAAGTCAACGGGCTCAATTGGAAAGTCGTATCGCAGCGCAATGCCAAAAAGGACGCGACGAAACTATCCAAGCACTTGGAGGGAGTAGTCTTTCATGCGCACCCCCGGATTCACGGATCCCTTGGCAAGTACCAGCAAGGACCCGAAATCGAAACATTATAACGGATTTGAAGATGCAGCCTAAGAAACAGCTTCGGGTACACGCCAGTCCCGACCTCGATAAGCTGCTCAAGACGTGGGAAGTCCGAGGTGAACGAGATGACTGGATACGATGTCTCCAGAGTCAACTACCGCAACAGCTTTGGACGCATCAAAACACGTTGACAAACTACCAGGTCTGGGTGGCCTATCGAATGGCCTCTCAACAATTAAATTTGCATTACGAAGGCGAGCGTCCGACGGATGGCTGTCTTCTCGCCCAGGACGTCACGGCAGGCAAGGTCACGATCACGCACATTACATGGGGCTGCGAGCGAGTCCAACAGTTTTGGAGTCGTTGTGTGGAGCATTGGCTTGGCCATGAAATATCCAGCAGTCGTCTCGAGGCGTATAAGAGTTACATCTCGTCACGGGTAGCTCCTCCTGTCAGTGACAGAATGCGGCGAGTGCTTTTGGAATGCTATGGTAAATGGAACAAAGACTATGAAGACGCTCTCGGACGGATCTGGTGGAGTCTGTGTAGTATGGGATACGCACTGCTGTGGCAAATTCGAAACCAAGTCGTCCACGAAGGAAAGAAATGGAGAGCTCCACAACAATTGGAACACATGTGGGCCAGCTGTCTGAGGCAAATATCAGCAGTGGCACGCAGTGAACGGAACAAGCCAGCAACCAGGACAAATGGGCTTCGGCTACAGCTCACTCTGGATTGCTATGTAGCCATCACGATTGAGGCTGAACCTCCAGATTCACCTCCAGCCCCAGCGCCGTGGCTCAAGAGGAAGGAGTCAGCGCTGATCAAAAGACTTAGAAAGTTTCAGGAGGCTATTAACTAAGGTTCAATAGACTACCTTCTCTCTCGCAGCATGGTAGGTATCATCTCGCTGTGTGATGTGGTAGAAGCTCACAGTGCAACATGGTAGAATAGCTGATTACGTATGCGGTCAAATCTTGATCGCAGCTCTGGTTCTCTCTGATTGGAGGATATTCGAATTCAAGGTCACTAGCGATAAAGTACGACGAAATCAAGGTCACTAGCGATAAAGTACGACGAAATCTAGGTCAGTAGTGATAAATATCCATCCTGCTGCTTCGCTCGATTTCTCCAACCTGACGATCACCGACCGATCCGCGCCTATCCCCCGCGACTCGAGTTGAGCCTCAGTCCTGAAAAATTCGCCGCGCGCAACAGACAACGAGTCTCCGAGCAGAACCAACAAACAGATCAATTCAATTCAAATGTCGAACTCGCTGCCCCCTTCGGACGTCGAAGCCGCGAGACTTCTCAGTGGCTCGAGACCCTCTGTCTCCTCGTCACCGTCAGTGCCCCGCAACCTGCTGGCATGCATCCCCATGCTCGGTGACCACGATGGTTGGCTTGACGGTCGTGATCGGCGCGGGAGGCGTCGACTTCGGCTCGGACAACAGCGTCACGTCCGCCACATTCCTGACCGCCTCCGACGTCGCTGCCAATGTGTCACACCCGAAATCGCCATGGTACCAGCGCAGCGACAAGTTCGATGAGACCGTGGGAAGGGACCGAGGAGTCGTGACTTGCATGCACGACGGGGTGCTGCCCTTGGGGCTGTCCCTCGTGCGTGAGCTGCGCTGCCTCGGCAACCGTGAGCTCATCCAGGTGTACCATTGCGGCCAGGAGGAGCTGTCCAACGCGTCCAAGACTATGCTGCTTGGAGCGGACGACCGACTGGAGCTGGTGGACGTGTGCTCGGACCTGGTGCAGCGTGGCGTGCTCAAGGCCGAGATGGCCAAGCAGTTCCGGAGCTGGTGGATCAAACCCCTCGCCATGTATCACACGGACGTGCGTCACGTGATGCTGCTGGACGTGGACGACATTTTCGTCAAGAACCCCGCTGTCCTCCGCGACTTGGAAGGCTACACGAGCACGGGCACGACGTTCTTCTACGACCGCGTGGTCAAGAACTGCAGGAATTTCATGAGCGGCATGGAGCGCGGCATGTAATACATGGACAAGCTCATCTCGAGCTTCGACTACAAGCGCTTCAACATTTCGGGAGAAGCCAAACCATCCGCCACCGCGTTGAAGTCGTTCGCGTACAACAACAACACGTGCCATGAGATGGACTCGTCGCTGGTTTTAGTGGACAAGGAGCGTGTGGGTCAGGCTGCGATGGACGTTATGCTCTGGTTCATCACGGAGGAGCGCTTCCGCTACCAGTTCTCGTTCGGTGACAAGGTACGCTGCTTATCTACGGATTCACTTGAGGTTACTACGTGGAGATTGACTCTATTGTGGCTTTGTATTTGTAGGAAACGTTCTGGTTGAGTATAGAGGTGGCTCACGTGCCCTACTTCTTCTCGCCGTGGGGCGTCAGTGTGGTGTCGTCGTCGCCCAACAAGGACATGAAGGAGCACCCGGACACGCTGTGCGGCAGCATCCTCCAGTACATGCCGGTGGACGACAACATCCCCGAGATGCTCTACGTGAACGGCAAGGTGCTCGTGGACCCGTACCCTTCGGGTGTCGACGGTGTGGCCACTGCGCGTCGGCAAAATCTCTACAACACGTTCCCGACGCACATGGTGCCGCGACAGAAGCGAGCTCCGACGAAGCCCTCGCGGCAGCAGTTCACTATCGAGTGCATGGTCGGACTTGGCTCCACTCCACTGCCCGACTCGTTCGCCAGTGCCTTGATGCGCCATCGATTGCACTTCTTGGGCGTCACTACGGGCGTGTTGGGCTAGTTGCACCACTGCGAGACGTATGCACACAACTTTTAAGTAACTAGCCTAATATTTGGATTCATCTGTAGCTGTTTGGACGAGGTTATCATCAGATCCGGCCATCTCGTACAAATATCAAGTGAACAAAGTGGAGAGAGTGTTGCTACTGCTTGTTCGTAGTGTTATGAAAGCGTGAAGAACCGACAAACCACAGCTTGCGAGTTCCTACCTGTCTGTCGCCAGGACGACTTGCACTGCTAGTACTGGAAACTAAGCGTATTGATGCTTGAGATCGACACTTACAGCTCCGACTTGGTGCCCTCCGGGTTCGTGAACGCAGCCTCCGCCTCCTTGCGCGCGTCTTCCAGCAAGTTCTACAGTGAAACACACACACAAAAACAGCGGTGAGGATCTACAATGCGGGAACCTGTCAACAGACCTGACTGATCAGCGTCGTACCCTGCGAGATTCCGGCTCGATAACCTTCTTAACCTTGACCTTCTTCTCGGGAACGCCGGCTGCAGTGTCTGTGGTCTGACTGCCTTTCGCACTCGAAGCTGTCGCCGATTCCTCCTTGTCCGGGACTGCTGCGTCTTTTGCGAGGTCCAGGGCTGCTGAGAATCCTGCCTGGCACGCCTGTTGGCGCTCACTGGGCGGGACGCCCTTCAGTGAGCTGCACGCGTCCAGCCGCTTCGACTTCATTGCTCCGAGGTCCGGTGTCTCCTGGCAGTAGCCCTCGCATCCAGACGTCTTGCCCTGGTTAAAGCCCTGGCCACAGTGGTTGAACAGGTCCGGGCGCGGAAGCACCTCGCGCCACTTCTGGCACGCCTCCTCACGGTAGTGCACGAGCTGCGACTGGCACGCTGACTTGCACGAAGCATTCACGGGGTGCGTCAGCGCAGTGGCGACCACCACCAAGGCCGCAATAAGCGCAGTCCATGATGTCTTCATAGCGAATGCGCTGCGCTGCTACGCTGGTCTGGTCGGGTTGATGAGTGAAAGCGCTATCCTACTGAGCAGGATCGCTCCGTGGATCGCGTCCGTTCGCGACTCAACGACCTTTCGCGGCCGCGATCTAATGTGCGCCACTTCAACGCGACACCTTGAAGCGTCAGAGGCAATCCAACCTAATCAGCTATTCTACCATGTTGGCGCACTCAGAGGCTCTGATTGGTCGATATTTGAATTCAAGGTCACTAGCGATAAAGAACGGTCAGTAGTGATAAATATTCGCTTCAGATTTGACCGGAACGAGACCGCAAAGCGCGTGGTACATTTTCCCAGCCATCCACCCTAGGGTTATAGCTGGGCTGTAGCCACCTCGGGCGAAATAGTACACACACGAGATGTCGGTCGGTTACTCCAAGCTGGAAGGTGCCTCATCATGCTGTAGGTACGCTTCCAATTGTTGGAACGCCGTGTATTTTGAGGGTGTGAAGGATTCCGAGCAGTTAAACAAGGTTCAAGCAGATCGAGCGGCGAAGTCAGACCAACGGAGCGAATCTTGAACTCCATTCACCATCCTTTTACCGAGCATCACGCATGGATTACCACAACCTTCAGTACAAACTAAATTACACTCCGAATTCCACTCAGCACAATAACAAATGTGCGCTGCCATTAACTGGGGAGTGATGCAATGGCCGCATGTTCCAAAGTTACCGTAGTGTATCTTGCGAATCGGTGATCAAGCTTTTGTCCGATGCTCGTCGTGAACGATGCGAGTTTCAATTCATTTGGCTGATCCTCTTCAGCTTTCACAGAAGACGCCGGCGTCATCGGATATAAAACTCGTCAGGAGGAATAACGAGGAAGAAAGTTATACCAAAGATGTCGATAAGGGCCATGAGAATTATACACCGGTACGTCTGCGGCGTTAAAGTAAAAGCAATGAGGTGCTATCGTACAAATTGCTGCTGGTATAGTGCTGTCGAATTCGTCCCAAGGAGCACCTTATAATTAATTAAGGAACTGGATTAATTGAAATTAATCCAGCACGTAACAGTGCTAGCTCGCTCCTTTCATTGTTTTCCTAAAGGAGAACTTGGCGCCTTCTATAATAATAATGCCCTTTGCAACAGCGCGTGACTCGATGCATGATACTTATCGTCTATGGCGTTTGGTCGCGACAGCGACCTGGCACTGAAAAAAAATACCAAGAAGATTTTACCAGAAGTTCAGTGAAACCAGTTTTTCTTCGCGCTCGGATGGAACTTTTTCGCATGAAGGCAGAATATTTCTTAGACATACGGAGAGTTCAATTGTTTACAGACGGCGGTGGAACGGCACCATTACACTAGGGGCGCGTCGTTGGCTGAGCTTACACTTCAAGTAATAGGCGTCGCATCTCGTAGGTTTCGCAGTGTTGAAGCGATCCTAGCACACCTGTGGTCGCACCCAAGTAGAACAACCGTCGACGCAGCAAGTGGCCAGCGAACTCTTGCGGTAGCGGGATTCCACCCAAACCAACGAGGCATTCGCTGTAGAACGCAGGCTTGCCCGTTTTGTTCAGCACTTGGCGTTCCTGACGCGGCGTCATGAGCTTCGGAAACGTGTTGAACATGTTGTTCGAGCGCGCCTTGGTCACCATATCCACGCCCTCTGGGAACGGATCCAGCAACGCCTTGCCATTGACGTACAGCATCTGAGCATCGTCGCTGCTGTCTGGCAGATACTGCAAAATGCTGCCGCATAGCGAGTCCGGGTGTTTCTCAGCGTCCTTGTTGGGCCACGAAGACACCACACTCACGCCCCAAGGCGAGAACGAATACGGTACATGCGCCATCTCAAACGATAGCCAGAATGTTTCCTTAAAACAACAAAAAAGTTAGTTGCTTTCGTAAAAAATCCCAAGTAGTGGAAATAGTTTACCTTGTCACCGAAAGAGTACCGGAACCGGAAGCGCTCTTCCGTGATAAACCACAGCATAATATCCATGACCGTTTGTCCCGCGCGTTCCTTGTCAATCAGCACCAGCGACGAGTCCGTTTCGTGGCACGTTTCCCCCAAATACGCGAACGAATCCTGCACTTGCTCCGACGGGTTTTCGCCTCCCGTCACATTGAAGCGCTCGTAGTCAAACGTGGTGAACAGCTTGGGCAAATACTTTTGGTTGTCGTCGTCACCGTTGACAAACTCGTTACACTTTTCGTGCACTCTGTCGTAGAAGAAGGTCGTGCCGGTCGCGGTGTATCCCTCCAGGCCACGCAGAGTCGCAGGGTCCTTGATGATGATGTCGTCCACGTCCATTAGGATCACGTGACGCACGTCGGTATGGTACACAGCCAGCGGTTTGATCCACCAGCTCCTGAAGTTGCTCGACATGTTCGCGCTGATCACTTGGCGACTAACCAGGTCCGAGCACACGTCCACGAGCTCCAGTCGGTTGTCAATGGTGAACAGAACGTCCCTCGAGCTCTCCGACAGCTCGTCCGGACCACAGTGGTAGATCTGGATGAGCTCTTCATTGCCCAGACACCGCAACTCTCGGATGAGTGACACGCCCATGGCCAGCACTCCGTCGTGCATGCACATGACCACTGCTCGGTCACGGGTGACGTTGAGGTCGAACCGTTCTCCCCGCCGGTAGAACGACGTGTCCGGGTGGGGCGCCCACGACACGACGGCGTCCGCGTGCTGCTTGAAGACGAAGCGGTGGATGGCGCCGTTGCTGCTGGTGTCCACGTAGCCGGTCATGACGGCCGCCATGATCATGCCCAACACGGCGAGCAGCGACAGCAACAGCAGGAACGGCTTGTGGTACGGCGACGCGGGCGACGCAAGCGCGCGCGCGCCCGTCAGCGGCTGCGTCTCGATGCTCTCGAGGTCGGCATCGATTTCGGTGGGGCGCGGCGTCGGCGGAACGCTCGCCATCGGACGGAGACTCGAGCACTGAGGAAGTCCACCGCGTGTTTGGTTTGGTCTGCCTAACACGATTCTCAGCCACAACCATACGCTGGGCCAAAGCCGGGGTTCAAGTACGTCAGCAGGCTGTTGTTCAAGACAGATTGCTGCTGGGGCTCTCGGCTGGCATGTGAAGGTGGTGGCAGCTCATGATTGTGGATGGACTTTAGACTGACTTACGTTATTATCCTGTATGGACGCTTAACTTGTCACTAACTTAGACTTCTAACAGCCTGCGCATCTGGAAGGTATCGCAGAGCTGCAGCGAGCCGAACACTCCGGTCTTGATGCCCAGGTAGTGGAGGCGGCGGCGCAGCAGCATGCCGGCGAAGGTGTCGGGCAGCGGTGTTGCGCCCAATCCGATGAGGCACTCGGTGTACATTTTACCGTGGCCGGTCTTGTTGAGCTCCGTCCGCGGTTGGCGCGGCGTCATGTGGGTCGGGAACGTGTTGAACATGTTGTTCCACTGCGCCTTGGGCACGTAGTCGATGCCCTGCGGGTACGGGTCCAGCAGTGCCTTGCCGTTCACGTACAGCATCTCGGCGTCTCCTGATGCGACGGGCATGTACTGCAGGATACTGCCACAGAGAGAGTCCGGGTGTTTGGCCATGTCCTTGTTAGGCGTCGAAGAGACCACGCTCACGCCCCACGGCGAGAAGGAGTACGGCACGTGAGCCAATTCGTAAGAAAGCCAGAAGGTTTCCTACAGAACGACGAAATATGAGTCTTCCATGCATAAATACACAGAGTGAATGAATAGCGGTCGTACCTTGTCTCCCCAGGAATACCTGAAGCGGAAGCGCTCCTTGGTGATGAACCAGAGCATGATGTCCATCACGGTTTGTCCCGCGCGCTTCTTGTCGATCAGCACAAGTGACGAATCCATCTCGTGGCACGTCTTCCCTCGGTACCCAAACGATTCCAGTACGTGCTCGGACGGCGCAAAGCCCTCCGTGATGTTGAACCTCTCGTAGTCGAAGGTCTCGAACAGCTTCGGCAAGTACTTCCGGTGGTTGTCGTCGGCGTTTACGAACTCCTTGCAATTGGCGAACACGCGGTCGTAGAAGAACGTCGTCCCCGTGTTCTTGTATCCGTCCAGCTCGCGCAGTGCAGCGGGGTCCTTGACGATAATATCGTCGACGTCCGTCAGCATCACATGGCGCACGTCCGTGTGATACACCGCGAGCGGCTTAATCCACCAGTTCTTGAACTTATCCACCGTGGCCTTGTTAATAACTCCGCGCTCCGTCAAGTCCGAGCAGACATCCACGAGCTCCAGTCGGTTGTCCGTAGCGAACAGAATCTCCTTCGACTCGGCGGACAGCTCGTCCTGCCCGCAGTGATACACCTGCACCAGCTCTTCGTTGCCCATGCACCGTAGCTCGCGAATAAGCGACAGCCCCATTGCCAGCACGTCGTTGTGCATGCAGATGACGACGGCGCGATCGCGCAGGACGCTGCGGTCGAACCGTTCGCCGCGCTGGTAGTACGGCGACTGTGGGTGCGGGGTCACGATGTCTCCGTCCTCCGGTGCGCCCCAAGCGGTGGCGTTGCCGCCCGTATTGAGGTTCTTCAGCATACTGTGTGCAGACGTCGTGAAGCTGCTGCTGGCGTCGCTGTAGCTGCCGTCCGCGTTGTCGTCGCTGAGATATCCCGTCGCCAGCGCGACTGCAGCCATGCCGAACACAGCGAGCAGCGGCAGCAGCACCAGCAGCTTGCGTTGCCTGAGAGGAGGCGACGCCACCGCTTTGCTGCCATTGAGCGGCAGGGATGTCTCCACGTCGGCGTCGAGCAGTACGTCGTCTTCGATCGGATCCGCCAGCCTGGACATGCCGTGGGTGGGATATCTATGTCTGTCTGCTGGAAGTGGAAAGGTGAAGTGAGACGCTCTTGACTGACGCTGACTTTTTCGAGCATCATCGGAACTTTTCACTTGTGCCCAGTATGGATTGTGGGAATTGATACAGGTGCCCGCGATTAATCGAACGAAATTTGATATTGATAGCAATGGGGATGCGGAAGTTTATATCCTTGGTTTTGTGATGATGCCAAAGGAGCGATAGGCCGGGAGCAACCGGTAACTTTACCGGTAACTGCAGTCTTTTGCTCGATTGCAACTCGGCAACTCGGGATAGCCATTGCAATTGGCCCGATGCCGTTTGATACACTACAGGCGTCGGCAGCTTGACGTTATTATATTGCGGACCGTGTCCACGGTTGGTGGCTGACTGCAATGCCTCGATGTTTTTCCGGCTCGCATTCCGGTTCTGCATCTTGCAGCATGGGATGAGTTGTGATTTGTGGCTCGCAGCGCATGGCAGCCCGCACGAAATAATGGTCTCGGATCTGTTGCTGTAGAGACGACAGGATTGAAGCTGGCAGTCAACGGATTATAGGATCCGCTGCGGAGATTCGTGTTAAGCTGGAGCTTACAAAAAATGGTTTCTGGAGCAGCCTACAGTATTGTAGCCTTCCTTCTCCAGCACTGAATAGTATTGTATGTATTGTAAATAGATGTGCTGAGTGGCGATTGATGTCATTTAGACTCATGGTTTGTCATCACTTTGTCGTTTGTAAGGGTACATGTACTGTGTAGTATGCCTGTTAAATTTTGTATAACTTCAGCACTTCCTGATGCAAAACGAATTTTAATTGCGCAGTACGATTGCTGCTTGCGGGCCTTGAGGACAGTCGTCCGACTGGCAAGGACCCCATACTGTATTTACATCGTTATTAATTGCATGAAAACCATGCAAGGACTCTAAATCATACCCTCGAACGGGAAACACTGGTCGAGCGCGGAGAGCACGCCCATGCGAATGCCAAAGTAGAACATGCGCCGACGCAGCAGCTGAGGGGCGAACTTCTCCGGTAGCGGCTCGGCACCAAATCCAACGAGGCACTCCATGGCGTAGCCACCTTTCCAGCCGGAGCGCGTGCGTCCGTTGGGCTTGCGTCGCTGGCGCGGAGTAATGTGCGTCGGGTTCGTGTTGAAGAGAACGTTGTGCGTAGCCGTGCCCAGCTTGTCCATCGCGACGGGGAACGGGTTCAGCATGGCCTTGCCGTTCACGTAGAGGAAGTCCGAGGGTTGCCCCTCCACGGGCATGTACTGCACGATGCTACCACAGAGGGTGTCGCTGTGCTTCTCCAAGTCTCCATTGGTGGACGACGAGATGTCTCCGACACCCCACGGCGAGAAGAAGTACTCTTGCTTAGCGAGTTCGAACGCCAGCCAGAAGCTCTCCTTGTCGCCATAGGAGAACGGGTCTCGTTCCAAGCGCTGCATCCTGAATCGCTCCTCGGTGATCAGCCAGAACAGGATCGGCATGGCCTGACCCGAGCGTGACTTGTCAATGGCGACGAGTGACGAGTCCTGCTCGTGCGACGTTACGCCCCGATACGCGTACGACCTCTTGAGGCGGGTGGACGGATTCGAACCGGGCTCGAGCCCGTACTTGGCGTAGTCGAACTCTTTGAGCACGCGCTTGAGGTACGAGGTGCCGTTCACGTCTTGGTTGAAGAACTCGCGGCTGAACAGCACGCGGTCGTAGAAGAACGTCGTGCCCGTCTTGTTGTATCCCTCCGTGGTGCGAAGTACAGCGGGGTCGTGCATGAACACATCGTCGATATCCAGCAACATAACCTCTGTAATATCGGTGTGGTACATGGCTAGCGGCTTGACCCACCAGTTGCGGAAGTTCTCGGCCACCTCTTGCGTCAACACGTTGCGCTTTACGAGGTCGGTACAAACGTCGACTATTTCGAGGCGGTCGTCGGCGCCGAGCAGCAGCGCGCGGTTCTGCTCCGACATTTCCTCCGGGAAGCAGTGGTAGATCTGGACCAGCTCCTTGTTGCCGAGGCAGCGCAGCTCCCGCACGAGCGAGAGGCCCATGACCACTGCATCGTTGTGCATGCACATGATGATGCCCTTGTCCCGCGTGACGGTAGAGTCGAACTTGGCGCCCCGCTGGCTGGACGACGGACTGTGCGTCGCCATCTCCACGGCGAGTTGGTTGTCGTTAGCAACTTGTTGATTGAGTTCTTTTGCAGCGCGGATCTGCTGTGCTGAGGGGGGCATGAAGGCGTACATGACGGTGACCAGCAGCACGAAGGTCACCACGTAGGACCATGTGCGACTGGAACTGCGTCCTCGAGGGGCGTGCGGCCGAGAGAGACGGCCCAATTCCATTTCGTCGACATGGGAGTTGCTGGTGTTGCTGCCGCCGCGACTCACTAATGTACTGGAATCGTGCATGTCCAACGCCGGGAGTTGTGTGCACTTGAGCCGGGAAGAGCAGGAATGACGCGGATGCTTGTCTTATCCCCGAAACGGGTGGGCAGGTTTGTAGGTTTTGTATGGATTTTATTATGGGCGGCTGACAATCTACAATGATGTGAACGCTGTGCAAAAGGCATCATCAACGCATGTGGCTACATAAATGTAGGAAACGACTTTTGAGTTTTCTGGAAAGTAAAGATAAATATCCAGACACGAAATGTTCTGAAAAGTTACAGTTGATAGATACTTTTTCAAAAATGGCATCCATTCTTCAGGAAAACAAGCCTATTCAAGTTGCATCTCGATTGCAGCGGGCTACTAAGTAAGTAAGGAAAGCTACTCCATTCCGTCCACGGGGAAGCAATGGTTTAACGCAGAAAGCACACCCATCCGGATGCCAAAGTAGAAAAATCGACGTCGCAGCAGTTGAGGTAGGAATTTCTCCGGAAGCGGGTCGGCTCCGAAACCAACAAGGCATTCCATGGGGAACCCTCCTTTGTAATCCGTACGTGTAGCGCCATTCGGTCTGCGCTTCTGACGGGGCGTGAGGTGCGTCGGGCTCATGTTGAACAGCACGTTGTAAGAGACCTTGCCGAGCATCTCAACTGGGCCAGGGATCGGATCCAGCAGCGCCTTGCCGTTCACGTACAAGAACTCGGGCGTATCGTCCTCTACCGGCATGTACTGAACGATACTGCCGCATAGAGAGTCGCTGTGCTTGACCATGTCCTGGTTCGTGGAAGACGAAATGTCCCCCACTCCCCACGGCGAGAAGAAATACTCTTGCTTGGCCAGCTCAAACGCCAACCAGAAACTCTCCTTGTCGCCATAGGAGAATTCTCGAATGAAGCGCTGCTCGGTAATGAGGAAGAACAGCACGTTGATAGCTTGGCCAGCCCGAGATTTGTCGATGGCAACGAGGGACGAGTCCTGTTCGTGAGACGTCTGGCGTTTCCATGCGAACGACGTCTCCGGGTTGAGATGCGCCGATGGAGAAGCTCCAGGCGGCAGGCCGAACTTGGCGTAGTCGAAGTCGTTAAGAAGTTGCTGGAGATACTGCGTCCCGTTGTTGACGTTTTGGTTGAAGAACTCGCTGCTGGAAAGCACCCGGTCGTAGAAGAAGTTCGTTCCCGTGCGTTGATAGCCCTCAGTCATGCGGAGCACCGCCGGGTCGCGCATGAAGATATCGTCGATGTCCAGCAGCAGCACCTCCTTGATGTCCGTGTGGTACATGGCCAGTGGTTTGACCCACCAGCTCCGGAACTGTTTCGCCTTGTCCTCGCTCAAGAGGCCGCGCTTTACGAGATCTTGACACACGTCCACGATCTCCAGGTTGTCGTCGGCTTGGAGCAGCATCGTGACCGACTGGTCCGACATTTCCTCGGGGAAGCAGTGGTAGACCTGGATGAGCTCCTGGTTGCCGAGACAGCGCAGCTCCTTCACAAGCGAAAGCCCCATGGGGACTGCTCCGTTGTGCATGCACATGATGATACCCTTGTCTCTCGACAGCGCAGTGGTGGTCTCCACCGGTTTGAACGCCGTGTTTTTGTTCCAGTTTAGCCTGTTGGTCGTGGCGGCCCTGGGTCGTTCGACTCGAATGGAGGAGGAGGATCTGCCAGCAAAGTACATGACGCCCACGAGCAGCAGCAGAGGCACGGCATAGCACCACATCGGACGCCTCACCTTGCTGCGCCGAGTTGGAGTTAACGGGCGCCGAGCCTCGTCGCGGCCATGGCGGCGAAGCCCATCGGACCCACCACGACTCACCAAAGTGCTGCTCCCGTCCATGGGGATTTTCGCGAAGTGACTCTTTGGACAGAAAGATCGCAATGGTTCACGGTTTTTTTTATTTAATACTGCTTTCCACAACAATTTGCACGGCTGAATTGTGCGAGCCGAAACTGAACTATAGTTATAGTTACTAACAGTTCTTTCTTAATAACTCACGGCGTAGACTACGTAGAAGTTCATGCAGACTTCTTACAGACGAGTGAGAGAAGAATTGCACTTCTTGGGCTCGCTGGTTGCTGCAGCAGTGGTCGGTGCTGACGTGGAAGTAATCGTGTCGGCGGCAGACGCAGAGGATGTCATAGAGCTGGACGTTGAACTCGTGGACGCGTCGGTGCTAGTGTAGATGGAGGAGCCACTAGACTGGCTGGTAGTAGTAGTCGAGCCAGTCGAATAGTCGGCGACGGCGCTAGACTGGCTAGCGTCAACCGAAGTCGCCATGCTGCTGCTCGATACAGAGCTGGCCGCTGAGCTCGAAGACAAACGAGTACGTCGATTGCTGAACCGTTGAATCACTGGAGGCAGTCGACGCCGACGAAGCGGTCGAACCACTTGACGCAATCGATGCTTGAGTGACCGTCTCATCCGACCCACTGGGCGGAGCAGCGGTGGCCAGGGATCCCGAAAAATAAATATTCAATTCAATATATGTATGTTTTTGGTGGCAATAATTTATTTTCCGAACATCCGAAAGAAACACCAATATTTATTTTTGCTTGGTGTCCAAACACTTGCTTAAAGTATGTAGATATGTAATACAACTCCCCAATATCAAGTAAAATATTTTATTTTTTGATGTCGACACATTTCAAAAATTACGTATTTCAGCTCTACAGCAAAAATCAGTATATATTGTATTTTCGGGATCCCTGGCGGTGGCCGTGGCCGACCCACTTGATGAGGTAGACGCCTCAGTAGAAGCCACAGTGGGGGCCGCAGTTGAAGCGGACATCTGAGCCGCCGTCGACGAACCGCTCGACGAAGCCGAATTCGAGCTGGTGGCAGTCGAACTCGAACTGGTAGCACCAGACGAAGTCGAGTCGTCGATTGCATCAAGGTCGCCCACACCGAAGTTCAAGCTCGACAGCGTCAGCGTGGCCGCCGCCGCCGCGTCGTACGCCTTACCCACGGTGGCCGCAGCCTTCACGGCAGACTCGTCGTTCTGTCCCGTCAGCTCGGAGTCACTGTTCACCACCGTGTTGACAATGCAGTCGCGGCCCAGAGCCGACTCGCAGTACGACTGCGTGCCGCTCGCCGGCACCATGATGGCGCTGGACGTGTCGTCCAGCAGCACGGGCTCCGTGCAGGTGTCCATGTAGTTGCCCTCCGCCAGCGTGTAGGACTCGTCGATGGGGTTGAAGTTGTGGCCCGAGTTGTTGTAGAAGTAGTTGTTGGCTGCGTGCAGGATAGTGTTGCCACCCACCTTGGGCGAGCGTCCCGACGTCTGGTGGACGTAGTTGTTCACGAGACTCACCTGCGTCTCGGTGCCGTAGAAGAGCATGGTCCAGTAGTGGCGGTTGTCGCACGACGCCGAGTACTCGGTGTATCCGTCAAAGTCGCAGTTGCTGATGGTCATGCTCTTGACGCTAGCCGTGTTGATGGCGATCATCTGGCGGCCGATGCTCGAGAACTTGACGTGGTCGAGCCACACGTTCTCCTGCGCGGTCTCGCCGCCGTCCGCGCCTTGGATGTAGATGGCGTCGCCGCCCCAGACCAGATGCGGGTTGAGATTGGTGTTGTGGATGTTCTGCACGATGACGTTGCTGCCGAGGATCCAGAGGCCCTTGCCGATGATGACACCGGACGTGCCGACGCCGCGGATGGTCTTGTTGCCCTGCACCTGCAGCGGGTTGGGTCCGGCGTTGTCGTAGGTCACCTCGACGGAGATGCCGTCGGTGCAGCTGCCCGTGACGGACATGCCACCGCTCTGCAGGATCACATCCTGGCCCTTGCAGCCGTTGTTCTTGGCGATGCACTCCTGGTTGGACAGCGGGCGACACCCGGTTTCCGTCGTGGTGCCCTCCGAGCCTCGGTAGTCGAACTCCTGCTGCAGGATGATCACGCGCGCCTCGTCGTCCAAGAGGTACGAGGTGAGCTCGTCGATGGTGGTCGGGTAGACGGGGTCGACGTCGCCGCCACCGGTGGCACCCGATGCGAGTCCTGGAGCCGTACCGGTGTTAATGGCGGCGGCCGATCGGACGGCGAGCACGAAGGCGCAGATGAATCCGTAGCAGAAGATCTTCATGGTACGCTTGCAATGCTGGACTTGTGTGTTGTGCCGGACTTGGTCAATTGCAAAGTGGTTGATGTGAATGGCGGTGTTTGTTGCGATGAAGGGATTGATGTTGGTTCGGGTGGACGGTAGACCGTTCGATCTCTATGAGCTCCAGAGGGATGCAACGACCTCTGCAATAGTCGGTCCAAACACCAATTTCCAGTCGATCAATGCAGGACATTCACACAATTGGAAGGCGCTTAAAAACCAGGAGGGATGTTGGATGAATTTGCCCGGATAGCTGGTGAGACGTTGCCACTGCTGTTGCCTTACGATCGTCGACAATATCTCATGGTGATCCGCTAACAAATTGATAGTTCACCTGTAGGAGTGACAGCTCGTACTGTCAATGCGAATCAACTGTTGGGAGCCTTGACTCACTTGTACATTACACACTGGTACGCCAAAGGGTGCCGTGCCCTGCCGATCAACGATCAACTGGGCGCCTCCTCTCAGAGAAGCTCTCTATTACAGCAGAGGGATCGCTTCCTCCTCTACCTCGTGCTTTGCAATCGAGAATAATAACGCACTGAGCGATAAGCTTCATCGCGACTGCAGCAAGATACATGTACAGTCATGTGCGTCAATAAGGGACCTCTGATATGAATAGGAGTGTAAAGGCTATTAAGGCGAACAAGTGAAAAAAGAAAGAACAATGTATTGATTTAGTTAAGAATAAATGACACTGCTTTTACTAATGAGCGTGGAGTGCAACCAGCACTTCTGAATCGTAGAAGCTGACACATTATCCCACGCAGACTCGCACCACTTCATGGCAGTTAGTAAGTCGACTGTATGTCTAGGGATGCCCAACTTCTTGGCTAGCACCGTAGCATAGAAGACGATCATTGCACCGCTGAGGCAAATGCCCTCCGCCTCTGCAAGCATGATGAACTCGACGATGTTTTGATCGATATGTAGCTGGAACGGAGACGGCTTGTTCTTGCGCTGAGCACTTTCGTGAGGCAGGCGCAACAGCGCGATACGCCCCGAGATGATGCGGCCGATGATGGCTTTCCCAGGGGGCCTTTGCAGACCGAACTCGACTTTGGCCCAAAGGGCCAGGTCTTCATACTTGACAGCGGGGGAGCTCTCAGCCTTCTTGATCAGACGCAGCTTCTGCTGCTGGGTGAGGCGAGTTCTAGTCTTGGAGGAGGAGCTCGTGAGGTGGGTGGATGGGTGTTGTGGCAGATTCCGTTGTGCTTGGAGATCGCGCTGAGCGGGTTGGAGGGAAGGAGTTATGTTCGCGCCCGAATTCAAATGGTATTGTGGAAACCGATTAGATTGTCCGAGCGGATTAGCTGATAAAGCAGCGTTCATGAGAGATTTGACTGGTACTAAATCGGGGATCCTTATGATTGTATATGTCATTAGTAAGGGTATAAATCAGTGTAGCGTTAGTAAAATAGGGATTGCCTCATTACCCGCCAGCAATACGCAGAACGACCACTTACCACCACGAGCTGACTGTTTCGCGCTCCTACTAACGAGCAATAGCATCGCGTGCATTAAATACTTCTCTGTGAGCAGTAGACGTGTACTGCTATCTATTTATCAAGCTGTAAAGCCATATATTTGCGCTGTCATTTCTCGTCAGCATTAGCGTTTGTCGGTTTTACCTTAAATCCGCCGACTAATACCGAGTGGGTGTCGGACATTCGGGCTGATTAGCATGCAAATCAGTCGTCCAGAGCTTTGTAAGCACTGAGCAGCTAAATCAGCTTGCCACATGGCGTTGGAGGCACAACAGACTGCTCTGTCAAATCAGAGTGCAAAGCTTAGGCTGTCGATCTAATTAGGAGGTCGGATTTAGCAAATCCGACCCGATTAACCCTTCTAGCCCCAGACCTTATTCTGTATCATACAGAATAAGCATTAGACTTGATTAAAGTATACATCAAAACCTGTCAAAGATTTGCTGTTGGAAGCCCTTTTGCATCTTGCGGTCAAGCGCTGGGTACTTGTGCACAGAACAGCTACGAAAGTGAACAAAACATGCTCAATGTATCCACCATATGCCGAAATGGCGAGCTTCTATTGGTCGTGGCGAGCGTAGAGCACGCTCAAAACCTGCAACATGGTAATACCTTGCAAGGCTGCTAAGGCAGCATACTTCGGCTCCAGCCATCCATCTTCGGCACGTCGCGATAAACGCGGAGGAAGAAATCGCCCTGTTCCTAACTGACGTAGTGAGGAGGAAATGAGCGACTTCTTCCTTGTGCTTGACATTAGCGCATCATTAGATTTCTTTAGCCCACCAAACAAGCTTGTTACGATAGTCTCCCTAACAACACCAGGGAGCTTGCATGCTCAATAGCCCGTAATGACACGCACTACACATGGTTCCTCTTGTATGAAACAGGACAATATATGATATTCATGCCAACGTCTACTTCTTCCTTTACATGCGCACGCTCTTCAATGTTCGCGCCAGCCGTGGGTCATCTTCGCCATTTTGGCAGCATCCGCTTTGCCCTGTAGCCTCCGGCACTGCCGCTCCATTCCTGCCGCTTTCATCGGTAGCCTCCGTCGTAGCCTCTGTCCCTTCTTCTGTAATCTCCGGTGTAACCTCATCACGCGGAGAGCTTCTTCTGTAACATCGGTCGTAGCATCTACGGCTTTTTCTGTAGTCTCCGGTGTAGCCACACCATGAGGAGCGCTTCTTCTGTAGCCTCTTGAGTAGCCACTGTATCAGCTACAATATAGCGGTAGACCCGGCTGTAGACGGCTTCGTAGGAACCGATGAGGTTGTGCGCTGGCTCCGCAATCGATCTGCCAATCGGGCCACACGCGAGAGCTCATAGCGTCGTCTGGGTCGGGTCATCAGGTCTGGTAATCAACATCGCAACGTAGAATCAATATACCACTAGTACAATGTTACAGAGCAAAGTACACGCTCTCACTTACCTGTAGATCACAATGGCGCTCATCATGATCGTCATCGGCCATGGTCCTTGGCCACTTGGGCGCGCTCGACGGGCCCCAACAAAGCTTGCATGCGACGTCTTGAACAGCGCAGTTTCGGAATGAAGGAAAGTACGAGTGGCTGACACGCGGCGGTTCTAGGCTTCCACCCGAATTTTCAAACCTGTTGGTGGTTTATACTCGTCCGTCTATTACCGCGGAATAAACCCCGTTTATCTTCCCATCGCTAATCTAACAGGAAGATGTGCACAATACCGGTTATACAAACATCCATATGCGAAGTTCGAAAGAGAAGACAAGTTTGCTGGATATTATGTCCTGTGACAATGCTTATTCTGTAGGATACAGAATACGGGTTAGAGGGGTTAAGCTTAATCATCTGCTTAACCAACCGATTTATATTCCAATTAGACAATCTAATCGGTTCCCACAATAGCTTCAATCACTGATTGGCTAGATCTGACCTCACTAGCCAATCACGTAGTCGCGCTCGTTGCGAAACCAGCCAATAGCGCCAGGATCCTGTCGAAAGTTACCTTAAATCAATGTTAGCTGTGTTCTTGACTGACAGCTGTATATAATGTATGTAAGGATATTAGTTGCCACACGTCCCTTATTGACGCACATTACTGTAGTATTTTTGCAAAACCACCGCCGGCGATGGAGACCGTGGAGCTTCACTGGAATATAGAGAGGCACTGCAAGAGCATTGGGGTTACGAGTGACGGCACTTCCGTATAACAGCTCACATTAACTTTTAGTCCACATGCCCAACGTACCAGTTTATCGCCGAGCCTTGTTGCGACTTTTGGTGATCGTTAATGATTGACATCCAAACGACAGCTTGCACCTGGTTGCGTTTATCGTGCGTGGAGTCGAGTGACGACGTTTTCTTTGCTGCTGCAGCCCAGGGAAATCTCGGCCCTTTAATTAACGATTTTGGGATCACTCGAGTGTTGGACACCGGCGGCCGTAGATTGCCATGCCCTTTTCAGGACATGTTCGAAGTTTGAAAAACTTTGCTTGTCCGGCGATGAACTTACCGTGACGTCACGCGCGTACTTAGTGTGGACCACAGAACCAGAGAACCCGAGCGAGATGTCAGGCTCCTACTTTGTGTGGACCACGGTCCGGCAGTTGCCGTTTTGCCGTAGCTCGCCATGTTTGAGTACCGGTCCGACCAGTGTTAGATGTGCCGCAGGTGTGCGTAGTTGTTCAGCTTACAAGGCAAAGCATGATACCGTGGTTGCGTGGCGCGCCATTGCGCAAGAGTGCCGAACAGGCAGGTACAGGTCCATCAAAGACAACCTTACGGTGAGCCAATAACAAGTAAGACCGGTGGCTGAAAAAAATAGAAAGTCCAAAACAGCGTTATTAGAACGACACTGATCCTTTTGCGAGAAGCACCGGGCGCATCCGTGTTGTGTTTTGTACGTGTGTGTGTAGATTTCTGGTATTTTCACGCCGAATTAGGGAATTAAAACCAAGTCTAGACCTCACAGACAACAGAACTTCCTGCTGCTAGGCAACAATGGTACAGTGGCTGGAATAGGTAGCGGCGTCTCCGAAGTTGTTACTGTAATAAAAAAACTACCATCCATGCAAGAAAGCGTCAGTGCTGATCAAAGTACCGGGTCATCTACAGCGCATTCCACTATGACTTCGAATACAGATCGCGCAGCTCAAAAGCGCGAACAAAATCGCCTACGCAGCGCGAGGCATCGAGCGATAAAACGGATCACCATGACTGATGATGAGCGAGCAGAGCAACGGGAAAATAATCGCCTACGAAATATTGAATATCGCAAAAGAAAACGTGAACGCACGACGGACGAAGAACGGAGGACGCTGAGGGAGGCGGCGCGCACCCGGTCGCATCGACATCGGGAAAAAATCAACAGGGCGTGCCTTCAGATGGGAATACAGGCGCTTGTATCCTCCCGCCGGTCACGGAACAGGAACAAGATGCAGCATTGGCTCGACTTCGAAAGACTCTTGGCCCAGATGGCCTTGATGAATGCATTTGCATCGTTTGTGATCGAACTGTTCTAATTCGGATCATCACTCTGTGACAGACACAGTCAAGGAATTTCTTGTGAAGAGCTCAAATCGTTTTTCAAGTGATGATACGATATTTGCAAAACTTTTTCCTCCTTTGTTTCCTTTTGGGTGGGGGAAGATCGACCGGTACATGTTTCGCTTCGAGATTGTGTGAAACACTACATTATGCTTAGTAGTCGTCGTTTTGCACAGGATGAAACTTTCGTTTTGATTGCGTTTGACCGTATTGCTATGAAAAATATGTATACACAAACATCTTTCCGGTGCAATCGATTTCCACAGCTTTTTGAGGGCTACGATGATATCGATACGGAATCTCTCGCAAAAGTTTTACTACAAAATGAAAAGCTCCGACAGGGTTGCAGCTCCCGCCGTACCGATAATGATTCACTCATTGGTCGATTTATGAAAACGGTTGATATTGCTTCCTGCGCTGTCTGGGGAAGCAATGCAGAGCGAATGCAGTGTCGAAGGAAGGCATTTGGCTATTAGACGAGATTCGGCCAGCCCGCTTTATTCGTAACTTTGACCCCTAACACTGATAACTCGATCACAATGGCCCAATACGCAGGGGTTACTACAGTTGCAAGCATGTTTGATGTGCTGGAGGCGAAATTGCCAACAAAATCGGAACTACGACAGGCAAGCCTAGGTAACGACTGTGTGTCGACACGCTTGTTTATTCGCATTATAGAAGCGTTCATAAAGCATGCTCTTGGAATTGACCCTAAAACAAAGCAGGCAATGCCATTCCGCGGACTGTTTGGAAAGGTTCAGGCATATTTTGGAATGGTTGAGACGCAAGGGCGCGGAACGCTACACATCCATTTTCTTATTTGGCTTTCCAACTGTCCCACCAATTCTGTCCAAGTGGATAAGCTGATGCGCAGCCCAGAAGGAGACAGGTTCAGGGAATCGGTCAGAGCTTACGCCGAAAGTATCGTCTCGAACACAATTCCCCTTAATATTGAGACTGGAAGCTGTCACAACTGTGGAGCAAGTTACTCGAATCTTGTTGGGTTAGACCTTGACGCTCGAGCGAGGCTTGATCCGTGTGCGGGACTGTTCAGTGCTAAAGCTGGCAAGCGCGTGTTAGAACCTTTGCTAGTGCAATGTGGCGAATGTAACACCAAATTTAGTTCCCAGCATGTCTTACGGCAAGTGCTCCTAGAAAACCGGCAAGTGATACCGGCATGGGAGTCCCCTCTCAGTCAAACGGGTACTCTGGAGCAAGCACAAGTGGAGTTGAGGTGTCGAAATGATCTCAGCGAGGCTATTCATACTGTTGATGAACGAGAATGATTGCATCATTTCCTATGTCCCGACAGTATATTGGAGTCTTCTAGCATGACGATAAAGGAGATGACACATTTCTTACGTTCTATTAATTCGGATAGAATGCCTTACTGTAAAGCTGATCAGGACGTATTTCAAAACGATAGTATAACACGTCGGATTGAAATGACACCGCCATCTCCCCTCGACAGCCGGGTGTCACCAACCTCGCAGGACTACATGGTATCGGTGCTGGTGGTATTGCTCAATCAGCATTGGTGGGGTCATACTGGTAGTTGTTTCAAGACATCCAGGGCTACATCAAGTGATTCTGAGTGTCGATATTTGTATCCTCGAGAGCGAGTCGAAGAAACATCATTTGCCGCATCCGGTGTGCAGCTTTCGAGAAAAGTTGCGCAGGAATATATTAACGGTTTCAACTATGCACTCATGGCAACATTCAAATGCAACCATGATATCCAGATATTACTCGGAGGAACAGAGGCTGTCGATCGCATTTACTATGCATGCAAATACGTAACAAAACAGCAACGACGGCTGGATTCAATCATCCCAATCGCGATAGCGGCTTTGAAAAGACGCCAAGAAAGAGAGTTAACAAGTGTGAATGAGCAAGGCAAAGACGGAATCGCACGCAGCCGAAAGCGAGTTACATCAATGGTGTACAACACTACCAATAGACAAGAGGTGGCAGGTCCTCTAGCAGCCTTGTACTTATACAGGGAGTCGTGCTGTTACGCCAGTGCTAATTGCTCGAACGTACCGCTAGCTGATATGATCCGGCAACTCTGTTCTGAGGGAGACTACCAGTGCCAAATTGTAGTAGAACCAAATGGATGTGGAAGAGCAAATACCAGTGCAGCGGCCGTGAGTGCTCTAGATGACTACATTTTCCGGTCGGGGGTACTCGAAGACGTTTGCGTTTATGAGTTCGCTCAGAAGTACTATCGCAAACGGTCGGATACGCCTCACCTGTCTCGCTATCCGTTTAAAAATGGACATCCACTCCTTCGTACGCACACAGTAGCTGTTCGAAAAATGGAGTCAGTCCCCGTCATTCTCGGCTATCAAATTCTCAGTATCACAACCGGAGTATCCGCCGCTGATATACTGAAACGTGCTATTGGATCTTTGGTATTATTTAAGCCATTTCGAACAGTGCGAGATCTCACTGGATATGAATCCCCAAACGCTGACAATTGGGGATTTGTATATAGTACCTGGGAGCCGTCACGTAATGCGTTTGTGACCGAAATTATGGGAAACATCGATGATTTTACCTTGGGCCGTAGAATAGCGACAACGACACCACTTTGGGTATCCCAACGATGCCGAGGAAACCGGCTCATCAACATCAAGCGATGATTCTGAAGACGGATGGCAAGTAATGGACGATACTGACAGTTACGACGACATTGAAACCAGCTCAAACCCTGACGTACTGTCTGATACCCAGTACTTAGAAGAGAGTGCAAGGGAGAGCAGCGCTATTCTCGATTCTAGTGACTTGAACCCTTTGCTTTGCCCAACCTGCTCAGTTGGCACTGCCGCTACCGACCGAATAATTACTACATTTTCTGAATGCGGAATGTTAGAACCAATAGCCGCCCATACTGCAACTGTGGCTGCACATCAAGAGTACCACGCTGATTTCCCTGCATTGGCATCTATGAAAAAGTGGGTGCGTGATACTAGTACCGATAACTGTATCACAGAGGTTGTCCAAATCTCTGAAAGTATATCCCGCGACACAGAGGTAGTTGACTTGCTAGAATCAGCGCTGGACCCGTCAACAATGATATGGGACCCGGAACAGCGCTCCCCAGAGACACAGTTGAATTTTGCGACGATTTCTGAGGTATCCCGCTCATTTACGCTGAATAAATTGCAACATGCTGCATTTCGAAAAATGGGATCTGCTCTTTTATATCGTTGGAAGAGCCGTGAGGAGACCGAAGATGCCAATAGGTGCATTGAGGACAAGCTTCGTAAAGGACAGCTTATGTTTTATCTTGGTGGAGAAGGGGGTACTGGAAAGTCACGAGTAATAGGCGCTATCGAGAAACTGTGTATAAGTTGGAAACGTAAAGAGAGTCTGCTTAAAACCGCCTTGACAGGCAAAGACGCAACCCTTATATCTGGACCGAAGCGATGTCGGACGGTCGAATGGAGATAGAGAGCGAAACGGTTGTTGAATCACTGATCGCGAGGCGAGGCGAGGGTTCACCAACAGTGCCATGGCGGTCTCGCAAAGTCAAGTTGTTGAATAAGAAGCCGTGGCTTTCTCGAACATGTCGGTTCAGTCCCTGCTGGCTCGTCACCACATGCTGACAACCCCAGACATAGCAGTGAGAGTTGAACTCGTCGCGACGAGGGCATCGTCGTACAGCGGAACCAACTGCGCGCGCTGCCATGGATTACCCGCTGGTAGCACACTCATGAACGCGTGTACACATGGTTGCACGCCGCTTGAGAGTGGATAAGTCGCCTCGAAGGAACAGCATGTCACCCATTTGCAATTTGATCTCTGTTTTCTTGGACTGGAAAGCGACTTGGTGGTTCCACCCAAACCCGACAAAACGTGTGTCGTCCGTTGTTGCGATGATGAGGCAGCCCGGGACTGAAGAGACATCCATCGGATGGTCGGCTGAAGCAAAGTTGCGACGGATCGGTTGATTCGGAGTCCCGCCGCGCGTCTTCACGAAGTACCAGGTTACCACAGCGTTCGGAAAGAACGTCCGATAGTAGCGCTGTAGCATCGTGGACAGGACCGTCGCCAAGACGGGTGGTATTTCTGCGTACAGCCGGCCCACCGCTGGACTGACTGTGATTGCCCGTGTTGGAAGTCGTTCCGCATCTGCCCATGGTAGTGGCGTTCGGCGAGCGATCACTCGAAGCGCATTGACCGCTTCAATGCTCACGGCTCTGTGAAGGACGAGAAACCCTTGGCTCTCCAGCTTGTGAAGCGGGAGCATCACCGGCGCGATGGGAATCTGTGGAATGTGTGGTGCGATTGATGATCAGTCGGAAAGTGTTAGAATGGACTCAATAGAGTACGAACGTAAGCGTAATATTATCTAGGTACTACATTATAGATTTATTACATGACACGTCTATGTGAAACCGAGTACACAAGCTGGTATGCCCTACATAAACGCTATCATACCAACGGAATTGTCGGTTACCTACACCCATAAAAGAATGTGGATGTATACTCAAACAGATACATAGCTAGATTGATGGACATATAATCTAGAATAGCCCAACGTTCATTGCAGCCATTTCCTTCGTGTATGTTACCGCTTGGATCCATATCCATATTCGCCAGTAGCCTTTGAGCGTCACGGCACAATATTTTAGAAATGACACACCGTTCCAAGGATTGCTACCATAGTTGTACCGAAATTGTGACTGTCGACCGCCTCAACGCATTTGTTAGCGGATAAGTGTACGGTCTGTCGTTACATGCTTATAGAAAATGTACGAGTACTAACACCGCCGCCAGTGCCGTCATAACAATACGACCATCAGTTTGTTTTTGTGGGGGGAGGATTGTATCATTATCGGTTCGGCAAGATGGCAGGAATGTCCAAAAGAGAACGAGAGAGGGCAACAAGCTTTGAAGCACAGTCAGCGTCAAAAAAGCAGTGCACCAATGGCATGGAAGATATGCGTCACCTTAGCACGTTCCTATATTGTTTAACTTTACTAACTTTTCGTGTGATGGGCTTGAAGAGAACAACAAGGCGCCAAAACGTACACAAACAGCTTGCGAAAAAATACGCCAGCTAATGAAGGACGGTGATCGCACCAACAATAAACCCGTTCTGGCGAGCGTGGAAGGTATACTACTCCCTAATGTAGGTATGAATTTCCTTCACCGCTTACCCGTTGTTGTTGTAATGATAGCTGTCAAAGACGCCATGCGTGAGAACCCCATGGCCAAGACGCTCAACGCTACCATTCGTTTACGTTTGGTATGGATTTCCCGTCACCTGTACAACGCAACACACCTTTTGCGGCTTCATTTGGTAGACGCTGATGCCCCCGAGACGGTTGCCGAGCTCCATAAGGTAAGCGAGGTCTTGGTCAAAGTAAGAAAAGGTGTTAACTTTGATTTGTGTGGTGCAGACCTTCAAAGCGAATTTCGATGAAAAGCCGCAATATGTGAACTCGGTCTTGCTCACGGCAACAGTGTTCAACGCTGAGCGTATTTCGGACGACGCCCTACCGAATATGGCACTGTCATCCAAATCAAGCATTGCACGCGTCCGGAACTCTACCTGGACCAGGAGGCCCAGTTGGTGACAAGGCTGGCCAATATCGTAGTCGAGAATTGAGTGTTAAAGGTGTTGCCATGACTACAATGAGTGAACGCTACATTTTTCAGTGCATGTACCCCTCCACCAATATATACTTAACAAGTGATGTCCATGCTGCATTCAGTAGTTTCCTGTCACGATTACTTGGTTTGAATTTGCGAAGGCACACATGATTATGCGTCAGATCGCACGTTAAATTTGTAGGTGGATTTAGCGTTCGTACTGACACAATCCATGTAATGCCTGTTGAATGTTATGGAAAAAAGTATTGACTGGACTAAAGGCTACAAATCGAGCGTATAAAAACGAAAATTATCGTTCCTTACAGCGACATGAGCCTATACCGCGCTCGGCTTGATCAGTGCCGCAACGAGCGCCATTAGTTCTTGTTCTCGCTTCCGCGCTGCCTCACGATTCGCTTGCTCACGTTGCAGCCGCTCTGCCTCTCGTTTTTCAGCTTCCGGCTGGGCCTCCACAGCCAGCTGAAGTATCTGATGATACAGATGGGTAAATGCAGGCATGTTCCCACTGCCATCCGTCGCTGGGTAACTTGTAGAAGCATGACCACCTGAGGTACCTGAGTTGGGCTGACCACCCGACGGTATCTGAGAAGCATTAACAGATTCAGGTCCCGTACCTTCGTACCCCCTTGTCGTAAGAACACGACCAGCTTCGCCTTCGCGTCGGTTGGTTCCCTCCGACACCGCGATGCACCGTTCTTGAATACGGGTCTTGAGCGTCCTAGCCACAGCCCGGAGTGTCGTGTTAGATGTTGTATTGGAAGGCGATGCCAGACTGGTAAACTTGCGGCGAAGACTGATGCCAGAGCGCTCGCCCCAATTCGCCTCTACGCATATTGTAGTGCTCTGACACAGAAGTCCATTCTGGCGCGTTGGTTGGGAGTCGATCTTGTAGAATAGCCAAGAGCAAGTCCAGTTCTTGCTTGGTGTAGTTGCGGTGTCCGCAGAGCCTTGCCATCTATTGAACAACACAACAGCAAAGTTTCTGTCAGGTCAGAATCGAGGGTCGCTCATCCATCAGCAACACGATGCCCACCTCTCTCCTAGCGCCCCAAATGAGAAATGACAGAAAGCTATCAAAGACCAGAACAGCCACAAAGAAGATGACCCAGCCTTTTTTTAGAACTTATAAATAGTTAGATTATGTATCATTCACACGCTTTAAGAAGAGTTAACCCCGTCTTAATCGGAACTTGATTTTTTTTTAAGATAAACCATAACATCTAGCAATAAAAATTGTGTTACAGAGCACCATGCACGTTGCACCTAATCTGCACCTGCTTCAATCGATTCACGGTGAAGGTGAGCATGACAGCAGTGCTCGAATCCACATCGACAAACAAACCACAGCTTTTTACCGTAAGACACGGTCACCTCTTGTCCAGTTTGAATCTCACGCAATGTTATTGCCACCACCGTTGAAAGGCGGCCATAGCCGACTTGAAACAAACCAGCAACAGCATCGCACGAGTGATTTGCCCAGGCAACGAGGCCTCTTCGCATTCCACCATTTATTTGAAGCCGCTTCCCGTGTTTAGATCTTGTTTTGAAGTCAAGGCGAAATCCGTCGTTACCAACATTTTTCTTCGGCATGTACTCCAGTGTACCGAAATACTCCCCCAGTATTGTCCCCCTTGGAATCGGTTTGGACGCTACTAACCCATACTCACCCGAAGAGCGAAAACGCACCAGCTCGGTTGCAGTACTTTCTTGTAGTACATTATGACAATGCTGGGGATCCGCACAAAATTTGCAAGTTTTTCGGGTACAAATTATGTTGTGTAGAGTGTTCGTGCACGAACCAATTTCACACGAATCAGTGCAGTCACATCGCCCAAGTCCGTACGTATACTCCAGTTGAATGCCTTCCGGGTTGTGACATTCGTGAAGTTGTTGGATGTGGGCTGGCCAAGGTACCATCTCGTACCACGCCACATCGTATCCCCGGGTCTCTCCACATCTTCCATCAGAAAGCCGAGAAATTGGACTAGTGATCGTGGTTGCTGAGCCGCCTAAATTATCACGCATGAGCTCATCTTCATTTTGTGCTGCGTTTGCTGCAGTTCCGTGACACGAACCAGCATGGGCGAAACCGTTGTCTTCGCTTCCAGTCTTAATAAATTTACCGGGAGCAATCGGTGTGAAGCATGATATAGGCCGTACTTGCATATTTGCCTTGTGATATACGGTACTGCTGTTTCGGACTGGGGCTGCTTTTGCCTGATACTGAGGCTTTCGACTTCGGCTCTGGTAGTAGGGGTTCTTCCGTTGATCCTTGCGCTTAGATATCTTTACACGTTGCTGGTGGCTCGGCACAAGCAGTTCTTCTGCAGTAAGTCCAGCCTGCATATCATTATACAGCCATGAAACAATAATTATTTATGTTGTGATGACAGATGTGGATGGAGCCATGCAAGCACATGCGGTTACCATATCGTCTCCGACGGACTTTTGGCTCGCCAATAGTCTCCTATGCCCGTCTACCTCGCGTACAACATGCACTTCAGTACGGCGAAGCAGCTTCAGTTAGAGATATGGTATCTCCTTACCGCGGCACTCTCAAAAGCAGTAGTGTGGGAAGCCAAGTTTTTTAAACTGAGCCGTTTCGAGCCTTCTAAATTTTTCAGCCATCGATTTCGCTTTTCATTGGTCCTGGTGAAATCGTTGCGTACTGACATACTTCAACCTACGGTAGTTACCTTGCACAATAGCTCGCCACTGAGTAGCTTTTGACAATGACGCACCTTGTAAAGTAACATGCAACTAGTAGTCACAGTGACAGGCTTCGTACTAGATCTCCGAGCAAGCAGGCACTTACACCTAGAGCAAGCCTTCTACATACTGTCACAGATTATGACGCGACAACGACAAACAAAACGAAATGCCCGAACTATGATCGTATACATCAGTGTCTCCCATAAGTTCGAATGGACCGAGCCGTCCGTGCACTTTGATTGTTTACAAAGTACGATAGTGATCGCTTGGGTATGGTATCGACACCAATTAGACTCTGGGTTACATATTATATAAAAAAAAATCACAAATCGATTACCGAAACATTTAAAAACAAAATGTTCCCATGTTAGACTCTGAGTTACATCTTATACAAAAATGTTCCTCGAACAACTCTGAGTTACATATTATCGAAAAATGTTCCTCGAACAGAATACCGAAACATTTAAAATGCTACTGCAGCGAAAGGTGTTGCGGCGAAATTTCTAAGATTATCTCGCTTAACTTCAACACGCCGTTAGCCAGTGAGCATAGGTCCTGTGGCATCTCATTCTGTAATCTGACCGAAGCGAGGCTAATTCTGATGGCGTCGTCAGGTTCACCAAAGGAATCGATAGCATCAAGGTTGGGGTCGGCGGGGGAGCCAGAGAAGGAGGCCACGCAAGTAGAGCTGGACCTGGCCGTTCAAGCCGTGGCGGGTACTTGGTCCAACCCAACGCCCCAACAGCATCGTCTGAACAAGAAGGGCTGTGTTCAACTCCATTTTGCCGTTCCGGAGGAGCTCTGCGACCGCCTCCGGAAAGCGGCGCTGGTTATCCCAGCAAAGGAATGGCAGCATTTGTTTGGCAAGAACGGTATGGATAAGTATCGCTTCTACCCGGATGTGCCAGTGGAGCTAGCTCAAGAATTGATGACGATCGTTGATCAAGGTTACTGGACTTTTTTCCGGACTCCGAACCTCGCAAGATGATTTTCATCAAGTCTCTTCCTGGTGGCGACGAGCAGCCGGCACATCGCGACTACTCTGCCATTCCGGCAAATGAAGACTTGTATGATTATACCCGCCTTCCAGGCTCCGTGATTGTAGCTATCGATGATGGGAGCTTTATCTATGGCTATGGCTGGAACCGTCAACTGGCTATGGAAAGTGAAAAGGAAAAGATTCAGATTCAGAAAGGAAACGTTTTGCTGTTTGGAGCGGACTTTATCCATGGTGGCGGTGACTACAAGAAGTTAAATATTCGTGTTCATTTTTCCCTGGATCCTCGTCATCTGGACGGACGAATCGTGCGCAAGGACAACAGCGTCGACCTAATCCGAGTAATCCCCAAGAAGCTTCCCCTGAACGAGAAAGCTGCGACAGAGTGCGATGTGTTTGGCTACAACAAGCAGTTTCCGTCGGCACCGGCCATGCGAAAGCATCGCCGAAGCAAGCATCGATTCCTCTACAAAAACTACCCCACAACGATCACGCAGCCACCACGTGCAAAGGACACAAAACGAGCCGGTAAGACCGGCACACCTCCTCCAAAGCGTCGAGCTACATCAAGTCAGGGCAATCCAGATTCGGGTCTGGAGAGATCATCGGTGGGGGGGGTTGAAAAGTCCCGTACTCCTGACGAGTTCGAGGAGAAGGCCCCGGTACCAGCCCGCATCGCGTCTGACAGTGGTAAGAGGAAAACGGCTCGCAAGAAAGCAGTAGGCAAGCATCAGCCTAAGGCTTCGGTATCAAGTGGAACGACGCAGAATAGCATCAATAGGAAGAAGAATGAATGTAGTACCTCAACTTCAGTGAATGTGTTAATTTCATCAATATACTCAACGTGGCTGATTGACCATTTTGTTTTTATGAGATCTCCCACAAAAATCTGACACGGTCCGTCACTCGTGCACACTTTGATTCGTGCAGCGATCCAGACTTTCACGGACACACTGAATGACTTGCACCGCGCGTCCAGCTCCGACGTCAGAGAGATTGCGAAGTGGCTGGTCACCTCGCTGCATGAGCTCCTCGGCCCTAGCGGAAGCATCGGTAGATCAGTATGGAGAGATTCACAGCTAGACATGTAGAAGCTCAATTTAGCCAAATGGATATTACTCCATTGCCACTCGTCAGCAATACCACCGTCTCAGTTGCCTTGTCTAATCGCTCACTGCTCCTGCGCTGCCTTAGCACTGCTTCACCTTCACATTTTCTGCGCGCCGCCGCCTTAAATCAAACTCGTCAAATTCGTCTCGTATGTCGCCAAGCACCACGCCTTGACATGCTCACAGCGGCAGCAGCCAGACGCTGACGAATCAAATCGATCTCAGCCACGTTAAACCTCGGCAGGAGCAGATGACAATAGTCGCCGCTCACCACGCTCTGCATGCACACGATGCGAATGTGCACGAACAGGCGGTTGTATCCCACCATCCACGCACTCAAACCGTACGCGTTCTAGCTGGCACTCTTCAGCGTCCTCTCACTCCGCATGCGGCTCAGCACTAAGTGACCAGGGACAGCAGAGCGCGCTTGGCATCACCAGAGAGTGTAAAATAATGTTTCGGCTCAACGGCTCGACGCTGCTGCTGCTGTTGCTGCAGGTCCTCCACGGTTACCTTGCTGTACCGGTATTTGTGGTATGCCCTGCACCATCACTCTCGAGGAGGGGCTGGATGGTTTCAAACTTCGAATACTTCGAATATTCCATGGCTGGCCCGGGTAGGCAATTTAGCTTTGGGTTCGCTTTTTTATGATCTTATTCTGACATGACATGGCGTTTGGTCTGATGATTATGGGAGGGATGACCCACTTTTCTGCTGAATCTGAGCCTGAAGGCACTTTATGTTGACCGGGGTCCAGATAAACACATGAGGTAACGGGCCCATTTGGCTTCACCTTGCCTGCCACCTACTCACAACCTTGTGAGGTTTGCTTGGTGTCCAAACCTTGTGCATGCAGCAAACAACCTCGTAGCTAGCGCTGCTCACACGTCGTTGTTACGTCGCTACAATCGACGTCGCCTATCCTGTTCGTATCTTGATTGTTGTATTGGGGAGGGCCAGATCCAAATCCATGTTATGTCAGAAATTCTGACTCAGAATAGTATTCTGTATAATAGTCGGATAGCAAAGCTAAGGTAGAATGTTTCAGTGTCCGTATTCTCAGAACTTCTGGTAGAATGTTTCTGTGTCCGTATTCTCAGAAGTTCTGTTTCTGTGTCCGTATTCTCAGAAGTTCTGAGAATACGGACACAGAAACATTCTACCTTAGCTTTGCTATCCGACTATTATAGTACAGTGGCGCTGTGTGGCGCGTCATTGTTAGCTTCGTACGGATCTGAACCAATGACTCAGTTTTGTTTAGTTTTTTTGTGAGCTACTGGTACAGTACTGGTGCTAGCACATGCATGTCGGGCGGACATGATACTACATGACCAGGGATCCCGAAAAATAAATATTCAATTCAATATATGTATATTTTTGGTGGCAATAATTTATTTCCCGAACATCCGAAAGAAACACCAATATTTATTTTTGCTTGGTGTCCAAACACTTGCTTAAAGTATGTAGATATGTAATACAACTCCCCAATATCAAGTAAAATATTTTATTTTTTGATGTCGACACATTTCAAAAATTACGTATTTCAGCTCTACAGCAAAAATCAGTATATATTGTATTTTCGGGATCCCTGTACATGACTCAGTAAGTTCAACGAGTCATTGAGCCGTTCGTCGACAGACACTTTCGGAGATTCCCCAAATGAGTCACGCGCCTGCAGCTGCCACCAGGCGCTTAACGGTTGACGTTAGTTACTCGCCCAGCACTCAAATCCACATGTGCCTGTCATGATATCTCGCACGAGGCGTCCAGGTGCATTCACCCCAGATCCCGCCTGCTTTTCAAGCTCGTTATCTCAGTGTCAGTTGACTGCATTCATTGAGCTTCACGCACGAATGTAGCAAGCGAATTCATGAAGTATCGATGCTAAGACCTGTTGCTCTCGTAGCCTACGAGCCCAACAGTGCATGTAGGAACCCCCATCGGACCTGCTCATCGCGAGGTAGCTTACTCATTCCGCAAATTACCAAATCCGGCACAGCACACCAGTCCAGCATTGCAAGCATACCATGAAGATCTTCCGCTACGGATTTATCTGCGCCTTCGTGCTCGCCGTCCGATCGGCCGCCGCCATCGACACCGGCACGGCTCCAGGACTCGCATCGGGTGCCACCGGTGGCGGCGACGTCGACCCCGTCTACCCGACCACCATCGACGAGCTCACCTCGTACCTCTTGGACGACGAGGCGCGCGTGATCATCCTGCAGCAGGAGTTCGACTACCGAGGCTCGGAGGGCACCACGACGGAAACCGGGTGTCGCCCGCTGTCCAACCAGGAGTGCATCGCCAAGAACAACGGCTGCAAGGGCCAGGATGTGATCCTGCAGAGCGGTGGCATGTCCGCCACGGGCGGCTGCACCGACGGCATCTCCGTCGAGGTGACCTACGACAACGCCGGACCCAACCCGCTGCAGGTGCAGGGCAACAAGACCATCCGCGGCGTCGGCACGTCCGGTGTCATCATCGGCAAGGGCCTCTGGATCCTCGGCAGCAACGTCATCGTGCAGAACATCCACATCACCAATCTCAACCCGCACCTGGTCTGGGGCGGCGACGCCATCTACATCCAAGGCGCGGACGGCGGCGAGACCGCGCAGGAGAACGTGTGGCTCGACCACGTCAAGTTCTCGAGCATCGGCCGCCAGATGATCGCCATCAACACGGCTAGCGTCAAGAGCATGACCATCAGCAACTGCGACTTCGACGGATACACCGAGTACTCGGCGTCGTGCGACAACCGCCACTACTGGACCATGCTCTTCTACGGCACCGAGACGCAGGTGAGTCTCGTGAACAACTACGTCCACCAGACGTCGGGACGCTCGCCCAAGGTGGGTGGCAACACTATCCTGCACGCAGCCAACAACTACTTCTACAACAACTCGGGCCACAACTTCAACCCCATCGACGAGTCCTACACGCTGGCGGATGGACACCTGCACGGAGCCCGTGCTGCTGGACGACACGTCCAGCGCCATCATGGTGCCGGCGAGCGGCACGCAGTCGTACTGCGAGTCGGCTCTGGGCCGCGACTGCATTGTCAACACGGTGGTGAACAGTGACTCCGAGCTGACGGGACAGAACGACGAGTCTGCCGTGAAGGCTGCGGCCACCGTGGGTAAGGCGTACGACGCGGCGGCGGCGGCCACGCTGACGCTGTCGAGCTTGAACTTCGGTGTGGGTGATCTCGACGCGGTCGACGGCTCGAGCTCGTCTGGTACTACCAATTCGAGTTCGACTGCGTCGAGCACCTCATCTACTGTGGTCGCCACTGTAGTGCCCGCCGGGACTTCTACCTCATCAAGCGGAACTAGTACGAGCAGCGCCTTTGCATCGAGCGGTTCCGATGCGGCGGTCACTCAATCGTCGAGTGTAAGCAGCACCACTGCTCCTTCGTCATCAAGCGGATCGACTGCTGCGTACACTTCGACTAACTCGGCGGCTTCCGCTGCTACCACCACGAGTACGTTGCCTCCGAGCACCTCTCGCGACAACGACATTCGCCAGGGACAGTTTGGTCAGGGCCAGTTTGGCAAGTAACTCGGTTCGTTGTGATGGTGTGTACGTATCGTAGGTACATGTATCCAGGCTTCATGAGTGAAAATAAAATGTTGTTGTTGCCTTCCTGACGGGAAAATCATTTCATAGTTTTTGGACTGATTCGAAGTTTTTGTGATCTTCCAGCATTCGATCATTGATAATTCGGGTTTATGTCCAGCCAATCATCTATCGTCAATTTTGTGGTTTTGGCCATTCGAGCGTGCATCATGCTGCGGCTCGCAGTGCTCCAGCTCCGCAGTCCTCGACCGCTGCGGACGCTGGCGAGGAGCTTCGCGGCCGCTCCAGTGAAGTCCGGGGATGAAGCGCCCACTGCCGCGACGCGTAGACACCAAGCGGTTTCCTACGCACGCATCTCCCGAAGGTATCCCATGTACGTGGGGCAGCTCTCGATGGAGGCGGTGGACCGAACGGTGCGCTTCTTGAGGGATCGCGGGCTGAGTCAGACGCAGGCACTTCGAACCATCTCGCTCCAAGTCACGGTAAGAGGTATTGCAATGTATTGGGGTTACATGGACTTAATTGGAACCTATTGCAATATTCAGATGTGTCGGTATTCGACGGAATTGATGGAGACCAAGGTAGGAGGAATTGGTGGGGGTGAGGCAGTGATAGAACAGGGGACTAATGCAATTGTTTCCGTTCTGGGGATGCACAGATTGAGTGGTTGAGCAACTTGGGCCTTAGCCACGACAAGATCAACAGCATAATCAGGCGCTTCCCGCACATTTTGGGATCCTCACTCGAGAACCTCCAAACTACCGTGGCCTGGTTCCTGTCGAAGGGGGTGCCGGAGACCAAAGTAAGTGGAGCTTGTTTCCTATAAAAACATAAGGGGGTTGGACACTAAACTGCTACTTGTACGTTATCGTACTGCCAGATTCCCTACGTGTTCACTATCTTCCCGCAGTCAGTATTTTTCAAGCAGGAGGACAACTTGGACCAGAAAGTAGAAGTTTTCAAGGAGATCGGCTGCGACGAATCCCAAATCACGCGTATTTTGACGTTGGCCCCACAGGTGCTCTCCCACAAGGCCGATAAACTGGAGTACAACGCGAACTACTTGGTGGAGCTGGGTGTCCCTGCCGAGAAGTTGCCAGCTGTCATCGCGAGAGTGCCTGCGTGTCTCGGACTAAGTTCGGCCCGGATCAAAGAAACGGTGGACATGCTGGACGAGATGTTCGGTGCCGGTGCTGGCGCTCACGCTCTGACGTGGAATCCGGTCATCCTCATGCACAATATCGGCGAACTCCGGCGATCATTCAAGTACCTCGTCTCGATCGGATTCACGAAAGAGCGATTGGAGAAGAACACGAGGTTGATCACACGCAGTGCGAGCCGCTTCCTGCGTCCGCGTGCCCAGTTCCTTCGGTCGAAGGGCGTGGATGTAGTTTCCTGGACCGCGTGGATTAACATGTCGGAAAACGACTTCAAAGGGGAGTATCCCGGCTACGAGAAGTTCATGACCGAGTACAAGGCGCGCCAGAAGAAGAGAAGGGCTTCTGCACCGTAATACAACACAATGGAAGTGTAGTGTGTATCCCCATTCGTGAATTAACACAATTGGTTTATTGTGAACTTGACTCAGCGAAGAAATTTCTAGCTGTCATTGCAAGTGGTGAAGAGCAGTATGAGTTGGGTACTTCTAACATGCTTGCCGGAGAGAAAAAAATGCAAAGTGATGATACCGTGCTCTGACAGAACCAAGCTTCAACAGGCAAGCTCCTTGGATTATGTAAGAGCACGAGACAGATTCAAATCGCACGTAGCGAAGCCTTCTCCGCGTGCGAATCCCGAGGATGGACACAACTGTAGATGTGCTGTAGGGTGATGATTGACTTGCCCAGAAACTTTTCGGCGCAAAAGTAAATCAAAGTAAACAACGAAGAGAGGCAGACGATCGCGGCAACTGATTGCCAAAGATCGATCTCTCTCATCATCAGCACGCCCGCACCACGCAGTTTGACTGGCGAGTCGTCAACCTGAAGCTTCCGCCCCTTGCGATCCGTTCTCTCCACATCCAAAGCCGATCTCGGAGCAGATCCCATCCGCCAGACCCGGCAGCGGCTTGATTCGTGTGTCGCACACCACCCGCCCTTTAATCGACACCTGCTCTCTTGGTTTCACTATGTCCCAACCCTACCCTCTCTATCGGATGGCTACAGCACCACAACTGGACATTTTGAGTTTCGATCCTCGATATCATCTGCGTCAGTGCACTTTCCATTCCGCAGCCCAAGAGGACAACACGTCTCCGTAGACCAAGTGCGTGGCGGCGGACTCGAACTCGAGTGAGTGAGACTTTTGACGGAGGGGTGACGAATGTCGCGCCACAACCGCAACACGCTCGCGTGGCTGCTGGCCTGCGTGTGCTGCTTCGCGCTGGGGCTCATGGCGTCCTACGCCAGCACCTTCTCGCTCTCGCGCATCCAGGAGACGGCGGTGCAGGTCAAGTCCAATCTGCTGCGCGCCCGGCCGTCGGCGTGGCACCAGCCGCAGAGTCTGCACCGCCAAGAGGTCAATGGCTCCAACGTGACCGTGCTGCAGCCCAGCAAGGACGACTACCAGCGGGGCTTCATCCTGTGCCTGCACAACGGCATCGTGGCCATGGGCGTGTCGCTCATCCGGGAGCTGCGCTGCCTGGGCAACAACGAGATCGTGCAGGTGTACCACTGCTTCCCCGAGGAAATGTCGGACGAGAACAGGGCGCTGCTCACGCGCAACGACTCGCGCGTCGAGATCGTGGACGTGTGCACGGAGATTCTGGCCAAGAAGGGCAAGGACAACTTGTTCCTGGGCGAGGTCAAGACGGCCAAGGCCTTCCAGAACTACTGGATCAAGCCGCTGGCGTTGTACTATACCAAGCTCAAGGAGGTGATTCTGCTGGATGGAGACGCCGTTATTATGCGAGACCCAGCGGTGCTGCGGACCATGTCCGGGTACGTCCGCACGGGCACGACCTTCTTCCGAGACCGCATTGCCAAGATGAACAGGTTCCTGAACAAGAAGACGCAGGAGGGGAAGCCCTATATCAAGTTCCTGGTCGACTCGTTCCCGTACCGGAAGCTGGCGCTGACTGGACCGAAGCCCTCGGAGCAGCTGAAGAATACGTATTCGTGGAGGGGGGACACCGGGCACGAGATGGACTCGTCCATGGTGCTCGTGGACAAGACGAGGGCGGGCAAGGCGATGGAAGTCTTGAAGGAGCTGATCTTCAGCACGCGCTTCAAGCTGCAGTTCTCCTGGGGCGACAAGGAATCCTTCTGGCTGGCGTATGAACTGGCGCACCAGGACTACTTCTTCTCGCCCTGGGGGCTCAGCTTGCTGGAGTCCGTGCCGAACAACGATCTAGCCCACCCGAACACAATGTGCGGAAGTATGGCGCACTTCTTGCCGACTGAGAACGAGACAGCAGTGGCGGAGCTGCTGTACGTGAATGGCAAGGCGCTATTGGAGCCCTTCCCGTCTGGAGTGGAGAAGACCGTCAAGGGCAAGCGTTCGCGCATGTTTAATTTGAACCCGACGCACCTCACGCCCAGGTACCGACATGACAGCTTTGACCTTGCCACCTCCAAGTCGTTCGAGTGTATGGACAATTTGGGATCCGTTCCGCTGCCGCACTACTTCTTCAATCGTCTGCTACGCCGGCGGTTCCACTACTTCGCCGCGGAGACGAACGCGTACGAGGCATTGGAAGACTGTCCGGAGCGGGTAGAATAGGCTAACTAGACTGTGTGTAAACCGACCCTCGTCCCGCCCAGTGAGCAGGTGAAGCCGTTAGTGATTGATTGATTGATTGATTGATTGATGGGAAAGAAAATAATGGGACGGGGATCGGCAGGGGCTGCGAATGTAGAGTGGAGACTTCTCAACTGTCGAATAAAGCAAACTGTCGTCGTCCTCATTATCAAATTTGGAGCCGATGAAGAACAAGATGAAGAAGAACCAACAGAAGCCAGCGATGGTTGCAGGTGGTGACCACCCCACGGGTATTGCTCCGTGCGAGCACTGTGGCCAGCCTTCCCACAAGCGGTGCAGTCGATGCAAGGCCTTCTCAGTGTGCCGTCAGACCTGTATGGCGGCTGTGTGGCCCAGACACAAGGAGGACTGCAATAGCCTGGTCAACGCGCGGAAGCAACTTGAGTTGAATGGGGAGAAATTCTCCGGTGTGCCTTGCTCTATCGGCGGCGAGGTTTTGATGCGCCTTAACGCCCGGGGGCTGGCCGTGTACGACAAATACGGCGTGAACGAACCACCAGAACGCGGATCGGATATGAACGTGGACAAGAAGTTGGCCTTCTTCCTGGAGATGCTCAAGGTGCACGATGCGTCGTCTCCGGAAAACAGAGGCCTCCCTTTGCCCGAGAAGCTGTTCCTGACTTGCCGCTACAACAACACGTACCGCCACGCCGCGGAAACGTTCACGGCTAGCGAGATCGCACAGCTGAACGCCTTGATGCATGAGCACCATGTTGACATGGTGAACCAACCGCCACAGGCGAATCAAGCTCCAGCGAAGAGCGTTTGAAGTTGTTCACGAGGCCACGAGGCCAAGGTGTGGATTTCCTGATACTGCGTGGAAGAAGAGCGGAAGAATTCTGCATTTAGTTGATTGCATATTGTTGCAGATTTTTTCTTCTTGCTGCCTAATGAATACGCATAAAGTTTCCAATTTTCGAGTTGACATATTGTTTTGTTGGTACTTTGCTGAAGCAAGCAGTCTGGAAGATTCACTACAACGTGACAGGTGTCTGCGAGAGTGATTGAAGTCACGTGGGCAACCATTTCAACTGTCGGGTCGAGATTGCCGCGGGGACATGCTCATTATCCGTTTGGCTGCGGGGACCGAAGAGAAGAGCTGAGCATGAACCATCCCGTGAGTTTATGCGGACACTGCGGAAAGATCTCGCACCAGCGGTGCAGTCGCTGCAAGGCATTTTTCGTCTGCAGCCGCGAGTGCATGAACGCTGCGTGGCCCCGACACAGGCCGGAATGCGACAATGTGGTGGTAGCAACGCAGTACTTCGAGGAAATCGGAGCTCCGGAAGGTCCCGGCATTCCGTGTATGATCACAGCTGAAGACATATTTCGTCTGAGCGCTCGCAGCGTCGCCGTCTACCACAAGTACGGCGTGGACGACCTACCGGACGCCAACTCGACCATGGAGGTTAACACGAAGTACGCGCTCTTCTTGGCCGTTTTGCGCGAGAACGACACGTGCACAGCCGTCAACAGAAGCCGCCCGCTGCCCGAGAAGCTGATGCTGAACAAGTACTACAACGGCATGTACACCCAGGCCAAGGAGATCTTCTCACCAAGCCGATTCGCGCAGCTCGAGGCCCAGATAAAGGAAGACCACGCCGGCTACGCAACCCGCTCAAGTTAACTGTCAAACGTGGTGGCGTGAAGAAGGTAGTTGCAGCGAGGTGTGGTTTTAGCGGGTGAGGATGAACTGATCGAGCAGCTACAGTATCTAACACGAAATGAAGAAAGCGCGGTGTCTTGTGGTACGTCTGCGCAATTCAGTTTATAGATTCAAAGGTGGCAGGCAGCTCAGAAGTCTTAGGAGACTGCGCTTAGTACCCGCCCCTCTTCACAACCAAATGCAATTCAATGCAGCTACCTTGTGTGTCCTCCTTGTTTACTCGCAGGCGACGGCAGGACGGCAGTTGTTCTGCCAGAGACGACGACGCGCGTAGCAAGTGGGGGACGCTGAGGCCGACCACGGCCCCGTGTAGGTGCTGGCGTAGACCCAGCCGTGGTCGTCCCCCTTCTTGGTCGTGTAGGCCCAACCTGCGCCTTCGAGACCTTCGGGGACCTCGGGGGCCACTTGGTCGAAGTTGTCGGAGGACGTCTGCAGGTCGTAGGTGCTCCAGTGGCGACGCTCGTTGTTGTGCGAAGGTGTCCACTTGCCGTCCACCCAGTCTTCGTTCTCCCAGATGCAGAGCGTCCTCTGTCCATCTGTCTCTTCTGCGTAGCAAATGTCCAACTGGATGGTGGACTTCTTGTCCGACTGTTTCGTCGCTTGCTGGAGCGACTCGGGCACTTGAAGTTCGTACGTCTCCACGATGGCTTCATTGGGACGTCTCTCGAAGCTGGACAGTGGGAGACGCAGCTCCCCGAGCAGGTCGTCCATCTTGAACCGGTCGTTGTCCACCACTTGGACCACCAGGTGTCGCTCCGCGTTGGGCGAGAGGTGGCCTACTTCGAACTCGAACGTCTCCGCCGGCTGCCACACGGGGTCCAGCGCCCCGCTCACGCAGGACGAGCGCAGGTACTCGTCGCCCAGCTGGAAGGTCACGAAGGGGTCCGAGGCGCTGCCCTGGATGAAGGTGTCGGCCACCGGCAGGTTGCCGGCGCGCAGCAGCGTCACGATCAGTTGCGGCATGTCGGCCGAGGTGTCGGGGGTGTCGGCGGACTAAAAAACCAAAATGGTTTTGGGGGAAACTATGAGTGTATCATTTATGAGAGGGTTTCTAGGTTTCTAAGTTGAAGTGAGTAAAATGATGGATGTCCTCTATGATCTCTGCTTAGCTCTCGCAGAGGGCAGGGGTCGGCGTGGGGGCCGAGTAAGACTGCTCCGGGCTGTTCGCATCAGTGTCAGATCTCGTCGGCGCAGGCGTCGCGCTTTCCCCGGCAGAAGTCGTCGGTGCCGGAGTAGCGTCGACCTCGTCGCTACCATTGCTACCCTCAACTGAGCTTTGATCCACCTGGTCTGCGTTGTCGGAAGTCGTAGGAGCCGGTGTCACATCGATGTCGCTGCCGCTTCCTCCTTCGTTGTCACCGACTTGAACTGCGTCGTCGTAGCTGCCACTGCCTTCCTCGCTGCTATCACCCACCTGGACAGGGGTGGAGTCGCTGCCACTATTCTCCTCGCTGTCATCTCCGACTTGAACCGCGCTGGAGCTGCTGCCACTGCTGCCACTGCTGCCACTGCTGCTGCTGCTTTCACTGCTGTCCTCGTCGTCGCCGTTGATCTTGACGAACAGCTGAATGTTTCCTCCGGTTGACGAGTGCGGCACCCACAGCACCAGCGATCCGCCGGCCGAAGTGGGGATATTGAAGCGGCCCGGACGCCAACGGTCAAAGTATAACGTCTTGTCTTGCAGCTCCTTGACTGTCGAGCTCCAGGTCACCGTCTCGCCGCTCCTTACCTTGACCTTGGCCACCGTGTCGCCGCCCGAGTGAATATTGACCGTCACGTCTTCCGTGTCGACACTCTTGAACGTAATGTTCACCGCGCCGTCACCAACCCTCTTCCAGCTGCCGTGGCTCCCCTTGAACGCGTCGCCTTCCGTGGTGAGCGCCAGTGCGTCTTCAAGCAAACCGTCATCGATTTCTCCCATAAATGCAGTCGGTCCGCAGATAGGCTGGATGAACGTGGACAGCATGTCGGCGATGCCGGTCGGGTCAAGGATGCCGATGACGTCAAGACCCATCTTAGCCACCGACGCCAGGTAGTCGGCAATCGAGGTCGACTTCCCGTCCTCGTCGGCAGACTTGTCGACGAGACCGTCAGTGATCGTGCTCATAATGGAGCGCAGACTGTCACGCGTGGTGAAGGCGTCTTCCGTGAGGTTGCGGACGCAGTTGTTGGTCACATCGGGGATGTCCGAGACCAGCAGCTTCGAAACACTTAGAGCCTGACGGATTGCACTGACGGAAGCGCTGGGGTCCTGCTGCTTAGCAGCGACAATGAACTGCGTCACCTGGTCGGTAATTACCTGGAGCTTTGAACCGCAAGTCACCCCGGACGACAAAACATCCTGGAGCTGAGCGACGCTATCTCCATCCATGTCTTTGACCGAGTCGTCGACGCCGAGGTCGCTCATGAACGCCAGGAAGTTCTTGGGGTGCAGCAGCGACGCGCCGTTGGCTACGACTTCCATGACGATCTGGTTCACGATACCAGCAACTTCAGCGTTCAACTTGAGCGTGTCTTCAGACACAGGGAGTCCAAGGCACGTGGCAACGGCAGTAGGCAGCTGGTTGATGACAAGGTCGGACTGGTTCACCAAGGTCAAGATCTGCTTGGGTTCCGTGCCGTTGGCCTGCAGCTCATCCGCATAGTCCTTGAGGGAGCTCGAGGCACTGTACAGCTTCTGTGAGCACTTGACACCGAGCGTGATGGCCTTGCTGGCCTTGACCAGCTCGCCGAAGATGCCGGCGGTCGCAGCGTTGAGCGCCACAGTGCCGACCGACGAGACCTTCTTGAGCATCTGCGAGGTGCAGTCGGCACTCTGCGGGATGCACTCCATGCCGCACTCCACGGGGTAGTTCAGTGGGCACTGCGCCCAACATGTTGCGATGCCGTCAGACTCATAGCCCTGGGCGCAGGTCTTCCTTGAAAAGTACGTCTTGCGGTAGCAGCCGGACTGCGAAGCGTTAACGGGGCTCACCCAGTTCGGGAGATCCGCTGACACTGTCGCGATGGTGAACGACACAGCGAGCAGCAGCGCTAGACAAGTCGAAACCCGTCGGAACTCCATGGCCATCCAGGGAATTGTATCGCCGACTTGCTGCAAAATCCGGAATGGCACATGGCAGTCACTGTGCATTGGCCCATGGCTCCGATCGCAGTCAAGACTCGCGTTGCTGCAACAAGCACAGCACAATGCAACGACAATCGTTACGCTGCTCAGCTGATGTTTATCTTCGCCAGCTGCCAGTGAAGTTCGTGGAGGGTAAGGTCGTTTAGACACAAAAAATATAATTTTCGCTTTCTTTTCTGCACGGGATACACGAGCAATGCTCGCTCGTCGTCGAGCAGACGTTTAGTCGGAACCAAAAGTGCCCCCCATCTGCGAGCAATATTTCACAGCGAAAGTATGCAGTGCATACTTTCGCTGTGAAATACTGCTTTTGGTGCCGTACAGTTCACCTGACGAACTGTACCAAAAGATACGTTGTTATCGTTTGGCTTTTCATTGTCCGTCAGCTTTCGAATCCGCAGGTGACGTGCTTTCATCATTCTCGGCATTCTCCATACGGTACGTTTAAGCGTCGATGACATTAAAACGGGTTTAATGCTCTCAGAGCCCACGGCTGAATGAACATCTTGGGGATCTAAACGTGGAAAGGAAGCGAATCAAAATGACGCGCAGCACTATCCAGATACTAAGTATTGGTTACTTTAATAATTGTCGAAAAAGGAGAGCATTGGCCTCGAATCAGAGCACCACATTTCAGTGTGGTGCTCTGATTCGAGGCCAGTGCATCCGCTCATCCACAAGACCGCACTGAGATCTTCTTCCGCCTTCATTCCATGTTGTGGATCTCAACTTGTGTGAGCGAGTCCAACACCGAGCACGCACGCGCGCGTCGAGAAGATGGTGTAGGCCAGCCACTTCCACATGTTGGTGTCGACCCACGAATTGTTGTGGCCATTTGGTTGACGACACGCGCGGCTCAAAATAATCGTTTGACTTCGACTGGGCGTTGTTGGACAACCCCAAGCATTCCCCATAGAAACGGAGCGCGGTCCAAAGGACGAGATTCTCAGGTCATTTATCATGAAGCTGTACCACAGAAAGCTGATAAGGAGTGCAAGCGTTGAAAACAATACGTTTCGTTTTCAGTTGTTCTCACCCTGCATACACGGTATGCAATATGTGCCCACTGCTATGGATCTCCCATTTCTCAATTTCAATTCCCCTTTGAGGAGTGACATTGAGAGCTCTAAGACCTTACCATACAATTTAGAGTTTGTTAATTATTATTAATACCTGTAAAGCTATAATTCCTGCCTCAATCCACCTAAAACAACGGATAAGGCTGGACACCTGTGAGCGTAGCTCGCAAAATAAAGAAGGATCAGCCACCAGCCTGAGTCGTTGTTTTAATCGCAGAGCTCCATGTAGTTCAATTTTAAATCTGTTGGCGCAAAATTCCCATCACGTACCGGGAAACCTTCAGCTGAGTCGCGAGCCCCTTGTTAATTAAGAAAATAAGAAAATTCCATTCTATGGACAATTAATTGGTGTTTTCCACATAAAATGATTTTCCATTTTGACACAACTGCAACAACATGTCAAAGGGAGGACCCCAAGCGCCCCCCGAGCCAGCCTTTCACCGGACCAGCGAGATCAAGATGCATCATCCTACCCAAGACTCGAAGCCGCGCGTCTCCCGCCTGCAATTCGCGCCTTATCGCACATCCTCAAACAGATCGACATCTTCCTGATGAGCCATGAGGAAGCTGTCATTGAGGCGGCTAGGACGGGGCTCGCAGAGTGGCTTGAGGGTTTAGTGCCTGAGGTCGAGGACAAAACTGTCGTAAGCGCCATCTTGGAGGCGTCGATCCACGGCCACGTTGACTGTGTGGACGTGTTGCTGGAGGAGTACGAATCCACGATTCCGACGACCTACACGACTTGGGACAGCTTGCTTAAAGCAGCCGTAGCTGCCGCAGCTTACGGCCACCTCGATGTTCTAGAGCTACTTCTGTCCAAGATCCACCCTGGATCGGATCGACTGCAGAGCTCTGACTTGTGTAGCACAGCGCATCAAGCTTTGGCTGCCGCGGCAGAAGGTGGCCATCTGGATGTGGTCAAGTTCACGGTGGAGTACGTAAAGAAGAAAGATTACACACAGTTTTTCTTGGTATTGGGACGTGCCATCTTCGGCGATCAGAAGGCTGTAGTGGAGTTTCTGCTGGACTTGGAGGAGTTCGAGTGGGACCTGAAAGACGCGTTTGTGGAGGCTGTGGATGCAGAAGACAAATCTCTGGCAGACAGGATCTATGGGCTCTACTTGCAGAAATCCACCAAGAAGGACTTGTTCACTTATCTGGCGTGTTGCGGCTTCCTCGATGCTCTGAAGTATCTGTACGAAACCCAAAATGCCGACTTCGAGTTGATCGGGGAGGCGTTCGTGAAAACGGTGGAGTGGAGAGGGAATGATACACTGGAGTTTCTGCTGAGTACTGACCGGGTTTCGTCGGAAGCATTTGAGAAGGGCTTCGAGAAGGCGGTTGTCGCCTCGTGGGACCGCGAGAACATGGTACCTTTTCTCTTGGAGAAGAAGCGAGCGTCTGCACAGTCGATCAATAAAGCATTCGTGGCGGCGTGGAGTAGTGAAATGCTCCGTATTCTGCATTCGTGCGAGCACATCTGGGACGAGTCTATCTGCACCGTGTTTGAGAAGGCAACAAGAGGCATGAAAAAGAGTTACTCTACCAAAGAGGGGGAGAATGTTCGCATTATCAAGCTGCTGTGCACGAAGGACTGTATATCGGCTGAGATGATCGGCCAAGCGTTCGTGGCTGCAGCTTCGAATGGACAGTCTGAGCTGCTTATGTTGCTGCGTGATGATGGGCGTATTTCTTCCCAAAAGGTGGGCGAAGCTTTCGTTGCTACCGCCACACGTGAGAAGAGTGATATGATGATGTCCTTGTATGATAAGAGTATATCTCCCGACGCGCTTCTCAGTGCGTTCTCCAATGCTGCCTACCGCGGACGGATTCGTAACGTGAAAGAACTGGTGAAATTACTCTCAAACCAAGACCTCGTACCTCAATAATTTAAGCGCAAGGCCTTCATGATTGCAGCCCAGCTTCGGCATGATGCCATTCTGGGTATTTTGTGCGGGAGTAGCAAGGAAAACTGGCCATTGACCATGCTGAAGGAAGCGCTCGCTGTTGCCGAGCACGAAGAAGTCAAAGGCTTGATTCGCGAGATCATCTGTGACCAGCTTTTCGACCCAAATACCCACGGACTCCTTGAGATAGCGTCGGAACTTATGGAAAACCGGAACAGTGGCGCTACTACCAGTGGGTAAAACTATCGTCTGAGCATATCTGCAACCTAGGCCCCCGTATGAAGATTAACGCCATTAAAATTTGCGCCGAAATCAAGCGATGTTGCTGCTGGTCAGCATTTGTGATCTACAGTATGAGTAGCGTTCGTGAAGAAATGAACGCGTAAAAACTTCGTGATACTGGAGCTCCAACCCTGCTACAGCCAGTAGACGGCACGAAAGGAAGAAAGGAGTTTGGTCTTAACAAACCTAGAGGCGAGTTCAAAAGACTCGCACGGTCTTGGTGTAAAGGGCTACTTCTTACAACATTATGGTCCGTGGGTTTGAGTGTACACATACTCATGACAGAGAGAGAAGATTAACAAGAGTTAGACTTGTCGTAATGCTGGCTAAGCGAAACCTAAATCAAATCTGGTGCTGAGGGATCGGCGTAGCCGGAGGGAGAACGTCGTCGTCGTTGGGTTCAGGAAACCCCAGACGGCGCAAAACTGTTAAATATGTAGGTTGAAAAATATACACATACTCATGACTGTATGCCTTCTTCGCACATGTGTCGAGCAAACTGGACCCGCTCAATCGATTTTTTTTGCGTCTACGATTTGCTGAACCTTACCTTTCAATTCGTTGTCGTGAAAAATGTCATCCTTCCTCTTCAAAAGGATATTGAACAGGGATGTACCCACATCAAGAGCGGGGTGTCACCCCTACATGCTTGTCACTCTCAGCTGTTTGGTCACATCGAGTGCTGGGAGATCAGATGAAACTCTTGGCTGCCCTCCCGTCTGGCAAATGTCATTCGAGTACAATTGCAGCCGACCCGCTACAGTACAGACTGCGCCGCGATGAAGAGCAAGACGAGTCTGCAGGCCACAACCACGGCCTCGATCGAGGAGACCCAGTCGTGGTCGAGCATCGTGCTCAAGGACAAGCTCACACTGGAGCATGCCGCCATCGACATCAACACGGACCGCGTCCTGTACCACTTGCACCTGGAGCTCGAGCACCCGATCCCCGAGCCGTACCTCGCGAATGCCGAGTACATGAAGCTGACGTGGCCCGTGGGGGGCATCTGGAAGATCATGCACCTCAGTGACAACAACCGCAAGGTGCACTGCATGTCGTGGCGCAAGACGGAGATGGATCACTTCGAGGTGGAGGATTTGGCCAAAAAGATCGAGGCTGCTGGAGTCTCTGGGGACCCGAGCAAGAGCAACAGCTCCACGTTGGCCGCAGCGGAAGCGGACTACTTGCCGCCGACTTTGTTCCCGTGGAAGATGCAGCTTGGCAATTGGGGGCCGCGATATCATGCCACCGCACGACCGAGACAGCGTCGGAAGCAGCCACCCTGGGCCGTTGACCGCGCACTTGATGGCTGGCTTCTCGCCGCTTGAGGTGCAGATCGAAGTGAACGCTATTACGTCCGTGGACACGGTGGGCCAGACGTTCACGGCGGACGTGACGTGGGAGGTGACCATGCCTGCAATTACAACGATCCGTGAAGACTCGGTGCTGCGCGAGTTGATGGACATCCTCGAGTTCGACGAGAACCAGTTTGAGTTTACGAACGTCAACTCGATGCAAGAGGAGCGCGACATGACCTCAAGCCTCTCGCCTGCAGGTCCAGTGCACTTCACGGACTCGACTAGTCTCGCGATGCCACTCAAGTCCACGTCGGAGTTTCTGAGTCATCTCATGTTCAGCCGTCGTGTTGTTGCTGTCTTCAGCGAGGAAATGACCCTGCGTAAATTCCCCGTGGATCAGCAGAAGCTGACGTTCGCGTTCTCAACCGGAACGGGCGTCCGTCAGCCTCTCCGAATCACTGCGGGGGCTGTGGACGCTGGAACCTTCGCCATTGCGAACTACAAGCTCGGCAACGTGTTCGACGTGGTGCATCATGACAAGGTTTTCGTGGGTGAGATCGATGCTGATGGAGACAAGAAGGGCATTTGATTCGAGATGATGCTGGAGCGCCGGCCTGGTTACTACGTGACGAATGTGGCCATTCCCGCTGGGATTATCACGTACTTGTGCTTCATTTCGTACGCCCCGCTGTCGGACGGCTCACTCATGGACACCGGTGACCGCGTTCAGATCGTGCTGACGTTGCTGCTTACTGCTGTGACGTTCAAGAACCAAGTGGCGTCTCTCACGCCGCAGATTTCGTACTTCACCACACTGGACAAGTACGTGTTCTTCTGCTTCATCATCGCCTGCGTTGTCGTGATTGAAAACGCGCTGTTCCCCATTGTGGCCAAGTATTTCTCAGAGGAAAACTCCTGGAAAGAGAAGAAGTTGCTCTTCTTCTTCTTCACACTCGTGAACGTCCTGTGGCTCATTTACATTGTGATATTCGTCAAGTCCCGTAAACGCGCGTCGAAGGTGCTGCTTAAAGTCCACAAAGCCATTCGAGCGATTTCCACCATGAACACCGCGAAGCTGTGCCTCACGAACACTTGGAAGGGTGCCACTTCCAGACGTGGGAGCTCCCCAAGATCAGCAGCGCTGAGCTCGGATATCTGCACGTTCAGTTGCCGGAGGACGAGCCGTCACGAACCAACAACGTCGACAAGAGGCGTAAACTGCACTCGAAAACCCGCCAAGTCGCCGAACAGAAGATGGATTCGTTTAGGGACATTTACGCAAAGTTGAACCCGACTGGCGCTCCGTTGCGGGCATTTTCTCGAGAAAGTCAGATGCCGCTGCGGGCTGCGAAGCCCAGCGATGCAGGAAGAGGTCACGAACTCAAGACTCTCAGGGGCTGCACCATTCAGTCTAGTGGCGGCCGGATTGAAACGATCAAACAGGCAGACTCCGTATTGCCGCATTCTTTAAAGCTTAACAAAACGATCGACGCTGTCTGCATCTCATCCAATACAAGTAATTAAAAGTTCAACAAGTTTTTTTTCGTTGGTCCTTTGCAGCTTGCGCTCCCATCAAACGCCGACGTGACACGGCCGAAGTCATGTCGAAAGAGCTGTCCCGAAGCTCTTTGACCTTTTTGAACTTCCACTCCAGGCACGCACAGAAGCGTTTGGGGTTTTCCACATGAACGAACGTTTTCATGACAAGTGAGTCGCTAGTCTTCGTCGAGCCGGTTTTCAACCGCTCTAGCAGGAACGCGTAGTCTCGACTGAACAATGATACATTAAACTCCACCTAAAAAGGAGAAACAAGTTAGAATTTAGCTTCGCTTGTTTAGGCACACGAAGTTACTTACCAGGTATCTGTTGTCAAGAACGGGCTCCTTCGATACCGATGCAACTTCAATGTTGAGTACAGGGAAGTCGAACCCCAGGGCATCGTAAGCACCATGCATCTCCCGGGAGATGGCCAAACGATTGTTGTCGTCCTTATCATGGCAATGAGATTTTGGCATCAAATACTAGTAAACACTTTCAGCCTTGCCGAACGGGCCGAAGAGTCCATCATCTTCAATCCGTTGGTACTTGTAAACTGGAGTGGATGGATCGATAAGCGATGCTTCAGTGGAAACCGGAGCCATCGATCCTCCAGGTGACTCGGATTCTTCGGCTAAATATTCGTCACCGAAAATACGCTGCTGCTTTTTTGTGCTGGACACTCGCGAAATCTGTAAAATGGCCGAAAATTCAGCTTTCACGCGGCTCTCGAAATACACGGCATGTTCCTCTACAGAAACAGAGATACCACCGCGTCAGATACGCCATCATATTACACAAGAGCGGCAGCCAACGTACAAATGCAAACGCCCACCCTGCTTAAAGAGAACTTGAACCTGCAAGCCGTTACCTTCGTACCAGAACGCTTGAACCTTTCTCCCTCGCGGTACATTTCTGGGGTCGTATCAGCGAGGCAATAGACCGTACAGCGAACTCCTCTCGTCTGAAGTGCGTTTTCCACTGATCCGCTCACCAGCCACACCATTGTACTTTGCATCAGCTCAACAACGCCAGCCGAAGGTTCTATGAAGTCCACTAGCACGTGGATCTCTGACGGCTGAGGCTGAAAGTTGGCACCAAAGAGAAGCTCCCCAGATAGCTTCCAGGACGGCGGCATCTCCTCGTACTTGGTGCTCTTCCCGCCTTTCAGGAACGTCGTCACTTGGCGGTCATCCGTCAGCCACTTGCCATCCGTACCCCGCGCCAAGTACAGCGCCACAAGCCTAGGGGGAATCTTGTCTTGTTCAGTACTCAGGACGCCAGCGATAACCTCCTGCAGATCGACCACTTTCGCATCGCGAGCGACTGTCGCATAGAACCTCGATCCTTCACCGTACACCGCGCACAATAGCTTCAGGTCCGCCATAATATTTTCTCTTCTGTTCTCTGGAGATATATTTTTTTAGTCTGAAGGTCAATTGCAATCAACACGAGATGTGACTGATGGGGAGGTCGATGAGCAAGGCGGTCAAGCACTTTAAAGCGAGTACAGTGCATGAGCTGTCCGAAGCAGAAGTCCGGTTATTGGTTATCTACGTGTGGTGAAGAACCACTTAGTATGATGACATACCTACATGGTACCGGCCGTATTCTCATTCTCACTCTCCTCAAAAACGTTGTTTGTATCGCCAAACTGCAACCGGGGATTTGGGGAAAATTCCCATTTTTGTAGAACGTTCACGGCCTCAGATCTGAGTCCGTTTTATTACCCTTTTCTGCGGTTGTCGAAGTTGCTTCCCAGTCGCCGTGAGGACGGACGGGATACACGTAACCATAGCTAACTAGCATGCAGCAGCAACTCCATCCCCTATGGCCCTGGGCGGGTCTGCGTCGAGCGCTGTACGTGCTCCTGCTCCTTCTGAGCGAGACGCGCCGGCCGCTGCTTCTTGCCAGCCCCAGCGCGTCTGCCAAAGGTGAAGGAGGAAGACGAAAACAATCACTCGGCCTCGAGCTCTTTGGTCGTTTCAGTGACTGACTCGGTATTATTTCTGTCCCTTATCCTACTGCTCTTCTGTATGTCTGTCTCTCGGTCTCTCTCATGCACTTTACAGTCTCCAAGACGCGCATGGAGATCCGCGAGCAAGACTTCTCCTTCAGCGGTAGGCTCGTGGGTTGATTCCGTGGCCCCAAGAGCTCAGCTCCTCTCTTAAGCTTCACTTAACTGGCTTCTAACGTGTTGTGTGTTGCTTGCTACCACTGCCGGTTGCGTGGGTTGATTTTTGTATGCTTTTCTTCAATGTAGATGGCGCGCGGGAGCGGCCGGCGATCGAGGTAGTCACGAAAGACGTGAGGACAGCGGACATTTTCAACATTATGCAAGGTACGGGAGCGCTCGTGGGCCCGTGGAGGAGCTGCTTGGCGCTGTTTGCTGACGAGCAGTACGCGGTGGCGCTGTGTATTTACGCAGCCATTCAAGGCGAGGTGGAGGAGCCGGTGGAGGAGCAGACGTCTTGGTGGAAGGACGCCGTGACGGAGGAATTCTCGAGGCAGGACGTGCTGGTATTGGCGCTTATTACGCTCTGCGTCTTGCGGCTGATGGTGTTCATGATCCAAGTGACGTGGAAGCTGGTGAAGCTGCCAATGCAATGGTATGGCGCGTTGGATAAAGAGGAGGAAGAGGACGAGGAGGGGATCAGGGAGAAAAACAGTGAACAGTCGACCAAGTCGAGCGAGAGAAAACAGTTGACGATCGTCCGCTTCTGCCATCTGCAGTTCCTGCTCGTCGTCGAGAAGTTGAAGCGTGAAATGAGAAGCGCGAAGATGGAGAACACGCAGCAAATGGTCGCGTCGCTGGAAGTATCGCAACACGAGGACGGGAAGGAGGTAACGCTCGCGGAGATTTTGGCGACGCTGCGGAAGATTCAGGCTAAGGACAGCAGCTTCAAGGCGAGCGAGGTGGAGGAGCACCTCCAAGACATTAAACAGGGCGTAGACAACGAAGAGGATGCGGACGCAGGTCTACCTGAAGCCTGGACTCGACTGCAGGAAATCTATGCGTCGTTTTTGCGGATTCAGGCGACGATTATCCGTCGGCAGCAGCGGAAAAGGAAGTGGGAGTGGCAACTGAAGCAGCACGAGCAGAGCTCTCAACGTTGTAAGCGTCGACTACACAGCAATGAAGACCCGACGGAAGAAGTGTTGCAGGAGCTGCAGGAGCTGACCAAGGAGTTGCCGCAGGGCTTCACCGCCGACATGTTCACGTCGCTGGGCAACGCCATGCATGAAAGTACGGCAGCAGCGGAGCCTGAGACAAGCCCTGCGTGTTCTTCACAGATGGAGATCAAGCCTACTTCGCGTGCTGCCGACAAGACGCACACATCCAGCGTCTGTGCCTAGGCCGCCCAAAATTCATTGAGGGCAAGAACCAGGTACAATTTAAGTAGTAGGTAGAAGGAAGTCGAATAGGAGTCGAACAAAGTAGGGAGTAGGAAGATGGTGGGGACCCTCACCCACCCATGTAACATAACGGACCGCACAATGGGCCTCGCCACTTGAGCATTCATTTCATCCGTTTCAAATTTTAGCTCGTTCGTTACTGGCTGCGTGTCAAATCCCAAAAAAAAACGCTTCAACTTGTCCGGTCACTGAATCGAAATCCCCCAGATGACTGTCTATTCTGAAACCAACACTAAAAAGTTGCCACATCTCACAAATGGGGAGTTTTGGCGCGAGATGGTTCTCGGAAACAGCCCAATGGAATCAGGCGGCGGCCGGCACTTCGCCTTGGGGCTCGCGAGACGCAAGATGCCGACCCGCGCGCGCCTCCGCCGGCCTCTGGGGGCCAACGCGGCCACGCTCTGCTGCCTCCGCCGCCTGCTGGTGGTCGCATTCCTGCTGCTGAGCGCCAGCGACGCGCGCCGCGCCGTGGCCGAGCGCTCGCATCGTACGTGCACTAAACTGGTCGCCTGCGATTATCCATTGTATCTGGTCACTTACGTTCGTGGTTTTTGCGTTATTGGCAGCCTACCGGCGCGTGGAGATCCGCGTGGAAGACTTCAGCTTCTCGGACGGCGCGGAGGACAAGCCGCGCGTGGCCATCGAGGCCCACGACATCAAAGGCTCGGAGCTGGACCCGTGGCCCGACGGAGACGTGCACGTCGTGACCTGGGAGACCTCAGACGAGCCGAAACCCGCAGCTGCTGCTTCGGTTGAAGACAAGAAGCAGACGCAGCCAATTGCCGCCGCTCCGGTGGCTCTAGATGAAGAGGAGGAAGAAGAAGACGATGAAGATGAGTATGACTATCTGGGGGTGGAGGACTTTGGCGTCAAGGCTGCAATTGGCAAGGCCAAGGACGACGCTGCGCTCAAGAGATACCCGTCCTACCGCACGGCCGTGTGGTGGTGGAGCCACGACAAGGCGGAGCTCTCGACCCAGGAGCAGGCGGCCGTGCTGGCGGTTGTGGTGACCATGCTCACGGTGCTGGGACTGGGCGTCGCGCTGCTGTGGAACTTGGTGTGGTTCGCGTGGCGGTTCTACCGCGAGCGCACCACGCTCAACCGCCTGTTCAGTGAACAGGACCCGGCCGCGCTGGAGCAGGAGCTGCGCAAGTTCCCAGCGGACTTGCTGTCGCTGCGCATCAAGCAGATCGCGTGCGTGCGGCTGCGCCACTTGCAGGTGGTGGCCAATGCCAGAGACTTCAAGCAGCAGTTGGAAGCCGTGGCGTTCCGCGAAACCGAAATGGAACTGGTGGGTCTGCCGCTTCACCCGACGAGTCGGAAGGAGATGACGTTCGCGGAGATTTTGACGGCTGTGGAGGAGATCGCGTGCAGAGGAGAGCAGGTGGCCGTGGAGATGATGCAGTTGGTGGTGCCGCCGCGGTGGAGAGGCTACGTGGATGAAGACTTGTGGTTGAAGGCTCAGGACGAGAGTCTGCAGAGTCTGCACCTGGAGAACGCTCGCGCGCAGCAGCTCTCGGATCAGATTTCGGAGCTGATTGTGGCCAAGGTGAACTCCAACGAAGCCATCCCGAAGCCAGTGTTTCTTATGCTGCTCGCGTCGCTGCGTCAAAACTCTGGGAGCCCACCGCAAAACGGTAGTAACGGAAATGCGACGTCTAGTGAAATGGACGCATTTGCCCGGTGCTGGAGCGGAAGCATGACCATGAGCGGCAGCGTGAGCAACCTTGGTGGCCAAAAGAACAAGGACGAGTTCAATTTCCTGCTCAAGGCATTCGACGAAGTTGTCGAGCAGCAAAAAGTCCGACAAGGGCTGCAGACTGCTATTGAGAATTTTCAGTCGGCACACGAGCCCGAACACGAGCAGTTGCTGCTGCTGGAAAATGCTGACAGTTCAAGCAGCAGTCAAGTTATCCGGCGGGCCAAGCAGCTTGGCGCCACAGCAGCTGCAACCAGCGGAGCTACTGCCGCATCGATGCGCCGGCTAGAGCGATGGGTGGATGAGGCCGAGATGATGGAGATGACCTACGTCGAGGAGGTTGAAAGTGCGCAGTTTATGCTGGAGGATGCCCGACGCGACAGCTTCTGCGCAGCTATTGTCAGCAACGAAGGCAAGGGCCTCGATAGTGTCCAGACTTTGGCGACCAATTTTGTCGCGCTGGGTGCGAAGCGCGAGGATGCGATTCTGAAGGCTGGCGAGATCCTGGCCAATCGGTCCAACATGATGCTGCTGGTGAACAGTCTTCGCGGTATGTTTGATCAGCTGCGCAAGCGTGACATCATGAAGATGAACGAGCGACGGAACCGTGATCGCGCTAAAGCCCAGGAGAAGCGCGATCGTATGGCGCAGAAGTTTCACAACAAGCAGCAGCTAATCGCTGAAAAGATTGAGCGAAACCGCGAGGCGCAGCGCCAGTTAGAAGAAGAAGCACGTCTTCAGCGACGTATGGAAGAGCTGAAAGAGTGGCGCGCGCAGAATGCCCGGGACCGCGCGTCGTTTGTGTGGACAATCACCAAGACCGACGTTCTCGTGGTGCTGGTGATCATGGCGATCGTGTTCTTTGAGAACTTGCGGGAGGTGGCGTTCGTGAAGCCTTTGTGCCAGCCGGATGACAGTCACCACTGGTGGATGGTTTCCTGGTGGGCACCGTCGTCTCTCCAGGTCTTCGGTTGCGAGGTTGCGTACGGCATGAAGATCCTGGGCATTCTTCTCGCGCTCGGAGTGCTGTTTTTCGCCGTGGCCCAGCTCAACCTCGTGGCGGTTATGCTACCTGTGTTGGGTGCGATCACGCTCTACTACGTGCGCAACGAATGGATGAACATGTTCTTCCGGCTGCCATTGCTGCTCGTGATTTATGGCTTCAACTCGGGCATCCTCTTCCTGTTCAACCGCTTCGAGGTCCGCAGCAACGACGCCCACGTGGTGAAGGAAGGCAACAAGGAGCTCGTTGCCAACGCTACCAAGAAGCGGAGTATGCTGCTATACATCGGTTTCCCATTCGTGTCGCTGCTGCTGACAGTCGTGACGGGTGTTGGCATCGCCTGCGACGCGCCTGACCGGTGTGCTGCCGAGGCTTATGAGGCAACTGCGCCCGTCCTGGCAGGCTTATGGGAGCTCGCGCGGGGAGCTTATCGATTGTAAATGCATACCAGATAGAGCGTCAAGGCGCGATAGGGGGAGAGGACAGCACGCGAGTTGTGCGAGTATTTTGCTGGCTCGATTGACCAGGGATTTTTAATTTGAATGTACTACCTAGAGACTGAGATCGGAAGTGTTATTGTTGTTCAGATGTAGCTCAACGGCGCGCTCTGGGGCGACGGCACGACTGTGGTGGGCACATGAAGGCCGGTTTTAAGGAATCTCTGCGTGAGATTCGCCTCGTGCGCCCCCATGTTGAGCGATTCGGTCTCCAAGCGTAAGAATGACCAAATTTTCGTTTCGGTGGATTTTTATGTTGCGCACATGCATCTGGTCAACAAGGCAACTGGGAAGTAAAGTAGGAAGCGAGCTTTACGATAATGGATGTATGGAGCTAACCAGTACTTAAGTACTGAAGAGAGGTCGTGCGTGCGCAGGTTTTCATTATGCAGAGGAGAAATCTACCGCAAAAGCTCCTGGCGCGGGAGGTGACTGCATTTCGATGAAGTGTCTTCTACCTTAGCAGCTGGAGCGACCGTCACCTTAGGAGCTTGGATGTGTTGAAGCAAATCGCGCTTTTCAACATGGACAATGTCGAGCTTGTGGCAATAGCGCGAGGGTTGCTTCCTGTGCAGCAGCCGTTGGCTTCTTGTCAACTAAAGTGAAGTCAGATTGTCTCGTTGCACTCGCAAGCTTTGAACAGCGTGCCCGCGCTCAAAAAGTCGGAAGCAGCTGGACCGGATGCAGTCACTGTACAGGTCAAAGGCACGTAAAAGTAAAGACCGTTAAAGCCACTACGAAACGGCTTTTATATGCTCCTATTTTATACGTATAGAAGTATAGTACGGTTAATCAGTTAGGGGTAGGCCACCAGCGCGTTGGCTCTCGTCTGCGGACTTTTGTCTGTGGGTCCGCCCCTCTCTCGCTGCGCTCAGGGGGCGCCGCTTCGCGGCCTGCCCACCTCGGCTCCGAAGCCCTCGACTCGGCCAGGCGCTGTGGCTGGGATTAGATATTAACTCCTGGACAGTGTTGCCGAGTCCAGGTTTTCGATTATTTTATGCACGGTCACGTGTATACTTTTTGGTCGGATACCCCAATCGGGCTAAATACTCACTCTCAAATGTAAAAGCTTTCCAAGCTTTTGGACCCCTCAGACAATCCTCTATGCAGTGATAACCGCATCGAGCCTTCAATTTGGGGCTGTGAGCTGCCAGCAGTGCACAGAAGGCGCGATCCGTGCACTGTATTATCTCGATAGGAGAAGTAGGAGGTTCCTCACGGCAATCGCTGTTGATGTCGAGCTTGATACATGACACGGTTTTGATGAAAACGGTGATGGCCTCAGCTACCGCTCCAACAAGTTCAGTCTGAGTCATAGGGTCTTGGGGTGGGGTGGGATCGATCTCATACTCGACGTCGTTTTGATCAGGTTGCTCGTCGGGGGATGCGTCAGGTTGCTCGTCGGGGGATGCGTCGTCCAGTTCGGTACCATCCGTTGCAGTGTGGGTCTGGTCTTCTGTGGCATTCTCGTCTCTCTGCACTCCGACGTCCATGCTGCTAAATAGCGCCAACGAATTGTACGAGCATCACTTGAGGTGGTTGGCCACTATGGTCTTGTCCACATTCACTGAGCCGTCTTCGGTGTTGCTCTCGTACTTCAACTGGAACGTGTTCACGAGCTCATCCAGAGCGGTGTACTGCTCGTTCATAGTGACAGTCTTAACTTGCAGCTTGCGAAAACACATTCGTATGGCCTCAGTCAGCTCGCTCACAACCAATAGACACAGTCACCATGAGCTACTCGACCGCGCGTAGTTCTTCGCGTCTTGTGCAGCAACGAGTTGTACGTAGTGCTTGGCCAGGAAATGACACGTGTCATGAATCGACTCCCATCTAGTCGTTGCATACTTAGGGCATAAACCCTCTGCGAAGCGTACACTTTCGTATCTCCGTGTAAACAAGATCTCCATTCCCAGCCTCGACCTGAAGTTCACCGATCTGTCGAGTACTTTTAGGAAGCGTCTACGGCAAGGTTCAACTGGTGGCTCCCGCACCAAGTGATAGTGATGGCCGAGTTTCAAAGTATTCGGCAGCAGCACGAAGTCGCGTCGAGAATCCCTGGTGGCGGCCTAGCATCGTCGCAGCTCCGTCCGTCGAGATACCGATCAGTTGAGGAAGCAGGTTGGTTTCACCGATGTCCTCTAGTAGATCAATGACAAGCTCAGCATAGTTCTGGCCTGTGTGGGCGCTATCGCCAATGGGGATGGCGAGGAGGTGGATGTTGTGAATTTTACCCACGAGGCCAAACGACACACGCACGTCCAGGTATCCTTCTTTGTTGTGCGTTGCGCCATCAACCATCAGCGAAAATCCCCAAGTCTTGCTGAGCAGTGAGCGGATAGCAGAGAGGTTGAGTGTAACGACACGACGAACCGATAGCCCTACTACTTGTCGGCAGGGGGATCCAAGCTTCATGTTGGACAGCGCGGTTCCGAGCGTGGTAAACAGACCAGCAATGGCACGAAAGCTTACTCCCGCGTTGATGCAGCTGGCAATGGTCTCAAACTGGTCTCGATCACGGATAACTAGGACGTATCCATCCGTCTCGGTCTCCATAAAGTCGTTGGAGACTTCAACCTCTCCGATTTCGTCGTCCACGGTCACCAAGCCGTGTGGTGTATCACCTCGGCTGCAGAACAGACGCTCGATGAGGCTGGCAATTCCGCTCGGAACCACAAACGAAATCTGAGGGTGTCTCGGGAGGAAATCCTCGATCCGGGTAGGCAGGGAAAAGCTTTCGCACTCTTCGTCCTCCGTGACAGCAAGGAAGGCAGACCACTGCTTCGAGTGCTCGCGCTCCATGTGTCGGATGATATGGTCGCGGCGAAACGTCTTGAACACCATAGCTTTAGCCATCTTCTTGCGCTTCTTTTTCGCACTCCTCACCAACGCATCGAACGCGGAATCGGCTTGCTCGTCCGGCGGATCTTCCCGTCCAAACACCTCGCAGAATTTGCAGATCGCCTCGGCGACGTCGCCTTCCACGTAGTTGAACGGACGAACGTAGAGCTCCTTCTCATACTTTGGAAGCCATTGCTGACGCGTTGGCAGCTTCACCTTGGTTGGCAATGCTGTTAGTGCGTCGTTAACACTGCGCAGCTTTCGAGTCGCCTGAGTTGAACTTGTAGTCGGCTTATAGCGACCCTTCCCACGGCCTTTGGAGGTTCCGCGAGCTTTGAAAGATGAAGTGGGTGGCATGGGCGTTGGTGGGTTGGCTGTTGTTTGGCAAGTTTAGAAATGATTGACAAGTTCGGCGCTTGACGCTCAAGCGAGCAACTAGCCACCAATGGAGTCTTCAACTTGAGTTTTGGCGGTACGATCCCGACTTACATCTACATATGAGCGATACTACTGGATTCGACACCGCTTTCGACGTGCTAAGAGTGTTATTAGCCATGTATTTGGCCTATTCTCGTTGCATACATGGATAACCTTCTGCAGACGCTGGAGACCGCAGTGCAAGTTGGCTTCCACGCCTGCATTTCCTTAGTTAAGAGGGGGTACTCTTGGCAACTTTAAAAGGGGTATTTCGTTCTTTTTCTGTCCACAATACCCCCTCCTGACATGCCTGCTGATTTAACAGCTCACCGCCAAATTAGGTGAAAGGCACAATACATGTATTGTGCTTTGCAGATAAAATGTCGCCCCGTTTTATGGCCTAGATCGAGGAAGGCCGGTCCACAAATCAGGGTACAAAACAGAGGCGGTAGCTCGATTTACTTAGATCGACCTCGAATTGCGCTTTTGAAAACGCAAAAGGGATCGATTTTACCGTAAATCGACCTCGTTCTGCCCAGATCCACCAGGAGATCGACCTCGAGTTCTGATTTGGATTGTCGTAGCTCGAGTTATTAGCCGGCCTAAATAGATCGATCTGTCCCTTTCTTTGACCTCGTTTTATTAAATCGACCTCGACTTAATGATAAATCGAGGAGAGCTCCAAGTCAAAACGACAAAACGTTTGCAAAGCACAATACATGTACTTACCGAAGCAGAATAGCAACTACCGTACATTTTCATGAATATGCGCGATGCTCCATGCAGCATGGTGAAACGCCAGCCTACCTTTCGGCAAAACTTTTTGCGTCGTCCGTCGGAACGTTGAGCCTGATGCTGCACAGGAAAAATATGATGGTCGAGGAGTGCAACGTGACAGCTCACCGAAGCTGCTCCACGTTTGCGCTGTTCGCACGAGCCGTTCACAAACTCCGTCTGGAGAGTGCAGCAGATGTCCTGGGACTCTTCCACTTTGACCCGTACTTTTCGACTACAGAGGGAGCGAGAGTAAAGTTCATTCGGACTTCTACCGTGCTCGAGTCAAGTGGAAACCATGCTATCTTGCCGCCTTCTTGCTGCCGCCCTGGCGGTCGCGTCCTCTTTGGCCACGGCCTCCGCTGCCGATGAGTTCGGCTACACCACGAGCGGTGACAAGTACATCATCAACACCGGCGCGGGCCTGACGATCGCCATGAGGCAGGCGTCCTGCGACATCGTGTCCATCAACTACAACGGTCAGGAGCTGCAGTACAAGTCCATGGGCACGCACGTCAACTCGGGTCTGGGCCAGGTGGAGTCGACGATTCAGGCGCTGAACGACGACAAGAAGACCATCAACGTCAACTGCAAGAAGACGGGCATCGAGCAGTCCTACTTCTTCCGCCCCAACGAGAACGTCGTGTACATGGGCACGTACCACTCGAACGACCTGGTGCTGCCGGAGCTGCGCTTCCTCGCTCGTCTGGACAAGACGGTGATGAACCAGGGCATCCTGGAAGCCACCCACGAGGCTGGCATGACGGCCATTGAGGCGACGGATATTGTCGCGAACGCCGAAGGTATCACCCGCTCCAAGTACTACTCGGGTGTGCCCTTCATCGACGACGCCGTCCACGGCGTCAACAGCACTGCGGCTGGTGTGTACTTGGTCATCTCGGAGCACGGCTACGAAACGTCTAGCGGTGGCCCGTTCTTCCGTGACATCAACAACAAGCTGGACGTCTCCAACGAGCTGTCGTTCTACATGAACTCGGACCACACGCGTATCGAGGACTACCGCTACGGATTCCATGGCCCTTATGCGCTTGCTCTGACGAGCGGCGCGGCCCCCGATGCCTCCACGCTGGACTTCAGCTTCTTCCAGGACCAGGAGCTCACGGGTTTCGTCCCGGACGCCAAGCGTGGCGAGGTGGCCGGTACGATCACCGACGCCAACGATGTTTTGGGCAACTCGGAAGTCGTTGTGGCCTTCTCCAACGCTGACGCGCAGTACTGGGTCAAGGTGCCCGCGGGCACCAAAACGTTCACGTCGCCCAAGATGAAGCCTGGCACCTACAAGGCCATCGTCTACAAGAAGCAGCTGGCTGTCGGCACGGCCAGTATTACGGTCGCTGAGGGTGCATCCGCCTCGGAAACCATTGATGTCTCGTACGAGATGAACACCAAGCCCATTTGGCGTATCGGCGAGTGGGACGGCACGCCCGACGGCTTTTTGAACGCCGACAAGATCCACAAGATGCACCCGAGCGACTCGCGCATGGACGCCTGGGGCCCGATCACCTTTGCGGCCGGCACAGATGAGGACAGCAAGTTCCCCACGGCTCAGTTCCGCGCCGCCAACGACGACATCAAGATCACGTTCAACCTGACGGACGCCCAGGCTGGCCAGGACAAGACGCTCAAGATCGGCGTGCCGCTCGCCCAGGTCAACGCGCGCTCCGACGTCAAGGCGAACGACTTCGAGACCGAGACGGCCCCGTCGGTGGCTGTCAAGACGCGCGGCATCACCCGCGGCGTGACGATGGGTAACTACAAGCTGTACGAGTACGCCATCCCGTCGTCCGCTCTGGTGGCGGGCTCCAACACGATCACGCTCTCGGTCGCCAGCGGCTCGCCCGACCCGGCCCAGAAGTTCCTGTCGGCCTCCTACGTCTTCGACGCCCTCGAGCTCGCTTAAGCTCGATTCTTAGACTGTGAATGCGCATAGATTTCATGTTGAAAGTCCCAATCAAATTGTTGTGTACCGTTCCAAACAACCCCTTCGCCTCTTTACCTTAGCATCGCAGCATCTCTCCTATCTTGCTCGGTGCGTTCATTCCCACGGCACAGATTGCTGTTAGAAGACGTCGCGGGGACACGCATGCCCCCAGGATGGCGGAGACATACGCAAACCACGTGTCGTAGGCCAACGTTTGCCCCCGAAACATGGCCTTCAACGCAAGTGCAGCACATTCCCTCGGTACACACGCAGTCCCGGGGATATTCATGTAAATGGCGTCGTCACAGTCGGCAGTGCTGCCAAAGTTGGTGTGCACCGGACCAGGACAGAAGCACGTGACGGTAACCCCCGTGCCGCGCAATTCGTAGTCCAGTCCCTGGCTGAAGTTGATGACGAACGCCTTGGCACTGCTGTACAACGCAGCCGAAGGGGAGATGATAGATCCAGCCATGGACCCCATATTGAGCACCCTCCCCACCCCACGCTTCACCATTTGCGGCACAAACGCGTGCGTTAGCTGCGCCACTGCCGCCATATCGAGAGCCATGATCTGAGTAATCTGCGCTGGCGAGAGCTTCACGAAGTCCTTGGTGGTGGAGAACCCCGCGCAGTTCACGAGGATGTCGACGACGAGTCCGTTCTTGGCTGCGAACGCCACGAGGGACTCAATCCCCGCCTCGGACGCCAAGTCGCACGCGCAGATCGACACCTTCACAGCCTCGTGGGCCTGCTCGATCTCCGTTTGCATGCGTTCCAGCACAGCCTCACTCCGAGCCGCCAGCAGCAGCGAATGGCCCTTGTGAGCCAACTGGTACGCCATCTCCTTGCCCAGTCCGGACGACGCCCCCGTGACGAGAGCAACGTGCTTTGACTGAGGCTTGGGCTCCGAAGCCACGAAGTTCCATCGGTGGTAGCGCGTCAACGCCACGTCGAGACAAGCCAAAACCAGATATACCGACACCAGAACTCGTAGCAGATACCCCACCGACTCCAATGGTAGAGCATGGAGAGCGACGAGAAACACAGCGACGCCCAACGCAGGCTGCAGCTTGCTGTAGATCGGCTCCTCCTCCAGCATCATGGACACGTGACTCGCTCAATTTGTATGAAGTTACGCCGTACCCCTATCGGAGCCGCGTTGATCGTAACCTTGGGATTTGAACACGCTTTGAGGATCACGACCTGCAGTCCACCCACCCAATAATGGCTTTGCGTTTCAAGGGCTCAGAAGTCCATTGGCCTGGAGACCCACACCGTCTCAAGTGGCCGTCAACACTCGCACCCGCGTGTTAATATCCCCATCCAGGGAAGAAGAGCTATTTCCACGCGACGTTTCTCGTCTTGGCCGTTGGCTGCATCGAGAGACGCCAGAACTTTGTCTAGAAACCGCTTGCGACTTCAACTCGACTCGAGCGTGGACTCGACTGACCCCGGCCAATTCGAGACTGTCGGTCGCTTGCTGAGGTTAGCCGAACAGAGCGATGGCGACGTACGTGGCGGCGGAAGTGCCGACACCCGAGCCCAAGACGCAGACACACGCTGACGAACATGATGCAGAGTCTCAACCGTTCGACCGTGGAGACGACCAGGACGACGCTGATGGGATGCTGCTGCACCTGATCCGCACCATTGCGCTGTTCCTGTTCGTGTTCCTCTCGCAGACGGCCAAGTTGGCGGTGACGGACGCGGAACTCGCGGTGTTTGCAGCGGATGCGGCCACGCCGGACTTGCTGGATGCACAGACCAAGGAGCTGCAGCGACGACTGCACGCGGCGCTCATCGCGTGGGTGCAGAGCGAGGTGAGCAGCAACCAGTTTGACGGACTGCTACAGGAGCAGGGGGCGTTCGTGGTGATCAAGAGACTCTTTCGACAGCAGCGCGCCAAGGCGGCTGCGCAGTGCCGCGTGCTGGCAGCGCTCTTAAGCTCGTACTTGTCGCGACTGGAGACCCCGTTGGTGCGCTGCGAGCCCAGCAGCATGCTGTCTTCAACGTTGGAATACTTGCTCGCGAAGGAAAAGGATGCGAAAGACAAGGAACCCGTGCCTCTGCCGATGTTGTACCCACTCGTGAATGCTGTGGACCTGGTGAGCATCGAACAACGCGAATGCCTCGATGCGCTTATGAACCTGCTACGATGGCTTACGGCACACGATCAATCCCAAACGGTAAGTCAGCTCTCGTTTGAAGCCCTGCGTGAACGTATTTGTACTTATATTGCATGTCGGTTTGTTCTGCAGGTTTTGTCTACTTTTTCTAACAAATACCACGTTAAAGTCATCGGAATGGAGAAAGACAGCGACAGAAACACTAATGATGACAGCGACGGCGTCAACTCTGAAGCGCTGGGCGTGTGCTTCGTGCAGACGCTACTCCGCTACTCCGACCACATTTTTCGACGGGATCTTCAGGTTTGTGACTCACATTCCTATTAGCTTTCGTATTGTGAGAGATACACGCCGCTAATTCAAGTCTTTGCGTTTTGTTTTCTACAGTTTGAGGATATGGTCCCTACACTTTCATACAGCGACACTGAAGACGATGACGTCTCGAGCGAAGATGGTTGCGCTCAAGCTCCCCACCAGTCTTCCAACGACCTAAAGGAGATGATAGATGATTTACCAAAAGCAGAAGATGAGGAGCCCACCTGCGCTGTTAAAGTGGGCGCAAGCCTGGTCGATGAAGGAACCTCGATCCCGTCTGAGCTACCGGAAAGCACGCAAATCGACGAGAAAAATGAACTTTCAGCCATGAACGATGGTGTTGTCGTGCCAAAGAACGAAAATGTGGCGATCCCCACCAAGGTGGCCTCTCGTTCACTGCGCAAACGCAAGAAACGCGACGAACGAGTGCTGGCGGTGCCCGCGAAAGCTAGCCGTCGTGCGAACAAGTCCCGTGCGAAGATGGTCTGCGATCCTGAGTACCCAGCTCAGCAGCTGGAGTGGGCAGACGAAGAACCATTGCCCGCAGTCGTATGCTTCGGTATTGCTGCTGCCGCTGGCACGCTTGCTGCCATGCTGTGCGTCTACTTGAGCAAACTATGACGAATAGTCACGCCTAATGCGTAAGCATTGCGACGAACTTCAGGGTTTTAAAAGGAGTTAACTCGAATCACAAACCCACCACACTCATTTCTCATGGTGGCCCCGACCAAAAAATTGTACCATTCTAGATGTTTCTAAGCAGCAAGCGTTGCGGTGCAAATTTGTGGTTGTACTGGGATAGGAAGCAACATTGGTGCTGTTATTTCAACCTGTAGCGGGTCAACAAGGCGTGCGTGTGAGATGCCCATCTTGAACCTGACAGTGCCGACGTACCAGCTACACAACCTGCGCTTTAAACTCTGCGATACATTTCAGAGAATTTGGCTTGTTGCGTGTACTCCCGTATCAAAAGCATCATTCCATACCCGCAACAAGCACTACATGCAGTATAAGCTCCTTCTCTCTCGATATCTTTCACGGGCCAGATAAACCTCACTGAGGGATCACGCCGCAGTTGCGGTAGTAGCACTCGTGGAGCAGCCAGTTGACTATTGATCGCATCACCGTCATGCCAATGCCTCCGGAAAAGAAGACAAAGTGAGAGTAAACAGGCGGAGTTGAGATGTCGAGCGAGAGTTTACCGTAAGGATCAAACGTGGATGGATCGTCGAGTCTCATGGCGCTGGCCTCGCGCTTGAGTGCTGCAGTCAATAGTTAAGTCGTCCTATCCCCCAGCGCCTTGATGTCGAATGTTACCATGCTACATGATCTCTGGGCGTAGATTCGGCGCCGGTAGAACAGTCATACATGCACCACATTAATCGCCCAGGGACCACAACAACGCCTGCGTCATGTAGAACCGCGAGTACTACCACAGCGATGAAGAGCACCCAGTGAACTCGAATGAATAGCGCGTCGAATGCAGCTCAGTGACGGGAAATGCATCAACGCGAGTCCGAAGAACGGACCCCACCTTTGGATCATCTAAACTCTGCTCGCCTCTGGGTAGACCCAGTACGAACGCAAACCCATGTAGACCCCCCCCCTCCCCCTCATAGAATCGTGACATGAGAGGTCACCTTGTGGTGCTCGGAGGAATCCCGGAACAATTCAGCAATAACGAATTATTTGTCACTGCGAAGCCGAAACACGACAGTTAACGCGATAGAAGGTGTCTCAGTGGCTGCAACGTCTCGAACCTTGGTATGTAGCGCGGAATAAATAAAACTTCCTGCTGCAAGCAGTAGAGTTACCGTCACGTATCCAAGCTTTAGACTGGTTGTCGATGTCAGTAGCGGCACTGTGACCGAGTGAAAGTTTCCCTCTCAGTACGATCCAGGACCGTAGTAGTCGCTGCTGATGTGAGCCATATCTTCCAGACCAATGGATTCAGATTTAGGCTCGCAGAGGTACTCCCGCTCGGAGACAAGTGGACCATTATGTAAGCCTGGCACTTCCCTAAAGGCTGGCAGGGGGCCTCCACGCTCAGCCACCATCACTTAAAGCTGCATGCTGTGGTATGGATCGAACACCCGGTGCTCGATAACTCGACGATCCTCTCATAGCCTGGCGAACACGAATACGGCTTCGTGTGGATCGGATGTTCGCGACAAAGCGTACTACACAAAGCAGAAGAAGAGTTTTGATGCACTAGAAGACCTGTGGTAGCCTACGACTCGTAGGTGACGATGCCGCATACACAATGATCACGCTTAGCCGTCATGAAGTACGAAAATAAAAGAAAAACGTTGATGTTATGGCAAGAAAGTTTTCGTTGCAATGGACTGCCCAGTGCACATTGAGGAGATCAGAACAATAAAAAAGATATTCATAAATTCATTTACGTAAAGCCAATTTCACTCGGTGAGTGCTACAACTACTTCAAGGTGACATCGTAGCCTTGATCCCGTCGAGATGCAAACACTTACTCACGCTTGGGGCCACCGGCTTCAAGTCGCTCGACGTGGTGGCGCACATGGCGGATTTCGAGCAGAATCTCCTCAAAACCAGCCTTCATGTGATCCCACCGTGCTTGAGCGCGGTCGTGTCGTCGAATGATAGCCTTGAGCACCTCGCCCCAGAACGCGCCGTTGACGGCGACAGCTCCGACCACGAGCCACTGGAACCACGTGATGTACTCGAAGCCGAAAATGTCGTCCATGATGACAGGGACGTTGGTCACGAGAACCGTAAGAGTCACCGACATGCATGCCGCCCATTGCATGTAGCCGTTCGACAGCATCCGAGCAAAGACGATCTCGGTGAAGTGCCGCACCGTGTAAGCTCGCAGCACCTCGGTGAACGCCAGACCAAGGAACACCATCGTCTGAGCACGACCCAAGCCTGCCGGTACGCAGTCGTAGTCGCCTCCTTCGCAGTAGGCCGTCGAGTTCTCAAACGAGCTCATGCCGGCCACCTCGTCCCCGAAGATGTACGTGCCGTCGGAATACTGAGCCGCGCAGTTGCCGTACGTCCGCCACCCGTCGTTCATGCCTTCCCAGCGTTGGCACGTCACGTCCGTGTAGTCCGTTCCGTCGGCACCACCGCCGGCGTTGTAGATATCGTTCGTCAGTAGCTCGCCGAAGTTCCAGTACAGTCCCAGCAAGAATGTCGTCGTGGCTCCTGCCAGCAGCAGGAAGGCGTTGCAGAGCACCAGCAGCCACAGTCGACCTTGGATCAAGGACGAGTGCTTGTGTCGCGGTTTCTCCTTCATGATCTGCGGATCTCCCTTCTCCAAGCTCAGCGCGACGGCAGGCATACCGTCCGTGAACAGGTTGAGCAGCAGGATGTGAAGCGCCTCCAGGGGAAGAGGGAAACCTCCAGCCACCGACAAGAAGATCAGCACGATCTCTCCAATGTTCGTCGACAGGAGGAACATGACGAACTTCTGGATGTTGGCGTAGATGACTCGGCCCTTCTCCACTGCTGACACGATGCTGCAGAAGTTATCGTCGGTCAGGATCATGTCGGACGCGCCCTTCGCGACCTCCGTGCCGGAGATGCCCATAGCCACACCAATGTCCGACTCCTTCAGTGCTGGCGCATCGTTCACACCGTCACCAGTCATAGCAGCGATCAAACCCTGGCGTTGTAGTGACTTGACGATCTCGATCTTGTCTTCGGGCTTGGCACGCGCAAACACCAGGGTACGAGAGGTGATTTCGTCGATGTCGGCCGGCGGGAGGTACACGTCACCATTCGGGCGGAGTTGAGTGCAGTCGGTTGCTTGAGCTTCCGGGTCGGCGCCGACTTGGAGCAGATCGATGTTCTTGGCGATAGCAACGGCGGTGGCGAGATAGTCACCCGTGATCATGACGGTGCGGATGGAGGCAGCGCGCGCAGTGGCAATGGCATCGCGAACGCCGTCACGCTCCGGGTCGATCGAGGCCACAAGCCCGAGGAAGATCAGCGGCTTGGACAACGCCGCGAACTTCTCGTCGGCGTCGTCACAGTCCTTGGCGTAGGGCAACTCCGACAGCGGTTGGATGGCCACCGCGAGCACACGCAGCGCCTGGGACGACAGCGCATCCACCGCATTAGAGATTTTGTTGCGCTGCGCGTTGGTGAGGGGCTCGAACGTTCCGTCTCGCCGGCAGAACTGCGTGCAGTTGCGTAGGATGTAGTTGGGTGCGCCCTTGACGCTGGCCACGAGTTTGGGCGGCTTGTCACCAGGAAGCGATAGTGCGTCAAACATTGCGACGCCGTTTACGACGGGAAGAGCGTTGACGGTGATCATCATCTTGCGTGACGAGCTGAACGGCACTTCCACGAGGCGCGGGTAGTCTTCAAGCAGGTTGTCTTCCCAAATCCCGGCCTTGGCGGCTGCGACGACCAGCGGAGCCTCGGACGAGTTGCCGAATGGCATCCAACGAGAGGTTTCTCCGTCCTCGCCTTCCACTTGCTTGAGCTGCGTGTTGCTGCACAGCACGGAGGCCATCAAAGTAGCTCGAACCTGGACGTTCCCAGCTTCAGGCTCCGCCTGGCTGACTCCATCAGCAGATAGGATGGATCCTTCCGGATTAAAGCCCTTGCCAGTGATGCTGTACTCCTTGAAATCTCCCCAGAGTTTCACCGCCGTCATCTTGCCTTCCGTGAGTGTGCCGGTCTTGTCGGTACAGATTACCGACGCAGCGCCGAGTGTCTCGACAGCAGCGAGTTTGCGGACCAGGACGTTCTTCTTGATCATCTCGGCAGTGCCCGAGGACAGACAAATCGTCACCACCATGGGGAGTCCTTCGGGTACGGCACTGACAGCCACCGACACAGCGGCCATGATCATCGTGAGGTACACTGGTCGGTCCGGGTGCTTGGGGTCCTTCTCTTGTCGGACCATGCCGACGATGAACACAAGCACGGCCACGCCCAGAGCGATGACACCCATGATGTATCCCGTGTGGTGCAGGCTGCGTTGCAGGGGCGTGGGCTTGGGGCGGTGTTTGGCGATGCAGTCTCCAATAGGGTTCCGGATCCACTTCTTCTCGGCCGCGTCGTCCGGTTCTCCGCTCTTGGCCTTCAGCAGGGCAGCGATGGATCCAACGCGCGTGTTCATGCCAGTCTCCACTACAATTCCACGCGCGTTGCCCGCCGTGATGGTGGTGGAGGAGAAGACCATGTTGCTTGCCGTGAGCTTGGCCGGCTTGCCGGCGCCAGCCCCATGGATCGGCGCGTTGTACTTCTTGGGGACGTCCTCGGACTCGCCCGTAAGCAGCATCTCGTTGCATTTCAGGTCGACGCTGGTGAACAGCCGGATGTCGGCGGGCACCACGTCACCGGTGACGAGGATGACGATATCCCCGGGCACCAGCTGCTTGCTGTCCACCACCTGCTGCATGCCGTCACGGATGACAAGGGACTGCGGACTCGACATGCTGGCCAGCGCCTCCAGTGCGTTGCTGGCCGAGTGCTCCTGGATGGTGGCGACTGCGGCGTTTAGTGTCACAATAGCGAGGATGGCGATGCCCTCGACCCACTCCTGCAGCGCCAGCGAGGCCAGCGCCGCCATCAGCAGCATGGCGATGATGAGGTTGTAGAACTGCAGCAGGAACAGCACAATCACCGGCGTGCGCGCCTCCTCCTCCAGTGCGTTGTAGCCGTAGCGCAGTATCCGGCGCTCGACGTCCATGCCGTTGAGGCCGCGCTCGAGGTTGGTGTTGAGCATCTTGGAGATGAGCTCCGTGGAGCGCTGGTGCCAGGCCTTCTCGTCCGTCTCATTGAGCGTGGCGAACGACTCGCGCGTGGGCACGGGGTTGGCGGCCAGCAGCAGCTCGCCGTCGCTCAGGAAGCGCGAGCGGTGGTCGGGCCGCGGCGTACTCGGGCCGACGGGCGGCGAGTGGTTGGCGTTGGTCGCCATCTTGGCGTCCGCGCGGTACAGATCCGCGGCGGAGAAGGAGCGCGCGCCCGCCGACGCCTCCGACACGTCCACGACGTGGTGCGTCGGCAGCTCGAAGGACCGGGAGGCCGCGCGCGGCGTCTCCAGCCGCGCGTAGTGCTCGCTGGAGCGGGAGGGCAAGGACGCCCCGCTCTCGTATCCCGACATGTGATGTGGTGGTGGTGCAGGTAGAGCGGCGGCAGTTGAAGAGGTGGGTAGTGCCGGGAGGGTAGAGTGGTCTTGTCTTGTCTTGGCTTGGACTCCTCGGTCGGTTGAAGTGGTTGAAGTGAGGCCGAGGATGCCAAATCGAAAGTGAGGGTCAACATCAACGAGGACCCTCGGGGCGCGTTTACCAAAGTTGCGGGGGGGATGATGGATGTGCACTTCAATGCGAAGCGCACGTGCGAGATCTACGCGCGAGAGCCAGGCAAAGGGCAAGGAGATGGGCCGCCCCCTTTTGATTGGTTAATCTCCAACATGACGCATCTGATTCGCGTTTCGCTGGACGAGACCTTCACTCACGCCGGATTAATTTGCCAGTCGATCGACGGAGACCAACGCCTTCGACGGAGAATTTCTTAACGTTTTGCTTCGTTCCTGTCGTTCAGGTTGCAGCTGGTGTGCGGGACGTTGGTATTGTACAGCGGGACTGTGTGACACAATTTGTGTCAGCAACTTCGGCAACGTCGAAGCGTTCTCGAACGTAGGAGGGGGCGTGCAAATCTCGAAGAAAGGCTGTGCAACAGTGCCTTCATATCGAAGGCGGTCCGCGTCGATAGTGGCTTCTCGAGGGGGATTCACGCGTCGTACAAGAGATGCCGCACGCCACTAACGCGTACAGTATTCTCCGCCGGCGATAAGCTGCCGTTCTACAGCGCAGAGAGCGTTGAAAACCGACATTACGACGCTTGCGTCGAGAAAGCAGTGGAGGCCTGGAGATTGATGTCTTGGGCATTTCCAGTCATAGGAGCTGCAAGGCACTGAGCGGCGCTGAGCACATGTGCCGATACAGTGTCGCACTACACACCGCCGCTGTCACACGCTGTGACAACACCGACTTCACTTCACTGCAAGCTTACAGGCATGCTGCTCGTCCGCTCTCTTCTCCAACACGAGGCCTCTTTATCTGGTCCGTGTTCAGCGGCAAAGCTTTACAAACGGCGTGGTGGTCGTTGCCAGCTCTGTAAACGGCAATGTCATTGCGACTGAGCTCCACGACGTGTGACAAGAAGCCCAAGTGCATGTTGAAGCGGTCCGAATCTCAATTGCGCTCGGTTCCCATGCATGAACGTCCTCGGTCGCCAGGATTTGTTTCGGCGTTGGGCGTGATGCGCCTCCCGTGTGCCTGCGATCATGGGGAGGTGCAGCCGCTCAAGAGTTTGCATCGTGGTTGCACTTAGACCGCCGTAGCTGAGTCAATCTGACGCAAAGTCCGTGGGGCTAATCGCCGCTGTTGACTCTCGTGCAAGATTACCCCTTCTATGGGTATGCGAAGCTCGTCGACGCCCTCACCGCTGCTCCGGCTTGCTCAGCATGACTTCTCCCCAAATGGTTCGCCCTCGACAACGCACACCACGCTAAAACACAATTTGGCAGCACACACACGTGCTCGACTCGAAATAAATGGCAGGCCGGAACAACGTGCTTCAGCTTCGATAGATTAAAAGGTTTGTCACTTGAAGCGATACTTGTTTACCTTGTACCTTGAGTAGCTCAGATTCGTCAGACCACCAGAGCTCTTGCACTTTCTCCACGGCGTTGAGGTCTTTAGTAAAGACTCTTTACAGCCCGTTCAGCCTCCCTTGCTGCAAATCTTTACACCGTCGAACGCTACCCAAACTGCACTCACCGCCTCCCTCGACCAGATATCCAAGCGAGAACCACTGCTGAATTCGCTTCATGCTTTGAATGACAGCGAGCGCGCCGATCCTTTCGCCGGGGTTGAAGCAGCACATGCGCTCGATAAGTTCCCATTCCACACCCAGAAAAGCTGCGGGGCGCCTTGGGAGCTGCCGCTTCTCAGTCACATTGCACTTCACCACGTCGTCGCCCACAGAGTTACGCCACGGGTACTCCCCCGTGACTGCTTCAATGATGCACATGCCAAAGGAATAGCTATCCGATGCGAATGTTGGCGGAGACCCGAGCAAACACTCGGGAGCTTTCCATCTGAACGCGCCGCTGACTGGGTATTCACTGGCGGAAGAAGAGTTGGTTGCCAATATACTTAAGCCAAAATCTGCCAGCTTCACGGTAAATGCATCTTTACCCATAAGGATGTTGTTGCCCTTGACTCAAGCCCCCACGCTGCATACCACAGGCTACGCCACACCGTCTTACGGTTCTTCCCCATAACGAATGACGTGAGGGTTCCACCGGTTGCACGCTCGCACACGAAAAACGGTTTTCCTTCATGACAAGCCCCGTACAGCTTAATCAAGTTGGGGTGATCGAGCGAAAACCAAAGGTCCAGTTCGTGGCGGAATTGATCTCGGTTTTCACGTTTCGCTTGGTTTGCTTGATCACAACGTCGGCACCGAGCCATCGGCCTCAATACGCAGAGCCGAAGGATCCGTCCGCGGTATGCTCTTCAATTTCTACTTGGTACGGTGGAATGAACCACCGAGGAAGCTCGACGGCACCTGGTGATGGCCTCCCAGTTTCATAGTCCAACATTGCACTAGCTTTTGATGCCTCGTTCTCGTCCGTTAGTTCATCGATCTACCTTTGCGGAACGCCACAAGATAGAGCCAAAGTCTCCAACTAACGCAGCCGGTAATGGAGTCTGAGCCAGAACTAGCTGGCGGTACAGATCTTCCAGCCGAATGTGTACTAACCGATTTAACTCCGCAAACTCGGGTCTTTCCGTGCATAAGTCGCTCGCATCTCGCAGCATTTCAGCGATGGCTTGACCAGCCAAAGGAGATACATATCCCTCCACGTCGTCAATCAGTTCTGGTAACGCGTCTTGCGTCTCCCCAAGATGGCTGCCGCTTTCGTCGCTGGCTAGACCTTTCATCACCCGCACAACCTCCAGCATTTCCATTTTGTCCTCCAACCCAACGCAATACATCCCGCAAAGTAAACTCCACTCTTTCTCTGAAGCAAATTCAGGCTGAACTGTAGGTAGTGCTCTAACCAGCGTATTTTCAGTCGGTCTTCGAGCACGAGCGAGTGTCAGGAAGACCGCCAGACCGAACTGGTATACATCATTCAATATGGCAGATTGGTCGCTGGTATTCTCAGGAATGCGCAGTAAGTTCGTTGTACTCAGTAGACCCTTGCCTCGAGAAGTTAAGAGACTGAGCTCACTCGCGGTCGTGCGTTGATATACAGCTCTGCGTTCATGCAAGTATACGAGCCCCAGTGCACACTCGAGAAGTATTTTCCACGAGACGTTACCAGAAATCTGTTCGCACCGCTCGACAACGATAAATGGCTCACCAACATGACATACACCGTAGAACCGCTGCAAGTGTGGATGCTGGAGTGGCGCTGTGATCTCCGCCTGCCGCAGACAGCTCTCTTCACGCCCATCGGCAGGAAAAATTTTCACCGCGTACTCCCAGTCGTAAGTTGTCGTCGTAAACCACGGTGGCATTGCCCGACCACCAAACCTGAGCGACGGACAACCCAATCATACGCACCCGAGATCAAGTCTAGTTCACGTGGCAGCAGTACATCGCCGTGCTCTTTGCAGCCCATACTTCAACAGCGTCAGTATTTCGATCTGTTCTTCCTCGGTTGCCACCTAGCTCTCGAGGCGTTTTGCTGCTAAGCCCGAGATTCGACAGAATTTGACAGCAAACCTGACTTGGCCTCTTCAGTACTTCAGCCACCAACGCCTCGTACATATCCAGTCGGGCCATACGCTCGTGAAGCATTTCATTCCACCACGACTCCGCGACAGCTGCGTCGTGAATGTTCAACACATCGAGTGAAGTCTTCACTGCTTGCTGGAGGATCTTTATCACTCGACCGGTGTCCGCCAACTTGACAAGTAAACGCTGTTCCTGTTCATAGCCCCCGAGTCTCTTGACAAGATCCCATCCAAGATTGATGAGTTCCATGTTGCCTGGGGAGGCCTTTTCAGCGTCCCGTAGAGCCGCCGCTAGCGAATCACCGATGGCATCAGCTGTTCGCACGAGCCCGCTGTGGGAGGAATGCCACCTGCTGCGCTCTGGTGTCCACAGCGCGGCGCCATGAAAAGTTGACCCTCGCGCGATCGAATCGCTCCACCGTCAAGCTCACGCCAGTCGACTCGACTGGGTCGAGAACGGAACAAATCTTTTGCTGCTAAGATTTGAAAATGATGGGGGGGTTTCTAAGAGAAGAAATCGTCACTTTCCGAGCTTGCACTTCCCGACCCCGGAAGTCTGCTACTGAAGTACTTTATACACAGTTGCTGGAACTCCTCGAAAACGCCATGTACTGTAGAACCCTTTGCTATGAAACCCATTGCGTGCATTACGTGATCAGATACTTTGCTGATCTAGAGCTGGGGGTACGAATGAACAACTTCGGGAATTGTGTCCTGGGCCACGGCATTTCTTGCACAGCCGAACACGCTGAGGTACTGCGTCTGGTGGTGGCGCGGAGTTTGGTAAGGGTGTCGTGTCTGGTAAGTCTTCACTGATATGTGCCTCATTCCCAATACGTTCGACGACTGTGTCACCCTCAGGCGCTGGCCTTTTATCTCCAACACGAGGTGCCGTGTTGGGGTCGAAATCGTTCTCGATGTCGTTGTCGTTCTCCTCAGATCCCGTTGCCTTGCGTCGGGAATTCGCCATGGACACTGGCGGAGCGCACGCGGGGTCCTCAGTAAGAGATGAGCCAAGAGGAAGCTCAACGGCCTTCCCTCTAAAGGCCAGCACGTAATTGTCCACGAGATAACCAGGAGCAAAACGGTCAACGACCGTGTCCATCTTCTCACAGAATAGCAGGACAGCAATGAGATGGCGACACGGAATGGCGTACTGGTCGATGAAGGCGCACGAGCAAGTGTTGGTCTGCAGATCCACTCGGCGGCGATGGCTTTGGTCCTTGTTGATCTGCGTCACAAATGCAACAGTCTCCGACGCTTGACTGACTTTGTACTCCCCAATGCGCTTGCACTCCGCGTTATAGAGATCTTGCGCGCCTTGAGTCACTTGTCGGTTCTGCTGCTTCCATGTACCAGCCAGCGTGCTGTGCTTAAAGGCGTCTTGCATGAAGGAGCTCATGACCGCTTCAAGGAACGCAAACGGTAGCATAGTCCTGTATCGGTCAAGCCCCGGAGGAATCGAAGCTGCCACTTCGGTACCAGCCGCTCGTGGAGGCTTCGGATTCGAGCTGGGAGCGATCGCCGCTGCAGCCAAGCTAGCTGCGTTGCTTGCAAGGGCACCAGCTCCTCCCATACCAGACCCGTTTCCTGCTCCAGAAGCCGCAAATTGCTCTTGCTCCGCTGTCTCGTAGAATGTCCGGCTTCGCCACCCGTAGAACGCCACCTTGCCAACATTCCCGGCCACCACCCAGCGCTCGATAGGGAATTGTCTGAGGTACGTCTCGACGCCAGGTCCGCACGTCGTGCCGATCCACTCGAGGCGGTTGTTGTACTCCGCTTCCGTCTCGGATCCTTGTAGCCCCCACACCAGCGCGTGGTGGTGGCGACTGAACGACCCCATCCGCGTCAAGTCGTGCTCAATGATGTATCTCGTGCAGTACCTGAACGTGAGTCCCAATTCGCTCTCCAGACTCAGCAGCTCCGTGTCGATAGCACAGAGCACGGGACAATACCTCAAACTTACGCCGCTGTCCTCCACACAGCGGAAGAACCACCGGTAATTGTCACTGGTTGGTGCGTCACAACACGCAGCAGCAACAGTCACGTTGCACATGTTGCCATCTTTTCCGAGCAGGAACAAGTGCACCCCCTGGTAGCTTGCCTCGCTGTTGTTGCACGGCCGCGCCTCGAAGCCGTAGATCTGCTGGTTGAACGTCGTCGATTGAGTAAACACGTTGCAGCTCACGAATGCTCGGGAGAACGCCCCCGGCACTTTGCTCTGTGGGCCCCCCACCTCGTACCGAGTGAACGAGCCCGGGTTCAACTCGGAGAAGTTGCGTAGCAGTGACGGGATCTTGCGGTAGGACGAGCCTACCTGTGTGAGGTGCTCTTTTTTCATGATTTGCTTGGCGCGGTAGATCGTGCGTAGGTTCGTTCTACCTTTGAGTTGCTGCAGCAGTTGGGAGGCTGTGCCATTGGGCGCGGCTGCCAAAGCCTGCTGGAAGCTGGAGCTCTCCACCAATTGGCGCTGCGTGGGCTTGGCCGTGGACGTGCACTCGGCGGAGTGTGTGAGGTCGGCGCTGGACACGTACCACGTGTGGTCCGTCTTGGAGTTGTGCAGGTAGAGCTGCACGAAGAACGGGCACGGCTCGGTAGAAGCGCACACCATTTTGCGGTGCTTGCCCCCGCGACGCGCCACCTTGACCTGCTTGTTGTGGTAGAGCGCGTAGTCCTGCACGGCGTAAAACGCGCTCTTGCTGTCCTTGAAGCGCATGCCCCGCGGTAGAGTGGGCGCGGGCGATGACGCGGAGAACGGTGAAGGAGCATTGGAGTCCGTGCTGGTGCTCGTGCTGGTAACGTTAGACTCGTCCATTTTGGCCAGAAGGAGAATATGTGGGCGGAAGACTCACTTGGATTCAGTATGGGGAGGTGGCACAGTTTGTCCAAAATGTAAATTACTTTTGTGGTAGCGTTTGAGGGGAGTGTATTAATTACTTGCAAATCAATTTCCAACACATTGGACCAAAATTAGTTGCGGAGGAGCCCTCGGCTACTGCTGCTGCGGGCTTCGCAACAGCCCCCGCAAGGCCCGTGGGGAATGAGCCCAAAGATCGGAAGAATTTGTCGGAGTACCATGCGATCATCAAGGAAAAATACCCAGGTCAGGCGGGTAGTAATGTGTATGTTGGCAGGTGGAAGTGAGCTCGGCGAGGAAGATTGAAGACTGATGTATTTCTTTGCTATGTAAGGCCACTTGGCCATGTTCACTATGTAGTTCTTGCCGCTGTTTGGTCAGTCCTACCTGTTCTCCTGCTGCAACGTCTCGTTCTCCACAATCTCCGCCTGCACGTTGGCGATGCCCACCACTTCATACACGCACACTCCCAAGATCACTGGCGAGTTCCGACACTCCTTCCCGTGCGGTCAACCTGAGAGCATCACAAGCCCACGCAGCTCAGCGAGCCGTGGCGCTGGGAGGACCTTCGTCAGGACGTCCGCACGCATCTTCTTGGACTCGCAGTAGTTGATCAGCAGCACCTTCTTCTTCACGAAGTCCTTCACGAACTTGTGGCGGGTGTCAATGTGCTTCGCGTGCCCCGTGGTGTCCTCGCCTTCTAGTTGGGCGATCGCTGCTTGATTGTCGACGTGCAGCAGCGACAGCATCCGCACCTTGATCCCTATCTCTTTCAAACACTCGATGACGCCGAGCATGCGCGCAGTGGTGTGCGAGGCCGCGACAAACTCCGACTCCATCGTCGAGAGCGCGACACACGCTTGCTTCTTGCACACCCACGCCACCACAGCGCCGGCCCATCATCACAACGCCACCACTCACGGACTTCCTGTCTATCTTATCGGCGCGGAAGTTCTTCGGGTCCTTGAGCATGACCGTGTTCACGCTGCCAACGGACACGTGCTTCTTGGCCATGTAGCGCGTGCGCATGCGCGTGGGCTGCACCTCTTCTGCTGGTAGCTGCTCTTCATCAGCGCCAGCTCCTTCTACTCCGGCAGCGTCTTCTGCTGCAACTGTTCTCTTCTTCTTGCTGCTCTTCTTCGACTTCTTCCTTGGACGCTTCTTCTTCGACTTCACCGCCGGGTCGCCGCTCTCGGGCACCTTCGGCGTCTCACTGACCTGCGACGAGTCCGCGACGGGCTCCTTCCGTTCCGCGGCCTGCTCGCGTTCTTCAACAGCTCTCTTCAGCTCGGGGTCCTCGCGCGCCTGCAGCTGCGCGTTCTGCTTGCTGTCCAGCGTCTCCACGTTCTCGATGTGCTGGGTGGTGATTACGATTCGGTCCTTCGGTAAGTACACTTTGAAGCCCTTCGTCTCGTCATTTTTGCCCACGATCATACCAACCTGTGCTCTGGACTTCCACACTTTCTTGCCCGGATCTCTGTAGGCTGTGCACGGGCTCCCGAACGTGACGATGTCGGACAAGTTCGGCACCTTGCCCGCCAACATCTCGAGCGGAGACATGCGCTTGGGGTTCGCGCTGCACGAGCTCGTGTTTAACACGAAAACAGCGTACTCCACTGCGTCTCCCCAGAAGTACAACGGCAAACCACTCGCAAACAGCATGCAACGTGCCACGTTCAGCACGGTGCGGTGCATTCTTTCCGCTTGCCATTCGATGCTTGATTCTCGCGCTCGCTAATCTGGCGTCTGACGCCTGTTTCCTTGCAGAACGGATCCACGTTCACGTACTCCTTGCCCCCGTCGGTACGTTGCACATGAATCCGGCAGTTGAATCGCTTTTCAAAGTACACTAAGAAGTGTTCAAACTCCTTTGTAGCATCCGCCTTGTTCTTCGCGAGGAAGACGCGCACGTAGTTCGTCGAGTAGTCGATGACGTTGATCAGGTACTTGTTGCCGCGCCTGTCCCTCGGGGTCATAGGGCCCTTAATGTCACTGCCGATAACGCCACCAATCTTGTCGATCGGTGCGTTCGCGCCCGTGTCCTTCTTGGACTGATTGTTCTTGCTCTGCTTGCCTTGTGCACAGGTCAAACAGTTGGACCGCTCTCTGCTTGTCAGCCGGATACCTGATCCAGGCGTGTCGGCCATGCGCTCGACTGTATCGTACACAATGTGGCCCAGCCTCTTGTGCAGTTCGAGCAGCGTCGACTCCATCACAACATCATCAAGCGATTCGCTCGCTGCCTTGACTGCCTCCGTCACCGCGTTGACGCGCGTCTCCGTGGTCATCTCACCCATGGCGTCGATCATCAGCACCTTGTTGCGCCTGTAGACCTCGAAGATCCGCATGCCAGTGTTCTCCTGCACCGTGTAGCTTGCCGCCGTGGCGCTCCAGATACACGCCCTTCTCCTCCAAGATGCCGTAGCTGATGATGTTGTCCGGTAGGTCATCGCCGTAGTAGACGTCGGACAAGTCCACGATGACCTCATTGCTGTCCACGATCGTCCGCAGCACCACCGTGCCCTTCTTGACTACGTGTATAAGATCACCGTTAGCCGCTCGGCACTGCTCGTCGCAGTCGACGGCGTTCCGCAGCAACTTCTCGTTCTTCACCAAGTGCACGCTGGACCCGCTGTCCCAGATCTACGTGCACGAGTCTGCGTTCGTGCCGGTTCCGACGGCCAGTGACTCGAGTAGATGTCTTAGCACCGCTGTTCTCTTTACCTGGGCAGTCTCTGGCTAGGTGCCCGGCTTCACCACAATTGTAGCAGGAGCGAGTCTCCGTGCCGTCAACACGGGCAACGGATCCTCGTCCACCTTGATCTCCACGGCCGCCACCGTGAAATCGACCGCCTCGTCCGCGGTTCCCGCGACCACCTTGGCCGCGCCCGATCTCCTGCTTGAGCATATTCGCCTCGAACTCAATCGCGAACGCCACCAACTCCGTGGCCTGCTGTAAGTAGTCGACGCGCTGCGAGTTCAGCCGCGTCAACATCGCACTCTGCAAGTACGGCGGCGCCGACTTGCACAGACTCTGCAGCACGTGCAGGTCCGAGCAGCCGGAGCGCTCAGCCCCGTACGTCAAGTACTGGCAGTGCTCGGCCCACGTCCTTCTCCGCAGTCATCAGCTGCAATCCCTTGCTCGCCGTGATTGTCGTCATGTACGATACGAGCATCCTGTTCATCACGTGTTCCAACGTGGGCGATTCGGCCGTCCAGAGCGGCACCATCCTCTCGAAGTACACAAGCGCTGTGCCATCGAGCTTACCATTGAGAGCGAGGATGCGGAACTCTTCCGGCCAGTCTCCTCCGCTCATTTCAGTCGCTGCAGGAACCTCAGTCCCCACGACTTGAAGTCCGCCCCCAGTCCCGGGTAGACTTCCTTACCCGAGAACTTCCCAAATCCGGGCCAGTCCAGGTCCCGCGGCTTCGGGATCTTGATGCCGAAGTTCGGCGGCGGCACGAACTGCTCCGGCGAGGGCGACGGCACGTACGGCTGCTGCTGCGGCGCCTGCTGCGGCTGCTGCACATTCGTCGCCTGCTCCACCGGACGCGTCGGCGCCGGGAGCGTTGGTGCTGTCGGTCCCACCGAGAGCATCGACGCGTCGAGAGGAGTCTACTCTCATTCTTCGGTCTCTGGCCTTGATAAAGTCCGTGAACGCGCTCGACGCGCCGTACAGGTTCTCGTACGGCGTCGTGTTCGACGGCTCGCTGCGACGCTGCAGCCGCTCCTGCAGTTTCACTTGATTGGCCATGAACTGGGCCTGCTGCTTGGCCATCCCCTCGAGCAGTCCTTCGAGTCTGTAAAGGCGCTCGGAGCTCTCGCTGGAGCCCCGACTGCCCCTTGCATGGGGGTCGGACGCGCCCGAGTCGAAGCGCGTCCCCTCGAACAACTCGAACGGGTCTGCTGCCACGTTCAGCCCTTGGACGTCGGTCTCGTGCACGTCGTGCGCAGGGCTTGGCCGTTGTGAGGTGTCGTCGGAGCCTATTGGGCTCATAACCTGTTGGTAGGTGGAAGTGAGCTCGGCGAGGAAGATTGAAGACTGATGTATTTCTTTGCTATGTAAGGCCACTTGGCCATGTTCACTATGTAGTTCTTGCCGCTATTTGGTCAGTCCTACCTGTTCTCCTGCTGCAACGTCTCGTTCTCCGCAATCTCCGCGTGCACGTTGGCGGAGATGCCCACCACTTCATACACGCACACTCCCAAGATCACTGGCAAGTTCCGACAGTGTATCCCTGGAGAGGGTCAAGTGCACGTCTCGCTTCTTGATGGACAGAGGAATCAGGCCCTCCGAGCCATTTCTCGCTTCGTTGCGGTACTTTGCTTATATGTATTGGAGAGTCGCTGACTAATGGTGGTTTGTTTGTCTGTTGTGCTCCGCAGCTGCCCAACATACCGATAGAAAGACTGGAGCAGAAGGTAAGGATGATTGGTTTTGCGCACTACTACGTCGTACTGTATTGAAGCTGTGCTGAGGAGCGATGCTATTTTTTTTTCCGGAACGTTAGATAGCTTGGTTTCGGATGTGGGGTCTCAGCCACGACACCATCAACAAGGCGATTCTGCGCAATCCGAATCTGCTGGGGAACGCGCTCACGAAATACGACGCATGGGCACATATTGGATCATCAAGCACGGTGTACCCAAGAAAAGGTAGAGGATAGCAAGCTACCAAATTGATTGAAGCTGGTGGGCGTTGCCTACGGGTTGTGTATGTCGTCCGTGCTACTGTAGCTTCCCTTCGTGTTCCTTGTTGCTGCCCGGACGATAAGCCTCAGCATCGAAGGCAACTTGGACCCGATGGTCGCTTTTTTCCGAGAGGTGAGCGCCTGCGAGCGAATATGGTCTACATCAAGGAGCTCGGTGCTCCCCGCGAGCGGCTGCATCATGTCATTAGCATGGCGCCCGAAATCCTTGCACTGGCGCCAGCGAGAATCCAAGAAGCTGTAAACGCGCTTGACGAGATGTTTGGTGCGGGATCAGGAGCTAAGTGCTGGTTCGGAACCCCCGCAACGTGATGTACAACGTCGACGGGATGCGTGAATCGTTTGACTACCTCGTTTCGGTGGTGGGGCTCACTCCAGAGCGAAGAACTGTTTCCTCATCACCCGGAATGTCACCAGATTCCTCAATCACGCTTCGAGTTTCTGCAAGCGAGGGGCGTGGATGCAGTTGCCAGTCCGCGTTGGATTTCAGACTCGAACCCCGCGTTCGTTGAGAAGTACCCCGAGTACGAAGAGTATCTGGCTGAGTTCAAGACGCGCCAATCTATAATTCATTACTAGGACGCGCATATGCACCCTCAACACATTGCCACAGTTCCATGAAGCATGAGGAACTTTTACCAATAGCAAACCGTCACGTACATTGTTCAGGAGGCGGCTAGCTTCAGCTCGTTGGTGTAAAACATGCCGTACCTCTTGGCCAACTTTTTCCCGAGTACTCCATATTCCTCCAAAATTTTGGCCTTGGCCTCAGTCGGATTCAGTTTCTTGGTGTAGAGAAGCTCGTTGAAAAATGAATACTCGCGAGCCGGATCCAGCCGCATGTACACGAACTGATCCAGTCTCTTGAGCTTCCCACTCGTGGTTTCGACCACGGCGGCCGCTTTCTTGGCAGCTTTAGCCGTAGTGGACGCTCCTTCTTGTACGTAGTGCGCTAGGATGACCCCTACACCCACTCTCTCTTCGCCACCCGCGTCCTTGGCTTTGGTGTCGGCATCGGCGAAGTTATAGCTGGCTCTTAAAAGCCTTCTGGTGCTGACCTCCACCTGCTCAGCACGAGAGTGAAGTGACGATTGATCACCAGGTACGTTTTCAGTCGGTGATCGGATGGAGCCCGAGCTGTCGTGAAGGGCAGCGACAATCAGGAGCAGCAATAGCCACCAGTAGGCACGCATTCTTGCGGGCTGTAAAGGATTGAACGGAGGCTCTTGCGATGTAGAAGTCGAAAGTAAGAGTGAGTGGCGCCACCTTCTGTGTGGCATCGGTTGTGTTAAATAGCGTCGTCCCACAATCAGGAAAATACATCAGTATCCAATAAGTCGCGTGGCCCTGCTACTGGATGCATGTACATGTATAATATCAGAAGCATTTCGGTTTTGTGAAGTTTTGATCCCAGGAAACCAGCCGCGAGTGACAGCCAGATCTGCTAGCTCAATGAGCTCCCCACCAAAGACATTTGCTTTCCCTTTCGTTCTCCAACACGTTAATTGTGCGCCACTATGAGTGACGAATCATGTCCGGGTCAAGACAGACAAATATCTCGGATTTACCCTGCTATTACACTGCTATAGGAAACCAGAGATATTCACCAGCGACGGTTGCTCATCATCTTCGAAGCAGCTCTCACAGGACTACTCGGGGTGGCAACCGAGCGCCTTCTGTCACGACCGCCGCCTCCAGCCTCGTTGGGTTTTGCTGCACGCAGTGGTTTCTCGCTGTCCGAGCTTGAAGAATACAGCAAAGATACCTCCGGGTTCAGCTTCTGGTAGATCTCCTTGAAAGTATCGAACTCGCGCTCGGCCCTTTGACGGCTAGCTGCATGGAGCGCTGCCTTGGCGTCAAATTTCTCGGTAGGTGTTGGGCCATCATTCGGCAACTGGACAAACAGGTATCCGAACTCGGTGCAGCATATCTTGGGGAGGTCTCGTCAAACCCCTGCAAGTACTCGTGCAGTACTTCATTGCGGTGTTGCGGTGGAATTGAGGCGGACAGTACTCGGATAGCCTCGTGCACTTTGATTAGTGCCTCGGATACACGTCTGCGATTTTTCACGTGTCCGATGATGTACACTGCCCACACCATATTTACGAGCGTGAAGAAGCCGATCGAAAAGCCCAGCCAACTGTGCTCCTGCCATTTCTCGCGCGATGGAAAGAGGCCTACAAAGAGAGGGAATAGAGCATTCTCGATCGCGACCAAGCACGCGATGATGAAGCAGAAGAAGACGTACTTGTCCAGCGTGGTGAAGTAAGAAATCTGCGGCGTCAACGACGCAACTTCGCTTTTGAAGGTCACAGCAGTCAACAGCAGTGTCAACACGATTTGAAGACGGTCGCCGGTGTCCATGAGCGATCCGTCGGACAGCGGCGCGTACGATATGAAGCACAAGTACGTGATGATAGCCGCCGGGATCGCCACATTCGTCACGCAGTATTCAGGCCGACGCTCGAGCACCATTTCGAAGCGGGTCTCCTTCTTCTCACCTTCAGCGTCGATCTTCCCCACGAAAACCTTGTCGTGGTACACCACATCAAACACGTTGCCCAGTCGGTAGTTGGCGATGGCGAATGTACCGGCATCCCTAGCGACAGGAGTGATACGCAGCGACTGACGGACACCATACCCAGTCGAAAACACGAACGTCAGCTTCTGCTGATCCACGGGGAATTTACGCAGGGTCATTTCCTCGCTGAAGACGGCAACAATACGACGGCTGAACATGAGATGACTAAGGAACTCCGACGTAGACTTCAGTGGCATCGCGAGACTCGTCGAGTCCGTGAAATGAACTGTCCCTGCTGGTGAGAGCTCTGAGGTCATGTCGCGCTCCTCTTGCATCGAGCTGGCGTTCTTGAACTCAAACTCGTTCTCGTCGAACTCGAGGATGTCCATCAACTCGCGCAGTACCGAGTCTTCGCGGATTGTTGTGATTGCAGGCATGGTCACCTCCCACGTTACATCCGCCGTGAACGTCTGGGCCACCGTGTCCACGGACGTAATAGCGTTCACTTCGATCTCCACTTCAAGCGGTGAGAACCCAGCCATCAAGTGCGCCGTCAATGGTCCATGGTGGCTGCTTCCAACGCTGTCTCGGTCGTGCGGTGGCATGATATCGCGGAGGAACCAGTGCTGCTTGTGCCCCCACCTGCCAAGCTGCATCTTCCAGTCGAAACGAGTCAACGGCAAGTCGGACGACTCGGCAGCCGCCAAGGTAGAGCTGTGGCTCTTGGCCAGGTCTCCAGACATTCCAGCAGCCTCGACTTTCTTGGCCAGTTCCTCCACCTCCGTGTGGGTCATCTGCGTCTTGCGCCACGACATGCAGTGCACCTTGCGGTTGTTGTCACTGAGGCGCATGATCTTCCAGATGCCGCCCACAGGCCACGTCAGTGTCAAGTACTCAGCATTAGCGAGGTACGGCTCTGGGATCGGGTGCTGTAGCTCCAGATGAAGATGATACTGAACGCGGTCGGTGCTGATATCCACGGCGACGTGTTCCAGCGTGAGCTTGTCTTTCAGCACAATACTCGACTACGACTGGGTCTCTTCGATCGTAACTGTGGTAGAGTCCTGGAGACTGTCCTTGCTCTTCATCTTGATGTTGCTCGCAAGGCTGGAAAATTGAAAGTGTACGTCAGCATTGGTAGATACCAGTGTCCTGAGAGCCGTGCATCAATGACTAGCATGTATGGTTGACCTCCCTTTTGATGATAACACTACACAATTGGTAAGTATAGCGAATGCAACACATTTCTCTACTAACGGGACGGATAGCATTTCTTACCTACGTCGGCGGTCGCTTATTCAACAAGATCTCGTCACTAACAAACTTGTCGCATCAATCAGACGACACCCGAGCTGTAGGTTAAACTTTCTACGATGCCTACGTTAACGAGAGGCTCGCCACAACTTCCTTCGAGCAGTACTACGCGTTGTTCGATAGATTATGCGTTGATTTGTACTCCGCGACGTAGTCTTCGTAGTCCGGGTACCTCTGGATGAAGAGGGCTTCCGGCATCAAAATCCACGAGAGGTTTTCAGTAATGTTGTGGTCCTTTGCCAGCAGAAACTGGGAGCGCGGGCGGATGATTCGTTCGGCGTTGCGTGTGATGTACCTCGTGTTCTTCTCGATACGCTCCCTCGTGAAGCCGAGCGAGATGAGGTAGTCCAGTGATGCACGCATGCTGTCGATGTTGTACATAACGATAATACAATTCCAAGTCAGAGCTCGAATGCCGGCCCCAGCCCCAAACATTTCGTCCAGCGCGTCCACTGACTCCTTGACCCGCGTCGATTTCATCCCCAGACACTGAGGCACTCTGGCAACAATGCACGGCAACAACTCGCGGCTTATCCCCAACTCCATCAAATAGTTCGTCTTGGCTCGCAATCCCTCCACGCTGTTGGAGAAAATCTGCGGAGCCATCATCAGGACGCTCGTGATCTGCTTATCGCTGCATCCAATCTCCTTCAGGAAATCCACTTTTGGCTCTAGGTTTGTGTCGATGCCGTACGATACTGCTTGTGGGAACACGTTGAACACATACGGAAGCTGCGCACACGCACGCGGTCAGTAAGTCCATGAACCTTTGTCTTCAAACGCCAAAAGCATCACGCACCTTGTTTTTCGACACTCCTTTCGAAATGTACCAGTCGGCTAAGGCTTCGTACTTGTCAATAGCGATTCCGAGGATGTTGGGGTGGCGCTTAATGACGACGTTGATCTTGTCGTGACTGAGACCCAAGTCACGGAGCCACTGGATCTGTCCATTTTGCACACGTAAAACTTTACGTGAGCCCCCTACTTGAAGCCTCATCAACATCAACCAAGGCAGTAGTGATCGCGTACCTTGCCCTCCATCAACTCGACCGTGTAGTAGGTCAACTATTGTAGTGCAATATACAAGACCCCGGTCAGTTATCCCACATTGCAATTGTTGGAAATACTGCAAATTCAATAGTGAAAACCCCACCCCGACGTGCAGCGAGATCGCTTTCAGTGCCTGCAACTGGGTGAATCCTCGGTCCATCAGGAAGCGTGTGGTGCGGTCAACTCCCTCCTGGGAGACCACGAGCTGTTTGCGGTTGATGCGGTCGTAGTACACGATCTGCTTCTTCCGCTCCTCAGCCGCGTTCTTCGGGGCCTGGAACGGGGCGGCCCCGAAGCCCCTGGAGAGCCCCCGCAGCGGCTGGGGGCACCTGCGCACAAGTCGCAGCATATTGGTCGGGGACTGACCGTGGGCGGACGACCGCCGTTGTCAATTGACGAGAAATGATTGGTTGAAAATTGTTTTGTTTTGCTGGAAAAAAAAACGTGTCGGTGGGCGTAAAATTTGCAAGACGTATCGTATCACCTGGACATGTAGAGAGGGAAGTTACTTGAAATTGGCGGGAATGGGCCGCATTTGTGTTTAGTGCTACAGTATGCGCGAACTGCAAGATGATCGCTTGCATCGTAGGCATGGAACATTGTTACTAAGTACAGAAAGCGGAATTTGTTGAAACTCTGTTGATAAAAGTGGGTTGATCCCATCAACTAAACTCGTTGTCGCTAAAGCGCGTGTTCGGATACATAAAGACACACCGGACTTGGGATCTGGTACGAGTTGCCCGTGTACGTCAGCAACCCCGTATCCTCGTCCACCTTGAAGACGTACATGTCGCTCGAGTTCTGGTTGCCCACGATGAGCCAGTCATTGTAAATGGTGAAGCCGCGAGGCGTCTTGCCTCGCGTGCCAGCGACGTCAGTGTTCCCTTTGCCTCGTCGATAACGAAGATCGCAATGGAGTCGTGTCCGCGGTTGGACGTGTAGAGGAACTTCCCGTTGCTAGACAAGTGGATGTCTGCACTCGTACTGGTGTTCTTGAAGTCAGCCGGTAGCGTCGTGATCTTCTGTCAGCAGCGTATCGCCACCTAAGTCCGCAACGATCATGTGATTCGAGTTGGGCAGCCACTGCGTGCTGTGAATATGACCCGTAGCCTGTTGGTCCATGACGACGCGGCATCCGTTCGGGAACGCCTCGTAGAACGTCCCCGGTGCGACCGTGCCGTTCTCATACAGCGGGAAGAGCGAGAGGCTGCCGGCATAGTTGGCCACAGCAACAAAGTCCTCGTTAGGACTCAGCGTGACGTGAGCCGGAGATCCGCCCTGCATCTGCTGCGTGTTGAGGACATCGAGCGTGCCGTTGGCATTCAGCGTCATTGCCGACACGTACCGACCCCGGTGGCGCGGTTGAGGCCGTAGATGAGACGCTTGCCGTTGTGCAGCTTGTTGATTGATTCCTGGAGGTAAGTGGGGTTGATTCCTCCGGTACCAATGAGGAAGGGGGTGATCGCCCACTGCGTCAGGGATCCGTCCGTGGTGTTGAACTTGTACGTGTAGACGCCCTTCGCGGGGTCGGTAGTCCAGGTAGCTGCGAACAGGATCGGCTGGGCTTGCTCGTTGTGGGGCGTCGAACCGGCAGCGGCGGATCTCATGGCAGTAGCAACGAAGAGGAAGAGGCTTGATAGGCGCATAACGGTGACTGCGTTGGAAGGAAGTGTCTTGAGCTCGAGGTGTCGTGTTGGGAAATGAGCTGTGCACGAAGTACAAATCGCAGTGCTCCCAGTCGCCCATCGAATTTAGTTGGTGGGTATATAGTTGTGCTTGCTTCGAGTTACCTAGCATATATTTAAAATACTCCGTTCATCATGCTGTGATTCATACACTCACCCAGAAGTTTTACGCTAATACAGATGGAAGTGCCGGTGACTCAACATTAAGAAAGAAGCTTACGGGATGGCAGCAATAGTTGACGGGACGGTTGAGTGGTGTCTTCCAGAGAAACACCAGTCAGTTTTCAATTAAGCTTATGAAGATTTTTTCCTAGTGGCATCTGACGTTTGTAGCTGTAAAGATTCGTTGTGTGGAATTGCCTATCATACCAGCATTTTTTTCTCTTGGAGACCCAGACACTGGAAGTGCTAATAGCGTACCTTGGTTTGCTGCACGACTCGGGTTCGTAAACTGAATCAATTAAGGTATCTTCGAGTCTAGATGAATTGATTTCCTTGCTGTACCTTTCGACTAAGCATTTCACATCGGAATAAAAACAATACTCTTAACACTTATAGGTGTCACATTTCGCTGAAAGGCTCGAATCATTATCTTTTCGAAACGAGAAAACCTTTTTACCCCACGTTTGTAACCTTCGCTGGGTGCCCCAACAAGTTGGGGCACCAACCATGATATTTATGGACTAAACAGTGTTTTTTGTGGTGTTTCTAGAAGCCCCACGCTGCACCACAGCCAAGATGCCTGCTTCCTCAACGTCTTCCATCTCTTCACGGTAGCCGCATGGACATACGAGAAAGAGGAGTGAATTAGTGCACACTAACGTTCTGTGCTGACAGGTCCTCCAGTAACAGTAGCAGTCGAAGCGCGTCGAAAGGTACGACGGGAAGAGGGTCGATAGAACGGTCAAGCACATAACCTGCTGTGCTGGTTTCTTTTATTTAAATGTAGGTCCCTCGCTACTCTTACGTGCTGAAAGCGACTTCGACGAGGTAGTTGTTCAGAATCGGATATGAGGGCGATACTTTCTCTGATGATGAGAGCTGGTTAATTATCTTGGATTTTAGACTCGCTCGGTAGCCTCTTCGGCAAGCTTAAGGAGCTCCACGTCGACTCTCTCTCGCTCCAGCAGAGTCACGGGGGCTGTCTCGGCTTCGCTCGCAACTTCTTGTACGTGATTCTAACATTACGTCGTCAGTTCTCGGCAAACTAATCGCGTCCACAGGCGTCTCACTCCGGGAATTGGAACTTCGCAAGAGTCAAATTGAGCACGAGCTAGCGCGAGTTCAAAACGAGTTGCAGATCCGAGAGTCGCAGCACGCGGCGGCCCGACTAGCGTCCACGCCAGGGCAACAAGGAACGAAATCAAAACTTGCCTGAAGTTTTCTAAGCGAGTGACTGGGAAGATGGCTGGCTGCTGTTTCGCTCAGCCCAAGCCATGGCGGCATACCCGCATACTCGAGAAAGATTGTAGACGCAGCCAGCTTCAGTACATGGTCTAGTATCGAAATCTAAAACCGTGTCCGTTTTGGGCATTTATCGATATACAAGCGACTTTGTGCACCGCACAGCGGAGCACCAGTCGTCACTGAAAGGTATGGAACCGATGCAGGTTTTGCAAGTGCACTTGACAATTTGCAAACGCAGGACTTCACCTCACTAGTGAAGACGTACTCGGACACGTAGAGACACACTGGCCCCGGGATCTGGTACGAGTTGCCCGTGTACGTCAGCAACCCCGTATCCTCGTCCACCTTGAAGACGTACATGTCGTTCGTGTTCTGGTTGCCCACGATGAGCCAGTCTTCGTAAATGGTGAAGCCGCGCGGTGTTCTTCCTCGCGTGCTCTCCCAACCCAGCGACGTCAACGTGCCATCTGCCTCGTTGATCGCGTAAATGGCGATCGAGTTGTGGCCGCGGTTCGACACGTAGACGAACTTGCCGTTTTTGGACAGGTGAATGTCCGCTGCAGTCGTCGTGGTCGTGAAGTTGGCGGGGATCGTCGAGATGTTCTGAACGGCTGGACTCTCTAGTAGAGCCTCCTGCTGGTTGATCTTGTACACTCCAACGGCGTTAGATAGCTCGTTCGTAACATACAGGAAGTCTCCATTCGAGCTAAGCGCCGAGTGGCGGGGTCCCGATCCAGGTGGACGGTATACCGTGTCGAGGCTGTTGAGCGTCTGATTCTTCGCGTCCAGCTCGTACTCCAGCAGCGTATCACCGCCCAGGTTCGCAGCGACGACGTGGTTCGAGTTGGGCAGCCACCTCGTGCTGTGGATATGACCCGTGGCCTGGTTGTCCATCACGACGTGGCTGCCGTTCGGGAACGCCTCGTAGAACGTCTCCGGCGCGACCGTGCCGTTCTCATACAGCGGGAAGAGCGAGAGGCTGCCGGCATAGTTGGCCACAGCAACAAAGTCCTCGTTAGGACTCAGCGTGACGTGAGCCGGAGATCCGCCCTGCATCTGCTGCGTGTTGAGGACATCGAGCGTGCCGTTGGCATTCAGCGTCATTGCCGACACGTACCGACCCCGGTTGCGCGGTTGAGGCCGTAGATGAGACGCTTGCCGTTGTGCAGCTTGTTGATTGATTCCTGGAGGTAAGTGGGGTTGATTCCTCCGGTACCAATGAGGAAGGGGGTGATCGCCCACTGCGTCAGGGATCCGTCCGTGGTGTTGAACTTGTACGTGTAGACGCCCTTCGCGGAGTCGGTAGTCCAGGTAGCTGCGAACAGGATCGGCTGGGCTTGCTCGTTGTGGGGCGTCGAACCGGCAGCGGCGGATCTCATGGCAGTAGCAACGAAGAGGAAGAGGCTTGATAGGCGCATAACGGTGACTGCGTTGGAAGGACGAGAGTTGGAAATGAGGACATATAGGATCATGGGGTTGTCTAGCCGTCCACTGAGCCAGTGGCACTGATCCAGTTGGTGAGCGGTATGGGTGGTTCGGCCTGGCTCACGCTGGCCGGATCCGACTCGCACATGTGAGTCTCACCAGAAAACGGCGGGGATATTTTTAAATGGGTCTTATGCAGAACAGGTCTTGGATTTGATCAGAGCGTACTTTTTCTTTGAACTTGTGATTGGATCACATTCGCCATGTTTTGACGACAAACGCCAACCTTTAGCAGAATACTAAAGCCCTCAAGCCTCAGCGCAGTGGCTGCCATGACGCCGGCAACTATCATCAAGTTGCCAGCGGCTCGGTTAGCGGGGTCTTCCAGCCCTAACGGTCCAACCCGCTATGGACTGAGCCTCCTCTCCACCCATTCCAGCAACCACAGCGAGCTGCTGGACGTGGAGCTAGGAGATCCAGGTGCAACAGCAGCAGGCCGCGGCGCGCCGGCGGAAGGTGCGCGTGGCGTTCTCCAGCTCGTCGCTGACCAAGTCGCCGCTGGCACAAGACGGCTTCTGCGCTCCAAGGAGAAGGTGGGCGTGGGCGCGCTTGCCGTGTGAAGTGCGGCACGCATCTCGTGATCGAAGGCCGCGCGCGGCGGAGCCCGTCTCGATGGTGTCAACGTCGCCCGAGCTCCTGGTTCCCGCCAGTGCCGTGAGGGTGTCCATGCTGTAGCAGGAGAATCCCAGGTCGGTGGAGCTCAGCTTGGGCACCGCAGCGCTTAGGCCCTCCCGCTGCAGAAGACATCCGTTCGAGTTTTGTTGCGCGGGCGACGATTTCGTCGTGTGCTAGGCCCGCATTCCCCTTCGACGGCCGGTCGGAGGTGGCCCACTGCTTCGCTGCTTACGAGTTCCTCGGACGGATACGTGGGGTCCAGTTAATACTTCAGCTTGAAGCTCGAGTCCAGCGCCGCCGCGTCGCCCCGCTACGAGTCATAGCCTACGACGTCATCTACGGCGACGTTAGACGCGGACAAGAAGAATGCAAAACGAGGACACCAAGCCCGAGGATAAGGACAGTGATTCAGTGGTGGGGAAGATGCAGGTCGCGGCGCTAACACTGAGATGAGTTCATCGGGGCGGGGGCAAAGAGAGCAATATTGTGGTCAAGATCAAGTCTCACCGCACCCCCAAGCTCTTCATCAAGGTCAGCACGTTCCGGGGACCCCCGTGCGGCACTCCGTGCACCGGTTACGTGAAGGAGAAGCGCAAGTCGGACACTTGACTGCGTGGTCACAGCTGAAGCCCTCGCCAAGCACTTCTCGTAGGTTGTCATATTCGCTACGGAGGGGATGAGCAGCAACTCGAGGTTCGTGCAGGCGGCATCTTCACCCTGTAAAGCGATGCATCGCACGAAGCATGCCAATCCACGTGGGGTTGGCCGCCATTCTGCTCGAAGGCGCTCGCAGCTACGACTAGACCGTGCTGCCTTACACAGTGGCGTAGAGGTCATTGCTACGTCCAATACATAGTTGGCATATCGAATCAAATACAATTGTCTCACTATACATGTATGAGAGACCAGTGTGTGAGCTAACCGCCTAATGCATCTTGCTGCGGCTACGGTACCAACTCGGAAGAGCAGCAGAATATTGCAAATAGAGGTGCAGGTATTAGGAAGTGACTAAGGACGTATCGGGGGATAATGTCTGCTCATTCAGAGAAGGCCACCTTTCGTCTACAAGAAGCTTGGTTATTACTTGGCAGAGCAGAACGTTGAACGGAGCATATCCAGATAGAGAAGAATTGTCGTGTCATGTTCCACTCCTGTGGGTGTTTGGTTCAGGTCTACCGATTCGGTCTCATAATCAGCATTTTCAAATCCTAGACCTGATCAGCATAAGAACCAAAATAAAGGCGGTCTGTCTTGGTAGTCGCTAGCTCTTGATCGTTTGTCCGGGAATCTGTGAGCAACTGGTGACAAATGCGGATACGTGTAGGTTCTGAGAGCACAGAAATTGAATAAAGTGTCCATGCAGTACGAGTGATGCAGACTCCACCATCCACGCTGCACCGTTATGTCCCAAGACGTTTCCGATTTGGAATCCCAATATCGCTAACAAGTCATGCTGCAGCAAATACAAACACGCGTTGAATGTAGCCACAGTCAAGATCGATGGTTTCACACGTGATACATCACACCTGACTTCAGGAAGCGATGGACATCGATGAAGCTCATTGTTTTTTTGCACCAGAAAACGGCGGTCTCACAATGTGAGACCGCCGTTTGGTTGTGCATATTTGCATATTTACGAAGTTCTATAACTAGCAGGCCCTCCAGTGGTTTCTGAACTATCAGCGAGGACGCCTCTTCCCTCTAAGAAAATACATCTCCAGAGCAACGCTGTTGCTCGCTCTTGCTTAACTCCTGCTTCCGACTTCGCTTCCTCAGCTTACGGATTGTTGTTCACCCAGACGTGGGGTGGCACCATATTGCAACAGCATTGGTCCATTTTCGTCCTTCCCAGCAGTTGATGCGAATTTCGCTTTTTGTGACGATATTTCGGTAATCGCACAATGCAAGTGATATTGAAGTGGGTTGATCCGCATATTAGCAAGCACCAACTCGCTGTCGCTAAAGAACGTATTCAGATACATAGAGACACACTGGACTTGGGATCTGGTACGAGTTGCCCGTGTACGTCAGCAACCCCGTAACCTCGTCCACCTTGAAGACGTACACGTCGTTCGTGTTCTGGTTGCCCACGATGAGCCAGTCTTCGTAAATGGTGAAGCCGCGCGGTGTTCTTCCTCGCGTGCTCTCCCAACCCAGCGACGTCAACGTGCCATCTGCCTCGTTGATCGCGTAAATGGCGATCGAGTTGTGGCCGCGGTTCGACACGTAGACGAACTTGCCGTTTTTGGACAGGTGAATGTCCGCTGCAGTCGTCGTGGTCGTGAAGTTGGCGGGGATCGTCGAGATGTTCTGAACGGCTGGACTCTCTAGTAGAGCCTCCTGCTGGTTGATCTTGTACACTCCAACGGCGTTAGACAGCTCGTTCGTAACATACAGGAAGTCTCCATTCGAGCTAAGCGCCGAGTGGCGGGGTCCCGATCCAGGTGGACGGTATACCGTGTCGAGGCTGTTGAGCGTCTGATTCTTCGCGTCCAGCTCGTACTCCAGCAGCGTATCACCGCCCAGGTTCGCAGCGACGACGTGGTTCGAGTTGGGCAGCCACCTCGTGCTGTGGATATGACCCGTGGCCTGGTTGTCCATCACGACGTGGCTGCCGTTCGGGAACGCCTCGTAGAACGTCTCCGGCGCGACCGTGCCGTTCTCATACAGCGGGAAGAGCGAGAGGCTGCCGGCATAGTTGGCCACAGCAACAAAGTCCTCGTTAGGACTCAGCGTGACGTGAGCCGGAGATCCGCCCTGCATCTGCTGCGTGTTGAGGACATCGAGCGTGCCATTGGCGTTCAGCGTCATCGCCGACACGTATCCGACTCCGGTTGCGCGGTTGAGGCCGTAGATGAGACGCTTGCCGTTGTGCAGCTTCTTGGTCGATTCCTGCAGATACGAAGGGTTGATCCCTCCAGACCCGATGAGGAACGGTGTGATCGCCCACTGCGTCAGGGATCCATCCGTCGTGTTGAACTTGTACGTGTAGACGCCCTGCGCGGGGTTGGTAGTGTACGTGGCTGCGAACAGGATCGGCTGGGTCGAACCGGCAGAGGCACCGGTCAAGGCGGTAGTGGCGTAAAGGAAGAGGCTTGACAAACGCATAGCGGCGGCTACGGAGGAGGGCTGGTTTTGAGTTCCAGGCGTAAAATTGGGAAGTGAGCGAGACCTCGGAGGCAAGCGGCAAGTTGCTTGCAGAAAGCTGCTTACGTGCCAGGGGCCACAGTGACTGGCAGTGGCGCGGTGCTACTGGCACATAAGCAGTTGGCTGATCGACTGACTTCCCAAAGCCAGACGTGAGGTGGTAAGTGTGAAACTCTACAGTGCATGCAGACCTTGACGACTTCGTCTTGAAGTCATAGCAGACCAGAAGTATTAATTTTCCGGCTAATCAAATTGGTTATTAGTCGGGTGAGGTGAACCCGAGCCTGTGGGTGTCCGCATGGAGAAGGACACTTTGGTCAGCTGTCGCGCTACCGTGGGCCTGCACATGTCCGTGTTGATCCACCTCGCCCTCGCCGCAAAAAGTTGCTGCAAATCCCGATGCTCTCAATGTTGCGCTAAGCCGGAGCTTCAAGTAGGTATTACCTTAGTGAGCTCACGTCACTGGGAAGCAAGCAGGCACGTCAGCTTTCGCGCCGATCCCCAGCCTTTCCTACCAGAATGAGCAGCACCACCATCGCCTTCATCGACTGCTCCGCGGGCATCGCGGGCGACATGCTGCTCGGCGCGCTGATCGATGCGGTGCGTCCCAAAGTCCCCTCACTGGCTTTCAAAATGCAATACTCAGTACTAACCTCTGTATCATTCGCAGGGCGCTCCACTAGACGACATCAAGCGCGGACTCGAGTCTCTTCATGGCATCAAGGGCGAGTGGGAGCTCAGCACCAGTCGCGCGTGGAAGGGCCCTGGCAGCATCGCCGGCACCAAGGCGCTCGTGGGCTCCATCTACCAGCACAAGGAAGCCGCCCCTCCTACGCCGGGCGATGCGCTCCACCACACGCACAGCCATGGACATGGCCACAGCCACACGCACTCGCACAGCCACGCGCACGACGAAACCCACGCCCACACTGAAGAGAATGCTGCAGAGGACGACGTGGAGGCGGAAGCTGTTGGCGTTGAGATGAGCCACTCGCACTCCCACGAACACCACGAGCATTCCCATGGAGAGGAGGAGCACGGAGAAGAGTCTTCGCACTCGCACGAGCACCACGAGCATGAAGGAGAGCCCATGCGCAACTTGGACGACATCAAGGCTCTGATTGCAGAGAGCGATCTGTCCGACTGGGTGAAGGAGAAGAGCGTCGCGGTCTTCACGCTGCTGGCTCAAGCCGAGGCGCACACGCACGGCACGTCGCTGGAGGAGATCCACTTCCACGAGGTGGGGGCGATCGACAGCATCATCGACACCATTGGCTCGGTGATCGCTCTGGATCTGCTCGGTGTGCGCGAGGTGCATGCGTCCTTCCTGCCCTTCTCGTCGGGGACTGTCAAGTGCATGCACGGAGTCCTGCCCGTGCCTCCACCGGCGACGTTCCGTCTGATGATTGGCGTCCCCGTGTGTCCTGCCCCCAAGGGGTAAGCTTGCTGTCTAACGCTTTCTATTGATGTAAGAACGGTGCTTAATTGCCTGCGCTTTCTGTAACTATAGGGCGAAGGGGGAGCTGGTGACGCCGACAGGAATCAGCCTCGTCAAGGCGCTGGCGTCTACGTTTGGTGAGCCGCCTACATTCATTCCGACGCACACTGGTGTCGGAGCTGGAACGAAGGAGTTCCCTGAGCACGCCAATATTGTTCGCGTGGCTATCGGAACGAAGATCGACCCCTTGGCTTCTCAGAAGAGCTACGTCAACCCTGCCGCCCCGAGGTCTGCTGAGCCCGCTTCGTATCCTTATGCCACGGAGAAAGTCGTCGTGCTTGAGACCAACCTGGATGATTTGAACCCGCAGGTAATCGGCTACGTCTCGGAGCGGCTTCTGTCGGAGCACCACGCGCTTGACGTGTGGAAGCAGCCCATTCAGATGAAGAAGAACCGGCCTGGTGTCTGCATCAGGTATGGAATTTGCTACTGGTGATTAGGTACCCGGTATAACTCTGCTTGTGTCGAATCCAGCATTTTGTGTCGAGCTGAGCATGAGCAGGAGATTTTAGAGACCCTCTTCCGCGAAACCACGACGCTCGGTGTCCGCCGGTACGTGCTAAGAACTATTGGCTGATACGGCTAGCTCACTGTACTAACACTTTTGTTTTGAATGGATTAATCGCACGAATAAACGATCATTTGGACAGCAATGTGATGGATCGCGTTTTCCTTTCTCGCAAGTTTGTGTCTGTCTCCGCGTTTGGACGCTCGGTCGACGTCAAAGTCGCATTTCTGGGGGATGAGGCTGTGAATGTGCACCCCGAATTTGAACACTGCAAGGTAAGATCTCGATCTCCTTTAGCTGTTGACGTTTCTTGCTTGATTGTTCACGTATTCTTGATGTTCAGGCGATCGCTGCGGAGCAGAACTTGCCGTTATTGCAGGTCATTGACGAGGTGAAAGCTCTTGCTCTTCCACAGATAAAGACGCAAACACCGAAGTGAAAAATGGTGTGGGAATAAAACGCATGGCATTGCACCGCTAAATCCACAAACTTGTTTCTGGCAGTTTATCTGCCAAAAGCTCCGACTTAGCAACTCATCTCTTAGCCATCTGCCAGATATTCTTCAGCTCATGCATTCCAGCACCATTGCAGAAAGCAGCTAGGCGGCCCGGAAGAATGCACTGCGCCATGTTTGCCACCAAGTAGGCGAACCACGTGTTGTACACGAGCACCTCGCCGTTGAACATGGCGTCCAACGCCGTCTTAGCCGTGTCCTTGGCATCCGCCGTGATCCCTGGGACCGTCATACACACTGCCTTGTCAAGATCCGCCGTCTTGCTGAAGTTGGTAGCCACAGGCCCGGGACACATACATGTGACGGTGACGCCGGTCGAGCGCAGCTCGTAGCTCAGCGCCTGGCTGAAGCTGGTCACGAAGGCCTTGCTGCCGCCGTACAGCGCCGCCGTGGGGACTGCATGCGCCCCCGCAATGGAGCTGATGTTCAGCACACGTCCGACCTTGCGCTCCACCATCTGCGGCACGATGGCGCGCGAGAGCTTGATCATGGCGTGCATGTCGAGCGTCATGAGCTGGTCGATCTCCTTGTCCGTGAGCTGCGTGAAGTCCTTGGTCAGACACGCACCCGCGTTGTTCACGAGGATGTCGACCACCAGCTGCTTGTCCTTGACGAACTTGATGAGTTTGTTAATGCCCTCGGTCGTGGCCAGGTCGCACGCGCACACCAGCACCTCGGCGGGGCGGTTCACGAGCTCGATCTCCGCGCGCATGCGCTCCAGCGTCGTCTCGGTGCGCGCGGCCAGCACCAGCGAGTACTTCTGCTCCGAGAGCAGGTAGCTGATCTCCCGGCCGATGCCCGACGACGCGCCAGTGACCAGCGCGTAGCGCTTGAGCTCGGGCGTCGTGGGCTCGAAGTTCCAGAGGTGGTAGCGCGTCAACGCCAAGTCCAGACTCGCCGCCAAGAAGTACAGGAACAGCAGTACGCGCACCACGCGCGCCACGGAGGAGGCGTCCACGTAGGTCAGAGCGAGCACCAGCACGCCCGCCAGGTGCGCGGGCTTCCACACCACGTTCACGCGCTCGCGGCGCCGCGGAGCTGCCCCCGACATGTTGCCACAGTTGCGTTGATACGCGCGACTTGAACTGACGCAGTTTGTGTCGGCGTACACCAAAGCGTACCCGGAGTGGTACACACTTGATTGAAGCGGCCCATCCCCATAACGCAATAGAGAGATTACTCAATGGCGAACGATATCGACATCGATATGCTATTATGCGTGACGCTTTATAACGATAAGTGTCAACTTGACCGCATGCGTGGTCCTGCCTGACGTGTCATTCCGGATCAAGCGAGCCCAAGTGCAAGTAGGTCCCCGACGACGATGCTGGAGCTGCTGACGTACAAGATCTACGGGGCGCCGGCCTACATGGTGGTGCCCTTCGTGGTGCTGGTGCTGATCTACGTGGTGCTGGTGGTGCGCTTCATCCTGCACATGCGCGGCCTGAACGTGAGCTTCACGGGCAAGAAGCGCAAGATGGCGCTGCTGCTAGGCCCGCGCCACGCCGGCAAGACGAGCTTCTTCCACCTCATTCGCGACGGCGAGCACGTGGACACGGTCAGCTCCATGAAGGAGCAGACCTTCCGCTTCGTGGTGCACCCCAAGTACAACCCGGACAAGTTCGACGCCGAGCTCACGGTCGTCGACTACCCCGGCCACGAGCGCCTCCGCTCGTACGACGCTGCTCTATGCAAAGCTATTGCAATATTTAGGGGGTGGGAATCTGACGTTTTGTGCTCGTAATTGCAGGCGCGTGGCGGACTTTTACCCCGTGGCGGGATGCATCGCCTTCTTCGTGGACGCCAGCGACGTGCCGTCGTTCCGCAAGGCCGCAGAGTACGCTGCCATTGTACTGCAACTATTGCAATATCGGGGTGGAGGTTCTGATGTGGTTGTTGTTGTGTGTTCAGGTTCCTGTACGACATCTTCGCCAACAAGAAGGTGAACGACCAGGCGCCTCCGATCATGGTGGTGTGCAACAAGAGCGAGGCCTCGGGCGCCTCCAGTCCGCAGGCGGTGCGTGACGCGCTGGAGAAGGAGCTGACGCAGCTCAAGACGACGCGCTCGTCCCTGGAGACGGAGGGCGACGAGGACGAGCAGGATCTGTCCCAGGTCCCGGTCGGCCGTGACGGAGCCAACTTCGAGTTCGATGTGGACTCGCCCTGCGAGATCTCGTTCGTCAAGTGCAGCGTCAAGGACGCCAACATCCACGAGGTGGTGACCTTCATCCAGCAGCACTAGGACTGAGAACTGCGTTGCAGACTAGGTAGCGATCAACGAGTGGGGAGTTATGACCAACAACGCTCAAACTAATACACAGTGCCTGCTAGTGTAGTGTGTCTGCTTTGGGGGTAGATGGGGGTGCTATTTGCATGGTCTTTCTCGGCCAGAGGAGGTTTAACTGCTAGCTAGTCTATGCCGCGATGCTGTTGCCCAGTCCGTAGAGCTGACCAGAGTACTTGGCTACGTTCTCGACCTTGCTGTCGAAGAAGACCTCAACCATCTTGAAGAACGTGGCGGCCGTGAGCAGCGCGTCCGAGCCGGCCTGGTGCATTGTGCCTATTCTCTCCACCTTGAGGTCCTCGGCCATGCGGCTGAGACCGCCGAGCTTGTCGAAGTCCATACCCATGTGCTTCAGGTCGTACGTGGCCGGGAAGTACGTGTGCAGCAGGTCGAAGAACGTGTCCTCCTCGGCGGGCAGCGGCGCGCACGTGAGCACCTTGAGCAGGTAGCCGAAGTCGGACGAGCCGTGGAACGAGACCCACTTGACGTGGTCGCCCAGCACGAGGCCGGAGGGCACCAGCAACTCACCAAACCTGGCCACCTCAATGCCCTGCTCCTCGTGCTTGGCGAAGTCGATGCCTGCCTGCTTGAGGATCTCGATCGAGTCCTGCGCGTACATGTCCTCGCTGAGGCTGAACTTGAAGTTGAACTGCCACACGGGCAGGTCCTCCATGTACGAGCCGTCCTCGTTGAAGAAGGCCACGCCCAGCTGGATGATCCGCAGCAGGTCCACGTTGCAGCGCAGCGTCTGGTACTGGTAGTCGGACGACGTGGTGAACGAGCCGATGGGGCGCGCCACGACGCCCGGATACTCCGTGTCCATGGCCACGTAGCAGCCCTTGGTCACGACCTCGCGGATGGTCTTCATGGTCTCCTCCAGGTTGGTCTCCCACACGTCGCGGATTTCCACCTCGGCGGGCATGGGGCGGGCCGACAGCATGGCTAAGGAGGGCGTTCGGAGGTGTTGGGGGGTCTTACTTAACCGATACCTGAACTTGAGCGGACTGTTGCGCCGGATCTAGAGCGATTCAGACGACGGGACTTGCACGACAGGCACTGCACGCGTCTGGAGAAAGAGTCTGCGCTGGTTGCGCGGAATTTACGGCCACGACGAGAGCTACACACGCACGCGCACAGGGCGACACCGTCAAAGTCGAGAACCTCACCTCGTTCTTCTGTGTCGGCGGGGAGCTCTATTGTTCCTTTAGGGTTCGTCCCGATTAAGTGCGAAAAAACGCATAATTTTCGCCAATGAAAAACGTTCCAGCTCCGACCAATGAGATCGCGCCGAACTATTGGCACTGCAACGGCCACACATCCGCATCAAACCGGTGCCAAGATGCTGTCGCTGTCGCTCCTGGCCGCCCGCGCGCGGCTGCTGCGCGGCCCCGCGGCATTACGCTGCGTCTCTGCAGTCGCTCGCTCTGTTGGCAACAACGCGGCGATCGTTTCCGCGCCTTGCGCGCGCTTCGAGACGACGAAATCGCGTCTGTTTTCCACGATTGACGGTCCTAAAGACGAGGATGAAGACAAGCAGGACCTGGACCTGGGCCTGACTGACGAGCAGGAGCAGCCAATCGACGACGGTCTCAGCCCGCTTGAGCGTCTGATGCAGCACTCGCAGCAGTTCCGCATTGATCTGGATCTGGAGGACGACGAAGACGCAGCTAAAGCAGGACACGGACAGGATGATAGCGGCGATGATAAATCCCAGGACGATCAGGACGACGAGGTTTTCGCCAGTACCAGGCAGGACGAGGCCCCCAGCAGCAAGAAGAAGACTAGTAGCAATGATACTGGCAGCACTCGCCCGTCCTTCAAGCGCAACACGTTCCGTCGCCGCGGCTCCTCGGACCGCCAGTCGCAGCTGGGCAAGATGGCGGTGAACCGCCTGCTGCAGAAGGACATGGACGAGCTCAACTACGACGCCGAGCTCGAGGGCGTGTGGGGCGAGCAGGAGCTCAAGCAGCGCAAGTTCCACCAGCATTTGCGTCGCGAGCAGGACAGAGACCATGTCTGTCAGAACTGCGGCGAGCGCGGCCACCGCTCCAGGAACTGCCTGGTGCCCCGCATCTGCTCTAACTGCGGCAACCTCGGCCACTCCGCCAACCAGTGCAGGTACCGCAAGAGCCCCGACTCCATCGACGAGTTCCTTGAGGCCGAGGAGGACTTCCAGAAGCGACAAAAGAAGACCCGGAAGTTCAGGAAGAAAGCAGCCATCGCGGCCAAGAACCCGCAAGCGCCGCGTCCGAAGGGCATGCCCATGAGCGACTACAACAGGCGTAACGAGGTTATGCGCGAGGAGTTGGAGTCCGAGATCGACGCGTACGCGGATTTCCTGGAGGAGAAGGACCGTCAGCGCAAAGAGCAGCAGCGGCTGAAGGAGGCACAAGACGGAAAGCCCAACGACGCCGACTGAACGTTAGAAAGAAAGAGAGGAAAAGATAACCACTGTTAGACCTGGAAGCACATTCACCTACTTGACTACGCGGTAGCTCGATTGCTCCCTATGTGGACGCGAGCATGAGTCATGGTCGCTTAGTTGGCAGCTCCGAAACCGCCACCGCCGGGCGTGTACAGCGTCAAGACCTCGCCTGGCAGCACGTCCACGGTGTTCTTGCCGCCGAGATTGACAGTGCGACCGCCCTTACGCTGAAGCAAGTTGATGCCGCGAGCACCAGGCTCACCGCCCTCCAGACCGTAAGGCTGGAAGGCACGTCGCTCCGACAGGATGCTGACCGTCATGCTCTCCAGGAACTCGAGCTGACGCACCACACCATCACCACCACGGAACTTGCCGGCACCGCCGGATCCTTCGCGAAGGTGGAAGGCACGCAGCAGCACGGGGAAACGCTTCTCCAGGATTTCGGGGTCCGTGATACGCGTGTTGGTCATGTGCGTGTGGATGCCGCTACGGCCGTTCCACGACGGACCGGCACCGGCACCACCGGCAATGGTCTCGTAGTAGCCGCCCAGCGTAGCGCTGCCAAATGTGAGGTTGTTCATGCAGCCCTGAGAGGCGGCGCAGGCGCCGAAAGCCTTGAGGATCACGTCCGTGATGCGCTGACTGGTGAGAACGTTTCCTCCGACAACAGCAGCGTTCTCGCTCGGGTTCAGAATGCTGCCCTCAGCTGGGAAGCGCACCTCGATCGGAGTCAGACAGCCCTGGTTGAGCGGCAGGTCCTCGCCAGGCAGCAAGCAGCGCAGACAGTAGATGATAGCGGAATACGTCACGGCCGGGGGCGTGTTGACGTTTCCGAAGACTTCCGGTCCAGTGCCGGCAAAGTCGAACACGGCCGAGTTGGTGCGGCGGTCGATCGTGATCTGCAGTGCAATTCTCGTGCCGTCATCCATGAAGTCCTCGGCGTTCACCACGCCCACCTCAGGCAGCTTGCGCTGCAGCGAGAACTCGTTAAGCATGTTGCGCACTGCGATCTCGGCCGCTTGTTGGATGTAGTTCATGTAGGCAGTGACCACCGGGAGCGAGTACTCAGCGCAGAGCTCGTGCATCAGCACCACACCACGCTGGTTGGCGGCCACTTGTGCGCGCAGGTCCGACAGGTTGTCGCGCAAGTTGCGCGTGCCGATGCAAGGGCGTCCCTGGTCGTCGACACGGTCCTTCTGCAGCAGGATGTCGGTGATCTCCTTCTCACGGAACTCGCCAACCTTGCCGTCCACTAGCTTGAACGCCACAATCGCTGCGCCTTCTTCCGACAGCGTCTTCGAGAGAGGAGGCATCGATCCAGGCGAAATTCCACCGATGTCTGCGTGGTGACCACGGCTAGCCACGAAGAACTCGATCTTGCCGCTGGTTTTGTCGAAAACTGGCGTGATGACCGTGATGTCGGGCAGGTGGGACCCGCCAGCGAGCTGCGGGTGGTTGGACACCAGCACGTCTCCGTCAGAGAGATCGTCTCCCCAGAACTTGAGCTGGTGACGCACAGCCTGCTGCATAGCGCCCAGGTGGACAGGAAGATGCGGCGCGTTCGCCACAAGTCCGCCATCCGGGCCGAACAAGGCACACGAGAAGTCCAAGCGCTCCTTGATGTTCACAGACACGGAAGTGCGGGCCAGCGTGCGACCCATCTGCTCGGCAATACCCATGAATCGGTGCGAGAACACTGAGAGCTGAATGGGGTCAAGCGGCACGTCTTCGGAGCGCAGAACGGGTTGGTCCTTCTCCTGGCCTGCAGCTTCAGTAACAGAGACCAAGAACAGATCACCGCTAGGCATGATCTGCACCTCCCACTCGGGCTCCACAACAACGGTCGCCGTGCCTTGCATAATGATCGCCGGTCCACTGTACTTGGCGCCACGCCTCTCCATCAGCTCTTCGTGCAGGTAGACGGGGATATCCTTCCAAGCCTTCTCTTGCTCGAAGTAGAACCGAGTCGTCGAGTGAGGCGAACACGGCTCCACCGCGCCAGCAACGTTGCCCGTGGCCTTCAGTGCAGGGTCCTTCAGGTCAGGGGACACCGTGGCACGGACACGGACATCGTCAATGAGAATTGCACGGTTCTGCAGCACGAAACCGAACTCGCGCTGGTACTTCTTGACGAAGGTGGCCTCAAAATCAAATCCAGCCAGGACACTCGCGCTAGTGGCAGTCGAATCGCCCTTAGCTCCAACAGGACCGCGCGTCATGACGGCGTTGTCGGTACCTTCGTAGCGCATGTTAAGGAAGTACTGCACTTGGACATCCTCGTGCTGGAAGCCATCAGCGACCAGCTCGTTCACAGCTTCATCAGCGATCTTCGTAAGACTGCTGATCAGAGCAGGCTTGGTGGCGGCACTGTACTCCGCCGAGGAGGGCAGTTGCTTGTCGACCACGCTGTCTGCCACACTCAAGCCGTACGCCGAGAGGATACCGCTGTAACGGTGGATGTAGACCTTGGACATACCCAGCGCCTTGGCGATGGAGCAAGCATGCTGCGGTCCAGCACCTCCGAAGCATGCCAGAATGTGCGTGTTGATGTCATAGCCCTTGTTCTGCGTAAGGTTACGGATAGGACGGCACATGGCCTCGTTGGCCACGCGCAGGAAACCCGACGCCACTTCCTCCATTGTGTACTTGGCACCGTTGGCGCCCGACGAGGCGTTGATTTCCTTCGTGAGCTCTTCAAACGCTCGCTGCGAGCCGGCCACATCCAGCGGCTCGTCCTCATTGGGGCCAAAGATCTTAGGGAAGAAGTCTGGCAGAATGCGTCCAGTGACGAGGTTAGCGTCGGTGACGCTCAAGTAGCCATTCTTGCGGTAGCACACGGGTCCGGGGTGCGCGCGCACCGACTCCGGGCCGACAAGGAATAGACCATTCTTGTAGAAGAGACGCGAGCCACCTCCCGCAGCCACCGTCTGGATGTCGAGCTGCGGTGCGCGCACAGTAACGTTGGCCGTCACGCTCTCGAGAACGTGCTCGAACTTGCCGTCAAAGCGGGAGACGTCCGTGGAGGTGCCACCCATGTCGAAACCAATAACCGCAGGCTGCACGGAGGCAGCACCCGGCGCCTCAGGAGGTCGCGTAGTACGAGCGTAGCCCACCACGCCACCAGCGGGGCCAGACAGGATCGCGCGATGACCGTGGAAGTGCTTCATCCGTGCCAGTCCACCGTCGCTCTGCATGAAGCTGATGTTCACCTGCTCCAAGCCCTCGCCAAAGCCAGCGCAGAACGACGCCACGTACTTCTTGATCACGGGCGTGAGGTAAGCGTCAGCGCAGGTCGTGAAACCACGCGGCACCGCCTTCACCATCGGCATGACCTCCGACGACAGCGAGACCTGCGTGAAGCCCAGCTTGGTCGCAATGTCGCGCACCTGCTGCTCGTGACGCGGGAACGTGTACGAGTGCAGCAGCACAATCGCCACGCTCTCCACGCCGTCGTCACGCGCGGCCTGCAGCTTCTTGGTAATATCCTCTACATCCAGATCCTTGATCACGCGGATGTAGTCGCCGCTGATGCCCTTCTCGTCCGTCGGGAGACGGTCCTTCTCGTTGTTCACGACCTGCAGACGCTCGTCCACCTCAATCACCGAGTCGTACAGCGTCTGCAATGAATAACAACAAAATAACATAAAAACTTAGCGCCCCATTTGGTAAAACTCACCAAAAATCTGACTGTACTGACGTCTGGCATGTGGATCTCGAGGTCGAAGATCTTGGGACGGGACTGGTTGCCGATGTACAGCAGGTCGTGGAAGCCCTGCGTGGTGACGAGCACCGTGCGCTCCCCGTTCCTCTCCAGCAGGGCGTTGGTGGCCACGGTGGTGCCCATGCGGATGCTCTGGATCTTGGACGTGTCCACGGGCTGGTCGCGCGGGTGCGGGACGCCCGTCATGATCTCCAGCACGCGGCGGATGCCCTCTCTAATTGCATCAACATAATACAGCAAACTTAGTATTGAAGGGGCCCCCAGCCAGCGAGGCCACCTACAGTCAGCACGCAACGCACCGAGGGGCGTCCGGGTAGTTGGCCGGATCTTCCGACAGCAGCTTGATGACCTTGGGGCGCACCTCCACGACGTTGCCCTGGGCGTCCAGCACGTCCATCTCGGCGTACACGTCCGTGAAGGTGCCGCCGCGGTCGATGGCGAAGCGGAACACGCGCATGGCGGCGGACGGGTGGAGGAGGAGGGCGGCGAGCTAAACTAGGGGCGCTGGGCTGGACGGCGGCTGCGCAAAATGCACAATGACGATCAGCGTGACGCACGAACAATGCCGAATTCTGATTGGGCATTTTACATGGAGGTACCGATATACCGGATAAAACCGAAGCATTTCGATCACCGGAAATATTCTCCCGGTATCACCAATTCGACAAGTTCGCCATTCTGCGGGCCCCGCAGTCCGGCCGCTGCTGGCGAGGAGCTTCGCGGCGCTCCCCGTGCAGACGGCAGATGACTCGCCTGCTGAACGGAAGAAGCTGGCGAAGTATTATGCTATGATTGAGCAGAAATCAGGGGATTTAACAAGACCGAGGCACTGCGAACCATTTCTCTTTCCGTGTTGGTGAGTTCTAAAATATATAGATAAAGCTGGGTGGCATACAATTGAATCGCTTTCCTAGTAGAAATACTACATGCTTAACTACATACCACCTTACGATACATTGTTCTTGTTGGTGGCCAGTCAGATTAGACATCGGGGGTATCTGCGAGGACGACCCAAACACCGGACACGCCGTGAACAACAGGAAACGAGCAAGTTGTACACTGAGAAGAAGCTGCAAGAAACCCACACGGCCACAATATCATCTCCTCCCAACAGACAAGGGCGAACCTTTGTTGCAAACGTCGTGACTGCATCCAGCAGCGACCAAACACAGTCGAACGGCAACCCTTTGGGAGAAGACGACACCGCCACCATTGAAGGCCCCCGCAAAGCTCCTCTCTGCACCCCCAGCACACTGCACAGCTTGCATCCATCCACCGGCCATTCCATTGTGCTCCCCGATGCTTGGAAATACTTGGCAGGTAAAGTTGAGTCGTTCACTGCAGCGCATGGCACACCTGAACCACAGCCAACCAGCGTAGAGCAAAGCAGAGAACGAGACCGGAACATTGTGCATCAATTCACTGACACACTCCATGAAGCAAAGCGAGGTAACAAGAGGCACTGGAACAAGAGTAAACTAGCATGTAAACAACTTCAACAAACAGAGCGGAGCATCGCAATTCACACACTTTGAGCTTCACACACACCACTGAAACCCCATCATTTCTTCCTCCTTTTGAGTAAAAGCTCCCCGTCAAACTCCGAGTGTGAGGAGAAGAAAGGGGTCAGTAAACAACACGTAACACACTCGGGCGAGGTTTCCCCCGTACGATGTAGCCATCTCCCATGATTGCAGAGGAAGCCCCATAACTAGAGCCCTCCGCTTCCTTGTCTAGGGTTATCGGCGGCCCATCAGACCACCTCCAGTCGGTCGCGATGCATACAGAACTCAAGATATGTGTAAAGCTCCGCTCCGCCCCATGTCAACCCTGTCACAAATCGGTAAACTTTGTTCCAGAGGCGCCTCCACCGCCCATCGCCTCACTCCACAGAGATCCCGGTCTCCCTCTCCCTCCACACCAGCGACCACAAGGCCCAGAACGCGCGCACGCGCCACTGCGACGTCTCCATGGCCTGTAAGCCCCTGCACGCACGCTGTCACTCGCTAATGTCTTCATCATCAGCCGCCGTTAATGCAAACTGAGCAGCTCCCTGTCGAATCCGATAGGATGTAGCCATATTGAAGCGTCACGACCTAAAAATGATCTAAGATCATGACCGAGGTGGCTGCATTCCCTGCGCTGGCCCGCGCCAAGAAGCTTTTCCTGCTCAGGAAGCGAGCTGCAAGACGACAAGAAGCGGAGCCCAATGCAGAGTCGAAGCCACCTCAATGCCGCGAAGTTTCCAGCTCAAACGCGCAGGAACCAGCCCGTCACGCTCGGTCGGAAGCTGCCAGCAAATGTACCGCTTCGCTCATGGCCATCTGCTCCGACTTTGACGAGCAATTGAAGCTCATTAACAGCGACTTGATGCTGGTGAGCACGTCGGTGAGACGTGAGTACCAACGGGAGTCATTGGCGCTGGAGAAGCTGACGTCGGAGCTGCTGGACGGACAAGTATCGACGGCTGCAGTGACCCAGCGTCAAGCAGCGCGCTGTGCTGTGCGACTGCGGGCAAGGAAGCCGTGCATCAAGCTGCGCGTGGTGATTCAATCCGCGGAGAAAGATTTTAGTACACCGACAAGTCCAAAGGCGTGCAGTCGAGCTGCTCTGCTCGCTCGCCAAGCTGTCAAGGCGAGCGTCTTGCAGTCGTACGCTCGCTTCTACCTATATCACTGCCTGTACCGCGGTGGTTCTAGTCAACTCGCTGCTGCAGTTCGCCTTGCCTCTCGCTGCCGAAGATCAAGGGCATTTCGGCAATGGCGGCGGGTTATCACGCAACGTACCAAGTTCCGGCGTCGCTGCCGTCGAGCGCAACAACGGATCGAACGCACTGCTAACGCGTGGGCTCACGCTCGGGCGGTTGAAGTGGTGGAGACGGAGGGCAAGTACGCTATGGCGAAGGAGTTCCAGCACTGCAAACTGCTTGCTCGGTGCTTCCAGACGTGGCTGGGCTGGGCGGCCCAAGGCAACGGCATCAAGTTGCAGTCGACGGCCGACAATACCGTGAGCCCTCGTCCCGCGTAGCGTCACGGTAGCTTCAAGCATCCTGCCGCATAACTGATCCTGATCATTCGAGAGCAGAGACTGCGGATCGGAGACCAGCACCATGGCGACGTGGCCCGGAGATTCCGCGCAGCAGACCACACAAGCTCGCACCATCGAGACGCTGGATGGGTACGTGAGTCGGGGCCGAGATCCGCCCAGCTCCGTGCCTCGAGACCACGCGATACTGCAGAGCTTCGCGGCGTATCTGGAGCTGCGCCTCAAGTCGCAGAACTTGTCCATCCTGCGGCGCATCTTCGCAGACTTCCTCAACGAGCAGGAAAACACGCTGGTGCCCATGATGCAGCAAGGCTGCACCATTGTGACCATCTTCCCGGTGCTACGAACTAGCGCCCCGAGACTGCGGAAGGCCAAGTACTTGCTGTCCAAACCCAAGTCTCCCCTCGACCCGCGCGGATGCGTCTTCCTCTACCTGCAGTACCGCACGGTCACGAGGAACATGGCGCTGCTTAAGCACACGTTCCTCGAGTTCCTGTGCCACAAGGAGGCGGCGCTGCTCGAGTTCGTGGAGAGGGGGAACCAGGTGATCAGCATCATTCCCTTTGAGCTGCCGCGCGTGGTGCCGACAACTCGTGTGCGGCCAGTACCTGCAGCGACCCCAGCTCAGCAGCAGGAGTCGCCTCGGGCGGTGGAAACTGCAGCAGAACCGCAGCAAGTCAAGTCGGAGGTGGCGAGGGCGCGGAAAACTCGCATGAAGAAGCGGAAGGAGAAACCTTCCGTCACTGCCAAGCAAAGTACGCCGAACGAAACACCCACGGCCTGTCCAGTGTCCTCAGAGCAGCAGCAAACTGTAGTGAGCGCAGATGCGGAGAGTGCAGGCGTGAGCTGGAGAAGAAGAGGAAGACCCAAGAAAGTCAGGACTCGAGACGATAGTGCTGCTGCTACACAACAGCAAGGCGCGGTGGTCCTTGCGAAGCCAGAACTTGTCGCCGACCGGCGAAGCAGATCCACCAACACTGTTGCTGCCGCCGCAACCACTACCGAAGTTGCTGAAAGTGAAGGCCATCAAGACGGCGTGCCTCTTGCTTCCAGTGCTATTGCTGAGTCGGCCGCAACGCGAGACGGAGCACCAAAAACTACTGCGCCATCGCAACAGGATGTTGCTACTACCCGCAGGGCAGCGCGGGGGCGAAAACGGAAAGCTGAAGCAGACACGCTGAGCGACACCATTCGGACTCGAGAAAAGACGCACAAGAGAGGCAAACCGGCGATGACCGAGGCCGCGTGCCGCAGCCAAGTGGAGCTGAAGCTCAAGATGGATGCATTCGAGGAGCAGATTCCGTGGGAAGTCGTTTACGGCAGCTTGTCGCCGCCGTTCGATAAGGAGAAGTACCCGGAGCTTGCGAGGAAGTTCCATCTCTTCTGGCACCGACACTCGCGCGCTGTGTGGGAGCGCGACTTCTGGCCGCCAATGTCCCGCAAGACGAACGCCTTCGCCTTCAACAAGCGCAACAACCGCCAGATCGCGGCCAAGAACGCGTTTGAGGCCGTCATTGTAGCCGCGTACGAGCAGATCGGAGCCGCCTTTTTTGTCAAGCTGGACACGCAGAAGCCTCTCCACCCTGGCTGGTGGTATCGCAGTCCCGTCGTGGCGCTGTTTGCTTTCCAGGAGACTCAGGGCGAGGACGCCGTCTGGGACTACGTCAAGAGCGAGGCGCTCGAGCGCTTCCCGAACTGCGATCTGCTGTCTCCGCTCAGCGCAGGAAAGAGCTGCCACAAGGGCGAGAGCGACTCCATGTGGATGGCCAACCACCCGCTCGCACCAGCAATCCTGCGCGAAATCGCTGCGCTCAAGGCCGAGCAACGAGCGAGTGAAGCTCGCGATGAACACGGAGAGACCCACGACCCCCACGTCGTGGATATGATGGACGCGCTGGGCTTCTGAAGGGTATGTTGAGCTTTAGTGTGCATGTGTAGTAAGGTAGTGAGTGAGCTTTGGGTAATGAAAGGTAGTGGCAAACAGCTTCAAAGGTGATCGCCATCCGGTACAACTTCAACTTGGTATGGTAGAAGGTACCACCTCCAATGCGGACTCGATTCGGGTAGGATATCCTCGCCAGCGGCGGCACTCACCTCCAATATCTATCCCTTCGCCCTCTGCCTAGCAAGCAACCCGCTACTCAGCCACACCTTCCGCCTCAGCTGGTGTAGTGCACTTTTTCGCCGGTCTCGAAACTTCACCTTGAAGAGGCGCGTATTTCTACTATGGTGCTATACTATGATCTGATTGCTGGAACGCAACGCACGCACTCATTCGACAAGAAGAGAAGAGCCCCTCCGGGCTCAGAAAAAGATTCCTCGGCTTCCACGCGGTTCAAGGCAGGCAGTCCCAACACAGCTCCACCATGTTCAAGCGCTCGTCGCTGGGCCGAGCATCAGCATCAGCTCCAGCCGCGCCCTGCGCCATCAAAGTGGTGGTGCGCTCCCGTCCGCTCAGCGACAAGGAGCTGCAGAGCAAGACCCCCGTGGTCGTCAGCGTCTCCCGCTGGGCCGTGCAGGTGGTGAACCCCATCGTGTTCGCTGACCCGGCCTTCGTCGAAGTCCTCGGCCTCCCGTCGACCAGTGACTCGACCCCAGTATTGACGCTGAGTGCGGCGGCCATCGCTGCGGCCAACACGGCGGGCGAGTGCCGGACCTTCCACTTCGACCGGTGCTTCGGGTCCGCTCTGCCGGCGGGCGGTGAAGCAGCCGACGTGGACGACGACACGCAGAGACCCAATCAGGAGCTCATCTTCGACGAGGTCGGCCAATCCGTGATCGACTCGGCCTTCCAGGGCTTCAACTGCACCATGCTGGCGTATGGACAGACGGGCAGCGGCAAGACCCACACCATGGTGGGCGATAAAACTGTCCAAGGCAAGGGCGTGATCCCGAGGGTGTGCGAGGCTCTGTTTCGGGAGATCGACGCTCGAAGGGACAAGGAGGCGGCGCTACAGGAGGAAGACGGAGGAGGAGAAGACGTGGATGTCAAGCGGACAATTTATAGCGCCCATGTGAGCTACTGCGAGATCTACAAGGAGAAAGTGAACGACCTCCTGGACACGGAGGTGGCGACGGAGAAGCGGAGACCGTCGTTTTCGACCCAGACGCAAGGAGGAGACTCGGATTTAAGTGCATCGACGACTCCAAGACGGACGCTGAGAGTTCGAGAGCACCCAGTGACGGGGCCTTTTGTGGAGGGGCTAAGCATCCGCTCGGTCACATCGTATGCCGATATCGCGGAGGACATGCTAGCGGGAGAGAAACTTCGAACGGTGGCGTCGACGCTCATGAACCCCGTGTCGTCCAGGTCGCATGCTGTGTTCACGATCACATTCACCCAGACGACGTTCGACCCAGTCTCGCAGTGTGCGAATGATAAGGTTCGTAGTTGGGTGTTATGATTTTTTTCTGTTGATTTTGGGCTGTGGCTAACTTTTTTTTGTTGAATCCAGACTTCAAAGATCAGTATGATTGATCTTGCGGGTTCGGAGCGTGCGAACGTGTCGGGTACGAGTGGCGACAGACTGAAGGAGGGCGCTATGATCAACAAGAGTCTTACGACACTTGGACGAGTCATATCCGCTTTGAGCAAGTACGTATTGCACCCCTTGTAGGTTTTGCATTGATCTCTAATCCACCATTTCTGGTTGTGGTTCTGTAGACAAGCTACAGATCGGATCCCGTATCGAGATAGTACACTGACGTGGCTGCTGAAGGAGAGTTTGGGAGGAAACGCGAAGGTGAGTGCGATATGATAGTGTTGTCTACTGCATTATGATACGATAGTTTCTAACCGATCATATCGATATGACAGACAACGATGTTCGCTATGATCAGTCCGTCCGCAGATGTACGTGGGTTATATGATTTTCGAGTATTCCATTACTGTAGACTGACAACAACGTGTGCCACTTTTTCCATTAAGAATTATGACGAGACCATGAGTACGCTGCGATATGCCGAGTCTGCTAAGAAGGTGATGAACCGCGCTGTTGTGAACGAGGACAAAAACGCCCGCATCATCCGCCAACTCCGCCAAGAAATCGAGCAGCTGAGAGCTCAGCTCGCAAGGAAAGAAGGAAGTCCCGGCAAGGAGCGCGTGAACGCCGGCATATCCGCGAGTTTGGTGGAGCGTGAGTCGTTCTACGCCGAGTTGCAGAACGAGGTGGAGTTCTTCCGCTCGCAACAAAAGTACTTGGCTACGTCGACGGCTCCGCCCGCTATTCACCTGAGCGACAGCCTCCCCAGCCTGGTCAATATGAGCGCTAACCTCGTACCGGGCGAAGCTCTTGCGTACGTGCTGGTGGAGGGAACGACGTTGTTCGGATCTGACCCCAATCCCGATATGACCAAGTACGAGACTGTAGAAGTGCAGCACGACCACGATGAGTCCGAGGAGAAAGAGAGCAGTGAAGGCGAAGTCAAGCCGCCCAAGCCGAAGAAACGCCACGGATCCTGGACGTCGACGATGCTGAGGCGACGCAAGAGCTCCTCGAAGAGTGCCCCCTCCACTCCAAGCCGGAAGGCGTCACGAAAAGGGTCCAAATTGGATGTGTCGGAAGTCGCTTTGGCTCTTTCGGCGGATAAACGATCGGTCATGCAAGTGTGCAAGCTGCCAGGCGATGAAGTGAGCAGGATCTTACCTCGTCACGCTCGATTCACGTGTACTCGTGTGCCAGACGCCGTTGCCGGTGACGAAGACACAGCCGAGTACGTTGTGGAGCTTGAATCGCTAGACCCTACTGCGATTCTCTTGGTGAATGGTCAGCCGCTCGAATACGGCAGCGAGCACCCGATGAAGCTTCATCACGGCGACCAAGTTCGACTGGGCAAACCCTACTGCTTTCGTATCCATGGTAAGATGCTCACCCCTTTTCAAGGCGAATTGTCCTATTTGTTCTAATATTTCCGCTCCATGATGTAGTTCCTGGGTACGTTGTCCCGACGCCACGAATCGCCGAAGCAGTGGAACAACCACCCGAGTTGGAGATCGATAAGGACGAGGGTCGGGCGCTCGAGGCGCTCGTGAAGGAAGCCAACGCGATCTGCACGAAATGGGTCCTCAACACCGAGTTTGCCGTGGGAACAGACCAAGTAGACGGAAAAGAGACGCCGACGGTGATTGTGAAGAAGAAACTGGAGGCCAACTGCTGCAGCACCGTCCACTGGGACCGAACCATGCTCGAGCTGAAGCTCCAGTTCTTGCGAGAATTCGCTGCGTCACTAGAGAACGTCGTGTCGTTCACAGCCGACGACACCCCCAAGATCGAAGACTTGCCGATCCCCGAGCCAGCCCCGAAAGTTGCTGCCCCTCGACTTCCAAGTCATTTGGCTGGGCACAGTCGGAAGTCTTCGTACAGTGAAGAAACACCCCTCGTTGAGAAGCTCGAGCACTCGGGAGTGACCGGCCAGAGCAAGCCACAACCACACGCCCAAACGATGTCATCGCTGCGACTTCTTGGATATGGAAGGGTTTATCTTGCAGCTCAAGCTCCGGGCTCTAGGGTGCCGCTCTCCGTCGCGATCTACGATTTCTCCGGTCACTATATCGGTAAGCTGGGGGCGCTACTGGAAGGGATCTCGGCAGTTGCGCTGCCATCAAAGAAGAGAAGCATCTTATCGCCAAAAGCGCCGTCAATGTCGATGCATCGTGTCTGCGTTCACCTCGAACAAATGGAGTTTGATGCCGAGAGCTTCGTGGCTGCTTCCGGTATCTCCGTCACGCTGAAGGAGACGGCGTCGAAGGCCAATGCCGAACTCAAGGCCACCGACAGCACTGAGCCACCGTCAGAGGACGTCGGGACTCCAAAGATCTTCTCCACACCAAGAGTGCCGCCGGCGCAGGCTTCCGACGATGAGAAGACCTTCTTGATCGGCGAACAGTTCGAGACTACGATCACTGCGAAGAAGGACAATCTGTTCAGTCAGCGCACAGCTGAAGAGGAGTCGCTGTTGGTGGAAGTCTGGGGATACGACGTCAAGCTGTCTCACTACGTGGCTACCCCTGATGACCTGAAGCCAACGACGGACGTCCCGATGGACCTCCAGCAAGTGGAGTTTTACGTGTCGGTGGACGTAGAGGAGCGTGAGGTGGACGGACTGTACCACCCCGTTGCTGTGAAGCCCGACGGTGCACTACGCCTTCATGCCAATCGGTCTCGCAGGTTGATTGTTCGCGTGACTCAGTCCGACCAGCAGCCATTCGCTCTGACCGACATCGTTCACGTTCGAATCGCCGCCCCCGATGCTCCTTCAGTTAACCGGACGGCTTCAATGTCGAGGATGATGGGCAAGACAACGCAGCGGATGCTGCCGTCGTCTCGCATGATCTACGACCACCACGATCAGTCCTCGAGCGCTTCCGGTGACTCACAACTGGTTGAATTGGGGTCCACAAGATGGCAAGTGCTCGAGTTCCGGGGAAGTTGTGGGGTGGACGACGCAAGCCGGTCGCTGAACGCCGTGTTACGATGGGATCACGCCCCGAACAGCGACTTAGAACCGATCAACACTGCAGGCGCTCGGTCCACGTATCGCCTCGCGATTGCGTTCACCACCCGCTGGTCGAAGGTGCCGATCGTCATCTCCAAGAGCTTGGTGGCTAAGGTCTGTGGGAGTACCGTGTCAGCTACTCAACGGTTCACGCGTGGTCTTGTAGCATCGCGCACGGTTTGGTGGGCGAAGGAGAGTTTCAGCCGCAGCTACAGGCTAGGCACCTGGTATGCAGCGGACATCATGGTAGACGACGGACCATTGGAAGGTGAAAAGCCATTGGAGAGGGACAACCCAGCCAACGAGGAAAGCGATGGACAACCGGAGAACTCGCCGAGGACGTCTAATACGACGAATGTCGTGATCGCCCACCACATCAACGGCCTGCACCGCCTGGAAACCGCGATGCAGCTGGAGCGCGTCCGCCAAAAAGTGTGGATTATCGTGAACTTGCGTCTGTTGTCGGCGTCCGACTCGAATGCCGAAGCGATGACGGCCACCAAGGTGAATCTCTGCTTGGACGAGATCTTCAAGAGAACTGACGACGAGGTTCAAGTGTTCGAGGGCGTGCAGTTCGACTCTCCTGGGCTCTATCTCCGTCACTTGCGGCGCACCGATCTGCTCATGAACCTCTTCACAGGGAAGGTGGTGGATCTGGCCACGGTCACGGGGGTCCAGAGCTCGTTCGAGACGGTCGAAGACGCGCAGTTGCAGCTCCGAGAGCACGTGATCCACTTCGTCTCGGAGCCGACTCAACTCGTCGGCGGGGACCAGCTCGGAGGCGAGATGAGCGGCTTCCTCATGATTTCGCTGTCTTCTTCGCTGGATGAGGAGACAGCGGCCGCTGTGGTTGCACCTCTGGGGAGCACTACCGTCCGGCCGAAGACCCCTCCGAAAGCCGCTAACCACCGCGTAGCCTGGGAACGACAGTGGTTTGTGCTCAAGCGCCCGTTCCTCTATGCCTACGAGAGCTTCGCCCGGAAGCAGCAGACGGGTGTGATGGATCTGTCGCTGTGTCAGTTGATTGTGTCGACCGCGTCGGACGTGCCGTTTTCGTTCCGACTGGTGTGTGTCGATGGTCGGAAGCAGTCGGCGGTGTGGTGGCTCCAGGCGTCGACGTCCGCCGAGATGAGGGCGTGGCTAGTGGCCATCGACCCGCTCAAGATCGAGGCGCGACAGGGGGTCGTTGCAACGCCCCCTACAGCTACACCAGCACTCACAGCGTAGTCGCTGGTGACCAGAATATAAGCTATCGAGTCGTAAACCCCCGTCACTTCAGTATGACGGCAGTAAATTCAATACATGTATCATTTCGTTGCTGCATACTGTAGGCGTTTACAGCTAGATGGCTAGTCCGTAGACGTAGAGCACTGCCGTGATGGTAGCATTCTCCCACGACACGGTGCATGACCCTGTCACAGTGAGATGAGCAGTCATGATCGCTTCATACAGGAGGATCGATAGTTAATCGACGTACCATCGGATTTCTCGTCCCAATACGCGCCACTAACACAGAGACACCGCGTTAGGCAGAGCACTTAGCGTCTCGACCACTAGTAAAATGCGCAACGCACCTGCTGACTTCGAGTCCTCCCCCCTTGCGTTGTCGGACGAAACAGGTGACGATATACTTGAAATTCTGGAATCGTAGACGAAAAGAAGTCTCAGCAACTGCTATGGAGGTTTGTCATATTGATCTGAGGGAAGCTCGTACTGGACAGAGGCGCTTTAAGTCTTCAATGCATGCGTTCGTGACCATGTTGACCCAGTCATTCACCTGGCCGCAAGATACGATAGAACTCAGAACACCTCACTAGAATAATGGGATCAAAGGCTCAATTACCTTGGAGTTGTCGTATACGTTGCCCTCCAGCACACTGAGCACGGCGTCCTGCACGATGGCGCTCACCTCGTCCTTGAGCAGCGGGAAGTCGTAGCAAGTATCCGTAGGCATTTTGAGATCTCGTTTGACGCTGAAGGGTCTGGTAAAACCAAAGTGTCGCTTCGCGCATCAAAAGCTCCGTTTCGAGACTCAACGATGGAGCAAGAAGCGAGCGAGGCAAAAGAATCTACCGCAGTCCTGCAAGAAGAGAAAGACAAGGAGACGAAGAAGTTAAAACAAAAGAAGGAGAAGGATGACAAGCACAAGACCCGGAAAACCCGGCGGCATTTTCGCGAGGAAGCGAAGCAAGTCCAAGCTCAAGCCAAGAACGTGCCCGAGGCCATCGAAGCCAAAGCCGAGGCTGATAAAGCAGAGCTAGACCGCTCTGATAGCGCTACGAGCAGTTTATCCCCGTCAGCGATCGTCGAGATGTTTCACCTTCAAGACGACGAGTACTCGTCCTCGTTCTCAGCGACGACGGCGCGACATCTCGTGGAGAACGAGACTACCGGCGACTTTTACCAGGTGAAGACAAGGCAGCGCAAGCAGCATCCCCCCTCGTTGTCGGAGCATGGTAGTGGAAGGCACCGGCGATCTTCGCTGGCCAAGGCGCAGCAGAAAATGCGCGATGGCTCCACCAAATCTCAAGGTTGGGCGATTCTACTGCGTGACGGTGAGAAGACAGCGGTGGTCATGGTGCTGGGAATCGTGGCCGGAATGTGCTGGATGGACGCACTGAATCTGCGCTCTGGGAGTATATCGTCGTCGACTAACGGGACAGACCGCTTCCTGTGCGCCTACAGTGCCGGCGCCAACCGCTCGCGGCAAAATCTCTTCCTTCTGTTCAAATATCCTTCTCCACACACTGCAGCTTGGGAGTCGGCATTGGAATATCGTTGTCAGTGTTAACTCCCTTACATCAAGCGGTTTATGGTACTTTACTGGTGTGCTCATAGGTCTCATACGGAAGTTGAGTCGAATGGATCCGCATCAAGAGTACAAGGCGCTGGGAGATGGCGCCGCTGCAGAGCTGACCTCTTACAAACTGGTTTGAACGTGAATTCTTTCGGAGTTTTCCTCATTGTACACCAATTCTAATAAGTTGAAATTGCTGCATCAGCTTCAAGCCGCCAGTGCGCTGATATTCACTGCATTGATCGTGCTGCTGATCGGCTCACCGTCAGCTCTTCGCCTGACTCGAGCGCAGCAGACGAACGCTACGTGGTAAGGCCCAATAACTCTAGGAATGAATGAAGAAGCCATCTCACTGTAGGCACGATGCCTGTTTTGAGCAGGTGTGAAGACGTAGCGACGACCTCGTCAGTATTCCGAGACGGAATCGTGGTTTTACAGGTCTGTGCTGGTTTCAATACGGCATTGATCACAGTCGCTTGGCTTTTGGTAGCGCTGGTACGGTAACACTATACAGATGAACCGATTGTAATGCTGACACCTAACAGTTTACGGATTTCTTGGCATGAATAGCAATGCAGCGTGACGATGTCTTCCACAGCGACCAACCGGAGTCGTGTATTGGAGCTGCAAAACGCCCTCGCAGCCCACGAGAATCGGTTAGCTGCATCCTAGAACCAGTTCAAGGGGACTAACCCTACCGATATACTAATACTTGAACATCTCTTCGTTCAACAGCATCCACGAGCTGCAGGGGGCCCACCTCGAGCGTCTGTCTGTCGACGACCTGAAGTCGCTGATCCCATTGCACCAGGCAAGACGTTGTGCCGTCTGTCGCTATCCAACCCGAGCTAACATTTACTGTATCATTCATTTGACAGCGCGCGATCGAGCAGACCGAAGGCGTCCTCGTGTCGAAGCTTCAAGCGCAGCACCGCCCCACCGTCGCCGGCTAACGCAAATGCTTTACCTGGTATCAGTGATACTTTTGACGATATTGTGCGTCACACGTCGCAGAAACTGAAGTAAAGTGATGCTTTTCATTGAACCACTTGACCTCTATCCAACACACGGACACCATTGCCACGGCCGCCACTGCCACCAGCGCCACCTTGAGTTGCATCCCGTCGGTTATTGATACCCCTCTCACTACAGTACAGTAACCTCTCATTTGCAAGCGAGTTCGGTGGGGCTTCAGGCACAAACAGGACGCTTTCGGTGGGCTCGATTTGCTCACTATGAGCAAAACGTCTCATCACCTTCGACCGCCGAGGGGCGGGCATTAGCGCAGCGGGGGCGGTGACGAGCAGAGGGAGTCTTGGCAGCGAGTATCGAGGTCACGAGGGCCTCTGCATGCATCGCACCTATTCCAACGGGGGACTCTGTCGCCGCGCTTTCTTCAGCGGCGGCCGAGGCCGGAACAAAGCGCTAGGCTTCGTCTGCAGCCACCGGCTACATCGGATCGCCCGATTCATGCAAATAATCTCTCTGGTTCAACCGACATAGTGACGCGACGGACACACGCTCGCACTCGAGCTCAGCGCGCTGTCGTCAAGTCGAAGGGCGTTGACATCGCGCTGGCGAGGACGAGGACGCTTCGGTGACACTTCTAGGCTGCGAGCGCCTTCGCTGCAACTTGCAGTTGCTTCGGTTGGCTGCTGCGAGTTGTGCAGCACGCGCACACAGCTTGATCGACAGAGCGAGGACTTGAGAGTGCGATCTTGGCAGATGTGCTGGTCCCACCGGACCTCGACCGACAAAGAGCCGCAGTCCTGCTGACTCGAGGAGCTTGCGAGCGCGAAGCAATCGCCCTCCGAGCGTTTGTAGCGCCCACGCTGCCGAAAACTTCAGCGCGGGTCCTGCTGCTGTTCTGCGGCGTCCACGGCTTTCTATCGAGCGAGCCGGCGCTGTTGTTGAGCCGCGCCCTTGCCAGTCGCACGCTGGATGCTTGCCAGCGGTTCTCGGCCCCGCCGATCACCTTTTCGATCCTGTTCGCTGGTGGTTCTTCTCTTGCGGCGTTGAGGTGCGTCCCTGTCTTGACCGGGATACGGTTTTGCGACCAGCGGGCCAAGCGGCGAGAAGCGCGAATTTGTCCGAGGCCGACCGTCGAGTTGAGTCGAAAGCCGGTGGCCCTGTGGCACTGTTCACGGGCAAGATGCAAGTCGCGAATTGCTCTCAGTCCGCGTAGACAGTGCATTTCAGTGTCCAAGGAACGACACTCCTCCCCCACAATAGCCACTTCAACTTCGCAGATGACTTTCGAGACTCAAATGAACGTCCGAATCACCGAAGCGGAATCACTCTGGTGTCGACTGGCACACGTTGGCTCAAGTTGACTCGAGCCGCTCTCCATATGCTGGTCAACACCCCGACTTGCATTGTCCATGGCTGTTAGCAACGCGAGGACGAGATCAGCGGCAATCGAGACGCTTCAATTCAATTGACGATTCCTGACGACGATTCTCGAGGTCTCCGACGACGACGACGAAAGGATCAACAGCTACAGTGCGCTGCACTGCATTGCACCGCTTGAAGCTTGAAGCAATGAGCTGAAAGCGTCGCATGTCGGTCGTGCGTGGCTCGCCCCAAAACCGCATGGGGTCACAGGTCTCACTCGGAGCGTCCACCTCGGACGCTGCTTCGCGCGCGGGGAGCGGTTGAACAGAGCCCGCCAGCTCCGGATGAGTGAACGAAAGACGCTCGTTCTCTGTCGGTGCTTGCCTTTTTCATCCCGAGATCGTTCCGTACCGCATCTCGCTCGAGGCTGGCTGGCAATCACAGCCTGCAGTGAAAGCCGTTGATTCACATCATCTTGAAAAAATGCGCGCGACGATCGCGACTAATGCGCGAACCGGTGCGATGACAACCCGCCATCGTTCCGGACGTCGACTCATGGACGCTGCGCGGCGCCTTCCGCGTTCGCAGCTGGCTGGACGCCGGTCACGAGAGTGCCCTTACACCGGGAGGACAAGAGAGTCGTAACGGTAGCTCTCGACCCTGCTGCTGCTGCCTTCGAGCAAGGATATCCGCCCAAAGGAGGTGCCGGTAGTGCCGGCATCGATGTCGGCGCGACACCGTTGCCGTCGAGCTCAATACTTTTGCGTTCGTCGGACTGCTGCTGCTGTCCGCGACCATCAATTCGAGTATCGAATTGTCCGCGATCCTGTCGCGTTTCCAGGCATCCGTTAGAAACTGTTGAAAACAGAGTAAAGTGCTTCAACGCCTGCTTTGCTGCTCTTGACGTCGGCTCTTCTCGAACGCTGAAGACGCCGCCACGGATAGAACTCCCTTTGGTAGGCAGGCAGACGACCGTGACTCGGCAGATGGAAGACAGCCTAGATGATATTAGGGATCATTTGGCGCAGACCGCCATCCCACAGTTCATTCATCTGCAACATTGGCACCCGATCGCAATCGCGGCGGAAATTTGCGCCGTGCCGTTGACGAGCTCCTGGATGGCTTTCCTCGAGCCTTTCTCGTGGATTCTCTCGTGCGCTCGCCGCTGACAGCGGCGCCCGTGCTCTCGGCATCAGCTGCTGCCGGAGCTGAGCGCGCTCGGTTCTTTGCGCGCCCCCATCGCTCGAGGCCAACGTGGTCGGAGACCCCGCTTCAGCTCCATCGCTCGGTGGGGTCCGTCCTTCAGTTTCCAATTCGCGCCACGTCCAACGAGCCGGCCCACGCCACCTCATCACCGAGCGGCACTGACCAAGCGGCACCACCGCCACAGCTTTCGCGAAACCTTCCCAGCCCCAAATTTCGCGCGGCCAACAGACGCACGCCCGGTGCGTTTGACAAGAAAAACTCGAGTGTGACAAGCATCCACCCGCTGCCTTTCCCAAGCCGAGCCACCAGCTCACAGCTCATTCTGCAATCGGACACGCAGAGCCCACTGACCACTTGAGCGCACGCAACACAATGGACATCCGCCGCCTGCTGCACAACCCCGACGACGGCGGCTGGTACATCATCGGCGAGACCAAGAGCGAGGCCGAGATGAACGAGTTCCGCCGCTCGCTCAAGCGCAACGCCATCATCAACACGCACCTGGTCAACTGCACCATGAACCACGAGAACCTGGACGCCGCCAACACGGAGCACAAGATGAAGGTCCAGTGGACCAAGTGCACGTCGGCGCTGTGCCACCCCAAGGGCAACAACCAGACCGAGCTCGACGAGCAGGGCAAGCCGCGCGTCTGCCCCGTGCAGGTGCGCATGTCCACCTGCCAGCTCACGTTCGCCGGCATCATCTGTCAGGCCTACCAGCACCTGAGCGAGGAGCACGACTCTGCCGAGCCGCTGCAGACGTCCGTGACCGAGGAGATGAAGACGTACATTATCCGCATGCTGCACGAGAACCCGGAGGTCAAGCCCATGGCCATCTACAAGGGGCTCACGGCGCTGCACGAGCAGGGCGCGTTCGGCGCCGACCTCATGCCCACCAAGATCCAGCTGCGCAACGCGCTCACATATTTAAGAAGCCGCAAGCTCAAGCTGTCCGGCGGTGGTGGTGGTGGTGGCGGCGGTAGTTCTACTGAAGGCACACCCCGGAAGCGGAGATATGACTCGTTCTCGGACGGCAGCGAGTCCCCGCCGCTCGAGGAGCACCGCCAGCCCGAGTATTGATCGAAACCGTGACCAGTTTTACCCCCATTCAACGTGATCCCGAGGCGCCCACCACGCGGTGGCCGTTACCAGGGACTCCGGGAGCAGATCTCCTGACCTATCTATCGCATCAGCCCCGCCACTTCGCAGTCCGACCTCTTGGAGAACGAACTCACGTAGGCCGTAGGTCGAGGCAATTCAGCGCAGCGCAACCCTCCGCTGCCGGATACTATACAATAGACGACAACATTCGCCACAGCTAGACAGCTGATACAGAGCCGTTTTCCACTTTAGCTCACCCATTGCGTTTGTACCAGACGCGCGCCACTAATGCCTGCCTGCCTACACGATGGAGCTTCTAGGTGCTAGTGTCTTAGGATGCATTTCTCCGCCACTCGCATTGTTGTCGCATTGAGTATTGTTGCAACTGCACACGCACCATCGCGCGCTCCGGCCCTTCGCAGGAGACCGAAACGCTGCAAGTCCAGTGGAAAATTCCGTGGTCAGCCAGGGATAAGACGACATCAACTCCAACCATTGCTGATTGCTGTCTTCTCCAGAGCAATCGCACGCTTTAGAGTCAAGTCGAGTGAGTGCACCACATTCTGTATGCAACGTCGTTCGTCCACTTCAACTATCTCGGCAAAAGTTGAACTCGGCTAAGTGCGATTTGGTCCAACATATTTCGTCTAGACATACGTATTCCAGTAGACTAAAAGTACTGACAATGGATTTCAGTAAGTAAGTCGGGCAGCTCCCCCTGGCAAAAGATTTCCCGAGCCTAAAAGCTACTTCACCTCACAAGGACAGACCCATGAGCAGCGCGGAGGAGATCGGCAAGAAGGCGGACCTGGGCCCCGAGTACCAGCGCGTGCTGCCGCAGGCGCAGGCCGTGGCGGCCAGCGGCGAGGTGGAGCGCGCGTGCGAGATGCTGCTGGCGCTGGAGAAGCAGGCGCGGCTGGCCAACGACGTGGCCACGCTCAAGGAGGCGGTGGGCGCTATCCTGACGCTCTGCGCGCAGCACAAGCGCTGGGAGCTGCTCAAGGACCACGTGGCGCTGCTGGCCAAGCGCCGCGCGCAGAAGTCGGGCGCCATCACGGTCGTGGTGCAGCGCGCCATGGAGTTCCTGGCCGAGACTCCCAGCGACGCCGTCAAGATGGAGCTCATCAACGCGCTGCGCACCGTGGCCGAGGGCAAGATCTTCCTGGAGAAGGAGCGCGCCACGCTCACGCAGATGCTGTCGCGCATGAAGGAGGCGCGCGGCGAGATCGACGAGGCCGCCACGATCCTGCAGGAGGTGCACGTCGAGACGTACGGCGCCATGACCAAGCTGGAGAAGACCGAGTACATCCTGGAGCAGGTGCGCCTCACGCTGGCCAAGAAGGACTACGTGCGCGCCAACATTTTGGCCAAGAAGATCCTGCGCCGCACGCTCGAGGAGAAGGACTTCCAGGAGTGCAAGCTCAAGTTCTACCACCTCATGATCGAGTACGACACGCACGAGAACAACACGCTCGAGCTGTGCCGCCACTGGATGGCCATCTTCAACACGGACATGGTCAAGGACAAGGACGACATGTGGAAGAAGGCGCTCGAGCACGCCACCATCTTCGTCGTGCTCTCGGCCTACTCGAACCTGCAGAACGACCTGCTGCACAAGCTCGCCAGCGAGAAGCTCGCCGAGAAGGTGCCGGACTTCGCCGCCGTGCTCAAGAAGTTCACCACCAAGGAGATCATCGCCTTCCCCATGGAGCAGGACGCTGTGCTCAAGCAGCACCCAATCTTCAACCACGCCGAGCGCGGCGCTGAGTGGTGGAAGACCCTGCACAACCGCGTCGTCGAGCACAACATCCGCGTCGTGGCCGAGCACTACGATCGCATTCGTCTGCCCCACCTGGCCAAGATGATCGGACTCTCGGAAGACGTACGTGAGCAGCTCTATATAGATGTGGTTGATGGAGCTAACTGACAGTGACGCTTGTGTGTTGATATGACAGCTGACGGAGAGCAGCATCTCGACGCTGGTGAGCGACGGCTCCATCTTCGCCAAGATCGACCGCCCTGCCAAGCTCGTGTCCTTCCACAGACCACTCTCGCCGGAGGAGCAGCTTTCCAACTGGTCGGGTACGTCCGCCCGCTGTCGCTTATATTTTGTTAATCTCCGGCGAAGTTCTAACCTCTTCGCCTGTGTGTGTTATTACAGCGGATATTTCTCAGTTGCTGCGTCTGGTGGAGACCACGTGCCACTTAGTCAACAAAGAGAACATGATCCACAAGATCTAAGCTCGCTGGCAGCAACAGCCCGTTCGCGCAGTCTGCAGCAGCAGCGCGCCCAGCGAGCATTTTGCCTAGCAAATTCTAAACTCAAAGACAGAAAACAGAACCGAATGCAGCGGCAGCGTATGCAAGCTGCTCGTGGCTCGTGCCGTACCCTTGTATGTATGTCTCCGCGCATATATTCTCGCCATCACAACCAAAACCGTGTCAGCGAAGTCCTATCACTACTCGTCCTCCCACCTTACAGCAGACTGTCTTCATCGGCGTCGTCGAACTGCCCTGCCTCCGTCGAGCCATTCTGGAGCCCCGGCGACACCTGCAGCATCGAGTCGAAGTGCGCGGCCAGTTGCGCTGCCCGCGCGCCGTCCGCCACCTCGTCCTCGTCACAGATCCAGCCATCGTCGTCGTCCTCGTCGTCATCGTACGGGTTCATCTCGGCCGACTTGCAGAACGCGTCGAACACCTCTTGCACTGCTTCAACATACATACCAGAACAACACTCAGCAACCGAAGGATACCAGCAACAGCAACAACAACTGCAACTACAGCCGCAGCAGCACGCACGCGTCTTGTCGTCGGCCGGCACGAAGCGCACTTCCGACACGTCCTGGTTGCTGATCTGGCAGTACAAGCACGGCTTCGGGAAGGCCGCCGGGTCCCGCGAGATGGCGTGCAGCGTCACGGAGCTCATCTCCCACGCGTAGCCCACGTGCGCGCCCATGGGGGCGCCCAGCCACACCACGCGGCTTGTGGTCACGAACAGCGCGCCGGCCGCTCCGCTGTGCGGCAGCGTCTGCGTCTCTCTGTCGTCGTCCTCGCCCATGTCGCTGGCCGCGGCGTGGATCTCCACGTTGCTGAAGCTGGCCAGAAGGAACTCCTCGTCGTCGCCGGCGCCCGTGCGCAACAGCGGCGCGCCGTCAGCGCTCAGGTCCGCCGAGGTGAGCACGTTCATGCTTGATGCAGAAAGTGGACAGAACTATGGGCCGGCGGATCACTAGACAGATAATAAGGCTTCGACAAAATCAATTGTCGGATACGACGTATGTTATAGTCCCAAGTTGAAGTTGGGGGCGAACTCTCTGTCGATTGGATACGCCTCGCGGAGTGGGGTGGCATGGATAGATGCTGGTGGTGCAACCCTTCTTCTTGCGCATTTGCCACGTCGGACGCAAGCCGAACATGTCGTTGCCCTAGAGGTCGACGTTCATGCACTCCTTGGAGCGTCGCCGAGTCTTCGGCAGCGGCGTCACAAAGTCCATCGACACTAGCTGGAATCCGGATGCAATCAGGTTGAGCTCGTCCATTTCGTCTTCATGGTGCCGAGTCAGGATGCGCCGACCTAGGAATACTGTAAACAACTCATGAAACATCGTCCTTACTCAGATTTCGATGAGCAAATGTATCGGGCTCAGTTCGCAAAAAGTGTATTGGTACGAATATTTCACCTTTAGCTACGTCACGATAGCGAGCGCTCATGTTATCGTCGCCGTCCGAATTGGGTTTACGCAAAATTGGTGGGTCCTTTCATGGCCGCGATAATTAACAGCTATCGCGCGATGCGACGGTAGACGCCGACGTGGTGGCTGCAGTAGTAGCGGTAGGAGTTGCCGTGGTCACCGCAGGGGTAGCTGTTGTTGCGGTAGGAGCGCTCGTGCTTGTGTTGACAGTTGTAGCAGAGAAAGAAGAGGTCGTTGCCGCAGCAATTGAGGCAGGTGCCGTCGTAATAGTTGCTGATCCCGAAGACTGGGTCGCCGTAGTTGAGGTGGGCGCCGTCGTGCCAGTCGTGGATTCCGAGGACTGAGTCTGGGTCTGCGTCTGGGTCGAAGCTGAGCTTGAGGTCTGGGTCAGGGTGTAAGTTGACTCCGTCGACTGGGTCTGGGTCGAAGTGGAGCTAGCCGTCGTGGAAGTTGCCGTGGTCGAGCTTGAGCTGGACGTCACAGCGCTCGCGCCATTCAGAGCCGTGAGGTAGTCTTCGCTCTTGAGCTGGCTGTCGTACGTGTAGATGCCAAAGTGCCTCTCCAGCTCCACGTCCACTGACGTATCGTCGGAACGGCGGTCGAAGAAGTCGAACCAGAATTTCAGAGACGTCTCCGCGCCCGTGGGGACCCAGGAGACCACTGCTTCAAAGTACTGGACCGACGAGTCGAGCGATGGGGTCACATCGGGCGACAGCGTCGACGGGTCACCCGCCGTGGGGAAGCCCGTCTCGCACAACAGCATCTTCGAGACCGAGTACTTGGCGGCAATGGCGTCCCAGACCGAGTCCAGCAGAGCCGTGGGCTCGCTCGAGTCGTAGCTGTTGTCGAAGTACGGGTAGATGTTGACTCCGAGGATGTCGAGGCTCTCGGACAGTTGATTGATCTGGTCGTCGTAGCTCGAGTCAAGGTACTCAGTCGAACGCTGCACCGTGCCGAATAGGATGCCGTCCGCAGCGCTACCGAGCGTCTCCTTGATGGAGGTGGCGATGGCGATGATCTCCGAGGCGGTGGTACCGGTGTACATGTTCTCGTTGCCGATCAGGATGGCCTCGACCGTGCCGGGGTAGTCCTGTACAGCAGCCACCGCACTGTCGATCTGCTCCTGCTGCCACGACTCGTCGGTCATGTAGACACCCAGGTGCAGCTTGATGCCGTGTGCAGCAGCGTACTGAGCCACGCCCACGCCGTAGAACTGCGAGTAGAACGTCCGCACGTGTGTGAAGCTTTGCGCGATGAGCTCCATGTCGGCATCGATGGCCTCCTCCAGCGCGGTGGTGTCCAGGGTCTCGCTGTCGGTGAGCGGGTACGCGGTGGAGTGCATGGCGCTGTACGTGGTGGCCATGTACGCAGCCGCGTTGGTCGATGTGAGGTTGCGCGAGGCCGTCGCGGTCGTCTGGCAGACAGCACTGACCGCCAGGCCAATGGCCAGTATCACCTTGCTTGCAGCAAACATCGTGGTTGTCCGAGAGACCAGTTGCTGCCGAGAGCGCGAGTTCCGAAGTGAGCCCTTGACTGCGGTTCCCGTTTGACTGGAGAGAGCGGACCTTCGAGCTCATAGATGTGTCAAACCTCCTGCTGCACAACGTGCACGCACGGCATGGTACACGGAGGCCCGTTGCAGTCAGCACCGGCCAGTTTCTCATCCACCCATGCTTTGGAGCCCGCACGATATGAGCCGGATCCTGCCCCTTGCCATGCTCAACGCATCATTTCAGTGGTAGACCGCGCGCAGTCAACCGTTTGACTGGTTCGAATCCGCCGGGTTGTCACGTCGATCGACTTGGTCAGCGATGAGCTGCTTGGGGTGCCTGTCACGATAGTAGCACTGCGCCGTTGCCTTAACAAGCAACCCCCAGATTCAGTCCGACGTGTGCGTGACGTGGAGACCGACGACTGTGCTAACAACCCACATACAGCCTGCAGTGCTCTCTGGAGGCTCATATGGCACTGCGACAGCGGTGGCGAACCCCATAAAGAAGCGTGCCTGGCTTCATACCGTCGCGCACTGCCGATTCGATTGCTGTCATGAATATGAGATGCATGGTGTCGGAGCCGGCGATAGGAATCAGACAAACGTAGAGTTGGAGCAGTGTATCACGAGGTGGCATCCAAAACAGCGCGTGATGGACAGATTGGTTTACACTACATATTGCGTAGTTGACGCATCAAGCCCGAGGTCAAGCGAGGTGCTTGAATCCCCATGCAAGCGGATAAAGCTGGTAGTCAAGGAATCAAATTAAGCAATATTCGCAGGTCTTGCGCACGAAGTTCGGATTCCATGCCGTGGTCGTCTTTACATGACGGAATCCTCCATGAGCTACATGTATCGTGGTGAGCCAATTCGCCACGATAGGGCAGCAATTACAGATCCACGAAAGTGAATGAATGAATGGCAAGCAGAAAGGCACAGTTGGTTCCAAGGTTTAATGCCCGGCTTCTGGTCCAAACCAGTGCTCCTTAGTTCTATGGCATCACTCTGCATGTTGCAGATTCAAGCTACTGAAGGAGTAGATCAGATACTAAGTACATCGGACTGAATGAGTGTGCAGGTCACAGTAGCCTGGTGAAAGACTACCAGTTCCAATGTACGAGGATGATGTTGGAAGCCTTACACCTCCTACATGTACTAGGAGGCTCCAACACATCTCATCCATCCTGGAAAAGATAGGTATCGAAAGTACCTAACTAAACTGGATCAATCTTTTCGGTACATTTATGTAAACATTGTGTCTTATGAGTGATGGTCTTCCTGTACCCAAGAAAGAGCATCCAGAATCCTTCGCGGCAGGTATGGCGCAGCGCGGCGGCCGTCAGCGCGTGAAGCTGTCGTGGCAGGAGGCTCTAGGGCCTCAGGACCCAGCGCCCAGCCAGGACAAGAAGCCCAGCCCCAAGCCCAAGGGCAAGAAAGCCGACGCAAAGCCCAAGCCGAAGCGTAAGAAGCGGCACCCGAACGACGTGAGGACGGAGCAGGACATGGACGCCATCGCCGGCTTCGACGACAGCTCCGACGACGAGCTGGACGCCGAGATCGACACCTTCGGCGGCGCGGGCTTCGTGCTCGTGGACCTGGAGAGCGAGATGGAGGAGCTGGCGCTCGTGGCCACTGAGGAAGGGTTCGCCAGCGTGCGCGTGGGCTCCAAGCAGCAGCAGCAGAAGAAGAAAAACACTGACAATGCTAAAAAGAAGAAGAACGAGAAGAGGATGGAGCAGGAGGTGAAGTCTGTCGCTGCTAAGGCGGAGAAGCAGGCGAAGAAGAAGGAGAAGAAGGAAAGGCAGGCGTCCAAGTTGCTGGAGCTGGTGGAAGAGGAGGAGAAGGAGGAAGATGTCGTGGCGGAGAAGAGCAAGAAGAAAAAGAAAAAGAACAAAAACAAGAAGAAGGGAGAGCAAGATGCTGCTGCTGCTGCTCCTGCTGAGAAGCAGGCTGAGGCTACGCCTAATGCGAAGCAGAAAGCGGGGAAGAATGCGAAGAAGAACGACAAGAAGGACGATAAGGATGCTTCTAACCACAGTGATGCCAAGGGTGGCGAAGCGAAGGTGGCTGCTAAAAGTGCTAAGAAGAAAGAGAAGAAGAAGAAGGGTAACGAAAACCAGGCGGCAGAACTGGAGGAGAAGGATGCCCCGCCCTCGAAAAGCGGGACCGACGGAAACTCCAACAAGGTGTCCAAGAAGGACGCGCGTGGGAATGGCCCCGTTAGTTACTCTGAGTATCTGGACCGCGACGTTGTTATTCGCGGACTGGAGATGGGAGGTCTTCTTCAAGGCAAGCTGCGAGTGAACGCGATGTATCGTATGGATGGATATATCACGGTGGATGGCTTATCGATGGATTTGCTTGTGAAGGGCATGCAGGATCGTAACCGCGCCCTTGACGGTGATCTTGTCGCTGTTCGTCTGCACCCAGAATCGGAATGGAAACCCATGAACGACGAGAACGAAAAGCGATCTGCTGGTGCGGCGACTTCGAAGCCCATTTCCTCGACTGCTGGTGTTAATCAAACCGCGCTGCATTCGCTGTGGCTTCCAAGTGTGCAGACCGAGAAGTGCTTTTTCAAGCGTTTTTCCGATGAAGAAAGTTCGGTGGATATGTTGAAGCAGTCTATGGCCCGTCTAAACGAGCGTATTAAAGAGTCTCGTTGTCGCCCGACGGCAACTGTCGTCTTTATCCTGGCGCAAGGTAACGCCAATGGGTTTATCGGATCTCTAGAGCCCAAGACGAGAGTGAAAGACTTGAATTCTCCACTTTCAAGCAACGACAACTATGCGTATTTTAACGCCGATGACCTCCGTTTGCCTCGACACATCCGTATTCCCCGGCTACAGCTCCCGGACGAGTTTATCAGCCGTCCGTTGCTCTACTCCAAGACGATGCTTTGCTTTTGCCGGATTAAGACGTGGTCTACCAGGCACCAGAGCCCAATGGGCGAATTTGTGAAAACGGTGGGAGAGTATACAGGAATCGAAACTGGCATCTCCGCCATTTTGTCGAAGCATGGCCTGCAGTCACACACGCTCGACTTCGACAGCTCCATTCTGGATGAGCTAGACGAAAAGTATGGTACCAGCGGAGAGAAGTGGGACGTTCCCGAAGATGAACTCAACAAACGCAGAGACTTCCGAGATACCCAAATCTTCAGTATTGACCCGTACAACGCCCGAGATTTAGATGACGCGCTGCACATTACTGCGCTTAACGAAGCGCGCACCAAGTTCGAGATCGGCGTCCACATTGCGGATGTGACTCACTTCATGGAGCACGACTCGCTGCTGGACCGCGAGGCCCGATCACGTGCTACGAGCGTCTACCTGGCCAACCGCGTGCTCCCGATGCTGCCTCGCATTTTGTGCGAGAAGCTGTGCTCGCTGCAGCCTCAGGTGGACCGCTTGGCGTTCTCGGTGGTGTGGCAGATGAATGTGGATGGCACTCTGGTGGACGGGGTGGAGCCGTGGTTCGGCAAGTCGATCATCCGATCGTGCTGTAAACTAGACTATGGTTCCGCACAGAAGATGCTGGACGGTGTCATCTCCGCCGACAGCGTGGACGAGTGGGAAGAGGACCGGCGTCCGATCCCCGGCGCGAACCCCAATATCACGAACGCGACGGTGATCCAGAGCGTGAAGGACTTGTGGAGCATTGGCGAGAATCGGCGCGCGATGCGTTTCGAGACTGGTGCTGTGAGCTTGAACGACGTGAAGCTGGTGTTTTCGTTGGATGCGAAGGGCAACCCCACCCGGTACGGATCGTACGAACTGAAGGACAGCAACCGTCTGGTTGAGGAGTACATGCTGTTGGCGAATTACTTGGTGGCTCAGCAGTTGCTTCGTGCCCACGGTCCGCTAGCGTTCCTCCGTCACCATCCTCCTCCCGTGTCAAGGTCTTTAGACCTGGCGCTGGAGCAGCTGGGTAAAAGTGACATCAAGGTGGATGGTAGATCAACGAAGCAGCTTACGGAGTCGCTAGAACGTGTTCGACAAGATTGTGGCGAGACGACGTTTGCCATCGCGCAGGCGTTGATCATCAAACCCATGAAGCCTGCTGAGTACATGGTTGCGGGTAATGGCGCATCCCCAGAATCTTGGCGTCACTACGCCCTGAACATTCCATACTACACTCACTTCACGTCGCCTATTCGCCGGTATGCCGACGTCGTGGTGCATCGCCTGCTCCAAGAGAGTATAGTGGGTGCCGCGTCGCTTGAATCTGAGACCGAGGACCCGGAATCCAAGATGGTGGAGTTTACCTCGGTTGCGCAAAACTGTAACGAGAAGAAGATGACGTCCAAGAATGCGGAGAAGGAGTGTGACAAGGTCTTCTTGTGTGCATACGTACAGAATCACGGTGATGTTGAAGTAACTGGCGTCGTGCTGAGCATGGGCCAAAAGAGCTTCACGGTGTACATTTTGGAGCTTGGACAAGAGCAGCGCCTATTTCTCCAGGAGCTTCACATGCGTGGTTCGTGGAATGAGAAAACATCGCAGCTTTCGATCAGACTGCCAGCCACGCAGGTGAAGGCGGAGAAGGATGCCGAGGCGGGCGATGATGAGAATCAAGAAGATGCTTCAAGCAAGAAGTCAAAAGCAAAACTCCAGTCGGATATGATCAAGTTGACATTTATGAAGCAGCTACGGATGCGTATGTCCACGACAAAGAAGATGCCGCTGGCGCTGACATTCGCAGTGATCGGAGAAAAAAATTAGGGAAAGATGGAGTCGGATTAGATTATGATGAATATGGTAAAGGAAAAGAAAAAAATGTATGTTGTAAAGTATTTGGGGTATTGTGTCGCCACGACAAGGACGATCGTCGAAACTAGATGCACGATAAGGCGAAGATGCGATCGCCTGAGCTCGAGGACGACTTTGTGAAGGCTTCATCTGTTAAGTAGCAGGTGGACAAGGCGGAGAAGCAGACATACAACGTCCTCCTCAGCGTTTGCTGCACTGCCATTATTCAAACAACAACCTGAAGAAAACACCAGCACCCGACGGCTTGCCATGTACTCTCTGCCTCCGCCCCCAACGCTCGAAATGTTCATGTCGTCGCGACCGGCTCCGATATCCTTGAACCGGCGAGCACCGCCTCCGAGGCCGGCTTGGGGTCAACCACAACAGCTCCCGATGCCCTCTTCCGACTACCCATCGTTGTTTCAGTCTGCACAGCGGACTCCAAAGCCCTTGAACCAGCAACGATCGCTTTCGAGGCCGGCTTGGGGTCAACCATGGCAACCTCCTAGGCCGGCCTGGGGTCAACCACAACAGCCCCCGATGCCTACTTCGGACTATCCATCGTTGCATCAGGCTACACAAACGACTCCGAAGTCTTTGAACCAGCAACCACCACCTTCGAAACCAGCTTGGGGTCAACAACGACAGCCTCCGAGGTCAACCTCAGCACCCGCCCAAGCCAGTTTGGGGCCAACCTCAAAAACCTCCGACGCCCTCTTCGGACTATCCATCGCTGCAGCAGTCTGCACAGCCTCCTCAAGCCGCCTCAAATCCTCTGCCCCAGCCAACGCAACCAGCAGTGATCACGAATACTTCAGGTGCCTCAGTCAAAAAGCGTGTTTACCGACGAGTATTTCAGACGCTCCAAGGTTGACCTAGATCTCAAGACGGCTTGGTTGTTGCAGGGCAAACTTCGCATGAACAGCTTGTACCCGGATCAAGCGTACGTTACTGTGGCAGGCTTGAGCGTGGATATACTCATATAGGGACTCAAAAACCGCAACCGCGCTTTGAATGGAGGCATCGTTGTCGTCCAACTGAAGTTGGTAGAAGTCGACAGAGAGATGATGGCGACTGGTGAGCCGCAATTCGCCACTTCAAGCGCAGATACCGACGAAGCCGTGCTGCAGTCGTTGTGGCTTCCAAGTGTGCAGGCCGATCAGTGTTTCATCAAGCCTGCTCGCAACGAAGAGGAATTGAAACTAGCGAAACCGCGCTTGGCGTTCATCAACGACACGGTCCGACGAAAGCTCCGTCGCCCAACCGCCTCTGTCGTCTTCTAGAGAAAGGCAACTCCACGGAGCTCTCACAAACGGTAGCGACAACGCTTACTTCAACGACTGCGATGAGGTTTACTTGAGCGCGTACTTGCAGCTCCACGGCGACGTTGAGGTGACTGGCGTGGTTGAGAGTATGGGATCGATAAGCTTCACAGTGTACTTCCCTGAGCTGGGCATGATGAGGCGGTTGTCTCTCAAGGATATCAAGCTGAAAGGCAAGTGGAACCGACAGGCCGCACAACTTTCAATCAGTCTGCCTGGGGGGGCCGGAAAATTGGATGCATGCGCATGTCGACAACGATATCGATGCCGCTAGCTCTGGCGTTTACCGTCATTGGGGAGAAGTAGAAGGGGGTTAGTAGCACGAAAGTGTAGTGCGTGCAGTGGTTGTCTTAAGGAAGAGAAAAAAAAAACAAAGTTTGTGCTGAGAATAACGAAATCGATTGTTCTTCTGATGCAGAGGTGTATCTCCTTGAGCGCTTATTTTTCTTGAATACTTTTGCTGCTCGACTTGCCTCCCACCCACCCTCAGCTCTAACTGAGCCGGATGCTTAACGGAACTGCGACTTGAGCACCAGCAGGCGACCGTCGATCGCATCCACTTCAACGTCACAAATGGTGCGCAGGATGTCCTTGAGCAGCGCCTTGTCGTTATCCGTGACAATCAGCTTCTTCAGCTTCCTCAGCAGGTCACGCGTGCGCATGCGTCCGCCGTAACGGATCAGCTCTTGCTGCACGCCAGCCTCCGTGAGCTTGTTGGACGACGAAGGAGCCGCCGGCTTCTGAATCTTCGTCGGCGGCTCCTCAGTCTTGCGCCCGTCGTCGGCCTTGCGCTTGCCATTAGCGCTATCGACACCAGCCGCTCCACTCTTCGTCTTGCCGTTAGCGTCAGCCGAAGATGCGTTATCAGCTGCACCGGTGCCAGTCTTGGTATCGCCCGAGGCGCCGCTGTCCCCGCCGGCCGTGACGCGCTCGCGGATGATGTTTCCACCAAGATCGCGCTTGATGATCACGTCCATGTCCTTGGCCGTGTAGTTCTCGTCCTCGTCGCCATCATCATTGTCCTCCTTGTCCTTGTTGTTCTCCAGCATCTCTCCATTCTGCGCGCGCTTGAGCAGGTCCTTCATGGCTTGGCCGGTCTCCGTGAGCTTGCCGGTGCCCTCGGGGTCCACCTCGAACTCGTCTTCGTCCGAGTCCGACTCGAGGCCCTGCGGTTCATCGTTATGAATCTCCGCGTCGCTCTCGTCGTCGTCGAACTTCTCCTCGAAGTCTCCTCCGTCTTCTCCCGTGGCGCCCTCTCCACGCGCCTTGGGGCGCGCGACGCGGCGAGGACGCGCGGTCTCGCTGACGCCGAAGATGTCGTCCCCCTCGGCCTTGGGCTTGGCGGAGGCCGTGGCCAGCGCGCCCGTGCGCACGCGCGGCGCGCTCACCGTGTCGCCGGCGGCGTCGGGCTTGTCCTCGCCCGCGAGCTTGTGCTTCATGAGCCAGCGCTCGACCGCGCGCTTCTTCTCGTTGTTCATCTCCTCGGCCTCCTCGAGCGTGAGCGTGCGGTAGTTGAGCGGCTTCTTGAAGCGGAACCACTGCTCCACGGGCATGACGCTGAACTCGTCGTTGTGGCGGTTCTTGGCCAGCAGCATGTACGTGGACGACTGGCCGCCCTCGAACGTGCCGTTGAACTTGTTCTTGCCCTCGCTGTCCTCGATGACCCAGCCGGCCGTGCGCGTGTCCTTGCGGCGGCGGCGGCGGCGCTTGCGCAGCGCCGGGTTGTAGCCCATGGGGGCCTCGTCCTCCTTCTCCTCCTCCTCGTCCACGCGCTCCGGCTCGCGGTACATCATGACGGGCTGCGCGCAGGCGCTGAAGCGCGGCAGCTCCGGCAGGTCGAAGCGCGCGATGTTGTAGCGCTTGATGGACGGCGTCGCGCGCAGCACCAGCGTCTCCGTGTCCGCAGAGGAGGAGGCGGACGCCGCAGCGGCGGAGGCGCCCGCCCCCGCGCGACCATTGCGGCCGGAACGATTCATTTTCAATAGCGAAGGTGCGGGGGGTGGAGCGACGTTGGAGCGACATTCTGGTTTGAGTTGGGGGCTGTATGCGGTATACAAGGAATAGGTGTAGATGGCGAGGTTGCTGGATCTTCGCGCGACACGCGATAATATTACTTCAGAAGCTGAAGTGGGACGGCAAATGTGTGAAGGCTTTTGTGTGTACAGTAGTGAGCAGGGATTGATAGTAGATATTACCAGTAGTAGAATTATTTTAATATTACCGGTAAAATAATATTATTCTACTATAGCAATAGTAGAATTTTCCTCGGCTGATTACACTCTACTATAGTAGATAGTAGTTGTGTTTTCGGCTAATAATAGTACTATTTGATACTAGAGGCATATTGGCTAACGCAGGGACACATGTTGGCGCTCGGTCGGTTCAATAGAGAAAACGGATTCGCTGCTGGGAGGCTCGCGCGTTCGGCGGTCGCGGTTCGTCGCACGGGGCCGGTCTACTAGCTCAGGGTAGAACTCCACGCCTCCCAGTACTTCGGCATACGGTTTGTACAACGACGAAAAGTCAAAGCAACCCTTCTTCTCAGGCTGACAGCGACGGCGGCGCCTAGTGTGACGGGGCACACAGCACTTCTTAACAGAGGAAGCAGGAGTATACAAACTCCAAGTGAACAGCCGTTCACGTGTCCCTGGTCTGAAGGGGACGACTTGACTTGAAAAGCGGTAGATCTAAGACGGAATGTATTTATAGGCTGGTACAGATTTGGCCTGCATACAAATCCTAAGTTCCCTTAGTTTGTGTCATACAAAATGTATCTATTGGCTCTGAGGCCACTTGGGTCACTATCCAGGGGAGTGATCGATGTAGCCATCCCGGAATAGTGACAGGGTCACTATTCCATGTAACCCCATTACATCCTCCCCCACTTAGATTCGATCTTATCGACCAATCAGAGCGAGGTTACGCCGGCGACTCACATTTCACTCGCAAAGTCGAAATCCATCGACAACGGCGCGAGCTCTGGCGCCTCGGCTCCCGGGCCTCACAGAGCAACTGGCGCATCGCCGAGCAAGCCGCAGGGTCTCCACGTTGACCGGAAGCATGCCTCCAAAGCGCAGTGCGCGCAGTGCGAAAGCACCTCCGAAACCGCGGGCCGTAGGGCCGAAGACCAGGGCGGCCAAGGCCAAGGACGAGTCGTCCGCGCTGATGGAGGCCACGAAGGCGGCCGAAGAGGTGGTGCGCTCTCGTAGCAGCACGCCGGAGAGTGGTCGTCAGGCCGGGGCTCGGAGCAAGTCTCCTGACGCCGCACAAGGCAAGGAGGAGAGTCCTCGGGGCCATAAAAACCCGGCTCGCGACTGGGAAGCCGCCGTCTTTGACTGCACGATGGTCCAGTACTCCGGTGAGAGTTCACCCGACGACGAGAACGTCTCGGAGGGCAGCACACACGCTGCCGAAGGCACGGAGCTGGCGGCAGGCGACATGACCAACGCCTCGGCCGACGCAAAGGCCTCGTCAGAGAAGGAGGCGGAGGACGCCGAGTCCGGCTCAGGCGACAGCAAGCAGTCGCACGACGAAGTCGCCATGGCCGACGCTGGGGTCGTGGCCGAGAAGTCGCCGAGCGATGCGGGCTCCAAGCCCAAGGAGGTGCTGGCATCCAGGCATCTGACGCTGGCACAAGGTCATGAGCGTGCCCAAGCATCGAAAGCGGCTGCCCATGCGAAGGCCGCCGAGGCCAAGGCGAAGAAGCGTTCAGCTTCCAGGTCGCCTCGCGGCTCCAGCTCCAAGCTGTTCATCGACTCGGAGTCTGAGGACGAGGAGGGTGCCGTCCACGAGCCCAAGGAGCTCTCCAACAACCTCGACGAGCAGCAGCAGCAATACCACGCTGCTAGCTCGGGTGCGTATGCCAGGCAGCCGACTGCCAGGACTGCCATCGAGTCTTCTTTAGGCGGGGATGCCACGTACCCGCAGGGCTACTTCCCGCCCGAGCCTGGCACTGGTGCGCCAGCGCTGTTGGAGAAGCTCTCGGCTCCTCGTGGCCTTATCCGCGGGTACACCTCGAGGGGTTCCTATGAGCGTGCTCTTGTTGAGAAAGAGCCACTCTTTCTTGGCGACGTTGAAGTCGCCCGGTGTGTGCTACTAGCACCACACAAGTTCACACTGAAGGAGTTCACCACGCTTCGCAAGAAGCCGGAGGACAAGGGTGGACTCCATCCTGTGTGGGGTTTCCACTGGGTCAAGCCGAATGACAACATGACCTGGAGCGAGGTGGAAGACCTCTTCTGGCGCTACGTCCAGCGCAAAGGGTATTCCGACCAAGAGTTCAAAGAACTCCGTGAGGATCGCACTCTGTCCGCAATCCTGGACGTGCGCGAGCTCCGCATCGAGTTCGCTCAACTCGTGAGCAAGCGCAAGCTCCACTCGAAGATGGACGAGCTGAAGCAAGAGGCGAGAGCCAAAGCTCGTGAAGAGCGTGGGCGTGGTGCGACTACGTCTGCTACCGTGCCCCGGGTACCGGCCAAGAAGCCAAGGACTACTTACGAAGCTGCCGCTGCTTCTCGTCCCATATCGCAACAGCCTTCGGGCAGTCTGCCTGGAGCTGCTCAACGGGCTCCCACGAGTTATCCGACTCAGGGTAACCCCTCCACTTCACGAGCAGCTGGCGCTTGCCATGGAGCCGCCGCTCCCGGACGTCTCGTTCCACGTGGTAGTGGATCTGACCATTACGATCAAGGAGGGCCGGTGGTGGCCTCGCACGGCCATGGCTACGAGCCTGAGGCGACGCAGCCGTATGCTGGGGCCCCCAGTCAGGTGGTGGCCTGCAGCAAGAGGAGATTCGTCTTCTCCGGGACCGTGTGTACGTCCTCGAGATCGCGCTTGGCGTCGGCCTTGGTGGCGAGGCTGCCGCTCGTGCTGGCCAGCCTGGTGCCGTGGAGCGGCTCCGTGAGGATGTTGCCTCGCTCTATCAAGAAACTCGCAGTCTCCATGGCCGTGTGGATCGTCGAGCCGACCTGTCGTCTTACGACTCGCTGCGAAACCAGCTCGCTGGCCTTCGGGCCAAGCTTCATGGCCACGCGCCGTATCCGGAGCAGCAGCAGCCCCACTCGTATCAGGCCCAGTTTGGCCAGGGCTCGTACGGGGCCCCTGCGTATGCTGCTCCGATGTACGCCGCGCCGTCTTACGACCAGCGCGCGTATCAGGCGCCTTACCGCGACCCGACGCCGCGCTTCGAGGAGCTGCGCTCTTCTCCACCGGGCCACCCACCGATTCCTGCGGGGCAGCCAGAGCCAGAGGGTCATGGTACCTCTTAAGACGACCCACGTAAAACGTCGGGTGACTCGTCATCGACTTGGGCAAGTCTATGGTGTACGCCGCGCCATGCCGGCTGAGGACCGTGAAGGGTCCAATGAAGCGGTGCTTCAGCTTGTTGCTTTCGACCGAGCTAACAGTGTTTAGCGGTAGGTTTCTAGTATCTAGGAGAACTAAATCCCCAACCTTAAACACGTTCATGTTTCCTCTTCCATTTCGGTCAGAGTACTCCTTCTGTTTATCTTGGGCTTGCACCATGGTGTCTCGCACCCTGCTGATTATGTTCAGCCTGTCTTCGGCAAACGAGGACAGTTGCTTCCGCAAGGTGGCTGGACTCACGTCCGAGACTTGGGAGGAAAAGGTTTTCCGAGCCTCTCCCCCACTTAGGACCGAAGCCCCAGTACTGCCTCGTAATGCGAGCGGCACCTGAGGGTGGCGCAACCCGTTCAGGTAAAAAAGCGTAAAGCCCGTCGATGCATGTACCGCATTGTTGAGTGCGAACTCAACCATGGGCAAGCGATCAGCCCAAGAGCGGGGCATCTCCGCGCAGATACTGCGGAGCGTGTCTTCGAGCACGCGATTGACGCGCTCCGTCTGGCCATCCGTCTGCGGGTGGTCCGCCGTCGACATCGACAGTCGTGTGCCGAGAAGGCGAAACAGCGTCTGCCAGAACGTAGCGGTGAACCGCGGGTCTCGATCAGAGACAATGGTCTCGGGCAGACCGTGGTGTCGGAAGACACAGTCCATGAACAGGCGAGCGACCTCGTCGCCAGTGACGGTGTCACGAACTGGAGCAAAGTGGACCATCTTGCTCAGACGGCACACGAAGGCAACAACACCAGTGTTGCCACGGTCATCGGCCGGAAGTCCGAAGACAAAGTCGAGACTCATCGACTTCCAGCAGTCCGCTGGGACCGGCAGGCTCTGCAATGGTGCCGAGGCGTGACCGGCAGGCTTCACGCGCTGGCACGTCTCGCACGTACGGACGTAGGTGGCGACCCACTTGTACATGTGACGCCACCAAAACATCTGCGAGACAGACGCGAACGTCTTCTCACGGCCGAGATGGCCACTGAATGGAGCGTCGTGCGCCTCCATCAGGATGTCGTACTTGAGATCCTCGTCGTTGGGCACGACAATACGGGGAGGATCCTCGGGATCGACCCTATAGTGGAGCAAACCGTCAGCCCACTCATAGCGATGCAGCCTTGCACGTTGTCGAGGCGTGAGCCACTCAGCCTTGGCTTCCGAGCCAGCGGCCAAGAACCGCACAAGAGGTCAGAGACTGGCATCGTCTTGGTACCCCAGCCTGATGCGATCACACAGATCCGTCGTGACCCGACTAATATGAGCAAGTTCGTAGTCGGGTCGGCGCGACAGCGCGTCGGCAAGCACGTTCAACTTGCCCGGCTTGTACTCGACACGGAAGTTGTATTCCGCGAAGAATGACAACCAACGCGCCATCCGCTGTGAGAGATGCGGCGTGTTGACGGCAGTCCGCAAGGACACGTGGTCTGTATAAACGACAAAGGGCGTCGAGCCCAGGAGGTGCACTCGGAACTTGACAAGAGCGTACTTCATGGCACGTAGTTCCTTGTCGTGGACTGGATAGTTCCGTTCGGCTGCCTTGAGCTGCCTGGACTGGAACGAGATGACCCGTTCGCGGCCTTCATCGTCGGCCTGCAATAGCGCACAGCCAATTGCGTAGTCAGACGCATCACAGACTACGCTGAAAGGCTTCGTCTCGTCCGGCAATGCCAGGACTGGCGCGCGCTGTAAGCTCGCTTTGATGTCGTTAAAAGCATCTTGATGGCGACGCTCCCAGCGCCAGTCGACATCCTTCTTCAGGAGATCCGACAAGGGCCGTGCCAGCTCGGCGTAGCCTGCACTATATTTGTGCAGGTAGTTGGCGAGGCCCAACCACTGTCGTAGGTCCTTCTGCGACCGAGGTGGTGGCCAAGCCGCGATGGTTTTCACCTTCTCCGGGTCCGCCCGGACCCCGGCGCTGCTGATGAAGCAGCCCAGGACCTTGATCTCCTCGGCTGCGAACACACACTTGTCGATGTTGGCGTACAGCTTGTTCGCCCGCATGACTTCGAACACACGTCGAAGGTGCTGGAGATGCACCTCCATGGCCGTCTGGCCTGCCTCGGCACGGCTGTGGACGAAGATGTCGTCAAAGTATGTCTGTGTGAACGCACGCAAAGGTCGGAACAGTTGTGTGACCAAGCGATTGAACGTTGCCGGGGCGTTAGAAAGCCCCTGAGGCATGACCAGCCACTCCCAGAGCATACCGCTCGGCGTGCTCACAGCCGTGAGTGGGATGTCGCACTCGCGCATCAGGATCTGGTAGTATCCGTCCACCAGGTCCAGCGCGCTATACAGCGTGCAGCCGGCCATCTTGTTGAGCAACACGTCCTTGCGCGAGATCGGTGTCTGCGCAGGTACTGTCGCGCTGTTCAGCTTGTTATAAGCATGAATCAGACGCCACTTTCCGTTCGGTTTGCGAACACAGAAGGTAGGCGTCGAGTGCGGGGACTTCGACTCCCGCATCATGCCTGCCTTCGCCTTGGCGACAAAGAAGTCATCAATGACTTCACACTGCTCCCGGGGAAGAGGCCATTGCCTCGTGACACAGTACTTCGTGCCCGGCACGAGATCGATCTCGTGCCTGATTCCCCTGTCCGGAGGGAGATTGGACGGTGGATCCTTGGACACCACGTCCTCGAACTCCTTCACCAAGGGGTACACCGGGTCCCGGGGGTTCTCAAGAATCTCAGAGCCCATGCGCGACGCGCGCTGTCTCTGGAACTCCTCCAGGACTGCCTGGTCCATGACCGAGGACGAGTTCAACTCGGCCGACGTGGACTCCGGTCGGAGAACAACCAACTCTGCGATCTCCCCGGCCTTTAGCTCGGCCAAGAAGTCCTCCATTGCGAGCTCCTCAAGGTTCAGCAACTCTGAAACCTCGGGCAGAGCTGTAAGCTCGACAGCTCCTGTCTTGACCCGACGACGGGTCACGTCGTCGAAGATGTGATAACACTCTTCGGCGGCTGGAGCCTTGGCTGGAGGCTCGGAGTCGCTGGCGACTGGCGTCGTCGGCCACACGACTAGGCCCGGCTTACGACGTGACCCTCGGGTGTCTTCGTCTCGTGGCGCCGCCTGGACGGCACCACCGATCTTCTCGATCTCGTGCGGAACTACGTTACCCGCCTTGTCCTTGAGCGGAACTTGGTTACCCGCCTTGCTGGGTGGAACTATGTTACCCACCTCGCCGTGTGGAACTTGGTTACCCACACCAGGAGCGCTTCCAGCGACTCCCGCATCAGTTATGGTCTGAGTGACCTCCTGTGGAACTATGTTACCCACATCGGAAGCGCCTGCAGTGCCTTCCTCATCAGTTACGGTCTGAGTGACCTCGCGTGGAACTTGGTTACCTACGCCAACGCCAGCGGCGCCTTCTCCAGCAGCCCTTGCTGCCTGCGGTACTTCGTTACCCGCGTGTGGACCTACGTTACCCACCTGGTAGGTGCTGTCCGACACCTCCACTCTCAGGCCTTGTCCGGCCCGGTCGGAGTCGTCGTCAGTCTCGACAGACCCCAAGAACTCATTAGACGCTGCTGCGCCCTGGCGGCCCTCGCGGGCGCCCCAGCTGCTGCCAGAGGTGGGAACATGACTCACCAAAGCTCTGACAGAGCGTGGGGGACGGCTGGCCCCGATGGCCTTGCCGCGCCAGTCGATCCAAGGCTCGTGTTTCTCCAGCCACGGCATACCAAGGATCAAGTCGTACTTAGGACCAAGAACGGCTCCGTGCTGTCGAAGTCCTCGAACTTGACAGTGAGGTCCATGTGGACCCGAGGTACTTCTACCACCGTACCGTCGGCCAGTCTTACCGAGACCAGCCCGTTGCCTTTGCTGCCTCGTAGCACATCGGCGTACTCGTCGCGATTGCGTGCGACAGTCTGGCGGCGCGCAAAGTTCTTGGACGCCCTAGAGTCGATCAAGATTCTCAAGGGATGATCGTATCCCGGTACACTCGCGTGCACCACAAGCAGCCCACCGCTGCCCTTCTCCGCTTCGAGAGTACAGAGACTCTCAGGGGCTAAGTCCCCATGGCGTGCGCCACCCGCACGCTCCTCATGAAGACTTGGTGTTTCCCCAGTAGGGCGCCCCGCCCCTACTGGTGTCCGGCGTTCCCCTGGTCCCTGGGGCGCGGCTTCTGCCAGCGACCCCTAGAGCCAAAGGGCTTCGAAGAGAACTTCTTCTTCAGTCCTCCCGCGGGACAAGCACGTTTCATGTGCCCAAGCTTGCCACAGCCGTAGCAGCGAATGTCGCTCTGCTCGGCCATGCCCAGATCCATGGGAACCGGCCCGTTGATCGCTCCATTGCCGGAGTTACCATTAGGCACACCGCCAGAGGCAGGGTTGCTCTGCCATACCGTGGCGGGGGTACGAGCCTGCTTGTGGCTGTACTCCTCCTGGAGGGCGATCTGAATCGCCTCCTCCATAGTGTTTGCTTGCACACGGAACAGTTGCGTGCGGGCAGGACCGACACGCAGACCGTCCATGAACACGGTCACCTTGATGTGTTCAGGCAGGGGGTTCCCCACCAAAGAGGCAGTGAGCACTCGCATCTCCTGGATGTACTCATACAGCTCGCGCCTTCCTTGTTTGCAGGCGAGAAAGCGCGAACGCTGGCGGTACTCGTAGTTCGCCGGAAGAAACGCGGCCCGCAGCTGCTCGCACAGCTGGGACCATGATGCGAAGCATCCAGGCGTCGTCGCTTCGCGCGTATACACCCAACTCTTAGCGCGACCACTAAGGTTGGAGAGCGCAAAGGCGACACGGAGTCGCTCGTCCGAGACGAGAGCCGCGTCCATCGCGAGCTCAACCTCTCGAACCCAGAAGTGAAGGTTTTCTCCTTCCTTCCCTTCGAAGGGGTGAACCTTCAGCCGCAGGGGCTTCGGTTGCACCGGCTTCGGCGCGGCCGCAGTGGCCTGCAGCCCTTGAACGTGGGCGATGAGCCCTCGCTCGTAGGTGTCGAACGCGTTGATACGCTCAACCTGCTCAGCCGGCGTCGCCGCCGCTAAGCTACGCAGGGCATCTGTCCCAAAGATGCCTGGCATCTTACGAACGGACTCGTACTGCGAGTCGTTCAGATGGGGAAACTCCGTACGATCCATCTTGGCTCACTCGATGAGACCACAGAGGATTCAGGTAGTCCAATCTACCCGCGTAGGCGTAGGATTGACTACAAGTGCTACCAAGTGTGACGGGGCACACAGCACTTCTTAACAGAGGAAGCAGGAGTGTACAAACTCCAAGTGAACAGCCGTTCACGTGTCCCTGGTCTGAAGGGGACGACTTGACTTGAAAAGCGGTAGATCTAAGACGGAATGTATTTATAGGCTGGTACAGATTTGGCCTGCATACAAATCCTAAGTTCCCTTAGTTTGTGTCATACAAAATGTATCTGTTGGCTCTGAGGCCACTTGGGTCACTATCCAGGGGAGTGACCGATGTAGCCATCCCGGAATAGTGACAGGGTCACTATCCCATGTAACCCCGTTACACCTAGCACTAGGCGTCCTCGACCGCCCCGTACGGTCCCACAGCTTCGTCCACACTAGACCCGCGTTCTCCTCGAAATACGACTCGATACACGGTTTCAACCTTTTCCAGCAATCTCCCTTCAGACCATACTGTTCCACAACACGGTTGGCGTGCTCGCGTAGCCGTTCCCAATCGGGACCAGGCACCTCGGGGGAACATCCACCATTCCTCTTTCACCGTTCAGCACTTCTTCAGGACCGTTGTTTCGACCTCCGTAGTCTCTCGCTTCCTTCAGCAACCGGAACACAGCTTGACGCGCGATCGCTCTCTTGATCTTCGATCGACGCGTTGTACTCCACTTAGAACAGGAATCCCTTTCTCCACCGAGACCGCTCCTCCCGGATCATCGGGAGGGCGCAAGACATTCTCGCACACGAAAGACTCGACGGCCGTGTTAACCACGCTTGTGACCGTTTCATCTTCAGAATCTGACCAGAGGTGGTGGCGCCCCTAGAAGTGTGGGAAGACGAAGAGTACGACGTATCGGACTGCTTCTTCGCGGCTTGGACGGATGAAGAGACCGTTCTTGCTACGAGCAAGGAAGTGAACGGTACGGTCGAGGCCAGGACGGTCGAAACCGAAACGGTTGAGGCCAAGGACTCCTCGAAGTACGACCGTTTGTTTACGGACGAAGAACTGGATGCTATGGATGACTGCGAGCCCGGGCAGGAAACGTCTGTTCTCGCTGGAACGGATGTCGCCGCCGAGCCAGAAGAGTACGACAAAGAGCTTGAGGACCGGTTGTATCCGCTGGACGAGGTCGAGTTGCTGAAGCGTGTCAAGCAGAACGCTGAAGCTCAGACCGAACCGTCTGCGGAAGAGCTGGCTCGCTTCTTGGGTATCTCTCTGGAGGTCTTGGAGCGGACGCGCCCAGCCGCCTCCGACTCCTTTGGAACGCCTGAGTACTGGCAAGATTGGTACGGTGATATGCTGGAGAAGTCGGAGGAAGCCATGCGTGCGAACCGAGACTTCCGGACTCCGGTGGCGAATGTCGTCTATGGTGAACAAGCTGCGTCAAGTGGAACGGTGGGGAAGGCCTCGGAGCGGTCAGGCGTCGGCAACAATACCCCAATACCCGCAGTTCTGATGTCTCCTCCGCGGCGTCACTTCAACCACAGCACTTCGTTCTTCACGCGTCACAGTAGGAGGCTCCGACACGGTGCAATCCTCAGACAGCCCCGTGACCGTTGTCTCCCCACCGTTCCCAACCTCATCACACCGTTCAGGACTCGCAGCGACCAGATCTTCGTAGACCACTTCGACTTCCTTGCCTTCAACGTCCGCAACAAATCCTTCTCCTTCTTCATCCGTCCCCACGATCTTGAACCCGACTTTCTTTTTCTTGTTTTTCTTTTCAGCACATGAAGCTCCACGCATGGCAGACACCGGTTCGGTCTGCGTCCTCGATGCATCCACACCAACATCAACGGTGGTCACCGTTCCGCCTTCAGCTTCACGGTCGCGATCACCACCACTCGAGCCATTTACTAGACAAGAGGAAGGAGTGACTCTCTCCTCCCCTTCCCCCCGCCCCCGTCATTGGTTCGAAGCGGTTTGTGCAGACCTGGTCCTCAGATCCTGGGCCGCACCACGGAGTGCCACAATGCCTGGACACGCACCGATAAGGTGACCTTCTTCCTCGCAGAACGCGCACTTGGTAACGCCACGACCTCCGTTCCGGCCAACCGTTCCAGGGCCGCGTTGGTAGTTGCTGAGTCCCGCTTCACACCCCACAGCGATATGACCGTGAACGCCACAGTTGTGGCACGTCATGGACTGGCGGCGGCAGGTCTCTCGCGAGTGACCCACGTAGCCACACCTGCCACACACAGGCGCTCCCTCTTGGGTTCGACTGTTAGCTCCCATACGAATTCCTCGGACCGGTCGACCGTTCCCACGAGGACCTTGACCGTTCATTCCAGCGCCAGCATTCGAAGTCGTAGCTGAAATGTTGGGCATGCGGTTCCGCGGCGAGCGCGGAGGCTGCCAGCGGTTCTGCACCATCTGCTGCTGCCGCCGCTGCTGCTGCGCCATGAACGTCGTCATCTTCTCCGCCATCGAATCGTTCGCGGGCGAGGCATCACTCCCGCTCGACTTCTTCTTCTCGTCCGAGAACTCGTCGTCTTCTTCAATGGGACGCGACATCTCCTTGGCCAATAGACATTCGCAGGCCTCCGGAATGTCACGCGCCGGTCCCGAATCGAGACATCCCAATATGCGTTTGTTTCGGAGTCCGCAACGGAACAGCTGATATCTCATCTTCCTGTTCGGATAGTCCAACGAGTCACAAAGACCCGTCACACGGTCACCCCACTCCTCAACGGATTCGCCACGCTCCCTGTGAGCGGGCTGCAACCGTTCCCAGAGCTGGTCAGCCGTTCGGCTGAGGAACAGGTTGTGGAATCGGACCTTCAGAGTCGCGAACGTCTTGATAGTCGAGTTGTTCCACCACCGTTCAGCTTCAGAGCCCTTGATCCGTTGTCGGAACACTAACAGCCGAGACCGGTCCGGGAGGTGGCTGGTGTGAGCTTCGAACAGCTCCCAGAAGTCACGCGCCTTGTCCATGCTGGCCGTGACCGAGTAGAAAGCAGGTAGGACCTTGATCGCATTGGAGACCATAGACGACAAGTCACGGTCGTTCCGAACGGTCGGGTTATTCATGGGTACGGTAGCCACCGTTCCGAGCTTGGGTAGGCATCGGCCGTCCGTTCGTTGAGGCACTCACCGCAGTTCTGGCGGGTGCTTTGTTGTGCACGACTGTCTTCACCGGTCCCGTCGGTTGGGTCTTCACCGGTCTCGTAGGTTGGGACTTCACTGTAGGCTCCACTTTCACCTTCCGTTCCATCTTCACCGTGGGCTTCGGCACCGTTCCCCAGTCACCGTAGCCTCCTTGCTGGGCACCGACGCTCCAGCCAAATACAGGACCTCCAGGCAGACGCTTCTGCGTTCCCGTGTACATCGGGATGAAGCCACTCGGGATCCTTTGCTGCTGCACTTCTTCAGGTTCTTCTTTCACGTAGTCTGTGAAGTAGGACGGTTCGTACTCAGCGAGTTCACTGTAGCCGTAGTCTTTCGCCGACCAGCACTGTTCTGTTCCGTCAAATTCGGCATCCTCACCGTCTTCTTCGACCGTTTGCACGGCCTCGGGGCCCGGCGATGGAGCCATCTTCATCTCGAGCTCTTGTTCTGCTTGAGCTTCGACCGCATCACCGTGTTCATCTGCGGTCTTGTGTTCATCATCGTCTTCATCGGCCCAAAGAGCCTCCCTCGTTTCCTGGCGAAGCGAGTCACGACCGGCAGCAGTAGCTACCTGCGCCGTCGCGTCCACTCCGCTCGCATCTCCGGACGATCGCGGGCGTCGCTGCCTTAGTAGAGCCGACGTGGTCCTACCGTGTTGCAGCCGTCGCAACCGCTCCGCTTCCAACCGTGCCACTTCATCTTGCACGGACCGCTGATCCCCATTCTCTCCTTGCTCTCCAACAACCGTCATCTTCTTCAGAAAGTCTTCTTCACTCGACCTTCAGTACGCGATCTTCTTCAGAAAGTCTTCTTCACTCGACCTTCAGTACGCGATCTTCTTCAGGAAGTCTTCTTCACTCGACCTTCAGCACGCAATCTTCTTCAGAAAGTCTTCTTCACTCGACCTTCAGCACGCGATCTTCTTCACTCGAACGCGTGAAACAGACTCCAATCTCCAAACTTCAAACTTCCAGACTTCAAACTACTTCAGGCTCCGAGCGAGCCGACCAGAATTACCGGCGGAACCGAGCGCTCCGTTCACCGTTGACTTGACCTTGACCTTGACCGTTAAGGGCTCCGAGCGAGCCTACCGTTTTCTTCTTGACCTTGACCTTGACCAGTGGGGGTACTTCGCGTACCGTTCTCCAATCCCACAGCGGCGCCGAGCGCACCGTTCACACGACACAATTCCAGATCCAGATCGTTCACGCGCCCGAGGCGAGGGCTGGGACTCCAGGCAGACTCCCGAAGGCCAGACGAAGCTCCACCGACGCGAGGACTTGACCCGTACTGCCGTCGTTCAGACTTCACAACATAGACCGTACCCTGCTTCTCCACCACGTGTCGCGAGTGCCCTGGATGGGACGGTCAAGCGTTGTATGGAAGCTAGAACGGTTAGGCAGTGACACAAATAGCAATAAACAGAGCTAATATGCAAAAGCAATCAACTTGTTCTCTCCAGTGCAGATTCACGACTGACCCTACTTCCTTACCGCGCACGGAGCCTGACAGCTCGTGCTCCCTTCTTCTTTCGGCTCTCTGTCGGCTCACGTGCCGACTTCAACACGTCACCGGCTCACCTGGCTCTCGTCTCACCCCTTCGTCCTTGGCTCACCTCACAGCTCACGTCCCGAGCACGCGGTGCTCGTGACCTCCGTCCTGCCCTTCGCGTCACTGCTCACCCATCGCTCGCGTCACTGCTTCCCTCGCAGCCGAGCGCGCCACCTAACCGACGCGTCGCCAGTCAGCGCCCCTCCGAAATGGATGACTGCCCGCTATCGCATCGTCCAACAGCTGATCCTCCAGAAGTCGATCGCTGGTCGAACGGTCGTCCGTGTATTAGGAACGGTGGTGACCGTTCCTACTCGGGACACTCTGTGCATTTTTGTTTTCACGTTGAACGCGCGTTAATACGGGTAGAGAATCCTGGTGAGTTGCTTCGGTGTCTAGATAGAAATTCTATCATAGAAATCAAATTGTAGGAGAACGCGTTTTGCTCAGATACCCCCAAAGTTCTAGAAGCGCTTATTCTCGTAAACGTCCTAGAATATGAGAAAGTACTACTGATTACTGAGGTCGAACACAATAAATTGTTTCAGTTATTTTATTGCCCAGTTTTTTTATTTACTGATTCCGAGCTCCGGCTGGGGGTCAATTGGTGTGAGTACCTGCGACCGAACCGCAATCAGAGTCGATAAAATTTGCGCGGTCACAGCCGGCACACCTCACATGAATATGCAGCGCTATTATAATACATGAATTCAGTATTGCAATACGTACCTTTATCAACAACAGCAGATGGCAACGCAGAAGACACTTTTGATCCTGGATGTCGCCGTCGATGACTTTGCTTCCTTTAGTCCTCGACGGAAAATGTGGTCCCTGCCCCCTCTTCGCTTTGACTTGGAGTTCATTCTTCTGCTTCAAGGATCAAGACCTTACTCCTTTAGTTCATTTTGGCTACGTAATTGTTGGTATCTGTTGCTTTCCTGTGTTATTGTAGCGCATGTTACCCTAAGTGGTCAAGTTACTAAGCTAAAGCGACATTACGCGTCAAGCACACTGGACCGGTACAGTACTACCGGTACATGTATTAATATCTATGGTGAAGCGATTCCATGCCCCCTCAGTATATATGCAATTTTATCCCAAAATCCTTGTGGCAGCAACTTTTAACCCCCCCCCCCCCCCCGCTTAAGAACGACGGCAACTGGCACATCCCACCCTTTCAATCATTTTCGTGTTATTGTATTGCCTTCATCCGCACAGGTATACATACCATGTATACCCCTGCACACCACCCATTTCAGTCGCCATTCAAGATTTCGACAGCTCGAGCATAAGGCTCCGTCGCGTCGATATAAGCGTTGGGCGAAGCAGCGCTGAAGGTAATGCGAATTAACCGGGTGTTATTAGGGATGTCAGAACGTCGGAGTGCGAACTTCACACCGCGCCTCTCTTCGCAGCGCGAAGAGGCACCACCAGGGAGGACACGTCGTCGAGAGCCTTGCGGACAGCAGCGCCTGTGGGGATTGCTACGCGGACGGCTGCACCGCGCTGTGCTGATAAACAAGACATGCTCGCTGTGCGGCTGGCAGAGGTGTCACAAGACGCTCTTACCTCAAGGACGCCGCCGGGCTGGACGTGTGAGTGGGTTCCGACTGACGAAACCCGACTGAGCGTGGTGTGTGCTTTTTTCTTCTTCTTTATAGTGCTTAGCGGTTCATGTTTGATAGTAATAATGAACCTTTCAACCGTTAGAGAAAAGCGTTGTGTAAACCGGCGTTGATAGGAGTGCTGCAGTGCCCACGTGGGTGGGGCGCTTACAATTAATAGCCTACTAAGTATCAATAATAGGGTAGGATGATGCGCGTTGCTGTTCTATTGTGTTTCCGACTCTAGAGACACACTTGGCGGCAACGCACACGTTGCTACATGTAGTGCAGTGATCCTTTGGCTCACAACTTATGATTGCATACTGCGTTCACACACTGACTGAAGCAGCCCGACCGAGTCACTGAGGCAGCCCGACTGAGTCGAGTACCCGACTGACCCGACTGAGTGAGTCGGTCTTTCATAAGGTGGTTTACACAACTTTTGCTGTTCAGCTATACACTAGCCAATGTATAGCCATAACCCGGCTCTAAACCCGGCTCTATTTTCAGTCGGGTTGAGTCGGTCTAGTCGGGTGTCATTGCACCCCAGTCGGGTGCAGCTGCCTCATCGCATGATTCCCAGTCGGGTGCAGCAACAAGTGCCAAAAAAAAGGATGTTAAAGTGAATAGGAGCACGAGTTTGGAAGGGTGGAGTTACAGGAGGACGGCTAAAATATCCACAGAAATACAAGATAATCCACAGCGATCGTCTTAATCCGCGAGGTCAGTCCACAACAGGTGGTGACAATCCACAGAACCTGGGGATAATCCACAGTTCAATGAGCAAATCCACAGCTCCCAGTGTCAATCCACAAGATGCAGGATGTCTAGTCCACAGCTATTTAAGCCAATCATCATCATTCTATATCTTGTTATTTGATCCAATCAGAATCTCTCTCTATCTGCGTGACCACTAAATGCGATTGAAGTGCAATGTGAAGTCGATGATGCGTTATTGAGCGCAAGGATAGCAGCAGAAGCCAAGTTCCTCAGGCAGAACTATTAGGCCATGACATCACACATCTAATGCACTCTAATTTACTATCTAATTCGCTATATTGGTGGAGCTGAAGCTCGAAACCCGCAAAAGTACAATGAGAAGACGTTGAACAAACGCAGTGATTCGCCTTGTTGGCAGTAGACTCGAGCTTCGTTCGACACCACACGTGACTGTGGTGTAGTGAGCAGCAGCATGCTGAATTATTTACGCCTTGTTTGATCTACTAACTCTAAATTGGCGTGTCTACGCTGTTTTTTAGAGCTAAAATGAAACTCGATGCTGCAGTTCGGGCTTCTTTTGCGGCATGGTTGACGTACTAACTCTAAATGCTGACGTGTCTACGCTGCTGTATAGAGGTTATGAAGCTGGAAGCAGCACACAGGGGTGCTCGCCGAGCACAAGAGCATCGACGCGGAGCGTCATGGGGGCGCTCAGCGACAGCGAGGCGTCGCCGTTGGTCCACTCGGAGTTTCGCCGCCACTCGCTGTCGTCGCGGGACAAGTTCAAGCGCAAGGGCGACGCCACCACCAGCGAGAGGATTAAACTTGTGGACAGCAAGTGACGCCGCCCACTACCTAGTGCTCAACGCGGAACAACAGCAAGCTACGATAGGTTGTTGTTGTTCCGCGTGAGCAGCTCCCTTCAGGGCAGTCGTCGTGCATCTGCACGCATGGTTGGTAGTGATACTAGGTGCACATGTTGTTTCACTCCACGCATATTAGGACCAGAATAACAAACAATACAGTGCAAGTTGAACATGTAAGCTTTCTCTTACGCATTAAACTTATCCTACGCACATACTACGTAGTATCTACTAGCGGTAGTAGGTATTGCCATGACCCGCAACAACTTGTCAATCTAGATATGGTTGCATTATTCGTCCACGCGCATTACATGACCATGGCTAGCAAATATTCTAACAGCATTAAAGGAATTATTGTACATGAACGACCCTAACTGTGCATCCAGATGTAGCTCTACCAGTTTATCCGTCCGCACGCCGCCACGCTGAGCAGCCTGTCCTGCAACAAGCTGGCGAACGGAGAAAACCGCTGCGATCCGTAGGGGTACGCGTTGGTGTCCTTGGCCACGAACATCTCGCAGAACGTGTCGAACGCGCACGACGCGTCGGATATGAGCGGCAAGCGCACGAGCATGATGACGCGCGACTACTTGCCGGCCGCGATCGTGTCGTACGCCTCCTGGCGCGCCACCTTCGCCACCTTGGACATCGCGTCGTAGGCGGCCGCGCAGCTCCTCGTCCGCGCTGAGCCTGAAGTCGCCGATCTTGCACGCGATGCAGCAGTTCTTGCGCTGCTGCTCACGGCTGTCCACGTTTAGCGCGCCCAGGTGCTGCTGTCAAAAACACCGGATGCACCAGCACGCCGAACACGTACCATGGGGTCCATGGCATGGGCGTATTGGCCCCTCGAGCGCCAATCCACACTTCACCTCCTATTCGTTCACAGCACCACCAATATAGCACGTTAGCCTACAAGCATAGCAACATTATAACCACACAAGTATGCCGCTGCACGCGCACCTGCGGAAAATGGCCACGCGCCATCCTCTACGGCCCCAGAGCCACCCGTGTCCGGCAAGCAGGATCTTGGAGTCTGCATTTTCATCCACAGTAACGTCAGTATTGCGAGTTAGCTCGACGCCGACTCTGCATTTTGTTGCCCTAACAGCCAGCTAAGTATCGTACCCATAGATGTTGCCTGTACCCACCTGCTCTAGACGCCCGAACCTGCACGCTCAGCACCTGCTGCATGTGCTTCCGACCTGGGTACCTGAAGAATGGTACCGTAGCTCGCTATACATGTACGATTTCGGCGCCATTGCTGCCACGAGCACTCATTGTGTGCTTGTGGCATGCTTGTGACACATATATATTGCAATTTCCTGTGGCCCTATATAATATACGGTGCGTATGTCACAACTTGTGACAAGCTCACGCTCGCCTGTGGCATGACTCACAAGCACTTCACAAGCATGCCACAGGCGAGCGTGAGCTTATTCATTACGACCTGAAGAGTTCAGGTTAGCTGATGCGTACGTGCACGTCCTAATTCACGCGTGGGAGTGTGCTTCATGCGACGCGGCGCTTCATGAAGCTGTTGCGCTCTGCTAGACCCTGCGGCGCGTGTGGTGCGGACTCGGCCTTCTTCATCATCTGGCAGAATCGAAAATGGACGGCTGGGAGGCTTCCCCAATAATGCAAAATTCTCAAAAGAGATGCGGTTTAAGATATCTTTTTTGTAGTGCCTACGACCGAGTTGGTCCACGTATTACGTACGTACATGTACACATGTACTTAGTATACGTGACGCAATCCATAAGCCGCCTTTGTAGACTGTACCTAACATGTAAGTACATGTACGGTACATTTGATGGGATGTGCAACCTTCTGCATACGCAGCTGTACAGTACACGGGACTTCAAGCATCCCACGAGCTGAGCGGGAGCACTGCTCGCGGGAACGAGCACGAGCAGCTAAAACCTCATGAGCGCGCTCGCTGATCTGTAGCTGCTCACATGAAATCGATTTAAAGGGGGGAGCGCGAATCAAAGCTCCACACATTAATTGGATAATAATAAATTTACTTTAAAAAATTGTGCCTAACTTGCACTCAGAGCAGTTGTTCATGCTGATGGGGGTATCATCGGCTTCTGTAGTTACTGTAGCTGACGGCCAAACCCGTATCAGTATTATGGGGCACCTCTGTTGAGTGTGATGCTGCCACAAAGCTGAGCCATTTTAGCCTATCAGTTCACTCCTCAAACGAGCTGCTCGTTGGGGTCGTACTTATCCGAGGGAGCAGCAGAACCCAGCTCGTGATTTGAAGTGAGCGGGCTGCATTTCGCTCGCTCATGCCCCTGCTCGTGGGATGCTTGCGGGACTTACTCAATGCTCCAAAACCATTCACCCCCTCCATTCAAGCCCAATTCTCCGTTGAGGCCCCGTTCGTTCATTCCACAACTTGCTCTGCGGCCCTCAAGACACCAGACCCTACGACGCCGACGTCTACGAAGTGCGAACTTTACCTCCGACTATTGAACCCGTCGAAGACCCGAGAACAAGCATGAGTCTGCGTTGTGCCGCGCTCGCTACCATCGTAGCTACCCTCTTTGCTAGCTGCATCGCTCAATCCTCCGCCACCGCCACAGTGTCTGACCCGGCTAGTGCGATTCATTCCCCGAATGAAGCCCAACACACGGGTAATCGATTCCTACGCACGCCCGTATCAGCGGGTGGTGAGAGCGAAGGTGACGAGAGAGGGCTGGACTGGTTTACCTCCAATGCTGCCAAAGCACTGAAGACCCAAAAAGCAAAGTGGATCAAGAACGCGCAGATATACGATGATCTTATCATGCAAAAGAGGACCACGCGGGACGTGTACACGGCCTGGAGGGAGCTGAACGCTTCGCCGGAAAAAATTGAAAGGGCGATGGCGAAGGTTGGCTACGGAGGCGATGACTACAAGTACATCGTGGACGGCTACAAGAACCACCTGGAGTACATGAAGAACGTTCAGCTGCACTAGAATGCTTGTCTCAATGCACTCGAGATAAGCATTCTAGTGCAGCTGGTGTATCTCGATACACTCGCCCCCCAAAAAAAACAAATTAAAAAAAAGAGAGAAGAAACATTTTACGGTTAACTGAGCCATAATGCAAGGCACTCCTTGTTCTCCTTGCGTTTTGAAGTAAACCACAGCAACTGATTTGGCGTGCACAAACGCAAGCCAAACGCTAATAGCTATCGCTTTGAGAACAGTAAATGATGAATGTTTACTGCTAGCCTCGTCAATGGATTGGCAAAGGGCTCAAATTTCGGCGCGACTGGCAATTATGCCATCCCTGACACTAGAGACGGGCACTCCGTTGTATACATGCTATACGCTGCGACGTATTTTCAGCAGACCAGTGAAGAAATAAAGACCAAGAGACGCAATCCAAGTTGGGACGCACGGTACCAAAGCGTACACTGAGAGAGTGCAGTGCGCCTGCAATATACGGTAGTCATTATCCCAGGCCACAAGCCGAGCGGGCCCCGCAAAGCAGTAAGGGAGAGTGTTTGGGCGACTGCCCGACTCCCTTCGCTCGCGGAAGCATTTTTTTTTAATTTGAGTTATTTGTGTTTTGCTCCAATTCTGTCTAAACGGAGTCGTAAATCTTTGTTTTGTATTTTAACTTCTTCGTAACTCGTTGGTTTACCATCCAACGACCATCGCGTCGATGTCATTCCATATCGCGACGGTTCCGACTTCCCTACATATTCAGACTTCTAGGATTTATTGACCAAACTAAAGTTACCGTACGTAAAAAAAAGTTAACTGAAGAAGAAAATGGCAGGGTACTTGCAGCTATATGCAATAAAAGTGAGGCGATGATAAAGTGTAAGGGTAGCTACATATATTATTGATCACCTTGATCACCATCTACCGGCATCTAAGCATGACGATCACCGCCTCCTCAGCTATTGTGCCAGCTTTGAGGCACGCAGCACCGCGATCGCCACTTCCGCCTTGTAGTCTGCCATTGTTGGCGATCCGATCCTGCGCGGCAGACTTCACCAGCTTGACCTACTGGTGCAGCACCTTGAACGATTCGAGTAGCGGGGTACAGGTGCACCTCCTTGGCCACCTCCGTCCGTCTCCTCCGCACTCGCGTACAAGTGGACCGAGACAATTTGAGAAGTCAGAGCTTATTCCCACTGCGCGGTAGATGCAGCGCTCACTCCGAGTATGACTGGCGTTAACAGCGAAAAATAAAATAAAATAAAAAAATATTCCCACTGCGCAGGCCTAAACTACTGAGCTACATCTATCTGTAGCAAGAAGAGTATTTGAGCCACAAGCATCTCATATACTAGTATAGCAGCATCCTCACGGCGAATTTTCGCCCCGGTTGCTAGAGGGGCATTGCTTCGGAAAATGTTGTATCCAGGGATCGGAAAATAAAAATTGATATTGTAAAATTGTAATATTGTTGGGCATCAATATTGTATTGTAGCGATGTCATCAATATCCACTATTTATTGTCAATATTGTTCAGGAAGAAAAACTGCCCCTACCTTCTCTTACGATATTAAAGAGCACCATAAGCTAGTTTTCCTTTCCTTTTTCCGTGGCTGTTGCCTATTGAATACTTCTGAAAGCCTTAATAGCACTTCGCTGGTCATCAGACCCCAATCCATCGTCAGTACTTAATCGAGTCTCAGTTTTTTTCACGTTTCGCGTCGAGGGGTCGATGGCGCTGAACAACCGAATTAAGTATACGTAGACTTGCTTTCTTATCGACTCGATAAGAGAGCAAGTCCATAGCTCGATAATATCGAGCTATGGTTTTCTCCATGAGAGTAGCCTTGAGGTCCGCAGGGCTGCACTTCTGTTTTCTTTACAGCCACGTAATGGCACCAACGTGTATACGTAATAAATTTGAGCAGATACTGCGACTACGTGCGAAAAGACTTCGCATGCGTAGGAGGGGAGACACTTAGACCTCAGAGCTGCAGCGTTACTGCGGTACCTATGTCGGTGATAATAACTTGGCTTGTGTCCTTGGCAACAGACGTCATGAAAGAGGGAGAGGTACCCCAACCGAGTCTCCAACATTGCTCGTCGATGCTTCTGTCTGGTCACTTTCGCTTTAGACACTAGGAAGACCGTCAATCATGTTCGGACACGTACGGTTAGGGGTAAAGACTCGCTAACCATTGCCATGACGATTCATGCTAACATTACTCAACGTACTCATATACTCTAGTACAGTACAATATATCGCCATACTAAAGGCAAGTATAGCAATATATTGGGGCAAATATTGATATTGGTACAATATTGATTGTGATGATAGCCTCGCCGACAATCAATATCCAATATATATTGTCCGATCCCTGTGTTGTATCTTAGCTTCTCAGCACCGCCCCCAAGTATCCTATACACACTCAAACTTTTACCAAATTGGTTTCAAAAATATATGCACGAAGTGCCGGGTTTGCATCAGATTTTATTAAAATGACCGGGCTTGGAGTTTAATATGGAAAACGGTATAGGCAGCACGGGGACCGATGCCACGAGCAAGCGCAGCGAGCACTGGTAGACAGCGCGCGTGTTCCCGACGTTGCACACATGCTGATCAACTAGAACTTGCATGTCCGAGTCATCCGTCGCACACTGCTGGTCTCGCTGTTTCAATGAGCTTTAAATTCATGTAATGTAAGAGCAAATGTGCATACCGGTGGTTGTTGAATGTAATGTGACTGAATTTTTCGCCATGAGTTACAATTTTACTGATATATTGGCTTGCTGAATGCTCGAGCACGATTTAGCCTGATACTGTGGGGGATATTTAACGATGTCCACCCGGAAATTTGTTGCAATCGATTCAGCGGCCAACGGTGGCAACGCCAAAGCCACTTATAATGATTCGGAAGTGTTTATTTACTACTGTAGCATGGAAACCAGGACTAAGCAAAATACAATACATTGATTTACGGTTGAAAGAGGTCGAAAGCTACGACGGCACTACCAGATGCGGCACGAGATCCCTTGCTGTTACGTCAAGCCTCTTTCCTGTCTTCATTTATCGCCCCCAACACGTAAGTGCTTTTCACAATAACACGAACTCACTGTAAGTGATTTAAAAGAGCTTCAAGATGAACGACTACACGTCTCACTCCACATACATGTTCGCCAGATTCACTATACAGTAACAAACATTTAACAAACGCTAGTGTTAGGCGTTTGTGTGAACATGCAAGACCAAAAGTTGGTGTCAGAATTGCACATTGCTACTTTAAATTGCTCAAGAAATAGCATGCGCAAATGACAATACTTCGTCTATTTATCAAGGTTGTCAGAATAATATACCAAATGTCAGGGCAAAAAGAGAATTCTCCACGTTTTCTTCACAGCTACAGAGCATACATCCTGGCTATTGTCTCCACTATATGGCACGTCTGGCCTAGTCACCGCTTTCTGTATCATGCCAATCTTCGTAATCGGTTGCCCCCGCTGCTGCAGAACTGTGTGTAGCAAGCGATTTATAGATTTCTTCAGTCAACGATTGCAGCAACTAATATGCCAACTACGTCTAGTGCTGCCGTCTTGCTTCCGCATGCGTGATTCGTAATAGTTAGCGGTAGCATAGTATAGCCTTTGGATTTAGACTTCACTGCTCCATGCCAGTTTTGCCAAGGATCTATCAGTGTACTGACCGATACCTTGAATTAGGTTATCTATGAATAACTTAATCCAAACGACTCTTCAGTACATTGTTTCGTACGTTAGCGGAGACTTTTTACGGAGCTGCCTGACCTCTCATATGTTTTTTACGGCGGGCTCCACTGTCATTTGCCTCCGTTACCACATTTAACCGGAGTTCAGCCACCCCTTGAAAAGGGTTCCACCGTCCATGTGCATAAATCGTCGGTCGTACCTCAAACTTCAATGATTAACGCAATCGTTTGTTTGCTGATACAAACGGGGGGATCTCTGGTTCGATAAAAAGTTGACCTCAGTTTAATAACTTGTTATACCTTCGAACAAGGTAACATTTGAAGGGTCGCGTTTGAGCGCCGTTCAACATGAGTTCGTGTGTTCTTAAAAAGAGGTAAAATTCGGTCGAAATCGCTATGATAGTCCATTTGCCCTACCCCATCCTCAATTGTAATACAGGGGTTCATAAATTGGAGTAAAAAGTACCTGTAAAAAGGGTAAAAAGTCTTTATGCACATTTCATTATAAGGGGGGCTATGCCCCCCAAAAATAGTGGGTAAACGGATTGGTGTGTTAGTCGCTGTGTAGTGCACAGAAGCTGCCAAACAAAGTGCATGGGATATCTACGGGAGCAACCCCATGCATCACACTTACTAAGAGCAGGATGTGCCGTACACACGACGCCAAGTTGCAGCTGTTTCGCTAGTAGAGGATCGACGTAAAGGCCGGCAGGCACTTCACTTTACAGGCACGTCCCCCGTGCATTGCAACAGCGGTTAAAAATCTCAGTGAAGTTCACCGGTATCCACGTTGCACAGCAAACCTCCATTCCGTGTATTTCTGCATTTCAGTGATAAAGCTGTTGGTTGTATTGTTAAGAATCTTTAGAATCTCGGGTGCCCCGACGGGGTTTCTAACGTCCATGGTGTCGTGCATTTGCTACGTTTAGTCACGACACCTCTTGCGTCAAGAGCCCAGCAGCTGAAGGATGCAATCTCCATCTGGGGGTGCCGATCGCTACCACTTCAACAAAAGCTCGAACCAGTCGCCGGGTGGCGCTGCATGTGCTGCTGCGCGTGCCCTTTGACGCGGAAAGGATCGGATTGACTGGGTTTGTGCCGTCCGCTAAGCGCGGAACGGTGTCGGGGACGATCACTGACTCGAAGAACGTTTTGGGTGATTCAGATGTTGTCGTTGACTTCTCGAACGCTGCAGCTCAGTACTGGGTCAAGGTTGCTGCCGGCAAGAAGACGTTCACGTCGCCGTTGATGAAGGCTGGTCGGTACACGGCCACCGTGGTCAAGAAGCAGTTGGCTGTCGGCACAGCTTCAGTCCTTATTAATGCGGGCTCGACCAAGACACAAAGCATTGCGGTGTCGTACAATATGACGTCGAAGCCCATTTGGCGCATTGGCGAGTGGGACGGCACCCCCGATGGCTTCTTGAACGCGGACAAGATCCACAAGATGCACCCAAGCGACTCGCGTATGTCGGTTTGGAAGGCGCTCACCTTTAAGGCGGGCTCCGATGCCGACAGCGCGTTCCCCATGGCGCAGTTCCGTGGCGTGAACGACCCGATCACCATCAGCTTCAGTCTGACGGCGGCTCAAGCCAAGACTTCCAGGACGCTGAAAATTGTCCTGACCCTGGCTCAGAGTAGTGGCCGCTCCAGTGTGACTGTGAACGGCAAGTGGACGGCTCCCGTACCCGCGTCTGTGGCAGTGAAAACGCGCGGTGTCACCCGAGGCGTGACTGTGGGCAACTACAAGTTGTACGAGTACACCATTCCGTCGTCCGCGCTGGTCACGGGTGCCAACTCGATCAAACTCAGTGTTGCTAGCGGTGCGAGTGACCCAGCTGAAAAGTTCCTCGCTGCGTCAGTCGTCTTTGACGCTCTGGAACTGGTTTAGAGCTGCGAGTTCTCGTCGGTAAGTAGATTCTTGTAGTGGCGTAGTACTTAAGTCGAGCACAGTCGTGAAAATAACGGAACTTGGTGTTGACTCGGCACTGTCGAGTCCAAGGAAGTGTTCGCGAACACGATCGCATTGGCATTGAGCCTATTCCCCATTCCCCATAGCCAAAAAAATCCTGCACGTATTGCACCGCGATTCACTCCATCGCTTTGCTCCTCTGGGTCAGCACGGACTCGTCAAAAGGCAACGTGACGCATATGGAACCGAGGCAGCCTCGAGCGAGCCGCTCACCAAGCGATTGGAAGCGTACAGTGCAGTTCACTGTACGCCTTGAAGGCGTCGCCTTCAAGTGATGCTGCAGCAAGTGTGTACAGTAGTAAAGCGCCGTCGTTGGGGATGCTGCAGGACTCCTACGTCGTATGCGCCCACCTGCTTCCTGATCCTAGCATCACGAACCGCTTCATCGCGATGTGACAGCAGCATTAAGCACAGCGGGGCTTAGACACGAATGTAGCATTGGGAAGAAGAGGAAACACTCGGCGTTTAACTTTGCAACACCCTGGTGCAATACGTTATCGTGTCTTTTGACCCTGAACAATCCTCAGGATTATTTCCCTTCGACCGGCAAAGTAAACACGACATAAGGCGGACAACGTGGGTGTCGTAATAACCCGGTTGTTGAACTGGTGACCCCGTCAAGTGTATCAGCTCCTCTACAGTGCAGCGTTGGCTCTTGCCAAGGGGAGCATACGGAGCGCAAAGCTCGTTTCGAGCTCTTGGTTGCGATTCCTTTTGGTCTTCTGCTGTTCGTGGAGCAATCGGGTACCCGTTTCTTGTACCCGCCCTACCCGCCCCGGTTTCGGGTCGGGTACGGGTACCCGTCGGGCGGTGCCACGGGTACCCGAAGTTGACGAAAATAGTACCAAATAGTAATATTTCTTACTTATACCAGCTATATCATGCTCCTACCCGTCTTCTTTTAGCCTCCACAAGTCCTTTTCACTCTGTATTGATTTCACGTAGTTCCTACTTAAATGTTTAACTTTAAAACCGTGTCGGGAGATGTAACAGTTGGTCCGTCCGTACAAAACCTTGAGCCCTCGGGTACCTGGTCAGCACCGTTTGCGAGCCCTGTCGTGGAGACGTATCCCCGGGCAGGAGCTGACTCTTTATGACCGCCAGATCTCCTCCGCCACCGCTGCGCTCACCACGGCATTTCAGCTTTCGCCAAGGACGGACCAACCACTTTCAGTCCCAATGCTGTCTGGACGCCTGTTCCGCGCCGCCTTCCTGTTGACCAGCGGCTTGCTGGCCGTGACACTGGCAGATACGAACCCGCAGACCTCCAACCTGAACTTCCAGTCGGAAGAGGAGCGTGGCGCCACGTCGAGCTTTGGCTACAAGCAGAATGGCGGAGCGTGGGTGATCGACTCCGGCGCCGGCCTCACCGTCACGGTGAGCCAGCGCTCGTGCGATATCACGTCCATGGTCTGGAACAAGGCCGAGCTGCAGATCAAGAAGAAGATGACGCACATCAACTCCGGCCTGGGCAAAGTCACGAGCTCCATCCAGGAGCTCAAGGACAAGACCGTCCAGATCTCGTGCAAGACCAAGGGGCTCGAGCACACGTACCTCTTCCGACCCAACGAGAACGCCATCTACATGGGCACGCACCACACGACCGAGATGCAGCTCGGCGAGCTCCGATTCCTTGCGCGTTTGAACCGTACGCCGATGAAGAACCCCATGGTTCCGGCCTCGAACATCGACGGAATGAACGCCATCGAGGCTCACGATGTCTACGCCGACTCGAAGGGCGTGACGGCCTCCAAGTTCTACTCGGGTATCCCGTTCATCGACGACCAAGTCCACGGCGTGACGGGAGATGCCGGTGGCGTGTTCTTCGTCATGTCCGACTACGCGTACGAGAAGTCGGTGGGAGGCCCGTTCTTCCGTGACATCAACAACCAGTGTACCGAGGCCAACGAGCTCACGTTCTACATGTTCTCGGACCACACGCGCGCCGAGGACTACCGCTACGGATTTCACGGGCCCTATGCTCTTGTATTCACTGACGGAAAGACGCCGGCCGTGTCGGATGTCGACTTCGACTTCTTCCAGGACCTCACTCTCACTGGGTTCGTCCCCGAAGCCGAGCGTGGATCGTGGACTGGAACCATCACCGACAAGAATGGTGTGCTTAGCAACTCGAGCGTCGTGGTCGGGTTCTCCAACGCCGAAGCGCAGTACTGGGTGAAGCTTAACTCGATCACGGGGTCGTTTACGTCGCCCATGATGATCGCCGGAAGCTACAACGCCACCATCTACAAGAACCAACTCCCAGTGAGCTCGGAGGCGATCACCATCGGCTCTGGGTCGACTCCAGCCAGCTCTGAGGCGGCGTCGGCGGCTCCCAGCACCAACGCGCCTACGCCCGCCCCCGCTTCTCACCAGAGCCATTCCCGTAGAACGCAAAGCACGCAGAACGCCCCGACCCTGACGGTGACCTACGAGCCGGCGGCCAAGCCCATCTGGCGCATTGGCGAGTGGGACGGCACGCCCGACGGCTTCCTGAACGCCGACAAGATCCACACGGCGCACCCGAGCGACTCGCGTATGGAGGCCTGGACGCCGCTGAACTTCACCATCGGCACCGACAAGGACTCGGTGTTCCCCATGGCCTTGTTCCGCGCAGTGAACGACCCCATCACGATCAACTTCGAGCTCACCAAGGAGCAGGTCGGAGACCGCACGCTGAAGATCGGCATCCCTCTGTCGCAGAACAACGGCCGATGCAGCGTCACCGTGAACAAGTTCAGTGCCAAGTCGCCCCTTAGTGCGGCCGTGAAGACGCGCGGAGTGACGCGCGGAGTCACCGTGGGCAAGTACATGTTTTACGACTACGCTATCCCCAAGTCGGCGCTGGTGGAGGGCAAGAACCAGATCAAGCTCTCGATTGTTAGCGGCAACAAGGACACGCTGGGCAAGTGGCTGTCTGCGTCCGTCGTGTTCGACGCCCTCGAGCTCGTGTAAGCTTGCTTGGCTTACCTATAGATTTTCGGCCCTGGAACGAAAGCAGTTCCAAGCCACTGAATAAATGGTCGTAACTTGTGATGTGGCGAGCTCTTCTTGGTCATTTCGTGCGTCAGATCTACTGTTCCAGCTGGTGATCGTCTCAGAGTGTCTTCACTGTCACGACCACCAGAGCTCATTGACCGGTCGCTATAGAGATGCCTTCGCCCCTCTACGGCAAGGACATCAAATGCACCGCGGCTGGAATCGACGATACGCTGTCCAGTCTGTGGAGCCCAAGACTGAATTTTAGCTGGAGGGGGTCTCTTTATGCTGTACCATGCTCCGAGCACACCACTTCTGCTTTGAGCTTCCGGAAAGACTTCATAGTGGAACATTGGTGCACAATGCTAGCTGGACGTTTGGTGAGCGCAACGCTGCTGCTAGCTGGCAGGTTCATGTTCACCGTGGAAGCAGCATCGGACTTCGGCTACAAGTCAAGCGGCGGGTCCTGGGTGATCACCTCCGGCGACGGCTCACGATTACCATGGACCAAGACACGTGCGACATCACCTCCATGCTCTTGAACGACTCGGAGCTGCAGTACCCGGCCAAGCATACGCACGTGAATTCGGGCTTGGGTAGCGTCACCAGCTCCCTCAACACGCTGACTGACTCGGCCATCCAAATCACCTGCAAGACATCGGGTCTTGAGCAGACCTACCTCTTTCGTCCGAATGAAAATGCCATCTACATGGGCACATACCACACGACCGACTTGGAGCTTGCCGAGCTGCGTTTCCTCGCACGCCTGGACACCACCGTAGTGGACAACGCAATGCTCAACGCATCCGACACCGTCGGGATGTCGGCCATCGAGGCGACCGACATCTATTCCGACGACGACGGCGTGACGGCCTCCAAGTTTTACTCCGCCATCCCGTTCATGGAAGATAAAGTGCACGGTGTCACGAGCGAAGCGGGGGAGTCTACTTCATCATGTCCGACTATGCTTACGAGAAATCCGTGGGCGGGCCGTTGTTCCGCGATATCAACAACAAGTTTGACGTCGCGAACGAGCTGACGTTCTACATGTTCTCCGACCACACGCGTACCGAGGAGGTTTCCACGGTCCATACGCGCTGGTGTTCACGAACGGCACGGCGCCCTCCACGTCGGATGTCGACTTTGACTTTTTCCAAGACTTGGATCTCACTGGTTTTACCACGGAGACAGAGCGCGGAACCGTGACAGGCACCATCACCGATAGCAGCAACGTACTAGGCAGCTCTGACGTGGTTGTCACCTTCTCCAATGACGACGCGCAGTACTGGGCTTCGGTGGACTCGAACGCTACGACGTTCACGTCACCGCTCATGCGTCCTGGCACCTACAACGCTACCGTCTACAAGAAGCAGCTCGCCGTGAGCTCCGATTCGGTCGTGGTTACGGAGGGTTCTACTACAAAGCAGACCCTCGAGGTCACCTACGCACTTGAATCGAGTCCCATTTGGCGTATCGGAGAATGGGACGGCACCCCCGACGGGTTTCTCAACGCTGCGAACATCCACGACATGCACCCGAGCGACTCGCGGTTGGACACCTGGACAGAATCTCTCACCTTCACCCCCGGCACCGACGACGACAGCACCTTCCCTATGGCGATGTTCCGCGCTGTGAACGATCCGATCACTCTCAGCTTCACACTCAGCAGCGAGCAGGCAGCGGAGGCTCGCACGCTCAAGACTCGCTCAAAGCAGTGGGCGTTGCAGCGTCACAGTGAACAGCGACTGGACTGCAAAAGTCCCGGCGTCCGTGGCAGTCTCGACGCGCGGAATCACCCGTGGCGTCACGCTGGGCAACTACAAGCTGTACGAGTACACGATCCCAGCGTCGGCTCTGGTAACGGGTACCAACAAGATCGAGCTGTCGATTGCCAGCGGCTCGACCGACCCCAGCGAGAAATGGCTCTCTGCTTCAGTGGTGTTCGACGCTCTTGAGCTTATGTAAGGGAGACGGTTCGTAGTCTTGACCTACCGGTAAGTGATGTTTTGAATCGATGCTGATGCTAGTGATCTCTACTCGCGCCCCAAGTATTTGGGACGATCATCCGTTAGAGCTTGCCAACGCGGACGAGGTGGCAGCGCCTAAGCAGTTTGCTCATCAAGGCCCCTATGTCCAACGGCTGGTAGGACTCCGCGGAGGCCCCGACACTGGCCGTACAAGCACTGAGTACCCGCCGAAAGCTCTTGTAGTCATTTGGATGCGTTCACTCGATCGGATGTGCTGCAACTGAACGTGTTAAACGAGCTGGCAGAACGCAGCGACGTTGCAAGCATCACTCGACCTTCAGCCTATGAAAATGCAACTTCGACGTTGAAGTTAGCAAAGTTGAAGCTCTTGGTATCAGCATGATCGAAGCAGCAACGAGGAATCCCTGTCAAGGAGAGACCTTGCACCCGGAGGCACGGGGGTCTAGATTCTTGGACCAGAGCAAATACCCTCGAGCAGCTCACTTTTGTTTTCACCTTTGGACCCACAAGCCGCGCCATCGACACCGACCAAGATGTCCTCGCACGACTGCACTCCCGTTCTCAACGACGCCGTCGTGCACCCGCTCGACCCCATCACTGCCAAGGAGGTTCAAACGCTCAAGGAAGTCGTCGGCAAGGCGGGCTATAGCGGACCCAACTGCCGCTACTCCTACGTGATGCTGCGCGAGCCCGACCACGCCACTCTGAAAGCCTTCAAGAGTGGAGACGCGGTCCCGCGCGAGGTCGGCGCGCTTCTCCTCAACCTGGACGACAACGCTGCGCGTGAGGTGGTCGTCGATATCCTGTCACGCAAGATCTCTCACGAGCGGAAGCTAGACCCCGCTGTCGACGGCTGGAGCCCCATCATGGACGAAGACAACGTGGCTGCTGAGAACATCCTCAAGGCATACCCCGAGTACCTTGACGCGCTCAAGAAGCGCGGCCTGGGTGACATCAGCCAGGTGCGCTGCTTGCCGCTGTCCGCTGGTGTCTACGGGTACGAGGACGAGGTTGGCTGCCGCATGATCCGCGTGCTGAGCTTCCTGGCCTCGGAGACCAAACACCCACTCCATGTTCGCGCACCCGATCGACGGGATCGTTGCTCACGTTGATCTCACCAACCGCCGAGTTGCTCGACTCATCGACACGGGTTACAACCACGTCCCGATGGAGTCGGGCGACTACCTTGACCCCAAGGTGACCGGGCCGATGCGTACCAGCATGAAACCTCTGCACATCACGCAGCCCGAAGGTGCGAGCTTCAGCATCAAGAACCACGTGCTCACCTGGGAGAAGTGGGAGATCCGCGTCGGCTTCAATGGCCGCGAAGGCCTCACGCTGCACGACATTTCCTTCGACGACGACGGACACAAGCGCCCCATTCTCAACCGCGCGTCCGTGTCGGAGATGGTTGTGCCCTACGTAGACCGGAGCCTACGCACGACTGGCAGAACTACTTTGACGTGGGCGAATACCAGTTCGGTCGCCTCGCCAACTCGCTCGTGCTCGGCTGTGACTGTCTCGGCAAGATCCAGTATCTCGATGCTGTCGTAGTTGATGACTTCGGGGAGCCTGCTCTGCTGAAGAACGTCGTGTGCATCCACGAAGAGGACTACGGGACGCTCTGGAAGCACAGTGACGTGTACACGTCGACCGGCACGGTGCGCCGCCAGCGCCGCCTTGTTCTCTCCTTCTTCGTGACCGTCGTCAACTACGACTATGGATTCTACTGGTACTTCTACCTCGATGGGCGGATCGAGCTGGAGTGCAAGGCGACGGGCCTCGTCTTCACCTCCGGCCGCCCTCAGGGAGAGAACGACTTCGTGACCGAGATGGCGCCACGCCTCGGCGCGCCGTGCCACCAGCACCTCTTCTCGGCACGGCTTGACGTCGCCATCGACGGCAACAAGTGCTACGTGGACGAACTCGAGGTGGAGCAGCTTCCGATCAGCCCCGACAACCCCGTGGGGAACGCGTTCAGGCGCATGACTACCCGTCTCGAATGCGAGAGCGACGCTCAGCGGCTGGCCGACAACTACAAGGGCCGCATGTGGCGCATCCCGACAGCATACACGCTCATCCCTGAAGGTCAACCGCTGCTGCTCGCTGCGAGCGAGAGCTCGGTCGCGAAACGAGCGATCTTTGCGTCCAAGCACCTGTGGGTCACGCAGTACGCGCGCGACGAGATGTGGGCCGCTGGCTACACGCCGAACCAGAACCCAGGCTTTGCCGGGCTGCCTGCTTACACCAAGTCCAACCGATCAGTGGATGGCGAGGACATCGTGCTGTGGCACACGTTCGGCCTCACGCACTTCCCACGCCCGGAAGGCTGGCCGATCATGCCGGTCGACTACGCCAAGTTCACCCTCCGCCCCGAAGGGTTCTTCGACCGCAACCCAACGCTCGATGTGCCCGAGGACCCCAACGGAAAGGAACACTCCGAAAGGTGCTGCCCGTGAGCGATATGCTCTCGCGCGGGCGTATCTTGACGTGAGTTTGGCCCCTTGGATAGCTGGTAAGTTTGATTGTTGGTATTAATAAGTCTTGAGAGCTTGTCTTTCCAGGTCGAATGAAAACGCGGTCTTGGAACTTCCAAGTTGGAAGTGTTATCTCCATGGAACAGTAATTATCTGCAGTGCAGATTCTGCACATCCGCCTACCGGTAGTCCCCATCCCATGTCCAGACCATGGACATGATACTTGTCAGCGAAAACTGAAGTTCTTTGGTTGAATTCACGGTCATAGAGTAAACTCCTAGGCGCCAGCAGCAAACCGAGTGGTTCGTATTCCAGATGAGCTCTGTGCTTACCGCTCTAACGTGGCAGAACAAGCAACACTCCGACGATCTGTCACCTTGCCGACAGCCATACAATTCGTCAGGCACACACAAGTTGACAAAGAACGAGATGCAAAGCAATGACGTGTTAAGCCCCGAGATAACAGATTGGAGTGCAGCGAATTCGTGGGGAGTCCACGACTTCAACTACAGCAGCCAGCGTCCGAGTCCCAACGAAAATCACCCACTGCTCAGTTTCCCAGACGCAATTAAGAGCTCAATGGCCACCTCCAAAACCGCTAGCAGCAACACCTCCGTTCGGCGGCGCGGGGTGGTGGGACATCCGGCCACGAACGAAGCCGCCGAAGCCCTTCTTCTTCTTCTGCTCCTTCTCCATCTCCAGTTGGTGCACGCGGGCCCCGTACTTGGTGGCCAGATCACGAACCACACCGTCATCATCGCGGAACTCGCCGATCACCTGGCGGAAGTCCGGCACGCGCTCTGAAGCCAAAGCCTTGAGGAACGGGATCAGGTCCTTCAGTTCGTGGTCGTCGCGATCCCGTCCGTTTGTGAAGGGCTTGACCGGAATGGCGTTTTCCGGCTGAAGCTGGTACGCCGCCGGGTCGTCGTCCAGGATCACCACCTGCCGCAGGTCGCGGTTCAGGTTGGACAGGTCCTTCACGTGGGCGCCGTTCAGGTACCGCGTGGCATCACGCGAGAGCACGTGCAGTGCGCACTGCTTGGGGTCCAGCTTCTGCACGATCTCCTCGGCGCCGTAGTTCTGCGAGAAGATGACAATCTCGTAGTACTGGCACAGCGTCTCGAGGAACTCGTCCACGCCCGGTCGCTTGGCGTGGCGCCAGCCGTGCTTCCTCTGCAAAATAATAAAGCGATACACCATCAGACTCCTCACCAACTTTCCAGCACTCAATAGTTAGCCAACGTACGCTCCACTCGGAGTGCACGAGCGTGTCCTCGAGGTCCAGCACCAGCACGGGCACGGGCGGCGTGTCCGCCGGCACCTGCGGGATGGGCCAGTCGGGCAGCAGCTTCTGCCTGGACGGGTCTGTGAATGGCTTGACCGTCTCCTCCACCTTCTTGGCCAGGAACGCGTACACGTCGCCCAGCACCGTGGCGCCCAGCGTCTCCGTGATGCGCGTCTTGATGCCGTCGTCCAGCACAAAGTGCCACAGGATGGAGCCCGAGATGCTGCCGGCCAGCAGCGCGAACGAGATGCGCGCGGGCAGCGACGACGTGCGCACCACCTTGTGCTCGGCGGCGTCGGCCGAGTGCTTGGCGGCCTTGCGCGCCGCCCGCCGCTCGGCGCGGGGCACCACCTTGAGGGGGATGTCGCGCCCCACCTTGGCCAGGACGGAGGACGCCTCCGCCTGCAGCATCAAGCGCCGCGTCGTGCCCAGAGCCGCGCCGCGCTGAGCGTTGCGCAGCACCGGCCTCAGCATCATCTTCGCACTCTTTGGCTCGTAGATATGCGGTCTGTATGGCCTCGCCAGTCACTAAAGCTCAAATTGTGTGTAGCACACCAAACGACACAAAACGTTTGGTCCCACACAATTATAGTCCGAAATTGAGTAAAAGTGCATAAAACTCAAACACGTTTGGAGAAGCGTTTTTGCAGTGCAAACTGCTCAAAGTTCACGTCCATTTCATGTTTGCTCCAGTTACTTTTGCTTGCGCATTATTCGTTAATAGCGCGACCGTGTCATCAACGCTTATCGGTTCTGATCGTTGTTTGAGCGCCCTACTAGCAGCCAGGCCAACTCCTTCATGTTAGTCTTTGGTGGTGACTGCTCGCCCTCCTCGTCTTCAGCTCGACGAAACAATGGTTTAATGGTCTTCGAGACCGCGTAGGGCTCGTACTGGCTGTACAGGTCGTCCAGCGCCTCGTTGGGGTGCAGAGCTTGGATGACAGACTGCAAATATTGCACCCGCTTCCAGAGCTCTCGCACCATGTCCTCCAGATCCCTGGTCCGCTGCTCCTTGTGGTCCCGCGCGCGCTGAGCAGCGATGGCGTTCTTCCACTTTCGTATTTCGTCCGAGCTCAGCGTCTGCATCTCCCTCTCCGTGAGCTTGATACTTTCACGGGGTCGACTAGAGCGCGGCGTCGGTGGGCACTTCCCGATCCGTACCCGCTCGTAGTCTGAAGACGGTGAGGCGCTTATACTCAGCAAAGCCGACACATCGTTCGCGCTGATTGTTGGGGCCAGCACCGGACGTCTCGCTTCGGGTTTGTCGGGATCTCTTGACATGCGCGCGGTGTAGATGAAATTGCGTTGTGTCACGGAGAAAACGGTGAGCTGAGACCAACGCTTTGGGCTGGGTACAAAACGATAAGCACCCATCGAGTCCCACGAACATAGAGAGCAGTTCTGATCGATAGTGGATTTTCTGTATAGTGACGCATTAGACAGGCACTCTGTAGCCATGACGACTGTAGGAATCACGGACTGGAGACGAACACTGCAAGTCTTTCGTCTCCGGTACGTCGGATGCACTTTGCAGTTTGAGTGCGTACCGGAATGCAACCAATAGAGTGGGGAAACGTAGCCCCCGCAAGGCCACCCGTCGTAATAGCAGTTCGATCAAATCGTGTTCATGGAGTTTATCAATTTTGTGTAATTCCTATCAACTATCAACTATAGCATCTCATCCTGGTTTCTGAGCTTTCCAGCCCCGTAGTACTGCCGGAGTATTTCGCCGCCGTTGGGCCCACTGTGGAGCCCACCTCATGGCAAGTACAGTTTCCTTTTACCCCCTCATGTCAACGTCGCTGGATCCGCTCGAAGGCGTGGTGTTGAAGAGCCACTCGAGCTCGTCCATGTTGAGGGCGAGGTTACCCTTCGCGGCGTCACCCGCCGTCAGAGGCTCCAGGTTGGGCGAGTCGGCATACATGACGTACTTGCTGTACAAGTACTCCATGGGCTCGTTGGGGTGCAGCAGCTTGATGACGTGCTCGAGGTACTGCACGCGCTTCCAGAGCTCGCAGACCGTGTTCTCCAGGTCGACGACGCGCTGCTGAGCACGAACGCGAGCGCGTTTCGCCGCCACCCGATTCTTGAGTTTTCTGATCTCGTCCGGACTCAGAGTGCGCTGTTCTTCTTCGGAGAGCTCGAGGTCGATGGTTTCGCGGGGTCGGCGACTGCGCGTGGTAGGGTACTTGCCGACCTGCACCAGTTGCTGCACCTTTGAGGACGCGCCGGGTCCAAGCAAGGCCGCGATGGTGTTGGCATTGACGTTCATTGTGCTGTGATCAACGTCTGACTTGTGCGTCACGAGGTAAGTTGCAGAATGCCTTCCTTCACTCTGCTTGCTTCATTTTACGGTCTCCGGTTACTTGCCCCGTCCTCACCTCAGAGAGCGTTCACATTGGGTTGAAGATTGACAATTGTACCGCACCGATATCCGGAGCGTATCACTGAAAATCACGAGTGAAGCGTTTTCAAATATATTATATATTTCCCATGCATAGTTAGAGACATTAGGACTTGCGCACAAGCGTCAGCTTGACGGTCGTGTTGGGAATAAATTGACAATCAGCCTGAGACCAGCTCCGAGTTAAAGTGAGAGTGTTGGTGACTAGGGGGTAGTGTTGGTGTTGGTTGTTGCTCACAGAGAGAGCGGTAAACTATCGGGCTATGTTTGGTATGGTTTGTGAGCGCCCCCGCATGATGAGTTAGGGACCGAGTAGCCACCTTTTAGTTTTGGATCTCATGTGAGATCTCGTCCTTGACTTCGCGTATCGTATTGTGCTCGAGTGCCCGAAGCACGCGGCGGACGGCACTGACCGCAAGCGACACTTGATCTTATAGGCTTTCAGCTGCGAGAGGTGGTAGTGCGCGCGAGCACACTTCAGCGGAATCGTCCAGCTCGGGTGTATTGCATCAAATGCTGACGAATAGTAGTCGTCATGGACCGAGCGCATTGCTATCCGTGCCTCGGGCGCCAGAAATCAAGGCTGTACTTACAATTTATTTGATTTATAACTTTACGTAATGTGTATCGCTGTAGGATTCCTTTGTTCGGTGCATTGAATGCAGGCGAAGCTTACACCCGCTGGCTTCACATCGGTTGATCCTCATCCATCGGTATGGAGTCGAGCAGCCACGCGAGCTCGGTCATATCGACTTCGTTCAGGCCGTCCGTAGCTGGCTCGGTCAGCGGCTGAAGGCTGCGTGACACCGCGTAAGGCTCATAAGCCTGGTAGAGGTCGCTTAGGTCTTGATTCGGGTGCATTGACGCAATGACACCCTCGAGGTACTGGACGCGCTTCCAGAGCTCGCACACCATGTCCTCCAGGTCCTGGACGTGCTGCTTCTTGCGGTCGCGGTCGCGCTGCGCAGACACTCGGTTCTTCTTCTTCCGGATCTCGTCCGCGCTTAGCGTGCGCATATCCTCTTCAGTGAGTGCAATGGGCGTGCGCGGGCGACGCGTCCTCGGCGGGGGGCACTTGCCGACCTGCACTGCGCTGTGTCGCTGGGGCGACGAGCTCCGCGCCAACAGGCCTGAGACATCCGTAGCTCTGATCGTGTGAGCCGACATGGGTATCGCGGTTTCTTGGGCCATGACAAAGCTTGCCACCGGTGTTGCTAGACGCTCGCTAGTGTGTTTGTCAGCGCAAATCGATTAATGAACTGAGCCCGCATCGTTTCGCCAGCGCGGTGCAGCAACCAACACTCACGTCCGTCCTGTTCAACGAAAGGGTAGAAAGCCACATAGCGGCCTGCGCTGAAGAACGAGGTCGGTCGTCCTACATGCCTTGACGTCATGGCTTGAAAATATCAAGACTGTGTAGCTATGCCGAGCCCTCGTTCAGCGAGAATCAATCCATGTGCCACCATGAATGCAAAAGTGTACCGCCTACTATGTTGATAGTGAGCAGTCCAGGTCCGACGAAGTGTACCCAATTGGCCGGATGGATTTTTATCTTGGCTCAGAGACTTGCCTGCAATTGAACTGAGCACAGGCAGCGCACTGCACATGTAGACGAAAGTGATGGATTGAATCCCGACAAGTGTAGCTTCAGATTGTCTCATCTATCGTATTTCGGTGGTGGTCCCGCTCGTCCAAGCAGCGAATTTGGATCCAGCAGCGATCTACACGTCACTACACGTTGCACTTTAGTGTGTACCGACATTCTTGAGGAAGTGCATTCTCTTGTGGGCTTCAGCAGACAACCGCTGCGGGGATGGCTTGCTCTGAAGCTGCGACGGCTGAAAACCGAAAAACTGGTCTTCTTGCTCGGAGGTCTCTGCGAAGCCGCACCAATGCATGAACGACTTCGCAGCGTCGTCACCAAGCGCGCCAACGTTCGAAGCGAAGAACTTGTTGCTGGCGCGAATCCGCTGGAATTTCAAGTCCTCGGGTTGGCGTGCTATGTTTTCCAGATAGCGAAGTGCTGGGACCGATAAACATGCCAAGATAAGGACCACGATGAACCGGGTGCAAAAACAACAAATGATACAGTACCTGCAGCAATAGCACTTTGGCGAGATGAAGCCTCGCCCGACGACAGCGTTTTCATGAGGATTTCCATCGTCTCGCCTAGCATAATAATTCAGGAACGTAAACAGTGTACCCTAGGCTTTGACCAGAAGTCAACACCAACGAACCATGTACGTACCTTCAAGAATCTTGGCGGATGACGCAAAGGCGACGGTGTCAGTCAAGTGATCCCCAACCTTGAAGCTAATCGAACGGATCTCGCTCTCAGCCGGTGTCGAGACGGAAAAATCGCCTCCTCCTTTGCCGCCGCATGTCATCGTGCGCCCAAAATTGGTGTGCAAGGTGATGTTGTCGGTCCAAGCACCCTTGCGGCCACTTACACGAGTAACAATCTCGTCGGGCAGTAGCTCAAGAGTGACTGTCGGTTGCGAAGCTTGGTGTTTTGCGTTCGCGTTCCCCACCAATGCACCGTAAACTCTTGCTGAAGACGTAGAATGGGCGTCTCCGGTTGAGGCCTTCTCATAGACGAACTGGAGGCCGTCAAAAAAGTCTCCACCCCACACTACACAATACGAAGAAGACGCACAGTACAAGTTAGAAGGGTGAAGCTCAGTTAAATCCAAGATCGCAACGTGGCATATGAAACGAAACGATAACAGAGCTCAACGTACTCAACACTTGGGCAACTCGATACCCCGATTGCGCTCCAGCTGCAGCTTCAGTGCACCTCTTATCGTCTCTCTCACCATCGGATCCAAACGCCCTAAGAGGTGGAGCCGCCACAAAGTTCTCTTTCATCACAGCACAAAACGTCAGCAGTTCATCCGGAGTCTTCGCAGGTATAATAGCCACTTGGCTGATTACAGCAGCGACATTCGAAGAATCGCGAGAAGGTCCTTCGAGAGTGATTTTGTGAATGTTATCAGTCTCCACTTCAGTCTCCGCAGTTTTCTTTCCATTCACGTACATTCCGACCTTTGTTTCGTCTCGTGCAATAGCGATGTGGGCATGTTGGCCAAAGAATAACGATGAGGTGGCACATGTGGCTGTCGTCGGGGATTCATTTCCACGTTGAAGTTCACACGAAAAGTGTTGCTCAGCACAATTCCAGCAAATACGGAAGCTCGTGGATATTGCCGAGTCAGAAGCACTCAGCTGACCACTAAGCACGCGTACAATTCCAGCTCGCCTTGACTTGAAAGAATCGTCCTGGTCAAGACGAACGAGGAAAGTCAGGACGAAGCCAGCGGAAGGAAGCCCACTACTGACAACAATAGCCAAGCGCTTTCCTTCGAGTAACTGCACCCCAAAAGTTCTGGTCTCGGGTTGGCTCCCGGAAGTGCCATTGGGGATCCGGAAGGGCTTGCGTAATGCACGCACTCCTGCATTCTCCACGTGGTTATCATTGCCTGAAATATCAATCAGGACTGCATTTCCAGTAGCAGAAGGTGGATCTTGCAGCGGTAAATACACCAGCGGTTGGTTCTTCCACAGAAAATTTCGAAGCTCCTTGGATGTCGGGCAATCCAGCATCGCCAACGAATCTGAAGAGAATCCCTTCGAGCTCAAACTTGTCACCAATTGAAGAGCTTGTGCAGCGCGTTCGTTCACATAAGTTGACGGACCAGAAAAGTTCAAGCCTGTACGGCCAGTAAAGCAGGATGGGTTCGAGCATTCGGCCGATTGGCACCCAACCACCAAATTCTTACAAATGATCTGTAAAATGTCAGCTGTCGGCACGGTGTTCACAGTTTTCTTCGGCGATGACGTGCCCGTAGCCTTAGAAGATGCTTCTTCTTGTTTTCCATCTTCATTACGTTGACTCTTCCATTCGGCGGAGCCCGAAACACGGCCCTTGACCTCTGTCTTTTGAACAGAACGCCCCTGACGCAGCTCGTCTTGCTCGCTTTTCGCACGCGCTGTTAACACCGCTACTCTTTCCGGGGCCTGACGCTCCCTTAGGCTCCGGTTCATGTTGCCGATGGTTGTTTCTAGCCACGTTTCGCTCACATCTTGGCGCCTTGAAGACATTTCCGCCCAATTCTGAGTGTATCGTCTCGCAGTGTCCACCACTTCATCATGAGCAAACGAGAAGATGTATGATAACTTCTTGCCCCAGCCGACCTCGTACGTGAGCGGGCAGTCTAGTTGATCTTCACACGAATCACAGTGAAGCCACCGCTTGAAGTGCTCGGAATACACTTCAGTCCACACATGATCGGTCACATCCAGTACATATCGAGCCTCAAATCCCATCGCGCGGCAGCACAGCGTAAAACAATTTGCCCACTCACCACACCGGCCAGTACGCGTGTCGAGCAGCTTCACAGGATCATTATAGCGAGGAAAACGCGTGAGCGCGCCGCACGCTGGACACTGATAAACTTCCACACGGCTCGCTTGACCAGCAATCTCCTCAGCGGTGCTTGGACCCTCTGTTCTCACCGAGCGAGTTTTATCATGGTTGCACGCTGAACAGCGAGGCTGATTCATCCATGTGAAGAACTCGCGCTTGAACCAGTGGAGCAACTGCTTGACTAGCTCGTCCTGGTACGAAGGCATAGGTGAAGAGTTGGCTCGCGCTCGTTCATGGAGTTTGTCCACAGGGATTCGCTTCAGAGCTTCTTCCTGCATTTGCTTACTCTCGTAGGACTGCACTCGCTGTAAGCCGCTCTTCAGCCGCCCAAGCATACCTGGCTGGTGCTGACGATAATGGGCCTCCATAATGGCCGCATCCCCACGTGTCCGTGCTGCGACCAGAGTCGTCCGAGCAAAACCAAGACGCTTTTCATCCAAGTCCAGCAGAGTGTCAATCCCAGCTAAGTGCCGCGTTGCAAAAAGACACTCGCCAAATTCGCTGTGTTCCCGACCCGAGTCACAAACGAAGCCGCCAAGAGGTGCTAGACGATAGCACAGAAAAATTGGCTGAGCACCCGGAGCGCCTTCATTCAGGTTTCGCGTAATCCTCACATAATCCATTGACGGAGCAGGCTGCTCACCGACAACAACAGTTATATCCGTGATAGCTAGCGCCTCGAGCTGCTCCGTGTTGGCCACAAGTTGCACAGAGTCGTACCCAATGCGAACGCTCATTCCACTGCCGTCTCCAGCAGCACCACCGCTGTTACAATCGACATCAACCACCTTTTCAGGTGTGTATTCACCCTTCTCTATAGATCCATCTGCACCGGAAGAACTCGCTTCACCAAGCTGATCGAACAGAACGTGAAGCTGCGTCAACGCACGAGGGCCTCCCCGCTTTACGCACAAGAACACATAGTCGCCCGACGCCGAGTAGTTTAAATCTCCAGGCAGCTTCGTAAAGCCCGATGGCGCAGCGACGTCCACGTCACCAGCAACCACTGCGACCTCGGAGATGAACCGCGACGCCAGCATCTTGGACACACTCCACTCCATTGGGCTCACAGGCTGGAACCCTGCTCACACCAAAATAAAATACAATAAAAAAAACAATGTAAGCGCATGACACCAAAGCGTTCCACGACACTGGTATTGTACCTGTCGTGCAAGTTCTGGCACAGGGTCCACAGATCAAAGTATTGAGCGGATCTCCTCCAGTCGACGCCGTCTTTCGGAACGCTGGCTGCACAATTGCAGCATTGCCGAATGTGCTCTTGGTGCAGATCTGAGTCCAGTCCGCCGCCATCTCGAGCCCTTTAGCGGTCGATTCCGCACTGGAGAAGAGGAAGAAGCGAGGCCGCCCCTCCGTGGACACGGCGATCGTCGCTACGTCCGCCTTGTTGGGGGAGTAGAGAACTTCCCCGCTGGGTGAGAGCAAGACCTGCTCGTCGGGCATCACCCCCACGAGCGACAGCAGCTGGCATTGCAGTAACTCCACCGGAAGCGTGCTCCGATCCGCTGACGCTTGCGTTGACACGTAATACCTGCCACAATGAAGGCGAATGCAAGGCGTGCAGCCAGCACAGATTAGTCCATACTCACTTATACTCATAAATTACACTTTATAGTCGCAGTGGAACGCACTCCTGGCGCTGGAACACGACCACGACGTCCATCGTGGCCGTCGCCTCCATTTTGATCTAACGTCAAAAGTCTGTAACTTCTAGAACATAACAGATATCACAAATCTGTTACAAAGGTGTTACAAACCAATTAAACGCCATGCGTTCGATTGAAGTTGAAGCGGACCATCACTCTTGCACCCGTGCGCACCGTGCGGTATACCGAGCATACCGCACCAATATCGCTCCGGGTGTGACGCAAAAAAGGGCACATTTTTCGTACTTTGTGGGGTGTACCTGTGTCAAGTCTGAGCCAAATTGCCTTGGCGCCGGGTGTGACTTAGCCGGGGCCATGCCTTCTGTCACCGGTTCTCCCACCCTCCCACCGGTTGCTCCTGAGGGGAGGGAGACCACAACTCGAAAGTCTCCATGGCAGATCCGCCTCCCCCAATGCTGGTAGACCCCCCAATGCTGGTAGACCACCCGCTGCCGGCGCCCTGAGTGCAGCGGCGGCGAGGTTTGCAGCTATAGGATCCGGAACTGCTGGGCTGCCTCCGCTGCGTTTTGGAGGGAGGCCCCATCCGCCAAGTGGTGGAGGTCTTCCGCCACCTCCAGGAGCTGGAGAAAGGCAAGCTGCTACTGCTGCGACTACTGCAGCAACTGGAGCAACTACTGCAAGTGCTGCAACTGCAAGTGCAGCTGGTGCTGGGAGTGCTGCAACTGCTGGACCTCCGGTAACGACGGCAAGTACAACAAGTCCAGCAACGACGGCAAGTACAGCAAGTCGTCGAACTGCTGGCGGTGTAGCTGGTGTTGGAGGACAACTGACTGGCCCTGGTAGAGCAAGACCTGGTGGGGGCGGACAAAGAGCTGGCGGAGGTGGAAGAGGGGGTGGTGGTGGCGGAGCCACTCCAGCCAAGCAGCGCCACGGGTGTACTCAGCTGCTGAGCAAGCTCTAGCTCGGCAGCTTGTACGGCTCCAAGAAGTGGACGCCCGAACGGATGGTCGCACCCGTTTCGTTCGCTTCAATGAACGGTACGGAGTTGGTGGCCAGTATATGAGGAAGCGATGCATGCTCTACGGAGTGCTGCTGGGCCCCCTAACTGAGAGGGTCCCCCCATAACAGAGGAGAACCCGAATGGTGTACTACAGCTTAGCCGCATCGGAAAGTTATTCCACCTTCCGACAGAGGGCCCGGGCCTCGCAGAACTCGAAGGGGCCAACGCTGGAAAGTATGGTCTTACAACGTAGGTGATTTATACCATATCGTTGTTGAGCGCATTATTTCCTGTGCTAACAATGAAACCGTATGTCATGTAGTGTGTCACTGAGCGAGCGTCTGGACAAGTTCGCGAACGAGCTTAGCCGTTCTGGCTTCCCCATGGATGCTATCAACCTCACTGGTGTGGTAGGTATCTTGGGCGGTTTGCCAAGGACGGTTCAACAGCTGAAGCCCCTCGAACATGGGCTACGCAATGCCCTCGAGAGGGCAGGGCTCCGCCTACGATACAACGCCGAGGTGCATCAGCAGACCCGAGACCGACACGTACAAGATCCCCCCGTCCAAGTTCCAGAGCCGGAGCTAACGGAAGCCGAGATATGGGGACGCAGCAGCCGTCAGCTTCGGCGCATCCTGAACTGGGGCCGGAACGACGACTTCGCGGGGTTCACCCCCAGCGACGACGAAGAAGAAGAGGAGCAAGAGGAACAGGATCAGGTGGCGCTGTCGTGGTTCAAGCCGACGGGCATCGCCTTCCCGAGAGACCGTTCGGTGTTCTCGGAGAAGTTCGAATTCGTAAAGGTCCCCCGCAACTCGGCGCCATTCTACCAGGTCTACGAGGATTACACCAACGTCCTGATGGAGCGCCGCCGTGTCGCCAGCAGCGAGCAGGTGATGGCCATCCTCAGGCTCAGGGTGGCCCAGCGAGAGCTGATAAGAGAAGCGCAAAGAGATCCTGTGGCTGCAGCTCGGAGGCGGCGCCAGGCCCGGATAGTTGTGAGAAATGCGGCCAGAGCCCGTCAGCGCCGTCGAGACCGGATGGCTGAGCTGCGTAGGCGACGACGTTAGAACAGCAAGAGGAGAGGTCAGCCATAAATAAAGAATGTATTAACTTCAATTTGTTGTATTTCGTAAAGCCACCCGGGCTGACGACTATGACGACGAACAGACATGAGTGCCGACCGGAACGAAGGCGCTTCCGGTCGGTCACTTTCCGATTGGCATCATGGACAACGCAGCCCGCGACGAAGCCGTCCGCCGCATGCACCAGGTCGAGGGACACACCTACGCTTACATCGCTGGCCAACTTGGCCTGTCACGGCACCAAGTTGGGCGCATCGCGAGGCGCCTCGCCGGGCTCAGGTCCAGCAACGCGAGGATGTTGTGAAGTGCACTCGATCCTGTATGGATGCACACCGCACGGGAAAATGAAGACTGAATATATTGATGTTAGCTGCTCATCTCTCTCGAGCTCCTTCCAACCGTACCGGCGAAGCCCGCCGTCTCATGCAACGGCTATATCTGCGTTGACTAGCTCCTCAACTTCCTGTGCTTGACTGTCTTGGTTTCTGGCCAGTTCATTGCAGACCCATGAGCGCTTGACCGTCGCTGGCTGCGACTCCAGCTGGCGACTCCTTCGCCGCTCTTCGCCGTGACTCCGATATGTATTCCAACAGAGGAAGGCGAGCAGGCGCAGGATGGGGAAGACGGCTTCCCCGCCGCGGCCGACTACCACGTTCCCGAGCCGACCAACCGCGACAGGTTGTTTATGACCGGATCCAACGGCAACCAGTTCGAGCGAGCGCTGACGTGCAAGAGCTTCACGACATGGGCAACAATCGCACCGCCACGCAGACCGCGGAAATGCTGCTCTTCTTCCGGACCATGGAGGACTTCGTCAACCTGGACCGAGAGAGGGCGACGACGGCTGCGCAGCACCAGCGCCTTCCGGCGTACTTCCAGCGCCTCGAGATGTAGTTGCTACAAGTTGCAGGACCATCACTCTTTTTCTTTGATTTTGAAACGTTAACCGGTCAATAAATTTCCCTTTGAGGTCACTCTTTTTCTTTGATTCATTTTTTATTCACCAAAAGTCATTGCGCGTCTTCTGTCTTGGAATCTTTATCACTCGGTGACCAACATGGATCGCGAGTTGCGCCAAGCCCGACAAGACCGAGAGGGCGTCTCCACGTCCGCCCGACTGAGGTACAAGGTGGCAGCAGCGAGACGCGGCATTCAAACGGAGCGTACCGAGAGGAGCGGGGACGAGCTGCGACCGGCGGAGAAGACCCGGACGATCAGGAAGATCGCTGCAGTTAGGAGGCGAGGCGCGACGTCCAGCGAGGAAGTTAAGAGTGATGGTCGTCGACGAATGGGCAGACAGGAAGCCGAGTGGATCGAGAAGCAGACGCAGTACAAGACGAGAGCAGCGACGCTGGAGAAAGAGTGCAGTGCTGCGTGGCGGAGCTTCTTCGCTGGCGCGGGGGGGTCGAGCTCGTCGGGTTTTGTAACGACTGCTGAGGTGAATAAGCTGCAAGAGGAGCTGGAGACGTTGCGGACGGAGGACATGCACAAGATTTTGCATCAACTACGGGCGCTGAGCAGTAAGGCGAACGATGTTCAGGTAAAGGTGGAAGAGATCGCGAATGGAGATCAGTTCTTGTCGGAGCTGCAGGAACGCATCGACGCGATGGAGGTAGGGTTGGCAAAGTTTAAGCTGACCCAACGCCAGCAATTTGAGGGATATGTGCTTGAGGAGAAGATGCTGGAGAAAGAGCTTGCGTTTTTTTTGGAGAAACTAAATGACTGGGAGAGTGAAACACCACCTCGCCTTGGTCGAGGCAGTGCCAGTAGTACGTCACTCGGACCCAAAGCAATTCATTTGAATAGCGATGCTCAGAACACTGCTTGTCCACGAGGCCAAGGTTGCGACAACAGCAGCAACCAGGGAGAGGAACGGACAGGAAGGCCCAGCTCGACGGATGAAGTTGGTATGGTAAGACGGGTGCGCAGATTGAATGACGCGATTCTTCGCTCAGGTGGCTTAAAAGGAGGATGGGATAGCCGAGAGCATGCCACGTTCACGACACTGTTGGTGAAATGCGGTCTTACTGATGACGTGCTGCTTCGGCAGTTGTTCCCTGAAGAGAATCAATCTGGCTCCAATCAAGTGAACAATCAAAATGATGAGCTCGATGGAAGTGACTATGAAACACGAGTGTCTCGCTTTCTTCGCAAGTGCATGCGCAAAGTGGTTACACAGACAGAAAGCTCAGTGCGATCGCATTTGGATTGGTATCTCCGTCATCTTGAGTTGGTAGAGGAGAAGAAACGTGTGATTCAAGAGTGGAAAGCGCGTAAGGAAGAAGAACGTCAGCAAATTACTCAGTGTGGATTTGATGCTGACAGGGAATCACTCGGACTCGACGATTTTAATGATCAACCAGAAAGAAATCGTGACTCGTCCTCTCGCAAACAGAGCAAGAGAAGCAATATCAAGTCCCGTGAAAAGACAGAGCGCCTGCTAGAGCAGTGGAAACTGGATAAAAAGCAAAAGGAAGAGGAGGAGGAGCAGAAAAGACGAGAACTTCAGAAGAAGCGCGATGCGAAAGAGGCAAAGGTAAAATACTGGTGTTGCTAGTTGATAAGAATGTATGACGTACTGAAAATCCTATCAATGCAGCGGAAACAAGAACAGCTCGATGCCAAGCAAAAAGTGCTGCTATACAAGCTTCAAAAAGAACAGGAGGCAATGTTGTTGAAACGCACTCCAAAACTCCGGCTTCAAGATGGAGCAGATGAAGATGGGCTCCCACTCGGGTCTTTGCCGTTTTCGCCTCCGGTACGACATAACCATCTTCGCGCTCTGGTTTTGCTATTGCTCATCTTTGTGTGTGTAGACTTCGAAGGAGCATCTGGTTGAGAGATCCCGCATTGCAATTGAGTACGCCAAGGCCAAACGCTTGAGGCTGCAGCAGATTGAGGAGCGCAAACAAAAGCAAATCGCGCTTCCCCCACGACCCCAATCTCGAGATTTCGACGAAAGTGGCAATAGCTCACCCAAGCAGGCCATGATGTTTAATGCGACGGAAGCATCGAAAGCACGGGACCTCAGCAAAGATGAGTTACGAAGAAAAGCTCGTCGACGGGAACGCCAAGGTGCTCACGAGGCTTACATTCCTGGCAAGAAAGCAATACCGGATGTAAAGTTCAAGAGTTTTGGTCATCTACCGATTCAACCACGGGCGGTACCAGCATGGAGGAAAAATATTTGACTTCACCCAACGGGTTAAAAATGTCTATACTATGATACTGGCGAGCCTCAAGATGCGGGATTATGCTCAGGGCAGCCCTCGCATTTGCAGCTGTCACCGCACGTGCATTCTCCCCCAGACGACATGCCGCAGCCTGGTACAGCCCAACCGACAGCGAGCGCCGCAGTATGCGCTACTGTCGTCATATACCTTGGGCATCCATTTTGCGGACAGATATTCATATCACACTGATGAGACTTGTGGTAGTCATCTGCACTTGCTTGATCAGCGTCATTCGAGGACCCGAGTGAAGGTTGCACCACTTCCATCGGTATACCCCAGGCTTCTTCCGACAACTCCAGCATCTCAAAGCCGACACTCTCAGCAGCTTCTACAAGCGAAGAAGAATCCAAAAGCATTGCAACCACTAGCACTTCAACGCGATCGGTTAAAAGCACTAGGTTTTCAACGCCCTCGACAGCTTGCAAGGCATTTTTGAGCCGGACGCCGTTCAGTCCAACGTCGCTGAGATCATCAACACGGAACCGAAATCTTCGCGGCAACAGCGTCGTTGCGTCCACGATCGAGTCAAAGCCGATGTCTGTCACTGCAGTAGCAAGGTCGTTCACGCTCATATCTCCACGTATAACGACCTGGCGGTGCTCGAAACGCAGTCTAGCAGCTTCCACACCTTCAACAGCCCGCACAGCGTTGAGCACCGACGTACCGCAGTTTCCAGGGCACATCATATCAGGCACCCGCAACACCACTTCTTTTCGGGTCCAGGCTGTTGATGATTGCGCGACTATGCTGATGTGCGCAAGCTGAAGACTTCTCAATGGCGTCAAAGACACTTCGAGGTCTAGCGACTGCTCTCCCCGCACGATAACAAGCCGCTGGGATGAATGTGAGTTGGTGCTGATACTGGTTCCAAGTAACTCGCTCTCCGACAGCGGAACCTCGTCAGAAATGGTTCTAGCAGGCACCACGTGAACGCTCCTCACCCCGGATATCGTTGATAGAATGGACGCGATGGCTTCGACCCCCACTAGACTTGAGAACGGCTTGATTTGGAGCTCGAACCGCGGGAGCATTGTGGCTCGCGGTCTCGAAGTTGACGCGCTGCTGCTTCTCAGCAACGGTTCAAACTCGTCTGGGTCGAGCGTCTGGTTCGAGGTTGTGGCGATGGTGTTGCTACTCGTGAGCTGGGGAACAACTCGAGACGTAGTCAATGACGTTGGACTATTGCAAGTGCAGCTCTCACCCGCACAATTACAGTCGCCACCAAAGCTCCGCGAGCAACCATTATCCAAGCAGTTGGCCATTTGAGATCCGTCGCACCGCGAGTTCACTGGTGTTGAAGCCAGCGGTGAAAACGATCCCAGCGCAGATGCACCGGAGCCTTGTGGGGTTAATACTGCGTTGTTTCTGGGGCTGTCGCTGGAGCGGTCACTGTCTGCTACGTTTTCGTCGGGCTTCGTGATCTTCGTAGGTTTTGCCACCATTGTCTGCTTTTGACTCCTCGCGCACGTTGCGCACATCGTTCCTGTGTCGTTGTGTGATCGTACAAGCCTCCTACAGCTCTGCACGGAGCAGACACGCGACCCACCATGCTCCGTACAGAATCCCGTTGCGCCGCGGGCTGGTTGCTGGCAGTTCCTGCGTCGACAGCGCCTTGCTCCTCCGTGCGCTCGACATTTGCCGCCTCCCTGGTCAATCTTGGTGCATCCTGGCTCCGAACAGCGTCTTCCGCCTCCATGCGCCGTACAGAACCCGCCACCTACGTCAGCCTTGGGACAATCAACCACCTGACAGCGTTTGCCGCCCCCATGGGCCCGACACAAGCCTCTACCAGCGTCCACCTTCCCGCAGCCCTCCACTTGACAGCGCGCGCCACCTCCGTGCCGTCTACAGAAGCCTCCGGTCTGGTATCCTTTCGTGCAGCCTGGGAACGAGCATTTCTTGCCGCCGCCGTGACCGACGCAGAAGCCTCCGCCAGCGTCCACCTTGGTGCAGTCGGCGTGAGAACATTGGCGTCGCGTGCGCTTCTTGGCTGTGGCTTTAGCCGAAGAGGACTGAGTAATTTTCACTGCTGGAGACGCAGCCACGGTGACCATCGAGGTATCGCTGGTGGCACTGCTGCTACTTCTGCTGCCGCCGCTGCTCGACGCTCGCCGTGTTTGCATGCGTCGCCAGTCAGCGTGTTTCGGCAGAATGTACGATGGAGAGGAGCTGGTCAGTATCGCCGACACATCTCGGTTCAGTCGAGCTAAGTACGAAATGACGAGACAAAAGTACTGTAATGGGTACACTCGGATGGCTGCTCCGGAGCGACAACTTGCCATCATGGCGTATGGTTTTGACCATTCAACAATTGTCTGGGCTCCGGCGGCGCGCGTGAATGCTGAACATACTTACCGCACGGCTGGTCGGCGTGGAAGCGGACAGTCGACTAGCTATACATAATTGGCGCCGTCTCACATCGTTGGCTACTACTGCTGCTGTTGGTGCTGTTCTTGCCGCTGTTCGTGGCCAACAATTCCGAGAGTGATACTGTCCTGCATCTCCTTCGCTGGGGTGGTCGTCACAGACAACGTCAGACCTCCTTCCAGGTTCGTCATCTCAATGCAGAATTAAACCCAGGCTCGATCATTGCAACGCACCTTCGTCCAGGTTGAGCCGGAAGTTCCAGTTCTCCAGCTCTCGGATCTTGGCGTCCAGCCCCTTCTCGCTCAGCTGGGTAAGCTCTACAGTGAGCGCCAACCAGCGCCCTCGTCAGCAACCAACCATTCGCAGCACCAAACCAAACAACACGACTCGCACCGTAGAACTCGCGGTCACCCGCCACCTGCGCCGGCTTCTGATGCGCCAGAAACTCATACAACGACTCCAGCTCCTTGCTCAGCGGAACTGCCGGTGCGATCGTCTATTGTACGCAGCAGTTCAACATCATCAGCGCTCGCTGCTCACGATTACAGCAGCAACTAATAGGTATCAGCACGCCTCGACCCCCGGGAAGTAGCTCGCCATCTCTCGTCTGCAGCAGCAAAGGCGACACACCAACAGTCAGCTAGCCATATACACAGCCACCGTTTCGCGCTCATGCGCCATCTATCAGCCATTCCACCTGCAGCGTCACTGCCGCCGACACCCTTTGCGCACAGGAAGAAGGAAGCCTGAATCAATGCGGCTTATGGCTCTTCCGCCTCGTGATTGGTCGAAATTCAGCCCAGGCGACGTCAGTCATAGAAACGTCTCACTTTGCCATCACCAGCCAGAGCGTGAGGTGGAGGAGGAGTGCACTCGATGCTGGGACCCGGACGCTCGCTGCTCTTGGCGCGCCGCCTGCGCGGCATGCGTCCGACCACGTGGCTGGACAGGCGCGCGTCGTTCTTCTCGTTCCCGTCGCCGTCGCACGGGCTGGTCAAGTCGCACACCGAGACGCGCGTGGTGCCCTTCTCCTGCTCCGAGATGTTCGACGTGGTGGCGGACGTGGACCGCTACAACGAGTTCCTGCCCTTCTGCGTCGAGTCGCGAGTGCTGCGCAGACCCAACGACAACGTCATGGAGGCGGCGCTGCGCGTGGGCTTCAACATCTTCACCGAGTCGTACACGTCCCGCGTGCTCATGATCCGGTAAGAGGCGCCACCAACCCGCGCTGCTGCTTGGTTGCAGGTGAGGCTAATGGTGCGGTTTGTTTTGCCAATTGGCTGCATGTTTGCGCGTACTGGGGACTTGATGCAGACCAAACAAAATCGCCACGAAAGCCATCGACTCGCCAACGTTCAAGCGAATTGAAAGGTGTGTGAACAGCAGATCAAATGTTTGTATGTAGGAGCTGTTGGTCACTGATGATTAGGTGCATTATTCCTTGATGCTGGCAGTGAATGGGTGTTCAAGCCGTGCAACACGCCTGGAAGCTGTGAAGTCAACTTTAAGGTGACGTTTGAGGTGTCGTCGTTCCTGCACGCTAATGCCATCCAGCTCTTCTTCGACGACGTGGCGCTTACGCAGCTGAACGCATTCATCGGCCGAGCTCGGAAAATGTATGGTACGGCTCGCCGACCGCTTCCCCAAGCCCCTGTTCAGTCGAAGCCTGCACCGTTGACGCAAGGCTCTAAGGCGAAGAATGGTCAAAGTGGTCCAGCAAAGAGTGTCGACACCAGTATTCACACGGAGGCATCTCCGGTTAACTCCACACAAAAATCTGAAGAAGATGAGGATGAAGCAGCTAGACGAGCGGCGAAGGCTCGAGCCTCTCGCCGCATCAAAGGTGGCATCTCGAACCAGAACTACAGCGACTTGGCTGCTGTATTCCACGACTACGCGGACAACGACGGAAAGCTATACTATGGCGGGTTTACGGCTGCTTGTATGGCGTTGAGTGACGAGTACGAAGACATGAAGGACATCAGCGAGAGCGCTGCGCTTGCTGGTGCCGTGTTTTCGAGTTTTGAGACGCACTCTACGCCGAAGGATTGGCTCACGCTGGACGAGTTCGTAGTGGGTGTTTATCTGATGACCAAGGGCACATTCGAGCAGAAGGCGCACAGCCTGTTTGAAGTCGTGAACGCCACCGGGGATGGCAAAATCACTCGTGAAGAGCTGACACGTGCGATGCAGCGGAGAATTCGTGCGGTGAAGAAGCTCTTCCCTAGACTACTGCGCGACCAAGTGCAGATTCAGATGGCGAACGAGCAGGTCGAGGAGCTGTCGTCAGTCCAGGACGCCGCGGTGGCGAACAGTGTCAAGGCTATCGAGGAACTGATGGAGGAGGTGGAGAAGGAGATTCCGCTCGCTGTGAACCAGATTTTCAGGGAAGCGGACCTCGATCAGGACGACTACATCCGCGAGCAGGAGTGGCTGTTTGCGTGGCAGGCGCATCCAGAATTCGTGGAGCTGCTGACCATTGACGGTATGAAGAAAATGGCGCAATGGGCGTCGGTCGTCCAAGACGCCAACAGCGGCGATAATAACAGCGACGACGATGGTAAGAGTGGATCCTCGGAGCAGAGTCTTGATACGAGGCTCACCTACGTCGATTAAGTGAAATGAATTTGCTGTTCGTCTGTGTACTTTGCAGTGGCTATCGAATGGATTTTGATTTTTGGTACCCAAACGTTTCGACGTGGAAACTGGAACTACAGTACAGTACGGTACCGAAGCGAGGCCGTTCCTGTAGTAGGTGGGTACAGTTGGATGTTGTACTTTACAGCCGAATACCTGGCCACGACAGCTACATCTACATATTCACTGGTTTGGCGTTTCGAGCACGCCTGTCGGATTCCGAATGACGGAGCCATTCAGTTGACTAAGAGCTCCGCCACCAGCTTAGGGGGTCACTGTCGAGGTGACAACAGCTTCAATGAAATCGGCTGTGCCAGCGGAGCGCGAGCCTAGTCCATGCGGATACCCGGCAACGTGCTGTACAGGAGAACCCCCTCAAAGATAACGAGCCATTTCAGCTTTTACGGCGAGGACTCCTCGCCGAGGAGCTCGCCCACGAGGTGCTGCACAAATCCCGATTGCAGCTTCCGGTGATCTCCTCTACAGTACACACGCAGAATGCAGAATGACAAGACATGCTCCGTACGTGTAATCTCCATGAGTGTTGTTCCACGTACACAACGCAACTCGGCCACCTTCGACACCACCTAGTCTTATTCCAGTGGAACGCCTAGATCTTGTCAGTCGTGGAATCAACTCGGCCGGGCCCAAGCATCCAGTGGGCTCCGGCCACTTCACCCTGTTCGGCGGCGGCTGTTGCCCTCGACCACAGATGCCGGGAACTCCGTATCATCGCTCGCCCTCAAAGTTGGGTTCCCTATGATCTTGAAAACGGATGCGCCCCTCAGAGCCTTTCCGCTGCCTGCAGAATACATGTATGACGGGTACAGGCCCGTTTCTGAGTCCGTTAATCACTGGCCGACGGACAATCGCCTCCTGCCTCACTCTCCTATTTGCGGGATCGCGCGCACCGGCCGACCGACCGACCGACCGACCGGCCAAGATGCACCTCTCGAGTCTCCTTCTCACCTTCGCGGCCGCCGTGGCAGGCGTGTCCGCCGGGTCCCCTCAGCAGGAGCAAACCGACACGCAGACGATTCTGTTCGCGGCCACGTACACCCGCGACGAAGGCTGGATCAACGGCACGGGCAAGGGCATCTACACGTACAAGTTCGACACGACGGATGGAAGCTTGACCCCGTTCGGAGTCACGCCGCTGGGCATCAACCCCATGTACGTGCAGGGCTCGACCAAGAAGTTCAGCACGGGCGAGCGCGTCATCTACGCCATCAACGCCGTGTCGGACAACTCCACCGCGCACCCCGGCACCATCACGGGCTTCGTGTCGGCGCTCACGCTCAACAGCGACGGCACGCTCGAGCTGCTCAACACGCTCGAGACGCACGGCGGATCTCCCACGCACATCTCGCTGAGCCCCGACGAGGACTTCCTCGTGGTCTCCAACTACGCCGGCAGCCTCTCCATGTTCCCGCTGAACGCCGACGGCTCGTTGGCCAACGAGACGTTCCACCAGGAGTTCCCTACCGGCAGCAAGGTCGTCATGGACCAGCAGGCCACGGGCCACATCCACAGCACGACGTGGCTGCCCAACTCCAACCACGTGGTCGCGGCCAACCTCGGCAGCGACCAGCTGCTGCAGTACAACTTGAACGAGAAGAAGCAGACGCTCAAGAGCCTCAAGACCGTCAAGCGCCCGGGAGGTTCGGGACCGCGCCACATGGCGCTCCACCTGGACGGAAACATTGCGTACGTGGTGGACGAGATCTCCAACACGGTTGGTGTGTACAAGATCAACAAGAAGGCGGCTCTGCTGGAGAGCAAGGCGCTGCAGGAAATCACGACGCTGCCGGCTGACTTCAAGAACCACACTACGAGCGCGGACATCCACCTGTCCAGCAACGGGAAGTTCCTCTACACGTCGAATCGCGGCCACGACTCCATTGCCATCTTCGAGATCAACGAGGCGGACGGCACGCTTAAGTCTCTGGGCTGGGAAAGCACGCGCGGCAACATCCCGCGTGGATTCACCATTTACGGCGACTGGCTCATTGTAGCGAACCAGAACTCGAACGACATGTACGTGTTCAAGGTGGACAGCAAGACTGGTTTGCTGTCGTACACGGGTAACTCGTACGAAATCGGCACGGCAGTGTGCCTGTATGTTGCGGAGTATTAGAAGGTGAACGCCAGTTGTTTGGAGTGAGCTGCGGAAAGTATACCTTTAAACAAAATAAACTTCTAGCAGTATGATAAATGCCCGCTTGACATTACGTGACGTTCTAACCAGGCGTTGGAGCCCTGTTGCTTTGCTTTGCAGCAACCAGGTAGATTTTCTAATTTTACCGCAGCAGATTCTTCGTCGCATTCAGGTCGTAGCTTACCCGAATAACAGCAATTTTGCTCATGAAAGCTACGAAACTACCCCCTATTTACCATTACATGTACTCCAAGTATTTGGGACGAAGTCCCCTCTATAATAGCGCGTTACTCTGATTTAGCTGTTTTTACAACTCCGATTTACTTTTTACCAAGGGTCAATATCAATTACTAGAATGGGTTAGGGTCACATTTTATAATCACGTCGACTGCGGCCGAAAACGACGAAAAAAACCTGGGTTTAGTACCGCAATGGCTATCAATAGAAGGTAGAATCAGTCGGTTTCATTTCTAAATGAACTGTTGTCACTAACTATTGTGAAAACCGCTTCATTTGCCTATTTTGCTCGTAAATCGATTGATTAGCACTATGATTTAGCTCGATCGATTTGTAAATCGATCGCGCCCTGCGATGCATATGCGAGTGGACGTGCAGATTAGGCGATCGTTTTATAGAAGCCAAGTCGATATAGCCGCGCTTGGAGCAGAATGCCCACCTTCTACTGGGCAATCGAGCAGTCAAGTGATGCATCTAGATCACGATCGATTTCAGCCCTGATTTTTACTCTGATTAATTAGGCAGATGAGATCTAATAAGGGGTTCCAACAGATGGGCGTTTTAGCCGGTTCTCACAATAATAATAATGCCATAAAACCCGAGGGTCGAAGTTACGAAACAGTGATTGCGACGGTTAGTATGGAGGATATTAGAAATATCTTAAAATGCGAAGTTTTAACTCAACTTGGACATCCTTAGGACCCCTTGTTAAGGCTATATTACCTGTCAAAACTTATGCCTGCGTAAAAAGGGTAGCCTGTAAAAAAAGTCTGGAGCGAGCCTCGCATTCCTCCACCATGCAGGCACAGCCGAAGTTGCCGTAGCGTACCATTAGCTGGCCGAGACGATCAAGGTGGGCGACACAGTGCTGCCTGACGGACGGACACATCCGCCGTGCACGCCCGGCCGTGGGTCAGGGCGAGATCACGTGCCACGGAGGAGATCGGCATCCGCTAGGGCGTGAACCTGCCCGGCCTCATCGTGGAGCTGCCGGCGCTGTCGGAGAAGGACAAGCGCGACCTGGAATGGGGCGTGGAGCTCGACATCGACTTCATCGCGGCGTCCTTCATTTGCAAGACCAGCGACGTGCACGAGATCCGCGCGTTCGTTAACGAGTGCATTAAGAAGACTAAGTACATCGCGCCCAAGATCATCTCTTAGGCGGAGAGCTTCGAGGGTGTGTAGAACTTCGAGGAGATCCTCGAGGCCTCGGGCGGCATCATGTATGTGCGTGGAGGTGACCGCCCAGCACGTGCTGGCGTACCAGAAGATGGGTGTAACGGGATTACACGATAGTTACCCGAAGGGTTATGAAGTGGGTACACACTGTCTAACCTAAATCAGTAGGAGAATCAGTACATGGCTTCAGAGCCACTGATTATGCATATGACTAGGGTTCACTATGCTAGATAGTGAACCGGATACATTTACACCGTAGGCGGCTTTGCCGCAATAAAGGGAAATACATTCAGTTTGAGATTCACACAGTTAAGAGTTAAGGGTTGACTCTTGGAGTCCGTAGGGTGTACGGACTCGTACGTTCTGGTATTAGAACGGGCGATCTTAAGCTGAGACTCTGCGAGTCTGTTAAGCTTCCTCTGACGCAAAGCTACGGCAGCCCCGCTGCACTTGGTAGCACTTGTAGTCAATCTGACACCTGAGTCTGTATAGACTGACCCTCTGTGGAGAATGGAGCAGTTCGCTCACTTGCCCCCGAACCAGCAGGATGCGCTTAAAAAGTTTATGTCCATGCTGGGCCCGGAGGGCGTGACGCAACTTGCGCAGCAAGGCCCCGACGCGGTGAAGGCGCGTCTCGAGGCTTTTTCAAGCTACGAGAATGCTCTGCTAGAGCGCCTCCAGCAGAGGATGGCGACTGCCGCGGCGCCCCGAGCGCCCCCTTTGTCGTCCGACGCGGGAACAAGACCTAAGCCGCTCATGTTGAGCGTGAAGACCTTCGAAGGCAAGGAGGGTGAAAGCTTGATGCTTTGGACCCGTGAGGTTGAGATGGCTATGAGCTCAGCTCTACTCCGGACGGAGTCGCAGCGCGTGCCACTAGCTATCTCGAAGCTCGGTGGGCGAGCGAGAGAGTGGGCACTAACGTCCGGGACGTCGGTCGAGGTGGCCTTCCCGACGTGGGACCAGCTGAAACAGCAATTGTCCCGAGTGTTTGCTCCGCCTAACGAGGCGTATCGCGTGCGCTCACGCTTCCTGGCGACCAGTCAGAGCAAGAAGGAGTTGATGGACTACGTCCAAGAGTTGAGAACTCTCATTGCTGGCATGTCTGCGGACCCCCTGGCGGAAGCAGTCACCGTTACGGTGTTCATGGAAGGCCTCCGCACTGGCGTTCCCAGGACGGAGGTGTTTCGAACCCACCCGAGCTCTTTTGAAGAGGCTGTGAGCGTCGCATTGAATGCGGAACACAACTTTAAGTCGTCGAGACTTGGGTGGAATGCGTCTTACGCTAGCGGGTCGAGTGGTCCGGAACCCATGGACCTCAGCTATGCTGAAGACGAAGAAGCCGAGCTTCGTGCTGCTGAGCAGCGTCGCGGTATCCGCAGATGCTTCATCTGTGGTGACACCCGTCACCTTCGTGCTGGGTGTCCGCTGCGCCATCAGCGCCAGGCTTCGTCAAGCCGCTCTTCGAGTTCGAGCCAGGGCTCTGGTTTGTCTCGGGGAAACGAGAAGTCCCAGTAGGCGCGGGGCGGCCTACTGGGGAAGAACTAAGTTCTATTGAGCCTCGGCGAGGTGGAGGTCGACAGGACTTAGCCCCGAAGAGAGCCGTACTCTCTAACACGGAACGTGTATGCAAGCCGGGCTTGCTAGTTGTCCAAGCTTGGGTGAAGGGCTTCACGAAGCCATGGACGATTTTGATCGATTCGGGAGCGTCGGGTAACTACGCCCGGCGTTCTACGATGGACGGAAGTCAGCTTTATGCTGAGGCGCTGGTAGCGCGCGGGAGTGACATCGTCACTGTTCGTCTCGCGACGGGCACTCGTGTCACGGTGCCTAAGGTCCCTGTGGACCTGGGCGTGAAGTTTTTGGATTTTGATAGCGTGGAACGCTGTCTGGTCTTAGACCTCGATTCGAGATATGATCTCATCCTTTGTATGACGTGGCTGGAACGCCACGAGCCTTGAATAGATTGGAGGTCGAAGACCCTTGGTGCTACGCACTTCTCTCCTGGCGGAGCATTGGCGAGTCATGAACCCACCTCTGCTAGGAAGCAGAAGCGCTTTTGGCGCGAGCACTGGACCGAGTCGGTTAATGTGCTGGACATCGGAGTTTACGAGTTGGTGGACACTGAGTGTGTCGAAAATGAGCGTTCCGAGCGAGGCTCACGGACGGCAGGTGGAGCGGCACGAATTCCGCTGAGCGGGTGTGCGTCTGAGGGCGACGCCCTGCTGCGTGCCGGTGAAGGCGCGGTCGACAGGAAGTCGAGTGAAGATGGGCGTTGCCCGGATCAAGGATGTGGAGCGGCACTAATTCCGCTGAGCGGGCGTGCGTCTGAGGGCGACGCCCTGCTGCGTGCCAGCGACGGCGCGGTCGGCACGATGCCGACGAACAAGGGGCTTTGCCCGGATGAAGATCGTGGAGTGGCGCGTAATCCACTGAGTGGAGGCTGCGGATCGTGCAGCTCTTCGCTGAGTGTCGGTAAAGACACTGGAGCTCCCCTGGAGCTGAACGAGGTGGTGACACCTGGCGTCAAGACGCACGCGAAATCACGGAGCTCTTCAGGGCGGACGGTGTCCATGAAGAGGAGGCAGCGCCGCAAAGCGCTGGCTGTGAGACGCAAGGCGTCTGCGATCTCACGAGTCGAGAAGGGCGTGTCGAGCGGTGAGGCTCCACGCGAGAGCGAGCAGCTCTATACACTCGTGAATGGAGTGACGGGCGACGTCGACGGAGGTATCAACCTCGACGATTTGCCCTCACTGTCTGCTCTCCTGGAGCTGGACGAGATGTCCTTGGCCGAGTTCGGCGAAGCCTTGAAGGCTGGAGACTTGGCCGAGGTAGTGGTCATACGACCCGAAGAAGAGTTGAACTCGTCCTCGCTTCTGGATGAAGCTGTCCTGGAAGACACCAAGAAGGCGCTGAATGCGCGGAGCGGATCGGCGATCCTGAAGGACCCGTCGGATCCCTTGTATCAAGTGGTAAAGGATTACCAGGACGTGGTCTCGAAGGAGCCGCCCTCGGGGCTACCTCCGGATCGAGGTGTTCGACACGAAATCGATCTCGTTCCGGGAATGAAGTACTGCGTGACGAGGCAGTGGCCCTTGCCGAAGGAGCAGTGTGACGTCATTGACGCGTTCTTCCGTGCGAAGCACGAGGCGGGCATGGTGCGTGAGAGTAAGGCTCCACACTCTACGCCGACGTTCTGTGTCAGAAAGCCGAATGGCAAGTGGCGTATCGTGCATGCTTTCAACAAGCTGAATGCCGCTACCATTCCGGCGCATACGCCGATTCCTCGGAAGGATGTTCTCCAGAACAACATGACAGGATGTACGATGTACAGTGCGCTCGACTTGTCGATGGATATTACCAATTGCTCATGAGGACGAGCGACATTCCTCTCACTGCGGTGAGTACTCCGAGCGGCATGCTCTGGGAGTGGTTGGTGATGCCCCAAGGCTTTCGAGCGCACCAGCGACGTTTAATCATCTTGTGACGCAGCTCTTGAGGCCCCATCGGGCGTACGCGCAAACGTACATCGATGACATCTTTGTCCACAGTCGTGCGGAGCACGGAAAGACTGATATGGAGAACCATGTGGAGCACCTGCGTGCTGTGCTCGAATGCATGCGTCAAAACAAGTTGTACGCCAACATTGACAAATGCATCTTCGGAGCGGAAGAGATCCCCTTCTTAGGGTGCTTCATCGGGAAGCGTGGCCTGAGGGCTGACCCGGTCAAGGTCAAGGCCATTGTTGACTGGCCGGTTCCCAAGACCCAGAAGGATCTTCGCAAGTGGCTTGGCTTGGCCAATTACTTGCACAAGTACAGCGAGAACTACGCTGAGATGGCTCGGCCACTCTCCAATCTCCTGAAGAAGGATGCGGAGTGGCGTTGGGACACCGAGCATCAAGATGCGTTTGCGGCAATTAAGGACAGTCTCCTTCATGCGCCTATTCTGGCTTTGCCAGACCCCGCTCGTCCGTTTAGTGTCGTCTGTGACGCCTCGGACTTTGCCATTGGCTGTGCCCTGCTGCAAGCAGACGCCGAGGGGCGCGAGCGCGTGGTGGCGTTCGAATCTCGCCAGCTGAAGGCTGCGGAGAAGAACTATCCTGTCCACGACAAGGAGCTACTTGCAATGAAGTATGCGCTCGTCAAGTTCAGGGTTCACCTGTTGGGCTCTCAGCCGTTCGTAATTTACACGGATCATGCGTCGTTACGCACTGCGACTCAGTCGCCTCATCTCTCGCAAAGGATGACCCGCTGGCTGTCCTTCTTCGCGGAGTACAACTTCGAGGTGAAGTACAAGCCTGGCAGGCAGAATGTCCTTGCGGACGCGCTATCACGCAGGCCGGATTATGAGCTGGCTCATGTAACGACCGTGACTTCGTCATTACCGGATCTGATCCGAACGGCTTATGCCAAGGACGACACTTGTGTCGCGTTGCTGAAGGCTCTGGGGAGCAAGGAGTTTTAAGACTCGGACATGGATTTGTCAGCGCGGCTGCGCGCGCGGCTACACCGTTATTCCCTCGATGGGGGCCTGTTGTTCTACAACACCGACCCCGAGGATACGCCCCGCGTGGTCATCCCTCGTGATGAGGATCTGAAGTATCGCCTCCTCTATGAGGCACACGACACGCCGCTTGCCGGCCATCTTGACCGTGAGAAGACCTACAGCTCGGTGAGCACCCACTACTGGTGGCCGAAGATGTATAAGTGGACGAGCACTTATGTGCGCACGTGCGAGACGTGTCAGCGAGTGAAGCCGTCACCTCATGCTGCAGCGCCGTTGGCGAGTTTGCCTGTCCCTTCGGGCTGCTGGCAATCCATGAGTATGGACTTTGTGTTTGGCCTGCCGGCGGACGCGGCGGGCAACACAGGAGTCGTGGTCTTCGTGGACCGACTGAGCAAGATGGCTCACATTGCGGCTGTGCCGGATACCATCGATGGTAAAGGTACAGCAACGCTGTTCTTGGACCGAGTGTTTCGACAACACGGACTCCCGGAGTCGATTGTCTCGGACCGAGACCCCCGCTTCACGGGCCACTTCTGGAGCGCGGTCTTTGCGGTGCTTGGCACCAAGCTGAACATGTCCACGGCGGACCATCCGCAGACCGATGGTCAGACAGTGCGCGTGAATCACGTCGTCGAGGACGTGCTCCGCAGCATTTGCGCTGAGACGCCGAAGCGCTGGAGCGCCATGCTGCCACTCGTTGAGTTTGTGTTGAACAACGCCGTGCACGCCTCGACAGGCTACACGCCGTTCTACGTGAACAGCTTTTCTCATCCCCGCGTCCCGCTGACGCCGCCACGTGGTGGCCTCGGGCTTGGTGGGGGAGGAGAAGCCGATTTAGCTGATCGGCTAGCCGATGTCAGCCCGGCTACTGTTCGTAAACAGGTTGACGCTTTCTTGTCGACGCGTCTGAGTGTCTTACGACATGTCCGTGACGCAATGGCTGAGAGCCAAGACAAGCAAAAGGAACATGCAGATACCAGGGACAGAGGCAATGTTGAAAGTTATGAGGTCGGGGACCTGGTGTTGCTTAATGCTAGGAACCTACCTACACATGCAGTATCTGCCGTCTTCAAGACGAGTTGCGCCCGCGCTTCATCGGACCTTTCAAGGTTGTGGCCAAGAAGGGCCTTGCGTACACGCTCAATCTTCCGAAGAAGATGCGGACGCACCCCGTCTTCTACGTGGGCTTGCTCAAGCCGTACCAGGACCCGATGCAGGTGCAGATGGAGGCACCGAGGGTGACGAGGTCACAGGCGCGGAGTTCGCGGTCGCCGAGGACGCAGTCGCAGGCGTCGAGGACGCGACCATCCACGCGGGCACCGCAGGCACAGGCAGAAGAATCGGCGCCGGAGGTGCCGCGGGCACAGCGAGAGCCGCAGGCGCAGGAGGCGCGGTAGTCGGAGCCTGCATGCGGGCCAGGAGGTCGAGCTGACCCTGAAGCACAGCCTGCTGACGCTGTAGCTCCCCGAGCTCCCGGCCACGTTGCTCATCGCGATCGCGATAGTATCGCACCCAGTCCTCCAGGACCCCAAGACGGTCCCAGACCGCTCGAGGCACCTCGATCCATCGCGTCCGCTCGGCGAGCTCGTCGAGTTCGGTGGCAGTCCGGCCCAGACGTGCATCAACGTCACGGATATGATCCCGAATGCGACCCGCCTGCTGCCGCACCTCCAAGAGCTCACTTTGAGTCGCAAAGGACCCCACAGCGGCCTCCACCGGCCCTGCTCGATGAGCATGGGAATCTACATTACCATGTGGAGCGCATCCTGGCGAAACGGCGGTGCCGGGGTCAAAACCAGTATCTGGTGAAATGGTGAGGGTACCCTCACTCCGAGAACTCATGGGAGTTTGAGGTGCCCCTCCGCCAAGACTGCCCAGACATCGTGGACTCTTTTGATCAGCTTGATCACCAGCGCCCCGAGGGCTCAAGGCCGGCCGTCCCGCGCTTCCCGGCAATAAGCTGGGGAGCTGCTGGGTCAGCCACACTGCTCCGAGGCTGACCCTGAGCCACAGCGCTCACTCCCTCGCGGGAAGGAGCGGCTGGAGTGCTCGAAGGAGCGAAGCGCTAAACTGGGTCTGCGGCTGGGCGAGTGCCGAGAGGCTGCGCTTGGCTCGGACCTTCGCGAAATCGAAGCGGAGCTTGCGTTCAACGCGAACTTCCACTTCACTGAAGCTGGCTCGGAGAGCGTCCATGGAGCTGAGCTTTCGGCTGTGCTCGGCCCAAGACTCGAACTGAGCTTCGTACTCAATTGAGTCTTCCTCCGGGCTAAGTGCCACCGGGTGCGTCCGCATGGCGGGCACGGACTTCTGCTGGGCTTGCAGCCGCAGCCTCTCGCGATACTCCGCGACAGTCGTAGACTGTGGAGTGAGGAGCCGCTCTCGCAGAGACGTACGCAGTGCGAGCTCCTCCGGAGTACGGGCCGCGGGCCCAATGGTGCGCAGCGCGAGAGACTGCTGGAACGCCTGGCGACAAGCCTCCGCGGGGTCGCGAGGCCGGAAGCCGTAGTCGGCAATGCTGGGGTTCAGCAGAGGCCGCAGCTCGGGGCGCTGGGAGCGCGTGGGAGCCATCTGCGCCCCAACCTGCTCGGACTGAGCTTCGTCCAAAGGGTTGGAAATGACGGGCCCAGGGGCACGCCCTCACCACGAACGGGTTTGGAGTTCGCAGCGGTGGCCGCGGCTCCTCCCTCGACGGTGCAGCGCGCTCTGCAGGTGGACGGCTCGGCGAGCGCACAGGAGACGTGTGCGCGGGGCGCTCTTGATCGCGACGGCTCGGAGAGCCAACTGGGGCCGGCGAGCCTTCTTCACGGCGTGTCGACGGTGTGGGCGAAGCGTCGCCGCGGCTCGGGGAGCGTCGCGTGAGTGGGGACGCATCTCCTCGGTTCGGGGAACTCTCCATGGACTCGTCCACCTCGCCCTCTTCACCAAAGAGTTCCCTAGGATCCATGATCTGATGGGTTGGTGCTCGAGGAGAGCTGGGGCTTGCGCGCTGCGAGCTGCGCCTCAGGCATTGCGCCGCGAAGTACTCGGACACCGAGAGCCTGGAAGGCGTCGAGGGTGTGCGCGCGGGCGCTGGCGTTCACGGAGGTGCGGAGGCACGCAGTGCAGCAGCACGAGAGGAGCGAGGCTCCGAGGCGGATCTCGCGAGAGGCTGTCTGCGGTCGAAAGACCAAAAGGCTTTATGACTTGAAGTCATGTGAGGGCGCGTTGCGCCTAGAAGTTCTCAGAGAAGTCCACGCGATGTGGATTGACTCGAGGCTTGACGGAACAAGACCCGGAGGTTGACCGTTAAGCGTGAACACCCGTGTCCACGGTTTGGTGGGGGAGGATGTAACGGGGTTACACGATAGTTACCCGAAGGGTTATGAAGTGGGTACACACTGTCTAACCTAAATCAGTAGGAGAATCAGTACATGGCTTCAGAGCCACTGATTATGCATATGACTAGGGTTCACTATGCTAGATAGTGAACCGGATACATTTACACCGTAGGCGGCTTTGCCGCAATAAAGGGAAATACATTCAGTTTGAGATTCACACAGTTAAGAGTTAAGGGTTGACTCTTGGAGTCCGTAGGGTGTACGGACTCGTACGTTCTGGTATTAGAACGGGCGATCATAAGCTGAGACTCTGCGAGTCTGTTAAGCTTCCTCTGACGCAAAGCTACGGCAGCCCCGCTGCGATGGTGGTGAGCCGCTGCAACGCCGTAGTCAAGCCCGCGAATGTAGCCACGCAGATGCTCGAGTACACTCAGAACAACCTGCTCCCGACGCGCACCATGGTCTCAAGGTGGGCAGAGCCGTGCTGGACGGCGCCGACTGCTTCATGCCTAGCGGCGAGTTGGTGACCACCATTAACATGGCCGTCAAGGAGGCCAACGAGCTACTGCTGCAGCCCACGTACCGCGCCAAGTTCCAGTCCGACCTGCTCACGTCGGCTGCATGTGCATCTCATGGTTGTGCTAACCTCCACGGGCTACACGGCGCGCAAGGTGACCAAGTACAAGCGCGCTTAAATACGGCCGTGAGCTACGTGATCCTCGAGGTTTACTTCGAGAAGCCAACGGCGGCGAGGTGATTTAACACCTGCGATCGCGTTTTGGTCCCAGCAGCAGTGTGTCGTACTTAAATGAGAACGATAGCACCAACGCCCGCCGCAGGCGGGTCCTGCCAACTACCGAGCGAAGCGAGGTGCTCCCCCTTCGGGGGAGGTAGAGGGGGGTCTAGGGTTTTGTGCCCCAAGGGTACAGGGGATTTTAGGGATCAGGGTGTACTTATAATGCCAAGGCGTCTTAATGTTCAAGCTAGAACGCTAATATCTGTGTTTATTTCGGCTCTGGCGCATTCGTCTCCGCCAGCCTGAGCGAGGTTGTGGAAAGATGGCATTCGTGTTTAGTACAGTCGCTGCAGCGACTAGCGTATTGTGTGGATAGCTGTAAATGATCAATCCAAGTCTATTAGTTCGGCGCTCGTTCTGGGCTGTAAAGCGTGCGTCCGGAGACGCTATACGAATGGCTGCGCAACAGCACAGAATGTTGCGCTGACAGTGCATGCAACACGCTCGGATCTTGCTCCTTGCCCATCAGAGGAAGGCTCATCAGGTTGAGCGCCGCTGCTACACTCGGAAGTGCCGATAGATTTTTGGTAAATGCGACTGGGTGTTGGTCGTTACCTAGATAGGTAGGTTAAATGTATTCAATCTCACCTCAACCTTGAAATAAATGCGGCTGGACTTACAACAATAAAAGGTTAGAAGTGATAGATACAACATAAGTACATTATGTACCAAACCTGTTGAGGATGCGCCCGACATCGATGTGCCCTCTGTCCGAGCTTTGGTAGATTATCAATCGGAAGGCCGCGGGTCAGTGTGACCCATATCCAGATCCGTGAGTATTTTACAACAAAGGTATTATTCCTTTCATGCCCGACCCATACCATACCAGAGACATATCGATTTGTCAGTCTGGGTGATTTACTGCTCTCCTATCCATATATATGGGTATCTTTCTTGAAGACCTACCTTTGGCGTGTTCTCGCATCTCCGGGTACCAGTTGCCGGCTTCATATTGGCCATTCTGACCAGATCGACAGGGGAACGTCGACCAAAACTATGTGGTATACATAGTTTGAGGCGTCGGCCTCAAAGCAACACGCCACCCGTCGGACGAGACGCGATCTCCCCCCACGAGACGGGAGACGTAAAACCTCGAGAGACCGTCTCCCGAGGTTTTACGTCTCCCCGAAACTCCCGGAGAGACGCACTTAGAAGATACGATAGTGTACTGCGTCTCCCGTTTCGAGATAGCCATTGGCCCATAATCTATCCTATAATAGAGAACCAGCGTTTTAGCATATTCTGAAGGAACTTCGCGGAAACATCGCAACATATCGCAGCCAGGCCTGGGGAGAAAGGCCTGCTGAAAGGCAAAATACGCCTCGGGTTTAGGCATTGCTTTGACCAATCGCAGAAGGAGCCAGTGAGACTCTGACCAGCGCGTAAAGTACGCATGCACTCTAAAGGGAGACGACGAGGAGAGACGGAAGTTTCGTCTCCTTTTCCAAACACTTTTCAAGGGGGAGACGGTAATACCGGGAATACCGACTCCTCCTGGGAGGGGAGACGGTATATCGATAAAACCGTCTCCCCGCCCAAAGTCTCGTCCGAGGGGTGCAACATGCCGAAGCGCAGCGAACGTGGTGCTCAACTAGTTTAATACTGAAGTAGTATACATGCTACTTCCACAGTGTTGTTTGACTTCTCAATTCGTACGTAGTATACTCCGTCCTCGCTCAGCCACGACCTGCTTTATAGATAATCTCTGAAATCTCTCCTCTGATTTATTGGATAGAGGTGTCATGCAGAAAACATCCGGACAAAGTACCGGTAGACCGTCGATCGATGAAATTGGTTATTTATTACCATGTCAAAGGCCTTCTCGTTTTATGGATTCGATTTTGTGTTCAATGACACCGCGTACGACAAAAGAACTATCAAATCAAGTATTATAATGATACTTCACCATCTCTTCTAAAAAATGCGGGACTTGACAAATAATCGTTGGTACTGGTCCGCGGGCTTTAGAAGCCCGCTTGATTCGCAGTTCGGTGTTTTTGTAGTTGCTGTTGCAACTAGGGCTTCGCGAAGGCTGGGATAGGTGCATAATCACATTGGTTAGAATCATGAAAGCCACTTCATCGGGTGCGCTAACTCGTCGATTGTGCAGTATACGGAGCCCCTAATTGAAAAGCAAGCCTGAGCACGATTGGTTCGCATGAGAAGATATTGGTCAAATTATCAAATGGTACCTCAATACGTTCGAGCCATGGGCATCTCCTGCGCCTGCTTCGCAGCCGCAGCATCTGCCCGGAGCGCGAGCTATTCTCGAATGAGAAACGATCGGTCGTCAGCCTCCATCATTCTCGTCAGTCAACATCAAGCTGATCTTAAAACTACCGGTTCATCACCAATTTGTATCGATGCCCCAATTAATCCTGTTTGGGCTGGACTATCAGCACTTCGTCGCTTCCTATCCCAGTATAAAAAATGTCGCTGAACATGTAAATACATTGGTTGCCATCAATGCGAAGTATTGAATAAGAAGGCTTTGGTACAATACCTTTTATATTTTACTAACAAAAGGCACTATCTGCCTGGTGTATTGCCTCAACAGTGCCGATATAGAATGCGGAGTTAACAACAAAATGAAGAAGATGAACCTTGCTTGACAGCTTGTAATTGACAGGTTGTAAAGTAAAAAATTACACATTTGTAGTTATTGTAGTCCACAAAACTTCAAACACTCTCTCGCAGCACTAACGTTGTATCCTATGCAGGTATGCTATACTAATGCATGACCTTGCTTGCTTGCCTCGCTTTGCTTTGCTTCGTTTGACTTTGCCTTGCTCTGTTTTGCTGCGTAGCCTGGCTGAATTGCCTTCCAGTAACGTTGCACAATAACAAAACCTGGCTGGGTTGTGCAACCTGGTATACACAAGTTACGAGAGTCTGGGTTCCATCAGCACCATATTCGAGCTTGAGTCTGGGCACGGCACTTAGCGTAGAAGTTGGAGGCCACTTGAGCTTCAGGTTGAGAATTCAAAAGTGAGCCGAGTTGTGTTTCATCGGGGAAAGCCCGCAGGCGAAAACCCCCTTACGGTACCCAGTGACTACTTCGGCCCACCCAGTGAGCAAGGGAGGACCAACGTTGGCCAGGATCGCGCAGAGAGAGCTCCTCAGAGACTTTCTCGGATCCATCCTTCTCCCCCATAGTCACAACCACTCACAACTTGACGTTTTCTTATTCATTGGCACCTAACGGGGATGACACTAACATCAAAGGCCTAATCTGCTGCTACTCGTATGTGCTCCTGCCATTGATGTCTCGTACTCCCACGGCAGCCCACGTTTGGTGCCATGCAACATGCATCATATGCAATGTGCCACCAGCTTGACCAGCTGCCCTTCGGTAGCACTGAGCTCGCAAGCTCACACTTCCTGCATTTCGACGTCCTCGCCCGCCTCGACAGCATCAACCATCACCCAGGCATCCGAGACGTCTTCAACGTTCAACCTGCCCCGCTGGCGCTCGAACTCGGCTGACCCCAAAGCCTTGGTGAACACGTCTGCGCAGTTGTCAGCACTCGGCACGTAGACGACATCCAACTATTCAGCTTGAATGTACTCGTTAATGAATCGCGCATGCTTGGCCATGTGACGCACCCTCGACGTGTTGCCGTTGTTGGCCACCACTTTGGTTATCGCAATAAACAGGTGCTTGCAGCGTTCGTTCACCGAAACCAAGCTCCAAAAGAAGCTCGCGGGCCCACACCACCATCTTGCTGCATTCGCAGCAGGCAACCAACTCAGAGCTGCAGGTGTCTTCCGTCACACGCCTCTGCAAGTGACTTTTCCACATCCACATGTTGCCATGCAGTCGCAGCATGTAGCCCGTCACTGAGCGACTGGTGTCGGGGCACGACTGGTGATCAGCGTCACAGAGTGCGTCCAGCATCGGGAACTCAGGCGTAAATCGATACACCAATCCCATGCTCTTCGTTGCTAGCGCATAGCGTACCACTCGCTGCGCGGCACGGTAGTTCTCCGCAGTGTAGGCGCTTTTGTATCGTCCAAGTGTTCTCACAGCGTTCGCCAGGTCTGGGCGAGTGCACACTACCAGGTACTGCAACGAGCCAATGATCTCCCTGTAGGACAACTTCGGATTGTTGATCTTGGATTCGTCCCTCTCGATCGCAGTGACCTTCTCGTGGTGAAACTGCGGCGAGCGCACCGGCTTCGCAGATGATAAACCGAACTTCTCCGCAAGGCGCTCAATATACGCCGCCTGGGATGAGAACAACATTCTGCCAGGCTTGTAGTGTACTTCCATGCCAAACAGGTGTCCGACTCGGCCGAGGTCCTTCAGCTTGAAACGAGCCGCAAGTTGCGCAACCACTTCGTCGATGTTGGTGGGGATTCCAGCAAGAACAATGTCGTCGACATACACGGTAAGAAACATCATGCGCCCTCGACGACATCTCCAGTAGACACCAGCATCATAGGTGCACTGTACGAAGCCAAGTTCAATCAACACCTTGTGCAAAGTATCATTCCACATTTTCGATGCTTGTTTGAGACCGTAAAGGTTCTTTCGAAGTCTGCATACACGATCGGTTCCGTCCTCGTACCCCTCGGCGAAAACCCCCTTACGGTACCCAGTGACTACTTCGGCCCACCCAGTGAGCAAGGGAGGACCAACGTTGGCCAGGATCGCGCAGAGAGGGCTCCTCAGAGACTTTCTCGGATCCATCCTTCTCCCCCATAGTCACAACCACTCACAACTTGACGTTTTCTTATTCATTGGCACCTAACGGGGATGACACTAACATCAAAGGCCTAATCTGCTGCTACTCGTATGTGCTCCTGCCATTGATGTCTCGTACAAATTGCACAACCCAGCAAAGGCAGGCGCGCTGCTTTAGCTTCCTAGCCGTGTCTTGCCTTATTTTTGCTTTGCTTGCTACACTGGGTGGTGCAAAATGTGTATTTATACTTCATGTACCAACTGATAATGCTAA